ATTCCACGCCCTCGTTTGTGGTATACTGCATGCAGGCATGTAGTAGTCCCATTGATATACCATCCGATATACCATTCCTTGGCGATGGATCGTGGTATATTGTCACGTGACTTATACCCTTGTTGTCCTGCATCATCACCGCGGGGTTGGTTGGCTCTGGTTTCCTCTTGTACCCCTGTTGGCGCGAGTGAGGTGGCTTGGTTCGTAACATCATCTCCCCCTCTTCCAGATTTTCGTCCTCGAAAAGTCCTTAAATTCTCGGTGTCCCCTCTAGGTGAGTTCCCACAATGTTGTCCCGTCATGTCCCCCCGCACTGCCGTTAAACCGAAGCGTAACAAGTACGCTGATAACGCTCGTTTGGGTGATAGGATTGAACGAACTGGTCGCCCCGTGGATTTCCCGTGCGATTATTGTCTTATTCGTGGAAAGTGTTGCATCATGAGTCCTTTCGTGAAGAGTAAGAAGTGTTCGACTTGTGCTCGTCGTGGACACACTTGTGAGAGGAGTTTCCACACAGATAAGGAGTGGGATGACCTGCAACAAAATGAACGAAAGTTGGCGTCCGATCTCGAGGAGGCCCAAAAGCAATTTCTTCAGCATTCGCAAAAGATGAATGAGGCGATGGCAAAGGTCCTTCGCCTCCAAAAACATCAACAATTTCTCAAAGAACGTGGTGGTCGGATGTTGGATTACGATCAGACGACGTTGGATCGGTTAAACGAAGAGGATCCCCCTACCGCCGAGGAATTTCGTGATTTTGATCGGTTGGCGGAGCAGCAGGAGATTCGTCAATTGGCTGCTACGTCGGGAGACGCTAGTCTGATGAGGATGACTCAGTCTCTGGATCAGATGCCTCCTGGCTTCTGGAGTGTCGAGGCTGCGATTGCCGAAGGGAATTTCGATCTATCCGCTGGTGGAACTGTTGAACCAGCTGAGAGCAACCCGTCAGGTGCTCAATAGGTTCCCAAGTGTTTTCAGAGGTATCGTACCCCTTCCATTTGACAAGGTAGTGAGGCTTGCCACTGATGCGTTTGTTGTCCAGAACTTTTTCGACTTCATATTCGTTTTCGGTTTCTTCTTCGATTTCCACGTTGGTAGCGAGTTCGGCGTTTTCTGGTGCGGGTTCGAGTAACGAGATATGAAACGTTGGGTGAATGCGTCGCATGCTTTCTGGTAGTTTCAAGCGAAAATTGACTGGTCCTGTTTGTTCTTCAATTTCGAATGGTCCCAACTTCAGGTGGTCGAGTTTCGCGCTCGGTCGCTTGGTTTTGATGTTTCGTCGTAGGAGGTAGACCTTCTCCCCCTTTTTCAGATCAGGGCCGGCTCGGTGGCGCTGGTCGTAGTGCGTTTTCATGCGTAGGTTCAGAAATTCGATGTCTCGAGCCATTTGCATGTGGAGTTGCTTGATCCCGGTGGTCAGTAGTCTTGCGGATTCTGCCACAGTTCTCTCGTTTCGGGGTTCTCCGATTAACTTGGGATTATACCCATAGTTCGCGAAGAACGGCGATTCCTTCGTCGTTGCATGCATCGCGTTGTTGTAAGCGAATTGTGCAATTGGTAACAATCCTGCCCAATCGTCTTGCTGGTGGTTCACATGGTGTCTCAGGTATTGTTCCAGAGTCTGGTTGACTCGTTCTGTCTGTCCGTTGGTTTGCGGGTGATATGCAGTAGAGAGTCTGTGCTCAATACCCATTTGGTCCGCAAATGATTGCCACATATTGGATGTGAACAGTTTGTCTCGGTCCGATGTGATCTTGTCGGGTACTCCATGGTTTCCGAAAACGTAGCGAAGTAGTATATTCGCCATTCGGTTTGCGTCGATGCTTTCTTTTGTCGCAACCATATATGCGTACTTTGTGAGTCGGTCGACAATGACCATGATCATATCGCAACCTTCTGATTCTGGTAGTTTCGTGATAAAGTCCATGGTAATCCATTCCCATGGCCGCGTTGGCGTGTCTGCTGTCTGCATTTCCCCGTAAGGAAGGTGTCGTGATGGCTTGTTCCGTTGACATGTGTCGCAACTTTTGATGTACCCCCTTACTTTTCGGTGCATGTTCGGGATGTAGTAGTTGCGTGAGATATGTTCCATTGTTTTTTCAACTCCCATATGTCCGTGCGTCGGGAAGTCGTGGTGTTTTTTGATGACTTCGTTCTGCAGCGATCGTGGAACATAGATCAAGCCATGGATGATGACGAATCCGTCGTCGCTTGTAGTGCCGTTGTGACGTTCGTTCCCGAGGACTGCTTGCATTGATTCGTCCTCGGCGGTGGCTCTTCGGACCTTGTCTAGCCATCCGTCGTCTTCGATTTCGCTGGTTGCTGCGAGTATTTGTCGGTTGTAGACGATGTCTCCTTGGTCGTTTGTAGTGAGGATAGCGGGCTCCGCTTCCTTTGTGCCGATCTGATAGTCAGGTCGTCTGCTGAGTGCGTCTGCGACAGCGTTTTCAGTCCCTTTGCAGTGAACAATCTTAAAATCGTATTGTGCAAGGGTTTCAGCCCATCTAGCTTGCCGTCGAGTGAGTTTCTTCGTGGTGGTGAAGAATGTCAGGTTGTGGTGGTCCGTCTTGACCGTCACAGTATGCTTTGCTCCTTCGAGGTACGCTCTCCAGACTTGAAATGCTGACACTATAGCAAGCAGTTCTTTGTCGTGGATGTCGTAATTGAGTTCTGCGGGGATCATCTTCCTAGACCAAAATGCGATTGGTCTGGGCTTTCCGTTTTCGTCCGGCTGGGTCAGTTGTGCTCCCAGGGCGTAGTCTGACGCGTCGGTTTCCATCGTGGTTGGCTTTTCGTAGTCGAAGATTCCAACGACTGTTCGTTTCTCGAACAAGCTCTTGAGTTTTTGGAATGATTCTTCTGCTTTGTCGTCCCAGTTGAACGTTTCTCCCTTCTTGGTGAATCGGTATAGTCCGGCGGCGTATTTCGAGTAACCCGGGACTAGTTTCCGATAGTAATTTGCCAATCCAAGAAAGCTTTGTACGTCCTTGACGTTTCTGGGTGTGGGCCATTCCACAATGCTTTTGACCTTTTCTTCTTCCATTCCTAGACCGTCGAGGCTGATGGTGTATCCAAGGAAGCTGGTTTCCTGGACGTGGAATTCGCATTTCTTGAGCTTCAGAGTGACTTTGGCTTCTCTGAGCTTCTGCAGCACCTTTTTGTTGTGTTCAATATGTTCTGCTTCGGTCTTGGAGAATACTAAGATATCATCCAAGTAAGCGATAACAAAAACATCGAGGTATTCTTCCAGAACGGTGAAGATGAACCTCTGGAACGATGCTGGTGCGTTGGTAAGACCAAAAGGCATAACCACATATTCGAAGTGTCCGAATTTGGTCCTGAATGCTGTCTTCCATTCATGGCCTTCCTTGATCCTGAGCCGATTGTAAGCCTCAGTGATGTCGTACTTGGTGAAGTATTTGGCTCCTTGAATGCGGTCTTGGATCTCGTGAATCAGTGGTAACGGATGTCGATCTTTGATGGTAATCGAATTTAATTGTCGATAGTCCACACAAAGTCGAAGACTTCCATCTTTCTTTGGTACGAATAGGATAGGATATCCTGCTGGTGAGGTGGATTTCCGAATGTATCCTTTCCTCAGGTTCGTGTCGATGTATTCCTTCAGCGTCTCCGATTCCTTCTGTGAGAGCTGGTAAATTGGTCTGAATGTAGGCTCCTTGCCTTCTTCGAGGTTGACCTCGTGGTCGTACGGGCCATGCTCTGGTAGCGTGCCCTCCTTTGGTGGCGTAAACACATCCTGGAAGTCTTGGTATTCCTCAGGAATCTGTGTTTCTTCCCCTGTTGCACAGAGGGCTGTGGAGCCGTGTTCAACCATCACGTACTCCCTTAGCTCGTCGTCTGTCATATCCGGTCGTTGCTCGGTGTTGACGATGGTACTGGCTTCCGTTGCCTTGTACTGTGCCCCGCCTCTGGGCCGAGTGCTCCTCTTAAGTTTGCCTTCGTGAGGGCCTCGAGGGCCACCTGTCACCCCTTGACTAGGTCCCTGTGCTGGTCTGTATCTGTTCCCGGTCCATGTCTCACTGGTTTGTCGGCATTCACATCGGTTGAAGACAATGAGTCCTTTCTGCCAATCGATAGCTGGGTTATGTCTTCGTAACCACGGAACTCCTAGCACGACGTCGTACTGCCCGAGGTTGGTGATGTTGAAGTTGATTGTTTCAAAATGATTTCCCAAAACCATCGGCAGGTCCCCTGTTTCGTGCGTAATTCCCGTGCTGAGTGGTTCTCCATTGAGTCCAGTAAGAGGTAAGAGCTCCTCTTTTCGTCGCCGCTGGATTGTATATTCCTGACAGCACTGTGGGCTCATGAAGTTTCCGCTGGCTCCTGAGTCGATCATCGCTCGCATATTCTTGTATGCGACGTTGACGAAGACTTTCATATGTGCCCCCCACTGTGTTGCTGCGAGTTGTGGTGTGGGTGCAATTTTCTTGTTGCCGTGCCATGTTCCTGTGTATTCGGGCTTCCACTGGGGTCGTTTTTCCCATCGCAAAGGTCTCGGCTCAACTCCAAGGTTGAGTTTCCCTGGGTAGTGGAGCATGCAATTGTCGTCGTAGCATCCTACAACCGCCCTGATGTCATGTTTCGGGTGTCGTGCGTATCCTCGACACGCGCATCGTGGATGCTCACATGGACAGGTTGGTTGGTCCTGGGATAGCTCTTCCCGAGCCGACTCATCCTGTTGGCCTTTTGTCTCGTCACTCGAGGTTTCTCTGTTCCTGGGGTTTTCCTGAGGCGTTTCCAGGATCGTCTCTTCCGTTTCTGGGAGTGTGGGTGGAGTTTCTGGGATCTCCGGCGTTCCTGGGATTTCAATTGGTGTCCTCAGGATACCTGTGCCCCACTCCTGGGAATCGTCCGACAATTCCTGGGAGTCGATGGTGTTCCAGGGACCGTACTGGGTCCATCCTTGACTCTCAATATCTTCTGAGCCTTGCTTGAAGCGCTCAAAGTGTTCCTCCGCGCTACCAGCTTGCGCGGGCGTCCTAAGGACTAGGTCGTCCATATAGACCTCGTTGTTTTGTGTCAGTTCCGCGGCATGATCCTTCGCGTACATCTGCGGCGAGTTTTCGATGATTTCATAGTCGATCTCTGGGAATTCTTCGTCGTCTGTTTCGGAGAGCATTCGCTCATCCCGATACAGTCCTGGTGGCTTGCTCCCATCCACAATCATGGGGCCTTCCCAGTCGCGCTCCTGCGTCGCGTAGAGCCGTTGAGGCTTCCCTTGTTCTGGTTTCTCGGTGCCAGTAGTGTCGTACGCACCTCTTCGTTCTTGGGTCGCGTTCAATTGTTGGGGTTTCTCCTGCCTCTTGCTTCGGCAGTCCTTGATTCGGTGTCCTGGCTTACCACAGTTGAAGCACAGGTTGTTGTTTTTGCGTCGTTTCTGTTCTTCGGTAGGCAGCCTTGCTGCATCGAGTTCCATTGGTTTGGGTCCGTAGGGGTCGTTGTCCCTTCTCCCAAAGTTCCGTCTTTGTTGGAATCGTCCGCCGTTTCCTCGTCCTGGGTTACGGCGCCATTGTTTAAGTTCGCTTTCTTCTCGCTGTCGGTCGTAGAAGCGGTTATCGATTCGTACAACAGTGTCGACGAATTCATTCATGGTGGTAGGTCGTCCGATTCGAGCGATTTCGTCCTTGATGTGTGATTTCAGCCCCCCATAGAATGGTGGAATCAAAGCGTAGTCGTCCCATCCTAGGATTGCGGCGTGTGCCATGAACTCGGCAACGTAGGCTGTTGCGGAGGTGGTTTGTCGAGTTCGTGCAAGTTTCCGTTCAGCCGTTGCTTTCGCGTCGATATCGCCGAAGGTTCGTTCAAGCAATTGTCGGAAGCTGCTGTATCGCGAAAAGATGCCCTGGGCCATGGCAGACCAGGCGTCTGGAGTCTTTTCATAGTATTCTCGAATGTACGGTTCCAACCAATCCCATGCTTGTCCTCGTAGGTATGATGACACAAAGATGACTTTTGCGGCGTCGTTGACTAGCCTTCCTCTGTTCATGTCAAGGTGCATATCCATCTGGGTGAGGAACCCTCGAAGCTTAGATCGAGTACCGTCGAAGCTCTCTGCTTTGGGTAACTTGATTCCCACGGAAGATGCTGGTGCGGAGGCGGCGATTTGGGCTGCACTTTGCTCGACTGAGTCTCGAAGGTCTCCAATGTCGTGGTCATGCTTGCTGCTAAAGGTGTTGAGCTGGCTGATCAGGGTGTGAATCTGTTCTTCCAGTGCCCTGACTCGTTTCTCATCTTCATCGTCCGAATCCAAGTCGGTGTGTCGTGTTTGCGTTTTCGGTGGCAGAGGCTCGACCGCCTTGCCCTTGTTGTTACTGCCGTGCGACGCCATGATGCTTGGACTTCACGGTTCGATGACAGGGTGATCAATGTGTTACGAACTGCTAACTGGTCACGGTGAGTAACGTCCGCAAAGGTGATACTTCTCTAGGAGTACTGCAGGCCTCAAGCGTATCCGCAACCGTACCAATGCCTCGGGGGCCTTCTATGGGCTCGGGTCTCTAGGGTGCTTGCAAGGTGTGCCAGTTAGAGCGCCGGTCAAGTCAGTCACTTAGGGATCGAGGATCACTAAGTAAGCTCCCAAGACCGTTGGAGGGTTGTCGCTATGTTCGAACTGTGAAGTACCAAAGGGTGGTTCCAAGTAACAATGATGGGATTGATCACGAAGAACTAAATACATGTGGTAAAGACTGTCCTTATATATCCCTTGCCCAGTATTCCACGCCCTCGTTTGTGGTATACTGCATGCAGGCATGTAGTAGTCCCATTGATATACCATCCGATATACCATTCCTTGGCGATGGATCGTGGTATATTGTCACGTGACTTATACCCTTGTTGTCCTGCATCATCACCGCGGGGTTGGTTGGCTCTGGTTTCCTCTTGTACCCCTGTTGGCGCGAGTGAGGTGGCTTGGTTCGTAACATCCGGCTATAATTAATATATTATTTTTCTATTTATTCTTTTTTTTCTCTTCCTCTCTTTTTTTAAGAGTATCTTTAGTTAAGGACTCTAGGAATTCCTTATTTAGCTAATTAAGGATTATCTATAGATTATAGGCGTTCTTAACTATATCCTCTATAATCTAAAGAATATTAATATAAACTAAAATAAAGATACCGCGGAATATACTATATTATATAATACGTTACGAGCGGAATACTACTAATAGATAACTAAAATTATTATATCTAGTTTATATTTAATAACGAAAGGCGATTTAGAATTATATACCTTAATCTTAGTCTAAAAGTACTTAGTATACTAAAGGAAAATAGGCAAAAGGGTTATAGAATATATTAATTAGTATAATAACTAATCTAAATAATAACAATAAGATATAACGATAATTATAATAATAAAAAAATAGCAGAAAATAATAAGAATAATAAAGAATAGATAATAGAACGCGACAAATATAGTGTAGAAAGAGAAAAAAAGAAGAAGAAAAGAGTTACTACTCAAAAATATAAATAAAGATTTAAATATATAATTTAATATATCTTTATTTACTAGTTAACTATATAATCTCTTTATCGCCTCGATAGTAAGATAAACGAAAACCCTATAAAAAATATTATATTAACGCGTCTATATTATAATAATAAGATAAACGCGTTAGTTAAGGCTACTTAACCTTAAGAGGGGGATAATTATAAAGGGTCTACTAAAATAATAAGATATAAGATTATTCCTAACTAACGGAAGGGGTAAATTAGGTAATATTATATAATCCTAAAGGAAATCGGGGTATTGATAGGGGCACCCCAAAATTTTCGCTATTGGCACCCCAAAACGCTTATATAATAATTTTCGGCTTATGTAATCTTTTTTTTATCTATTTTCTAATCACATGATAATTTTCAACCACATCTCTAATCACATGATCCTCTTATCCTAACCACCAAAAACAGATTACCCTATTTGGCAATAGGGCAACTTCGACATGTATGCCCAATTTCGCCGCAATTCGAACACTTTGGGGGGGCCTTCCTTTTTTTGATTGGTCTAGCCCCCTCGCTCCCATCTGATATCTGCGTAGATTGCCTTTTTGGGAAAGCAGCAGGCTGAATTCGGGGATTTAGCAGTGGCTGCCAGGCGATATCAGATGAATCTTCAACCCTAATTCGCCAGAATGGATGAATATCAGCCAATGGGATTGCTTCTTTTTTTGCGAGCAAATCAGCAATTCGATGCTTGCATGGTAACCCCATAGTACTCGTCCAATAATTGGTGTATATACCAAGAGGGGCCTCTGGGGTAGCCCTACTAGCATAGATTCGCTGCATATCAATCTGCCTCAGCGAATATCGAGATACTCGCTTATTGAGAAAGGTATATAGCCAATCAGATGCTAGTATCAGATATATTATCTGATCTGCTTTAATCTGATATTCGATCAGATTATATTGGCTGGTGATAGCCTTATGAATAGACTTCCACACAGTGAGTAAATCATTAGTAGAAGTATTCATATGCCGTTTTAGGACCGAATGCGCCCCCTCGACACGTGATGATGCATTATTACCAAAATGGGTAAGGTTTTTGGTCCAAGCATAGACAAATCTCTCTTTATAGGGTAGCCATATGTCTGCGAGATAGCGTATAATTGGTGGATGAGATCTCCCATAGGTCCGATTAAGGTTATCAAGATTAACCTTGTATTCATCTTCGGTAGATGATTGGACCAATTGACACCATACACGCATAAATTCATCGAATTGGGGAGTATTTTCGTCTGATTGGCTGATATCTCGTTTTGCCCTCGCTAAAACTGCTTTGTTGATATGCCAAATACATAGTAAATATGGGGTATGATACCCCCAGATACTATATATCGCATTCATCAAAGCTAATTCGCGATCAGTTACCAAAATCGGACGAAAATCAGATTCAGATGAGAGATTTAGCCAATCAAAAAAGGTCTGAAGCACCCAAATATAGCTTATTTCAACCTCATCAGGCATAAAACATAGAGCTGCAGTGAATGTATGGTTTGATGGCGTTATACCTACTATATGAAATAGAGGCATACCAAACCGATTAGTCTTATATGTGCAATCCATAATAAAAACCTTAAAATATTAGCCAATAAAATTATATAAAAATAGATGAGATAAATACCTTATTATATGAATTGGCCAATTGAATTGACTGAGGATGAGAGAAAAGAAAAAATTCGATATGCCCCATATTATCTTGCTTGAATGAATATTTATAACCTTCTGAATCGAGTAGTATCTGTAGATATTCAAGAATACTACGTTCTCCTATCTCTTTTCGTCGAATTTCTGCTCGCATATTATAGATATCGCGTGGTATGATTCGTTGACGAGGGGACTCGCTATATAGCGCACCAATGATATGCTTCGGTCTAATAGCAGAGAGTCGTTGAATTAAGGTTTTCTGCGCTGGGGTAAATTGACGTGCGATTGGGTGCGCTATCATATCTAGATCAGCAGAATGATTATGCGTAGGGTTTTTCACCCGAAGTAGCCAATCAGAACCCTTCTGGCGACTCCCATATACCCAAAAAGGGCAATTTTGTCGCCTCGTACTCGTTTGGCGCCGTTTGGCGCCAGCAGGTGCCTGTATTCGGTCTGAATATACCCCAGATCTATCGCAATGTATGCAGATGTTCCGATTTGGGTTAGACCGCTTGATAGTGGTAGCATACCCCTGCGTTATACCCCACTGGCGCACGAAATCAACCAATTCATCCCGATTAGGGAAGGTTTGTTGTGGTGGGGGTAGTAGACCGGGCGAATCAGTTGTAGCAGGGGCAGGCGCAGCGGTAGGCGAATTGGGCGAATCAGCACGTAGAATAGCAGGCAAGGCAGGCGAATCAGGCGAATTGGTATGCAGAATAGCAGGCAAATCGGGGGTAGCGGCAGCAGGGTTGGCGGGGGTAGGCATAGTGGGGTTGGTTTGCGTGGTTTGCATGGTATAGTAGACGAAGTAAGCGAGGTAGGCAGAAAGCTAGGAACTAGCAGGGTAATAGTAGAGCAGAAAAAGAGATAAAGCAGAAGATAGAGTATATATGTAGTATATGGTTGCTATGGTGATGGAAGTGGGAGAAAAAAAAGATTACATAAGAAAAAATTATGTAATCTTTTTTGGGGTGCCAATAGCGAAAATTTTGGGGTGCCCCTATCAATACCCGGAAATCGGAACTCGTTACTTAATCCACTCTACAATAGAATAATCACGATACACAATAGAGACCTAGTTATTTATATTATCGATAATATATAGAGTTACGAAGATATTATATAATAAATTGATACTCCTATATCTAGCTAGTAAGATAAGATTCAGTCTTAACAGTAATAAAGATATACTATTTCTCCTACTCCTTTCCCTTGTTTCTTTACCTGATCGATAGGCCTTATACCCTACCAAGTATATTCTTTATAGTGGACTTAATCGATAAGGGTATAATATAGCTACTAAGTAGCCTATAGGGCTTCCTAGTTATCTTTATAGGGTTTTATTTACTTTACTATTAAAATAATAAGGAGGTTATATACTTAACTAATAAATAGAGATATATTAAGTTATATATTTAGTTCTTTATTTATGTTTTTAAGTAGTAAGTCTTTTTTTCTTTTTTCTCTTCTATATAGTATTTATTATATTTTATAATCTATTTCTTACCACTTTTATTATTTCCCGTTTTCTTGCTATAATTATTACTATTATTATATCTCATTATTATTGTTCTAGTTAGTTATCGTATTAGCTAGTATATTTATTACTCTTTTATTTATTTTTCTTTAGTATATTAAATATTTCTAGATAAGGCTTAAGGTATATAACTCTAAATCGCTTTTTATTATTAAATATAAACTAGATATAATAGTTTTATTTATCTATTAATAATATTCTATCTATAATATACTATATAATATAGTATATTCCGCGGTATCTTATTTGAGTTTATACTAATATTCTTTAGATTATAGAAGGTATAGTTAAGGATATCTACAATCTATAGATAATCCTTAACAGGCCAAATAAAGAGTTCTTAGAGACTTTATATATATATATATATATAGCTAAAGATACTCTTAAAAAGAGAGGAAAAAAAAAAAAAAGAAAAAAAATACTAACTATAGCTAAAAAAAACTATAATAAAGTTTATACAGACTTTTGATATAATAAAATTAATATATTATTACTAATTCTTTTTATTACTATTTATAAATTAATTATAGTAAATAAGATTATTTATATTAATATAATTCTATTAATATTCCGATAAACCTAATATAATGTTCATATAATATATTACCATTTATTATTAGAATATAGTTATTTATATCTTTCTATCTAAGAATCTCTTAAAGAAATATCTCCAAAAGTTTTAGTTTTAGCGATTTCTATCTAATTCCAGGAGATAATAATTTTATATATTAGGTTATAGCGAAATAGAGGCTTCTAATAGCTTTATAGATAGTATCCTAGAAAAGTATAGTCTTAATCTAGCAAATCCTAATCTATCTAATAATCCTAATAATAAATATTATTTAAAATAATTAAAAAAGAACTTCTCTATTTCTATTCCTAAGTTTTGAATAACGTTCTATAATTATATTATCTTTTTATAGTAATTATAGTATTATTATTCTAGTAAGCTTTTAGGAGCTTTTTTTAGTCTATAGGATTTTTTTAAATAATATCTTATTTTTTTTGTCTTTATTTTTTATATTTTATAATATCTCTTTTTATTTTTATTATATCTTTTTCTAAGATCTACTAATTATATTTTAATAGCTAACTCTTCTATTGGATTAAGAAGTAATATTTCTTACTAAAATATTAATAATCTTTTTACTTCTTTGATCTTTTATTTATTATTATTTTATAGCTTTAGTATTAGTATACTTCTATTATCGTTTCGCTTTTTATCTCTCTATTTCTAGGGTTTAAGAAATAATATATATTATATATTATAAATTTAATTATATTAATTTAGTAGAACGAATCAATATATTTACAATCTAATTTTCTTAAGAATTCAGAGAGATCTAATAAATTTAAATATTAGTTTCTTTATTATCTTTAATCTTAAGTTTTTTATTAATAAAATAACTAGGTCCCTATGTTTAAATAATATCTTTTTATAGGTTTTATTATAGTATTTTTCGGGTTAAATTTATTAGCAGCTAGAATATAGTAATATCTATATTATTTAATATTTACTTGGTATTATTAGTAAATAGAGATATTATTCTTTATTATTCTACTCTATTCTTCATGTCTAATATAAGCCATATATATAGTTCTTATATTAATCTTACTAATTGCGTAAAATCTATTCCCCCCTCTTTACCTACTAAGACATTAATGGACATTCATATCTTATTATAATATGTTCCCAAGACCCGTATCTAGTGGTCACATAAAAAAGATACCCATCAAAGAGTATTGACAGTAAATTAATGTTTGGAAATGTCAGACATACTAGTATTGTAAGCGAAGTACCATCCAGGGGATTGTTAAATCAGCAGGAAATAGTCCCTTGTCTAGAATCCCAGGACTGCTTGGCAGCTGTGATCTCCAGGATCAGTTGGGTATCAAGTAGGGCCTGCCTTGCAGCTTCATCACCCGCAGCTACTTTACTCAGACCTTGACCAGACCCCAGATGCCTCTTCTTCCACCCCCAGCCGGTGAGATAGACTCCGATGAAAAAGGACTGTGTGCCGCCTCGATGCTGAACTGATGGGCGTTCCTCAATATACTCGAGTTTGATCCCCTTGCCCATGACCTTTTTGGCGAGAGCTTCCTTGGAGCGCAACTCCGCCTTTTGATGCCCCAGGCCGTGTAATGTTGGCAACCACAAGTCAGATAGCCATCGTTCTGCAATCCGGTAGCCATCGACTGAATCGGAAATAATGACTGCGGCTACGTAGGCCTCAAAGATGTCGCCCTTTGTCTTGATCCATCGCTTGGGCTGGTCGGAGTAATTTGGCGGGACCGAAGCTCTGCGGTCAAAACCATAACTTTCCGCAAACCCCGCGAGTGTCTCGTTCTTCACCAACAACTCTCGAATCTGTGATATTCGACCAGAAGGTATATCTGGAAACCATTCCCAAATGATCTTAGTGGCAATCAGTTCAATGTAGGCATCCCCAAGAATCTCCAGCCGATCGTAAGTTGCTCTGGCATTGTTGCTGTGCGCAGGGTGGGTAAAAACAGCCCTCTCCAGTCCATCATCGAGAATTGGCGGCAGGGCAGGCGTGCAAGGTCCAATGTTTTCTCCGGAAGCCTTCGACGCGTGGGGTATTGCTGAGGGCGATCGAGTCATATCTGCATCTGCACCTGCATCTTTGGACGACTGGCGGAAAATGTCATCTAGCAGTGAAATTGCCCTCAAAGCCTCTGGTTCAACCTTCGCGGCAACTGGACTACTTATGACCTCCCCAACCAGGCGTTTCAAAAGCACGAGACGAGATCCCGCGTCTGCCTCCTCGACCGAACGGCCGTCACTTGCCAATACCTGACCCCCCTGCGGATATGGGGAGTGATGAACCTGGATCGAATGTATGAAGGTTAGAGATAGGTCTGGAGCCGCAAAGAGCGGGCAGAAATGGAGAACAAGGAAGCGCCGATACTTACCTTGTTCTTCTTGACCGAATGACCTGGAGTGTCACTGGCAGAGGATGGGGTTGATCTTTTCGATTTCATGGCTTTTATCCTCCCACTTTCCCTCCCCCAGGAGAAGCAAAAAGACTGGCAAGGCAGTGGGGGGTCTCTCGCCCATTGTCTCCGGGTACACTCGGCCCTGAGGAGCACATGGTCACATGATCCAGGGAAAGCAGATGGAACTTCGGCTTGGCCACCTCCATGCGTCGCCCCAATATCGCCCTTGAAAAAAAAAAAAAAAAAAAAACCCTCCCCAAAATGGCACAAAGCCGGATATTAGATCTGGTCAAGGTATGGAATACTGTTTACTGATTCACCCCAATTCCTTGATTTAGATCCATTAACGTTTCTTCTCCTTGGATCAGTCCCAGTGTCGCATCTTCTCCCTCAATTTTAACCCGCAACGACTTCGACTTGGGAATAAAATCCTGAGGCAACGCTTGCGTGGACCGGCTCTTTCAGCATGGTATCCTCGCAAGACTGTCTCATTTCGAGATTTGCAGAACACTTATAAGCCTCTTGGGTTGACCACCTTTGATGAGTATGAAGATGATCGAGAAGAAGCTATTCAAGTGTCAGTATCCCGCATCATCTTTGCCGCGGTTTCTGTGCTGAATGAATTGTTTGTCTAGTGCCAAGTTACGAGGAAAGGGTCGACCAAAAAAGAAACGAAGTGCTGCAGGTAATGTTATCCTTAACAATCCCCCCTATAGATATATTCATATGCAACCAACCACCAACTGACGCAACCACTTTATAGAATCGAGATCTGCGAAGAAGAAGAAATAAACACACCACGAAGAGAGAGGATGGGCAACCTGGAATGCTGTTGAGCAGTGACATTTACTGGGCTTCCTTTTTTTTTTTTTTCATATTTTGCTGCTGGGTCCCGTTCTGGCTTCACCAAATTTACTTTGTACTATAGATAGAACCTTACGCAATGTCATCATTAGGAATAATCACTCTTATAACATCTCTCGGTAGTACTGGAGATAGAGCCAGATGTAGAGCTGATACCATTTCTTCGGCCCAAGTGCGACTTGGCAGAAAACCGGGCGGTGAGGGCAATGGCCAGTCAGAATACGCGCCCTTCGCTCGCCTTGATCATCTCAAGCTCCGATCTCTGCTTCATCCTCAGCTGACTGCAAGATTGGCCCAGTGTCTGCCCGCGTCTACTTGTGTTTGCTCATCTCAATACGGATTCCAAGGAGGTGACGAGGCTGCTAAAAAATAATTCGAGTTCAGCATGAAACCGAGCAAGAACCAGCTCCGCCGGGCGAGGAAGAAGGCGCAAAAAACCGAAGTGAGACAAGTCCCTTCTTAAATTGCGAGGACCCATCCCAGTGCTGACATTTTATCTCTTAGAATGCTAGCTTACCTGTCGATAATCCCAAAGATACGTCACCGAGCCCACAGACCCTTGTATCTACCTCGCAGGACGCACCGGCCCGCATGATCACCGCACTGTCCCCGGAGCCAAGCGATCCATTGTGGGAGATGTACAGGGGTATCGCTGGCAGATTCGATCAATCGGGGGATGAACCTTTGGCAAAAGAGCCTGAGAAACCGGAGGTATACTTCGATGATGGTGATGAAATCCCGGATGAGGAGCAAGACAGTGAACCGAAGATCTCGAAGAAGAAACGGAAGGAAATGAACAAGTTGTCTGTGGCTGAACTGAAGGCTATGGTTCGCAAACCCGAAATCGTGGAATGGACCGACACCTCAGCCCCGGATCCTCGACTACTTATCCACATCAAGGCTCATCGCAATGTCGTCCCGGTTCCTTTGCACTGGTCACTCAAAAGAGAGTACTTGTCGTCAAAGCGCGGAGTGGAAAAGGCGCCGTTCGCTCTCCCCAAGTTTATTCAAGAAACAGGAATCTCAGAAATGCGCGATGCTGCCCTCGAGAAGCAAGAGCAGTCTACCCTGAAACAGAAACAAAGAGAAAGAGTCCAGCCCAAGATGGGAAGGTTGGACATCGATTATCAGAAGCTTTATGAGGCTTTCTTTCGATTCCAGACCAAGCCTGAGTTGACTCGCTATGGCGAGATCTACTACGAGGGCAAAGAATACGAGACCAATCTGAAACATCTCCGTCCTGGCGACCTGAGCGAGGAACTGAAGGAGGCTTTGAATATGCCACCAGGAGCCCCCCCTCCATGGCTTATCAACCAACAGCGTTATGGGCCTCCCCCATCCTATCCTGCCTTGAAAATCCCGGGCCTCAATGCACCGCCGCCTCCAGGTGCAATGTGGGGTTACCACCCAGGAGGGTATGGCAAACCACCCGTGGACGAACACAACCGGCCATTATACGGCGGAGATATTTTTGGAGTTTTGCAGCCCCAGCAGAACGTTCAACAAGGAGAGCCTATTGAGAAAGACCTCTGGGGTGAATTACAGGCACCGGAGGAGTCTGAAGAAGAGAGCGTGGAGGACGAGGAAGAGGACGAAGCTGATGAAGAGGACATGGAAACTGGCGATCATTCTCCCGGTGGTTTGGAAACCCCCAGTGGCATGGCCTCGACTGCCCCGTCCGAATTTGTGAGCACAGAGAGTGTTTCTGGAGAGTTTGATGTTCGTAAACCTCATCGGGGCACGGAGACAGAAGAATCTGTGCACCCTCGAAGCGCCTATCAGGTCATTCCTGAGAAGCAGACGAGTGTACAAGGATTTTTCGGGGGTGACCGAGCGTACGACCTCAACGTGCCCCCGAGCAAGCCGCCCATCCTTGGCGCAGAGGAACAGACGCGAAAACGCAAGAAGCCCGGAGATGTGGATGTCTCGGTTGATCCGGATGTTCTCCACGCTGGTGATGGGCTCAGCAAAGAGAGCCTTCAGAACATGTATGAAACCCAGAGGCAGCAACAGAATCAGCCTAGTTGGGGGTTTCAGGAGGATCTCAGTGACATGATTGCGCAAGAGAGTCGCAAGAAAACACGGGCAGGAGAGGACAGACGGGGCAGGCGTTGAGGATTACTTTTCCCCCTCCCCCTTTCTTCTTCCTTTTTTTTTTATGTTGAGATTTCACGCGTGTACTCTATCTTGGATTAGTTAATACATACCTTCCACCCCTGCCCAGGTAGAACCCTTGAAACATCTGAATCCTACAAAATCGATTACTTGGGCCTGAATTATTAGGCACCCAGGCCACTTCCGGATGCGGTTTAGCTGATTCTCTTCTCAACTCCTTGCGACAAACCCGCGCGCCGGGCTTCGCTTTCTCGCTGTTGCATGCAACAGTCAATTTTTGTCCCACCCTTTTGCCAGCATGGACTGGGATCGCAGAAGGTTGGTGAAACACCCCGAACAACTAGGACCCATTTTTGATTTGCGCAGATTCGATGACCGAAGAGGCGGAGAAAGCTATCGACCAGGCGATAGATCTGGTCGTTCGCCTCCTCGCGGCTATGATGGCCATCACAGGCGTTCGCCGCCGCGAAACCGTTCCCCCCGACCTCGAGCCGATACCTGGGTTCCACCATCCAACCGAGGATATGGAAGACCGCGAAGTCGCTCGCCACCGACTTACCGGCGACGCTCTCGAACGCCCCCGTTTCAAGGTAGAGGCTTTGGCTCAGGTTTCTACGGGCGAAAAAGAACCCCCCGCGAAGGTTCTCGCCTAGGCGAGACGAAAGAATCAGGTCTCCCCCACCGCCCTCTCGGCGATCCAAGTCACCATATAGCGAGGGCAGATCGCGCGATGTATCCCGGGGCCGTACTAGCCCGCCTCGGACACGGGATGCAACGCCGGGTAGCCAGGAATACCGGGCACCACGGCGAGATACCCTCACAGCTTCGGGCAATGATAAACATGGAAGTGCTTTGTCGCCAAGGGCCCAACCGAAATCTTCACTACGTTCACAAAGCCCTCACGCCGCTCGCCGAGATTATTCTTCCCAGAACCTGAATAAAGACCGGTCCCAATCATCCTCTCGTCATGCGTCTCCTGCACATGCTATGGAAACAGGACCCGGTGCTGCTTCCCGCCGCTCGTCCCCAGGCGTCCGCGCGGAAAGAGTGGACCGAGCTCGCCGGACTCGCAGCCGTTCACCATTTCATGAATCATCTTCCTTTCAGCGCTGGTCGAGACCTCCAGGCCTGTCTCCGAACAGGGATTCGAAATTCGAACGAGAGCCGTCCTTTGCAGATCATGTACCGGAGAATCCTGCGCAGACCTCTTTCAGTCCCCAGCCGCTGCCCCCGGCCGCAGACAAAGCGCAACTGGACCAATACCATCTGAGTGGTAATAGGACTGGTAATGAAATTCCGAACCAGCCAAGGAACCACAGTGTAAGCCCACTCCCGCCATCGGGTCCTCACCAGGGTCCAAGGTCCACGACCGTGCAAAATCGTGGCTCCCACAACCTCTCCATGCTGTCAGCACCAACCCGTCCTCGACGTGGGCCTGGTTCACGGGAGAACCCTTGGGGAGGAACTCCACCGCGTCGCGGACCGGTCACTCCTGCGTCACATCCTCCCCCATCAGGCCCTCGATCTAATTTCACTCCTCCAGGGCCTGGCGGAGGGAATTACCGACATCCCAGCTCCCGCCAAAATAGTGTTCCGTTCATTGCCCAATCCTCGGCTCCAAGGTTCACGAATCATTTGGCAGGACTGTGTTCGATCGTCCCTGGTGGCCGGGTCCTCCCTTCTGCGTTGGATCCGGCAGTCGAGAAGCGGCTGTCTCAGTTGGAGGCTGATCAAGAGAAACTACATGAACAAATGATGGGGACTCAGAAGTCGAAAAGGGCAGAGCTCCGAGATTGGGACAAGTTGGACCGAGAAAGCTCAATCTCTGCGCTCAAAAGTGAGCTGGCTGAAGGGCACCTTCAGCGGATGGCCGACGAGAGCATCGGAGGAGGGATCCCGTTCTGAATTGTCCCCGATTCTGTATTTTTATCTTGTATCTTTTATTTATTTCTTTTTCCCCCACTGGTGAACTTTCTGTGTATCTATCTCTTAAGGACTTGACGAATACAATGACATCTGAAGTACAGGGTACCTGGGCGGTACGTGAGAAATAGTGGTGCAGCCTGCCAATCAGAGGACAATCCACCGTACACGGTACATGTCGCGTACCTGATCTGCAAGTAATTTCGCCCCCTTCCGGGTTTTTTTTGGCTTCGTGTCAACAACTCCCCGATCATCGACTCTCGCCCCATGCTCTCGACGAGCGCATCCTCTTTTCAATATTGAATCACCCCTTTCCGAATTTTCACCAACTGCTGCGCGCTTTTCCTTCAGTCGGCATGATGAATCTGTTCAGGCTATTAGGTGAGGGAAACTGGGCTCTGTGGCAATCCCGATATATACTGACTCTGTGGCAGCCGATTTCTCCCATCTGGCGTCGATCTTCATCTTGGTGCAAAAGATGAAGTCGTCCAGTGTATGTTCCGATTTTTCACAGCGTGATGCGCTCGCAACTAACGAGGAATTGTAGAGCTGCTCGGGGTTGTCTTTCAAGTCGCAAGTCCTATATCTCCTGGTCTTTGTGACCCGGTATCTAGGTCAGCTTCGTCGTTCCCTACCCGCCATATTGACCGTGCTGCTCGCTGACTTGAGATTTGTTGGGGACCAGACCTTTTCTGGACGTTTACGGACTCCTTTTACCTCACCACGTTCAAGCTTCTCTTCATCGGCTCCTCAGGCTACATTATCTATCTCATGCTCAATGACTACAAGCCTACACATGACCCCAATCTCGATACATTCAAGGTGCAATACCTTCTTGGAATAAGCGCACTACTCGCCCTCCTCTTCCCCCATGACTATCGTCTTTCCGAGGTCCGTGTTACCTTTCCGCAAGCACCACCTGTCCAGGAACCCAAACTGACCTCATGCAGATTCTCTGGACGTTTTCGATCTGGCTGGAATCGGTTGCAATCCTGCCCCAGCTTTTCATGCTGCAGCGGACCGGAGAAGCGGATACTATCACCACTCATTACTTGTTCGCTCTGGGGCTCTACCGGGCCCTGTATATCCCGAATTGGATATTCCGGTACTTCACCGAAACCCACTTCCAGAAGTCATTCCAGCCCGTGCCTATTATTGCGGGAATTGTCCAGACTCTACTCTACTCGGATTTCTTCTATATCTACTACAACAAGTAAGCTCACAGTCCTATATCGCCCTGATCGGGGAAAAGAGTCCTGATGTTTTTTTTAGGGTTTTGAAAGGGAAGAAGTTCTCGCTTCCCGTTTAACTTGGAGCGTCTCCTGCAGGCTGGCGGATGGGGTAATACCTTGTTTGGATCATTGCAAGGACCGGCGCTTGCTGTTTGGCTCTATTTGCCCGTGGACTGTTCATCTTTAGATCGGCTTGGATCCACAACGCTGTCAAAAAAATTGATCCAGGCGCTGCCCACCCATGTTCAACAACCTAATATGATTCGCTGGCTATGAATTGATGCTTTCATGCTGCCAATCTGTATGCATTTGGAAAATCGGCGAAATGGAGCTACGATGGGCTTGTTGACAGGAGGCCCCCTGGCTGTTCGGCGCTACAGCCAAACCCCACAGTTAGATTATTTTATATGGTTTTTGAGGTCTGGCGCTGATCGGTATTGTTTGTTTACCTATGGTCTCCATTTTTATCTTGAGATGCTGCTCTAGCTTTAAGACGTAAGATTTTGTTTTTCTCTCTTCCTCTTGTAATTACTGGGTGCTCTGGTCCTATTCTCCATACACCTCTCCAGCCATTCACCTGCGTTGGCCAGGGCAAGTAAGAGACCAATCCACAGGTTCTTGGAAAATACAGTACTTTTTTGTTTTGGCGGGGCAGCCACAGCAGGTGGTCTACCCCAAAAGACATCACGATGGAAGGCACCCAACTTGATCATCAAGGCATTCAGAAATCACGTTGAGTGGCATGGCTCGGGACGTACTCGGTTGTGTAGCTCAACTGGGAGGGAGGAACGGACAGCTCAGTGGCGAACGGGTCCAAGGTGCTCGCCATTGGATGCGAGAGATTGCCCATCGGTCCATGGAACGGTCGAACTCCAGTGTTCAGGGCTGAGCGTCCTTGTAGGCTTTGATGACTGTCCAGCCAGCCATTGTGACCGTGCAGTTGGCCAAAGTAGTCCTGATGGGACCTGTCCAGAGGGACCTGTCCCCCGAATGTTGATTCTCGCCTAGATGTCGGCGGTGATGGAAGCTTTGGGGATCGAGACACCATGTCGAGACGAGGAGAGCCTCGTCGTGAATTGGGCGGTGTCAGACGCGACCCGCCTCGGCGGACCTGACACGTTGGACAGATCTTAACAAATCGGGAGATGAGCTCTTTAGGGACCCTGGGAGATTGTGAGCAAGTTGTTCATCGCGAGCACGAAGTCAGAATTGCCCACCAGGAATAGATCCGCCGGACCTGAGCCGAAGTCTTGTCTCGACCACCATGCTGACATTGTTGATGTGCCTTGGTGAGAATCTTGAACAGTTTCTCACGGATTGCAACCGGTTTTCCCTCATGGCAGATCATCTTCCGGCACTGAGGGGGCGACGACTCATCAGTATAGCGCTCTAAAGGACCAAATATCAAGCTCCTCCCGTTTGATGGGGATGAAGAACCTACATCTGGGGTCCCTATACCAACCGCCTGCAGCTTGAACATCTTCTTGACCCAGAATCTAGCCCCATTTAGTAGACGAAACCGAGGATCGCACGGGGAATCTCGTACCGAAATTGAGCAGATTCGACGGCCGTGTCTTTAGGGTCAATCAACACTGTCCGTATGTTACAGGCTCGCCGAGCATGGATCAATGCCTTGTCCTGCTTTTTCACGGACAGGTCATCGACATAGCTGTTCCGGCGATATCAGTTTGGAAATCTTTGACTATGGGAATGCCAGCCTACCTCTGCATCAGTTGGTCAAATTCCTTCACGTCCGGGAACCCATCTAGGGCAGGAACCACTGGCTCTGATAGCATTGTACCTTCGTTACGAGACTCTTGACTCTCGATCTCAGTCTCACCGAGGGCATCTCGAAGGGGCAGATATCTCGGGGATTGGAGATAACGCGATTGGGGCATATACTGTGGCGGTGGATGATGGAGTCGCATCTCATCCGAAGAGGACACCGAGGAGAAGGGGTGTTCCGACGAGTACTGGAAATGCTGCAGGCCTGGGGCCAGATTTGACTGCTGGGCATAAGGCGGGCCAAATTGAGAAGCATACGGTGTAAAGGAATGCTGGGGAAAGTGGTAGGAGCCAGACCCATTGGTGTTGAACTCATGGCCATCCGACGGGCCATATGTCCCAGGAATGGTCATCTGTTGGTTCATGAGATAACTGTCATTTCCATCGTTACGCCTTGTGAAGCTGCTCATCGTGCGGAGGGTCTCCTGGAAATCAGAGGTCGGTGTACACGATCAACAACCAAGTCCCACAGCCACCTGATATACACACGCCTAGACTGAAGCTACCCAGAGGGAAAGGGTTGATGGGCGAGTTTATTATTGACGTCGTTGACTGAGAATGGGAGAGAGAGGGAGAAAGAGAGAGGGGGGAGAGAAAGAGCATGAGAATGACATCCAGTAACGGGGGTAGCAATTGCATTAAAAAGGCCCCGCAAGCTCTCAACGAATCTTGCGAGACTGCCATGGCTGGTGCCCAAGGACAAGTGCACGAGACCATGTCCAAAGTCAGAGAGTGGACAGGAAGCAAGAGAGGGAATCCCTGGAAGGCGAACAGCAAATATTCCACAGGGGAGGGAAGAAAAAAGAAAAGAAAAAGAAAAAGAAAAAGGGAAAAAAAAAAAAAAAAAAAAAAAGATAATAATAATAGTAAAAAAAAGGCGAATCGAGCAAAGCCTGTCAGGTAGTATGTCAGGCAGATCAGGCATGTCAGGTACCCCCCAGGCTTGGGAAATTACCAGAAGACGCTTCGTTACGGATTCCTGCCTCGATGCCTGTCTGGATGCCTCGATGCCCAGGCCCTAATTTGCCTCGAAAATAGTCAAAAATGTGTGGCCGGCACAATTTTGCCCCCGAATCTCACTCCCCAAAGATCTTCTGACTTCTTTGTCTCTGCAGGTTTGCCTCACCAGGTGCGGTCAAACAAAAAGAAGTGTCCAAACATGCATCTAGCCGTGCAAGTAAGGGACATGGATAGAGGGGGGGGGGGGGGGGGAGAGAGAGAGAGAGAGAATGAGAGAGAGAGAGATGGAGACAGAGAGCTGTCTGCATCTCGAGAGATGGGGGCCACATCCTGGGATGGTCCCACAGCGTCCTTTCACCCTTTGTTCCAGATGGATGCAAGTCATGAGCTTGACGTGGCATTCCTTGCGACGACGAATCCTCCGAGAGCATGTCAGCCAAGAAATTGGGTGTTGACGATGGAGGGGGCAATCAATGCGGGATGGCAGGATTACTTGCGTTTGGCTCTCAAGTGAGACAAGAGACTCGGTCAAGGTTCGGACCCTCGCAGGACAAAAGCAATCGCAATCCGGTCTGGTCGAGAAAAGGAAAAGGGGAACGTATCTTCAGTACGCTCTTCAATCGATGCTGCTTCCCGCCGATCGTCCATTTCCCTGGACCTTCCGAGTCCGATGGCGTTTCGGATCTGCCCAGAAGTTTGGTGTCTCGGCTTGATTGCATCGATCGGCGCCATGGATGTTCCCTGTTGATCGCATGCAGCCATCAGAGGGAAATGAGAGAAATCAGTGCAGGAGTATTCCGAGGTTGAGGTTGGTACTCTCCCAATCCCCATTCATCACAATTATGTATTCGGGCACGGTATAGTTACAAGAAAAAACTCCCTCAAAACAGCAAAGAAAACACAAGGCATCAATTCATGACATTGGCCGAGTTCGTTTAGGCCAAACATCTTCATAGTCGTAAAGTCGTGGTTCCATCCCCCCCACCCCCAAGTGTTAGGTCGCTCCTCCCCAAGCGCTATCAAAGGCCACGAGATCTCGGATGACCCACCGCCAGTGATGCTCATGAACGCCGCGATCAAAGCCGACCCACCTGTCAACCTTGCGTCTCCACTTTTCTTCCTCGGCTCGCTGTCGTCGAATGAACTCCGGTCCAACATCAAATTCCTCTGTCATGGGTCCCTCATCCGATGATTCACCGGCGCTGGGATCGTCCCTAGCGGCGTGGCCATTGAACTCTTCGGAGACATCCAAGGCTCGTCCATTGGTGTCGCTAGCCAACTTGTCTTCCAAGTCATCAAGGCCCGCGAAAACATCATCCTCATCAGGAGCCACGGCTCCATCCCGAGCGCTGGGCTCAAGAGACGAGGCTCGAAGCCAGCACATGCGATGGGGGTCAAAAACCATCCCACCAACGGTTTGGACATTTTGCAAAGAGCCAACGTTGCTAATAAGAGCCGGGGCCGGCTTGGGTGATTTGGGCGCAACGTCAAAATCTTGCACGACATTCTCGTTTCCTTCCCAAAGAAATGTGGTAGGATTATAGCGCATGCCCCTTACAGCTAAGCCGGCAGTTAGTATGGTTTCAACGAGTGCAAAACATAGATAGTTCTTACATTTAGCTTCTGGTACCCCGGACCCAATAGGCTTAATCAGTTGAGGTTTGGGTGTAGATTTGACCGGTCTGGTTTTTCGGTTTCTCAGCGTGATCGTCCCAGGGGGAACTCGTGAAGTGGATTGAGCCTTCCAGTTTGAATTTAAGCTCGTTAGAGGATTCGTGTCTCGGCTCTTCGAGCTTATCGCCATAGAGGCAATACGTTGTTCCCTAGCATTCCGAGACGCATTGGTGTCCCGAGCGAATCGAGGTGTCGAAGTCAGTGGTTTAGAGGCCGAAGGAGGTGTTGATAATGGTGTGGGGGACGGTCGAGGGGGATCACACCGGCTCTGACTGGATCTGGCGTAAACGGATCTTGGAGCACCTCGACCGGCGGGATTCTTAACAAATTTGTTTTCTGCCGAGACCGAGGTAGGCAAATCGTCAAATGATTCCAGTTCTGTTCCATCCCCGAAATTACGCCGCCGGGTTGGCCGGGTGAGTGTGCGTTTGGAAGTCGGGCCGATGGGCCCCGCGTTGGTTTCGCCGAGACTGGCTCGCGAAGGCTCAGGGCGAGTCGATCGCCGAGAAAAGGTACCTGGTGGGCTGAGTAGACCACCCGAGCTGTCCGAGTTTGTACGGCGAGCAGGTCGGTAGCTCTTCGCGTTGGGATTATGAGAATGGGTTTCTGATGCACCAGCCGAAAAGAAAGGAGCCTGTAGTCTGCGAGCCGACGGTCTTCCATCACCCGTGCTGCGCTCGACTGGGGCATTGGGCCTTTGAGAGAGAGGAAGGAAGGGGCCATTCGAATGAGCTGGTAACCGCTGAGAAGCCTGTGTCGAGGAAGCCGACTGCGCTCCGCGGATGGCTGGTAGGGATCGTTTTGTTTTCAGATACCTGCCGGATGCCTTGGAATCGCTAGCGAGAGCTGTGTCTCTGGGGATCCGAGACTCGAGAAGCCGGCGTCCAGCGGTTGCCGGTGTTGGCGATGTTGAAACTGTACCAGAGGCTGGAAGACTGGAAACAGACGATTGAGACGAATGTCCCAGACGTGATTGTGATCTCCGGAATTTGGAGAGGGGGGCACCACTCTCCGAGACAGTTTCAAGGTGAGTCGAATGTGTCCGGTCATGGCTAGCCAGGCGAGGAATGCGAGTTCGTGGAGATCCTGCCGTATTGGTGAAAGTGAGCGTTGTGGCGGATCGGCGTGTCGGACTTGCCGGCCATTCTGTCTTGCACTTGACATTAGGATTTAGAGGCAACCTTCCCGGACCGAAGACCTTTCCACTGTCGATCTCAAGGCCGGAGAAAAAGTCGTCCGATTCAGAAGAACTCTGTTCTGCTTTTCTCTCGCCTCCCTCATCAGAGTTGTCAAATTGTAATTCCCGGCGTTTCTTCAAAGAGATATTGAAATCTAGCGGCCCATCGGGGATGATGAGGCCCTCAAATCCATCATCATCACTCTCTGCTGTTATGCAGCTTGAAACGCTTGGACTGGCGACGGATATCGAGGAGCTGGGGATCGAACGGCCATCCCTCGCAGTGCCCCCAACTCGTACACCAATACTGCCTTCGGACCATTCAAGGTCAATCTCATCCAAAGTAGGACTCGATATCTGGGCGTGGTCTTTGCGATGCGACAGCCGAAGAGGTTGGTGGTCTGGAGGCAATTCAAGGTCCTGGTCAAAATCGTCGCTCTCCGCTTCCAATTTGAGCCCCAGTCCGGGGCTCGCCGTGCTTGCTTTCAGCGGAGACCGAGGGACAGAAGCTTTGATTGTAGGGATATCTTGGTCACCATGGCTATCCTTCTCATCTTGGAATCTGTCCAGGGTGGCTGACGCCGATAGCAAGCGGGTTGATATATCCTCATTCCAAGAAGGTGAGGCAGTTGATTTCACTGGGCTGGTAATGACGGAGCTGACCTGTGGGAGTGACTCTGGAAAAAACGTATCTTGCGGGGTCTTGAGCTGTAGTACTGTGTCAGGTCCCGGAAGCTCCACATCTTCCGACCAGTCATCCACAAAGGCCTTGTTCGCATTTCGGGTGGACAAGCGCTTGATCATGCCACCGACGAGAGCCGACTTGGGAATGTCGGCAGGTATAGGGATACCGGCATTCTTAGCCGAGGCGATGGCTTCTCTCGCAGATTCATCATTGTCATGTAGCGGGACCTGCCAATCCTCATCTCCTACGTTGGAATCAAGGTCGGAGCGAGCGGAACGCCAAGAGGAAATAGAGTCCCGGTGTCCGGAGGGCCGAAATGAGTTGGTGACCGATCCAGCGCTAGATGCAGTGCGAAATGGAATGTTCTCGTTGAATTGTAGATCCTCGTCATCGTCCCAACATTCGATCGTCTCATCCGCACTCGGGCGTATGTTAGTTGACGCCTTCATGGTAAGTGAAGCGGGTCGGAGAGGTGCGCGCGAAAGTCACGTAGCGTTCATAGGATAGTTTCCCGATGTCAGCTTTGTTCAAACGGCGGGCTCGAAGCTTAGCGATGCTTTCAGTGCTTGAAGATGCGGTAAGTCGAACGTCATCCCGTGTCAATTTGTAAAGGCGAGAAAAAGGGAGTTGCGAGATCTGGTCGGCTAATGACAGACCCCAACGCGAATAAAGGCCAACGAAGTCAACGAAGTCGTAGACGGGAAGGAAAAAGAGAAGAAGGGCAAGTCCTCCACAACCAAGAGAACGAAGACTTCCAGGGTGTTAAGGGGCCGGAAAAAAGTTGGTTGTGGCTGGATCGGATTCCTCGTGGAGGAGAGGAACGAGAGGTGAAGGTGCGTGGATGTATGGTGGGTACTTCTCGGCTCGGCAGGTATCCAAGATCTCTCTCTCTCTCTCTCTCTCTCTCTCTCTCTGCACGATGCCAACTTGCTTCAAATTACATGGAGCAATTGAAATCTTGAACCCCAGTGATATAATCTGCTAAGAGAGTCGATTTGTGACCGACGCACTCCCACCCCCCTTCCACCTTGTTTAAGAATGCCCTCTTTTACCTCTCCACGCGTATTGCGAATTGCCAGGTCCGATGATCCTGAGGCCTTTGTGTTAGTCCACGTCTCTCACACTGGCCCAGAGACACTCGACCTCGCTCTAACTGCGACCGAGGGCGAATCTCCCTACACCGGCCTGGGTAGGTTGACACATCCAGCCGGGAAGCTCGGCTGATGCCTTGATAGTGAAGCAATCGCAACTCAGAGATTTCCGCGCAAAGAACTACCAGGGCACCGACGATGAATGGTCTCAAGTTGTTGCCTTCATTCTTGGTCAAGGTCAACGTCCAATTCCAGCCAATGGGACAGACTGGCCTGCAGGTGTTGAAGCCTCGGCCAACATCTCGGGCGCCGGTGACGAAGAAAAAGAAATCGTAATTACTGTCCGAAAGCGAGTGGAGACAATTACTGTGAGTACAGTGGCAGCTAGACTGGTTCAACCTGACCTAGCTAATGCCGTTATAGCAAAGACTTGGCACATTCGTTCTCAAGCAGGACGACGAACAAGCAGTCGAGCTTTTTGAATGGACAGGGATCGCCGCCACTAGATCTGATGCATTGGACCAGCAGGTCGCTAGCTTGACTTCTCGCTGTCATATCGCCGAAGACGCTATCCGTCATTTGAATGATCAGCTCGAAGAGCTCGTGCGCGCAAAGAGCCAGCACGAGAACCAACTAATTGCCAATTTCGTTCATCTTCTGAACGAGAAAAAACTTAAGATTCGCAACCAACAACGTCTTCTTGCATCTGCAAATGCGAATCCTGTTCGAGGTAAGATTAAATTACCGAGGATTGAACCTGAAAACTTCATTCTCTGACCGGCTAACCCTTAACCCAGTTTCCGAAATACAAGCTGTTACATTGGAGAAATCTGACGCAGCTGCTGGGAAGAATCGCCACGGGAAACGCGGTGCGCCCACTGCCAGTGATACTAGTGGGGATTCTGATGATGGGTTTGAGCGAATGGACATGGACCGAAAGGGAGTAGAGGATATCATCAACGATCAGGACACAGACAATGGGCGCTCAACACCCCAACCATTGGAGGAAGAAGAACAAAGTACAACAGACGACGAGTTCGATCGACCACCCACCGGGAAAGGATATCCCCAAGCAGCCCCCGCCCTCAAACGTTCATCGCCAAAGGAGGCGCCCCCTCGAAGAGAATTACCCTTCACCAGGAGGACAAGGCCAACCAACGATGCCGAAACCTCAGGAGAGACGGACGATGACGAGCTTTAATAGTTCTTCCCAGCAAGGTTTCAGCCGTAGGTAGTCCATCACATGCAGCAAGCAAAGCCATCTAGGTATCGAGCCTAGCTGAGGTCAATTGACACACCAACCTGGGGGGTAATTGATAGCCAAGTGGGATGTCAAGCCTTCGCATCCATGAGATCAGGCATTTGGCTATCAGAGAAGCACTCAACTACGTAGGAAACAACTTGGAAAAATGCATCGCCCCCAGTGCCCATGGAATTCGGATTTTTGAGAATCTCCGTCTTTTTATGTACAAGTCAGCCGTGACCGATGGATCCCAGATAACATCGGAGAATGGGCGAACAAGGGCCATCGTGGAACACGGGCCGCGTAGTCAGTGGGCGAGAAAATAAGAGACCAAAAAAAGAGCAGAACAATGGAAGGAAAACAGTACATCAAAAGGAAGTGAAGGTAGTACAATGTAAACGCCTGCAACCATTAGACAAACATAGAACCGATGAACCGATCATGGATGGAAAAGTCTCCTAAGTTAGCCATACAAAGCTTGTGGAGACATTTCTCCAGCAGCCATGAAGTTAGTCTCGGGGTTCCCGGTAGCCTTCGCAGCCGAGCAGCGGGCCATGGTGGGTGAGCTGGAGCACGATGAGTTAGCAATGGCACGGAAGTCAACGGAAGACATTCAAAGCCATCATACCTTCTGGAGATAGCATCGGTGAAGAAGAAGTCCCCGATGACCTTCTTTAAAGGGGCATCAGTAGCCTGGGAACCCTTGTTCTGATCCACCAGCTGGACCTTGCTCAATGAGCTGACAGAGGTCGGCTCAACAACATCGTATCGGCGCATCACAGGGCTGATCTCCTCCATACGATCACGCAGGGCTTCAATGTCATCATAGGGGAGAGGAGCGCCAAGGAACTCGCTAGTTGCGCGAATGATCTTCCAATCATCGCGAGCCGCACCAGGCAGGGACGTGGCTGCACGAGTGAGCTGCACACGCCCTTCGGTGTTGATATACGTAGCAGACTTCTCGGTGTATGCCGCTCCAGGGAGAACGACATCTGCAAGCTGGGCACCGCGATCGCCGTGATGGCCCTGATAAACGACAAACGCATCATTCGGGATCTCGCTCTGCGCAATCTCGTCCGCACCCAGGAGCCAAATCATCTTGGGAGTGGTCTGAGCAACCTCGGGGGACGGGGTAGTGAAGCCAACTTCAAAGGCGCCGACCCGAGAAGCTGCCCGCTGGAGAACATTATACCCTTGCCAGTCTGGGTTGTTGAAATTGCTAGTGTGCTTTTCCACAAAACCGCCGACTGTTTCGAAGATGGCCTTGGCGTCAGGGTGTTCAGCAGCAGCACTACCGACAACAATCATTGGCCGCTGAGCAGCAGCAAGCTTTTTGCCGAATTCGCCTGCTAAGGCGGCCTTCAGGGCAGAAGCATCGGAGCCCAGGTGCTCGAAATCGAAGGTACTTTCGAATTCTTCACCGACAAGACCAATCTCCAGATCCGAGCGCAGATACTGCTTGCGAATGCGGGCGTTGAGGACCGCTGCTTCATGGCGCGGGTTCGTGGCCACCAGAAGAATGGCATCCGCTTCCTCAATGCCATAGATTTGAGAGTTGAACAGGTAGTTGGAGCGAACATCAATGCCGTGAGCAATGGGGGCACTGCCACCGGGCTGGTCAAGACTAAGGTTATCAGAGCCGAGCTTGTTCGCCAGATCCTTCATCGCCACCAGCGATTCGACGTCCACCAGGTGTCCAGCAACGGCCTTGAACTCGTTCGGCTGCAGCTGCAGCTTCTGCTGAACCGACGAAATTTCGACCAGGGCCTGTTCCCACGTAGCGGGCACAAATTTGCCCTCGCGACGAATCAGCGGCGTGGTGAGGCGTTGAGTCTTCAATCCATCGCACGCGAAGCGCGACTTGTCGTTGATCCATTCCTCGTTGATGTCGTCATTTAATCTCGGAAGAATTCGCATGACCTCCATGCCCCTGCTATCGATGCGAATGTTGGAACCCAATGCGTCGAGGACGTCAATTGATTCCGTGTGCTTCAGCTCCCACGGACGAGCCCGGAATGCATAGGGCTTGGACGTCAGCGCGCCAACAGGGCAAAGATCGATGACATTGCCCGACATTTCCGAGTCGAGGTTGCGCTCCAGATAGGTCCCGATCTGCATATCATTTCCTCGGCCGGTCGTCCCCAGCTCCGGTGCACCCGCCACGTCATTCATGAACCGAACACAGCGAGTGCAGTGAATACACCGGTTCATTGAGGTCTTGACCAGGGGGCCAATGTTCTTATCTTCCACCGCACGCTTGCCGCCGGTTTCGTGGAAACGTCCACGGTCAGCACCATAACGCATCGACTGATCCTGGAGATCACATTCTCCTCCCTGGTCACAAATGGGACAATCGAGGGGGTGGTTGGCAAGAAGGAACTCCATCACACCCTCTCTCGCCTTATGGACCAGCGGCGAGCTCGTCTTGACGACCATACCCGGTTGTACTGGCCAGGCACAGGAGGCTACCGGCTTTGGGGCTCGCTCGACTTCGACCAAACACATACGGCCTAAAATGATTCATGAGCACGTCATTATCATCGGATAGAGAAGGAAAACATGGATAGAACTTACAGTTTCCTGCAATCAACAGTTTTCTTGGAGACTGGAGTTAGTGGGCACCATACACAGGAGTCGATCGTGGGCACGTACTCATGATAGCAATATCTGTCACCAGGTCAGCTTTGAAGACTAAAGAGATAGGAGATAAATGTCGGCGGGTTTGAAATACCTAGGAATCGTTGCGCCTGCCTTTTCGCATGCCTGAATGAGAGCGGAACCGGCTTTGAAGAAAGCATGTGAGTAGACGACCACGGACTTGTCTGGACGTGAACATTACCTTCGACCGACACTTTCTTGTCATCTAGAGGATCATTGCATCAGTATGAAGCAGCCAAGGTATAGGATACGACAATTGGGCCTACCAATGGTGAGTTCCACCTCGGCCGCGCGAGGGGTTGTCGTCGCAAAGGTCCGGGGGGTGACCCTGGGAACCCAGAGAGACCGGGCGGCCGCACGGAAGAGCTGCGGCCGCATGATGAGGAACAGAGGCCGAAGGTAAGGAAGGGTTGGAGATAAGGCGAGAGAGGGGAAGGGAGTGCTAATGGGGGGAGAGGAGCTGGTTTGAGAGCACTTTGCCCAGGTGCTTTTCGGATTCTGCTGGGTTACATAATTGCTGACCATCCCTGGGATGACTAAGGGAGACTGCAAATGGGCAATCGCGGATTGGCTCGGTTATGCGGATAAACTGCGGCTCCGAGCTGCCTTCAAAAGCCTTCGTTCTCTCCCCTGAATTTTCTTTTCGACCAAAAAATCTCATTCTTCGGGCATGTTTTATTGTAGGAGGCAGGGCCTCGTTTCTTTCGTGGTCCCCATCCCTGTTTCCTCTGCTACATGTTCCAAGAGCAGACTTGCACCGAGCTGGAGCAGTCAAGGGTTCGCCTGATGATGACTTTGTTCTTTACTGACGGTAGCTACATACCCTCATCCCATGATAGCATCTTATTTTATCTTCTTTCAAATATCAAGCCCCTCTTCATTGATTGAAAATACACGATGCACGGAGAGTGTGACTACTCAATAAAAAAGAAAACAGAAAGGAGCTCGATCTATATACGTGGCTAGTCGGTTCGTCGTAAGCAGTGTCATAGATTGGAATCATCCATGGATGTACATCCATCACATTTGTCAAATCTCAATCGGTCACTTGTCGAAAGAGCCCTGCGTAGGATACTCAAATATGACACAAGGTCCCGAGAGTAATAATAATCCCGCAACGCCGTGATATAGTACACCGACACACATTCATACAGAAAGACAAAGAAAAAGGCACTTAAGCTGCGGCCTGGGAATCGCTGGCTTGCCAGGTCGATTCTTGCTTCGTCCCCGGTAACCATGTCCGAGTAACACTGGCGCCCCTGGATCGAACACGCCCCGGACCATCGTCTTCCTTTTTGGAATCGTTTGGCACAGTGGGCGAGTGGTGAGGTATTGAGCTCTCAAAGGGTCTTCCAGGGAAGGCGTAGCCATTAAATGCCCGGAGCTTACTGGAATACCGCGTGCTCATGGGGAGAATGGCCTGGCGGGCTCGGAAGTGATCTGCGTTGGCCCTTTGGTCGGCCACATCGTCATGGCTATTGCGATCGTAGAGATAGAGCCCCACAAAGGTGAGAGCAATCCCAACGGCTTGGATCGTAGTAGTCGAACTGCCAAACCACACAATGGCTACGACAATAACAAACACCCGCTTAACCAACGACGCGACAGAGTAGGACACTGGAGAGATCATCGACAGCAAAACAAATGCCAGGATGTTCTGTGCAAAATGCGACACCCCATTAAACACGAATTCGACGAGAAGGGCGCCATGGTCCAAGGATCCCTGCTTGCCTGACAGGGAGATGACGCCGTCATTGACAAAATCAGATACCAGGGGGTAGCCTTCGCTGAAAAACCAGATCGGCAGGGTGAGAAAAAAAGCCAGCCCGGAACAGTAGCAGAGCAGGTTGAGTTTGTCCAGCTTCTGCCGCCCCAGGTGTTGTGTCTCGGCTTCGATGCGATCTGCCTCGTTGAAAAGCTTTTTAGAGAAGATGTTCTGGGAAACAAAGATGAGAGCCGCGCAAAGTGCGCAGAGAATTCCAAAGAGATTGGTGGAGAGCCCGGTGGAGCATGCAAGCATGACACCAACGGTCAAAGGGACCAGCGATAAGTAGGTAGCCCGAGCGTATCGAATGCGGAAAAACACACGGTATGCCAGGACGGTAAAGAGAGGCGAGAGGCCTTTGATCGTGTGGACCAGAGATACGGGGATTTGTGAGGTAGCCATGGAGCTGAGAATGTGGCCGGCGAGTTGGAAAACTGCCAGAGGCAAAGCAGTTGAAATCACATCTCGCGATGGATAGCGAATTCCATGTTGGAGGACCGGGACGCTTCGCCGCAACCAAGGACTTATCGTGGCCAAGTACACCAGCAACAGACACCAGAAAGAAACAAATGCGAATTGAATAATAGTCAAAGTGATGGGCATCGGTAGAGCATTCAGGATTGATTTTGAGGATGTGTTGGTGAGGGCGGAGGTCAGGTACCAAATAAGGCAGAGAGCCTGAAAGTAGCATTAGCTGGTCTGTGCAGGTGGGCATGGGAGCACTCGAAAATAACATACAATGAGTTTATATGATACTGGCGCGCTGAGGGCTTGCGCCAGCTCTTGTGCATTGGCACTTACGCTGCCGTTGCGCGTTCGGATCGTGGTAATGGCATCGCTGATGCTCTTCCGTGGTCGATGTTTTGAAGATCTCACAGAACCATTCGCATGCGAGTAAAAACCCGCCTTTCGGGGCTCCCAGAGCTCATTTGGGGCGTATTTCACGGAAGCGCCCTGGTTTGGTCGGCTCGGCCCTGCGTCAAACGTGTCCTCGTAGGGGGGAACTTGTCTGTAGGGCTGCTCGTCGGCTGGGAGACGGATGTATTCGGGGGCACTTGCAACTCGGTTTGTCGCATCGAGGCATGTCGCCCATGACCGGTCACGGTAGTTGTGGCCATCTTCCACGACCCCGTATCTTGGACCAAAGAAAAAAGTTAGTTTAACCAAGGCCGACGCCATATGGTTTCACTTACGCCACGAGCTGGTAAAATGAGTGGAAGGCGAATCTGGGTTCCTAGGGTTTCAGAGGATTTCTCTTCTTTTTGTGGCAGTTGATTTGGGGGGGTGGTGAACCTTGACACCTTGGAAAGGGTCCAGGTTTGGATGATGACGAATCCCCCTTTGGGCGAATGAGCGTCGAGAATTGGGGGCACACCTCAGGGCCAATCACAGGAAGCGTTGAAAGTAATCAACAGGACGAAACAACAAAATAATATCCATAGATGAGAAAGGAATAATATAAATAAATAAAACCAATCTGACCTATGAGCCCACGGCTAAGATGTGGTCTTTCAAGATACCACATTGGTACCTCCGGGCACTCCGCGTGAAGCATGTCTGTGGAAGTACCTCGAAAGTACCGGAGATCAAGGCCATGCAGTTGTCTTGCCATGGCCATTTGTTATTTTATTTTATTTTATTTTATTTTATTTTATTTTATTTTATTTTATTTTATTTTATTTTATTTCTCCCTTTCTTATCTCTCCTTTACATGGCGCAGCAAAAATAACTTGTCAAAGTAGCCAACGTTTACACCTAAACACATCTCTAATAGTTAAACACCAGCGGTTTGCCTGGCAAATGTACTTGGTCTGTGGAATCGAATTAGGAAGGACCCTTCGCCGCGATTTCTTCACTTTGGCTCCTTCTTGACAGGCGACTGTTACTTTCCCTTCCACCCTTTCTCTGTCCCTTTGCCATCTTTCACGGTTTTCCATATCTTCATTTCCATCTTGCCAGATCTCGACATCGGCATTCTCGTTACATGTAAACTCGCTTGATTTCTACCCTGTCGTGTCCACTACTGTCACGTCGTTTGCTATCCGTGCTTCTGTTCCCCTTTCCCTTTGGCCGAGGACAATACAACCCAATGTCCACTCTCAACGGGGCCTCGAAGCTTAGCCGCATGAGCAAGGAAGCGAGGTTCATCACCAAAGATGGCATGGATGTGCGAACCATTCCGTTTGGGTGTGAGTCCGCAGTAAGTACCTGGGCTTGGGTCGAGACATAGGGAAGAGCTCACGATGTGTTGACTCTCACTCGATACACCAGGGACTCCTCCATTCGACTGGTCATTCCAGTTCGTCAGATTCAGTCGAAATGATTCAGCATGGAAATCCGCAGGCATCCTCTGCCGAAGATGTGAAGTCTCCATCAAGCAAGGTGAGAATTCCCCGCTCCTCTGTCCCGGAGAGAATGATATAGATGCCTGTTCTCACAATCCTAGAAGCAGAAGCTGGAGCATGTGAAAGTCGAGCCTCTGGTCGGACAGCCTTCGGAATTGGAGAAAATTTTGGCCAAACTGTCTCCAAAAGCAGTGCCCATCACGAACCCAGAAGTCGATCGGTCGTCTGGTGCATCGCAGATGACATTGTCGAGCACCAAGCCACTGCCAGCTTCAAGGTGTGTTGAGATCGCTGAACCCTATGCGCAGGACGACAAGACGGCCGAGCTACTACGCCTCAAGCAGGAACTACTCGCGGCCAACTCCAAGATAGCCTTACAAGAGCAAGAGCTAGCCCAGACACGTGTGATCAAGCACACTCTGGATCAAGCCCTGGGTCCTCCATCAGAAGCTGAGTTTGGCGGTCGTGAGATCACAGAACAGACCATCAGTCATTTGCAAAATGCTTTTAATGCATCGAATCCGTCGTTTGGGCAATTTCAGGATGCGTGGAATGTGCAGGAAGACTCTCAGTCCGATATCTCGGATACATTGTCTGCTGGGGCTTATAACCGAGCTCGTGGTCTCTGGCCTCAGCATGGCCAGCAGCCATTCAGCTTGAACGCTCATGATCCTCCTTTCGACAGCAGTTACGGGGAGCCTCAACCTGGAACCGGTAATTCTGTGACCCAGGATCCAAGTCGATTTTGGGGCGTCTCAGCTGTATATCCTACGGTGACCGGTCATGGAGCTTTACAACCCCACAGGGTGCTTTCGGGCCCCTCGGCCAGCACAGCCAACTTTTTTACTCGTTCTTCCGGCGAGCAACTTCGGTATTTGCAAGGCCCGAGCCCCGAGCCTCGTCGCTCCATCACCCAGGGCAATCAAGTTGGATCTCTGTTTCCAGCTCCAAATACCCCTTGGGGAGGGTTCACCTCTGGATCACCCACTGATCCTGTAACCAAGCTTTCTGCGTCACCAACCAAAAGACCTCCCAGTGCTTTTTCGCATGTTGGGATTTACCCCATACCCCCTTATCATCCCCGGCCCGTGGGATCACCCCTTTCGCCCACTGCCACCGAATTCACCACGACCAACACAAACGAAACCTCGTGGACAAGTTCATCAGTGAGCATGGCTGTCGATTGTTTGGTTTCCTTTATACTAACATTGATAGGGTGGTGGAAATGCCATCCAAACGTACGTTTCACCCCTGGAGCCACTCAACTACCGACGTCTTCTCGACAAGAATGTATCGTGTGACTGGAAATACATTGTGGACAAGATCGTTTGCAACAATGACCAGCAGGCTTCCATTTTCTTGCAGCAAAAGCTGAAAGTCGGCACTACCGAGCAGAAATACGACATTATCGAAGCCATTGTGAACCAAGCATACCCACTCATGGTAAACCGCTTTGGCAATTTCCTTGTCCAGCGTTGCTTCGAGCACGGAACCCCGGAGCAGGTTGTCGCAATTGCCAATGCAATCAGAGGCAATACTCTCAGTCTGAGCATGGACCCCTTTGGCTGCCATGTGATTCAAAAGGCCTTTGACTGTGTCCCCGAAGAACACAAAGCTGTCATGGTCCATGAGCTCCTTCGCAGAATTCCCGAGACAGTGATCCATCGATATGCGTGTCATGTTTGGCAGAAGCTTTTTGAGCTCCGATGGAGCGGCGAGCCTCCTCAGGTTATGGTCAAAGTCAACGAGGCATTGCGTGGATTGTGGCATGAGGTTGCCCTGGGGGAGACAGGGAGCTTGGTGGTTCAGAACATCTTTGAGAACTGTATCGAGGATGAAAAGGTAAGACAATCCGTCGTCTTGAGTTGTTCCCCCCTACCCCGGCATAGTTCCTTCCCCTTAATTTTGATCGCTTCCTGTGATGTTGCAAGTGGTGCTAATGATTCGAAGCGGCCAGCAATCGAAGAAGTATTGGCGAAAATTGACGTGCTTGCCCATGGCCAATTCGGTAACTGGTGTATTCAGCATATCTGTGAGCACGGTTCCCCCCTGACAAGAGCCGGGCCATTGAGCACGTCCTTCATTGGGCCGTCGACTACAGTATGGATCAGTTCGCCTCAAAGATTGTAGAAAAGTGCCTGAAGATTGGCGGCTCAGAATTCTTGGATCGTTACCTCTCTCGAGTGTGTACTGGCCGCGCTGACCGACCCCGGATGCCACTGATCGATAGTGAGTGAAGTCCCGACCTTTTGCGCACCAGAAGTGTTACTGAGATTTCTTTAGTTGCGGGCGACCAATACGGCAATTATCTGATCCAATGGATCCTGATAAATGCTGCGCCTCATCAACGGGAGCTTGTCGCGAGCCACATTCGGTATATACGCCCAGTGCGCTTTTTCACTTGCGCAACTTGAATTCTGACTTCTCCCTGAACAGAAAACACATGGTCTCCCTCCGTGGCTCCAAGTTTGGCTCCCGCGTAGCCATGCTCTGTTGCAACCCGTCCCATGCGACGCGTCCTGGACCCGGAGCGGGCATGCAAATCGGCCGTTTCAACCAATTTTCCGAGGATCGATTCCCTGCTAGCAGCCAAGCTGGCAGTCGTTTCAACCGTGGGAATCAATGGGGCTCGAACTACGCGCCGTTTCGTTGAATCTTCTCGCAGGTGCCTTTGACATCTGCCATTGGCCGACACAAGCCACAAGGACCAGGTCCTCAACAAGCACGGATTATTGATTACACAGGTCATTCTCCCAAGTTTTCCTGATCTCTAGATTTTTACCGGCTCACTGGCAGCGTCAAACTACCAATCGACGCTTGTCGACGTTCTCTATCTCTGCATGGTTCGAGACCGACTGTCATAATCTAGTTGGCTCGCCACTCTCTCAGTTCTGTCGCTTCAGGCTCCCTGTCGACTCTTCCAAACCACACAGCATCTTCAAAAACACACTCGTTGAAAACGTCAATCTGCTATTGAAATCTCAATCAAGTACGGAGTAGTTAATCGGTGTCGATTATGCCGGAGCTTTGGTTTACAAAAGGCCTGCTTGTTATACGCCCAAGCCCGATTTACCGCTGAACTTTTTCTTTTTCTTTTCGTTCGTGTCTGCCTCTCCCAATTGTCTGCTTGAACTTTCTATGATTGTTACGCTTCCATCATGTTATCCACCCATGCGGATTGATTATTGCCGTGTGCCATGTCAATTACGAAGGAATGATATATTGTTACTCTCGCAATTGCATATGATTACATTCTAGCGTTCCGTACGATTTAAGGAGTGAGCACCGGAAAGGATCAGAATTGTGCAGGTGGAAACACTCAAGATGTCCCACCGGGAATTTGCTCCGGACTACCCCGTGGGTCATTTTTCTCCCAAGGTTTTCGCCGCTGAGGTTTTTCACTCGAACTATCGTGTCCGGCTAAAACCGTGTCAGGAATCTGTTGAATCCCGGGGATGGGTTGTCCCGTCGTGATGAGTTCCACGATGTGGGCAAACGAGGATGGATAAGCAGGCTCGGGCCCTGAGGGTTCAGAGCCAGAGCCAGTTGGCCCCGAGGGCAATCCGGTCAACACCGGTGACGGTCCTGTCGCAGTCTTCGACTCTGAAGAGCCATTTGATCGCGATGCCAACCACGACTTATACACTGTGGAGTCAATCGGCGGCGTGAGCTTCTCTTTCCTATTGATAGACATCAGCGGGAGAAAGACAAGCACAAGGAAAAGCCGCAAATACCGGGAAAAAAAGAAACATTTTGCTTGCAAGACAAGGTCATCGTCTCGATTCATCTCCGCTTCGGTGGCGGGTGTGCCAGGATGACCGAGGATAATTGACAGGCCATTTGCAAATTCGAGATCTGTGTGGAATGGATACACCCGCAGTCTTTCAAACAGACGAGAGTCTGCCATGGTGGAATCGAAGAGATGGAGTTGTATTCAAGGGGTGTCTCGAGAAGATAGCTCGAGGTAGACAAGTGGGATGAGGTGAATGCGGGTGGGGCGAGTTGACGCCGGTTAACCGAGGCTTAATTGACCAGGCTTTTGCTATAGAAATAAAGAACATCCCGATTGAATTCCTTGCTCCATACAGCCCTCTCTCTGGACCCTTTTGAACGCCAACCCATGCAATAATGTGTGTAGATACATTGCTTTACGCCGTGATATCCATGCCATCGTTGGGCACCCCAGCTCCTGTGTTTTTGCTCTGGCAGCCGGGGCAGTTGTGCACGACTTCATGAGCGAAGAGATCGCAGTCAATACAGAAATGATTTTGGCATGCGGTGCATTCGTAGCGACTGCTGGCACTCATTCCCTTGGTCTGATTCTCGGCCGTTTGCCATTGATCTTCTGGGGGTAGGGGTGGAAAGGGAAGACCACAGGCAAAGCAAGCCGAGCTTCGCGAGGCTCGACGCCACGGTACCTCAACCCAGTTTATCAGCGGGAATAAATGATGGTACGACCGCGCAAGGTGAGTCGACAGGATTAGAGTGAGACCGCAAGACGGGCACTCGGCCGGAAGACTACAAACTTTGCTGCCACAACGCGAGCATAGATAGCCGCCTCGCGATGGTTTCGAATGGCATGCACAGAGAGAAGGACTGGACTCCACGGTGCGAGAGGGAAACCCCATCATAAGCAACGAGCTTGCAGATTCTCTCTGAGAGTATGTAGCTGGAGGTGTAGTGACATCCATCATCAGTTCTCGAAAATGTTGCTCATTTAGCACAACTCCGTATGCGGTCTCGTCGCCCCCGTTCGTCCTTGAGCAAAGATCGCGACAGATAGCCACTTGGGCAGCGAGGCCGACGATCCCAACCCGGATTCTATCGCCGATCAAGGTACTGATGGTTTGATGAATGTCTCCGGGATCGGAGGAGAGGAGAGAACCAAAGACAACCAGCACCTCTCGGGTGCCATGACTAGGTGTATGGCTAAGACCATCGGTTAGCTTCGTCCCCAGCCTGTGGCGCTGGACACCTACAAAAGAGCACCCCGAGCCATTTCCAATCCATTCTGTAGGCTGGGAAGTCCCTTTGGCTCTTGGGTCCTGAGAGCTTGGATAGCCGTGAGATGCTCAGTTGGATTGCCGCTCATGTCGCTGACCCGAACGGCGAGCCCGTCTCTTAAGCCCAGCACTCCGAGTTGGGAGATAGGATTTTGCTCAAAGAATTCTCTCACGAAATCCTGGGCATATCGGAGAGTCAAGAGGTATCGTGTCGGCCGCAGATCCTTCTCGGACATGGACTGCGAAAGATCGAGGATTAGGATAAGGTGTCGAATGATTCCGCGCTGCAATGGTGTTGTATCCTTTAACAGCCTGCGCGACGACGAAGCTCAGTATCCTGGATTGGGTAATGCGACCGACTCTGGTTGTAGCGCTCACCGTTTTCGTTTCCCAGCCTCAAGCAGCCCATCCACGGTCGAGCTGATTGTGCCATCTGCGCCCTCGACTAATGTCTCCCAGGTCCTGGAGAGCTCCCACTCGGCACCTCCTCGCTGCCTCCTTCGTTTGGACCGCGTCCGATCATTGTGGGTCACCTGGAAGTCATCCTCGTCCTCCGTGACTTCGCCCACGTATTCTTCGTCCGAGTCGGCCATGGCTCTTTGGGTTGAGGTTGAGATCAATCGAAACAAGTAAATGCTGGGGGGTGAGGTCGAGGATTCAAGGTGGATGGTTTACCCGCTCGAAGGTCCAAGCTCCGACGGAGCTCCGAACATGAGAAAAGGAAAATGACTCCTCTTGCAGTTTGGCTTCACACTTCAGGGGGTCCCTCGCATATTTGAGAGGTCAATCTCAACCCATTCGAAACTCCGGTGATAGCCGTGGATCTAACAAAACGTATGTGGGGGAGAAGGTCCATTACGAGACGCGCGGGCGTGGTAGCCCAGGCCGTCCGTCATCCAGTCTCTCTCCGCCCCTCCCCCTCCCTCGTCTCGTTTTCTTCTGCTCCCTCCTCTTCCTCTCCCTCTTCCTCTTCCTATTCTTCTTCTCCTTCTTCTCCTTCTTCTCCTTCTTCTCGATTTCGACGTCTTCCTTCTATTAGGCTCAATCTGGGGGTTGCTTCCTTGAGACATTGCTCGGCTGAAGCTCGCATGATGGCGTCCGCCGACAGAGACACCCTCCCTGACGTGTAAGTGATGCTCTTCTAGCTTGCTGATATTACTATCACTTTTGCCCCTCCCAGTTTCTATTTTCCATCTCATAAGGTTGGTGATCATTGAATATGAAGCTAATGCAATTGTAGGGTCAAGCCTATCAACTACCATGTCTCTCTCTTCGATTTGGAGCTGGGTGGCTCGTGGGGTTACAAGGGCCAGCTGAAGATTGATACCAAGGTTACCCGTGCTACGAATGAAATCGTTCTGAATTCCAAAGAGATTGACGTGCAACGTGCTGAAATTCTGGGGAAAGACGGTCCGTGAGAAAACAAAGCCCAGAAATATACAGTAGTATCAAAGGGGAGAAGAAAAAGCTGACAGCATTTTTCTCACCACATTAGGGTCACAGTTGGCCAAGGCTTCCAAGGTCAGCTATGACAAAGAATCAGAGCGAGTTACTCTGGGATTTCCACAAGATATCTCGCCGTCAGAGGTTGTGCTTTCCATCGACTTTACGGGAACCATGAATAGCGCCATGGCTGGCTTCTATCGTTCCAAGTACAAGCCCGTGGGCGAGCCTGCTGTTGATACTCCGAAAGAGGGTGACTTTTACTACATGCTGAGCACTCAGTTCGAGTCTTGTGATGCGCGGAGGGCTTTCCCTTGCTTCGATGAGCCGAACCTGAAAGCCACCTTCGACTTCGAGATCGAAGTCCCCAAGGGCCAAACTGCCCTTAGCAATATGCCGATCCAATCGGAAAGAGATGGAAGTCGTCCTGGGCTGAAATTCGTGACCTTCGAAAGAAGTCCCGTGATGAGCACCTATGTTAGTACGAACCAGATTGATATGTGTTTCACCCCCGCGTGGCTAACAAAATACCGCTTGGCACAGCTTTTGGCCTGGGCCGTCGGTGACTTCGAATACGTCGAAGCCATGACTGAACGCAAGTACCAAGGCAAAAGTATCCCGGTCCGGGTCTATACCACGAGAGGCCTCAAGGACCAGGCTCGCTTTGCATTGGAATGTGCGCATCGCACAGTCGATTATTTCTCGGAGGTGTTCGAAATTGAGTATCCCCTGCCGAAAGCAGATCTCCTTGCTGTCCATGAGTTTGTAAGTGATGCTCTATTGTCAGACGTTGACCAAATCAGTTGGTCCAATACTGAATGAATCGTCTCAGGCCATGGGAGCCATGGAGAACTGGGGTCTTGTGACATATCGGACAACGGCGGTTCTGTTCGACGAAGGCAAATCCGACAACCGGTACAAGAACCGCATCGCCTATGTTGTTGCACACGGTAAGGCCCTGGAAATAACCAGACTGATACCATGTTTCTTTCTAATATACTGCATCTTAGAACTGGCCCATCAGTGGTTTGGTAATCTCGTCACAATGGATTGGTGGAACGAACTTTGGTTGAATGAGGGGTTTGCAACTTGGGTCGGCTGGCTTGCCGTTGATCATTTCTATCCAGGTGAGCACTTGCTTCATTGAGACCATATACCGCACTGCAGGTTTTAACTCACATGTGCAGATTGGAACATCTGGTCCCAGTTTGTCGTACGCAATTCTCGAGGTAAAAAGCGTCGTACTCAAATCACAATTAACATTGTCATAGGCTGAAGGTGTGCAACAAGCATTCAATCTCGACTCCCTGCGGGCCTCCCACCCCATCGAAGTGCCTGTTCGAAACGCCCTGGAAGTGGACCAGATTTTCGATCACATCAGCTATCTGAAAGGAAGCTCAGTGATTCGCATGCTTAGTGTTCACCTGGGCAAGGAGACCTTCCTGCGGGGCGTGGCAAACTATCTCAAGTCCCATGCATACGGTAGGCGAATCAGATTGGCACTGAACCAGGACATTCGCTGAATGTATTTCTAGGAAACGCGACTACGAATGACCTGTGGTCCGCCTTGAGCAAAGCCTCTGGCCAGGATGTGCACACTTTTATGGTGAGTCGAGACAAATATTGACCTGTCACCTTGCAAAAACTAAACTATTCAAGGATCCCTGGATTCGCAAAATTGGTTTCCCCGTTGTCACAGTGGCAGAAGAGCCCGGCCAAATCAGCGTGCGCCAAAATCGGTTCTTGTCCACTGGAGATGCGAAACCTGAGGAAGATCAGACGACGTGGTGGATCCCTCTTGGGATTAAGTCAGGACCAAATCTGACCACAGTTGACACCCGTGCCCTAACAGCAAAGTCTGACACGGTTGGGGGTGTTGGTGAGGATGCCTTTTACAAGATTAACAAGGACTTGGCTGGGTTCTACCGAACCAACTACCCCCCTGCGCGACTGGCGAAACTGGGCCAGTCTCTTGATCTCTTGAGCACAGAGGACAAGATTGGGTTGCTGGGCGATGCAGCTGCTCTTGCGGTCTCCGGAGAAGGTACCACACCAGCCCTGCTGGCTCTGCTAGAAGGGTTCAAGGGGGAGAAAAATTACCTGTAAGGAGCCAGCTATGTTCTCTTCGATTTCCGTTTGCCCTAACACTTCAATCTACAGTGCTTGGTCTCAGGTCTCTTCGTCACTGGGGAACCTTCGCTCCGTGTTCTCTCAAAACGAGAAGGCGGCAGAGGGGCTGAAAAAGTTCACCCTTAGTGTTGCTTCCCCGGCAGCTGAGCGGATTGGCTGGGACTTCCAGCCCAATGAGGACTATCTTATTGTCCAGCTTCGGAAGCTCCTGATCGCAGTGGCCGGTACTGCTGGCCATGAAGGGTGAGTTCATTCTTATGCTTTTGCTTAGGTTATCTCTGACGTATCATTTGTTTCGTTCAGTACCGTTGCGGAAGCTAAACGCCGCTTCGATCTCTGGGCTACCGGAAAAGACAAGAGTGCCGTACACACAGATCTGCGTTCGGCAATTTTCGGGATCAATATATCAGAAGGTAGCCGCAAGGAGTACGATGCCGTTAAAGAGGAGTACCTCAGAACCGATTCCGTGGATGGTAAGGAAATCTGCCTGGCCGCGATGGGGCGTACGAAAGATCCGACTTTGGTACAGGACTACTTGGACTTTGTCTTTTCGGATAAGGTGGCCGTTCAGGACGTCCACGGTGGTGCTGTGTCCTTGGCCGCTAATTCCAAGGTTCGGCACTTGCTGTGGGATTACATGAAGAAGAACTGGACCGCCGTTGAAACTAAGTTGTCCCACAACAATGTTGTCTTTGAACGCTTTGTGCGGATGGGTTTGTCCAAGTTTGCCGATCATCAGATTGGCGAGGACATTGCGGCCTTCTTCAAGGGTATGAACACCAGTGCCTATGACCGTGCCCTCGTCATCGTGGCGGACAACATCCGGACCAATGCAACCTACAAGGAGAGAGATGAGGCGTTGGTGGTGGAATGGCTGCAAGCCCACGGTTATGCGTGAAATAAACATGTGCACTTGGTCAGGAATTTGGCAGGAATTTCGAGATTAATGGATTCTGGCTCTTTGTGCTGATTTGGCTTTTCGCGCCGTCATCTGCCGGCTGCATCATACTTGTAGTCGCCCACGAGGCTGATAGCGGGACACGGGACCTGGTCTCGCGATCATAGTGATGACAAAGGATAGACTGCGAAGCTGATTCCTAGAAATCCAGCAAGCCCATGGCAAATTGGCAGGATAGAGGACAAGTCGCACATGTAGAATTAAAGGAATCCAACGAGTGGGGGAGCAGAGTGAAACAAAGCTGCGCATCAGGTGCCTCTGGTCTCCTGCACCTCCTATCATTTCAGGCGCCTGCCCATCGTTGGATCCTCTCTCCGACCTCAAAACTTCCACTCATCCATCTCCGGATCTTTTTTTCCTTGCTATAATCTCTGGGATTTGTGTGTCCTTTTCTTCTTCTTCCTTTTCTGTCTTCCCGTGTGCCCCGACTTTCTCCTTCTGTCGGAGACCCTCGTCGAATATGAATCCCGAGTGGTAAGCCTTCCCATCCATCTTGCGATGTCCTCTGGCGGAAATTTTCCGGGCTTTGGTGCAGGATCAACTGGCCCTGTCAATCTGTGTACTATCAAGTAGAGTGACCCGGACTGACGTTATTTGCAGAGTATCTCTCCGCTCTGTTGCCCGATTTTCCAGATCCTTGAGGAAAACCCACAACTCTCGTCGACCTGCCTCTCTGACCTAACCATCCGTATAGATACGACTACCTCTTCAAGCTCCTCCTCATCGGAGACTCCGGTGTTGGAAAGTCTTGCCTGTTGCTGCGTTTCGCCGATGACACCTACACGGAAAGCTACATCTCGACGATCGGGGTCGACTTCGTACGTGTTACATCCGCGGGGTACCTGCTCTGGTGGGCTAGGATGGAATGTTGACGTTTTCACTCATTACAGAAAATCCGGACTATCGAGCTCGATGGCAAGACTGTGAAACTTCAGATTGTATGATTATCCCCCCCCCCCCCCCCCAAAGTGGATGGAGCCGGACATGGGACAACACTGACGGCGCATACAGTGGGACACCGCAGGCCAGGAGCGATTCCGCACCATCACATCTTCCTACTACCGTGGTGCTCACGGAATCTGTGTGGTGTACGATGTGACCGACATGGACTCCTTCAACAACGTCAAGCAGTGGCTTCAGGAGATTGACCGATACGCCACGGAGGGTGTCAACAAGCTCCTCGTGGGCAACAAGAGTGATATGGAGGACAAGAAGGTCGTGGAGTACACTGTGGCCAAGGTACGTCTCCGTCCATATGCCATTTCCCCGTCTGGCAAGATGCGGGGGAAAGTCAAGATCCGGTCACTTATTCTCTCTGGTTTTTTTTTTCTTTGCAGGAGTTCGCCGACAGCCTCGGAATCCCCTTCCTTGAGACCTCTGCCAAGAACGCGTCCAACGTTGAACAGGCGTTTTTGACAATGGCACGGCAGATCAAGGAGCGTATGGGAACAGCCACGGTGAACAACAAACCTACTGTGCAGGTTGGCCAAGGACAGGGTGTCCAGTCTGGATCCGCGGGCGGCTGCTGCTAGATGACCCGGGGCGGTGCTTCCATTTGGCGCAATGTTTCATCATGAATGAGGGTTTATCAAGTTGCGTGGTATCTAATCAGTAGTCAGGCTTGTCAAACCCTCCCGCGACACTCGGGGACATGTTCCAGACAGGAGATTTCCCCAGAGTGTTGTGTGGACCCTTTCTTTTTCTCTTTCTTCACTGTGCTTTAGATGGGCCTGCGTTATGACCTCGTTCTGCGTTTACTTCCTCTGTGATGTCTGCTGGTTCCTGTTTCTCTTTTTCTCCCTGGCCACATTCCTACCTCTTGCGTTGACCCTCTATTTTCTTGTCCTTTTTTTTTTGTGTGTGTGTGTGTATGTGTGTCTGTAGGTTGGATTCTTCAAATGGACTAATGGCGAGAATCTGGCGACATCTTGGGGCATTCACTGAACAGCCCAATCTCTTCGCTTTGTATATGTAGCTATCGATCTCTTGCAGCATGGGAACGCATCACATGCACAGGCCCTTAGACCAGGGGCTTTCTCAATGCCCGGATCATCTTGACGCCATGTCTCCCATGCCAATAGTGACTCACACCTCAAACATGAATATGCAGCGTCTCTGACAACAGTGCAGGCACATAAGGACCACAAGCCGACAGAATCACAGTCTGTGAGGATGTTTCGGAATGCCCTGGTGGAGCTGTGCAGGAGCCGAGGCACAGCGTTCGGCAAACGTCATGAGTATCCCCATCCCCATCTAAGCCGAATTGCTCTCACGCGCTTTTGCTCCTGATTCTTTCTCTCCCTTCATTTCTGATATCTCTGATTTGATCCGCTCTTTTCTTCCTATTCTATTTCCATCGAGTTTTGTTGGAATCTCGCCAGTTCTTCCCAGAAGAGTCTCTTATCCTCTCCCCGCCAAACATCATGTCTAAGTCCGGTGTTGAGCAGCAGAAAAAGGCAGCCTCTGCAGCTGTGCAGCAAAGTGACAATATTACCCACGCTTTGGCAGGTGCTGGTGGTGGCATTCTGTCGATGGTATTGACGTACGCTTTCCCTCTAATACCCCTCCCCTCCTGATGGACACTGAGGCGCTAACCTGATCCACATCCTACAGATATCCTCTGATTACCCTCTCAACGCGAGCCCAAGTTGAGTCAAAGCGTGCACACTCCACCACCCTCGATGCGGTCCGTCGCATCGTGCAACGAGAGGGCATTTCGGGTCTGTACTCGGGCCTCGAGTCTGCCTTGTTCGGAATCAGCGTCACCAATTTTGTGTATTACTATTGGTATGAGTGGACCCGGGCTGCCTTTGAGAGGGCTGCCACCAAGGCTGGCCGGGCCTCCAAGAAACTGACGACAGTCGAGTCGATGATTGCGGGTGCAATCGCTGGGAGTGCGACGGTGCTGCTCACCAACCCGATCTGGGTCATCAATACTCGCATGACAGCCCGCAAGTCTGAGGCAGATGAGCAGGTGCTGCCTGGTGCAAAGAAGGCCCGGCCCTCATCCATCAGCACCCTGATGGACTTGCTGCGACAGGAGGGTCCGAAGGCGCTTTTCGCCGGGGTGCTCCCGGCACTCGTCCTGGTGATCAATCCGATCCTGCAGTACACCATCTTTGAGCAATTGAAAAACCTGGTGGAACGCCGTCGCCGGATGACCCCTAAAGATGCATTCTACTTGGGTGCCCTGGGCAAGATCATGGCTACCAGTATCACCTACCCCTACATTACCATCAAGAGCCAGATGCACGTGGCTAGTAAAGATGGCCCCAAGGAAAGTCTGAATGGTAGTTTGAAGCGCATCATTCACGAAGAGGGATGGACGAGGCTCTACAAAGGTAAGTGGGATCATGATGCGTGGGGGGGTGTCCTCGCTAATACCCTTATCTATATATAGGGATTGGGCCTAAAGTGACTCAGAGCGCCATTACTGCGGCATTCCTCTTTGCATTTAAGGATGTATTGTATGATATGATGGTGTCTGCGCGCAAAAGAGGCCGTGGAATTGGCAAGTAAAGGAAGACATGGGCCTGTTCTACAATCTACCCTTGAAGACTCCCAAGGAAGAAGCTCCTTCCTTGTGCAGGGCCTCAGATCATAGAGGTTATCACATATTGACTATTCATAATGTGTATATATATACAGTTTGGACTGTCGGTGTTCGTTGTCCTCTAGCTCTATCCCTATTATACTTGTAACTCTAGATTTTCAAGGAATATAAAGGAAAAAGAAGAGAATAAGAAATCTACTAAAACCTATAGCTATAACGTCTCGTTCTTAAACGATTATTGACCAGAGAGCGCATAGTAAGAACACTCATAGATATCTAGGCTGGCGACCTCCAAGTAAAAAAAAAACAAAGTAATTAAGGCGCCCTCACACACCGCCCGCCATCGCGCGACGCGATCGTGGGAATTTCGCGACAAGCCAAGATTTCTATCTTCTGCTACGTCTATCTACAGATTTATTTTCTGTTATTGTGTCAATCAATGGGCTCCTTCCAGGATTGACACTGCTTTGTAAGTTGTCCCAAGACAGGTTCTTTCTCTTTCAACGGTAGGCTGATTTGATTTAGGCTAGAAATTCAATAGGTTCTTTCAACTTTGCGACGCTTTCATTCAACCCGATACCTCCCGAATCTGCCCCTCGATCTTCTTGTGCTTGTTACTTGGCCTCCCTCAACTAGCCTACTCGGCACCTGCGCCTGGAAGACTTTGATCTAGCCTAGACCAGGCCGACCTCAAACGAACCTCCAGGGAATTGTGGTAGGTTGAACGGGACCAAGAGAGGGAGAAGCAAGAGTGAATACGCGCAAGGCACCAGCTAGACCTCATTTGCTCCTGAGATCCCCCCAGAGCATACACGCAACAGTGGATTCCATTACGGGATGCCTCTCCCGTCAATCCCCAACCCGACACGAATATCTGTGGTCCAGGATCTGTATCCTTGGCGTGTTTTCTGGTAAGGTACAGAGAGAGGGAGAGAGGTAGATCCTACCTCCTTAAAGAAATACAAGATCATGGCTTATTGCTGACTCTTCACGAAGTAGCTTCCGAGTCTAGGTGTATCTCATGTCACAAAACCTTCCGCATATCAGAGGTCGGGGCTCCTCTGGTCTTGCTTCATATCCAATGTTCCCTGGTGGTCGAGACAGCCCTCATGTCATTCATGAGGCCGATCGCCTACTAGATCAATTCAGCCGGGGTCCCTCTCGACCTCCCAAAAGGAGTCTGACCCCAGTGACTCATGGGCACACGACATTTCATCTTGGAGAAGCCAATGATAAATGGCAGACCCCACGGTCTGAGGCCCACAATATTGCTGCAATACCTATAAGGAGATCCCCATCAACACACACCTATGCCAATACGGCTCCACAAGACCGTGTCACCACTGCCTCTCGCAGCTTACCTAGGCAATCACCCACTCGACCGTCCACTGGTGACCAGGCAATTGCACAAAGCCTTAGGAAGAATGCTACAGTCACAAATGCTAGCAAGAATAAGGCGAAGAAGATCCAGCCCACAAAGGCTGCAACAGAGTACTGGAGCCAAGTATCACCTTCATCATCGCCATCCGAATATGAATCGTCGTCTTCGGCTTCACAATCAGGTCACCCAACACGCCGATCTAGTCGCTCCACGACTAAACCTACGAATTATTATGCACCAATCAGGCTAGGTTCAGACGAAGAAAGTGTGCTAGGATCTCGTGTCTCTAAAGAGAGGAGAGCACCGTACAACTCGGATCCACCTACGATCCCTCCAACTCGGCCCCGGCCTCAACAGACTCTACCTCCCATTCTGCCTCGAAGATCTAATGTTCAAAAGCTCCTGTTTGGCCGTGAACTTGGCCAGTGGGATTGTCAGCGTCGGATCAATGCAGAAGCCACATCTGATTTCAAGCCATGGAAGTCTTGGAAAGGTGCATCGAATGATGTGAATGCCTTGGCCTGGTCTCCAGATGGCACTCAATTTGCAGCGGGTGCAACCGCCCAGACTGACGAATACAATCGTGGGAATAATCTGATCCTCGGTGATCTCCAAGCGAGTTCTTTGAAGGAGTTGCCAAATCATTGGATACCTCGACCAGAGTCATCCAATGTTAATGACCAACGTCTCTTTATGACTGTGTCAGCCATGCAGTGGTCTGGCCAGCGATTGTATACCGCCAGTTATGACCATACTGTCAAAATCTGGGATGTTGCAACACACAAAAATGCCTCGTGTCTCCAAACCCTTCGACATGATTCCAAGGTTGTGGTCATGGCCCCATCAAGCGATGATCCCAATATTCTCGCAACGGGAACCCGTTCATTTGGAATTTGGGATACCCGGGACTTGCAGAACCCTGGCTTTACGTCTCTGCCAATTTATCACGATCCTCGCCAAAAATCCGACATAGATTATGAAGCGACCATCCTCTCGTGGGGACACACTTCTGCGACCAAACACTTTTTGGTTGGGGGCATGGAGGAACGAAACTCGGGTGCATCTGGTGTGTCTTTCAAGGGGCACCTGGGGCTATGGCAGGCCCGTGAGTCTTCATTTGAGGCTGTTAAACTCACCCCAAACACCCATAACGTCTTCGATGTCAAGTGGCATCCCTTGTTGCCTATATTTGCGGCTGCGGGTCCTGTGTCGCCACATGATATTACTCAGAAGGGGCTTCCTAGGGGCACTAAATCAATCGTCCGTGTATACGATCCGGGTAAATGTCGGCCTACCACAGAGCTTGTCTCTCAGGCCTTGGATGTCAACGAGGTGACGTTTTGTCCCTTGAATCCCAATTACGTTACCGCCAGTTGTACCAACGGCGTGACCTATGTCTGGGATCAACGCAATCAAAACGAGGTTCTCCACGCACTCCAACACGGGGAACCTCTCAACCCGATCAATGAGGGGGCTTCGCGAGAAGAAGAGGATGTGGGGGTCAGGGTTGCTTTGTGGGGCTCCACTATGGATCAGCTCTACACGGGCTCCTCGGACGGCGCTCTCAACAGATGGGATATCCGTCGGGCTCCCGATGATGTCTTGGTGGAGCATACCGCCAGCTTTGAGGATGGAATCATGTGCGGGGCCTTCTCCGAGGACCAGTCTCACCTCCTTGTTGGGGACTCTGGAGGAGGTATTCATGTGTTAGCTACTGGTCCTTCCTCGGACCCTGATGCCTCCAACTTCGCCTTCGAACGTGCTCCTGAGCCATCGCCTCTCCAGAAAACCACGGAAAGTGGGGTCTCGATTGCGAACCAGTTCCTCGCTTCTCGCCAGCTTGTGAGGCACGAAATCTACGGAGTGGGACAAGGGCCTTCTTATGAAGGTCCTTTTGCATCGTGGGCCCGTGATGTTCCGCCAGACTCTTCACTAGAACACATGAAACAGACTCCGCTACGGCAGGAATTTCAAATCCGCCAACTCCATGGGCAGCCTGTGGAGAACCGTGGTCTCGATGATGATTCTCAGAGGGACATTATGAAACACATTCGCCTCGCCCAAATTCGCAATGTCCGGTTGAACCGAGGTGATGGACCATCACTTGACAAAAGGAAGCGTGAAAGCTCTGTTATCGAGCTGAGCAGTGGTGACGATGAAGCGTCCAAGAAATCACGGAAGAAGAAACAGCTTCTACCTTCGGAGCCGTTGATCACCGACACCGGCCATGTTGATCTGACCCAGGACAGCTCGTCTGATCGAGACTCCACGAGGGGGTCTATTTTCATTAACCCGAAGAACGGGCGGCCAAAGACGTCCCACCGCAAAAGTCGATCTGCCGTGCGCGAAATGAGACGGCAGAAAGAACTCGAGATGATACAAGAAAAGCTCGAGGAGGACTACTGGTGGCCAGCCAGCGGTGACATTGATCCAAATTTCCAAGACGAGACGGTGTGACTCAGAAGAGCGTGAAATAATCTTGCATTGCATTGAATAGAGTTTGGGACAGCTTCTTGTCAGTCCCTTTGTTTTTCACTTCAAGTGTTTCATGTAACAGATACATAAGACGCTGACCCGAGCTCGCATCGCTCGGCTGACTTTAGGGGATGTAGTAGATGCTAAAAAATTAGATTTTAAAGCCTTGTCAACCAACTTATACGATCCATTTATCATGTATAGATAATTGCTTGTCTTTTTTTTTTTGTCATTGTTTCCCTAATCCATTATCTATATGTTTTCTATAATTTTCTAATCATTATTTTCATCCTCTTTTCAATCCCTATCCACACTCTCTTCTCTATGTTTAACCTAATTAGCTGACCTGAGGTGACATGAGTACTAAGACCTAGAATTGGGCAATTGTTTCGCCGCGTTCATATATTTTTATATCATAAATTGTTTTGGCGTGTTGGCCGTAGTCTACCCAAGTAGCGAGTAACCGGTGACGTTGCACCGCCCCCCCGGTTCCGAATTACGCTGCCTGTGCTGCCTCAGACCACGTTCCTGATCTATAAGTCGCCATCGCCTTCGATTCCTTGGCTTCTTTCCCCTTACAACTTACAACTCCCTTGCCAAAATATTCCTTAGCCTCTCTTTTCAAGTCTCTTTTTTGATCGTTTGCTATTTCACAACTCCGCCTATGTACGCCCCGCCTTCAGGTCCTCCCCCGCCGTCGGTGCCGGAGGGATGGAAGCCGCAATATGACGACCGATACCAAACTTGGTAGGTGCCATTTTTCTTCCTATTTCCAAATCTCGAACCAGGATATGCAACAATGAGCTGATAATCCAGGTTCTATGTTAACCTTGCCACCGGCAAATCCCAGTGGGAGCGTCCCGAGGCACCCGCCCCGCGCGATGAAGCCGCTTCTCCCGATGTGCCTCCGCCATCGTACGACCAGGCCGGCCCTACGGATCCGACAACAAAGGCCAGTATAGGCGACAAGAAACAATCCATGGGGTCCAACAACCCCTACAACCCGGCCAACTCAGCTCAGAGCAGCCCCAGCCCCAATATCGATGAAGACGCTCGACTGGCTGCTAAGCTCCAGGCCGAGGAGGACGCTCGGGCTAACACCAGGGATGCGGGCACACCCGGCGCTGCATCTGACTACTACAACAAGCCGTCGCGGCCGCAGTCCACCGGAGCCGGCGCGTACGCTCCCGGCCCGTCGTCACAGAGTCCTATGCCCGAACAGAAACGCAGCAAGGGTGGCTTTTTGAGCAAGTTGATGGGCAAGAGCTCCGGGAGCAGTGCGCGACCACCACAGCCGCAGCCGCAAGCGCAACCACCTCCACCCGGCGGATACTACGGGGGTTACCCCCCGCAGCCCGGGTACGGCTATCCAGGACCGGGGTACGGCGGCTATCCGGCGCAGGGAGGATACTATCCACAGCAACCGCCGCGGAAACAGGGGGGAGGTATGGGGACTGCTGGTGCCGCGGCACTGGGTGTTGGTGGTGGTCTACTCGGCGGAATGCTACTTGCCGACGCCGCGGACGACTGGGGAGATCATCACGACGGCGGGTATGACGATGGTGGTTACGACGGCGGCGGCGATGACTTTGGCGGGGGCGATTTCTAACCTGATTTCTATTCTGCGCCGACAGCCATTTGCTTCCTTTTTTCTTTTCCTTTTTTTTTTTGGTACTTGAGAGAACTATGGGCTTCTGGGACTTTGGTCAAGGGTTTCTCGGCGCGTTTGACGGCTGGGTGGTTTGTGCTTATGGCCGCCTGATGAACATTTGCTTATTTTTCTTTCTTTTATTCCTTTGATGTTGATGAATTACGAGCAGTTGCAAATTCAGTCCGAGTGTATTATATGCGCCATCGGGGCAGATGGCCAAAAGGCACGTGGCTTCATGACTAGACTCTCCAAGTCCGATCTTTCGTAGGCGATCGAGGATCTCTCAACGTCTATGCACGCCTCCGCGCAGGACCGCCAGCCTCTCGGCCCGTAGTGCTCCCCCGCGCTCCATCCGCATTCGCCACGGGACTCGATGCGGTGCCAGCCATCCACCCGGCCAAATCAAAGCCGCCGCCGGACATGGCATTGCCAGTGGCACCGGTAATGGGCGATGATCGAGAATGCTGTTCAAACTCGGCGCGCATTTCAGGATCCACTAAGATCAGAGGGGTTAGCCACACAAATCAATACCGAGAAGGTCAAGGGGGGAGAGAGTGGACATACTGTTCTCCATCAGCTTAGGTATACCAAACGTGACACCCAGCGCAAAGATAGCCATTAAGATCATAGGGTTCTTGAAGAGACTCATTGGGGAGACTGCAGAATTATGCAAACATTAGCCTGGGCACACACTTGAATGTCTCTAGAATGGGAGAGAGGGAGAAAGGAGAGGCACTCACACTTGGAGCGCTCCTCATAGAAGCTCTTTTGACCGACTACCTTCGCCTCGACAACGACATCATTCTCCGGCTCACAGGCCACATCAATGACATATTTCTCTGCGCCGCGATTGTCCCACGGGTTACCTCGGAAGGTTTCCCAAACCCCGAGAATCGACCCATCGGCGGCGACGTCGACACGGTAAGGGGCGAAGACGTAGTCGGCCCCCGAGTGAATGTCGAGGAGGTAGGACTCGGGGGACGAGGGCAGGTCACGGAACACAAGGGTCAAGGAGCGGGTTAACGAAGTGGTTAAGATGTGGTCTTTCCCGGCCGATGGGAGAGTAGTGAGGGTTGCATGGGTCGTTGCGGGGAGGACATGAGGGTTGGGCAGGAGATTGGAGCCCGGGATGATGATAGTGAGGGAGGACGAGGACACCAGGCAGGTGAACAGGAGAAAGAGGAGCGACCGCGAGAAATGCATGGCGAATTGTTGAACTGCGGTTGCAGAAGAGGCCTCAAAGGTGAAGTTGTCTGGGGCCAACTTTCAGGTGGAAGTGAAGCCGAGGTGACTAAGCCCTAGTCAACTAGGTAACTAACCTACTATCCATGAATATTGGTTAACCACGTAGGTACTTAGGTAGATCAATAGCAACAAACAATCGACTAATAGACCAGGGCATTGTTTACTGATGGAGCACATCGCTTTCGTTGATCCAGAGGAAGTTGGTTTAAAAAACAGAAAGGCAATAGACTACAGTGCCGGGAATCTCAACTCCTATGTACAATCTCTCTCGCCAATATATACAAAAGAAAAGATGAAACCACCCTTACAGCTTGGCCCTAGGTGTCGATTCCTCTTCCAGAGCCTGGGCGTACAGCTGGTCCAAGAGCTGGCGGTACGCCTTGGTGGTCGGGGGGCGCTTCAGCTTGAGTCTGGTGAAAAAGAGGGTCAGTGGGCAACCAAAACACACACACACACACACACACACACAAAACGGTATAACTTACGTAGGGGTCAAAAGGTTGTTCTCGACAGTGAACGGTTCCAATCGCAAAGCGCAGTTGCGCACTCTCTCGTATCCCGCCAGCTTGTGTTTTTTGGCCACCCGCTCGAGATCTCGCAGCACGGTGCGGCGGATCTTGTCATCGCCTAGAGCTGTCTTGATGGCCTCCAAGTCGGTGGCATCAATCTTCTGTCCCAGAACCTTGCTGGCAAATGGGGCAAAGGTATCGGGCTGGACGCCGAAGATCCCGACCAAGAAAGTCTGCACACTGTCGCCGTGCACGTAGGCCTGAGCGAGGTAGCCGAGTTCCGACAAGAGCACACCTTCCAGTCTCTCGGGCGAAATGTACTCGCCCTGTGCCAACTTCAGAACGTTCTTGCGGCGGTCGATGATTGTGAAACGGCCCATCTCGTCTATCGTGCAAACGTCACCGGTTTGGAACCAGCCATCCTCCGTCATCGCCTTGGACGTCTCTTCGGGGTTCTTGAAGTATTCCCGGAACACGTTGTGGCCGCGCAGCAACAACTCTCCGCGCGGGTGTGGCTTGTCATCCACCGAGTATTCCATGTCGGGCAAGGACTTCAGGCATCCCTCCACGGACGGGGCAAGGCGACCACAGTTGCCGACTGTCAAATCCTCCGGCGACTGCACCAGGCCAAAGGCGTACGTCTCCGTCAGGCCGTAGCCTTGGAACACATCAACCCCGGTGGCAACCCGCAAGAAGTTCTGCAGCGTGGGGTCCAGAGGCGCAGAGCCTGACACCATGTATTTGGTCCGCTCCAATCCAAGTGCCGCCGCCACCTTCTTGCCCCAGATACGATCGTACAGAGCGTGTCGGATCGTGGCCCTGGAGGGGTCAGGGTCCTTTAGGTTAGCAGTCTTGGTCGCAATGATATGTCGCGACAGAGCACCCTTGAAGCCCGGCTGATCGACTGTCGCGGAGCGTATCGCATTGCCGAAACGGCTATAGAGACGCGGGACCGACATAAACGCAGTAGGCTTCAACAGCTTCAGGTCATCCACCAGCTCTACGATGTTGCCGTGGAAGTAGCCAATCCGCGCACCACCCCAGAAAGCCGTGTGCTCGGCCAAGCGTGCGTAGATGTGGGCCAGTGGGAGGTAGGAGCACATTGTATCACCACGAGCCTGACCAGCGGCCAGCAGACCGCCGGTAGTAGCGGCCACTGCATTCTCATGGGTCAAGACCACGCCCTTGGGAGGTCCCGTCGTGCCAGAGGTGTAGTTGATGGTGACAAGGTCCGACGGTGACGGAAGGTTATTCCCACGTTTCGAGGCGGCACCCAGAGCCTCCACCTGATCGATGGTGTAGATTGTGACGTCCTGATCGGCTGCCATGGATTCCAGCAGTGCTCGCTTCGAGTAACCGGTCTGCTCGCTCCCGTCTAGTGGATCCAGACTGACAATGATCTTTAGATTGGGCATGGAAGGCTTGAGCTTGAGAAGGGTCGGAATATGCGGGAGAGAAGTGACAACACAGTGTAGCTCGGCGTGGTTGATGATGTATTCCGTGGCATCCGACGCCAACACGTCGTAAATAGAGACCGAGTAAAGGGATTGTGACATGCATGCCAGATCTACAAAATGCCATGGGGATCAGTTTCTGGAGTATCTCTATCAGTGACAAGAGAACCGAACTTACCGGTGATCTGCCACTCCGGTCGGTTCTGACACCAGAGACCAATGCCATACTGGCCCGGGCGGTGGCAGTTGTGCTTGTGGTGCAGCTCGACCAGGCCAGCACCAAAGGCCGTGCGCCGCTTTTGCACCTGCTCATAGGTGATCCACTGGTACGGATCAAAGGCCTTGGTAGCCGGGTTGAATGGGCGCCAGCCGAGACAGTGGCTCTTAGGTTGGCGATTGGCAGTCGACTCGAAGATATCATGCGCAGTCAACACCTGGGGGTCCAACGTCTTCACCAATTCCTTCTGGGTATTCCATGCCCGGTATATCCGGCTCCGGCCTGGTTTCTCTGTGCCGGGAAGGGCGACGGAATAGGCGGTGCCCTTGGGCGGCGGCTGCTTGAGCTCATCCGCCTTGGCAAGATGGGCGGGCTGCGAGTAAAACATGGCTTTCTTTGGATGATAAGGATTGATTAGCCAGATTCATTCCCTGGTTAGAAGGAAAGAGAGAAGAAAAAAAAAAAAAGAAGACATGCATACCGAGTAAGAAATGACTAGTAGGACCGAAATGGAACAGAAAGCCTCCCACGAAACGCCACAGGGGTAAAGAAGCGGGAGAGGATCAGGGGGGAAAGAGAAGAGAAGGAGGAGAAGAGGAATAGTAAAAGAAAAGAAAATGAAAATGAAAATGAAAATGAAAATGAAAAAGAAAGGTGCCGGAGACAACGGAGCAGGCGACCGTTCTAGGAAGAAGCGGCGAGGCAAAAGAACCTCGGCATGTTGACATTCCCCACATCCCAGGGACACCCGTCATCGTCACATCTTCATCTTCTACTCGGCATTTCCTCACATGCCACTTCACATGAAAAGATCTCGGATATATGCAAAAATTCTTATGTACACAATGCCATGCCTCGATTATATATATATACACAGTCAACCGCTAATCCACCGCCATACTTTGCCGTACCATGTGGTCGGCTCATTCGTCTCCCATGACTCGGTTTCAGGGTCAGTCCGACCGGTGTCCAGGTCCGCCTCCAGTGGCTTGACAAACGCAGGACGGAAGATCAGCTTGTGGCCCACATACAACACCACAAAGAGGATCAGGCTGAGGTAGTTGATGAAGAAATCTTCGACCGAGAAGCTCGGGATAAACGAGGTGAACCCCTGCGTGATGATAATCAAGATGTTGAAGAACAGCCCGTACCACGAAAACCATGGCTGCCACATAGCCTTGTACGGGAGTACATCGCGGGAGATGTTGCGCGCCTTGAGCGCTCGTTGAAAGGCGAGATGGCACGCGTTCAGCGACGTCCAAGTGATGAAACCGGCCACTCCGGAGATTTGGAGTAGCCAGGTAAACACATTGCTGCCCGCGTTAGACACGTTGAGGAACCCCAGTAGCCCAAAGAGAGCGGTAAAAGCCACACTGAAGTACGGCACGCCTCCCTTGGTAGTCTTCTTGAAGAACCGCGGAGCGAAGCCCTCCTGCGCGAGGCCGATCAAGATTCGACTGCCGCTATAGACGTTGGAGTTGGCCGCGGAGAGGACCACGGTCAGAAGGACGGCGTTGATGATCCCGGGCAGAACCTCCACCCCGGCACGCTTGGCTGCAATCACAAACGGCGAAGCATTGGCGTTATTCGCATTAGCCCCGCTACCCTCGCTAGCCACGAGACCTTTATCATAGGAAGGCACCACAATCCCAATAAAAAAGATGGTGAGGATGAAAAAGAAGATGATTCGGAAGAAGGTCTTGCGAATAGCCGAGGGAACGGTTTTGCGAGGGTTCTCGGTCTCGCCCGCGGCGATACCAACTAGTTCGGTGCCTTGATAGGAGAATCCAGCTTGGATCAGCACCGACCAGAAGCCGACAAACTTAGCCACAGAGTCGTGATGTTTGATTTTGTAGGCCACGAACGGACCGGGGTGCACCCAGTAGGTAAATCCGAGGTAGCCCTCGTCGCCGACGCCGGCATTCATGCAAATGGCGAAGATCATGAATCCAATGACCGTGATGATCTTAATACTCGAAAGCCAGAATTCCATTTCACCGTAGAAGCTGACGGGGAGCATGTTGAAGATGATGATCAAGACCCAGAAGATGGCGATAAAAATGGCGATAGGGATGCTGTCGTCCCAGAATTGGATGATCAGCCCCGTTGCAGTTAATTCCAATGCAAACGTCGAGGCCCAGGAAAACCAATAGATCCAACCCATGGCGAACCCCAGGCTGGGATCAATCAAACGGGCTGCATATGAGGTGAAGGAACCGGGGATCGGGATATAGGTAGCAATCTCGCCGAGAGCCATCATGACGGAGTATACAATCGATCCGACGAAGATATATGCGATGAGGGCGCCGACCGGTCCTGCATTGGCAATGGCCGTGCCACTTCCAATGAACAGACCTGTTCCTATCGTGCCACCTGCGAGGAGTCAGCCGTTGAAGAGAAAAAGAAAAAAACGACACGATCGTAGACTCACCGATGGCAATCATCTGTAAATGTCTGCTCTTCAACCTCCGCTTCAAATCTGGCAGCGGATTTGACTCGCGACTGGCGCCATACTTCTCATAATCCACATCGTAGCTAGTAGGAGTTTGCGCCTGAACCTGTGTCATCGGTCCATGGGAATCCATCTTCCCCTTCTCCGATGGCGCGTTGGTCACCTCGTCCGCCATGGTTGAGAGAAAAGATATGGGCAAAAAGAGGAAGCACGATGGGCAAGGAAATTCCCAAGTCAAAAACTGCACCCGGGGCTCCACCTTTTGCCACGGACAATAGGCGGGAGCCGACTTTTTTTTTTTTTTTTTGTGGAGAAGCGTGTCTAAGAGACTCGAAGTATGAGATCGGCGATGAGGGGAAGGATCGGACTAGTTAGGTAAAAGAAAGAGAGAAAAAAAAAAGAGAAATGCACCCCAGGAAATCCTGCGAAGGATTTAGGTGAACACGTCCGAGCAGAAGCCATTTAATGGATTTTCTCTCAAAACTACGTTCGCATCTCCGAGAAAAAGTCTGCCGGGTGGCAAGGGTCCGAGATAATGAGAATGAGAATGAGAATCACCTATTACTTATGAGAATCATTATCTTGTGCACGCTAAATCCCCCCCCGATGTGACATGCCATCGGCGAGCCCGGGTGCCGATCGATGCCCCCAATCAATTGGCTGTTTCCGGCTCTTATCATCCACGGTAATCCACTCACTCACCTCTCTCTCTCTCTCTCAAACCCCGAGATGCGCATTACTATGTTGTTTCGTGTTCCCGTGATTCCTCAGGTCGATGATCGAGAAATAACATGTCACGGCAAACAGTACCCTACTCTCGGGTTAGATATGCGCGCTCTTGCTCGACCCGACACTGACCATTCAAATGATCCAAAGACGGTGGTGGCCTGAAGGGCGCGACAAGTACTCCACCGACAGGCCCGTGGCGGAGGCAGTACAGCGCCCATGGTGATGAAGCCCGCAAACCAGAAGATCATCGTGATGATCTCGATCGCAGGTATAACCAGGTGATGCGCAATACGGAACCACATCGACGCGGTGGCGAGATAAGGGACTGCAATCAAGGCGGTCCAACACCCCAGGAACAGCATGAAGTTGACCGTGTCCGAGAAAGCCCATTCATCGCGAAAGGAGTCAACCACTAGAGATGATAGTCAGCCTGAGCGATAGGGCGATGCCCATGGGAAGGAACCACGGACCATATGCGGTCAACCCGAGTACAATCAACCCGAGGATGGCCTGTGCGATCCGCACCGGATAGACCCATGGAATCTGCATGTTATGAAGCCTGGATCCCGATCTCGAGATGAGGTGGGAGATGGTTATTTGGACCACTGCGTCATCGATAGGGCTGACATGGGTAGAAAGCCCAAGGTATTTATACTCGCATTAATAGTGCTGCCTGTGACCCCATCTGACGAGTGACTGGACTGAGTGATCACTGAGCAATCTTGGCTGCAATCCTGGCATATATACCTTGATGATAGTAATATGTCAGAAGCAGTAACCCTCTAAGCCTACCTAGGTCTACTGTTCATGGTCGGATAGAGTCAAATAGATAACCTCTACCCTATAGGTTGCGGTATGCCAAGGCAGATAGTATAAAGAAGAAGAAGAATAACAATATTATTATTATTATTAGTATTATACTCCTACACTCCCAAGTATGAAATAATTAGCTATTTATTAGCTATTTACTAGCTATCGATACATCTCATATCCCCACATTTCTACTCTCATATGGTCTATATTCCTGGAACTTCTAGCTATAAAGATATCGAGGAACATACTGGTCTATAGCAATTTCTCCCTGTTGCTTCAGCGAGGTACAAAGTTTGGCCATTCACTCGCACTCGGATCACGCCATCGTGTGTCCCCCGCCATTGTAACTCCCCCCTTTTTCTTGGTCTTGGGTCTCCTTCTCTCCGCATTGCAATTGAATTCCTCTATATTCTTTCCTCCTGGCTTCTTGTATCAAGAACTTGTCTCTTGTGTTCATCCCGCGTTGGCCCCGGTTATCGGCTCCCCCGCATTTTTAGAACCATGTCGGATCAGCATCTCCACTTCGATACGCTCCAGCTCCACGCTGGGTAAGCAACCTTATCATGGCCTACAAAACATCCCCTGACCTGTTTCTTCTAGGCATGAGCCGGATCCTGCAACCAACTCTCGCGCGGTTCCCATCTATGCGACAACCTCATTCGCCTTCAATGACTCCGCTCATGGCGCGAGGCTATTCGGCCTCAAGGAGTTTGGAAACATCTACAGCCGGATCATGAACCCGACAGTCGATGTCTTCGAGAAGCGCATTGCTGCTCTCGAGGGCGGTGTTGCCGCCGTCGCGGCTTCGTCGGGCCAGGCCGCCCAGTTCATGGCCATTTCGGCCCTGGCCCACGCCGGCGACAATATCGTCTCTACCAGCAACCTGTACGGTGGCACTTACAATCAGTTCAAGGTTCTTCTTCCCCGGCTGGGTATTACGACCAAGTTCATCCAAGGCGAGAAGCCCGAGGATGTCGCCGCGGCCATTGATGATCGAACCAAGGCTGTCTACGTGGAGACCATCGGCAACCCCCGCTACAATGTCCCTGATTTTGAGGCCATTGCTAAGGTTGCTCATGAAAAGGGGGTTCCCTTGGTGGTGTGTTTTCCCTCTTTTTTTTTTTTTTTAAGCCTGGGATATTACGTTCACTAGAACTTTCTTTACTTACCATCACTCTTTCACTTTCCTCCAGGTCGATAATACATTTGGAGCCGGTGGGTATTTCATTCGTCCCATTGACCACGGTGCCGACATCGTCGTGCACAGCGCCACCAAGTGGATTGGAGGCCACGGAACCACGATCGGTGGTGTAGTGATTGACAGCGGCAAATTTGACTGGGGTAAACACGGAGCTCGATTCCCGCAGTTCATCGAGCCGTCCGAAGGCTACCACGGGCTCAAGTTCTGGGAGACTTTTGGCCCGGTTTCATTTGCAATCCGCGTGCGTGTCGAGATCCTGCGCGACCTAGGTTCAGCTCTCAACCCCTTTGCGGCGCAGCAGCTGATCCTGGGTCTGGAGACGTTGAGTCTGCGCGCCGAGCGACATGCCAGCAACGCCCTCGCCCTGGCCAAGTGGCTTCAGAAGAACGAGCATGTCAGCTGGGTCTCGTACCCCGGTCTGGAGGACCATCCGGCGCACGAGCTCGCGAAGCGGTATTTGAAGCGCGGCTCTGGTGGTGTGCTCTCGGTGGGCATCAAGGGTGGAGCGACGGCCGGAAGCCAGGTGGTTGATGGCTTCAAGCTGATCTCCAACCTGGCCAACGTCGGCGACTCCAAGACTCTCGCTATCCACCCCTGGTCCACGACTCACCAACAACTGACGGACCAGGAGCGTCTTGACTCCGGGGTCACCGAAGACGCAGTCCGCATCTCGGTTGGCACGGAGCACATCGACGACATCATCGCCGACTTCGAACAGTCGTTCCATGCCTCTCAGGCTGCTTTGCCGGACCGCAGCACTTGAGATGGCTTCGGATGATAATTTCTGGTTGGTAGCCTGTGTTTTATGGCGAGATATATACTACTAGGTCTTGTGGACTATGTCAGATATGGTGACGAGAGACGATGGTTTTACGAACTGAATTGGATTGTTTCTAATTCTTTGTCTCGCGCATATTATCCAATCACACTACACAAGCAGACATATATATCCAGATGAAATTTATGACCTAAATTCAATCCCAAATTGCATACATTATGTCTTCATCCTATGAGCCCCGGTGGAAGGTCTACACAAGAAAAATGATCCAAATGAAGAGCATAATACATTTTTTGAATTCTACCCAGCTCAAGGGTGTCGCTTCATTATGGGATGGTGCAGGCCATGCCGGGGACCATGCAAGTAGTACACACGAAGAAGCAGGAAAAAGAAAGATGAAAGCACAAAGAACCTCCCCACCGAACCGAAGCCAGCCCCATCGACTCAGCAAGTCGAGGCTGATACAGAACCCTGCCATGAACGCCAGTTGCCCGTTCCCGTTCGGACAACAAACCACGATACCAGATGCATGTAGATCGAAAAGGAACCCCGGGGAAGAAACTGAAGACAGAGACTGAAGAAGAAAAAGTAAGAAGAAAAAAAAAATTTCAACTACCCGGACCAGGAGGGGGCGGCTGGGTAGTGGGCATTGAGCCGGCTTGAGCACCACCCATCATGAAACCAGGCGGGAGCATGGGCATGCCAGGGAAATTGAAGCCGTAAGCAGGGACGGCAGGTGCAACAGCCGGGTTGTTCATGTTGGGCATGTCATGGTCACCGGGGCCGGGGCCAGGGCCGCCACTGGACCCTCCACCGTAACCATCACGGTCCTGGCGACGGCCAAATCGATCGGGCTGCGTGCGGGATGAAATGGGACCACGCTTGCCACCGGTGTCGGTCGCAATGCGCCTGCTGATGGCCTTGGAAGACACACCGGCGCCAATTTCGATATCAGGTTCCTCGACGACCATTCCAGACTCAATTGGGCGTCCTCCAGTTCCACCATATTCGGCAGTGAGCATCCACTTGCGGTCCGCCTCAGTAAGGCGCTCGACCGGAATTACGCTGATACCAGTCTGATAATCGCTGCAGTCGCGGGGGCCGAAGCCAACACCCCATCGAGTCTATTTATCCATGTTAGAAACCTCCCCCCCAAAAACGAATTCAAAGCCAAAAGATGGAGATTAAAAATCAATGTACTTACCCTGAGTTGCATCTCACCCGCCCGGTACGATTCCATGCCATCGCGGGCGCTCATGGCATCTTGGCGGCTGATCATCTTGATGAAGGCGTGGCGCTTGTCGATGTTGACAATACAGGTCTGGACAAGTCCGAATTGGCCAAAGAGTGCTCGCAAGTTGGCCTCAGAGGACGTGACACCACCGACGAAGAGAGTCCGACTCAAGACCTTGATGTTGCCCTGACCAATTGAATAGTCCCATTCGATGAGTTTGGGACCTGGCGGTGGCAGGTTGGGGTCCTTGCGAGCGGGCGAAGGGGAACGGCGGCGTCGTCCAGGAGGACTGCGTTGACGATAGTCATTACCCCGACGGCCTCGAGTATCGCGCGGGTCTCCGCCCCGGCGTCCAGGAGAATCAGCGTGATATTCTCCATAGACAGGGCTGTCACGGCGACGAGGTGGGGATGCGGTGCGGCGTCTGTCCCAGCCAGGAGAGCGGGAGCGGCGGCGATATCCTCCAGGTGGAGAGCGAGGGTAGTCCCTCTCACGATCACGGTCATCACGAGTCTGAGAGTCCGGGCGGCCCCAGCCACCGACACCCTGCCCAGGCATTGCCCCAAACCCAGGAAGCGGGCCAGCATTCATACCACTCATGTTGTTATTGGTCATGCTCAGAATTTGCAGCGCGGTGCCCCACTGCTCCTGCGGGATCCCCTGGGCAGCAAGCATCTGGAGCAGCTGAAACTGCTGCGACAAGGCATTTGGATCCGGCATCGCAGGAGTAGGTTGTGCAGCAGCCTGTGGCAGCATTGCCGCCAATGGGTTTGGTGCAGAGGCCAAGGGATTCGGTGTCTGACCCTGACTCGGCGGTTGAGTGAGGGCAGGATTTTGAGCAACACCCAAAGCTGCAAACGGATTGGCCATGGCACCACCCACAGCATAGGGGTTGGGATTCGATGGTGCCTGCGAGGTCGTGTCGGCAGAAGAGACAGGCTGTGGAGCCGCGGGTTGGGTAATGGCTGGAGCCGCAGGGGCTGCAGGCGCAGAGCTCTGTTTGGCCATGTCAGCCAAGGCCTTCAGGATACTTGATGTATCCTGGGTTGCTGGGGGTTGGCAGGCTGTTGCGGAACTCCCAATGGGTTGAGATGCGGCGCAGGAGAACCTTCGGGAGTGGTTGATTCAATAGCTACAGGGGATGAGGTCAGATCAATCGTAAGGGATCCAGGAAGAAACAATGACAAAGCTTACCTTGAGGAGCATTCAATTTCTCCTTGAATGAGGCGAGCATAGGAGGAGGGAAAGTGTAGCCTCGCTCCCAGATATCAACCAACTTCTTGATTTTTTCCTATAGGCAACGCGATACGTGAGTGACTCGGTCTATGAAGAACAGGGCAGCCCCTGCATCCAAAGTTGTATGACACTATACTTCTAATGCGTACCTTTTGATCTTGTGGAGCATTGTTTATGATGTCGGTCATGAGAACGGGCAACAGTTCAGTCACTCGATTGACACCGGCGGCGAAGGTCCCGTCAGGCGCAGAACTCCCGTGGGGCTGGCCAGCCTTGCGTGCAGCTTCTACCCACTGTCGAGTTACAGAGTCTACGACATAGAGTACGCCCAGTTTGTGGGTGCCCGGTGCCTTTTTGAAATGGGTGTAGATCTTCTGGACGAGGACAGATTCATTCTGTAAGATTGAGTTGGTTAGCCTGTCATTTCTCCCTCTCCACGCTCTTTGAGAGTGCTCATACCTGAATGTTGGCGATGCACAAGGTGGTGATGCTGTTGATCTTGGATCCTGATACTCCCGGTGGCTTCAGAGCCAGCATGGACTGGAGGTAATTCTCCAGTTCTGCTACAGCCGAAGACATGATGCAGCGATTGTGCAAGATAAAAGAAAAAAAAAAGGCGATTTGCAACAGAGGTCCCAATCTTATGCGTAGAGGTTGTAACGTAGAAAGGTGAAAGGTGAAAGATGGGTTGAGAGTCACCGATCTTGCTACTTTGAAAAAAAGAGCAGTCGGATAAGAGGATTATTGCGAATCGCGCACAAGTATCTTAAGTGGCCTGTGCTTTCTTCACTACAGCGGATTCACTGTCGAAACCAGAGAACTGCCGCCTACAGCTGGGATACAGCCTAGCGATGATGTCCAGGGAGCTGCCTGGCGGAGTACAAGTACGAGGTACAACCTAAGGCGTGTGTAGTGAGAGAGCCAGGACTGAAGGAGAGAAGAAAAATTCCAAGCGGATTTACTAGAGTACAGAGAATCCGTGGGAGAGTCAGTCAGAGATAGAAAATTTGATGGAAAAGGGCGATGGAGAAGGAGATGGGAAGATGAAGGAGAAGAAGGGGAGAAGGAGAAGTCACAGAATCTGTCTGGCGCTAGTCTGGATTGGGGAAGCATCATATATCACGTGAGCAAATGATTTTCTGCGCTCTGGGTGTCTGTTGCTGGCCCTACACATAAGGCATCTTTTTTTGTTCTTTTCTTTCCGTTTCATTTTCTTCTTTCTTTCTTTCTTTTTATAACACATCCCTATGGAGACATAGTGGATTTTAGAAACCAAAGGCTTCTTTCTCTCTCTCTCTCTCTCTCTATTGAAAATACAATAAAATATAATTTCACCCACTAGTATATAAGAAATATATCTCTCTTCTGCCCCCTTTCAGCCATTTCCCTCTATGTACTATGACATCGAGGATGTCGCGATGTAGAGCCTTGCCTGATTCAGACACACACCGGGGCTCCGGAATGGCAGCACGGGAGAAAATGGCGACTTGCCGACGTCACTACCCTGGGCTCGGGCATACCTGGCTTGTGTATTGCCCATACCGCGTCACATTCGGATCTTGGAAAGCTCTCATCGTCTCTGTCCGGTCAGAATGTCTTTTGTTTTCATTTATTATTATTATTATATTATAACAACAACAACAATCATTGTTTCTAGACCTGTTTTCCACTTACTCTTAATAAGGAGTTCAAATCTACCAGAGAGACAATACAATAATAACAATCTGTATCAAAGACAAACCGTGTTCCCTGGCGCCGAATGCAGCCCCTTGGCATCTGCCGGCAGCCCGAGACTGCGCGGTATATACTGTTGGGAAAAATTACACTAGACGGCCTCCCGACAGCCGTGACGGTACCGGCTGTAATTACGGCCAAATGGAAAAATCCGAGAAAAATCCAGAGCTCCCGGTATTTCTTTCTCTTCTTTTCCCTCCTTACCATCCTCTCTACCTCCCACCCACTACGAGTCCAATCCCTCTTGGTCTGACTCATTTTTTGATCATGGCTACCTCTCTCAGAATTGGTACCGCTCTGCGGTCCTCTGTTGCGAAGCCCGTGCAGTCTGTGGCCTTCAACGGCGTGCGCTGCTACTCTTCCGCGAAGGCCAAGGTACGTGTCCCGTGTCCCGCTACCGTCGAAAACCAATCGCATGCTAACAACGTTTGACTGTTTAGTCCCTCAAGGAGACCTTCGCCGACAACCTGCCTGCCGAGATCGAGAAAGTCAAGAAGCTCCGCAAGTATGTGTGAAACGTGCCCATCTCCAACTCAACCAAATTGCTGATCGTCGAATCCTATTTTCACAGGGACTTTGGCAACAAGGTCATTGGTGAGGTCACCCTTGACCAGGCCTACGGTGGTGCTCGTGGTATCAAGTCCCTTGTCTGGGAGGTCAGTTACCTGGAAATCTTTCGTGCTCTCGCCCGGCGCGCTTTGGAAGGGAGGACTAACCGCGATGCCGTCGATAGGGCTCTGTCCTCGACTCGGAGGAGGGTATCCGTTTCCGTGGTCGCACCGTAAGTTTTACATCTGATCAAATCCTTCGGTTTCATCCCTTTGCTTACCTATCCCTAGATCCCCGAGATCCAGAAGCTCCTGCCCAAGGCTCCCGGTGGTGAGGAGCCTCTGCCCGAGGGTCTCTTTTGGCTTTTGTTGACCGGCGAGATTCCCTCGGAGCAGCAGGTCCGTGACCTGTCGGCCGAATGGGCTGCTCGCTCCGACATCCCCAAGTTCCTGGAGGAGCTCATCGACCGCTGCCCTAGCGATCTCCACCCCATGGCCCAGTTCTCGCTGGCCGTGACCGCTCTGGAGCACGAGTCGGCCTTCGCCAAGGCCTACGCCAAGGGTATCAACAAGAAGGAGTATTGGAGCTACACCTTCGAGGACTCGATGGACCTGATCGCCAAGCTGCCCACCATCGCTTCCAAGATCTACCGCAACGTCTTCAAGGACGGCAAGGTCGCCCCCGTCCAGAAGGACAAGGACTACTCCTACAACCTGGCCAACCAGCTCGGCTTCGGTGGCAACAGCGACTTCGTGGAGCTGATGCGCCTGTACCTGACCATCCACTCCGACCACGAGGGTGGCAACGTCAGCGCTCACACCACCCACCTGGTCGGCAGTGCCCTGAGCTCGCCCATGCTCTCTCTGTCTGCCGGTCTTCAGGGTCTGGCTGGTCCTCTCCACGGCCTGGCCAACCAGGAGGTCCTCAACTGGCTCACCAAGATGAAGCAGGCCGTTGGCAACGACCTTAGTGACCAGTCGATCAAGGACTACCTGTGGTCCACCCTGAACGGTGGCCAGGTCGTGCCGGGCTACGGCCACGCCGTCCTGCGCAAGACTGACCCCCGCTACGTGTCGCAGCGCGAGTTTGCCCTGCGCAAGCTGCCCGATGACCCGATGTTCAAGCTGGTCAGCCAGGTCTACAAGATCGCCCCCGGCGTTCTGACCGAGCACGGCAAGACCAAGAACCCCTTCCCCAACGTTGACGCCCACTCCGGTGTCCTCCTTCAGTACTACGGTCTGACTGAGGCCAACTACTACACTGTCCTGTTCGGTGTGTCGCGCGCTCTGGGTGTCCTGCCCCAGCTGATCATCGACCGTGCTCTGGGTATGCCCATTGAGCGCCCCAAGTCCTTCAGCACCGATGCTTTCGCCAAACTGGTTGGCGCCAAGCTGTAAGCGTGGAAAATGAGGCTGTTTGGTTTTTAAGGTTTTGTCTCTATTTATTTATCTTTTTTTTTTTGTTTTCATGGGCCCGTGCAAAAAGCGGGTTAGACATTTGTATTATTTCCTTGAGAGAGAGGTTATTTCATGTTGTATGATAGGGACTTGACCGGTTCGAGCGGGCCTTGTAACAGCACATCCACGTCCAAACATGATTGTTAGAAGTACTGGTGTTAGCCTCCTTATTGTAGAGTTGGACTGACGGCTACTTGGGTAGAATCGAGCACACGGATTGTTGGGGACTCAACCAGACCCACCGTTGCTCAAGGAATCGTTTTTTTTCTTCTCAGACCGAAATCTACCTACGTAGACCTAGGTATAGCTGCGGTCTGCCTGGAGATGTATACATCTCGACATGGTGAATCATGATAATCTCAGAAAATAAATAATAGAAATAAATAGTACTCAGAACCACAGCACTATTAAATGCCTTCAATCGCCGATTGCGCCGACCGACGGACCTTTCCGAGGTGTGTGGTATGGGAAGTACTCAGTACCCGCTGGCATGGGTGGAAACCTGGGGGTTTCGAGGTGCCATGTACTGCTGACTTACCCAAGCTCCCTGAATGCCCCCCCCCCCCTTTTAAGACCGTTTGGCTTTCGCCTTCTTCTTTTCCTTTTCCCGCACCTTTTTGCTCCGATTCAGAACGACTCTTCCGGTCGTCCTTGCTCTTTTCTTTTCTTAAAATCTCGTGATCCCTTAGGCGACGAAGCCCCCTACATCCCTTGGTCAGGGCCCCTTTCAGCATCCCCCCCCCCGTTCCAGAGATGTCTACCGCTACCCCGGAGAAAGCCTCGGCTCCTACGCTGGAGAAGAAGCCCGTCAAGTTCAGCAACCTGCTGCGTAAGAGATCCTTTTGGCTTTGAAGTATCTAGACTATGATTCTGACAAGATTCCTCGACATATAGTTGGCGCAGGTTTGAACATGTTTGAGTATGTGACCCCGGTTGAATCGATGGAAATAAAAAGACCAATGATGCTAATTCAATCAAACTACAGGGTCACGTCGTTGGGACAGGTACAATCGCCCAATGAACACTTCGGAATCACAAATGCTGACCGTTTTAGCCGCTGGAAGTGATCAAGACAACCATGGCCGCGAATCGGGGCGACAGCTTCGCCGGCGCTATGGGTCGGATTTGGGGCCGTGGCGGGATCCTCGGTTGTAAGTCTCCCCAGTTCCTCCGATGTCCGCAACTAGTGTGGGGGTGCAGTTCCGTCTAACGTGGGATGGGGTTTAGACTATCAAGGACTCATTCCGTGGGCCTGGATTGAGGCCTCCACCAAGGGTGCGGTTCTTCTGTTCGTTGCCTCCGAGGCGGAGTACCAGGCCCGGGTGCTCGGCGCGAACGACTTCTTTGCTGGTATCAGCGGTGGTATGACCGGTGGTATCGCCCAGGCGTACGCCACTATGGGTTTCTGTACCTGTATGAAGACGGTCGAGATCACCAAGCACAAGATGGCCGCGCAGGGTGTCAAGCCGCCCAGCACCTTTGCCACCTTCATGGACATCTACCGCAAGGAGGGCATCCGGGGCATCAACCGCGGTGTCAACGCTGTGGCTATCCGCCAGACGACGAACTGGGGCTCGCGCTTTGGTCTGTCGCGTCTGGCCGAAACCGCCATCCGCAAGGTGACCAACAAGGACGACAGCCAGAAGTTGTCGGCGATCGAGAAGGTCCTGGCCTCGAGTCTGGGTGGTGGCCTGTCCGCCTGGAACCAGCCCATCGAGGTTATTCGCGTCGAGATGCAGAGCAAGACCAACGACCCTAACCGGCCCAAGAACCTGACCGTCGGCAAGGCCTTCAAGTACATCTACGACAGCAACGGCATCAAGGGTCTCTACCGAGGTGTGACTCCTCGTGTGGGCCTGGGTATCTGGCAGACCGTCTGCATGGTGGCTCTTGGTGACATGTAAGCCTCTTTCCGTAGCCCTTCTCTTTTTGGGCTTTGTTTCTACAACCTCAACTACCCTTCATGTGAAACCTCGGGCTAACCAGTGGGTCTCCGTTGTACCGAATAGTGCCAAAGAAACAGTCGAAAAATTGACTGGCGAGAAAGTCACCGCGAAGCACTAAAGAGAAGGTTTGAGATACCCTTCTGCTATGCAGCGGCAAAGGAAAATAGACCGGGAGTGGGAACGTTCATACAAATCCATAATGCGTCTGTCCCTGGAGGGAAGCACAGACTCGATACCCATTCAAATACATTGACGGTTGTAATCTCATTGGAAAAGTCTTTATGGTCTCGTGTTTGGCTTCGGCCTGTGTAGCGTAGCTACGTAGCTAATCAGTCCGATCTCTATGGCTGAAGCTGTATGACTCGCCCAAGTGCACTCCGATCACAGGCATAGTCCCCCATCTCCCGAATCCCGATAATTCCCGACTGCTTGGCGGCCTCGAACTATGCCCCTGCCACAGCCAACCACGATCTCCGCCCCCCCCCCCCCCCCCCCCAAGCAGGGTGCAAGTAGAATCATCCGATTTCGGAAGCGCCCATCGGCCCTTTCTGCACACATCGATTTTGGTCAATTACAATAATATTTAAGTACAGTATACACGGAGACGCAGGGTCACTTCTATAGCGCGATCCCTGTCGGATCTGGGGCCCCCGTATTGCTGGGTTGGACCTCGGCCGAGTCAGAACTTGCTGAATGGATGATATGCAAGAGGACAATGTAGGCTCTTAGTGCATAAGCAGTGTTGGGTAATACGGAAGAAAGAAATATCTCTCAGAGATGGCCCGAGTGACTATTGCGAGGAGTTAACCCGACAGAGCTCTCTACACAGGCGCTCTCTCCCTGGTCAAATCCATCAAGAGATCGCATCAAATAAGGTACAATTGTATTACAGTCAACTGACACCCTCACAACACAAAGGAGATATCGGTAATGAATCTAGGCACAATTGGTCACATCAAATCCAAGACAGGGGGAAACACACTTCTTCCCTCACTCTAGAGTGTATTGTATACAACAGGGGGTTTTTAAACGGTCAGACCCAGGTCCTCCGCGTAGGGGAGCTGGAAGACATCACCGACGCTGACAAGAGTGGCCTTGCCAGAGAGGAAAGAGTTGGCAGCCTGTCGAGAAACCATTAGTATCATGAAACCCGACACCAGACCTTTACTGGCAATTTCAAAAGGGGGATTCAGAAACATACCGCCTTAACTTGCTCCTCAGAAACATTCTCAAGAGCCTGGGCAATCTCGCCAATCTGGTAGGGCTTGTTGCCGTGGACCAGGCCGGAACCGGTGGCCTCGAGACCGGTCTCCAGGGTCTGAACAGACTCCAGGGCGCGGAACTTGGCCAAAGCAGTGGCCTTCTTGATCTCCTCGCTGGCGACCTCACCGGCGGCGGCCTTCTTGAGGGCGTCGACGACGTTCTTGCTGGCGGCACCGATCTGGTCGGCTTGGCCCGAGAGGGTAACGGTGAAGAGACCGGCATCCGAGTAGGCGAGGTTTTGGGTGTTGACGCGGAGCTGCGAGAAGCCCTGGGTGGCCTGCGACAGGAGCGAGAAGCCCGGGGTCCACTTGATGGTGGACTCACCACCCAGCAGAGCAGCCAGGACGGATGCCTCAGCCTTGTAGCCCGCGGTGCCGAAAGCGCTGGAACCGGGGAAGGCAATCACAACAGCGTTTCCGCCTTTGGACGGAATGCGCTGCTCACCACCGAAGTACTTGGTGGCCTGAGTGGGCTGGAGCTTGTACTGACTGGAGGAGCTGCCAGTAGGGAGGTCCTTGAAGAACTGACCCACCCACTTGGACAGGTCGGCGGAGTTGGGGCCGCTAGCGACCAGGGAGACGTTGGACTTGGCGTAGGCATCCTGGGCAAACTCAGCCAGGGCATCGGCCGACACGTACTTCTCATAGGGCGAGGTCTCGGACGGGGTGATGGGCGAGCCCAGGCCACGGTGGAAGGCAATGCCGTGAGCGGCGTCGACAGCCACATTCTCCGGGTTGGAGTAAACAGCCTGCTGCTGGAATTTGAGGAGCTTACTAACAACCTCGTTCAATTCGTGGTCTGGTATTGGGCATCCGGCCGAGTCAGACGAACGGTTGCATTTTTCCCACTTTGCGCGCGGCCAATGGCGCAAAAGACGGACTTACCTGGGTACTTGGTCTGGCTGGCAACCTCGGCCAACAGCTCTGTGAAGTATGGAAGATCGTTCGAGAGGAACTTGGCCCGGAGGACGAGGTTTTCGCGCGAATGTGTCGACGAGATCTCACCGCCCAGCAGTTCGACCTCCCGAGTGATCCGAAGCGCCGACCGCTTGAGTGTAGACTGATGAACGGATGACTATGGTTAGCATGGACCCAAAAGGAGGTCTATTGACACCAATTGATGTCGCAGAACCGACCTTGAAGGCGAATTTCTCGAGGGCATCGGAGAAGCCGGGGAAGGGCTGGTAGCGGGAGCCGGCCTTTGCCACGAGGGCCAAGGTGCCAGTAGGACCAGCGACGTCACGGGTGGCAACCTTCACACCGGCAGCATCGGAGACGTCGTATTGGAAGGCCGGGTTGGCGGCAGAGGCCATGGCCCGACGGCCAACGGAGAGCGCACGCGGCGCATTTCGGCTGAGGGTAGACTGCGACAGCATGGTCGCCTGTGCCGGGAAAAAGTGATGGGAGAGGGAGAGGAAGAAGCACGAACCCGAGTGGGGTTGAAAAAAAGGGGAATTGGGGCGGCGAGAGGGGCGGGAAGAGCGAGCAGGGAGAGAAGAGGCAGTTTGGAGGTTACGAAAAGCTTCAAGATGGGTTGATTACTCGGCCGCTGATTGGTGGGAGTGACGAGTCGGGACGGAGCCGGAGTTACTTTTGTTCGGGAATTCCCGCATGTTGCGATTTTGGCAGAAAACGATTGACTAGCATTTATGAAGGTAGATATTGATGTAAATTAACCTATCGAGAAATATACCTACATCTTTCTGCAAATATTTCGAGCCCGGAGTGTAGCTTCTTGAACCCGTCTATATGTTCTGGATATTGTGGCCCCAGGCATACAGTCACATGACCCATATCACGTGCTCTCGATCAGCGCGATAAGCAAAAAAAAGAACGTGGGAGCTTTGGACCTTGCTTTCCTTTACGCCAGTTGGGTCCGATGGGCTCGGAATTCCGGCACTTGACTGACCCCTCCATGCTTATTTTTCGGTGACTGCAATTGACACGCCTTGAGAATTGGAGGCTGGCGGATTCACCTCCGATCTCACCATCATGATGTCCCAAGTATGCGACTCATCCCACCAAAACCACTGACGCCTGTACTGATCACTGACGCAGAATGCCGCGGAGCTATGCGCGCTTCTGATTGAAGACAACTTTGGGGAGCTCTTCGCGGTAGGTCTGCATGAATTCGGCGCTGTTTGGTTTATTCAGAGCTGATGGTCTAACTTGGGGCATAGCGCATCTTCTCTACTCTCCAGCGTTACGAGCGATTGTCACTTCCTCGGCTGAAATTTCATTCCCACTTGACCGACCGCCAGCTGCATCATGGACTCTGTGCCATGATCCAGCACCACCTTGTCTACCACTTCACCTCCGTCGAAGACGGCATCACCTACTACGAAGCAAACCCGCAAGCTGCGTACTACCTTGTACGGTCTGGAAAGATTCTCCAGCTGATAGAAAACCGACTGGGGCCCTACGCAGCTCAGGTCATGGAGGCGATCTTATACCTTGGACATTCCTCCGTCAGTCACCTCGATATCCTTCCCGAGCTTCAATCCCAGAGACAGCAGGTCCCAAATGGGTTCGCGCACGACGAAGAATCCCGGACCAATGGGGACGGCCCGGATCATCTCGATGGGCCCAATGGGGATCATGTGGATGAGAAGCCAGCACGTCTTCATCCTACCATCAAGGCTCTTGCATCACACGGATACATAATTCGGGTTAGGGAAGCACACTTCCAGAGCCCCGATGATAACTGGCTGGATGCACATCGAATTGTCGCGGCTCGGCCACATATCAAAACAATGAAAGGCAAGGCCCAGCAGGCGGCCTTGCTGGAGAAAACGCTGGAGCTGGTCCAGGAGCGAACAAATGGAGACCTCACTGAAAGATTCATGATTGGTGGCCTGCCTCGTGGGGTAAAAAGGAAGTTTGGCCACGGTGCCTCGGATACAGTAAATCATAACGGTGTGAATGAAGATCATATGGTCGACGAAGAGAACGAATGGTCAGACGACGAAGACGGGTTTGACACTGTCCCATTGGAGGTAAGCTTTTTTTTTTTTTGCTCTACCTCGTTGTGAATTCTTGCAAGACATGAACTCATTCTATTTCACAGCCCGGGTTAGTGGTTCGAGTGAACTATGAGAAGTTGGATGTGGCCCTACGGAATGCTAGATTTATCGAACTTGCCGAGCAGGATTCATCTTCTGTCACTGCCGAGATTTATGATTGTCTTCTCCGCCGCATCGAAGCCAAAACAAAACACTGCCGAGATACTCCCGAGATCCCACGCGAAGGCGAAGAAGGAGAAATATATTCCGTTCCAATCCATCTCGAAGTGTTGACAGAAGATGTCGACCCGCAATTAGATCTTGCAGGATCTATCGGCCCGTTGGAACCTTTCCAGCCTGTGAACCGACGTGGAAAACGGCCGCTGGAAAATGGCGTCAATGGCGATGATGATGCCGCCGATACCGACGAATCGGCCGGGACCAGTCGCGCCTACAAGATTAACCAGCACCTCAGTCTCTTGGCACAGCCTCCTTATCGCTTCACATCGAGCTCGGTCGTCCACGGCGAGATTACTTGGAGGGTTGCGTTTCGTCACCTGGCACGCAAACTGCGACACCAAGAACTGGAACAGATGATCGAGGCGCGGTTCGGCGACGTGGCGCTGCGCATAGTACGCGTGCTCCAAGCGAAGGGCAAGCTGGATGAAAAGCGGTTGCAGGAGATCAGCATGCTCCCCTTCAAAGATTTGAGACAGACTCTAGCTTCGATGCAGGCGGGCGGATTTGTGGACCTTCAGGAAGTGCCGCGAGATGCGCAACGCCAGCCATCCAAAACCATTTATCTGTGGTACTACGACCCGGACCGGATTTGCAGCAGCATACTGGAGGACACCTACAAAGCCATGTCACGGTGTCTGCAGCGCATCAACTTCGAACGTGAGCGCGAGCGGGACTTCCTCGAGAAGACCGAGCGCAGCGATGTGAAAGGCAACGAGGAACGGTATCTTTCTGAGGGGGAACTGGAGAAGCTGCAACGCTGGAAGGCTAGAGAGGCCTTGTTGCTAGGTGTGGTGGCGCGCTTGGATGATATGGTGGCCGTGTTTCGCGACTACTAGTGGATGCGCCGAGATTTTGGATATGGAGTTTTTCGCATAAATCTGTACAGGGCTCATGAGCGACGATCTTCATTACGCAGTCTTCTATACAATGTAAGATGTGTAGCTTGGTGACGTTGGATAGTGTGTATTGTTCACACCAGTCGTAAGGTTTCCAGGAAGAAGAGGCAGAAGAAAAGAAGTAGAACAAGTCTATCTAATACAAGAATTATAATAAAACACATCAGCAAAACAGCCACCCATTCCCATAAAAGTCCAACACCAGCGCTCTCGGACAAAGAACAAAAAAATGATCATAACACATCGACGCCTGTTAGAAAATATCAACCCTATTTGTACCTCCAAAATCAATATGTATCCATGAGATATACCCGCCAGAGCTGTGAGGTTACTTGGATGCCTTGGCCGTGGAGTTTGAGACCCCATTCACTGCGGGCTCCTTGGGATCTTTCCCGTCTGGTTTTCCCGCCAGGTTGGCCTCGGCTGCCGCGAGTTTCGCAGCTGTTTGATCGAGAGTCATCTTTAGAGCCTTTATATAATCGATGGCCATCTCCACCGCACTAGCCTTGCTGATGGCCTGGTTGGCGGGCTTGTCTTTCTCCTTTTCGCCCGGCTTGGAGGTTCCCGCCACTGCTGCTTCCTTCGCCTGACGTGCTTGTACGAACTCCGGCGGGATAAGCGTTTCAATTTCCTTGAGGGCGCTATTAATCCGATTCCGGCGACCCTGCTCGGCAAGCTTGTGGTTCGTGCGCTTGGAGCTCAGGTTCTCGGCGAGGGTTTCTGGATATGAGACGCCCGAAGGGAGAGTGCCATCGAGAATGTGCTGGTAGTTCGATTTGGAGGCCAGGTAGAGTGCATCATGTGTTACGCCTAAAAGAGTTTCGTTAAGGTCAGTACATGCAGTGATCCTGAGAAGCTCTCCAAATTGGGACTCACCCTCGTTGCGCATGAGAGGCTGGATGCTCGGGCTAATCTTTGGCCGCAGCTGCGGACTGGCATGCGTAGAGCTCAAGCTGGGCCGTTTCCGAGCAGACGAGACTCGGGACGGTTCCGACTTTTTGGGTACGGACCCGGTCGGGGAAGGCATGGCGACGGTGCGTGGGCTGAATGCAACAGACCCGCCGGGAGTCCGATCGACTGTAGCAGACCGAGGCTCCAAGGCCGGAGTCACACTCGCCGAGGTCACCGGGCTGGCCGTGCCTGTATGTACGGCGGTATCGATGCGATTTACTTTAGGGCGCAGCTGTGTGGATGGGGTAGCCGCTTCTGGTAAGGCGATATCCTCCATAACCTCGTCCTGGAACTCGGGCTGTACGAGTTGCATTTGGCCACTCAGCTGGTTTGAATCCTGCGCGGGCTGTGACCGCTGGATGCGCATCAGCGTCGCGGGGGTGGCGGCGGTCCCGGGAGACTGCGCTGTCTGTGGTGCTATTGCGGGAGACTTGCGCGGCGGTGGGAGCGCCGGGGGTGGCATCAGCGGTTCAGACAATGGCTCGGGAGATACCGAGTCTTGGCCAGAACCTTCTGTGCTGCTGGCCTGGAGGGAGCGGACATCGTGGTTCTGCGGTTTGATGCCGTCCAGCTCCTGGTTGAGACTTTGGTAAAATTCCTCCGAATTGGCATTTACTAGAGTCCGCTTCCGTTGCGCCTGTGCCCGAATGGACGGCGACTGCTTCACCTTGTTCCGTCCGGCGAGTCGGGGAGTCGTTGACGGTCGCCGGCGATGAGTTTTTCGGATGACGCTGGGCGATGGCGGGGCAGATGCACCAGGGAGAGGATTCACCTCCGCAGTCGTGGGAACAAATCCCACATCTGACACCTGCCTTGAGGGGTACGGGTAGCCATTATTGGAGTTATTGGCATTTTGAGCCTCCAGTGCCGGGGACGTCAGAGGAGTGAAATATTCCCCAGGGATGGTATATTCTGGGAGTCGGAATTGGTTCTCCAATGGGGTCATAGCAGGAGAAACGAGGGGCGTGTACAAGGCCTAGCCACATGAGTTCCATATTCGATATCACAAATTTGACCGGGGGAATGGGAATGAGCGGTCCCGTACCTGTTCTTCGTTGATGCGCGCATATCTATCGTACATTTCATGGTTCTCCTCTGCGTGGTGCCCGTAGCGGGCAGCGTTTCCTTGCAGCTCGATGCTGTTGGGTGTGGGAGGGATCGCCGGTTGGCCCTGCATATAATGCTGGCTCGACTGATGGGGCATCGACTGCGAAGTTGGGGTGCAGAAACCCGGGGCCATGGGGGGAGCAGAGTAGGGCAACTGATGCGATTGCACCGGACCTTGACCGTTGAAATCCATGGCGAGACCCTCCATCTGACCGGGATACTGCACCTGGGGACGCGGGTGTTGAGTAATTTCTGAGTCGGTGGGGAGAGAATGCTGCTGAGAATGCGAATGGCCAGGTCCGTGCCCCTCGAGATCGGGAAACTGCATATTGAACTCAAGAAAATTGGAGAACTCATCCTCCCCCGGAATGAGCGAGTTCTCATGAAGTGGCTCCGGCCAGGACATAGCCGGTTGCTCCATGATGTTCGCCGGTCGGAAAGGATTGAGGAGGGGGAAGAAGTGGTGTCGGGTGGGAGAAGAAACTCCCTTGGTGGTTGATAGTTCAGAATTTGAGAGAGATCTCAAACACCGTACATGATGAAAAACAGAAGGGAAAGAAAAGAGAAAAATGGAAGAGGGGTCATGAGAGACACCAGGGGAGAGAGAACCAGAGAACCAGAGGTTGGAGGTGGAGATCAACCTTTCACGGGCGGATACACACTCGGCTTGAGGGAAGCGGATTTTCTTGTGGCGCTAAAGGCGCTAGGCCATGCACTTGTGCGATGGGGAAATGAGGTTCCTGATGTGCGAGAGATATAGTAGTCATACTATGCAATATACCCATGAATGTCCAGGATGTTCTGCTATCATCTCAAGGTACTTCTCAGTAGGCCTATTCCAGTATTACGAACAAAGTACCCAGTACTACGTCGGATACTACGTAGTATAGGGACTCTACCAGGATCGGATATTTCGATCTCTTATTCTAAAAATATAACCAGATTCTATTTCATTGTTATATTTTGTAACAATAACACATAATATGAAATAAAATACAAAGATGATCCTTTCATGCCCCGTGGGCTCATCGGGTATGATGCGATGAGGAGAGGGGGTGGCTTACCTACGCAGTCTTGAATCCATCCATGGGACATACCTAGTTATCATCTCTCCAGACACTCGTCTTGCTTCATCCTTCTAGGTGCCACTATGCGACCTTCTCCGGACATTTGTGCCAAACCTCCCCCCGGTTCCCCATCTCTTGACTCCTTTGATCCCCGCACCCCCGCGACCTTCTTTCTGTCCCGCAATCCTTCATCTGACCCGCCCAGTCCTGCTTCGGAGGATGAACTCCCCGCCGAGACCATGTATGGAGTGCACAGTCTTGACGAGAGCTTGTCCCAGTTAGCAACCTCTCCTCCTCCGCCCGAGCATAGTCTCCACTACGATCTGGGGTCCCCGATCGCCCGTCGACGGTCGACCCTCAAACCACGAGAATCACCCATGTCCGCTGCCTCCCGTCCACTCACTCCGCTCAACCTGAGCACCCCCGATGAGCCCTCGCTACCCAGTAGCCCCAAATCCATATCCAATCACTCGCTCCGTCCGCTGGATGACATCTCCATCACCGATGAGATTAACAGCCAGCCTGTTGGGTCGGGGGACGAAGAGGAAGGGCCCCGCACATCACCGCGACTAGGGCCTGGTGGGGCGTCTCAGTTGATCATGCCTAGTATCAGAATGCCTAGTCGGCGACCTTTCACCGAGCGCGGCAAAGCAATGGGCCGCTTCAAGGTACTTCTAGCGGGAGCTCCGGGTAAGTCCATAGCTTCGGATTATGCTTCTCCCTGCGTGTCGGCTGATCCGTGATCATTCTCTTGGACAGGAGCGGGGAAAACCTCCTTGATAAAATCCATTGTTCAGGCCTGCGAAGACATCGTGCATGTCGATTCACTTCCACCAGTAACCGCGATCGAGCGCCGGCCCTCGCGATCCCAGCCGGGGCCCATCGCCACGCATGGAACACTCTCTGCGATTTCCGAAATTTATGCCAGCACCAAGCCTTATCCTTCCTGGTGGTCGGACCTAGAGGATTCGCGGGTGTTGCGACGCCGAAAAAGCATCGGGGAAATCGTGCTTGAGCGGAATCTCTGTTTTGTCGACACACGAGCCACCTCGCTGAGCCGAGCAGGACAAACCGACGCCGTTGTGCAGTATATGCGCCAGCAATTACTCCGCGCGACAGCTGCTCTGAGCAGTTCTGGTGTATATTTTCAAAACTTACTGGCAGGCAATGGAGGCTCCCAAGTAGATGCCATCATATACCTGATTTCCAGTGGTATGCGATTCGTATGATTCCCCAAACGAAAAACCCTCGCCGCTGACCCGGTGTAGATACCCTCGCCGCTGACGTGGAATGCATTCGCAAGCTCTGTGAGCTGACCAATGTCATTCCTGTCGTGTCCAAATCAGACACTTTGTCCCCCGAGCAAATTACTGTACTCAAGGATCAATTCCACCAGCAAGCTCGCGATGCTGGAATCAAGCCGTTTTTGTTTGGTGACCCAGGTCCAGGCGGATCAGAACCTCAGCCTCCCTACGCGGTATCGTCAGAGAAAACCACCGACCTAGAAGTCATGGATGCTAGCACCCTGATGAGCCCGGACTACGTACAGCCGTTAGTCTTGTCTGAAATGGACACACTGGTGCGGAAGATGTTCGACCGGGATAATTTGGCCTGGATGCGCCACTCTGCCGCTAAGAAACTAGCGCAGCACCGTGATGGTTTTCCGTCTGTCCCGCCGACGACAGCGCCGCTGCTCAATGCTCTTTCGGGCCCTAGCAGTAGCGAAGTTGGATGGCGTGTGGCCTCGGGTGCTTCCATGGGATATTCCATCTTTTCCTCTGGTGGGTCGCCACCGAGCTATGCGATGGCACGCCTCACAGATACCACACAACATGAGGAGCGATTGGCCCAGGTTGGGCTAGCCCAGTGGGCTACGAATCTTCAGCGTAGCTTGCAGAATGAACGTGATCGCTACGCCGCGCTCGCCCGGGGCGATCGCGCTGTATGGTTGACGGAGCGGCTGAGTGAGTGTGTCGTCGATGGCTCGCTGGTGCCTCTGGCCCAGACACCCGGATTTCGTGGTCTGCACATCCCCTCAAGCGAGAAGAATGCGGACGGTGTCCGAGTCGTTCGATCACGGTCCGGTGAGGGAGCAACAGAATACCGGATTGCCAGTCTGGGACCGCACGACCCCCTGGGGGTAGTCGGTTGGATTGACGACCTCGGCCGTCGTGGCTGGGTGCTCGTTCAGATCGTCGGCAGCGTCGGGGTGGTCGGTGGGCTGGCACTCTGGCTCGCTCGCACCTGCGGACTACCGATTCGAAGCCTGGCGGAGTTGAATCTGGACTATTGGTGCGGGAGTGTGGATCGCTAATGCAAGCTTCACCCTAAATCCTTGGATGTCGGACATGATTTACTATTAATGAAGGGCATGGGCGGCTGTGCGGTTTTATTACAGCGTTCTCTTAATTTTTTTTATGACGATGGGAACAGAGGCGAGAGCCTAGGACGAGAGTCTAGGAAGTTGGCGTTTTGTTTTTCTTATTATTTTTTTTTATTCTCCGGAGGAAAACAGAGACATTCTTTGGCGCTCGTTGCTTGTTGGCTTTGATGCTGGAGATGAATGCGGACCATGTCATCGAACATGTGAACAACCCACACCAACAACCCAATATCATCACAATATCGAATATCTTTACATGGAGCAGGACGGATACCCCCGGCCTTACAGGGACCAGGATAGTCCTATCCCGCAGAGACTAAGAGGAAACAAGAGTCTACGCACCGGGAAGTAACATCTAAATGACAGAGCTTTTCATTCCAGCGACCATCTTGACAGCAAAAGCCCAAGAAGCGAGAGGCTCAGAACGCCGGAACTGTATCAAAAACTAGGTTCATCATGAAGTTGGTAAAAGGAAAAGCAGGTAGAAGAAAAGAAAATAATTCAGCTCTGTTTTGAAAGAAGAAAAAAAAAAGTAAAAGGACATCAAAGGGGTCGTATCCCATTTCCCATTTCCCATAAAGATTTGAGCAGCGAAAAGAAAACCGTTTAGTCAACCTCCTCCATGGCGCTCTCACCGGTGGCCTCGGCGGGAGCTGCAGTCTCGGTGGCCTTCTCGTCGGCAGTCTCGGCGTCTTCGTCGATGTTCAGGCCCAGCGAGACGAGCTTGTGAATGCGCTCGGAGAAGCTGGCGGGCTCCTCGATGGTGAAGCCGGAGACCAGCAGCGAGGTCTCGAAGAGGAGCTGGGTGATCGACTTGACAGTGCGGTCGTTCTCGCCATCGGCCTCAACCTTCTTCTTGAGCTCCTTGACGATGGGGGACTTGGGGGAGATCTCGAAGGTCTTCTTGGAGGACATGTACGAGCTCATGGAAGTATCACGGAGGGCCTGGGCCTTCATGATGCGCTCCATGTTGGCGGACCAGCCGAACTGACCGGTACGGATGGCGCAGGGCGCACCGACGAGCTTGTGAGAGACAACGACCTTCTCGACCTTGTCGCCCAGAATGTTCTTCAGGGCCTTGGCCAGGTCCTCGTACTCCTTCTCCTCCTCCTCACGCTCCTTCTTCTCCTCCTCGCTCTCCTCGAGCTCGAAGTCCTTGGTGATGTCGACCAGCTTCTTGCCGTCGAACTCCTTCAGCTGGGTGAAAGCGTACTCGTCAATGGGGTCAACCAGGAACAGAACCTCAAAGTTCTTCTGCTTGAGGGTGTCCAGGAAAGGCGACTTGGCGACAGCCTTGGTCGACTCGCCAGTTATGTAGTACATGTTCTTCTGGTGCTCCGGCATGCGGGTGACGTAGTCGCTGAGCGAGGTGGACTCATCGCCGGACTTGGTGGACTGGTAGCGGAGCAGCTTAGCCAGGGCCGGGCGGTTCTGGGCGTCCTCGTGGATACCGAGCTTGATGTTCTTGCTGAAGGCACTGTAGAACTTGTCGAACTGCTCGCGGTCCTCGGCGATCTCCTGGAAAAGCTCGAGGGTCTTCTTGACAATGTTCTTCTTGATGACCTTCATGATCTTGTTCTGCTGGAGGGTCTCACGCGACAGGTTGAGGGGCAGGTCCTCCGAGTCGACGACACCCTTGATGAAGCCCAGCCACTCGGGGATCAGGTCGGTAGCATCGTCGGTGATGAAGACACGGCGCACGTAGAGCTTGATGTTGTTCTTGGTCTTCTTGGTCTCGAAGAGGTCGAAGGGAGCACGCTTGGGAACAAAAAGAATGGCCCGGAACTCAAGCTGACCCTCGACGGAGAAGTGCTTGACACCCAGGTGGTCCTCCCAGTCGTTGGAGAGCGACTTGTAGAAGGAGGCGTACTCCTCCTGGGTGATGTCGGCCGGGTTGCGGGTCCAGATGGGCTTGGTCTTGTTCAGCTCCTCCTCCTCGATCTTGGACTCCTTGACGGTCTTGGTCTTCTTCTTGTCCTTATCCTCTTCCTCGTCGACCTCCTCGACCTTGGGCTTCTTCTCCTCATCTTCCTCCTTGGTCTCCTCAGCCTCCTCGTCGGGGACCTCCTTCTCGGTCTCCTTCAGGACGTGCAGGTAGATGGGGTAAGAGATGAACTCGGAGTGCTTGCGAACCACCTCCTTGATGCGGCTCTCGTTGAGGTAGTCAGTCTGCTCATCCTTGAGGTGCAGGACAATCTTGGAGCCACGGCCGAGCTGCTCGCCCTCGGTGTCCTGGGTGAGGTTGAAGGTGCCACCGGCAGCCGACTCCCAGATGTACTGCTCGTCATCGTTGTGCTTGGACACAACGGTGACCCGGTCAGCGACCAGGTAAGCCGAGTAGAAACCGACACCGAACTGGCCGATCATGGAGATATCAGCACCAGCAGACAGAGCCTCCATGAACTGCTTGGTACCGGAGCGGGCAATGGTACCCAGGTTGTTGATGAGGTCCTACCAGATCCAGTCAGCATCAATCTCGATGATTGTTGGTTTTTTTTTTTTATGGAGGGAGATAATCTACTCACAGCCTTGGTCATACCAATACCGGTGTCCCGGATGGTGAGAGTCTTGTTCTCCTGGTCAGGGATGATGTCGATGCGCAGGTCCTTGCACGAGTCGAGCTTGGACGGGTCGGAAAGAGCCTCATAGCGGATCTTGTCAAGAGCATCGGAGGCGTTGGAGATCAGCTCACGCAGGAAGATCTCCTTGTTGGAGTAGACGGTGTTAATGATCAGCGAGAGCAGCTGAGAAATCTCAGCCTGGAACTCGAAGGTCTCAGGCATGATGGCGGGAGGAAGGTAAATTCTTAGAAAAAAGAGTCAGAAGTGAGAAATTCGAAGCAAATGTGGCAAAGTTGAAAAGAAGGATTTTTTTCTCTTGAGTCTTTGGATAGGGTTGAGAGGTGGGGGGTTGAGGAAGAGAGAGAAGAGAAACTTACAGGAGAGATCAGGTGGGGTGTAGAGAGAATTGATATGGAAACGCAGGAAAAAAGAAAAAGAGCAGATGGAGCAGAGCTGACAAGAAGAAAGAGAAGAAAAAGCGGAGGTATGCGCTTTTTGTGTTTCCAAAATTTTCTGGTGGGTTTCTACGGCGATCCAGCGATTTCCACCGGTCGGTCAGGCAACTCTCCCTCTTCTGTTCCAGAGGCTTCTGGCACCGGCTTCCTTTGGGGCCCCTGCGACCGCTGCTTAATTGCTGAGCTCCTGCAGAGCTCTGGACTGCCTCAGGCATACCAAAATCCCCCACGCTGGTTGCCTGAGGTGTCGACAGCCACCGTAGCCCTAGAAGTATCAAATATCTTGCATGCGAAACCAGTTACTGTCGAGAAAATAGAGAGGAAGACCGGGACAGATGAGACCATACCCCCGGTAAACTTGCTATGCTAGATAAAAGATGCAAATATGAAATCGAAAAGGTCTGTAGAACCCCAATCGTAGCAAAAAAAAAAAAAAAAAAGAAAAAGAAAAAGAAAAAGAAAAACACAAAAAGAAGAAAATAATAAATATGGGGCAAAGAACCGTGGAGCCGAAGGACACGAGAATCCCAAAAAAAAAGATATATCAAGGTAAAACACAAGTGTCCAGAGAAGGAAGGGAAAGAAACGCAACTTTTCCAGCCAACCCGGACCAACCGCTAATATGCATTGTGACGGGGAAGATAGAGGAAGGGGGAAGGGGAAGACAATAGTCACATAACACATGTCATTAAAAAAAAAGAGGTAGACGGAGAGGGGGAAGGGGGGATGAAATCAAAATCGGAGTAATACAGATCCTGGAAGAATCATCCGTCGGTGATAAAGGTTAGTTCACTCACCGACGGCATCGGGGAAAATTGTAGGAACATCGTCGACTCATTTAGGCAGCCTGAGCCTGGCTACGGCCCTTGGCAGCCACATTGCCGCCTCGACCGCGAGGGGTGAAGCCTCCCCGACCATCGCGCTGGAAGCCACCACGGCCCTGGCTACCCGCACGGTCGCCACGACCACGGCCGGAACCACGGCCAGCACCGTAGCCGTTGCTGCCATAGGCATTGCCTCGGGGACGGCGCTCCTCGACAAAGATTTGCTCGCTACCAATTTGGTGAGGGTTGGCGGCAACGGCAGCAGCATACCCGGCGGGGTCAGCGAACTCCACGAAAGCGCAGTTCTAGAAGTAGCATTAGCACCGATGAATTCAGGAGGATCGTGGGAAGACTAACCTTTGGGCGGCTGACGTCGAAATACTTGAGCTTGCCGAAGCGGGACAGAGTCTGCTTGAGCTGATTGGCGTCCACCTTGTCGGTCACGCTCTTGATGTAGCCAAGAACTGGCTGCTCCTCACCGGCACGAGATTGGGTCTTCTTGTGGTCGTGGCCGGCGGTTTGCCATCCCGATCCGTCGTTGGAAGCAGCCTCCTGGGAGCGGACGGCTTCCTGGGCGGCCGGAGCAGCGGCGGCAGCGGGCTGAGGAGCATTAGAAGCCGGGGCAGTGGGAGGGTTTGCCTTGGGGGTCGCGGCCGGGATAGCAGGGACCACAGGCACCGTAGAACCCGGCTTGGACGCGATGTTGGCCCAGGTCTTGGGGAGGTTCTTGGAGGCAGCAGACTCCTTCTCGGCAGCAGGGGCCTCTTTCTGCTCCGGAACAGGAGAAGGCTCAGGGGTCAGAGGCTTCTCGTTCTTGACAAGGTCATCCTCAACAGCGGGGGCCGCAGCCGGGGTCTCCTGGGCCGGGGTGCCGTTGGTTTGCGGAGCTGCCGCCTTGGGCTGTTCAATCTCTCCGTTGACCTCTGCCTTTTCGAGCTTCTCATCGACCTTGGAGACCGCTGCTTCATTGGTCACCTGCGTCTCGGCTGCAGGCACCGCTGCGGCGGGCTTGGGGAGTTCCGCGGCAGGCGCAGCAACGGCGGGCTCCTCGTGGACGATTTCCTCATCTTCCTCAACCAGGTACCGGAAGATGTCGTTGAGCACATAGTATCCATTAGGCTGCTCAGCCAGAACGAAGGTCTGCGCGAATTTGCGGGATGGCTCAGACTTGTTGGAGATCTCGCCAATGACCGAGACCAAGATGTTGTCAAAAGAGGCCTGAGAGTCAACATTCAGGACGCGAACCTTGCACTCCTGGAAGTCCAGCTGCTTGATCTTGTCGTTGATGGCCTAGAATTCACGATTAGAGAGGCCACGGGATCGAGGACTGTGGGGAAGGGTTGAACTCACCTTGGTACCGACGGTAACGGGCACGGATTCGGCCTCGGTACCGAAGACAAGCTGCGAGCGCCGCGAGTAGAATAGGTGCAGCTTGTCCGGGTTACGGCTCATGGTGGTGTAGTACTGCTCAACGAAAAACCAACCCACCTCGTCCTTGGAGATCTCATTCTTCTGATGGTCGGTAGGGGTGGCGGTGGTAGGGGTGGAGGACTGAGCGGGCTGGAAGCTCGCCGCGGTGTTCATGGCCACATGGGTGTGGTTGAAGGAATCTGGGTAGGCATGATGCGCAGGGTAATTGCCGTTGATGGGAGCCTGGGTCATGTCGGCCATGGTGGAATTGAGGGGTTTTGTGTTCGGATGGAAAAACGGGATCGAAAAGTAACCGAGAGGTGCGGCGAAAAATCAGAATGACGCGGGCAAAGCCAACGGAGCTTTTTAACAGATATCGAGTAAATGAAGATATAGATGCAAGGTTTTGCTGATTCCTCTCGCTTCACTGGGTGTTCGTCAGTCAATGTCCCCACGGGCGAGATTTGATGGGCCAAGACTCACAATGCGAAATGGACCAAATAGCAATGCAAGCAATTGAAGGAAACTGAAGGAAGGGAAGAAAGAAATCAAGGCAGAAAAAAAGGAAACGAGACTCTTTGAAGCTAGGAAAAGCGTTTCGAGGAAGTATAGATGAGGAGAGAATCCACGGGAAAGATTCTGTGCGGTTCTGATCCTGACGACGGAAGGATGTAAGGGATAGGAGACCGAGGTGTATTGCGAGGACAATCCAAGAGGGTTGACGAGTATAAGCGAAGATGGAGGGAGTCGGAGAATTGAAGCGAGCCAGAGAGATGGGATGGGGAAGAAATTCGGCTTCGAAGAAAAAGCGACTTCCTTCGCTGCGTCTCCGTGCGGGTTCGCGTGGCTTGGCACTTTTCACCGCCCGGCAAAATTGGGACTCGTCCGTGTAGATGTAGAGGCAGATATCGATTGATAAATGGGAGAATACCGCAAGAAAATCACTGATCCTACTGAAAAGGGTTTTCTATGCCCAGTAGAATATACCATAGATGTCTCTAGGCATGAAAAGAAGCAAGAGAAAGGTAGCAGAATCAGCTCGAGACCCAAATAACCATCTTTGATATCTATTAATATATGTATTGTTACTCTGGCATTGAAACACAGACTCGTTGGGAACAAAGGGGAGGTAGATAGCATTCGTCATAATAACCAAGTATACAAAAGCGTAAGAGCAGACATCAAAAAACAACAGAACCGACCCAATCCAGGCACATGTACTAAGGGAAAGGGCCAATGAAAATTTGATCAAGTCAAAAACGCCACAATAGTAATCCGAAAAGAAAGAGGGGGTATGATACGTGAGCAATAACGTGGCTCCCAAACGAACAACACTCATAGAGAAGCCGCGTGGACGTAGAAGTTGAATAGAGGGGGGGGGAGAAAGAGGCAAGGGGGAAATAGAGAACGAAAGTGACAGTGACCACCGTACCCCTTGGGATGAGGAGACACAGAGTGTCCATATTTACGAGGCTGTTGTTTCCGTCTTCTCGTTCAGCAGGGGCTTGCGCATAACGGCATCCTGGCCGGTCATCCGTCGTCCGAGCGCGCGCTCAACCTTGGCCCCGAGAGCCAACTTATTCAAGTTGTCGGTCTTCTCTGCTGTCGGAACAAACCGCTGTTTCTGGAGGGGCTTGTTCTCGAGACGCTGCAAGCCATCGGAGAGATGGGCGATGTCGGCCAACCTGGGGTCACCACTCGGGAGACTGCCGGTCGTGCGCTCAGAAGCGAGTGAAGGGCTTCCACTGACGGTGGAGAATCGCTTGGAGTTCCGGTTCTGAAGGGAATTGTTGAGTTAGATCATATCATCTAGAGCAAGACACGACCAAGGAGGGGTAAAAGGGGAGCAACTTACTGACTGGCCCATGATGGGACGCTCCGATTCAAGGGAAGGATGACGGGCCATTTCTGATGGACAATTGTGTTTTCAAGGGGGGTGCGCCGGGGAGGAAGCACCGATAAGAGTGTGAAGGTTTTGGGGGGGGGGGGAAGATTCAGAACATGCGACCTGCGGGCAGAATGAGTGTTAGCAGGATCCTTTGGGGGCCTTCCTAGAGATCGCGTCCATGAGAGACATACAGCAATGACAAGAGGTGGAAGGAGGGCGTGAGGTTAAGATTATCGGAGGACTTGAAGGGGAAAAAATTAGCCCAAACGGCCAAGGCGTATGGAAATTAGAGTCAACTCAGGAGGCACGAAACGGAGTGGGTCACGTTGGAAGGTGGGGATTGTCTTTGTTTCGGTTCTGAACAAGAGTCCATCTCGCCACGTGCTGCCACGCGATAATGTTCTTGATCCTACAGGACTATGTACTTCTTGCTTGGTATCTAGGTATATCTTGGGATCCAATATCCCTAGCCACTACCTCGTAGAGTACTTTGTAGGGGGAGAGAATCATTGAATCTGAGGATATCAGCAAATCGCCGAGGTAGAGGTCCTATAGTGCCAACCCATACATGTGAAACTAGAACCTGGATCATGTCTTTTTGGAGGTATGATCTAGTTTCAAAGGAAGTTTGGTGATATCCTCAGGTTTCTTCTAGATACCTCAGGGCTTAGGGTGAATCTGCTGACTCACCGCTTGGCAGCGACGTGAGAATCCTTTCCTCCAGTGGTACATCATAGTAACCTTGGAGAATAAGCTTACCCTCCGTCACACCACTTCTGCCTACATTCTGTGACCCTAGATAGGCGCTCAAAATGCCGAAACCAAAGACCTTTCTCAAAGAGTCCAAGCCCAAGAAAAAGACGGCGAAGCAGGTCTGATACCATTTTCCAGACTAAGAGGGGAAAAAAAAAAGAAAACAAGCATCAATAAGCTCACGATTTGACAGGCTCCCGTAACCGCCGATGAGTTTCTGGCCGGTAAGTCTTGGTTGACCTTGTGTCTTCCAATGGAGTTTAAACTAAATGGGAATAGCGGGCGTCGAGCTTGAGGAAGCCGGAGAGAAATGGCGAGCTGGAGATGCCGCCAAGTCGATGCGCTTTTTCATGCGCGCCATTGCCAACTATGACGACGGACTCCAGAAACACCCTGGGGCTTTTGACTTGGTTTATAACAAGTACGTACGGCAGCGACCTAGAACGGGATCATGTGCTATTTGACTCTAGATACATCTACATTCCATGTCTCACCCGGAAAAAAAGAAACTGACTCGCTCCGTCTCACAGGGCGAGAGTTCAATATGAAATTACCCAGCACCCTAAGCTGGCCGCTCAGCTGCCAGCTCCACAGACTGAGATCCTGCAGATCGCATTGCAGTCGCATCGAGATGCAATCAGATTGGAACAGGACAATGCGGATGCATTGTTTAACGCGGGCCAAGTCTTGACCAGTCTGGCAGAGGCCATGTCCGACACCAAGCATCCAGAGAGTAAGCAGCTGATGCAGGCAAGCACCTATTTGCAAGAGGCGATCGAGCTGTTCCAACGGTGTCTGGTGCTGCAGGAGATGCGGTACTCGGAGATGCAGGAGCAGGCCCAGGAGATGGAATCCGGGGAGCAAGCCCAGGAGCAAGAGCCAGCACCGCAGCCAGCGGAGCCGGCCAAGGTTAGCTCAGCCGAGGGCTCAGAGGATGCGCAAGAGCAGTGGGCCGCTATCGTGGAACCGGTTACCAAGAATACCTTGGTGGACACGGCCGTGGCACAGCTGGAGACATTGGCCACACTGTGCAATTTGCTGACGTTCAACCCCGGTGCGGGTGGTGTCGGCTGGGTGCAGGAATATTCGTCAGAACTCGTACAGAGCCGGCTACCGGCCTACACTGAGGGCTCGGATAGACACTACGAGGCAGCATTGGCGCGCGCCAAGCTGATCTGTGCCTTGCACGAGGTGTTGTACCGGGGTGGCCAGTCCGATGTCCAGGTTTACCAACATGAGGTTGGTCAAGCGTTTGGGCCAGACCTCAATGTCGCAAATGATCCCGAGGGACTATGCAGCAAAGCGGAAGCGCTCACGTCGTTGAACGGGGCGCTGAATGACTTGCCGCCATCTGAGGCGGAAGGATTCAAAACCTCTCTGACAATTCGCTGGCAATCGCTGTCGGTTGCTCTGGACGCATTGACTGCCGCATCCAAACTCCCAAGCGCAGAAAACCTCCCCAAGATTCATATTGCGCGAGGAGATGCAGAGATGCACCGATGGCGACTGGGGACGACACCCTGGAATTATGCCATGGCACAGCAGAATGGCGCCACGCTGCTGCGGAACGCCCAAACATATTACCGAGGTGCGGCCGCACTGGCTCGACGTGACGGAGCGGCCGAGGAAGAACGTGACGCGTTGTGCAAGGAGGCAATTGCGGCAGCGGTAGAGGGCCAAAAGACCAAGCTGGAACAGTTGAAGACGAAGGCTCTCCAGGAACTGGTGGCTGTGGCCCAAGACATGGTGGAGGACGGTATGGTAGACGGCACAGACATGAGTGCCTTGATTTCATGACCGAAAAAAAGGCATGGCCAAGACAACCCCCTAAAGACCCGGCTGCGCGTTGACCTCTTTATCCATCTGGACCGCGTCTTGACGAAGATGGTGCTCTTTGCTAAACTGGGTAGCGGCCGTGGCAGCGCCCTCGAGGTCCGCGACGACCGACTCGACGTGGGAAAGCAGCTTCTCGATTTCCAGTCTTTGTGCCTGCACGGTCTGTGCCAGCTCTGCGTTTTGTGCATGCGTAACCTGAAGTCTATCGTTCAGCGTTGACTGCGCTTCCTGGAGATATGGCGTAAGGTGGGCTTTGTACAGATCTTCGGCGCCGAGAGTGTGCGGACTAGATTGTAGCAAGAGTCAGCCAGGAAAGGGGGGAAATAAAAAAAATAGAAGACGAGAGAAAAACATACGCAGTTTTTCGTTGTCCCTCATCTCCATTCTCTCCCTCGTGGTCCTTTCTCGCTTTTGCCTCTCCGACTAGGCGGTCCAATTCATTCAAGTGCTTGACAGCCTTCCTCTCCGCGATTATTTCATCGAACTCTGCCCTGGCACTCTCCTCCAGCTTCGCGTTGAGTTGCCGCCACACACTCTCCAGGCTGGCGGGGACATGTCGCGCCGGCGTGGGAAAACAGCTGGCAAAGTTGGCATATGAGTTTGCGCGCAGGGTACGCGCCAGGGCCTGGTCAAAGACTTGGTGCAGGCGCGAGGCGCGAGGGCCAGGCGTCTGGGAGATAGGCGCTGGCGGGGGAGGGGAGGGCGATGCCGCGGTTTGAGGTGGTGGATGCGAATTTGATTCGGTCATGATGGATAATATGCGATCGATATGGTTCCTGTAAATTGTATTGGATGTTTATCTTGTCGCACAGGGGGCGGGCGCAGAAGACCGTTGTTTGGCGAGGAATCTGGGGTCTTTTGAGGAATCGGCGAGAGTGCAACGCAGCGCGACGCGATAGTCACGTGATTCATATATTGATTTACACCTTGACTTGTCATTGGCATTCGAAAGGGGTTGTGGGAAAAACTATGAGCAGTTTGAGTATAGATCTTCGGCTTGATTTACTTGGCTGATTTAATTGCCCCTCATTAGTGCATTGTAATGGTATACCATAGTATCCAACCAGCTGAATATCCAATCTAGTTCTATCCCAACCCCAAACTAACCATCAGCCAATTCCTGCGTGCTCTCAAACTGACTTACAGAAGCCCTGGAATCTCTAGATTGTTTCGGTGAGTAATTGGAGTACACACCCCCTGAAAAACGGGCGTTTTGGTCCAACCCTGACCCACGACCGCGTAGATCTGCCCAAAGTGATTTAAATGCCGGCCACGATATAGAGACATAGATAAGACTATTCCAGAATCCCTGGAGGGGTAGGACAAAGCTAGAGGCATAGTTGAGTCCAAAAGAGAAGTCTTGGGGGCGAGCGAGAGCATATACTCTATTTGCGGTGGAAGGGACCTAGAAAGTTGGATTAGTCTCTAGAATGATAGTATGATAGAATAACCCAATTCATTGAGATAATAAAGTCGAATCCTACAAATTAATTCCAGACTTACCCATGTTACCAGTAGCGCGATAAAAAAAAGCATTGCATACTTTGTATACGCCCAAATGGTCGAGTTGCTCTCCGAGGTCATCACCCGTCGTTGGGAGTATGAATCCGCCAGGTCAGGACGTGCGGTTTTGAGAAGGATGTCAGTCCGTAGAGGGCTTGGGCCGATTCTTGGCCCGGATTCCTGACTAGAAGTCATCATTGTGCTTAGCCCCAGAGGCATACTGCTTGCTCCAACACCGCCACCCTCAATCGTCACAGAATACGGGCTGCGTGTGGTTGATGTAAAGCTGCGCGTGGGTACGCATTCGCGGGTTGACGTGGACCGGCGCTCCGGTGAGAAGCAGGCGAACTCGCTCGTCACTTGAATTCCGGACAGCTTAACGATCGGGGACTCGGGCTGAACCTCGGTATCAAGCGAGTCAATCCCGCCGAGATCTCGTAGTTGGCGTCGTTTTCGGTAGATCACTGTTCCTGCACGCAGGTAGATGGCAAAGGTTAAGGAGATGACGAACCACACGGGGCCATAGAAAACAGCGATGCGAAGATAGTCCCACGGCAGAGAGACCCAGCACCAGAGCTGCTCAAAAACATTAATATCTGGCAGATCAATTTTTAAAAGAAAATAGGGGGCTTCTTACAATAGCAGACCCATAGACCCGACCTCGGGCTTGGGTCTGTACGAAGAAGTATGTAAAGGCCGGGATAAAGGGCAGACCGTAGCAGCAAATGACATACTTCCATTCCAGTTGGCGCAGCTGCTCGGAGTTGTATTTGTGGAAAAAGGTCAAGTAAACATTACAGGCCATTGCAAAGGTCCACAGCGCATCGGCCGGCATGAACCTAATCGTATTGTATGAGAGGTGACTGGGTTGGAGCCAGCAGTCAATACTCACCATTGAATCAAAAATGCCTGGAACTGGCACAGTGAGCTACCTGCTCCAGCATGAATCCCAGACTGGGAGATGAGGGTCGCTATATTGGCCATGAGGTTGCCCCAAGAAGCATAGAACACCAGTCGGTTGATAGGTTTTCGAAAGGAGCGCGATCCGATAAAGGTAGCGACAATGACAGACGCTCCAATCAAAGATACGGCTGAGCATACACGCTCTGTGGCTGAGATGGCTGACAGTTGCCGTGCTGAAGGCGACATGGTATCATGGTCGAGGATCCAATGACCCTTTTGAGTGTTCTCGCACCACTAGGGTTTGTCGCACTTTCGATAGATATGGCAGAAGAGGAAGCAGCAGCAGCAGCAGCAAGGAAATCCAACAATCGGATGGACCAGCAAATCTTTGATTCAGATGCCCAGCAACACAGAAGCTTATGGTCGAAGTAGTAGATGGTAACAAATGTCGTCAGACTGGGTCCACATTGCCGTGCTCTTTATAGGCCTGCAGCTAGGGAAATGCCAGTTGATATCAAGACATGGCATCGAGTCATAGCACGAGCCCATTAGTCGCCAAGAACACGGGCTGAGAGAAATCAGCAGGGGGGTTTTTGAAATGAATTCCTGGTCTCAAACACTAACAGGATGGAGACAGGCTGGCAGGCACCCAGACGCTTGCAACATCCCACCTGTGTCTGCCAGGTGACAGGAAATTGATTCAAGACGAGACCAGTGGCGTCGACTTCTGACAAGCCCCGGGAACATGAACCTTGTGTAACTGCGATGACCGAATGTCATCTCTTTGGCTCCGCTTGAGGTTTGCTTTGATTTCGATAGGAGAGGCCTAGGGCATAGGCCAGGCCAGTGCTAGACCATGTCTGACATGGATATCCACATTTTGAAGCCAGAGGCCTGGTGGTTGAAGGAAAGAAAAAGAAAAGAAGAAAACCATCACATCGTAGGAAACGGGAAAGTCTCTTAACACGCCGCGCAAGGCCAGGAATTTCTGCAGGCGACGCCCAAATTCCAATCGGGGCAGAACCGAAAGGCAAGTCCGAATAACACGCGAATTTCAGTCTGCACGAGTCCCGGTCTGGTTCAAATACGGTGGACCTTCATCCCAACATATAGAGGCAGAAGAATATGCCGTGAAGAACGTACTCTCGATTCTAAAGGAGAGCCTATTTAAGCAACCATAAGCACCCTCCCAAGTCTGTCTGCCAGGAAAGGCCATACATCTTCAAGCAGACACCATTCTCTTGTACACCGTGATCGGAGTTTGGTGCCAATAGCATAATGAAAAGAAGAAAGAACATCCATTATCGGGTATAACGCCAAGTCCTCCCATTGCCGAAATTGTCTAATCGAGGTCGTCATCTCGTCATGCGCGGTTTGGACCTTTAATACGCCGGTTGAGGTGGAACCATGCCCCCGTATGCGCCGGCCATCTGCTGCTGTTGCTGCTGCTGCAACTGCGCTTGGAGCTGGGGCAGATCATGGAACCACGGGTGCTGCAGGGCATCGTTGGCGCTAATACGCATCTCTGGCCGCAGCTGAAGCATACGGTTGAGAAGATCCAATCCGAGCGGGTCGATCTGCGGAAGAATCAAGCCGAGATCCTGCGTTGCATACACATGGAAGGTGGGCTTGTATTCTGGCAGTTGCGAAATGCCGGGCCATGAGCGCTCAGAAGGTGTCCCCATCAATCGGAAGATCTTCATCAACTGGTCCTCGTTGGTGGTACCCGGGAAAAGTGGCCGTCCTGTATACATTTCGGCCATAATACACCCGGCCGACCAGATATCGATGCTGGTGTTGTAGGTTCGACTGCCGAGGAGGACGTCGGGTGCTCGGTACCACAGAGTGACGACCTCGTTGGAAAAGGTGTTGACCGGGATGCCGAATGCCCGAGCCAATCCAAAGTCACCGAGCTTCAGTTGTCCCTTCTTGTTGATCAGCAAGTTCTGTGGCTTGAGATCGCGGTGGAGAACTCGGTTGTCATGGCAGAACGCAATGCCCTTGAGCAGCTGGTGCATAAATGATTTGATCGTAGCTGGGTCCAGCTGTCCGCGGTCACCCCGGGTATCCATATATCGTTTTAAGTCCCTGTCCATGAACTCAAAAACGAGCATGAGCTTGTTTTCGGTGTGGATGACATCGTAGAGCGAGACAATACTCTCGTGCTTCAGCTCCTTCATCAGAGAAATCTCACGGATGGCGGTCGACGGTGTCCCTTCTTCGGAATCGAGGTGGATTTCCTTCAATGCCACCATTTCACCGGTTTGGCGATTGCGCCCCTTGAAGACCTGTGGGAGAATCCTGTATCAGTGATAAACAAGGCGTGGAGACCCAGCAAGCTAGGAGCGAGAAAAACGAAAAGCCGAGAGGATCGAACGTACAGTGGCATAGGTGCCTTCGCCGAGCTGAAAAGCAAATGGGAGTCCCGTCAGTTGGAGTCTGATGCAGCAGTCTAGAGCGACAGACATACCTTTTCCAGCTGCTGGAAGGAGCTGGGCTGCTGAGATTTATCCATGAAGTGCGAAGAGGGCTTGACAGCTCCCGAGGTTTGAAGAAGGTGAAAGTAGAAGAGAAGGAAGAGACGAGCGCGAGGGTTAAAAGGTGGGCAGACTTGAGACGACGTGAGGTGCCCCGCGCCGAGTCGCTCTCGGGAGGCTTATTTAACGCCGACCTTTGCAGGTTCATTTGTGGCGGAATTCTCATAAATTTCATTTATTCCAAAATCATGCTTCAAATGATTTTTGGTATTTCTTAGCTTAATTCACTAATGATTCTAGATGGTATTGACCGACAGTCGCGATACAACACCCGGCAGAACCGATTGCGCGGGATGGCTACACCGGACATGCGCAGAGTCCTGTTCAAGATTCCCAAAAAGAATGGCTTCGTTCCTGACCCCGCCGACATTGACAATGCCAATGGGCATACCGCGTTTGTAAGCTCGTTCCACCAGGCGCCACGCTGAGTAGGTAGCAAGGCTGCTGCCCAGAACCATTAGCCGCCCGGCATCGTCAATCGCCTCTTCAGCCGCTGTTTTGACGCCTGGGTTGATGTTTTCTCCAAACATGATCACCGCAGGTTTCAGAATGCCGGCATTGGAGGTCGGGATCCATGCGCCGTCGCCCTCTACCTCTACTCGGGCTCTGGCCCCATCCTGGAGAAGGGGAGGGTGCTCCAAACACGCCGGACAGGCCGGGTATCGGAACGTGGAATACGGCGCTTCCGCGAGATCGACATCGCCGTCCGGGTTGAGCTTGAGGCCTTTCCGCCGCTGCTCGTCCGGGTTATCAGTGTCGAGCGCACCCATTTCCACCATTCGGGCCAGAAACTCTGCCCACGCCGGATTGAGCTTCTCCAAAGATGCCTGAAAGTCCACTCGCGGGAGTTCGTGCCGACAGCTAGTACAGACGACGGATCGAAGGTAACCATGCAGTTCAAGGGTGGACAGCTCCGGGTGAGCGAGCGAGTGGAACGAATCGACATTCTGCGTCACCACAGAACTAATATATCCTTTGGCGCCGAGGTCTCGGATTGCCCAGTGCGTGGAGTTGGGATGTGCTTTCACGAGACCGGGCCAGCCGACAAAGCTGCGCGCCCAGTACCGCTTGCGAGACTCATGGTGCGAGACAAACTCATGAAAGTAGATCGGACGGTAGGATGCGTTTCGTCGGTAGGTACCTTGCTCGCCGCGATAATCTGACAAGCCAGACGCGACCGAGATCCCTGCACCTGTGAGGAGCACGGTCTGGGAGTGTCTCCCCACGTCAACGCCCCGAAGGCTGGGCGAGGGTGGCGCTGTCAAAAAAGTGCTGACGGCATCAATGGCGCCAGCAAGAGCACTGGCAGACGCTGGGACTATAATGGCTGGCGGTAGCGGGCCCGTAAAGGGGATCCGGATCGCAGGCGTCGTCATTGAAGACGCATCATCAACGAAGCCGGCCTTGGCAATTAAGGGGAAGAGAAGGGAAGCGGAAACCTCGGGTTAACGTTGGCGTAGGGTGGACTCTTGGCTGGCGGGTCATTCAGCATCAGTTTTTGAGCGAGATTCAATAGAAAATAAGACAAAGGTGATTAGTGCAGAGAGGACTGGAGATCATACCATATAACCGTCGACACGGTCAGAATGCCCGAATGCGGGAAAATCAGCACATCTGGAATTGCCATCTGCCGGATTACATGATCGCGGATCGAATGACACCGTTCTTTCTTTTCTTCTTGAAGCCATGGGGATACTCACCTCATGAAGAGAACCCCCTGTCTATTTAGTCCCTGCTCTCTTTTGTGTGCCTCGATCCTCAGCCGTGATGCTGACGCAGCCCCTGCGGTGCAGGCTTCGTCCTTCCCTCCACTCCCTCCGAGTCTCTAGTCTGCGTGGATCTGCCCAGCGACGTGTGCTCGCCTCCGCACCCCTTTTTAAAGACCGTCTTTCCTCCCATCTTCGCCCTCGTTCCATCCCCGCGCAATCCTTCAACCACCCTCCCCATGACTCAGACCAGGGGCCATGGTGGCCATGGCCACCATCACCATCACGACAATGTCTATTTGACCTCGACAAACAAACACGATGCCGGAGTCCGCATTACACGCATTGGCCTGGTCGCCAATCTGGCCATGGCAATTGGGAAGTTTATTGGGGGCTACGTGTTTCATTCTCAATCTCTCATTGCCGATGCCTACCACGCGTTGACCGACCTGGTTTCGGACTTTTTGACCCTGGGAACTGTCGCGTGGTCTCTGAAGCCACCGAGCGAGCGATTCCCCAACGGATACGGCAAGGTTGAAAGCATTGGCGCCCTGGGAGTCAGCGGGCTCCTGCTCTTTGGTGGGGTGTTTATGGGTCTGAATGCGGGCCAGGTCTTGCTGGCCCAATTCTACCCTGATGCGGCCGAAACAATAGCTCATTCGGGGATTTTGGGACACGGTCACTCGCACAGCCATGGTGTAGAGATTTTGGGCCCCAGCATCCATGCTGCGTGGCTGGCCGGGGGATCGATTGTCATTAAGGAGTGGCTCTACCGTGCCAGTGAGTATCATACTGTGTTATCCTGGTCTTTCCAATTCAGCAACTAATCCATTGGATTTCTAGCTATGAAAGTGGCCGAAGAACGAAAGTCGTCGGTGTTGGCATCCAATGCCGTTCACCACCGCATTGACTCCCTGACGAGCATTGTAGCTCTATTCACGATTGGGGGAAGCTATTTATTTCAAGACGCTACCTGGCTGGATCCAGTTGGTGGGCTTTTGATTTCTCTGATGGTGGTAAAGGCGGGATGGAGCAACACTGCGTCCTCCCTCCTAGAACTGGCGGACACAGCGGTCGACGAGGATATTAAGACTTCTGTGCAAGAGGCTGCCTCCAAGGCTCTCAAGAGCATCGAGGACGGCGAGCAGGTGGTGATTCGCGACGTTCAAGGCATGAAATCGGGCCAGAACTACCTGATGGATATCGAACTGGCCGTGCCAGGTGCCTGGGCGATCACCCGATCCCGGGTCGTGGAAGAAGCCGTTCGAGAGACCATCGGCGCCGAGACCCGTGGTGTGAAACGAGTCAAGGTCCGTTTCATTCCCGTGGAACAGCAGGAATTGACCTTCTCCGAGGAGTTCATTACACCTCACGTCGATGGCAGCCCCGAGTCCCATGAACACAACACCGGCGCGGCCTCGGGATCTCACGGCGATGAGGATTCCTCGCGCAAGAGGAAATAAACCCGAGCCATTGGCAAGGGAGAGAGAGAGAGAGACAGCCTTGTTCGAGTGTCTTTCATAGGCGGTGGGCTTACGCTACCATGATACCCCTTGGGTAGGGTCTGCGCTGTCTGTATAGATCACTGCTTGGACATATAAATATATACAGAACACTAGAGGGAGAGGTCCTTGTATAGTGGAGACATGCAATTCTACCGAGAAATTAACAGAGCTTATTACCCGGTTCCCGCGGTCTATACACTACTAGGTATACCAAGGAAATCATGGAAATCGTTCGATGTTGGAAAGCATTCTACGAGTAATTATTGCGAATAGTCCTCGCAGAGTTTTCTCCAGCAGACTACCTTGGTAGAAGTAAAATAACCAAAACCCATAGGCAGGTCACGTAGGTAGACGGTGGACCTTGACATCATGGTGGGTTTATGCATCCCGGGATCCTTCGCTGTCAACCTTCCTCTGGAGATTCGTACTTTCGGCTTTCTCTTTCCCTCGTTCTCCCTCTCTTTTTTCTCTGTCTGTGTTTCTCGATCAATTGTCCTCTTTGGATTCTTCCGTATATACACTCAGACCTTTAACACCTGGTCTCATTTGCGTCTCCGATTGTGATTCCCACCCCCCACCATGTCGCAGGGTCCTCTCTACATTGGGTTTGACCTATCCACCCAGCAACTGAAAGGGCTGGTGGTGAACTCCGAGCTCAAGGTCGTGCACCTGGCCAAATTCGACTTCGACGCCGACTCGACCGGCTTCCCGATCCAAAAAGGCGTCTTGACGAACGAAGCGGAGCACGAAGTGTTTGCTCCGGTCGCACTGTGGCTGCAAGCCTTGGATGGTGTCTTGCAGAGTTTGCGCTCGCAAGGCCTGGATTTTCGCCGTGTGAAGGGAGTCAGCGGGGCGGGACAGCAGCACGGCAGTGTCTACTGGGGCGACGATGCGGAGCAACTCCTCCGCAATCTCGATCCGGCCAAGTCGCTGGAGGACCAACTGAAGCAGGCATTTTCACACCCGTACAGTCCCAATTGGCAGGATTCGAGCACCCAGCAGGAGTGTGACGAGTTTGACGCGATTCTTGGAGGGCCCGAGCAGCTAGCGCAGGCCACGGGAAGTAAAGCGCACCATGTAAGAGCCCCCAACCCCTCCCCTACCGGCGATCTGCATCGACGGAGAATGCAGCTGACACCATTCCCAGAGGTTCACAGGGCCTCAAATCCTCCGGTTCCAGAGAAAATACCCCGAGGTGTACCGGAAGACGTCAAGGATCTCACTGGTTTCCTCCTTCCTCGCATCGCTCTTCCTGGGCCATGTGGCCCCCTTTGACATTTCTGATGTCTGTGGGATGAATTTGTGGAACATCAAGGATGGCGCCTATGACGACCGCCTCCTTCAGCTTTGTGCAGGCACATTTGGGGTCGAGGATCTCAAGCAAAAGCTCGGGGCAGTGCCAGAGGATGGAGGCCTGCACCTGGGCTCGGTTCACCCATACTTCGTGGAGCGGTTTGGCTTCAGTCCCGAATGCACCGTTATTCCGTCGACGGGCGACAACCCGGCGACCATTCTTGCGCTGCCGTTGCGGCCATCTGATGCCATGGTGTCGCTCGGCACCTCGACCACCTTCCTCATGTCCACTCCGAGCTACAAAACCGACCCTGCTACGCACTTTTTCGATCACCCAACGACTCCCGGATTGTACATGTTCATGCTCTGTTACAAGAACGGTGGCCTGGCCCGCGAGCAGGTCCGAGACGCCATCAATCAGGCCCTGAAAGACGCTCCTGCCGATGTCTGGGCTCACTTTGATAAGATCTCGCTGGAAACTCCTCCATTGGGCCAGCGGGGCTCAACGGATCCGATGAAACTGGGCTTGTTCTTCCCGCGGCACGAGATTGTTCCCAACATTCGCTCGGGACAATGGCGCTTCACCTACAACCCAAGCTCCGGAGCCCTGCAGGAGACGACCGAAGGATGGAACACCCCACAGGATGAAGCGCGCGCCATCATCGAGAGCCAGATGCTCTCGTTGCGTCTGCGTTCTCGAGGCCTCACACAAAGCCCCGGAGATGGAATGCCCGCTCAGCCGCGGCGGGTCTACCTCGTCGGAGGCGGGTCCAAGAACAAAGCCATTGCCAAGGTGGCCGGGGAGATCCTCGGTGGGGTTGAAGGCGTGTACAAACTTGATGTCGGTGACAACGCCTGTGCCTTGGGTGCAGCATATAAAGCCGTCTGGGGCATCGAGCGCCAGCCTGGTCAGACCTTTGAGAACCTGGTCGGGCAGCGGTGGAATGAAGACCAGTTCATTGAAAAGATTGCGGACGGGTACCAAAAAGGAGTGTTTGAGCAGTACGGCAAGGCCGTCGAGGGATTTGAGAAGATGGAACACCAGGTTCTGCACCAGTAAAGACTAGAAATGGGAATGGGCAAAACAATGTAGATATGAAACCGGGTTGGAGAGAATCACGCGCCTTTTGCCCTAGTCGGCACACCAACCCAAAACCTCGTTTCTTCTTTCTTTCTCGACACACTCTCATCCACCAAAGCTCTTTCTATCTAATTTTTCTACTTCGATCTTGTCTGCTGTCCCTGGGGTTTAGTCTGGTGGATTCCAGTTCACTTCTTGGCGAGGACCCAGGCACCGAAACCCGATTACGATACTGGAATGATATCTCCACCGAAACCAATTTTGATTCAACACACATCCTCCTCGCTTTCTCTCCCTCCTTCCACACTCCGAAGGGAAGATCGGCTGGTCGAAGATGGAAGAACAGGTGAGATTTTGGATTTTTGTTTCCGCACTTTGAAGGGAAAAAAATAGCCCAAAAATTACCACCCCTTCCCCACCAAATTGAAAACCTGCCCCTCCGAGGGGTCGGTCGGTGATTCGAGGATCGAGGATTGACATGTCCCCTTTCTAGGTAGCAAGCGCCATTGAGATCGCCTGGAATCCGTCCTCCGACCAAGCCCTGAAATCGCAAGCCTTCGACTACCTAAATCAACTCCGCTCCAACCCTTCCGGATGGCAGGTCTGCCTGGCCCTCTTTACTCAAACTCCCCAGCAGCCCGAGATCGTACGGCATGTGAGCCTGGAGATTGTCAATAGTGCCGCTCAGGCTGGCTTGATCGATCTAGCCTCGCTGGGGATCGTGCGAGATGGGTTGCTGTCCTACATCCGGCAGGTGTACGGACCCGACGGGGCCGCCACTCCCGATGCGCCCTACATTCAGAACAAAATCGCTCAGACCATTACCTTCCTGTTTTCGGCGCTTTACGCTAGTGGCTGGGAGACTTGCATTGACGATCTATTGGCGTTGACCTATAAGTCCGCGGCGAGCTCGTCTCGTGACAACCCGCTGGGAATTGTGTTCTATTTGCGAGTAGTGAATTCGATTCACGAGGAGATTGGTGATGTCCTGGTTTCGCGGTCCCGCGTGGAACAAGACAAGGCAAATGCCCTCAAGGATCTAATTCGGCAGAGGGACATGCAGAAGATCGCCGGTTCTTGGCAAGAGATTTTGTCGGAATGGCGGGATGGCGACGATGTCCTTTTGGAGATGTGTTTGAAGGCAGTCGGAAGCTGGGTGAGCTGGATTGATATTGGTCTTGTTGTGAACCAAACCATGCTGGACTTGCTGTTCCAGCAGCTCGGGCGGGCCGAGAAACAGGAACTTCGAGAGGGAGAGCAACGCGTGCGTGATGCAGCAGTGGATGTCTTCACAGAGATTATTGGCAAGAAGATGAAGCCCGCAGACAAGATCGAAATGATTGTGTTCTTGAATCTCGACGCGATTGTTACCCAGCTGTCGAACAGCCCCCCTCTGCACGAGAACCGATTCACCTCCAAATACGACACCGATCTGGCGGAGACCGTGGCCAAGCTCGTCAACATTACGGTCGTGGACATTGTGCGAGTATTGGAAACTGAACCTGGGCCTATCAAGGAGAAAGCAGATAATCTTCTGCAGGTCTTTTTGCCGCACATCCTGCGATATTTCTCGGATGAGTACGACGAAATCTGCTCGACCGTGATTCCCTGCGTTAATGACATGCTCACCTACTTCCGGAAACTCTCCAAGAGCAACCCATCTTCAGAAGAGCAGAACAAGGCCATCCTGCTTCCGATTCTGAAGGCGATCGTAGCCAAGATGCGGTACGATGAGACCTCGAATTGGGGAGATGAAGATGAGCAGACCGATGAAGCAGAGTTTCAGGAACTGCGGAAGAGACTCGGCGTGTTGCAGCAAATCATCGCATTGGCCGACGAGCAGCTTTACATTGACGCAATCTCCGAGGTGGTGGGGACGACGTTCGGGAATCTCCAGGCATCCGGGGGCCAAATTGACTGGCGTGACCTGGATCTGGCGCTGCATGAGATGTTCTTATTTGGTGACTTGGCCGTCAAGGGTGGCGGTCTGTACGTGAAGAGCGCTCCTAGCGGCAATGCTGCCATTCGACTGATTGAGATGATGCTTCGAATGGTGGAGTCCGGTAGGTCTGCCCCGTGAATCTTTCACTAGACTATCATTCTAACCCTCCTACAGATATCCGGTCCTTCACTCATCCTGCTACACAACTTCAGTATATGGAAATCTGTGTTCGCTACAGCACGTTCTTCCACCACCACACCCATCTCATTCCGGGTGTCTTAGGAAGCTTTTTGCAGCTTGTTCACCACCCCATCCGAAAAGTGAAAACTCGCTCCTGGTATCTTTTCCAGCGGCTCGTGAAGCAGCTACGCATGCAGATCGGCAACGTGGCGCAGACCGTCGTTGAAGCGTTGGGTGATTTGTTGGTCATCCAGGCGGAGGTGCCCTCTGAGGGTGATGAAGGCGACGAGATGTCGTCAGAAGACCACGAGGGCTCCGCCGATGCTGTGTTCAACAGTCAACTTTACTTATTCGAGGCTGTCGGAATCATCTGTTCTACCCAGGGAATCTCGGCCGACAAGCAAGTGCTCTACGCGCAATCGGTGCTGAACCCGATTTTCGCGGATATGGAACGGAACCTCAACGCCGCCAAGTCCAACGACGAGCGGGCCGTGTTGCAAATTCACCACGACATCATGGCCCTGGGCACTCTCGCCCGAGGGTTTTCCGACTGGGTGCCGGGCACGAGCAGCCCAGCCAGCCTTCCGGCTCCAGAGGTTTCGGAGGCCTTTGGCCAGGTATCCGAGGCAACTATGGTTGCTCTCGAGTCCCTCAAGGGGTCATTCAATGTCCGGACGGCCGCTCGCTTCGCCTTCTCGCGGCTGGTCGGGGTTTTGGGCTCGCGAATCCTTCCTCAACTACCCCGGTGGATCGACGGGTTACTGACTCAAACGTCCTCGCGCGACGAGATGGCGTTGTTCCTGCGTCTTTTGGACCAGGTTATCTTTGGTTTCAAGGGCGAAATCTACAGCATTCTCGACACACTCCTGACCCCCTTCTTGCAGCGCGTATTCTCCGGAATTGCGGACCCTACGACGGGCACTGATGATGAGATTCAGCTGGCAGAGCTTAAGCGGGAATACTTGAATTTCTTACTGGCCGTTTTAAGCAACGACCTTGGGGCAGTCATCATCAGCGAGAGTGAGTTTGACTTTTTCATCCTTTCTATTTTCGTATCCTATACTCATCCCCGCATAGGAAACCAACCTCTTTTCGAGACCGTCATCACTACCATTGAGCATTTTGCCAAAGACATTGAAGACTTCACCACAGCCAAGATGGCGTTTTCCGTGCTGTGTCGCATGGGCAGTTCCTGGGGTGGACCTGACATTGCTCCCGGGGTTGTCAACGGCACAGCGCCCACCCAGACCCAAACCGCGCTCCCAGGCTTCGGCAGGTTCATGATCACGCGGTTCTCTCCCCTGTGCTGGGCCCTCCCTGCAACTCCATCCTTCAATCCCAAGGACGCACAGGCCAAGCAAGTACTGGCTGAATCTGGCGCATTGCAGCGCACCATCTACTTCAAGACGGGCATGGAGTATGCGGATTACTTGCGAACCCGTGAATTGCCCGAGATGGGCATGGGCCCGGAGCTCATCGAAGAGTTTCTGACTGCATTGAGCCAGCTGGACGTGAAAGGATTCCGGCAATTCTTCCCGGTAGGTTTCCCTCCCAATCCTGACCGTGTCGAGTTATCTTTAGAGACTAACGAGGCTGTGTGTAGTCCTTCATCCAACGATTGAGCGCATGAAATCTCCGAATCCAAAAAAGCCCCGACGACCTGTTTCCCTCTACTATGTTTTGTTTCTAGATTCCCCCATGTCATATTTATGTTTTGAGACGAGGTGATGTCTGCTCTGGCGCCGACCTGTGACTTGGCTATCTATACGATCTGTGAATTTGTGAACCCCGGATCTCATCACTGTCCGGCACGAATAAAATCGGAAGAACTGAATACACATTGGAAAAAAGTAAAAAAAAAAAAAAAACAACCCTTCAGCATTTTTCGTATATGGTGTGTTCTGCATGGGGGACATTTTCATGGATTGCCGTCAACCCCTGTCCCAGGCGTTTTTTTTTTTCCCTTTTCTTTTCTTCCTTTTTCTTTCCTCCCTTCAACTGTCAGCTCCATAAGCAGATTGAAAGAACCCAAAAAGAAATGTCGAACTGGACTGATGCGGTGGCCATGCGCCTTGTCTGCAGAGTCTGCACTTGGAAGCCTGGAGATGTCACCCATGAAGTAAAGAGAATCAGCCATCTTGGATGCTTACTTCTGGCTGCGGCACCACTCACATTGTGAGACATAATACGAAATTGAGGACTCGTTTCTGACATCTTCCCTCCAGACTCGGCTGGCCACGATTACGATCTTTCTGGGCGAGGCGCCCCGACAGATGACTCTCGGGACTCGATGAGCTTACTCTGGGCATTGGTTCTCTACACCCCAACTTTCATGGACGCCCCTAGTTCCCGTCTTATCTACACTCCCCATCTGAGATATACGTGTGGCATCAGCAGCTGACTCGGGCATACATATGCCCAGGGCCACGCCCGCAACCCCTTGTCTTTGGTGATCATGAGATACAATGAGCTGAGGGCCGAGGAGATGGCAGTCTAAGGATAGACCTGGATGTGGCCATCGCCAGAGCTGTATCCACTGGTTACAGCTCAGCATTCCAGCAGATCAAGGCCTATATAAAGGGCCTTCTTCATCCTCATGGCCGGGAATTGTCGATCATCAGCATTCATCGCAATCCTCTTCCGGAGACTACAAGAAACAAAAAAAAGCCCTCGAACCTCTTTTGTGAATTTCTGCATCTTCCATACTCGATTCCCGAGTCAATCATCTTATCGCAATCAATATGAAGGCCACCACCATCGCTCTCTGCTCCCTGCTCGTGGTGAGCGCCTCCGCCGCACCGCTCGATGCCCACCATGAGCATAAAGTGACCGTTGCGCTCTCGAACGACCACTCGGGCGCCTACACCGGCGTAACCATCCCCGCCGATCACACCGACCGGAGCATCACCTCGCTCTTTGGCGAAACCGCCGTCGGATCGGAAGGCACCGTCTATGCGTCGTCTGCGCAGCTGACTGCGTTCCCGCAGACCATTTCGTGTGTCCTGGCCAGATATGGGACTCCGATTGCCACCCTGACTGCGCAGCACACCTTCGCCGATTTGGATGGTAACCCCGGTGCCAGCACCCCGGTTAACTTGCACGATGCGGTGATCAACTGCCATGTTTGAGATTCTACCCCCTTTAAGGACCTTCATATATACATGCAGTTATATATAGAGGAGAAAGAATGAGATTTGCGTGATGAGAGTATTTGGTACGATGCGAATTGGAGATTGTCTAGTCCAAGGAAGATGAATTACATTGACATTGTTTTCTTTGATCTTTTTCTCCCACCCCTTGAGTACTTTTCCATAGTTTCTACTGTACAGTAGGTTGTCACGGAGATTTTCCTTCGAGACAGGAGGCCCACATACCTCGGCATAGGGGTGTCTCTAACCTTGCTATTTTGGGAGAGGAATGCATCCCTTGCAAGACTATCAACAATTTTATTTATACATGTCGATATACAAACTTCCTCACACCATGAGAAGGTTCTGCTACAAGTTTTTGGTCTACCCTCCATGCATTTCCAATAAGCGGGGGCTTTTGAAGTACAGCATTGACTAGACAATATATTGCCATCGTAGTCAGTGCCCTATGCCAAGTGAGATCCAACATCATCAAAGAACTCTCCTAGTGCACCAGACTGCATCAAATATGTCCAGTTAGTCCAATCGTAGTCAGGACATGCCGCTCTGTCCACCTGGCTCGTGCCCTCCAGCAAGGGAGGCAGCGGATTGTCGCCAAGGGCTGTTCCCCATGTCTCATACATCTCTTCTGATCGAAACGGGGTTCCACTTCCTGTCGTTGGTTCAGAATGGGTCCTTCGAACCATGTTCGGACTAGATACCGCCTTGGGTCCCGCTGGGTGGGAAGAAGAAAAACGTTGGGCTAGCAACGTCACCAGGCTTGGTGGTTCGATATTCTGGCCTTGCTGGAGCTCAGCTTGCTCACGAGCAGCCCAGGCCTCGAGGATCGTGTGGCCGAATGCAACATGCATTGGGTTCTCAAGGTTGCGAGCAAAGCTCCGGTGTTTGTAGTTATTGCAGATCGCCTGCCATGCGCGCTCACATAGCTCGCCTGTTGCGCGTTGGCGCAGTTCGCTCACAAAGAAGATATAGCCTGGCAAAGGGCCATGCATCTGAGTGAACCAGAGGAACCTGCGGAGGCTTTCGGTCGTGTAGATCTCATCATCGTATTCGAGAATTTGGATCGCGCACAGGAAAAGAGAGTCGCGCTCTTGATGGTCGAGACTGGAGGTCGGCATTCCTCGACACATGAAGTCGATGACACGCAACATACAGAGTGACGCGTGGGTCAGCAGTAAATTAAAAAAGGTGAATGGGGATCTTGGAGTCACAGTGCTGAGGGTAGACGGATTCCACGTAGCAACCGGACTTGTCTAGGTCTTCGAGGGAGGGTCGACGTGCTTCACCAGTGCTCGCATTGGGGGGCAGTGAAGGACTGCGGGACTTGTGGGAATGTACGGTAGTCGAAGCCTTTGGTTGGATCCTGTTAGATATAGGGGCAATAGTGAGCTCAATGCACGTGAGGCAAAAGAGCATCTCGGTGGGACCTATACAAGAGCCCGGGAGATGCTCAGTGTGCGGGTGCAGGTCCGTGTCATTCGCATTCAGAAGAAGTCGAAAGTTGACTCCAGAAGAAACGAGAGTGGTGACATCCGACCCTATGAATTCCGTCATTCGCTTGTCTAGGACGATGAGCTGCCACCAGAGTCACCGAGTTTGCTCCGTGTCGAAAGTTGACAGGCCTGTCTGGGATCCGTCTCGATGTATACTGAGATGAGTGGCGATACGAACAGCGATACCAATCAAGCAGGACAGAGATCGGGGATCGATATTGCGTCCCCTGCCGAGCTAGATACGCAAATTAGTACCGTTCCGTCACACGGCAGAGAAGGCGTGAACGGTGGTTCTTACAAGGTAGAGCAAGTAAGCCTGCAGTATCATGAGGTCATTTGATCTCATGAACCCGACATTAATCAACCCCTGTTGCGAAGCCTCGTTGTATCGAGCCAGGAGTATGTATGGATTTCATTGCGCCGAAAGTCTTCTGGACCTCCTCGTCTGGCATCGATTTTACCGCAATAAAGTAGACACAGAACATGAGAGCTTCTAAAGATTGAGGCGTCGACCTTTCAAAGACGCCTGCCTCGAGAATCTGGGGCTGCAGCGTGGGAACATGACTGATCTTCAGCAGAGGATTGACGTTTATGATATACACCTGCCAGAGCTGGAAAACCTGGATTGCAGATGGATGTAAATGGGTGATATTAGTTGGGTGTCCTTCAACACAGAAGGGGAACCACATGGCATCGAAGGCATGATGGGCCGTCGGCCGGCTATATTCTTCATCGGACGACCTGTGAAGCAGGTCATAGGAGGTTTGGTACTCATCATGAGATGAAACCGACTGGGAAGCTTTACACGGATGTTAGAGCGTTTGCATTCCGAGATCTGCATTCATGAAACGGGTCAACTTACTTGCCGTCTCTCGGGGAAGCCGTCGATTCGAGGTCAGCATCCAGGTCAGCCCCGTCGCCCTCTAGGACCAATTTAAAGCTGACACCATGTTTGGTCATGAGCGCTTCTTTTTTCTTTTGGAGCTGTTCGATCAACTCCTGTTCATGTAGCTTCTTTTTTCTCTTTCTCGTCGGCTGCGGAGGCACGATGCGGCATTCGATCCGCGCCCGAACACAGTTGGAACAGGGTTTCTGCTGGTCGCAGCGAACCTTGCGCTGCTGGCACCGAACACACGAGTGGCCTCGTGTCAGACTCATGGCGGATAGCCATGAATGGAAGAAGCAAGCAGCGTTGAAGTGAAGTGGACTCGCGTCAGCGAGAAGATGGCGGCTTCGGTCCCGAAGCGTCGATCGGTTCCGACATCGTTGACTTCCATTTGATATGCGCAATTGGCTTCTCGGGCTCAACAGACATTCAATGTCCGAGATGTTGGCCGCAGTGAGCATTCCGAATGACATAAATACCGAGGGGTGTCTGGCTCCCCTTGATCGGCGTTGGAAAACACTCGCCCAACCCTGGTGTTTTTGCCCTTGTTGAGCAACTTCCAAACACTCGGACAAGACAGAATGAATCGGCCTGCATCTTCCCAAGACCAGACAGTCCCAGTTGATGAGCAACGGCCACCTGCCCCGCCCGGGGGACTGCCGGGCAGACATTACCAGCCTAAGACGCTCCGATTCTGGCTCATCGTGCTCTGCAACTTTCTGGCACTCTTTCTCGTGGCGCTCGACCGCACTATTGTCACAACCGCTATCCCTCGCATCACCGATGACTTCAAGAGTCTTAGTGACATTGGCTGGTACGGATCGGCGTATATGCTCACCAGCGCGACGTCCCAACTGATCTTTGGCCGGATCTACAAATCCTACAACATGAAATTGGTCTTCTTGACAACGGTGGTCATTTTTGAAATTGGATCTGCAATCTGTGGTGCTGCTCCCAGCTCCAAGGCTTTCATTGCTGGACGCGCCATTGCTGGATTTGCCTCGGCAGGCATTTTTTCTGGATGCACGCTGGTTATGATCTCCATGGTCCCATTGCATAAACGGCCCATTTTTCAAGGATTGTTTGGAGCCGTCTTTGGAATCGCTTCGGTTATGGGTCCCCTCGTTGGCGGAGGCCTTACTAGTGGTGTGACTTGGAGGTATGTTCGTTCCTCTAGCATATCTGTCGCAAAGAAAAGAGTTGACCAGGAGAACGTTTAGATGGTGTTTCTATATTAACCTCCCCATTGGAGCAGTGAGTTTGGCTTTCATGGCCTTGGTGTGGAATCCAGAGATGTCCAAGTATGAGCCTGCCTCCATCGGAACGCACATCAAGCGTCTCGATCCCCTCGGCACGTTCTTCCTTGTGCCCTCCATCGTGTCTTTACTGCTGGCTTTCCAGTGGGGCGGATCTAAGTACGCCTGGAGCAATTGTCGTATCATCGCCCTGTTCGTACTCTTTGGTGTTCTGATATTGGCCTTTGCTGCCGTCCAAATTCTGCTCCCCGACACAGCGACAATCCCAGCCCGAGTGATCACTCGCCGGAGCATCCTCTGTGCGGCTCTCTTCACCTTCTTCTCTGCAAGTGCGATGATGATGACAATCTACTATGTTCCAATATGGTGTAAGAGCTCCCTATCCAGTATACCTGAGGCTCACCGAGGATCTTCCCTAATACCTTCATAGTTCAAACGGTCAAGCTGGTGAACCCTGTTAAATCTGGCATCCACACATTGCCCCTCGTGCTCAGTTTAGTCGCTGCAAGCATTATCTCCGGCTTCACGACCCAGAAGATTGGTTATTATGTTCCAGCCATGTATCTCTGCCCATGTCTTCTGTCCGTGGGACTCGGGCTAATGTCAACCTTCAACCTCGACACGGGCTCCTCACATTGGATCGGATACCAGTTTCTGTGCGGCTTTGGCCTGGGTCTTGGAATGCAGAACTCCGGCCTCGTCGTCCAAAGGATCCTTCCCTTCTCCGATGTGTCGATCGGGATCGCTCTCATGTTCTTCCTCCAGCAACTAGGGGGCAGCATCTTCACGACAGTCGGGCAGACAATCCTGAATAACATCCTCGTGTCAAAGCTAAGCGAGATTCCTGGAGTTGACTCGAGCAAGGTCCTCCATGAAGGTGCTACACATCTCGGTTCTGTTGTTCCAGCTAAATACATGGCCGTGGTTCAACAGGTATACAATCTGGCCTGCACGAGAATCTTCCTTGCCGCCATGGGGCTCGCTTTGGCGGCACTGCTTAGCTCTCTCGGCATGGAGTGGAAGTGTATCAAAAAGGGCAGGAATGGCCAAGAGAGACTCGATAGGCCGGACGACTCAAATACCATGCTAATTGACGAAGCGAAACAGGAGGACCATCGAGATGATAAGGGACTTGCAGAGCACTCCAAACACAACACTTCAAATGTGCGCTGATCGTGTGGATCTAGCTTATCTTTGGCGACGGTGCGGCCAGGCTTCTTTCTTCGAGTTTCCACATCCACGGAGATGGATGTATAGCATGACTCCAGGCCCATGAAACTTTCTGCAATCATGTGCCTTCAAACAGTCAATTGAAATCTGTTCTGGATAGATTCATTCCATTACATTCCACACTTTCAGATCACGGACCGGACGGTCTGGCGCTCACTGGAGACAACCTCTGGATCAGAAGCCGTTTACAAGCCAGCGCAAGAAAAGGAAAAGGGAGAAGAAAAATAGAAGTTTTGCGTTATATTCTCGGAAAGAGAAAAGGAGAGAGAACACACTATGCAAAGAGATACTTGGCCGCATGTTCCACATGGTCATCCGCAAAACTCGCCATGGTGTAGTACGAGTGGTCGTAGTCCGGCTGGTACCGCACGCGCAGGCCCTGCACACCGACGTCACGGGCGGCAGCCTCGAAATTTTCGGGCAGTAGTTGGCCCTGCTTGTAGAAGTTGTCGCCGGTGCCCTGATAGGAGTATTAGGGGACTGATGTACATAGAATATATAGAGGTGAGGCAGTAAATATCAATAAAAGGAAAAAAAAAAAAAAACCTACCACGTCAATGAGAATATCTAGCGGCCCTCCATTCCACTTCTTGAGCAGCTCTGTTGCGTCGTGCTCCTTCCATTTCGCTTGTTGGTCATCCCCGAAGTAGCCCTTGAAGGCCTTCTGGCCCCAGGGGCAGTTGGTCGGGTTCGTGATAGGCGCAAAGGCCGAGACGGATTTATATTTGCCGGGGTTGCGGAGGAACTAATTGATGTTAGTTGCGTATTCCTTGGACATCCCACGCAGCAAAAGAAAGAAAGAAAGAGCTGACCAGAGTAAGAGCACCGTGTCCACCCATGCTGTGGCCCGTGATGCTAACCCGGCTGGCATCAAGTTGCGGGAAGGCCGCAAAGACAGTCTGCGGCAGCTCCTCGGTGACATAGCTGTACATGTTGTAGCCGGCGTCGTAGGGGGCCTTGGTGGCGTCGACATAGAAGCCGGCGCCAGTGCCAAAGTCATAGGCGTCGTTTTCGCCCTCAATGTTGAGGCCGCCTGTAATTAGCATCAGCAATGCCCGCAAATCAATGCATGTCTCCCGTTGAATCTAGATCCATATTCTATGCGAAGAATATATACATATGGGACGGAAGTGTGGTCAGGGGGCATACGTGGACTCGTATCCGGGTACAGCACGGCAATCCCCTTCTTACTGGCGCCGTGCTGGAAGAAGCCCTTCTCGGAGCAGTTCTCGGCAGTACAGGTCAGGCCCGACAGGTAGATCAGCACGGGGACCTTCTGCGACTGGCTTTGCGGGGGGAGGTAGAGGTTGAACGACATCTCGCAGCGGGTGGTGGAGGCGACATGGCTCAGCTTGAGCAGCTTGCCGCCGAACGAGGCGATAGTGGCTTTGGTAGTGACGGACATCATGGAATGCTAAAGGGAGAGGAAGGGAGAGAGACAATTAGAGAGAAGGGAAGAAAAGGGAGAAATAGGTTTAGACGGTAGTGGGGTTGTCCCGCACGAGGGGAAGCTCCACCCGCAAAGACTTGTAGAATAGTCGCATTAAGAGAGAGAGAGAGAGTAGGCATAAGATAAACACAATCGGGGATGTCGAGTCTCTGCGCTGCCCACAGTGGAGTCCAATCCAAACCAGGCAAGTCAATCCCCTACGAAAGAAACACCGGCACGCCATACACTACCGGCGCCGCGCCGTTCAAATACTTCAACACACACGCTCCCCGCGCCCGCGCCACTGCCTCGTCCAGCCCACTCGAGGCCGAGTCACGAAGAAGTCCCCAGGTATCAAATGTCGAGCTCGCAAATCGATCAATGTCTCTATCCGTGACATCCCACAGCGTAGCCACCAGCGCCGGACTGCCCGCATGCAGATAGTTCATCGGCGTCCCGTAAGGCTCGTACTCACCGGCCTCGGTCAACGTACCACTGCTGCAGCCCATCAGGAATGTCACGGCACATTGTGCCAGTCGCTTGACAGTGCGGCCCCGGATGTACTGGGCGCCGCTGCCGTGCCCGAAATACAGGAACAAACCCTTGCTTTCCAGGGCTTGGCGGAATTCGTCTTCGGTCGGTTCGCGCTGGATGACTCCAGTCCAAGACGGAAGGTCTGATAGGTCTTTCTCGAATGTTGTCTGCGTCGTCCGCAGATCCCCAGTCGGGTTGAGCACGAACGCGCCTGACGAGCAATCTACGAGCGCGCCGGCTCGTGAGTCGCGGAATTGGAGGACTCGTTCACGCAGGCATTCCAGCGAAGGCACTCGGCAAACCGGGAACCCCTGAAGGGATGGCATTGACTCCCAGGGGAACAGATGTAACGCCTTATCCAGGACGAGAACCGTGTGCTTGGGTGGTTGTGCCGCAAGATCCTCCCGTGCGGCTTCGTGGTACCCTCGCAGGGCATCAAGGGTATCGACCACCATCATATCAAAATCAATCTCGTCGTAGGCATTGCGCTCGCCCTGGAATTGAAGGATATCCACCACAAAGTAGAGAAGATCCATCAGCGTGTCTTCTGGCTCTTCCTGCTCTTCAAGATCTCGGAGCCCGGTGAATAGCTCCACCACGTTTTGATGCAGTGTGAGCCGGGGCTTGGAGGCCTTGCCACCTTTCTGGCGAGAAGGAAGATGCTTGTCCAGGATGGCTTGGAAAGCGCTGGCAAATCGAGATAGAGCAGCCGTCTCTCGCGAGAGCGGCGAGAAGATACCCCGGAATCCGCCAAACCAGATGTTTTCGACATTCTCGAGAAGGCTTTTCAGTCGGTAGTCAAGCGCTTCGCGATTTTGCCACCATTCCTTCTTCGACTGTTTATCGGTCTGAGCTTTGGCTGCGTGCGCGCTCTGGTTGGCTAGTTTGATGACTTCCTGCATCTCTTCCTTGCCATCCTCAAAGGTGAATTGGTCTTCATCATCTTCCGAGTTGCCTCTCCGGAGAGGAAGCCGCAGGAGGAACGGAGAACGATCTCTTTGCAGTCGTGAAACCACGAATTCGGTTTGGTCTGCACTCAAGGATAGAGAAATCACATTCCAGCTTTCGGGCAGAATGTCAACATAGTCCTTGGTAAAATTCGAGCAAATCTCATCGTCCAGCTCGGCCATTGAAGGAGACGAAGTGGGCCAAACAAGAGGGTCTGCAAAGTCGGCTAAATGTCGGTCGATATCAATCGCGATGCGTTCCCGAGCAAATGCGCCAACGCGTCCAATCTCTAAATCAGAAACGAAATATTAGATGTTGATTATGTTGTGATTGTACTCTGGGGGACCTACCATTCATGCTCGCGGGCGATTGAGCCCAGGTCCTTGGTCCACCGGGACTAGTAGCATGCGATAGCATGGAGATTCGGCTCATCAGGCGAGTCGCCGCATGGCTGTCGAGAGTCGAGCCGAGAGTGGTGGCATCGGCGAAGATACCAGTGAGACAATCACTCGCCTTGGAGAGCATGATCGAGAAATCCTCACCAGCTTTCGGGGTTTTGGTCCGGGTTCCTCTAGCTGGCGTTTTCGATCTTTTCGTGGTAGATGGCTTCACTGTGGATGCGCTTGTATCATCGGCCGTCTTGCTTGGGGATTTGAGGGACGGGAGCGAAATGGTGGATTCCGGAAGGACACAATACACGGCATGACTCGCGAAATGACGGATTGCATCGGCCAGAAGATGCTCGCTTTCTTCAATCTCCAACGACACTTTGCTCTCGCGGGCGATGGCAAATTGTCGAGCGTCGGCAAGAGCACGCGCGGATCGATCAAAGTCGCGCAATGTTCGCAAGCAGTCTGCTTGTTGCCGGAGGACATCGCCCTTGAGCTGCAAAAGAGTGTTGGATCGGATTTGAGCAAGAGTCGTTTGCTGCGATGAGGTTTTCTTGGCAGTGCTGGACGCAGCCGAGCTGATTGCTCTAGTGCGTCGACCAGTAGTAGCCGCCGGGGTTGCTGGCTGGGCTCGTCGGCCTCCTCGCACTCGCAACTTGTCCATCTTCTCCTCGGTTGCAGCGACGTTTGGTTGCTCGGAGACGATGGGAGCATCGGAAGAAGTGACAGCGATTATAGTCTTGTCGGCTTCTGACAATGCGCGAAGTGCTTTCTCAGGTTGATCCTGTGCCCTGTAAAGAGCAGCAAGGGCCATCTGCAGTGAAGCCATCTCGATACTGGTCTGGGATTGTTTTGATGATCCTGCTGCTGCCACAAGAAGATCTTGGCCCTCTCCAACATGGCCTCCAAGGATCCAATGGCAACCAAGCTGGGTTCGTGCTGCAACCAGTCTGACATTGGCATCTAGCGTTTTATCGATCTTCAACGCCTGTTCCCCATAGTAGATGGCGTCTTGAAACAGACCATGGTGGGCCGACAAGGTTGCCAGGTTCAGCAGGCATGTATGATGTGAGCCAAGGTGTGGCCAGAAAGGTGCACCCTGGATATAGTCGGTCGAGACATCAGCAGCAGGTCCAGTCTGAGACAGATCGAGCTTGGCTACTCCATCAGAGATCGCTTCAACTTCGGGGGTTCCTGCTGCAGGCAGAGCCTTGTCTTGCTTTTTCTGGGCAAGTTTCTCGACCTTGGCCCAGATGCGGCAGTTCAGCCTCACGGCCAATTTGGCGAAGTATAGTGCCTGGGTCATGGACCCCTGGGCGGAAGATAGCCGAGACTGGATAAAAGCAGCATCTGCCACCAGCCTCTCCCATGATATCTTGGAAAGGACGGTCATACTTCCCAACTCGGATTGATGGCTCTTCTCGTACAGAGTCCGGGCTGCCGAAAGAACAGATCCAGCCTTGTCGACCTCTCCCGTCTCGAGAAGATACTCCACCCGAGCTATTTTGTATGAGATGGTCGCGAGAGAGGACAACTCGCGCTGAGCGATGTACTGTTCGCCACGCGAAAGAAGATCACCCGCCTTTTGGCAATACCCGAGTCGGCAGTTTTGCAATACCAAGCGCGAAAGAATGATGATTGCGTCCGACAGATCTTCCGGTTGCTGAAGCTCTGCGGCTCGTAATATCAGCTCGAGAGTGCGGAGTTGAGATTTCCAAAGTCCGTGGATTTCCGTGTAGTCGACCAAGGCCTTGAGCTGAAGAATCCAATAATCGGTGTCGTTGATGCAGCGGAGTAGAGATTCCCGGTTGTCGCAATGGAAAGTCATTGAAGTCCATGAGGCAAGAATGTCGTCGAGTTCACTAGCGTCTATTCCTCCTTGATGAAAGCCAATGGTCACACGCAATGAATTCGTGATATGAGTTGCAAATTGAGCCAGGAGTGTATCTTCACCGACCCCATTTTCACACTGCACCGCATCGTTTCCTTCATTCAAGAGCCTCTGAGTCAGAGTCGAGTCCAAAGCATTAGGGTGTTCCAGCAAAAATCGAAGACCAGAAAGGATGACTCGGAGGCGACGGAGAGGATGGAAATCGGGGGTGTAAATGTCGAAGAGGCTGGAAATGATTGGGCCATACATCGAGCGAAACTCATCCTCGCTCGCGGCGTAACTGTGCAGATCAACCAGCAAGCCCATTTGCCATTCGAGAAGCATTCCTCGCTGCCCAACTTCTAACTCGGTGTCATCGAAAACTGCGCATGATTTCGATCCTCTTTTGCGCAGCTTCATCTTCAAAAAGGTAGATAGGACACGACCAAGCATGAACCCAGGGCTTTTCGGATCTTGGCTGGCCAGGTGAGGATGGTCTCCTGGACTACTCTCGGTCAGCTCCATCAGAGTACCAGAGTCAATGTACTCTTGAATCGATTGCCGAAACGCTTTCTCCGAGTCGCTGAACATATTGCCATCCACGTAAAGATGAGCCATTCGCTCGAATTTGAGGGCCGCAAATGCCGTGTTTCGGTGAGAGGCCGAACAACTTGAAAGCAGTTGCGTAGATTGTTTCAGGAGTGGCACAAGCTCGCGATAGCCCTGCCCGGCCTCTTTCTCTTTGATGTATCGAGACCAGAAAAGATTGGAAAGCTTCACAAGCGCCATACCAATGTTATCCGCAGTTTCTGGGCTCTTTTCGTTGGGTTCAGTAGTCGCGAGCAGACGTTGGCAATCGATCAAAATGGGTAGCATGTCATCCCAAGGCGGCCTTTGTGACATGACCGACAGCTTTCCAACTGCGACAGCCGAGTCAACAGCAGCAAGAATAATACCTCGAGACATGTCGATGCGATTTTGAAACAGTACAAGTTCCTTTTCGTCGCTGTCCTCCGCCGGCTGACGTCCGACATAGCGTCTGAGAAACCTCAGGAACGCCTGGAGATATTCTCGGATTTGGCTGGAGACTTCATTCTTATCGTTGTCATTGTCAAATGATTTGGTGATTGCATCTCCAAACCAAGCGAGTGCTAGCTTTTTCAATCTCGCAGCTTCGACGAGGAGTTCATCCAAATCGTGCGCGCTGCCTCTCAAGTGAAGTCCTAATGCTGCAGTGGCCTCGGAAATAGATTTTAACGCTCGAGTCGAGAGCTTTGGAGAGCTCCTCAGTGCCTGGAAGGAAACAGATGCAATTTTACACCGGACAGTGGCCAGTGAGAGACTTTGCGCTTGAGAGAGAGGAGTGATCGCTTCCGTAAAAAGCTTCAGGGATTCTTCGAAACAACCGGCATCCAAGGCAAGCTGTCCAAGAATGGTCATTATCTTGGCAATTGAGCTGGCATATTTTGTGTCAGGCGATTTCTTTTTGATCTCTGCCATGGCAGATTGAAGTCGGGTGATTGTTTTGTAAATTGCGGCGAATTCGGTCTTCTCAATGCCCTTGCTGCGATGAGAAAAGCTGCCAAAGTAGCGAAGCAGCGGGTCCCAAAACTCTTTGCGCTCGTCACACATGTGGCCGGACAATTTCCATCCTAGAGATCGAATTTCAAGTGAAAGCAGCTGCAGGGTCAAGATAGTTGTCGGCTTCGAGTCGTCTTTGGTGGTCGCAGATTCGTCTTTCGAGGTTGATGGCGCAGAGCATAGTGACAGCACGGTATTGGAGAGAAGCTGCAGTTGGAGAGCAGCTTTGTCATTTGGCAAACTCCCGGACTTCAATGCGGCCAGAATAACCTGAGCCGGACTGCTTGGATCGGAGAGCTGCAACGAGGGGCAAAGGTTTTGAACAATTGAGGCTCGGCGGTCCAAGGCAAGAAGTCGCATGGCATTTCCGTGGAAGGGAACGAGCAGCCCGTAGAGAGATTTTGCGCTTGTGAGGTTCGAGAAAGTCAACAAATCAGACATACGTTCTTTGCTGGCTTCTTCTTCCGGGAGCTCCTTGGTTGCTGTTGTTTGCTTCCCTGTCTTCCCTGCATCGAGATACTGTTGGATCCTCCGCTTAAGCGAGCGGAGCTCCTTGTATGCCATCTCGTTCAATCCGAGAGATATCAACTTCCCCACCAGCACGCACACTCCCTGCTCGAGTTGCATGTTCGGAAATTCTTGGCCGTCATTGTCGCCTTTCAAATTGCGCAACGTTGACAGCGCAAGTCTTGCACATTCGGCTGCCGAATAAACTCCCGTGTCGGCCCCAGTAATCTTTGACTTCGCTGTCGACTTCACATCGCCGGACGAAAGCTTCGACGCGTCCGTGAGGGTTTTCAATGTCGCATTAAATACCTCAGTCGCGAGGACGAGCTTCTCCTGGCCCGACAATCCCGAGGCATCCTGGTCGGCTAACGCGTTCAGCGCAGCATCACTCCCAGCTTTGGTTTTGGTAGTTCGTGCGGGTTTCACTCGAGTTGAGGTAGTAGTTGATTCTTTGGAAGACTTGGTATTCTTCCTTGCTGGTTTATTTTCGGGGGCTTTCGGGGAGGCACGGAGGAGTGTTTGGAGGGACAACACGGTGGTATCGGAGCATGTTGTTGTTGACCGGACGGCTTGCTTCACGGACTCTGTGAGAGAGCTGGCTGGTAATAGGGTAACCGCCATATTTTGGTTGGGATTGCCCAAGTGGCAGGACTGCGGTCGTCGGTCGAAGCGAATTGCAGATTGAAGCTCCGATGCAGCTGATATCACCGGCCACAATCGCACGCTAAACGTGCTGTTGTCGCAGCAACAATGCACGCTATCCCGCATTAGGTATAATGCCGCCTTGTCGCCTCAGGCACTAGAGACCTCGGTTTTGCCCGCTGTTCGATTGCCTGTCGTTGCGACGAAACATCATGGCCATGGCATTCACGGTCAAGCCCACCGGGCTCAGCCGACATCTTCTGTTGAATCCGACATCTCTGTTCACCGTCGCTAAACCGCTGGTTCCCGCCCCGCGCCTCTATTCTACCTCCAACTCCTTCCCGAAGATTGCACAGACATCAGTGTGGACGTCAATGATCCCCAAGTTCATTCGAAATCGCGGGGCGCGCAAGGAAGATGCGTCAAAAGAGAATTCTAAGGAATGGAATCCGGCCACTTTCTACATCATCATTTTTACTTTGATCGGTTCGCAAGCCATTCGGATGATGAGTCTCAAGAACGACTATGCGGCTTATCGCCGTACCACCGATGCGAAGCTCGAGCTGCTCCGTGAGGTGATCGAGCGGGTCAAGAGAGGGGAGAAGGTCGACGTTGAAAAGCTGCTGGGGACAGGCGACGAAGCAAAGGAGAGGGAGTGGGAAGAGGGTGGGTGATAATAAATAGTGCCGTTGCGATCTATTGTCTGGTATCTGACCCGTTTCTTTGATGCGCTTATAGTTTTGCGAGAGATCGAAGAAGAAGATTCTCTTTGGCACCGGAAGGCCAACCGCTCCGAAAGAAACCAACAGTCGGAGAAAGACCAAAAACAGCCAACGCAGAAGTCAGAAGGAAAGGACTCCGTGACCCCCAGCACTGCGAGTGCCGATGACGAGACCATGAAGAAGACCCAGTCAACACGCAAGTTGAACTTCTTTTGAACAAGCTCTTGGGCACAGCTCTCCAGAGTTTGAGAACTCTTCTTGAAAGGTTGCCTGTCTGGGATTTCTTCGTGGTCTTGTCCAAAGTCCCACTGAGACGGAGGACCTCAACAAGACAATTGGGGCCTCCAAGCTATGTTCTCGGCAGTTGCTTCAACGTATACAGCCCATGGTTTAGATCATCAGGGCATGCACTAGTGTCAAAACAACTAAGCCTCGAAGGACTTGGTTGCATCATTGTACAGGGAACCCTTTCCTTTGTGCCAAAACAGATACCCAGCCAATCCTGTTGTACTATTAAAATCCACCTCCATTCTACATCATGTACATATACAACTTACCCTTTACCGACTTGATGTCAAATTCAATCTCACAATGCTGGCCAGAGTCTCTTCTTTGGAAATCTGTCTCAAACCGAAAATCTGGTCTATATATCGACTGCTCTAGTTCTAGGTAAAATACAAGGCCCGAGCCATGGGGACCAACCAGCAGAAAACATGGTACTGCAAATGATCTGAGCCGACAAGAGCAGAAAGACACCACAGGTATAATGGAAATGCAGAACAATGCAGACAGTGCCCTCTACCTCTCCCACTCTTCCACTCTTCCCTTCCCAATCTATCTGCTGTTGGTACAATGCAACAAGGGGTCTGCAAGAACAATGAGAGATCAATCATGCATGGTTCAACCCCAGATCAGACTGACAAAAGAACAAAGGATACAACCTGCATATCGAGAGGATATAACGAGAAACCAAAGACCAAGGTGAAGGAGAGCTCATGCTAAATTGAGAGTGAGAAAAAGAAAAGGGTCAAATGAGATTCATCGCTAGTCGAGGGAAACAAAATAAAAAAAAAAAGAAAGAGAAAGAGAGAGATCACTGCTTGGGGCCTTGGAGGAACTTGGGCCAGTTCTCCGGCCGAGGGACCTGCACTCGGCCAATGTTCTGGTCCAGGTCAAGAATGAGCTTTAGGGCGTTCCTAGACCTAAGGTAAGGAAGAGGTGCCTTGGCACCTTGCAGACCGACGCCGGGCTCCACCTGTCCGCTGGGCGTCACTTCCTCATGTGCGCCGGGCATGGGAAGCATCTTCTGCAAGACCTCGTAGGCAGCCAGGGTGAAGCCGAACTGCGGTGATGAGCGCAGGATTCGAGCTGGGCCACCCTTGAAGAAGGCCTTGATTCCCTCATCCCTCCACACAGTGGTGGCACAGTGGCGCAGGCCAGTGTACTTGGTCTCACCCTTGCGAGCCTCGACTTGCAGTCGCGTTTTAATCACGTCACAGGGAGTGGTCAGGTAGGCGGCTGGCATACCCGCAATAGCACCAGCGGTAAGGAGCTGGATGACACCAAGCTTGTTGGTAGGGCTTTCGCCGAACATCTCTGTTTTCAAGTGCGAGTACGTGGGGAAGTAGATCGCCGAGAAGGGCACTGTAGCAAACTCAGTTAGCTTTCATCATTGAATCAGTTTTCAGATGGCCTTACCATCACGAAGGAGACAGGCGCTAGCTCCCTTGTACAGACCCATCAAACCCAGGTTCTTGACAATCCACAGAGCCGAGCGGCGAGGAGCACCCTCCACATTCTTCGCGATCTCCCCCTGAACCTGCAAACGAATTTTGACAATCTCGAGAGGGTTTGTGAAGACCTAGATGAAAGAGCGAGATGTGAGTACTTTGATAGTAATGAACTCAATTCCAGTGCGATTCTTACCACTTGGCATGCTCCTGCCGTACCACCAGCCAGAATCTCGTGAGGATACCAGATCTTCTTGGTGTCCTTGTCAGTGAAGAAACCGCGAACCAGGTCGTTCACAGTCAGCTTGATGGCTTTCTCCGGGGCCACACCAATCAACTGCGGGATCACTCCAGAGTAGAGGCCAGTGAAACCCTCGTTCCGGATGACCTTCTTCGCACAGTCAATGGAGTTGTTGTACAACCGCTCGCCCGGCCGCGAGGACCGCTGGTTTTGCATACGAGTCTTGACCAAATCGATGGGGTAGACCATAAAGGCACCGAAGGCACCAGCAATACTACCCAGGGCGAAATGATGTACCGATTCAAGCACATTGTGCAGCACTGATGTGGCTTTCGATGCAGCTTGCTGTCCTGCGGCGAGTGCCTGACCCGCGGCAGCCACGGGGATGCGCCATGAAGCATCGATGACCTTGGCAAAGTCCTTCTGGGCGAGCCGTCCCGACGGGGCATCCAGACCAGCGAAATGAAACAGGATATCGGCTTCCATGGGAGTAAACAAAGAGAAGCGAGTGACCCGGGTAGCCTCGTTGAGGAAATCCGAGCGGGTAATCTTGCCATCGCCACTCTTCAGGGTAGCTTCGCGCACAATCAAGTCGATGATATCCATCTCACGCATAATGTTTTGGAAAGCGCGGACGGTGGCATAGGAGATCTTGTTGCCCGCTGAGATGTTGCACAGGCTAGGCAGGTTTTCGAGCACATGGTCCGACAACTTGTGCTTGGAAGTCTCCAGGATGATGCGCTGGAAGTCCTCGGGCTCGATGTAGCCATCGCCGTCCTTGTCGAAGATGTGGAAGGCCTGGCGGATGCGCTCGCCCTGCAATCCGCGCAGCATCTGTGCAAACTGCGGGTAGGTCATGTCGTGGCGTGTCCTGGTCCGACCCGTGTACAACGAGGCCCATTCCGAGTTCCAATCGAATGGGATGCTATCGGCACTCTTGTTCAGGTTGTACAATCCTTTCACCGTGTCGAACTTGACGGTCCCGGCGCCCTCGAGATCGAACAACCGAAACGCGATCTCGTACTCGGCATCGGGTTTCGTAAGGAGGTTTTCAAAAGTCGCCCAGTCCGAGAAACTGAGCTTGCCGGCTCTCCGTCGGTCTGCCACTTGGAACAGGATTCCATATTGTTCGCGCTTGATTTTGTGCTATTAAGCGGGGGAAAAGAGAGAAACCGGTCAGTTAAACGTCCTCGACCGGGGCCCCGTGAGGGATTGTTTCCACTACAAACACACAACTTACATAGTCCTCCTGCTTGGGCGCAACGGCATTGATGAAGTCCTCCTTGGTCATGAACGGCTCACCGTTCTCATCCTTCTGGGCATGACGAAGAAAATTTGACCGGGCTTGGTGCGACAGCTGAGGTTCCTCTGTGCTGCCGACCAATGTTTCCTTGACAGTTTCCTTGACGCTAGTCATTGTGCCACCGAGAGATCTCAAAGATTAGAGAAATCAACGCCAATAATGGGCAGAGACACAATGAATGGAAGAAATTCCGCACAAATTGGGGGGGGGGGGTTCGAAGGAAGGAAGGAGAGTGGAGACAGCGAGGGATTTGAGTCCAGCAGGAATGACAGATGGCCGATACTTGGGTCAAGGCCCCCAAATGACACTTTTTTGTAATAAAAAGGGGGTTGCGAGTTCACAAAAAAAGAGATTGAAAAAAAAAAGAGAGAGATAGAAATCCCAAGTATCAAAGAAAATATTTTTTTTTTCTCATTGAAAGTGTTCTAGAAACTCGGCCTAATCAGCCCCTGGCGCAGGGCAAAAATGGCGTTATTTACCCGGGCACATCGGGGCTGGGATCTCCGCATGGATTTGCCCTACAATGCGCGGTTAATACGGTTGATGTGTTCCTATATTCTAGTCTTCTAGTATTTCATATTCTATGCTATTCTATAAGATTAATTATATTATAATCGCCTATTCTACTATTATAAACTCCCTGAGATTGATTTTGCAAATTCTGGTTCCCCTTCTCGCCACGGTAATATGCCGGGCCAATAATGCCAGGGACGAGATCGGACGAAAACATGTATATAAATAGTAAATACATGAGACCAAATCAAAATCCATGGTCATCTGGGAGTCGATATTCATATCCATATAATTATATATTCATATATTCATATATTCATAATTAGTTCACAATCAGCTTCACATGGCCCGGTGAAGCGAAAAGAAAACAAGAAAAAAAAGGGTGCGGAGCAAAAGCGGGTCTTTTGGAGAGAAAATTGGAGATGCGTGGCTCCCTTCGTCAGGGCCGATCTCGGCACAACTCCGGATTTGCTGTCTTGGCCTGGGGAGAAGCAAATTGATATGAAATAGTACCATGTCAATGGGAATATCAATAGAAATATCAGTTGGAATATCAATTAAAAAAAACCCCCTAGGGATATAGCCTTCAGTCTCGGCCAAGTACCATACTATGCCATTGGGAAGTTTTATACCTCATAATCAAGAATCCTCTCTGGCGCTTCCACTTGCCCCATCCAGTGCACGGCCTGCTATTCATTATAAAACTCAATTCCTGCCGCATTGCCTGCCTGGATTGGCGATTAACTAGTCATAGGAGACATAAAGAGAAACGCATGAATTGTGCTAGAGTGAAACACAAATATAAATAGTAAACAATCCACAAAATGCCAACCTTTCTAGCTCTCTCGAGGTTTCTCCAGCCGAATCAGCTGGAACAACCTTCTCTCCAGAGCCAGCAACACCAGCATGACCCTATTGAACCAGAATGCAGCCATAACCCCGACCCCAGCCCCAGCATTCAAAATAAAATGATTCGCGGTCGCAACAATCGTCAGCCCCATGACCATCGGCCATAGGGGCGAAAGAACCCGCAAAACCCAGTGCGGGCTATACTTCCCCAAACAAAACGCAATCAGGACCGAGTTGCCAAAATGCAACGAGGGCATGGCGGCAATCGTCAACCGGAACTTGTTCTGCGTCCAGGCAGAACTGGAGCGGTTATGGAGTACATCGATGAAACCGAATTCTTCAGGAAGGAGACGGGGTGGCTTGCATCGCCAGAGGGACAGGACTGTAAACGCTATGGCATTCTCTAAGGCCAATGTGCGTCGGATGCTCTGGTAGTGAGGGCGCGGGAAGAACGTGTAACAATACACAATCAAGGCAACCCCGAGCATGATGTGCGAGTGGTACACTCGGGCGAAAATGCCCATCAGCCACGGGACTCGATCGAGTACAAAGTGTTGGACGAAGAGTTCAATGTCCAAGTGAATCTGGTGTTCGAGCGATAATATCTGGAGGGCGTGGTGTTCTGCTTTCTGGAAGACAGCATCGGGGCCAGCAATCGTTCGTACAGAGATAGCTCTTAGTCCTTGGTAGATCTATAACAGATCAATTGTTTTCAGGTACGGCCCTTCAAAGGGCTCATACATACCAAATAAGTAAGTAGCCAGTGCCATATCTCGAGCAGGAACGGGAATTGTGCCACAACCCGAGAATGGATCCTCTGTCGAGACCCATGGTGCAGCACTTGGCTCTGTCTATCTTGAGCAGGTCTCTGTTCCTCTGTGTTATCTGTGAGCAACGATGGTCGACTTTCGTCTCCGGTATTGGGTTGATTTCGTCTGTTGATCCAAGTTCCGATGGTGAAAATCCCAATGATTTCTGGGACCGATGGTAATTAGCCCTAGCTTTATGAAGTCGGACGATTTTCATCTCAATTCTGAATTACCACTTACTCCCTGGCTCTAGAAAGTTCTTAAACAACCCCATTGTAATCTTGGGTGGCTTGCTGAAATCGAGAACTGAATATCAGGGTAAATCGATAAATCGAGAGAAGCAGAGTAGAAGGTAAGACGGGAACCTACAGCAGTTTTCAGATTCTAACTACTTCCTGGGTCTGCCCGATGACCACGTAATAGTGCAAAGAAAAAGTCTCTGGGTTCATGCAGCACGCCGAATATGAGTCTATCTCGGTGCTTGCCAGCCAAATCATCGGTTGAGATAGACGGACCAAATTCCAATTTCGCAAGGTCTAGGTTTATAGACTTGGTTTTCATGTGAGGCATAGTTGCGAACCTGGCTAGATATGGTCTAGTGGGCCACCTTTAGGAGTTTGCAGATGGTCATTCTCGTCATTCATCTCACAGCCATATTGGAAGCCATAAAGGTACTTAAGGTTCCCTATCAGCACTTTCCGGGGGTGGAGGAAACAGATGCTGGTCTTGGATCTGCTGGCTTGGGTATTCTAGAGTGTATCGGTATCCGGGCTTTCCTGGCTGGCGTTAATCGCGACACCCAGGTCTGTAGTTGCATGCCCAAATGGCTAAATTTCGTCTCAATCTATAAGAATGAAAAACAGAACTCGTTTCAAGGAAACCAGGGCAGTTTTGGATATCAAAATAAACAGATTGGTGAACGTGGTCCAAAGGATGAAATAACCGCGGGCCAACTTAGTTGCAGCAGAATTACTTACGTGTGAAGCTTTGTTTGTAACATGAATCGCTCTTTTTTTTTGGAGTGAACTTCGATTGGACTAGACATGGTACAGACCTCGTTTGAGATATTTCAGTGGTCGAGCTGGCGAGTATAGTCCATCCATAAACGATATTGTTTTGCGCAGGCTGGAATATAGAGAAGTTGAAATAGCTCCGAAATACATGAGCATTGGTCGGAAAAAGACTAGAACTGTGATATCTTTGGCATGGTCACACGATCATGTTGCAAATCATTCTTCTTGGAATATTGAGCATGTCGAAAATCCTCAGGCTCACCCAGTGAAATCATTGCCCCTGCTAGTCTCTGTGACGACGCGGGAATGGTCACTAAGATGCAGCCTTGTGCAGAATCATCTGGTATCGACCATGTATTGTGCTGATGGGTTTCTGGGGAATTTCTTCATGGCCCCCAATCAACTCCAAGGAGGTCGGGGAGGGGTTGGCCCTGGAGGTTGATTGCATAGACCAGCCTCTCATAGAGAACCTGGAAGGTTATCACACCGGTTGAGACCGACATCCAAGCCTGGTAAGAACGGTGATTGGCGAGAAATCACCATTGAGGGTATGCAAGATTGAGAACTAACGTGTGATGGAGGTGATTGTGTGCTTGGGAGGTGCAGGACAAGTGGGCGCGTAGAAACACCGACGGTGGCCCCCCGGCCTCTCTGGGTATATAGCCGCCGCGACCACCCTGAAGGCGACTGCTTGTGCAAGCCGGTGTTTGAGATTTTTCTATTTTCTCTTCTTCTATTTTCGTCGCGCGCTTCACCGTGGCTGGTCCAGGTGATTTTACAGATTGTTTCTGCTCGAGTCTCTACATCTATTAATTATCTTCTCTCTCTCTCTCTCTCTACATACTCCCCATCTGGGTGCCTTTGTTGACCAAAATCCCCCCAGCGACAAATACCCATTGTCTTTTCTTGATTTTTTTTTTTTTTTGAATCTTAGCTCTCGAATCTTTGTCTATTCCTGATTGTCACAATGTACGCTGCTCGCCCGAAGCTGCAGGTGTGCACGGCTGTCGCGCAGAATGCGACCCGACCAGCGCTGTCACTCAAGTCCCCAAGTGCCATTCCTCGTACTCCCATCTCTCCGGTCTCTGCAGCCAGTCCAACCAGCAGGAGGTTTTCTTCGCTGCAGGTGCCATCCTATGGCTACATCAATTCCTGCTCGTCAAAGAGTATCCTCAAGAAGCAGCCATCCAATGCGAAAGCTGCCACTGGCAAGCACATCGAGTTCAAAGGTACTCCGACTGTGCACTGTGTGACTCCCATTGAGAACCCAGACGAGTACTACGGCACGCACACGAAGATGTCGCGAGAAGAGCGACGGTGGAAAGTCCGCGAGTGAACGGATCCTTAGGGATTCGGAGTGATGCAGATGCTCAAAGCATGGCGGCAACTACGCAGGAATGAGCAGACCCCAGCTCACGGAGCTGGCTCTGGAAGACTGCACAACACTGCACGCGATCAACAGGACAACCAGGAAGGAAGATTCCAAAGCCAAGTCCCAATTGGCAACCAATGCGGATGGTGTCGAACAACCAGACGATCCAACAAGTGTAAAGCTTGATGCCCTACTCGCATCTCAGCCCGAATGTCTTCGGTAGTCTCTGGACTGCCCCGAGGTGCCTCTCTGCGCATTGTCAGTTGATTATGAGACAAGAAGACGACCATGAAGAGTGTGATAGAGAGACGACTTATGTTTATGATGTGATGATGAGACTCGATCTGACGCGCGATGAATGATGTATTTAATCCAGCCAGTCATTACCGTTGAGTATTTTAGTATCTTGGAGATACATCTACACCTCGAACCATTCTTCATGAAAGTAGAAACCCCCCGTGATGGGATAGTAGCTGGCATAGAATGACTGCAACATCCTGCCGCTTTGGTCATTTAGGGCACCGGGCGAGGGCTTTGCTGGTCCGTGCAGGCCCGATCTTTTCTGCCGTCGCCGCTTGGGAGGCGCATTTCACCAATGTTTTCTCCAACGACTCCTGCGATATTTCGCAGATCAGTGGCAGGTGCATCAACACCTTTTTTTAAATGCCGCCGGGGTCTGCTGACCTTAGCTATTGAAACCTCATGGTAAGCTTTGAACCGATGCGATGCGATCCGAAGACTTCCTAGATACTAACCCAACTTTTTGCACCAGTGACGATACATCGGTAGCGATCGTTGATAAAAACGAGAGGAATAAGGCCAAAATTCACTTCCTCGAAAATGTGACGGCGGATTCCCGAGCACACCGTGGCATCCATCCGATTCTGGCCCTTGAATCTCACCAGGAGAGCCTCGCAAATCTCGTCAACAAAGCGCTCAGATCGCTCCCTGTATCGGATCATAATAATGGGATACGATTGGCAGATGGGTCAAAACGTCGTCGGCCTGATTTCATCTCGGCCACAAGAGGCCCTGGTATGCGCTCGAACCTGTCTGTCGGCCTCGATACCGGAAAAGCGCTCTCTGTTGCATGGCAGATCCCCATGGTCGGAGTTCACCACATGCAGGCGCATCTGCTGACACCATGGCTGGTATCGTGTTTGGCAAATGATGCGAGCTCAGAACTAGACACCCTATCGCCTCGGTTCCCGTTTTTGTCTATTCTTGTTTCCGGCGGACATTCGATTCTAGTCCACTCCCAATCCCTCACAGATCATAAAATCATGGCCTCCAGCGACGACATCGCCATGGGAGAGACCCTCGACAAGTCCGCAAGAGAGATCCTCCCTCCTTCATTGCTGCAAGATGCCAAAAACACCATGTACGGCAAGATCCTGGAACAATTTGTTTTTCCAAACGGCCCTGCCGATTTTGCCGATTACCACCCCCCGATGAACCGGGGCGAAGAGGTGGTCAAACGGCAGAGCCCGTGGGGTTGGAGTATTACTACGCCGTTTGCAAATACCCGAGCGCTGCAGCTCAGTTTTTCGTCCATCTCCAGCATGGTCACCAAAATAGTCAAGGACAGGAATGACAACCTGTCTCACGAAGAGCGGGTCGACCTGGGCCGGGAAGCTATGCGCGTTTGTTTCGAGCATCTTGCGTCAAGAACCATCATCGCCCTCGAGGCTCTTCGCTTGAGGCACCGTGGCGACGACGAAGTGAAGACTCTCGTCGTGAGCGGCGGCGTGGCTGCCAACAGGTTCCTGATGACGGTGCTTCGGTCCTTTCTAGATGTGCGTGGGTTTAAACACATCAAGGTTGTTGCACCGCCCCCGTACCTGTGCACCGACAATGCGGCCATGATCGGATGGGCGGGCATCGAGATGTTTGAGGCTGGCTGGCAATCGGATCTAAGCTGCCGCGCTCTACGGAAATGGACACTGGATGCACAAGCCGAAGACGGAGGAGTCTTGGGTCCTTCCGGGTGGATTCGAAATGGACCGGCTCTTTAGAATCTTGTATATTAGCGATACCCCCCGTTGTACTATCATACCTAAGTAATTCCCATCTCTTTCCCCTCGCACTCAAATCTACAATCCAAGATACGATCAACAAGATCTGATGTTGGTATGACTGCCAGGTCCCTAGAACGAGACCAAAAATATTCGATGGACGCCGATGCAAATGGAAACAGTGGAATAGCGAAACCACCTCCCCCCACCACCTCCTTGAAGTCGCAACAGTAGGGTATCGATGATGCGCCGCTCTGACCCTTGAAAAATGAACCTAACCCACGACCAGCACACTGTGCAATATCCGAAGAAAAGACAAGCCATAATCATCATGATCAGCCACCCACAGGAGGACCGCCTCGCTGCAACGAAGCGACTTGTTTTCGAAGCTCGAGAAAGAAATCTTTCCCACTCGCCATTGCGTTCGCTGCCACCAGTCAATCATGGACCACACCCAGCCAGGACGCGAGATCGGGGATTAACGTACACTTCGAGCCCCAGGGGCCGCCGGATCGCTGGTTGTTCGACTCTTTTCCAGCTGGTTTGTAGACGGGGACTTTGGAAACTGCAAGGATGAAGCGACAGGTTAGACAACGAAGGTAGTACCAGCAGGAAACGAAGAAGCATACCTCCAGGGCCTAAAATGGTGACAAAAGAGAGTCAGCTAGCGGTATTCCCAGGTCAAATCCAGCTCGTACCTCTCTTCAGGATGTTCTTGGAGTCGGCAGCATTAAAGCCCCGGACGGGAACATGCTGTTCTTGCGCCGGGCCCGAGCCACTCCATGCAGCGTTGCCGCGTGTCCCTCCTTGTCCGCCTGTCCGTTCACGGTTTCCATTGCCCGAGTGGCGTTGCGATGACTGGCGACTGGGACCTCCACGCCATCTGCGGAAATCAAGGCGAGTTAGCGGAGTGCAAGTACGCGGGGTTTAGGCAGAATGGTGTGTAACAGACCTGTCATCACCATTGCCACTCATATTCAAATTTGATAAGAGGTTCTTCCAAACGGGTGATGCGATTGTGCGTGGGAGTCAAGTAGCTGGAGGGGGAAGCTGTGGTTCTGTCATGCTGTAGAGCTGGAGAGGATCGACACCTCAGGCTGACTCATGCCTCCGCCTTGGCCAGATACCAAACACCTTGCCCCCGAATCTGCCAGCTCTCACAGGGCGACCGGACCTGGGGTTTCAAGTGACTGTGGTGATCCAGTTGTCGCTGAGTTTCAGCTCTGTCTGGCTCGATTTCTCTTTGACGTGTGAACCCTTTTGTTCTCTGCTCGTAACCTCGCTTGTTTGATGCGCAAACCCCCCAAACTCGATCGCGATCAAACAAACACGACCCACTTCAGTTTAATATGAGTGATGGCTCCGATGGCCAGACAATCACTTCCAGTCCAATCAGGCAGAGGTCGACCCAAGTCTTCTCTTAAAGCATCACGCAGCGCTGTTGATTCCCCCGAAGGACCCCCGTTGAAGAAACGAAAGTACATCCCCGGAGGCCCTGGAGGAGGAGGGAGATTCATCGACGTCGAAGCTCCTCCAGATACACCCAAAGAGCCCACCCCCGCCGCCAAACCATGAGTGCTCGCAGTCGTCCGGCGCGCGACATCGAGGCGCCAGTCCAAGCCCCTCCACCACCGCCCCCTGTCCCAACCACACCCACACCACCTTCTGTCACACGCCCCAGACGAGAAAAGAACCAGAATCGAGGTCGATTTACTTCATCCACAGCGGCAGCACTTGCGCTGCAACAGGGCGATGGATATAAACCGCGAGAGGAGCGCGGGTGGGAGGAGTTTCACCCCGACTTGGACATTGATGGCAAACTTGCCGTGTTCAACGCCGAGGAGGTGGATACTACCGACCCCTCAACTCCTGCCTTGAGTCTGGAGTCGCTGGCTGGCGCAACTCTCCAGGATAGCTCAGGAACGCCCATCGTTCTTTCGGCGGACATGGCCTCGCCCATCCCCTTCAAGCGCAAGCCTGGGCGTCCGCCACGCCGCCCTGAAGCCATTCTCAATGCACTCCTGGCTCAGCAAGGACCCAAAGTGATTCCGCCACCAGGACCCAATCCTCGAGAGAGATTGACGCTGCCGAAGCCCGCGTTTCGAGTCCGTGATCCTTTTACTTTCTATGAGCACAAGGGCGTAGGACAACAAAACTACGTTGATCGGACTATGGCCAGCGTGGGGTATCAGGAAAGCGATTTGTTTCTGCGTCATGACCGACGCTTTATTCGAATGACCGAAGGCGCCCAAGAAGACGATTTGGATGTTATTCAACCCTCAATGACCGAGGGCGACGTCAATGCCACGACCGGGCGCGTGGAGTATGATATGGACGAGCAAGACGAAAAATGGCTGGAAGAATACAATTCCAAACGGAGAGAAGATCAGCTCGAACCTATCAAGCCGGCGATCTTCGAGATCACCATGACTAAAATCGAGAAAGAGTGGCATGCGCTCGAGAAGCGAATTCCCAAGCCGAATCCCAAACCACCGCAGACCCACCGCCCTCGCTCCAGCTCTGCGGCCGCTGTCAACGGCGAGACCGTTCCACCCGGGGAAGAACAGGATAGCAAGTGCGCTATTTGTGATGACGGGGACTGCGAGAACTCGAACGCCATTGTCTTTTGTGACGGCTGCGATCTTGCTGTTCACCAGGAATGCTATGGCGTGCCGTTCATCCCCGAAGGCCAGTGGCTTTGCCGCAAGTGCCAACTCTTAGGAAGGGGGACGACCAACTGCATCTTCTGCCCGAACATCGAAGGTGCATTCAAGCAGACCACTTCATCCAAATGGGCTCATCTTCTCTGCTCTATCTGGATTCCGGAAGTCTCGATTGGCAACCCATCTCTCATGGAGCCGGTGACCGACGTTGAAAAGGTCCCTCGCAGCCGTTGGAAATTGCTTTGCTACATATGCAAGCAGAGAATGGGCGCCTCAATCCAGTGCAGCAACAAAAACTGCTTCGTGGCATTCCACGTCTCGTGTGCACGAAGGGCTCAACTTTACTTGAAGATGAAGATCGGCCATGGGCTCATGGATTCTCATCTTCTCAAGGCTTTCTGTGATAAGCATGTGCCACCAGAGTGGCGACTGGAGCATGGAACCGATGCGGCGACTGCCGATGCCATCGAATACTACCGCAATACTATGCAAGGTCGGCGATGGGGAGACAGCCAGGCCGCGGCACTTTCTCTGGGACCAGCGCATCATGCCGATGATGGCGAGGATGACCGAACTAATACCCCCCGCATCACCCTGACGGTAGGCGGGAATAAGCGGAAGCGAGCTCCCAGGACGGTTTGGAAATTGCCCTCTGGCGCTCCTGTGATCCCTCAAGTCGTGTTGAACTCGGTGGTAGCCTCGCTCCAGCGATTCACTGTTCGTGGCAGAAAGCAGTATGCCGAGGATGCGTCCAAGTATTGGACCCTCAAACGGGAAGCCAGACGAGGAGCAGCCCTACTCAAGAGACTGCAACTGCAGCTGGAGACCTTTTCATCCATGGAGATGACCCGAAGAGACTACGTGGCAATGGGCGTTCCAGGCTCTCGGCGCCTGCAGCGTCGCATCGAGTTTGGCGAGCGACTCTATAAGGATCTGGAACGACTGAGAGCGCTTTGTGATGAGGTGAAGAAGCGTGAGATGGAGAAACTGAAGGATGCGGAGATGCTCCGTGGCATTGTCGATCTCGTTTACTTCCCCCTGTTCCCACTATTGTGGCCGATCTTCGAAAAGGCCCAAACGTAAGTCCTCTGCTACTCATTCAGAATTGTTTCATGCTGACTCGCTCTACAGGTTGGACGGGAAGGGGGTTTTCGCGTTCGGGTTACTCTCAATCCGCAAGCGACTTGAAGAACGTTTTTATCCATCCGTCGCGGCATTCTCCGCAGACTTGGCCAGTCTGTTCACATCGGAAATTGGCGTCGAGCCCGCTGGCAACACTGCCGAACTCCAGGCGCAGATCAGTGGCCGTGCTCCAGAGCTGAGTCTTGAGCAGCGCGAGAAGAGAAAGTTGGCCAAACGAATCATCAAAGCCATTCAGCCAGCCCTGGAAGATGCGATTCGCAAGGAGAGCGAGCTGAACCGCAAGCCCTTCGAGAAGGAATTGAAGGAGTTGGATGTGATCTTCGATCACAGTGTGATGTCTCGCCGAGATTCTCTCGATGCCGAGGGTGACACTGAGCTCGATTCTGCTCATCCAGAGAAGACCTTTGAGGGAGCTGAAGAAGCCACCGGGACGGCCGAGACCACTGACCCTATGGCCATTGATTCTGTTCCTCTCCAACCACCTCATGAAACGGGTGCTGGCGAGACTATCCCGGCTGAAGCCCCCAGCGCGCAACCTTTGAGACACCCAACTCCTTTGCTCAAAGACGAAGACCAACGATTGCCTTTGGCACAAGGTGGTGTTCAATGGTATATGCAGCCATTTGATCCCACTGGGACGACAGTCTATGAGGAACGATGGACAGGACGGGATGTCATGCGCGGCATGAGCGAGGAGCTTAGTGAACTGGATGAAGACGAACTGAAGGACTTAATGGATGAGGAGCCGGACCAGAAGCCTGCCAACAAGCCATCTGGTTCGCAACAAGTGCGCCGAACTCGTCGTCAACGAGGTTCCAAGTAAATTTGATATGTTTGTGTTACTTTGTCAAGCATTGGGCGCCGGAGGGAGTTTTTGTACTTGTACCTGGGCAGTGTGTAGTTTTTTTCAGTATGCAGAATGCATTCATCTTAGCTAGTCTTGTCCTCGCCCCTTCCTTCGTACTTCCTCCTAATTCCATTTTATTTCCCTTTGATTCCCTCTTATTTCCTTAATCTTTTCTTCTAATTTGTCCTGGTGGGCTTTTTTTTTTTTTTTCTCCCGGTTGCGTAGTGATTGTCGGGTAGGCGGTGTTGTTTCCTGCCGCTTAGCGTCTCTTATCGGCTTCGATTTCTCGCCCATTCTTCCCTTCCTCATCCATCCACCTCCCTTTAATTCATCATGGCTGACTACGAAAACGACAACGGTCGTTACGCTGGTATGCATATCGATCTTTCATTCGTGTTTTTTTGCTGACCTCTTTTTCTTGGGGATTTAGACGAGCCCCGGTACGAGCGCGACCGCAGTGCTTCTCCTCGCGATGAGCCCCGTGGCGACCGTGCTCGCAGCCGCTCTCCCAACGGCCGCTCTGACGACAGGTATCTACCATAATCCCTTTACATCAGCTTGATCTAATAATTTCACAGACCTCTGCCCCCGCGTAAGCCTTTGTTGGACGAGGATGAGGAAGGTGCCCTGAACACTGGCTCCAACCTCTTCGTCACGGGCATCCACCCGCGTCTGACCGAGTCCGACATTTCGCGTCTGTTTGAGAAGTATGGTGATGTTGATAACTGCTCGATCATGCTGGACCCCCACAGCAAGGAGTCTCGTGGCTTCGGCTTTGTCAACATGAGCACTGCTGAGCAGGCCGATGCTGCCAAGGAGGGACTCCAGGGTGAGGTCATTGAGGGTCGCACCCTGAGCATTGAGAAGGCGCGCCGTAGCCGCCCTCGTACTCCCACCCCGGGCAAGTACTTTGGGCCTCCCAAGCGTGGTATGTTTTTATTATCTGATCCGTCTTGTGTAGATGCATCAAGCTCATTTCTGCTCTAGATGGCCGTGGCCCGCCTCGCCGCGGTGACCGCTACGATGATCGCCGTGGCCCCTACGGTGGTGGTGGCTGGCGCCGTCGCGACGATGATTCCCGCTATGGCCGATACGACTCGTACGACCGCAGGGACTACGGTCGCGACTACGGCCGTGACTATGGCCGTGACTACCGCCGGGAACCTCGTGACGACTACGGCTACCGCGGTGGTGGTGACCGCTATGGCGGCCGTGAGGATCGTTACCGCGACCGCCGTGACGACCGCCGTGACGATGCCCGTGGTGGTGGTGGTGGTGGTGGTAGCGGCGGTGGCTACTACGACCGAGACGCCAACCCTGCTAGCTTCGAGTCGGGCCCTCCCCGTGAGCCTCGTGAGGCGTACGCTGGCGGTCGCTCTTATGACGGTGACCGCTACGCTGGCAGGTAAGGTATTACCCTTATTTCAAAAGCAGCAAAAAAGAAAAAGAAGAGGTCTGTCCCTGATGTCTTCTTTTCATGGTTGAATGTGCCCATTGCCCAAATTTCCCCCCTTTGTTTCTTCAAATTGTTTTAATGTGGGATTCGAGCGACGGGCCTCGGGGCGTCGTTGTCTTTTGTGTTCTTGTGCTTTCACGTCTTCGTCTCAAACCGGATAATCGGAGCGCCATCGGCCTAATTGCGACCGACACTGCAACTGTCGAACCTGTCACCACTCGGTCGCGAGATGATGTGTCTCTTTTTTGTCTGTTCGCGACGCGACTCGGGAAATCTCTAGCGGCAAGGGAACAAAACAATTATCGCTGTAATTCGGTGTTTCATGGGTCAGCACTTTCGGCTTCTCTTCCGCCCTCTTCAGTAACGGCTCGATTGTATTCGACAAAATGAATGTCGCCCACAAGTTCACCAGTCGCTTCATTGTCGCCAAAGTCGTTGTCTTTGTGCTTGTAGTATCGGCTTAAAAAGCAGGGCGATTAATGAACCGATGTACTGGTTCGGGACCTGGGACGAGGTGAGCTGGTGTGGAGAGCTGACCTGTCTTAGGTTGGATACCCGGAAGACTGTCAACGCAGCGCTGCTACTGACTCTGCTTAGGATTCTGTTCGGCAGCTCCGTCTGTGTGGCCCAGGATTGGTTTCTGGCATGGCCCTCATATTGACTTGAATATGCGGTATGCCTCATTTAACTATCAAAAGGAAATTACAGCCATAGACATAAATAGGTCTCCTACACTTATCAGCTCTGGGGATATGTCCCCAGATACTTTGTCAAGCGAGATCGTAGCATGCCCCATGCTACCTATCCATGGAGGATGCCCCTATCTAGATGTATGGCCACGGTATACATGCTATGGCCATTTCTATTGAGGAAAAGCTGTAAAGCAACGGTATGTCGCTATTGTGATGCCCTCGAGCCCCAAGCCAGAACCAAATCCAACGCCCATAAACGCCCATAAACAAAAGATATCAACTTTTGGTCAAATAGACTCTTACTCTGACTCTTTCTTCGAGTCCCCTTCCACTTCATTGCTCTTCTGAATCAGAAACTCCCCAAGTACTCGCAGCGGATTGGAAGGCCTGCTCCCATAGTGATCAGCAACCTGTACAGATAAAGAGTCCTCTCAAGGGCCACGTACTGTTCTTTGGCAACCGACTTCATTCCCTCGAGCAGATGCGGCACAATCTTCTCGTTCAAATATACCCGCGCCGGAGCACCACCGGGGCGCACTTGACTGGTCGAGGCATTGGAAAGGTCTCCGATTGGGGTGTTGGAGCCGGCGCCGTTGATTTCGCCCATTGCGGTTGTCTGGTTCGATGCGCCGGTGGAAGTAAGGTTCAAGAACGCGGATTGATTCGTGATGGACTCGATTGGATTCTGCTCGGGGGAATGGTTTTTTGTCTGGCAGTGTTTTGAGCGGATTGAGAGATGGGTCGTTCAGGAATCGAGGAAGTGTTCTGGTGATGCGGGAGCGGGAAGCTGTGGAGCTTCTGGCGAGCTCTTGCCGCGCCGCGAGGTTCGACAGAAGAAGCCGACCTTATCCAAGAGCCACTGTACGGGAGCTAGCCTTTCCAATGGTCTATTTGTGTGTATTTTTCGTCGCACTTCATCTATTGTCCCCTCTGTTCTACGCTGTCGCATTACCCCAGCGAACTGCAAACACTGCAAACACCCCGATATGGATATATGGTCCACGTGATCTCGTGTCGACTCGACACGTCCGATGCTCGGATCTTCATTTATCGTGAATGGCCGAGCGACAGGATGTCCTTGCTGGACTACTGGGACACACAGCGGTCGGTCAAACGCAGAAAGGTTTCTGGCCAGGCCGAGAGCAACGACGCCCGAGACCAGAGCCCCAGTCCCTCCGAAGTGGCCGAGACCCCCGCGACAGATGACTCGGACACGCAGATTCCAAACAGTCAAACAGATCTGGAGTCTTCTCTACCTGTGATCGACTCCAATGATAATGCGATTGAGGAGTACGAGGCATCTGGGACGGATAATACCAATTCTGCATTGCATACGAGGTTACGCGATGGGGTCTGGCAGAGGGGCAAAAGCTCCATCTACGTCGATGCGTTTAATCTGGCGCTCGAAACCGTGCTAGACGAAGAGACTCATCTCTTTGACCAGGCAGAAATGGAAATCTTTACCCAGTGGTGGGGACTATCCTATGAATCTCAGTATCTGTAGGTTTTGTACATCATTGAAGCTTAAGTGGCTCCCATATGTCTAACGATCACTTAGGTATGTGCGGTTGTTCCTGCGCAAGACCTCTGCCTGGCATCGTATTAGCAGGCTGGGCTATCACTCGGATATCTCGGATCTGTCTACTGTTGCGGCTGATCTCCAGCGAGACCGATCATTGCCCGAGTCAGAGACGGGATGTACATTCAGATTTGCAGAGAGCACTGAAGAAATCACTGCACTGGAAGAGGCTTCATCTCTTCTTCTGCTTGAAGAACTTAAGACCTTTGCGAAAGAGGCAAAGGTCCAGGGTAAAAACAAGAAAGAGCTGTTGCTCAGTCTTCAGGAATCGAGTCAGACTCAGTCCGGGCTGGGGTGGAACCAATCATCCAACAATCGAGACAGCCATTTCACTCAAAAGATACTGGATTACACAGGACCGTGTATCAGGCTGTCGTCCGACACTCGAGCACTTTTCGAGCGCGTGCATTTGGTCTTCTACCGGTCGACCGAATGGACCGAAAAGTCCCTCACCACCATCATCCTGGCCAAAATCTCTCGGCAAAATTTCCCAGAGTACATTGTATGCCGGTCTAATTCCATCTTCCCGTCTCGAGCGGCGCTCCTGGAGTTTGAATCGGCAATAAGAACGCAGTACGTTATCGACAGCATTCTAGAATTCAATGGACCTCCCTCAACAGAGTCATTGCAACACATCAAAGATCTCGCGAACAATATCTATCCGCGATGGAAAGAGCTAGTGGAACAAGAACAGCTAAAAGAAGAAAGTATCTACGAGATTGGGGAGGGCGCATATCTGCGTCGTTTCTCCCCCGCCTGGGTGTATACAAGAATCATCCACAAGAGTTTACATCCCCTTGGTCGATTCAAAGAGCACAAGCGAGAACATGAGGTGCTCTCGGAGCTGCTAGGTCAGGGTTTGTTTCATGCTGCCCGGCGCGGCGCCTGGTACCAGCGAAAAGCGCTGCTGGAAGAACACTACATGTGGGCTCTCATGCCGAGCGACGGCCGCAGTGAGGAGCAGCAGCGCAAAATGTGGAAGAGGACTGCCCTACGAACCTGCGAAGAGGGCCTGGAAGACCCGCTCTGCCACTTGATATACCACTATGACCTTCAGAAACGGATCACCAAGCTTGAGAAAGCGCTCAAGGTGGTCAAGAGGGAGCAGCATGATTTTGGGCATGTTATGCTGAACAAACCCGCCGAGCGCACTATTGAAGGAATCCGCGTGGACCGGGACGAAATCCCCCGGAAGGGCCGAGCAACCATCTGGGTCGATGAGCGAGAAGGCGGCGAGTGTCGAGTCGAAAGCATGTGTCTGAGCTGGTATCGAGACCACGGCTGGAAGGGGTACCATTCCGAGGGCGGCATTGTCCGCACACTAGTAAGTGGCACAAACCCAAATACCAAGAAGAAATCTCCCAGGTTATGTATACATCGAGATTGACAAGGCATCTGTTGGATATAGTTTGGCTACCTTTTCTACGACATCCTCTTCACGTACGTGCCCAATGTCTTCCAGACGCCGTTTCAAACCTGCCCGCTCGACCTACACACCGATGTCTTCTACCCATCCCGCGCTTCGGAGATCAATCACCGACTGGTGGAGATCACCAACGGGGAAGCAGAGCGCATCATCCGCGAGATCCACGAGCGCGAAGCAGTCGCACAGCCCTGCGCCATCGGTATCGACTGGTCGTTCAGTCTTGACGATCTAGTTGAGATCACGCAGTGTTTCCGCGGCGAGGCCCTGGCGACTATCTGCAAAGTCCTTGCGCAGGAATATCAGCAGCGTGGTGGCGGAATCCCGGATTTGTTTCTGTGGGATCCCGAGGCACGCACGGTGATGTTTGCCGAAGTCAAGTCGGAGAATGACCGTCTGAGTGACACGCAGCGGCTATGGATCCATATTCTGACTGCGGCTGGAGTAAAGGTGGAGCTTTGCAATGCGGTTGCTCGGGAGGTCCGAGTGGACTGAGCTGCCTTGGGTGATATCCGTACATAGAGCATGGACATACATTCTAGATATGGGTTTATGTCTAAACTCGCCGGCGAGATTCTACAAATACAAATGCTCCCGCAAAGTAACATGAAAGGTATCTGAGAACGGGTATCAATCATGATAGTTACTTTTTTTCTTTTTTGGGTTGCCTATCTAGTACATCGGAAAAGATCACTAAACCGAGCACTGGTTTCCCATCGTCAACAGATCCCCCAAAGACCTCCACAGACCATCACGCATGCGCTTATGCGACCAGGGTGCTGGCGGTGGCGCTCTCGTAGCGCCAAGTGGGGGGCAGGACACCGACGGTCTTGTAGTAACGGGACAGACGGTGGATACGGGACTCGATCAGAATGAGGCGGAACTTGCTGTCCTTGTCCTTGCGGTTACGCTCAAGGTGCTTGCGGACGGCGACGGCCTAGATAGTGGTCAGCAAAAAAATTTTCTTCTTCTTTCTGAAAGCTCGAAAGCAGGTGGGGGGAATTACCTTCTTGATCAGGAAGTAAAGGTCCTCGGGAAGTTCGGGAGCGAGGCCTGTATTTCCAAAATCTCTCTGTCAGTCTAATATTCTTGACCAAGCAGAGGCTTAATTGTATCTGGTGCATTTCTGCGACCAGAGTTCGGGGAAGAGAAGGTTGAGCCCAACGAAAGTGCACAATTTTACGTGCGCACTTTCCTTATGCTTTTCCTTTCTTTCACCCGACCGAAGGGATAAGGTTGTTGGCGAGTGGATTCGTACCGTTGGACTTCAGGATACGGAGTATCTTGTTACCTATTCATCCACCGATGTTAGTATATGGTTCCTTCCCAATTCCAACCCAAAAAAAAAATGGGACTCTCGTACCAGTCACAAACTTGACCTGGGCAACACCGTGGCTGTCGCGGAGGACAACACCAATCTGGGAGGGGGTGGCACCCTTCTTGGCCAGCTTGCAGATGTGGTCGACAACCTGGTCGGGGGTGGTCTTGAGCCACGCCGGGGGGGTGCGGGAGTAGGGGATGGCAGAGGAGGCAATGCCCTTGCCCTTGCTGTGAAGGCGACCCATTTTGATGTGGTGGAAGGTGGTCGAGGGGGTGGTGGTTGTCGGCGAGGTTGAGATGGTCGAAAATCGGCCCGGAGCAGAAGTTGTGTGCAAATGTGTGGGTCACGTGCTTCGCTTATTTTCCGCTCTTCCGCCTTTTTGTTCTTCGGACTTTGCCCCGTTCGACTTCTTCTTTCTTCTGCATTTATTCGTACAGGCAGATTCCGAGGAGATTTTACTAATTATCAGCAATATCCCCTATTCTCGACCTGTCATCCACTCCAGGTTAGTACCATGTTCTTCCACGTACCTCGCCCAATTCCCCCGATGATCTTCGTGATGAAACACACCTTTTACTTTATTTCTGGTACCTCTTATGTCAGGAGGGCGTTTTCGGACGCCTCTCCGATGATCTAAATGGACTTCTGATCGACTCAACTTTGCTCGATGCCTCATGTTTATGTTTGCTTGACTCGAACTAACGATGGCTTCAGATCTAGGTGAATGCAAGATAACAACAAAGTTGGGGGGAAATTCTCCACGCTTATTTTCTGATCCCTATTATCAACCGTATGCTCCGAGTAGTCCACGGACGACATGGATTCTTTCATGGTTGCTCTATAATACACTGTATGGTAGGATCCGTCCCGATCATGGTTTGTCGCGCAGTCTCTTCGACACCCTCCGAGTCTCAACTGTCTTGGATGCGTGGACGACACCGTCGGACTGCCCCTTTCGCTTCTTGCCTCGCTTTGTAGCTTCCTCGAGCGCATCCTCGACCTTGATCTCGACGTCTTCTTCCTTGGGCGCTTTCAAGCCCACGGCAGTCGTAACTTCAGTCTTAATCTCCACCTGTGATTTGCTGTCTTTGACATCCACATCCACCTTCTTAGTAGCGGCGAGTCTGTCAGCAAAAGACCGCAGGTCCGCAGTGAAGAGGACGCTATGGGCCCAGCCGGCCTCCTTGCCCCAGAGCTTGCGGAAGTGGTTGCCCACGGCATCATAGGTCGCTTTGTTCAGTGTTTTCTGGGAGCTTTTGCCAAACCGATAGTCGCGCTGCGCGATTTGCCAGACTATTGACTCTGTGAGAATACAGCTCCTCGTAAATAATGCCAATGCACACTTACCATGGGTATCAACCGGTACGGACTCTCCCCATCCCAACCCCATGAGACACACACAATCTGCCACTTTTGGGCCAACCCCTTGCAACTCGAGCAAGCTCTCATGGGCCTCACGGTATCCTGGTCGCCCCTGCGGTTTCATCTCGTCACCTGGTCGGGATTCCACACCCAGTGCAGGGGACTCGGGGTTGCTTAACCCATCTAGCCAGCCATCCTCCCGGTCTCGCGATACAATAACCGCCGTCTGGTAAATGTATTTGGCTCGGTAGCCAAAGCCCAAGCTGCGGAGGTTGCTTTCCACATCCTTTCCTGCCAGTGCCTCTGGAGACGGAAAGTCATGGTAGGCGCGTCCCTCAATTGTTGCGATAAAGGGTCCATAATGGAGACATAGCTTCTCAACCATCTGAGAGATGCGTGCGATATTGTTGTTGCTGCTGCAAATGAATGACACCAGCGCTTCCCAGGCATCTTGCCGTAGTATTCGGATCCCCGTAAACTGAGCGGCCTTTTTCTTGAAATTGGGATCTTGTGATGACCATTGTGTGTAGAGGTCAGTGAGATTCGAGGATAGGTTGAAGTAGTGTTGGACAATGCGAAGTAAGTCACTATCTGCGGAGGATTGAGGGGCCGGTGCTGAGGGGTGAGGAGCGGACGAGGATTGTATGGTGCGATAGTAAAGGCAACTCGAGTCTTGTTTTAGAGAGAGTAGACGGCCATGAAGAACGCATCGCCATTCTTCGTTGTCGGAGATCTTCTGCCATCTGGAAGGAGTCAGTCTTATCCTCCAGGCACAATTGCGCGGGACTGACCTGAATGACTGGCCACAACGGAGGGTTGTGTTAATGCAAAGCTCGCTCAGGCTAACAGGTAGCTTGCGCCATTCGGAAAACCCCATCCTTGAACTAAAGGCATACAAGGACTCCAGCAAGAGATAGCGGCCACCCTCGGTCAAGATTAGTCAGCTGAGGTAATGATACCAAGGTATACAAATCCAAATCCTCGACTACCTACGCTTTTTGTTTTCGCGCCGGGAGTTACTCTTTATATAAAGGCAAAAAGAAGTAAGAAACCCACTTACCTCCATGTATCCACCAAAGTATTGGTGCATAGCCGCTTGTCTACTCGTGCTTTCTTTCTTTCCTTCATTTTGAACGATTTTCGAAAGATATCTCTAAATAAACAGAGATACATTAGTTTTTATCCCGTACCTTTTTAATACGTATTTATTCGAGATCTTAATACGAAGAAGGGGAGTGCCGTAAGTGACGAAGCTGCGCGGCGCGACTTCTCGTAGTTCTGCCGTCTCGATCTTCGCGCAGCAGGCGGTGACTTCCCTACCGCCTGGAAGCTCCGAAATCAGTTTTCCCCTTCGCTGCATTGCGACCAAGCAAAGCTTCATTTGTCTGCCCCAACTCAGCATGAACGGCGACACCTATTCATCCAGAGGTAAGAGTTTTAAATTTTGATGTCAGATCCATGCTAACTCATATAGATACTGGCCGTTCGCGCGATTATTATGTAAGTGCCAGCTCTACGAAGTTTGGCGACGACTAACCCAATTTAGCGCGACGAGCGGCGAGAGCGCGACAGAGGTGACCGAGGTGACCGAGGTGATAGGGGTGAGAGGGGTGAGAGGGGTGAGAGGCGGCGGTCGCGGTCTCCCCATTACGGCCGGAGCTCGCGACGCGATTACGAGTCCAACTCGTACTCGTCCAGTCGAGACTACCGTGCCCGGGAACGTGAAGACCGCTACTCCAGTCGGAGAGATGATCGAGAGTGGGACCGAGACCGTGGTGACCGTGGTGACCGTGGTGACCGTCGACGACGGGACTTTGATGATCGCCCTCGACGGGACTTGTTCGATGAGCGACCCCGACGTGCCGACCGAGACCGCGGTTTCGGCGATCGCGAACGTGAGCGAAGAGACCGGAAGAGAAGCGCTACACCCCCACGCCGCAAGGAACCCACGCCGGATCTGACGGATGTCCCCTCTGTGCTGCAGAGGAAACGCCGCTTGGTCCAGTGGGACATCAAGCCCCCGGGTTATGAGAATGTGACGGCGGAACAGGCGAAGTTGTCTGGTATGTATTCTTTGATACGACGAGGGTTGGAGAAACTAACGTCCATAGGAATGTTCCCTCTCCCCGGTGCACCTCGCCAGCAGCCCATGGACCCTAGCCGTTTGCAAGCGTTTATGAACCAGCCTGCCGGTTCAACCGAAAGCACGGCCCTCAAGCCTTCCAACTCCCGCCAGTCTAAGCGTCTCTTCGTCTACAACATACCCTCTGGCGTAACGGGAGATGGTGTGATTTCATTTTTCAATCTGCAGCTGAACGGTCTGAACGTGATCCACAGCGTCGATCCGTGCATTTCAGCCCAGATTTCCGAAGATCACTCGTTTGCGCTCTTGGAGTTTAAGTCGCCCAACGACGCAACGGTTGCCCTCGCTTTCGATGGAATTGCCATGGCCGAGGGGGCAGACAAGGGACTTGAGGTGCGACGGCCAAAGGACTACGTTGTCCCGGGTGGAAGTGCAGAGCAGGAATACCAGGAAGGCGTACTGCTGAACGAGGTGCCGGACTCGCCGAACAAGATCTGTGTCTCCAACATCCCAGCCTTTATCCCGGAGGAGCCTGTCACAATGTTGCTGAAGTCCTTCGGCGAGCTCAAATCTTTCGTCTTGGTCAAAGATGCGTCTACGGAGGAGTCGAGAGTGAGTATTTGTACCTCATTGTCCGTTTTCTCACTTGCTGACTTCCCGCAGGGAATTGCTTTCTGTGAATATGTTGACCCGAATGCTACTACCATCGCGGTGGAAGGTCTAAAGGGCATGGAACTGGGCGATCGGCATCTCAAGGTCGCCCGCGCCAGTATCGGAACCACGCAGGCTTCCGGTCTGGACATGGGCGTCAACGCCATGTCTATGTTTGCCAAGACCACTTCGCAAGACCTGGAGACCAGTCGGGTGTTGCAACTGCTGAACATGGTGACGTCGGACGAACTCTTGAACGACGATGACTACGAAGGTATGTTGTCTTGTCCGGAACGTCGCTCTTACCTGAAATTTGACTAACATGCTTCTCCCCAGAAATCTGTGAAGATGTGAACGATGAATGCTCAAAGTTCGGAAAAGTCCTCTCTCTGAAGATTCCCCGACGCGGCCTCGGCGCAGGCAAGATCTTCGTCAAGTTCGATACCACCGAGTCTGCCATCGGTGCCCTCAAGGCGCTTGCGGGACGCAAGTTCTCGGATCGGACGGTGGTGGCCTCGTACTACGGCGAAGAAAACTTCGATGTGGATGCATGGTAAATGCAAATCGTGGTGTCTTCCGCGCTTTTTTTTCTTCCTCAGGGCTTCCTTTTCCCATCTTTGTTCTTCACATCGGCGTGTTATCCCCTTTTTGTCCGACCAGTTTTGCTTTCGGAGCAGGAGGGTCTTGAATGTACCATAGCAAACAGGCATATGTCCAGAACCTGCCATGCCTTGATTTTGACGCCTTGTAGAAGAGATGCTAAGATGGTAATTGCTAGTTGCCAGGTATTCAGCTCTTGTCACAAAAAGTACGTCAAGTGCATGAAGCCCAGCTGAGCAAGACCTGGGGATCGGCGCGTTGATCGCTGATGTGCTTCGTCCTCTGGCAGGTTAGCGTCGGCGAGTGTTGCCGCGTAGAGAACTCAACCCTAAGCTCGTCTCCTTCGCCCCATAAAGTCTTGTCTGTCGGTCTTTGACACGGGTTTTATTTTATATTATATTTCTCTCTTTTTCTAATGGCAGAAATTACAGTTGCCGGGTATTGCCATTAATCACATTGTACAGAATGGATTGGGTCTATGTGCCTGGAAGGGTATCCACAGCATCGACCGAGTCCCACCCCCACGCCGCCTTCAGCAGCCGCTGCATCGTGTACGTGGGATAGGCATGCTCCTCCTCGAGTTTCACCAGCACGCCCAGGAGGGCCTCTTGCTCGATACGGTCTGTGAACCGGTCCCCGCACATCCCAATCGCGACACTGGCCGTGACCAGCCCGGGCGGACTATGCTGGTTCGACAGGGCAATACCACAGAGCCGAAGGATAATGGAGCGGACTCGTCGGTCGACCGACCGCATGGCCGTGCGCTGGCCGGGTCCTAGACGCGGCAGCTTGGGATTGTACACGGTCAGCAGGATACGAGCCAGGTCGAGGTGCTGCAGGCCGGCGACATGGCAGTTGTTGAGGTACCAGAGTTCGGGGAAGACCTCACCGCGGGAGCGGTCCGGGTCGCGGGTGTAGATAGGTCGGAAGGAGGCCGGGCCCAGCTCGGCCCAGAGAGTCTCGAACGAGACCAGCTCGTCGTAGCGCGCAACCCGCATGTCGGATGCGGGGAGCGGGTGGAGAACGCCCGTGCTGGTGTTGGGGGAAATGGTCGCGGGGAGTTGACTTGTCTTCCGATCCGAAGCAGTACTGCAGTACGTCGGCGCAGTGGATGACGAGCCGGTCGGCCCAAACATAGTCGTCGGCGGGCTCGAAGGATCGGTATGGCTCGCATGGGCCCAGAGGAAGTCGGAATGTGCGCTGTTTCGAGAAAGCTGTGAGAATCTCCTGCCGGAGTGCGATCCAGTAAGCGGCATGTCGCAACCCACTCCCTCTGGCTGCTAACATGGCCTGGGCATCCAGAAACACTTGGATGCCGCGGAGACCACTTTCGGTGTCTTCGCCCATAGCCGGCACTGCAGAGATCGTGTCAGCACTGTTGAAATCAATTCATTGGACTCTCAACGAACAATCTACTTCTTCATAGAACCGAAGAATCACGGCGGCCGCCAGGAGATTCTCGTCCTGGGCCTCCCGGGAATGATCCGACAGCGACACAAAGTGCGCAATGCATTGGTTGTGATAGTGAAGAGCAGTTTCTGGCGTCAGATTCGGGAGAATTTTCCCTCCATATTGGATTTGGTTTCCAATATAATATTTTTTGATCCGGCTCAGGTGTCGTGCCGCGGCGGTATAGATTGCGTAGAGGAGCGGAGGACATGATCGTGCGCGCAATGGCACAGTACATTCAAAATGCCTTTCTCCATCGCAAATATCGAACTGCCCAAGTGTAAGCTGACAGGGGGAAAGATAAGTCCCCGGAGAAGGGAGTTGGCAAAGAGATTACCCAATGTGCCATCTGCACAACAAAATACCGCATTAGGCAAGCTTCATGTTCATCGAAATGAGGCAGCCCACTCTCGGTCTGAAAAACAAGATCGCTTGACCCGAGGGATGCATGACTGCTGTGAGAGAAGCTGGGTGACGCAGACGAGACAGAGGGGTGGTTCCCAGGCGAACGCTGGGTGGGGTAGGGCGAGAAAGAGAGAAGATGTGAAGTCTGGGGCCGGACAGAAAGATACGGATTGGGTGAATGTGATTCAACAGCGTCACTCACGACGGACGGGTCAGTTAGGGTTCGGTGGTCCGTGAATGAAACACTTCGCCGGCGTCCCGAGGCCAACGGGGAGGACCCCAAATCCACCGAGTAGTGTCGGGCTATGTCGGCTGTTTCGTCGACGTACTGGAACTCAGCTGTGAATAGAAGGAGTCAGCACGGCAACGGGGAAGCCCAGATGCCGGAATCCTGATGACGCAAGCCGCTGTTTCATAGAGGGCGGATCACGGACCATGGCCGACGGGCACCCAGGGCTGATCGTCCGCGAAGTCGGCATCATATCGAGCACTGGAGCCATGACGGAATCCCGAGGGCACCGCTTGCCAGACACACGATGATCCTGAGCGTTCACAGCGGTGACATTGGGGCTTGTTGCCATCGCCTGTCGCGTTGCGCTGGTTAGCCTCATTCCACGTAGACATCTCATCAAACTCACATTTGACATGTCGGTCTAACGATTGACATCGTGATCAGTCAAAATTATGCATCTCCCGATCTATCGCCACCATTCACTTACTGCGGCATTCCTGGCTGTAAGACAATAATCCATCGTCAGTCATTGGATGCCCCCACGAACTGTGGAGGTACTCACCAGGGAACTGCCTTACTCCGTCGCATAGTGAGACAATAACGAATCCCCCTGTAATGACGAAGAGAATGGAATTAGAACCGGGACGAGAGGCAGTCAAATAGCGGAAGGCAAGACTCGGCGAATCTCCACGGGTGCGGGGTACAAAATCCGGGGTTTACGGGGGTTTGACACGGGACGCCCCCCAACTACATCATCGCATCCATGGACCGAGATGGGTCATCATATAAGCGGACCAGGTCCCGCAGTGCCTCTCGATAATTTGTGTAGATTAAACTTTGCTTTCTTTCAATCCATCATGAGTGACTTGAGTCGGTCCTCCTTCAAGACCGATAACCCGAAGGGCTCCGCCGAGCATGTCGAGACGTCTTTCTCCGCTGAACTTGACACCATCGAAGACACGCCCTGCAGCAAATATGCCTGGCTGGTGTCTATTACTGCGGGAGTGGGTGGATTTTTGTTTGGTTACGACACCGGCATCATCTCTGCCATTCTAGTATATCTGGGCACCTCCCTGGGCAAGACGTTAGATGGCAGCGAGAAGGAACTAGTGACTTCCCTCACCTCAGCTGGCGCTTTTGTCGGCGCCGTGCTGGCCGGTTTACTTGCCGATCGGTACGGCCGCAAACCTCAAATCTACAATGGCTGCATTCTGTTCATCATTGGCGCCATCATCCAGGCCACGGCTTATAGTATCGCCCAGATGTCCGTGGGTCGTCTGATCGTGGGATTTGGTGTGGGCTCTGCGGCTATGATTGTTCCGGTATGTAATTGACTGTTCCTCTCTGGCTCTGCTGTCTTCGCTGACCCTGTTAGTTATACATAGCCGAAGTGGCTCCGGCCAAATACCGCGGCCGTATGATCAGCCTGGACAATCTCTCCATCACAGGCGGACAACTGATTAGCTATGGCATTGGAGCGGCCTTTGCGTCAGTCAGCAACGGATGGCGGTATATGGCAGGTCTGGGGGCAGTCCCGGCCATTGTGCTCTGTTTTCTGCTCCCCTTCTGTCCCGAATCACCCCGACAGCTGGTGTACCATAACAAGCAAGACGAAGCGGCCAGGGTGATTGCAAAGATCTTTCCAGAAGGAACCCCCGAGCAAGTTCAGCAAAAGGTGCAGCACATTGCTATCCACATCGACCAAACCAGAAGCTCGGAGAGGAGCCTCTGGTGGCAGATCAAGCAGCTCTACGTGGTACCCAGTAACTTCCGGGCGCAGTTCGCCGCATGTGGTCTCATGGCTGTCTCCCAGCTGGGAGGATTCAACAGCCTGATGTACTACTCGAGCACTCTCTTTGCCATGGTGGGATTCAATAACCCTGTGGCAGTGGGCACGATCATTGCCGCGACGAATTTCGTATTTACGTTTGCCAACCTAGCTCTCATCGATAGGGTGGGTCGGCGCCGGATTCTGCTCTGCACGCTGTGGGCGATGGCTGCGTCGCTGGTGTGCACCGCGATCTGCTTCCGCTGGATTCCTCTTGGCCACGATCTCACGCTCAAGACCCAGAAAGTCGGCTGGGCTGCAGACGTGGTCCTGGTGTGCTTGGTAGTGTATGTCGCGTTCTACTCGATAGGCTCGGGCAACATCGCCTGGATGGGAAATGAGTTCTTCCCCATTGAGGTGCGGGCCGTTGGGACGATGCTTCTCACCATGACCTGTTGGGGCTCGAACATCATCGTTGCCTCGTCATTCCTGACCCAGATGGAGAATACGACCCCCTCGGGTGCATTTGGGTTCTACGCTGCCATCTGCTTCTTTGGATGGGTGGGTGTATATTTCTTCTACCCTGAAGTCAAGGGTATGACGCTGGAAAATATCCGGGAGGTCTTTGAGCATGGTTTTGGAGTCAATTATGCCCGAGAAATCCAGAAGGAAGCCAAGCGCAATGCGCAGGAACGCGCTGAGAGCAGCGAAAGCGTGTAAATTTAGGTTGGTTAGAATTTCTGTACGGATGAAATGCAATAGATAGAACCCCAAGAGAGATGATGCATCGGACGGAAATGAGGGCATGGAAGGTCACGGGATATACTGCACTGGAGCACGTAAATTTCTTCTACCTAATTTCGCCTTTTCCCCATCTCTCTTTTTTAGAGACATCAGTGACCATGTATCGCAATGCAAGACACGGTGCATTATCACCCCGAAACCCATCAGACCCATTTTTCGACGTAGTCGATCCGCCCCCAGGAATGTCGCGGCCACCGCGAGTGGAGACTCGGGGGGTGCGGGGGAAGATGCGGTGGAGAACGCCACAGCAAGTCTCGCCGAAATCCTGCCTGTTCAGGCAGCAGTGATCGGCATATTCAAGAGGTTTGATAGCTGTCTGCTCCTCTGCATCGCTGGATTGCTGAGTCTCCGTTGCCCAATGTTGTCCACTTCATACGGGCTGCGGCGGAGACACTGCGGGGCTGGCCAAGTTGTGAAGCTATATAAACCAGATCCAGACTTTCCTTTGCAATCGCTATAGCCATTGAGCTTTGTCTATCCTTGCATCGACTTCCCTCTAAATTCTTTGACCCGTTCCCGAATTACAACATGTCCGAGAAGCTTCAGGTCGCCGTGGCAGGTATTGGGCGCATGGGTACGTTTTTTCTTTTCTTCTCTTTTCTCTACTCTTCCTTCCCCTAAGAAGGTATTTGAACATTGGTCTCATTCGCGACTCGTCCCAGGCATGCGCCATGCCCGTCACTTTGCGACGCTCACTCCCCGCGCTGAGCTAATTGCAGTGTGCTCCCCCGTCCAGGCGGAGCTGGACGCCGCGCAAAAGGAGTTCGGGGTCCGCACCTACCGGGACTACGAGGAGATGCTTCGACATGAAAAGACACTGCAGGCCGTGGTCGTGGCTAGTGCGACGACCGTGCACGCCGAGCAGGCCATCAAGGCCATTGAGAAGGGACTGCACGTTCTGTGCGAGAAGCCGATCAGCACCAGCCCGGAGATTGTAAGTCGACAACCCATTAAGAAAAAAAAAAAAAAGATCACTTACTATGCACCTCCCAGACCACCTCGGCAGGACGATTCGCTAACACTTCTTCCCATAGTCCCAATCCGTGGTAACCGCTTACGAAAAATCCAAAAAGAACCACCCCGCCCAAAAAGTAATCTGCGGGTTCTCGCGCCGCTTCGACGCCTCGTACCGGGATGCGTACCAACGCATGGCCAACGGCGACATCGGCACGCCAGCTGTGTTCCGGTCGCAGACCTGCGACAAGCTCGATCCGAGCGGGTTCTTCGTGGCGTACGCCGAGTTCTCGGGCGGGATCTTTGTGGACTGCTCGATCCATGACATCGACCTGGCGCTGTGGTTCTTCGGCGAGGAGAGCAAGGTCAAGAGCGTCAGCGCGGTGGGGATCACGGCCGTGCAACCGGATCTGCGGAAGCATAATGATCGGGACAATGCGCTGGGGATTATTGAGTTCTATGTAAGCGGGGTCTTTCCTCTCTTCCTCCTTTTATTCCTCCCAGTTGTTGCGTCTTTTGTTGTCTCTTCTGTTTTGTGATATCCACTGACCCATCCAGGGAGGCAAAATCGCCCAACTCTACTGCTCGCGCATGATGGCCGCCGGCCAAGAAGACTGCACCGAGGTGACAGGGACGGCAGGCAAGATCGCCGTCAACACGCAGCCGCAGCTGAACCTAGTCAACCTGTACGAGCCGACGGGGATCCGGCGTGAGATCCCGGCCGACTACTACGGCCGGTTCCAGGCGGCGTTTGTCACGGAGGCGAACGAGTTCACAGCCTGCTGTCTCGACAACACGCGGCCGCCCATGTCACTGGATGGGGCGGTCAAGGCGGTCACGATTGGGTGTGCGCTGCAGGAGTCGCTGATTTCAGGGAAGAAGATCGAGTTTGATGAGAGTGGGCGCCGGGTGGAGCAAGCTAGGCTGTAGATATTCTGGTTGTTTCATGCCATGCCGAGCGAGAGATATATACATAGGAAAGAAACTTGTGGAGATATAGACGGCAGTCACCGACTTGATAATATACTCTCTTCATCCTTGCGGTCTCCCAACATCTACTACAAACTACCTCTACAGACCAAGTCCAATAAAGCCGAAGCGCTGCAATTGACTAACACATGGACAGACGGCCAGCAACCAACTGTCTCAAGCAAAAAGAAATAACTAAAATGAGCGGGTAATAGGGCACACAGAAAAAGCGGCACAACAAGATATGGCGTAGCAGAAAAAAGTACATCACAAGAAGAGAAATCGGTGGACCGCGGGCTTATTATCAAAAACCATTCTTTTTCGGTTCGTGGGGCCCATCCAGCGAGAGAGTTCAGAGAGTGTGGGGGTCGACAGCAAGGAAAATAAAGGGAGCGAGTAGTTGGGAATGGTGGGAAAAGAGCTGCACGACAACATTAGCGGAGGGAGAAACCCTTGCGCTTGCCCTTCTCTTCGATGGGACGTCCGCTTTCGAGGCGTCCCTTCTTCTCCTCCAGCTCCGAGCGCTGGCGGTCTAGCTGATCCTTCATCTCGCGATGTCGGGCATAAAGTTCGTCTTCGCTCTGCTTGAGCTTGCTTTCTTTCTCCGCGACCTTCTGTTGGAAGACCATCTTCATCTCGGCCTCCATCTTGGCCAGTTTCTGCTCGTGGAGGGCGCGCTCCTCCTCCTGCTTGACGGCCGGGTTGACCTCCTTGAACACGCTCGGGTCCTGGGCGACACCCATCTGGGTAAGCTTGTCGGACCGGTAGTTCTCGTACAGGAAGTTGTTGGTGTGCTCCTTGAGCTCCTCCATGTGGGTGCGGATCAACATCTGGCGCAGCTTGACGAAATCACAGTGCTCCTCGTTGTCAACCTCGATAATACCCCAGGGGTAGCTACGGCCACGGACGCGACGGCCGTCGGCTGCCGAAACCTCCGAGTTGGCACCAACCACGGCAAACGGCACCTTGGACATGATCTCTTGGTTCTCAGCGATGGTCTCCTCGTCGTCAAGCTCGTAGCGGGGGCCCTCGAAGATCTGGATGGAGTGGTGCTCGATATCGGCCAGGATCTGGAACAAGTTAGCGGCGGATTTTTGGCAATAAAAACATAGCAAAAGACAACATACTCTCTGCTTGAACAGGGCAACCTCCTCGTCGGTCAAGGTGTCGGCCTTGGCGATCACGGGAATCAGGTTGACCTTAGTGTGCAAGCGGCGCATCACCTCGATGTCCAGGGGCTTCAGGGAGTGGCCGGTGGGCTGGATGAAGTAAACGCAAGCGTGGATGCGGTTGTCGACGGTGTTGCTGCGGTTGACCTTGTTCTCGGCCTCCAGGTAGGTATCGAAGCGCTGCTCGATGTTCTCGACAATGGGGCGCCACGAGTCATCGTTGTTGACAAAGTCACCAAATCCAGGGGTATCCACCACCGTCAGACGGAGCCGCACGCCGTTCTCCTCAATATCGGCGCTGGTCGACTGAATCGACACGGTCTTGGGGATGATATCGGCGTTGGGACCGGTGCGTTCCTTCGGGGGGTAGAGGGAGGTGTTGAACAGAGTGTTGACCAGGGTCGACTTGCCGAGTCCGGATTCACCTGGTTGGTGTTAAGAGGGTAACACGGGCAAAAACTTCGCGAGCAATACTCACCAACAACCATGACATTGAAGTTGAAACCCTTGCGGACACTCTTGCGGTGCCACTGGTTGGGCAGGTTGGCAAAGCCCACGTAGCCGGTGAGCTTGCGGCGCACAACGTTCTTCATGTCGGTAGCGGCTTGAGCGACGGCCTTTGGATCCCGAGAGCTGACGGTCTGGGCGTTGCCGGAGCCCATGGGGTTGCTGCGTTCGACAAAGGGCGAATCCTTTCCGCTGCTGGGAGTAGGCGAGTCCCGGGACGCGATGGGAGAACCATCCGTAGATGGGGAAGCTGATCAATCCGTCAGCGTGACGTGGTCAAGTCCGCGAGGAGCCGTGATTCCCCTCGTTCCAATCGGTGGGATAGCTTACCCATTGCGAAAGTTTAAGGGGTGTGAGAAAAAAAAAAACCGAGGGCGACGAAGATCCCCTGTATAATTCTTCCGTCAGCTTTTGTGCACTTTTATTTTGGAATTTCTGCAAAGCGTGGAGTCTTGTGGTCACAATTGGGCAAATAAAAAAATTCGGGGGGTAGAAGGGGAGAATGTCAGGGATTCATACCTAAATGCTGCGTGGTCCAAAAAAAGGGGGAGACCAGTCAGAAGCGAACGACCGAAAAAGAAGCCCTCAAAAAAAGTCGAGACGGGGGCAAGAAAAAACAAACACAAAGGAGAAAAGAAAGAGAGAAAGGGAGATGAAGAGGGAGAGAGAGAGAAAGAAAGGAAGAGTTGAGACTGCCAGTCTGGGAAAGAAAGGGGGGGCCTCAAGAGGTCGGATCTATTCTGGAGTTGGTTTGGATCGACCCGCGTCGAATTGCTGAGCTACGCGATGCATCATTTCCCGGTCCGAATTCTCTCTAATTTACACGTTTTTTGGGCCTTTTCTTTGCATCTCTCTCTTTTTCTACATCCAATTCCAACTTTTTATACACCGCAAATTAGAATTCTTCCTGCCTGCTTCGACATGGAGACGTTCCATGTTACCTGGGCCAGGGACTCTACGTCCAGTCCATGCCTTCTCCGTAACATCCAGGATCAATTGGTCCAGCACATCTGAACTGGGCCCATCTCATCTCGGCCTCTTCGCAATGTTTGGCTTCAGGGGTTCAAGGCCCCAATCGATACGCCAATCACCGGGCTCACGTGAGTTCCACCGTAGCTCTATCGTGGCCTCAGGTGTCTCTATGGGGTGGGTATCGACACCTGAATCCTGGGGCGTGATTTCTTCAGGTCCAGTGCCTACCTTTCCTAGTAACACAATCCATGGATCCAATCCATCGATACTTCCAAGGTCGGCGGGGTGGGAACCATGATTACATCTCATAGGCCTATCTGTACATCTATTTCGCAGTCTTGCTCTTCTTCTTGGGCCGGGCCTCCCCGTCCGACATCTCGTCCTCATCGCCTGTTGCATCCGCGTCCGCCATTTCTGCGTCGCTCCCACCGCTACTGTCGTGGTCCGAATCGAACTCCTCGGCAACATCCGAATCCGAGGAGGCATTGAAGTCCTCATCGGGAGACTCCGAGTCCTCGTCCGCCGAGCCGCGGTCGGGTCGGGCCCCTTCTTCGTCGCTCGACCCCATGTCGTCGTTATCAAGGGCAGCCGCCAGAAGAGTAGATCCCTAGAAGAAATTAGTCAGGTGATCTGGTGAGATGATTGCAATCCACTTACATCGTCGGACATCTCGTTCTTAATCCGAATACTCTTGGACTTGAAGAAGTCTTCGAGGGGTTGTTGCTCCTCCCTGGACACGTTAGATCATGCAAACCACATCGTCCGAGGGGGGTTCCTTACCGATTGATGTTACTGAACTGGTGCTCTCCGAGCCCACCCTTCAAGCTGACCGTGATGTCAAACGTGCGGCTGGCAGAGACGGCGCCTCCAACACGCGACATCGTGACAACCGCAACGTTCTCAAGCTGAATGTAGGTGGCGGGCTTGGGAACAAAGATCAGACTCTTGTCCAAGAAATACAACAGACCTTCGTTGGCCTTGATCGAACATTTGACTCCGTGGTGACCGTGGTGGCTAGAGACGGTCAGCAACAAGAATGAGGTCAAGCCGGAAAGGTAACTCACCTGACAAAGTCCTTAGACGGCATGATCACCTTCTTTCCAGACAAGCCACGGAAAACCTTGGTCACAACCTGGTGAATCGGCTCCTCGTAGTGCGACTGCAGCTTATCCTTGTACTGCGCTTGCAAGATATCGCTGCTATGGTGTCAGTAAATGAAGCAGACAAGGACTGAATGCGGGGCACTCACTCGGTCATATTGAGCTCCAGACTGATCTCCTCGTCCAGCTTGAGTTGCATGACCAGGAATGGATAGCGGGTCTGACCCTGGCGCAGGGGAGGGTCCAATCCGAGCACAATAAGCGTGTGAGTATCATCGTTCTTAGGGAGCAAGAAGAACTTTTTGATCGCGGAGTATTGGATCTTGTAGTCGTAGGTTTTACCGCGTAACCGGAAGGATGACTCGTACATGTCGATGTCGAAGCGACCCCTAAATAAAATCATGAGTACCAAGTCCTCTTTCAACAGGAAGGCAATGGGGACAAACCTGGGGGTGAGATGAAGAACGTCCAAGAACGTGGCAAAAGTATCGCCGGCGACATCGCCAATCTCGGCCTTGTCCATAAGCGTCTCGTAGAAGAGGTTGGCCGCGTTCTGCTCCTCGGCCTCTTCCTCCTCTTCCTCTTCTTCGCCTTCGGCTTTTTCAGCGCCTTCAGCACCCTCGGCCTTCTCCTTCTTCACGGCCGTCCCAGGAATGTAAAACCGCATTTCGACCAGCTCGTCGGGACCCGCCGCTGCTTTTCGGCCTCGGTTCTTAGTGCTTCCAGCGGGCTGTCCATTGGCACCATTTGCCTCGGCGGCAGACAGCGCAAACTCAACCGCCACCTCGTTCTTTCCAGCCAGGTTGGTGTTGGAGATTTCGGAGTAGGGAACTTCGAACGCCGGTCGGTTTTGAACATTGAAGGAAATCTCTGCCTTGGTGAATTCTGCCTTCCCCCAGTTCCATCCTCGAAGGGCGTGTTCGCGGTTTTCCACGTTGATGCCGTACCAGATCTTGAACGCCTTGCTCATGCGTTCAAAGTCCTAATCACCCTGTCAGCCATCTCTTCTGGGGGAAAGATGCCGACAATGACAAACCTCTTGATCAAAACCGTCCAACTGAATCACCCCCGATGACCGCGACAGAATCTTCAACTCATATCCCTTTGCGGCGCGACTCCACTGGGCCGCGCCGATGTTGTTGCTGTCGAGGGTGAAAGTATCGCCACCGCCAGAGGGGCGCCAGCCCAGGCCGCTTTCGGCAAGCTTGCACTTTCCGGGCTGCTGCGACAGGTCTAGGTAGATGTTGTCGAAGCTCTCCCTAGTGAACAGTCAGTACCGGGGGCGTAGGGGTCATTTGCAAGAACAACTTACATGATGGAGCAGCTCTCAGATTGTATTTTTTAGGATCAGTAGATGCAAAGAGAAGAATTAAGAGGCGAGGAATAGATCGGTTGTGGCAAGAGAGATGGGGGTGGAAGGCAAAAGATGAGAGAGCTGGGGCTTTCAAGATTTCCAGATTCTGGAGTTCGCGTTCTGCGACACGCGGTAAGACCACTTCCACCCCAAAGCGATTTAGACTGGTGCCTGAGGCAATGATCCTCTTCTCTATGAAACTCCCCAATTAGGCAACGTCCATCTCCCTTGGTATAGCATCATTATCAGTATTCATTTGAACAGTTTTGAGTCCTAGGAAATTATTTATGGTTTGGGGGTTTTTTCAGGGCACCATTAGTGACAAGGAGGGTGATTGCTACTGAAGTTTAAAATCTTCACCGCGAAGGTATATATTTTGTCCTTGGGCTCAGCATCCTCGTGATAGATCAATGAGCCAAATAAGTGACGAAGAGACGTGGATGTCCCAGGACCCAGGTATTGAGGCATCAAATAACAACCGAATATTCCAAGCTTAAAATGATTATAATTATACAAGGCAGGCGTTCGGCAGTGTATATATTGTTCCGTCCTCAGTATACACCTATCGACGCATCTCTTGTCCTGGGGCTCCTGGCTTAGACAGGGATTTTTGACCCAGTTGGCCCCAACCGTTACCTCGCTATAGCCCCAAGACTTGTCCCCTTGACAGGGTTTGCAGGCAGGCTCTGCATTTTTTCCGGCACTAAAGTACCTAGAGTCTTCTAGCCCTATGTTGTCTATGCTGCCTCGGTTGAATGGGAACGAATCATAGATTGTTACCCTCACTGTTACTATATTTCAGATTTGGATAACTCTGTAGCCTAGGTTATGAAAATAGTCAAATGCTTCCATAGTTTACATGTAGGTGTGTAGTGGCAGAGAGTAGATGCACTCTGGGTTCAGCGATGGGCCGTTCTAATTCGACCTGGATGGTTTTCGGATGGCTATCTCCGGCAAGAGATAACTACCGTCCACGTAGTTGATGGGTCCGTACCTCGAGGCTATAATTAAGTGAAACCGACGGCGGGGCAGGATCCCAATTTCTGTAACACGGCCCACTGGGTATTGTATGGTGATCGAGTCTTCGTATCAATGAGAACACAGTGACCCATGGATTTGCGATTTCCCAAGGCCATAACTAGGATGAGTATGTTGATGAGATTCATATTTGTAGGTTGTAGGGTCCTTCTGTCTTGATAGCCGAGAATCATTCCAGTGGAGCTCGCGTATGACGTTAAATGATCGAGGAAACATCCCGTGTCAAGCGTGCCCGGAGGAGAACAGGGCCGATCGGGGAGATCCTCATCTCCCAAATTCTCCCAATCACGGCATCCGACATATTATTGTACTTGAGCAGATGAGTATGGCCCAGCCTCAGTCGCATTTGCTCACAGCAATCCAACTGGATTTTTTCAGGAAAGAGAAATAATTTGACATGGCAGATCAGAGAGGCTGGGTAAAGCCCCTTGATGAGAGGACCCACTGGACGGGGTGGCTTTGCGGATGTACTGTATTATTACCAACATTTACCAAATATACCCGGCAAGATAAACCCTACACTGCCTGTGCAGGCGTATCATCAATACAGTAGCGGATTGGACGTCTTTTGGTTTCTCCTGGCCAAACAACCTCTCTCTCCCCTGGTCTTCTCTGCCATCTCACAGTCATTCGTTATGCAGTGAGGTCGAGGTCTCGATATGCTTCATTCTTTTGCATTCCTTCTTTTCTGCGAATTTTAATTCGTTACAATTTTTTTTTTCCCATGCCACATTCTTTACTACACTCCTTTCTTCCCACGCGTTACGGCCCCGACGGCCTCCTGAATTCTTAAGACAACCCTTTCTTCGACCCTGCACCACATTCGCTTCATCGAGTATCCATTTACTAGCAGGGTCTCCTATTTTCTTCGCCTGTCGTCGCGTCCTGGACAATGAGGTTTTCTTCATTGTTGGGGCCTGCGGCGGCCGGCTGGCCGACGCTTCTCTCCATTTTACCAACCATCCACGCCCTATCGTTCGACTCGGTTTCGACTCCGAAATTGGACCTCGCATCGCTGGGACGGGTGACAATCACTGGTGATTTCGATGGTGTCTCACTCTATCAGTACCACGGACAATCGGAGCAAGCTCATAAAAATGGCACCCACTCCATCCTCACCCCTCTTCCGAACGGCATCCTCACCAACCTCTCTTCCTCCGACGCACAGATTAAAACTATGTGCCCCTTTACGGAAAAGGACGGAAATTTTGCTGGGATTTTCGTGGGCGGGAATTTCACTAGCCTGGGGGGTGTGAAGTCTCCCGGCGCCGCGCTCTTCAACCCGACCTCCGGCAAGGTCACGGCTTTGCCGGGCCTCTCGGGTTCGGTGTCAACTGTGTTGTGTGACCAGGACTCCAACCGCGTCTACGTGGGCGGGTCCTTCACGCACGACAACTCTTCGAATGTCATTGCCTGGTCTCCTGACGACGGCTGGACCGACCTTCCATTCGACAGCGTGAACGGACCAGTCAACTCGATCTTGAAGACCAGCAATGGCCATATCGTCTTTGGGGGATCATTTGACGGCCAGAGTAACTCAACCAGCTCATCAAAAGACAAGGATTCGAAAGACAAGGACTCGTCGAAATCGAAAGACAAGCAAATCCTCAACCTTCAAAATGCGAAGATCAAAAGCGACGCAGACACCCCGATGAGCGGCTACAGTGACCCGAAAAATATTGTCTGCTCGACCAGCGGCAAGGCTGGCAAGGACCAAACTTATCTCCTTCACGATTATGCTCCTGGATTCTGGCAAGCCTACCTCGGTTTTGAATTCCACCCCGTCAAAGTCCGCCTTTACAACACGCACATGGATGGACGAGGCACCAAAAATTTCTTGCTTCGGGCACTTCCTGACAATGGTATCATGAACTTGACTTATACCGATGAATCCGGCAAGAAGTCGAACTGCGACTCATCTTGCCCGCTCTCTGATGACCCGGATGAAAAGTACCGTGATTTTACCCTGGTAAACCCGGTCGGCATGGGAGGTTTCCAGATTGAGTTTCTGGACTGGTATGGACAGGGAGCTGGCTTGAATGGTGTTGAGGTTTTCCAAGATGAAATATTCACCTACGCCGTTCAGGACTACAACGAACCCACCTGTGCAGGCATTCAGTACCCCTCCAAGTCGACGCGCACTGGTCCCTGGACCACCGAGTCTGGCTATCTGTCCGCGAAGGTGTCCGACACTGATGCTTCGAAGACGTCGCTTGTTTTTGAGCCTGACATCAAAGAATCAGGCAACTACACCATTCGTGTTTTCACGCCCGGCTGTAGCCAGGATGGATCCTGCGCTTCCCGCGGCACTGTGAATGTGACTGCCACCGTTGCGAACAGCGACGAGGATTCGAAGCAACCCTCCCCTGCTTTAATTGCCCAGACAAACGATCACGACAAATACGATACCTTGTTCACCGGCTATGTCGACGCTAGCAGCGACTCTTTCCGACCCAGCGTCACCCTGCGGCCCGAGGATGGCCAAGGAGATGTCACCATAGTGGCAGGACGCGTGCAATTTGACTTGAAGTCTACCACCGAAGGGGACCTGAATGGAGTCTACGACTATGATCCGACCTCGAAGAAAGGAAAGACCGATGAAAAGTCAAGTATCAGCAAGGCGATCAGCAAGCTCGGCCATGACGCTTCGATTCTGAGTATGGTGGAGCATGATGGTGATGTCTACGTGGCCGGCAAATTCTCCCACGACAAAGCTCACCACATCGTGTCTGTCACTGGCGGTGACACCAAGCCAATGCCTGGTGGCGGTTTGAACTCTAAGGTCTCGGCGATGACTGTCCTCGATAATACTCTGTATGTCGGAGGTCAGTTTAATGACACGTCCGACGGAGGCGAGGACGGTATGGACCATGTGGCGTCTTACTCATTTTCCTCCAAGAAGTGGTCGGCTTTGGGTGCAGGATTGAACGGGCCTGTCGACTCGGTCTACCCTCTCCAATTGAATGTGTCGACGGCGATCAACGAGACAACCGTTGCCGTGAGTGGTAACTTTGACCAAATCCGTGCGTTTAACGGCCATCCTTCGGTTTCAGTTGCTGGATTTGCCATCTGGGTCCCCTCGCGTAAGGCCTGGCTGCAGAGTCTTAATGTCACCCAGATGGAGTTCGCTGGTTACCTGTCAGCAGTCGCCGCCGTCAATAACACATCAATCCTGGCTGGCAGCTTGACCACGGATGGGATCACCACTGGTGGCGCTGTGTCATTGCACCAATCCAAGGACTTGAACCTGGTGCCTCTGTCGATGAAGGTGGACCACACCAAATCGAGCACGGGGCTGATGACTGGTGCTTATGATACTGAGTCGAAGCGCAATCTGACCATCTTCGGTGGTCATTTCACCGCCACCGGCAGCGACGGGTCGGCTATCGAAAACGTCGTGATCCTGAACGGCAGCGACTCAACTCTCTCTGGCCTGCCCCGAGGAGTCGATGCCAACTCAACAGTTGTCTCAATGATCGTTTCAAACAACACGCTCTATGCCGGTGGAAATATCACCGGCTCTACTGGTGATAACAACTTGGGTGGTTTGGTCGCGTACGATCTGTCCAAAAACGAGTTCTCCCCAAAACAGCCTTCGGCTCTCTATGGCGAAGATGTCATTGTCAACTCCATCGCCAGTCGACCAGGTTCAAGTGAGGTCTATGTGGGTGGGAGCTTTGACACGGCCGGACAACTGCCATGCGTTTCTGTTTGTTTCTTTGATTCAAACGATGGCACCTGGAATCGGGCCGGTGTGACTATTAGTGGTACGGTGCTGACGCTCGACTGGGCCAGTCACAACAAGCTGCTCGCCGTGGGTGACCTCGAGATCTCAGGCAACAAATCTGCGATCGCGACATACGATGCCCCGTCCTCGAATTGGAAATCTTTCCCCGGGGCCTCAAAGAGCGAGATCCCAGGAACAATTACTGCGTTTGCGCCGGCCAGCGAAGACTTGTCAAAATTCTGGCTTGGGGGTACTTCCACCAATGGCTCAAGTTTCCTGCTGAGTTATGACGGCTCCAAGTTCCAATCTGCCGGCAAACTATTCTCTGAAGGCACGGTCATCCGTGGCCTCGAAGTCCTTCCCGTGTCTGACGACCATTCGAAGGTCTCTTTGTTGAACGACGATCAGACGTTACTGATCATGGGTGATCTTGTGATTCCGGATTTTGGAAATGCATCTGCGGCGCTCTACAACGGAAGTGCGGTGACGCCTTTCATCCTGTCGACGCGATCCGATGGCCGGTCCGGCAGCATGTCGCAACTGTTTTCGGAACACCAAAACCCCTACACCAACCACAGTAAGTGATGATTCCTTCCCCTTCTTTTCTATTGGAATTTTCCTGACGTAGAAACAGCGGAACACCACCACTCAAATGGGATCGTCGTTCTGGTGGCCTTTTGCTGCGCCCTGGGCTGCGTCTTCCTCATCGTTCTCGCCGGTGTGATCCTCAACAAGATCCAGCGCCGCCGCCAAGGCTACACAGCCGCTCCACAAACCTTTGGCACCGATCGACCATCCGACATGGAGCGTGTACCGCCCGAATATTTGTTCAATTCGCTACGGCAGCCCAATCCCAGTGCACCCGTCATTTAATGTACACCAAAAACCCTCTCGCTCTCCCCGGTTCTTGGGAGATCGACGTTTTGATTTTCGAAACCAACGTTGCTATACCCCTTGTTCTCTCTAATGTTTGAATTTGCTTGTTTTCGCGCCGGTCCTTTCGCGATTGACTCTCACTTCTTTCCTTTCTCCTGGCCCCTGTGGCCCTTTCCTGTCCCTCGCGGACCTGACCACTCCCTTGTCAATATGGCTGTGATTTTGTGTATTATATGTTTTTGAGCGATCTGTTTTGTGGGTGGATGTCTCGTCCGAGACAGGGCATGTAGATAGCCGCGCTGTGGTCGTGGTAAATGACATGACAATTAATACCCGTGCTTCATAAAGGATATTCTCTTATAAATCTTATTCCCCTGAGTAGATGTCAATAAGAAATAAGAGAGGCTTACAGATGATATCCAACCAGTCCATTTGTATAAGACCACCGGGTGGCAGTGAAAATACCCGGTGTGGGGGCCGGGCCCCCCCCAGGTCACCTGCCCATCCCCCCGCAAGTTGATCTCCAGATTTCGCTTCCCCTTGAATTCCCAGATCTCCCGCTTGTCCAACCCCAGTATTTCCTCTCCATCTCGGATGCCGCTGTTTCACCCTTTTCGTTACCCCCCGGTATGCGATCAAGAACTGGCTGGTAAGTCCCCGCGCTCGTGACGAAGAATGAGAACTGATCGAGTGACAGCTTGACTTGTCGAACGCGAAAGCTCAAATGTATGCTGCGCCTATTTCGTCTCTAGCCCATCTGATGGAAAACAATAACGAAGATTCGGTTCCACAAATGCTAAGACTTCCTTTTTTATTCAGGTGATGAGCAAAAGCCCGAATGCTCTCAATGTCGAAAAGGCGGCAGAGAATGTCGCCCGAGCGAAGGAGTTGTCTTCCGCCATCAACAGAACGCGTCGATGAACAAGACCCTTGAGGATTCACCAGGAGGTCGCGGGAATTTGAAAGGATTTTTTTCCTATAAAAACACATTCGACAAGGATAGCGTTTGGTTGGATATCCCTGAACATGGTACGAACCATCCAGGGTTCCCATACTGAGGGAGACAGCAGTTAATCTTTTTCTGCAGTCATCTTTGTCGACAACTCCGATCCGTATGCCGAAGACCTTGAAGCATCGCTTGTCGAACCAGGCAGTGCTGCGCTGTCACAGTCGCGGGATTACAGATGGGGCAGCCGGTCGAGCGATACCGAGACACAGGGCCTCGAAGCTCTGTCGACGGCGGCGACGCATGATCGTTTCCCCTATTCCCCCTAGACCACTCTGTTTCCGAAACCGCTTCCTATGCTTCCTCAAACCGAGCGCGGAGTAGTGCGATGCCGACTTCGGCTTCACCTTCCATGTCACTCTCGTCTGGCAGTAACAACCACACCATCAATTTTCTTTTGAACCCATCCCATCCCATGTCCCCATCTATCGATCCGAATATTCAGACACCTGAATCAAAGGGTGCCACTCTTCCATCGAGGCCAGCGGTATCGCGGGGGAGCACGGATCATCGATCGGACAGTCAAGCCGAGTCAGATTTTGAGGTGGCCTTCCTGCTGCGGCATTATTCCGAAGGACCTGGATTATGGTATGTCTGCTTTTTACATCAGTCTCCAGACAGCATAGGTAATAACTTCCTCCAGGATGGATCTTTTCGACCTGGGGACATATTTTGCGTCCTATGTTCCAGTAAGAGCGCGATCAAATCCTCTGCTCAAATATGCTGCTTGCGCATATGCTGCCAAGCAACTTGGTCGTGTCAAGGGGAGCAAGGCACCGATGGGTGGTGTATGTTCGCGGCAAGCTGCCATGGAGCTGTGGCCCGACAAGGACGAAGACTTCACTTGGTATGGGGCCAAATACTATGACAAGGCCATCCAGCTGTTGATGCAGGAGCTTCAACCTGACCCTGAGAGGCCACCATTGCTGAGTACCCCCGAGGCCTTTGGGCAGTGGCAGGCCGCCGAGATATTTTGGGAGGACACAGAAAACCCACGGAAGCGAAGAAGACGGTTCTCCGACGGTCGGCTGGCGCATGGAGTTCAGTCAGACGAGGTACTTGCGGCCACGGCTATATTGTCGGTGTATGAGTTTCTTGATGCAGCAGGCCCCGCATGGAATCGACATCTGAGTGGGGTGAAATCTCTGCTCGATGTAGCTGAGGTAGGGATGATGCCTCTTGAGCAGCGGCCGTCGCCACGCGATAATTCGTATCAAGCGGCAAAGAAACCGGGGCTCTCCAAGGCTCGGCGGGCTGCGTTTTGGAATTTCGCACGGCAAGATTATCTGGCAGCCTGTGAGTTGATCTGAGATTCATGAGTTATCACCTCTCCACTGACGGTTTGTAGTTATCAACGAGGGCCACACACGGCTGAACACAGACGACTTGGTGCTCTGGACGGAAGCTGGGTTGCGCATCGATCAGATGGGCTTTGTGATTCCCAGCAACACGAATGTTGCAGGATATTCCGAAAACGAGGAACCTATGAGGGAGGATCTGGTCTGCAATGCACTTGTCTGGATCCTGTCTAAGATTGTCAATTTCATCAGCACAGGGGACAACCTGCACCTGAGTGACAACCGGTCAGTCGAGTCGGGGCCCCTTGGGGTTTCGCAACAAGCGCTCCTGGAGCGGTGGTACCGGCTGGAAGCGGAGCTGGATGCATGGTCGAATGGGTTGCCGGACACATTTCAGCCATCTGTCCGGATTGAACCGGGACGACTGGCGCATCTTCAGTCGACCGAGCAGACCGAGGATGTTTCCACTCTCCAGGAAGTGTGGCATAGTCTCCCCATGTGTGCATCGTCCATGCAGCATTACCACATGGCGCGGATTCTGCTGCTCATCAACAAGCCGCATGAGTCGACGAGCCGCCGAAGCACCATCACTCATCGGCTGCAATCGTATCGCTCCATTGAGACCGAGATTAGCTTTCATAGCCGTGAGATTCTCGGCATCTCCCTCGCCCGGCCGGACGGGAGCGTTCGCATCAACTCGCTCCAGCCTCTGTTCGTCAGCGGGCAGTGCCTGACGGACCCGCGGGAGCGCCGGGTTGCGGTGCGTCTGCTGCGGGGCATTGAATCTGACTTGGGCTGGGCCACCGAGTACCGCGTGGCGCAATTGCTCAAGGAATGGGGGTGGGATGAGAGCTTATTCCGTCCGGTCGTACCTGAGGATGAACTCGGAACCGGGCCCTCAACAAGCGTTCAGCCGGGGCCTTGAGATGGTCTCGATCTGGCGAGAAACGCATATCGATATACTTCTCAGTGGATGCTTCATTATTCAATGCTTCGACATGAGGTTAGTGATGCTGGACTATCGTCTTTCAACCGACAGCTGGGTCGAAAGCGACGAGCGAGACATTCTGTCTCTTAGAGCCATTCAGGCCCCTCTGAGCAACTGATTGTGTCACGGGGGCCGATTTGGTGACCACGAAGGATGGCGATCTTGTAACCATCAGTGACGATATTCATGATACCCAACACCAGCGTCTGTTTTATTTTAGTCGATTCCAGTGTAAGGAGAGAGATTGTCAGAAGAAGATCCAGCGACCTAGAAAAAAACCCCTGTCCTCGGGACAGTTTCCTTCGGCCCCAACTGAAAATTGCGTATTCCCGAGTCCACTTGCCTGTAGCCTTGTGTGGGGTTTCGTCACTCGGGAGAAGTGGACCGGGGGGGAGGAGGGAGAGAGAGAGGCTTGACTACGCTGTCATTCATATGGAGCTCTGTGCATTTGATGCGACACTGAGAGTTCCTCACTTACTATGTGGCAGGTTTCCCGAACTACGCAGGGTTTCCCTCAACTGTTTCTCCCCCGGCATCGTCTCTCTCTCTCTCTCTCTCTCGGAGGTTTCCCGGGCTACTGCTATCAGATAAGCCGGGGAAGAAGGTCTGGCGGTAGGGACAGTCCTAAGATCGACGGCGGGGGATTCGCCCCCATACACACACAACACACAGCACACACAAAAAAGGATGCTAATCCCCACTATGTGTGTTGCATGACTCCTCTCGTCGGAGCACAATAATGATTGTGTCGGTGGAAAACACATCGTGGTCATCATTGTCTGGGGCCCGTTGGGCATCCACCAAAATTACATTGATCTAATGAAGGCAACGCAATATTGTAAGGGGCATCCCTATGATCCTGTCTGTTTTGGATAAAACAGGGCCGCAATCTCGCCACCAGATCTTCTTTTCTTTTCTTTTTTTTTTCAGCCTTGTCGCCCGAGATATTCTCGCCCTTGGCCTGTGGAATACTGAGGATCACATATGCACCTTGGAGACTCGGTCGATTAGTCTGCAACTATCTAAAGATGATTATAGCCCGCTCCTTTGGCATCTTGCATCTTGGATTACTTAGGTCTTAGTGATCTATTGCTATAAGCCTTGCCGCGTATAGGGCAAATTCGAATGATCGACCCTGGGACATCATGCTATCCCTCGATCGGGATGAATCCTGCATGCGGTCATTCAGATACTCTCGGAAAAACGCGGGGAGTGTTGGCGATCGCAAGGAGGACGAACCCCCTCCAGATCACAGAGATCATCTCGATTCTGTTGAGTTCACAGATTGATCGGACGTGTTCCTACCGAGGTTTCGGGGAAGTAGATTTTGTTGACACTGTACAGAGGGCATCTGTGATCAAGCTCGGTTGAAGCGAAGTGTTGGGGAGTCATCTGAAAGTAAGGATATGCAGGATGCAGAAATATCCGACCCCCTTGATGTACCTTGATCCACTATGAGTGTCGACTTTGGAGGGGTGTAGAAGGTGCAATGTATACTTCACCTAATGTCAAGCTACCACTTACTTAAATTGGGATTTTGTTTGAATCCCAACTAGCAGGATATTTTTCATTGAGCACTTACTGTTCTAGTCGATTATAGTGGATTAAATCGTGGATATTCTTAATCAACAATGGTTTGCAGTTAGAGCGTGATGTGTCCAGCGTGGTTCTATTGAAGCCGAGTCTAAGAATATTAGCTAGAGCTGAAAATGGTACGAGGTTCAACATCCGCTTTCTCAAGGTGATGTGATATGATTAATGAGTGATATTTCGAATTCCATCACCATATCTTTTCGATACGAGGACATGGGAGAATTCGATAGGTACAACATCCAGCAGCCAACTCTTGAAGTATGTCTATTTCCTTTCAATTAACTATCTCCCGGTGTTATTGGTGTTGTTCACGAACGAATGCCGAGGGTGATCACAGTCGCAGGCGAAATACTTGCCGTGATTGGGTTAGGATCGACAATCCTTTGGGGTAATCTGACAGGCACTTGGCTGTCACTTTACTATGTGAACACTGTGTACTGATCAGAGCGAGATTTTCTAAACAAATTCCGCCACTTCGATTTGGACTGGAGTATACAGTGACATATAGTGGCATTGTACTCAGGTGGCATTGGCAAGGGAACCGTCACACGGCGTGGAACTGCATGGCTTGGAGTATCTCACCGATTTCTGAGAAAACAAAAGGATAATTCCATGAATATGATTGACGGGTCAGTCATTGTTTTTTTTTTTTTTTTTTTTTTCATTTTCACCTGCGGCTATTGATCCTGTCACAACGATCCATGTCTACCGGACTATGAGCGGCTCGCTTCCTAAGGAGGGGGATTTCGCACCAACCCTAACTGATTCACAGATGTCCTCCCCTGAATCGCCAAGCGTCGGGATTGAGTTCTGCTCGAGGACCGTGTGTCACTAGTCACCTCTGCCAGACAGTCCAATAACGGTGCACTCGTGTGCCGTGGGGCCTGCAAAGTCAGGGTCCACTGGAATATTCGCCCGGGCTCCACAGGTCTTATAGATATTGGGGGTCCACCCCTAAGCGTGGTTCTATTTCTATTCTCTTTTGTTTTATTTCTCTTCTCTCTCTGACCCGCACGAGTCAGGTCTTCTCGCGCTGGCGCGGTTTATCTAGACCTGGAGGCTATGTGCTTGCTCGTCGTTCGCCATGGCGCAACCGGCCTTCAACGGACATTGTCCCGTTCCCTTTCTCCAGGAGACCCTGTTTCCTCCATCCGGTGGATGTACGTTTGTTAACTCTCCCATTTCATGATCCATTGCGCTTGTTGTTGACTTACGGATTGAATAGTCATTGGAGGACGATATTGTGAAACCATTGCCGGCTCGAATATCTCATGCTGCTTGCCTTGCCCCCTCGCCGACTGGCGATATGACAACCGTCAGTCTAAGTCAACGTGAACAATCCAATTCCTGCTCTAACCTCTCCCCCAGGCCTCATCCAAAAGACCGATGTCGCCAGCTGGATCAGTGTTGCCATCCTCCCGCTTTGTATTTTCTTGCTGGTCTCATACGCTGTACTCCCTGTCAAATGGACCCATCGCCATTACTTGAGTGTCTGCTTCACCTTGGGCATCTGTTGCATGGAGGTAAGTCTTGGATACGAAATGCTTGTGATGGTTTTTCATGATCTCTGACTGGGTTATAGATCGCCTTCATCATCCCCCTTGGAGCCAAACCGAAGCAATGCCACAATGCCATCACGCCTAACGATATGCACTCTGACCTCTCCTGTGCTTTCTCGGGATCTTTCTTGCTATTCGGTGGCTGGATGGTGGTGATGTGGAGTATGCTGTCGAACCTGAAACAAACCAACAGTCTGGCTGACCAGGAATGATCCAGGTTTCATTCGCACAATTGCCTTCCACCTCCAGGTGTGTTGGGAGGTAGTGCTGGGCAAAAAGTTCATGTGGGGAGCCTTTGTGTGCGGGTTTGGCATTCCGGCCCTCGGGCTGACGGTGATGCTCCTGTTGACGGGGGTGTCATTTCGGTTTGGCGAGATCTGTCATATCAACGTGGCCCATGGGCTGCAGGACTACTGGATCCCCATCATGGCATTTGCGACGGCGGCGCTGATCCTGCAACTCACCACGATGGCCTACTGCATCCACATCTACATCCGCTCGCTCTTCGACAAGACCACCACAGCCACCAACAACAGCTCCGGTCTGCCCTCGTATGCCGCCAGCGTGCGCACCATGACAGCACGACAGGCCTACCGCCGCGTGCGACGGGTGCTACAGCTCCAATGGCGCGGCGTCACACTGGTACTGATCATCATCGCGAACGTAATATTCTTCGCGGTAGCCTTCATCGACCTCGACCGGGCCGTCGAGCCCAACGCCGCCAACACCCAGCACGCCAAGCCGTGGTTAACGTGTCTGGTACTATCCGGCGGCGACAAGGCACAGTGCCGCAACAGTGCATCAGCAATCGGCCCCAACGAAGCGACCCTGCTCGCAGTGGTGATCCTGCTGTCGCTGGTGGGCTTCTGGAACTTCCTGCTGTTCGCCCGACCGTCCATGTTTGCGGGCTGGCTGGACTTGTACCAGCGTGCCGTTACGCGCCAGCAGGAATCCGGCTCCACCGATGACCAGCGTCGCTTTCTAGACCACAAGGGTTTCGAGATGCTCACCACCTCAGCCAAGACCCCGGAGCCTTCTTTCGTGCCGTCGCCCAACCCCGCTCACACCCCGGCCCGGAGCCCTATCACTAGCCCCAGCCCGTCGGGGGACCGTGGCCATCTCGGCCAGGAGGCTCGCTATGTTCGTCCGTCGATGAGCTTCTCCTCGCCTCATGCTCCCAACTCGGGTCCCGGTGGTCGTGAATGGGATCCGGTGGCGACCTTTGCTCCGGGGTATGCACGATAAGATTCTGTCCTACTGACTTTGTTGTCCTACGCAAGACGACCTGCAATATTATTCTATTTTTCTCAAAAGGGTTAAAGGGGGGGAAAAGGGGGGGGGGGGTTGGTTTACCAAAAAAAAGAGAGAGAGAGCTCGAGACAGTTCGGTGTTACGGAAATGTCGCACTATGCTGGGCAAGGCGTCGAGGATTTTCCAAGCTAAAAGAAAAAAAACCAATCTACAATTAATTTATTTATATTAGCGGGTCTTCTTGAATCTGGGTCTTATGAGTGTCTATCGGCAAATCAGCGCCTAGAAACTATACCAAGGTATGAATGAGCCTTGGGGTAGCCAGTGTTAACATTCCACCCAACAATCAGATCTCATTCGTAGATCCCACTCGCCATCGAGTTGGACACGACATCTCGGCCTGCCCGTTATTCCTTCTCAGCTGGAGTGGATTTTGAATGCGCCCGATTCTGCACGTCATCTCAGGCTTATGACCCCACGGACATATACAGCATAGGAGATACGGATCTGTCGAGACACCTTCAAAAGCAGAAAATGTCTGACTCGAAACTGTTGAAAATTTGATTAAGAAATAAAATACAAAAGAACAAACCTTGGAAGGGGCGAAACCACGAGTCAGCATTGAACTGGTTGCTCAGCATTAATATAGCTGAAACAATCTAGAAACCTTCTAGTATTGGCGCTCTAAGTGTCTATCTGAGTAAGTTATTTCTAATACTATGTAAACTACTTCGAAGTACAGTCATCCGATTCACATTGATTTTCTCAGTGCTACATATAGATTCTATCTACCGTAAAAAGTAGAAGTAGAAGTAGAAGAAACAGTAGATATTGACCTTCCCCTTCTGACACCCACCGAAACCCACTGTGGTGGGCCAGGCCCCCCCCCCCCCTCCTAACGGGGCAACTCGGCCGTTCCTGCATAATCCCGGCGCCGGGAGTTGGTGGAGCCAATACCCGGGTGTTAGGGTCTGTTAGTTAGTATACTATTGTGTTTGTGTACTGACTCGGCATGGAGAATTTCTAGTGTGCCGGGATGTTGGGAGGCTTGGTGCTGCTGGAGCCTCTAGATTTATTGTCCCTGTAGGACCATTCTGGTGAAGAAGGGGCTGGGGACCATACCAGGGTTCAATGGGCGGAGAATTTTTGAAGGGGCTTGTGAATATCCTGATCAGGGTTTGACTTTCAAGAGCCTAGTAGGTCGGGTTCTAAGATAGGATTTGGAGGGAGTGAGTAGAGGTGGAGTGAGGCATTTTTGTAGTAGAACCACCATTCTCTTGCTATTTTCCGTGAAAATATCAATATCTTATTTATTTTTCTCTAGGATCAATATAGGCCTAATATACTTTCTGTTGTATATTTGTTTAATATCAATGATTCCCCGCACTCTCCCACGGTTCGTAACTGCCATGAACCGGTTCGGTTACTATTTACTGCAAGTTTCATGATAATCGCCCAGGACATCCATGGATTATTTCAATTATTACCCCGTGGGGAAGACTCTCGCGACATCAGAAAACATAAAACCCAAAAGAGGGGGACGAATTAACAGAAACGATCGCCGTATATCCATAGACCGAAGAGAGTCTAGATGTCAACAACACCGAGAAGACCCAGCAAAACCATACCCAAAGCACCTCAAAAGTAAAATAGAGACACATCGGCATTGTTCTCTAGCGTGAGGCATTTCTAGGGTTCGAGCATGTGCTATATCGTATTGGTCCTCGTATCCGGGGTAATGCAGATGCTAGTTGCAATAGTCTATAGCATATCACTATTAACTAGCCCCCCCCCCCCCCCCCCCCCCAAAACATGGCTAGAAGCGAGGCAATGCATGATGATGGAGACCCCGGCATGAACATGCGTAAACATACCCTGGATCATCGCACTAGCAACAGCCTCCCGTCTACGCCGAGGTACATGTGATTTTGGGGTTTGGGGTTCCACTTGGCGTGAGAGGGGTTTAAGCTTTCAATGTTCTGTTGGTTTCGATGTTGATCTAAATTGGAGCTTTTGAAGTATTTACTATAGGTGGTAGGGTTGGCAGTTGTCCCTATCTCAATATATAAGGTTAGAGATTAAATGAGGTAGAGGCAGTTTCGATGACATTGTAGTTTTAATATTTTATAGCCTTAGATAAACCACTATTGCTGTGAAATAACCTTTGTCCACCACCTCGTATAAGAAACAGGCAGTTGTAACTAGACCTTGAAGACTTAGACAATAGCCACCTGGGCACGACACCATCTATACCTCACTTGGGTAGTTTAGATAAATATCATATTTAGATACATTCAAGTCCAGTGAGGGAATCCTAACCATGGTTATCTTCTTTCCTTCTCGATTTTTAATCTTGTTCAAAAGAAGGAAAGAAGATGTGCAAGTTTTGATAGCTTCACAACATATAAAGTCGCCATATACCTTGAATGCAGATAGTACTTTGGTGGCTATCTTCAAAGATCTTAGAATCGCATAGAGGTTGTGCTAAAAAGGAAGACCTTAGCCTTTTGATAGCCATTAAAACTACGACACTGCTTCCTGATAAACAGGTTAGGTATCTTATGCCCCTGTACCTTAGCAAGTTTTGACCATGAAGGTCAAGTAGTGTGAGGACTAATGTCAGTATGTATGGATAAACTAAATGCAGTACTAGGTGAAATGCTTTTCTATTTTAACTCCTCTACTATCTATACCTACGAGAGTCATCGCTAAGTACTGTGAATCCCTCCGATATAAGAAGCACCGCAGAATATAATGAAAATAGCCGTTTTCAGTTAGATAGTAAAATATAAGACAGGTGCCATGATCTTTGTAGGCTAAAAAGTATAACTCATGATTCAATGAATCCTGCTGCTAGCTCGTTCGCATAGAAGCTTTTTATCTTCCTAAGCTAATAGTTTTTAAAAGGGACAAGCTTGAACCCTGGTCTCTGCAATCTATAGATTTACGTAGAAGCGTGAGATATAACAGAGTATGTAAATAAGAACTAGGAGACATCCAGCAGTAGTGTAAGGAAAACTATCGATGTAAATAGAAGGAAAGATTTTTATATCCTTATGAGGGTCTTGATATATTTATAATATCTGAATATCTGAATTTACGTAACTATTATGCGAACCCTAAAACTTGACCTAGATAGTTTGCCTTTTTAAGAAGCAAACATTCTCTCAATACAGCCCCCTTTCCTCTTGCATACCTACCCCCTCTCTATAATAATAATGCCAAAAGGAGAGAAAGAAATAGAAGAAAAGAGACAACCATTGTAGCTTATATTAAGTAGATAATAGAGTATTTTAGATAAGATAGAATCCTAAGAGTAAAAAAAAGCTATAAAATCTATCATTTACTCTTTAGTATCCCTCAAGCCACCCGAGCGAATCGAGGGTCAGCGACTGGTAATTCTAGGAGGTTTATGAATAATTTTATGCCCTAAGGGATACAAGACAAACAAGATATTTAGTGTAGATACCTAGCAGTTCTTGAATACTAGGCGGATAATTGCATTGGTTGGCGTTGATGCTTGATACTAAGACATCCATCAGAAAAAGTATTTTATTAGACTTCCCGTCAACACCCAAGCTTTCAAATGTATAGGCCCAGCTCTACTATACTATGCTTAGGTCTATAGCTAAGAACATAGGAGATTGGTGAGGCAATGGTGAACCGGAAGACTCAGATCATAGAAATCAAAATAGACAAATAAATACAGAACGGCAATTATTCCATGCAGAAAACACAAGCAAAGACCATATGGCATCAGAATGTTCAGGGCCATGGTTCATGATAGTGCCCGACGTCACCAAAGGCGGAGAGCGGTAGCTCCCGAGCTGGAAAGCACAGCACACACTCCCCGCTCCCCAGCCTCCTTCACCTCTTCCTTCTCCCCCTTGCCACAATCACCCTGCTTTCTTTGCATTCTCTGATTTTTCCATTTTCACTCGAGCTTGAATTTCGACTTTGATCTCCATGGCTCCTCCTCCGCCTGCGACCCTGCCTCTGGCTGAGAGACTCAAGGCTCTCGCACAGACCCTGCAGTAAGTTTTCCATCTTTGAATTGTTGCTGCTGCATGGATGAAGCTACAATGGATCATGCATGGAAGCTAACTTGATACCACCTTGCAGATTTGCCTGGTTTGTTGGGTAGGTCCAACTCGTGGGCATCCGAGACATCTCCCGACCCGGGGTTGCTGACCATTCGCAGACACCTGACCCTGCTGATTTCCGTCCTCCGCTACACCCTGTCCTTCATCTTCTTCAATTATTACTCGTCCTCGGCCAAGATCGCCTATCGTCTGGCATTTATCTCGGCGGCTGTCACCTATGGAATTGTCGTGTACAAGGGTCACTTCGCTCGAGGTGTCCAGGGCAATGTTCCCACCATTGTGACCAAGCTCATCTCCGATGAGAATGTGCAGTATCTGGGTGAGTGGTCTATGATGGGAAAAAAAGAAAAACAGGGGGTGCCAATCAAGGGGTCCATTTGCTTATCGATATCAGGTATGGCTTTGGTCTGGCTGTACTCGCGCCAGCTCCTTTTGGCCCTCTTGCCATTCAGCGTGTACTCGGTTTTCCACGTCGCCACCTACAGCCGCATGTACCTGATCCCGACCCTGCAGCCGCCGTCGCAGGGTGCCCCAGGCCCGGCCTCGCCCACCTCTCCAAGCTCCAAGCCCGCCGGCAAGCAGTCGCCGCTCGCCGAGACCATTGGCCGCTTCATCAAGCAGTACTATGATGCCAGCATGGGTGTGGTTGCTACGCTCGAGATTTTGCTCCTGTTCCGACTGGTGCTGTCTGCGATTACCTTCTCCAAGGGCAGCTGGGTGCTGCTGGTGGTCTACTTGGCTTTCTTCCGTGCCCGCTACGCCCAGAGCTCCTTTGTTCAGCAGGCTGTTCGCCAGCTTACCGCCCGTGCTGATGCTTCCATCTCCCACCAGAGCACCCCCCTCAGGTGCGCCAGGGCTGGGAGACCTTCAAGGGTGTCGTGCGCCAGGGCTATGAGGCTACCGATGTGGGCCGTTACTTGTCTGGTGCCGTTGCTGCCAAGAAGCCGCAGTAAACGGTTTCCAGGATTCCACTGCTTTTTGTAACGTGGGAGCTCCCGGAGGCTCTACTGTACAAAAAGCTGCGCGGTTTTTGGTTCTGGGAACGCGGGCGCATGATGCCGCCTGAATGAAATATGACACGATGGGGGGTTCTCCTTCCCATTGAACAGTTTCTTCATGAGGGGACGGGGTCGCGGATTGTGGGTCTTGTAGAAAAGAGGCGGACGCGGAGGATCCCCGCCATGATGATGCTATACGCAACGCCACTTGTTCACTAGTTTTAGAGCATTGTTTTTGCATTTCCTCGTGTCAAATTGTTGAATTCGTCACGTATGCACTATGCTTGATTTTCGCTCAAGGCTGGCCCGATAATTCGTGGCCGGCTGGTATTAAGCCATGGAATTTCAGTAGACAAGGGTGAAGATGAAAAGGGTCTATGATACACTCGATTGCTCAACTCGAGATCTCCCAATGCCCGAGGCAGTTGTTGCTCGTATACTTTTGGCCCCAACTATATTTTGGGTTCCTGCCTGAGGCAGCAGGCGGAGAAAAGAAAAAACACCGCCGACCAAATTTTGGCGCAAATCGTCATCCGCGCGGGAAAAAAGTTCTTGTTATCACCTTTTGGGTGCCTGGTTTCGTGTCACTCCTTTACTGACCCGGTCCTTCTAGGGGTGCTCTTACTTTCCCAGTCTTTGGCACCCCTTGCCCCTAGTCTGGTCCCGACCAGCAACCGCCCCGGGTTACGGTCTCGGTTGTTACTGCCATGAGCCTAACCTCGCGAGTCTTCGGCCTGTTCTCGACAACAGCGACCTCGGACTCGACCACGCACGAATCGCCTGTTTCAACATGGACACAACATCCTGTTCCGGCAAGCGGGATCCATGAGATCGGCCATGCCCAGTATGCCGCTCGAGTGATGGAGGAGGAGGAGCCCCGTCCACCATATCTACATGTACGATTGCTCTTGAAAACACAGACAGATTTCTTGAAACTGACCATAGTTCCAATTTTCAGGCGATGCTCGCTGGTGGAACCGGAGGAACATGCGGTGACATGCTGATGCACTCGCTCGACACCGTCAAGACCCGACAACAAGCCGATCCCCACTTCCCGCCCAAGTACACTTCAATGACCTCGTCATATTCAACAATTTATCGACAGGAAGGACTGTTTCGTGGCCTGTACGGTGGGGCTTTGCCGGCCTTTCTCGGCTCATTTCCAGGGACGGTGATTTTCTTTGGGATGTATGAATTTACCAAGCGGTTGATGCTGGATGGAGGCATTAACCCCAACTTGGCATACCTGTCTGGTGGTTTCTTCGCAGACCTGGCTGCATCGGTCGTCTACGTTCCGTCCGAAGTGTTGAAGACTCGGCTGCAGCTACAGGGACGGCACAACAACCCGTTCTTCCATTCGGGATACAATTACCGCGGCACCCGCGATGCGATCCGCACGATCGTCCGCCAGGAAGGTTTCTCGGCTCTCTTCCACGGCTACAAGGCAACCATCTTCCGTGACCTGCCATTTTCGGCGCTGCAGTTCGCTTTCTACGAGCAGGAGCAGGCTCTGGCCAAGCAATGGGTCGGCTCTCGGGATATCGGGCTGGGTCTGGAGATCCTAACTGCCGCCACTGCTGGTGGTATGGCCGGAGTGATGACCTGTCCGATGGATGTCGTCAAAACGCGAATCCAGACCCAACGGAACCCTCCGGAGAACCCTGGGCCGTCGGGTGCGAAACACGCCAACGATCATGTACCCAAAGAAAGCCCTAGGCCGCATGCGCCGGCGTCATCGCATTCGCACACTCCTCGGGGATCCTCAAGACCCATTTCCACGTCAGGACCATCCACATCGGTTCTGCCCCCAGGAACACCGCGACTGGACACATCATCCTTTTTCACAGGGCTGAAGATGATCTACCGTGCCGAGGGGGTTGCAGGGTGGTTCCGCGGCGTGGGCCCACGCGGTGTGTGGACCAGTATCCAGAGTGGAACGATGCTGGTCCTGTACCAGTACCTACTCAAACAACTCGAGATCTACCACGGTTCGGAGGAGCCTTTGTGATCGGATCCTTTCATTTCTCTGCATGCATTCATGGAATGGCTTCATTGGGGGCGTTGTTGGTATGTTTCTTTTGGCGCATTGCGCTTGTATACTGTGTTGTACTCTGCTCCATGATAGACTAGACTGGCTCTAGGGCCTCGTGTACCATAACTTTTTCTCTGGTCCCATATACATAGAATCAAAGAAAACCTATAATTAAACTCAAGGCAAGTCAAAGAAAGGAAGAAAAGAAAAAACATCAAAGGAATGAGAGAGAACAACGAGCGACGCGCTAGCGTGTTTTGTTTGGGCGATCGACGTAAACAATTCAATTCCCCATCTCCCCTCCTCCTTGCATCTCTACTCTTCCCCTCTCCGACTTTTCCTCTGATTTGATGTGTCTTATTCTCCCGTTGAAACCTTTTCGCTGATCCGTCAGCGTTTTTTATACACCATGTCAAGCGGTCTACCTTATCTGAACAAGCTGCGCAAGCCGGAGCTGGTCGAGTTTGCCGAGAAAACCGACCTGGAAGAGTATGTCTGCCCCCATCGCGATCGCAATCGCAAGCGCATCCAGTGCCTGCGCTAACTGTAGTCTTTTATTCTAGCTATGCGACCTACAATAAGAATGAGCTCGTGGTCGCGCTGGACAAGCACCTTCGCGACAATCGGTCTATCTTTGCGGGCGACAAGAAACTCGCCGAGTACTACAAGCGGCTGGCGCAGCCAGCACGTGCCGCCTCGCCTGTGAAGCGCGAAGCCCGAGTCGAGGTTTCTCCCGTGACCGAGAAAAAGAGCGTCAGTCGGCGATCGACCAAGAAGAAGGAGACAGAGTAAGTACAGCCATTCTACCCCCGCCCAGGCCGGGACGCGTCCCGGCCCGTGTGTATAATGATCGCGCAAACTGACTCTATGCGACAGGGAGGAATCTGACGAAGCGGCCAAGTCTCCTAGTGTGTTGCGCACGTCGGCGCGAGCGGCGCGAACCTCTCTCGATGCGCATGCGCCGCTGCCTCCCTCGCCGGCCGTCGTGACCGACGCCATTGACCGGCAGACGACGAAGATGCGCGAGGGTTTGGAGAGCGCATGGACGGCTTCGGGCGTTCTGGAACGATCGCACGCGCTGCGCGCCACTCTGAGCAGTCTCAAGGCCGTCGAGACCATCGTGTTGCTGTTGGAGGGTGGCAGCGTTCTGAAGGAGCTCCTCCCGCTGCGCTATCTCACCACTGTCCCCGAAGTGCCTGCGGTTCGACTCCCCGCCGTCCACATCAAGGTCCCGGACTTCTTTGTGCTGCTCACCGGCGCGTTCTGGGCGCCTCTCACCCTTTGGCTTCTGACCGGTCTTGTCCTGCCGTTGGTCTTTGCCTACTTTTTCAACCTGAGCTTGCAGGCTGCCGGTGGCAACGGTGGCTCTCACACGCCTGCGCGTCGTGGTCGCCCGTCGGCCTCGGCTTCCCGCGCCAGCTTTGATCCGCTGAGTTTCAACATCGCCAAGGCTCTGCTGGTGTACCTTGTGTACGCGGACAAGTTCACTTTCTGGGACGTGTTCAGCAACTTTGCTATCAGCAAGGTCAACACTGCTGTCCCCGGGCATTGGGCTGGCATGTTGACTGGGACTGCTATCGGCGTCATTGGCACTCTGTACGAGGCTATCCTGCGACGTTAGTAGCTGAACAGTCAGCTGCTTCTGCTTCTGCTTCTGTTTCGGGCTGTACAGGTGCGCAATTTGGGCTCGCAGACGAAATAGTGTCTGGTGTTGATTTGATTTTGTTTCCCCCATAATTTCCGCTACTCCGGTCCTTCTTCCGGGTTGGAGTCTCCCCTTTGATATCCTCAATTTTCTAGAGGCATGTCGCTGCCTGCTGGCCGCCTCATGTTGTTGCTCTTATGTTATTTGGTTTTTGTTTCCTGTTATCAAGCTTGTGGGTTACGGTTGTTTGTGTTTTGTGTTTGGGATACGCGGTGATGCGATATGCGAAATTGGGTTCTTTTTTCTCCTTAAATCCTTTTTTTATCTTCTTGGTCTCTCGCTTCAGCCAGAGGAGGCGCCTCGGTTGGGTTCTTATCCTGGTTTTTGATTTTGGTTTGCTTTTTTTTCAACTTTAATGACCGTTCGTGTTTTTGCTGTCGTTTGGACTCTATAATGGGGTATCAATGAGAAGAAGTATAGTATACTTGACTCTTCTGTCATCACTTCCGTTTTAGCCTCGCCGCCAATTCCACTGTAAACACCACCGGCACCGACGTCTCGACATGCACGGTATCTGAGCGGATGTGGTTGCTCGTCGATAACTGGCCCCCGATCTCTGTGTGCCAGTCCTGCACATCCCATTCGAAGCCGTGGGTCGTAATTGAGGCGGGGCCAGACAGAGGGATGATGCCGATGTTTTCCTCGAAGAAATACTCTGGCTCTGGCTCTGGCTCTGTGTTTGGTAAAGGCGATTTGAGATCTGCGCGCTTTGTTGCAGGCGTGTAGATGGTATTTTTCCCTGTTTGAAGGATGAAGGTAATGCTTTCTTCAGAGATAAGATAGAGATTTCCACCCGCCGCAGGCGGTACTGTTTGCTGTTGAGATTGATCCATAGTTTGCCCTTTGCCATGATCGTGGGCCTCGCGAATTGCATGCTGGGTCTGTGTCATCATGTACAAGTGATGAATCTGCGAGAAGGCCTGGTCAACGCGTCCGCCGAGGCCACCCAGGATCACAATTTCTAGGACTGATGTCGAGGCAGATGCTGTGTTGTCGCTGTCTCCTTCTGTTGTAGATACTCCACGCCGAGGAGATGCGATGATCTCGGCTGCATGCGCGTTGAGGTACTCCAGACACTTGGTGAAGTCTGTAGAGTATTGATCTGGGTCTTCGAGGATAGATACTTCTAGCGCCTCGTAGTGCTCTCGCACTGACGGGCGAATAGAGTCTAAATCGCCGACGATGGCGTTGGGAAGCTGGAGAGACCGAATTAGTGGGAAGCTATATTCAGGAAAACAATGTTTCATCACCACCTAGAGAACAATCTCTCAAGTTTTTCTACCGCCGGGATATGCTTTCAAATTGATTTTGCTTACATTTTGAGATTCTTCGCTGCTGCCTCGCAGCATATCATACAGCCGATTGGCACCGCCATCGGCGCAGATAATGTAAGATGCTGTACGGGCATTAATAACTCATTCTTGACGAAAGATACATCCATGGGTATATTGAATAAATGCTAGCAACTCACCATGCTCACCCAGTACCGCAAACGCCTTCTCGTTGATGGGCTGGTTGAGCACGAGAATAGCATACGGCGTAGGGCTGCCGGAGGCGCGGAAGAACCGGCTGGGATCCCACTCCATCGTGAGATGCGCCTGAGATATTCAGGAGAGCTGAGAGTCCATTCTCAAAGGACACGGTTTGAAAGGGATTTGAAAGAAACCGGTGTACCGCTCGTGGTCAACGTTGGTGCACAGCGGGCGAAAGTCGAGTTCCGCGCAACGTGACTGGCCCACATCCCTCCGCTTCTCTTTCCACCGACTTCTCCGCGCTCTCTTCCTCCGTTGGCTTCGCGCGATTCTCTCCCCCTCCTCCCTATCCCTCTGTCTATTCACTGTCAGATCATGTTCCGCCCTGCCGCAAGAGCGCTCGCTCGCGCGCCTGCTGTGGCTCATGGCCCGGCAAAGCGATTGATAAGCACCGGTCCGACCAAGTCGCGAAGCTGGAAGAACTCGGTTGTCCGCTTGGGATTGGCCGCTGGCGCGGTCTACTACTACAACACGAGCAGTGTTTTTGCCGAGACACCATCGTGTAAGTTGAATTGAGCTTGACTGTTTCATTTCTTGTTTGTCCCTTTTTCTGCAATTCCGTGCCACAGCCATTGACAACCGGGTTTTTACTAATCTTCGTTGGACCTGTTTTCTAGTCTCCGCCCTGGCCTTACTCCGGAAAGAAAACGATGATGACGCCTCCCTTCCGACTCTTGACTCTGTCACCCCTAAAATCCGTCAAGAGCGGGCCGCAGAGTCTGCCGCGAAGACCGACACGCCGGCCCTGGAGGGCGGCGTGAACCCCCAGGAGCTCGAGGAAGAGGCTGGCCAGGAGGCTGCGTTCAACCCGGAGACGGGTGAGATTAACTGGGACTGCCCGTGTCTGGGTGGCATGGCCCACGGCCCGTGTGGAGAAGAGTTCAAGGCGGCGTTCAGCTGCTTCGTCTACTCCACGGAGGAGCCTAAGGGCATGGACTGCATTGAGAAGTTCAAGTAGGTGTCCCGGCGATATAATTGTGTAGACTTTTGACTTACAATCCTCCAGGGGTATGCAAGACTGCTTCCGGCAGCACCCTGACGTATACGGCGCCGAGCTGGAAGACGACGAGCCCGAAGGTGCTCCTGCATCCTCCGAACAACCGGCCACCGCCGCCGAGACCGATGCATCTTCGCATCCACAAGAAAAGCAGTCCGAAAGCGACTCCCTGGTCCCCGAGGCCTGGCACGACACGGAGGAGAACAACCAGGCGGCGAAGAAGACGGAGAATTGAAGTCTGCATCGGATGAATACATCTTGATCTGACGCCATTCCCTTTTCACTGGAGGCAGCATCACCTGGCCGGCTGTCTTGTTTCCGTTACCCTGCAAGTCGGGGACTAGGATTGGAGTGTGTACTATATAACTTCCGCCATCTCTCCTCTCCTGGTTTGAACCCTCGTCCCATCTCTCGCCGTTCTATGACCTTCCCAGCATATCCATTCCCCCCGTTCTGCGCTCCTATGTCTTTCTTATGTCTTCCCTCCTGATCTTTTCTCTTTCCCTCGATGTGTAACTTAGTGTACTGGTATGGTCCACGCTGATGTCTAGCTTGGACTGCAAAAGAAGAGGAAATAGAATAGACTCGTTGCATTTGGAGTTTTTTTTTTCAAGTATATGGTACGTGCAGCTACATAACTGCTTTAAGTGGTATTAAGGCAAATGATATTGGGTAAGAATTTTTGCAGTCTACCATTTCCAACCGGCCATATTAGGGACATCCATACCAAGCTATTACTATGCACGACTTTTGAGCTCCTGCCAACCTCCTCACCTCGTACCATCGTAATCGGATTGCCTCTCGGCCAGCCGCGGCAAACAAAAAGCAACAAACAAGCGAGCAGAGAGAGATACACCCTAAACACCCGGAGATGGCCGAGGACGACCAGGTGCCCCATACTCCGTCTGCAAGGCATACTCCGTGGTAACTTGAATAGCAAGTGGATCCCGGTGCTCACTCTCACAATGGAGTCTGGGAGCCGCAGAGGCAGAGGAACTACCCCCCTTAGCACTCTCAAGAATATACTCCTCGCTATCGCCCGTCGAGATGCGACTGCCCTTCTCCGTGCGCGGAAGGACACTATCCAACTCAAAATGGCGGCCATTGCTGGCACTGCGGCGACGCGACGAGATAAACGTCTTGGTCTTGCCGGACACCTTGGACCCGAAGTTGTTGTAGCCCGAGCTGTTGTAGGGGCTCTTGCTGTTCTTGCGGTTTGACGAGCCCAGCCAGCGCGTGTTGCGGAATAGGGGTTTGATTCCTGGTAGTGAGACGACGATTGCTGCGACGAAGCATTCGCGGTTTGCCCAGCCCAGTGCGATTGGGAGGTTGGTGATGTCGCCCAGCGAGTAGTAGGCGCGCAGGATTGTGCAGATCATGATGAAGACTCCTGATGAGAACATCACTACGAGGATGATCTTGCGTTGGAGTGGGACTTGCAGTTTTGCGAGGATGGGGATTGGGATGATCAGGATGACAAGGTCTGATCTGTTGTAATGGTTAGCTGGGCTGTTGAGTCTGGGAAGATGGTCTCAGGGGTATAGTATGGAGAGAGAGAGGAGAGGAGGAGTACTCACAGCACGTTGAATACTGCAATCACGATATATAGCGGCCCTCGTAGAGTACAATTGTCTGATTGCAATCATATTGTCAGTGTCCCAATATCACTGGACGATTTGTGATCTTTAGAAGAGTATCGCTACTGACCTCCTGGATAGGGTTTAATCTGCCAGTTCCTGTGGACGGGCGTGCAAATGCAAATGTGTGTCAACAGACACAGCAGCCAAGTCAGTAGACAGAATGCCGTTGCTCCCCAGACGAGATTCCGGTGCCACGTTCCTTGCCTGAGAAAGATCAGAATAGAATCCAATGAACCCTATCGACAGGGGAGGGGGTGTGGACCTACGTGAGCTTGTAGTATAGACAGAGCAACACACCCTTCAGACACCAGATATAACACATGTACCAGATCCAGTTCATGAAGGCCAATTTTGAGCCCAGGATCATGGCAGGCATCTTGCTGGCCGGAACCAGCATGGCCGTCTGGGTGGTGAGACCGATATTGTTGCCGTACATCTCTGCTCAGATGTCAGCGATACACAAACCAAATGCGCACACGGACACCAGGGATCTTGGGGCAAGACTTACGTAGAAGGTAGATGATGGCTGTCTGCATGGTCCAAAAGATCTGTAACACATCAGGTAGTCAGAAGATGAGTCAACTCCTCAAGTATCTCGAGGGGAACATACCATGGCCGCCACAGCGAAGGCATCATCCAGCCGCAGTCCGCGCAAACCTCCCAAGTGCAGGCGGGCAAACAGCCGCACGATCAAGAAAACCATGCCAATTCCATATTCGGTGAAGGTCTCAATAGTCAAGTCGTCGGCTGCCATGGTGGGGGTGTTTGTTGGCTAGAGTATTCACGACAAAGATAGAAAAAAGTGTCAAACCATGAAACCGAGGGGGGGAGTTGTCTTTGGCTTTAGATAAGGCCACAGGATGCAGGAAGGCAGTGTAAATAAGAATCAACGGGTTCACTCGAGCCCGAGAGTGGGACTCGAGGGCTGAATATAATCCTATAAGAAGGGAGTGGCAGGGCGCTATACGGTAGGACGATCGACTCCCTAATTCAGGAGAAACCCCACGGCCCGATCTCGTTTTCTATAGTTCCATTCCCGTCAAGCCGAGTAAATAGTCCGTGGGAAGAGGAGGGGAGGGAGGGGGAGGAGGGGGGAGGAAAACGAAGCAGTCTATTCTCGAGCGCTGATTCTCGTTGCCGGATGCTTGTGACTATCTCCTTGGTTGGATGGGTCTCTATATTGTACTGCCAACGGGAAATTTCCATTCATAGGGCACTTGGGTGCATTAGCGAGATTCGAATCTACGGGCAAAGCGGGACTACGGCCGAGGCCAACACAGAGAGAGAGAGAGCTTTGAAGAGGCCACTTGAAAGTAGACAGGACTGAGTCTCGAGTTCCTAGTTCCTAGTTTCTAGTGACGGGACGTGATGGGGACTCGGTTCTACACCATCTCGGTCAGCGGTGTCAAATCCTGCATGGACTTTCGCTAGCGTCAGCGATGACAAGCCGAGAAAAATCCCCGTTTCTCGCCACGGGCAGGGATTGTGGAGCATGACAGCTGATGAAGAAATGTGAACAGGGGGTTGCCTCGTTCGGCCTGCGAGTCTCGACTCAGGATCCCTGACGGGGAGGACTGCAGAGAAGTCTCGGATATCAAATGAGACAATCCATAGCCCTTTTCCTCAAGGCTCCACCAGGGCTGTTGCCATGGCATGTTGGTCCTTTTGGTCGTGGGGCCTTCTTAACATGCTGTGACTTGACTTATCAAGTCCTGGTGGAGTTGTTAAAGATGCGAATCGCTCTATCAAGCAACGATGGGCCTAGTTGTTTCAAAACTGGGAGAATGAGTAGGGTCCCCATTCCTCTTGGATCGACACCGTTGAGCGATGGAGCCGGTCGGGAAAGATGCTGCAGTTGGCAGGAGCGGAAGATGTGAGGTGGAGCTGTCTCTGATTTATGGAACTGTCATCAGTGTGTGCCTGGATGCCTGCAGCATACTCGATCAATAGTCGAGTAGACCTCGGAGAGACTCGGCCTTTGGCATTTGGATATCGTCTTTCTTTTGCTTTTTCTTTCTATTGAAACTGTGATTCACTTGTCTTTTAGAGGCAGATTATTCCTAAACATGTTTCTACCCTATCCGCGCAGAGATACGGCATTGGAATTTAGTTTAAAACCCGACTAATATGATCATGTAAGAGTCCCCCCTGGCATAAAACATGGTTCTGTGGAGGATTCTCCCCCATAGATGTGTGGGCTAAAGGATAGCCATTGAAAACCACGCTCGATGGCCACAATTTTGGGTGTTTCTCGTTCTTCTCTGGCGAGTTCCGTCCACATTGAACTATAACGATTCAATGTTGCGGGTATAGGACGAGATTCGCCCTGGTCCAATTCGAAATTAAAATATCCCAGACACTGTTCCAGTAGGAAATGAGAGTTAGGAGTCTCAGGGAGAAGATCTCCCAACTCCCGCCACGTTCTCACGAAGGAAGGTGAGGCTATGGGCCCAGGGGGCTAAGCCAGACTATGGTTCTACGTCGGTTCATAGAATAGTATAATGTCTCGCGAAGCCCCTCTTGCTTTTTACCGCAGGAACAACTAACTCACTTCCAAAAACTCACACTTCACTATGGCCAAAGTAGCGTTGATTACAGGGGGAGGTATGGGTTCTACACTCCCCAACCCATGGATACACCTGCAAAGCATATAGCTAACTATCTTTCTCGATGCAGCCAGTGGCATGGGCCTGGCTGTGGCAAAGGCCTTGGCAGCTCGCGGCGACTGGGATATTCACGTTCTCGACATCAACGAGGAGCGAGGAGCTGAAGTCGCACGCGATGTACCTCGAACCACCTTCCACCGCGCCAACGTGACCAAGTATGACGAGTTGGGTGCGGCCTTTCAGCAAGCATTCCAGAAAGACGGTCGACTGGACTTTGTCTTTGCCAACGCTGGGGTTATCGAACGCGGCAACTTCTATGCGTCTCCACCTGACGGCGATGCCGTGTCTCCGCCGCCAGAGCCGGACATGCTGTCGATCGATGCGGACCTGAAGGGCGTTGTTCTGACCAGTTACCTGGCTCAGCACTACTTCCGCAATTCTCCTCACAAGGGCAATGGCGCCAACATTGTGATGACCGCTAGTTGCGGTGGTTTGTATGCGACGTACTCGGCGCCGATGTATTCCGCGGCAAAATGTGAGTTCCTTTCCTTCTTTCCTTTTTTTCCTTTCCTCAATTTCACTGGATGCCACTGCCCAGTGCATGAATTATTGCTAATGACAATGCCTTATAGTCGGCGTGGTTGGCTTCATGCGCTCCATCTCGCGACATTTCAAGACCTGCGGGACTCGCGTGAACGCCATCTGCCCGTCAGTGGTGCGCACAAACCTCATCGACCCAGCTGCATGGGACAGTTTCCCAAAAGACCGGTTTGTCAACGTCGACACAGTGGTCCAAGTGGTGCTCCAACTCCTGGACGGCGGCGAACCCGCGGGCCAGGGCCTGAGCGATACTCTGGGCAACCACCGGCCCCTGGACAAGCTGCACGGGTTGGCCGTGGAGGTGTCAGATATCGGCTTCTATTTCCGTGATCAGCACACGTTCGCTGACGAGGGCATGCGCCAGGTGATGGACGCGACGGCGGTCGAGAACCAGGTTGGCAGCGTGCTCAACGTCTAGCGTGGGGCTGATCGTTGTTTTTATTGTGTATATAATTTGCCGAAATAGTCCACTTGCGAGAAACCAGATATTCTTGGGAATCCACATCTCTGGAGTTCCAGGCCGACGATCTCCCGGTTGAAATTTCATATTGTTGGATCCTGGAGAGCTATCGTCGTTTGAATCATTCAGCCTTTTGTTTTTAGACTGTCGAATCCCTGTATTGCCTCCCTCCCTACTGTAGTCTATCCTCTCGGGATTTGACTCGGAGATTTGATCCTTTCAGCAGAGATGTTATGGATGCCATCCATCTGTGGGTCTGTCGACATAGCCTAATGCAAGAAGACAGGATTAGAAGCCTTGTACTTTTGTCCGGTATTTACTGAGCGATATCCATGATTCAGATGATATTTCAGGTGCCCTGGCCCGTCCTCAGTGGGGGTGAAGGATTTAAACGAGCTGTCAACCTTTCATGGTGGCCAATTGTGAGGATTGCAAGTGTTGGAGAGTGTTGCGGATTTTACCCGAGAGGCACCGTTGATTCAGATTCTTCTGGGCATCAGCGGATCAGCCCAGTTAGTTCCACATGCCGAAGTTGGTGATCATTCATAGCAACGCCTCTCATCTTATAGTCGGACGGCCCATGCGGGTAGAGCGCCACTTCCTGAGTGGAGTGAAACCTTGCCGAGGGGAATAAAACTCATGGAAATTGACAATCTAGTTACATTATAATAGAAACAGCACGAGGAAAGACGGAGAGAGAGAGAGAAGGAAGTGATAGATCAAAACAGACCCAGGGGAAGTAGGACCCACGCGGAAGAGAAAACCCCTGCACCCGCGACGATAGACGAAACTAAAATAGGCAGCCAACCCGTTAATCGCATGGGCCTGGCATCGAGCGAATGGATTTTGACAGACAGGGTTCATTGCAGTGACAGGAGCCGATCGGTGCTGTCAACGTCTTGTGGATCCTCTCAACTCACGCTAACAACTTAGGGCTTAGTAGTGCTCTCGCCACAACCTGTTTTCTTTTCCCTTTTATTCCCGCGTTCATCTAGTTTCTACTTTGCTTATGAGATCGCCTCGGGCAAATTGGAATCCTCCCCGTGCATCATGCGGAACAACGGCTCCCAGACGGTGATCGCTCGCTTGGTGATGCGGCCATTACCTGGTTCGGGCATGGGGTAGTAAATCAGCTTGTCGGCCGAGCACTCGAGCAGCTGGCCCGTCATGCCGGTCGAGTCATCGAGGAAAGTGCGGTAAGCCTTCAAGATGGTCTCGACCGGAGTGAGACTGTTTCATGTTGGTAAGACCATCGAGTTCTGTGGTTATGTGGCGAAGAGGGGGGGGGAGCTTCGGGATGGGTTTACTCAGAACTCACCATTCGGGTGTGACTGCTTGGATCATCTCAATGGGGACGATTGGTGTGGAAACGATCCCCGGCATCACACAGTTGATCAAGATGTTCTCTTTCTGCTTCAGCAGCGGTGCAACACCGCGGATAAAATGGTTGACGGCTGCCTTCGCGCCGCAGTACACTGGGTACGACTCATGGGGGAAGACAGCTCCAATGCTGCCAGTCACAATGATCCGGCCCCCGGGCTGTGGGTTGTACCGCATGAAATGCGTGGCCAGCTGAGTGCCATACACGACGCCCTTGTAGTCGACATCGACGACGGAGAGGTCAGGGGCAGGCGGGATATCATCAACGCCCTTGCTGTTCTTCTTCCAGTCGTAGATATAGATCGAGGACGTATCGACGATGCCGGCATTGGCACAAAATGCATCAATACGGCCCCAGAGCTGGCGCACTTGCTGGAACACGCTGGCTTGCTCGTCGTACTTGGAGACATCTGCAGCAAAGAAACGAGCATTGTGCTTTGGAAGGCTCTGAAGAAGAGCTTCGCCGGCTTCACGACGTCGGCCCACACAAGCAACCTTCCATCCCTGTGCACAGAGGTCTTTGACCAGGTCAACCCCCATACCGGACTATAGACATCGGCGGCGTTAGTGAGGAGACTAGAGAAGGAATGTCTTGTATACTGACAGTGGCGCCGGTGATGATAGCCACCCGATCTTCAGCGTGGGAACCCATAGTTTCGTCAATGAGTAGATTGAATGAGGAGATAAGTGACAATCTTAAAAAAACCAAGAAAGAGAGGTGATGTGATTGTCTAAAATGTCATCAGCAACGCAACCTGGGAAGTATAAGCCGAGCCCAACTTCCGACTCAGCCCCCTCTTCCCCTTGTACACCGCGGGCCAGGAGTCAAACGACGATCCTCGGTCTGTCTCGTCCTTACTGACTCAGGAAATACCCCCCTCGAACTAAATAGACCCGGCTCTCTGCATGATTATGGACCCATAGCTCAAGACCCACCTTGGCTGTTGGACCAGAGCCGAACCAGGTCTATCGGCTCATCAGTCCCGTGGCGAACAAGAGGGACAGTCGCAGTTGGTAGGGGTGACAAATGTGAGTGCGTCAGTCTCAAGTGAATTATCGCCGGACATACTTGAAATTGTGTCTTCGTTCCTCCCTCCCTCTCTCTGCTCTCCAGCTCGCAGCTAGAGTTTTGTCGTAACACACTATGGCGGTTGACACAGAGAAAGACCTGGTTCAGGACACCAGTTCTCCATCTGACGCTCCGAGCTCGCCCTCTCCTGCAGTCAAGGACTCGACTGAGCCTGTGGTGACTCTGAAAACATGGATCGTGTCCGCGGTACGTCTCTGGGCTCTGGTGCATCTTGACGTACTATACTGACAGTGGCACCCTTCTCAGATTCTATCTTGCGGTTATGGCCTGTCTTTTTGGCCTATTCCCGTCATGTCTGCCATTGGCACTCTGATCTCCAAGGACATGGGTGAGCCTACTGGATACATCTGGTTTGTGCCGGTACGCAATCCTCGCTGCTTGGGTAAATTACACCCGCTGATGTGATTCTTCAGGCATGGACCATCTCGATCACCTGCGCGTTTTTGATCTTGTATGTCTCTCTGGAGTGGAATATCGTCGATTTTAATCAGGTGCTCACGATTCGAATTTCACAGCGGTCCCAACACTGATCTTCTGGGTCGACGGTGGTTCTTGGTTCTGGGGAACCTGGTATGGTTTGATCAGCCGTAGTCTTGAATATGTTGCGAGTATGCTAATAGTGTTTGCAGGTGTGCTTCGTCGGCCACATCATCGTGGCATCGGCCACAAACACCAACCAAATCATTGCGGGCCTTGTAGTGTCTGGATTTGGTGGAGCCAATTGCCAGGTAAGAAAAGCTTCCTGTATGCTCTAACTATACCCAGACTGACCTCTATATGCAATAGATGGCTGCGTTCGCCCTTCCAGAGCTTCTTCCCAACAAGTGGAGACACATTGCTGTTGTCATTGCCGATTTTACCGTCTATATCGCCGTGATCGTGGCCCCCGTCACTGCACGATACGGCTATGAGATGGGCTCGTGGGCGTGGAACTTCTGGGGAGTGGCTATCTTCCAGTGCCTGTCATTTCTTGGCCTGCTGTTCCTCTACCACCCGCCCAAGCACCCGTATGTCGATGAATTGACAAATCCCTCGAAAGGAACACCGGTACCTAACTCGCGAACAGGCTTGGTGTGCCATACAAGGAAGCACTTATGACTCTGGACTACCTCGGTTCGTTCTATTCTTTCCATCATTACAAGCCAAAGCAGCCCTAACTAAGCCACACTAGGTGCTTTCCTCTTCATCGGTGGAGCTGTCCCCTTCCTTATGGGTATTGTCTGGGCCGGCGTCTACGACTCAAACGACGCACACGTCGTAGCCCCCTTAGTCGTGGGAGCCGTCGTGCTCATCTGCTTCGCGCTCTGGGAGACCTTCAGCAACACGAAATATCCACTTACGCCGACCTACGTATTCTCCAGCTCATGGGGCCGCGACTTCACAGCGCCCGTCATCGCCCTCGGCGTCGTCAACATGTTCTACTACTCGTCCAGCATCCTGTGGCCGCAGATGATCACTGTGTTTTACACGCAAGGCGGCACCGACTGGAAGTACTCAGTGATTCTGTCTCTGCCCCAGGGCTTCGCCATCTTCACAGGTGCCATCCTCCTAACCGTCTTGGGCAGCCGGCTCCGCCACTGGCAGTGGCAGTTGACCGGATCGGTGCTGGTGATGGTGGTATTTGGCTCGCTGCTGGGGATAGTCACGCCCACAAACAAAGGCACAATGGTTGCCTTTATCTTCCTCTCGCAGGCGGGCTTTGGCTGGGGGCTGTACCTCAGTATCGCCATCACCCAGATGGGCGTCGACCACAAGAACCTTGGGGTTAGTGGTGGTATCTCGGGCTGTATCCGGTTTGCTGCTGGCGCAGGTATGCATTACCCTAGATATTCATTCATGTTGATGATTGATTTAGAGAGTGTGTTATGTGTCGCTGACATTCTTTTATCCAGTCGCTACCTCCATCTACCAAACCGTCTTCAGCACCAGCCTCACCAAATACATGACCCGCTACGTCCCCACCGCCGTCGTGGCTGCTGGTCTGCCCGAATCCAAGGTCCCAGACCTGATGGCAGCAGCAGCGCAGGGCGCCGCGGCCCTGAAATCATTCAGTCCGGCTGTGGCTGCCGCCGCCGAGGCATCGCTCGCCCAGGCCTACTGCAAGGCAATCTTGTAAGTTGGGATACGGCCAAACGAAATAACAACCTTGCTTTCCAGAATCATTTATTGACTTTATATTCCCAGTGTGGTGGCCATGGTGTCCATGGCCTTTGGCATCCTGGGTCTGGGGGCGTGTCTGTGCTGCAAGGACGTCGACTCGAAGATGACCAATAAGGTGCGTTCTGCTTCTTTTCCTTCTTCTCTTATTCATTTCCTTGTCTATTGATCCAACGCTAACCATCTTTATACCAACTATATAGATTGAGGTATACCTCGAAAACACCGACCTCTCGGACCGAAACAAGTTCCACTAAATTCGCCTCTGCCATTGTCGCTTACCAAGACCTCAAACACAGTGAGATTTGTGATTATTTCAGGGTCTTATGAGAATCTATTCGGGACACGTGGCGTGGTATATATAAGAAAAAAAAACCACTGAATGGAATATGGATGGACACTCAGACTGGAAAACACCGGATGATGGATTTCGACTTGGTACCAAGACTGGAGGATCTCAGTTAGATTGGTGGATAATTACTTTCGTTAATTTATTTTCTTACTTTGTTATTGCGTTTAAATGAATGCGGGCGTAATTGTAGCAGTCTCTGTTCTACATATAACAAGAGAAAAATTATACTGCTGAAGAAAAAAAAAAAGAATATGGGCAAAAGAGATCATGGAATTCGTGCCTTTTCTCCAATCTGCTTCTCTCTCTCTCTCGCCCGCCCCCTTTTTTTTTCTTCTGGAATTCATCTTCGTCTCCTGAACTATCTCCGAGACCTTAGTCCCTATGGAGGTTATACCCGGCCATGAAGCGGTGGCTTTGATGGGACCGACCATGGAAACATCTGGCCGGGGCCACCGCATCGCGTGGACGAAAAGTCTGAGAACAAGAATCATCCCGTGAGACACCAAGGTACTCACTCCGTGGGTAACACGGTAGGGAGACTTCCGCTTGTGATCATACTCAGCCCCGGACTAGCGTTGCTCCCATGGGCAAGCCACTCATTTAATGACATGAGGGCTAAAAGGTTGATCAAACACGTTCGAGGTGCCAGGTGCTTATTTGGAAATATGGAGTTCCATTCCATCAAATAACCGGCATTCCTTACCAATTGACGTCGCTAAGTTGGAGTTTGCGGGACCGGAATGCGGTGCGATTGGCAGATTTGTCCATCTTCTGGCTAGGAGTAGTGCGTTTTTCTAAACCTGAATCAGGGGATGGTCAATAAGCAAAATCCCGGACTAGATCTCAGAAGAAGAAAAAAGGGGGTCTCACCCTCAGTGGGCTCGGGCTCGTTGGATGCTTCGTAGTTAAGCACCAGATTCTTGATCCGCTGCTGCTCTTCCCGGTCTGCCTGCTGCTGGCTCCGCATGGCGACTGCAAAGCTGGAGTCGGATGGCAGGTCGATGGTGCGGGTCTATACACCGTCAGCATTCCAAGTCAACACAACACCTAAATCTCCAAAGCAACTGTGCTCACCTGCTGCTTGTTTCCCTTCTTAGTCATCAGCGAGAACGCCATGGTCTTGGGCGCCACCGGCTCAACTGGTGCTGGCTCGGGGGTAGCAGAGTCGGTAGGCAGAGCCTCGCGCGCTGGTCTCTTCATGGGTAGAGGAATATCGAAGACGGCCTTGCGCTCGAACCGTCTCGAGTCCATGCTTTCGGCCATCATCTTTTCGAATTCTCGGTCGAAGTCCGCCTCGGCTTCTGGGTCTCGCTCTTCCTCCTGACGCGTAACGACGATCTGCTCGTCTTCGGATTCGCTCTCGTCATTGGCCTCCGGGTTGGGGCCAGATACCTGTCATGTGTAAGTTGAGGATTTTCATACGAATGAGCAAGAAAAAAAGAGTCTCACCTCGGCCTCGTCGCTGGACTCCTGGTCCTCCTCAATTTCAGGAATTACATCCTCCTCGAGACCTTCGTCATCAGACGAACTGCTCTCCGCATCCTCCTCGTCGGCCTCGGCAGGTCTCTCGGATTCCGGCACATGGTAGTTCTGAGCCACAGCCTCGCCGAAAATGCGCGTCGCTTCTTCAGGGTCAGTGGCCAGCTTCCACTGCGGCCGGATGGTCGAGTAGGTGTCCTGGACAAGAAAGTCGACATCCATGGGCAGCGGGTCCTTGGTGAAAAGATAATATTGGAAGAACGTGAGGAAGAAATCCAGCTTCTTCTTCGCCGAGCCACGATCGAAGCAGTGGCCGCAGGTGTCTAGTAGCGTGCACGCCAGCCGAACTCGGAAGTAGTCATCCGGCATGTCCAGCACATTTATCTTCCCGGGAACCGGGGTGCCGCCCTCGTGGCCGAAAGTGAGCATGCGATACAACGTGTCGAAGATGACAGGTGAATCAATCATCTTGTAGTTGTAAAGCTCTCCCAGGTACTTGACTTCGGCAATGCGCTTCTGATTGAACTTGAAGTCATTCTGTTCAAGGCCCAGCGTGATCTGCTCAAGGACATTGTCCACGATGCCAATCACAAAGGCCTGATGATACCGGTAGAGGGCGCTGACAAGGATTGCCAGAAGGTGGATGCTACCGTATTTGACCTTGACCGGCTTGCTGAAGACACGTTCCAGGATATCGACCACCTATAATAGAGTCAGTTCCAAACATCATCCAGAGACATCATCTTCTCATCATACCTCTTGCTCCTCCCAATGAAGCTTGCGGATAGACTTCAAGATCTTGGTGTAATTGCGCTTGTTCATATCCAAGTAGATCAGGCGTCTGATGTATTGCTCCATCGGGGTACGCTCCTTCTGCTGAATCGCTGGTCGTGGCGGCGGGTCGACATAGTAGATGGCATTTTCGATAACCATGCGCTCCTGCTGAGCCAGATGCTGCACCGCCTTCTTGCGACTGAGCGTTTCCAAGAAAGACGCCATTCTGGGGGATGTTTCCGGGTTGCGCAGCAAGTAGCGACCACAATTTTCCAGCAGATTACCGATGATCTCAATGTTCATGCGCGAAAAGTCGTCGAGGGAAACCTTGAAGCAATGGAAGATAATGTGCTCCGGCACCACGCCGAACTTGGTCAGCTCGGCCAGGTACCGTACATTGCTCATGCGCACTTGGCCCAAAAACTCCTTTGACTTGCGCCGCTGCAGACTCCGGAACTCTTCATCGAGATACGTGGTCAGTCCCTGCGGAATATCCGGCAGATACTGGCCGAGCGTGGCCACCAAGCGAGAATACAAGGGCAGCAGGTCAATACGACCCTTGGGGATGTCCGAAACGGCTTTCACCAGTCTGTTTCTCGACGCCTTGGAGTTGACAAAGCAGAAGTCCAGGGCAAGCTGGTCGACGTGATCTTTTGTTTGCAATTCCGGAAGCTTGGCCAAGAGGGCATCCACTTGCGCGCCTACTGTCTTGCTGGCAATTGCCATCGACTGGTCATCCGCCTCCGCAGTCGCCTTTTCGTCCAAAGGCTCTGCCTTCTCTTCGGCTGCTGGCTCGCCATCGGCTTTCTTCTTTCCAGCCTCTTCGGCTTCGCTCTTCTTTTTCTTGCCGTCCTCCAGCAACACCGCAGGCACCTTGCCCTTCAAGTCGACCAGGTTCTCATAGAAGCGGCGTTCCTCTTCATCTTCCCAAATGCCAGCCCCTTCGCCCTGTCCACGCAAATAGTCGGTCGTCTTCACAAGGCCAATGCCGCCACTTGACGCCGCGTCGTTGGTCTCCTTCTCCGCAAGGTCGGGCATCTCGGCCCCTAGAGCTTCGCACATCACCTGGGTGTTGGCGACGAGCTTCTCCAGGGATTTCGATTGCTTCTCGAAATTCGATTGACGGTCCTCGAAGATCTCGCCGCTCTTGACGTACGCCTCGGCATTTCGACGGCTTTGCGAGGCCAGGGCCCTCTGGTCACGAACCACATGCGCCTTGACATCCTCCAGGTACCGGTTCAAAATACTCTTAAATCGCTGTTGGGTCTTCTCTGGAGTCAGGGGCAGGTCCGCCTCAGTCGTAACTTCAGCAGCCTCCGCATGGGCTGGCTCCGCGCCGGCAGTCGTAGATGTAGCACCGTCCGCTTCGACGGTCTTCCTGCCCTCCTCAGCAAGCCTCGAACCGATGATATCCCAGCTAAAACCCTTCACAAACAAAACCGCCAAGGGCAAATTGGTGTGGTCACGGTCATGGCCCAGCAGTTCCTTCAGAACCTCCAACGGGAACGGCTCCGCCTGTTTGTCCTGATCCTTCGCCGCCGCCGGGGTCTTCGACTTCAACGGCGTATCGGAGGGTTTGCCACCGATCCCAACCACACCATCCTTGCCTTTCGCGCCCAGATCCTCGGGCCGCTCGACGTCATCCAAGGTCCTCAACACGCCGACGAGCCACAGCTCCGTGACGACTCGCAGGAGCACACGGTGTCGGGACAGGCGCTCTTTTTCTTCGCGCTCGCGAACCTCCTGGCTCAGAGCCTTCAGCTGCGCCTTGTCCGGGGTGCTCAGCCCGCGGCCCAGCAGCCAGCCGATCTGCCGGGTGAATTCCCATGGACCGAAACGCTGGTGCAGTGCGCTGACAACCTCGACGCCGGCCGCGATCTCCCCGGGCGATTTCAATTTGCATAGACCCTCGTAGCAGGCGGAGATGATCTCGGAGAGGTATTTATGGAGAGAGAGGGTGCGGATATCGGCGAGAAAGGTCGAATGGGCGGAGGCGCTGATCCCCGTGCGGAGACGTTTGATGAAGGCGGTGTTTTTCTTGAGGGCCGAGTCGAGCGACTTGCTCACCGGGAAGACGTCTATTCGAGGTGAGGATTAGTATCCGAGCTCGCCCTTTTCAGTGGCACGCGGATCAGCAGAGAGGGGTGCATACCCGGTTCGCCAGCCCAGGCCCGCTCGTTCAGGCCGCGGAGCTCCCCTGTAGTGAGAGTCAAGTCAGTCCTGGTCGATCGCAAAGGTCACCGACGCTCAAAGAGCTAGGGAGACATACTTTTTCGCAGGCGATCCATGGCCGGGTGTGCGTCGCCTGATTCAATCGTGGGGTCCTTTCTGAATGTCCGAAAGGAAATCGCATCGGTGACTTGAACGCCACATTGGGGAAAAGAAAGAGAGACAAGAAGCGCAATGCGTCAGACCCCTCGAAGATGAGAGAGAAAGAGAGAAAGAGAGAGCGTAAGAAATGGCCAGTCCCAGGCGGGAACGGGGGAGGTGCGGACTTTTGATTTGGCGCTGATCCACCGACTTTATCGCCTCTTCATCTACACTCCCCCGCGAGAGACTGCCTAAGCTTGAATTTCTGCTCTCTCGACTGCAACCTTGCAAGTTTGCCGTAAATGTCGTCTCTTATTCGCGCAACCTCTTTATTCTTCCCTGCCGACCTCTGCCTTCTCGCTGTCGGTCTCCGTAAACCCAGTCTCCGAGCCCTTCTCAACATCCAACAACCGGTCTTGCAACTGATGCTTGTGGTCTTGGCTACTCCAACTTTGTCGGCGATTAGGTGTCGGGATCCAAGTCTGCTCAGAAGATGAATTATCTCGATTCAAAGCCACCGATTGACTCGGATCGTTGGAAGAGGTGAGGTTGCGCGCCGCAGGAAGCAGCACCGCCTGGTCCTTGGGCATGCTGTTTGCGAACGGGCCCTGGTGCCCGGTTGACGGCATCGTGCTGAACGATAGAGAGAAACCACGACTGTCTGGAAGATAGCTATTCGGCGTGCTATTTCATTTGCATCATTGGGTTGCGCTTACTGTGGGGTGATGGTGCTGGTGATCAGCTCACGGTAGATAGAGACTGTGAGGAACGCTGGTGTCAAAAGAGCCTAGCATTCCAGGGTTGGTTGCTTGATTTTCCCCAACGGAAACACCTACGGGGGATCATATAGGAATTCAACTGAAGACATCAAGCGAGAAAGGCGAGGGTGGCGAGGTGGCGAGCGCAGAGGCGCATACATCATTCCCACCGTGTAGAAGTAGGATCTTTCACAGGTCAACCAGCAGCATGGTGACTAGATCGCCTAGTATTGTTGTACTCGACCGCGTATCAAGCGACTTGCTTCGGCGCACCAAAAGACCTTCCAGAGTCAATGTATCACACATCACGCTGGGGAAGCCCCCGGTGCAAGACACCATCTCCTGTGTGGTCCAGAAGTATAGAAGGCAGCGTGATCTCCTTGTCCATACGGAGAAGCGACAGGCTATACAAAAGGATAACTACGTACCAATGGATCGCCGTAACTACGGACACATTTTGGAATTGACTGGCTAACGTACAGGTCATGACGACACCCAACTCCGAAGAGAAGAAGGCCAACACAGGAAGTCACAAAATCAGACAAAGACAAGAGGGGTACAGAGAGGTAAGGTGCACGACCTGCGAAATCCGCTCGGGACTCGAAATGGATGCACTCCAGTCGAGTCGAAAGAACCATGCACGAAGTTGTGCAACGCTTTCGAGGACAAAGAACAAAAACATATCGCAAAAACAACAGGCCGTTGGACTTCGGACATAAACGCATGGTGAAACACTTCTTCAGGGATTCTATGACAAGGACGGAACCGATACACGGGCGTGCAAACACACCAGACATCGTACACCTCGGGGGTTCTGAGAGAAGCGAAAGACAAGGAAAGGAACATTAAAACAGGGTATGCCTCACGCCACGCTATGCAGGTCCCCTTCAGCAGCAACTGAGGGGGAACCGAAAATGTTGCAAATATGTACTAGAAAGCGAGTCCAGCGAGTGGGACATTGAAACTGAACCGGACAGAGACCGTTTATTTGGGTTTGCGCCAGAAGTATTGCTAGGAAGGGTCAGCGATGATTCATGATTCCTCAACCCTGGGCAAGGACACATACCTTGTGCTGCTTCCGGCAGTTGCGGAGCCCAGGCTTGCGGAGGTCGTTGACCACAGCCGCGCGTCGCATCTCATCGTCATCAAAATCTGGGATGTAGTAATATTCACTCTCGAGGGGCTTGCCCGCAGCATCTTTGCCCTCACGGGCAACCTTGCCAATAGGCTTGCTGTTCTCAAGGATGTAACGAATCTCGGCCCGGGATGGACCAGAGACGTTCTTGTTGTCCGATTTCCAATAAGAAGGGGGGAGGTTGTTGAGAATGGTGGAGAAGGGAGTCGAGGAGAGCCGGGAGAATGCCAGCTGATTCACAGCATGGTTGCGGACCCTCTCGAATCGCTCATCCAAGGGCTGAGACTTGTCCTCAACAACCTCACCCTCATTCTCAGAGGCTTGGGAGGGCTGGTTCAGAGACTGGGTGGGCTGCAGAGGCTGAGCGGGCAGTAGGCTGCGCGCAGACCGAGCAGAGTGTGTGGGCGAGTCGTCTGCACGGAACGAAGCCATCCGGGGAGGATATTCTCACCAAAGGGACCAAAGGAGTGAACGATGGGGTCGTTCTCCTCGTCGTTATCCGAGAAGTCCTCGGAACGACGCGAGTCACTCAGGTCGCTGACATGGGAACTCTGGAGAATAGCAGAGGCACGACGAGCAGACTGAGACGTGATACCACCAACAGTGTTGTGGCGCTTCAAGGGAGAGGGCTCATCCTCATATACCACAACGGCAGCACGGGCCCGCGAGGGCGTGAACAGAGGCGAGGACGGTGGGATGGCGCGTTGAACCGCAGGCGACGGGGAGACGGGCGAGGCCAAGCGCTGACGATCTGGCAAGGGGCTATCCTGCAGAGCCCGACGGGACTGGCCCTTCTGGGTCGGGGTGGCCTCATCACTGGTTTGCTCCGAGTCCGTGGACGGGCAGTCTTTCCTATCAAGACGCGGCCATTGCACCAAGACCCGCGCGTCATGGACATCAATCATGATATCTGCATCTCTTATGTCCGACGTAAACGTCTTGCCCTTTGCCAAATCATATTTTTTGCCCTGGCAGTGGATTTTAATCCCATTCCAACCCATACACATGATCTCCACCCTATCCCGGTCGAAGGGGTTGGGCGCCGGCTTGTAAGTAGCCTTGACATGAACACGAGATATCATACGACTGGCAGCCAGCTGGTGCTGGCAGGACACACTTGAGCGGCCCATCAGGGTGGGTTCTCCGTTCTCCTGCAGCATGATCGTAGGCACAGCGGACAGGGGAGCTCGCTCAATGACGGCAGAGAAGGAACGTGGCAGGGAGGACCGAGCGGAGGCAATACCAGGAGGAGAGGACGACATAATGTGAGTGGACGAGGTAGGAACCGGGGTAGGATACTTCGAGACTCCAGGTTCGCGTGCTACACGCTTCTGAGGTCGAGGAAGAGAGGGGGACGAGCTCAAGGGCTCAAACGCCGGCAACAAGGATGCAGGACGCTTCATGCCGGCAGCGGGAGCAACCACACTGCTCCTGGTCGGAGAAGTCTCCATGATAGATCAGGTACTCGAAGTCCAGACGAGTTCTTACCCACAAAACACCTGGGTCGAGGTCGAAGACTCGCGTCACGGTGTATTTGCTATGGAAGACCAGAGAACAGTGTCAAACACCGGAAGACGTGTAGAAGAGTGAGAGATCCTCCCTCAAGGGAATAGGGAGATTGGGAGGGAAGAAATTGATCAGAGGGGAAGGAGGAGCATTGAATAAAAAAGGCGAAAAAGGTGTGTGGTGGTGGAATGCCCTGGGGCGGAGGCGTCTTCACCCTGCGCGGAAAGGCACGCTTACAACCCGAGACGCGTTCGGTAGGCGCCAACGAGGCTCCACTGCAGATTCGCGGCCCCAATTGAAGATTCAAATTCCTTCAGACAGAAAGCGTGTAAATTTCAAGTTTTCAGATCAACCAACGCGCGATTTGCCGGTTTTTCAAGGTCTTCTCTCGGGGTTGTTCAAATCTATACAGTTCGGCCTATGAAGCGCGTCCGCGTCGGAGATCACGTGTCGGCTCCACCGCACGCGAGAGTCGGAGCATGCAGTATGACAAGACTCGTCGAGGCATGCAAGAATGGCATTTTGTGATTCTCATAAGGAGGATGATTGTATCTAGCGCCTCTGGGGGGTATGTATTAACATGGGCAAGAAGGAAAAAAAAATCAATTAAAAATATGGATCCACACGTTAACATCGATCAAGTAGTCGAGGTATGGTCTATTCCACCCCCTGCATTTCATGATCTTTTAGCCTCGGTGTCTGTGGATAGATTTTAAAAAAAAAAAAAAAAAAGCAAGAGCACTGTGTGCCCCAAAGAGGGAAAAGGCATAAATCGTCGACTGTACAGTACACTCCGGTTAAAGCTCGCGAGGCTCCAAACGAGCTGGGGAGTGACGCTAGATGGATACATGGACAGATCACATCCAACAAGCTAGGCAATAGAATAGACGAAACGATGGCTAGATGGGATAATTCATGACTTGAAGTACAGAAGTGAAATCTAACCAGATATAAAAAAAGAGTCCCCACTGAAGTTGGGTCAACCCAGGGAGGAAGCGTCCATCAAAAAGAAGGTTAAAACAATGTAACAATTGGATTTTCACCCCATGTCACACGTCGAACACAAAGTAGAACTTTAAGATACACAGAAGAAAGCAACCCATCAAGGAACAAACCGTGATATGGACAAGGAGCTCACACTTCACGTGCGACTCGGCGGGAGAAAGCTCGGATGGGCTCGAGGTCCGCCCGGTTCCCGCTCACAACGTTGACGAGACTTAGTAGAACTCGAAGATGGCATCGCCGGAGGTGACACCAGCCTAGAGAGAGATTAATACTCAAACTTCGATCCCAAAGGACGTTGGCACGTAGAACTTACCGTGCAACCATTGGCACCCTTGATCTCGCCATCCTTGTTGTAGAACTTTCCGTTCTCGTATTTGCACTGGTCGGTCAAGTCGTCTCCAACCAGCCTAACGTTTTGGGGAAGGAGCTTGTCGGTGGTCGGGCTGTTCTGGAACATCGACAGGAACTTGCCATTCTTGGTGTATCCGACACCCAGGTTCATGGGCGCCCAGTTACCAACGGGCTTGCTGCCATCACCCCACTGGCAACCCTCCTCCTGGGAGACACCCGCGGGGTTGACGTAGTATTGGGCAGAGGTGGTCTTCTTCTCCCAGAAGAAGTAGGTGTCACCGTCGGGGCAAGTCAGGGGGTGGGTTTGGCCAGCGAGGGCGTAGAGAGGAATGGTCTCAGCCTCAGTACCTGTACCAAATCAGGTCAGTCACTTATTACCAACACGAGATCGGTCATTACACTTACCGGGGTAGTCAGTACGGCACACGGCGACGTGCTTGTTCAGCTTGTTCCTGACGTGAACACCGCCAACGCCAGGAATGCAAAGCTTCTTGTGGTCCTTGTTGGTCAGGTACAGCTTGCCATTCTTGCACTGCAGACCACCAACGGACTGGCCAGTGCTTCCCTGGGTGGAGGGCCACTGGGACTTCTGGTAGCCAGCGGGGCATGCGTACGAGCACATGGAACCATCACCACAGCGCTTGCCGGACACAGCGGTGACGATGTCATTGATCACGTCATTGTCGAACTGCACGAACTGGACGCCCGAGTAGCCACCCAGGCCGAGGTAGTCCAGAGCGACTGGACCGTAGTCCGAGGGGAAGTCCTCACAGTCAATAGTACCATCCGGGAATTCACGATCAACACCCTCAGCACCGGAGCCGCCGGAGCCGGAGCCGGAGCCACCAGAGCTAGTGCTGCTGGTCGAGGCAGGGGTGGAGACGGAAGTAGTGGTGCTGCTAGTGGTTGGGGGCGCCGGCGGGGGAGGAGTAGGCGTCGAGGTGGAGGAGCTCGACGGGGTGACCGCAGCCGAGGTCTCCTGGAGCACCGGGGGAGCGATGGTCGGAGTCTTGGTCGGGGTCTTGGTGCTGGTGCTGGTGCTGGTATGCGGGCAGGCAGCGGGGACCGGGGTACCAAGCCACTCCAGCTTGTGCTCGTCGAGACCGTCGCAAGCATCGTGGTTGCTGATGGGCTTGGGAGAAGCCGAAGGCTTGGAGGGGTCCAGCACGACGAAGTCATAGACAACAGGGCCAGGGACCGCGATGGTGTTGGTCTCGGTGGCACGCTTGTTGTGGAAGTGCTGGTGGCCGTGGCCGTGGGCGGCCGCGAGAGAGCCCGCGGTGGCCAAGGTCATGGCAACCGAGTTGGAGAACTTCATGACGTGCGGTGGATTTCGAATTCGCAGGAAGAAACAACTGAACTGAAATCAAGGCAAGGTCAGCGGCGCACATTTTCGCAAGCCATCAATCCCATTGATCCTCATGTCCATTACTTCCACCGAATTCCATCGCATCCCAATCCATCTCACTTCAGCGAGAAAATCATCCACGTCCCATCCAACTATGGCAAGGGTGCAACACCTACATCAAATCACGGCAAGCCAGTCGCGCGCTTTCGTAATAGGGGGGTTCTGTACACGAAAAGTGAAAAGGGTGTTCGAGAGAGAGTGACTGAGGTTTTCCGGTTAAAGGAGTGTGCTAGAGAGAACGAATCCCTCTGGTCGGATGGGAAAACTCAAGAGAAGAAGATGAGGCTGGAAGTGAACGCTGAGAGAGAGGGAGGAAGAAAGGCGAGGGATGAAGTAAAACCCCAGGGGGGGAGGGGAGGCCTGTTCTACGACCCGAAGGGGTTAGACCGAATACACCAAAATTACTACGCTCCACTTCTGTGTACAAAAAAGAAAGAAAGAAAAAGGGGGGTGGATCATAAAGTACACTGCCCTCGGCATTCGTATCCTTTGGAGGGTCAAGGAATGGACCCTTTAACCATGCCAAGTGCTCTGTGCGTTATGCTCTTCAATGCCACCGCCAATGTCTGGGCATTGGGAGTATGGTGGAAATGTTTTTTTTTCCTGTTTACTGTATACACCTCTTGTATGTTTGTATGTTTTGGAGATGAAGCGTGGACCCCCTGAATTTGCTCCAGATGACTATGCGCCAGGGGTTGGCCAATCACCAGCGGTGGAAATAGCCCCACCTGGTCAGGTACACCAATCATATCGCTCACCGCCTGCCAAAATGCCTCTCGTATCCACGGTACCACATTTTTCTTTGATTAAACTGTACTATACACAAATATTCTGTGTATTTATATATGTACAGTATGTATCTCTGTATGTTACCCTTATGATTCCTCTCGGTCCAGGCCTTGTACACATGATTCCTTCGGGGATCGGCTGGATAAGGGGGCCACCGTTGCGGAATATATCAAGGGGCTTGGTAAATATCCCCTGGCAGACAGCCGCACGATGCTGCAAACTGTCAGGGATTTTCTCGAGGAGAAAAAAAAAGTACTCGGTTACGATGCCTACATTTTCAGTTCAATGTGCGACCGGTTTGTATCGGCAAAGCCCTGGTAAGCCACGGAGATGTCTCTATGCCCGAGTTGTAGTAATTGGGTCCGATGACGAAGACAATGAAAATGATAAATACTCCTCTGCTTTCCCCTTCTCACGAGCACGCGGTCCTCGAGCTGTCCTGCAGATGAACGACAATCCTCAATCCCTTAGTCAATAGTCGGGCGTGTGGAATAACGATAAGCGTCTTGGTCGCGTCGATCGCCAATCTTAAATCCAGACCATGAAGACCGGGTTTACGCATACACTACATGTACAATATGTACGGTATCTACTGTGTATGTTTGTGTATGTTTGTGTATGCCGAGATCTGGCCTGATGGCCTGATTCATGCAAGGCCGACCTGGAGTGGTTCATTGAATTGTCGAATTTCCCCCTCATCAAAATCTCACTTTCGAGGCTGCCCTCACATTCACCACCCCTCCACATCCTCTCCAACTATTCCGGCTATTCTGGCTACTCCGGCTCCTAATATTGGTGCCTACTCCCACATTCTTAGACAACGAAAATGCCCGGGTCTCGTGGGAAATTGCAGTCCACATCCACCTAGTTCCTCGTGCGCCACCAGGGGACTATACTGACTGGAGTCCATGCTTGCGCGGCACTGGACTAGTGGTCGGTGCACTCTGCCTCTCTGGGCTAGTACTTTTCACCTGGGATAATTGATTGAATTGATGAGGGGCCACAGACTCTCACGACTCTGTCAGGTGGCATCAGATCATCTTCTTGGGGGGGGGGATTCATTTCATCTCACACCCGATCTATGGGGGGCCGAAACTAACCACTCACCTTTTATTGGCAGAGAGGGGGGCCCTGGTTGCTAGTCATTCCAAGTGTTTGTGTGTATCCGGCACTTGGGCGTTTTCCGGGGGCGGACCCGCTGTTCGACAACATTGGGCCCAAGGTACAATACATAATGCAGCGTGCATCATGCGACAGGCCATTTATGCTAGGGCGAGCAACCCAGGGCTCAACTTCTTAATACTCGGGCAACATCAGCGCAGGATTTTCTCAGCTCGCCAACCTATAAATACCTACTGGGTATTGATAGGGGCACCTCAAGATTTTCGCTATTGACACCTCATTTTCTGACATAAGCAAAATCGCTGATATAATCAATTTTCATCACTATAGCAACTATATACTGCATATCTACTCAATATTCTGCTTCATCTCTTTTTCTCTTCTACTACTACCCTGCTAGTTCTTCGCTTTCTGCATACCCTATCTGCTTCGTCTGCTCTATCATGCATACCATGCAAACCAACCCCGCTATGCCTACCCCCAGCACCCCTACTGCCGCTACTCCCCCCGATATCTCTGCTGCCACCACTGGCAATTCGACTGTCGATTTGCCTACTAGACCCCTCGCCAATTCGCCTACTGATTCGCCTGCCGATTCGCATGCTGATTCGCCTGCCGCTGCCACTACCGATCTGCTGCCCCCACCACAACGAACCTTCCCTAATCGGGATGAATTGGTCGATTTTATGCGCCAATGGGGTATAGCGCAGGGGTATGCTACTACTATCAAGCGGTCCAATGCTGATAGGCAAGTCTATCTCCACTGCGATAGATCTGGGGTATATTCGGACCGAATACAAGCGCCTGCAGGCGCCAAAAGGCGCAAAACGAGTACTCGGCGGCAAAATTGTCCATTTTTGGTATATGGGAGTCGCCAGAGGAGTTCTGATTGGCTACTTCAGGTAAAGAACCCCGCGCATAATCATTCTGCTGATCAAGATATGATAGCGCACCCAATCGCACGTCAATTTACCCCAGCGCAGAAAACCTTAATTCAACGACTCTCTGCTATTAGACCGAAGCATATCATTGGTGCGCTATATAGCGAGTCCCCTCGTCAACGAATCATACCACGCGATGTCTATAATATGCGAGCAGAAATTCGACGAAAAGAGATAGGAGAACGTAGTATTCTTGAATATCTACAGATACTACTCGATTCAGAAGGTTATAAATATTCATTCAAGCAAGATAATATGGGGCATATCGAATTTTTTCTTTTCTCTCATCCTCAGTCAATTCAATTGGCCAATTCATATAATAAGGTATTTATCTCATCTATTTTTATATGATTTTATTGGCTAATATTTTAAGGTTTTTATTATGGATTGCACATATAAGACTAATCGGTTTGGTATGCCTCTATTTCATATAGTAGGTATGACGCCATCAAACCATACATTCACTGCAGCTCTATGTTTTATGCCTGATGAGGTTGAAATAAGCTATATTTGGGTGCTTCAGACCTTTTTTGATTGGCTAAATCTCTCATCTGAATCTGATTTTCGTCCGATTTTGGTAACTGATCGCGAATTAGCTTTGATGAATGCGATATATAGTATCTGGGGGTATCATACCCCACATTTACTATGTATTTGGCATATCAACAAAGCAGTTTTAGCGAGGGCAAAACGAGATATCAGCCAATCAGACGAAAATACTCCCCAATTCGATGAATTTATGCGTGTATGGTGTCAATTGGTCCAATCATCTACCGAAGATGAATACAAGGTTAATCTTGATAACCTTAATCGGACCTATGGGAGATCTCATCCACCAATTATACGCTATCTCGCAGACACATGGCTACCCTATAAAGAGAGATTTGTCTATGCTTGGACCAAAAACCTTACCCATTTTGGTAATAATGCATCATCACGTGTCGAGGGGGCGCATTCGGTCCTAAAACGGCATATGAATACTTCTACTAATGATTTACTCACTGTGTGGAAGTCTATTCATAAGGCTATCACCAGCCAATATAATCTGATTGAATATCAGATTAAAGCAGATCAGATAACATATCTGATACTAGCATCTGATTGGCTATATACCTTTCTCAATAAGCGAGTATCTCGATATTCGCTGAGGCAGATTGATATGCAGCGAATCTATGCTAGTAGGGCTACCCCAGAGGCCCCTCTTGGTATATGCACCAATTATTGGACGAGTACTATGGGGTTACTATGCAAGCATCGAATTGCTGATTTGCTCGCAAAAAAAGAAGCAATCCCATTGGCTGATATTCATCCATTCTGGCGAATTAGGGTTGAAGATTCATCTGATATCGCCTGGCAGCCACTGCTAAATCCCCGAATTCAGCCTGCTGCTTTCCCAAAAAGGCAATCTACGCAGATATCAGATGGGAGCGAGGGGGCTAGACCAATCAAAAAAAGGAAGGCGCCCCCAAAGTGTTCGAATTGCGGCGAAATTGGGCATACATGTCGAAGTTGCCCTATTGCCAAATAGGGTAATCTGTTTTTGGTGGTTAGGATAAGAGGATCATGTGATTAGAGATGTGGTTGAAAATTATCATGTGATTAGAAAATAGATCAAAAAAAAGATTACATAAGTCAAAATGAGTATTACATAATATAATGAGGTGTCAATAGCGAAAATCTTGAGGTGCCCCTATCAATACCCATACCTACTCCATATATTATACAAGAACCATTAATAAATTCAGAGATGGTTTTAGATATTTTTGATCAATGTGAAACAACGGGGCCGGTAGCATTGAGCTTGTGTCAGTTCACGTACAATCCGGAAACGCCTCCACTTACATTGCTCGTTGTAAGACAACCCAGCCACTCGATGCCGTTTGCTCATTAATACGGTATCTTGGTCTGGAACTGAAGGCAATTACAATTACTCAAAGTAACTTTCATTTGATATAAGATATTATAAGGTGTTGGTAAGGTTGACTTATCCTAAGTGTAGTGTCATAGTTGATCAGAGTTAGAAATATATATTTGCCTTGATGGCGATAACCATAACCTGCAATATCTTTGATAAAATCCAACTATTCAGCTTAAACTAATACCAGACCCTTCGCAATTGCAATTTTCAAATCATGCTCCCACCAGTACATCTGGACAGACTCCCAAGACTGACGAACAACAGAATATGCCTGAGGCACTGCGAGGCCTGAGGCACAAACTCAATATCGACTGCCAAGAACCCCCTCTCACCGCCTTCCGGGAATTTTTTTTCGAGTCTCCATATCGTCGCAGATGAAAAAAAAAATTGGAGATCACCGAGTTTGCAATCACTGACAAGATGGGGTCCTCCACAGAAATCACATCCAAAGTGACCTCGGGCTCACCTTACCAGCTCGACAGTCCCCAGGTTCGTGACATTGTCCAGCTCCAAAAAAAAAAAAACTCGACCGCGCTGACCATAATACCAGGTTCTCAAAGCTTCCTCCGCATTGCTGCGACACATCAAGTCGAACCAGGAAGAAAAGGAAAAGTCAGCGACAAAGAAGACCCTGATTGGCGACAATGATGAAGACTCCGATGCCGAGGATACCCCAATCCACAACGAAGCAGTGTGGCTCATTCTCACCACCAAGAAGCATGTGGTGGACAAGAACCGTCTGAAGCCCAGCAAAATTAGCCTCCCTCACTCCCTCAACTCGTCCCCCTCGCTTAGCATCTGTGTGATCACCGCCGATCCACAGCGCGGCGTGAAAGACATCATCGCCGACTCGTCCTTCCCTCAAAGTCTCTCTTCCCGCATCGAAAAGGTCATTGGCTTTTCCAAGCTGAAGGCGCGCTACCAGAGCTTCGAGAGCCGCCGGCAATTGTTCGCAGAGCACGATGTGTTCCTGGCGGACGATCGCATCATTACGCGACTGGTGCCGACCCTCGGAAAGATCTTCTACAAGTCGAGCAAGCGGCCGATCCCCATTCGCATCGCGGAAATCGAAAAGGTGGAGGGCAAGCGTGTGAAGAAGGACCCCAAGAAGAAGCCCACCAAGGAAGACAAGAGCGCATCGTTTGCGGCCCCCCTGATTGTTGCCAAGGAGATCGAGAGGACCCTCCACTGCGCGCCGGTGCAGCTTGCCCCAGCCACGACCGCCGCCATCCGTGTCGGCTCGTCCAAGTTTACCCCCGAACAACTGTCGGACAATGTTGCGGCCGTGGTTCAGGGACTGACAGACAAATTCGTGACCAAGGGCTGGAGGAACATCAAGGCTTTCCACGTCAAGGGCGCCAACACTATGGCTATGCCGATCTGGCTTGCTAGTGAGCTGTGGGTGGACGACGCCGATGTGGTGGAGGGTGCACCCGAAACCCAAGCGATTGAAGACGCCAAGTCTAGCAAGAAGCGCAAGTCTATTGGAGACGAAAAGCTGTTGGAAGGGAAGAAGTCTAAGAAGTCCAAGTCTGCCGACGACGAGGACGATTCGTCTGCAAGGAAAGAGAAGCTGCAGCAGCTCAAGGCCAAGGCTCTTGAAGACGGCGACAAGAAGGACGCACCAAAAGCCTCGGGCAAGAAGAAGAGAAAGTCGACCTCATAGGAGGGTTCTTAATGGTCTTGCATGTATAGGTATTTCTGGCGTACAAAATATCACGTGTCTATTGTTCGAAGTATGCGATTTATCACTGGAGGTGCAAGTAAATAGCCTAATTAGGTACAGTGGTGAATTGCAAGTAAAAAGCGAAGTGAAGAAAGCAAGAATATGAAGTTACCACATGCAGTCTCATCCGCCTACTTGATCGATCACATTAGCCGAGTCCGACCTCGGGAGCTGGTCTTGGCAATCCCGACGATAGCCACCCGCCTCACATCACCGTGAATCGCCGAGACTCCAACCTGACCCTCGACCAGGCCATCTGGGATATATACCGCCCTGTTATTCACCATCGAATTTGTCGCCATGATCCCCATAGCCCGCCACTCTGTTCTGCGGGCCGCCCGCTCGCAGTTGAATCCGACCCGGACCCTGAGGCAGCCCGCTTTCTCGGCGCTGGCCCGTCTCCTCTCCACCCTCGCCGTTCTCGAGCAGCGCGATGGGAAGCTGCAGAACTCATCCCTGTCCGCAATTGCGGCTGCACAAAAGCTGGGTGGTTCGGTAACGGGCTTCCTCGCTGGCTCCGGTGTGAAGGGAACTTCTGCTGCCGAGGCGGCCAAGATCAAGGGTCTGGAGAAGGTGTTGGCCGTGGAGAATGACGCCTACGAGAAGGTAGGACTCTTTGTCTATTTCTATGTACAGTATGCGCAATATGCGACGGTCTCACTGACAATTCCTTTTTTTCCCTCTTCTATCTTGCAGGGCCTGCCGGAGAACTATGCCCCTCTTCTCGTAGAGAATATCAAAAAAGGCGAATTTACGCACATTGTCGCTGGCCACTCAGCCTTTGGCAAGAGCCTTTTGCCTCGAGTGGCTGCCCTGCTGGATGTCCAGCAAGTCTCGGACATTACCGGGATCGAGAGCGAGGATAGTACGTGCCCATATTGGAGCGAGTGGGCCGTGATCTCTCAGAGGATGAGTGCTAATTTTTCTTTGCAGCCTTTGTTCGCCCCATCTACGCCGGTAACGCCATCCTTACGGTCCAGTCGAGCGACAACATCAAGGTGATCACGGTACGAGGCACCGCCTTCCAGGGCGTTGAGACCGAGGGCGGTTCCGCCGAGATTGTCGACGGAGTCGACTCGAATGCTCCTGCACTGATGGAGTGGGTGTCCGAGGAGCTGGCTAAGTCTGAGCGTCCGGACCTCGCGACAGCGGGTCGCGTTGTCTCGGGTGGCCGTGGTCTGAAGTCAAAGGAGGAGTTCGACCGTGTGATGCTCCCGCTAGCGGACTCGCTGGGTGCCGCCATTGGTGCCTCGCGTGCTGCCGTTGACAGCGGTTTCGCCGACAACAGTTTGCAGGTCGGGCAGACGGGTAAGAACGTCGCCCCGCAGCTCTATCTCTGCGCTGGTATCTCGGGTGCCATCCAGCACTTGGCGGGTATGAAGGACAGCAAGGTCATTGCGGCCATCAACAAGGACCCTGAGGCGCCTATTTTCCAGGTTGCTGATGTCGGTCTGGTGGGCGATCTATTCGAGAAGGTGCCGGAGCTGACGGAGAAGCTGAAGAGCGCATAGAGGGCATCAGCAGTAAATTGTTGTTTTCTTTTCCCTTGTGTATCATGATCTACTGAGCAGGCTAAGGTCTTTATTTGGTTTTGTGTGTTGAATGAACTATACAGTATACAGTATACCATCGTCCATAGGACTAGACTCCGGCATCGGCCTGGCGATTTGCCACCAACAATAGCAGTTCGGATTCTCTGTAGTAGACGGCACATAGAAACCCATATTCAATTCATGGAGATACACGGATATAAGAATTTCGTCGTTGGTCGAGTCTACGATGCCCTAAACGGGACTAGCGCGTTGTGCCAGCACGCGTCGCGTCGAGAACCCCAAGCGTCTCCAGTCGTCCATAACCCCGTCGCCTTGGATGGTTCCCCCGTCGCCCTCGCTCTCGTCCTTTGACCCCGCTCTTCACTTTCATTCTGAGGACCCTGGGATTAACCCGCAGTCCGAATCGTTCTCCGACGATCTTGAGGCAATCCATATCCAGCGCCTGGAGCAAACCCGCAGCGGAGTGGTAATCCAGCACCGAGCCTGGGATTTATCCGATGTGTTTCGCAGCGACGACGATATAAGGCCTGGTGAGCGCAGTCCACCTCTGTTATTGTTTGAGCATGGATTTGGCTGTAATACAACCATGGTGCTAACGCAGTGTAGATACTCCGACGAAGGTCGCCATTGAGACTCCCCGACAAACTCCCCGCACTCCCTTCAAAAGTCTAGGTCTTCTCCCATCCTCTCCGCCTGTCGCCAGAATGCCATTCATGTCATCGCCCGCCGTCGCGGCGCCTGGAAATGCGGCCGGCGAATCCCAAAAGAGAAAAGCGACAGACTTAGAAGAGACCCCCCAACCTGCTGAGCCGAAACGGCAACGAATCCTGGGTGGTTTTGTGGATGAGGACGACGAAGATGACGAGATTGAAGCGCTCAGAGACGAGCAGCTCAAAAGTCAGTTTGAGCTGCAGGAGTCCCTTCTTGAGCAGCCGCCGCATGAGATCCCTGGCATTTCGGAGCCGCCGCAGACATCAACAGACCCGGGTAAACGAAGCAGTCTTCCGTCCTCTGTCACCAATACGCTACCCCAGGCACCATCTCTGCCTGCTCGAGAAGCTCCCAAAAGGTTTCAGATCAAAACCTGCACTGGCAGGACGCACAGCATTCCCTTGAGGAAACCCCAAGGCTCGCTTTCTTATGAGCAAATGATTGCTGGACGATCTGAGACAGATCCGGGGCGGGCGAAAAGAAGTTACTATGGTATCGAGATTCATCAACTGCTGGATGATGTCGCGAAAGATACCAAGCCCCCTCAGCAGCCTCCCGGGCCCCAGTCCAGGAGTCTATCGAAGACAAAAAAGTTGATTCAAAGCAGAAGAAGTACGATTCTGCGATGTGGACGGAGAAGTACCGTGCTCGCAAATTTACAGACCTTATTGGGGACGAGCGCACACATCGAGCAGTGTTGCGCTGGCTGAAGGGGTGGGACCCCATTGTGTTCCCTGGACTGGCTCGACACCGAGCAAAGAAGGGCGGCCAAGAGGAGGATGACGAACGCATGCATCGAAAGGTTCTCTTACTGAGTGGGCCTCCCGGGCTCGGCAAAACTACACTGGCGCATGTGTGTGCCAAGCAGGCTGGTTATGAAGTGCTGGAAATCAATGCAAGCGATGAGCGAAGCAAAGATGTGGTCAAGGGTCGGATTCGTGATGCCCTGGGAACTGAGAACGTCAAGGGTATGAACGTGGAAGTTGGCGACAGCAAGGTCCGCCGTGCCGGAAAACCCGTTTGCGTTGTGGTAGACGAGGTTGATGGAGTAGTTGGGGGTGCTGGAAGTGGTGGAGAAGGCGGTTTCATGAAAGCATTGATCGATCTCGTCCTTCTCGACCAACGAAACTTGGCACGATCCTCTGAGCACGGCGGCAATCACGGCAAGAAGCGCAAAGGTGACAACTTTCGCTTCTTGCGGCCGCTGATTTTGGTTTGCAACGATGTCTACCACTCGAGTCTCCGGCCTCTCAGGGCTTCGTCTCTTGCAGAAATGATTCATGTGCGCCAAGCGCCGCTGGAGAACGTCGTCCAGCGAGTGAAGACTATCTTTGGCCGGGAGGGAATCCTCTGCGACAATGACGGAGCTCGAAGGCTCTGCGAAGCAGCCTGGGGACTGGCGAGCAGAAGACAGCGCGGCTCGAAAACTGCAGGATCAGCCGAGGGCGATATTCGCAGCGTGCTTGTCGCTGCAGAAATGGTAGCGCACAAGTTGCGGAACGAGTCTTCATCGTCTCTCAAGTTGACTCGGGCCTGGCTAGAGCAGCGGGTCCTCAGCGCATCGACTGAAGGCGGATCGTTCTTCAAAGAGTTGAGTCGTGGAGGTGTCCGTGAGATCGTCAACCGTGTATTCACCGAGGGAGCCGGCTTTTCCAATGCTTCTGTAGGCACAAGCTCATTTCAAGACCGGTTTGATGGCCCGAACACCCGTGTCCCCGTCGGCGTGGCGGATTTGCGAAAGCGACATGCCATCAACCGATTACGGGAGATGGTGGATGCCAGCGGTGACCATGACCGATGCGTGGCAGACTGCTTCACCTCATATCCCATCCAACAATACCAGGATGATACATTCCTCTCCAAACCCAACGCGGCGTGCGACTGGCTTCATTTCCACGACACAATCTCGTCCAAGGTTTATTCGTCACAAGAGTGGGAGCTGGGCCCGTATCTGAGCCAGTCCGTTGTCGCGTTTCACCACCTCTTTGCTTCGGCTGCCGGTAAGACCGAGTACCCCGACCAGAACGGGGAAGACGACGAGGCCGAAGAAGAGCATCCATTCTCCGGGCCCAAGGCGGAGTTTGTTGCGCATGAAGCGCAAAAGCAGAACCGCGCCATCTTGAACGCTTTCCACACTTCTTTCTCAGCGCCACTGGTCCGCATGTTCCAGTCCCCGGACACTGTGATCGTTGATCTGGTTCCGCATCTGATGAGAATGCTATCCCCGGATATCAAGCCAGTGATTTTCCGCGGCGGTAGCGACCAGAGAAGCGTGGCCAATGTTCGCAAGGAAGGAGAGCGAGCGCTTGTCCAGTCTGCTGTGCGTGTCATGGCTGGATTGGGGGTGACATTTGAGAAAGTTCGGGTGGAGCACGACGGCGGAGGCCATGGCGGATGGGCCTACCGAATGGAACCGTGAGTCAGACCTGAAGCCGCGTGGTGGATTAAAAAAGAAGCAAAGAAGACTAACCACATTCAATCCCAGACCTATTGACTCGCTCGTGTACTTCTCCAAGATCAAAAGTAGCGCCATGGGGTCCGGCAGCACGGTGCCTGTCCGCTACGCCGTCCGCCAAGTACTGGACCAAGAGTATCGCAAGGAAACGCAACGCAAACAATCCGGCGTGGTGGACAAATCCAAAGCCAGCGTTAAAGCCGTCACTGGGAAATCACCCGACGGCGATGCCGCCCAGAAAGCGATGAGAGAGATGCCCGCCAAGCGCGACTTCTTTGGGCGAGTGATCCACGAGCCTCCGCCGGTGCCCAAGGACGGTGAGAGTGCTAGTAATGGCGCAAGCGAGACGTTCAAGGCTGGCCGGAAAGTCTGGGTCACTTTCCATGAAGGGTTCTCGAACGCAGTTCGCAAACCGATTTCGATGGGGGAGCTGTTGACTGGTCTGTAATGATATGCATTTGTGTTTCGAGCGTAGGGCATGGCGTTTTTGATTTTTAGTTCTACTGCACTTGGAGCATGACTTTGATATGACCCATCGAGGAGAGTTATTTCCTGAGTATGAGAGGCAATATACTGTCTTGATCTAAACATCGATTGAAATAGTCCAGAGACAATCCTTTAGCTGCATTTACGGTGTAGATATATTCAAAATTGCCAAACATAGTATTTCACAAACTCATTGTTCAAAGACAAGACAAAAAGTGCCACAGAAATTCAGTGGCAGGGTATTAAAGCACGGTATATATATGGTATCCAGTCATTCCATCGTTGAGGCAAATAAAAGATCAAAATCAAAACATAGTCTCCCTATCCTCCTCGGTGTTGATGTCGGGGGGGGGTGTATATGTATTTAGAGAAGCAGCACGAAGTATTGTGAATCGTCGAGGTGATTGAAGAGAGTCTAGCGCATGCTGAGGTAGCTAGCAATGGCCTCGTTATGTATGGCTCTCTTGGCGATCCACTCGTCCGACTTCTTGACGTATTGCGGCTGCGTGTTGGCGGGCTTGTCGGAGCTCAGTGAGAACCACTTCTTCTTGGATGGGGACTCGCTGCCCTTGAGGGTTGTTGCGGTGGAGACGGTGGAATGGGTAGAGGCGGTGTCGCTGGACATGGAAGGATTTTCCTTGTAATTTGAGGCGGACATGATGAAGATTTGATTTGGATTTGATATGGTGAGGGTTATATTGGTCGAGGTTGGTGGAGTTGTATATAGATGTAGATGAGCCCGGCCGGTTTGGTGAATGGAACAAAGACAATGAATGTCTAAATAGAGATGGGTTGAAGTATCTGATGAATATGAACATGGGGAATGGGAGGAATCCTGCCCTTTATATAGCCAACGACATCCATGGATCTTTTGTCTCAAGGTCTTCTAGATCTACTCCGAAGGGCACTCCGAGCCCCCAAACTATCCCACTCAAACCGGCTCCACACCGGCTCCGCCCCTGCGTCTGAGCCTGTGAGTCGGAGTCCCGAAATAACTACGCAAAAAGATGCAAAGATGTCAGAGTCATCCACCATGTGGGGCGGCCATCGTCCAGTTGTGGACGGAGTGGACGGAGTTTTTTTTTGGTTCTGGTTGATCTATACAAATACGAGGGCAAGGGCTGGGCACGTCAAAGGGCGTCCAGTGATGGGGCTTGAAGAAAAAAATAAAAAAGAAAGGGTTTGAGAAATCAACATGCTTACCGAAAGAGACTCTTCTAGTTTTCTGTCTTCTATATGAGTATCATGAGGCAGGGTAATCGTTTTTTGGGCAGGTCATCGGATTCTCGTGTTCCTTTGGCGGGCTCCTAATGCGGAAAGGAATGGATCCCTAAGTGACAGGGCGTAGATGATCTTCGTAAAGCTTGCGTGGCTATGACTCTTTTTTTTTCTCTTCTTTTTCTTCTCTTCTTTTCCTTCCCTTCAAAACTCGCAAGAGATGACTCCGAAACTGGTCATATCGGAATGAACATGGCCAGCTATACTATCGGAGGATCTACTCGGAGCCTTACGAGCCTACTCTAATCTAAGCATCGGAGATCCGAAGGAACTAGGTATCCACTAGCACCAGGGCTGGAAGATCAAATGTAGGACAAATGTAGTACGACACTTGACCCAGAGAAGAAGTATATAAAAAGAAGGATGAGCCAACCAAAGTGGGAAAAAAAAAAGAATACTGTCAAATTCAAGAACAAAAAATCTGGTTATTCGTGGGAAATTGATTTCCAAGCATACGAACTCCGATAGCTTTAGTGACGAAGTGGCTTGGGATGAGTCAAAGTAGACGAGATACTGAATCGCCCATGACGCATTCAAATTGCCGTTGATTTTTCTGGTGATTTAATTATCTATTCTTTTCTTGCGACTGCTATCATGATTATTGGATGATGTCGCCGTGCAAAATTTGCATGAAGGATCAGGGCACTCCGAGCACCGAGCACCGAGCACCAAGCACCGTTAGTCCGATCCCATTCACTTCGATTTCTACTCCGATGTTTATTCCGACCGTTAGAACGTTTTCAATCCCAATGATATAACATTCACAAACTATTTAATATTGACTAATTCCTGAATTCGATTGCACTATCCCGATGCTATGAGAAGCCCCGTGGCATTGGTGACTCTGTGGTGAATATTCGCAGCTACGGTATGCCGGGATACCGAGTTGCATGTCACCTGCCGACAGAATCTCTTCTATCCGATTCCCAGGACTTTGCTCTGGCTTTAAATACCCTTGATGATTGTCGGAAAATCTGACTTGGGTGCAATTCATTGACCGACTTCCCACCCCACTTCCCATCCGATTTTTCGTCCGAACAAGATGAGCACCAGCATGAGGTCATGTATGATCACGGAAATGATCCACCCGGATTACTCGACGGACACGATTCTGACCAACTGAGTTGATCAGCTTGAAATGGCCCCTGCCATTAGTCATCTTAAGCTGATCAGTGTCCAGGAAGGCCCGAGAAGCCGAATCTTCATTTGTCAGCAGCGTTCCAAAGGCCGAGGGTTTCAAGGTTCTGAATAATCGAGGATAGAGAGCCCTGGAGGAGTTGGTGGAGGTTGGGGACCTCTGATGCTCTGATGCGCTGATCGACTGATTTAAAGGTGTTGCATCCCACCCGGTAATTGCTGCATCTACGCACCTCTCATTGTTTTCATCCCATCGTAATTCTCCCAGACACCAGACCATGTCTCTCCAGCCGATCGTTGTCTACGGCCATGGCCCGGGCGCCAATCCCTGGAAGGTGAACTTCGTCCTCGAGGAGCTCAACATTCCCTACACCTTCAAGATCCTCGAGTTCGCCGACATGAAGAAGGAGCCCTACGAATCCATCAACCCCAACGGCCGCGTCCCCGCCATTGAAGACCCCAACACCGGCATTACGCTGTGGGAATCCGGTGCGATCATCGAGTATCTAGTCGAAACCTACGACAAGCAAAACACCATCAGTTTCGCCGCCGGCTCCAAGGAATACTTCCACGCCAAGCAGTGGCTGCACTTCCAGATGTCCGGCCAGGGCCCCTACTTTGGTCAGGCCGTGTGGTTCACCCGTTACCACCCGGAGAAGGTCCCCAGCGCCCAGGAGCGCTACATCAAGGAGATCCGTCGTGTGTCGGGGGTGCTCAACCGCTGGCTGGCGGACAAGGAGTACCTCGTCGGGGGCAAGTTTAGTTATGTCGATTCTGCCTTTATTACGTGGTTTGAAGTTACCGCGCTGGTTGCCATCGATCTCGAGCAGGAGTTCCCTCATTTGTATGCCTGGTTGAGCCGTCAGAAGGCCCGCCCGGCCATTGCGAAGGTGCTGCAGGACAGAGCGGAGGCCGTGGCCGCGGCCCACAAATAATGTATGGATAATTGAGCACTTGAACAGGTTCAAGAGCGACACAGAAAGAATAAATTCAGCTGAATAGCGTGAGAAGAACCAAGCATCATAAAAACATAAGATTAGAAAAAAAAAAGAGAATAGATGAATAGAACATAAGAAGAGAAGAGAAAAGAAGTACAGGAAGAGAGACCTCAGGTCAGAATGTACCGTAGACACGCTAATCCCAATGCGGCTAGTGGCGACTCCTTGGGCGACCGCGAGTTTTGCGCGACATCCACCTCCCCGTCAAAGCACCCCCCGTGCCATCCCTAACCGGCCTCACTTTCCATTGAAATCGGCCGCTACATATCAAGCCCGTGTTTCTGAATTCTGAGATTGAGCTGCTCCTGGTGAAATACTCTGCCAGAAAGACCGGCAAGGAGTTGCTTTTCGGTCGCGACAGCCGTGCTGTGAGATTCCATCATGGATGAAACTCCTATCAACCCAGCCGCGGCGCCTGAAAACACTCAGTCCATGTCTGGTCAAGAGAGCGGCCTGGAGGCTACTCGCGCTTCCAGCGCATCTGGTACGCCTACTATTTGTCTCAGAATCCTGTCAGTGCTAACCGATGGACCAGAAGCGCAATCGCGCCAAGAGTCGCCTGTTAAGAAAGCCGAAAATGCTTCTGGATCCGACAACCCTCTCGATGCCCCTGCCTCTCCCAAACCCCAGAACGGCGATGCCGAGCCGGAGGATGAGGAGATGGGCGGCACCGAGATCGATGCCAAGCGCGACACGGAAGGGTTGGAAGATGCAGTAGGCGAGTCGCAGCCGCCGGGAGAAGGGACAGAAGGTCTGGAGGATGCTGTGGGAGAGGAGCAGCCTGCGCCGACCAAGTCGTCGTTGGAAGCTTCCGCACGCGAGCAGCTCATCACCCAGACACACGCCATTATCCTCCCCAGCTATGCGACATGGTTCGACATGAACACCGTCAACTCGATCGAGAAAAAGGCCCTTGCAGAGTTCTTCAATGGCCGCAACCGCAGCAAGACGCCTGCTACGTACAAGGACTACCGTGATTTCATGATCAACACTTACCGATTGAATCCGATTGAATATCTGACCGTGACTGCTTGTCGTCGCAACCTGGCGGGTGATGTGTGCGCGATCATGCGTATCCATTCGTTCCTCGAGCAATGGGGCTTGATCAATTACCAGGTGAGTAATCCAAATCTTGCATGCTTGAGCGACCTTGAATTAACATCCGGCAGGTCGATCCCCAAACCCGACCCTCAAACATTGGCCCGCCATTCACCGGCCACTTCCGTGTCGTTGCCGATACCCCACGTGGCTTGCAGGCGTTCCAGCCGGGACCAGGCCACGGCGTCACCCCGGGCAAACATCTTCCGGCCACCCAGCGCGCTGCGTCTTCCACACCCGCCTCCAAGGCTGACCTCAATCTCGACCTCCGCCGTAACGTCTACGATGAGAAAGGAAAGGATATCACCCCAGCTGAGGATAAGGAAAAGCAGAGCAATGGCGAAACGGTCAACGGAGTCGAGAATGCCGCCCAGGAACGCAAGAAGAAGTCCCACTGCTTCTCTTGTGGCATCGACTGCACGCGACTCCGATTCCATTACGCCAAGTCGACCTCAACATCGGCCAACGCCAATGCGCCAGACACAAAATATGACCTGTGCCCTAACTGCTTCCTCCAAGGTCGTATGCCTTCAAGCCACAGCGCCTCCGACTTTGTCAAGCTCGAGGATAAGAGCCACACTCACGTGCCGGACAAGGATGCCCCGTGGTCAGACTCGGAGCTCCTACTCTTGTTGGAGGGCTTGGAGAACTTTGACGATAATTGGGAACAGATTGCGAACCACGTCAGTACTCGGACCCGGGAAGAATGCGTGATGAAGTTCCTGCATCTGGAGATTGAGGATCAGTACACGGACGATATCCCCGATCTGCGCGCAGGATCTGGGCGAGATCCCATCAGCCAGTCTGAGAACCCGGTCCTGTCTGTGGTGGCGTTCCTGGCACAGATGGCCGAGCCCGCAGTGGCTGCTGCCGCGGCTGGCCGGTCGGTCGACGAGATCCGCAAAGAGCTCCGTAGCCAGCTCGAGAAGGGACAAGACAAGGATAAAGAGGGGGTCAAGGCGGAGGATTCTATGGAAGTGGATTCTACCCGTGAGGCTGAACAACCAGCCCAAAAGCCCAAGGAGTCGCTGGGTACTGTGGCCTTGGCTACCTCTGCGGCGCGTGCCGGAGCGCTGGCCTCGCACGAGGAGCGGGAGATGACCCGCCTGGTGGGGGCTGCAGTGAATGTAACCCTGCAGAAGTTCGAGGTGAAGCTGCAGCAATTCAACGAGATGGAAGAGATCATCGAGGCTGAGCGCCGCGAACTCGAGCAGGCGCGCCAGCAGCTCTTCCTGGACCGCATGGCCTTCAAGAGGCGTGTCAAGGAAGCCCAGGATGCACTGCAGTCCGTTAGCCTGCAGGGCCCGAACGAGCACACCAACACGCTGCTCGGCGCGGCCAGCACTGCTGGCATTGGCAACCACTACAGCTTCCAGCCTGCCGGGAGTGAACCGCGCGCGGGCGCCCAGCCTCTGAGTGCTGAGGTGGGTGCCGACTACAAGACGCTTGACCTGTAACTTCCCTCAAGACATGTACGATTATCCCATGGGGTTTGTGGAGAGGGAGACTGAGTGGCCGTTATCTTATGAATCTTTGAACTTGTCTGGCTTGGAAAAGGCGCAGTTTTCTCGTTTCTCTTTCTTATTATTTGTTGGAGTTTGAGTCGATTCACCTGCTGAACCCCATCGGGTTTATTGCGGTGGAAATAGGGGGATCAGGTCTTTTCTCGAATGTGTTTACTGGTCTAATCCCATATGTCCTTGATGGAAGTGTATTTGTGTAGATTTCTGTCTTTTTTTGTTGTTGTAGAAGTAGAGAATTGTAAACTCTGACAGTTCATCTTGTGGAGTCAGGGTATTGTATGTATGGTGAGAATGGCATCAAGTAGAATTGACACGGGGCACGACTTCTTCATCGACATCCATACGCCCATCCTCCAAGTCCTCCTCGGACAGATCATCGGCCTCATCGACGCGCGCAGCACTAAGCGAAATAACGGGAGAAGTCGAAGAAACCCGCCCATCATCATCATCACCACCGTCACTACCACCGTCACCACCACCGTCACCACCACCGTCACCACCCTCGAGGCCATCAACACGTCGTCTTTTGCGGCGATTCTCCACCAAATCCGCTTCCACGGCCACCAGACCATGGCCGTATTCCTCCCAATCGGCGCGGTAGAGCGTGCGGGAGCGCCAGTCAGCCATTTCATGTTTGGTCTTGCGGCGTCCGCGAGCGGCGTCTTTGGGGTCGTCTTCGATGGTTTGGATGGGTTCGTGGAGGAACTTGGGGGGTGCGGGATGACCGAGTATCTGCCACAGACTCAGTTCTTCGCGGCGGCTGGATTCCCGATCTTGGGCGTCTGTGTTTAGTAGTTCGGGGTCGGAGGCATCTTCGTCTGAGACTGCTGGAGAGGAGAGTTCGGAGGAGGCTTGGTAGGGGTCGGAGGTGTCTTCTGTTGGGGTTGGGTTGTTTGCTGTTTCTTTTGATTCTTCTTCTTCATTTTCTTCATCCTCTTCTTCACCATCATCCTCTTCATCATCTTCATCATCCGCCTCCTCGTCTTCTTCGCCTCCCTCTCCTTCTGTTGAAATACCATCCGACAAGGCTCCGCTTCTGCTGCGCCGGAAATAATCGTCGTTGCCCCTCAATATCTTCTCGGCTTCGTCATAGCTGAACACCCGTGGCACCCAGTCCTTGCGATTGTGGATGTCGGCGATGATGAGATTATTCCGGCGGGCAAGTTCCATCAGCCATTCGCCGCGGTCGTGTTTCATGTTCAAAACCTCAAGGGCAGTCCGTACATCCGTTCGTCGGACAGCGTTGATCCGTTGGCGGCCAGGCCGTTCCGTGCTGCGAAGGCGCGCCAAGGCAAAGAAGATCGATGACTGGATCACGCGCCGCGTAATACTAACCACGAGAGCGTAAAAGTCCAGAAGAGAATCCGCAGTCATGGCGGGGGCTTCATCTTTCGATGTAATGAAATTGGTCCAATGGTCTTCCTCTCTTGGACTGCCAAAGTTCATAAAAAAGCGGCGAGAAAGCTGGATCCAGGTCGGGACGTTCAGTAGACCGGCTGCTAGGTGCACGCCATGGTGCCCCGTGCCGTTATCGCAGGCCTCGAGAAGCTTCTCGGCCCGCGCATCGGAAATAATCCAGTTGTTGGCGTGGCGGACCCGCTGCACCGTGCCCAGCGCAAGCTCCTCCTGGATCGTCGCCAGCTCGGCGTACTCGTCCAGCATGTCGCAGCCTTCCTTGCTGATCTCTGCTGCCGCCGGGACTTCGCTCATTGCGACTGCCCTGGCGCGTGGGTCGAGCATATGGTGGCTTTCCATTCCGCGGTGCAGCAGCTGGAGGTGGTCGATGACTTCGAGCTCCGACTTGGTGCCAATGGCTGCCGCAATCTCCTTAATACCATTCTTGCCTTTGCGGTCGAGCATGTTGAACAGCACCTCCTTCTCTGTAGCAGTCCAGACCACGGCTCCGTTCTGAGTGACATAGTGTATCTCGCCGCTTTCCTTCACCGGGGCGAATTGAATGTCGTGTTCGATTTCCGAGACGAGTTGGGTGTAGGTTTGCAGGGAGTGCGGGGGTAGTTTCTGGGCGCGTTCATCGTACGCGGCGTATCGTTGCTGCGGACCCTGCCAATCATCTCCGGGTCCTTCGTCTTCTGGAGAGGATTTTCTCAGCTCTTCGCCGGACAAGTCCTGGTCCGAGGCATCGTTCTGCTCGAATTCGGAGTCGGACTCGTCTTCGTCGGGTTCATAGTTGGAGGATTCGCTCATCGTGCAGGCTTGCAGACTTGCGGCATGCCCGACCGAAGCGACACATCACAGCTGCGATTGTAGGATTGGCATGGAAGAAAAGCAAAGAAGAAAAAGAAAGAAAAAAAAAAAAAGGTAGCTTTGAAGGACAAGCCTTATCGATAAACGTGTTTGCTCTGTTTGCTCTGTTTGGGGTGGTCTACGGCTTGGCTTCGGGCTTCTGGACCTCCTCAAGACACACCAGAGTTGCATGGAGTTCATTCGTCGACTGACACCAAGGCTCCCGAGGGCATCTTTGGGACTTTCTTCCCCACTGAATGTACGCTTCAATTCAGGGCTGCGTGCGGGCATCGTGCTCCGCGACTACCAAGAAGAATGCATCCAATCCGTACTGAAGTACCTCGGCGAGGGCCATCGGCGCCTCGGGATTTCGCTCGCGACAGGAGCAGGCAAGACAGTATGCGGAAATCTTTCGCGTTAAACAGAGCCTTCGCTAATTTTGCAGATCATCTTCACGCAGCTGATTAGCCGGATCCCTCCCCGCGACGCAACAGCCACCAAGACCATGATCATTGTCCATCGGCGCGAGCTGGTCGAGCAAGCTGCAAACCACTGTCGCCAGGCTTACCCGGATCAAATGGTGGAGATTGAAATGGGTGAGAATGTCGCCACAGGACAAGGAGATATTATAATTGCGTCGGTGCAAACACTTGCGCGGGGGCGCATCCAGAAATTCGATCCGCGTGAGTTCAAACTCGTCCTGGTCGACGAGGCACATCACATTGTTGCCCGGTCTTACCGCGACACCCTTGCTCATTTCGGGCTGAACGAGCCCTCTGCCACCGCACCGACGCTAGTTGGCGTCTCGGCCACGTTTGCGCGGTTCGACGGTCTCAAACTGGGTGCTGCTATTGATCATATCGTCTATCACAAGGACTATGTGGATATGATGGGGGAGGAGTGGCTGGCCAACGCGGTGTTTACGACGGTTAAGTCGGGAGCTAACCTGTCAAATGTTAAGAAAGACAAGTTTGGGGACTTTGCTCTCGGATCGCTTTCCCAGGCCGTCAACACCGCCGGCACCAACTATATCACTGTCCGTGCATGGCTGGCAAATGCGCAGGACCGCAAGTCCACCTTGACTTTCTGCGTGGACGTGGAGCATGCTCGGCAGTTGACGGGGACCTTTCGCGATCACGGCGTGGATGCTCGGTACATCACAGCCGCCACCCCAAAAAATACCCGTGCAGAGCAACTGCGGGCTTTTCAGAATGGTGAATTTCCAGTGCTACTCAACTGCGGTCTTTTCACCGAGGGCACAGACATCCCCAACATTGACTGCGTGCTCCTAGCGCGCCCGACGCGATCAAGAAACCTGTTGATCCAAATGATCGGTCGAGGGCTTCGGCTGTTCCCAGGTAAGAAAGACTGCCATATCATTGACATGGTCGCGTCCCTAGAAACCGGGGTCCTGTCGACCCCGACACTATTTGGGTTACACCCCGACGAAGTTCTGGAGCAGTATAGTGTGAAAGAAATCCGCGAGGGCCACGGCGGAATTAGCCCGGCCCAATTAAACATCGAATTACCCGATGACACCAACCTCAAATTCACCAAGTATGACAGCGTCTACGACCTTCTTGAGGACATGCAATCGGAAAGACACATCCGCTCGCTGAGCCCGCACTCCTGGGTCCAGATCCACGAGTACAAGTACATATTGTCCGAAGCGTCCGGGTGGATGGCAATAGAGAAAGGAGACGAGATGTGGGACGTGCACCACGTCATGAAATTCAAAAGCCCCGTCGACACCCTGCAGTTCAGCCGTCCGCGCCACGTCGCCTCGGGCCCGGACCTGGAAACAGCCGTGCGGGCCGCGGACACGTATGCCAGCAAAAAGTTCGAGGAGCGGTACATTTCGTCATGGAAGCCCTGGCGGCAGGCCCCGGCCACCCCGTCGCAAATTGCCATGCTGAACCAGGCGCGCATTAGGCAAGGCACGGTGCAGCCGGGTGATTTGACGCGCGGTCAGGCCGCGGATATAATTACCAAGTTGAAGTTCGGGGGCAAGAAGCGGTTCAAGCAGCTTGAGATGGAGCGACGCCAGAAGCAGCGTGCTTACGAGGCTTCGTCGGAGTTGCGGAGGAGAACCGATGTCAAGGTTGGACCAGTGGAAAGTTGATCTTTCCAGCTAAGAAGAATTGCATGCATTTTGTTTTTGAATTAAATATTTGGAGGTTGTTTGATTGTTTAGTAAACAATTCCGCCTTGAATTCACCCATGTCGCTGCCTGGGATTATTATAGCGCAAGTGAAAGACAAGACAAGAAACGAAACCAAAACGCCCACAAATCCACATGCATTTATATACAGAGCCCAATGCGAAATATGTTCCCAGAATGGCTTGGTCTATTTATGATGGAGGGGTTTCCGGCCATATACCACGACCCTGACACAGTTAGCACAGCAGATAGAAGTTAAAGAAAGAAATCCAAATAACGCCAGGAATGAAAAGAAAGAAAACTTACTCTTTAACATAAGCATGCGTATGCTTATCCCTCAAATTCCTCTTGACCAGCGCCATAAGAATCTGCGCCGGACCAACCTCCCACCCCAAGACCTGCGTGAACAACCGCAACCCATAAGCCTCGACCGCCTGCTGCACCATGACAGCCTGTTACCTGTCAATCTCCTTGTGGTAGAGGTCGCGCGGCCAGGGCGAGTAGGGCAGCGGGTACGTGAACTGGGAGAAGTCTTCGAAGCCGGCATCGACGAGCCAGTCGTGCAGCTTGTCGTAGATGTTGAGCTCGCGGCTGGACGCGCGCCCTACGGCATTGAGGGCCTGCACGTAATGCAGCATGGCTGAGTCGGCGGGTAGCGTGCCGTCGTCGCTCCAGACCCAGACGGCGCTTTCTTGGATCTCGAAGTAGCCGCCGGGTTTGAGGTGGGTGTAGATTTTTTGGATGAATTTGGGCCAGTCGGCGACGCATCTGGGATTTTTTTTATTAGTTATCTGATTTGAATGCAGTGGAAATAAAGGGTTTAAGACCAACCCTGCTAGTAGTCTTGCGTGGATGAAGTCAAAATTGTTCGGTGGGTACAGCCATTCATCTTCAAAATCTTCTACGATAAATTCGAGACTGGGCGCAACCCAGTTGGGTTGGTTGGATGGCGCTGATATCGTTGCCAATGACATGCGCTTCTGGGAACTGCCTATAGTTGGCGTCAGCATACCAACACTCCAATAATGGAAAGGGAAAGCCTGTACTGGGCAATATCAATGCCCCAGATGCCGGTGCCTGTACCGAGATCCAAGATTTTCTGGGGATGTGTGACCGGGGCCTCAAAGAGCTCGCATTTCATCAGCATCAGCCATCTGTTGGTTGGAGTTAGCAATGCAGGCGATGGGCTATACGGGAGTGAAGGTGATGCTGACATGTGGTGTGCCTACTGTTGGTTAGCGGAAGAGGCACACATATACATGCTCAAGAGGGAGGAGCGCATACCAAGTCCATGCGGTCTTGTTCTTCCTCGTCATTTGGCATCCTGTTGGTAGTCAGTCTACTTGATAGACCAACGGGGTTGGGGTAAGTAGTACATATAATTCCCCTAGTTATTGGTGAGTGGTAGAGCTGGAGAATAGACATAAAAAAAAGAAAAAGAAAAAGAAACAACAAAAAGCAAGTCAACATATGGCTCGGTTGATGTGATATCGCCGGCCATTTTCATATTCGTACTGGAGCGCACTCGACGACATGGAGGTCAGGTCAGACCCCTCGCTCTCAGATTCACTGGTTTCATCCTGTCCGCACGTCAACCAAGCCCAGTAATAACCAGATGTCCCACCTACACTAAAACCATCCGCCACAATTGGCGGCATAGGCAGAGGATTGGCGTAGTTTATTCGTGTTGAGTACACCTCTATGCGGTGACCTAGGATCCCACATGGGTTGGATATGGTGGCACAGCAAAAGCCTGGACTATCTCGGAGGTGTCGTCATGGAGGGAGGCTTCTTGATAGTTTTGTTTCATTATTTCGCGCAATGGATCATGATCCAATGGGTTGGACTAACCTATCAAAGGTCATAACCCTAAGGAAGTATACATTCTTTTGGTCAATGATCTTAAGCTTTAGTAAAACAGCGGAGGAATTTATAAAGCCCATCAAACTCATAGATCCCATAAAAAAATTTCAGAGTTCGTATTTGATTCAATCAATTTGATAACATGTTGCTACTGCTGGAATGATAGCATAATTTAGTGGGAATGCTTTTGATTTCCCAGTATTATAGTTCACTACATGAGGTGATCATTTCTGATCGAGATGCTAATCTCTCGTGGTATATCATCTAGACGTGTTTCGCGAAGTGCGAAAATCGGAGTCTTTGAACTCAATCCCAGAGGTGATCAGTAATAATAGCTCATAGACAACAATCGTCCATGATGGTGTTGCGCCACATTAATTGCCACAGTGTGTAACTGGGGATAGTGGAGCTATCAAAAGAAGTCAGCGCCAATAGCGAAATGTACGCTCTCTCCTCAAAAAACCCCGACGAAAATAAAAAGGAAATGAAGAGGAAATAAAAAGCAGCCTCGGCCCTCGTTGGGAGAAGCTTTCCTGCCAATCTCGTGGCAAACCGTGGCACTGCAGCCAAGACAAACTCAAGCCTCTTTTGATATGTCGGATCTTGTCGTAAGTTCGGCGAAAGAGAGGGGAATTTGCCAAGCCATAAGGCTCCCCCATGTTATTTGCTTGGTGGTTGACCATGCAGGGCTCCAGTTTTCTTACTTCGCGGGACTGGTCGGGATCTTTGTCCTGGGGAGAAAGGTGGCTTTCTTTGGCCCATGCCCCCTCTCATGCTCATAGATTGAAGCCCATTTGACCTCGTGGCTTCGGTGCTTCGGTCAAGATCCGGACGCCTCTCAGCTCCCGAAGCCAATCCGAAACTTTGCTGGAGAACCCGCGCTAAGCTTCGCCCCCGGAGCCACCGAGTCTCGGGAATAGCCTGAATAAGCGGTTAGCCCGAGACATGATCACGGCTTGTACGAGCTGTTGGACAGCCACCTGGGTATTTGTGGCAATCTGGTCAGAAAACAACCCCCCAACATGTCCCCAGGGCCATGGCCCGATGGCGGGATCTGATCCGTGCTTTGATTGCTTCGTAATGCGGACTGTGGTGGGTCTAGGAGAATTTTGGCCTCTCTCCACACCCCACACAGTCTGGGGGGAGCAGATCAACGGAGTCTGGGGAGACATCTTCATTTCCCTGACATCAGGAGTTGGAAATGGAGCGCAATGACACGCTAGACTCGCCGATGACAGACGAAAACAAGGTTCTTGGCTGTAACCGTGCCTGGAGGGCCGATATCCAAAGGATTGTAGAAGGCGATTTAAGCCAATGTGAAGGGGGGAAGATGATTTTGTGGAGAAGTGCCCTGTGCGAGCATCCCTACAAGCCCATGCCGTACCGTGGAATCGCGTCTTTCGAATGCCGACTTTTGCTCTGTGTCTCCCCCGGTCTGCGGGTCAGCGCCGCCATTTCGCCAGAAAAGATCGGCAGTTCCTTGGGTGCCATTCGGGCCTGTCCCCGGATCCCAGCAAGCTGACTGTCCCGTGGGAATCGGCGTTATCTCGAGGGGAGCGGGGTATGTGAGTAGTCCATGGCTGGATGGCTTTTTTTTTGACGTTCGGCGGTTGGCGTATTTAGAGTCGCGCAAGTCCCCCTTCCCCCTTGTGGTCCTTCATCCCAACCTCTCCTCACCGCACACTCTTCGACTTATCACTTTATTCTCGGAGTGGCACCACTAGTCATGGCTGACACTAATGAAAAGCCCCAGCATGCTGGGCCTTCGTCGCCAGATGTCGAAGAGGACATGAGTATTGGGCAGTACATCCTCACTCGCATCCCGTCTTTGGTGCCGCCGATGAACCCGGCGCCAAACCCCTTCAAAGCACTCACACTGCTCAACCGCCAGCAGTGGCTGTTTTTCTTGGTATGCGCTTTTCTTTCAAAACAATTAATTGATGAAATAATTTGCACGTTCAAACCCTGACGACTACAGGTCGCTTTCTTCGGTTGGTCATGGGACTCGTTTGATTTCTTCACCGTCTCCTTGACGGCCTCTGATCTGGCCGAAACATTCGACAAGTCCGTGACCGACATCACTTGGGGTATTACGCTGGTGCTGATGCTTCGCTCGGTGGGCTCAATCACATTTGGAATCGCGTCGGATCGCTGGGGCCGGAAATGGCCGTTTGTTGTCAACCAATTCCTGTTTATCGTGCTGGAGCTAGGCGCCGGATTTTGTCAGACCTACAAGCAGTTCCTCGCGTGTCGCGCGCTGTTTGGAATCGCCATGGGTGGTCTCTACGGGAATGCAGCAGCCACCGCACTCGAGGATTGCCCGCCTGAGGCGCGTGGTATTATTTCGGGGCTGCTTCAGCAGGGCTACGCCTTTGGGTACTTGCTCGCGACGGCCTTTGCGCGCGGCCTAGTCAACACCACCCCGCACGGCTGGCGGCCGCTGTACTGGTTCGCTGCTTGCCCACCGGTGCTGATCATCCTCTTTCGCCTGTGTTTGCCTGAGACCCAGACTTTCCAGCGGCGACAGGCCACACGCGAGGAGGTGCGCGGTGGCGTGGCTGCCTCGTTCTTCTCCGAGGGCAAGGTGGCACTCAAACGCCACTGGCTACTGTTGCTGTACCTGGTGTTGCTGATGGCCGGGTTCAACTTTATGGTATGTAGTGTGCTGTCCTAGTGTGCTTCCCCGACTTCTCCACAGCTGCTAACATGCGCATGTAGTCCCACGGCTCACAGGACCTATACCCGACGATGCTCGAAAACCAATTCATGTTCTCCGCCGACGCCGTGACAGTCACACAGGTAGTCGCCAACCTGGGCGCATTGACGGGTGGAACCCTGTGCGGGTGGGCAAGTCAAATCTTCGGCCGACGCTTCTCGATCATCGTAATCAGCATCGTGGGCGGCGCGCTGCTATACCCCTACACATTCGTAACCGACAAGTCCGTGATGGCGGCCGCATTCTTCGAGCAGTTCATGGTGCAGGGCGCTTGGGGTGTGATTCCGATCCATCTGATGGAGCTGTCACCAGGCGCCATCCGTACCTTCGCTGTCGGCACGGCCTACCAGCTCGGAAACCTGGTCTCGTCGGCGAGCTCGACGATCGAGTCTACAATTGGCGAGCGCTTCCCACTCCCGCCTACTAAAAAAAGGCCCACCGCTACGAATACGGCAAGGTTATTTGTATCTTCATGGGCTGTGTGTTTGCTTACACTATCCTGGTGACCCTGGCTGGACCCGAGCGTCTCGGTCGCAACTTTGACGCCGAGCACGATGCGGATCTGGCAGTCGTCGCGGCCCATCGCGGTATGGAGCGACCGGATGACTACGAGAGTGACCCGGAGAAGGCGACAGCGTCGCGACAGGAGCGTGTTTGATGAAGGGGGCGGTGGCTATTTATGAAAGGATCTAGATACCCGACTGACGAATGTTATGGGCGATGTATGCGATAGCTTGGAAACACAAGTAGCTTTGAATGCTCTTCTGTTTTCTGTTTTCTCATAGCTTTAACTGGCGTATGCTTTCTCTTAATGTCGACTGGACAATCCTGAAGTATTTTTATTTCCCGTTAGCATCGCTCCACGTCAAGAATCCATCATCACTCCCGAATCAACGGCAACACTCCGAATCTGCTTAATTATGACATGGCTCATCCCAGCTGGTCCCAGCTGGTCCAAGGGTTGAAGGATATCTTCATGGGTTGTTATTGAACAGTAAGGAAAGAGGTACGCACCTGAGATGATAAGATGTGAAGGAGATAGATGAAAAGACGAAAACAAGAAAACAAGGAAATGACCAGCTTTTATAGGAGACCCCGCACCCCAAGTCGATGACATGCCAAGGTGACCGGGGTGGAAAGACAGTAACATATAAAATGTATTTGGAATAATCAAGTTCGTCTACAGTCGCCTATTCAAGTTCTATTTTCTTATCTCCAGAGTAGCCTCATAGATTGTCAATACTCCAGTATATACCCCATATCTAGAAATTCCCATCTGCGAACAACATCCTTGCCCCTCGCCCTCTTTAATACTCAGCCCCCCAACCGACACAAAAAAAACAAGACGACCGAATCTCCACATCAGCAACACTCGACGCAAAGTCCAACCGCGGTTTAATAATCCGCGCCTCAGCAAGCCGTCCCAAGCGCACCAAACACTCATGAAACCCATGCAACGCCCAAACCGAATCAGGATGCTGATGAGCCCGCGTCAGAGTCGGATCCAAGCCCAGATCCTCCGCATACGCATGGCGCGTCGGCAGCATCCAGCCCCGAGGCTCGGTATACAAGAGGGCATCGTCGTGGCGGATTGCCTCGCATAGGTGCTCGAATGCAGACGCATAGTTTGCGCGCCGGTACTCGATCTCGCCGTCTAGCATCGCAGTCGCCACTTTGAGGATATCCACTAGGCGGTTCGGATGGTCTCTTCGGGATACGGGGACGCGCGCTGCGGCTGCGAGGTACTTTTGCCGCTGGGTATTTGCTTCATCGAGGTCTCCTGCGGCTGCGAAGGCGAGTCATGGGCGATGGGCTTGCTCGAAGCATCGATAGGCTTCGTCATGGTTGAATGAATAACATCATATCAGGCCGTGGTCAAATCAGATTTGTGCTGCATCATTCGTGGTGCTGATGTTGCGACTGAATGTGCCCAGATTGTAATAGTCCTCTGTTTGGGAAAGTGGGATCACGGTGGGACGAGCATGTTGGGCTGAGCGTCCAGTGTGGAGGTCGGACGAATAAATGCAGAATTTTTCGTCTGATGAGGGCAAGACATAAATATATTCTTGGGGGCTTGTCTAGAAGACACTTGCTGACGAATGAATATCAACAATTCTTGTAATTATTTCAATCACCGACTTTCAGAAACCGGTAGGCTGCTGAGACTGCTTGATCGAAAGTTGTATATCCCGAGTATTTTGAGAGCCCTGGAATGCCCCAATTTTCTTCAGAGCATCAAAATACAGAACTATAACGATGATGATTGTACATCTTCAGGTATTCAAAAGGTGGCGTGAGGATAGCCAGCTCCATGTCATACTCCCGAGCTAGGGTTATTCAAACCCCGAGTCGCCGAAACCCCGCAAAAATCGTCGCATCAAGCTATGGATACTCGGCCTACTCGAGTTACTTCATATCTCCAATTTCTATGTTCTTTTCTCATAAGGATTGAAGGGAACCTCACAGTAGTCTCTCCGATACTCTTTGGCGTGAGTACAGTTGGCAGAGGGTCTTCGAAACAACGCCGAAAGACAACACCTATATTCAATGACGAACACAAAGTCTGATTTGCACCGTTACGTAGAACCGCTATCAATAAAACGATAATACAATTCAACCCATCGCAGTACTTTCATAGACCCTCTGTACCTCCTTGGCCATCGGTGCCACCCCCCGAAGACCACATCCGCCTGAATCGATTTCCCCAACGCCTCCATTCCCGATTGCAATTCATCGATCAGCCGTTCCGCATCTTGCACCTGAGTCGTTCCACTCGGTCGATCAAGCAGGTATGAGTAGCTGGCCAAGTTTCCAGAGCACATCGCCGTATGCACCCGCCACAGCACCGCCGCTAGGACCCAGAAGCTCTGCAGCTGACACGAAGCCATATAGGGCATGGAGCGGGGAGAGGCTAACGGTTGCCTAGATGCCCAAGGCACGGCGATTTCCAGGTCAGTGGCGTCGGAGTACATTGGATTCGGGGATGGAAGCCGGCGAAAGACCCGGGACACGACAAGGGAGGAGTGGAAGCAGATTGTGACGGATTGCTGTTTGGTGAATGGGAAGACGGTGTCAATTTCGGTCTTTCGGTCCGTAGAGAGATAAAGGTGGCGTGTCTGTTGTGGTTCCTGGACGGTATCTATCGCAAGATAGTCGTAGTACTCGGCAAGGAAGAGAGGGCGATCGAGAAAGGCGCGCACTCGATGAAGGGTGAGCCTGGCAGTGTGGATGAGGGCATTTGATATGGCCCATAAATTGCGAGAGGCGTCTGCTTCGGCTCCCTGATAGTTCGTTACGCAGCGGAATCGGTCTGCTTCGGCGGCGAGATGGAAGATAAACGAGTCTAGAGTTAGGATATCTTCCCTGAGAGAGCGGGGCAGCATGTTACTGCCGTTCTCTCGGATGAGTTGGCGCCCAATCCCGCAGCTGCGGCGAAGGGCTTCTTGTGCATTTACTAGAAGTGGCCACGGCTAGAGCACGGATGAATGGGTCAGATTATACAAGTCCTGGCTGATTGTAGGCAAGGACAGATCTTGCGCACCTCACGACAGCCACGAAACTCGGGAAATGGGGTTGTGATTCGAGCATCACCTATGGTGATGATTGGGGGCTAATCGTGGTTAGCTACTCGATCGATATTGCACTTGATCACAACTCACCAAGGCATTCATGATGGATGACTGGTAGGCAAGGAACATCTGTTTGTGTTGGCAGGATTCGTAGGAAAATAGGAATATAGAAATGAAAGTAGTAGAAGAAGAAAACAGAGAGAGAGAAAAAGATAGAGAGTTACTCACCGTTGCCCACCAGCACCGCCTTTGGGCATCCAAATATCCAGTCTGGGAACTTACCTCATGCAACGATAGGTCCATGGCCATGGTTAGGGCCAAGTTTGCCCGAATGCGCATTTTCGGGATGTTCCCATGCTGGCAGTACTCAAACAAGCTCAGAAGTCCCAATGTCAGGACGGGCTCTATCTCTCGAGGGACCGCGGGGTGTAAAGTGCTTTGCGGTCCCTTGGCGGGCTCGACATGAGAGGATAGGTTGATTGAATCTTCCACAGACTCCAACGCAGAACGTGCATATAGATCAGCATAAGAGCGTCGCAGGAGGTCTGCCTCAGTATCTGTTGTGTGCGAGTCATCGGGGACGGGCAGTAGAGCCATTATCGCCATCAGGGCGAGGCCAAGTGGGGAGACAGGCCAATAAGGCATCGTGGAAGCATTCAAATAAGAAGAATAGGTCTTGACAGCCACGCATTGGTCCTCATATTGAGCTGCGGCCGGGGGAGGCAGTAAGGGAAAGTATGGGTGAATGAAGATGTAGTACGCGTTGATACTAGGTTTTAAAAAGACCGGAGTAAAAAAGATTAGCCTTTCAATCCCATAGACTCCCTCATAGACAGGTCATACAGATCTTGATCACAGCGATAAGCTCGTATGCTCCATTTAGGAGGCTCCACCATCCTGGGAATATCTTGCAGATCTGTAGTTTCGCCGAGTGGAGACGGAAAGTTTATGCTGCAATTATCCAGGGCGTTCCTGGATGGCTGCAGATCTGGTTCAGTTGAGGATAGCAACGACGGCAAGAGAGCAGCATCACTGGTATGATGATCATTTGGGCGATGCACATTGCGGTCTTTATCTGTCAGCTGGCGAGCTCTTTTCTTAGCCAGCTCATCGGCAGCCGCAGTGCCTCGTCGGGCGCCACCTCGTCGACTCGGTTGGTATCGGCATTCTTCATGGTGGATAGAGCACTTCATATGGTTACTATACTTCTCATCGACCTTTTATTCAAGGAAATGCTCACAGTGGCACATGGCATTTGGCCATTACAGCGAATCTTCGAGGCCCGACTGCCGTTGACTAATGTCAGTGCTTGGCTCCGTGGATCAATTGCCTGAGGTATATGGGACACCGACCAAGCCAGACATGCCACCTTCACAGGCCTAGAAGCAGTTGGCATTATTTTGCTTCTATCTTTCCACCCATTCTCACTTCATTGGTTTCGTTGATTGTGATTCTGATTCTGCTCTGGGATAAGGTGATGGCAAGTGGAAGAAGAAGAGATGGTTCGGCGTCTTCGGTGTTTGAAGTCCCACTTTTGTGGTTCCACTTCATCACCACTTTCGCCCTGTTGCGATCAGGCTTGAGCTATATAAACCCGAGGTCTATGCTCGGATTTCGTCTATTTTGGTTTCTCAACCTTCTGTCAAACCATGGCCGAAAATATTCCCTCCCCCGTCCCCGCCAGCGACGAGTACTACAACTTGGGCTCGTTCGGCTATACCATCACCACCAGCAGCGCCGACACCCAAACTTGGTTTAATCGGGGCCTGACCTGGGTACATTCGTTTAATCATATCGAGGGTGCCTACTGCTTTGAGCAGGCCATCGCCCATGATCCTACATGCGCCATGGCATATTGGGGGCTCGCTTATGCGATCGGCCCAAACTATAACAAGCCCTGGGAGAAGTTCGATCTGGGAGACCTTTATACCTCGGTGCAGCGGGGCCACGATGCATCTCGAAAGGCAAAGGGATATGCAGAAAATGCAACTCCCACTGAAAAGGCTCTGATTGATGCGATTCAATTCCGTTTCCCAACCGACCAGCCTGCGAAGGACTGCCCGGCCCTTAACAAGAGCTATGCCGATGCCATGAAGCTGGTTTATGACGCTTTCAAAAATGACCTGAATATCGCCACACTATACGCCGATGCCTTGATGAACATGGCTCCCTGGGCCCTGTGGGATCTTTTTACTAGTAAACCGAACCCCAAAGCGCCCACGATAGAGGTGAAAGCTGTGCTAGAAGAGGCGCTGGCGCGGGAGCATGCCACTCTCAACCCCGGACTGCTTCACCTGTACATTCATTTCATCGAAATGTCGCCCACTCCTGAGCTCGGCATTGATGTTGCCGATCATCTGCGTGATCTGGTCCCTGACGCTGGCCATATCCATCATATGCCGACACACTTGGATATCCTGATTGGCGATTGGCGACGCTCTATTCATTCAAACTACAAATCGACTCTCGCAGACGACAAATATTTCCGGAAGTCAGGCGCTAAAAACTTCTATACTTTCTACCGCCTACACGACTACCACTCCTTGGTCTATGCTGCCATGTTTGCCGGCAAAAAGAAGACTGCCCTCGACGCGGTCACTCGCATGGAAGCAACAGTCCCCGAGGAAGTTCTTCGAATCCAGTCCCCACCCATGGCCGACTGGCTTGAACAATTCATGGCTATTCGGCTACATGTAATGGTGCGCTTTGGCATGTGGGAGGACCTCAAACGCAAAGAACTACCACACGACCGCACACTATTTGCAAGCACTACTGCCGCCACTCACTATGCCAGGGGCCTGGCATTTGCCGCTACCGGAGATGTAGCCACAGCCCGGGAGGAACAGGGACTTTTCAACCAAGCGTGGGCTCGAGTCCCCGAGACCCGCCGCGCCTACAATGGCAAAATGATCGACGTGCTCAAGGTCGCCGCCGCCATGCTCGAAGGGGAAATTGAATACCGCTGCGCCAACTACGAGAAAGCCTTTGCGTCTCTGCGCCAGGCAATCGACCTCGAAGACAAGTTGCCATATAGCGAGCCTTGGTCATGGATGCAGCCTGTGCGCCACGCATACGCTGCCCTGCTCATGGAACAGGGTCATTTGGATGAAGCAGCGCAGACATACCGCGCAGATCTAGGTTTGGACCACTCTGTCATTCGGCCGCGCCGGCACCCGAACAATGTCTGGTCGCTGCAGGGATACCATGAGTGTCTGGTCCGACTGGGGAGGGCGGACGAAGCAGCTATGATTGAACAGCCGCTTGAGCTGGCCCTTGCGGTGGCGGATGTTCCGGTGCATTCGTCGTGCTTCTGTCGTTTGGATACTTCGCAGAGGCCGCAGGTTTTGAATGAGAGCTCCTCTGATGGGAAGTGTTGCTAAAACGTTGGGGAAATTTGCGTAATGATTTCAGTGATTGAGGGTGAAAATTGATCATCTTGATGTCTCATGTCAAATAGCCATATAGTTTGCAATATTGAGAATAATCGCAACTATCGACGCTTGCCACGTTATGCAATAGGACTACCAAACAAGAAGATAGTGCATCGAGTATTTCTAGGAAGGATAGCACAGGATCTTGAAATATCCAGTATCCCATTGAATGAACTATTCCCTTAATCTGCTCGTCTATCTAAACACTCATTGGTCTTATAAACGCATACTCAATCCTCTTAAGGGAAAGATACTCGTACATCCCTCCTCCAACCAAGTCACCTTGGAGCATCAATTCACCCAATACTAGAAAATCAAGCTATTGATCTCGTTGAAGGCCCATTTCCTTCAAAAGATACCGTAATGCGGGCCTTTGTATCTTGTAATCCACCTCGGCGAGCAAGTCTTCGTGTCGAGCGGTGGGATCGGTCGTGAATCGCTCATATATTCGATCGCGATCATCCTCGGTAAGCTTGCGCGGCTGGCCAGAGCGCCGTTGCGACTGGTTGTTGACCCTCTCACGCTCCTTTTTGATGGTATATGCAATTGTTGATTTAGGGATTTGAGGGTAGGCGTTGTGGATGCGCTTGTAGCCCCATTTTGCGGTGTTGTAGAGCTCGCAAATCCGAGTGCGGATAAACGGGTCGAGTTCTTTGCCGCGAGGCATGATGGCAGTAATATTAGTAGAGAGGCATCACGCCAGGACAGATGATGAGTATTTAGGGGGGAAAGTAGAGGGGATCAATCGCGGTGATCTTCGGTGGGTCTCAACTTGGTTCTGCTTTACCGCCTGCCTAGAGTGGATTGTCCTATTTATATGCTGGGAATGATTTCATCTTTCTTTCTACTTATTCTTCTGATGTTTTTGGAATACTGATATGTGAATAAAGATTGGCTTAGGCCACAGAATGTTTTATAATAAAGCAAATAATAGAGGGGCGAGCCAGATAGTCTTGTCAGCTATATAGTCTCAGCACCAGCACGTCGACGCGTCGATATGGCGTGTAGATCGATATTAGGCGAGAGGGAGAGAGAGCCAGCCTGTGCGTCTAATGGACTAATTTTTTTTTTAATTAATATACAGCTTCACGCGGCGGTATTTTGAGCTATATCTCATGTTTCACCTCATATATTATACTTTGGTAGCCAGCTTACCGCCGCCAACAACCACTCTCGCCAAAACAAATAGCGAGGCGCCAGCCACCATGACCACACCGCAAAAGACTTGCAACTTAGTATAAGACCCGTGCATCACGTCCGACACCAACGCGCCTCCAATTGGGGTCCCGGTCAGAGCAGCAAGTGACATGATCGAGAAACAAGTACCGTTACGAGCACCAACCTCGCGCAGGTCGGAGATCTGGGCAATCAGAGCCGGGGAGAGCGAGACGAAGGCGCCCGAGCCGAAGCCGTACAGGGCACTGAAGACAATTGCAGGGGCATTGCTGCGCGATGGAAGCCAGAGTGCTAGTACGAGAATGCTAGCAAAATACCCAAAGATGACCATCACGTTGTAGCGGCCGATGCGGTCTGCTAATACTCCCGGAAGAGTGCGGCCGAAGATACTACGGCATAGTTAGAAACTTGCTTTGGAAATAAGGAAATAAAAATGTGACTCACCTTGCAGCATTCATAATGGGGATGAGATACTGCGATATCTGCGACGACATCCCATACCGCTCTGCCTGCGTGATGATGAATGTATAGGGCAGGAACATCCCCCAGCAGAAGCAGAAGCATGCGGCGACGGTAATCACAAACTTGATCTCTTTGAGCGGCTCCAAGAAGCTCATTATACTCACCGACTTCTTTCGGTGGCTGAGTCTGGATCTCAAAGTCAGGTTGGCGATGCACAACAGAAACAGGATCAAAAACGCGCAGATCCTCATTGCCCATGAAAAGCCAACTAGAGGAATCAGATGCGATACCATGATAGGGAATATCACACCACCCAAGCTGGATCCGGAGACTGTGACGCCAAGCGCCATTGCTCGGCGCTTTGCGAACCAGGTGCTGACCGAGTTGATGCTAGCGTTGAAGACGGCACTGGCGCCAATCGGGCTGCAGATCCCCTGTGAAAGGATAAACTGGTAGTACTCTGTTGACAGAGATGCCATCATAAGACCAAAGACATGCATCAATGTCCCGCCTAGTAGGATCCATCGTGGGCCGAAGCTGTCGAAGAGAACACCGAAGACTGGGCCCTGAAGGAATGTCAGAGTTCAATTCATTGTATTAGTATATGAGGTCTAGTGATGAACGCACTGCAAAAAACATCACAAAGGTTTCGAGCGACGTGATCCAGGCCACCTTGCTAGTAGACAAATCACGTAACTGGTGACTTTCATAGTATGCTTGGAAGACCCCGATACCTGTACGGGTATTAGCAGAAATCCTCAAATTGTAGGCATGAGCTTTGCCCCTACAATTGATCCATCCAAAACTGACAAAGAGACAACAGAACCCCCCGAGAACAGTCAACCAGGCTTGCAACCCCCCGTCGGGCGGCGGGCCGAGTGCGGCAGTGAGGGGAGGGCTCAGTGGAGGAATGTGAGGGCTCTCTGGTGTTTTTGCCTTGGTCCCTGTCTCAGAATTTGAAAGGCGAAGCTCCTTTTCTAGATCATCGTTGTTATAATAACTTGTGGTTGGGGTGGAGTGGTTGGACGACGGCGTGTTAATCGTGGTACTGTTGAGGGAAGAAACACGGGCCTCATCGCGAGTGGTCATTATAGGAGACTGGCGCGTGCGTGGTCAATAATGACCCAGTCTCGATCTCTTGTCAACAAGAGACTTGGCTGCGCAAGGATAAGAAGTTTGTCCAGGAGTTTTTTTTTTGGCAAGATTCCCAGCTGAGGATTTCCAAACCCAATAGGCGGGCATCACATAGGAGTAAGAGTATCTGGGTTTGGTCAAATGGCGGATCTGTTTTGGCAGCTCAATTTCAAGTCTTCTGCCTCGGCTAATTGATGTTATATTGGATATTACGCGTCTCCCATGGTTCGCACGGAGTATCCATGGATAGTGAGGAGATGCAAGTAATGGATTACAAGGCTGCACGGGCCGAATGATCCCACATTATCGGTCAATGCCAGAATATGAATGGTGGACCCCCTAATGGCTGACAGAATCACAAGCGCAGTATATGGACAAGGCCATGGCACTATTGAACCCAGACTGATCGACGTACACCGATCGACAAGGGGGCCATAACTAAATTTTTGGAATTGTGCATTGACACGATTCATGGATAGATCTAACTGGCGATTCATTCAGATTCGACGCATAATCGTAAAGAAAAGGCCCCTGTTCTACCAACAAGTGGGTCAGTTCATCAACCTTAAAAACAAGCCCCTGGCCCATCATCTATTGGATTTTCCTATCTGATCGGGGGCCAAAAGCAACCCACGGACTGACTAAATTCCTGGTTGCATTTCGATCTGCACACCATTTGAGATTTATAGTCAAGGAAGCATTTTGGTTAGCTTCATCACATCATATCGAGTTGCAGTCGTGGATAGGGGGGTTTACTTCTTAGTTACAATCGACACATTTCTGTGCCTATTAGGCATCAGATATTCTTCCAGACACGAAAATCTACCGTGACCCCTGTTGAAATCCGAAGAGCTTCGCTGCGATAAATTTTTGGGCTTGGGCTCAGGATCTCAAGGTGGTCTTTTTTTTCAACCCGATGGCCCAAGATTGGACCTACGAGGCTTGCCAGATGGAATTTACTTGGTTAACACCGAGCCGCCATTTCATCCTTCGAGTCCACATGTGGAGAATCAGCGAACCTCTGAGCTCAGTACAAACCCACTCAATGTTGTAGAATCTAAGACTAAATACCTCTATCTAGAATTTATTACTCTCTAAGCGTTCTGGGGAACAAAGTTCTACTTTCTTCTTATTTCTGTATTTTCATCAATCTAGATTTCTATATTCTTCAGACCTTACGATGTCGAAGTGACCCTAGACTCTCTCTTGGTCGACGGATATTGCACCCAGAGAGCCACAGTCAAACCAGTATACATCATGTTTGCGATATACATACTCGCCATTCTAGCAGCTGTGTATGCCATCTTGACGAGGTTGCCAGCAATTCGGAAAAAGCTTCAACAGATCCAACTCGTTCCTGAACAACAGCACGTCCCTATCACCAGCGAAGACGCCTACATTCTCCGAGCCAAAACCCTCAAAAGCGACCATGCCACCGTAATAAGTTTCCAGACCTTGATCGAAACCGATGGTGCAGGAAGCTGGCCACCGCGTGCAGAACATGGTCCTCAATGGCCGAGCCCGCTACGTCCGTACCACGAAATCTACCGCACTCTATGCTCGAGTCTGCCCTGCACTGCGAATCTGGATGACGATGAAGCCAACGTCTGTCGATGCACAGAGTTTCGCAGCCGCATGGCGAAACTCCTTCGATCTCACATTGACCTCACTGCGGTAGACAGCGTTCTTAGAGGGTCGACTCAGGAAACCGAGATGTCTCCTGCAGCCTGGAATGGGTTCTTATCCTGCATTGCTTACTCTCGCCATGCCTTTCGGTAATAACTAGCCTCCCATCCTTGCTTGTGATCTTGTCCCAACGTCTCACCTGACAAGCTTCGAAACAGGTGGGCCACAATTCCAATTGTCAAGGTCACGCAAGCGACTAAATTCATTGAGCTCCCGCCAGAGCTAGAAGTGGCGTGGGGATTTCTCTGTGATCGATACCAGATTCACTCTCCGGGAGGGTGCATCATGTCCAATCACTTTGGTAATTTTACCGACACGGGAGAACTGGTCTATAAAATAAACGAAGGCATGCCGGACATTGTGCAACGCACCGAGTATAATTTTATGTATTCCTTTGTGATGATGGAAAAGCTGGTGAGTATAGAGTCTTTCGGCAGATCAGCAGTATACGGGAGGGCTAAGACATAAACCATAACTTATAGTCTTTCCCCATATACCTCCACATCGTGGAATCCATCACGCTTTTCGACAAAGGCGAGAAAGCACAATGCGTTCGAAAGCTGGAGCTCATCCAACAGATGCTCCAGGACGCCTTCAAAAGTTCTACCAGACCTTCATCACGGCCAAAGTCAGCGAAAGGGTCTGGTTGAATCATGTTCAAGGGTTTCAGGGATGGGCAGCAGGGAGAATCGAACACGGAGAATATGTCCAATATGACGGCGTGCAGGGTGGCCAAACCCTGATGATGCAGGTCGTCGATGCTTTCCTTGGGATGGACGCCTTTCTTACGAAAGAGGCTTCGCACCGGAATGTCCCATACTACCAGCGGGAATTCGTGGAAACCATCCGACGCTATGCCTTCCGCCACCGAGCTCTCAAGGCAGGAGACCAGGATATTGAACAGAATATGGAAAGCATTTCTCGGATAGTGCAGGTTGGTTCATTTCCATTCCTTTATACCCTCTCGACAACAGCTTATATGGTCAATAGATATTCAGGATCTCGCATCGCAGGACGGCTCGCAAGTACTTAGGAGCTGATGCCCCCGAACGAAAGTTTATGACATCTGGGGAATCCGTCTTCCAGGATTTCAAGGGTGAAGCGGCCAGGAAAGATCCACTAGATCATGTTGATTCTCTCCTAACGAAGCGGTTAAACGAGACGAAGCGGTCATCACGGTTATGTGCTGAGAGGAAAGAACCAATTGGGCCAAGAGACGACGGTGGATGAGATAGGAAGAAGACAGGAGAGCCATCTCCATGGTGGGGCGAGCCAGGACCCTAAGGCATTCACATCTGGTCACGTGCCCTTTCTCTAAGTATTTGCAAATTGTCTCTGTCCACATCCTCGGTTTACCTGGATATGTCTATAAATGTATTCTTATTGAATAGCCTGGGCATTTCGATATATGTCGTGTCTCCTGCGTATGTACAGAGTTTCACGGGAAGGGATCGATCTCCAGATGATCGACATGCTTGTTTCTCATCTATATAGCCTTTGGCCTCCTTTCATGCGATAGCCAGTCGCCAATTCCACCTGAAAATCCAGGGGAAAAAAGTTCCCAAATGATTCTAAATGATTTCCCTTGTTTTCTCATTTCCATCACAGCCGATCTTCATGGTTCCTGTTCCAAACGCCGGTCGTGTTCGGGTGTCTCCACTACGAAAAATCAGGGACCGGTCGCTGCCAAGTCCGGCAACCAACCACTTTGACACCCTTCCCTCCTGTCTTCCTTTGCATTCCAACCCTCCCCGGGCCCTTTCCCCTTTTCCCTTACTCTATTTAGCCCCAGGCCAGATCGACTCCCTGTGCCAAGATCCGATCGTGTCTGTGTGCTGGATGAGTCCCGGCTCCGCCTCCAATGCACAGACGCTCGTCTGGCTCCCCTGTCGAGGACGACGCTGAAGATTCCTTGGCTCGAACCCCAGACGATCATGGATCTCATGCCATCGAGACCCCCAACGACAATTCGCGATCGCAGATAGCCCAGCGCGGCACCAGTTTCGATCTCCGCCGCGACTCCTCGACGCCGCGCTCGCGGAATTCCAGCCTCTGGCGCACCCCATCCTTCCAACCATCCAACGATACCAAAACCATGCCATTGGGCTCGCCACGGCTTCCGATGGAGGCTCCCTCCCCGGACGGCCGTCGCTCGCGACAATCCCGTCTGCGCAGCCCCTGGTCATGTTCCATCCTAACCGCTTTCACCACCTGCGTCGCTGTCGTCTTTTTGATCTCCATCCTGCGCTCCTTTACCGGCCGGCAAGTCGGTAGCAATGGATGTGGCGTTCCCATGATGAGCCCGACATTTATTCGAATGTTGGAGTTTGATACGGAACACACGCGCTTTGCGAGCAAATATAACCTCTACCTATACCGGGAGGAGGGCGTGGATCCCTATACCCAGGATAACGTTGGGGTATGATCGCTTCTTCCTCTGCGTGTGGGGAAACTCGGATGCTGACCTTTTTTTTTTGTTTTCCCCAGTTGAATGGCGTCCCAGTTCTGTTTCTTCCCGGCAACGCGGGCAGCTACCGACAGGTTCGGTCCCTGGCTGCGGAGGCCTCTCGGCATTACTACGATGTGGTTCGACACGACGAGGACCGACATGCGGCTGGTACACGCAGTTTGGACTTCTTCATGGTTGATTTTAATGAAGACATGGCGGCATTTCACGGACAGACCTTGTTGGACCAGGCGGAATACGTGAACGAGGCTATCTCGTACATCCTGTCGCTTTATCACGACCCACGGCGAACCCGACGAGATCCAGGGCTGCCAGACCCTAATGCGGTTGTTCTCATTGGCCATTCCATGGGCGGAATTGTTGCGCGCACGGTTTTGACTATGGCCAACTACCAGGCGAACTCGGTCAATACCATCATCACCATGTCTGCTCCCCATGCGAAACCACCTGTCTCATTTGACTCGGACATTGTCCATACCTACAAACAAATCAACGACTACTGGCGCGAGGCCTACTCACAGACATGGGCCAACAACAACCCGCTGTGGCATGTCACCCTCATCTCCATCGCGGGGGGTGCTCGTGACACCGTGGTGCCATCTGATTACGCGAGTATCTCCTCGCTGGTTCCCGAAACACACGGATTTACCGTGTTTACCTCGACCATTCCGGACGTGTGGATTGGCATGGACCATCTGTCGATCACCTGGTGCGACCAGTTCCGCAAAGCCATCATTAAGTCGCTGTTCGAGATTGTTGACGCTCGTCGCCCAACCCAGACGAAGCCGAGAGCAGAGCGAATGCGAGTGCTCAAGCGGTGGTACTTGACTGGACTTGAGTCGGTGGCCGAGCGGTCACTGTCACAAAAAGGTATGCTGCATTTTTTCCCCCTAATGGTTAATGATCTATGCTGATTCTTTGAGCAGAACCGAATACCCTCCTAACGCTGGAGGACAACGCAAACACCATCCTTGCCCAGGGCCAGCGGTTGATCCTCCGTGAACTAGGTCTCCAGAACGGCCCTGATGTTCGCGTTCTGCCGATCCCTCCCCAGGGTGTTCCCGGTAAAAAGTTCACACTTCTTACAGACCAAAGTCTGGATAAAGATGGAAACATCGAAGTATTTTTCTGCAGCGTCTTCCCGCTCAGCGGCAGCCGGTCGAATGTCTTCGCGATGAACCTGGATTTTTCAGGAGGTACCGTGGGCTCGACCCGTCTAGCTTGCAAGACTGCGGTCGAGGATAGGATTCACTTGCCGGCTTCAACTCACTTGTCACGTCACGCATACGATCGGGTCCCACCGTTTTCCTATCTCCAGTATGACTTGGAGGGCCTCGCAGAGCATCAATTTGTGGCCATCGTGGACAAGGCTAGTGCCCCTACGCAAGGCTTTTTGGTTGCCGAGTTTTCCGATAGTTCGGACGCAATGATCCGCACCAAGGTAGGCCTTGGTGGTTTGCTCAGTGCTGGCCTGAAGGTGCGGCTTCCCGCCAATCGGCCCATGCTCACCGAAGTGCAAATCCCGGCCCTGCATTCTAGCCTGCTGGACTATCGGCTCAAGATCACTCGGCAATCTCAGAAGGAGGAACTCTTCGCCCCGCTCTTGCGACAGTCCGTTTCTGACCCGCATGAATCCAAGTTCTTTGTGAATGTCGACGAGGTCAACGTCAACTTGCACGGCATGGCACCGTTTATGCCGCCTGCGCTTCGTGACCAGGCTGCTCTGGGTGGGGTATCCTTCCAGCTCTGGACGGACCCTAGCTCCGACTCGACAGTCGATATCTCGCTGCAGGTTGACATCTCTAGTAGTCTCGGTGAGCTTGTCATGCGTTATCGCACTATCTTTGCGGCGTTCCCGTTGCTGGTGGTGGCACTGGTCTTGCGCAAGCAGTTCCAGGTGTATGACGAGACTGGGTATTTCATTCCATTCGGCGATGGCCTCGACCGTGCCCTGCGATCTTCCCTTCCTCTTTTATTGGTAGCGATGTCGTTGCTGGCCTCCTCCCTGGCCACCTCGACGACATTGCCCCAGTCCGAGGACCCATTCCACTGGCGAACAAACTCCACCGAGACTCCTATCGACTTCACAAAGAACGATCTGTTGCTGGGCTCCCAGGACGCCTTTTTCTGGTTCTTGGTTCCGTTCTTTGGCCTTATCAGTGTCGGTGCCTGCGTCATCGTCAACTATCTAGCCATCATTATCGTCAATATCTTTTCTTTGATTTACGGAGCCTTGAACAGCAAGTCGGGTTATATCAGACGTGAAGACCGAGGGTAAGTTTACCGAGATCTTACTTGATCGAATGCTTCAAGGCTAATTGATCTAGAAACATGCCCATCTTCAACACTCCCACTCCCCGACGACGGGTGATCCATACCGCCATCCTCTTGATACTCGTGTCGACCGTGATTCCGTATCAGTTTGCGTACATGGTTGCCTGTATTGTGCAGTTGGCCACATGTGTGCGGGCACAGTGGCATTCCAAAGAAATCGTATGTTCTATTTCATCGTCGTGATCTCAACTTTATCTAATGCCCGTGATAGAAATCCATGTCCCACGTGAGCTTCGGCCACTACGCACACTCGATTTTGATCCTGATGCTGTGGATCCTGCCCATCAATGTTCTTGTGCTTCTGGTCTGGGCCCACAACCTCGTGGTGCACTGGTTCATGCCGTTCTCGTCCCACCATAACGTGCTGTCGATCATGCCGTTCCTCGTTCTAGTCGAGACCATGACCAGCGGAGCTATGATTCCACGCCTCACGAATCGGTATGTTTCGCTGCTAATTTGCTGTATGGCCCAAGGCTAACAAGAAGGCATAGGCTGAGGTACGTCACGTCGATGATCTTTTTCATCATCGCCATGTATTCGGCGGTATATGGAGTCTCGTACGCGTACCTCCTCCACCACCTCGCCAACCTCCTCGCTGCCTGGTTTATCGGGATTTATCTATTCGGCAATAACTTCTCCCCGCGCCGACTGTGGCGCATGATTGATGGCGACGAACTACCCCCATCCGAACCGGGGAGCAGTCACATTAAGAAAAAGCCCTGAACCCAATTCTTAATCTTGTGTTTTTTTCACGTTTGTTTTTATTTTGCCAAGGAGTTGTGCATTTGGGTCTGGAGTTTGAGCGGTTATCTCTTTTTGTACAGACATTGACCTTATCGTTTTTGTCCGCGTTTTGCCTGGATGCAGAGAGGTCTGGGGCTGTGAAGCATTTGCAAGCACTATTTTTGGTTCCCGAGCCTTTCCCTGTTTCTTTTTATACCGTCGCCCCATGTCTACTCCCCTTGACAGGACAGCCTTTGCACGAGATCCAGCTTGTTTGTCCACGGTACTTCTGGGACTCGACACTTGCTATCATCCAGACCTCGACCTGGGTGCTCTCCGGGGCTTGTGTATATACCCCGAGTGGTTTGTTTTTCTGCTTGATTTGTTCTGGACATAGACTTTGGGGAAGCGAAGATGCGCAAGTGGGCGTGAGTGAGTGAGTGAGTGTGTTTTTTATAGAGCTGTTCGCCCCACCTGCTAATATTTTACCAATTCTACCACGTTTGATAAAGTGTTGCTCGTAGCCACCCATATCCTAAGACATATCCTCAGACTCTCGATGAGTCTCAAGTAGATTTCGATTCAAACGCAGCCCTTGAGTAATGTGCTGGCTGATCGGCACACGATTTTCAGGACCGAGGCAGGGTCATCACCCACACAAGTCTGATCCCACCAACCTCCTTTCTAGCCTTGCCGCGTGTACACGGGGGTGTTGCAACTAGGATTAGGGCCCAATATGATAGGTGGAAGACCGTTTCCCCCTTTATTTATATTTAATTGCTATTTGCATATGATATGTTTTTTTTTTTTTTTCTCTTAAACATTTCTCATTCTCTAGACGACGAGGTGATAGGTCAACCCATGCAGGGTAGTCTCGGGCTATGTGTATCAGGGAACAGGCCTGAGCGTTGGGTCTGAAAGAAAGACCTAAAAAAGGGGGGAAGGGACGAGTCATCCGCAAACCGTGGACAGAAAGGGGCTGGAGGATAGTGAGATGGGAAGGGGCGAGAAACAGAGAAAATTATCATTCAAATAATTCAAAAAAAAAGTGTAGAAGTGAGTTGTATGAGATCTCTTCTGTCTTGCAGCCCACTTATTCTTATTCCCGTCCGTGGATCTACCCCGGATTCTAACAGACAGATGGTGTGCATCTACAGTATGGGTACGGTATGTAGAAAGGGGTGGGGGATAGCCCCTCCCCCATATTCCCCCCGATAGAAGAAAATAGAGGAGCCCTACGGAGATCCACCTCAAATAGAACGTTGTCAGAATGTATTCTCTTTCCAAGGAGAAGTCGGGTTATGACTTCGACGCGACGTAAATGCAGTGGCGAACTATGAGCAAAGGACAGACGGCCTTGGAGAGGCCGAGCAAAAAACCAGGCCGCCACTGCAAAGACCACGGGTCGAAGATTTCCAACTGAATTCTATTAAAAGAGTATATGAAAAAAAAAGAAAGAAAAAAGAAAGAAAGAAAAAAGAAAGAAAGAAAAGATAATACGAACTAAATCCGGGCACAAGAAGAACACGTTGATTTGTTGTCGGTTGACCCGGAAGAGCAACAAGAGCAAAAGGATCACGGAGCCGAGTTTCTCAGGCGAACAATAGTCATTCAGCCGAAGTTTGGTGAATTTTTCCTTTTTTCATTTCTTTTCCTTTCTTTTTTTTCCTCAAGTGCAAGGGCTGTTGTCACTTAGAGTTAGACCCACTTCGGATCGCTTTTTTTCTTTTTTTTTGCCACTCGGATCCTTTCGCGGGGGATAAGGGATGATAGGAGAATAGGGGGGTGTTAAGGGAGTCTGGGGTGCGCTATTGCTTTTCTTGACGGAATGATAGAGTATTTCGGATTTCTTGTTTCTTCCTCACGGCTTGTATTTTCTATCCAGTACTGAATACACTCAAACACAGGGAAATATCGAAAGAAAAAAAAAAAAAAAAAAGAACAGATAAGCGATAAGGTGAAGCGGTGAAAGAAAAAAAGCGTTTGAAGGCTATTCATACCCCGTTTCGCTTGCCTGCAGGGGTGTACTTGGGCTGACTGGAAGCGCTTAGTCCTTTGGAATTACAAAAGAAAAAGAAGAAAAACCTGACCCCTGACTCTGGTCGCAGGTCATTTGGAATGTCGATCCAGGCCTGCCGATCTGTAATGATGCCTTATTTTACGCAATGTGGAAGATACATAGTGATCCATCTGATCAGCGGCTATGCCGGCCGCAGGGCTGGAAGCCGGACAAAAACGGGGCTTACTTTTCTCGAAGAGTTTTCGACCGTGGTTCTGGTGATTGGATGTAGCCATGGTGAGAGACTGCGCCACCCGCTTGGGTGGCAAGAATAGCACAGGCGTAGATGGCTGCGTTATCCCCCGGACTACTAGCGCCGGAGAGGACTAAAGCACGAGTCGCATAGAGGGTTGGGCTATTTTAATCATAGAATCATATACTAGGGTATAAAGGTATTCGACTGATCTTGGACTGGAATCCTTCCTGGTCCGATCCTGAACAAAAGATTGCAATTTCACCAATAGAACCACATAATAGACATATCCCAAGAACCATGGATTTTCTCGATGGTGAGGAGAAGGGGGTGAAGAGGGAGAAGAGTGCGAGACCACAATGAAGAGTTTGTCCTGGGGCAGAAGTGCGCCTGGGCCAATCAGAACCGAGCTAAAGAGGCTTTGCCCAATCGGGGTGCAAGATGAACCGGACTAAGCCTATTGTGGGTTTAGCGCGGGACAATGGGCGATTGAAAAAAAAATTTTTTATTGCCATTTGATTCGGGCGGCGAGGGCCACACACGATAAATATCTCGCCCCCTCCTTCTTCTCTTTTCCTCTCCCCATCGTTCTCTGAGGTGCCATCCTCTCTCTTTTCTGTTTTTCTTTTTCTCTTCTGCATAGACAGAATAGAATCCTATCGCTCCTGTTGAGCGTTTGCTGCGTCTGGACAGCCGACGCAGCCTGGGCCACTGCTCACCACCGAGATACCCCTCATAGAAAAAAAGCCCTTCCTTTTTTTTTACTCTAATTTTTTCCTCCCTTTTCTTAAAAAAAAAACACCGCCACCATTTTTTCCAAAATGCCCGCCGCCGATATCTCCTCCGTTCCTGCCGTCTCCGGCAAGGAGACCGCTCAGTCGGTCGCTGTCCTCGAGGACCTGATCAAGAACCTCAACGTCTCGACCGGCCCCGATGAGCTGAACGCCGCTGCTGGCAACCTCGCCTCTCTTTTCGGTGGCCCTATCCCCGAGCAGACGCTTCCCCTGAAGGCCGTTGAGACCTTCAAGAAGCAGCTCGGCAACAAGAAGGATGCTCTGGCCCGTGAGCGTGCCCTCGAGGGCATCCGGGCTATTGCCTCCAACACTACGGTCGCTCCCGGTGTTGAGCCCCACCTCGTGACTCTCCTTGGCCCCGTGCTCGCCGCGGTCGGTGACAAGATGGTCCCCGTCAAGGAGGCCGCTCAGATCGCCGCCGCCTCTATCGTTAAGGCTGTCAACGGCAACGCCGTCAAGGCGATTGTCCCCCCTATCCTCGAATCCCTTGCCAACGCTCAGAAGTGGCCCGAGAAGATGGCCGCTCTGAACTGCCTCAACGCCCTTGTCGAGTCCGCCCCCGCTCAGCTCTCTTACCAGGTTCCCCGCCTCATCCCTGTCGTCTCCGAGGCCATGTGGGACACCAAGGCTGAGATCAAGAAGGCTGCCTACTCCACCATGGAGAAGGTCTGCGGTCTCATCGTCAACAAGGATATTGAGCGTTTCATTCCCGAGCTCATCAAGTGTGTTGCCAAGCCCGAGAACGTCTCCGAGACCGTTCACCTGCTCGGTGCCACCACTTTCGTGTCCGATGTCACCGGCCCCACCCTGGCTATCATGGTGCCCCTGCTTGACCGCGGTCTCGTTGAGCGTGAGACCGCCATCAAGCGTAAATCGGCCGTCATCGTCGACAACATGTGTAAGCTGGTCGAGGACCCTCAGATTGTCGCTCCTTTCCTGCCCAAGTTGATGCCCCGTCTCGAGAAGAACCACGAGACTCTGGCCGACCCTGAGGCCCGTGAGAAGACCCGCCAGGCTCTCGACACCCTGATCCGTGTTGGTGATGTCAAGGATGGCAAGATCCCCGAGATCTCCACCGCTGGTGATATCTCCACCGTCGCTGCCATCATCAAGGAGATCCTGGAGCCCAAGTTCAAGAACCTCATTACCCAGGGTGAGGCTGTCATCAACTACGTTGCTGCCATCGCTGGTCAGCTCGTCGATGAGAAGGACAGCGAGGCCGCCATCTGGACCCAGAATGCCCTTCCCTACATCACCGCCCTTGTCGGCGAGGAGTCCGCTCGCCCCATCGCTGAGACTCTCCGCAAGCGTGCCTCGCCCGAGGCTGCTGCCAACGACGACATCCCCTCCGACGAGGAGGAGGGTGAGGACCTGTGCAACTGCACCTTCTCCCTGGCCTATGGTGCCAAGATCCTGCTTAACCAGACCCACCTGCGCCTGAAGCGTGGCCAGCGCTACGGTCTCCTGGGCCCCAACGGTTCCGGCAAGACCACCCTGATGCGTGCCATCAACAACGAGCAGCTTGAGGGTTTCCCCAAGAAGGACGAGGTCAAGACCGTCTACGTCGAGCACGACCTGGACGCTGCCGACACCGAGCAGACCGTCATCGGCTGGACCCTCAAGAAGCTGGTCGAGGTTGGTCTGGAACCCAAGAAGGACGAAGTCGAGGCCAAGCTCGAGGAGTTCGGTTTCATGCGTGAGCAGATGGAGGGCCCCATCACTGCCCTGTCTGGTGGTTGGAAGATGAAGCTGGCTCTGTGCCGTGCCGTCTTCGAGAGCCCCGACATTCTGCTGCTCGACGAGCCCACTAACCACTTGGACGTCAAGAACGTTGCTTGGCTGGAGAACTACCTCAAGACCTCGCCCTGCACTTCCATCATGGTCTCGCACGACAGCCGCTTCCTGGACGACGTTATCCAGCACGTCATCCACTACGAGCGCTTCAAGCTTAAGCGTTACCGTGGCTCCCTCAGCGAGTTCGTCAAGCGTGTCCCCTCGGCTCGCTCCTACTACGAGCTCGGTGCTTCCGACATGGAGTTCAAGTTCCCCGAACCCGGTTTCCTTGAGGGTGTGAAGACCAAGTCCAAGGCTATCATCCGTGTCAACAACATGGCCTTCCAGTACCCCGGCACCCCCAAGCCCCAGATCACCGACATCAGCTTCCAGGTCTCGCTTGGCTCCCGTATTGCCGTCATCGGTCCCAACGGTGCTGGCAAGTCTACTCTCGTTAACGTCCTGACCGGTGAGCTGGTCCCCACCGCCGGTGATGTGTACCAGCACGAGAACATCCGTATCGCCTACATCAAGCAGCACGCTTTCGCCCACATTGACAACCACCTGAGCTCGACGCCCTCTGAGTACATTCAGTGGCGTTTCCAGACCGGTGAGGACCGTGAGACCATGGACCGTGCCAACAAGATCGTCACCGAGGATGACGAGAAGGCCATGGACAAGATCTACAAGGTCGAGGGTACCTTCCGTCGTGTCATTGGTATCCACTCTCGTCGCAAGTTCAAGAACACCTACGAGTACGAGATCTCGTGGTCGCTGGGTGACAACATCGGCATGAAGAGCGAGCGCTGGACTCCCATGATGTCCAACGACAACACCTGGTTGCCCCGTAACGAGATTATCCAGTCTCACTCCAAGCAGGTCGCCGAGGTTGACCAGAAGGAGGCTCTGGCTTCCGGTCAGTTCCGTCCCCTGGTCCGCAAGGAGATTGAGCAGCACTGCGCCAACTTTGGTCTCGACGCCGAGCTGGTCTCCCACTCGCGCATGCGCGGTCTGTCCGGTGGTCAGCGTGTCAAGGTTGTCCTGGCTGCTTGCTCGTGGCAGCGCCCCCACGTCATCGTCCTGGACGAGCCTACTAACTACCTGGACCGTGACTCCCTGGGTGCCCTGTCCAAGGCCCTGAAGTCCTTCGAGGGTGGTATCATCATCATCACCCACTCGCGTGAGTTCACCGAGAACCTCACCGAGGAAGTGTGGGCTGTCAACGACGGCAAGATGGTTCCCAGTGGCCACAATTGGGTGCAGGGACAGGGCTCTGGACCTCGCCTGGAGAACAAGGAAGACGAGGAGGACAAGTTTGATGCCATGGGTAACAAGATCGAAGTCCAGAAGAAGAAAAAGCTTACTGGTAAGTTTTATTGCAACTGCTTAGACTTGGAATTCATGCTAACTTGTCTCTTTCAGGCTCTGAGCTCCGCAAGAAGAAGAAGGAGCGTGCTGCCCGCCGCAAGCGTGGTGAGGAGGTCTTCTCGGACGAGGACGACATCTAAAGGGAAAGAATTGCTTTGTGATGCATTTTATGATTGGTTGATGAATTTCATATGGCTTGAGAACGAATACAATCATTGTTCAAATTACTGCCTATAGTAGAGTTACGCGTAGAGTGTAGTACGAAGTTCTCCCCATCGGGTCACGGTATCAAGTGACGCTGTGGATAGAACATATCTTGTTTAAGAGGTCTAACAACCCTATAGTTTTTTTTTTTTTTTTTTTTTTTTTTCTCTCTTGCCTTGGAGGCCTTTCCCAGAGCCAAAGGAAGCACTCAAGTTTGGTGGTTACTGTGTGTTAATTGCCCAGGAGATTTTCAATCATGGTATTTCGTCATCTCTGTGAGAAGTACGGGTGGGTTGTGAGTTGTGATGTGGAAAAACACACCCAACTTGACATCGCCAATGTAGAAACTTCCTTTCGATTCCAATCAGTCTTTCAGAGGTAATCCAACAACAAAAGCAGTTCTTCTGTCCCGTTTTCTATTCCCAAACTCCCAAACCCGTGCGAAAATAAACCACAATGTAAAATGTGGTGGATATGAGAGTGTACCGCATCCCAGACCGGCAAAGAAACAAGCAGATACCACCGTCGAATTCAGTGCAACTGCAGAATAAAAAAACCCCCCGAAGAGCTGCAAAGTTTCCTGACTCAGGACTGGCGCGAACGGCGCTGCCGGCCATGCTCGGCGGTCATGTCCGTCGCAGCAGGGAACACACTGGACGAGGACTCAGTGATGGTGGACGTAATAGTGGCAGTGACGATGGTATCATCCCGAGCCGATCCCTTCAACTGACCCACCTGATCACGAGAAGGGTGAATCCGGCGGAAATCAGACAAACTACGCCGAAGAGCAACAGCGTTGGGAAGACCAGCGACCTCCCGGTGCGTCTGGATCTTCCGCTGCTTCAGGCGGGCCTGCACGGCGTCATTGCCCTTTGAGGGTCTCTTCTTGTGAGAGATGGCCGGGGTCAGGGCCTTGTCCTTGTCCTTGTTCTTGCGGATGAAGGCGTCGTAGCCCTTGTAAAAGGGCATCATTTCTTCGCCCTTGGTGGTGTTGGCGGTGGTGTTGGTTGAATCCAGGTTGATGGTGCCAGTGGCAGAGGCACCGGTGGTAGGGGAGGAGGTAGGAGAGGAAGATGGAAGGGTGGGGGACGCAGCAGGAGGAGAGAAAGAGGCACGGCGAGAGGCCTCGACGTAGCGGCCCAACTTCTCGTCGAAGATGGGGGTGTCGGGGGTGAAGGGCATGTAGTGGTTCTTCTCGCGCGGCTTGTGGGATCGAACCATTTCGGCGGTAGTGAAGGCGAGAGAATTTGTCAAGAGAAGTTGGCGAGAGGTGTAGAGGTGTGAATTGAAGAGGGGGGGGCTGAGAGAACAAGAGGAGGGAGAATAGAGGAAGATAGGTAAATAGTAGGAGAGGAGGATAGAGTCGAGGGATTTTGAAAGGCATGGAAGTTGGCAAGTGAGATCTTTGTGTCCCCTGTCAGTGAAGATAGCCTTCCGAGTAGATATGGGATATTAAGAGAGGTGAGCTTACTGGCTGCCAAAGATCCCCCACGCGGTACACTCCAGCCACAGGCATTGATAGAAAAGCAGATAAAGAGATGTCGAAGTGAGCTTTGCTTCAGAGAAGGCAGAGAAAGGGATATGTGTTACAAAAGAATTCATAGACAAGAGATAAAAGCAAGAAGGATATTAGAACAGGACCAAAGTAAGTGATTTAGGATCAGAAGACCCTCCGAAAGTACAATATACCCATGCTGGACTTGATGCCGAACACGGCTTTTTAGCTTAACGGGAATATTTAGTTTGCTAGGGATCCAAAGACCAGCTATAGAAGGAATCCATTCTAAATTCTTTCTATATTCAAGAGTCTAAATATCAGTGAAATGAGAGTAAGAGAAAAATACAATCCAGAAAGACACAGCTCTCCATCTATGCATTGCTTCTGGATTGCAATGTTGCACCTGGCGACGGAAGAGCATTCTGAACCTGCACCCTAAACTTAGCCGAGAAAGGATTCGGATCCTTATTCTGATCCAAGTTCCCTAAAGTGTGATTGACATCGCGGTGCTTGGCCTCGTCCGCGCGCACATACAACAACAAAGAGTGCATGTTCCGATGGCCCTCGGGCATCTGCCAGTACTTGACAGCCATATCAGGAGCCTTCAAGTGTGTCCAGCGCGGGAGAAATCCGTTCTCGATATCGGCAATAGCCTTGGAGTATGTGATGACAGCCTCTTCTTCGAGGTATCCGACGAAGCGGTGGCAGATCTGCGGCGAGACCAGGTATGCAAGTGAGAAGCCGCTGAAGAACACGCATTGGGCGCCGAGGACCATGAACCGCATCAGGAGGCCGGGCTCGGCGAGCTTGAGGAAGGTGAGGAGGTGCATGCGTTCGTTGTAGGCTTCTTCTAGAAGAGTTTCGATCCTGAGATCTGTTAGATTGTGAGTCTTGTTGAAGTGGGGTTTCAGGGGCCTTACCAGCCGTGGTCTCTGCGCATTTTCCGAATGCTTTTCAGGTGTCGGAGCATTCCTGCTACCATCCCGGGCACACCGGCGACACTTTCAAGGAAGATGAACCGGGTGATCCACTTCTCTTCTGTCATGATGTGGTTTTTGGATAAAGTGCCGCTCGTGGGTCGATACCCAGTGACGAAATCCATGCTCCAGCGCAGGAAACGAACTGTTCCTAGGGCCATCTTATCCGACCAGCAGCCTGCTCTGCGGTGGGCGACTCGGACAGCGAGGATCTGTTCTTTGGTGTAGCTGATAGGCAAGGTATGTCAGTGGCTGGTCAGAGGCCAGGAATCTTAGATGAAATCAGAGAAAGGAATAGAAAGAAAGAATCGACGTACACAGGATGGGTCCATGACGACTTTTGGCCAGTTTGGGATCCGGTGGTGTGGTGCCGTTTTTCCACGCATAGATTGTTGACACGTAGGAATTGCCAGGGAAAAGATCTGGAATGTTTGGATATGCTATGGTGTATAGAATATGAGGGTATTAAAGATGGAGCAAATTGCCGACTGATGTTTGTTTGGAGTCTCATTGTGCCGAGGACCCGTCGACGATAGAAACCAAAGCCAAGTCTAAATAACAAAGAGAAGTCGCTGGATAATGATCATTTGTTGGTTTATCATAAAAATGAATCAACTTTATACTTCTGGTGTTCTGGCTTTTACTCGGTATAATCCAAACTGAAAAGTGTTGGGACTCGCTGGTCTACGCTGTACACTGTAGTGTTGATAATAGCCTCAAAATCCAGGCACCAGAGGAGCTACCGGCACGCTAGTTGAATTTACTTTCCTATTCTTTCCGATGATATCTGAGTTCATGCCGGCTAGATGAATGGCTATTGGGTAAATAGTAATGCTGTGGAGGTAGTCTTGTAGTTAGTAGAGCAGGGTGCAGCCAGAAACTAGGTACACTAGAATTTCAAGATCTGTTAGTGCAATACCAAAATTTAGGCTTTAAAACACCCATGAGGAGATCTTTATTTCCATTTCTCATGTCCATTGGGATATTCAATCCTGAGGTTTTGTGTGGCATTCGGCTGCTAGGACTAGAAGAAAGGGTTGCCCTGCGCTGGCTCAGCAAAATGGACATTAGAAGCAATAAAAGCCAAACGTATGTTAGAAGATGAGTAGAAAAGGTTGTCGTAATTCCTTTGCTCTGTCGTCCTAACAGAGCTCGCTTGCCTTTTATGTTGTTTATTATTGCAGAATTCACGGTGACTAGGGAGTGTCATCGAAAGATCCATATGGCCAAAACAAACAGGTTGACCTTGTCGAGGTGTTCATGCTCAACCAACTGCAGTATCCAATTAATTGGCATGAAATCCGCCACAGCCATTCAAGATTACCCGGGCACCAATGTGTCCAAGCTGATGATAGAGATTTGGTGTCGAATGCCCAGTGGAGATGAGGTACGTATTCAGGGGTTGCTGTGAACTCTTACTAACCTTCGGTGCTTCGTGGAATAGAGCAGCAAAGTCCATGCTTTGAAAATTAGAGATTATCGAACTCGTTGTGCTTTTGATAGAGATCCCCATATATACTTACGGTGAGTGCTTTCGGAAGAGTTGATAGCGGGTGGTGTGATGATGGTCTGATAGACATTTGCAGTGTGTTATTTATAGAACCCAAAATATAAGTCCAAATGCAAAAATATATATATATATATATATATGAGAGGTTAATCCTGATATCGATCTCTTGCCCTACGAAAAGTCGGCTACAAGACCCGCTCCCGGAGACTCTCCCGAGGCTGAATGCAAGGGTATTTGACTCGATGGCCCCTGATATCGATTTCCCTCACTCCTTGACATCAACAGATCGTGTTTCAGCGCACCCTAATTGTCCGTGCTTTCTCGTCGTGGCGAATCGCGCACAGTCTGAGGTTTTTCTTATCGAATGGACTGGGCAGACTCCCGAGGCGACCCTGGAATTGCTGCCGAGAAGTGCTTATCTTCCTGCTATCTTACACGCACAACAGACGGCCTGTTATCTTGAAGAAAAGAAGTAGTGTGCTCACACTTGGCTCGTTCCTTTTCTGCCTTGCCCGTTGAAGTTCAGTTCCGGCCACTCATACTCACCCACCTCACACCATTGTCGCAGGGATAAAGATGAGGTATTTCCGAACATATCCACAATATCCGCTACCCGTTTGTATCGAGTTGGGGTCAGGGTTCTCCGCATTTTCAGAGGCGAATTTGTGGAGATGCGTTATGACGCCGATAACCGGCAGGGCTCCCGAGAGTTTATCGCAACTCCACAACCTCGAAATCTCTCTTCATTTGACTTCGCATGGCAAAGAGTGCGGGGGTTAGAAAAGAGCGGTGATGTCCCGTCATGCAGTGACGTCTTCCCTTGCCAGGAATGCCTGTCATCTTTGTTGATGCACAGAATCTATCGGTCTGGTACCCGAGTATCGTCAATAAACATTAAAGAACATCAACTTCCCCGGACTTGCCGTCTTCCATTTCATTACTCACTCTCCATAAACCCACTGCTACCCTTTATGGACACTGCAAACGCAGCATCAATTGCTATTTCTCTCCGCCAATCAAGATTTTTCCACGATGCCCGAGGGTAAAGACGACATCGAGGAGCTGGCTCCCGTTCCGTCGCAAATCGGCGAGGTCCACAATGACCCGAACTACGCCCACGACGCCGTGTTTGGCGAGATCACGGAGGATGGTCCTAACTACCGCAATGTACGCCATCTTTTCTTGGGGCAATTACTCTAAAACACGGATTGAACATCACCGTTTATGTTTTTCATGTCTTTCTCTAGGTAGGGTGGCTGGGAACAGTTGCTCTCATGATGAAGTCCCAGATCGGTCTGGGAGTCCTTTCCATACCGGCTGCTTTCGATGTCCTGGGCCTAGTCCCCGGCGTGATCTGCCTGTGTGTGGTTTCTGCCATCACGACCTGGTCTGACTACATCATTGGTGTCTTCAAACTTCGCCATCGGGAGGTCTATGGGATCGACGATGCCGGCATGTTGATGTTCGGTCGGCTAGGCCGTGACTTTCTGGGATTCGCGTTCTGTCTTTGTAAGTCTATGTTTGAATGCTCGAGGACAAGGCCTTTTGCTCACGCTGATAGATTGGACCTTCGTCGCCGGGTCTGGCATGCTCAGTATTTCCATCGGCTTGAACGCTGTGTCCACCCACGGCGCATGCACGGCTGTTTTCGTCGTCGTGGCTGCTATTCTAGGGTTCATGCTCTCGAGTATTCAGACGCTGGGCCGCATCACCTGGCTAGCGTGGGTTGGACTGGTCTGCATCCTGACTGCGAGTGAGTGATTGAAATAGCACTGCTACATTAGTAGAAGATATAGACTGACATTGTGATAGTTTTCATCGTGACAATCTCCGTCAGCGTCCAAGATCGTCCCGCGTCGGCACCGCAAGAAGGCGTCTGGGTCTCGGACTTCAAGGTAGTCAATAACCCAAACTTCACGCAGGCCGTCACGGCCGTATCGTCAATTATCTTCGCCTATGCTGGCACCCCCTCTTTTTCCCCATCGTGTCTGAGATGCGCGACCCACGACTGTACACCCGATCCCTACTGATCTGCCAATCGGGCGTGACCGCTGTCTACATTGTCATTGGCTGCGTGCTCTACTACTACTGCGGATCCTATGTTGCTTCGCCTGCCCTCGGCTCGGCTGGTACGCTCATGAAGAAGATCAGCTATGGGCTTGCGCTTCCGGGGCTTGCAGTGACTACAACCCTGGTCATTCATGTAAGAACACCCACATAGACACATACCATACACAAGAACTCTCCGATATATGTTCGATCTGGTACTGACATTTCTAAGTTGCCAGCAAAATACATCTTCGTCCGTGCCCTCCGCGGATCCAGACACCTCGCCTCCAACACAATCATCCACTGGGCCGCCTGGCTCGGCTGCACCTTCGGCATCGCCCTGATTGCGTACATTATTGCGAGCGCCATTCCCGTCTTTGACGGCCTGGTCTCGTTAGTTGGGGCTTTGCTGGGCACTCTGATGTCGTTCCAGCCCATGGGTTGTATGTGGTTGTATGACAACTGGAGCAGCGGCAAGCCTGCGAAAACACCAAAGTGGATATTCCTGGTGGGATGGAGTGTTTTTGTTATTGCTATTGGCACTTTTATGATGGTTGCTGGTACCTATGGGTCTGTTGTGGGGATTATGGATACGTATAAGGCGTCTGGGGGTTCGGCTGCTTGGTCTTGTGCTGATAACTCGAACTCTGTATGAAGTTGAGGGTGGTGAAACTGAGCTGATTCTGGTATTTTGGTCCTGGAAACCTTGGTGTGGATAACCCTTCCTGGGGAATGTATATCAATTGAATTGGAGGGACAGTGAGGTAAATATTCAAATCTTAAGGGGTATAATCTTTCCTGTTAGGTCATTCTTCCTTGGTTAACACCAGAATCTGCAAAGGCTGAATTGTGTTCACCTGAAAGGTGTTAGCTTACAAATTCTGCGCAGCGCATCCTTGGGGCCGTAGAGAACACAATGCAATTCGTGGCCAGTGAGGGGTGATGATCTCTCGTTATCGCCAAGATCAAACTTGAACTTGCGCACTTCATCATCAAAATGACACAGGAAAGCGACACCAGGCTGGCCGTTGTCGTGGTCGGAATGGGCCAGATGGGCATCAGCCATGCGCTTGCCTACCACCACAACCCGGGTTTTGAGATCATCAGCCTCGTTAACCGAAGCCCAGGAAAGAAACTGCCAGATGCATTGACGCAGTACCCTGTTGTGTCAACATTAAAGGAGGCGCTTCCGCTGAACCCCGATGTGGTATCAATCAACACCCACACCGCGACCCACGCCGAGCATGCAGTGACCGCAATGGAAACCGGAGCACACGTCTTCGTGGAAAAACCACTAGCCACGACTGTGACAGAGGCCGAGCGCGTCATAGAGACAGCGCGACGAACGAAGCGCAAGCTAGTCATCGGCTATATTTTGCGTCACCACCCCAGTTGGGTTGAGTTCATTCGACAGGCACGCCAACTCGGTCCGCCATTTGTGATGCGCATGAACCTGAACCAGCGGTCTCGCGGTGACGCATGGGAAATCCACAAGCGACTGCTGCAGGATGCCAAGAACCCGGTGGTCGACTGCGGGGTGCATTATCTCGACGTGATGCTACAGATTACGGACAGCAGGCCGACCCAGGTGCGTGGCATGGGGGTCTCTCTCAGCGATGAGATCCCCGCGGATGAGCAGGTCAACTACGGGCATTTGCAGGTTGTTTTTGCTGATGGATCGGTTGGATGGTATGAGGCCGGATGGGGGCCGATGGTGTCGGAGACGGCGTATTTCGTCAAGGACGTGATGGGTCCCCGAGGTTCAGTGTCGATGGTCATGGATGAGAACGAGACTCGTACTGGGGGTGGCTCTGCGGATATTGAAGGCCACAACAAGAGTTTGCGTTTGCGTGTGAGCACGCTGGTCGAGGGTCGCTCGCAGGATACCATGCTGTCGGTGGCAGATGAACCGGGGCATGATGACCTTTGTGCGCGCGAGCAGCAGTTCTTGCTCGATGCTATTCGAGAGGATCGAGACCTGACCCAGCACATGGAGGACGCTGTTCGCTCACTAAGTATTGTGCTAGCGGCGGATCGCTCGATGCATGAGAACCGGGCCATTGATCTCGAGTAGTTTTTGGGGAATTCTGGGATATCAGCAGCGGAGTATACTAAGCATTGGCAGCCGAGAGTTGGACTTCGATGGGCCTGTCAACTGTGGGCCGCCGATCACCTCGACACATGGAAGATGCCTGCCAACCGCCTGCAGATAAAAACAATGACAAGAATAGAAACCAAGCATTCGAGAAAGAGATTCGAAGATGCTAATCATTTCTCAGACCCGCATCGAATGTCCAAATGCCGATTCGAGTAAGCGGAGGCTGTGATGACGATCCTCAGCCCCCTGAAGGGCGGTGCGTCATGGCTGCCCCGCTTCGTAAGAGGCAGCATCTTCATTACTGCGCTGGGTTAGTCGGGTCAGCATCTCAGCGTGTTTTTCTCTGTTATTTTCCCTCCTTCCCTTCCTCTCTCTCTTTATCTCTCTCTTTCTCAAGAATATACTAGTCCATCCACCATGTCGAATTACGCTGGTCCTCCTCCCATCCAGTATGGGGATGATTACTATAGCCAGGGCCCGGGACAGTACCCGCCCCAAGGCTACGGTCCCCCACAGGGAAACTATCCGTCAGGGGTGAGTGTAGTCACAGTGCGCGATACGATGTCGAGTAGCGTGCCAGCATCACCTGATACGAGGTGATATTACGCTCGATATCCAAGACAGACAGCTAACCACTGCGTCCAGCAGCAACCTGGCTATGGTCAGCCGCCCGCCCCCTATGGCCAGGAAGGCTACCCGCCCCCGTACAGCAGTCTGCCCTCGCACGGCCAGTACCCGGGCCCTGAATACGCCCACGGCCCACCGGTGCCTCCCAAGGAGCGAGACCATTCGCCCTACCCTCCCCAGCAGCAGTTCCAACCCGTCGGCGCCAATGCCTCATATTATGCGGAAGCACCGACGCCCAACCAGCAGGGGTATCCCCCGGGTCAAGGTGGACCGGAAGATGAGAAGGGTCTCGGGTCGACGGTGGTCGGTGGTGCGGCGGGCGGATACGCCGGCCACAAATTGGGCCATGGGGTGTTAGGGACTGCCGGAGGTGCGGTGCTGGGAGCTATTGGCATGAACATGGCAACCCACTCGATGTAAGTTTTCTTTTACTTTGCTGACTTGGGTGCGTCTTGTTCCGCTCTGCAGAAATCTGACTGATCGGTTCTTTTTTTTTTTTTTTGAACAGGGGCAAGGAGCACAAGAAGCACAAGAAGGAAAAGAAGCACAAGAAGAAGCATTGCTGCCACAACAAACACCGCAAGCGCAGATCAAGCTCGAGCTCGAGCTCGTCTAGTTCCTCCAGTAACTAGGTTCCGCCAGACGCCCGATCCGGCAATTCGGATTCTATCGTTGGGTCCCAGGATGCTCGAGCAGCGTGGTAATGGAACCCGAATTGCTGGTGACGCCGAAATGTGTTCTTTTTATGTATTGATTGTTTGTTCCTACCGATGAATTGTACAGAACACCTATGGTTCTCCTCAGAGATGTCCAAATGCCTTACGTGTCCCGAGAGCTTTGCCTTGATGAATTCGTTTTGTATCCGTATTCTCGTATCCTCTAACGTGTGCAATGTCAGCTCATAAAACTCGCATGTCTCTACAACAGCCATTGTATTCAACAAAAGTGGGTTACGCCATCAGAATTGTTGGAACAGCAACGAGAGACTTGTTGAGTCGGGCCCAGGCAGGGAATCCGATTGTAGTGATACATCAGAACTATAGTAGATTCGAAGACGGCTCGTGAGTCTGAGACCTGCTCTGTGACGAGACCGTGGTTTTCGGAGTTTGATCTTGAAAAAGATGCGTTGAGTCAACAATCGGGTTCACTTGAAACGCGAGCCGTGGCACTGTCTTGGGTGTCTCCCACGAAAACCGCCATTTTTCATAGTCTGCGTCCCAGCGCATCCGAGGCACCAAAGAAGAAACGCGACGCCAATGGCGTCGCATATATCTAGAACGGATTCTGTGCGGTCGACCATCCACAAATGCACCGAAAGTGCCTTCCTTTTGAGGTCCTTGGACTAGCAATCCGAGAAGGTCACGTTTGATAGGCGCGGTATCTTGTACGGTTGTCTGCCCGGGCTTTCTTCGTGGCACAGGCTCCCATTTCACTGTTCCCGAGATCAGTCCGTCCAGAATGCGGAGATCTTCCTCAGGCAGTGGTGGCAACAGACTATACATCGTGTCTTGATACCACTTCCTCCGGATATTGACTCGACGAGATCGGCACACAGGGCTGCCCCAACTGTTTTCTTCGGGGATGCGTGGGAAGAGCGATTTGACTTGAGGCCGAACCCGGGATGCGGTTAGCACCCCATTGTTGATTTGAGACTTTGCGAGACTCATCATGATGCTCGGCGCTTGCCAGCCATCATCAAACCGATTTGGTTGTTCCACCAAGCCTCTGAGCGCTTGCGTGTCCTCGGGGATCGGGGGCGTCATCATCTGGGCCAGCAGTTGGTGTCGCCGTTTCCCCACACGCCCGTATGAAGTGAGCAGGACCTTTTCGAGAGGACTAGGGTGGCCTGCATTTGCTCTTTTCAGAAGAGACAATTTTGATTTTGCTTTTCGACTCAGTAGGTGGGCGGGCTGGCTGCGGCCGGGGGAGGCTGCTGCGCGGTACCGAGCTAGAATCTCATGATGCATATAGTGGCGAGCGATGGGATCGGGAAGGTAGGTACATTCGCGCAAAGTAGCGCGCAGCAAATGTCGCCATCGTGTCGCATTAAAAGAGTTGGCTGGCAATGTCGAGGCCATTGTAAGCCCTTCGGGGGTGGTGGGCGGGTCGAAGTTGCACCCGAAGCGAAACGCGAAAATCCGGAAGCCTTGGCGTGTCACGGGAACGACGCGCCCTTTCGCTCTTCCCCAACCCCGCGACCTTCGCGCCTTGCACCCGATCTCGATCTCACGCCATTGACACATTCCTGCCTGCATTGTGACCTTGAGCCTGCATGGTTCTTGGCTTTACCGTGGTCCCCCTGTCTGAGGGTTACGCGCCTCCTTTCGCGTCATCACGCCTGACCTCCCGGTATCTTTCCGCCCCAACCTCCCCCGTGCCTGCGACTAATGCCCCATTTGTTATGTGCTAATGCTGCTGCCCATTAGACCAGCATGTCCTACTCGCAGAGCAGCACGGGCTCAACAAACGGGATGGCCTACAACATCCTAAACGCCTCCCAATCCCTCTCTTCCACGCCTCGCGCCACTTCTCCGCCCCCGAAAGGTTCCCAACTGTCTTCATTCATTCCGAGTGGCCTTCCTCGAAGCAGCTTGGGAGGCCTGGATGGCTCCAATGATTATGGAACGACGTCGCACCAGGATGATTACAAGCCACAAATCTACCGAGTGCGTGGGTTCCATTCACTTCCACATCACTCAATACTAACGAGGTTGAACAGGCTGTTTACTCTAATGTCTCGGTGTATGAGATGGAAGTCAATGGGGTCGCAGTGATGAAGCGTCGGTCCGATTCGTGGCTGAATGCTACCCAGATCTTGAAAGTCGCTGGCGTCGTCAAGGCCAGAAGAACCAAAACCCTCGAAAAAGAAATCGCCGCCGGAGAGCATGAAAAGGTCCAAGGCGGTTATGGCAAATACCAAGGGACATGGGTGAACTACAACAGAGGAATCGATCTGTGTCGCGAGTACCACGTGGAGGAAATGCTGCGACCATTGTTGGAGTATGATATGAGCCCCGACGGTTCGGGTGGTTTCGCCCAGGGAACCATTGATACGCCTACAAAGGAGCAGGCGATGGCAGCACAGCGCAAACGGCTCTACAGTGGCTCGGAGAATCGCAGCACGTCTCAACCACAGCAAGGGACGTTTTTCCAGAACATCTCGCGCACCGCGGCGACGGCTGTCAATGCTATCAGCAAAGCTCGGTTCGATTCTCCGAGTGCGAATAGTCGTCGACCCAGCGTGATTCGCAAACCATCCCAGCAGATGAGCAGCCAGGAGTCCCAAATGCCATTCAGCAGTCAGCAAAGCATGTACAGTGTGTCCGACAGTGGGTTTGCCAGTCTACAGAATAGGTACCAGACACAAGACGACCACGACGACCTCGCGGAACCCCCACGCAAGCGCTTCCGCTCTGCCTCAAACCAAGGCCACCCTCTTGGATTACCCCGAGAGCCATCGAACTTGTCAATGCATGAGCCTACGCCGACAGAACCCAACGAATCCTTCTACCAAGACATTGATCTCCCCCCACCACCTATGGATGACGATCAGAAGCGTGGTGTGGAGGCTCTTGCTCCTGCCTCACATCCAGAAAGATTCCAGAAGATGAAGCTGATCATGACGCTCTTCCTGGATAAGCGAACCAAGGACTTCACTACCCACCCAGCCCTGATGCAGCTAAGTGGCGAAGACCTGGAGATTCCTTTGGATGAGTACCGAAATAACGCCCTGCATTGGGCTGCGATGCTTGCGCGCATGCCCCTCGTCAATGCGCTGGTTGCCAAGGGTGTCAGTATCTCTCGAGTCAATGGTGCTGGAGAGACAGCATTGCAAAAGTCGGTAGGGACCCGCAATAACCTTGACTACCGAAGCTTTCCTCGCTTGCTCCAGGTGCTTGCCCCTACCATCGACATGGTTGACTACAGCGGACGAACCATTCTACACCACGTCGCCGTGATGGCGGCCACTGGTGGTGGAGGCCATGTGTCTGCGAAACATTACCTGGAAGCCCTGCTGGAATTCATTGTACGTCATGGCGGCATTGTGCCGGCCGTAAATGGCGATCAGACACAGAATGGATCACCCGGCAGTGATGTCATCTCTCTGGGACGGTTCATCTCAGAGATTGTCAATCTTCGTGATGATCAGGGCGACACGGCCCTTAACCTGGCGGGGCGGGCACGCTCGGTCCTGGTCCCGCAGCTGCTGGAAGTGGGCGCCGATCCACACATTCCCAACCACACCGGACTTCGGCCTGCAGATTATGGGGTTGGTGTCGATATGGTGGATGGTAATTCACAGTCCCAGCAAGCTGGCGACCGAAGTGACACGTTTATTGATCAGCTGGCCAAGTCAAAAAAAGAGATCCTCGAAGGTAGGTGTATTCCATGTCGGATGAGCTTCTGCGCGTGCTAACAAGAGCCTTAGCGACAATGAATCAAATCAGCTCCATGGTTGAGGAAGCGCTAGGGGGTATCGATCGGGAACTGGCTTCAAGCCTATCACAAAAGCAAGAATCGTTCAATCACTGGCATGCAAAGATCCGCGAATCTGCCAAGGCTCGACAGATCGAGCAGAAACAGCTGGATGAGCTGAAGCGGAGGGGCTCAGATCGAGTGGAAATTGACCGACGGATCAAGAATCTCGAACGGTCTTCTGAGGGCTTGTTGGTGACACTAAAGGATACACCAGGCTTCGGCCTGACCAACACGTTTGTTGTCGGTGATGCAGACCAGGATTCTGGTGTTGATGCCGCGGCGTTTGAGACCTTATTTTCGGAGAAGTTTGACCCTGCTTCCGGCTTTTCGGAACAACAGATTGCCTTCTTGGCCGCGCTGCCAGCCTCGAATCTGCTCAAACATCGAGCCCAACGCTATACAGAGTTCAACGCTGGACTCCTGGCCGAGGTTGATGGATTGAAAGCGAAGAACGCAGTTCTGGGGCAAAACTACCGCCGCATGGTGATGGCATGCACGGGCTGGACCGCAGAGCAGGTCGATGAAGCTGCAGATGGCCTGACGCAATGCGTCAAAGATTTGAACGATAATCCTGTTCCTGAAGACGAGGCGATTGAGATTCTGATGCGGGATCGTGGGCAGGACTGGTAGCGTGGTTGTCATCTTCATACTCTGAGCGTTCGGGCGGGCTTTTTTTTTCCATGGCGTTGATGCATTCGACTGTATGATACAAATACCCCGATTGTCTCATTCATGCCTGTAGACATGTGTATGAATCTTGTTATTGATGTTGAATTCATATGGAATGTGTGTTGTACAGCTCCTCTTGGCTCCTCTGAACAGCCTAAAATACAACGGCAGATTATCCGGTTCGCGATGCCGCTGGAAGTAGACAACAGTTCATTGGGATCTCTTGCCAAGCTATTTACCAAGTTCCCCGTGGTTGTTTGTCGCTAGTGGCTTGTGGGTAAAGTGCTGATGCAACCGAGTACTTATACTCGCTGGCAGTCCGGTTTGAGATGTCCCAACCCGAGTCTTCTGCACTTCTCGACACCATACAGACTTCAACATGAGGACCGGTATTCTCCATGTCAAGAATGACACCATTCTTGATGCCAACGGGCAGCGAGTGGTTCTGCGTGGTGCAGCCCTAGGAGGATGGATGAAGTGAGTTAGCATTCCATCACGAAAATTGAGGACAACAACCTTGTGTTTGTGCTGCGACTCACGATGATAATAGTATGGAGAACTTCATCACTGGGTTCGCTGCCCATGAATTCCAGCATTGTGCAGAAATGCACCGGGTCCTAGATCCCGAGAAATACGAGTTCTTCTTCGACAAATGGCAGGGACATCGGTCTCCAAGGCATGATCTACACTAATCCACATAGTAAGTGGAACAAGACAATCCAACCGTTCCTGAACACGAAGCGAGATCCATGGCTGGACAAATGGGGACGTCGACCAGCGTCTGAGCCTGAAGTCGCGCTCAAACCCCTGGCTGACTGGATTGATCGAGCCAGCCCAACTGCCAACACATATCGCATGTCATGGAACACGGAGATACATGTCATGCGGAATGTATTCCAGACCTTTTTGGCGGCTTCGTTTGTGGATGAGCGTTGTTTCAAGGGGTGGGGGAGAAGGACTTGGAGGATGGACATAGTTGATCTTGGCGATTTTTATTCAGATCGTATACTTGGCGTGGCAATACCACCGATGACGGCCATTTTGGCGGCAGAATGAGACTACCACGCACCATCCTTAAGCCCACGCTATCGATAGGAAAAATCAAAAAAACATCGCGGGGTTCGTTTTTCTTCCAGTCGGTACGAGGAACTGTGTGAAGAACTTGAGCCATGGATCCTGCTGCGCATCCCACGCTCAACAGCGTCTTTGACGGGGCATCGCCTCTCAAGCACCGCTACGACCCCGTCCAATTGACATCGAACGACATCGTGCCGATCTTCGAGCTGCCCCTCGCGAAGACGGTTTTGGGCCACGACACCGATGCAGACACCGTTGCCAAAGTCGCGCAAGGCGAGGTCTCTTATACAAGCTTTGTCGCCAACCAGGCTCGAGCCGCTCTCCACACCCCGCGCGACGGCCTGAACCCCGAGCAGAAGCAATCGCAACTCCTACACCTTGGCCTGGCTGCGCTTTTCAGCTTCTTGCAGTCAAATGTCACCGGACCTCCCTTGGACTTCAACTCGGCTGAGCTGGTTCTCCCATCGGAACTGCGAAGCAACATAACTACCCTCCGCGCTGTTCGAAGCAAGATCGTTCGAGGCCTTTCCGTCGACGGAGAGGCCGCCTACCAACTCACGCCCAACCCGGAGCTCTTCTCTATCGCCAAGGCTCTTCTTGCTGATATCGATAATGATGGGGCCTTGATGGCAAAGACTGCGCGCATGCGTGTGAATTTCCTTCATCAGAAAATGCTTTCTGAAGTCACTGGCACACTCCAGGACCTGATCTACAATGACCTCGGGGAGCTGGCCAAGGCCGAACTGAATGCGGACGAAAGGGGACGGTTTTTGTTGGAGCGTTCCATTATCTACACGCACCACGGCTTGGATGGCAAGGCCCGCGCGGATCTGGACCAAGCGGCCACTGTGCGGCAGTTCGAGTTTGCACTGACCGGAAAACTGGGCAAGCGGACGAAATTCCAGGACCGCGACATCAGCCAATTGGTTGTCATAGCTAAAAGCTCGGATGAAGCAACAAAGTCTACTGAGCCATCAGGACCCCAGAACCTGGATCTCAATGACGATACCCTTCTTGAAGCAATCTCCTTTGCCGACCAGAAGTCGTCAACGGTGCAAGAAGAGCTCTCGCCGGTCTTGGCTTCTGTGGACGCTAATAACCAGCCGATTCTCAACCCGGTGGACTCTGCTCTTTTGCTTGCACTGGCATCCTCCATCACCAATACGGCACCCGAGAACGGTCTCACCCGGGAGGAAACACAACCTTATGCGACTCGTGTTCTCGAGGGTGGCAGTTCGAATTGGCAGATTTACACCCAAGCTCTCTTAGTTCGAAGCAGGGTTGAAGGATACCGCTCGCGCACGGTCGAGCGAGCTGTACTACAGATGCAGGCTCTTGTGGATCAGGTCATCGCAGACACGGCAACCGACGACTCAGCGGCCCAACAGCCCTCATCGGAGCCAACCACTTTCCTGCCGCGGCCTGAAAAGTCCGAGTCAGCCTCTGCCGCTGACCGACTGGCATATATCTGGCTACTCGACTTTTCGACCAGATGGGATCTGGAGTCCGAGCTTGCAAAACGCTGGGTTGACCTAGGCGGTCTGCGCACAGCACTCGAAATCTATGAGAGGCTGCAAATGTGGGCCGAGGCCGCGCTGTGCTATGCGGCGACGGAACGGGAGGCCAAGGCTCAAAATATTTTGCGCCGTCATCTTTACCAGGCGACTGGTCCGAATGAAGAGGACGAGAATGAACAATTCACTGGGCCAGAGCGGTCCCCTCTACCGGCAGACGCCCCTCGTCTTTTCTGTATTTTGGGAGATATCTCCAAGGACGAGAAGATGTACGAGCGCGCTTGGGATGTGTCTGGGCAGCGATATGCTCGGGCTCAGCGCTCACTGGCTCGCCACTATCTAGCCCTCACACCACCTGAGCTTGAGAAAGCCGAGGAGGCATATCGCAAGAGTCTGCACGTCAACCAGCTCAACCACGGCGCATGGTTTGCTCTCGGATGTGTGCAGCTTGAGTTGCAAAAGTGGCAGGATTCCACGGATTCCTTTACCCGCGCTGTTCAAATCGATGACACCGACGGACAAGCGTGGAGTAACCTTGCTGCGGCCATGCTGCGAACATCTGCACCCGAGACGACGCCTGATGCGCCGGATGAGAACGCCGACGGAGATTCTGCGGAGGAGACAGACCCGCACAAACGCAAGCGCGAGGCCCTAACCGCTCTGCAGCGCGCTGCACAGCTCAAACACGACGACGCCCGGATCTGGGATAACTTGCTAACAGTGGCCGCATCAATTCCGCCGCCGGTCACTCCCTTCCGCGACGTGGTTACAGCGCAAAAGCGCCTAATTGAGCTTTTGGGAGCCAAGAAGGGCGAGAGGTGCGTCGACGTCCGGATCCTAGGCATGCTGGTCGACTTCCTCGTCACAGCTTTTGACTACGAGTCCCTCCTCATCAAGCCAGAGGCCGGATCATCCGCTCCTGTTGTGCGCACCGGCACGATCCCAGGCCAGATTCTTTCCTTGGTCGACGACAACGTCGTTCCTCTGATCACACACTCTTCTACACTGTGGCTCCTTGTATCCCGCGTCGAAATGTTCCGCGAGCGTCCGGCGCGTGCCCTCGAAGCCCACGAGAAGGCATGGCGCGCGGCCGTTGCTGCTTCCGCTCAGGGTGCGTTCCAGATGGGCGACGAAAAGCCCTGGCTTTTGATTGTGCGCGCTACGGAACGGCTTGTTCGCGAGGGCTATGCCCGGTACGGCCCGATGGACCGCGAGGACCAGAAGAGCGAAGGCGATGCGGAAGTCGAGCTTGTGGCGCGCGATTGGCGGTTCAAGGCAAGGAGTGCGGTGCGAGGGATCCTGGGCAAGGGCAAAGATTTCTGGGAGGACTCCGAGGGCTGGAACCGGTTGAAGGAGTTGCAGGGTGAGGTGACGGGGAACTAAAGCATACATACACTCGAAAAGCGCTTGATATTATATCCATGAATGATAGAGATGACAGTTTCATTTGTTGGCTGTGGAGATATTCAAGTTCCGGAGTTGATAGGGTCGCATCACACCAAAGTCCCCAGCAGTAACGCTGCTCTATTTCCCCCTCCATCTTTCTCTTCACCATTCCACAGAAACTCTCAAATAGCACACTGTCAGTCCCCTGGATCCACTGCACGACGGTGTGGACATTCTGCTTGTTTGGAGTCTGTGATGTTCCGCTCAGCCGTAGCTGCACCCGTACTCCAAGCGCTACCTGCTCTGGCATACCCGCTGGCTTGTTCGAGGCACCTTCTTGACCCGCAAGCTTCATCTTGCGACGTGCTTGTCTGGACCAGACATTTTCTGCTGCGAACCCCACACCTGCAGAAAGACTGCGGTCCCAGGTCCAATGCCAAGATAGGGAGCCGAGCTCACTGTCAAGGGTAGCGCTGGCTGCATCAATGGATGTTTCGGGGGATAAAGCAAATGTATAGTCAGCAGGGAAAGGGAGGAGATGTTTAGGGAAACCCGGGATGCCTCGGGCCGTATACTGGGATCAATATCAGAGATCATGGTGTTAAAGAGTTTAAGACATTTTCGCCTTTTGAACTTACCATCGCAGGACGCCGGTCACCCCACGACCACGCTACTGCCCAGCGCTTCGTTTTACTGCCCTGCACAAATTCGGTAACGGCATAGTTGTGGTTGTCGTTTTTGATCAGCAATTCAACTAATACGGTGACACTGCTGAGCTTGCCCAGCATAGATGTGTACCACTGAATACGGTCTCGAAGCCGCAAACTTTCTTCTATCATGCGGGTGACGAAGGCGACCTCGCCGCCGCGGGTGACCATCTCCACCTCGGTGCCCGTGCATGCCTGAACTTGGTTAGGAAGATTTGTCGAAAAGGGCAGGAGACAAAATAGGATTATGCACCTACCGAGAATGGAGGTCGTGTCTTGGCCTCTGCAGATTGTATCAATTCGTCACGCGATGTGTAGAATGGCGGATTGCACATGGTAAAATCAAGACTAATCAGTGGTTAGATGGTAGATCGAACACGGCCCCGCTGAGGCCCACCTACGTTCCACGATCAAGTTTTCCGAGCGGGAAGAGATTGTCTTCAGGTTTGGTCTGAACAATATGCACGTGCGATTCTAGATTGTTGAGGACTACATTGTGTTGGGCGGTGCGCACGTTGTTTTCATCGATGTCTGACAGGCTTCGGTCAGTATGCATGCATCCCGAGAATTGACTCTTCAGTGGCCTTACCCGTCGCCACAAACTTCCACAAGGGCCGGACCCTGCATCCTAGCAGTGGGTAGATGCCGCAGCATCCCGTGCCGCTATTCACTGTTAGAGGTAACTCTAATCTGACGAGTGAGGTGGGGACCAAGTGACGTACATATCGAGGCCAACAACCTCTCGATCGCCATCATATTCTCCCCGAAGAGTTCCCGCGCTGGAGTCGAGAAGGTCCTGCAGCCACAGGATATAGTTGAGCCTATATGCGCGTCAGACGCACGATTCCAGACTAAAGAAGTGTTGCTGCGTGATTCGGGCATACCTATTGGGCACCTGCAGTCTCGATCAGCACATGTTGGTCAACTCGGGTCCTTGTATCCATACCGGTGGACACAGGCGGTCCTCAGGGATCTCAACCTTGAGACCAAAGTCCTGCTGCAGCAGGCTGATCGTTAATTGTCTGTGCAGGTCAGGTTAGACCCACGTTGATATGTGTTGTCATGATTGCTGGGCCCGTCTCACCGGACTGCGGCTGGATCATTAAATTCGAGCTGGCCATTTTGGTTTAGACTGCGCTTCTTGTTAGACTTTTTGCTCTTGTTTAGTATCGGGTCTATAACACATACTGCTTGGCGAAGTCATGCGACTGAAGTGCGAGGGCTGCGAAATCAACCCCGTTTTTGTAGAGGCTGCGCGTGGATTCCATGATGGCAATGATTTTTGCTGTTTCAAAGGATTCACTGGCACATCTAAATTGTGGGTGGTTGCAGTGATGGGGGATGGAGATGGAAGTTGGTTGCTTCGGAATCTAAGCAAGGGTCAGGTGACTCTACAGGCCCTCCATTTACAACGAGAATGGTCTTGCAAAACACTCGAAAATCAATTCATTTGTAACTGAAGTCAATCTATAAACAAAAAGCATCAATCAAAAAAGGCATATTTGCACTATCCGAAACCCAAAGCCCAAGTCATCAAATCGTTATTGCCCCACGGTCCATTTTATATATCCGTCTCTTGTCTATCAACCAGTGTCCTTTCTCAATGCATTCTTTTGACAAAAGACACGGAAACAACACACTCATCATTTCTTTCTTGAGATAAAGCATTGAGCCTCATATTTATATCGACTGCTCTTTGCGCTTCATTCGCTCTGAGCGTTCTAGTCGCCAGCCAGCGCCCCATCGCATTTCGATCAACAGTAGCGGGACCATGTGAAACGTAATACCAGCAAGCAGGACGAACGCCCACTCCGCAGTAAGAGCATCAATAATGGGCTGAACAGCAGCAACACCAGCAGCACCGATCAGGCATCGCATCAGGTTGTTGACAGCGGTAGCACTGGCACTGGCTCCGGGATAGAGGTCAATGACCAGAGCACTATTGATGGTGAAGATGGCAGTGGCGCAGTAGGCAATAATGTACTGCAGGATAATGGGAACGGCGAGATGTGTACGCAGCGAGACCCCATAGACGGCGGTGCACACGATGAACAGGGCGGTGATCCACCAGGTGTTGCGCATGCGAGCGTATTCGATGGGGAAGTCGGGATGAGACTTGGAATTGATTCGGGTTTCGGTCGGGAGGTTGTGCTGCTGGCAGTATTCGCGCTCTGTGCGCTTGTGGTTGTAGTCCATCAAGTAGCCGATGGTGTAGGAGCCGGACATGCACCCGAAGCCTGGATAGATGGTGGTTAGATCAATAGATGAGTAGAAAGTATGCAATATGCTACTTACCATTACCTAGAAACGTCAACCCAACCTGGAATGTATTCAGTCCATAGGCAGACTCGAAAAGGGAAGAGGTCGAGGATGTGACCATGGACCAGACAGTGTAGACGACGCTACCGAAGAACAGGGTGATGAAGACGTCCTTTTCGGCCAGGAAGGTGAGAGGTGCAAGAACGGTCTTGATGGTCGCCTTTGACTTCTTTCCCGAGGGAACGGCACCTTCCTGCGCATCCTTCTGTCCGGTGATGGTGTAGATGAATGGTTTATGAAGACCATGGAGAGGAACGGTGCCGTTGCCGGCAATTGTGCGGAGGGTTTCGGGAAGAAAGCACAGGATCGAGAGCAAACTAATTGCAGACACAATAACCAAGAACCAGAAGATGGACCGGAAGCCCAGGTACTGCGACAATATTCCACCAAAGACGGGGCCAATTCCTTGACCCAACATGCGAACTGTGGTCTGTTAGATTTGAAAGCCACTTCAGGTGGGTAGTCAACTTACCTCCGCCAAAAATTCCAACTAGGCCGCCCCTCTCCGCAGAGGTGGTAATATCACCGATGACACCAGCGCCTAGATAAGTAAGTCAACTGTTTGTGCAGAGTTACGGAGGTGGCGTACCGATTGAGATAGTTGCCGCACTGCCGGCAGCCTGCAAAGCACGGAAGGCCATGAGCTCGCCATAGTTCTGGGACACTGCCAAGGCAATGTTGGCAATGATATACACCACAAAAGTTCCAATAAATATCACACGTCGGCCGACGACATCAGAAAAAGATCCCCAAAAGCTCGGGGCTAAGCCTTGGACAATCATGTAGACAGTGACGGTCAGGGTAGTCAGAGACATGGAAATGTTGAGCTCCTGTATTATAGTAAGTAATGAGGATCTATATCCGGTAAATCTATCACTCACCCTCGATATCTCTCCTAGCGCAGGAAAGTAAATGTTGGAAGACAACGGAGAGAAGATGGCAGCGAGGGAGACGATGCAAACCATCTGGAGCTTGCGCGAGCGTGGGAAAACATGATACGGCGGTGGGGTCGGTGTTTGGCTTTCGAGGTTGATCGAGTTTGAAGAAGGCGATGGGAGTGACTTGTCGTCCCTGGCCGAGAGACTAGGGCTTGAATGAACAGAGCGTTCAGTAACTCGAAACTCCTTGAGCTTTTCGGTTGAGTTGAAGTCTGACATAGTAAAATGTTATAGAAGAGACACAAAGCTGTGCATTGATCAATCAATAAAAGGATATAGACAAGCGGATTGGAAACATTTAGTTTCTTTCCTTCAACGAGATTCAACTAAAGGTCTATAGCATGGAATGGGCCCTTTTGTATTTCAACGCCAACCCACAGGCCTTTTCTAGTGGCCCACAATTAAAAATATCAAGGCAGACAAATCCGAGAGGAGTCAAGTCTACGGGCTCCACTGTGGATTCGACCGGGGGTACGATCTGGAGCTTTCTCCCCTTGATGGCAGAGGGTAGCCAAGGTCCTTACATTTTTGGTAACGGAGATGTCGCTCACTATGACCACGATGAATCAAGATACGCAATGCGCCCGGGATGACCTTTGCAGATCAGCAGAGCCCTGCGGAAATCACATTTGGGACAATTTATAGTGCATCTTCGGATGGCTGCCAGTGTGTATGCACACCAGAAGAATCAAATGTGCTCTTGCGAGTCATTCAATAGTTAATACCGAAAAATTAAATAGAGCAAAATAAAATAAGAAAGCTCAACAGGAGAAAAAAAAAAAAGCCCCTATCCAGAGAATCCCACTCAGGCTTGCGCCTCCATGTGCTAGGTAGATGCATTTGACTATCAAAGATCGACATAGCACTAACACCAATTGATCAAAGTTTAAAACAGGGCGTCTATATGTGCTGACGCCCTTCCGACCTTGCACATAGTGATGATCTCGGGAAATTCATTCGGGGACTTTGTCTCCAAGTCCCGATTTTCTGCGGCCCGACTACTGCATGATCAATATCCACGGAAGCCGTAGAGCCAATGGCAGCTACAAAGCCTGTTGCCGATGAGATCACAGTTCCGAGGGAAAAAGGGTTCTCAGGGCTTCGTTTGTCCACGTGCCGGGGGATGGCAATGACGATCTCGGTCCGCCAAGCAAAGGCTAAGCTCAGTCACCGTCCCGTTGGGGGATGATGGATGGGTGGTGTTTCATGATTTATTTTCGTTTGAATACGCCACCTTGTTACGTGGACTAGCCGCTCCTTCGAAACTGGTCTATCAGAATAAAGGGGTACCGGCTGTTGATGCTGTGGGTCCGACTCGAGGGGACGGCTATAGGGGAATCTTGACTCTTATGCTCGAGGGAAGCCAATGAGAGCACATACATCGAGATAAGCATCTAAGACACTATTGCTACCTAAGATGACCCATACAAGTGCAATTTCCAAAGTCTAGAAATCATAGGTGGATTTGGAAGAGTCAAGAACACGTCCCAGACTAGTCTGCAAGGAGGGCTGCGCTAGAAGGATATGATCGACAGTTGAAACGGCCTTTTTGTCAACAGTACGCAAATAGCGGCAATCCTCGTTGGTCGATCGGACCCACCGTACACAGCATAGCCTTCCAGCGCGAACTCGATCTTCCGTCTAAACTAGTATTTAGTCTGTCCCTTTAGTCCTTTATCCCTAAAAATTTGCTCTTATAGCGAAATCTTACTACGATTACAACGAAGAGGAACCTAGCCCAATAGCGGACCCCTTAAGTATCACTGCTTCGATATTAGCTGTTATCACAGCAGCCGTTTAGTCGACAAAATCGCTCCATAACACAATTGTCCGCTTCAAAGGACGCGACAAGGCATTGCTCAGGCTTCACAATGAGTTTCATGATCTCGTCGGTAATTTAGACTCGTTGAAGCAAGTGTCCGAGAAACTCTCTGTGCCAAGTAACAATAAACTGTGGAAGATTGGTGTTACACAGTACGGGTTATCCCACTTCTTGAGCGAACCCAAATAGTTTGGTTGTTATACATTAGGTTTTCTTGGGTCGGTGAAGAAAAGAAAGGTGCTTTGTCAAAAGCACTTCGCGTAATTCAGGGTCGATTTCTATCGGGCGTTTCTTTTCCAGTCAATAGGCATTACATATTTCAATATTAGAAGAACCTGCGATTAAATATCTCCGAGGTAGTTTGTAATTTTGACGATATATCTTCCCAAGTGCTCTTCGCCAATATATGCAAACCGTGGATCATACAAATTCTAGTAAATCAAAACTGCCCATGATTTGCCTGCAATAGTATTCGAGCAGCTGTACTACCATCAGGGTTGTTTATTAATGGACACTCGTGTGAAATGTGCTCAGTTTTTAATGTACTGCATCGCTGGCACTCAAATAACGGATTACGAATTCATCCTCGAAGTGTCATTCTAGTCGGCAAACCATATTCCTCCAGCTTCATGATAAGGGACTGCTATGCGTCATTTTCCCTGCAATGGCAACGACCTGCAACACTGCGGCGAATCCAGGCCTCGAAGACACATTTTGTCGGATCTGAAGCAAAACCTAGACTGGAGATATGCCATGAAGCGCATCTGTACCATTATATTTGATTTCTGATTTGTATTTTGGGATGCGTCTAATTTTATACAATATAAATATTCGTGAACACTTCAAATATACAAAAAACAACACAAACAATAATGCTGAGGTCCAATGAAGATACAAGTGAATGCAATAAAGAACGAGGAAAAAATCGAATTTCCCCCGTGGGAGAAAAAGCTCTCCTGTATTTTTCTCCTCTCACCTCTCACCTCTCTCTGTTTCTATATAACTCTATATTTTCATATTTATGATTGCCCCTGGCCCCCTCTCCCGTTGCTTTTAGATATTACTGCGGAATTCACCCAATCCGGACTTAATGTATTCGGCAAGAGAGCGGGTAAGCCATCTAAATACCGTTAAGGAGCACCCATTCTCTTTTATCATCCACTATCCCCTCTAAAAGATCCCCCCTAGTAAGAAAGTCTGCCGGGTAGGATGCTAGTAGTGCATTAGGTATTGGTGCTCCCATGGGAATGAGCCCATGGAGTTGAGCAAAAACCCATTCCATGGGTCCCCGTTTCTCAAGGTCTACTCTAAAGGATATAGGCGATGGTATGCAAACAGACGAGGCTCTTGCTGTCAATATCAAAATTTGATGCTGCATATAATCTGTGCTCTTATACTCTCGTTAAATGCGCACTGAAGTCTTTCCTCCATCCTTCTTCACCTTCGTATTTCTCAATAGAATAAACCCCCACATCCGTGTCCGCCGCATATTGATTTGCCACGATTCCGCTCAGCATGAAGCTCATCTCGCCAATAGTGTCTACTCGAACTTTTCTCCGGGTGCTTCTCGGTCGCAAGGTCAAGACCAGCACACTCCCGAGCTGTGAATTTTTCACAATTTTCGGAATCACGTTGAATCGGAGGTTGGAGAGCATGCTCGGTCCGGTGCCGGTGAATGCTTCCATGAGCTGGCCTTGTGTGCCCAGTTCAATGTAGATTTCGAGGTACTCCATGAAGTAGTCAAAAGCACCATAATTGTAAACAATAGAGACGATCAGATCCTGTTGGGGACGACGGTTCTTTTCAGTGGGAGGCAGCATGGGAATATCATTGCTTTCCTTGCGGCCCACAGCGTATAGTCCGTAGTCAAACTGGGGCCCGCCGCCGCGGGCTAGAGTTTCTAGGTTTTGTGGAGGAACAGAAACTATTTTGGGGATACGGCAATGAGGGGGATGATAAATTGACTTGATGGGCTGGTGTCGGTGCCGCTTCCCAAAAGGCGGGTACGGATCGCAGGCGATGGTGTTCTCGACTTTGGGGTATGGCGAGAGACTTTGGGCTCTCGCAGGAGAGGGGACCGGGAGAAGTCTGGGATAATCGCTGTACAAGTCTTTGAAGCTGCTATCGTCGGACGTGGGGCATTTGATCTTGATTTCCCATTGAGGCTCATTGAGCTGAATTCCCATCAATGCGGCGGTGGGCTTGTCTTCCTGAAACCAATCTGGATTATCCTTGAACTTCTTCTTGATAGTATCAAAGTGATCCTGTGCCAGAGACTCGACGTTGAGACAACGGGTGCTGTTCTCTGGCCCCCAGATGAAGATGGCTGGCCCTGCATCTGGATTTTTTAGGGCGTAGGTATAAGGAATGGGGACATTATGGTCATCATCTGGGATTTTGCTGACGGTGTACACCCGTTTATACTCCATCCTGATCTTCTCCGTGTCTACCTCTGCGGCAGCGGTAAAGAACTGCTGATGGGGTGGTTCTCGCAAACACAGAAACAGGGAACTATCTCGAGGGGGCTCGCGCATGAGAACGACCATTGTGTTTCTTTCCACGACCGCATGTCGCAGAATGATCGGGGGGCTTTTGGATCAGGAGGTGTACCGTGTTCATCTTCGATCTCCAGGATCAGGTCGGGGAATTTGGCAACGAGAGCCGAGCGCACGTAAAAACCGTATCGGGGCGTCTGGGGGTGATAAAGATCCGGCATTTCGGTTTTCAGGTGATTATTTATGGCTCCTTTGATCGCATTGCGGACTTTATCGTCGTCTGGGTCCAGGTGGTTTGCCAAGCTCAGTCCTCCGTCGATCATGGCACACACCCACGCATGGTCGATGGCAAATGCTCGCACTGTTTCCATGGGAAGGTGACTGGGATCCGTAATGAGGTAGTGTGGAGGAACATCGACCAGATAGTATCGATCCAATACCCAGCGGAGCACGATTGCCCAATCGATGGATTTGGGAACATTCAGCTCATTGTATGGAATTTCATCACTCTCCTCACTGCTGGCAATTTTCGTCGTAATGTCTTGGAAGCAGCTGTCAATGATGCCGGTGATTTCTGGACTTTTGTAGGAGAGATCGAGCGGCGGCAGCTCTGGACGACTCCATCGACGGACCATACCACCAGACACTTTTTGATGGACATTGCTCATAGATAGGGTCTTCAGCTGTTTGAGTGTATCCGAGAGGCTCGATAGAACCTCTTCTTTTGTTTTATATACGGTTGGCACGCCCAGCTCCTTGCTGCGACGGTTGATGACCTGTCGTTGCGCCTCGTTCACCCCACTGTCATGGATCTGCTTGCGCAGCCGTCCCAACGCGGTGGCAAACTCGGGATCCGCCAGTCCCAATGCCTTGCCAAGATTCCAAGCGGCAGAATACGTCAGGTCCATGAGGTTGAGGTTGGGGTCCAGAATCTGCAGCTTGGAGCCGGTGGTCGAGCTGGCGGGCCATTGAGTTCCGGCGGGAAATGGGACAGCAGACGGTGCAAACGGACTCTTGGTAAAGGCAGCAGTGATGTCTCCAGTTTGGACACGGTACCTAACCAGCGAGAAGCCGTCATCTATCCGCTTCTTCAAGCGTTCATTGATGTTCTTGGTCAGATCTGTATCGCCCGAACCGCCCAGAAGCTCTCCGTCACTCGCACTCAAGTTGGGTTTGAGGACACTTAAAGAGTTCCCCAAATGCTCAAAGGCGTCCTCGATATTGAGCGAACTGGGTGGCAGGCAGGTATACTCCCACGAGTGCAGGGAGGACATGGCCACAAATTTCTTGCCCGGGGTGAACTTCGTGCTTTCCACTCCTTCAATATTGACCAGATGAGCGACAACCGGGGTTGGCTTGGTAATAGAGAGAGCGCCAGTTCGATGGCTGACAATGATGGAATACGCGTGATCGTTGCTCTCTGTTGTAGTCGCTGACGGAGTGCCCTCGAGGTTGATATGGCGAAGATGAGCGAGGAATCGGAATTGCTGAACGTATCCCTTCTCACTATCCACCAGTTTCCCCTTGTTATCGTACTTCGAAAACAGGGATTTGAACAGCTCTTGTCTGAGAAAGATGATGTCTGTCTTTGCATCCCCATCGGACGGCTTGTATAGGACCGGGGAGGTGTTAGTGGCACCTAGTTTGTCGACAAATTTGGCAATCATAGTCGTGCTCAACGTGGTGCTCTGTCTTTTGAAGCTCTTAACCTGTGGATCTTGGAAAACACTGTCCAGATCCGATGCATCCAGGCGAAGTTCATCCTGCGTGAACACGAACACTGCCAGCCATGGCACTCGATTTCGATCATAGTCTCCCGTGGGTGGCTTTGGTTGCTCCCAGCTCGCCGTCCGCTCCCAGGGCAGAGTTGGATCGTTGAGGACCACATTGGGCAAGACCTCTGCTCGGTCTTCATGGCCCTGGGGCGGGTAAAACGACGACAAAGCGCCCTCTGGAAGTGAGAACCGGGGGCCGATCACATTGAATGAATGTTTCAGGCTGGGATCCAGCTGATGCTGTTTGTCCTTGGTTTCGACATGTTGTTTCACCTCGATCATGTGTGGCCCTGCGCGCAGACCGGGGACATAGTAGGAATATAGCTGCTCGTACCCTTGTTCAATCGCAGCGGGTTCATTCTTACCCATGGGCTTCTGTGCCCGCAAACGCTTCTTCGCATGGCGCAGGGCCAGATGGCGGGGAGACAAAGTGGGATCGTGTGGAGGGCGACGAAGGTCCATGATTATGGCTGTAGATGGTTGAACTGATGTGGCCCAGGAGAGAGAGGGAGATTCAGCAACAACAGAGGAAGAGAAGATGGTAATTTTGCATTGTAATATTATGCTACGCCCCGGTCAGGTATAGTATCTGTATTGCGTCTGCGAACTGGGCAGAGCAGCGATCGTCAGACGAACCCACATTGATGGATGTACCATGCAATGCGCTCTCCTCACTTGAGTTGTCGAGTAGAACTCGCATGTCGCGTGCAGAAACGAGGTGATGGCGATGCAGATGCACGTACGGCTTGACAAGGGAAGTCGCGCGAAGATCCCGACAACGGAGGGCACGAGGAACCAAAGTATGATGACGGGATAGAGTTGGATCGTCGTTTGTGGCGGGCTGAGCGCGATTTGATCTCGAGGCCAATGGAACAGAATCGTGGATATAAATTGAGTGGGAATAGAGGTGCTCAGCGGGTTCATCGAGCAGCATCATTGCCCTGGATTTCTCGACAATGGCACCTCTCACCAACCAGATCACCGTCCTCCCGAACCCGGCTGTCGATGACAACCCGAGAGACATTCCTGGTTCTCCCGGTTCGGTCCGGTCCTCGCACAAACACCTGAAGTTTGGCGTCACCGGAAACCGCCAGCTCTCGCTGCAGATCTATAGCACCACCAACACCAACCATCCCACCGGCTATGTCGATAACAATGCTCCTACGGGGACTATCCATGAGCCAGGCACCCTGGCAGGGGCCGTGCAAAACAAAATTGTATGATCCCCGGCGAATCAGCCCACTGAACGGTCCAGACTGACGGAAACAGGCTGTGGTATACGGCATTGCCAGCTCCGGATCCGGGGAAACTGGCAACGTGGGTATCTGCAAATTGAGCCCGTACTACAATCCCATTGCGAGCGATGACGGCAAAGGCCCCATCCAAACCAATCTCTGGTCGCTGACGGCCTGCGATAATCGCGATCAGCGCAACTGGATCTTCTTCCTCAGGAAGGAAGGGTAAGGGAGGAGATCCGGATAGATTGGTATTCGAGAAAAGCAGGCTAACTCCCACCACAGCACTGACCAAGACTCAAAAATTGTGTTGGTCCAGCTTGTGATTGATGAGCTGGACCAGGCCGCTGTGACGCCCTTGAAGGTGCCCACCACCATCGGGGCGAAATCGCGACTGACCAGCTTCTACGAGAAAATCCCGTTTGTATTCTTCGTGCATGAGGGTAAACGTCGGGGGATTTATTATATCAATTCGACCCAAGCCGAAATTGGTGAGTCGCATCCCTTCCGTCTACAATCCCCTGCGACAGGCACTGATGGAGAAAATACAGCCATTCCGATCAGGAACACGAACTCCGTCATTGAGTCGAGTCCCCTGGCGATTGTGACAAACGTGTCCACGCACAAGAACAATCAGGTCTTCCTCCAGCTGACCCTGTACTATGTCGATAATAACGGCTTTCTGTCCTACGTGCTCGGGACGCTGGAAAAAGACCAAATCACCTGGTTGGATGCCGGGGAGACCCTGGAAAATATCGAGGTGGATCAGACCTCGTCACTGTGCGCCATCAATGGAGCTGACGGCAAGACGCACTATATCTATCTGGTCCCCGACGGAGGGGCCGCCGGGGCGTATAAGGTCTTCACGACCACGCCCTGGCAAGTTTCACCCCCTCCCTCTTGATCTGAAGAAACCCGCTTTTTGTCTCTCGTTAACTGGCTGCATTTGCTCAATGACCGATCAGCTGTCCATGGCAACTTCGCTTGGAAGTGATGGGCGGTCACAGGTACTTTTGTTCTGTCGATCAATGCAACTCACAATTTACTCGTATTACATCGTGCATATTCAGTACTCTACTGGTAATGGAGTACCGAGGGTCTTGTATCATGTATCGTATGCATGTAGAGCCATGTTCTGAAAGAATGACATAAGGAACAGAAGAGATAAAGATATAATTGCATCCAGCCGTAGACCGTGTCCAGAGCCAACTGCACTCTTCTGCACCGATAGAAATGGCGAATCCTCGAGACCTGAACGTCACAATCCCTTTCAAGCTCGACGCATTTGTGCTCAACGAAACCCTAAGCAGCCCAGATCCCAACGAGGCCAAAATCGCCCCGATCACCCAGCCCAACTACACCTTTTTGCAGCTGGAAGATCAGCTTCTACAACATGATATCCTGGACCCCGTGGACCTCCACAATGCATTTCCCGCGAGCTCCAACTCCCGGCTGTACGACTTGGGCAAGGGAAAACCGCGGACAAACCGTATGGGGGTTTATCTACATTGGGTGATGCCTCGCTTCTACCGAACTGGGACTGCAGCCACTCCATCCGCAGCGTCAGACCACGGCGAGCAACGCAAGGCCCAGGGGCTGCATAGCGCCGCGGCCGACGAGAAGCCAGACTATACAGCGCCTGCATTCCGGCAGCTGCCAAACCGATGGCTCGTGATTCGGAAACTGGATCCCTCGGCGGAAACGACCAAGCCCAGAAACGCACCCATCCCCGCGGTGGAGTCTTGGGTTATTGAAAGCGATCGAATCCAGGAAATCGACAGAATTCCGGTAGAGAAAGATTTGCAGGTTGACGTGTCCCCGTACATCACGAGTAACAGCGAGGGTGCGAAAGGGATCAAGCTAAACCGCCAGGCAGAAATCTTCATTGGGTACAAGGAATCTACGACCACCTGGAAAGAGGGCAAAGACCCCAACGTCAAGCGCGTGGATTTGACCGCGGTGAACAGCTCGAACCAGCTCTTCCTTGACTATCAGCCGCACTGCAGCAATGTCTTCTCCACCGTCGACGGGTTCGAATACAAGGACGGCGGCACCACCAAGCGCCTGGAACAGGCCACTGCGGATTACTACGTGATTGGGTGGCATTCGGATGAAAGACAAGCGCCGTTCGGAGAACTGAGCCAGGAGGGCTCTCGAGAGGAGCGGCTCAAGTCGCTTTCAATGCTGCTGAAGGGGGACAAAAAAGACTGGCCTTCGGACTGGCTCACAGACAAGGGACCTGCCGGCAGCGTCTGCCATGGAGCCATGTATAACGTCGTCTGGAATCGCAACCAGCGTCCCGACAAAATCCCCGCCAACCAGGCGTCGGAGCATCTCCTCGACTCTATGCCAGTGACGGTGGGCACGACGCCGATCGATTCGCTACTGTCCTACATCGACTGCCACAAACACACAAGTGACGAAACCCCGGAGCAAAAGCAACTGGAAAACGACATACACATGCTGGAGCCGCTGCTCCGGGCACAGGATGAAAAGGTCGATCTACATCGAGTCGCCGTGGACGAGGTGCAGAACTGGAACTTTGCCCGCGAATCTGGCGGTTCACACTGGCACCTGCAAAGTGCCGACGGGGAAAAGGCTACGAAGCCATCGCCGCGCGAAGTCGACGCGCTAGAGGCCCTGAACAATGCCCAACGGGTCCTCGACAGCACCCAGCGGCAGGTCATTCAGCTTCAATGGGACATGTTCGCACACTGGTGGCGATTCGTGAGCGGCGACGTTGACTCCCCAACGACCAAAACTGAGATCGATACTCTCAGGGCGCTAGTCAAGGAGCTCCTCGACTTAGCACACCGGCAGAAGGATATAATTCAGAAAAAGCTGCTAGTCTTCCGACAGAAACCTCAGGAGGGTGTGCTGCCCGAATTCAGCCAGCCGCGTGACCCGACCTTGTTGGTGTCTGGCATCGAGGCTGGATGGCCCGATGATTATCTGGATGATCTCCAGGTCCGTTTGGAAAGCCAGCTGGTTCACGGAGAAGTTCCTGATAGTGACCTCTCCTTGTATGGAGTTAAAACGCTCCCCGAGCATCTGGTAGGGACCGCCAAAGCGCTGGTTGGAGAATTTACGACACTGAAGGATCCTAATGCCGTCGGAGACAAGGGTCATCCTGTCCCTTTATACCACGACCGGGGAAAATATAATGCATCTGATTCCCGCGATCAATGGGCCAATACACAGCCCTGGGCGCCCTTGTTTCTTGAATGGCAGGCGGAGTATTTCCATATCCCGTGGGCTGACTGGGAGCTGTCCCCAGGCCTGACACCACAGTGCAAAGACCAGATCGACAATCGATGGCGGCTGGGGATCGATCCCTCGAAAAACCTGCTCGATCCTCAGATTGAGGACAAACGGATCCTGTCAGGGCGAATCCTGCTGCTGCCACAACCGAGCTTCTCACTCCATGCGTCCATCGTACAGCTGCTGAACTCGGTGAGCCCTGAGGTAAAGAAGAAGTACAAGATTAAGGAGCTGGCCGACAATACATGGAAGTTGCCGTTTCTATCGGCCCCGTTGGACGGGTTTACCGATCACTTATTGACCATGGTGCATGGTACGCATATCAAGCCCAACGCGCGGATTCCTGGGGGATACAACAATTCTGGGGTGCAGCCCATAGAGGATGCTCTCGTCGGGCCATTCGAAAAGGAGCATCTGGAGGTCGTTGACATCTACTCCGAGCAGACGCCCTACGGGGCGCTGCTGTCCAACTCGCTTCAAGTCCAGAATCAGACCGCTCCTACAACAAGAAGCCCGCCATATCCATTCAAGCCCGTCACGCACGGCCAGTTCCGCTTCTCGAAGCTCAACATTATCGACAAATTCGGGCAGGCAATCAACGCTATCGACGCACGCTATGGACACGAAGATGACCAGGCGATCTATCCGTATCTTAGCTCGTACTACGAGCCCCAGTTATATGAGGGAAAGCCCAACCTGGTCCGGCCGAATGGAGATGGTCACGAAGGGCACGTCGAGTTTGTGCAGGTCCCACCGGCCATCAACCAACCCGCCAGACTGAATACAGCCTTCGTGACCCATGACCAGCGGCACAAAACACCTGGTGACGACTATTCCTACTGGCGTCCAGTCACCGAATGGGAGAATCCGATATGGGGCTGGGTCGTGCTCAACTACGTGGACAACGGGATCCAGATATTCCTACCAGATGGGACGTTCTATCGCGAAGTGCGGTTGACCGCGCCCAATGCACCTCAATATGCGTCTGCCAGTGCGAAATGGCTGCCATTCCCACCCCCAGAGCCGATTCCCCAGAACGAACAGATAGACCGGCTGATCAAGAAGCTCACCAACGACCGGGCGTACCTTCAAGCTTTCCTGGCTATGGCAAACGAATCCCAGGCCCAGTCGTCGTCGTCTTCTGCACCAAGTGCGTATGCTGGCTTCCTCACCTCCCTTGTCGGCCGACCTCTGGCGCTTGTCAATGCCGGTTGGTCGCTCGAGTTATCCATCGACGAAAAGAAAAACCAGGCGCTGTCGGGGGCTGAACGGCAGGCAGTCTATCTACTACCGGGCCCTGGCAAAACCTGCTACGATTTTCCCATCAAACTGGGCGACAAGGACCGGGCCAGCGACGGGCTGGTGGGCTACTTCCATCTACACGACACCGGTGAGAACGAAGAGCTGAAACCCGGAGACGAGCTAGACCTGAGCTCGATCTACACGTACTACGTCGGGGAAGACAAGAGTGGCAAGCTGAAGGACATTTCCGATCCCAATGCAAATCCGCCACCCAAAGTGACATCTTTCTGGCTGGCGCCCAAAAACTACATGGGCGACGACGAAGAAACCTTGATGAAGAAGGCTAAGCTCTACGCCCGCAACTGGAACCAGAAACTGAAGGTGTTCGGCGCCATCATCGACCCGTTCCTACCTATCACTACCTTCAGCAGTATTCTGCCCATGAACAACCTCCAGCTACCACCCTGGACTTGGCAGCAGGCCATGCAGAAAATGACTGCGTTCTTTCACCTCGGTCCCATGGTGGTCACTGCGGACGTCGAGAAATACCATAAGAATACCGAAGACAGCAAGCCTCTGCTCCCAGATTACCAGCTTGACCCGACCCGTGATCCCACCGTCAAAAACAGTGCGGTCGGGCTACCTGCACTACGAACGGGAAACTGGGCCTGGCTGCAGCCTTTCCTCAAGGATTCGGGCCCAGAACAGGAATACAAGGCATTGGGACTGGGCAAAGTGGATTCTGCACCGGGGTATGAGCCAGGGCCGTACACGGCGTTGGAGGGGTATCTGCAGCTTAAGCAGCCGATCGTACGCCCTGATGTGAACGAGAAGGAGGGTCCAGCATGAGTGTAGATCAGTGGACGTGGCAGGGTGTGTTGGAATGGCAAATTGTATGCGGCAAATTGACTTGAACATATGGAATGAACACGCAATGGGGTCTTTTTTTTGTTGCTTTTTCCCCTTCAGGTAGTTTCCAGGTGATTGTGATCGCAACTACAGATACACAGCATACGCTGTGCTTCGACGCATATCGCTGCCTCCAGAGTGCCAGCCTGTCTCCGCAGCACTGTCTACAATGACGCTCGGACATCGTACTTTTGTCAACGTAGCACGAACACGTAACGTATTGCATCTACTCCGTAGATCTGCGGGATATCCTAGTTGATCGAGATGCATACATTGCCGGTGGCTGACGATAAGGATTGTGACCCGAGCTGCAGATGCACCCGCTGACGCCATGAACATCTATAGATGTCATGCAATGCACGGACGGATTGCGTTTGGGGCCGGAACGTGAAGGCAGTAATACGAGGTAGTAACATACAGAAATACAACAATCATTACGATGAATACTGGACATTACCGTTCGCGGAAATCTAGCAAGACTAGGAGCGCAGGACACGAGTTGACTCTGAAAATCATCAATTCTGAGGGAGATGATAGAGGCTGCGTGAGACAATGACGTCCGCCGTAGCACCCGCGACTGCACCCGCGCCCACGAGCAAATGGACAGTTGAACTCACCCTGTCCGACGTCTACGGCTCGACCCTATACGACTTCTTTGAGAAGAACAGCCAGGATGGCGTGGCCTCCCTGCTGGACCAAATCGAGATCGAGAAACTGACCTTCACCTACACGTATGAAGGCCCCAACACGTCCAAGTTCGAGACCGAAGGTACTATCAAATTGGGAAAGCTGCCGCTCGAGCTCAACTTTACACACAACCCCGATGACTGGACGTTCGAGGCCAACCTCGCCTTTGGTGAGAGTGCAGTGCCCTCAACCACCATCGGCGAGATCGCGGGTCATATTTTCGGTTCAGAGGTGCAGGATGAGCTGCCTTTCTTCGTGACCGATATCTCCATCCAGCCGCCACGGAAGAAGGATGCAGCGGGAATCAGGATGAAGGCACTCGGGGAGAAAAAGAAATCGGACCCGAAGACGCCGACAGATCAGCCTGCGGTGTCAGCATCGAAACCCAAGACCAAAAAGGACATCTTCTTCACCGCATGGGTCAGCTTTGGCGGCTTCTCCTTCCAGGCGTTTCAATACAAAGCGGCCCCGACAGAGGCCACGCCGAAACCAGTCGCCCAGCGCGCGTTTCGTATTGCTGTGGCCGCAATTCCCAAAGTCACCATCGACCTAATTGGCGAGCTGCCCCAGCCGTTTGACGAGATGGTCTTTCTCTACGTCCAGAGGCAGAAGGGGGAGAACGCTCCACTGGGGTTGACGTACCAGGATGTCGAGAAGATAAACGATGGATTGCCCGATGATCAGAAGCTGATGTACAAAGTCACCAAGAAGCAATCTGCTCAATCTGCCCCTTCTCAACTTGACACTGGGGTCAAACCGAACGAGGGAGATGCGTCAGGCCGAGCGTACCAACCAACGGATGTGGTAATCCCAGCCGGGCTGCATTTTATGCTACTGCGAAATGATCCACAGAAGGGAAAATCTGTGGCACTCGACTATCTGTTTGGCGGGGGGAAGAAGACAAATCCCAAGTCCAGTACATTCGAGACAGAGTCCGAAGACACAAAGCCGGAACCAGAAACAAAAACGGATCAAGCTGCGGCCAAAGCCCCGTACGAGAAAAAGGTTGGGCCGCTCACAGTGAACAATTTGGGTCTTCAATACAGCCTGGGTAAGAAACCGTCGCTGTCGCTTCTGCTCGATGCGTCGATTGTGCTGGGGCCAATTGGGGTGGGTTTGCTCGGGTTCAAGATCACCCTGGTCTTTCAAAAAGACGACAGCGATCCCTCCAAAACCAGCACCATCTTCCACAACTTGCCCAAGCCCGAGTTTACAATTGAGGGCCTGGCAGCCTCCTTTGATCGACCTCCTGTCATCCTGGCGGGCATGTTCAAGCATGTTACCACCAGCGTACAGGACACCTACCAAGGAGCTGCCACAATCAGTTTTGCCCCGTATCTCTTCCAAGCCGCAGGATTCTACGGGAAGATCAACATAAAGACCCAGAAGGAGCCTTTCACATCGGCATTTGTATATTTCATGTTGAATGGTCCCTTGGCCACTTTCGAATTCGCAGAGATCCGGGGCGTGGTTGGCGGGTTCGGCTACAACAACAGCCTGCAATTCCCTACCGCTACTAACGTGTTACAATTCCCGTTGATCTCGCCTCCCGGTGACCAGAAGCCAGAGGATGCATTGAAGTCACTGATGGAGGGCACCTGGTTCTTCCCCAAGAACCACTCCTTCTGGCTTGCTGCTGGACTGACGGTCCTGGCGTTTGAGCTGCTTGACGTGCAAGCCGTGGTGGTGGTGGAGTGGGATCCCAAAGTCAAGATCGGCCTCTTTGGCGTCGCCACGGCAGACATGCCGCCCAAGGTGGATAAGAAATTCGCCCATGTGCAGCTTGGACTGACGGCTGTGATCGACATTGATGCCGGCACATTCAAGGTCGACGGACAACTGACACCGGCCTCCTACGTGCTCGATCCTAGTTGCCATCTGACGGGCGGATTTGCCTTCTACACCTGGTTTGCCAATGACGGAAGCACCTCAGCCGGCGATTTTGTTTTCACCATTGGCGGATACCACCGCTCGTATAAGAAGCCCGAACAATATCCCAACCCGCCCCGGTTGGCGATTAGTTGGAGCTACGATAGCTCAATCAGTATCCGCGGCGAGGCCTACTTCGCCATTACCCCCAAGGTCTGTATGGGCGGCGGGCGGCTCGACGCATCACTCACTCTGGGTGCCCTCTACGCCTTCTTCGACGCCTATGCCGACTTCTTGATCAAGTACAAACCGTTCTTCTTCATGGCCGATGGTGGGGTAAGTGTCGGCGTCCGCTATACCCTCGACTTGTGGATCTGCACCGTCCATATCAGTATCGAGCTCTCCGCCACGCTCTACATCCAGGGGCCGCCTATTGCGGGCCGCGTCCATGTGAACTTCTGGGTGTTTGGCTTCGACGTCAACTTCGGTTCTCAGGTCACTCACAAGAACGACCCACTCACCCTGGAGGCGTTCTTCCAGCAGGTTCTGCAGGCGGACCTTCCCAAAGGTAACGCCGAGCCGCCCCCGCCGTTCATCTTCTCTTGCAACCGTGGTCTCATCCCGGTCAGCGAGACGGAGGCAAGCACTGAACCCAACAAGACTGAATGGAATGTCCGGGGCGCTGTCTTCCAGTTCACGGTCGCGTGCAAATTTGCCGTGCGACAGGCGACGGTCGTGACTGGCCAACTTGACCCGGGGGAAGGGGGGCCAGAGTACCAGTTTCCCGATAATTCAGCAGATCTTCGACCTATTCACGCCAAACCGATGCACCTCAAGGGCGAGGATACGTTGACCAGTGATTTAACCGTCACTATCCGGCCGACGGGGAACCCCAAGGTCCTTACCGCGTCCGAGGACGATGTGGGCGTACCGAAATGGGAGAAAGCCGAGTTAATCTATAAATCACTCCCAGTGGCATTGTGGGGAGAATGTAAGCTACACATTTTCCCCACCTGGATCTAGTTCTGTTTTACTATATATCAGAAATGGCTAACAAAACCAGACGACGAAAGGGCGGATCCCAACAGTTCCAGCACCCGCGACGACCCGAACCAGATCGGCTCCCTGCTTGACAACAAAGACCATTCCGTCAAACATATTACGGGGATCTGTATCTCGTCTCCACTGCCGGCACTGAGTATAAACGACAAGATCAAGCCCTTCCAGTATAAGAAGTTTTTCATCAACACCGCCGGCAACAAGTCCTATGAATTTCCCCGGGTTCCCACGGTCGAGAAGCTGTGGGATCCACAGGACGAGAACACGACACCGGAAGCCTGGGAAAATGTGAGGAATCAATGGAATGGCGAGCCCAAGTATGGAGCGGGCGCAGGGGAAAACTTTGTGGACACATGGAAGAAGCTGAGCTTTGCGAAATGGGACACGAAACCACCGGCGAATCCAGCGCCAGATGCACCAAAGGTTGCGCCGATGACTGGCAAGCCACCCACATATCTGCTGAACGACAAGGTCAAGTTCGCCAAGCTGTTCCTGGAAGTGCCGCGCATGGGCATGGCGACAGCTTAGTAGTACCTAGGTAGTTCGTTCCATTGTTTTCATTTTCTACCGTTAAATCACAAATCGACAAATTGGTTCCATAGTATAAAATGCATTCAAGCTAGCTGGAGGCTTTGGTGCGCTCATACGTCAATTTTCCTGTTAAAAGCGCAGGGTCTTTATGCGTGGAAGAAGCAGGTGGCACGATAAAGGCTTCCGCGTAGAGGTCAAGCTTAAAGTCCGACAGGCCCCATTTAAATGACGCATTCACCTCGATTACTCCCAGATTTGGCTGTGGCACGTTACCGGGAGGAACGGCTTTTGCTTTCACCATGGCTCCAAACCAGACTCCCTCCGTGTTGAGAGTAAGGAACAGTCTCTCGATGGTATCGGGAATAGTCTTGGGGATATTATCGATTGTATAGCCGGGTATCAGATACTTGATTTGTAGCGGGAGAAGCGGCGTTCCCGCCGGGATCGGCTCGAGGTCGGTCCAGGTCTCATACGTCGGATCCAGTGTGGGATTTTCGTCTCCCGAATCTATAAGAATGTCGGTGAAAATCCAGCAAACCAGGTGATTAGGAACTTACCTTCCCAAAGCTTGCCCTGAATGGTGCCCAGTCCACCGGTGGAAGGGATGTAGGTGTACGAGAGCAGGAAAAGCGTCTTGTTCCCCGATGCAGGATCCTGCCCAATGGGTGCTGACACCTGCACATCCAGTTTGAAAGATGCCAGCTTAACCTTCGGTTTGGTGCCGACTACAACATTGATACGTCGGAACCTGACATCTTTGAATGGATCCTGACTGAACAGTTTCGGGAGTGGCCCTAGTTCACCTTCCTTTAACCCAAGAACGCCTGTCAACCAGCTTAAGGCTCCTGGGATGGGATCCTTGGACTTGGCTAAAAGCGACATGCCGATGGCATCTTCCGTGAACTCCATGATGCCTTGCAGCTCCAAGTATTGACCGAAATTACAGTCAATCGAGATGGCTGTCTTCCCATGCGTCACGGGCACCGTCTTTCCCTCTGCTTCCCCAGCACTCACGACCTTCCGACACACGAGGTCGGCTTGGGTAAAACTGATGTCCAAGTCACCGAGGCCAAGACTGTTCAACGTGCCCAAGTCGCCGAGGTTGAACACCAACCGGACTGTCACTCGCGAGGATGCTTCGGGGTTAAACCACAGCGCGTTGCGATGGCCCGGTGCCAGTTTGGAATCCGGTGTCACTTGCAGCCCCTTTAAGATATCGGGAATCGAATCCTCTGCTTTACCGGTCCATGTCCAGACTTTGGCCAGCGGAACCTCCGTTTTGTCTGACGCCTTCAATCCCAGGTACAGCCTTGGATTATGAAAGCCGGGCTCTTCGATGTTCTTGGCAGCATCACCAAATGTGTTGTTCAACACCGAGCTCTCGGAGCTGAAATTCAGTTTGGTTGGCGTGTTGAATGCAAAGTCGAATTGTTTGAGTTCCGTTTTCTTATTGTCTTCCTCCCCTTTCCCGCTCTCTTTTCCCTCCTTCTCTTTCGGTGGCATGATCGTTAAGGTATACTTGGCTGCATCATCGATCTTCTTGAGCCATTCTACCCACTTGTCCTCATCGTGGAGCTCTGTTGCTGCAGTTGGAGCTGGCGGGCCCGTGAGGATGATGGTCTTGTCAGGGAGCTTTGAGATAAAAGTCTCGCTGTTGGTGCCATCGCCAACTTCGAGATAGGGGTCTTTCTTGTTTTTTTCGGAGCTCAGATATATATAAAACCGCTCACCCGTCGCGAGTGTCGATGCTGATGGAGTGGCCATCTCTTTGATTATTGCGATGGCGAGGAGGAAAGCGCAACAACAGTGCCACAGTAAAGTGGCCATTTGACCATTCTTACTGTTCGTCGTATTATCATTACATATCAAGATCGCCGGGCCGCCGATCTGGTTGCCTCGACCCTCCACCGACTTTCGACCTCCACTTCTCTCCTGCAGGATAGGAAACAATTCATCGGGATCAGAAATTGCCTCATCTCGAAAATCGTGTCTGTTCGTACTTCAGCCGAACGAGTTAGGTGTTGGCGGGGTATCTGGGTATCTAAACAACCAACAGCAGCACGCCTTCGCCTCAGATTACGGACAATACCAAACGGTCATGAAACTGTCTCATACAGGTATCTATTTAGGCATAAGCAAGTCAGATGGGGTAGTTCATCCAACAGATCTCGGCTGGCAGATCTACACCCGTCTCCTTGGGTAGCCACGCAGCTATGAAGAGAACGCCCCGGATGCACGTGTGAACTCCCCGGGATCCACTCTATTTGACCGACATAGGTAAATCAAGTCTAATTGGGCTATTTAGGATGCAGTGTAGAACGACAGTGGCAGATCTACATACATGAAACCCCTCTTTTCTCCTTACCCCTGTCCAAGAAGTATGTAGTTATTATCACTTCTGGATGGTAACGATGTAGTACTCATCACTTCTCCACAGGCAAGGCAACTGGGGAGATATATTATGTCATATCACATATGAAGTCGGTATGCTTCAAAATCACTCAGTCTTCGAGCACTCTGCTTTCTTCCCCTTCCCACTTCAGCTCCTTCTGTTTCGGCGGTTTGCCACTTACATCATGGCACAGCCGTACTTTGTTCCCGTTACACATATTACTCTGACGTGGCTTTTTTTCAGTCTCCTAAACAATAGACGCGGAAGCATAACCTCATGCTCTACGAGTATTACTGGACCGCTGACCGCCCCAGCCAAGCGATGATGAAGGAAGAGCAGGATGCGAGACGTGGAATTGGACCCACAAGGGTGCACAGCGTTTCTATAAAGCTATCTGCCATGTTCATGTCCTTGCAAACCAGTCGCTAATATCATCATCATCATCATCATCATCATCATCATCATTTTACATTCATCATGAACCCGGAATTTACCCAAGAATTCGACCTTGAGCGCGGCCGCTATGAACTCAATGATGAGTACTCACTTTTCATCAGTCAATTGAGGCTCCAGGTCCGGGATCCTGGCCAATTCGCACGTGGTGTCCCAATCCTTCCTCGACCTGCTGAACCCCCCACCCGTTTTTTTGATGTGGTACTGAAGACAAGCGCCGACTCATTGAATTCATTGAAGCTGAGGTTCAGACGAGACAACCTCTACCTGATTGCCTACCAGGACGGGAACGAACAGTGGAATGGATTCGCAGACACGTATCAACTGGTTCCAGATTGTGCTGATCTGCGAGTTGAGAGTGGCTACGAGTCTTTGGGCCGTTGGGCAAAGAAAGGAAGAGAAAAGATTGAGCTCGGCTGGAACAAGCTCCTGAACGCCGTCCGAGAGCTTGCGGGAAATACTGCGAGCGGTCAGGAAAAAGCGTCTGCATTAATCGTCATCATAGAGATGATCTCCGAATCGTTGAGGTTTGTAGAGATACGCCGCGGCATATACAACAACTATACTCAATCTATTGAACCAAGCAAGAAGCCTGATTTGCTTGAGCGGTTTAAATTGCTTGAGAACAAATGGGACGATCTTTCTCTCGCGGTTCAGTATCCCGGCGAAAAGCTACATCTGAGTGATGAAACGTCCAAGAAGTTGAAAATGGAAACTATAGAACAGGTAAAAAGGGCACTTGGTATGGCGCTCTATATGACTGTACCTAAAAAAGGGAAGGCCGCCATCGGGAAGGCTACCACCCAGAACGGCCGACATTTGGTCGAATTCTTCGACATGCGGATCTTGAACATCAATAGTGAAGGTCCAGGCAAAGTCTATGGAGCTATTATCGCAGCCAACGGGCTACAGAATGATTATGTCTATAGCCGAGACAGAGAAGATCACGAATCCATTGAGCCTGGCCAATACGCCACCCTGACTGGCCCATCTCGCACTATATCAGCTATCGATGATTTCAACCTCGATTTCAATCTTAAGAGCAGGGACGCTCTATCTGCCGAAGACGAGGTCGCCAACAGCCGGATCGCCTGGAATGCCACCGACCAGGCGAACAAATACGACGAGGTTCGAACAGACATCATCAACGGCCCTTCTGGTTCAGTAGCGCTGGATTACGTCGTCATGAGCAATGCTACAGAGGCCTTAGTGGATATCGTTTTGGTTGATTGGGACGGAGAAGACCTAGCTGATGTCTACGGCGAAATCTACGCCCAGACTTTCTCGTTTCCAGAGAAGAGGATCAAGCTGTTCAGAAGAGAAAGCCACGACCCCGTGGGTGTACACCCGCATAGCTGTGTCCCTCTACTGAGGTCAGCCCTTGCCGTACCAATGGATGCGAGCCTCACTATTAGGGCGTCTCTATGGAACCATGGCCGAACCTCTGATAAGGAGATCGCGAACGGGACTGCCGAATTCGAACCTGCGACCTTACAATCAGCATCTGGGTTGATTACAGGGCAGCACGGCAAGCTGGAAGTTAGAGTCAGCTGGATTTGATTGCTGCTACTGTTCATGTTTTCTTTTGTTTATAGTTGGAGGGTATTGGAACACAGCCCGAGTTCCATTAGGGGTTTCCCTGCATCGTATTCCGCGCTGGTGGGTGGCTACTTATCGACCTTCCCCTCAAGCGAATTCCTTCAAACTTGAATAGGATCAAGAACCAGTCCTCGATATCAACATATCAAAGATTCAGGCGAATCGGGCGAGCAGGGCCCTTATTACCCAAGGCATGACTCAGGATTTGTATAACTGCATAAAAAAAGGTATATATCGTCAAGGCCCAGTTCACCGGTTCCTGGTGGCGTTTTATTGAAACGCCCTGGCCAGGCTATTTGCAGATCCGGAGCAGCTCCTGACGTGGGATTGTTATTGTCAACAGATAGCCTGGTAGCGATGAGAATTCCAGAATCCTTTTGGCAGGAGACAGGATCAATGGCAGCACAAGCCATTCCCTGGCATATCATTATCACATGGAGCTTAAGGTCAGTGTCCCGCATACAGACGTCGCATGAGTGATATATGTCCACCACGCGAAGAGCTCTCATGGATGCACCTATTGGCTATGCCCAATCCCTTCCTTTTTCTCAAGATTAAGTGCTCAAGTAGTTTACCTTGGCATCAGATTTCGAGATACACAACCCGCGGGTCCCTAAGGCACCCAGTGGGCCCAAATCCTCGCGCGCCCTCTTTCACGCTCCCTCTTTCCCGGGCCCAGGACATCTTGGCTTTGAACCCTACAAGGCATCCGGAAGCCGCTGATCGGTCCGAGTCGGAGACTTGGGTGTGGATTCTCAACGAGGTGATGTAGATCTGTGGAGACGTCCAGTGATAACAATCTTGGGTTGCTACGGAGGCAGACTCGAAGTTGAGCACGTCCACGCCTTGCTAGCTGGCCTGGCATGGTCAAATAACTTTGGACTTGCTTCTTGGCGCATTTTTTGTAGGCCTTGGCTTTTCAGGGGCGTGAGAATTGGGTATCTTGAGAAGTAAGCAGAATCGAGGCAGTGGAGGACATGTTCTGTCATGTCTCCATGACACGGAAGCATTGCTGCATAATAAACGCAATACTTGATGTCGTAGAAAGTAACATGGGTATATGTGAGAACATAGTCGACAGGCCATTCAGGATGAAGTGCAAAAGTCCAGTGAATAAGGAAGCAGTGAACTTCACCGGCGACCCCTGCCCCTTCCCCTTCCCCTCCCAGAGCGTCCTCCCATACTCTGCACCGAAAGCAAGTCCCGCTTGCTAAGGTTCAATGTACCGCCAGAGAATTTGCCCAGAGAAGAGCCCCCGACTCCGCGCTCCCTTCGCCCGGAATTTGTTTTCGAGGCTTTCGGGGCAGGTTTTTCCAGAACAATACCATTCTCTTTAGCCTCGCGCCGCCGCTTGTCATCCTTGGAGACAGCCTTGGCTTTGATACCTCGACGATGCAGTGAGGGCATCTTCTGTTGTTGGTCATACAATGATGATTTGGCCCCGAGGGATTGCATGCGCAGATCCATTGCCTTGAGTCGATTCTTCCCCGTGGGAGCCAGCTCCGATGCGGAGTCCAGGAGATGCGATTCTCGGAGTAATCGCTGCAGCGAAAGATCATGTTTGAGGTTCTCGGCATCGGCGGCGTCGTCTTCTTCGTCCTCTTTTGGTGTGGTAGTTGGCTTGGTCGTTGGGGCGTCTAGAGAAGGTAGCTTCCCACTCTGCAGTATGCATAATTAGCCTGAAAGAACTAACAACATTGAGAAAAGAGTGTGGAATAAGTACCATAAAAGCCTTGCGCGCTTTCTTATCCATTCTATCTCCTGGTTTTGAACGGGCCTCTTTATGCTCAACCACTTCGACGGGGTTTTCATCGTTTTCTTCGGAGAGCCCATCCCAGTCGGATCCTGTGGCTGACGCTTCATCCTTATCTTCGTCATTTTCATCATCAGATTCTGCCACCTGCGCAGTCCGCGACGCAGGCAGATCAAGAGGCTCGAATTGCGCCTCGAAGTACTTGCGGAAGATGTCTTGGCCGTTGTCAGCAGGCGGAGGACTGGGGGAGTCGGTGGTGGCGGTTCGCGACACGACAGATGTGTCCCTCTTTCGTTTGCCAGTCATGATTTCCGCGATTGTTCTCAAAGGTCGATCAGTAAAGAAAAATAATAGCGTCGCGATCGCCGAAGTTTTTTGAGCACCATATCACGTGTGGGTGATAAGATAAGAGAATCAAGGTCACGTGACCACGGGTCACCCACGACACTGGACGCTCTCGCCCTGGATAACAATAACTTTGAAGTCGATCAACTGTCATTTCTGCCTTCAGCTCTCGGCCCGGGACAAAGCCATGGATCTTAATGAAGTTGATATACAAATGCAATTTAGTATTCCTATACAACAACAACACCAACCCCCCAAAAAAAAACTCCAAAAACAGCAAAGTTTCAAACATGTGAACCTAGTCGCACACACCCTGAGATGGTACCCTCAGGGCTGGTAAACCCGAACATCAATGGACCAACATCGTCGGGTTTTGCGAGAATGCCTGCAGCTTGGCAGAAAAGAGGTCAATCGCTTGCTCCGCGGTAGCATCGGGTATCCCGGGACGAGGAAACAAGCTAATATGAGCCTGACGACCCCATGTCTTGACGATGCACATTGTCAGGGGTTCAGGTCCACCAGTCGATGTATTCTCTGGCCCACAAGGGAGTCCATCCAGTGTAAGCTGGGAGTCCATGTCCCCCTTGACGTGGTCAATCAGACAATACGGTTCCTCCTCTTCCCATCCTCCAATACTCCACATCTTGTCAGGATCGATCATTTCGTGTGCCATACCATTTGCGTCTTGATTTTGCAGGAATCGACAGAGCTCATCCACTCTCAAGTCCGGTTTCAGCATGACTCGGACTGGGTACACCCCCATGAGGGGCCCCGTCGCACCTTCGATCCTTTCTCCGCCGAGGCGTCGGCCACTGGTGATCTGGAAGAAGAGGGCATCTGGCTGGCCAGTCATGCTAGCCATCGTGATCGCCCAAGCCGCTTTGATGAGCGAGTCCAAGACCATCCCAATTGGAGCCACCACACCGTCAAGTCTTCTTTCTAAGGGAGGCGCCTTTTCAACCGGGAGTTTATCAATAAGCGGGCCTGGTAGATCAAGAAGCTCTGCGCCTTGAAGAAGGTTTCTCCAGTATTGGATTGACTGCTCATAACCCTCGGCAAACCTCCACGAGGAAAGGACATCTTGGTACTGGAGGCGAGAGGTAACGCAACCGGTTTCGTATGCCGAATGCCAGTCCTTCCAGTAGATGGCCAGGCAATAGCCATCGTATATGCAGTGGCTGATCTTCAAAATCAAAGTGGTGGCTGGCTTTTCCACGTTCCGGATCACCATGACTTTGCCAAGAGGAGCTCCATATTGCAGACCAGCCTTGTCGTCGTTTTGGACGAGTTCCTTCATTCCAGATTCATCTGTCGTGTGTTGTTCGACTTCCCAAACCAGGGAGCCCAGCACCACAGCAATCAAACCAGGCTCGTCTGGACTGAAGCCGGGCTCGTCTGGGCAAATGACAGTTCGCAGAATGTCATGTTGTCGGACAACCATCATCCAGGCGTCGATGACGCGGTCCAGGTCCAACGGCTCTGGGATATTGAAGCGTGCATACAAGCACTCTCCAGTATGGAAGGTGAAGAATTGGTTTTCATGAGTCGGGTATGCGTTGACGATGTCTTGGCGAGGTACTGCGAAAGGCTCACAGATATAGCGTGTAAGGAAGTCTTCGTTATCGGGCTTGTCCATCAGGGAAAACGGAGGCCATTCCTTTTCCAACTGTGAATTCTGTGGTTCTCTGACTGACCAGTGCTTGGCCATGTCGCAGAGATGAGGACTCTGGTATACTCGGGTGAAGTTGAGGTTTCGACCCTGACGTCGAGCCATGCTGACCAGCTTCATAGCTTCGACGGAATCACCCCCGACGTGGAAGAAGTGGCTTTTGGCTTTGATTGTCTGGGAATTGACATTTAATATATCAGCCCAGACATCACGTAGCTCAAGCTCGTCGACAGTCGACGGCTCTTCCGTGAGCTCCGTTGGATGGTAGCCTGCGATATCTTCCTTTGACAAGCCAGTAACCATATGCCGAAGCATCTTCCGGTCCGTCTTACAGGAAGTAGTGGTTGGGATGCACGAAACTGGGAGGTAGAACGACGGAATCATGTATGGGGGCAACACTTCGCCCAACTGCGAGGAGATTTGATCCGAGTTGTTGATTCGTCGGTTCTGTGGAAGCAGTGCGAGAGGAGCGGTCGCATCATCACCATCTTGGGCGATAAAAGCAGTAAGGTTGTCGCTTTCGCCGAGGCGAATAACGTCCGCCGCGAGATTTGTGCCCGGTATGAAACGGCGGAGGTGAGATTCGACTTCCCCTAACTCTATACGCTGGCCACGCAACTTGACCTGCATATCTCTGCGGCCTAGATAGACAACAGTGCCATCTCGGTTGTAGATACCCAGGTCTCCAGACCGGTACAGACGGCTACCGGGACGGAACGACTCCAACCACGGCACACCCGTCAAGAAAGAAGCATTTGTCTTCTCTGGATCATTCAAGTACCCATGAGCGATGATGGGACCTTCAATGAGAATCTCCCCGACTGCACCGATAGGAGCTAAGCGATTGGGGTCGGTAGGGTCGGTAAGCCAGTAGACGCATCCTCGTGTGTGACCCAACGTCGCCATGGGCCAGCGGGTCTCATCAATAGCGATGGTTGAACACCCACCGCATTCGGCAGGGCCATAACCGTTCATGACCATAGCAGAGCGGCTCCACGCCTCGACAACATCTCGCGGAATAGCCTCGCCCACTAGAATGACTGTTTTGAGCGATGGCACGTCCTCGGGGTTCATTGATCGAATGGCAGTTGGAGAACTAAGAGTGACGTCGACTTGAGCGCGGTTGGCAAAGCCGCCGGGGTCGTTCATTCGTTGATCATCGGATGGAACGCAGATACAGCCACCAAGAACAAGGGTCATCATAACCTCCCATACGCTGGTATCAAACGATGGTGACGCGAATTGGAGAACGCGTGACCCTTGCTTGATATTGCATCCGACTCCGTGGGCAATGATAATGCTGCACATACTGCGATGGTCATGCACAATACCCTTGGGTTCGCCAGTACTTCCGGAGGTAAACATCAGAAAGGCTGGACTTTGAGGACCGACACCGGTGATAATCCTCCCTCGCGGAAGCGACATCTGCGCGAGAGATTCATGGGTCACCACAATCTGGGTAACATCCGGCGTTGACATCAACCCCTGGTAGCGTTCTGATACCAGTATGAATTGAGCACCTGTCTTCTGGACGATCTTTTCTCGTCGCAAAGCGGGCTGCCGTATATCCAGCGTAACGCAGGTATTTCCGCTCTTGAGGACAGCCAACATGGTAATGATAGTCAATGAACCTCTTTCGAAAAACACTGGTACAGTGGCCTCCGGTCCAATTTTTAAATCGCGTAGATGACCGGCCAGTTGCGAGGACAGGTCGTCTAATTCTCTCGCCGAGAGTGACCGGTCCCATGCATATACTGCTTGGTTGTCTGGGATGCGTGCCAACTTTCCCTGGATCAAGTCGTGCACGCAGTAGTCCATTGCGGGTGGCAGATGACCGTTCCAATAGCACAGTTGATCAAACTCTTGGGGCGTGATGATCTTGATATCGCCGAGTTGGCAGCCCTCTTCACCCTGACTCAATAGCTGGAGTAGGACATACTCCAGCTGCTTCACGATCCGGTCAACCTGTACCGCCTCGAGGATCTGGTCGTTATAGGCGACTCGTACTCTGACTCCTGCCCGGTTGTGGAGGAGTGAGCATTGCACCACGAGTGGGCAGTTGCTTCGAGCGATGAAACTGTCGACTCCGTATTCAGCTCGAGTCACAACATGGCCTTCTTGGTTGGCTGGAGGTGGCTCAACCACGAGCAAGGAATGAAAGTCACAGGCAGTAGCAGGGCCCATTCCCATTTTTCGAATATTGTGGAGCCCTGTTTGCTCGTATGGCATCATGTCGATACATTGGTCATGAAGAGCCCGTAGAGACTCTTGCACACTTGCACCATAATCCAACGTCACTCTCAATGGAACTGAAGCGACGGTTGGGCCGACAATCTGTTCGATGCCAGGAATGGGGGCATTTCGCCCGTTCACGCTCACACCAAAGACCACATCGTTTGAACCCATGTACGCAGCGCATATAAGTGCCCAAGTTTGTCGAATGTAGGTCGTCGTTGTAAAGTCCATTTCCTTGCTCTGGAGGTTGTGGGACTCGAATGAGATGAGATGTTCTTTGGTGCAGTTTCTCCGGAGGGGTGGTAGATGTGATGGGACCGTGGGAAACGAGGCTGTGTCGGTGTTATCAAGTGTAGCTTGCCAGTATGCGGTTTCCTCGGCTTTGTCGACCTGAGTGATATGTTTGATGAAAGTATTGAAGCGATGTCCGCTTGCAGTAGCATAGCCTCGATAGACTTGCTCAAGTTGATCGAGGACTAAACGTAGTTGCCATCCATCCAAAACGGAATAATGGGAAACCAACACAAAGCACCGCTGCATGTTGCGGGTGTTGTTGACCACTCGCAACCGAACAGCGGGCGACCCAGGGCGGATCTCATTATCATCGACTAGAGACTCGCAGGCTTCAAGGCTCTCGCGGCTGGCGAAGTCCAAGATATGACGAACCACAACTTGAACTGGCCCTGACGCCTGAGTGTCGACTATCCTGGTGCGTAATTCCGGGTTGAGATAGAGGACCGTAGCCCATGCAGCAGTGAGTCGAGTCATATCAGCATTCGGATCAACGCTCAGCACCTCGCGGGTTAAGTCGTGAGTGCCATCATCCCCCATTTCCTTCGAAAGACATAGCACTTCTTGTTGTAACGTAGTGCACGGATAGATATCCTCGATTAGGTCTTCTGAGATGCCGCACGCAACAGATACCTCGCCCATTGTCGCTCTCAAATGCTCGTTCGGTATCAAAGAAAATGGCTCGAGCTTTTGCTCCATTGATTTTGCTGGCTCGTTCTTTGTGGCGGCAGCCATTTCGCGGAGAACTGGGTTTCGCATAATATTGGGAACAGAAAAAGGCAGTCCTTTGGTTCGAGCCAATCCGCTGAGCTTTATTGCTGCTATAGAGTCGCCCCCAAGCCTGAAGAAGCTGTCATCACGTCGAATGTCGTCGAGGGAGAGACCCAAGACAATAGCCCACAGACTTCGCAAGGACGATTCATGAGTCGTCCATCCAGTCTTTACATGAGCTTCCTTGCTGCCAACGAAGAGCAGGTCACCATTGTTTCTCGGCTTCATCGAGTCGCCGGGTTTGTTTAAAGGTCCTTGGCAACCAGGAATCCCAGCGGATGGCAGGCCATTCTGTAGGCAAGGAGGATTATTGACGGGTGTCTTGCGGGTCTTTTCTGCGTCATACACGTAGCTCTGGTCCAGCTTGTTGGTGTTGTCTTTTTGGTGACTGGACACAGGCGAGGACTCGCTCCCGTAAGGTTGGTCGAGAGCAGGAGCCATGGTTGAAATATGAACTTATATCTTCAACCTGGGCCTGGCCAGATAGACAAAAGAGATGATGAGAAAGCCCACCGACTCAATGCTTGATTGCTTCCCCGGATGGCCCGGTATTTATTTTCAAGTTGTAAGATCAAGGCCCCAAGTGCAGGAATGATTTGAAGGATTGTCCTGGACGATTGCGTCCTCAATAATGGCCCACTTGTGGGCATTGAATGATATTCTACTCAAAAAGAGACACGAATCAGTTACATACCTGATACTACATGAACAAGTGACAGGCATAGACTGAAAGGGTAAGAATTTCGTCCATCACAGACATTTCAGAGTGCCCCGAGATTCAATTCATTTCAGCGCCCCTTTACATGTATGGATTACGTACGTAATAAAGACATACTACTGGGGCAATAGGGCGAATATTTGGCTTACGGCTATCAGGGGCATTGCTTTGTCGATCATATACTCCATACTTATAAAGTAGGGCACAGGGCACTCTAAAGCTGATTTTACAGGCGACCGAAGAATTGACAAGCTCTTTTCCTCTATATACAAATCACTTCCACCGGGCTTATCCATAAATGATTAAATTGTATAGACTTTAAAAGCAAATAGCGGAGAGATAAGATCTTTATTGATAATTCTTGTAAAGAATCAACAGGGTAGGTGGGCTATGGGACGAACAAACTATCTGAAAGGGGTACGAATTCTTTCGTTCCCCAGTTGGGGGCTAAAGGATCTGTTAAGAACCCTCTTACAGTACATGGTAGCATTCCTTATGTGGTGGTCAAATCGTGATCTACGAGCTCACGGAACTGTTGGGGCTAGGTAGGGCGTAGATCCTTCCAGTTACCCGCTGTTGGACTGTTGGACACACAACGCAGCCAGGAAGTGGTTAGTGCTTATAGAGGCTGAAGCTGTAAACAAAATTGGTCCAATGAAGAAGGATCGGCGTGGGCCCGAACTACTGTAAGCATGCATTTATTTTCTATGTACACCCGTTGGTTCTATATTCGGAGTAAGATTGAGTATTGGTGATCATTGAACCCATCATTGAACCAGACCGTCTGCTTCTTGCATTCCATCACACACTTTTACCCTGAATATTTTCAATGTCCAGCACGGTATCTCATAGTGTCACCTGCACCCATTAGTCAGTTCACCCGACAGGTGGCACTGATAATCGAATCCCTCAAAGATTTAAAGGTGCTATAAATCATGCTTGCGTAATAAATTCAGAGTCAAACCAATGGTTCATTTCAATCATAAGGAATGACTCCATGGCCCCCGGGGGTAAGTAGATCATCTGTGGGCCTCGTACGTGATCTGGACGCCCCATGAGTAGTGACGATGACGCGACCTGTAATCTGGGATCGACCCCAGGAATTGACTTGCGCTGTTTTTATGGAGTGTAAAGAAGGCCAGCCGGGTTACTAGAGTACGATAAATGCGAAGGTGGTAAATTGATGTGTGATGATGAGAGACGAAGCTACGACCTCGGGAAGCTGTTGACAGACGTGGACCCAGGCGGTGAGGGATGCACTGGCAGAATCCTAAGGCACCTCACCAACCCTGGAAGTGTTCTGCTTTGCAACCGACCAAAAAAATGACCAAATTCCGGCCGTGCATTGACCTTCACTCAGGGCAGGTCAAGCAGATTGTGGGAGGTACTCTAAGTCATGTTGCTGAAGACCTGAAGACCAACTATGTCTCGAAGCTGCCTGCCAGTCACTATGCCGGACTGTATCAGAAACATGATCTGCGCGGTGGGCACGTGGTGAAACTGGGACCGGGGAATGAGGAGGCAGCACAGGAAGCCTTGAGGACGTGGCCGAGTGGGCTACAAGTTGCTGGAGGCATTACAGACAAGAATTCCCAATACTGGATCGACCAGGGAGCGGAGAAGGTGGGCATCCCGACCTTGGTTTCATTTGCTTTGCTTTTCTCTTGATTATACATCGATGCCTTGCTTTTTCTCTTTTTTTCTTTTTTATACTTGTGTTTATTTGACCTTTGATATGGTTCCTCGGAATCGTCCACAATGATGCTTACCATGGGTTATGGGATCGGGATCAATAGGTGATCATCACCTCTTTCCTCTTCCCTGCAGGAAAATTCTCGCTCGAGCGGCTAGAGTCCGTTCTGTCTGCCCTGGGAGGCGACAGATCCAAACTAGTTCTGGACCTCAGCTGTCGCAGAAAAAACAACACTTGGTTTGTGGCCATGGACCGCTGGCAAACCATTACCGAGATGGAGATCAACCAAGGTACTTATGTCCTCTTTCTGGCTTTCTTCATTCTTGGGGACTCTTGTGTCTAACTCATCTTCAGCATCAATCTCGCTCTTGGAACCATATTGCTCCGAGTTCCTGATCCACGCCGCAGATGTCGAAGGACTCCAGCAAGGTGTCGACGAGGAGTTGGTGTCACGATTGGCTGAGTGGTGCTCTATTCCGGTGACCTATGCCGGAGGTGCACGGAGTCTCAAAGATCTTGAGAAGGTGCACGTTAGTAGTCAAGGCAAGGTGGATTTGACGATTGGCAGTGCGCTGGATATTTTCGGCGGCTCCGGCGTGACCTTCGACGAATGCATCGAATGGAACCGGACACATTGAGTATAGAACATGATCAAAAATAGCAAAATATGAAATTCCATGAACATAATTGCCCAAAATACTCATCTTTTCTCTGCTGTTGTAGATGTTGTTTTGTTCAAGTCGACGGTGGACCCTGCCAATCATCCCGTCCGAAAGCGGTTTAGGGCCTTGCAACCATCCAAGCTCCGCTCGCCTCCGTTGGAGCCTTCACCATCTCACTCTCTTTGCTCGACGCTCCTTTGCCGATCCGCGTGTCTGTTTAGATCTCGCTTCAGCCCTCTCTCCGACTGTTATTTCTCTACCACCAACTCGATCAAGATGAAGCCCATTGTCTCGGCGTTGAACGCCTGGTCCTGGTACGCTCCACCCTGGAGAGAGACCCCCCCCCAAAGTATCCAAATGGCCTGTGGAACTGACGATCTCCTTTGTCGCATAGTGTTGTCATCTCCCTCTTCGCTATCGTTATTCTCTCTGTCCTCGGATCCTTATTCAATGTACGTCCCTTGGCCCCATGCATACGTACTTCATCTTGCGCCCCATCATCCTCCATTCCCTCGATACGTCAGCGTTGAGCGCTAACGAGAAACCCCTCACTCTAGAGCAACAATCATGCGTATACCGGCGCAGAAGGCGAGCCCGAAGATGGCCCCGCTGTTGCTGCCTCGATTTATACTGCTGTGATCGTTTATGTTGTAAGTCGTTCGCGCCGCATATTCTGATCATTATGATCATCACCCGGGGAAATAGAAAGAAATCCAGAAGAGGGATGGATGGCTGACTTTCTTCTTTCGTTCTGCGACAGGGTTTCTTCGTCTTCTGCGCTTTCCAGGCCTACCTCCACATCCGAGAAAGCCGAGGGGGTGCCATATCACTTCGTTGAACGCGCCACGAACCTTTTTTTTAACTCCTTTTTTCAACTCGCTGTCTTCGTCGAATCTTCCGTTGCTCCAGTTTGCGAGTCTTGGGCTTCATATATTTCGGTCTGTCTTCGCCTTGGAAACGCGATGATGGTGGTCTTACACTCAAGACGGACGGAAATCTCCAGGGTGGGAATCGGTTTTTGTTTCAACAAGCAGCGATCGCAGTATGGCGGAGTTCTATTGTCGCTGCACAACATGGTGTAGGTGTCTCTTCTCGAGAGAAGGATTTGCTGGGCAGGTTACCAGGTCTTCTTTGCTAGAATACACTCTTTCCTACGACATGTACATAAACCGCTCGGGATTATTGCTAAATCTTTGAATGTCTCATTATGTCCACTTCTTGTGTCTCAAACGTAAAAAGTATGGACATTGAATCATTGTCGTCATTGAAAGTAAGAAGTTTTCAGAAGCCGCCAACGCCAGCAGATGCAGAACCAGATCCCAGGTCTCAGCCATATATATACTTTTTTTAACCCGGTTGTTGCCCGGGTTACTCTTCATCCCCCCACGGGTCCAGCATCTTGGACATGTACGGCCCATCCAAGGTATATCCAAGACGACCGTAGTAGCTCCGCACGCCCACTCCCGAGATAACACTAATCTTGTGGCTTCCGTGCTCCTCGCGCGCAATGCGCTCGGCCTCCTCCATCAACAGTGTGCCGAATCCACGGTGCTGGAACTTGCGTGAATCACGACCGTGGAGCGGCACGGCAGAGCCATAGACATGCAGCTCGCGAACAATACTGGTCTGCTGGCCCTTGAACTCGGGACGGAACGTGTGGGTGGCACTGCACTTGCGCAGACGAAGCAACCCAATCAGAATATCCTGCTTCGGATCCTCGTAGGCCAGGAATGTTTCCCAGCCGCCGTTGGCGGTGTAGTCGCGGCGGACTAATTCGATCTGCGACGGGCGGATCTTGTTCTTGACTTCGTTGATGCCGACCTCGCGCGTGCGGACATCACGGCAGGTCGTGCCAAAGTCCTTCATCCGGGCTAGCGCTAGTTCTCGAAGGTTGCCGTTCTCCACTCCCGACGTCACCAGCGGCATGGGGATATCGCGCTGCACACGGTAGATCCGAGTCCACGGCGGCACAAGGGCCAGAATGCGGGCGACGAGGTCGATCAGTGCATTGGGGGTGTAGTTCTTGTAGCGGCCTGTCCGCCACAGCTCGTAGAGGCCGGTACCTCGGATGACCAACGTCGGATAAATCTTCAGACCGTCTGTGCGGAAGTCGGGGTTTTCAAAGTACTCCTGAAACTGGAACAGGTCGCGTTCCATACCGACGTTCGGCAGGTCGGGCATCATGTGGCTCACAACTTTGAACCCGGCATCCTTCGAGAGCTTGAATGTCTCGGCCACGGCCGCAACTGTGTGGCCACGGTTTGTGTCTCGCGCAACATCTTCGTACAGACTTTGCACACCCACCTCCAGTCGGGTACATCCGTAACGGAGCATGCTGCTGAGGTGGGTATCCAAGCAGTAATCCGGCCGCGTTTCGATCGTGATTCCCACGCACTTGACGTTGCTCATTTCTCCAGCTTGCACTGCCTCGTCAACATTGTCCGTTTGGTACCCACTCAGCGCATTATGAAGCTGAGAGATGAAACTCTCCCGATAGTCCTCTGGCAACGACATGAACGTGCCGCCCATGATAATGTACTCAACCTTGTCGACGCTGTGGCCAAGAGCCTTGATCTGGTCCACACGACCTCTGGCCTGCTCGAACGGATCGTAGCGAGCGCGGATGGCTCGCATCGACGTTGGCTCATAGCCAGTGTATGACTGGGTCGAATATTCAAAGTCGGAATCTGGGCCACCGGGACAGTAAACGCAAATGTTGCCGGTATAGGCGATATGGGGACATCGATGAGGCTTGCACATGACCGCGACTACGGCGATACCGGACGAGGTTCCTATACGACATAATTAGCGACGCTTAGAAAAGGTGACTTCTCTAGAAACGTACGGATGGGCTTCGCAATCAGTTTGGGCAGGATATATTTTTTGTAGTGTTCAGGTACGGCCGCAATGATGGCCGTCAGTGGCGGCAGGTTGCTCAAGCGATGCTTCTTCGCAACATTGTTTCGCAGCTTGTTGAGGTTGACATCTCTCTTCGACTTCGAAGGATCCATCTGCGACTCATATTCCTGGATGAGCGCATTCGCAATGTCGGAGCACGCCCGCATGTACCGTTCGTTCTCCGGTACCTCCTTCGCGGGCTTCTTGGCAGCCTTCGCGGGCATCGTCATAGTCATGGTAGCCATGATGAAGGGAAATAGCCGCACGAGGGCGGATCCAGCAAAAAAGGCGACAGATGAGTGGTGGGGTTGAGGTGATTAGATAGAAAAATTGGTGGTCCGACGCTGCGCCCGAGTCGGGTCTGCTTAAGTAAAAGGTTTGTCCCGAGCGAAAACTCCCGGGCGCGCATCCCGATTCCTTCACTTTCATCCCCGAGTCCACCTGTTGTCTTCTCACCCTCTCCCCTCTCTCTCTACTTTTGAAATTCCTCTTGCAGCCATGCAGGCCTTCCGACGTAACACCTTCTCGGCCCTCCACAATGCCGCTGCTTCGCAGCGTCGGGGATACGCAAAGGCCACCTCTGCCTACGCCGAGACCGTGAACAACCTTCGGATCAACAAGGACACCCGGGTTCTCTTCCAGGGCTTCACTGGCAAGCAGGGGACGTGAGTGCCGATTCTGCGAATGCTTCTCCCTTTCCAATACACCCGACGCTGACGTTATATTTTCCGTGTAGTTTCCACGCCGAGCAAGCCATTGCCTACGGTACAGCTCCTGGTCGCGCCCGACGAACGATGACGACTAACTCAGAACAGGCACGAACGTTGTCGGTGGCACCAACCCCAAGAAGGCCGGCTCGACGCACTTGGACCTTCCCGTGTTCGCGAACGTCAGCGACGCCGTGAAGGAGACCGGCGCCACGGCTTCCGCCCTCTTTGTCCCGTATGATCCCGACGCTGTGCTTGGATACAGGCTGGATGGAGCTAACGTCAAGCAGGCCGCCCGTGGCTGCTGCCAGTATCGAGGAGGCTGTCGCCGCTGAGGTTCCCCTTGTTGTTTGGTTGGTGACCCACTTTTGGATCGCTTCATAAAATGCCTCACTAACATTTGATCGCGCGACAGCATCACCGAGGGTATTCCCCAACATGGTATGAATTGATAAATCCGGCATAAACAACACCAACTTACTGAGTCTCTGCCAGACATGGTCCGCATCACCGACATTCTCAAGACCCAAAACAAGACCCGCCTGGTCGGCCCGAACTGCCCCGGTATCATCGCTCCGGTAAGTTTAGGTTCCGAGTCGGACAATGTCATATGACTTATTTGTGTCACTTTCCAGGGACAATGCAAGATCGGTATCATGCCCGGCTTCATCCACAAGCGTGGTCGCGTCGGCATCGTTTCCCGCTCCGGTACCCTGACCTACGAGGCCGTGAACCAGACCACCCAGGCCGGCCTTGGCCAGTCTCTCGTTGTCGGTATCGGTGGTGACCCCTTCTCCGGCACTAACTTCATCGACTGCCTGAAGATCTTCCTCGAGGACGAGGAGACCGACGGTATCATCATGATTGGTGAGATCGGTGGTGCCGCCGAGGAGGATGCCGCCGAGTTCTTCAAGGCCAACAACATCCACAACAAGCCCGCCGTCTCCTTCATCGCTGGTATCAGTGCTCCCCCGGGTCGCCGTATGGGCCACGCCGGTGCTATCGTCAGTGGTGGTAAGGGTGGTGCGGACTCGAAGATCTCTGCCCTGCAGGACGCCGGTGTCGTTGTCGAGCGCAGCCCTGCCTCTCTGGGCAAGACTCTGCTTGCGGAGTTTGTCAAGCGTGACATGGTCTAAGCCTCTCATATCTCTTTTCCAATTTTGACACCCCGGTTTGCCTTGATGTCCTGGTAAGATCGGAGGTATATCCACGCCATTTATACGATGGGGGTTGCGTGCGGTCTGATCTGTCTTGGCCGCTCCTGTATTCTTTTCTCCTTTGTGTTAGAGACCCTGGAAGTAATTAGGTTCGTGTAACTTTTACTTTGTCTGGATTATATATCCTGTAGATTTGTTAAGATAGTAGGCTTTCCAACATTCTTGATTGTTACTCCTTGACTTTTTATTCGACTGATCTTTGCCTTTTAGTGGGCATATAATAAGACTAATATATTACACAAAAGATCAAGAAGTATTTCTCCAAATCTCTTGGCTCTTTTTCTAGTGGCTTTCTGGCGTCTATTCCATAAGACTCAAAGCACCACAAAATTAGTGTGATATAGTACGGGTCGATTTCACGTACAATTCTTGGGTATCTAAACCCTATTATCATACAGTTTCTCTGGAACCTTTGAATGTGTACATCCATGGATCTATTTAGGAGAGCCCTCCATATTCTCAACCTAAAAATAGTACCAGTAGGACTGGGCAGATTAGGGATCCTTTATTACGTCTACGCTCTTTGGAATGGCTGGCTCCTTACTACCTATCTTGTGACGATAGAAGTAGTTCATAGGTAGTATAACACTTTGTACCTTCTATATTTCAACAGCCGTGCCTGCCACCCAGAGAATTGTGGACATCCAAGTCATGATATCGATTTCGAAGTACCTACCCCGTTTGATCTATATCACCCTTTTTCCTCTACTAAATACTACTATAGCTAGCGAGGGCCTATGTTACCTCAGTCTTTTCTCATATACTACTTAAATAGACTTAATCACTAGTTACACAGCCCCAATTCTATTCAGATAGAGACCCTGGATCCTCCTCGTCACTATACCTATTCCAGAAAAACGTCAACATCTACTTAAGCTTTCTGCAACCATGCCGGCTCCCAATTTGGAGCAGCCCTGTAAACCTTCACCTCCGACATCTATTGAGGTCTAGCGGCAGCATTTCCAACAATGTAGGTCCATGGTAATCTACACTCTCTGCGGCCGATGCCTTTTCGAGCGTCGGCGACCCTCCAGCACCCTTCTTCTACCCTCCATCCCCTCCTCCCCTTCTCTCTCTTCTTTTTCTCTTCTCCCATCAACCTCTATCTCTTTCTTCCATCTATATTTCCCTACCCCTACCGAGTATCCCTAGAGGACTGTTAAAATGCACATACTACGCAAGAAACCAGTACCCGGCTGGGTCTGGAGGTGGAAGCAGAAGGAAAGAAGGCTCCAAGCCATCCTCGCCCACCTTCAGGCCATGAAAGGCCCCATCACCGACGGCCAGCTGCAATACCTGGGGATCGAAAAACACAACCTCGACCTGGCATCCGGTGCCACCTGCTGCAAAAGCAGCTCTTACTTTCTGCCGGCAACTAACAGAAAGTATGCCATCGGCAGCACTGTCTTGGATCCGAACGACTCCGAAGACGACGACTTCACCAGGGCCCGTCGCTCCAGCAAAAAGGACGAAACAAGAGCGAAAAATAAGTGCGGCCTTACTCCAGTTCGTCGGGCAAAGAAGCTTGGCAAGAAGAGAGCTGCAGAAAAGCAGGAAGATGGGGAAAAGCCGCAAAATCAAAATGACCTACATGGGTCCCTGTCCAGTGCGTTCTTTACGTATCTGGATATGGCGATCAATGGAACTGCGGTAGAAAGAGGGTGGAACAACATACCGTAAGTCAGATATTTTCCTATTAAGATAGAGATCGAGAGACAAAAGTGAGGAAGAGAAGAGTAGAGTTAAAGGGAGAAGTAAGAGAACAGAGAGAAAAGAGTCACTGACACTTAGGCCTGTATAGGTTGAATTCTTTTTCGAAAGGGAGTATCAAATCCCACAAGGGTCACCAGCAATTTGTCCTACAAAGGGCAGTCCAGGTCACCGGACGGCGTCAATGTCACCAACACATCATCATGAAAAGTGACGCCCATACCGACGAAAACCAACTCTCCGTCGCCGAGCTGACTGTGCTCGTGAGCTGGATCCTGGCGGGCATGTACCCGCAGAAAAAGAAGATATCGAACTGGAGGACCCGAAGAGAGCTTAAAAGCATCCACCAAACCTTTCCGGTGAGTTTAAAATATTCTCATTTCTATACAAGAAATACTAACATATCTCTAGACCCTCATCATTTCCTTCCAGCCCCGAGCCCGAGCCCGGGTGTTATATGGATGGTTCCTCGACGGCAGACTTCATGTCGCATTCACCAAGGCCGAGAACTTCGAGGTGCCCGAGTACCCCCAGATGATGGATGCCCTGCTCCGCTGGGCCTGGCCCAAGGTTGTCGAAAACACCACCAGGGACACCAACCTACCAACAATTTCTGAACGACTTGACGAAGACGACGAATCAACCGAGAGCTCTCTGGAGATGTGATTTGATGATCATAAGTTTTTCTCTGAAACACCAAAAAAAGGGGAGGCATTTGTATGAGGACGAAATATGTATAAATTGTGTTCTTGATTGTTTACTGAATGTATGGGAATGGCGTTTGTACCGGTGCTCGGTTTCTGTTTCAATCTTTTCATGTCAAAGAGTGATTTCTGTATAGGAGGTGCCTTTTATGAGACTGATTTCATGTATGGGGATGGTGAGTTTGTACCAAGTTGTATTATATATGGGGATGCAATGTACTTTTTTTTCCCTTGGGAAAAGAATCTCGATTCGTAAGATGTAGCAACCTTGATGAGCATTCCTCTAACTTCTCCAGTATTGGATATAGACATACCCAATTGTAGGTCACATCTATCTACAAACCCTCAATGCTTAACCCTTCTCAAAGCCTTAACAACCTCCTCCGTCCCCAAAACATCAGCAAACTCACCCTCGAGACTAGCAACCGACACCTTATGAATAGTCTCGGAGTCAATCCCCGCCTTCCCAAAAGTAGCCGTGGCATCAGCAACAAGCACAGCACGGCCCTTCAGCACGCGGGCCTCATTCTCATGGGATCCATCCTCGCGCAGCCGCACAGGCCCACCCTCCAAAAAGCGATCCACGACGCCCAGATTCGCCGCCATGCGCGTGGTCGTCGAGACGCAGTGGTCCGTCGTGAGTCCCGCAATCAGAATCTGGCGGAACCCCTTCTGGCGCAGATGAGGCTCGAGCTCCGTCCCAATAAAGGATGAGTTGACGCTCTTCCAGAACACGGGCTCTGAGCCGTCTGATGCGGGCACGGCGAAGTCGAGAGGCCGGATGCCGTGAGCTGTGTGGGCGGGGTGCAAGGGTGAATTTGGCGTGGTTGATGAGTGGAAGATGTGGATTACCTCTAGTGGGGTTGTGGACGATATCGAGCGCGCTGTACGGAAAGCGGAGAGGAGCGCTTGGATGTTGACTTCATAAAGTGGGTTGGAGCGGGTGGTACCCCAGTGTGTTGTTGTGGTCGGGTGGCAGAGGCCTACTTGGTTGTCGATTAGGATGAGAGCTGTTGGGAGGCTGAGGTCTAGTGGTGATGGCATCCTGGTGCTATGGTTCAGCACGGTAAGATTTCGGTGGAGAGATGATTCATTTCTTGGGAGGAGAAATCATCCTGTTTTATAAATCAACTGTTCGCTCGTCTGACTCACCCGCCTCACTAACTAACTAATCAAAAATCACCAATGCAACATGGAGGTCAAAATAGGGTTGAGTCACTCGAGTCACACAGTAAATCCTTTGTTTATTCTTTTGAAAGACTCGGTTGGAAGAACCATTGTGGATATGTCAATTTATAGATTTGGGAGCGGAGAAGAGTCCGTCATGCACGAGCACTATGCCAGATACTAATCACAAATGTTTATATACATCAAAAGAAAGGCTAGGAAGAAAGCTGGGCGTAACCCTTAATCCTCCAGCTTTTTAATCCTATCCTCTAAAGAAGGGACTTTATGTCGGCCAATACCAAGTGTCCGTCTCCACTTGGTCTCCTTGAGCGCGGCTCTCTTGCGCCGTCGAGGGGCGTAGTTGATAGGCGACTCACCCCAAATGAAAATGAAAATATCGTACAAAGAAGCCGCAGTCAGAGAGCCACCGATAGTGGCTACCCAACAGCCCCAGAACCACCATATCCGGCCATGAGAGCCACGAGATGTGGACCAAGGTCTCGCACTGGGTTTGAACACCTGTAAATAATGAAGTCAGAAGGTGGAAACTTAAAAGAAAAAAAGAATAAAAGATTTGCAGAGATGTCACCCTCCAGTGTTGAAGCCCATGCAAATGCACAGAACATAGATCACCAACCCAATTATGAAGGAGTGCATACCGGCACCAGGCAACGCATTACTGTCATCACCTAGCGCGAATATCACACAGAGTAAGATGGCATCGACCACGAAGTCGGTGAAGAAGGCCGTTGCGGAACTGACATGGCCGAGGGGCTCGGTGTAGAACCCTAGACCGGAGGTACCGGCAGACGCCGTGGGCGCAAGATGGACAATCGCGTCGTGATATAAGCAGTGTGTTAAGCCTGCTGCAGTGATAGCACCAAGGAGCCGAGCAACCACGTAGGAAGAGCATCGACGACCAGGGAAACCACGGAAGATCCAGAGCGCAATTGAGATCCCCGGATTGAGATGAGCACCGGAGATGCCACCAGCCACATAGATGTCGATCACGAAACCAATTCCCCATGACCAATTCTGTGATAGTCGAGTGCCTGCCTGGGCTTCTCCTGTCGAAACTGCCAGGGTGCCGCTCAGTCCAATGAGCACTGCGATTGTGGTCTGGGGTTTTGAATATCAGCAAGAGAAGAAATCGACAGGACAGGATATACTTACTGCAAGCCATTCTGCAAAGGGATCCTTCATGTGATGCCGGACTTTCACCCAGAGATTGAGGAACTCTTCCTGGGCCGGCGACTCAGCCTCTTGACCAACCGCCAGACCCTATGTTGAAATATGCCCATTGGCTTCAGTCTCCATGGGACGTAAAATGCCATCGGGCTGAGGTCCGTAGACAGCCTGTTTGGTTGATAATCCATGCTGGGCTGCTGCTGAATAGTTCGAATAGCCCTGGCCCGTCGTCGACCGGGGATCGGCGGTGCCGGACTGTGTGGTGGACAGACCAGGCGTAACACCCAGCTCGGGTGCAGGCTCTGTTGCACCGGGGGCATCGGTACTATACGCCTTTGGCTGCTTGCTATCGTCGCGGCGCATGCCCGGGCGAACGACACGCGGATGAGGTTTTGCTAATCCCCAGACAGGTTTCTGTTCGTTGTTGCCATATCGAGGTTTGAAGTGCCGGTAATCGGGATCGATGTAGACATGTTCCTATTGGAAGGAGGGCTCCATCCAACTGAGTCCTGCTAGGGACCGCGATGGCCACTGGTTGACATGTTGATTGCTGATAGTTCTGTGTTTGAGCGATGGATCTTGATGTAGTTGAGACCCGTAGTAGACACTGCCAGATTCGGTGGGCTGCCGGGCGGCCGCAGGTCTCGCAGATAATGAAGCCGAGTGATTCTCTTGCAAGGGTGGTGGCAGATGGCCATGGTGAGGTGTTGGTGGTTGGAGATGCTGCTTTGGGTCATATTCATTGTTCATTACGTCGTTCAGACTGGACATCACTTTGACGGTGATTTTCAGGCGAGTTGGCTAATATATCCGAGGAAACGGGGGAATTCTGACTACTATCGTGTTCTTTAAGTGGATGAAGCGAGGGACGTGGAGGAGACCTAGCGGTGTCCCCAGGGTGTTGTTCTCCCATAGCAAGGAGATGCAATGTGTATTCGAGGCGAAAGCCAGCAATTCTCTGCGCGATGTCTTCATCTTTATATACTCGCAGAATCCTGGGTTGGGGAAAGTCCAGAATTTTCTAGCGTTTCCCTGTGATCGCCGAGTGCCATCCAAGATTGATCCTGCAGTTCCAAGATTTCTCGCGGATCCTGTCGGGGCGAGACTGAAACAAGATTAGAACTGTGGGTTCACCCGCGAATGGCCCCAGAGAAGAAGAAATATTATTCGCAAGAAGATCAAGTCTCGATCGTGGACCACTGGGTGACATCAATACTCCAACGGCCTTACGGCGAACAGTGAAGCATCGGCTGCCCGAACCGACCAAGAAAAGGGCTCGCTGGACGTCAACAAAGAAGAAGATTTTTTTAAGAAGCTCTAGTTTCTCTTTGACGTCTGCACAGTCTAACTATGCGGCGTGCATCCCTCCAATCATCGGTTTCAATGCTGATTTCTGGTAGATCAATTACTTCTTCAAATCATTACCATGCAATCAGCCATATGAGACAAAATTGAATATTCACTCATACTATTTGAGGTCTATTTCACCCGAGAAGATATATACAAATAGCTCTTCTCTTCAATTCACCAAGTCCATCGAGAAGCATTCTCATTTAGTCCATACGGAGGATATACTCGCCATCTTGAGACTAACATTCTCAGTAGTCCCCCCAGTCGACTGCAGCCGGGCATTGATCGCATTCTTGCCGGGAAAGATCTGCGCCGTCAGGGTGGCCTCCCCCTGGCCCCCAAACACCTCGACGCTGGACCGATCGACAAAGATATGCAAGCTGACATTGCCACCGGCGCTCGGGGTAAAGGGTGCGTGATACACACTGGCAAAGGTGGAATCGAATGTGACATTTCCAGACTTGGTCCGGTCCACAAAGATGCGTTTTTGGGCAAAGTCGTAGCCGATCCGCGTCTGCTGAGTAGTGCTGTTGGTAGCCCGGACAGCGATTGCAAATTCTGCAGGCTTAGAAGCCGCAGCGTTGCGATCGGAGAAGTTCAGCTGAACTTCGAATGTCTCTCCCGGCGTTCCCAGATTGACAGTACCCTCGGGGATAGACTTCCACGAGCGTGAGACGCCGTTCCGACTCATGATAGAGCCCCAATCTTCCTGAGGCTGCTGGAGAAGAGTCGCCTTCTGGCCGATGGTCTTGAGAGACAGGCGCCGAGGAATAGCCATGGCGCTTCGCCATGGGGAGGTAGGGATCTTCTGGCCATACTGCCAATTGTTCATCCAGCCAACCTGGACATGCTTGTCGATTGACAAGCCCTGATAAGCAGCAGCAGCATAGAAATCCGGACCCCAGTCCATCCAGTTAGAGGTCGTGTTTTTGGCAAAGAGGCTATCCGGGTCCGCCGTAAAAGTGGTCCCGTTGAACTCGCCCACAAAATACTGCGTTCCGGAACCAACAGTCCCTGGCGGCCCGCCCGGGTTGAGGCCCAGCACAAGAACCCATTTGAGGGCGGACTGGTTGCCGTCCAGGGCAAGGGGGAAGATGTTGGGGCATTCCCATACGCCTCCGACTGCGTTGTAGGGACCGAACTCGCTTGCCAGAGACCAGTCCTTGAGGTCGTCGGAAGTGAAAATGAGCAGCTTGTGGATTTCTGCGAGGGCTGTGATTACAACCCATTTGTGGGATTTGTCGTGCCAGAAGACGTAGGGGTCACGGAAGTTCTTGTATTGGTTTCCATAGGGGGCTGGTGGAGATTGAATGACGGGGTTGCCGACGTCGTAGGTAGTCCAGGTCACGCCATCATCCAGACTGTAGGCGATGGATTGAGACTGTTGCTCTGTGCGAACTTGCTTTCCACTGGGCAGTTTCTGGGCTGGGGGATACTAAAGCGAAGTGTATCATTAGCCATTGAGACTCAAGAAAGACGAAAAGACGATGGAAGTGGGTAAGATTTGAAGAAAAATAAAAGCTGTTTGGGACATACGTAGGAAGTATACATGGCAACCAAAGGTATCTTGCCATCCCTGCCAAAGCCACTGGTGTTGTTCACATCGACGACTGCACTCCCGGTGAAGTACATCTCAGTAACATTCTGAGGATAACCACGGGCACGGAGAGCAATGGGCTGTTCGTCCCAGTGCGTCAGGTCCTTGCTGGTTGCATGGCCCCAGGACATATTCCCCCACTCGTTACTTGCAGGGTTGTACTGAAAGAACAGATGGTAGATTCCATTATGGTACAGCAGACCAGAGGGATCATTCATCCAATTCTTGCGCGGCGAGAAATGGTACTGGGGACGGTAGGGCTCGGTATAGTCCAGGGCATGTGCGGATCCCGCCACCAGGCCCAGGACAAGGGCTTTTAGGAGACGGACCATTGTGAAATGAAGAAGCGTTGAGCACTCAAGAGAAACGAAGCAGAAAATTGAGCATACCAATAGCCCTATTTATATGCCAGTCCGTCTCTCGGCCTCTGGAGGCGCTATGTAATAGTGACGAGGGTTATGAATAACGGAATCGATTGAGAGAGCGGATATCTTCACTCCCAGTAGGTAGAACGCCTCATGTCTTCGTGGCTATTGGCTGATAATCCCCGGAAACACTCGTCAAGTACACAAGTCCCCGCGCTCCGCGGGGACTGATGACTCCATCCGCCCGCGCCAAGTCCACGGGCTCTGGGATTCTTCGGAGAAACCCAAACCTTGCCCCACGACATGTGGTAGAGTGCGGGGGTGAGCATGACAGTTTGGACACTTTGAGGCCCAACATCGCGGAAACTCTGAATTAATCTCGGAGGTTGCGAATGTTCTTCGGCCCGGGAGTGGTTGCTCTCAAATGAAATACCCGCTTTGTCGGGGAATTTCTCCACCCCGCACTCCCCGATTGTTTCGGCTGGTTGGAGGAAGGTTCCTTTTATTGGGTTATGGCTGGGGCATTTGCCCGGACCCCAGAATTCTTTGGGTCTGAGCTCGTCGCTACTTCCAAATCGCATTTTTTATTCCCTCACGTTGAGCCGGCTCGCACCGCGACCTCACCCACACGTATAGATTGATGCAGAAAGCCGCTTTGGCTGTCAAAGTTACTGTATTTTGATCGTCTCGGTTCAACTTGAAAAGATTTAGACCGTCTGGGAAGGCTAATCCTTGACATTCGCAGTCACTGACTGACTGAAGTTATTTGGCGCAGCCCGATTACAGGGGATGCCCGAGTGTTTCTGGTCAACAATGTTCGTGCACTGATACACCTCGTCTTGCAGATTGGTGTCCCACATCGGCAGGCCCTTGGTGCTATTGACGGAGCGGAGATGGACGTCCTCGAACTTAATCCCAGGACACGGATGAAGGTCGGAGCAATAGATAGACGCGGCGATGTTGTAGTGCGATGTCCCGCGGATGTTTGACCAGTTTATGTCCTCGATGTGGATTTTTGACCTGTTGCAGCTTTCATTGCTGTCCTCGGTGTAGATGCACTGCGAGATTTGGATCGGCAGACGGACGTTGGTCATCTCGAAGTCGCGGAACGTGACATTTTTAATGTAGCCGCTGCCACCGCCACCTGTGTCTCCGTTGAGGTTGTCCGAGTTGGAGGTGCCTTGCCAGGTTTTGATAAAGGCACCGTCCATACAGTTTAGACAGCGGACATTTTCAAACGTGATGTTTTGCACATAGTCCGGCTTGGTGGGATACTGGCCCACAGACCCGATGGGCATGCCTGCCGAGCCATGGCAGGTGATGTTTCGAACGAGTAGGTTGGTGGTGTTGCCCTTGACTGCGACACAATCATCGCCGTTGGTGATGACGCTGTTCTCGACCACGAGCGTATCGCTGTTCCAGGAGTTGTAGCCATCCGTGTTAATCGTACTCCATTGGTTATTGCTCGTGGCGTTGACTACCAAATTGGCCAGAGTGACATTCTTGCTTCGCCAGACAAACGTCGCCCAGAACTGAGGCTGGATGATTTTCAGGCCGTCAACGAGCAGGTTCCTAGACTTGTAGAAGGTGATGCTGATCGGTCGCCCCGGCTGATTAGGCGTGTTGCGCGCCGCGGTGTACCATTTCTGGCCATTGCCATTATACCAGCCACCAGCGCCGCGCATAGTCACATTGGTGCCCCCAAAGAGCCAGGCAGTCACTTGGTCCTGGAACACCACCGGATACGAGTGGTTGCGCCAGTAGGTCAGGTCAGTGGAAAAGCGCAGCTCCCCCTTGATGAAGACATCGCAATTGACCAAATTGGTAGTGTTGAGGACGGAGTTGATGTGGAAAGTATGGTTCGTGAATACCACGCTGCCGTCTTTGCCGCAAAGGTCGAATGCCCTGTGGACGGCTGGTGCATCATCCACGTTGAGGCCATTGTGCTTGAGGGACTCGGGAAACAAAACACAGGTCTTATTGTCGTGGATCACAAAGCCTGCGATCGTCGTGGCCAAGGTCACGAGAAGCCATGGATGCATGGTCGACTGGTCGATGGTCTTCGAGCAATGCTCTTTTCCCTTGGATGTGTCATGAGAAGGTGCAGGGAGAATGTAGGGATACTTGGAAAAATACTCGCTATGACCATTGTTGCATTGTTTGATTCCCCGCATCTGGGCGATCGAGATATCACGTGTGAGCGTCTATATTCTTTGTTTTGCTCGAGAGGTTGGAGTTGGGCTCGAGGAGTCAAGTGGGTTTCGTGGTTTGACAAGCTACGTGAAGGAAAAGATGAGCCTCTCCCCTCCAGATATATTTTGATCGTTCATGTTTCAATCAAGATGCTTTCCTAGTACATGGACGAATCATGCGACAATTGTATTCTCCTGGAAATGCACTTCGGTATTGCCGTTTATCTCTCAATATGATTGTCAGTAAAGGAATTGAAGAGTAGGCCACTTAGTATTTTCTTAATATCCCATTGTGCAGTTGAATCAAGATCGCATGTGTGAGGACAAATATAGGATTCGTGTTCTTGTCGCGAGGCATATCAAGCGAGTACACGCATTATCAGCAGAGACCAATGTAGAGAAGATATTCAGGGGTAGATATACGGGATAGACGCGTCGAAATATCGCGTATATACTGGCGTATTAAGTAGGCAGCGATATGAATAGGCCGGCAGTAAATAAGACATAGTGTGGGGTAGCGTACGGAAACTAATGATCAGCCACTGGAGCCTTTTCAAGACGCAAGATTCCTCGATGTGTTGTCTTGTCTTTAAGCCTTGTTTCTTGGCATGAAACCCGACAAACCAACCAAGGATATCTTTAAGACTATCCCAAACATTCGAATCCAAATTTGTAGTGATTTGCATGAGGGGGTCGGTGAAGCTGACCCCACGATCGACGCAGTATTGCCTAAATAAACACCAATGTCTCACATCTCCACTGCCACTTGACCTCTCATTCATTCTCTGCAATCCTCGAGGCCCTGTGCTATATAGTCCCTGGAGTGGTGCAATCTGCATCTACCTTGACTGTGACTAACGCGGATACCTCAACTATTGGCTGGCGGTGTGATACGAGTTGCTTATGTCTTGCTCTTCACTTCATTCAGAGCCCAACCGCACTCGATCTATGCCCCGCATTGCATATCACGCTCCTTTGTGTGCGTAAATCTAGCTAGCTTGAACTTTCTACCCTACCCGATCATGCCGAATGCTACTATACCCCGACGACCCAAAAAGAGGGCAGCACTTTAGACGTAGCAGACATAAAGTCGGAGCATACCCTCGACGAGGATGTCTATTCCCTAGAAATTTCATTCCAAGTACCATTGAAAAGCAGCAAAAGCAATATCTTGCTCTCCGACTCAAAAATGAAAGTCTTTACAATCCTTGCACTACTATTTGCAGTTGTCACAGCCAGCCCTATTGCAAAAGAGAAAAAGTACTTCCATCTCCAAACGACTGGCGCCAAAAACAAGGAGCTAAATAATCTATTTGTTCACTCCTACCACACCGGCGCAGGTCTGAACGATGTCGTGCTGGCAAAGGACAGTGATAGCGCCGCCCGAGTCTTTCTGAATGGCACCAATGCACAGGTCGATTTCAAGACTGAGTTTCCTTGGGGGTTTGTGGCTGTTGGGGATACCAATTATGCTTGTAAGTCTTTTTTTTATTTCCCTTGAGTTGTTGCTCTACGTCCCAAGCTGTTTGGACTAACTATTTTCTGTTTGGACAGCATGGGAGTCGATCAAAATAAACGTCGGCTATGGCTCTGATGGGTTCTCTATCAAGGACGGGAACTTTCAGTGGTCGACTGAGTATAGCTTTGGTGGCTGGTTGGGTAAGTATATAATTACTACCCTCGACACTCCTGGAAGCTATAACATTTACTAATTCAATACGGTTTAGTCTGCGACTGGTTCCACAATGTCCCCCAGCTGTTCTACCTAAATCGTTATTACAAGCCTGTCATCCCATCGAGCTGCAGTAAGGTGCAGTTGAAGCCCGTGTATCTCCAGCAGAAGTAGATTGATGATCATGGTGAATTTGCATCATGACAAAAATGGGTATTTTATCTTCTTTGGCGGTTTACCGTTGTCATCGAAATAATGGAGCTATACGTGATTTACTATTTGGAAGCATTCGGCAGTATTGGATAATTAGGGACCCGAGGCAAGATAATATTAATCTAGGCGAAGGATTTTCATCTTCGTCATCTTTTCTTTTTCTTTTTCTTTTTCTTTTGGCCGCAGGATGTATAGTTCCATTTTGAACAAGCAACAAGCATGGTTCTAGCACTAGCAATCACCAAAAAGCAAGTGAACCAAATGGCTATCGGTCGTCAAACCCCTTCTCTCGAGCGGTCCATCAGTACAAGGCTATTCAATCATTCACCATTGTCATTTTCCTTTTCTTCTCCGAGATCCTCAAACATCCACCAGGCAGAGAATGGTCGAATCGAATCCAATTTCGCTGCCACAGTAGCTGATCCCAGGGACGCGCTAGTCGTACTCTGGTGGTCATTGGTAGTAGCGTCGCCGGTCGGCTCGCTTGCCGACACCTCAATTCCGACTAAGCCAGCTACCATCACAGTCTTGATTTCGTGCCCATTGTCATCGACTAGAACTGGAACGCTCGCAAACCCAGAGGGAATATCACCAGTATCGACCAGCGGAAATGTGACACCGGACATCTGCAGTCCACGATGGTTGTAGAGGCTTTTGCCGTCCTCGTCCCACATACAGAAGGCCGTGATCCATCCGGAGAGGTAAACGGGACCACTTCCTCCACCGATGTGATGGACGCACCGGTTCCAGAAATTGTATGTGGTAGGAGAAGAAGGGTCATCGAATGACATCACAAACCCCTGCAACACAGGCCCGAGAAGGTCTGCAAATTGAGTAGGCTCTTTACCAAGTTCACGGAGCTTGTCGAGCTTCGCCAGCAGCTTCTCCCAGTCATCGCGCTCACCGAGCAAAGTCACGGTCGGGATCCCACACATCAGACACATCTTGTAAGAGAAATATTTCTGGAGTGTTCCCATCATGAGAACCGCAGCTATGACCTCATCGGACCTTGTAGTGGTGCTGAACGCGGGTATAAGCCAGGCACGCAGCTCAGGATCAAGGACGTTCTCCTGAATCTTTTCCGTCAACTGGATGGCCAGTTTACCCACGTCGACGGAGTGAATGGTTCCAACGTCCTGGACCACGAGTTCTTTCTGCCCCTCGTGCGCGACAAAGTGCGACCGTAGCTCCTCGGCATGTGCATTGATGTAGAAGTTGAGTTGGACCAGGATCGAAAACCATACATCCTCTGGTCGCACAGTCAGGTGGTGGTGGTCAGAGTAGGCGCGCCACACCGAGCGGACAAACCCATGCTGGCTTGGAGAGATGTGTGAGCGGTCGCAATTTTCGGGAAAAGAACTGTGGAAGATCTCTCCGCTGCGTTTGAAATCTTTGGGGCAAGAATCGCCGAGTAGATCTTTGGCGCTTGTCGCCATTGGCCAACGCCAGGTACTGGGTTTTGTGTCTGATGGATGGAGAGTAACAGGCATCTTGGGGAGGAGCTTTGGAGAAACGAGAAATAGAGAAACAACAAATGAGAGAAGTGAGTTACGAAGAGTTGTGAGAAAGGGAAAGAGTGCTGCCTGGGTGAGAAGAGGCTGAAGAGTCATCTTATGCTTAAATGTCCCGGTGTCATTTTCCCCGCTTCAGCTGAGGTTAAAGTGGGCTAATCCCCACTCTGCAAATCAAGGGCGAGTATTGCTTGCAGGAAACTTCGGTCGGTGCCTGGGACCAATTTGTCTGCCATTTATGCTCTTCCTTACCCGTGGAAGCGACCACGTTCATCTCTCAGCTACTTACTACTCAGGCTAAGTCGGGTATTTGAGTTTCGTTTCTTGCGGGTATTTTACTGCTAATGCAAATCAAGTTCATGAGGCCACTACCTCACTGGCGTGACCCGAAGGATTGTCGTAGTATCTTCGATCCATGCCAGCCTGTAGTCGGGCCTCTTCATTGAACGGGCCTCGGATGGGACCCTTGAAGTGCTTCTGGACGTTTGAGCGGAAAATCTTCACAGGATCAGTCCCCTCTTGATCACAAATCCACGTCAGCCATCGGTGGCCGGTAGTAACGTGGGTGATTTCGTCATTGTGAATAACCTCCAGTGCCTGCACACTTTCACTGTCGCCCGCTTTGCGGAATTTCTCAATAGTCATGGGGTTGACGTCAAGCCCTCGAGCCTCGTGTACGAGAGCAATTATGCTAATCCGAGCACGAAGATCGTGTGCGGTTTCCGTAGCCGAGAGCCAGAGGCTGTGGTGAACAGGAAGAGCACCAAAGTACGAGCCCATTTCCTCGAGTCGAGTCCGAAGCAAAGAAAAGTGCTTGGCCTCATCGTTGGCCACCTTCAACCAGTCATGAAAGAAAGCTCGCGGTATTTCTTGAGAGTTGCCCTCGGTCTGGAATGTGGAGAACCGCACGCAGATATCAATGGCCAGGTCGATGGCCCATAACTCAATGTTGGCTAGAGCGTGAAGCATGGAAATTCGGCTTTTGAGGGTACCGCCTCGTCCCGTTTTGGGCATTGCCGACGCCTCAACTGTCGTTAACTGTTCGCGAGGTGGTTGATCAGGAGGGCGAACCGTGCCTCTCCCGAGCTCCATCGGGGAAGAAGATGCCTCCCGTGCGGTAAATGTAGAGAATAGATGAGTTGCCAACTCAATCTTGTGCTCAGGATAAGCAGTATTCAAGACGTGAGCAGCCCAGTCACAAAGCGTCGCATTCTCATCCAGGTAATGGGCCGTGCCGGGTCCTTGTGGAGTAGTTGCAGTCTGCGGGGATGATAGGCCGCGCTTCAATTTGACCTTCTCACTCACGGGCTCGGCTTTGACGAGCTCAACGTGGCGACCATCCTCGGTTGGAAAATCTATTGTCACGAAAACGTCCCGAACATCAACAGGGAATGTGCATGCTTTGATACCAACGCTCGATTCGCCGGTCTCTACGTTGAAATCGTATGCATGCCACGGGCAGGACACGATGTATGCGGAATCCTCAATATCCACTTGCGAATCGGCCATTGGACCACCGGCATGGGGGCATTCAGCCTCCATGGCATAATATGACCATCCATCCTGGGTCTCGTTGGGTTTTGAGCTCCCTGGGTCGATGGTTGGCAGGCGGAATAGCACCAGCCGCTTTCCGGTAGAGAGATAAATCACATATCGTGACTGAGTGAAGTCTGACAGCGGCCCGCACTTGATCAGCATGGTGTGTTTTGGAGTGGACGAGGGGATGGTGGGAAGTCGAGTCATCGGCCCAGATTTTTATCGCGTCACGTGAGTCGTGGGTTTGTGTGGCGGCAAGTACAACCTTGGAAAGACAACAAATTACCAAATTCTTAATTTCTGAAGTATAGGCTTAGATGACTTCTTTGCGGATCAAAATCAAAAATTACAGAGCGTATGGTGACTGTTAGAGAGGAGAGGCCGCGCGGCTCTATCTATAAAAGTCTCAGCACGATTATCAAGAAATATACTTCAGTTGGTTATTGTTTCTGCCACTGAATTTGCCTTGATAAACAATCTTTTCTTGCAAATCATTGCATCAATAGATTCTATGCTCTTGAGAAGAAGAGTTTTGAATTGAACGGTATGGCAAGAAATTATCCATTAAAGAGAGGATAAAGAGATCCTGCCGTGGGTAAGATACTCCCCATATTCCCCATCCAAAAAGACTGCAAGGATACAAGTGCTTCGTAGCGCATGAGTGAAGATTTTCCAACAGGTTTGAAATATTGATTCTTCTGACAAACTTAGTTCGAGTTTATTGACAAGATCCAAAGTGACTTCCATATCAGCCCGCAGCTTTGTCGAAGGACGACCGAGAGGGGAGCAATTTTTGATTTGTGTAATCAAAACGGAATATTCCGCCACCGGATGGGAGAATATATGAGGTAAACTAATAATCAAGCACCCGAGACCTTGACGAGAAGATCTCCGTTTCCATGAGCTGCCGCAATTCCTGTTGTGAAATCGGCAGGATGAAAGGTTCAGAATCATGCTCCTCTAGCCTGAATAATAGAATAATCAAAGCACGGAGGACATACCGGCAACACCACAATTTTCTCCGCCACAGACAGGGCAGTGATCCAGTACCCAGCCGATGCCAGCCACCACATCCTGGCACCAGGATGCAGCCAAGTCTCCAGCCGCAAAAGACGTGATGATGGTCCCGCGAGAATGGCACATGATAATTCCTCCTCTCGGGGCACGGCATTCTTGAGTCCCCAGGCCTCTCAAGAAATTAGCGCAATCGACGGCACCACCAACCGTGCCGGGTGTGGCCTCTGAGCGGTCAAAGCAATGGTAATCGTAGAGAGGACGGAAGGGTGAGTGTTGGACTATCATGAAATCGTTAGCAGTAGGTTAGCTTACCTGGAAAATAGGAAATATGGGTACGTGTAGTATCTTCAATGCTAGATGAGCTTTGCTGGATTTGATTTTGTGAGTATGATATTATGTCACTAGAGCGCGGCACATGAAAGATATACGGTGCTCTGGTTACTGGCACCCGCAGCGGCGATTGTAATAGCCTGTCCCACAGCCAGAAAAGAGACAATGAAGGCCAAAGCATAGGTTTCCTTGCCATGCTTTCTGGAGGCCAGAAGCTTTAGGACGGCAAGGGGAAGCAAAATAAAAGATACATACCAAGGTAATACGGTTAGCGATTGCGTACAGCCCTATAGGGAACACAGGGTCCCATAAACGATGTATATCAGTATTGCTACCGTTATGTGTGGTTTTTGAAAAGACTCATTGTCTATCCGGTCAGCCTTATCGGGTAAAATCTCAGTCCCAAAAAGGCGAAAAGATCTTACCTGCAGTAGATAGGAAATAGAGGCAGTGAGGTGGAACGTCGGATACGGAAGGAATAGATCTAACTGGTGGGTGTGGCATAGCAAAAGAAATCCCCGAGTGGCCAGGGAGCAGAGGAACGGTTATAAGGTTGGATCGAAGAATGTTTTCCCTGAAGTCCCACGCGTTACCATGTCGTATTTTGGGACAGAGATCATCTTGAACTCAGCATTCATAGAAGCTTTGAGGTCGCGATGTTGTCATGTGGTAGCAACAGAGGTAACAGATGAACCAGGAACTTGCAACTAGTGGCACGGGGTTTGTTGACGAAGTTCGCGTCGACTTGTTCCCCACAAAAAATGAAGCCGACTACCTAGACAAGCTACCTAATTGGGAGTTGGGAGATATACAGTGGATCGAGTGGATCTATTCAGCCGAATCATCAGAAATACCAGGTCAATCATTTCCTGACATGACCCGAACAGCGGGAGGAGTTTATGCACGAGGAGCTGACCGCGTAGCTCGTATTTTCTCTCGTGTTTCTTTCACCTCACCTCCTGAAACCAACAATATTTCCATGCGGGTTGCTCTGTCCATATACTCAGTAGATCATCATGCCAGGTTGCTTCAGTCGGCTGTCTAGCAAGTTTTCGAACAAGAACGAAAATAATGTTCAAGACGGACCGGTAAGTTCAAATCAGAGATGATACCCCTGATCGCTTGCTAATATTCGAGTCTTCTGTTTATTGAAGGATGATAACAAGCCCAATGACCAGTCTACAGTCCATTCTGGTCAAGCTGCATCTGGACAGCTAGACGGTGGGGCCCCTAGTAAGGAGCCAGAGAAAGAAAGCCCAAAAGAAGAGAAGAAAGATGAGAAAAAAAACCGCTGGCTGCAGGCCTTCGAGCAACTTTCGGAGAGCAAGCAGGAAGCCCTAAAGAAAATGGGATTTGGTAATCCCAATTCGGATATCGAATCTAGCCTTGCTGAGGTTACGAATTCAGTGGAGGAAAAGCAGAAGGAATGCGAGGGCAAGTTCTGGAAGGCTAAAATTGGAGGCAAAGAGATTGTCTTTAGGGAGTACACAGAGCAAATCGTCGGCTGGGTAGAGAAAGCGGGCGATATTGCTATCAATTTTGCACCTCCCCAAGCGGGTCTTCCATGGGATCTGGTCAAAAGCTTGATGAAGGTAGGTAAAAGCTGCCCTTCTCCGCCTCCTCCTTCCACCCTGCACAAAAGCCTTCTACTAGCAGCCTTTCTTCTTATCTTTCCTCTCCTTTTCTTTTCCCAGTCAACACCATTCAAACTTATCAGGTGGGAACTGTCAGCTGACGGCATAGCTTAGATTCCCGTCAACGAAAGCGAGCAGATGGGAGCACTGCTCCTCACTACTGAGGTGGTTGTCAGCATTACCAGCCGCGGTCAGGTCTATGAGGACATCTACCTAAACCAGCCAGATGACGTCCCTCTCAGTTCCGTACAGCGGCATCTCGAAAAAAGCCTGATAGAGCTTTACAAAACCTCTTTAGATCTGCTGGCCCGATCGAACAAGCTTCTGTCCTCGAACACATGGGGGCGCATTTTTGAAGCAATCGTCAACCCGGGAAAGGCGGCTGACGGAGTTGCGGGCCTTGGAACACAGGAAGATGCTCTCCTGCGAGACATTCATGCGTGTGAAGCGAAACGCAGTGCAACCGCCGACAAGCGCGCGAATGAAATGCTCAACGCATTGCAGGCCCCGATGGCGCGCGTGGATGCTGGTGTTAGCCATCTTCTTAACCGGGTCAATGAAGGCGAGCGCATAAAGCTGCTGGAATGGATCTCGGATATCCCCTTTGGCCAGCACCACGACAGAATCAGAGAGAAGAGAACATCCGGTACCGGCGAGTGGTTGGTGGAACATGAGGTTTTTAACAGCTGGAAGGACAAAGAGTCGTCTGATCTCTTCTGGCTCCAGGGGAATTCAGGAAGCGGCAAGACGTACCTCACGTCCAAGGTTATTGATACCGTACGAGACCGGATCAGCTATCCTCTTAAGCCCGAAGGCTTCGCATTCTTCTACTGCGACCGCGATGATAAGCCATGCGATAAGGCATTGACTGTCCTTCAAAGCTTTGTCCGTCAATTATCAACCACTGCGAGAAATCCGGAATCGATGCAGACCAAGCTTCAGGAGACGTGCAAAGAGGCTCGGGAAAATGGCACTAACTTCCGCTTCCAGCAGTGCAAGGAGCAAATCCTCACCTCTTTGGATATTTACCAGAAGACTACACTGGTGATTGATGCCATGGATGAGTGTGATCCAGAGTCGCGGTACGAGCTTATCGACGCATTGACACTGTTCTTGAGAGAGTCCAAGAAGCCTGTCAAGATTTTCATATCCAGTCGGCCTGATCCTAAGCTGGAAAGACAGTTGGAAAGCAGTCCAAACGTCGGTATCCAGGCTAGCGACAACAAAGGAGATATCGAGAAATATATCAAGGTCTCACTCAAAAGGCTTGCACAAGCCAATCCGTTTTTGAGGCGGCTGAGGCCAAAGATTGTCGAGAAGCTACTTGAGCGTAGCCAGGGCATGTTCCAGTGGGTATCTTTGCAGCTCCAACAAATTGGGGGTTGCGATACACCCAGTGCTGTCTGGACGTGCCTGAACAATCTCCCGGAGGACCTCGAGAGCGCTTACGACAGGGTCTGGCTGCTGATCGAAGCCCGTGCAGAGCCCGACAAGTCCCTCGCAAAACGTGCCCTTCGGTGGGCAATGGCTGCAAGCAAGCCTTTGACCAGTGCCGAGATTCTGGGGGCGATTCGGCTAGATGTGAACGGCACCATGTTCCCCATAGATGAAATGGTGGATGAGCAAGGGTTGCTGTCTCTCTGCAACAGCTTTCTGTCCATCGATTCCCAACTTCAGGTATGGCGGTTCCCGCATCTCTCAGTCAGGGAATACCTGGAAAAGAAGGAAGATTGGTCCGTCTCTCGCGCGCATTACCATGCGGCTAGTGTCTGTCTGTCATACTTTGTCAAGAAGTACGGAACAGATAGCCATGAGCTCGATGCCCAGTTGGAAGATGAGTGGAAGGCGGAGATGAAAGCCGAGTTGGAAGCTATACTGGAAGAAGCCCGGGAGAAGGAGAGGGAGGAGGAACAAGAGAAGAAGGAAGAGAATGATGATGTCGAGGACGACGAGGATGACGTCGACGGGGAGGAGGATGAAGACGACGAAAGCGACACGATCGAAATTCCAGACGAGTGGTTGCACCAGGGCCCAGAGATGCCCTGTGAATCAGACGATGGCTTCCACACCCTCCACCCATTCCATATCTACATGAGGCACTCTTGGGCTCACCATGTGAATGGAGCCAAGGACATCGAGACAGCTCAGTTGGGTTCTCTTTTGAAAACCTTCCTTGGATCTCCGAATGCTGGCAGTGTGGAGTACCGCAGATGGCATGAAAAAACCTTCAACGATTTTGAGGAATTTTTCTTCGGTCCCTCGCTCAAGGCCTACATGACCAACGACGCACGAAACATCTTCCTCGAGACTAAGCCCGGCGACGCTCCCATCTTCGCCATGTGCCGGTTCCCGCTGTCCACCGCTGTGTGGGACTGGTGGGAAAACGCGGAAATTGATATCTCGCGTTTGAACGAGAACGGCCATAATCAGCTTGCAATTGCTGCATTGGTGGGATGTCTGCCCATATGCAAAAAGCTGGTGGATCGGGGAGTTGATGTCAACACTCGACTCAAGGGCAAATGGAATGGCAGTGCCCTGGTAGCGGCAACATCCGATGGACAGACTGATGTCGTCAAGTACCTCGTGGAATCAGGAGCCGATGTGAACGTGAAATTGAGCCTGGAAGAAGGCCAATACGACTGCGCCCTCGAAGCCGCAATCAAACGCGGAGCCGTCGATACTGTCAGATACCTGGTTCGTGAGGCGCACGCTGATATCGACATATCTCTCCAACGATCCTGGATCGGTCATCTTCTCGGAGAAGCAGCTGTACTTCCATCTGTCGAAATCTTAACTATTCTGCTGGATGGAGGCGCAGATGTGAACACGCTATTCACGGGTCAAAGATTTGGCAGTGCCCTTGGGGCAGCGTGCTCTGGCCAGTTCGAGAACGTGAAACTCCTGGTCAAGAGAGGTGCCGATGTGAATTTGCAGCTCCCCAATGGAGGTTACGGCTGTGCACTCCTCCAGGCCTGCGTTAGTGATAGGGACCTGGTTATCCCCAGATACCTTGTGAATGAAGCAGGAGCAGACGCCAACCTCTCACTCGAGAATGGTGAATTCGGGAGTGTCCTCGCAGGCGCAACATGCGACGAATTTGCGGACTTGGACGTGGTCAAGTTTTTGGTGAAGTCTGGTGCTGATATCAACAAGTCGATTGAGCATGGAAAGTATGGCAGCGTGCTTGCGGCGGCAGCAGCAGCAAGTGAATATGCAGACCTCGACATATTTCGGTGGCTGCTGAAGGAAGGCGCCAATGTGAACCTGCCACTGAAGCATGGGCAATTCGGCAGTGCCCTGGCAGCGGCTGTGCGGGCCGGTATTCATGACAGGATCCATGCTTTGATTGAGGCAGGTGCCGATTTGAACATGGTCTTAGAGGGGCGAGACTTTGGCAGCGCCTTTGCTCTGGCTGCAGCATTCGAATATAATTTCCAGGTTCCTCAGGTTCTCGTTGGTGCCGGTGCAAATGTCAACCTCAAGACGCCTGGGAGATACGGAACTCCGCTGATTGCCGCCGCATGTTTCGGCCAGAAGGACTGTGTGGAATATTTGGTCAAGAACGGGGCTGACGTGAACCTGGCGGTGGAAAACTCGCCTTATCCCACTGCTTTGCAAGCTGCCAAGTCAGATATATCGGAACACCTACCGTGGATGCACCAACGTTACGACAATCCTGATGATGTGGAGTCTTTCGCAGAGGATTGGGCCGAGGAAAAGCCCGATATCGTGGAGTTTCTACAGAGTAAGGGTGCCAAGGCCTGATCCTCTACATCCATAGTAGGCGATGATGAGAAAGGCCTGTCGGCCACTTAGGCTGCGATGAAAGAGAAGGTTGTGGGCGAAGTTCAGCTATGTAAATCAGTTTAGCTAGACTATAAAATCCGTCAAATAGCATAAGGTTAGTTGGTCAGGTTTCAATATCTGGTTCTGGTCTCTACTACATCTCCTAAGGCCGCCTGGGCGAAGCGAGAGTCAGCGGCTATCTCTATTCTATATTAACGCTGCTCCCTTTCCCCCCTAAATACCCTGCTGTCGTTTGTTTCCTATGTTTGCAACAATTTACTGCCGTCCCCATGATGGAAGTTCCATAGAAAATGTCAATGTCTGACTCTAACAATCAATTTGCTGGGCAATCGGCTTCGTTAGATATCCACTCATGGTGTCGACGAATCGCCCGAGTATTCACATATTGCGCTAGCAGATAGGCATATAGATCATTAAAAACATCACTATCAACACACAACTTCAGAGGGTATTTTTGTCGAAACTTTTGAGTCATGTCTGAGCTTCTCGTTCAGAAAGAATCGTGGTGCTCCACCGATACATGTCTTTGCTCCACGGGTCCACTGCCATCCCGCGCTCGGATTACCATTAAAGGAACTTCCGTTCAAAAGAGAGACTTGGCCGGAGGTTTCCCGCTTGAAAATCGAGTGTTAGACAACGGGAAGAATCTTCAAGTGGGTCAATGGCGAACGGCGGGTGGAACTTCCATTGGGACCCACTAAATAGGGCTGTGAAGCTTGCACGATGGAAACGAATCGCCACCAAACAGAAGCTTTGATATTTTTATTTGTATTTATTTGTTCCCTTTTAACAATTCAATTGCGTCAAGTTTTCTTTTATTTGCTTTGATAACCATCCGCATGGTCGGTTTATTGTCAAAAATCTTATCTATGAGCACCAAGGTCGGCTGAGGACCCCGAACGAACTGTAGTACAGTACGCATTGCATAAAAAGTCTCGACGCAGTCGAACAGCCAGTAGTGGATCCCCAAAGTCCAGCCGAGCTGAAGTGATTCTCACATAAAGGGAAAAAAATCTTAGAGCGGAGCTCTCGAGTCCACATGGGATCCGAAGAATCCCAGATTGGTTGGAGGATAGATAGCCGTGGTTGATGAAGGTGGGTCAGTCGCAATGCAGGATGAAGCTCCACAACGGCATCTAGTCGATATCAGGAAAGGAGATAGCAGATTTTTTCCTTGTAGGGACAAATAATGTAGCTGTATCCCATGGATAACAATCCACACTTCATGCGCTGTATGTACAAGTCACTTCTGGAATCATCGGAGAAGAGGTGGCGCAAGCGATGTATGTAGCTGATTGTTCAATTTGGGAGGGGGAAGACGAATAGTGGGTTGATGCACGTCCATGTACATGCAGCCCGCTCAGGCCATAGGTTGTATGTATGTAGACCGGGTACGAGATAACTCAAGCAGAGATGTATTGGACTACATTGCATGAATATGGGGCATTAGATAGCGGAGTCACTTGGAACGAAAACTAGTATTTTGTCTATCTCGGATCAACTGTCATAATCTATGTACTGTAAGCCCAAAAGTTAGGGTCGTCACGCACTCGCGCATTCCTAGGACTAATCCCATGCTTATACAGTAGTCGCTGAGAACAGGCGAACCCACCCGGCCCAATAAATACCCAACGTGCAATGGATTTGTAGACCCAAAGCGGGTCCTAAACTATTCTGATAGGGATAGGGGGCCAGTAGTGAACCCAGGGGCTTCGAGAAGGTGAGAGAAAAGGCGAGATGGAGGTACGCAACAACAAAACTAGTCATTATTCGGATTCAATAATTGGTTTGAAAGGATTCCTTCTATAGTGGAAGCCCTTAGAATACCTAACCACGGGGGATTTCCAATTCCCTTATCATCTTGCGTGCGTGATAGCGGTCGATCAGTGGGTGCCCCCCCAAAAGGCAATACCCACTTTTTAGTTCCCACTTTTTAGATCAAATTTTTTTTGAAAACCCTTTTTTTAGCATTTAAGAGTAGATAATCGTATTTAAGAGCTGGCAGCCGTGCTGGGTCTGTTCATTTCAACAAGACTCAAAATGGCGATTGGCGGCTGGTTCAGTCGAAACTTCGGTTGGGAGACCGGTGGTGAAGTTGTTAGCCCGGGGGCTATTACACCTAAAGTCCTCGAACCTACTGTTATTGCTTGCTCTGAATTGACTTCAGCGCAATCTTCCTTCCCCTCTACACCTCGAGCTGGTCTGGTATCGCCGGCTGAGAATGAAGATCCTCTGGCATTGGAAAAGCTGCAGCAGTTCGGTCGACTGGCCTCCTGGAGAGGGTCGTTGATTCTGTTGGTTACTTCTGGCTCTCAATTTCTTGACAATGTTTTCATGACGAGTGCCAATATTGCTTTGTCGTCAATCCAGAGAGACTTTGACGTGTCCAGCAACGATCTGCAGTGGATGATCTCTGCGTACACCTTGACGTTTGGTGGTTTCTTACTGTTGGCGGGTGCTTTATCCGATCGGTATGTGACTAACTGCAATTTATGGAAAAGAAGAAGACCAAGCTAACGGTGGCAGGTATGGGAGAAAATTGATTCTCTGCTTGGGTCTGTTCTGGCTCTCTGCCTGGACACTGGCCATTGGCTTCGGGCAGTCATTCATTCAGCTTGCGATATTCCGCGGTATTCAAGGAATCGGCGCCGCAATGACCGTGCCATCCGCTATTGGAATAATCAGTTCTTACTTTACTGGTCTTGATCGTACCCGAGCACTGTCAGTGTACGCCGCGTCGGGGACGCTGGGATTCTGCACCGGGCTCATCTTCGGTGGCTTCCTGACCTCCTCATTGGGTTGGCGATACATTTTCTATCTGATTGTGATCATCACCGGCTCGTTGGGGGTTCTTGGTGTGATTGTTCTGCCCAAAGATATCCCGACTGACACCACCAGGAACAGAATGGATTTCTTCGGTGCAATTCTGTCCACCGCCGGTCTCATTCTGCTTCAGTTCGTACTCTCAAGTGGTGGATCATACGGCTGGGGGACTCCCTTTATTATCGCTCTTTTAGTTGTTGCCGTCTTGCTCCTGGTCGGGTTTGTGGTCCTTGAGAAGTACATCGGCAACCCGATCATGCCGCTATCACTGTGGAAGATTCGGAATTTCGCCGGTCTGTGGATTGCGGGTTTCAGTAGGTTTCCTTTTCCTCCAACCCTTCTTGAAACTGCTACTGACAATTTCTAGCTGGCTATGGCACCTATCAGAATGTTATCTACTATATTGTCCTGATGGCGCAGGAGATAGACAAACTTAATGCTGGAGACACGGCGCTGCGCTTCTTGCCGATGGGCGCAATCGGGTTTGTCGTGTCTCTCGGCACAGGAAAGGCTCTGGAGTACATGAACGGGAAGTACCTGCTCCTGGCTGGACTTATACTCGCCGTGGTGGCCCCTATCCCAAGTGCTGTGACTGCCAGTCCCGAGAGCAGCTTGTAAGTTCTCCTCTTGATACGCCAATATCAAAACGATCTACCGATAATGCTGACTTTTTCCCAGCTGGGTCAACGTCTTCCCAACCTCTCTCATCAGCATATCATCCGTGTCGCTGATCTTCGTCACGACGAGTACAACAATCCTGACCAGCGTCCCGGTCCACGTGAAGAGTCTGTCTGGTGGAATGGTGAGTTTTCACTTTGGTTATCACTGTCGAATCTATACTGACAAGTTCAAAGCTCAACACTGCATTTCAAATCGGTTCTGGTGTGGCTCTGGCCATTTCGGCGGCAGTGACCGAAACGGTCGACATCCAAAAAGGCCACACCCTGGCGCAGCAGTATTCCACCGGTCTTTGGTGCTCTGCGGGCCTGGCGGGCCTCGGACTGATCTTCGGGTTGATTGGTGTTCGGCGAAAGGGCATTGGACCGGACGACCGAGTGGCCGGCCCGGTGACTCTGTGATTTTGACTTATGGCCTTGCGGTTTCTTACGACGGATTAATGATGGATTTTATGGGTATATTTTGCTATATTTCGGGTTTGCCGTTTGCGATACATATTCTTGGATATTTGGAATAGATATAGACATAGACAGATACAGCGTCGAATTAATAGCGAATGGCGAGTTGAATACAAAGCCAGATGCAACAATAGCCAAAGAAAGATAAATAATGCAATAGACAATTTGTATTAAGTGGTAACTGGGATATCCCTCAAAAAATCGCTGAAACATGAAGATGCAACTTCTCGATTAATGAATATTGGAATGCGGGAAAGATCAGTCTTTGTCCAACGGTCAAGCTCCAGCGAGTATCATGCTCAGTGGCACGTCTACAGAGCAAGCGCAAGACCGAGGATACCGGCAGCACCAGCCAGGCTGGCAGCAACAGCACCGGTAGCAGCGGGAGCACCACCAGTGGAGCTAGAGCTCTCGGGGGCCTTGGAGGAAGAAGCCGAAGCCGAGGTAGTCGTAGTCGACGTAGCAGAGGCAGAGGAGGAAGAGCCAGACAAAGAACCAGACGAAGTGACTGAGCTTGAAGGAGCACCGGTCGACGAGACACCAGTCGTAGACGAAGCGCCCTTGCTATCAGAGCTGGAGTCGCTGCTGCTCTCGGGAGTCGAGGTCGGGGTCGCGCTGAACAAAGCCGAGATCTCGTCGGAGGCGACGGAGGTGAAGTACTCCTTGACGCTGCTGGGCAGGGTGCTGTACCAGGCGGGCATAGTACCGTCGATGTAATTCTTCATCTCGGAGCGGTAGTACTTCTCGTTCTGCATATCGAGGATCCACGAGGCAGGGATGGCAGTCCCCAGAGCCGAAATAATGCTGCTGGGTGGGGAGGAGACTTCGGGGACGTTGATCGTGTACATGTCGTTGGTGTATCCCGAGGGGGAATCACCGCTGTCATCGGAAGTGGACTCGCGGGAGTCGGCAGCCGGGGCTGCCAAGGCCGTAGTGAAGAAAAGAACAGCGGCGAGAGACTTGTACTGCATAGTGACGATGGAAAGAAAGATAATTCAAAAGAATAGATGTAAGGAAAGAGCTCAAAAGTTTTGAGAAGTAGATGACAGTGAGAGATAAAAGAAAAGAAAAGACGACTCGCAAAACCCGGGGGCAAGAAGCATCTAAATAGGCAAACAAGTGAGACATCTTCACTAAATGCGAACCAAACATGCGGCTCCGTGGGTATTTTCCAGTCGCAAAGTACACCCGGCACTGGAGCTAAGGACGCCGGTGCACGCTATGGCCGTTAGCTCCACCATGGGCCCAATCGCATCTCGCACGCCCCCATTTCTCTGCCTGGAAAAGGGAAAGGTCTTAGCAAGTCTTAGCGACCGGACTACACCGGCAAAAGTGTGAAGGTTTGTTGGTTCCGCCACTGCCCTGATCCGGAGTCATTTAATTTCCAGATGGTTCGACTCAGCGCTAGGTTTAACTACTCACTATAGCGTGAAAAATAAGGCTAGCCCTATCTATTTTCTGTGGCAAAAATATTTACCCTGCTTCGTTGACTCTCTCTTTCTCCAGTCTTACAGGGTGTTCCCCTCACTGCATTACGCATGCGACATGCTGGAAGACATCCACGATTGGATTTATAGAGCTATGATCTCTTAACATGACATCACATCCCGGGGTGCCAATCAGAGATTTCGAACAATGACCGTTGCCTCTCACCACCCACGTGGACAAATGCATTTGTTCTCCACTTGGTGCGATCCTGTGTTGTTCATAGAAATCCCTCCAGTGCCTTGGCATTCTACAAATTACTATTTCCAACCCAATTTACAGGCTTCACACTTACAAAATAGGAGGGAAGGTCAAACCCCATACCTGAATATCACGCGATGGCCACATTGTTTACTTGAGGTTTAATCTAATAAAGGGAAAGAAAAGAAAAGAAAAAGCTAGAAGGCTATCTCGAAGAAACCCAGGTCTTTTTATATAATTCGAACTGCTAGGCTGCTAGGCTTAATAGTCAATGCGCGGCTAGCCCGGTAGAGGAAAGGCGAGCATATTAGGGCGGAGCAACCCGTCGACGGCCCCGCGAAAAAGTAAGCCTCCGGTGAACTGCCAGCATAAAAGAGTAGCAAAGTTATTCAAACGCAATGTGGGCTCAAATGATCGCTTGTTGAAGCCTGGTTCCTCGGCACATGTAATAGGTCAAGGGCTAACTTGTATCCTGCTCAAGGATGGCTTCCACAGCCGCCACTGTTGTCATGACCAATATACTTCCATTAATATCGTGATTGGACCAAGGCTTCAACCTATCTCAACGCAAGCTGCTGCCCACTATAGTACCAGTATCTGGCAGCAACCCTGGCCCGAAAGCTTTTCCCAAGGTATATAAAAAGAAGATTACTAAGGAGAATAATAGTGGTTATTAGGCCGAAAGTCACATAGAACCACGTCAATCCAACTTTCTCAGACCATGGCTGGAGGGCAAATACAAAGAAGGTTGAAATCAGGTTCCGAATAAAAGTAACCCCAACAAGTGAGTCAGCAATAATCTATAGTACAACAGTTAGCTCCCAATGTCTTCCACCATATGTTCAACATATCTTGTCTTACCTCTGTGTAGGAGTCAGTAAGATATGTCAGGGCAGCACTGCTGGCCGGAACAACCCCAAAAGAACTGACCCCCAGTCCAAAGGCCGGGAGGAGCCAGTGAGACCCGTTATTCAACCCAATTCCGAACATAAGCAGACCGGCCGGTACGAACGGGGTAAATGCTAGACATAGCCAGAGTCGCATCTCCGGCTCGAAGATACCGCCATTGCGCTTTGCGAGGAAGAGCACGATCGAGTCACTAAGAGGTCCGCATGCCAGAGCTCCTATACTGGTACCAATAAATGGTGGGATCCCCATCAGGCCGATCTGGGCCGCGCCAAAGTTGTAAGGGGGCATGGTCATCACGGAGGAAAGCGTTGTCACCGGGACTGTAGTGCAAGCTGTCATAATGCCATACTCGAGAGCCATGAAGAAGACAGCCGGGATGCTGAACAGTATCAGGAATGGCTGATAGCTGTGTTTTGCCAGTTCGCCAAAGGAAACTGCTGAAATGGTCCAGGGCATAAGTTTCTGCCAATATGTCTTCTTTGGGATCGAGTGGTCAATCTGTATATCCTCAACCTGTGATTGTTCGTCCCGAGTGGTACCAATCTTGTTTGTTCCTGGTACTTCAGGATCATATTTGTCAGTATACTGACCCGATAGAGTCTTTTCCGTGATAGGAGCCACATTAATGGACGAGGCACAAAACATAGTCTCCTCGTAGAGAAAAGCAAAAGCAATCAGCCCTGCGCCAAAAAGAATCGCCATCCACCACCAGATCCAGCGCCAGCCTTGCGACAGTGTGATAACCCCACCAGCTAGAGGCGCCAGCGTAGTGCCTACTGTCATAAACCAGTAGTATATGGTATTCATCAGTCCTCGCTGGTGGACGAAAAAAACATCGGCCACGGTCATCTGCACCAGCACCTCTGCAAGAGCACCGACAATACAGCTCAATATATTGACCAGCATGAGATCGGCGACCGTCTCCATTTTCGCAGTCCACACACTAATCCCACATTGAATGGCGGTGCTAAACACGTAAATTGGCCGACGTCCGAACTTGAGCGCAAAGGGTACGAGAATAATGGCGCCGACGCAAAGAGATCCGCAGCCGGCGGCGTAGCTATCATTCAATAGCTCAAAGCTGAATCCTAGTCCCGCATTTAGTGGACCCCAGGTGACCGTGGCCACGTCGATTCTAACTATGTTAGCCTTCTGTCATAGATCAATGGTGAGGGAAAAAAGGACACTCACAAGGCTAGGACCATCATCACGTAGTAGGAGACGAGTCCGAAATTCAGGTATTTGCGCCAAAGGGGCCAGTTCTGGCTTGTTCAGATCCCTGAGTCTTCCCCATGAAGAGGGATCTATTGGTAGACCTACCAAAGGATCGTTTGGATTCGTACTGGGCTTTGGTTGCAGAATCACTAGGGACTGTTGACTTGGTTTCAGGGAATCTAGCAGAAAAAAGGTGAGTCACATTCGTTTATTCAATGAAGATAGCGGAACTTCTCACTAACCTTTGATTCGAACTGTTCCGGGTGGCCAGGCTGGATCACCAGCTTGGTTGGGACTGGGCATGGCTTTCATGAAGCATGTAAAGAGTATAAACACTTCTGTATAAGGGCAAAATCAAGAGGTCCCTTTCAAACTGAGACACGCGACTGTGATCTCAGTCCATTTTATGATCCCCCTGGCATGTGCTGAGCTCGCAGAACGCATCCCATCATTCAGCTGTAGTCAATATGCCTGTACTCTCGATTGGCGTGGGGATTGTGATGCACTTTGTCCCAAAAGGGAAGTTTGAAGCATCCACCAATAGGGAAACGAGTCTGGGGGAGCTTATCGCACCTCGGCTATCTCAAATGAGGGGGAATGTTGTGTAGATTATGCGGTAGGGTGGGGGTAAGCAATATGATCTACTGAAGCTTTCTTCATCACCCGCCCAATTCCTTCCTCTCGTTGTTGAGTGAAGATGGTCATCCCCGCGGTTTCTGGGGATCTACCAGCACTTCCCACCAATTAATTCAGTGAGATATATTTACCTGAGTATTATTAGGAAAGTAGGCCACTTTTTATTTTAATTGCATTAGCTGTGAACATCTGCCTAGATAGAAAAGTAGAATTGAAAGAACTGAAATATAAAGCTCTTGAATAGTGTCTGCTTCGCAGTTAAGTGAAACGAATGACCCATCAAGGCTTCTGGTAGTTCATTGTTGATCTCCCACTACGATCCACATACAATGCCGCCGGCCAATCGCGTCATTCTGTGCCGTTGAGGTGATGCAACGTCGGCTACGCACCTACACCAACCAGAAGCCTCGATTCTGTTCTCCAAGGCATCTCAGATTGGGCCCCGTCCAACATGCTTGTCGGCAAAAAGTCCAAACTTCCACCCCTCTTCATAATTGCAAGAGGAAACTCCTAGAGATCGTGGTGTCTTTCGCCAGTCTCCTGTGCAGTCGATAAATAATCCCACTCAGACCACATCAGAGCCCGGGCTTTTGAATTGTACAGCAGAAGCAGAGCTTGGGCAACCGTCAAAATGACCAGTGTGTTCAAGAACGGTCGAATCTTTGCACCTTCGCAGTCCTCCGCCGGCAACGGCAATGAATTTGCCGAGGGCATGATCATTGAGGGTGATAGAATTGCCTACGTCGGCCCTCTGGAAAATGTTCAAGTCCCAGAGCATGCCAATGTAATCGATCTACAAGAACGCATTGTGCTTCCCGGCTTCATCGACGGCCATGTGCATATTCTGCAATACGGCCAGTCCCTACGCAAGGTCAACCTGATCGCCTGCACATCTCTTGAGCAAATTCGCGAGGCCATCAAGTCCTATGCTACATCTCATCCTTTCGTTCCACGTATACTGTGTCGAGGCTGGATTCAGTCTTCTACTGATGGAGTCGCACTGGCGACCATGTTGGACGACATTGACCCGCGTCCTATTTATATCGATTCATTCGATTTACACTCTATGTGGTGCAACTCGGCCGCGCTCGACGAGATGCAAGCGCATTCCGCTCCAGATTTGCCCGGGGGCTCTATCCATCGTGATGAGAATGGAAGAGCCTCAGGGTTAATGAGCGAGGCGGCACTGATGAATCTTGCTTGGCCGTATCTAGAAAGCACTACTTCAACTAAGGATAAGCTGAGTGCCTTGGACATGGCCGTTGCTGCATACACTGCTGCAGGGTATACCGGTCTCGTCGATATGGCCATGGACGAAGGGACATGGGAGATTCTAAACTTCTATCGCCGGGACAAGAATATTCCCTTTCATATTGCTGTCCACTGGCTGGTTCCATTCTCAGATAATCAGCGAGGGAATTTCCGCTATGTCGACCGTGCTATTGAACTGAAGCGAAAATTCACCCAGCCCGAATTTTGCGTCGCTGGAATCAAAATAATCTGCGATGGGGTTGTTGATGGATGTACCGCTGCCCTGCGACAGCCATATACAGGCAAGTCCGATCCAGTCGAGCCTATCTGGCCGGCAGATATGCTGCAGGAAGTGGTACAACTTGCAGATTCAGCCGGACTTCAATGCGCCATCCACGCGATTGGCGACCAGGCAATCCATCGGGCAATCAACGTGCTTTCGAAGGTCGGCACGCCAGGAAGGAGACATCGGATCGAGCATCTCGAACTCACTACCTCGGAAGATGCTAAAAGGCTCGGCGAGCTGGGAATCACGGCATCAGTTCAACCAGTTCATTCTGATCCTGCATTATTCAAAGCTTGGCCTGGACTAGTTGGTCCCGAGCGCTGTAAGCGAGCGTTTGCATATAAAGAGTTCCTGGATGGGGGAGCCCCTCTTGCGATCGGTACCGATGCTCCCACTGCTCGTCACTTTCCATTCCCTAATCTGTATAATGCTACGACCAGACGGTCGGCGCTTGAACGTGACACCGAGGCCACAGTCAATCCTGATTTTGGTTTGAGCTTGGGTGAGGCGGCTACGGCTGCCACGAAGGGCGCCGCTTACGCGCGGTTTGCGGATTCATGGACCGGGAGTTTGAAATCTGGGTTGAGTGCGGACTTTCTGGTTGTCGACATGCAGTGGACACTAGATACACTTCTCGAAGCAAGTGTTTGCCAGACGTGGTATCGGGGAAAGAAAGTCTTTGACTCAGATGTTGATTCGAGAGAACACGGTGAATAGAGGCATATTTAGGTGGAAATAGAAATGCAAAGTACAAGCTATCTTGATCATACCAAGCTACCTATGCAGCAAAGGGTTTGATTAGTGAAAAGCTTGCGGTTTGTGCTTCATTCGTGGCAGTTCTCTTCGCTTCACAGATCTATATTCCTAAGCGCGTCATGGAAGAAAAATGGCAATGCACTTCCACCTGGTGCATTTGATTTCCCAAGCTGATTGAGTAGCAGTCGTCTGCTGCTCCTTCTCTCACCTTTCTATCTAACTGGACTTCTCGATCAAAGTGACCAGTAAATATTTGCCTCAATGTGTGCCGCGTTCCAGGCGATGCTGATGATGGCTTCCCTCTTTCCCTTAAAGGCCTGCCCTTGCCTCGAACCTTACCCCAACACCTGTGGATTTAACCTCCGCCGGTATCTTGAAGCTCTCTCATTCAAAACGTCAATACGAGTCCCCAGCCTCATGTTGCCCCACTAACCTCTCTCAGTATGGCATGTCGATCGCCTGATGGCCCTTGCTCAGCCCCGCCTCGCCTCAGCTGCACCGACGCGTGAGTTGTTGATTGTGTTTGGTGTGTGTATCGACTGTGAGTTTTTGAAGGTAGCAATGGATGGACAGCCACAGTCGCTGTGGAAAGTCGCTGAGGCACAAATAGATGAGTCTGAGAAACAGCTCCTGTCTTTTGACCAAGCGGACCGGATCGACCTCGACGAACTGAGCCACTCAACCCAAGAAGCCTACCAAATATGCCTGAAAAAGAGATACAAAATCTGCGTTCCGGGCAAGAACGGCCAAGAGATCATCGCCCAAGATATTCTGGGGAAAATGATTCGTTGACTGCAAGCGTTTCAGAATGTTGGTAACCAAGTCGTGCAGTATGATCTCAATCACCTCGCGCTACCCCCACGCGGGAGTGAGCTTCTTACTACAGATGAGTGAAAATGGGAAGAAATCAGTGGCTTGGGATTTTCAGACAACTATAGATTGCCACCCAAGACATGGAAAAATTCGATTTCGCCGTACAGGGCGCCGAGAAGATCGCGCGCATGATAGCACGGTACCGTATTTTTGAAGATATCTATTTCCAGCAATCCTCACCAGTAACAGGGCATCTGCAGCAAGCAGTGGTGCGGTTGTATAGAGCGGCCCTCCAGTATCTGGTTGCCACCAAGCTGTATTTCCTGGAGAAGACCGGATGTGAGTAGCATGGTTTCCTCGAAATCAGGCCGTTCACTGAGCCATCTAGTGCGTGTCTTGAAGGGCAGCCTTTTTCCAGGATATGGTGGCCCAGATGTATTCCCTTGAAGTCGAGGTGGATCGCTGCGCAGACCTAGTCCATTTAGAAAGTGCGTTTTGATCATGGGTTGACCATCGACGTGTCTTGTCTTTGCTAATGCCAGTGAAATCAGTGGAAAGTGATTTGGCTACTCGGGTAACACGGCTGTCATCAGGTATTTCAATGCCTTTGCCTCTATACTAGAAGCGATTAAACATGCTTTGCCAGACATCGAAACCGCATGCCATCCCGGGACTACGTCTAACCAAACTCAGCTAGATCGGATCGAGACCTGCGAGATGCTCGAGGGCGCAGCAGGAAACATTAACTTCGGCGCCCAGATGATACGGTTTCTTTGGGACTACTCCCCCAACCTTGTGCCGACGCCGCAGATGCTTGTCAACGCTGTTTGTACAAGTCTGAATGACGAAGAAAGGATATCGTGCTTCCTATTGACCAAGAGAACTGGTCGGCTCACTCTGTATCGGGCTCTGGCGGATGCTCTCATGGGCAAGAAAAACGGCTCTGCGATATTTGGTCGCGTCTTGTACTCGAGTATTCCGCTGGAGTTAACTGAAGAGGATGTCTTGGTTGCGTTTGAGAAGTGGCAAGGAGTTTTGTTGAAGCGGATGCTGGAGATAGAAGAGGGTGTTCGGCCGTCCCAGGATATGCTTGTCACGGCCATCGAGCATCGGAATATCACGGCTTTGGAGGTCTTGCTTCCTGAGCCAGGATTTCATGAATTGGTTTCGGATGAACTACTGGCCAAGGTCACAGACAGTCAGCATCAGGAGATGATCGAGATATTCCAGGGACAGGGATTTACTGTTGCAGCCGATGGGGCAAGTTAAGCTCTTACGTCCAAGATTCAGACAGTACCTATTGCCATGGTGTATTCCGTGAATAAATCCAGTACATCCAATCACGGACATAGAATTTTGACCATAAAACTCCCTGCGCCATCTATCATCATAGCAGCACGTGTAGAGGGCTGTGCAGTGTTCCCAATAGTCAGGCCACCATCCTGACTGTGCCCAGTCCACGATGGCAAGAACGTGAGCTGGTGTGCTTTTGATATGACAAGATTTCCTCGATAAAGGTCCGCCTGGGTGAACGTGATTTTTCCATCGTCTGGTAGCAAGTGTCGATACGGATCTTGCAATCCTTTCGGTGAGGGAGCCACCACTGAGTCAAGACAAAGAGCCAGTAATTGAAATCTTTGATGAACAAGAAAGGTCCGTCTTTTAGTTTCTTCTCCAAGTCTTAATCAAGAAGCTGCTGCTGGTTGGTTCGGCCTAGTAAAGGTTGGTCAAGTTTTGCTTTAGGGGGGTGTTTGAGGACACACCGATGAACTGATGAACAGGATCCGGTTCTAATTGACGCAAAGAACCAACGATGTTGCATAGTTGGTCATGAATCATCTGTTTATTCAAGTCATCGAGCTTTCCACACCAGGATCTCAATGTTTCCCCCTGGGTGGGCTCCATGTAGAGGAACACATGGCTTCCCATCCACGCGTCATCCATACAGAAGCTTCAAGGATAGGAACTTTGTCACCAAACACCCACTTGGTTATCCAAGGGTTCAAGGCTTTTGTGACCTTGATAATTGGACCAAGTTTGACTGAGACATCTAGGTCCTCGAATATCACCGGCACTGGGTCTGGTGTTTTGAAGACATTCTTGAATAGAACTCTGACTTGCGCCGGCGTTGGGTGATGATTGGGGTCTTTGGAAAATGAGGATTCAAGGAAGCCCACCTCACGCTGGGTTGCATCTGGGAGTTGAGGGACCGGGATTGCTTGACTCTTGTCATGATGGGGGATGTGACAGACTACCTGTTCCTTGGGGCATTAAGAGATGCAAGAGAATGCCGACACGTACGACTGCAGATAGCCCCACTCAGAACAATATCTCCGAGCCTATATGTTATGGTATTATTAGCTTTTAGTCATTTCTTACTACTTCTTTGGGTAGAAGTCTGCACTTTCTGATAGGGTGATCATCTACCCCATTGTTCTCTATTCCAGGCTTTATACAAAAAGGTATCTAATTTGAGAGCTGATTCTACTACACGCAGATGTCTCAACTTCCCATTATGTAGAACACTATATATATAGTATCGGCTCTAATGGCTTCGATCAATAGCGAAAATGAGCTTCACCGCAAACAAAACTGACTCAATGAAGACCCAGACCCAAAAACGAGAGATGGGGGCCAGCTCGTTTCCTGCTTGGTCCTTTTGACCTTGATTGGTTACCCAGGTAGTTTCATGTCATGATGGGAGCAGTGTGGGTAATGTTCTCGATGGGATCATGAAGAATTGGTTAAATTTCGGGCTATTCAATTCTCACTTACCCAAATCAATTGGCGAGAAAACCTGGCTTGTGGAATTGTTTGGGCTTTGGAAGTGAGCATCAAGCAATTGGATGTCTCGATGATGCCATTCATCGTATTCATTGCCCTGCTTATACGGGGAAGTTGAAAGGTCCTCATAGTTAAAATGATATATGGAGATCTTATCCGTTCAGAATGACGCCGCGTACGTGGACCTATTCGTCATTGGACCTGCATTTGGATCCAAATACAGCTGTAGATGGGCTATGTTCAGCTCCCGGGCCTTCACCGCGTTGCCCTAGCACATAAGGCTAGAAGAATTAAGAGACTTTCTATCATATACCAATTTCCGAGCTTCAGTACCAAGGCATAATGGCTGGGATCTGCTCTAGTAATGCTCGGGGGGGGATTTTAGTGCTAGAAGGATCGGATCTACATGATGCCGCGTGTACGTGGGGACACGTCATCGTAGCCCCAGGGGGGAATTTACAATTGACCAATTAAACCTGAAAAGAAAAATTAGCTTGCCCCGAGCATAATAGCTCGAGTCTGCAATGTTGTAATTCCCGCTTGTTTTCTCGTCTTAGGGCTTCGGGGGCCGTTGTCCGAAACTCACCCACCATCTGCCGAAGATCAAACCTCAACTAGACCTCGGGTACCTAGATCGATAACAAGCTTAATGTGACAGCTTAATGTGCCACTCTATTCACTTTTAACGAACTCTACAATAGCTAGATATTGTGGCGTTCTTGGCATAGTTCTCCAGCTTACCCTTGATGATTCTAAATTCAGGGGTCTTTGCTATCCACGGATTGTTTCGTGGGAGCCCATTGAAATGGGGCCGCGTCAAGCTCTGGAGACACAATTCCAGTCCAAAGTAGTCGCCGCCCGGTTCAGCCCTCTGGGGTGATTTACCTCTTGGCTACCTAATGAGCTAATATTTTAGACCAGCCTTGACGACCACGACGCGTCACTGCCGTCAGTATCTCATTCCTGGGATCAATGTTGTGATGGCGCTGATTCTTTGGAGAATCCGGAACAGAGCGTCTCGAGTCGAAAGGTATAAAGAGGAAGTTCTTCGTCCTGTCTTCTGTCCATCATCACTCTCATTCAAACACTTCCAACCCAAAGACAACTTCAATCTTTTCCTGTTACAACCACTCTTCCACTGCCAGGATGAAGGTTTCTGCTGTTCTGACCACTCTGATGGCCGCTGGCCTCGTGGCCGGTGCTCCCCCGAGTGACCGTATGTCAACTTCCACATGAAAATCATGGTTACACCGAAGCATTTGCTAACACTTATCATCAGGTCCCACCGACGTCCAGGGCCACCCCCTGCCGGAGCCCACTTCTACTGATCTCCCTCCGCCTCCGCATGGCCAGCCGCCCAAGGATGGCAACGACAAGCGTGACGTGCTGCCTCCTCCCCCGAAGGACGGCCAGCCCCCGAAGGATGGTAAGCCTCCTCACGACGGTCAGCCGCCTAAGGATGGCAACGACAAGCGGGACAACCTCCCCCCTCCCCCGAAGGACGGCCAGCCCCCGAAGGACGGTCAGCCTCCCAAGGATGGCAAGCCCCCCAAGGATGGTCAGCCGCCTAAGGATGGCAACGACAAGCGTGATGTGCTGCCTCCTAAGGACGGTCAGCCCCCCAAGGATGGTAAGCCTCCTCACGACGGCAAGCCCCCCAAGGATGGTCAGCCGCCTAAGGATGGCAACGACAAGCGGGACAACCTCCCCCCTCCTCCGAAGGACGGTCAGCCCCCGAAGGATGGTCAGCCTCCCAAGGACGGTCAGCCTCCTAAGGGTGGCAAGCCCAACTAAATCTATCTTTGAGAAGATAGATTGTGTGGATGCCTCACATAGATCTTGTTCTGGACTTGATTCAAGGTGGAATCTGGATCTGAGAAGGGAAATACATGGTTTTTGGTTGGAGGAAATCGGAGCACCGAGACGGTGTGCTTTTCTTTCTGCTTGACCGGTCAAATGTCCACTTTTCAGTCTCTGTATCTAGCTACATACACTCGTTTACTTAATAAATTAGAGCTCTTTTGCCCTGAACTGTTTGATCTTCGCGAATAGGTGACCAGGTCATTGTAGGGATAGGCATAGGATAGACTTCCGCCTCTAGTGGCCTATGGCTGTGGGAAAGATGCTCGCACAGAAAGGGAGTTGCAGCATAAGTTCATTGATCATATGTGTTATACCATGATCAATCGGCTGCTGAACGTTACTGCGGAAACAGATTATCCAGCTATAAGCCTTCCTCATATTCTTTGTGATATACGATATATAAACTAGAACTTTAGATAGAAATAACCGTGTACCTGAGCTTGTAATATTCTTTTATTGTGGTTTTTTTTTTTTTTTTTTTTTTTTTTTTTCATTTCCTGAGCTATTTTGAGAGACCCAAAGAATAAATGCAATGAAAGAAAGCGAAGCCAAAAGTATAAAAGAAAGACTTCAACTTCTCCCGTCTGCTTTATCATCGCTTTACAAGCAAGAGGGTTTAATACAACGGTCTTTTTTGGACTTCTTTCCTTGTTTTGAAAGGAAACCCATGGATCTATTCCTACAAATTTAAAGTCATTTTTAAGCTGATATTAGCGTCCATGGATGCCTCTAGAGAAGCCTACAGAACCAGTCGGTCGGATTTAACATTGACGGTCGAAGTCTCCGAATGTGGAAGACGAGACCGATGCGCCCAAAGAGGAATATTCGACGAAACTCCAATAAATTGAGAACGAAATGGAGGACTACCAGTGTCACTGAAGTAGACATTAAAATGAAGCAGTGGGGATGAAGAAATCGTTATGCCTTCAGGATGTTGTTTGTATGGCACTAGCTTCTGTATGGCTCTACGCCTTCTCTATTTTTGGCCTTCTTCTGTACGTGGGAGTGTATGAGCATGTGGGATTCAAAATCTGCTTCGATTCAGATGAAGCGTCTGCATAGCCATTCCGCCCCTAGTTGAGGCTCTACTAATTGAATAAAGTTAGATTCATTGATCGAGATCGAAGTCTTCGAAAGCGTTTGTTCATCAAGATCTGTGATCAACATCACATATAATACAAAGTTCGTCTGTACATTATGCAATTGGAATAATCGATTCAAACAGAAAATTAACATGTGGAGATTCCATAATTTGGTAATCCAAAGGCGATGCGCAATAGTCTCTTCTGTCGTCAGCCCGATTTACGCCTTGAAACTAAAGCATCATCATGACATCACTGGCACATTCGCCTCGAAAACATTAGATTCAATATATGCACAATTTTGTTATACTAATTGATTTGCAATTGGAAAGAGAAATAGGATATCTTCGAGGGTAGGATGATATCATGCCAAACTCCAAGCAGCTCCGACGCCTCCGGTATCAAAATGCCTTAGGGCTGAGGGTATTCTTTCACAAGAGCCCTAGCACGGAGAATGATATTTACTCATCAGGCTTGCGGAGGTTGAATCGAGTGCTCCGGTCCATGTTGGGAGTAGGAAGAATGGCACCTTGAGGGTTCATTGTCAGCACGCTTATCATAAAAGACCCACGCCGAAGAAAATGAAGAGATGTAGACAGAGTGAAAAAAAAAAATTCAGGAAATCTTACTTTCTGCAAGCTGGTCCTGTCCAAGCCAGTGCTCATTGCTCTTCTGAAGATCCTCGAGAGCATGCTGGTGGGCTAGTTCCGCGCACGTCGCCTGTGGCGATCTAATCGAATCCCGGTGTCAGTATAGATGGATTGGATAAGACATGGCAATATAGAGAGATATCTCATACGGGGCGACATTTCTATCCACCAAATCGTGGGAATCCTTCGGGTTCTGCGTCTCTGCCTGACTCTGGTGGTGCCCCTCGAGTGAGGTGCGGTGGTCCATGGAAGTAGGGTCGAGGGGGTTGCCGTCAATACTGGATCTGACCATTTTGGAGATTTTTAGGGTGTGAGTGGATTGAATGCCGATGAAATCCTTAGATATAGGATGAAGAATGGTTTATTGGAGATAATTACGGACAAAAGTTGTTGGGAAAAAAGAGAGTGAGGTTGGGAAAAGGATATATATCCAGTGGTTAAGTGCGGGGAGAGCGATATCCCATGGGCGACAGTGTGGCGACTTATGATATAACCACTTTGAACTCCTGTCGCCAATGAAATCAGATATTTTTAGTGTTCATCTTTTGTTAACAAAAGAAATTGTCTCTGCAAAAATGTAAGCCAGCTCTTTTGTTTGGTTTAATCAACCTCCATCGAGATCAAGCAATATAGTCAAAACCTACCAAGAAGCAAAGAGATATACAGGGTCAGTCCTCGAATGATCGTTAGAAAAGGTTCCTTTCACCCTATTTCTTTCTTTCTTTCTTTCTTTCTCTTTCTTGTCCTAATTTTTTAAAATTTCTAAATTCAATCCCCCCCCTAGTTCCTGAAGGACAGAGAAAAAGTATCTTGGGTGATCAGATACGGAAAGTGTGTCTATTGCAAGACAAACAAATATGTTCCGATTTTTTTCGTTATAGTGTATCTCCTGGGCATACACTACCAACGCGGCTTGATGCTGATGGGGACGCCTGGCTCTGTTGGCGCCCTCATGTCTATGGTTATGATCCTTTAAAGGTTGATATCTTTGAATTCTTCCGTACATCCTCAAAAAGGTGAAAGAGCTCTGATCCAGGACCATGTCTTCTTGATCAGATGCGTTTGTATTTTTATTTTATTTTTTGCCTCTCTTTCGAGTTTGATGTTATTTATTTGTATACCTTTTTTTACGGAGGAAATTCATCCCGAGATTTAAAACAAGAAACTTATCAGCCTCGAACCAGTGACTAGGTCTTACTCCTCGAGTTGATTCTTCCCATTGCAAGACTAATTGCCGGTTGATGGTTAGGCGCACTTTTGGGAAGTTGCAGCCTTGAATGATAAGGATGGCTTCAATACTGCCGACGACACGAAGGAGTTCAACGAAAATGTCCTTGGGGCCATGAATGGGAGAGCTCCCGGTGGCCAGGCGGACTACATCGACCCCCTCGGTTGGAATCAATTCAATGGCTGCGACGATAACACCCAGGTCTACTGGATGACCCCAGTCGAACTTGAGGGTAGTGGGAAACCGGTCGGGCAAAGCCCAAGTTTGAGCAGAAGATCAACAGAGTTAATGACTTCGTCCGGGAGCAGTTGGATGGCAACGTCAAGATCAACACGTTCCTATATCAGCACCTGCAGTACTGGAGCAAGCTGAATGGAGAAAAGGGGGGATCTGGACAAAGTCAACAAACAGGCATATGGAATGTGTGCTTTTCAGTCAGTATTCCCTCGTCCTTGCCCCACGACTGAGTTATCTTGTATCTTGTGTTATCTAACCTCCGAGCAGATACGATGGAGACAGAAATTGGCGTCTATCCTACCAACATCAAATCTACTCCAACCAAGCTAGTTTGGCAAACCAGCTTAATTATAAGCCTTCGAACGAGGCCCAGTATGGAGGTTATGACAAGAAATACTATCGGCCGACGAATCTCAAGGACACGTTGGAAGAGTGGCATGGATAAACACTGGATGGGATATTGAAAGATTATTTAGCGTCGCCGAGAAGTACAGTATATACTTTGTGTCGGTATAGAAGTCAGGAAGTAATGGACTTTGGTAGTGTTGGGGCCGAAATTGGAGTGATCGTCGTTGTTCCATAGAACCCCATGTATAAATACCCGCCAGCCCCTCTCCCTTCTTAGCTTTCTTATTCTCTTTCATTTGTTTCACACGTCCTTCTTTTCTCGCCCTGGAATTTGTAGATCTCTGCAATCTCCCACGAGAAATATGCCAGATCATTTCGGCCAATTCTTCCGAGCATGAGCCCAGTCTTCGCGCCTTTGCTTGCGCCAGTCGGTCTTGTTATGGCATGGCGTTGCCTCATCTCTACCACACCATCAGAATCAGCGTATATTCCAACCAACAATTGCAAGACTTGCTAGAAAAGAAACCAAAGGATCTCGAGACTCGTGCGAGTTTTCGACATGTCAAATGTCTCGTGGTCGATGGAGAAATGCGCCGGGAGGCAGACCCTGTCCCGGAACAGGCTCAACCACCTCCACACCCGTTGAAAGATTATCTGCAGGTCGTTGGGCGGCGTGTTTGACCGGATAAATCTCCTAATAATTGGTTCTCCGAGTGGCATAGCTTTTCTCTTGCCTCTTTGAAGGATTGATAGCTAATCTACACCAATGAGAACGGAATCGAAACTGTTCGAATACCATGCATGCATAATACCATGTAACACCTCTCAAGCGAGGGGACTGGCTGTAGATGCAGGCCCTGGAAGGACTAGGTATTCAAGGCAAGCCAATATGCATATGATCATATGATGACCCGACAAGAAAGGCAGCATATCCCGAAAAGACCCTCAGCGTTATCATCGATTTCAAGCAGCTGGACTATAGACGCCACGGCGGCGAGAACGCTTTGATTGATGAAGATAGTACGCAAGAGCATTGTAATACTTTCCAAACCCTCAGTTTTGTATAGTTAGTATCAAAAAATGTAGTGTTTTTGTCAATACCGCGTATGGATAGCGAGTATGAGGCTGTTGAGAATGCCGTGGACGTAGCGAGTAATCCTTGGCATATTGGCTTTTCTGCCGCCAAACCAATTGTCTCGAACCACACGGGTGATCTGCAGTGTTCCTTGCCTGTTCACGGTGTCCCCCGTATTCTGCAGCCTATCAACCCCGGGAGTTCAAGCCACTGTAGGTGTTGGTACTGCCCAGAGCTAGCCAACTTTCGGAAGTAACCTTAGCACTGTTGATTTCCTACATTTCTTCAGCTGCATTCTCAAAGATGCACATTCTGCATGCATAACTGCAAAAAAAAAAAAAAAGAGTGGAAGATAGCCAGGGGGGTACGAGTTGAGAGATATTGAGAGATTGGTCACGCCAAGGCATTCTACTCACCGTCTGATGTGTACTCAATATTGAGTAGGAAATAAGGCCGGTATCTTCGTGCCAATAGCTCATCGAATGATGTAAATAGCCTCTAAACTTCTTTTCTCCTATATTTTGCACCTTGCCTGTGCCTGGATGTTCAATCTCCAGACCATCAAACAGCCCTAGGTCTTATGATCATTACGGTTGTATAGCCAAGACCATCTGGACATGCCGCCGCAGGAATGTCTCTAACAAACATTCATGATGGCGCCTGGTGCATTGATATACGAACTGCGGTTAAGGAGGAAGTTCGAGGATCTTCAAAAACACAGCCGAAAAAGGCAAGTAGTCCACGTCCAGGGTCTACTACCTAAGACCCGATACGAGGTGTGGAGGCTTTTGTTGCATTTCCGTCGGTCTTTGAACCCACGAAGACTCTCAAATTGGTTACTCTCAGTTGTGGGTGCTCGTATTCATGATTAGAGAGAGTTGTATACCAATGCCCGTAAAGATAGAGAGTGTGAGATAATGAAATGAAGTATGTGTCAACTATAAATACCCCATGGTTCCCCCACTGATCGGCTTGATCTTCGTCCTCTTCAACTGTGATCAACAGGCACCGCATTCCAATCACTCAACCCGAACACCAGTCTCTGAACATTATTCTCTGCCAACATGAAGGTCTTTGCTACTGTCGCCGTTGTCATTCTCGGGTATGTTACTCGATAACATGGTTATGTGAAGTGATCATGTACTAACATCGTTAATTCCTAGACTTGCTGCCCAGCGTTAGTCCCCTTGCAACAGTCCCCAAGCTGTTCTATACTAACCACCACAGAAACCCTGGCCCTCGAGTCCGGCCTCGAGTCTGAGGTGCCTACCCAGCAATCGGAGGCGCTCGAAGCCAGAGCTGTGGGCTGCTACCAGCAAGGTACCAAGAGCAAGCCCGCTATGTGCTACAAGCCCAACTGCCCGTCGGACCGGCGCAGCGTGTTCTGGGACTTTGGGTGCCGTGATGGTAGCTGGAAGTGCTGCATTTAAATGCCAGTTTGGGGCTGCAGCGGTGGTTTCGGCTTGTTCCTAGTCGTCGCACTGTTGTCCTTTGAAGGAGAATGGCCGCTGGTAAATTCTTCTGTTTGGAATGGGAAAGCAGATATGAATTGTTGATTTGAGGACGTGCATGTCGTGTTTTTTACTCACTACCTTTACACTCCTTCGGTAGTGCTTCAATTGACTGAGCTTAGTTCATATCCATGGATAATGCACAGTATTTTGTAGTGGTTGAATGAGAAACAAGGGCTCTGGCTTGAGTTTAGAAGATGACATATCGCTCTAGAGTAGAACTTGGCTTTAATATGTCAGAACCTTTTCCATCCTTGTTCACACATACAAATCCAGACCCACTATCTGCTGGCGTCTCTACTTGGGCCTGCGGGGAAAGTAACCCAAAGAATAGGTAGTACTCAAGACGACAGCCTCAGATTTTCGAAATCGAAGCTAGAATCAACATGGAAAGTAGTAGAACTTCAAAAGGGAAGTTGATTAAGGGAGTTGGAAAGTCCCGGAGATAACGCCGATGACCGACGTTATCTCCAGAACACAAGAAGTGCTTGGAATAATTTGATAAAATCATCACGGACAGATCAAGACTCCTTAAATCCGACTTGATAATTTACATCCGCACTGGAATATTTGCACTCCAGATATGACCGAGTAAAGCTCATTCAGATCTGTGGCATCAAATCGCACAAGAACAATGGCACAACCACCGCCTGCAGGATGGCTCGACATCCACGGTCACTTCCAACCTCCAATGTCGAGCGAAGAAGCCCAAAACAGCCTTAAGGTATTTTCGCGTGCCAAGTTCATCCTTAATGAACCAGCAGCATGGAGTGCAGAAGAGGTGCTGCGATACAACGATACCGCCAACGTCCGCATGCAGATGCTGTCATTTCTTCCAACAACCCATGACCGACTGAAACGAGCAAATGACTTTGGCGCCGCCATCGTCGAGAAATACCCAGCTCGATTCGGTCTTCTCGCCGCTTTGCCAACAGACAACCCAGCAGCCTGCGTCGCCGAGATCCGTCGTGTCACCAGCACATTCCGCACCCCGCCCGATGGATTCGCAACCACGACCGTATACAATGGCGTCTCTCTCGCAGACCCAAAATTGGAACCAGTGTGGACAGAGCTCAACGCCCGACGGGCGGTGGTTCACATCCACCCGAACGCAATAGCTCCATCTGCAACAGAGCTTCCCACGCCACTAGTTGAGGTGGCATTCGACACCACACGAACAGTGATCAGCATGCTCTACAGCGGGGTCTTTCGCAAGTTCCCCAATATCCAGTTCGTCGTGGGCCACTGCGGAGCCGCGCTTCCCGCGCTCTCAGGCCGGGTCGAGCTGCTGGGCACGGAAAAGTGGGTCGCAAATCCAAATCACATCACCCGCGAAGAAATCAAAACTCAGCTGGGGCGATTATATGTGGACACTGCAGCCACCGCGAAGTCCGGGCTGGTCCCCGCGGTGCAGATGTGTGGAGTTGGGCGTTGTGTGTATGGGGCTGATTGCGGTGTGTCGTGCTCGACGGAGGCGACGATGGAGGAGAACCGGCACGATGTTCAAGTCTTTGAGAGGGAGATGAGCATTCCGGTTAATACGATTGGCGAGAATGGGTGGAAACTCTTCCCCGCGGCGGCGAAGCGGGCTGGTTCTTCCTACGATACTTGAATATATATGTATTGCAGCGCCAGCGAGAGATATTCGAATCGAGGGATCGACGCTAGCGCCGCACTTATCACGACGTGCAGCAATCCTTGTGGAGAAATCAGAACATCTGAAGAGTGTAAGAGTGTATTTAGCGAAGACTTCAAAGAGCGGATCCGCTCGCAACTCTGGTCCACTAAGCCCGAAAAGGTGACTCTCTGGAGAACCCGAATTTGGCGCGCAGCCGATCACGTTCTGCGATGGAATCACACAGAACTTTTCTCTTCCTCTTATATCGTCGATTTCTCTTTGTATTCTGTTGTATGTGGTGGCTAGCAACTTTTCTTTTGAAGATCTATAGCGCCCTGTGAGATCATCCGTCGACGGAGAGGTGAGATCATACCCCGAACTTATCGTGTCTGGTGGTCTGGGGAAGCTAGGAAGTCTGGGTATCTCATAGATTCCCTGGGAAAGAGGCATGGTTTTCTCACGAGGTGATGTCTCGGGTCACGAAGATCAGGCCATAGGTATGATAGACGAAAGAACATTGTGATCGATTGCATCTCTGACCACATTCCCCAGATCACCATGACCCCAGAGCCAAAATCACCATCGTGTCCTGGGACGGACCCGACGACCCCGGAAACCCCTACAACTGGTCCTTGCGTCAGAAATGGACCCTGACGGTCTTGTCTGTGTTCGCGACCTTCATCACCATGACGAACGGCACGATCATCACCGTAGCCCATGAAGCCATCAACGAGCATTTCGGCATCTCAGACGCCAGCTTCCCTCACTCGTATTGGCCTGTGACGTCCTGGGCCATTGGAGGAGCATTTTCTTCGATGCTCGTCATGCCGCTAATGGAAGACTTCGGCGTGCGGTGGGTCTTCCTCCTCACCTACGCGATCTTCCTCTGTTTCGTCGTCCCACAGGCCGTAGCACAGAGTTTCGCCGCGTTGGTCGTGACGAGGTTCTTCGCGGGCGGTTGCGTCGCCATCCTAGCCAACACGGCGGCTACCGTTATCGGGAATGTCTGGGACAGCGAACGGTCTCGCAATATGCCCGTGAGCATCTACATCCTCACCTACCTGGCGGGCAGTAGTGTCGGGCCGGTGATTGGGTCGCCGATCTTTCAGTTTCTGTCGTGGAGGTGGATCGGCTACATCCAGCTGATGTGGCACGGGGTCTGCTTCCCCGTCTTTTTCTTTTTCTTTAAGGAGTGCCGAGGAATCGCCATTTTAGCCCAGCGTGCCAGGGTGCTGCGCCGGAACGGCAAGAAGGCCTATAGCCAGCACGAGATTGACAGCCAGGAGACCTCGATGCTGCGGATCGTGGCACGCAGTGCAACACGGCCTGTAGTTCTGTTCTTCACCGAGTCGGTGGTGTTTGTGTCGACACTGTGGTCTGCCTTTACTGTCGGCACGCTGTATCTGTTCACCCAGTCCGTGGAGCAGGTCTTTGCAGGGCTGTATGGCTGGACACCCTCGCAGGCCGGCTACGTCCAGGCGGCCATTGTGATCGGCGAATGCATCGGCTGGGTCGGGACGTTGTTCTCAGGCAAGTTATATTTCAACTCGGCCTCGCGTAACACCGAAGTCCCCGGCACCCCGATCCCCGAAGCAAGACTCTATCTCGCGATTTTGGGCGGCATGTTCGGCATCTCCGGCGGCATGTTCACCTATGCCTGGACCTCCTACCCGGATCTTCCCTGGATTGCCCCGGCAGTTGGGCTAGCCATGGCTGGCGCCGGGAGTGTGATTGTCGTGACGGGGATATCCGACTATGTTGTCGACGCATATAGCAAATATGCCGGCAGTGCGATCGGGCTGATTGCCGCGGGCGAAAATGTGTTCTCGGGGTTCTTGCCTCTGGCGGCCATGAGCATGTACTCCCAGTTGGGGTTCCAGTGGGCCAGTACGCTTCTCGCTTTTATTTCGCTGACACTTTCGTTTGCGCCGATTTTGGTTCTTGTCTGGGGTCGGGAAATCCGAGCCCGAAGCCCGTTCATGAAGGAGGCTATTATTGAAAGGAGGAAGAGCATTGACTCGGTCTGATGTCCAGTTTTTGTAAATGAGGACAACTGAACATAGCATTCATTTCTGCACATACCAAGAGTCATTTTCTGAATATATTGCTGGACCGGACTTGATTATTTTCCTGTCCTCTGTCCGACCAGACTATAACATCGCGGCCTGAAAGGGACACATGCCCTGTCAAATCTTGCCGTTAGAATTCATACCTATGAAGCCTTGGAGCCCACCTATTGCTCAGAGTAAGATCAGATCGAACTTCGGGCTTGCATGAGAAACCCTGACAGGAACTGTTGGCTCCAACCTCCCAACATGACTCGCCACACTGATCGTCGATACTTGATATTTTATTTCCCCTCGTTTAAGCACTTGATTTACCTCCTGCAGAAGGGCAATTAGGAAAAGTTCTTGTAAAAGCATATGAAGTCGATCGACTGCCGCCCCCACCATCTACCCTTTCAAGAGTTGATATACTACAACTTCGAGATTGTTTCAGCCTGGGCGATCAAACCGGGACACGAATCAGGCTGTGCAGTAGACAGTGCCACCGTACTAGTCAGCCCGAGGGAGAGGGGAGCTCTTTGTTTGTATGAAACCGCCGTCCAGAGTCTGTCTCTGTGCGTGGTTGCAATTGGCATCCCAATTTCACCAGGGCTGGGACATGTATAATCCTCGATCGGGCAGTTCCCCGCAGACAAAGCACAAGCACAAGCACGTTCGTTCGCCTCGAGGCACGACCCGGAAAATTGGGATCAATCCGATGGGGTGTCGAAGGATGAGACACCATGCCCTTAATCCTTGTTGCATACCCATCTTGTGCGGACCCTTTCTGTTCCTTTTTTTTCCCTTTCTTTTCCACCGGCACCTTGCTGTTAACCATGTCTTCTGCGGGTCTTTTCATTTTAGCAAAGAGAAGAATTTTCATCCGTAGATGAGGCAGAGCTTGGCGCGTCTTATTAGCCTCCCGTCCAAAGGTTGGTTGCGCCAAGCTTTTGGTCTTCGCCTCTTCCCATCGTCTTCAACCATGGAAGACCATGGCATGACACGGTCGGACGGGGTCTGGAATGCGCTGATCTTTACATGACATGTCCAGACCAGATAGGGCGCTGGGAGGGAAAATATCCTCCGAGAGTACCACGAAGAAAACCCTAGAAATTGGCTCATCTACCGTCATGCTCTCCATGCAGTAGCGTCCGAAGCCACCTCGGCAGGGGAACCTCGGATCAAGTCGCTTGCAAACAGAGGGGAAAAAAAAGAGAAAGAGAAAAAAGCTGTATAGTGGATATGTTGTTTTTTTTGGACGAGTCCCATTTGATCTGTCGCTTCGTCAATCCCAGGATGATCACCGGCCCTTTTCCTTGTAGGCGACACCGAAGGAATCAGCTCCAGCCACCAAAACCGGGCTGGACGGGATCGGAGAAAAACCCAGACAAAGAAGTTGTCCATTTGATTGAGCATCTCGAACGGTCTCTCAGTGGAACCGATCCCCCTCGTTTCAGTGGCTGCAAGTAAGCGCCCACCCTCTGAAACAACCAGGGCGGGTGCTTCAGGTTTTCCCAGCGCCAGTTTGATGTGAGTAGAATTCTTGGCGGCTCATCAGAGGGCCCCACTGCCTTGCCGTTGTGACCCCGTCGCGAAGTCGCTCCAAAGGAGAAGGTGATACGATGATCGGATGCACCGACGCGATCATGCAGCCCAGTCACCCCATCGCGGGTTTCTATGCCGAATCACCGTTGTTCAATGGCAGACTAGATATTCGATATTCCTCGAGATGAGAGTCGAAGGCGAATATTAAAATTACAAAAAGAAAGAAAGGTACATGGGAAGAGGCAAAAAAGAAATCAAAAGCCGCCTTACCGAACCCCCAAGAACGAATCACGGCGATCCCCTCGCCCCCATCCAGCGGTCACAACAGGCACTCCCGCCGTGACCCAGAGAGTCCACTCGATGACGTGTCTGGTATTGTATATTACTGGAGGGAACATGTAACTTACTTTAAATTACCACTATTTCTCCTCTCAATCCACAGTACACCCATACCATACCTGTCCCTTACCTGTCCCTCACCAGGGTCCTGGCGCTTCGTGGATTATTATTAGCACTGACGTTGTGTAGGCCTTCCCCCTCCCCTTCTCTTCTCTTTCTCTTCCCTCCATAACATATCCGACTCCGTTGAATCCTCTCTTCACCTTCGTTTCTTCTTCCGCTGTGCGAGAATTCAACCTTCCGTAGAGGCTTGCAACCCGGCTGGTCCAGTTCAGTCTCTGACATCTCTCTCTTTCTTGTGTCTTTGTCTTTGTCGGACACCCCCGAGGCTGGCTCCTCTATTTGTTGCGCATCGCTCATTGCCACCAACCTTGTTCCAAGTACTTATCTTTTGCCTTTTTTTTCCTTTCCCCCTTTTGGAGATATACATATACAATCTACCAACATCTTGGATTGTCTGGTTTTGTGAAAATTGATCTTCGCGTGTGATCCGACCGTCGAATCATCCTGACGGTGAGTTTGTGGTTTGGTCTTGGATGTCTCAGTGGAGTCGCAAATAATCTCAACGCTCTTTGATCGCTTCTGGGATTCTCGGCTTTGTTTGCGCATGCGTTATCAACCTGCGCCTTCCCGGTCGCCGCTGATGGTTCGAGCAGTTCGCGAGCAAAAAAAGCCACCATGTATCCTCAACCCGGTGCCCCTATGCCACCGCCACAGAAACCGGAAACCTTCATGCTTTCGCAGGAGGCGCAACAGAGCTTACCACATGATGCGCAAGTCGCATTGCAACAAGTAGACAACTGTATGTGGTCGCTAACTTGGCTGTATTGTATCATGTGTTGACTGTCTGTTTTACTAGTGAAATACTTCCTCTTGTCTGCCCCGGTTGATTGGCAACCGGATCAACTGATCCGTCGCTTCCTCCTTCCCACTGGTGACTATATCTCTTGTGTTCTCTGGTGAGTTCACTCGTGCTTCGAATTGTCCAAAAAGAAGGGGGTGGGTGATTGACGAACTATCTCAGGAGCAACCTCTTCCACATCTCGGGTACCGACATTGTCCGATGTCTCGCATTCCGATTCCAAGCCTTCGGCCGCCCCGTCAAGAACTCGAAGAAGTTTGAGGAGGGCATTTTCTCCGACCTGCGAAATCTCAAAGCCGGCACCGATGCGACCCTGGAGGAACCCAAAAGCGCGTTCCTGGATTTCCTCTACAAGAACAACTGCATCCGGACACAAAAGAAGCAAAAGGTGTTCTACTGGTATAGCGTGCCCCACGACCGGCTCTTCCTGGATGCATTGGAACGGGATTTGAAGCGTGAGAAGATGGGCCAGGAGGCGACCACGGTCGCCGTCAGCGAACCCGCCTCGTCCTTCGAATTCGACTCGTCCCAGTCTTTGTACGAGCAATTGACAAAGGCTCAACAAGCGAACTCGTCCTCGTTTGCTGCCCACGCAAGTACGACATATGGCCAGCCCAGCTCCCCCGTGGTTCGGACCGTTGACGCAATGCCTCCTCCCCAGATGGCTCCCCCGGCGATCCCTCTTCTTCAGGACGATTCTGGTCCCCCGATGTACAGCAACCAACCGATGCCCCTGTCGAATACCTTGGTTCAGAGCGTCATTAAGCGCGAGCAGGAGTACGGCCCCATTCAGTACGACCGTAACGGAATACCCATGGCCCGCACCCACCAGCGACACTCGTCCATGCCGACCTTTTACGAGTACTCGCCCGCGCCCTCGTTCGTCTCGTCACAATTTGAAGACTACAGCAACCGTGGTTTGTCTTTCGAACCGGTCACCCCACCGCAGCACTCGGTCGGGCTCGGTGCGGAGCCGGCGTACATTGCCAACGAAGACACCGGCCTCTACACCGCGATCCCTGATCTCTCCAATGCGCCTACCTACAATCCCATGATGCAGCTGCCTCCATCCAATCTAGCTGGCGGCACGTACCCGGCCGCGCCTCGGTCCTATTCGTCCAATGCCTATCCCGTTATCGAAGGCTCTCCGACGTACAAACAGCGGAGACGACGATCATCGATCCCTCCAGGCACTCATGCTATGACAGGTCATCAGTCAACGACTCCATCATCTCAACCAGCTACTTACGCTGCTCACAAACCTAGCGATCTTCGTCGCTCGGTTTCTAGCTCCGTGGCTCCGGTTGCGGAGGGCGATGAAGCTCACCAAGACCTCGCGCGCACATACCCAAGTGCGATGCTGCCGCAAAAGGACCTGCTGCAGGAGATGTCCCGCCATGGTACGCCGCTGCAACACGTTGAGGATCATGCAGACCAGCAGCCATTGCCGATAGCCAATCCTACGGATGAACTCGCGCCCCTGCCAACCACCACGGGCCTTGAGACGACCGTTCAGAACAGTACCAGTCGCTCGGACCGTTCAGGCCCTGGTCCTGCTCGTCGTGCCCGGAGTGCCACCATGATGGAGCTGGGACCGTACCCGCAGAAGTCCCATTCGTGCCCGATCCCGTCTTGCGGCAGACTCTTCAAGAGGTTAGAACACCTCAAACGGTAAGCTTGATTTCTATTTTTGAACCCGGCCCTTCTCTGGTGGGGGTGATCTGCATGGTCCCTTGTGTGATGAGCATCCTTGTAGCCGCCGACTAACTCGGGCGTCTAGGCACGTGCGAACCCACACGCAGGAACGTCCTTACCCCTGCCCATACTGCAGCAAGGCGTTTTCGCGGTCCGATAACCTCGCACAGTAAGCATATCCTATTTTGCTGCAGTGATCATTATTCTTACCCTACTTGCAGGCATCGTCGCATCCACGAGGCACAGCAAGATGGCCACCCACCTCTCGCACATGACGAGGACTTGGAGAACGATGGCAACGACTTTGGCTCCCCGGAAGAAGAGTTCTCCCCGCCGGAGCACGTCCAAGGCATGGTCCCCATGCCCACCATGACAACCATGCCGGCTCCCATGAGCATGCCATCCGCTATGACAACCATGGTTGCTCCCCACATGATCGCCCCCCAACTGCTTCAGCAACATATCTGAAGTACACGTGCGATGTATCATATAGCATAGCACTGTTGTTTCGTTATTCCAACGGTCTTGCGCGCTCAAGCGATCATGTATTTTGATTTGGGGTCATCAGGCGTATTTCGGCGCTTTGGGTCCGGGGAGTCACTGTTTTGTCCTATTGCATCCATCCATTGCGGTCTTACGCGATTTGTCTGTTGCTCCGATGGGAATATTCTGCGGCCTCGCGTTCATCCCACCTAGCATGCTTTCTCCTTTGTCTTTGTTTTCTGTTGATGTTATTGGATTCGTTTCTGTGCTTTTGTTATGCGAACACCTCGCCCTGCTGTGACGTCGTACTCGATACGCGTTACGGCATCGGCGAACTTAGAATGCCTGGCGGGTACGGGCACATAAGTGGCAACCATTTGCCGGTTGGAAAGAGAATCGTGCGCTTGTTATGGATCAGGAGAGCCAGGGGAGGGTATGAGGGGGGTTGGAAGGAAGAGGTGCCTGGGAACTTTTCATCGGGCATTGTCCAGGAGAAGCGACGGGAATGGAAGAGCCGTTGGCATGGCTCGGGTTTTGACTAGGAACAATATAGATAGACATTTCTTACTCATGTGAATTGAATAAAAAATCCCTTGAAAAGTGCCCCTCCGCTCTCCCAGTTCTGTTTTGTTCTATACTCAGAATTTCAAGGCGTCCAAGTCACGTGTTAGCTGCTGACGTCGATCAGCTGCCCTGCATCGACGTGGTGTGAACCATTCCCTTGGGAAATCATCGTGGAGCTGTCCAGCAATTCAAACATCGCTGCGGTAATATCGGTGGGATTCCGACATACTCAGTTTCTGGTCTATGTCGTTGCGTGCGATGCGGAGGTGTTTAGCCCCATCTGGATGACCACCACCCCACGCCCGATGACCCGATGATCAATCAGTCAACGACCTCGACCTCCTATATTCAGACCTCATCGATCTTTACTCCCAAGAACTCTACCCTGAACAGAGATTCATCTTGAGAGTCTGCTAAGAGTTCTCATGACATGATTCCTTGAGTGTCCCTGAACCTCAAACCCCCTGGCTATCACCGCGATCTATCTGCAATCTACTTCTCTCCAAATACCATAGTCAATACAGCTACACAAGCTGCCGACGAGAGATCCCCGCTTATGGCTGCAAGCTATGCAGGCGATGACCACGAGGAGGACCCGCTTGCGGGCGCCGTGCCGCATGTTGATGAGTCGTCTAAGAGCGGGTGGTACTTGTTCTTGTTGACCTTGTCTATTGGAGGGTGAGTTCTATTCCTTGCGCATGATTTTTTTTTCCCTATGTCTCTTTCTCTGGATATGTCTGGACGTACTGTTTCTTGGTATCGGAGTACTAACTCGGGACTCGGCATAGACTTCAGATTGTTTGGTCCGTGGAATTGTCCAATGGATCAGTAAGTTGCGATCCCACCCAAAAGCCCATGTTTCTCATACCTTTATCACTATCTTTCCGAGAACAATATTAACCTACCATCTTCAGCCTTTCCTCCTCTCCCTCGGCATGAGCAAGTCGCTCCTTGCCTTTGTATGGATAGCCGGCCCTCTGACGGGTACGCTGGTGCAGCCATATATCGGGATCCGCAGCGACAACTGCCGCATCTCATGGGGCAAACGGAAGCCGTTCATGCTGGTGGGCAGCGCGGCGACAATCGTGTCGTTGCTGGCTCTCGCATGGGTCAAGGAGCTTGTTGGCGGGTTTCTCTCTATCTTTGGGGTCAGTCCGCAATCCGATGCAACCAAGACCTTCGTTATTATTGTTGCGACTATTCTTATGTATTCTCTTGATTTTTCTATCAATACTGGTTTGTGCCCCCCTGTCTCTCCCTTCTTCGCTGGTCTTGTCTGGTTTTTGTTTCTTACGATCGCACAGTGCAAGCCGGAATTAGGGCCTTCATCGTCGACAACTGCCCTGCTCATCAGCAGGAGCTGGCCAATGCCTGGGCAAGTCGACTGCTGGGCGTTGGCAATATCTTGGGGTATATTTTTGGCTATATGGATTTGCCCAAGGCCTTGCCGTTCTTGGGAAATACGCAGTTCAAAGTGCTCTGCGCCCTTGCTTCCATCTCCCTCGGTGCCACGTTGTTTGTCAGCTGTTATTACATCCAGGAACGGGATCCCCGGCTGGAGAGCCCGCCGGCCTCGGCCGACCTGGGCTTGATTTCTTTCTTCCGACAGGTCTTCAAATCCGTGCGCAATCTCCCGCCTCAGATTGCCCGTGTCTGTGAGGTGCAGGTGGCCGCGTGGGTGGGTTGGTTCCCGTTCCTGTTCTATTCGACAACCTACATCGGGCAGCTGTACGTCAATCCGATTTTCGCGGAACATCCGAATCTCCCCAGCGATAAGATCGATAAGGCTTGGGAGGATGCTACGCGCATTGGGACCTTTGCACTCCTTATCTACGCAATCATTTCGTTCGCTGCCAACCTCACCCTTCCCATTTTGGTGGTTCCAACCTACAAACCAGTTGCGGGCACTGCCCGGAACCACGAGCCCCCAGACGGACCTACAGCCGAGGAAGAGGAGCCCGTGCTTCCCCGCAGATTGTCATTCTCCAGTATGCCGACAGGCACTGCATCGGAGCCGCTGCTCGACTCCACTCCAGTCAAAGATTACTCGGTGGAAGGAAAGCCAACGTGGCTGTCGCGTCTGCAGATCCCGGGCTTAACTCTTCGCCGCACATGGCTTCTGTCCCATGTCCTTTTCGCTGTGTGCATGTTAAGCACGCTATTCATTTACTCTCACCAAGCGGGGTCCGTGGCCGTCGGGCTGGTCGGTATCTCGTGGGCGGTGACAATGTGGGCGCCTTTCGCTCTGATTTCAGCCGAGGTGTCTCGAATGGACGTCGACCGGCGGTTACGTCGTCGGGAAGCGGCAATGGCCACCTCCGACGATACTGGTGTGAATGCCCCGGCATCACCCCAAGATTCCGTGGAGAATGATGACAATGACCATGATCATCAGCTACACGACAGCGATCTCGAGACAGGGCGACCCAAGGACGGCGACGCAGACGAGAGCCTGGTCCAGGCAGGCATTATCCTAGGCTTACACAACGTGGCCATCTCTTTCCCCCAGATCCTATCCAGTCTCATCTGCAGCGCAATCTTTAAGGCCGCCCAGAAGCCGCGCGGAGTGCCGTGGGATGACAGCGTAGGATGGGTGCTCCGGTTCGGCGGGTGTGCGGCACTCGTGGCTGCATGGTTGACCAAGAGGCTAGCAGAAGGATCCCGGTAATTATCAAGTACTTCAGCATGGGTGTCGGTCCCCTAACTGGATCCTTACTTATCTCTCGGTCATACAGACATGCTTGACGATGTTGGTATGGAGAATGTGGGTCCATTTGCTCAGGTCGGCTGTGGGTAGCTTTGGCGGGTGTCGTGTGACATGAAAACAATGACATTTACTGTACTTGCATTTTGTATCCCTCCCAGAAAGACCATTGGAGCTTTTGCGTGTCTGGTTTCTCTTCGGCCCCGTGGCTTTCGCCATTGTTCCTTGGGGCTAACCTGCCCACGTGTCACAATTTTCAATATAAGAATACAAAACAATGAGAAATGAGAAGGCATGCATTCCAAGTGAGCCTTAATTAAATACTTAAACCCCCAGCATATTAAACGCCACCAAGTCAGGCAAAGGTCAAGGACAAGTAGGGAAATAGTAATTGAGCGGGAGTATATAGCTAGGGAACAAGGCTGCGATTAACTATATCGATCCCCAACTGCGACCATTCCAGCCACCTGGTTCAAGTGAAACAAGTGAATTATATTGTTATGTTTTCTTTTTTTTTATATATATAAAAAAAAAATACTTTCACGGAGCTTTTCAAGCTGTTAAATTTCTCCAGATGCTTAGAAGAGAGGGTGGACCCTGTCGAATCCTTGCGAGGTGAGTCCACTAAAGGTGATGTCTGGTGGTATGTAAAGTAATGTATATACAACACACGTCATGTACATTACACCGCTTTTGTCTGGTCCTCCCCGCTAAACTCGGGCGTCGTAATATGTACGGTTCCTTACATGACCACACCCGGTCACACTCCGGGCAACCTGTCCCTCCGATGCAACTCCAAACCACCTTAACCGACCCGAGACCGTCCCCTCGATATCCACCTTATTGCCTTATCTGGGTGATTATGTGCACCTGGTTCTAGCAACACATCTCGCTGTGCGCGTGAACTCTCCGCTCTCATCTGCCCTGACCCTTGGTGCTTGTGAAAGGTTTCCGTCGCGATGGCCGGCCAAGTGATGGGCGATGCCTTTCACGCCCTGCTTCGTACGTCGCTCCCTACCCTACCGGCATCGCGCATGTCAGGTCTATTTTACTGTCGCACCTTGACTTAAATGACGAGCTAACCGCATGGCTTGATTGCAGGGCGAGCGACCGAAGACACCGACCCTGATGGTACGCGTGCACACCCTCTAACATCCCCCTCCCCCTTCGGCTTCTTGTGAAATTGTCGGTATACTATATTAAACGAAGGCCTGACCATGAATACGCTTTACAGATGCTCCCGAGGCGGGTTCCAAGGAGATTACAAGCTCCTGGGCGCTGTTTATCATGATCATGCTGTTGATGTTCGCCCTGTTCACAAGCTATATCCTCCAGCAGAGGAAGATCCAGGCGGTCCACGAGACGGTTCTGTCAATTTTTGCGGGTATGTGCAGTGTTTTTTTCTGCGGCAACATGGGAGGGCAAACACTTCGAGATCGAGTTGTGCTAACGGTCGGCTAGGGATGTTCGTCGGGCTGATCATTCGCTTGACCCCGAAATCCCACATCCAGGACAGCGTCGCCTTCGACTACCAGTTCTTCTTCAACCTTCTCCTCCCACCGATTATTTTAGCCTCGGGCTATGAGCTCCACCAATCGAATTTCTTCCGCCATATCGGCACCATCCTCACCTTTGCCTTTGCCGGCACCTTCATCTCCGCTATCGTGCTGGGGCTTGTCCTGTTTATCTGGACGCGCGTTCCGCTGGACGGGCTGAATATTAGCTTCGTTGAGGCCATCTCCGTCGGCGCTACGCTTTCTGCCACGGATCCGGTCACGATCCTGGCCATTTTCAACCTCTACAAGGTCGAGCCCAAGCTCTACACGGTGATCTTTGGCGAATCGATCCTGAACGATGCTGTCGCCATTGTGCTGTTCGAGACGGCTCAGAAATATGCTGAGAGCGAGGCCGGGTCTCTGAGCTTCTTGAACCTTTTTGAGGCTATCGGGCTCTTCCTGCTCGTTTTCTTTGGTAGCATGTTGGTCGGTGTTGTCACTGGTATCGCAACCGCGCTGGGTCTCAAGTATACCCTTGTGCGGCGCGTGCCCAAGATTGAAAGTTGCTTGATCATTCTTACCGCCTACGCCAGCTACTTTTTCTCCAACGGCGTGTACTTGTCCGGTGAGTTTTGGCGTAAAATTTCGGCTTGACTAGAGGGCCAAGTCTTCGGGATACACAACTAACAACTGACTCGTGTTTAGGCATTGTGTCGCTCCTTTTCTGCGGCATCACACTAAAGCACTACGCTTACTACAACATGTCCCGCCGCACGCAGTTGACCACCAAGTATCTCTTCCAAGTCATGGCGCAGCTCTCCGAGAACTTTATCTTCATCTACCTGGGACTTGACTTGTTTGTCGAGGCCAATCTCCAGTTCAACCCGCTGTTTATTCTAGTGGCGGTTTTCGGTATTTGTCTCGCGCGCTACCTTGCAGTCTTCCCGTTGTCCAAGGCCATCAACTGGTTCATCCGATACAAAGCGCGTCGTCGTGGCATGGAAGTGGCTGATGAGTTGCCGTTCTCATACCAGGCAATGCTCTTCTGGGCTGGATTACGTGGTGCCGTCGGTGTAGCGCTGGCCGCGGGCCTGACGGGTGTCAACGCGCCGGTACTACGGGCCACGGTCCTGGTTGTTGTCGTGTTGACCGTGATTATCTTTGGAGGAACCACTGCTCGCATGCTGGAGATCATGGGCATTCGGACCGGCGTGGTCGAAGAGGTCGACTCTGACGACGAGTTTGACATTGAAGTCACCAACGGAGGCACCTACTACAAGCGCTCGGGTGGATCTCTGGGTTATATCCCGCGTCGTGTCGACTCGACCATCCCGCTGGATGGCGTCAGCAATGCGACTCGCGCCGGGCCCGGACAGCGCAATGACAGCTACTCAAGTGGGAATAGCCGCCGCCCGAGTCCGCCGCCGAGCCACACCCGGATGTACTCCGCCGCCTACAGCCCCAAGGACACACAGTCGCGTCGTGATCGCTCATCTACAGCGCTGCTCAACCCTGGGGGAGCTAGCACCCGAAGCATGGGCAGTGCGGCCAGTGATGATGAGTTTGGCCTGCCGCCTGCCAGCAAAGCCCGCACCAGCCAACCCATCCACCCTGACGACTTCGACTTTGACCTTGAAGCCCTCTCCGATGATGACCTCCCGCCGGCCGCTGGCGGTGCCTCCCGTCTGCGGCGCTCTCCTTCCCATCCCTCCTCTCATGCCGCCTCCCCCACATGACATCGACCAGCGTCTCACCGTCTCGTCGGGAACCGGGTCTCAGCGCCCGGGATGCCATCCGGGATCTCTTCTCTGGCGGCGCGTCGGGAGACCATGGAGCTTGGTTCCGTCAGCTTGACGAAGACTATATCAAGCCTACGCTGCTTCTCGATCAGTCAAATCACAAAGGTCCCGGGGCAGTTTGATTTTAAGGCCTTGTCTTCCTTGCGTGCATGTTAGTTCCTTGTTTGGATGTGTATATTTAGCCTGGTTTGGGTCTGCATTGTCCGCCGCATTGCCATTGTTTTTGTGTTTTTGGCAAATGCTGCTTGGCTTTTTCCTCTTTTTCCCCTTGTCTCTCGGCATGGTCCTGTGTTACCTGCTTGTATCATCCCACGGTGCCGGGCCCTGGTGGCTTTTCGTCTCCGTTGTGTTGGGTTGATATGGATAGCTGGGGGTTTTTTTTTGCATGCTGTATTATCACGTCGATCCTGCGCGTGCAGGCGTAGAAAGTAGATGGATCTGGGTTGGTCCACAGCTAGAATACATGTCTTGCTGTTCGAGTGTTGAGTGTACCAATTCTCTTGCCTTTACAATTCGAATATAACTCACATTCTATCTGAACTATCCTTCCCCTCTTGTATGATTCCTTGTACTACATTGAACAAGCCCAGCTTTTGGTCTTCCTCTTTTCAGCTTCCCTCCTTTTAATATACCTTTCCCCCTTTTCCTAATATCTCGCAAGCCTTAATATGCCAGATCCACCGACGCCGAACCCCCCCCCCCCCAAGTCCTCGATCATGGTGCCCCCGCAAAGGCTGGTGATATGGAGCTGCTTGGGACCATCTCTTTGAATCAAGTCCCAAGACAGATGAGGCTTTTCCGCTGACAAGTTCATCGCCACGCTTGGATACAAACAGGAACTGCGCCGCCACTAATCAAGTCCTCTAGACTATGAATTGACAATGGAAAGGATCGTGATACATCGCGGGTTCATTGAGCTTCTCATAAATTACCTCCATTCGAGGTGTGGTACTTCACTATCGATATCTCAAGTCTGTTCCTGCTCCCCAGAAGACACGGTCTCTTCTATAAACATGCGTAACCCCACGGAGAGAAACACATCGGATCCCATTTACTCAGGAATCTCAAGAACGTAACGACCGGCAATCTTGTTCTCCTCTGCATCACATGAATTAGCAACGGATTACCATAACACCAAGGGAATAAGGGCTCTCGCAAAGGCCAACACATACCCATCAACTCAAACACCTTCGGCAAGTCCTTCAGCGGAACAGTCTTGAACGGCGCGTTGATCAAGCCGCGCGCAAAGAAGTCGATGGCCTCGACGCCGTCCTGGCGATTTCCGACATAGCTGCCCTTGATGTCGATCATCTTGATGACGGTCTCGAACACGGGAGCCTTGAGGAACGCGTGGGCGGGGATGCCGATGGCCACGATGGTGCCCCGGGGCCGCACGTACTCGATGGCCTGTTCAAAGGGCTTCTCGGAGACGGCGAGGAGAATCACGGCGTGGGCGCCCAGGCCCTGGGGGGTGGCGGCTTTGACGTCGGCGACGAGGTCCTTGGACGTGCTGAAGTCGATGTAGGTCTGGATGGGGTTAGAACCAGGGTAATGTAAAAGTAGTGGAGAAGGAAGTAGATACCTCAGCACCAAGCTTCTCGCACATAACACGCTTCTCCTCGCCGCCATCGATGGCAATCACATGCAGTCCCATAGCGCGCGCATACTGCTGCGCCAGCGAACCCAATCCACCACCAGCGCCAACAATCGCAACCGTGTGACCCGGCCGAGCACCCGACTCCTTGAGGCCCTTGTAGACCGTAATACCCGCACAGAGGATCGGCGCAACCGCATCGAGCGGGATCTCCTTGTCCAGCTTAGCAACATGGGCCGCCTTGCCGATGGCATACTGTTGGAACGTGCCATCAACGGTGTAACCCGAGAGTTGGGCAGCAGCGCACAGGGGCTCGTCGGTGGTCTGGCAGAACTCGCACACCAGGCAGGACCCGTTCAGCCACTTGATGCCGGCGTGGTCGCCGATCTCGATGTTGGTCACCAGCTCGCCCTTGGCCACCACGATACCGGCGCCTTCGTGGCCGCCCACGAACGGCATCTTGGTTGGCAGTGGCCAGTCGCCCTTCATGGCGTGCAGGTCCGTGTGGCACACGCCCGTGTACTTGATCTTCACGAGCACCTCGTCCGGGCCCGGGGTCGGCACGGGGATTTGCTTGTACCCCGGGGGTCCGCCTTGCTTTTCGACGACCTGGGCCCATTGCTTCTCCGGGATCGTGGGTGCCATCTTGATTTGATGGTTAAGATGTTGTTGAGTGTAAAGGGTGTGTGGTGGATGGAGAAAGTATGAATGTGGGGGAGACAGGAGGAAGAGTGTATGAGTAAAGTAAAAGAAAGTAAGAGTATGTGGACGGGCGTTGAAGATGAGTCTTCGTGTTTGCCTATCCCAGCATCCAACTGGATCTATGCTGCCTCTGATTCTGGCGTCGTACACGCATTCCGGGGAGATTCAGGTTTTTATTCGAGCTCGACGATGGCAGCCCGATGGCCTGACCATGGAATTAAAGATTTTATATGACCGCATCTTCCTTGATGAGATCCGGACTTCCCCGGGTTGTCTGATCCATGGATGATGGCTTCACCGTATGCGTCTGCCTTCATAGAACCCGCCCTTCTGTTCTTCGCCCTGCTTTTTGAAGGAGAGAAAGGAGCCCGATATCTATGAATCATATTCCACTGGTTCACTAACACTCCTGCGGTGGGCAAAACACGACCTTGGACTCTGTCTAGCTCATCTGCATAGTGCAGCTAGCAACAGACCAGGAGTCTACCGGGGAAATGAGGGAGTAAGCAGCCACAAATGTGGGTTTCAAAAAGAAAGCCAGTAGCTAAAAGAAGGAGAATACAACACGGGGAGCACAATGGCCGAGAATAGTTAGAATGCACCGAGTGTTGAGAGCCTGGGGATATGCAATGGTGATGTATGGAGTGGAGGACGTCATCGGCAAAACCCGCGATCATGCCATGTCTGCAGTTCAGCAAGAGCGAAAATTCCACAGTAGCTTTTTTATGGTATATTATGTGAGAGGGCTATAATTAATCATAACCCAGTTCAGACAATGACTACCTGGGGAGAATCGCAATCTAGCCCTGGAGGGATCTACATATCTGGGAAATAAATATATACCATATCGGAGACCGAGTACAGGATTTGACTGTGTCTTCGACTATATGTCGATCGTTTTAATTGGAAGACTTTGCTTTGTCAGATACTTGAGATGTTTTATTATGTGTGTGCTACTCGACTGAGCTGTGGGCAGGTTTCAACGGGCTGGATTTGGCCCGGATATGTTGACTTCATTATTTATATTTACATCCTAAAAATGGACGCTATTCAATGATTCGAGTTTAGCACCAGCATCAAAGTGGTTGAACACACGACTGACCTCTGTAAAACGTGAAACTCATTACTCATTGCTTTTTTTTTCCCACTGACCCAGTCGATCCAGATGATTCAGAGGCTTCGGGTGTGTACCCGATCGGCCTCGCGATGGAGACAATCGGAGAACGCGGCACGAGAACCCTTGGATAGTCTTGGCTGGAAAACTGGAGTTATTCAGCATGTCTAGCACAAGCAGTGAGTTCTTGACCAACATTGATGGTCGATTTGACTATTGGATTCGATTTTACCGAGGGCTGGTGTGGATGGCTATTGTCTATGGATCACAACGGACCCAAGGGCCACACAGCCCGAGGCGTCTGTCATCAGCATTGGAACAAATACAAAGAGATGACAGACACGAATCCTCTCAAGATGAATAATTCAAGTCGAGCAATAAACATCAAATAAAAAAACACAACACACTCTCTCCCCCAAGATCACAATCACATAGTCGTGTTGGATGGCAAGAGGGCGCGATACCCCGGACGAGAATAAGAGACTCACCAGGCAAAGGAACTGCCGTAAATCCTAATCGCCTCCCCTTTCCTCATCTTCTCTCTTCCCACCCCATTTCTATCTCGACAATCCCCTATCCCTCACCCCCCATCCCCCATCCCTCATCTCTCATCTCTCATCTCTCATCGGATCGCCTTGCATCTTCGCCTGGCCCGCGCATTCTCTTCTTTGGGGGCTCGACGGCAATCTTCTCCCCTGCATCTTCCCACCACAAACGGATCCATCCACTCTGGGTATTTCTCTCTCGCTGTTCCGTCTCCTCTCTTCTTTCATCTTCCATCACCGCAATTCCATCCCCAACCTATCGTTGACGTCGCGTTCACGCTAGATCTCCACCCCCCTTGACACCGGTCCATGGAAATCATCCACGGTGTCTGACCTGTTCCCTCTCTGTCAATTCACCCCAGCCCATCTTGCCCCCGATTGTACAAAGTCTCACCGAGCTTGGCCAGCCCCTGGGGACGCGGCCATCATGACGGGCGCTCCGCCGTACAACGCCCAGTCCCCGACGCAGCAGCATCGGTTCGCTGCTTACAGCTCGCCGACCAAGAGCCACCCTTATTACCCAAACAATGAGCAGCAGCAGCAGCAATACCCGCAACACCCGCCCCAGACTCCCCCGGCCTTCGGCCCTTCGTCCGTCGCGCGCAGTCCTCGCTTCGCGCACGCGTCTTCGCCGTTGCCCGCCACACTGCCTCCACCCTTGAATGGCGCCGCGTCATCTCATCCGTCTCACCCGGAGTCTTCGTCGCAATACCAGGGCCACTCTGCCAGTGGCACTCCCGGGCTCCCGCTTCCGCGGCCCTTTTCGAGTTCCGTGCTTCCCGGCAACGGTGCCTCGCCCTACGGACCGTCAACACCTCATGGCCATCCCACTCACACCGATGGCCATTCACAATCGCCAACGAGGGTTTCTGAATCGCCGTATCGGATGAGAGGAAATGATGCCTCATACGCGACTTCAGTGATGCGGGAGCCGAGGCCGGCATCGCCCCAGGAATCGGTAGGGAATCCAGCCTATCTCTTCGCGCCTAAAAGAGGTGTCCTAACATTTGGCATGTAGAAGCCCGCGCGGGCTGCCGACCCCATGTCCTTCGCGAGTATTTTGTCTGGACCGACAGAAGACCAGCCATCCCGAAAACCGTCCCCTCCCCCTCTAGCTCCAGCCGCCGCTCCCGCGTCGCACCCTCCCGTTTATGATCACCGTCACTATGAGCCTGGTCCAGCCCCCGGATCATTCGCTCCCAAGTTGGAAAAGAGACCAGGTGGAGAAAAACAGATGGACCTTTCGAGGGGATCCTTTGCCACCAACGGCTTTGTGAAACCCGAGTCCGACCCGGCAGCTGTGCTGCCTCGTGCACCGCTTCGGAAACCCTTTCCACCGGGTGTCGATGCGGAGCAGGTGAACCGGGCAGTCAACGAGATTGACCAGGCTGACAAGAGCGACATGGAAGGTCCCGGCTTTGACGCGGATCTGCAGCGGTATCGGTCGAAGGGACAAAAACGGTCTTCTGATAGCAGCCGCGCAGAGCAAGCGCGTCGAAAGGTATGGATTTTTCTCGTGTCTGATTTTTTTGGGCCGGTTACTGACAGAACTAGCGTCGCCGCAATACCTTCCTGGTCGACCTGGGCAGGTCTTTCGAGAGACAGGCTATTCTAGGATCCGAACGATTCCGTGCACTCAATGAAGGTTCCGTCATCGCCGAGGTGCAGCAGAAGGAGGTCCAAGATGAAAAAGAGCGGAAGAAAGACATGCAGCGCAAACGCCGCCGTGAGAATACAGTGCGCCTGGAGATGCAGAAGAAACTAGAGGCCGAACGCAAGGCGGACGGCGCTCAAGACTCGGCGGAAAAGGCTAAGTTCCTGCGCGAGGCCGAACGGGCCCAGAAAAAGATCCGATCTACGAAGCGTGCCCTGGAAGGCGGAAATGCTCAGGATGAGCTCGGCGAGGTTACACCCTTGGCACCAAATCTCGAAGGTGGCACGACCAGCTCGTTCCATGTTGGTCGGTCGTCCCCCTCGAGACGTCGGTCCGGGCGTGGCGGCCCCGTCACTCGCCCCAAGAAGTCCAAGGAGCAGAAGCAGGCCGAGAAAGATGCTGCCGAGGCCGCCTACTATGCCGGGTTGGATGATGACTCTCTGTATTTTACTCCGCGGGACTCGAAGCGGGATGCCCGCCGCTCCAAGGAGGGCACGCCGATCTCGCAGTTGCATTATGACAGCAAGGGCTACAACCAGATCTACGAGCAAATTTGGCGAGACATCGCTCGCAAGGATATCCCCAAGGTCTACCGCATCAAGACGATTTCTCTTTCGACTCGCCAAGAAAACCTTCGCAAGACGGCCCAGCTAGCCAGCAAGCAGTCCCGCAAGTGGCAGGAACGGACCAACAAGAGCACCAAGGACACCCAGGCCCGAGCGAAGCGGACGATGCGCGAAATGATGTCCTTCTGGAAGCGCAACGAGCGAGAGGAGCGTGACCTGCGTCGCCTGGCAGAAAAGCAAGAGCTCGAGTCGGCCAAGAAGGCCGAGGCGGAACGCGAGGCCAACCGCCAGAAGCGCAAGTTGAACTTCCTCATCTCCCAGACCGAGTTGTACTCGCACTTCATTGGCCGGAAGATCAAGACGGCCGAGGCAGAAGTATCCGGGGATGGGACTGTTGCTGGCACCGAAGAGACTGTCCAGCCAGGCAAGGGGCAGGCACACACCGTCAATATTCCCGACAGCGTGGCCAACCCGAGCGCCAAAGTTACCAACTTCGAAGATTTGGACTTTGATGCCGATGACGAGACGGCGTTGCAACAGGCGGCCATGGCCAACGCGCAGAATGCCGTGCAGGAGGCCCAGGACCGTGCCCGCGCATTCAACCAGGATCAAGGCGGAGATCAGATGGCCGCCTTCGATGAGGGCGAGTTGAATTTCCAGAACCCGACCAGTCTGGGTGATATCGAAATCTCGCAGCCTACAATGTTGACCGCCCAGTTGAAGGAATACCAGCTCAAAGGTCTCAACTGGCTCGTTAACTTGTATGAGCAGGGCATTAATGGTATCCTGGCAGACGAGATGGGTCTGGGTAAGACCATCCAGTCCATCTCCGTCATGGCGTACCTGGCCGAGTTCCACAACATCTGGGGACCTTTCCTGGTCATTGCGCCCGCATCGACACTGCACAACTGGCAACAGGAAATCGCCAAGTTTGTCCCAAACATCAAGGTACTGCCCTACTGGGGTAATGCCAAGGACCGCAAAATTCTTCGCAAGTTCTGGGACCGCAAACACATCACCTACAACCGCGATTCGGAGTTTCATGTTCTCGTGACTTCTTACCAGCTGGTCGTTCTCGATGCGCAGTACTTCCAGAAGGTGAAATGGCAATACATGATTCTGGACGAGGCTCAAGCCATCAAGTCATCGCAGAGTTCCCGGTGGAAGCATTTGCTGGGCTTCTCCTGCCGCAATCGTTTGCTATTGACCGGTACCCCCATTCAAAACAACATGCAGGAATTGTGGGCCCTGCTACACTTTATCATGCCATCCTTGTTCGATTCTCATGATGAGTTCAGCGAGTGGTTCTCCAAGGACATTGAGTCTCATGCCCAGAGTAATACCAAGCTCAATGAAGACCAGCTTAAGCGTCTTCACATGATCTTGAAACCTTTCATGCTTCGCCGTGTCAAGAAGCACGTCCAACAGGAGCTCGGCGACAAGGTGGAGAAAGACATCTTCTGCGACCTGACGTACCGTCAGCGAGCGATGTACGCCAATCTGCGGAACCGCGTGAGTATCATCGACCTCATCGAGAAGGCTGCCGTGGGCGATGATACCGATAGTACGACCCTGATGAACCTTGTCATGCAATTCCGCAAGGTCTGCAACCATCCCGATCTGTTCGAGCGTGCAGAGACCAAATCTCCGCTCTCGGCCGCATACTTCGCCGAGACCGCATCGTTCGTCCGCGAGGGCCATTTTGTCGATGTCCGCTATTCTACTAAGAATTTGATCGAATACGAACTACCACGTCTTCTCTGCAGCTCTGCCGGACGTGTCGATGTTGCCGGTCCTAATAACGAGCGCGCTGGTTTCCGGGGCAAATACCTCTCGCACCTAATGAACATCTGGGCACCAGAAAACATCCAGCAGAGCGCCCGGGAGAATGGTGCATTTTCCTTCTTGCGGTTCATTGATACGTCTGCTGGAGAAGCCAGTGAATTGTCTCGTCTTGGTGTCTTCGAACGTGCGGATCGCCAGCGCGCTCAGCCAAACCGACTGTCCCACCTGAACCTGGTCTACGAAGGCGAGGACAGCGCGCCCCTGGCGAATGCGGTGCTTCCTCAATCGATGCTGAATATCGTCGATCGCAACGATCGTCGGGCTGCCCGAGACATTGCCGTCGAAGGCCGGATGCGTGATCTGATGAGTGTCTCTCGTACTGCGTTTGAAAACGAAGGCCTCCCCCTCATCGAGCCGTGTGCCGCCCCCGCAGCCTCAGCGCCTCCGATCATACTATCCAGCGCCAATCAATCGGCATGGCGGGATGTCCAAAGCACATTGTTCAACCCCCATGTCCGACAGGCACTTTTCAACATACCAAACAAGCAAGTCGACCAAGAGGTCCTCGTGAACAAGGTCGACCCAAAGGCCTACTCGCAGCCGCCTATGCTCCCATCGCCACTCTCGCTGAAGGGACGCTATACTCATATCGAAGTGCCGTCTATGCGGCGCTTCGTGACCGATTCGGGCAAACTGGCCAAACTAGACGAGTTGCTACGGGGGCTCAAGGCTGGCGGGCATCGTGTCCTGCTGTACTTCCAAATGACACGCATGATCGACCTGATGGAAGAGTACCTGACCTACCGGAACTACAAGTACTGCCGACTCGACGGAAGCACCAAGTTGGAGGACCGTCGCGACACCGTCGCCGACTTCCAGCAGCATCCCGAGATCTTTGTGTTCTTACTGTCTACCCGTGCTGGTGGATTGGGTATCAACCTGACGGCGGCCGACACGGTCATCTTCTACGATTCGGACTGGAACCCCACCATCGACTCGCAAGCCATGGATCGTGCGCATCGTTTGGGTCAAACCCGGCAGGTTACGGTATATCGTCTCATCACTCGCGGTACCATCGAGGAACGAATTCGCAAGCGTGCCTTACAGAAGGAAGAGGTGCAGCGTGTCGTCATCACGGGTGGTGCGGCTGGCGGTGTCGACTTCAACACCCGCACCCGCGAGAACCGCACCAAGGACATCGCTATGTGGCTTGCAGACGACCAAGAGGTCGAGTTGCTCGAGCAGAAAGAAAAGGAGGCTCTCGAGCGTGGCGAAATGAAAGAAGCCGCCAAAGGCGGAAAGAAGGCTGCCCAGAAGCGGAAGCGCGATCTCACGTTGGATGATATGTATCATGAAGGTAAGCCTGATGTGTCTACTATCTTTGATCTTCAGGGAGCGGTTACTGATTTCTGTGTCTCTACAGGCGAGGGTAACTTTGACGACGCAAGCGCCAAGCCTTCGGGGGCAGCAACTCCCATGTCCGAGAATGTTGAACCGCCGTCGTCGACGCCCGCCAAACGCGGTCGGGGGCGTGGTCCTGGCAAAGGCACCTCCAAGCGTGCCAAGACGACCAAAGAGCGTCTGCGCTTGATTGACGGCGACGGCGGACTCAGCTAAAATGTACGACTTCGACTTCTGTAATCCAAGATGGCGTTGTGTGAGACTTTTTGATGCTCTTAATTGGTTTCATTGTTTACGGTTGTTTTTTTCTTTCTGTTCTCTTTCTCACTGGCAGGCATGTGCGCTGCTATGTATTACCATACAAAGTTGATTATCAGACACATACGTGGTTTGAAAATGGTCTGTGATGGATGTTGGAGGTGCAAGTCGACGAGGGGAGAAAGTGCTTGTTAAAGATCAGGGGGGGGGGGCAAAAGATGTTCGATGATAGAAACAGACCCATTTCGTTTTCGCGGGTTGACCTGGTGTGATACGGTCTCGGGGTGTTTTGTGTTTAGTTATTTGTGTTCTGGCTGTTTTCTCGTGAGCAGGTATTATGGACTCTTGCAATGAATTTTGATTCTATATTTGATTTTTTTTTTAACGCCTGTGCGGTCTAACCGAGGCAAATCCCATGACAAGGTCTGGGGGTGTATGGCTTGGCCATTCCAAAGTTCAGATCTTCAAGAGACGATGCAACAGAAATGCAAACCAAAAAGAGGGGTAGAGACTCCACCCGGCGTCTCTTTTACTAAAAACGAGGCAAGAAGGCTTGGGAACCGCGTTGACGGTTACAGTCGAAAGTATATGCAGGTACTAGTTGATCCTGCGCTTCGCTACCGCTGGGAGACGAGAGAGAAGGGGGCCGTGGGGGCGGTTTGGCGGAGTGTCAAGTGATTTTGGCCGGCTCTGATATGCCAGTTATATGGGTCAGGTATGGACTAGTTATGGGCCATTGCGAGGTCTGTGGTTTAGAGTTGGGCAATATGCAGTCTGCAATGCGTGCCGTGCTGGGATTGCGTGGGCGTGCATCTATGTTGTATAACCAAGTATACCAAGTATACCAAGTGCTAGTATAGAAGAGGTACGTATAGAGTAGTTCCTGAAAATTGAAAATGCCGTGCAGCTCTCCAGCGAGTCATGGAAGCAGCATTGCAGATTCAGAGCTGGGGAATTCGTAATCGACGGCCCCCAATTTCCTAGAGCCAATTTCTTGTGTTGATCGGAAACCAATTGGCGGGTGAACGGTGAAGGAACGATCTCGTGTTTATCTAGCGAGAGCTAGTTCTGTCCCCACGGGACTGGGGAACCTACTCGGAGGCCTCCGGTCCTCTATTGTGAGTATGAATCTGTGGTGATTATTTCAGTGTGTTGTTAAAATAGGAGAGAGTTCTATAGAGACATGATGGTTATCTGAGCCGCGAGATCCGAGTCTGTGCGTGAATGGAACAGGGAAGATGCAGATAAAGAGGAATTGCGGGGTGGACCGAGTCAAGATGTCAAATCAATCTCAAAAATGGCACCACCCTAAAATCGTCGCATGAATCCTGCGATCTACACAGGGAAACACACTGGCCTGTCAAGAACAAAAGAATTGTCGGCAAGCCCTTCAGCCCCCATTAGGTAAGCCACGCCGAGCCAATCACATCGCGCGTGTTGTAAACAGGGGGCGAGAGGGGTGCTGAGTCACCGTCCCCCCGGGTCTTAATTTTATCGCGTCCTCCGACGCTTTTATATCAACTGCCCCTCCGCCAGACATCGTGCGGTTTTGCTTGAATTCTTCTCTCACCATGGAGGCCCTTCTGCAGCAGTCTCGTTCTATGTGCCCTTTTCTGAAGCGCACCTCTCCTGGTTCGCTCCGCACTCTCGCCACTGCTACTCGTCCCAGCACCAGCCCGGGCGGTGGTACCATGTCCAATCTCCAGGTTCTTGCCCGCCGCTGCCCTGTCATGAGCAAGGCGCTGGCTGTGCAGAGTGCCCGTCTCAGCGGCACCAAGCGCTTCACCTCGTGTGCCGCCGGTGTTGCTGGGGCTAAGCCCTTCCGCACTCCGTCTCCCCACCGGGCTTTGCACACTACCGGCGGCCACCCCGCCAGTGTTGCTCCTGGGGCCTACGAGAAGAATGAGCGAGGTAAGAGCCTTCTATCGAGATTTTTTTCTGGCCTGGTTATGGTTCAATTGCTGACGTATCTGCAGTCCACCCCAATCTCGCTACTCCCCTCCGACCGAGCCCTACCGCCACCAATGCCGCGGTCCGCGGTCCCCGCCCGGAAGCCCCGGCCGACGGCCGGTTCAACTACGATGCATTTTACAACGCCGAACTGGAGAAGAAACACAAGGACAAATCGTATCGGTACTTCAACAACATCAACCGGCTCGCCAAGGAGTTTCCTCGCGCCCACACTGCCGATGCCGAGGAACGGGTGACGGTGTGGTGCTCGAATGACTATCTCGGCATGGGCCGCAACCAGCACGTCCTGGCGTCGATGCACCAGACGCTGGACAACTACGGCGCCGGCGCCGGTGGCACCCGTAACATCTCGGGCCACAACCAGCACGCCGTCGCTTTGGAAGACACGCTGGCCAAGCTGCACGGGAAGGAGGCCGCGCTGGTGTTCAGCTCGTGCTACGTCGCCAATGATGCGACGCTAGCTACCCTGGGAAGCAAGATGCCGGACTGTGTGATCCTGTCGGACAGTCTCAATCATGCATCGATGATTCAGGGCATTCGCCACTCCGGTGCTAAGAAGATGGTGTTCAAGCATAATGACCTCGAAGACCTCGAAGCCAAGCTGGCGTCCCTGCCGCCCAATGCACCCAAGATCATTGCCTTTGAGTCCGTCTACAGTATGTGCGGGTCCATTGCGCCCATTGAGAAGATCTGTGATCTCGCAGACAAATACGGTGCCATCACCTTCCTGGATGAGGTCCATGCCGTCGGCATGTACGGCCCCCATGGAGCCGGCGTCGCCGAACATCTTGATTACGACGCCTATGCCTCGCAGGATACTGCTACACCTCAAAGCACTAAGGGCACGGTCCAGGACCGTGTCGATATCATTACTGGTACCCTGGGCAAAGCCTACGGCTGTGTCGGTGGCTACATTGCCGGCTCTGCGGCTATGGTTGACACTATCCGCTCGCTGGCTCCGGGCTTCATCTTCACCACGTCGCTGCCGCCTGCGACTATGGCCGGTGCCGACACCGCCATCCAGTACCAGTCGCAGCAACCGCGTGACCGGGTCCTGCAGCAACTGCACACGCGTGCTGTGAAGACGGCCCTGAAGGATCTGGACATCCCTGTCATCCCGAACCCCTCGCACATTGTTCCTCTGCTGGTGGGCGACGCCGAGCTGGCCAAGCGCGCCTCGGACAAGCTGCTCGAGGAGCATGGCATCTACGTGCAGGCCATCAACTACCCGACTGTGCCGCGGGGTGAGGAGCGTCTGCGCATCACCCCGACCCCTGGCCACGTCAAGCCGCTACGCGATCACCTCGTGCAGGCTGTGCAGGCCGTCTGGAACGACCTGGGCATCAAGCGCGCCAGCGACTGGCAGAGCGTTGGTGGCTTCGTCGGCGTGGGCGTCGAGGGCGCCGAGGCCGCGAACAGCCCCATCTGGGAAGACTCCCAGCTGGGCCTGCAGGCCGGCGAGTCCGTCGAGGGCGCCGTCCTGCGTGAGTTCAACGCCGCCGCCGCTCAGAACCCTGCTGTTCGTCCGCTGAAGACTGCCACGCCCCTTGGTGAGCGCGCTCACTCTGCTATTGGCTCCACCCCGGTCGGTGTGGCCGCCTAAGCACCTTTGCAAGTCCACCAATGCTTGTAGGAGTGTGTCATTATTTTCTTTCTGGGGTGCAGGGGGTAAATCATGACGTGCAATATTTCCCCCCGTCCATTCTTTTCCATATAATAGCATGAGCTACGGCCATGAATTGCCTATGTGCATTCATTGCAAATTCTTTTTTTTCTTCCCGGATTGCCCATATTCATTTGCATATCTTTGTCTTCCCTGTATCTTGCAAACTTGGCCATCTTCCAAGCTTGGTTCTTGAATTTCCATGCGTCGGATTGCATGCTTATAGCTCCTGGCTATGCATGTCATCTTGCATGGTTTCTGCCTTGCCTTGGTTCTTGTTCAATGTTCTCGTGCGCATGCGAGTATGTACTCTCCGATATGCTTGTATCTACCGGGATTGAAGTGGGAGTTCTTGGGCTGTGATGGAGACCATTTGAATGGATTTGGTTGATTTGGGATTTGTCTTGATTGTTGTAGACTGTAGACTGTGGACTGTGGACGTCCTTGTCTACTCTTATGTCCACTTTCTAGGGCACAGCTTGCGAGTATATGGCTGGAAGCAGGGTGAATTGGCTTTGAGTTCAAACTCGTAGATTCGTGTGCGAATCAAGAGGTCGAGTTCTTACTTACTGCGAAGCATCTACGAAGCGAAGAATGATATTAGCAGAGATTCAATATGAAAAAGAAATTAAATAAATTCGGGGGTAAATATAGGGGATGGGCATTGATATATCGGGTGAATACTAGCGTGTTGACTCGCATTTATATCGCACGAGGTACATGTAGCCAGCCATACGAAATAGGCAGGCAGTCAAGAAGAAGCGGTATGCGCAGCTTTCTACATAAATATAGAGCGTGGTCGTATACTGTCTGTTGCGTTTCATTGCGGGAGGTTAGGGTTAGTGATGCTAACTAACCCACCGACCAACCAACTCTTTTCCCTAGCCATTCTCTTAACTTCTTTATCTATGTTTTTTGGTGTATTTTCTTCTAAGTCTGAGCACCCGCCCCCAACTCGTTAAACATTCTGCGATCCGCTCTCCCGCCCCATATTGACTAAATGAATGAGGGGGCGGCCCTAGTGCGGCCCCAAGTCCTTGTCTACTGCAAAGACCACCCCACATTTCGTATGAAGGGGGCAATTTGAACACCCTAGGGGGTTTTTTTTAGTCAAATCATTTATCAGTACACCAACCGTCTCTCTCTCTCTCTCTCTTCTTGCTGATCTATTAATAGGGCAATAGGGCCTAAATCATGTGCTACAAAGCGTAGTGGGTATGAAAGAACCTGGCCCTGCTGCTTGCCTTTCTTATTTCTGTTTCTTGTTTCTATTTCTCTGATTCCACATTGAGATCCTACACGTCCAAATAAAACATGCAATTCTTCCAGCTTGTTCTTCTGTTTCCCGCCATCGCAGCTGCCCAAAAGTGCACATGGGCCTGGCACAACGCGCCCAATGACCCCAAAGCACAGGACAGTGCCGGTGATTTCAAACTGATTCGTCAATGTTTCGGTGGTGATGGTCAGCCTGATACCGTGGCTGAGCTTGGTATGAACTCGTGCCTTCTTAACCATAATGGCAGCCTGGAACCTGGAGACAAGTAAGGAATACCTCTCTATCTCTCCCCCCCCTCTTCTTTCCCTCTCCGGGCGGGGGTCTTCTGGTTTATAGGAAGCATGAAGCTAATGAAAATTCCCAAAATATAGTGGTGGAGCATTCCAGTCCTGTCAGCTGCCGTGCGGGATGGGAAGCGAGGACGATACAAGCGACGCCGACAAGGCCACCATCAAATGTAACTGTGGGCCGAAGGGAGATGAACTCTCCATTCCTGTTAGTAAGTGGAATCCCCATATGCCCCCTCGGAATCTCATTACTGGGAAGTTACGCTAATTTGTTTGACTCAAATAGCCAAAGCTGTCACCGTTTCTGGGGCTGAGTTCTCATGCTATACCCACACTGCCTCTACCAAAACTACGGAATTCCCTGCTCCCGCTGCTAGCACCAGCCTGGTAGCTTGATTCGATAGCTCTTATGATGGCCTATCTATCTGTAAGGGGATCGATCCAATAGTCGGGGTAAAAGCCCTGTCAATTGGAATTAGGAGAGTACAACGGTACCTACCGCGCAACACGATTGTTAAAGATTTCTTGTCGGATTTCGGAATTTCTGTACGGCATAGTATACCAGAGACCCAATTGGCATGATTGATTAATTGATGATTGAACTATTACATTGCAAGACATCGCTGTTGAGAGTCTCATAGCCTCGGGAGGCTATAGTACCTGGTATTGGCATTCTACGACTCAGCTATTTCGAGCTGGCCCGGAATACTAGATAAAACATAAGGGAATTGGGTAGACGCTTAAATCAGCCTGTTCTTAATGGAGAACGCCCCATACGCTCTTCGCATGCGAGACACTGAATCAATAGGCGAAAGCCAGGCACTGGTCAATTTTCTTTGAGCTTAAAACTTCAACATAAGCAAGAGACCTCCGTGTAGGAGAGAAAGAGAGCCTTGCCAGTCAGAGCTACTGATTAAGGAGTTCCCACTTCGCCAGACAAGGGCAGTTCAGTTGTCCGATATGGTCATAAATAATAATATCAAGAGACACAAGCTAAGATAATACAATTCATTAAATCCAAGCACTATCAAGTCCCGGCATCAAAGATCACACTCATCCTCATCTGGCAGAGGCATTGCCGCAACCGCCTCCATTTCCTTTCGATACTTCTGCAACGACTCTAGGTCACTCGTGTTCATTTCCCACATTCTCCCAATGCAGTCATGGGCGAAGACAAATTCCTAGATGAAAGGGATATGGTGAGCTAAGGCCTGACCAAGGAATAGTACCTAAAAAAAAAAAAAAAAAAAAAAAAAAACACCCATAAAATTAGAGGATATGCGATGATAATACATACCACAGTCGGCTCCGGAAGAAGCTGGCGCAAAATCCACAAGAACGGCGCCTCGAGATTCAGAGTTGTCTTCGCCGAGATATTGTAGTACTGGATGCCCTGCATCTGGCTGGGCCATTCCAGGGTTCCTGTATCTATTTCGCGGGATTTCTCGTCTTTGTCGGCTTTGTTGCCGCATACCACGATTGGAAGGGTGGGCGAGATGGTGGAGATTAATTCTTCTGTGATATGCAAAGATGGAGTTAGGTTTGCGAGGTTGGCCTCATAGATGGAAAGAAAGGGAAATAGTAAGAGGAGAGAGTAGAGAGGAGAGAGATAAAGAATCTTACGGTGCCAGGCAATGACACTGTCGAATGTCGTCTTGCATGTCAAATCAAACATGATGATCGCTGCATCGCTCTGCTGGAGAAACCCTGCCCGGGTTTCTGGTGTATCGAGGCTTCCTGGGATCTCCCAGATCTCGAGAAAGATCTGGCCGTGATTCTGACGATAGAAGGAGATTAGTACATAAAGAGTAGCAGTGAGCTCGAAGAAGAAAACTGCGTCAGACGCATAGAAAGGCGTGAACAATTAGGACCTACCGTGCTAAACGCCACTGGCGTGGCTTCAGACCCTTCGGAGGGCATATATTCTTCTCGAAATTCGCCAGTCAAGTTACGAATGAGATGGCAGGTCTATCAATCTCGCCTTTGTCAGAACAATCCAAGATCTCGACTAGGCATCCATACTTTACCGACGCCGGCGTCCCCAACTAGGGTCACCTTGAATGTCTGCACTTTGCTCATGGCTGCACCGTGGAAGAAATCTTGGCACGGGATATGTTAGAGGCGTTCCAATGTTGTTTTGAGTGGACTTCTTGAGGCAGGAAGAGCCTCATGATTGAATGCGGGGCATCTGGCCGCTAAGAGTCCCGAGGTCGCTAAACACCGGTTTACTAAGGATGGCTGATCAGACCGCAGTTCGTGATACCATGATCAATTTAACATTGGGTACTTTTGAAAATACCTTATTTTCATTCTTGCAGTCGCATGCATGCGATAGGGAATTGTTTTGGCTATGTAACACTGTCTCAATCATATAGAAACACGTCCAGACGGACCGAACAGACAAGGAAAACGCCATTCCATAAACAAAGACAAGTCATCTAGACATCTGACCCGCTACTTTTTTTACTTACTTCCGCCCTCCACGGCTGACCTTGGGGAACTCAACCGGGACACGCAGGCGCGCAACGCGACGAGCATTGGCCTCAGCCCGGCCACCCTTGATGTTCCACTTGGCAAACTCGGTCTCACGGGGCCGGTCAATGCGGCAGCCCAGCTCGCGGAAGTACTGGTAAATAGTATTGGAGTCGACGCGCAGGTCATCGCGCAGGTCTGAGGGGTCAGTGGCGAGTTCGTTGGGTGCGTTGCCGCCCAGCGAGCTGGAACCGCCGTCGCGGGCGGGTTGCGGGGGAATATGCAGGGTGAGCGCGCAGATGGTCGTGTGCAGGAGCGTCAAGTCGTGCTTGGTGAGGAAACCACCGTTGGGCGCAAAGCGGCGGCGCACGGCGTCGACCACAGACTCCGGGAGCAGATCCGAGGATGCGGTGGCGGCATTATCTGCTGGCTTGGCTGCGCCCTTGGGTGCCCCAGTGACGTTGCTGAGGATGCGGCGCAGGTCCTCGCGCGGCGGCAGCCGTTTGCTGCCGGGGCCGCCGCCTTTGGCGTCGCGGCCCATGTTCTTGAGCGAGCGCGCGAATTCCATGAGCAGCTGGATAAATCGCAACACTTGCAGATGCGTTGCGTTGTCCGAGCTGACCACTGCCGGAATGCGGTTAGACGCATAGCGCGAGTACGTGCTGACCCCGAGCCCGGCCTCCACCTGCTGTTTCCACTCGTCGACTCCATTCAACTGGCTGAGCGTCGAGTTGCCGTTCGGAACAAGCGTCTCGAGCGGGTACACATCCGATGGATGGGCCGCAGAAAGGTCGGCAGTGGGGAGAGGCTTGGCTGCTTGCACCTCGGCCTGCACATTGTTGGCCTTGGTCACACCTGTGGCCACATCCGCCGGCAGAGACGAGAGCAGGGCCGCGCCTGCCTCCGGGACAGCACCGGCCGGCGCATTGGACAGCTGAGCGTTCTCCGCCATTGACTGCACGGCCTTGCGCGATTGTTTCGTTCCGAAGGTGTTGGTCAGCGCAGTACGTTGCGCGCGCATGTTGTTCTGCTTGTTCATTAGCCATACCACAAGCATTATCTCCCTCGGGTCACAACACATACCATTTCTTCATCGAACTCCTCCTCGGCAGCTCTCTTGGTCCTCACTGCACCTCGCAATGTAGCTCTTCGCACCTCCACCAATTGCCATGTCTTGCGCTCGGGATCGACCACGGCGACGTAGTGCTTCAGCTGCGAGTCCGCATCGTCGCCCGTGCCCTCACGGCCGACAAAGTCCATCTTCGCATGGTCCGAGGACTGCAGCAAGACCTCTGATAAGACAATGCCCGGGTTCCGATTAGAGGTGGCCGATCGAGGGACATTTTCGCGGGTTTTGATGTATGGGTTCCAGCGAAGAGATGTGGAGCACTGGAGGCCCGGCGTGGAGGCTGTTTGGCAGTCAATGTGTCAGAAAGGAGTGTTTCTAAATTGCATCAAAGAAGTTCTTCATACCAATCACTGGGGCGAGTTCGCTTTTGTCCTCAACGACACTGGCTGCTAGCGGCGGCAGCGCGTGCAGCTGGAGAGCGGGCTTCTTGCTCGGCCGCTCATGGCGGTCAGAGGAGCGCTTGCGCTTCTTGTCTGATTTTTCTGACGGCATAGCGAGCGGAGACCGCAGAGACAGTGATCACAGCAGATCCTGGCTCGTCGAGAGGCGCTCACAAAGCCCGAGTTATCGCGGTGCAATAAATGTCTGGGCAGAAAAATTTCCTGGTGGAGACTAGAAGGCGGTGAGCGGACGCACAAACGAAAATGACGGCAGCTCCCACGGGAATATCAACGCATCTGCAGATGGTTCTATGGGCATGTCTACAAGGGCATATACAAGGTCCACGAGTACTCTTCAAGTCATCGATTCATCGGCAAGCATAGCTATCGAAATCAAGGACCTCCGAGTTTCAACAGAACTTTTTCATAAACTCTCGGAAGAAACCTCTCCATAGCTCTCGGTCAAGGAATAAATCCCAAGACCGTAAAATTGGAAGTGAGCAGAAAATTGACCAGCTACCCATTGCCAAGCTCACCAGGCCAATGCCGGGTGAATCCCACGCATCGACCCACCAACCCCCGAATAAACACATGAGCCTCTCCGAGTGAAAAAAGAAACCATGTCCAGCATCAGATCGACCGACGTAAATGAATCCCTGAGAGTTGGAAAGAAGGTGGGCAAGACATGTTGGTTGGAACGGCGGATTCTGTCGACCGAACTGCGATTTCTGATGAAGAGAGGACGGAAATCGTATCCGGACAAGTTACTCGTAAAGATGAGAGGCGTGTGGCCCGAAGAGACAAACAGATGTCGCCACATTCGGGTCATTGGTTGTCATGTTCATCGTTCAACCGTGAGCTCCGACAAGGAGAGCTGAGATGGAGCGGGGCGAGTAGTTTACTTGCTGTAGGACTGTTAGAATTTGATTCATCGTTGTGGACAAGCTCCGTAGTCCGAGGGGCACGAGCTGCAAAAGGCGATACTGACGATCTGGCACGCATCTTTCTTCTCTTGCGCTTGAGACGGCGAACGCGCTTCTTTCTCCACTTAGCTCTCATCTTCGTAGATGGTTCGGAACTAAATGCATGTCAGTCCACTGATTCTTATACATATTTATCGAGATCCTAGATTGGGGGAGCTACTCACACTTCTGCGAGGATGAGGGAGATGAGTGAAGGAAAGACAAAGCGAGAGGACCGCAGACGCATTTGAGTATGGTGGGGCTGACTCAGCACGCTCGCTTAACGGCACTACACGTGACTATGGGGCGAGGTCGTCTCGGGCAGCACAAGCTACACCTCTTTAGGCAACTCGGTAGGGCTACAAGCCGAGCGATATGATGTCTTGCTGGGTTGAGAGCTGTGGACACAACTCTAAGCAAATTACAGTCAGTCATGAGTTATCCACAACACAGTGCTGGAAGGAATGCGGTGTTTTCATTTTTATTATGACGTCAAGTTATTTATGTGCAAATCGAATCCATGGTTATATTAGTAGATCATGAAAAAGCTTTCATGAGTATAGCCGGGTAAAGCATCCGTATATATCGAGCCATCCATAACTCGTAGTGTCCTCGCCTCTGTCCATAGACTAGGGCAAAGCAGGGAGGAGGGTGCGACAAGCCAGTTTCGTGCCGATCCCCGGCCACCTCGGGAAGGCCACTCAGTATTGGTAGCGGTAAGTAGGTGCAAGGTCACCCAAGTATTCCTCTTCTTCCTCGGAAATGGCGTTAGGGTCAACCGCAGCTCGATCGCGCTTCCGGTTCTCGTACCACACAGCGAAGAAGTAGGCGATGCAAGCCACCGCAGACAGGCAAATAAAAGACAAGCAGATGATGAAACCCGGGCGATAAAAGACCTTTGCGTCTTTCTCCAAGAAAGAGTAGGTGGAAATGATGCCTCCGATGTTACCGAATCCGACCTGCCATGCAGTTCCCACGCTACGCCGGAGGTGGCCACCGAGGTTCATGGCGAACCAGCACACAATCACTGGCATTGCGCTGTAACAGCCAGACGTGAGCAGGAAGAGTGCGCCGTATTGTGGGTTGCGGTTTTCCTTGCCGTGGATATTCAGGAGCATGGCGAATCCGGCGATGGCGACAGCCATGGGGATCAAAGTGAAGGCAAACCGATGTCGCAGCCGATCCGAGAAAAACGCTATAACCATTGAGAAACCCCAAGCAGCCGCCCAGGGTGGAATGGAGTAGAGTTGGGTTTTGATGGCTGTGAAGAAATGGGGTGAGTAAAGATATGAATGTTTTCTGAGGAAGACTTGGAGAAATCCATACGGTCATATCCATAGCTCTGGATGATTGTGGGCGCAAAGTACGCGTATCCTACACGGAAGAAAAAGGTTAGCAATGGCTGTTAGTCAGAGTAAAAGACGGGTTACGCACCATAAGCCGGCACAATAAGCCCGAAATACGCAACGCCAGCAATGAGGACCTTGTCTACAGGAAGAGTCAGTATGGCGCACAGATAAGAACCACGAGTTTCACTCACAGTCTTTGAAAACACCCAGGACTTCGCGCGGGCCCAGCCGAGTATGCTGAGCCGCTTTGCCCACATCCTTGGCCAGCTTCGCCCGGATAAACTCGCGCTCTTCCTCGTTCATCCATTTGACATCCTCCGGGAAATCGGGGATGACGAAGAACCAGACAAGCGCGACAACAGCGGTAAGCACACCCTCGAGGATGAACACCCAGCGCCAGCCACCATATCCGCGCATACCCTGCATCTTTCCAATTCCACTGGCCAACACACCACCGAAGGCGCCCGCCAGAGTGGTCGAGCTGAAGAAGAAGCTGAAGCGCTTCTGGGCCTCGGACCGCTTGTACCACATGCCCATCAGATAAAAACCTGCCATTACACGTCAGACTCCTGCTTTACAGTGGTTTGTGGCCCGCAAGACTTACACCCAGGGAACATGCCCGTCTCAAACACTCCCAGGAAAAACCGCGTGGTCATAAGGCCACCCCAGTTCGATACGAGACCCTGGCAGATCATCACCACGCCGAACATGAACATACAAAAAGACACTGCATGGCAGTCAGCAACCTGCTTTAACCACAATCGAATACAACAAGCCGAGAAACTTACACCAGACATGGGGCTTCAGTTTCTTGAGCAGCACATTCGAGGGGATCTCAAAAATGATATACGGGACGAAGAAGATCGTCAACGCGGTGTTGTATTTTGTGCCCGTGGCGATGTCCAAATCATCCTTGAGTCCCAAGATGGCGGCATTGCTGATATTCACTCTGCGCAACAACAACAACCGGCGTCAAAATTCAGAGCTCGACACTTGAAATAGTGCGGGGCGGAACCTACCGATCCAAAAAGGCCAGCAGATACAGCACACACAGACAGGGCAAGATGTGCCAGTCGATTTTGGCCATCAACTTGCGCTCGGTAGTCGTCGTGAGCGGAGGGAGTTCGGGGTCGGAGCTCTGTCGAACATCGACTTGGCTCTCGCCATTTTCGCCCGGCGTGAATTCTGCGCGGAGAGATCCCCGAGCTGTTAGCACTGCTCTCAAACCTGGTCGCCAACACGCGACAGCTTTGGTACGTGTGCGATAAGACAAAACGAACCTGGGACTCCCATGATTGGATGCGGTCGCCTTGCGCGCAGCGTACTTGTCGAGAAGGGAGGGTTCGCCAAGAGAAGGGGAGGGGGCGGGAGTTAAGGAAAAGAAAAGGAATTCGAGTGCCGGATCTCGCGTCGCAGATCACCGCGGATTGCAGGGATGTGGATACCCGAGGCCCGGGGCTGATGCACAACTCCAAGTGCACAAGCTACAGATCCGTGGAAAGCAAGTTGGACAGAAGACTAAGAGGGAGGAAAAGCAAGACAAGGGCACAATTGATTCTCAAGACTGGCAAGCCATTTATTCTCGAGTCATTGTTATTTAAAAGGCCCGAAAAGTTGTAGATCTACTCAGCGCCGATCTCGGCCTTATGTGAGAAGCGTTCCTGATCCGTTGAGTCGCTGAGATTTACGTATGCGCCTATTTGCAGTGTCTGATGTGGCCCGAGTCACTATCCTGTGAGATTTACGTATGTCTTATCTTTTTACTCCCGCCCTATAGTATATAGTATGCTTCCCAACGTGAGATCGAAGCATCTCCGCTATTTCTCGGTTCCCCGCAAAACCTCTGACCTAATAACAAAAATGGGGATTTCTAAGATTAGACTTATGACTCAATTTCTGACATCAGCTTCGAGATGCCGTTGAAAAGTCGTGTCAATAGTCTTGGTATTCCCCGGGGAATCTCCTGTGCGACCGGGTCACACCTCGGGCCTGCGGTGTATGGGAGCACTCGAGGCTGCAGAGAACCCTAATTGCCCGGGAAACCCACCCTGGTCAACAGCCGAAAAAATTTGGTCGAAAGATGCATTGTGCTGCACCGTGGGGCTGCAGGATCGCCAATTCCAATCATCATGGGTATCTGCTCGTCTGTTCCCATCGGCGACTTCAGGGTTTTACTTCCGCTTGCCCGTGAACGATTCATATATTGAAATTGAATATTCGATAGGATAAATTCTAAACACCAGTGAAAGCAGAAATAGCTTGACCTTGCGAACGAAGCAGACACATCTAAATGTTGAGCGTTGCAGTGACTCCTCGATTATGCATGATTAATGTATGTCCATCCCGCCCGATCGTATTTAGGTAGTCACTCGATTCTTCGATTATCACCAACCCACAGCAGCATAGTTGGTTGCTGGGTCTATATCCACCAACATCTCCACGGGATCCTGCCGCTAACAAGCAATAGATTGCTGGCTCCTGATGGAATGGGTCTGCGGTGGAGGGAAAGATAGGGACTTTCTTCGAAAATTTTGCTAGGCTTCTGATGAATTCATATCTGTTCTACGCTCATATACCTAGACTGATATCCATACTTCCCGAGGGAATGCAGATCTATATCCTTTTTGAATAGAATTGGCAGGAGCCGAATATCTTGGCGGGAGCTAGAGACATATATTGTGCATCTCATAGAATGTGCTAAGCTTTTTGGCTATATTTATTTTACAAATAGAATATGAGGACCTGTGAACTTGACGCCAAAAATGACCGCTTTTGAGGCCAGAAACGGCGGCCTTTCCTCCCGTAACATCCACTGGCGAGCTGCATGCACCCGCTAGGTACGGTTAGTCATCTACCGGTCCAAAAATTAGATAATAGCGAGCTATATATAAAAGCCTACGAAGCCTGTACTTAATTTCTTACCCTAAAGCTCGCTTTCCCTAGGTTGATAGATAAAGGCATATTTCGACCTTTTCGGTACTGCTACAGAACATAGAAAGATGGCGCTGTTGCTTTTCGATGTAAACTTATGGAGACCTCGAAAGACTAGGGGGCGCTCGGATTTGTCGGCTTGTGTCTATTTGTCTTACCGACACTAGAAGAGATGGCTCTGCCTCGGAAGGAATATAGATGTTTTGAGGCGACCCAGAACCTAAAGCGTGATTTGTCGAGCTTTCTTGACAGTGCATCTGATAGATGGGTTCCCCCAGAGAACTGGGAAGTGGCAAAAACAGAAAACGAGGCAATGTTCAAGGGGATGTTGCAGGCTGTACTAACAAACAAACATTCACGATGATGAACCAATTAGGGATGAAAGAAATCTGCGAGATATCTAGCCTTTTGGTTTGCCAGGGGAGTGATTAGTTCTGTCTTTTGAGCTCAACGACTTCTGTCGTGGTTATGAGGGGGCCAGAGTTATTGAATTTCAAGTCAATGTAAATGTTGGCATTGAAATCCAAAGGACATGTAAAATAAGATAACACTACCTGTACAGTCAAGTTCTAGCCCTTTTCTGAGAGCACCTTTCAAGCCAGCACTGTGGAGATTGACAACAACCCTTTATAAATATTCAAGATATTAAAAAGTTGCACCGAAGCGGTGTAAATCCAGTGACCTTTGCTTACGGTTGGACTAGGTGCTTGTTTTGGTTTCGGGCTGCTTGGGTTATGATCACAACCAAAACCTTTCCCTAAAAGGCCGAAAGGAATCAAGTGAGTCGCTAAGGACGAAGCATATTGACTACGTCTTCTCGGAAACCATTATCTAGTACCCTCCAGTTGACACCTGGCCCACCCCTCATTAGGGCGACTAAAGTTCTCACCTGCACATCAGATTTTATATCTATAACGATCGACTACGGCTCCAACATGGGTTGAATCATCTCGCTTGGAATAGACGAAATAATTTTCACTCTCAGATTATTCACCCATCGGGGATAGCGTCTCGCCAGCCCGAGAATTCGCCAAGCACACCAGCCCAGCTGGCTGCGTGCTGAAAAGCGGCCCAGCCCGAAAAATCGCGGTTACTCAGACGGCTGATACCCACAATTATTCACGAGGACAAGACAATTGGCGAGATATATCATTTAGTTTCTTTGCCTAGACACGGTATCTTTTAGGAGACATTCGATTTTCTACTGCGCTGGAGCACGCCATCTTGCTCATTCATGAGGCTATCTTGAATGAACCCGAAGAGAAAAGATCCAAGAGAGTTTAAGTAGAATTTAAATAAATTCATATCTCAATCTACGGCTAGAGAAAAAAAATATAATTCCTCTTGTTTGAAGCAGTTTGACCTAGCAAGCTCGAGGAACACTACCATGGCCGAAACAAGATCTATCTCAGCATCGTCCTATAATAACGTGCCTGCGCATCATGAAAAGCGATTATGGTATCGAACGACGTTCTTCAACGCTTTTGTTATTGGAGGAGTTGGTTTTATGGCGCCCGGTCTATGGAATGCAATGAATTCGTTGGGCGCTGGTGGTGCGCAGTCGCCGTTTCTAATTAATGCAGCCAATGCATTGGTATTTGGCCTTAGTATGTGACATTTTTTTTCCTTCCCTGTTATCCAATGAAAGTGTTGAATACTGATCTTAATTTCATTCTAGTGGGCTTCTTGTGTCTCTTCGGCGGACCCATTGCAAACCGTATCGGCCTGAACTGGACCCTACTGTTGGGCGCCGTTGGCTACCCGATCTACTCGTACGCAAATATATATTTCCTAGCATACCGGTGAGACAAACTGATGATGTGATGCGATAGGGCTGCATTGTATACGAACAATCGCTACGTGAGCAACTTATTCTACGCATACCAATCTGTCTGTAGATATTGACGGCGATATCTAGGGTAATGTTTGGTTTGTCCTCGTTGGAGCAGTAGCATGCGGGTTGTCGTGAGTGATCAAATCCTTCGTCAAATGAGACAGTCATTTCTCACGAATGCAGAGCCGGTCTTTTCTGGGCCTCTGAAGGTGCCGTGGCATTAGGCTACCCGGAGCCAGCCAAGCGAGGCCGTTATATGAAGTCAGTTGCTTTTAATCCATGCTGGATATGACATAACCTTTTGCTGACGATAGTAGCATTTGGCTTTGGTTCCGCACAGGCGGTCCCTTGGTAGGAGGGGCTATTGTTCTTGCACTCAATCAGTGAGTTCCCCCAGAGGATATCGAGGCCAGTAACTAACATACACATAGCTCGGCTGAAGCGAAAGATCGAGGCAAAGTTGGGTATAGTATGTTGCGCAGGCATACTCCCAATAACATTTGATTGAAGGCTGGCTAATATCCGAGTTTAGAAACCTATCTCATCTTTATTGCTTTGCAGTGCGTGGCTGTTCCATTGGCGATCTTCCTCTCGCCGCCAGACAAGGTCCAACGCAGCGATGGGAGCAAAGTGAAGATTGTTCTGCAGAGTTCATGGCGTGCCGAGCTGCTGGAGCTCTGGAGACTATCTTGCAAGAAGGAGGTAAGTAATAATTTGAACACTCACATGTGTGCATGGATCATTGAACTAATCTTATTTAGATCCTTTTGCTAATACCAGTATTCTGGGCAGCATACTTCAACCAGTACAGCTCAAGTATGATTTGAAAGCTGCTTTAAAGTGATCGATTCGGTGACTTACGCAACGCAGACTTCCAAACGTACTACTTTGGTGTTCGGGCGCGGGCTTTGACAGGCTTCCTCAGTACGCCAACACCCATCCTTGCATCTAACAGATTCACTGACCCCGACAAAGGCTACTTTGCAACTCTATTTTCTTCCTGGCTCATCAGCCGATTCCTAGACTACAAAGGGGTCTCAACGAAGAACCGGATTACCTACAGGTAGGATCAGCGACTCCTTTATTCAATGAATTATTCTAACAACTCTAGCTTTTGCTATGTGATTGTTTTGCATATCATAGCTTGGGTGTATGGATGGGTTGTCCAAGAAAAGTACACAGCAAACCCACCGACCTTCGACTGGACAGACAAGGGCTTCGTCGAGGGCTTTTTCGTCCTTGTGCTCTGGGGTAGCCTTCTCATATCCGAACCCGAGAGACAGTCATGCTAATCTCATCCTGCAACAGAATTTTCTCGGCAGGCCCTGCAAAACTGGCTGTACTACCTCGTTTCGACCATGACCGACAACATCTCGGAGCTGTGTATGTTATATCTCTTATTGTTGTATAAATTCAAGATAACTGACAGATTACAGCTCGATTATCCGGTATTCTTCGTGGCCAAGAAAGCTTCTCTCAAGCGGTTTCATTTGGTCTCAACACTCGCAATTGGTATGGAGGGCGAGTTCCTCTTGCTGTAAATACGATTTTGCTCGGTACGTGAACATGATTGTCTTGGTGCATTCCTCTTTCCTAGAATCGAGGCAAGGAGAAACAAGGAAAACCTCGAATGTCAAATTCGTGTGGCGAGACTGATGCGGTGACAGGTCTCGCGGTCTTCCCTACTTTGCTGGTTATCAAGAACCACGTCCCTATTGAACATGACAAGAATGCTTCTACAAAGCTCGAGAGTCGGGACGAAGAGGAAGGGGCCGTGCAGAATAATGTAGAAAGTGGCAAGGGCAATTGTGTGACTGGGGAAACGGTTGCGACCAAGTCATAAGGCAGACACCTAGAAGCCAGCAGATGAAAGAGTTTGGCTCCAAATCCTGAAGCCAGAAAATATGTCGTTAACACGCTTGATATAACTCCTAGCCGCTTCCAAGGGAGTACCAACTTCATCTTTGTTGATGCTTCCTGGCTCTCATGTGAGGAACACACTTCCGGTGATTTCGACTAGTAATCCCTACCTTTCCGCACACAAACAGCTTCAAATCTCAAAAAGGTCGCTCAGAATGGCGTGGCAGTAAGTCTATAGACAATTGCAACTAGAAGAAGAAGTAGGTTGCCTGAGGATACAGGAACTCCTTGTTCGATGCCCCACTCCGCGGCGATTCCCGCAGCCAACTGATCTTGGCCTTTGATAGCAACTGTCCACTTCACGTTGAAGGCCTTGGTGTATGCTCGAGTTTAATTCCCCCAAAGCATATTCTTGCGCGGAGCGGATGCTACTTATGCTACATACCAGACAACCAGAAACTGGTAGAATCCCCGCGCAACTGCAACCACTATTCCTCACCGAAAATCAACAGCAACGGAGGCTATTCCGCGGAAAGATTGTGAACTCAACATGCAGAGCATGCAGAGTGAAGAAAGCCCATACCTATCGCACACAAGGCCAGCCTGTGTACCTTTCTGGCGGCAGAAACCTCGATGCAAGGTCGAGGCCCACTCGCCAGCTTGTCTGATGTGCCGAGCCCACAGCACGGAGTGTTCATTCCCGAATGGAAAGTCAAAGAAGACACCCCAAAAAAGAGTCTTGAGAAATAATGGGATATTTTCAGCTCAAACGCCGCAAGCTTCTCGCTCTCCTGCGACTCCTTTATCAGTGCCTCGTTTACCTGCACAACCACCTCATCCAGAATGGAGTCAAGTTCAGAATGACCAGGATACACCACTCTCCTTGGAAGCTGAAGATGACAACTCGCAAATCCTCGGACCAGCCGTCACAGGAGACAGCCATGTGCTGGCGGGCTATCTGTCCAGTGTTTCGGGAGGACAGGGAATGCGTGAGATTCGTCCGGTAAGACAATAGTTCAGACAAAGCCACTATATAACCTTTTGGATATAGTAAGAATAGAACCCACGCGGTAAGGTGAATCCCAGAGTAAATCATGCAGCACAAACCATAAATGGTAACTGCCAGAAAAATCCATTGGGGATTAACGTTTCTTCCTCTTCTTTCCCTGATTGCCTCATGGGGTTGGGCTTTTTGGAACAAGAAAGGGGACCATAGTGCCTCCCAAAGCACTGACAGTATATTTTCCTCCTTGACTGGTGCCCGAAGGGCAGTCCATCTGTAGAAGGACAGCGATAGGGGTGCTTATGTCTTTGGGCTTGCGCCACCAGAAGCCATATGCGAATATAGCCAGGAAGACATACGCAACCGTGGCCAATTCTAATGGGGTCACCGAGAGGTGATATACCCATCTTGCTATGACGTTGCCGAGAAACCAAGTGCTTTGGAGAGAGGTGAAAAGCTTTGCGAATCAATCTGCCTTGGCGCGATCGTTGATGTCCCGTTCATGGAGATCCCAAGGCGTGATCATGCCGGTTTGAATAAACGAGACCATTTCCTCATCAGATCCCACGGGGTAGATCCACTCGTCCTTGGTTTGCAAAACGCTTGCTTGAACGACCATTTCAGGGGGGTTTGGGCTGCCTGTAGGCTGGATCAGCTGGGCATCTTTTTGTTGCGGTATATCATGTAATTCTCGGCCCTACTGATGCTCCAAGGTGGTGTTCTTTCTGAACCGCATTATATTTCGCTCTCGCATCTCTTGCTTCCAAAAATTGCTGAAACGCGTACACGAAGATGAATTCGGGGACTAGGAGGGCCATGAACTAGGCGCGCAAGGACATGACCCCTTGTCTTGCATCGGAAAGCTCTCGAACGGGTACATCCGAGTGGAGAATGATTCAGGTGCAGGCGAAGAGGGTGGAGGAACACACGTGTGGGTCTTCCCGTCCAATTGCCAGCCCTGCATCTCGGTGGATGCGGAGGCGCCATGCTTAACCAAAAACAAGAAGATCAAGAGAATGATCATGGCACGTAAAGGCCGCCCATGAGGAGGACATTGATTCAAACATCAGCACGTGAAGTGTGGGTCTGATATCTTTCTGCCTCAGCTCCCAGGCCGTAGATCCTTAACATCTTCATGCGTGGGCCCGCGCATTCTTTCCATCGCTCCTAGTGATATCTTGTTTAATCAGAGAGAGAAGTCGAGGAAGTTGCAAATGAACAATCACTTGCTCCCCTTTCCCTATAATTTGTCCCGACCAACTTGGCTGGAGCGTGTAGTCCAACCGCTTTCCGATGTTCTATTTGGAGAACCCCAGCAGTCCCCGCCACAGAAGTTATCGACAACACCAGTCCCTTGTCAGGAAGACGAGGATGAACTCCCCCCAATTCGCATCATATGCATCTCAAACACACACAACCAAACCCTGTCGCTTCCACCCGGCGACATTCTGATCCATGCAGGTGACCTGACGACCCATGGCACTTTTGAAGGGTTGAAAGCGCAGCTCCAATGGCTGTCGGCACAGCCGCATACCCATAAGATTGTTATTGGGGGAAACGTGTGATGCAAGGTTCCTGACTCGCGAAGGGGACAGTGCTGTGGAACGCAAGAAACTGGATTGGAGTGGGATCCATTATTTGCAAGATGAAGCAGTCACCTGTGAACTACCTGTCTCCAGTCCTCAAGGGCAGCAAGTGCGCAAAGTCAAGATCTACGGGTCTCCACTGACGCCGGAGTTTGGCTCTTGGGCGTTTCAATATCCTTTAATCCGCGACGTGTGGACCGGACGCGTCCCCGATGATACTGATATCCTGGTGGTTCATGGCCCTCCAGCTCTCTATGGCGACTGTGACGGCGAAAAGGACCCAACTGGAAAATTCAGGGTGAAAGGGGATGGCTACCTCTGACGCGAGATACGAAGAGTAAACCCCAAGATGGTTGTCTGTGGACATATTCATGGGGCATTTGTTCTCGCTGCGATCCAACACCATGGGGCCCAAGAGGCCATCCACGGGCTACAGATGCGACGGGAAGGATACGATCTATTTGGCGCTCTGAAACAAACCCTTTGGAGCAAGATATTTACAGGAGAAAACTTTGGCTGCCCGGAAGAAATCCTCGTTGTCAACGCAGCTATTGCGCCAAGTGTCTCCGGAGGCGAAGACAAAAGCGCCGTCGCCATCGATTTTTATTGAAACAGAAGCTATGTAGGAGCACCTGGGCAACATTTCATCACATCATGACGTGTCGGAAGCGCAAGACCAACTAACAAAATGGGCAGCCTCAGATAAAATGAATATGCGGCTGCCAATGCAAAATATTTTTGGTCGCTAGCTGAGCACTGGCCCTTTCATCGTCGAAAGATCCAAGCACCTCATCGTTATCATGCGGAATCACAAGGGTTTCTTTTAGGGGTTCGGTGGACACGTCGGAAGAGGCGTTCGCGGCGGACATTCGGGTCAGCGAGGAGCTCTTCGGGCGACCGCGGGGGAAAGACAGGGGACGCGTCTGTTGGCCCCCTGCGCCAAAGGTCTTTCAGGGCTCGGGGAATGAGCCGCATTCTGTCGAGTTGTGTTTGCTTTGCATGGAGATTTCAGTGTTCTTTAAGCCATTGAAATAACCGCTGGGCATATGAACTACAGTGGCCAAGCAAAAGTTTCGAAACCTGAGGGCTCCCTTTTGATTACACAAGGTGTGCAAGGCGAATGAACAAGCTTGGAAAATTCCAGATTTTCACGTACATCCTTCAAATTTGAGCGAAATAGTTTCTAGTTCTGATCATAGGCTATATTTATCAAGTTGGCCAGGTCGAAGCTCTGATATCTATCGGCGTAATTGATCTAACTTCATCCGTGGTTCATTCTATCAAAATCCCAAAATTTCAACAACTAGAAAATTCTGAAAACAAAAAAAAAAAAAAAAACCAAACCAAACCAAACCAAAGAAGACTGCTCAGCAATGCAAACTGCGTCCTCAACGTCGGATACGGGTGAGGTATGTGATAACCAGCACCGCAGTGAAGTTAAAGGCAATGAATCCAATAAACACGCCAACGTCACGGCCCCTGTTGCCAAAGTCATAGTTATATTGAGTGTACTAAAAGCAAGAGTTAGCTGGTTGCTTCACCAATATCATGGCAGGGGAAGACTCTGGAATACTCACATAAGATTGGCCATTCTTGTATGGACAATAGTCACAGCTGGAGGTGGCATTCGGATTGAGCAGATAACCCGTAGCATCCTCCAGGAAAGATGAGGCATATTGGTAGCATGACGTGCCATTCAGCGGCTGGAAGACCGACACCTCAGACGGCTCGCAGGTAAGAGGAAGATCCTTGAGCGCGTTCGACACCACACCTTCACTCATGTAGAAAAGTGGGGACAGACGATAGTACCAGCGCCATCCGGCGGGAGTCACCGGCTCGGGGGACAGGGTTCCGGCAAAAGTGTTGCAGAACATGAAGAAGAATCCATTTGCTGAGAGTGCAGCTTCGAGCGTGGGCATGAGCGAGGCGCACAGCTGTGCAAGACTCGTCGCGAATACTGCAAAGAGCTCGTACATCAGGAAACTGTATCCTGCACGGCTGGGCTCCATGGAGTAACCCGTTGGAAAGTACCACAAGAGCCAGTACACCAGTGAACTCAGAAAGGCATATGGAAGTTCAACGAGAATAGCCGAGAAGATGAACGCGAGCCAGTGGTAAGTCAGGCTCTGGCGTTCGCGGTGCTCAAAGATGTTTCGGAGAGTGATGAAGCGCGGTTGGACCTGCAGACCTTGTGGCGGACCAACGATGAGCGACATGAAGGCCGAAAAGACGCGATTGTAGGCCCCTCGCTGAGTATGCGGCGAGCTCAGATAGGTCAGACCATTCAACAGGGCGTTCCCGATGTTCATCCATAGCTTGGCCGTGGCATAGTCAGGAGCGCGCCAGTAGTAAAGCCACGTTCGCTTGAGCAGCACGAGCATCTGGGTGCGGAAGGGCGCTGCATAGAGCGACTGAGACGAGGTATCCAGAGCCATGGCATTATTGGAAGATGATTCGGTTTCCTTGTCAGACCGCTCGGAATCAGAGGCCTGCTCGCTGTGTTTCCAGATCCCAGCCCAGTCAGTTTGAATATCACCGCGAGTTCCAGCTCCAATAACATCCAGGAAGTATTCAGCCGGGTTCTCGCCCTCGCCACAGGGACGAGCGTGTTGCGCAAAGTATGACCTCGCTTGCCGGCACCCCACGCCGAGTGGTCCATCATAAACCAACTGTCCGCCACGCGCCAGGAGATAAAGCTCGTCGAATATGGTGATCAATTCAGCCGCAGGCTGGTGGATGGTACAGACAATGGCCTGGCCAGAGTCGGCAAGGCGTCGCAGAAGACGGACGATCGCGTATGCCGATTGACCATCCAAACCCGAAGTCGGCTCATCCAAGAACAAGATATCAGGCTTCGCTGCCATCTCGACACCAATGCTGACCTTCTTGCGCTGTTCCAGATTGAGGCCGGCTCCTGGGGTTCCGATTAAGGCATCGGCAATGGATTCCATATCAAGCCAGCGGATCACCTGTTCGACATAGGCATCTTTTTCTTGGGCTGAGACATCCTGCGGCCGACGAAGGCAGGAGGTCATCTGCAGTGCTTCTCGCACACTTTGCGTGGGAAGGTGAATATCCTGCTGCTGCACGTATCCCATGTGGCGGTTGAAAGACTTGGGGAGCAAGCTTCCATTGAGCTTGAGGTTTCCAGTCAATGTTCCAGTTGATCGGCCAGCCAGCGAGTTCAACAAGGTCGTCTTTCCAGCACCCGAAACACCCATCAGTGCTTTCATCTGGCCACTGCGCACAGATCCATTGAGGCTGTTGAGGAGGCGCTTTTCACCATCTTTCGTTTTGACATCGAGGCTGAGTGCTTTCCAGGTCAGACCGCGGGGGGCTTGCTCGAGAGTAATTTTGTGAGATAATTCAAGCTCTCGAGCCATTGATTGGCTGTCCTGTGGGGGCACATCCAGGTCCATAGTCCCTTTCTCTTGATCAGACGACTTCGATCCGGCGGAAAGAGTATTCTTCGATTTCATCCCGCGGTAGAACACAGTCGCCAAGCGACCTGCCGGCTGCTTCAATCTCTCCAGCCCAATTCTGTGTACAGGAGTCAGCATGCTGCGATGTGCACAGGGGAAGGAACAGTCAAAACTCACGCTGCAATCAGAGTAAAAGCCAAGAAGAAAGCGATGTTAATCCCTAGGTTGCGCCAAAGGTTTGAATGGGAAAAGCCATATTGCGCCTTGATGTATTCAACCCCGGAAACAAATTTTTGTCCAGGCTGCGAGCCCACCACGGCGCAAACCTGATGGGCAATGTCGTTGTATCCAGGTCCCGATGGCACCAGATCGGACGGACTGCATTCGTAGGTCAGACCGGCAAACTCATTGACCATGGCGGATTCAAAAGCGTAATGCAGGGGCTATATAGGTATGTGTTAGTCATATCAAAATGTTGGGGCATCAGGCGAGAGAAGACTCACATTCAGGTATCGCAACCAGCCCAGCCACACATGCATTTGGGGAGTCGGCACATACAGTCCTGTATACAGGACATACATGTTGAAGAAGATGCCTACAGGGAGTACTGCACGCTGCATATTGGACGAGAAGACTGCAACAGAGCGGAAGAACATAGACAGCGCCAAGTGCTCAACATATACCACAACGAACCATGTAAAGAAATTTCCCGGGGTTCGTTGAAAGCCGGTCAGGAAGTAGAGCGGAATGTTCCAGCAAATAACGAAAATCTTCCAGACAATGTCTGTCATTGTGAGACTGAAGCCATAGGCCATAGGTCGGTAGAGCCGGTATCGCTTGTGCTTGAGAACAAGTGGCCGTTGATCGAATGTGCTGCGGAACTCCGCCATCGCCTGCAGGGCTGGGACGAGGACTGAGTAAAAGAGTGCAGAAGCAAATATGAAGAGTGACCCCGTGTTTTGTGATTGGTTTCGGAACAAAGTACCCAGTACCAAACTCTGGACCAGAATACACACACCCTCAATCACCAGGGAACTGTAATTGTGTCGGATGATGCGGGCCTGTCGCGCAGTACAATATGCGATCTGTTGATAGAGAGGCAAGGCGTATTGGCCTGATTTCGAGGAGCGCGGCACTGGTGGCTGGGCCTTTGCCATTTCGACAGCCGATTGAAGCTGCTCGAAGTGAACGCTGCGGCTAAATTCAACTTGAAACTCAGCGGGCGTGCGAGGCAATGGGCCCTGGTGGGCTTCATGTGCCCGGCGGACCTCGGGATCGGCCGACATGGAGTTCAAAAAGTCTGCAGTGGTGGTGGCAGAGGAACACTCAAAGCCCAAGCTCAGAAAGTATGCTTTGGCGTCGGCAATGCTTCCGTAGAAGATCTGACGGCCGGCGTTGATCACGACAACTTTGTCGAAAAAGGGCATGATAGAATCACTTCCTTGATAAACGCTCATGGCAGTTACGCACTGACTCTGCAGGGTCCATTCACGCATCATCTCCATGAACTCGAGAGCAGTTGAGGAGTCCAACCCGTTAGTGGGGTTGTCCAAGCAGATAAGTCTAGACTGGTATGAGTAGATGTTCCGAGGTGGAGAATCAAGATCTACACTTACCGCGCACACGTCGCCAATGCCTCAGCCAACGAGACCCGGCGTCTTTCTCCGCCACTGACGCCTCTGATATAGGCATCGCCCACTTTGGTGTTGAGAACATGGCCGAGACCCACCAGCTGAGCAAGACGACGAACCATCTCATCGACATCCTCGGCCGCGGGCTTTGGGCCACATCGTGCTCGGATCGCGAAGCGCAATGTGTTCAAGACGGTCAAGTTCGGGAAATGGTCATCGGATTCGCCTATGTCCTGTCAATTATATCCCCGACACAACAAATAATCGGAATAAACTCACCACAAAACACTATGTCTTGAGGATTTTGGGAAATCACATTGGTCATTGGCTGTCCTCCCAGGGTTAATTCGCCCTGGACATCCTTGTATTCTTCCCACATGCCGGCCAGGGTTTTCAAAAATGTGGTACAACCACTGCCCGGCTTTCCAATAACCAGGACCATCTCTCCTGGCTGGATAGTCGCAGAGAAATCCCGAAGGATTGGGCGAGATGATGGCCTTTGTATCCGATTTTGAAGAGGGCCCAGCACACCAAAGGCGGATTTAGCCGCCGAAAGAGCAGTGGGCGCTGGCAAGGCCTGTTACATTTGTTAGGTCAACACATTCAGAGTCGCAGGAACCTGAGTTCTTGTTTCTTACACCTGTGCCACTTCCGTGTACAGATAACTTGTTCATGACAACTCCGGTGGGATGGGAGTCATTGTCGCCATTGCGCAACGCCAGAAACTGCTTGACACTCGTTGCAATCGGCTCGAATGCTAGACTAGTCGAAGAGTCTGACAGCAGTTCGGCTGGTGTCTTTGCACCACTGTTGCTGGATTGTTGATGCTGATCCATTGCGTTGTCGAACTTGCAAGTTCCAGCAACTGCGCCAGGCCAACCACAAGGGAATTTGGAGATGCAAGAATAAAAATCGTCATGTTTACGGGATTTGTGGGTATTTATAAAGTAAGTCCTCCCTGAGGTCGTCAAAAGGTGTGTTGAAGGACTTCCCAACTAGGCGATGCCAAAAGGGCAGTGGAGCATTTCCCAATCGGGATGTGTCCCAAAGGAGTTTCGGGGTGGCTTCCCGATTAGGAAATACTTGAATCGGATCGGGCTTGGAGCCTCAAAGATGTCTCCTTTGGTTTGAATCTGTTTTTTCAGGCACCTCATTGCCAAGAGGGGTTGTCGGCACACTCCTTGGAGCATTGAGATTGGTTTCTGAGCGCGAGTCCGCAGCTCCGATTCCTCGATAATACTCTTCCAAGGCTGAGGTGAGTTTCGCAAACAATTCCCACTGGGTTATAAAAGGCCGAGTCGATCCCCCCAAGTTTCCACTTCATGCTCTCAACTTCCTACCTCAACATCAACAGACAACGCCTCTTTTAGCATCATGCCCCTCGAAACCGGTCTTCAAGGCGCTCATGTCCTCATCACGGGCGGCACCCGTGGCATGGGCCAAGCTATGGTCCGCCGGTTTTTGCAGGAAGGCGCGCATGTGTCTTATTGCGCCCGCAAGGTGACAAACACCGAGTTCAATGCGGTCCATGAATCCCTACCAGAGCATAATTCCGCTCGTGCCGTTGGGACAGCTGTGGACGTGGGATCCAAGGAGGCAATTGTGAATTGGGTGAAGAGCTCAGCGGAGCGCATGGGACGAATCGACGTCCTCGTCGCCAATGGTATGTGCCCTTCCTCTTTCCTTTTTACAAAAGGATATGTATCCGCTTAGGAGTCCACGCTGATCATTGAACTCTTTAGCATCACCCATGCACATGGAAGGCGAAACAGAGCATTGGCAGAATAGCTTCGCCGTAGATGTGATGGGCTTCGTCGAGCTAGTCAAAGCAGCCGAGCCCTACCTGGAGCAATCCCCGCAGGCCTCTGTCATTGTCCAGAGCTCGTTTATGGGTCGCGAGTTTTACCGCAGCCCTCCTGCTGCGTACGGCCCCATGAAGGCAGCCCAGCTACAACATGTGCAAGAATTGTCTCATTATCTGGGACCCAAGGGCATCCGCGTCAATGCCATCTCTCCAGGCCCGGTTCTGTGTGAAGGTGGCCCCTGGGAGCAATACTCGCAGTCGGCGCCCGAGTGGGTGGAGGAACAGCGCCTCAAAATTCCACTCAAACGTCTCGGGCAACCGGAGGAGATCTCCAATGTGGCGGTTTTCTTAGCGAGTCCTTTGGCGGGGTTCGTGAGTGGCACGAATGTGTTGGTGGATGGGGGGATTCATGTGGGAACACAGTTCTGAGATGAGATGAGATGGGTGGTTATTGAGAATTTGAGTCATTTAACATTCCTCAGAGTGGTCATTCGCATATGAATGAATTGCATTTTTCATTTCTTTTTGTGAATATCGGCATCCGCACCTCGATCTATAACATTAGGACCGCGGGTAAAGCCATGCTTTACGAGAAATATGGTCGCGGGACAGAATGATCGACACAGCAATAGTAAATCTTCTACTGTGTTCCATTAGTGACTCTGCGACTTTCATCATAGTGGGGTATCAGGACCCATCGCATTGCAGGGCTTACAGCTGCACAAATGAGCGCCCGAGGAAGTATTCATCCATCGACTGCCGCAGTCCAGTGATGACGTAGCCAGATCCGAAGAATTGTCAAATGTAGATTTACTCCGATCACATCCCCCTTCAATACCTCTCCCTTCCTTTGAGCCTTGTCGCATAGTGTATACTGTTATTTTTGTATAGACACGGCTTAAACCCTGCATATTTATCCCGGAGTGCATTTGACCGGTAGCGACGAAACGCCTCCCTCGAATCGGGTTCATCAACAGTCGACAAATGCGCCGAAAATCGAGTATTATGGGTTTCAATTTCGAGGCAAATGCCTCTGCACAACAGCTGGCCGATATCCTGCCGATCGGCGTTGCCATCCTCAACAACGACGACCTGATATCCGTCAACCGTCGCTTCAGCGAGCTCGTCACATGTTCCGGGTCCAAATTCTTCGAGTGCTGGTCGCAGTCGATTCATGATGACGACTACCGGGATGTGGTGAAGAGGTATAATGAGGCGACGGCGTTCAAGCAGTCGCTGCGCATTGAGTATCGCACCCGCGACCCCGGCTACCGCTGGCTGGTCCTGATGCTGGATCCTTTGGGGGAGGCAGACAGAGTGCGCTTCAATCTTGGAGGCGATGGGGATGGCGGCGTCGTTTGCACCGTGGTCGATATCACCGCAGAAAAGCAGGCCGAGTTGTCCCAAAGATCTGCCGCGCGAGAGGCGCAGGACCGCAAGCAACAACAGGAGCGCTTTATTGATATGATCAGTCATGAAATTCGCAATCCGCTGTCGGCGATCTTGCATTGTACAGAGGACATTCTCGAAGCGATCCGTGGAAAGGAAAAGGACAAGATCGCACTGGCAGAGATCGTCGAGGCTGCAGAAACCATCGGCCTCTGCATCGCGCACCAAAAGAAGATTGTCAATGACGTCCTGACGTTCTCGAAACTCGACTCGTCGATGCTCTCCCTTTCCCCGCGCAGAGTCCAGCCCAAACGTCATATCACAAGTCCCCTGGCCATGTTTCGACCTGAGCTGCGGAAGCAGGACATTCAGTTCGAGTACAAGCTCGATTACTCCTACGTGGAATGCGAGATCGACTGGGTCATGGCCGATTTCGATCGCATTAGCCAAATCCTCATCAATCTCCTTGGAAACGCCATCAAGTTCACGGCCGAGTCGACGAACGAGCGAAAAATCCGAGTCTCGATGGGAGCGTCGATTGTGCGACCTTCTTCCTACCCGCCCAATGTCGTATTCTTCAACTCGAGCGAGAGCGCTTTGCGAATGAACGCAACCAACACGTCCGATTGGGGTGAAGGCGATGTGGCGTATATCATGGTCGCCGTCAAGGACACAGGTATTGGAATCACCGACCAAGCTCAGAAGCGGCTATTTGAACGCTTCAATCAAGCGACTCCGAAAACGGAGAGCATCTACGGTGGCTCGGGCCTTGGGCTGAATGTCAGCAGAAAGCTCTCTCACCTTCATGGAGGAGAAATCGGCGTGAGTTCAAAGGAAGGGCAAGGAAGTACCTTTGGCTTCTTTTTCAAAGTGTGCAAAACTCCTGAGCCCAGTCATCACGACAGCAACAAATACACTGGCAATGCAATCGACGATTTATGCGTTGACATTCAAGCCCTGGGCAATGAAGTGACGGGGGTGAACCAAACGACCGAAAACCCAGAGATACCCGTGCGACCGAGTTTGAATAACTTCGGAGAGTCAAAGCCAGGCTGCGCGAGTGACGAAAGAGCGGCACATACATCCGCAATAGCGCAAGACGTCGCCGAGGAAAGTGCTACGAGCAAACACGTTCTGTTGGTCGAAGACAACACCATCAACCGACGCATCATCTCGCGCAAGTTGAGCTTTATGGGGTTCCATATCACAGAGGCAGCCAACGGTGAAGAGGCATTGCGTGCCGTGGAACACAACACGTTTGAGTGTATACTCATGGACCAAGAAATGCCCATCATGGATGGCAACACGACAACCAAGGCGATCCGCGACCTTGAAAAAGAGACTGGGTCGCATATCTCTATACTCGGAGTCACGGCAAATGTCCGAGCTGAGCAGCAAGCCGAAATGTTGGATGCTGGGATGGACGATGTCATCCTGAAACCGTATGGGACGAAAGAGCTTGTTGACAGGATCCATCACTTGATCGCGACGAAAACACGGAAATGACTGTGAACTCGGTACAGGTCAGGGAGCAGTCGGCCAGAAACAATCTATTAGAAACCAATAATGATAAACATCATCAAAACAAGACCACACTCCATGCCAGGCAGAGACATATTTCTGCTTGAAATCTATACACCCCTTAAGACAACCTGGATCACCTAGGAGATACAGGCTAACGGAGACAATAGTGCTGATTCTGTTCACGCGATGCGCAAAGTCGGTATCGGCCTGCTTTGTCGAAGTCGCAGCATAGGGCTATGGATGACTTTCGAAGGGGTGGGTTCCCGCTGTGCCCATCCCAACAACTCCATATTTGAGAACAGCGAAGTTGGAATAACGATACCCCAGTGATATCAACCAAACATTCACCAAGCTACAACACCTGATCCAACCCCATACTCTTCAAGAGAAACCCTTCCTATGCAACGATTAGCACAGCCCACGTGAAGCGCTTGTGAAGAGGACGCTTCATACCCATTGTGCAGCAGTCTCTGGATGGAGAGACGCCTGTTTAGCATCTTCTGCGTGGTCCCCAAGCCACACTTTACCCGTTGCCCCCGCCTCAATCTGATATACGACCTGATTCGTGTAGGTCATTAACGGCATCCGGGATCGGCTATCAGTAGGTCCACGTTCAACGATCCTCTGCTCGATGGCCTTATACCGCGAGCCGGATGGTAATCGAAAGTCTTTGGTACTTTGGGTACCTGTCGCAACAGCGCCAGTTACGACAGACAAGACCTTGACATCAAATGGGGATAGCTCAAGACGGAGAATGTCAGCCATATGTTCTTGTGAACGTTTCGATGCGCCATATACACCTAGAATCCAGTTTATTAACTTGGCTGTTGTTGGGAGGCTTTTCAAGTGAGAAAGATATCCTTACCTAACCACGGCACAGGGTTGTGTCCAGCAATAGAGGTTATGTTAACCACCATGCCACGAGCCTTGATCAAAAGCGGCGCAAATGCTTGCGTCACCGCGAGCGGGCCCCAGACATTCGCGTCAAAGGTCTGCTTTGCAGCCTCGATGTCATCATCTAGTAACGGCATATAGTGAAACTGCGCTGCATTGTTGATCAGGACCGTCAGGTCTCCACCGGTAATCGCCGTGACCGCCTCGACAGCGGCACGGATCTGGCTCGGCACGACGACATCTAGCTCCAGCAAGGTGACATTAGGGAGGTTCTTGAGATTTGTCATTTTCTCTGGGTTTCGTGCTGTCGCAAAAACGTGATATCCTCTTTCCTGGAAAACGAGCGCGAGGCCAGAGCCGACGCCGCCGTCGCTGCAGCCAGTGATGAGAACTGAGCCTTTGGTGCTCATTTTGCTTGCGGTTAAAAATTGCAGAGATGAAAAGAAGTCTTTTAAATTCCTTAGAAACTAGACACTGTCAAAAGTCAGACAGACGCTCTCTTATACTGCGGCCATATTTTGTGGTCGGCGCCGCAACCCACGAGCTCGGCCCCGAGATCGTCCTTCGGCACCGAGGACGCAATATCTCACTCGCACCGTCAACCACTTCTCTGTCCTCGCTTTCTGGCCCCTTGGAGACATCTTTGAAAGCTCAGTTCTATAATCACATGTCTTGATTTCTTGTACGAAGAATCGCAGAGGCATGGTACCAGGAGTATTCCTTGCTGAGAGTGATAGGAGGCGCAATACGGAAGATACCACCGAAGCTGGGGTGGCTACTCAGATTGGCCCACAAACCCAGCTCATAGGCACGATCACCAACCGCTTTGCCGAGAGCCAAAGCCGGGGTCTGGGTCTCGCGGCTCTCGACAATTTCAACGCCAGCCATGAGTCCACGTCCCCTCACATCCCCGATACAGCCATACTTCTCCTTGAGCTTGCTGAGGCCCTCATGCAACAGCTTTCCCATATCACGCCAGTGCTCGGCCAGCCCGTCACATACCACAATTTCCAACACTTTGTCAGCGACGGCTCCCGGAAGGGGATCATTGACATGCGTCGTGTAGAAACAGTAATCGCGCTCGGTGCACACGTGCTCAATCATGGCGCTGGTAACAACGGCACTCAGTGGCAGCCCATTCCCAATAGTCTTGCTCAACGTCAAAATATCGGGTACCACACCCTCGTGGTTGATCGCCACGAGGTCACCGTATCTGCCCACGCCGGTTTGGGCTTCGTCGACAATCAGCAACATCCCACGATTCTCGCACTGTCGCTTCACTGCCGCAAAGTAGCCCGTTGGAAGGACGTGCATGCCCACCGAAGACTGGATGCATTCCACAATGCAGGCAGCCAACGAGCCGCACGACTGCATGTTGACCATGCGCCAGCAGTACTCCATCTCCGCCTCCCAGTCATAGGAGCCATCGGCGCAACGGAAGATAGATCGGTAAGTGTTTGGCGGCGGTAGCGCTAGCATACCTGGCATCAGCGGGCCCTGGCCCTTGCGACTGAAGTGGTACTGGAGACCCAGCGCCTGCGCCGTCACGCCATGCCAGCTAGCGCCCAGGCCGACAATCTCGAATTTCTCCGTGTATACCTTGGCCATCTTGATTGCTGCTTCGTTGCTTTCTCCTCCAGTTGAGAGAAAGAAAGCTTTGTCGAGGCCCGGTGGGAGCAGGTTGCATAGCCGCTCGCCCAGGCTGATGACGGGCGACGAAACCTTACCCGAGAACAGGTGGTCCAGCGATGCCGCGTGGTCTGCGATCACTTTCACGATTTCTGGATGACCATGGCCCAGCAGGTAGGACATCTGGCCTGAGATCCAGTCCAGAACTTTGTGCCCCGAGGCCGTGTACACGTACAGCCCTTTGCTGCCGCAGATGATGTCTTTGTTGAATTTTGTGTCGTAGTTGAACAGGTATCGGTCTGTTTTGGCTTGGAGCTCATTTTGAGAGACCCTCATACAAAAGAGGAGTTTCCTTTTGCTCGTTGGGCATTTTCGAGGAATCTGCCTCGGTAGTAATTCCAGGTGCCATGTTCTTCTGATGGTAGGTCGTTGGATGTTAGGGGAGTATAGGGTTGTCGAGTTAAGTTGGATAACTCAATTTATCTAATACATCGAGCTTTCTGCTGCTCTTGCTGAGGGGTAGACATTTTATAAAAAGCCGTATCACGATTATTCATTGAACAGTTGGCCAAGGTCCGCGCAGTTGAACCGCCGCGGGGAACTGCTTCCCGCAGATTTCCGAGGTTTCAATCTATGGATAATCTGCATGGTGAAGCCTAGAGCTAGGCCAGGGATATTTGAGCTTTGACTTTGCTCTTTTTTTGTATAGAAAAAATTCATTCTAGGAAATTCTTATAGAAGCTTTGCCACGACTATATCTGTGTTAACGGCGCTACTTATGGCCACTCAGGAACTAAGACATATTTCTCTTGACGTCTGCCAAAATTTCTACTTGGCCTATGGGTACTCTGCTGCTACTTTTAACAGCCCAGATATACAAATGCAATCTTGAGTCCGTAGTTGAAACCTCTCAACTGCCTACTGAGAGTAACCACTTATTTTGTCCAATATTGTATAAATTAGACTTGATGAAGGTAGCTTCGAAGGCTATGAACTGGAATTTCATTCAAATCGCGTTCTCGTAATTCATGATATGGCAATCAAATTGCCTAAGTGTAATGTTCACCAGCGAAGTCTTGATAGGTGAACTTGTCCCCATTCTTATCCTTCATCGCGCTGCAACCCCCAACATTCTTAAACACTTTGACCTGTAGGAGTTTGTCAGTCAAGGTCCATGCGAGCTGTGGGTATGAGAACATAAACTCACCATTTCAGACGTCCCGGCAATGTCACCGTCCCATACGTCATCCAAATAACAGATAGGGAGATTGAAGAAGATAGGGATATCCTTGCCAAAATTATCCGCTGTTTTCTGCGCAGCGTCGTCGGCAGTCCACTTCCGCTGAAAACCGCCTGATTGCTGCGCATCCTCGGCCGCTCTGATCAAGTCTTCGAGCTTGAAGTCATAATCGTTGGAATTCACGTTGCTGATACCGGGGGCTTTGTCCAAGGTGCGCGAATTCGCCTTGAATGATCTGTCATACCCGGTCTTGAGCTTGTGAAAGACATAGGCCTTGCCGTCAACACAGGTAGCCTCCGTATTCAAAGCATCCCAGTCGAGATCGCATGGTGCCGTGCCGCCGGTCTTTTCCGCCACTCTGATGATGATGACCTTTTCTGCGGTCCAGATGTATGCGAGCGCTGCAATTGAGAACCACCGCGTGATTTTGGCCGCATATTGATCACCGGTGGCAGACGTCGGCTTGGTTGCAAAGTCGCCGCCAACCAAAACTCTGGGCATACTTCGTTCTTGATCGGCATACCACACGTCCTTGTAGGCATTATTTTGGAACCACACCGGGCGTTCAATGAGGGCCGGGCCCCAGTCATCTATCGAACTATTTACCGACTCATACACTTTCTCGAGCCGCTTTTGCAGCTCAGCTGAGCGTGAGTTATCTTCGTCGGCAATTCTGTACTGACGAGTTAGTTGGTTTACTCAACATCCTTGGAGTCGAGCACTGGGGAGAGAAACGAACTGTCCGGGATCATTCTTTTTGACACTGTTGACGATACCAAGTGCCATGGTTGATATTCCACTAGCAGCACCGGCGGCACCACCAAATGCCGGCCCTACCAACCCGAGAGCGGCCCCGGCCCCGGCGAATGCCCCTGCTGTAATGATGAGGGTATTGGCGGCTGACTGAAGAAAAGAAGATCAGATATTGTGATTCCTTTCTTGTCGCCACAAAAAGGGAATACTTACATTGGGTGGGTCGGCTTCTGTGCTAAAGTCCTTGACAATTGGGTCCACTCGAGCCAGACAGTGCTGGAACGCCGTGTCGAGTCCATCTTTCAATTCGTGCATGAAAACCTGGTAGTGCTTGACGGCGTACATGAACATGATCCACATGGGATTTTCATCGTTCTTCTTGCACACCGTATCCTCGTCAAATTGGGGTGTGTCGCAGTCATTACTATTCAGAGATGTGTTAGTGATCTGAAAATCGGCAGGTGAAAGGACGGCATAAGGGGGTTCAAGCAACGACTCACAACGTGCAGTTGTCATAGCTTCCGCCTCCATCAACCTGTTCCACCAAAGCCATCATAAATGTTTTATCCCCAAATGCGGGATATGGACCTTTCCCACACGGCCCATCATTGTAAAACATATCGGATCTATTTCGCAGACAGAGTAAGGTTGGATGAACACCAGCATAGAGGGAGGCTATGTCCAGGTGACTGACTCTAATTCGAGCTGCTTGCCCATCTCAAGGTCCTTCCATTTCGTAGGTGTTCGCCCCTCCTGTGAGCAAAATACGGAGTAGTCCTTTTGGAATCCTTTCTTCGTGCAATAGCATGGTCTTCGCCTTGGAGGACGAAGTCTCGTCGGACAATCCGAGTAAATCGGGGGTCTCGACGGGGGAAAAGGTTCAAGAATGGTAGAGCATCGACAGTCAGGCCTATTGCGCCTCTTGGTTAGCTGTGCGTTTATTCAATGGATATGGACAGATCACTAACCATAGGATGCCGCTGCTAGTAGAAGACTAGATACTCGCATGATGATAATAAGGGAGCAAGTTGGTTAGGGTGAAGGGAACGGAACATGGAATCAGTGACGATATAAATGACTAGAACTATATTTCTCTTTGCCAACCCCTCCAGCCGTATTTTCCCTCTGTGTATAAATATAGCCCGTATGGTTGGGACTTATCTGGGGATGCGGAGTGACCCCAGGGTCCACTTAGATCGGCCCCGGGGGCGAGGTTGCATTGGTCCCAGATCTGCACTAAACGGCCAGCATGCGGAGGGTCAAGCATTCTATATTTAACGATGCAGCATGTTGAAAAGCAACTTCGATTTTACTGCCCCGCAGTTGTTGTCCCATGTGTGTGGGCAAATCGCTCGACTGGTTTATATGTCCCCGTGGAGTACCCCGTTTTCCCCCTCCTCACCCTTCGAGCCAAAATGCATTTCCTCAAAGCCTTCTTACTTTTGCTCCCAGTGACATGTGCAAGCAGAATTCCCAGTTGCAATGATGCCGTCAAAGTGGGAGACCACCCACCACTCTCCAAGAAATGCTCCAGTGCATCTATTGAAAATAACTGGCTCTATGCCAAATGCGACGTGGGCGCGGATGTCATGACGTTCGGCCTCCAGTTAAACTGGTTTATTGCTCTCAATCCAGACCATAAGATAGTCTTTCAAAAAGAGTAAGATATCCTCTCTGCACTGCTCTGGATGGATGGTTACTGACCTGGCTAGTGGTGGAGCTATGGGTGCCTGCGATCAAGACAAATGCCATGCCGTCATTCGAAGAGGCAGGAGTGCTACCTTTTCATGCAATGCGGATAACTGCCAGGGAAAACTTGACCTTGGTATGTACAAAATGAGCTCATCTCTGTACCCGGAGGTTTCTGACACTTCACAACAGATAAAGTCGTCAATTTCACCGGTAAATACCTCGAAGTCTATGATAAGGAGGGATCAGGGCCCAAAGAAATGCAAACAGATGAGTTGGACGATGGCTGATGAGGACCGGTCTCTATTTATTTGAGACTCGGTTCGCGGAGTTCTTGAGGGATTTGATCGTGTCTATGGGAAACGGTTGCTTATGATTGATGTTCCGAGGGAGCAGGACTTAGCCCTACAACTCCAAATTAACGTGTTCACGACATTTTCTGCAATTGTGGCTATCCGAGAAAGTAGATCTTTGATAAATTGGTTTTGAATTTTTCTATTCCTTTCCTCCCAGAGTCTATCTTTCAATGACTTGAAATATCAAACTTGCGATATGGCAGCTCGAAGTATCTCACATCAAGTAATTCCAAGTTTTAACCTTGATCCTAGGCACCATCCTGACTCGAACAGAATTACGAGTTTTTAAAAGAATCCGTTAACTTATAAATTAACTGACTAGTTTAACTGAATGGCGACTCTGTCAGAGTCCATCCCTTGCTACTTTGCAATACAAGAAGGCCTCATCATGTTTACCTTGGTGGGAAAAGCGCGGGTGCCCATACAAACGTGTAACTCAAGGGACACTCCAATGCCAGACACTTCTCGTTAGGCCCCCTGTAGGGTTTGAATTAGACCCCACTGGATATTTCAAAGCACTCAAACCACGAGTGGAGAGATTAGGCTTCCGAAAATGGCAATGCAGGTGAGACCTGTCCGCATGCAACCCAAGGCTGAGACTCGTGTCCCATCTTGTCTACGATCTACATGTATTTCCCTCCGTCAATCCAGCCGAGTCAACCGAAGAGACGACTAGCATCCACAGCATCGAGCTAGCTTCGTTTCCATATGCATTCATGGACCCCGTTTGATTCGCTGGAAATCTTCCTCGTTGTGTTTTAGGGGCCAAACCTCCACATCAAGTGGATCAACGGGTTCACCGATTAGCCCAGCCAACACAAGTAGAGCGAGGGCTTTTTCCTTGGAGGTTGGTGGCGGCTTGGCCTCGGCTTGACACAGTACACTTATCTGATTGGAGACGCTTTTTTTCAACTAGCCGCTTAATGTAACAGTTAGTATGCGCCTATCGCTTGACCTTCCCATCTTTCTCTTCATTTGCGCAAAGGATCGCGAATGACGTATACACAACCCGATGGATTATACTAAAACGTAGTGGTCCCTCCGCGTTTAACACTCCCAAATGGGAATGCCTTTTAGGCGGCTATCTGGTTTATTGTTTCGCATAATACTGCTAAAAACTATCACACTCGAGGCGTAAGGCTTGAGCATTAATACATTGCTGTCCCGTTGGAATGTACAAGAATAGCCCGCTAATCAGGTTTCAGCAGGTGAATTGTACATGTGATTTCATTATGGATGATCAAGACCCGTGTGATCTATTTCCTACACTCACCATTCCGTACAGCCAATCGGAGCCCTTCAAATAGAATCCTGCCATCGCTTGTCTCCGGGTCCACGTATGCTTGGAAGATCCCAAGCCTCGGCCCCCGGGGCTGTCAACATTCCCGGGGTCAGCCCCACGTCACTAAACAATTGCTCAGTCTTGGCTCACTTTCTATAATCAAGTGGTCGGTTAGCTAGTGTGAAAAGACTTGAAGCCTCTCCATACCAAGAGAAATACCCCCGCTCTAACAGGGATTGTTTGATCATAACTTGATCATAAGTTGGAAACTGCTTTGCTGGCAGTTCTGCTCTCGCGCTAGCTATAAGCCCCATATGCTTGGAGATGCCAATTTATGTGCCAATACTACTCTGAAAGAACCGTTTTCTTGGTCACATTTTGAGAAACAGACGTCTTGATTTACTCATAGGTGGAAGTCCGATCCTAACATGAAACAATAGTATACATTACTTTGCATGTTGTTAGACTATGGTTAGGTCACTAGCCGATGTGAAAAAAAAAAAAAAATTAAAAGACCTTGACAATAATTTCGTGAATGAATATAAGGCATTACCATCGTTGTAGCCTTTGCCATGACTTCTTATTTTCTCTCGCCTCATAAAAATACATAAAAGAATAATTTGTCAAGAGATAAAAGGAAATTGTGTTAGTGTCTTTAGTTTCATCCTCTTAAATGGGTCGAAATTTATAGACTACTCACGATAGACTTTTAAGGCATGTTAGCCCAGTGAGCCGCGAGCTATGCCAAACTCTATACAGACCACTCGCCATGGTCGTGACCATAATAACCTGTAGACAATAGACTATTTTCCTTTCACTAGCTATCAATACCATGATAAGTAAAATAGCATATTTAAGAATATTTAGCCAATCCGTCTCTATTTTTCATACATATATTCTCGTAGGTCAGGCTGCTTATATTACTTTATCCTAACTATAGGAGCCATGTTCTTTGCATTTCTATTATTCATCTGAAAAATTTTAAGAATCTATCATAAGAGTGCCTTTGTAATATCAATCAGAATCTGATCTCTATTTTCAGAGGATGTTCTGAAAGGAAATGCTACAATCGCCCAACGTCGGCTTTGCATCATTAGGACCCACAATTGTACCTTATCTACATCTTTGTCAGGAGACCCTAGATGCGATCGGGCTAGGATAAAGAAAGGAGAAAAGATATGATGATAGCAGGAATTTTGACTTAAGCGCATTAAAAAAAAAAGTAGAAAGGGCAAAATGAAAAGAACTTTAGAGTGAGAGGGATGGAAGTATATACATGCGAACATGAGAACAAGGGCATCAAACATCTGCAAAGTGGCTCTGGGGCAAGTAATCTTGAAAATTGGCAAAATCAGTATCTTTAGCTTGGTCTAGGTGTTCACTTTAAATCTATGGCATCTTCTCCTTCCTCTTATCCATCCCCTCATATCGTTCGTGCTCATCCAGCTCCCGGGGTCCTCATCCCCAAGGTCGTCGACGCGTTTTCCCAACCGCACCAACTTATATCCCTTTTTTCCTTCATATTTCTTTTGAAAATATTTTATTACTGCTTGGTTTTAGGATTGATTGACTCAAGCCCCTTCAACTGGCATTTTACCACGCGCATCCACAAAGATGGCCGATTTCAAACGCCTGCCACTAGAGATCATCCAAATCATTACCAGTTACCTCGATACAAACCACCCTCCCAGTCTCGTGGGGTTTGCCTGCACAAACAATTTCTGCTATGCAGCAGCAGCACCATTTCTCTTTCACACTCTCAACTTCCCGGTGGAATATGAATCTAGTTTTCAAGATATCGCTGAGAGGGTGCAGACATACACCCGGAGTCTGCAGCGAGTCGCAGGTTTCCAATATGTCCATCGAGTCATGCTTCACCACCCTTGGCCAGAGTCCAAGCGCAATGCCATGGAGCGGGGCCATGCCACAGACCGTGAGGTCGGCAATGAACAAAATCTAGATGCTCGTCTAGACACGTTTCTTGACGGCCTGGACTATATCTTGTACGATGCTCCAGGGGATATTCCCGGTATAAATGAGGCTTGGAAGCCCCTAGCAGATCTGATCCGCAGCCTACCTGCACTGGCCGACCTGTTGTACAGTTGTGCAGGGCAATTTCCGCCGTGTCTGTTGGATGCCCTCCATGAAAGTCAGTCACTGTGTCGATTGCATCTATACACTTTTGGGCTGTGGGATTTTGGCCACCAACTTGCGACATCACCGTGCCTGCATAGTATTACAGTCTTGCAGAACCAATCTGCACATATCTCTGGCCAGGATTCGGAATACACTACGAAGACCGTTATGCGCATGGCAGCTAAGCTTGCGCCCAATTTAAAGCATGTTCACTTGTGGCAGAACCCACAGGAGCCAGATGCAGAGTGGACACCCTCAAAGGGGCTCGGACAAGACTCAACAGACCTAGATCCTGGGACTACATTAGGCTCTTTGGATCGCCTTCAGTTCTCCGGGTTTCGGAGAAATCTCACAAAGCGGGACTTTGATCTATGGCGCCAATACACCGATTTCTCAACACTCAAGGAACTAAAAATCGACACCCAAGTCGAGGGTGCCGCATTGAATGCTTTGGCGGCCACTCCAAATGCGGGTTTCCCATGCCTCCAAACACTAGATCTGACAACATCTTGCGATTCCCCATTGGAAGAGCGACATACCTTCTATAAAACAGCAGAACGCTTTCTTCTAAGCCTTCCACCATTGTCCGCTTTATTATTGCGTCCCTGGCACTCAGAATTCCCCCTAGCCTCGGTGTTGCGACACCACAATACCTTGGAAGGCCTCACACTACCCGCACTGCAAGGCGAATTCATGACAGAAAGTCAAATCGACCTGATCAAGGCCCACAGCCAGCACCTAAGACATCTCGAGATCATGCTCCACCGCACAGACGCGCACCTCTGCAAGAAACTAGGGTCGATGCCGCGGCTGCAGTCCCTAGACCTTGAACTTGATCCGTCTGACCGATGGGGCTACCCGGACAAGATCCCACCGACCAAACCCAATCTGTCCGAGTACGACCAGCAGGCCTGTGTTGTGCCCGGGGTGGGCGAGTTCCGCGTTGGATGGATCCGAGACGCGCTCATCAACAGCGCTGTGGACCAGACTCTGGCGTGTGCGTTCTTCGTGGATGTCTCAGCAGGGAAGATGGGCGCTGGCTCGCTCGGCCTCGAGAGACTCTGCTTGAAGGTTCGCTCTGTGGGCGGGCTGGTTGAGTACGGAGACGATTTCCAGGGTGTCGTTAATAGTCTTAATCGGAGTTGGTTGGTGGAGCGCAACCCGCGCGACGACTGTCAGAATATTCCTGTTGTGAAGGATCGTGGTCAGTTTACTTGGTTTGAGGAGGACACTCTGCCACCGTGGCTGGTGCCTATTTTCCGTTCTATCTGGCCGGAGACGTCTAGTGGGAGTTGCTGGAAGGACGATTGGCATAGTCCGCCTCTTGTGATGACGATTTAACCATGTTGGAGTTTTCTATCAAGAGCGAGGACACATCAAAGCATATCTTTAGAAACCATGCCTCGGGAATAGAGAACATAACATATATCATAGCACAGCCCAAATGTAGTAAAAAGGCGTAAATAGCACCAGGAGAGAGATCATCTTCAGAACGGTGCAAAACAAGGGTATTGTGAGGGTGGTCTTCAGGTGGTGCCCTGAACAGTTTATATCAAATCCACTATCGGCTTTCACGGCGTCGACTGGCCTTCTTCCTCCTTTAGAGGCTTTTGTCCATCATCCATGGCCTTTCCCCAGGCTTGCTCGAAAGCCGAATCAGGGACTTGTTGGGTACTCTCTGCGCTGGTGGTATTCTGTTCATCATCTTCATGGTGATCAACGAGGACTGGAACACTACCAGCTGTGTCATCATTCCCCACCTCCTTTTCCACCATTTCTGGAACAGGGGACGACGAAGCAGACTCCGGTCCGCCGGAGTCCCTTGCCTTGGTACGTGAGGTCTTCTCTTTGGCTCCGAGCAGCTCGAGATCAAAGTTCGAGCTGTACACCACGGCCGAAAACGCCTCAAGCTCACGCACGTTCTGGTCCATCGTGGCCAGATACTCGTTGGGCGGATGCGTGCCGTTCCCAATCACGTGTGCCTGACGGGCGAGTACCGCCAGAAGATTCGCCAACTTGGTCTTGCGGTCAAAGGCAGTGGGCACGGCAGTTGCGATAGAATCAAAGGACTGCGGTGCAGTCTCTGGGGCGGGAGTCACGGGCTTGAAGGCATCGGCCGCACACTTCTGGTCGATGAGGGTCGAGAATGCTTCGTTGTTGAGGAGAGTCAGGACAAAAGAGAAAGAGGGTGAATCAATCAGATCGGCGGTCTCGTCCAGCAGATGACGGAGCTTCGAGGCCGTGTGGGACGAGGACAGGTCCGCTACGCCTTGCACGCCCGACTCACGCAAAACATACTCCTCTTCCTCGGCCGGGGGAAGCAGGCAAGACAACCACTTCTGGGATCTGGTACAATGCGCTTGTTAGCACGGATGGGAATGGCCACCCACGTATCTAGAAAATTCTTACCGTCGCTCATCTTCTGTGTTCCCCTCGACCTTCTTCCGGATCACCATAGTCAACTCGGACAGCTTATCCAAACTAATGTCTTCACGCGGGTTGAGCGGGCCAAAGGCTTCCTCTACAGCAGCTTGAACCCGTTCCGTCAGATCTTTCCATCCCCGGTGGAGCAACCACCAGCTGAACGCGAGGTATCGTCGATTTGTTTCAAAGTCATCGCCCAGGGTCTGCGTCAATTCGTCGTCATGGTCTTCCAGACTAATAGTCGAGGAGTTGGCAGGAGGAGTAGCAAGGGAGATAACGCTGGAGAGGTAATTGCGACGGCCGAGGAGGTTGAGTTGGATGCGGGTGAAGATGGTGAGCAGGGAAAGCGTATAGACAAGAGTAAAGGATCGCGTGATAGCTGCTGAGTGTTAGTAGCTGAAAGTTTTATTCACCGAAATCCAACGAGTCCAACAAGAGGAAAAGCGTACAAGTGATCTTGACCTCATTCCACAACTGGGTCTTATTCCGTTTGACTCGAGGTTGTCCCTCGTCCCCAGCCGATTCCCCTACTTGGCTTGCATGCACATATCCCTCGCTCTGGAAACTCGATAGGCTCTTCCGGTCCTCTTCCACGACACTGGGTGACACCGAACTCATGTCGGAGCCGGTAGTCTCCCCCGCATTGAGCCGCGCCAGCCTCTCCGCCCGCTTTTTCTGGAGCTCTTTCGTCAGCTCCTCGACGGGGAGCGCCTCAATGATATTCTCTGCCGCGGTCGGAAGCAATGCGAGAACAGTATAGGTACAGTCGGTCTGGTTTTGCTCGAATCGACGTCTTAAACTATGGCCATCATGGTCAGCTTGGGATGGTTCGGGCCCGACATTGGGCTCGGGACTCCGTCACCAGGTCGCGTGCAATGTAGACGAGGCGACAGAAGAATCAAAACGGGGGGGCACAAACTTTTCTCGTGCAATCCGATCACTGCTCATACGTTCGCGCGCCTCGGAGATCTTGGTCAGCACATACTGACCGGCCAAGTAGCCAGCTCCTAGCACGCCAGCCCCGATCGCAAGGCCTTTGCGATTGCGCTGGAACCAGCGCCGGGTGGCTCCGATCATATTGGCTGTGCAGGGAGTGTTCTCGTAGTGGAATCACAAAAATGAATCAATGGGTTTGGTTCATGATAGTCGTAGAAGATGGTTGAGACATGACAGAGGCAGGAGGCGGGTGCTGATCTTGGCCGGGGATCGTCAGGCCTCGGTTAGCTGAGCTCCCGAATGTGAATCATCCGAGTCTGCGGTTCTTGCTGTCTCTTTGCCACGAAATTCGAAGCTGCTTCTCTTGCGTCTCTCCAGAGATTAAGGGTTCTTTCTCCGAAATCGTGCTACGTTGCTGCGTTCCACACTGGAGCTTGGTCCCCCGGATTCGGTACCGGCCATCGCGCAAAATCATTCTAGCGACGTTGCTCAATTATCCTCATTTTTTTATTGACTCTTCTAAATATGATGCTCACAAAAGAGTGAAATTGACATCTCAAACTGCTGTGCTTTGGTCCGAATAGCTGTCTTTCGCCCCCGAGATAAGAGTTCGGTTGAACCCGATGGCCGATAGAGGCCCGCTCATCTCATCCCACTTCACCTTGCCTCCCCCCTCCATGACCCCAGACATTCGGCTTGCCGAGCTCGACAAGCTGCTACATCGTGAAACCTCTCCTTTTTCTTCCCAGACCCCTGTCACTCCTCCATCCCGGGCGCGAGCTGGATATCTCCACGGGCGGGGATGGAGTCCCGCAAAACCCCTCCGGAGTACTTCCTGGAGATCTTCGCCGACACCACGACGGTGCGAGATGTGCTGAAAGGTGCGATTCAATTTCGGCGGTCTTGTCGGACATACCAAACTAATCCTTCCACTCAGGCGTCCTCAACCTCATCTTCTTCCACCGCTACTTCCCCTCCACCCGCCCCGTCAGCTTCGACGTGCTCGACTTCACCCTCCCCGCCATAAACGATGCCGACCTCGAGACTTTGATTGAGTCGCGTGTCGCTGCTCTAGTCCGCCAGCACCTCTCCTCCGCCGCCGGTGCCCAGGATGGGAAAGCCGGTGGCGGCGGGGGTGTGCGCGGGCGCATCGCGGTCGAGTTCTACGAGAAGAAGCGGCGTCGCTCGGGAATGTGGTTTGGCGGACTGGCAGGGAAGGGCGAGGAGGAGGTATGTTGGGAGATTTGGACGCTGGATGTGACCATCGCGACGCCGCGCACCGAGTCCGGTATGTTCTATCTGCTGTGCCTACTGGTCTTTTGATCGCATATGGCGTCATCGCCCCATACCCAGCCTCCCACCATTTAACCTGACTGACTTCCTACCTTACCAACAGAACGGGCAAAGGTCCGCAAGGCTATGGGGAACATGCTCCAGAAAGCTGCCCTGAAGATTCTCACTGTTGTTAACCGAGACAAAGACCACATCCCGCCCATTACGACCAGCGACTCTAACCCCTTCCCATATCGGATTGTTGTCAATCCTCGCACAGACGGCTGGGGCAACCGCATCGGACTGTATTGAGTCACTCCATCGAGTACAGAATTTGAGCCTTGTGACGAAGGCCAGCCATCATCCTGCATGGTCCCCTGATTAATACTTATATGCCCGCCCGTTTTGGTTTCAACGATCTACCACTCGTTCGGCGGTGCGCCTGGTACACTTACGACATACAGATGAGACGATTTTCTTTTTTTGCCCAGTCAATCTTTTTTTCGGGGCATGTCCTCGTGTGAGTTCGGTGTTGAGAGGTTCTTTGGAATGCTTTCTGGGGGATTTGGTCCGGCGTCGGGAGTGCGCTCTTCACTCGTTCGAGTGTATACTATCTGGAATATGACCATGACCATACAAATTATCATGACAATCCCATCAATACGATGCCCTCCTTGAGTATCCGGCAAGGACCTCGACTGTAACACCTATTCCAAGGATACTTCCAGTCCAATGAAAAGTGGCTGGTTGTGATGCACTCATTCGGGTGGTCAATCGTCTGTGTTCAAGCTGATTATCAAAATGGCGGAGAGCCTGAGTGGATATTCCTGAACCTCAAAGTGCAGACTGTATCAGCAATGCCGACTGGAAAGCAGCTTCAACGTCACGTCGCCGGAAGCCCGGCGCACGTCCTAGGATGGATACGCTACGGATAATTCCTGTTAGTAATTTCAAATTAGCATTTTCCATGCATGGGATCTGTCATCTGGTTAAGAGCTTACTGCCAAAGAAATACTCAATATCAAGTATGCAGCGTGATGACTCTCGAGTCGAAGAAGAGACTCGATGGTCTGTCAATGGTCAGTCTCTGCCATCGTACATTTGTCCAGAGCACTATAATCCACTTACCTATTTCAGGAACACAGGGAGATGTATCTCCATCATCCATAGATACGGGTGGAGTATCGAGAACAGTCGGGTTAGTCGAGGTCCAATTGAAACCAGGTGGCTCATTTCGCTCAATATTTGGCAAATCATGCCCTGAAGCCAAAGGTGCATAATTCAATGGCAACGAATGCACCGCAGGAAACAACGCAGACCCATCAATATCCACCCCTCGTTCTCGAAGGTACCCCTCAACATCCCGACAATCAAACCACTGCCCACCAAACCCACAAATCTCCAGGTGTTTGTGAAGCTGTGAATCCGAACTGGTTTCACCCTCCATGTCGGCAACGGGCAGTAGCCCAAGAATTCTTCGAGGAAGTCTCATCTTCGGCAGATAAACGGGATCGCCTACTTTATCCTTGGCGGGATAATGGGTTCCCGCACCCCCGACACAATAGAATGGCAGCGCGGATATCTCTAGTGAATGTTCCTGGGTGGAAGTGACCAACTCCCTGAAGTAAGGGTACATCTTCTCCCTTGCCCGAAAACAAGGCACGAGTCGGAATACTCGGTGCACATCTAGGGGGTTGGAACGAGGGTCGCTGAATAGGCGAAAAGTGTGCTCCAGAGAGTACCTTTTGAGAGTGCGAGTGAATGAGCTTTCTTGGAAGGAATATGTGTATGGGATATTGACTTCAAGGGCTTGTCCCATCACGTGGATGACTGGGTGGTTGATGTCAATGTCGTTGCGCGTCGTCGTAGGATATGATAATTGACGATATCTGTCATTGAATATCTGAGAGCATTTCTGTTTGGTATTCAGCGAGTCGCTGATGGATGGAGAGGTGGGCTGAGGGGCAGTCTGATATCCGAAAATACAATCGCTCGTGGGACGTCCACCGTTCCAAGGATGATTCATTGAACGCCGTGTGCATTTCGTGGATGTTCGCTCTGTTGAATGGTCATCGGAAGTTATCCCCTGCACTGAATCTTCCGCGGAAGAGGTCAAGAGGCTGCATATGGAGTCAAGATCTCTTAATAGCCCATGGTGGTTATTTCCCAAGGCAGACTGGATATTTTCTCTATAATCTGCCAATGCCTCTGCAACTCTTTCTATCTGGCTTTCAAGGCATGCCACGCGATGCTGGGCTTGCTGAAGGCTTGCCTCTTTTTTGCGCCGATAAGTTCGCTGAGCGCGTCGGATTTGGTTCCGACGATCCTGGGAAAGATCAGATCAAGTGCCCCACCATTTCTCACATCATTTGAAGATCGTAGATCTTCGTTGAAAATGCTAGACATACCTCTGATAGAACGGCCGCACCCGGTGCGTCCAGCCTAGGCCGGCCCGCACTTCTGGCCCGTGTTAGGCGAGTGGGATTCGGTTTGATTTTGGTATTGGACAGCATGATACCGAGAATACAGAAAGTGTACCTGTGTCGTATCCCAGGCTGGTGGCATGAAGATATTTCTGTCCCACTAGGAAGTGGATATGCACCGCTAAATGAACGGTGTTCTTCAAACACAGAGGTTAGCACATTGATAAAGAGACTGCTGCTTATATGTGGTGATTACTTGCTGACTCGGTACTCTGTGCACAAACAGTAGGCTTGAAGAATATGCCAGAGAAATTCAGGGTGTTGAAGGAAGTGTATTAGAATATCAAGGACTGATATTCTAATCGCCTCGGCTCCAACACAGTTGGGGCAAATCCTGTGGGTCGCCATTCTAACGCCATTGGCTGGTTTTTCCCACCAGTTAGCGATCTATAAACAGCCAAAATGATCTTTTCTGTTCACGCGTGGTGAATGACGTCGATGTTTCTGGACCAAAGTGCAGATGCTATTAGCATGGCGTGCGTGTATAGGTACTTATTTCGATGTTTCAAGCATAACGACATAGCTGGAGACAACGCACGAGGTATACTTGATGATCTTCTAAACTAACGTCTATTCACTACCAAAACAGACAAAAATACCATCCCACCCCCTCCCCTCTACCGCCACAAAAAGTCTGTATACAAGCCAAGAGCTTTGATTATCTTTCCATCAAAAGCCTCATGAACCGCATCCCATCCCAAGTTCAACTGCGCAGCATCAAGATCCCGCCGTCTCCGGTCCTCAATCGACCGCCACGTTGCCTCCTCGGCACCATCTCTGGCCGGCAGCAACCCACACTTGACGAGCATAGCCTCCGGTGGAAATGTCCTGCGGTCCTGCTTGAAAACATATCGAGAAACCGCAGAGGCAAACACATTGCCCTTACACAACTGATTCTTGCTTGATGGCCCTCCGCGTTGGGTAGCTTCAGAGGCCACGCCTTGGAAATAGTATTCTCGGGGCTGGAATTTGCCTCTTTCCACAAAGTGTGAGACGATATATATCCACTTTTCATCCCAACTCATCACGCGCGACCAGACCTCGTAGGGTTGGTAGGGCTTGATCTCCTTGCGGAAGACGCATTGCACTCCGCTTAGAATCATGACGGCCGTGTCTGACGTTGGACAAAAAGACAAAAGCTGGCTGAATAAGATCAGACTCAGATTGCCTCGGGAGATATCCAGGTCCGTGAAGTAGGTGGAGTTGGATTTGTGGATGTTGTAGTCGCACTCTGTGAGCGGGGACCGTGTTCGGTGGATGGCAGGAAGAAAGAGACATTCTGGGCTGAGTGGTTTGCTCGATCCTGATTTGAGGACAAGGCGTGCCAAAAGAGTGCGGAGGAACCGGACCTGTGTAGTATCAGTGGTGGGTGATGACAGCCTAGGTAAATGTAGGGGATACTGACATGCCACACGAAAGGCAGGTTTTTATATGCTACAAAGAGCACACAGAAGATGATTGGAATCCAGCTTCCTTCAAAAAGAGACATGATGTCTTGGACATCCACCAGTGTCGATCGTAGTCTTGCTTGAAATTTTGACCGAGACTCCGAAGAACCAAAGAATTGCTTAAGAGATTTTGATTTCAGTGTTTTTGGTGGCCTTTTATGCTATAAAATACATATTGAGAGCCCAGTTCAACGTTCTATGCTCTTTTTGTTGGGAGCAAACCACCGACAAGCTAGCTATCCACTGACCTGGTCCACTTTCACCATCCCCAATGTTAAATCAAGTAATAAATCATAAAAAGCATATTTCAGGCAAGCCGAACCACATGAGGTCGATTATATTTATTTTTAGTGACTTTCACTGCTTTTTAATCACAAAAATGTTGTTGATACCGATCCCGAGGATTACATTATCTCGGCAAACCCTACACCTGAGATCCCAACATAAACCAAGCCCTTCTTCATTATTATAAAAGGCATGCAATTTATAAGCCAGAAAGGCACTGTATATCTACTGTACTTATTCCAAAGGGACCACTCACAATGGACTTGACCAGCTTAAACATTCCATACGGCCGCCTCTCAATTGCCGCAACTATCTTAGGGCTTTACATGCTTCTTGTACAATACCTTCGCTTTCAACGTTGCGAGAAAGCCAAGTCCCAGTTCACAGATACTGGACGCCCACTATCTAGCATGACTGTCAAAGAAGCCCACCAGATTGTGCGCGACTTGCGAGAACTGGAGTTCCCATATACAATGCACAATGCCATGAAAGTCTCACTCTTGAAGGTCACTTCTCATCTTATTCCCAATATCTTGTCCCAGGAGAGAATACTCACATACACACCAGACTGGATCCATCCCCACAATGACCAGACTTTTCGTCGCCACAGGACAACTCAACGAAAAGAACGCCTCCAAACGCGCCGCAGACACCGAGGTAGTCCTAAACGAAGTCCACGACCGAGAACCAGGCTCAGACGCGCACCTGCTCGGCATTGCACGAATGAACTACCTACACGCGCGGTATCGCAAAGTCGGTAAGATCCTCAACGAGGACATGCTGCACACGCTCGGGTCTGCAGTAGTCGATATCATCCGATCCGTCGATGGACACGAGTGGCGGCCGCTTACAACCGTCGAGAAATGCGCAATTGGCGTATTCCATAAAGCGTTGGGCGATGCAATGGAGATCCCTTTTTCATTGCTTCCTTCACATAAAACCGGCTGGACGGATGGCGGGCATTTCGCTCGCGAGATCTGTGAATGGACGGTGCGCTACGAGCAGGCTGTGGCCAAACCTACGGATTCGACGCGCGTTATTGGGAGGAGGCTTCTTGATCTGGCCAAGTTCAATGTGCCTGCGCCGCTGAAGTCTCTTGTTGGAAGTGTGGTTGTCACCAAGCTCGATGAACACATTCGTATTAGTATGGGGTATGGAACCTCTGAAGATTCTCTGCATGTTTACTTCTCTCACTCATATGGCTATGCAGATTTGAAAGGCCAGGATATATCGTTTCTTCGGTGGCAGCCGGAATCCTCGCTCTACGCAAAGTTCTCTTGCGCTACCTGGCCCTTCCTAGACCAGATTCCATGCGCGTGCATCAGTTAAACCGAGACCCCGATGCGGCAACGGGTTTATGGACGGTGAACTTCTGGATTGCGCACCCCTGGTACGTCAAGCCCACTCTCTCCCATCGGTGGGGTCTGAAGGCGCTCTTTGTACGATTGTTTGGAAGCGGTGCTGTCCCTGCACCCGATGGACAGTATAGAGAGTCGGGCTACGATCTGTGGACGATCGGACCGGCTGCACAGGAGAAGCGAGGACGGGACGAAATGGAAGCTATATTCGCTGGGCTGAAGGGGTTGAATTTTGCTGGGCAATGTCCTTTTCATGCGTGAATGAAGCTGGCTTGCCTTTGGAAGATTGCGAGTCGAAGCAGTATACAAAGAGGCGGAAACAAAGCCAGCATATCAAGTTTAACCCAGTATCTTACTTTTGACAAACGAGAAGCATTTAACCGTGTTCAGGTTCGCCTTGTAGAAAGCCATGGTATATAGATTCAGACATATCTACGGCTCATCGCAATTGAGAACCAGGAAATGGCCATAGCCGAAGCATTGCATCAATAGACCAAGACTTTGGTATTCGCATTTGAAAGCAAAGCCCAATGGATGTCCGGTTCATATAGTACAGAGAACATCGGAAGCCAAGAACTGCATCCTCCATTGACGAGAGCCAAAGTACAGCCCACCCCTTCTACCAATCCAGCGAGACCACATGATAAGTAAGAACATCAACTTCACATTGAGCCACCAGCTCCACCCCGGACCATTCCCTGTGGCCCTCTTCTAGTATCTACCAGCCCTCCACACTTGCACCTATCGTTATCATGAAATGTCGGTTCAACCACCTCGCCTGGTAATCTATAGCATCGTACCAGGCACGGAGAATCAGGCCCATGACCAGAACCCGGACCGGACCGGTGGGCTTATCGTTGACTGCGATTCTCAGTGGAGGGACCAAGCGCGACAGCCCTTTTAAGTGGAGTGCGGCTTGCTCGCAGCCTCGGCCTGGGCGCGGAGGTTGGCGGAGGTGCCGGTGCTGGAGAAGAAGCGGCCAACCAGGGGCTGAAGGAAGGAGGTGAAGACGATTTGAGCGCCGCTGCAAGATGCGTCAGTCATCGGGTATTCGGCTTCCTTAAGGAACAGGTAGGACATACTTGGTCTGGGGGAGGGCCATCCACAGGATCAGGACAAACTTGAAGATGTAGTAGAAGGCTGCTCTATGGTCAGCGAAGTCAAGGACTGACGGGGGGTCATGCTCAAACATACGGAACCAGTAGGCGGCGTGGATGGCACTCTCGATCACGGTCAGGAAGGCGTAGACCACCCAGTACTGTTCACATGTCAGATCTCTCGGTCATGGGAAGTGTCACGTGGTGCATGATAAGCCCGGGTCGGCGGTCATCATATCCGGCAAGCAGCGAGGTCACCTCGACGATGCGATCATGGGGAGTCATGGGAACATACCGTCAGCCACTATAGGAGTAGAATGTTAGCATGCTAGTTGTTTGTGGCACAAGGCAGCTTAATCTCACCTGAGTGTCATCCGTGGTAGTCGAAGTGAACAGCGCCTGGAGCGAGTAGTAGCCGGGGATAAGGAAACCGGCGAAGTTGACAAGGAACTCGCCAGCGATGTTGAAGAAGACAAGGAAGAAGTAAACTCCGACCAGGCCCAGGATGGCATACACCTTGGGGACGGAGGTCTGTCTCTCCAGGTTATTGAGGATAGGGTACTTGGAGAGCTGCCGAGCAGACGTCAGCGACCAACTAAACAGATAAGATGAGGTCAAAGTTCCAGTCTTGCCAACACTGCCATCCTCACTCGAAAAAGAGTCTGCGGTGATGCCAAAATTGGAGCGATGACTCGAGCTGGCGAGGCACCAGCGAAGCACACAATGACCGAAAACATACCTCCTTGTCGAGCTGCGCTATGGCGTGCTGGGCACGGTCCTGGAAGGAGGCCATTTTGTGTAACGGGGTGTGATTTGGGGAAAATTAAAGTCGATAACTGCAGGAATTGAGGTTGTGTGCGAGGGATGGTGAGAATGCAACTGGTCGAGCTGGCGGTTCGTCTGCTGGCCGTGCGGCATCACGTGAGGTCATGACGTACATCACGTTATTCTATTGGAAATACTAGGAGAAATTAACAGGAGATATGATATAGAGGTTGTAGGATAAGGTATAACTAATATTAAGAATAATTAACTATCTACTGTATATTCCCTCTGTAGTGGCAATAGCTTCCGTATAATGCTCAAGGTAACCCGCGAGGATATAGTGGTATACACTTACGATAGAAAGATCTATGATATATCTAAATTTTGATTATTTATAGAGGCTAAATAGACTCTAGGAACTAGAGTGCTTTTATTGAATTATGAATACTAAGATAATCATTCTGAAAAGGCACGTCGCGGTGCATGTACCATGCATGCAGATGCAGAATTGTTGAGCTTCCAAAAACCTGCGACCGGAGATTTCAAGAGTTACAAGTAACTACATACTATATGCTCGGATTTTTACTCTAAATATTCTACTATAGTAAGAGTAAATAGTATAGTTTAAGTGATCAATATCTATGGTTGACCATGTTACTTCTATATAAATAATATATATAAATTTCAAGTCATAGTGATTTTATATACTGCAATAATCTTTTTTTAGTATTCTACAAGACGGCAAGCGGGGCGCCAGAAACGGCTCCTATTTTGCACCGCTTTTCTGCCGCCTCGACTGCCTATCTAGGTCTGCTTTCCCCCTATCTCTTCCGGTAAACCTAGACCCCTTTACAGATACTAGAATTTCGGAACCTTATCTACCTTATAGATCTACTAGACTGACTATAATCATATATCGGACGATTATAAGCAACTTAATATTATTGAATTAGGGACATAGAGCGAGTTATTAGCTATACGCCCGGGTGAGAAGGAGTGGCAGGTGAGAGCCGGGTGACATTCAACCACTGACACACATCCACCACACGGACCCTTTCAGCTGAGTCTATGCATCTTTATGCATACCTTATTGGTTTCCCTCGATCTGTCAGAAACCAAGGCCTATTGTTAATGCTCGAGGCATAAATATACTGGAGCCAAGAGTCGAGTAAGCTGGTAAGGCTAATTCCAACTTGCATAGTTCACGTAACGCCTTAAGTCTTTGTCATTGGAACCAAGGAATTGCCACAATGTATAGGCCAGATAAATACTTCTGCAAGCCTAAAATACTCGTTATTAGAGTGCTGCTAGTCTAGAAGAGGTAACTAATCTGTATCAAAATTACTAGAAGATTCGCGTCTTTTTATAACACTTCTAATCTGGTCTAAAACTAATATTCACGCAAATAAGAATAAAAGAAATCAATAGAAAAAAGAAAACCAAAGCGAGGGATTTTTATGTACAACCCTGTGCTTTAAGCGGTCGAGTACTTATATTGTCTTCAATGATAGTCAATCTCATGGGATTCCTGATACGTGACGAGATAAACCGAATCAAATATATATTCCCCTTAATTATCCGAATTTGTCGAATTTATCTAAAAACACCTCGATATTTAATTACCTGGGAAGGTGGTGGAGGTCGTTATTCCGGAATCTTCAGCACGAGGCAAGTAGTGGCGATAATAGTGGTGTGGATCACACCTGCTTGGAAGAGGACTTCGTTTCGAAAAAGGATTCTGTCAGAGTCTGGAGAGACGTAGACTTCTTGATACGCTTTCTTTGAGCGAGCCTGAGGATATTATATTCACTTTCAATTGGCATAGACATAGCATACTTGAGAATATTTGCAGCAGGGACTGTAAGTGTCCAGCAGATATTTTATCATCCCTGTTGCATTAGATTTCTGAAAAGTCAAAGCCCGGTCCTTGATGCCATATAAAACAGCAAAGTATCTAGTTCTCTTAAAGTACTTTGACAAGATGTTCCGATTAGCGCTGCTGATGCAATTGACTTGGTACTCGAATGGGCTATTTCCAAGCATAGGCTCTTCGAAGGGTCCTTGCCAACATTGACAAAGAAATTAATTTCCATGATCGTGATTTGCACGAACTTCCCGCTCCTGCCCTATCCCCCACCAATCACTTGAGTAAAATTAATCCGAAAGGTATGCTGACAATGCTAATACTCGCATTGGCCATGGGCGTTTAGTTGAATGCCTCGTAGAGGTGGCCGTCGTGAGACACAGGCGTGCCCTGTCATCATACATCGGGCAAGATGGCCGAGTTGGTCCAAGGCGTCAGGTTAAGGTCTACCTTAATACCAAATCTTCTAGATTTCCTGATCTCCGCAAGGGGACCTGGGTTCGAATCCCAGTCTTGTCAGATCTCTTTTTGTCTATTTCAATGACTGTGGCTATGCTTTTTTGATTTTTGATTTTGGATGTTAGGATCATATGGAAAGGTTGATATTATAAGTTTTTTTTTTTTTAGGAAATAACGCCCCTTAAATTCATTTTTTGCCCACAGATATTGGACATCCACAAGGTTGAGTGCGGGATTTATGCCCGGTCAGGTGATTAAACTATATTTGAAGCCCTAGATCTAGTCTGTTTTAGGCATTGCTCTTTGGGTCTCTTTCTTATAACAGATATAATCAATCTATGAATATGCTTGTAGAAAGATATACAATAGACTCAATCACTCAAGAAGTATAGACATTCGATACATCTCATAATATGGCAGGCCCCACGTGACCTGGTGGATCCCCAGATTGCAATGTGATTAGTGAATCGCATTGTGTCCCTGGATTTCGGTAAATAGTGATGCGAAAGTCGAGACTGACCGCCAGGGACGATCGCGGGAATGATGTGATTAGGATTCCATGATTCTTGTGTCAGGAACTCTTCTCTGTAGCCCTCTTTCTCCCTTCCCCCAGAAAGAAGAAAGAAGCATACAAAAAGAAAAGACCATTCAATTGACCCCCCTGGAAGAAAAAACCGAGGCCCGCACACACCCCCTCAACTTTTCGTCAGCCTCATCCCACACCTCCACTTCACTGAAGAGACACATTGGAGAAGACTCCAATGTAACCGATTTGTGCCTGAGTCTTTTTCCAGCCCCCAACTACATCAATTGAGGGGTCTCATCTTGATCTCTTCTTCCCTTTCGTTTCTATTATTGTTTTTTTCTTTCTAAAAAAAAACAGAACTAGAGGGGGCTTCCGGGGATCGCGGCCCCTCTCCGACGTGGGACAAACACACCTTCGAGGCTTTTTGCCAGCCTCCCTGAGTCGCGTCACTCCTATACGCGTGTCTCAATGCGGCCTCAGTGAGTGTCCCCTTTTCCACTGTTCAATGCCGGATTCTAATAAAAAAATAATGATAGACGCGAATATCACATTGTTGTTCTGGGCGCTGGTAAGGAGCTAGTCTCCAGATCCCAGAGATTCTTTGCTGACAGCATCGGGGGCTCATAGGAGGAGTGGGAAAGAGTTGCTTAACAGGTATGGACTCCGTTGATGTCTCATTTTGAATTTTCTTAAGCTGATCAATTGCAGCCCAATTTGTTCAGAATGTCTGGATCGAAAGCTACGACCCGACGATTGAGGATTCCTACCGTAAGCAAATTGAGGTAGATGTAAGTCAGCCCTTGGTAATGAACATGAAATCAATGATTAACTGACTCTTCAGGGCCGGCAATGTATTCTGGAAATGTATGTGCCAATTTCTCAGGGGTGTGAAACCCCGACTCGACGCTGACTTGAGATCCCACACAGCCTTGACACCGCCGGCACAGAGCAGTTCAGTAAGTAACCACCCCCGGGCATTTGAATATCAAGCTAACAAAGAACACAGCGGCCATGAGGTAACACTCCCCCTTCGAAACAGAGATATATACATACATCTCCACAGGGGCAAAAAACTAACCCCCCCCCAACACAGAGAACTCTACATGAAACAAGGACAAGGCTTCCTCCTCGTCTTCTCCATCACCAGCATGTCCTCACTAAACGAGCTCAGCGAGCTCCGCGAGCAAATCACCCGCATCAAAGACGACGAAAAGGTCCCGCTCGTCATCGTCGGCAACAAGTCCGACCTCGAAGAAGACCGCGCCGTGCCGCGCGCCCGCGCCTTCGGCCTGTCCCAGAGCTGGGGCAACGCCCCGTACTACGAGACGTCTGCGCGCCGCCGTGCCAACGTCAACGAGGTCTTTGTGGACTTGTGCCGCCAGATCATCCGCAAGGATCTGCAGGGATCTGGCGGTGGTGATCCCAGTCGCAAGCGCGAGGGCCCCAATCGCCATGACCGCAAGCGTGAGAGTCGGCGCCAGAATTCTCGTCGGCGGCCTTGTGTGATTCTCTAGCCACGCTCACTTATCTACCTTTCTTCCCCTCTCGCGCCGAATCATCAAATTTTGCAATACGACTTCCGCCTACTCATGCCCGCCTCTGACGTGCTTCATGATTACCTTTATATACGTCTCATGCATCATCTTCTCTCTATCTCTCTCTCCCCATAGAATGACGCTTCACCGCCACCGATTATACACTATCTCCTTTGTGTCTTTTCTCTTCTTCCTCTTTCTTGAGGGGGAGGTGGAGGCCCTTGGCCTCCTTCTTTTGTTTCTTACATATTTACGGGACTCGGTGACTGTTGACCAAAAGAAAAATTTACCATGACGGAATGGACAAAAGTTGTTGCCTCTTTCTTTTCTTTTCTTTCATTACTCTTTTTTTTTTGCCCTTTCCAAACTGTGCATACTTCATTTTACTCAATCAGTGTGTGATTTACCGAGAATTCAACATGGTTGAGCGCAAACTGACAAGCTTGGTCAATGAACCTTCATTTCACATTCCCTCGTCTGCTTATTTATCTGGTATAATACTCTTTCTATTACATACGGAACACCCCAAACTTGGTCTGTATATCCGGCTCCGCCTTGCCGCCGACAGCAGCAGCCAGCCCCAAACCCAGCATGTTCCTCGTCTGCGCGGGCAGAATCACCCCGTCATCCCAGAGACGGGCCGAGGAGAAGATGGCTTCGGATTCGTGGTCAATGCGCGCCTTCAAGGCCGGGTCGGCGGAGCGGCCGACGGCTTCCATCACGGCAGAGAGCTGTTCGGAGCCCATGACGCCGATTTTGGCGTTGGGCCACATGAAGAGCAAGCGGGGAGAGTAAGCGCGGCCACTATCAACACTCAGCACCGAGTCGAGGACAGGGAGTAAAGCGGAAGAAGTTGGGGGGAGGGATATCAGGGACTGGATCAGAACTTACCACATCCCATAGTTACCCGCACCGGCACTCGATCCAAACACAACCGTAAACTTGGGAACATCAGCGCACGCAACAGCCGTGACGAGCTTCGCGCCGTTCTTAGCAATGCCGCCCTTCTCGGCGTCGGCGCCGACCATGAACCCAGAGATATTCTGCAGGAAGACCAACGGGATGCGGCGCTGCGCGCAGAGCTCAATGAAATGGGCGCCCTTGAGCGAGGACTCGGAGAAGAGGATCCCGTTGTTGGCGACGATGCCGACGCGGTGGCCGTGGATGTGCGCAAAGCCCGTTACCAGGGTTGAGCCGTAGTCGCGCTTGAACTCGGCAAACTCGCTGCCATCGACAATGCGCGCAATGACCTCATGCGCGGGGATCTGGCGGCGGAGGTTGGTGCCCACGATCCCGTTCAGCTCGGCTGGATCATATAAGGGTTCGCGGATCTCGACGCCCTCTAGCTGGAGTGGGCCCTGTGTGGCTGGGTAGTTTAAGTTGGCGACGGAGCGGCGGGCCAGGACGAGGGCGTGGGCGTCGTCTACGGCGAGATAGTCTGTTACGCCGGAGATGGACGAGTGCAGCTGGCCGCCACCCAGATCCTCGGCAGAGACGACCTCGCCCGTGGCGGCTTTGACGAGCGGCGGACCCGCGAGGAAGATAGTGCCCTGGTTCTCGACGATGATGGTTTCATCACTCATGGCGGGCACGTAGGCGCCACCCGCGGTGCAAGGCCCCATGACGACGGATAGCTGCGGGATACCCAGGGAGCTCATACGCGCCTGGTTGTAGAATATACGCCCGAAGTGGTCGCGGTCCGGGAACACGTCCGCCTGGTGCGGCAAGTTGGCACCACCCGAGTCGACCAGGTAAATACAGGGCAGGCGGTTCTCTTGGGCGACTGCCTGCGCACGCAGGTGTTTCTTCACGGTAATCGGGAAGTAGGTGCCGCCTTTGACGGTGCTGTCATTGGCCACAATCATGCAGTTGACGCCCTCGACGGTACCAACCCCAGTGATAATACCACCGGCCGGTACGTCCTCGTCTTCGTACATGTCATGGCCCGCGAGCGGCGACAGCTCGAGGAACGAGGTGCCCGGGTCGATCAGCGCAGAGATGCGGTCTCGCGGAAGCATCTTGCCGCGGGAGACATGCTTGTCGCGAGATTTTTGGGACCCGCCCTGTGCAATCTTTGCATGCAGACTGCTCATTCGGTCCAGCAACTCCTGCATCTGCTGGCTGTTCTCCCTGAATTCGGGGGCCGAAGTGTCCACCGCTGTGGGAAGGACGGAGAGTGCCGAGGCATGGTGGGGGTGCGTATAGTTGGCAATTGTCCGGCACGACAGTCGAGTAAGATACGTTGATCGGGAAAAGCGCGGTAGACTCCGTGGAGCAACTCGCGAGCCCAAGCTCCGAAGGACGAGCGGGGATGGGGCGCGCATTCCGGGGAGAAAATGTATGAGGTAGCTGGCAGTGAAGGCGATGGTAGGCACTCCGCTAGAAAACAAGATGAATGTACTATTGTGGTAGCATAGTATTTGGGTGGTCTTGGAAGTAGAAGAACTCGAGGGTTTTGAGAGAAGAAGTGGCAGCTCGGCTTCCCCAGATCGTGCGGAGGCGCGACGGTTGCCGCGTCTACCCGAGGTTTCATCATTGCCACGATTGAACATGCAAAAGAAATAGCAAAACATTACATTGCAATAAGAAAAATAGCTGTTGGAGAGTAAATAAAAGCAAACTAATTCTAGTAGGTTTCTCTGTGTATTTATTTATATAGATATCAACAATATTCATAGGAAGAGGCAATGGTGGTCCGCAGAGCTATCCGCTGCTTTCGCCGAGGCCTGCCGTCCCCTCCCCCGTGCATGTCATTCCTTATTTAAAGGAACCCCCGTCCCGGCCGGAAGTGATCCTTCAAACTTGCATTCGACCATTGCATATCATGGCCTCTGTCTCTCTTCCCTCGCTCTTTCGCCTGTCCACCTGCTCGCTACGGCGGACCTCCATCCCCGCATTTTCCCCGCGTTTGTTCCGGACTGTGTCGACGAAGCACCCGGCCGGTTTTGCGCCACCAACAGAAGAGGACCTCATTGAAGTCAGGGAACGAGTACAAGAATTTACAAGTATGGGCCCTTATCTTGAAAATTGTGAATCATTCCTCATTCTTCATTGATTTCCAGGGCGAGAGATCCCAGCCGAGGTTGCCGCACGGACAGACGAGCAGAATGAGTTCCCGACGGAGATGTGGAAGAAGCTCGGCGATGCTGGGTAAGACCGGATTGTCTGCTTTTTGGGATATTATGGCACTGACAGTAATTGTTTTTTTGCAGCTTTCTTGGAGTGACAGCCGCGGAGGAATACGGTGGTCTGGGAATGGGCTACCAGGCTCATTGCGTGGTGATGGAAGAGATCAGTCGGGCGTCTGGTAATTATATCCTTACTTCGGTGCCCCCGTATCTCCATGGATCTGTCTAATCTTCGTCAATTCGTTCAGGAAGCATCGGTCTCTCCTATGCTGCCCACTCCCAGCTGTGCGTGAACCAGATCTCGTTGAACGGCTCGACAGAGCAAAAGGAAAGGATTCTCCCAGGCTTGTTATCCGGAGAGAAGATTGGTGCTCTGGCCATGTCGGAGCATTCAGCAGGTTCCGACGTGGTCAGCATGAAGACCACGGCGAAGGAGGTCGATGGCGGCTGGGTGCTAAACGGCACCAAGATGTGGATCACCAACGTGAGTTGTGTCGCCAAATTGAAACATCATGACAAACCCCCGCTCTTAACTCAGAAGAGGATTACTGACATATATCTGCCCAGGGCCCGGATGCCGACTATATCGTCGTCTATGCCAAGACTGAGCCCGAGAAGGGCTCCAAGGGCATCACAGCGTTTATCGTGGAGAAGTCTTTCGAGGGCTTCTCGTGCGCACGCAAATTGGATAAGCTAGGTATGCGCGGCTCCAACACGGGCGAGCTCATATTCGAAGACGTATTTGTGCCTCGGGAAAATCTCTTGGGAGAGGTCAACCGCGGTGTTCGAGTCTTGATGGAAGGGTTGGACCTGGAGCGCCTGGTACTCAGTGCAGGGCCTCTAGGGTACGTATTGATACGCCTCGTTGGTTTTGGTATACGACAATGCTGACATTCTCTCCAGAATCATGCAGGCTGCCCTCGACCTGGTTCTTCCCTACACCCACGTCCGCAAGCAGTTTGGCACGCCCATCGCCCACAACCAGTTGATCCAGGGCAAGCTGGCCGACATGTACACGAAAATGGCCGCCTCGCGAGCATATACATACAACACAGCACGACAAGTGGATAACGCCGCGGTGACACCGGGCGAATTGACGATCCGCACTCAGGACTGCGCCGGCGCTATCCTGTACGCCGCCGAACGTGCAACAGAATGCGCTCTAGACGCGATTCAGCTGATGGGCGGGAATGGATATATCAACGAGATCTCTGCGGGACGACTTCTTCGGGACGCCAAGTTATATGAGATCGGAGCGGGCACCAGCGAGATCCGTCGGATGGTGATTGGCCGTGCATTCAACAAGGAGTATGCATAAGTAATTACAGATCGGAAGGAAGAAAAAAAAGTTGTACTTTTGCCCCGTACCTGGAGTAATAGATGCATTTGTTCATTTCATTCATATGCGAATCATCAGAAGAACACGCAAAAACCAACAAATATATGGCTTAGTATTTCGCCCAAACCTCCATTTATTTCTTCTGTCTGGCCGACTTGCGCGTCGGACCAGAAGCGTGCGACTGCCTCTCGCCACCTGGTTTGGCGGCCGCAGCTCGCCTCGAACGAGACCGAACGGAAGTTTTATTGGGCTGGTCCTTGCTGGTGGCCTCGGTCGAGACGTCGGCTTTGCGCTTGCGGCCTCTCTTGGCGGGCAAGGGGGCAGTGGCACTCGGGGGCTCAGTAGATGACTGAATATGTTCCCAAGAAGTCTGGCCACACTCGCTGGCATTCGCGTTCTCGGGATGGGCATCCAGGGATACGACGTCAGACATGGGGTCCGAATCATCGTGGTCCGGATTCTCACCAGCCACGCAAGGGACGCCAGGGGTGTCCTCACCCGACAGAGACACACCCTCGTGACGCGAATCATTCCCAGGCTGCGAGCGTAGTCGAGACTTGTCCGTAGCGGGCTGCGCCGACTTGAAGATCTCGCGCCAGTTCTTCAGCAGCGCCACTTTCTCCCCGTAGTCGGGCTCGTGGATTTCGATCGCGGTGTCCTGGTCCTTCTTTAGACCGGGTGTCTTCCACACTACGCCCTGGAACGAGGCAAGATCGAGGCTGCAGGCGGTCGTGGGCGCAGCAACTCTTGATTCTTCGGTGGTGCTGCGCTCGGCGGTTGGGTCGTCATCGTAGTAGTCGTCGGAGTAGTAATCCCAGTCACTGGGGTAGTCTTCGAGATCGATCGTCGGGTGTTCGTATAGGGCGGCTTCGGAGTAGGCAGTGGCGGCGAGCTCATCCTGGGTTGGATGCGGGCGGTCAGCTTTTGGATTGTTCCTTGAGAAGGGGATTGACTGGTGGCTTCACCACCGGTGAATACTTACCGCCACATCAGTCGCAACGTCTTCGAAGAGGAACTCCTCTTCCCAGTCATAGTATTCTTCATCGTCAGACATGTTGCGCTGGTTTTGGGGGATGCAAGTTGGATGCGAGAGTCGAGTCCGTGGAAGTGAGAGATGGGGTTGATCAACGAATGTAGACGCAGCGAAAAAGCGACGAGTATGCGATGTATATGTACTATATGCGAAAATAGATGAAGCCAAACGAATGTGCCACGATGAACTTGAAGATCCGGCTGATCGGCATCAAAAAGGATCCAGATTCGAGCTGCTCACATAATCCTTGGCATTCTCCACCGGTCTACTATAAACAACAGTAGGTGTCTGGTATACTTCGAATATGGGCTGTCTGCTCTGATTTTCAGTGATATCGTCAACTTTTCTTTTATTTTCTTGATTCTTCATTTATCTATGTATCTTCTTTCTCTGTAAAATACTGCTTTGAATGACCGAAAAGAGTGCTGTGGTTACATTTTTAGGGTTAGTCTGATATACACCCCAGCTCCATAAAATAAGGAATAAGGCTGATCCTATTTTTACTCCGAATATCTATCTGCTGTTCTAATAATAAAGTTGCTGTTCCGAGTTATTTTCTTAGCCGTCGACAAGACAGCTTAAGCGCCAAACGAGACCAAGGTTCCTGCAGTATTCGATTCCTTCCCTAAGCCAAAACGGGATCGGAGGACGAGATGCCAAACCCTAGTTGTAGGTCGCCCACGGGGCATCTGTAAAATTTACTTCTTATACTTCAGGTCTGCTCTGAATATACATTTCCTGTTCCGGCTTGATTTCTTACCCATAAAAACAAAGCAGCCCAGCTCCCAGGTGAAACCGCGGTTCTCACAGTATTCAACCTCCTTCCGCTGCCAAAACGGGATCGGAGGACAAGCTGCTATACCCATGGTTGAGGGAAGTCCACAGGGTATATAAGCCCGCTGTCCCCTCGTCTCCCAACTTTTTTTGCCTTTCCTCCTACAACTATCGCAATGCGGTGTGGTTGTGGTGTATTTCGAGAGATCCTCGTGAGAAGCCGTTTTTCACTTGACTTTGGAGATGTTGATGAAGATGACTTTAAGAATGATTTTGAGGATTATTTCCGAGGCACTCTTTCCAGACCGGGCTGTTTTATTCCCACGGGGTTTTCTCTCGGCTGGTTTTAATGAGGCCTCACCGACCATACTGGGGGTGACTGGAAGATTGAGAGACTGAGAGGAGACGAGAAGACCGGGAGCTGAAGAGATTGAAGTTGGGAAACTAAAGCTTGAAGATTGTCGAGGACATGGCATATATCGAGGCACTCTTTTTCCAGACCGGGGTCGTTTTATTTTCCCACTGGGTTTCTCCCCGGCTGGTTTTAACGAGGCCTCACCACTTTGTACGATGGGGACGCGATGGAGATGATGAGGGGATTGGTGAGATCGAGAGAGAATGAGAGATTGGGGGCAAATTCCGAGGCACTCTTTTTCCAGACCGGGTTATTTTTCATTCCCACGGGGTTTTCTCCCGGCTGGTTTTAACGAGGCCTCGTCTATATAGGGTTGTCTTTCTGGGGTAGACCTTGGGATGGACTGCATTCGTTTTGCACATAGGTCTGGGATATCTGTGGTTTGTACTCATTCATGAGTTGCCATGTATATAGTGTCTCCGGGTAGTTTTGGGAGGGACCATGGCACCTCTTCTGGGCTATCTGGGGACAAACAAAAACATAGAAAATAAAAAGGGACATTTGTCTGATTCATCTCATGATGTTTCATTATAGTTCCTTTGTAGGTCTTGTTCCTTCATTGTATACTCTGTCAAATATCTGCCGAGACTGACTCTAAATCCGATGACTTTAATGGATACTTCTATGAATTCATGTATAATATAAAAAGTTATTTCTACTAATTCCCTTAGCAATATTTAGAAAGAAATAATCAAATATCCTAAGACAATCTTCTAGGCACATTCAAAATGCGGCATGGCCGGAGTATGTCATCCTCGGCTTTCCCCGCCATCTCGCTTTGCGTCGGCCCAGAGCTGCACGGTACAAATCTACATTTACCCCCAATTCTCCCTGCTTTTTACTGAAAACAACACTCGATGATGATTTACTGAGTACATCGCTAAGAAAATATTCTGTTCTACTGCAGCAACCAAACACCACCGCTGCCCTCGACACCAACATCCCGCCATGACCCTTTCATCATTTCTCCGCATTGCCCCCCGCTTAGCCCCGACCGCGTCCCGCAGAACAACGCGGGCGGCGTCGTCGTTGGCCACGAGCAATGCCCTGGACTCGATTCTGATTGCCAACCGAGGCGAGATTGCTTTGTATGTGTTCTACTATTGGATCAAATTAGATTTGGCAGGCACTGATATGATATACTTCTTTTTGGCAGACGCGTTGGAAGAACTGCAGCAGAGCATGGGATCCGCGTAACGACGCTATATACTGACCCGGATAGCCGGGCCCAACATGCGCTGAGCTCACCGTTTGCCTTTAATCTCGGCTCGGTCTCGGCGTATTTGGATGGGGATCGCATCATTGAGATTGCACAGAAAGAGGGCTGTCGCGGGATACACCCTGGATACGGGTTTGTGAGTTAACTCTGTTTGTTCGATGAGGAATGCCTTCAAACTGGCTACGAGGTTCTATGGAAAAGGCCTATCAAAAAATACAGGAGTTGCTGACACTGGTTCATCTAGTTGAGCGAAAACTCCGCCTTTGCGAGAAAATGCACCGAGGCGGGATTGGTGTTTATCGGGCCGCCGTGGAAGGCAATCGAAGAAATGGGCGACAAGAGCCGGTCCAAAGAGATTATGACTGCTGCCGGTGTGCCCTGTGTCCCCGGCTACCATGGACAAAACCAAGATGCCGCGTTCCTCGAGGCCGAGGCTGATGCAATTACTTACCCCGTGCTTATTAAAGCCATCAAAGGCGGCGGTGGAAAGGGTATGCGAATCGCCAGCTCCAAAGCCGAGTTTCAAGCTCAGCTCGAGTCTGCCAAGTCCGAGGCCAGAAACTCCTTCGGAGACGACCATGTGCTGGTGGAGAAGTATATCACGACCCCGCGGCACATCGAGGTGCAGGTCTTTGCAGACAAGCATGGGAACTCTGTGGCGCTGGGAGAGCGAGACTGCAGCATTCAACGCAGACATCAGAAGATTCTCGAGGAGTCGCCGGCACCCCATTTGCCCGACGCAACGAGGAAGGACCTCTGGGCGAAAGCCCGATCAGCCGCGGTGGCAGTGGGATATGAAGGTGCCGGTACTGTCGAGTTCATCTTTGACAATGACACGGGCAACTTTTACTTCATGGAGATGAACACCCGGTTGCAGGTTGAGCACCCGGTAACCGAGATGGTCACGGGTCAGGACCTGGTCCACTGGCAGATTCTGGTAGCAGAGGGTGCCAAGTTGCCACTGACACAGGAAGAAGTGGAGGAAAAAATCGCGCAGAGTGGCCATGGTATCGAGGCCCGGATCTACGCCGAGAACCCCGATCAAGGATTCATTCCAGACTCGGGCCGACTGCTCCATGTCCGCACGCCGACCACTTCGGATGATATCCGGATTGACGCGGGGTTTGTGGAGGGGGACGATGTGTCTGCGCACTACGACCCCATGATCTCTAAGTTGATCGTCCGGGGCGCCACCCGCCAAGAGGCTTTTCGGAAACTGGCTGCAGCACTGGAGCAGTATGAGGTGGCGGGGCCCGTGACCAACATCGAGTTCCTCAAGACGATCTGCCGGAGCCCGGATTTTATCGCGGGCGAGGTCGAGACAGGTTACATTGAAAAACACCGGGAGGAGCTATTCATCTCGAAACCAATCGAAGACGAAGTGCTCGCCCAGGTCGCGCTGGCATGTCTGCACAGTGACTGCAGGTCGGGGCAGTCTTCTGGAGTTGCAGGATCGGCTGTTGGGTTTATTCCCAGCTCACAGATTCGACAGCTGTCATTTACCGCGCCCACGAGCGCCGGAGCTAGCAGTGGACCTAACTTCAATGTGCGAGTACAGCAGACCGCAGACCACACGTTTCAGGTTGAAGTGGGTGGGCGAGTTTTCGAGCCGGTGGTGAGCCGCATGGACCCGGCATCGCACGTCGTTACCTCGTTCTTCCCACACACGCGGCTAGATACTACCGTGGTCCGCGATGAGGACACTATTATCGCTTTCCAGCGCGGTATGCAGTACCGGTTGAGTGTGCCCCCGGCGCAGTGGATGGAGAAGGCGTTGGGAAAGAAAGATGTGACGAATAGCGTGCTGGCACCGATGCCTTGCAAGGTGCTGCGGGTGGAAGTACAGGCCGGCGACGAGGTGGACAAGGACCAGCCGCTGGTGGTGATCGAAAGTATGAAAATGGAGACGGTCATTCGCAGCCCGCAACGAGGCACCGTTGCCCGGGTGGTTCATAAAACAGGAGTAAGTCACGCGCCTTGCCCCGTGGTCTGGGTTCATTCTTATATTTGTCCTTGACTTGGCTTTTTGCGCCACTCTCACTCTTCTTCTTTCCCCCTGTTTCGATCTACACCTTGAACCGAGCCCCAGCGGATTACTTGGTCTTTCATGGGATTTCGAGTAACTGGCTAATAATTCCATTGCAGGACCAATGTAAAAGTGGGACACCACTGGTCGAATTCGCCGAGTCAGAATAGAAACAAATGGAGAGTCACGTCAACTCGCCCTGAATTGCCTTGGAATTTCGGGCTTTTTGAAGAGGATCTCCTGTGTGGCTTGACGGCATCAGGGATTTGTTCCTTGCCCAAGGCTGTGTGACTTGTGTATTTTTCTCTTTTGTCTCTAGAAACTAATATTAGCATACCGAAGTATATCTCCCTTTCACTACTCCTAGAGACCAATGGTCGACACTTCTTTCAAATTTCCACAGTCTATACAAGGTCAAGTGAAGCCGACGGATGCTAACGGGGCTCAACCGGTCATGGAGATCCTTCTTGTTCTTCTTATAGCGTCGCTAGATTTTGCCACTTGAAACAATTGGCGAACGATCCGCCGTGTTTTTCCATTACCGAACATAAAAGACATGTTGCCTTGAAACCCGTAGATCAATCACATACATCAGAGCTTTCCCCAGGATGTTGATTGTTTAGCCCCACTGTATTCTGTCACTCCATACATCTACTCTGCAAATACCGGTAAAGAAAAACACGCCCTGGAGGTTCAGCTTGCTTGATTGTTATTTTCTCTTTGAGCTCGCCCCGCCCCTGGATTGGCCTCGACATTCTTCGATTCCCTCTCAATATACATCCCACCCATCTTGTCTCCTTCCGCATCCCCAATTTCTCTGGCAGCTCCAGCTTATCCAAAGCTGTCTGTTCCATCGACATGTTCAAACCCACGGTCGGACGTCAAATCTTCAAGGCTATCAACGCCAGCCACGCAGCACTCGCAGCTACTTCAAGGCCAACGACAGGCTCATTCATCCGCCCTCTCTCCCACACTGCTACCCGCGCAACCAAGGAGGATGACCCAAAGCTGGATCCGAACATGGCCGCCACCCCCAAAGCCCCAGAAGGTGCCTCCGGTGAGCACGAGGGCCAATTTGCCCGTACCGACGAGAACGTCCAGATCCCCTACCCGCCTGACAGCGAGATGCCTGCCCAGCCCATTGTTCAAGGCCGGGGTGGCATGCATTTCAAGCGCACACTGGCCCAGTTTTCGCTGGAGAATAAGGTGACCATGGTAACTGGTGGTGCGCGTGGACTCGGTCTTGTTATGGCACAGGCTTCGGTGGCATCGGGGTCGGACTTGGCTATTGTGGATTTGAACAGTATGTGTTGCAGTTATCTTAATTTAGAGAATGAGAAGGGGAAATCATAAGGGCATGGTTGCTAACCCGCAAGCAGAGAGCGAAGCCGAAGACCAGGCGGGCAAGCTAATTGAGCAGTTTCGCAAAGAGAACCCTGGTCTGGAGGGGTGCGTTCCTCACTATCCTCGCCGCGATATTTTTCCGACTAACAAGGCAGTAGTATGCCCAATATCACTGCTCACTACGCGGACGTCGCCAACCCAGACTCGGTAAACGAGGCTCTTGCAGACGCGTTGGCCAAGCATGGCCGCATCGACAACCTGGTCACCTCGGCCGGGTTCACCGAGAACTTTGACGCTATCTCCTATCCATTTGACCGGATGCAGAAGCTCTGGGGTGTCAATGTCGATGGAACTTACCTGTTTGCTATCGGAGTTGCAAAGCACCTCATGGAGCGAAAGGCGCCTGGCAGTATCGTTATGATTGGGTCTATGTCCGGCGCCATCGTCAATGTACCCCAGCCCCAGGCTCCATATAATGCGGCCAAGGCGGCCGTCCGCCATCTGGCCTCGTCTCTGGCTGTCGAGTGGGCTGGGCATGATATTCGAGTCAACTGCATTAGCCCGGGCTATATGTTGACTGCGCTGTGAGTCATGGTAGGAGTTGATCTGCCACCGAAACATATTGCTAATGACTTTTGCTATAGCACCCGCAAGATCTTGGATGAAAACCCCCAGCTTCGTGACAAGTGGACCTCGCTCATCCCCGTCGGCAAAATGGGCACTCCCGAGGACCTTATGGGAGCTGTGACATTCCTGCTTAGCGATGCATCCAAGTATATTACTGGTGCTGATCTCCGTGTCGATGGTGGTTACACTGTGACCTAAATGGAATCACCAGCTCTTCCTTGCATCGACCAAAATCACGCTATGGCATGACATAAGAGTTTTTTAATTCCTTGCATCCAAAAATGTGATTTATATCCTCTCGAATGCCGGATCAGGATCAGCCCTATAGTCATTGATTGTGTTTCTGCATAATTTACAAATCCACCTTTTCTTTACAAAACTGCGCCCTGACAACCGGACGCGGCCGAAGATTCTCAGCCGCCTGCGCACTAAACATATTTCCAAACATCATGCACTCCTCCTGAAATACCTCCTCACTCTCACACCGTATAACCCCAAGCTCAATAAGCCTTTTCACAACTATCAAGACCCACACGCGACACGTCATACCCGATATCGCATTAAGATTGCCATCAAGAGACCTACCTCATGGTATCATCCAGAACGCCATATATGGTCTCTGGCACATTTGCAACCTCAATCAACACACAAAGAAACATGGTCTTGAGCCCCTCGCCCGTCTGCCCATGGTCGGGTATCCAGCCATCGCCGATATTCCGGATATGGTATTTCACCCCGCCCTGCGCGTTCGTGTGTAGGTAGAAGCAGGGCCTCTTCTTGGAGGTGTTTGATTTCGAGGGCTTTTTGTTTGGCTGCTGTCAAGGTGGGCGTAGACATTTTAAGTGGTGGATTTGGGGATGTTGCTAGGAGAGACTTGGTTTAGGTTCACTTTGTGAAATAATTAGAAGAAGAGAAAGAGAAAAGGAAAGAGACAGAGGCTTCAAATATTGGTGCTGTAGGAGAGTTAATGTACGGTGGGCTGCATGCTACATGGCCTAAGAAGCATCGGCTCTCTGAAACGATTCGTCTCTCGCTAACACCAATCAGTATAGATATACTCTTTTTTGAAAGGGAATTTTTCAATATACAATTTAAGGACTAGCATATCCACACAGCTTTCTCAATGCTGGGTATACTGGTTCCGAAATATACTAACACGTGATTGAGGCTCAGCACCCCCTGGGCCAGCGTCGATCTGCCACATTCCTCCCATTCCTCAAATTCAACTATGGACCAGCTACCCCTTGAAGTGCTCCACATCATATGTGAGGACGTATGTGAGACAAATCATCGATTTATAAAGCGATTGCTAAGAGCCACATAGATATCTCAGTCTTTCCCAAGGGGTTTACGCGGCCTGAGCACAGTAAACAAATCTCTCTATCATGCAGCATTGCCATTTCTATACCAAAGATTTCGGCTGCAATTTGGAAATAAAGAGAGTCTTGATCTCGTCATTAACAATGTCTTGAACCACCCATGGAGTCCAAATGTTCTCAACTACACGCGACGTCTTGATGTGATTTGCCTGGGTGGACCAAGCCCTCCGAGCCGGATTCGCCAACCACTAGCCTACAAGACTTATGGTCTCGGACCATTCCAGGAGACTGATCTCACATATGATGAAACCGCAGAAGATATGCTTCGGCGGGTGTCCCTGCTTGAGAAGCCCCAATGGGACTCGCTGGTTTCCCTGATATCGAAATTGCGCTCCCTGACAGAGTTCAACTACTCGATGTTGAATGTGTTTCCTCGATGCTTGCTTGAAGCCATCCACCAAAGACACCCTTTATGCAAGCTTAACATCCACACCTTTTTCCTTCCGAGTCTGCTGAAACCTCAGATGAATCCTGATGAGCTGGAGCTCATTTGCTCACCCTGCCTCCATTCAGTTCAAAGCACGGGCTGCTATAAATATGCCGATGGCATGAAAAATTCCCATGCGGAGCATTTTTACCGAGTGATGTCTACCGCGCCGAATCTCAAACATCTGCAATTCCGGGAACGGGGCCTGGATTCTTCAGATGTCCAGTTGGCAGCTAGTGATGTTCCCAGACCGCACACAAAGGGACCTCCAGTCGAGACTTTACGCCAAGGGAGCTTGGAATCTCTCTCGTTTTCTTCTACAGGGATGTTGATACAGGGAAAGCTGCGAAACTGGAGTCATCAGACAGACTTTTCCAAGCTACGAGCGCTCAATGTGGGCAACGTTACTATACCTGAACTGGCCAGATCAATTGCTCAGTATTCTTTCGCCCGCCTGGAGAAGCTATCTTTGACAATTGATCCTGCGATGGAGTGCGACGGGCTTGAAGAGAGCGTTGAAGAGATGCTGGGGGTCTTGAACCCGCTGAAAAATCTGAGGATAACCGGCTATCTGCACCCAGAATCTCTGAGGAGAGTTATTGTCCGACACGGGCCAACGTTGCAGGGGCTTGGTCTTATGCCCCCTGGATTGAGCCGAACTCGGAGCCAGGGCCGTCTCACGCACAAAGACATTGTGTCTATTGCCCAACATTGCCCTAGCCTGACGGAGCTGCGGCTGTATCTCCAACGCTCGCACGGCGATCAACGCGAGACGCAATTTTATCAGGCGCTCGGCCAATTTCCTCGGCTACAGACACTGGCGCTGGAGCTCAATCTTGATTTCAATCATAGTCGACAAGGCAGAAATGCGCCTCTCCACCGGGAGCTGTCTTCCTTTGAGAAGAGATGCTATAAAAAAAGCTTAACCAGCAATTTTCAAGTCCAGAGCGGCATCATCAACAGTTCCATCTGCGAGGACCTGGCACTCGCCGTCTGGGAAACAATTGCATTAAGCCAGTCAAGCCGTCGGTTGCGAACATTGGAAATCTGCTGCATGAAAGGTATCGGAATGCACACGAGGGTCGGACTAGGAATGGGCAGGGGCAAGGCCACCAACCCCAAGGCATTGGTTCACAGCCTCGAGGAACTGCCGCGCTCTTACTTCATCACGCGAAACGAGCCGGATAGGTACGGGAGTCCGGCTGCATTCGAAATCGTGGAGCAATCTCTCCCCTATCCCAAATGTTTGCAACCGCGTCATGCGGACACCGCCGAACATGGTTTCAGATCGTTGCAGCGCCTCGACCGGGCCTTTGAGCTTATTTGGCCTTCGCAGCCTGAGCACCGGCACTGGCGGCCTTTCTGGATGGATTTTCCCTTGCAGAAAACGGTTCAAGCTCGCTTGAGCAGGGAGGGCAGGTGGCTGACTGAAGAAGGGTTCCAGAGATAACGGCAAAAAGTCGGCTCTTCAGGGATGATGGCGATGACGCTACGATCTTCAATTCAGAATTCAAAGTGCACCCATGTGGCTTTACAATAAACCTTAAAATAAACGGGCTCTGTCATTTAACAAGAAGCTGGGGACGAGAGGATTCCATGACTGGGTCTGAATGACACTTGTGTATGACAGGCCCCCACAGCTCTAAAGCTGACAGAATAAATGAATAACGCATTATATATACGTGACATATATTTGTACCTCGAACGAACTCTCCACGTCCATCTAAATCTGGCGACCGGGATTACCAGGAGGGGCCGAGGTTGATGTCATGCGGTAGTATCCATGGATGAAGCGAGATCCCGAGGTACGTCTCCAACATTTGACCCCACATGAATAGATGAGGATAAGATCGAAAGCGAAAGCGTCACACAAAAGTGATCTTTCAAAGAGTGTTCGAAACTCGTGAAACTTTTCATCATCCTTTTCTTCTTTCACCAAACAGCCCAGCTCCGCGAAAAGTTCAACAGCAGCCAAAGACATTCTCTCCTACGCTCCCACAATGCAGGCCGTTGTTTTCAAAGGCCCAATGCAGGTCGCTCTCGAGCAACGACCCTTACCCCAGATCCAATATCCAACCGATGTGATTTTAAGAGTGCGATATACGGCTCTCTGTGGAAGGTAGGCAATCCAAATCTGGTATATGGATGAGATCGCAATGGCTTGCTAAGATCAGACAAGTGAGCTACATGTCTTTCGCGGCCATCAGCCTTCTGGTACAGGATTCATCATGGGCCATGAATTCACCGGAGAAGTCGTGGAAGTCGGATCTGAAGTTCAGAAATTCAAAGCAAGGGACCGAGTAGTATCACCATTCACTGTTAGCTGTGGGAAATGCTTCTATTGTGAACGCGGTTTCTCTTCTCGGTGTTCCTCTTGCAAGCTATACGGCACTGTTGCGCTCGACGGTGGACAGGCTGAATATGTCCGTGTCCCACTAGCTGATTCGACTCTATTTCGAATCCCGGCCTCGATTGACGAGAAAAAGTTGGTCTTAATGGCCGACATTTTCCCCACCGGTTATTTCGCGGCGGCAAATGGCTTTAGCGGATTGGACCCAGATGAGATTCGCAAAAGCACCGTGCTACTATTCGGCTGCGGTCCTGTGGGACTTTGTGCACTTTTCGGTGCGCTTGAGTATCAACCGAAGAACCTTATTGCAATCGACAGTGTGCCTTCACGGTTATTACTTGCCGAGCAGCTAGGAGCCGAGCCTTGGAACTTTGAGCAAGACGAAGAGGGCCTGCGACAGAGAGTGATGAAGCTCACGGATGATCGGGGAGCAGATGTTGTGATAGAGGTGGTTGGGCATAGCAGCGCGCTCAGAATGGGCTTCGACCTCCTGCGACCTTGGGGGCGTATCTCTAGTGTGGGAGTCCACAACCAAGAAATACCGTGGACGGGGAATGAAGCCTATGGAAAAAATCTGAGTCTTCAGATGGGGAGATGCCCTGTCCGAAGTGAGCTTGATTCATAATTCTCTCACTTCTGCTTTCTAACTTTCATCAGGCATCTTTGACAAAGCTATGAATCTTTTCGAAAAGAAACAAGATGCTTTGGAGTAAGGGAACCCCCCTAACGGTCTCTCTTTTGCAAAGCTGACATCAAAAAGGTTTATGTCTCAAGATATTCGCCCGCTCTCAGAGGCAGTTCAAGCGTAAGTCATTATCATGTTTTACTACATCAAGCTTGATTCTGATGTTGAGATCAGATATGACGATTTCTGCCACATGCGAGCCCAAAAGATCATTTTCAAGGTGGACACCGGCGATGGCAGATAATTTTCAATTTCCTTTCCTATGTGAGGACCAACGGGACAAGTTTGGATGCAATATATGTTCTACCAACAGCAACTCCAAGCCATCCAGCTATACCGTTAATAAAGATGATCGTTTCTCGTGTGCGGTAGCAAAACGCGTGTGAAGGTCGTTGGTCTTGAATTGATGGAGTTGTGGCTCGCTATGGACAAGGGGAGAAGACTCTTTGAATTCAAGTTAGAAAGCCAGAATAATCAACATGCTTCGTTTCCTCCCACACCCCAGAGAGCACATATCCCGCATTATTGACCAGAGATAGTGCATTGATATGACGCGCCGTAGTAATAACCTTGTCGTTGCGAGATAAGTAGTACATAGAATATCGCTACTATAGTAATAAATCTTCTAAATTTGAACAGATGTATAGCGAAAGAATAATTACGATATTAGATTAGATTATTATATACAATTTACTCTTTATCAAAGCCCAGTGCCAAGCCATGAGGCTCAACAAAACCCCGATTTCTCGACGTCAACTCGCACGATCGAAGATGTATGCGTGGACACCTTCTGAAAATGATCAAACTGATTACCAGCACGCATCTCGCTCTCCAGCTTGAGTCTCTCGGCTTCTTTAAGCCCCTTCAGTTCTTGACAGAATTTGCTGTTGGCCCGGATCTGATCACCGTATCGAATGAATGCGAATGGAATGACAGACACGCCGAGACTCAAAAACCCAATGAGACTGCACGCCCAGGGGATGCCAAGTCGATAGAACATGGGCTTCGCAGCCAGAGGGATCACAGCGCCGAGGATACTGCGCGTACAGCTAGTGGCAGACTGGGCACTCGCTGAAAGTGTCTCGTACGCATCGGTTAAATAGTTCAGCATTGCCATCAAAATCAGCAAGTAGCCAGTTCCGAAGAGGATACCGGATAGACAAGGTACAACCCAGTGGATATTTGCCGAGGAGGTCCATCCTACCCAGAATAGGGAAATAACGTATAGTGGGCCTCCTAAGCAAGCCAGTGGTAGTCGGCGATATTCTTCGATAAATGCCCAGTTGGCGCCGCGGGATTTGGCTCGGGCAAGGTAGCAATCCCACCATACGAACACAAAACAAGCGAGGACAACACCAAGTCCGACTATGCACACCAGTTAGTTCACCTTCTTCGAAATTGACGTTGTTAGATGTACGTACTCGGCAGGAACATCAAGCCAGAGACGCCAGCGCTCATGCCGTAGATTCCTGTATTCGGGATCAGTACAATCAGCACAAATCACCGAACATCCCGGGGACAGGATTAACGAACCTTGAAAAATGTTCGGGTAGGCCTCAAAGTAGAGATAAAAGATCGCGTAAACAAGCGCAACATAAAGGCAAGTTAAAGAGACAATACACTCTTGAAACAACATGCGGAAAGGTCTTGAAAGAGTAACAAAAGCAATTTGCTTTATATCACGACTGTCCAGCTCCAGTGGTGCCATGATACTGGAATCGCCAGTATCTTTGCGGGCTTTCTGTGCGCGTCGCTTGAGAATCACTGGCGCGTAAGTCTCCGGCATAAAGACTACCAGTGGAAGTATGGCACCGCTGCAAATGAGTTCAATCCAGAAGCACCACCGCCAACTGATAGGGGCTACGTAGCCCGATACCCAGGGGCTAATGATAGGGCCGATGATCGCACACTAAACAATATTAGTAGTGAACTTGCTACAGTTCGAGTTTGAACACTTACGGCCATATAATATGCCATGAGACGTCCTCTTCTGGTTGGGTCACCCTGTATATCGGCAAAGAGTCCCCCGACAATGGCAATTGGTGCTGATGCCATCATGCCGCTCAAAAGCCGAAACACCAACAAGGAGGCAAAAGAGTCAGCTACTGCGCAGGCAAGCGTGAAAATCATGAAGCCGCAGTAGGCAATTAGTAGAGGCCAGCGGCGGCCAAAGTATTCGGAACTGGGGCCCCAAAGTAAAGGACCCAGGATGCATCCAATCAAGAAGACTGAGATTGGGAGTACCAAGCATTCTTGGTTGGTGATTTGAAACTCGACAGCAATCTCTGGGGTGGCGTTGCTGCTAATTGACGAACCGAAAGTGCTGTTCATGATTTGCATCATACCAGAAGCAATCACCACAAGCTTCTTTCTCTGTTGAAGGGTTTAGTTACACTTGTTCGTTCAATAATGTCTCAAATGTTTCGCCAAGTTGTTGCACGAATGAGTGGTATCGTACCTGTCGCCAGTTGAATGGGTTATCTGGATCATTAGGTGTAAAGGAAACGATCATTTCCGAGGCCGAAGAACGGAGGGTAGAAGGTGAGGTGCTGTCATATTGTTCTTGAAAGGATACATGCTCGACCTTCGAGTCAAGCTTTGGTTGAAGGCGTGACACATCTACATTCTCTGCACAGAGCACAGAGACCGTTAGAAATCTCCGAGGGGAATAAGATGAAAGAGAACAACTAACCAGTGGCCGGCATGAACTCATGCATTTTCTCCTCCGTTGGGAAGTGATCTGACATATTGAGAAATTGAAGAGACCAATATGTACATAGGGGAAGAAGCATGCTAGAGAGAGGGAGGCTCAAGTGGGATGAGAGCTTATAAAACGTACTGCAAGGGCGAGATATCAAAATGTCTCCACTCCGTGCACAGATCCGGTTCTTGTCTGTGAAGGATTCATATCTGACTGCCAAAATTTTGATGCTGCGCTCTACGCTTGACAAATAAGTCTGCTTACGCCTGATCACGATACTTAAGATGATCTGCCAGTGTAGGATAACCTGATCCACAGTTCTTGCGGGCGGATTACGGTGATCTCATGCCCACAAATGCCTCCTCATTCGTTTACTGAGCTACATAGGACGGCTTGTTGACGTATTTGGGGGCGGAACCCATGAGCTCAAACCCTACTAATTTCTCACTGACGATAACTTTACAATATCATTTTTGGGACTCAGTCAGAATGTGAAATACCACATCGCGCCATAAAGTGTACATAGTGTTCGCACGAACACACTTCTCGTGCATTTCGTCAAGAAGGAATCCCAGAAACTCTTGAACATCTTGCTGATGATCACGTCGCATGTCCCTGAAGCGTGGCAGCTGTCTAATTATCTCGTCCACAAACTCAGGAATGAAAGCTTCTCTGTATTGCTCCAACCCTTAGGCTTCAGTCTCAACCGCAGCTACTCTTCTGAATTCGCGGCGTCAATGACGCGGAACTCTCTCATGAACATGATCAAAGTAGTTCCACACCCCCTCTATTTAGTCGTAGATCCAAATCCTTCAACTAACCGGCTTACAACTACATTAGGAAGGTATGGAGATGATCACTAGTGTCTAAATTTCACTCTTAACAGTGTGTTGATATAATTATAAGAGCTAAACACATCACTTATTAACATTGCTTTTAAGTTTTAACAGCATCTGTTTCTTAACCAAATAGTTCTATATAATCTATAGAAAATCAATTAGTATCTATAGAGAATAGACTTTGAACTACAAGTGCTGTGCCGCCTACGAAGTATAAGGTTCGACAGGCTCCACCCTTAATAATCTGCCGGTCAGAAAGCTTGTTATTCGCATGCGAACATAGCTAATATTCGATATATTAGCTACCCACCGCATTTATACACTCCTAAATACTTTTAAGATATTTCCTCTGAGGCACACTGTCATATGTAGTATCTTCGCGTCCAAAAAAGTAATTGTTAGCGTTTCACCTTGGAGATAAGGCATTGACTAATTGTATCGTTACCTTCCTAATATAGCAATAGAGTGTGCAAGTGGAAAGATTCAATTGTGCGATTAAATGTCAGGAGTTATGCGACTACGTAGTGGTGGCCTAGAAATATTTAGCTTAGGCGTTGTCGTTCAGTGCTCGCCTTCTCTATGTCCTCTTACCACTTACGGATAGCTTTCTGTCGCTTTACTTCCATGCAAACCTGGCTTGGCCATATCCTTAACTTCATACAATTTGATGTGCATGTATTCTTTACTGCATTTAAATGGCTAATTTGGTCTCAAATTCTGGTTAACCGACTTTTCCAGGATTTCTCATTTTTCAGTCGCCCCCTCTATGATTACCCAATAAGGTTAGCTGGTTTATGGATTCCTCAATTTTAGGCCCCTTCAACACCCGTCTGACAATCGGTAAGGTACCCATCTCCTAGTGCCACGGGATGAGCCTAGTGAGCTAGGTTCGACTACAAAGATAGTGCCGTGGGTTGTTATATAGGGATGGTCGTAAGCAGGAGGGGCAGCCAATAGGACCTATTTGTAAATACCTAATAGTTTCAAGTAGCCGTCAAGCTGCAAGTGCTGTGGGTCCGACTCTCTAAGTTCTACAGGATTTTGTGCCCTCCCAATGCATAGACTGATTCCGGCGGTGATCCCTGCGTACGCAAGCCCGGAGGGTACCAAAATGCATATCCTCAATCTGGGGACTTTAACTGTCGATGAGGGCTGGTACGTTAAATCATCTCATTGGTCTGGTGTGACTACAGATAATTAACATCTCCATGGATTTTCGCTTGTGTGGGCTTCTAAATGGTACTAATGGGGGCTCTGCAAGCAAACCCAACCCCAACAACAAGAGAAGATATCTAATGTTGATTGCGGGCCTAATTTAGCATCTCGAGACGAGCCTTATTCTGCTTGAGTGTGGGACGACGGAAGATGTACAGACGATAAATAATCCACCTGAATCGGCATCCACTTGAGGTCAGACTGATAAAGACTCGATACAGGAATGGGATAGTGAAGTCACGGATTTGATCCCCCGCACATGCTACAATGAACAGCATCATTTGCCTCAAGCAATCGCCAATGCCGGATATGACATCAAGGATGTGAAAGCTTTGGTCATGGGTCATTTGCCCTTAGACCACGCCGGTGGATTGGGTCATTTCCGCAACACAGGAATTCCCATCCATGTCCATGAGGAGTTCAAATATGCTTGTTGGGCTGCCGGGACCAATTCCGATGGTGATCTATATCTGTGAGTATCTGTATGCCGAAGTCGACTCTCATACGGCTTCCCTCTAACCTCTGATTTTCCTTGATTAAACAGGGCACACTACTTAAAGCTCGATGGCACTTGAAACTGGCAGACACTCAATGACACCCAGTTAGAACGACGCACGGGGATCACTCTGTATCATTGCCCTGGACACACCCCAGGGCTGTGCATCGTGCAAGTCAATCTCTCTCGCGACGGAACCTTCATCTGGACTACGGACCAAATATCATATCCGAGAGAATTTCGAGTCGAATTGGGCCCATGGTTGGCTTTTGCGGGACTATAGAAGTTGGGTCAATGGTGGGAAATTCATTCGGCGGTTGCAAACAGCGTTTTCGGCGAAGCTCATCTTCGGTCATGACTATACTACAGTCGACGAGCTTAGTAAGAGGAAGGAGTACTATGAATAGTTAACTTGATGTCTGAATAGTCAGCAAGGAGAAGCAACCTTGGAAATCTCTGCTTATTTCCAATCATACTAAGCTAATTTGGCGGAAGGTACGAGCTGTTTGAGAGCATATGACCTAATTGCTAAACGCATATCTTTATACTTTCAATTTATTTCCTGATCGGATATACATATAGGTTACTTTTCTTCAATTGCTGACCTAAGATATCGTACCGTGCAGTATCAAGAGGCACATCTTTCTTACCGGGGCAGATTGAGGCTGCGGCGAAGGATATCCAGCATCAACCTTTCATGGCCTTGTCCGTTAATCTGGTCATCAAGCCATTCTCATCACTCAGCACTCTTATAAAACACTATCCAATCACCCCTTGGGAAATTGTGTCAGTAAAATCCACTCATGTCCATTCAGTGGCACAAAGGGGAGTGGATTCGACCGGGAGCTCGGTATATATGCTTTGCATGTCTATACAAGGCCCAAAGCAGTGCTTATCAACCTCGCGTACTGAGATCGTGGAAGTCGGGCTAGCGGTAGACAATATGGATGAAAGAGAGTGAGTAGTATGACTTTGATAGGCCGATCTAAGATGTCGACAAGGCAATTAAGTCGACGGCAATGCTATACGGACTACCGATGACGCTGATGTACATCGTGGGAATGACGAGAGAATTTATGTAGGGTGATTTATTTTTATCACTCTATACTTGATGTTCAAAATGGCTCTCCATAAGCCAAGAGATCGACATGCTGGGCGCTCGTATTCGCCTGACTCAACTCAAGTTCGTGACGTCGTGGGTCGAGCATTTCTTTCTATAAATCACTTTGTACTGGGCTGTTTTAATTCTCTTTTCACTAGATCCTGTCTATATTTTCAAGATAATTGCGAGTTTTTTTTTTTCACTCTCTTCCACTCTGTGTGACTAGCCATCTCTACCCAAATCACCCACCATCCTACATCCAGACTGAAAAGTATTTCCTTACTTTTCAAAAACATGGCCCAAGTGCATGGACACTGCGGTCCTGCATTTACCAAGGTCCAAGAACTCATCCAACAAAACCTCCTCTCAGAAGAAGAGCTGGGTCTCTCACTCTGCGTCAACATCAACGGCACAGACGTGATCGACGTGTGGGGCGGCCACGCCGACCAAGCGTGCTCCAAACCCTGGACAAAAGACACAATCACCGGCGTATGGTCGACGACAAAATGCGTGACCAATCTCGCCGCCCTCATCTTAATTGATCGAGGGCTATTAGACCCCTCGGCCAAAGTGTCCCAGTACTGGCCCGAGTTCGGTGCCAACGGCAAAGAAGACACGCGGGTCTGGCATGTCCTCACTCATTCTGCGGGACTACCCGCGTGGGAGCAGCCCGTGAGTATCGAAGATCTATACGACACACAAAAAGCGACGGAACGACTTGCCGGACAAGCGCCGTGGTGGACACCCGGTTCCGCGCCTGGATACCACGCCGTGACGCAGGGGTTTATGGTTGGCGAGCTTGTGCGACGGGTCACGGGCAAATCAGTGACAGACTTTATTGCCGAGGAGCTGGTAGGACCATTGGATGCGGACTTCCAGCTCGGCGCGAAAGAAGAAGACTGGTCGCGTGTGGCCGAATTGATGCCCCCTCCGGCATTCGTGCCTCCCCCAGATTTCGACCCCAATAGCCTCCCCGTGCGTGCTGGTACATCCCCACTCATGGAGGCCGAGTACTCGGCGATGGGTGGCTTTCGATGTGCCGAAATAGCTGGGATCGGCGGCTTCGGAAACGCCAAGGGCATCGCCAAGATTCTCTCTGCACTGTCGCTAGGAGGCACTGTTGACGGGAAGAAACTGCTTAGTCCCGGGGCAGTTCGATTGGCTTTCACGGAGCAAATCAGTGGGACGGATTTGGTCTTGGGGCAGCAGACGCGGTATGGATTGGGTTTTGGGCTCCCTAGCGAGGGTGGTGTGAGCTGGATTCGTGAGGGATGCTGCTATTGGGGTGGATGGGGTGGGTCAATGGCTATCATGGATGTCAAGAACCGCGTCACTATCTGCTACACGCCGTCACGGATGCAGAATCCCGGGGCTAATTGGGATTCGCGGCTGGATAGCTATGCCAAAGCGATCTGGGATGCTCTTGGGGAGTGATCAGGGGAATATAATCCGAGTATTTATGAGAAAAATAGATTGCAATTGATCACTTGACTCGGTTCTCCACAAGTTACGGGCCAAGAGGTGTGCTTATCAACAAAGATACTCATGGTCGAGATTGTCGCTCTCTTGTCAGTACGAAATAACGGTGTCATTTCCTCGCGTACCAGGAGTGCAGATGCAGCGATTCTTCTTGTTCTGACCGGTCTCAATTGGGTTGCAGACTGCGCCCACGCCGCACTCGTTGAGTTCGGGGTTGCATGTTGAGCATGGAGCGAGTCCTGTAGCCGAGGAAGAGGTTGCAGAGGATGTCTTCGTGGAGCTTGTGGTGGGGGATGCTGTTGATGTGGAAGAACTAGTTGGCGTAGAAGTAGTCTGCGAACTTGAAGTAGGCGGGCTACGGTTATTCGGACTCGGCGGTTGGGTAGCAGTAGAGGAGCTGGTTGGAAACAAAGTGGGCGAAGAAGTAGACGATGTCAGAGAGCTGCTTGTTGGAGTCGACGAAGTAGGAGTAAGAGTGCTCAATGTGGGAGTGGGTGGCATCAGCGATGTAGGGCTACTATCAGAGTCCGAAGAAGTCAGTAAGTCCGAGATAGATGTAGGCTAGCTCTGAGTCCACGTTGGAACAGGCTCAATTGAGTCGGAAGATGGGCAGGGCTCTTCTCCCCAGTCCTCCTCTCCACGCCAGTTTCCTGGCATTCCAAGGACGTTGCTCAATGAGAGCGTCCAAAGAAGAATGGACCACATTCTGGTGACGGAGAACTTCTGGGAAGAGTAATGGATGAGTTAATATGCTGTGTCATTTTCCTTCATTGTATGATCTAATTCTTATATAGCGTGGCTCTGTTTGTGCATACATCATGCCCTATCAAGTGTCTGATGGCATAGTAATGAAGCATGCATGGATGGCCTTTGCTCTCTCTTGGTGGAGCCTACTCTAGAAATGATTCGACCAACTTTCATACTTCAGGTGGTTTCTTCCTCCCCGAGATATTATCATGCCCGGAATAGGGCTCCTTTACACCACCAAATGATACAAATAAGCACTTGCTGTTGAAGCCAGCTTTGTCGATGATTTCCAGGGTTGCCTCTGCCGATCAGGAAATGGGCCTGTTCAGCTCTTTCCTGGCTTGACATTACTCTAACGATACATGGAGACCTCTTGTTAAGTCTGATTTCCTCAAGCATGGCGGCGACCGGCGCCGATGCGCCATGTGGATCCGGACAAGAGATTCAGGTTAAGACTTTCAATTGCATTTGCGCTAGATATCTCAAATCAAGTCAAGTCACGTCTTGTGTTCAAATCATGCTGGTGAATGTCGAGGTAACGGCAAACTCCACTGTTACAATCCTGATAGGAATCTTGGATGTGACAACAAGTTCACCTCATCGAGACCAAAGTCCCGCTGACTGAATCTAAGGTAAATCCAACAAAGCTTCTTCATCTATGGGAGACTTGTTTCAACAGACACCACACACACACACATAGGTAGCCAACAAGATACGTGGTTATGATGGGAAACCCCCGGGGGGGTTGAGAGTGAAGTGGCGGGCGCAAGGATGTTGTCTGATGAAGGTAAATCCAGCACAGCTCATTTACCTGGACATCTATTGAAGATTTCTCTAACTAAGACTTATACTCCAGGTTTTCTAAGACGACCGAGATATACTTACCACTTGTGGGCTGTACACGCTGCCGGACTACACGAGAGGTCAAGACACTCAAAGACAACTCTTCGAGAGGATGGCCTGGTTTTTCAAAGAAACCAACCCATGGTACCCGCTTCAAAATGGCTGCGGATCCCAAGGCCTTTTAGCCAAGAATATATATATATGGTTATATGGTTCTGATAACAATAAATTCCAGCAGGAACATCCACATATCCACAAAAAGCATGGCGCAGGAAGACTAGAGCAGAGGTTTCTCTGCGTCTTATCTTGGCCTTGACATCAGAAATGTCATTTGATTCCGGATATATGTCGCTCACAACATTCCATGATGATGGACACGCACCAGGAAAAGTGCTCTGGTGAAATGTAATTGTGCCAATCTTGGAAGCTGGTGGCAGTGAAACGTGCGTGCCAAAATGGCGCGAAACCAGGAACGATTTTTGTTTTCCACCCAGGGGCCACCTTCAAGTGAGGAGGAATTACCAGAGCAACACACGAATACCTTGCAGGGTGAGAGCATGGCAGATGATAACTGTCTCCGCGGACCGATCCAGGGAAATGGCCAGTATGAGCGAGCAGCCAGCTGGATCCCTTGCATTACTGCTTGGTCTGGACGCTCCCGGCAGCTAACAAAGTGTTGGATCAACTTGGTGTGGCCTCTTCACTCTCTCCTGGAGACAGGTTTCTGGGGTTTGGTCAACCGTCGACATCTTTCGGCGGAAATTCATATTTTGCTTCCTCGTTGAAGGTATATTCCAGGCGGCTTAGTCGTCAAGAATATTTCAGAAAATCGAGTTGAATTTCTCTCTCTTTCTCTCCCCCTCCCTGAAAACAACATGTTGCTTGGTTTATTTGAGTCCAGTGCTGTATGGAAACAAGGCGAAGAGCAGGGAAAATGTGGGTTCCGTGCGGAGGATCGACGTGGGTCCAAGTTGATCGGCGTCACTGAGCTGCCATTCCTCCACTTCCCCCAGGAACCCCCAGGACGCGTTGCAACGCGTGGGTCGGCACACAAAAACCCTGATTATTTCATCCTCATTTTGACCATGGAGCAGAAACTACCACAGGGTCTGGTGACAATATCCAGCATCTCCCCTGCGGAGATGTCGGGACCTGAACAGTTGGACAACTCGGTCATCAAGAATTTATGGCAAGGTAGTGTCACTCTCGTGTTTTGAAACAATCGGATGTTGACTGGGATTGTTTGGTGGGGAACAGTATATTATCTCTCACGGCAGGCCAGCAACGATCAAACCGAGAACAGGCTGGAGTATCTCTTTTGGAGGATCTGGGGAAATGCGCATCTCTTGAGGAGCATCGACGTGAAGACTTTGGACCGTCTGGTGATGGGCATAATGGCGGAGCAGGCATTCAATCAACCAGCCACCGGTTTTTTGGCGAGGACAAAGCAGGAAAGGCTGGTGAGCAGTCTGGAGTTGGCCCCATGTTGGCTTTTGAATCACCTTCATCTTCTTCAACACCTCACTGACCCCTCGGCTTCAGACAGCACAACCACAGCTTCAACCTCCCTCCTACCACATCCCACCACCACCCACTGTCTCTCACACTCAGTCTAAGTCACAGCCTGTCATCGAGACCAACAACTCTCTCCACTCTATCCTCAAAAAGCCAAAGACCCCGCAAAGCGAGCCACAGAAGACAACGCGCCTCCTCATCGAGACGCCGGACGGGGAAAGCATCACTCGCAACCCGTCCAACCCACTCACTCCAAGCATGCCAGATTTCCACACCAAGGACAATCCTGCGAAGGCGCAGGGCCACAAAACCTACTTCACAGCCCCCCGTAATGGGAAGGGCACAAAACGTCGCCCCCAGTTCCCACGCCGCAAGCCATCGCAGGTCTCTATCCCCAAGTCATCACAAGCAGCCGCCCCCAAATCTCTTTCTCCTAAACAGCGGAATGGTCACGCAGCATCACCCGAGCAATTGGAAGAAGTGTCCGAGGACGACGAATCAGCCGATGCACAGAAAACTGAGGATATGGAGTTTCCGTTCGAGCCATTTGAGCCTCTTTGCGAGGACGAGCCCGCCCAAGGAACACAGCTCACCACCCCTTCAGAAAAGTTCATCAGCACCAGCTGGACGGGAGTGAACTCGATTGGAGTGCCCGTGCCCGTGCCCGAGCTGCACAGTCAGCTGGGGACACCTCAAGACGCCGGCCTCGCCTCCAACAAACTAAACCCATCTACCCAGCAGGCGATCAGCCCCGCAGTTTTTACAATCACCGACAAACAGGACCCCATCCTATCCCAGGAACTAGAAACGGTTGGTGATGGCCCCAAATCACAGGAAGAAGCGACCACTGAGCCCCAAACCCCCAGGTCCTCTGAGCAGCCCGTGCTCCCCATTGAGTGCCTCGTGGCGCAAGCCACCGATGTCCCCGGTTTCCCCGGTGCACAGTACCTCCCCATGCCCGAAGAGATGCTCAACTATCTTGCTGCCATTATCACCGAACCCGAACCTCTCCCTAAACACACTCTGATCCCCGTCACTCGCTGGTTCCGATTCGGGAGTACCTGGGTTCCGCTTCATCCACGCCATTACGTGAGTGATCTTGAGAAGGTAATCAACGAGCCCTCTCCGCTTCAGCAGCCCTCGACAAAGCCACTTGTGAGGAAGGGGTTCCGGACACGGTTTGCAAATGCGCAGAAACGGTATTCTGCGACGACTCTTGCTACTATAATCAATCCAGGGAAAAAGAATGATGAGTGGCAGGACGAGCCTGATGTTCTTGCTCTGGATTTCAAGACATGACGATGAAAATGGTTGGGGTGGAAGAGACTAGTTTTCAGGGACCTTTTATTGCATCTTCAAGGCGAGGGATTTGCTGGATTTGAGATATTTTCCATGGTGTTCAACATGTTGGTGTGAAAAATATCCGACGTCGAATTCAATGCCCAAAACTTCAGCTCACGAGAAATTTATTGACTGAGTTTGGCATATTTCTTTTCCTCTTCCTGTAAAACACATCAATTGCAAGAAATACAGTAGAATAGAAAGCATAACAGCAATATAACTCGAAAAAGCGAGCCCACTTCGAAATCACGCGCTTCTCTTTTCCACCATTCTTCCTCTTAATACTGGAACTCGGCGCGAGTATCATAAGAGGGGACTCTGTAATTGCGCGACTTGGTGTTCCACGGAGCATCATGGGCCGGGTTCAGCGTCTCCATCATACGAGAGCTGAGTGTCGGCAAACTCTGAAGCAAATCATGGAACTTTCCTTGAAGACGTAACTTATCTACGCACCAAGCAGCGTAGTGAGCCAGCCATCCAGGAAGTTCATCATGGAGAGGCATACTCGAAAATGCCCACGACAGACAATCAATAACCGCAAGCTGTTCATCGATATTCTTTGGTCTCCCCATATCGGCCAAGACATCCGTGAATTTATCAAAGGCCAGCTTTTTGAGCCCAGAAACGAGATAAACATCACTGAAGATGTATACCCGGAGATGGCAGAGTAGAGTATGTGCCTGTATATTAGGCTTATCCTCGTTCTTGTTGTCTGCTGGCTCTGAATGGGACGACTCGGATAAACTCTTCGACTGTCTTGATTGTAGAGGCTCTTCGACAGGAGTGAGCGTTAGATCCGTATAATAGCCCCTGTATGCCCACTCAATGAACTGGGCCACAGTGTCATGTCTCGTGTCTGTGAATGTATATCGGCCAGATTCGCGCTCTGGGAACCCGTGGGTAAGTGCCACCATCGGGGCTTTGCATTTTGCCGCAAGCAGTTTTTGATGGATTTTCAATGATCCAGCGCTGCTCGAGGTGTAGAGCTCGACTGTATCCGATCCTAGGAACCTAGATCTAGTTAGGTAGTTCCTGCTGGAGATCTGAGGGAGTACATACTCGCGAAAGGTGAGGGGATTATTGTTGGACTCCATGGAAGATATTAAATCTAAATTCGATAACAACAGAGCGAGAATTCAAGTTTTGAAGGGTCAAAGAGTCAGTATCGACCCTGCAGGTCTGCTGATATCATAGTACTCCAGGGGTGCCCGCGTCCTGCATGGGGTCGATGTGATACCAGGGGGGGAAGGGGGAGGTAATTGGTTCCAATTATTACAAGCCTAAAAGTCCCAAGTCCCAACAATGTTAGTGAAGCTACCCTGAATAGTTAAACCGAGTGTCGCAAGCACAGGTCGGTGACATAGCAACGGTGATGATATCTTTGCCAAATACTTTCCAAAGTGAACGTTCTCAAGAATTCTCTATCGGGTCAAAGATCAAAAATTTTGATTGAAATCTTTTGAATGCCTGCATATACAAGATGTTAAGGACAAACGCCAGCCACAAATTAGCAAAAACGCCCAACCCTAACTCCGAAGATCGGACTGGACATGAATCAACTATGCAAGCCCATTGAAGTAGATCCCCTTCTTCCAATACCACTGCCACAGCCCCTCTGATCAAGGCAAACCAGCACCTCAAAGCAAAAGAAAACACAGACAAATCAACCCACTAAATCGCTGACCCATCCCCCTTCTCAGCATCACCACCACCAGAAGCAGCAGCCGCCCTCCGACTCTTGAGCCAGCGCAACAAAACCCAAGCAGCTGTAAGCGCCCACATAGCCAGATTAATCAAATCAATCCACACAGCATGGCGCATCCGATCGATCTTATCAGCATCACCCAGCGCCGCAGTCATCGCCTCCTTCATCTTCTTGTCACCATCAGCAGCACTAGCATGCACGCCGATATACATCTTTCCAAAGACACCAAATAGGACGAGCCACAGCACACAGAGCACAAACTCCCACGCAAACTGCGGCAGCAGCAGCCCAGGCATCGGCGATGCCGCCAGCGACGCATTCTTCTTGACGCGCCGCATACAGAACGGAATTGCCATGTGCACGATGGCCGTGACGGTCGCCAGGAACGCGGCGATCAGTGCGAACACCCATTTCGCGTGCCAGGTGCCGTCGGTTTCGTGGTCGTGCCGCACGTCTCGGCCGTAGAGGCCGATGACCGTGAGGCCGAAGACGAACTGCAAGAATCGCACGCCGGACATGATCATGAACATGATCTTTGCGCCTGCGCTGGCCGGGGCGGGCGCTGGGGATGGTGCTGGTGCGGGAGGAGGGAAGTGCATATTCGTTCCTGGGGCTGCGCCCGCTGGGTACGCGCTCATCAGGTAGGGCTGGGGGTAGCCGGCGGCGGCGGCGTCTTGGTATTGCTGTTCTTGGTTTTTCTTTGCGTGGTGTTTTTTCGCTTGGGAGTAGCCCAGACGGAGGAGTTTGACTGCAATAAACGACATAGAATCTCTGTCTTGCTGGTCTTGCTTTTGTGGTGGTTGAGCAGGGCTGACTGCTCAATAAGAAGGAAGATAGGGCGAGTTGGTTCTGATTCAACAGCGAATGGGATAGCGTATGAATAGTATGGTTTCGAGAAGGAAATAGAATAAGAAATATATCCAGGGCTTGCGCACAGTGCCGAAATATGTTCTCAAGGAGAGTAGCTCGTAGAAAAAAGACCTCAGAAATAGATCTCAGCAAGCCATAAGCAGAGGATCAACCTCAATGACGGCAAAGCTGAGCACAAAGAGAGAGGCTCAATGATGCAGAGAGAGGGGGCTGAATCAAAATGCAAGAAAATGCAAAGGAAGAAGGAAACAAATAATAATGAAAGAAGGCCGTGAAAGAAAGACAAGTCTGGTTTCGAAAAGAAATGCCAACGGGATGGAACCACACTTTATAGATAGCCTTGAACCCACCCAAGCAGCAAAGCACTTCTGGGGCTGCATCAACAAAGAGTAGTTTCCCTATTTTTGGCATGCTAAAGTGGCTCCTGAAACTCTGGAAACTCTGGGCTATCGCTTTCTGCAACATTCGTTGGGGGTAGTCCTCCACTGCGTCGGCTACCCATCCTCTGCTTTGAACCATACAAATGAAACTTGAACAAAGGATATGAAACACCCCGCTGAAGAGACATAGAATCTTGGGAAATAAAAATAGCCCCAATCAACCATCAGAATTTAGGGCTGGGCTGCCGCGAATGTCTTGTGGGGGCGCATCACTTCGCGCGCCAACATCCGGGTTGTTGTTTCAGCACGGCGGTTGACATCCAACCCAGACCCAATCATCCGGAAATGAAGAGAACATCACTGCTATACATAGTCGACAGTCTAGACAACTAAGAATAGCACTAGACACACACTACGCATGGGTCCATTAAATCAACTCGGATCAAGTTGACAGTATGCAGGCTGTCGCTACACTGACACAAAGAAACCCACATGAGAATCATCCCGATGATGTACGACACGCCAGTCCAGTATGCTTGAGAGGGGTTGTCCTTGATGCAAACCGCCATACCCAAATCCACGCGAAAACAGAAGGGCAGAGACACAAACAGAAAACCAACAGCTTCGAAGCCATCACCTCACTTGTCAAGCCGGCCGACTTGCCCCAGCATCTGCAGCACCCTTCAGGTGCGCTGCAGCGGCAGCCATTTTTGGATGATTCCCGCCGGGTGGTAGGGGTGGTTTGAGGTCCGAGGGCGGTCCAGGGGTTGGAGCAGGAATCGGATCAGCCTCTTCCTCGTACTCGTGCCCTAGATACTCATCATCATGCAGGCCAAACCCGCCGGCCGAGGAATGGTCAACCGACGCCCGGTCGTATCCCTGCTGATAGGCTCCTTGATGCGGTGCGTTCTTAGACGCATTCTTCGTCGCCTTCTTTGTCTTTCGACCTTTCATCTTGGCCTTCTCCAAAAGCCGTTTCTTCTCCGCCAACCGCTTCCGCTCCTTGCGATCTTTGATCTCGTACTGCCGGATGAGTGCCTCGGGCGGACGCCCAAAAATGCTCTCGTACTCGCAGAACTCGCAGATCCAAATATCTTCCAAGCTCGGCGGATGGTGGAGATTCGTGTATTGTTGTTGAATCTTCCGCTGGCGTGCAGCTAGTGCATAGATACTGCCCGGGGAACGCTTCTTCTTGGGGCCCACAGAGCGCGGGTCTCCGGGAGCAGGTGCTGACTGCGTGCCATGCTGGTTCATTTGTGCAGCCATGCTCGGGCTGGTCTGCGTCCCCTGGGTATAGAACCCCCTCGGGTTGTGACTGACCGCGGCAAGGGGCGATGTGGGAGAGCGATGGAGAGGGTAATTTCGTTGTAGGGCCATGCCCTTGGATGAGTCGGATTCACACGTAAAGGTAAACTGCGTCTTGGTGGGGGTGGTGTTCTCCTGGTCTAGCAAGCTCACGTTGCTAGGGCCTCGGGGAGGAGAGGAACGCGTAGCAGCATTGGCAATGGCAGTAGAAATAATTCCCTGGTCGGACGGATATTCACCTGGAAGAGTCAGCGCCACTGAAGATCTCACCCCTGGTCAGACTCGAGCGGGGAGCATACCAGCTGGTCCAGGCGATGACATCAGGCCATCTCGTCGACTAGGAGTCCGGCTATTCATCCACGCATGCTGAGCATTGGCCGACAATGGATTCCTGCCAGTGCTGACGCGGGTTGTAGTCCGCCCCAAACGTCCTCTTCCAGACCCAGATATCCCGCTTCCTAGCGGAGACGCAGGATTACCATTCCCGTAATATGTGCCTGTTGCAAGCCCGTCACTGACAGCAGCTGGCGCGGGGGTTGAGCTTGCCAATCCCATGCTCGCAAACTCCGGAGACAAAGCCGAGTGGTGACCACCCAGATTGCCCGGAGTGGGAATCTTTCGCTTCTTCTTGTTATTTGTGTTTTCAAAGGCGTCATAACCATCGGGACCTGCCGATGGTGACTTGGCCTGGGGGGCCTCGGGATTGCCGGGGAACCCTTGCGGGTGCGTGCTAGATGCAGAGGGTGATAGGGACAACCCCCGGAAGCCAGCACTTCGGCGGACCACGACTGGACCATCCTCATCCCCGCTCTCTAGCTCCACTGCAGTCTCAAAGGCATGGCGCGAGTCGTCCTCAGGGGTCAGCTCGTGAGCATCAGCCTCGATAGTCTGCTGCACATAGACTTTAGAGTCATTCACCGCCTCCTCGGAATCTGCGGGCACTCCATAGAAAATCTGGGAGGCCGGGGGAGTTGGTGGGTACAGAATGGTGTCGGCAGCATCGGAGGACAAGCGAGACCGAAGAGTCCGCTTAGGGAGAGGACGAATCAGACGATCGGGATAGAGGGGGGAGGGTGTGTCAGGGGCCGAGTTGAACGTCCCGTCTACACAAGTGCACACCACGTCAGTAACCCAGTACCCAGCAGGCGGTTGAACTCATGGAGTTTGGGTCCATGCGGGACCATCAGGACCTGAAAAGGGTAACCCTTTACAAGCAGACATACTCAGTGTGGCCGTCATCATGCAAGTTCTCAACTCTCGCCCTCAACTCCCGGCGATGTATCGAATCAAAAGCCAGCCCTTTGCCTCTTGCCTTTCCCCCTCCACCGTCTCTTTCGTGGGCGAGCCAGTAATTGAACGATGGGTGGATTTCGGGGAGATCGGCCAATTCGGGGGTCAACTGTTCTCCGGGGATTTTAGCGGGGGTGGTCTGAAGTAGCCTCCAAACAAGCAATCTTATAGACAAAATGTATGTCTCCTAACAGAGGAGATTCCAAGCTGCCTCGGCTTGCCCACAAGGTGACAAGGAGGAAGGAATATGAACCTACCCACACAATGTGTGCTATTAATCAGCACAGTCACGACGACAGTTCGACGACCAACCAGAGAGTATGGAGGTGAAAATGAAGCAGAACACTCCCAACCACTCAGAAAACAGGTAAACAAGACTTAAGAGCAAAGGGAAGGACACTGCGGAGGGGCTGAGGAAGCGAAGAGAAAGAGCCAGCGAGTCACGGGAGTTCCACATCACGCTAGCCATGTTGGGAAATGTGGGAGGGCGTCTCTTGTGCAACATCTCCAGGTCCCTTCGTCCTTCGGGTACTCCAAGGTACCAGGGAGGCAGAGAACAGATATACCTCAACCTGAGTACTGTTTGCCACCAGGTCCAGGTCCTGGAAAATGTTGCACTGACCAGTTCTGGTGTGCCGGAGAAAACCCCTCCCCCGATCGTCTGCCGTACCTGCATTCGCAGCGACGACGAACACTCAACACCTTGCGTGAGACACGCAGATCAAGCTCCCATTGCAGCACTCAGAAAATCACCTTGACTACACAACACTCTACATCACCCTCTTCGATGGGATCATTCGTCCAAATCCACGCCCGGGTGTGGTGTCTTACCCAGGTGATCATGATGGCCTACAGTGACAGGACTTGGTTTCCTGCTATACTGACCATCGAGGCATGATCGGTCACACAAAATGAATCTATATCGGGGATAGTGGCTCGCAGTCGCATCGATGGCGTGGAGAGACCACCCGCACGGAAATAACCCGAGAACAAACTGACCGCAGGCATAGCTTTTTCAAGCGGAATGAGTCCTCCACTCGCCAACCCCTGCCAGCCGAGTACTAAGCTCAGCAATTCACCCAATTTGTTCTCAGGACTTCACCCTATTTTACCTCGTGGCGCCCATCCTAACACTGAGGCCCAATTCGGAGAAATGAGCATGGAACATGGAGGACCAGAGGTCACAATTGCAGGCAGACAAGCACGAGCCAAGCGAGAGAGTGGTATGCTGATACTGGGAGGGTCAATCTAGGAGTGTGTGGCCGGGAATTGAGCTAGCCGAAGACAGGGTGGTCCGGGCTGAGTAGTAGGCAGTGTCTGGGAAAGCAATTATGCTGTCAGTAGGCTATTTCAGTAGAAGAGAAGAATTCAGAATAAAGACAAAACCACCAAAGACATCAACAGAGCCAAAGTCGACAAAAACTCGAGGCGGAACACGGCACGCAAAAGTTGGCGCGTCGAGAGGCGTCGAGAGCGGGGAAGGGCGATGGGATCTTTTGGAGTCCCGTTCCGGCGCTTTTCTCCTTCTCCCCATCTCACACCCCTCGGACTATGTAGGCTGCGGGCTCTCCCTCGAGCCTTGTGACGCCTTGCTACTTTCTGCATATCTGGCGACTGCCAATTGTTCTCTCATCTCTGCTCCTCTGGAGCTTGCGCAAGAGCTCCCTCGCAAACGGCTCGAGTCGGTGCTCGAATTCGCCAGCCGTCTCGGCCACCCTTCTCATTTTCCCCCCTTCCCATTCTCTTTTCTAAGGGTTTCTCTAGAGACTTCCTACTTCTACTTCCTACTCTCGGGCACAACTTGCCGCCATGACTCCTCGTCGCTCCTCTCGGGCTCGCACCTCCCAGCCCTCTCCTGCCCTCCCGCACACCAACTCCTCCAGCTCCTCTGTGTCTCTTACTCGCGAGAGAAGCACTCGCTCAAACCACAAGAACCCCTCTTCTCAAGGATCGTCTGGCCACCGATCCCAGTCCATCGACGATGCCGAAAGCGGGTCGAAAGTCGACCACCCACACACACGGCAACGCCAGCGCGGGCGCGAGGACGATGAGCCGCCCCGTGAGGAAGACGAAGAGGATCCAGAAGATGATGAGGAAGAGGAAATCACTCGGTGTCTCTGCGGGCAGCAAGATTATCCAGGCTTGCCCCCCTCTCGTCGCGAGGCTCTCGGTCGCGGCGTCAAGTCAGAACCAGGACATCCGCCCACGGTTTCATCCAATATACTACCAGACGATGTCGGCAGCATGTTCATTCAGTGCGACACATGTAAGGTGTGGCAGCATGGAGGCTGCGTGGGCATCATGGATGAGGCAATGAGTCCCGACGAATATTTCTGCGAGGAGTGCCGGAAGGATTTGCACAAAATCAGAGGCGAGTCAAACGGGTAAGAGACATCAGGGACCTCTCAGGGCCTTACACCTTGCGATTTCATTTCTCAAGCAAACCGCGCCATGCTGGGGTTTCGACCTCGTTGCTATCGCACAGTCTGTGGCGACTGGAGGGGCAGTTCTCGCTTCCACAGATAGCTCGAGCACCACTCCCACAGCCATGATGCGGTTTACCTGCAATTTATTATCCGCCCGCAGACATTCCCAATTCCCAGAGAAGGCATGCTAATAACCCCACAGACAGCGCTCCTCCAGCTACCTCCCCGTCGCGCCGGCACCTTCCCCCGCTCCCTCCTCGCGGGCCTCCTCCCGAGATACCTCCCGGCGTTCCAGGGATCCCAAGTCACGAAACAGCGAGGGTGACATGAATCCCAAGCGGCGATCTACAATGAACAGCCGCGATGCTGCTTACGATGAAGAGGAGCAACTGCGACGAGCAATTGAGGAAAGCAAAGAGGACACCAAAAGCATACCAGATGAAACTTCCATACGGCGGGGCAAACGGAGCCGAAGCGAGAGCGAGGCGTGCGTATCCCCAAACCTCAATGGACTTGATACGCGAATTTGTAGCTGACGGGTGATTCAGGAACAGACATGGAGCCAAGCGCCAACGAACCGCCTCACCGTCGCCTGCAGCCACGTCTAAGCAGAGTAACCAGCCATCCCAGCCCCCGTCAGATGGCGAATCAAGACCGGAGGCGACAGCCAACGGGAACAGGAGACAACGAGCCCCGTCTCGAGGCCAGCGCGATAAGGAACTGAATAAAGAGGTCGAGGAAGGAGAGGCGGAAGCCGCTGAGTCGGCCAACCGTCGAAAGGACAGGACAGCCCGGCGCAAAGGAGATGGTAAGTGATACATGCTCATTTGGGTACGAGACGATCCAAGCTCACACGGCGCAATAGCCGAATCCGAACATGAACCCGCATCCCCGACAAAGACTGCGCCGCCGGAGCCGGAGCCGTCGCAAGCAAGCCCAAACCCCCCTACTCCCCAAGAGCCTACGCCCGTGCGCCCATCAACCCGCAAGTCTGGCCGCCCTCCTGCGCGCCGGGGTGGTCGTGTTGCTCGGAATCAGTATACGAAGGATCGGGATCTGAATGGCAATGGCACCGAGTCCAGCTATATGACAAATTCCCCGCGTCGTGGCCAGTCCCACGACATTGGCGGCGACTCTCCCCGGGTTGGGTCCGGAGCCAACGGGGCACATATCAACGGCGGGGAATCGGGACGGCCCAGCAAGCCTCGGCATATGCACCCGCAGCGCACAACAATGAACGAGATGAAGCGACGCGTGTCAGGCATTCTCGAGTTTATATCACGCATGCAGGTCGAAATGGCTGTCGCCAGCGAAAACTCATCGACGCCGACGGGCAATGGTGACCGCTCGCAAGGTCTGCTTTTGAAGAGCATGGTGGACCAGATCGACAATATCATGCCCTCTACCACTAGTGACACCGGCGAGTCTGCGCCTCCAACCACCGACGGAGACGGTGATGCTCCGACAGCCCACGAGAAAGACTTCAAAGATCTCAGCAGCGTCGAGATGATGGACGTGCTCACGCGACACCTTCTCAAGTGGCAGCAGGAGTATGGCAAGTTCGGTGAGCGGTAGTCTTACTGGATTGGATTGACTCTGCCTCTCCACTCTCTTTCTGGCCTTCTCCGCTACTTCCTTTCACGATACCCCCTTTTCACTTTTGTATTTCTTCTTGCTTATGTTTTTTTCTTTTTTTTTTCTTTTCATTGGCTGTGCTGTATAATAGATCCTGCTGTTCTTCTCTGTCTTTCTGTCTTTTCTGTCTCTTTTGTTTCATTCATCGACCCGGCGTCCAAATCATACCGGAGCAACTAGGATGGTCATGAGTCTTTTGTTATATTTGCTGGGTCTGTGGATTTGGTCTTCATTTTATTTTTTTCTTGATCTGGCATCAATTGCTACCTAGTTATGAATCTGGTGGAATGCGGTACTGTTGTAAAGTCATCCTTTGTCAGGGCTTTTTCCTTTTCTTTGTGATGCTTGTGCTTATTGCTGGGTTTATGGGTTTATGGGTTTGTATAGCTCTCATATAAGAACATCTCAGGCTCTCTCTCCTTTATATCATTTCCCCATTATCCTGTCTATGGATGGGAAACAGATCTAGGCCAGAACTGTACTAGTTGGTATCAAATCAATTTCTTGTCCTTGATATCAATGCGATGAACGTTCTATCCCAGTTTACCAGTTATGTCCAAGCCGTGTCTCTATGGCAGATCTAGCCAGATAGTTATGGAAAGCCCATGCAATAATCGGAAATCTCGAATCTCGAAGATGGTGTATTCTATAGTATTTGATTCAATTGGACAAGGTGGATAAATCGAGGAAGCAAAAGGTGGGATAGGGAAGAATGACGAACAAGTGTTGGTGAGAGCTGAGAGATATATATACTTCTAAAGCCACCCATAGACAACAAGCATGAATACAAACAGGAGACCACTAGAATTAGCAATTGAGCATTCAAATGTCTACTATTCAACCAATTACACCAAGCACTGTGAAATAATCCAATTTTTTTTTTTCATCTCATTGACAGCCAAAAAGACCTCTCTTGAGTGTGTCGGTGGATCAAAGCTGCAACAAGCATGCAGCATGCAGGGGTACGGACCGAGGCCAACACATAAGACAGAATCTTTGCTGCCCAACCATGGGGAACAGGGGATTCTTACATCCAGTACAGCATAGGAAATACTTAGTAAAACAAGACACTCAATCATACAGGCCCGAGGAATTGGCATTAGGATCGCTTAGGTACAGAGACGAAGCCTACATGAGTACACAGATATTGCATTGACATTTTCAGAGGCCACAAATCACATCCATCATAGAAAGAGATCGTCAGACAAAGGAAAGGAAAAAGTAAAATCACAATGGAAAAGAAAAAGAAAAGAGACCCAAGGAAATCATCACGCCAAACAGCCAACCCACTTCCCTCTTACAAGGAGAAGAGAATTTACAGACGGGAGCCGTGGATGACCTTGAAGTCGACAACGAGCTCGCGGCCACCGTCGTTGATGACGAGGGCACGGACGGACCCACGGCCATCGGCGAAGGCATCGCGGATACGCTTGAAGAGGCTGCCCTGGGGGATGACGGGCAGGCCCTGCTTGACGTCGCCGGTCTCGGTCATGGCGACCAGGCGGCTGTCGTCACGAAGGTCCAGGATGCGGTAGGTCTTGTAGACAGGGCCCAGCATGGTCTGGACAACCACCGAGGGCGAGGGGTTGGCCACGAAGCTCGACTCCTCCTGCAGCTGGCGGGTGAACAGGTCGACACCCAGGTAGCGGTGCTGGCCGGTCTGGGGCGACACCGAGATACGGATCACCTGGCAGGGACGGCCCTGCAGGATGAGGATGTCGCCAATGCGGATGAAGTGGCAGGGGATGGGGACGGTCTCGCCGGTCGAGCCACGGCTGCGAGGCTCGACGATGCGGACCTCCTCACGGACACCGTCGCTGTAGCGGGCCGGGCCGCCCTCACCACCGACGACGACCTCTTCACGGTCGTGATGGTGGAGGGGATGGAGGATGCGGTCAGCAGCACGCTCAACGCCGCGGCGGAACGAGTGGTAGTGACCCTCGTCGTCGTAGTAACCCATCTTGCGAGGAGTAGAGTCGGAGACGGTGGACTGAGAAACCCGGACTTCGGTCGGGGCGGCGTAGCGAGAACGGCTGGGCTGGTACTCGACCTCGCGGCGAGAGTACGACTCAGGAGCCTGGTAGTCGACGCGCTGGGGCTGGTAACTGCGGTCGAACGAGACGTCGGCGGACTGGGTCCGGTAGTCGTACGAGTCTACGGGCTGGTAAGGCCGGTCGTAAGAGACGTTGTAGTCGTAGGTGGGAGAGGTACGGCGACGGTACTCTCTTTCAGTGACGTCGAGCTGGTCCTCGACGGCTTGATCGTAGACTGGAGTGCGGTCCTCGTAACGGACAGGCTCACGGTAGGGGTAGCTAAAGATGAAATCTTAGTCGAGGCCCAACACGGTCGACATGTAAACATATAAACAAAAAAAAAAAAAAAAAAAAGAGCCCGTCACCGCTCATTGGGGGAAAAGTGGGTTTTGTTTTGTTTTCGGTGACACGTAATTTAGTCCCCGACTAAATCCCGTCACGCCTCTAGACCCGGATGGGGGAGCCGACAACAAATAGTGCTCCATCCACGACTCCACCATGGCGTCCATGGAGCCATTCGAGTGGTTAACAAGTGGATCCTCGGTCCAAACAGGCCCCAGAAAAACAAAACAAAAGAAAACAAAAACAAAAACAAAAAAAAAAACCCGCACGTACCGTTCACGAGTAAGATCGACCTCGGCGGAGTAGTTTCGCTCGACGTGGCGCGGCGAACGATCTTCTTGGATGCGGAAATCGACTTCTTCCTTTCCGTGAACACGGGGGTCAGGGAGAGGGGCAGATCCTCGAGTATCTTCCCGTTCGACGCCTGAAGTGCGATCGAGATTGACTTCTCCCTCTACTCTCGTCTGAGTAGTTTCAGAGACAGCGTCACTCCGGTACGACGACGGGAAGACACTGAAGGGTATAGGGACGCGGGCGTCAAAGTCCAGATTGGCTGTATTGCCGGCGTCTTTTCTCGAAACGCTTTCGAACTGTCGCGAAACAACTCGAAAGACGAGACAAGAAAAGACTTAAAGGGGGAAAAGTCTTTCTCGGGGAGGTTAGAAGAGGATAGAAGATCTGGAGAGATCTAAGATGATTGGAATGTGTGATAAGCTTGAAAAAAAGAGGAATGGAAGGAATGGAAAGAGAAGATGAAGGGGTGGCGGAGAGCTGCGATTATTTATGGCGCGCTTTGTTTACGCCTACCGCTTCGGGTTGTCGATCGGCCGAGGTTCGATGAGAAGCGCTACGAGATCTTCTTTATTTCTGCTACTTTCTGAGCGAATCAATTGCTACTATCTGAACAGGAAAAGTATTCTCTGTCTCTTCAATTCCTACTGATTATTTTATTCATTCTTTTTTTTTTTCGCTGAAATTCCCTGGTCTTTTGCTCTGTACAGTTGATTTCCTCAAAATTACCACATCCACCTTCACAGGAGGTTGGCCAGCTTGGCGCGTCCGTCGCCAGGGCAACGCCGGGTCCAATCGGCAAGATCTTGGCGATCTCCCATGTGTTTGTCGCATTCTCCCAAGTACCCGGTACCTGCCCCAGACCCTTCACAGGGGTACTGAGGGTAGGTATCATCTACTTTGCACCACTTGTCGCATCCTGTACTTTGTATGCTCTCTTCTCCACTTGATTTATCCCCCCTGTACAGTTGGGCCGATATCCCAGCACTACCCAGCCTCTAGAAATAAGAAACAAAAATTACATGGCTCTGGTGCAGCTGTATGGGGCGCTTCCTGCAGGTTCTAGCGTGTCTAGACCTCGTAAGCAAAAAACAAAAATGAGGCTGGGAGAAGACACCGCTGGCCTCACCGAATGTCGCGGGGGGCTGGTTGCTGGGGCAAGCCTTCCCCCGTCTCCACAGGCGATCGCGAGCTTGATCCATTTCAGCACGGGCCCGAGGTTGCTTGTGCATTCATGGAATCATGGACAAGATGGACAAGGAAAATAATATTATAATTGTAAGCGGAGCAGTAGATATGTGTCAATTGAGCCGAGTGCACCCAATTCCTCCCATTACGATCCATTAAGATCCATTCCGGTGAAACTCTATCAAACACGTCTAGAAAGATATCCCTTCTCAGGGGCTAGAAACAACCATGATAACGAGGGCCATAGTACAAAGGGGGTGGGGGTCGGAACAGAACGAGGGTATCAAAAGAGAGTCACACCGGGTCCAATACAACGCCAAAAGAAGGATAGAATGTGGTCCAACCACTACAGTGTGCAAAGAGCACAAACGAATGTCGAAAAGACAAGAAATCCCACACCTGGGGAAGAACAAGACACGAGGCCGTATACCGGTCATTAAAGATTAATTCATGTCGGAATAGAATCAGTCCGGGGTCAAGCCACACCTCAGCAGAGGCACCCAAACAGGCTCTCTGAAACATGTGTGGCTCCGAGAAATTCAAAATCAACAGAGAAAGAAAGATGGTAGACATTAAAAGGCGTATAAAAGCGGTATCTCAAATCTTTTGTGCATCGGTAACACAAAACAAAGAACATTCCAGATTAAGCTCGGAGACCGAGTGCTTTGCGAAGAAAAGGAAAGCGTTTCTTGCGTCCAGATCCAGAGATCACCACATCGCGCGCCGAGGGACCGTGTTCATCGGTGACATCGGTGACATCGGAGTTGTCGTCGTTCGAAATTGGGCCAGAGCGGGCAGTCCGGGGCGACTCGGGCTCTGCGACGGGAGAGACACGGGATGCCTGGCCTCCGTTTATTATAAGGCTGCTGTTGCGTCTCGCATGGTCTGCTGCCGGCTCAGCTTGTTTGCCGCGGAGAGGGGACGAGGGAGAATTGTGATTCTGCTCGGCCGCGGCGGGCTGAGGGATGTGTTCATCCTTGGATTCAGGGCGGAGCGGCCACGAATCATTACCCGTTGGTGGCTTGGGGTTCTTCTTCAAGAGCTTCGAGGACGAATTCGGCTCGGCGTCAGCAGCAGCCGCTGGTGTCCCGGTGCCGTGGGCTCCATTCACCATGGTCTCGCCCCGCAAGTGCTCGCGTTCCAGACGTGATCGCTCCAGTGGCGTGTCCCTTCTGGAAGGGCTCTCGACGTCTGCTTTGCGGATCCGATGCTCGGGGTTCTTAGGTTTCTTAAGGCCGAGTCGGGTGAGAATCCCGGGCTTGCGGCCGCGAGGCGGTTGCATCAAGAACTCCTCGAGTTCCCTTTGCGTCATGCCACGCTGCCGAGCCACAGCAGCCATCCCCGACATACCATGCCCAGTGTTTGTGTCGCGAGACCCCGGTGGAGTCGGCTCCAGGGGCGCTGCAACTATTGGTTGGGATTGTTGCCGCCGATCTTCCTCGGAGCTGTCTTCCAGCTCAGTCGAATCGCCATCGTGGGCACCCTTACGGCGTGGAATACCGCGAACGGGCCGGAGCGTGTTACTGCCCGGTTCATCTTCATCACTGGAGTCAGCAAAGCGACTGCGGAAGACCTGGGGCCGATCCTCGTCACCCTCGTCATCTGAATCTCTGAAACGGGAGGCACGCGTCGATTTGGGACCTGACTTGCCAGGTTTCGTCCTCGGGGCTCTTTTGTTTGTAGAGAAGAACGAGTACCGCTCCCCACCAGCACCGGGACCCCGAAGAGTCTTTCGCATTGTGCCCGTTGATGAGCCAGCGGACAGTGGGCGATGTTCAGTGGGAGACTCCACTCGGTTCGAAGGAGATTGTACCCGAACTTGACCACCAGCTCTCATGGTCCGTCGCATGGAATGCGGGCCATCTTCACGGGGCGAAGGGGTGGAGCGTTTGAAGCTGCTGGAGGAATCGCTCCCATTTGACAAAGTGCGGCGAAGATGATTGGGAAACCCAGCAGATGCGCCTGGGCCACTCATTCTCTGGAAAGCCGGACCAAGGGAGACGGGTCGCGGTTTGCTCTTGGCAACCCCGGGGGAGCATTGTTGCTCGAGAACCGAGGATCTTGCAAGTAAGATGACCCATGGGCGTCCACAGACATAGGTCTGTTCTGTTTATCGGGATCTGTCCGAACGGTGCCATTCTGGGTACCGTTTTGGATACCATTCTGCTTCTTATAGGCTCGAGCCTTTGACTTGATGGGCAATGGTGGGTACGGGGATTCGAAGGGAAGCTTGGTAGGAGAAGTAGGAGACCCCTCTACCTGTCGATTAACCGATTCCTGGGTCGGCGTGACGGAGCGAGTTTCTTCAGATGCTTGGTTCGCCACGTCTCGCGTCTGACTGTCAACGATTGTAGCTCGATCAGCAGGTCGCGGAGTCGTGTCGCGACTCTCACTGATGGTTCTCAATGCTCCTGTAGCCCGCGGCATTGGCCGACCATCGAGGATGGCATTGATGGACCCAAACCCATCGCCATCAAAATCTTCGGCAGCATCGCTGTAGACACTATCCCCGGACTCACCTTCGGTGTCCATATCATCCAACTTTGGAACGGCGCTTGCCACAGGCGCGGCCTTGGTTGCATTTGCTGCACCCTTGAGGTTGCGGTCTGAGTTAGGCGGCGGGAAACCACCAGGGACTTTGTACTGTTCGAGGCTCGACCGTGGCTGCTCAAGGCTTGACCTGTGGCTTTCAGGCTGCGGTGTAGCAGGTTGCACAGCGATAGCAGGCACCGACAGCTGCGAATCCACGCCGGAATAGGGCTGCTTCTCGGCGAAGCTAATGACCGCTGCCCCGTCGGGCTTCACACCGGAACCGGTCGTTTGAGTTGGGGATGAACCGCCGTTGACAGACTTTTGCTCGAGGGAATCGACCACATGCGGTTTTGGTTGTTCTTTGTGCTGGTCCTTCAGAAGGATTCCCCCAAAGGTGTGGTCGTTGGAGAAGGAAAAGCCCGGGGTGCTGGCCACAGGGGATTCAGAAGAGGTGGTCGAATCATTGTCGCTGAATTCTTGAGTTTTTGGACCCTGGAAGCCGGCCTCCCGGTTTCGAACGCTACCGAACGATGGGAGCACCGGCCGGGGCTTCAAAACCTCATCAAAGAAGTCGTCGCCCGTCGCATTTTCTACTGGCGACGATTTTTTCTTGCCAACTCCGAACCAACTCATTCGGGACTTGGCTTTCCCAGGTGGCGACTCGGGGATGTATTCTTCAGGAGAGGTAGGAGGGCTGGCCGCGACACCGACAATTTCCGCCTCGTCGTCAAAGCTGACCTTGACAGGCTTCTTTCTCGCGCCCACCCGGGGTCCTTCGTCCGAGGCCACCGAGGTACCATCCGAAATTTCGCTGGGTGGAGGAATGCCTCGACCAGCAACCCCAGTTTTTCTGTCTGGCGATAATGAGTTGCCTCGAGGATGCTTCAAAGCCGATTTTCCAGGAGACACAGATCTCGGCGGAGGCTCGTGCATTTGGTCGCCAGTGGTGACCGAAAGCCACTTCGAAAAACGCGCAGATCGGCCAGGGCTACTTGATTGTCGGATATCTGGTTGCGGGGCAGGGCTGTATTCGGCCGAAGAGACTGACTGAGGCGACGACAAGGCCTCGACGTGATCGACAGTTGGCGATGCGCTCGCTAACCGGATTCCACCCTCCCGGGCATTGGCGATATTGGTGTTCGCCTCCTCGCCTTCCGGCTCGGGCTGTTCTGGGACTGCAGACGGCCACCGTTCGGGGACGGCTCGAGAAGACGGGTGCTCCGTTGCCGAGCTTGTGACCACGCTAGGCCGTACATTACCCACACGAGAGTCCAACGAGTTAGTCGCCAAAGGTCTTTCGCTCGTTCGCTCAGCCTGCGTATGCACATGGTCGACCCGCGCATTACTTTTCTGTGGGCTGACTGCCTGAGCGGCAGCGAGAGCAGTACCAACCGAAGGAGTAACCGCAGACTTGTTTTCGACATGGTTCCCTCCTGCACCGCCTGGTACATGCGACCTTGCTCTCCCGTTGACTGGTTTATCAGAAGAATGAGAAATAGACTGCTGGATACTAGTCACGTCCGATGAAGGCAGCTCGCGAGCCGCAGCTTCATCCAGATTCATCGGGCGATTCTCAAACGAATTCGGAGAGTTTGGGCGCACGCCCATCGGGTACGAGAAATTCACCGAACCCCGGCTGACGGGTCGCTCTACCTCAGGAACCGTGCTGAGGCTGGTTACCCTGTGATGGGGAGCGGAGTGCGCAGCGGACCCCCTGTCACGTTCCCGGTCCACACTCACGCCGCGCACCCCAGAGCGTTGCGGAGACTTTGGCGATCCCGGGGGCAACCGTGCCGTCGGCTCCATGCTCACAGCGCGCCGGCTCGGAAGCTTTCGCGGTTCATACTGCGCCGGCAGGGATGGCAATGGAGGCACATCGACGGGGCCGGAGCTGCTAATCGGACGATGGGGCGATTGCTCGCGAAAAGTCCGGGCCGTCATTGAACTCGAGCTGTTCGATCGACGAAGAGTCCCACTGACACTCGCTGACCGACGAGTGACGATCGGGCTCGCTTGGGACTGAGTCGAGGCCCGCCGCTGCACCATCCGCTTGGTTTGGACATCTTCTACGGGCGTCGGGGTGGGCGAGAGGTTGCGCAGGGCTGCCGCGGCCGCGGCGGAGGATAGGCTGCTCGAGGATGGCTGTGACTGCAGGAAGGCATGGCTGGCGGCGGACTGCGCAGATTGGGAGGCCGGTGTGGGGAGTGGCTGGAGAGCAGAAGGCGTAGAGGTTAGCTTGTGGCCTGGCACGGGTGGTTCCATCGGCAGAATTCGATCCTCCTGGGTTTGGTAGAACGCAAGGATGATGAAACATCCTCATCGCTCTCTGGGACACGCACCTGGTGATGAGAAGAGCTTCGCTTGCGACGGCTAAACATGATTGCACGGACTCCTGGGGGATGGCCGGCCGGACACTGCGCAAAGCAGCGCCGGGGTTGATCCGGACGTGTAGCGGAAGGGCAGGGTAGAATTGAGGGTCAAATCTAGACAAGGCCCTCGAGTGATGATGCGATGACAGCTATAGGAGGTGGGAGAATTGGGCGATGCAGAAAGCGAGGGGAGCCGATCGGCATGCAGACTTGAGGGGGAGAGTGTGTTCGAGAGCTACTGGAAACGAGGCCAGAGTGGAAATTTGAATGAGCTAAGGCTCGGCAGAAAAAAGAAAGAAAGAAAAGAAGAGAAAAGAAGGCCAAAAAAGTCAAAGAGAAAAAAATGAAGTTGCATGCAGAGTCGAAGATGGGAACTTGCGTCATGACTTGGGGTTTGGCCGTGGGTCAGGCACTCGGGAATCAGGAACATCGATGCCTGTTGGGGGACCGCCATAGTAATGGAATTCATGAAGAATTCATGAACAGTTGATATGAGATGATATTCTAATTTAGACATCTACTCTACTGTTGGCAGTTCATTTCGATGAATTACCATTACCAAATATCGCCAATTTCATGATCTTCATGGGGAAATCAAGAATTTGTCCAAGGCCATGCCCTAGCGAGATGGCTGACTGACTATCAAATGAGATATCTACTGGGATGAAAAACTAATGTCTTCTTTCCAACGGCGCCTGCTAAAAAATATGTTCTCGAATATCCCTCATGGTCTCCGAGCCCCAGATCACAGAGTATGACGGAACCCTCCACCCTAGGCATCCACTAGGAACATACAGAATTCCGGCGTTGGTTTAGTTGTCCCTATTTAAAATAATATGCAGACTGTCCCAATTACTTAGGTTATAGATTATTGGATTACAGTGTTTCATTCTACACAGAAAACCTGACTCGATGGAGCCTGTCCTAGTCCCAGCATGGTTCCTCTGAATCAGCTAAACATTTTACATCTGTACATCAATACCTCTCTACCAGGGGCCAGGGGAACAGATAACTAGAACGTGGAATGCATTGTCCCAAACTTCATATTCACACTTGTTGTCGAAGTAGATAGCTCGGGTTCTACATAAAACCGTATTTCTATAAACTGACCCAGAACCAGCCATATTACCAAAGGTCTATAAAATTCTAGTTTATGCTGAAGTCCGAATAAGATAACTATCAGCAGTTAGTGAACCAGCAATACATATGGTTGAACCCCACCTCGCTGGTCTTGGTATAACCGAGGCAATACTGGAAGAACAGGGAAGAGAGAACAGGCTGATAGTTTGCCCGAGTAGGTATAAAGCAGGACCACACGCATAACCTACAGCCAAACCTATGCTATGACCAACATCTATCACACCCCTAAATAATCCCACAATGCCAGAACCCCCGCTCCCACTCCCCGCAGGCATCACCAGCCGCTACATCCGCACCAACGACCTAACCTTCCACGTGCTAGAAGCCGGGCGGGTCCATAACAACAACCGCCCCCTAATAATCCTACTACACGGATTCCCCGAAATCGCCTACTCCTGGCGGCACGTACTCCCAAAGCTTGCCGCAGCCGGCTTCCACGCCGTAGCGCCCGACCAGCGCGGCTTCGGACGCACCGTCGGCTGGGACACGCGCGGGTATTCCAGCGCGGACGTGGGCAGCTTCTCGCTGACGAGCCTCGTGCGCGACGTCGTACTGCTGGTGTATGCGCTGGGGTACCGGGCTGTGCGGAGTGTTGTCGGACATGACTGCGGCGCGATGGCGGCGGCGATGTGTGCACTGGCACGGCCGGATTTCTTTCAGAGTGTCGTGTTGATGAGCCATCCATTTAATGGGAGTCCTGATTTGCCGTTTGGGACTGCTGATGATCTTTCTGGGGGAGCCCTCTCGGAAGAGACAGGACCAAAAGAAGGAGAAAAGGCAGGAGAAAGGGGAGAAGCAGGAGTTGATATCCATACTGCACTGGCTCAGATCGGCCGCAAACACTACAAATGGTACTATTCGACCGCATCCGCAAACACGGACATGTCCTCGCTCTCCGCGCCAGAGCTGTACACCTTCCTGCGCGGCTACTTCCATCTCAAGAGCGGCTCCTGGCCCGGCAACCAGCACCCGCATCCCCTGCGCGAATGGTCAGCCCCGGAGCTGGCAAAGATGCCGGGCTACTACATCATGCCAGTGGACGCAACAATGCCAGCCGCCGTAGCACGAGATATAACTACAGACCCGACGCAGGGCCAAGCATCGCAGTCGTGGCTTCCAGACGCCGAGCTGGCTGTCTATGCAGCCGAGTACAGGCGCACGGGGTTCCAGGGTGGACTGAACTGGTACCGAGTTCGCACGACGGCAGGTGGGCGGTATTCGCGGGATGTCGAGGTGTTTGCGGGGAAGAAAATCGAGTCGCCTTGTGCGTTTATTTCTGGGAAGCTGGATTGGGGGATTTACCAGGAACCGGGGGCGCTGGAGAGAATGAGGGATGGGGTGTCGTGTGCGGATTTGAGGATTTTGAGGTTGCTGGATGGTGTTGGGCATTGGACACCGCAGGAGAGTCCGGATGAGGTTGTTCGTGCTATTGTTGATTTGGTTGGGGGATTGGATCGATGTGTAGAGTGAAAATCATAGATATGGATTTGATAGCTGAGACAACTGACTATTTGAGAAAACTACAATATCATGACCCACGAGAGGCCTGAGGGAGGGTAATTGTTTAATGGTCGACAATTAATAAACTCGGACTCCAACGCCATATATGACAAGCTGGAAACACGCCCTTAAAAGGATACAGTCCATCTCGTGCAAGGGGAAAGCAGAGCCTAGCTGGGACAAATTTTAGACATGAAAGAGCAGTGCAACCCAGGGTATGGAGCAGAAACTAGTCCAAAACGCACGCAAATGCAATTCAAAAATATCCCCAACACAGAGATCTACATTAGCGCGCCAAAGCCCGCCGCCAGTACGAGCGGTATCAATGCTAGGATCGAATGCCGCGGCGGCTGGAGCATAGCGGCGCCAGAGCCGATGGAGCTCGTGGTGAACATGTATTGGAAGGAGATGTCGCTGGAGTTGAAACAGTTGTCCTCGGTGATCTTGGTGATGTTCGGGTCGTGGACGTCGGCGAACTCGATATCGACGCACTGAAAGTTACAAAAGTTTAGTTAGCGTCTTATACTAGGAATTTAGGTTTTGCGTGGAAGGAAAACATACATTAAATAGTGCTGCGCCGTGCTGCGCCGCCTCCACCACCTGGATCGTCGCAAAGTCGCCAGGGCTCACGCTGAGATTCGCCGGCAAAGGAACCTGCGGCAGACAGAATGTACCCGGGTATGGCTCGTTGGACGGGCCACTGATCTGGAAGGGCTGGACGACGTTGTGGCTCATGTTCTCGGGGACCTCGCCCAGGCCGATATTGATGTAGATCAAGGCGGTTTCGTGGCCTGGGAACCAACCCGGTTGGATGGCGATGGCGCCGCCTTTGACGGGCCATTTGGTTCGGTTGGTTGATGTGGGCATGCCGCCGCCTGTCAAGGGTCAGATGTCAGGTGAAACATGGAAGTGTTGAGCAAAAAAAAAAAAAAAAAAGAAAAGATAATATTCTTACAGGGATAAATCCACTCCATGCCATAGGGATAGACCAATGACTTGTTCTGCGCATCATACGCAACCCCGAGGCCGTTCGTGTCTTGGACGGTGCCGTTGGTGTGTAGGTTGTTCCCTCGGTAGCCGGGGTATGTGATGACGGTGTGGGCGTGGGTGAAGCCGAGACATAACAGGACTACGAGGGTAGCCCATCGCGAGATAGATTGGGACATGATCATGGCGACGAGAATCGGAGTGATCCGTGTATGTGTATGTGTATGCGAACACAAGAGATAAAAGACCAGTCCGAGCAAAGCACTGGACTCAATCACCGGTGATTCGAGAATCTCATACACAATCTTCTGCAATCATTGATATATATGCAGTTCAATCAAGAGAGAAGTGGCCAAAAGACTGGAGCGTAGGCTGGTTAAGCTGGAATCGAAAAGAAGAAAGAAAAAGAAGCTCAAGCGCGAAGACATTGAGAAACTCGGTCTTTTTGAGGGGCATGGCGAGTCACAGAGCACCACCAGATGTGACTGGAAGTGCAGGACTGGGCGGATGTGACTGGCCTGCAAGTGCCATCACTTTGCTATGTCGATGGAGCACGGTGATTTGTCGAGACCAGGCGCCGGGGGGGACGCTAAGTGATGAGGGGGGCGCTTACTGAAGTGCTACAATTGAGAGAAGAGAGGTGACACGAATAGGATTATTCTTAGTGAGTGATAGATGATCATCCCAGAGAGTATAGAGTATACCCTGAACCCTGTCTCCAGGGCTGGTGAATGACGCACTTGTCAGCGCCAAGAACCCCCCCCCCCCCCCAAAGAGAAAATCAGTCGATCCGATGTAAAGCTGCCTCGCCAACCCTAGCGATGCCCCACACCGCGCGCAAAAGGCGCACTCCCCAGAAACGACTGCAAGTCACTGCCGACGATGGCTGGACTCATGTCACCAGCGGCAATAATGTGCGCCGGCTCCTGCGCAATGCCAACCACGCCCCCACACCGACCGGATCCCAACCCCACGATAACCACAACCACAACCCCGTGCTGACCCCGGCCGAGGCACCGAGTCGGTTGACGCTGTCAGAGCTGCAGGCACAGTACCGGGCTCATCGGGAGCGGTGGGAGGGCTCGGAGACGTGGTGGGGGCTGGCGGCTTATCTTGCGGAGAGATTGGGAGAAGAAGAAGAAGAAGAGAAGAGTTCAGCAGATGTGACGTCTTCTTCTTTGGCTTCCGCTTCAGCTTCATCTCACACCCCCGTGGATTCCATCATGTGCATCGGACTCGGTAGTCCGAGCGGATTCCTGCGCGATGGCTGGGTCGACCGGCGCAGTGTATCGCTATACCAGCTCGCAGCGCTGGCAAGCGTGAAAGACTATATAACTCGTTCGTGCTCCTTTTCTTTCTTTCTTTTTTTTCCTTTTCAACATACAACCAGAAGCAGTTATATCTACTTATATCTATACGATAAGCCCAGCTAACACATCTCCAACAGAAAAAAACCCCTCGATCCCAATCTACGCCCAAGACCCCGTCTTCAACACCCTCGACCATGCCCTCCTCGAGTCCCTGGGGATAAAAACCCTCCCCGACCCCGCCGCCTTCGACATCGTCACCCCCAAAACCCTCCTCTTCTGCCCCGGCGCCGAACGCCAGCACCTCGAGCGGCTGCTGCCCGCGCAGCCGGCGCTCGTGTTTGGGGGCCCGTTGGAGCAGAGCGACTCGGCGGAGATCGAGGCGTTTGTGGCGCGGACGGAGTCGCGTGCTTTGCGCGGGTTTGGGCCGCTGGAGCATGCTTTTTGGAAGATGAGGGTTTATTTTTGGAATGGCCCGAAAGAAATGTAACTCATTCATGAGTTTATTTTGGATTTTGGATTTGGATCAGAGAGCTTATGCATATACAGGCGTTTCAGGAAGCATCTAATCGACAATTTGGCTCAGCATTTTGCTCTTAGCACGAATATTAGATGTCCTAAAGTATAAGCAAGAGATCTAACCCTTGGTTTACTCACATACTAAGCAGTATCAACTTGACCACTAGCCAGGAATACTCAAACATGAGTAGAGACACCCTCAAAGAGAAACGTGCAACTAATCGTGGTATTTACATTAGGCCTAGCATAACCTGGAAGAAACTCAGCAACCCAACATACTACCCAGCAGAGATAACCAAGTAGCAATAAGAGACAAATTCCCATCTTGAAAAACAAAACCACCATTCAAATCCCAATAAGTGAGGACACAGCAGGCAAAAAAAAGGAAGAGACGCCAGTTGAACCAAACGGACAAGATGTAGCACGAAGGCAGTAAAAAAAAGTAAGCGCCCTGATCAGCAAAGATAAATCGACAGACACAAGCGCAGGATCTAAGCAAAATAAGCAATGCAGAGGAAGAGGTAGATAGAGAGAAAAGGTAGAGATGGAGGTAGACGGAGAGGGCAAGGTACATAGAGATGGAGGGAAGACATCTCATGAGAGCAAATCAGCAAGAAAAAAACGCCAGCAGAGACAAAAATGGTGGGGGATAAAAGCAAAAAAAAAGGGGGGAAAAGTATATGCACGTATTTTTCATGATCGTGATCCCATTACGCAAAAAGAGACAAAGGGGCGAGAGAAACTCCACCAAAACTCGGCCCTAAGGCGACTGGCCGCCGCAGTCCGGGATCTTGAGGCCCGGCTTGAGTTTGCGAGCAGAGTCCATCAGACCCCATTTGTCTTCCCAGTTCTTGCCGGGCTCGTTGAACTGAACTTTCCAGGGCTCGTCAAAGGCCTCGAACCTGAGAGAGGGTTAGCATCTCGATACTAAATACGGGAGTCTGGGGAGAGAAAGAGGGAGGGAGGGGGGAGAAACATACCAGAAGTAATCGGTCCCGTTCTTCATAGCTTGACACACCCAGTCGGACATGAACTTGTTCATGTTCTCCACGCTCGCAATAGATCCGGGAGTATCCTTATCGCAGACAGGACTATCACCGCAGTCCTTGCCACCAGAGTTAGGCCATCCAACCTCAGAAATGACTTGCTTCTTCTTGGAGTTCTTGGTGAGCGAGACATCGTTGTTCTGCCAGAAAGACCAGGTCCACGAGGCAGCGTGGTCGACATTGACACCAGCAAAGAACGGGTGGACGTTGGACATAACCACATCGACCTCCTGCACCAAATCCGAGTTCCAGTTGTCGCCCAGATCAGAGGTGGCAATGGGCATGTCGAGGCTGCGCTTCTTGGCCTCGTCCTTGACCTCGTTGATATGCTTGATGAGGGTCTTCTGGGCGGTTTTCTTGTCTGGGCCGGCGCGAAAGAGGGCCTCATTGCCAACAATAATGCCGTTGAAGATCGACGTGTCCTTGGTGTCGTCCAGGGTCTTGTACAGCTGATCGAGCTGGCGCTGAGTGGTGGTGGTATTTGAGTCGATCCAGACGCCGAGCCAGACCTTCATGCTCTTCAGCTCGAGCCGGTCAATCGCGTGCAGCACCATCTCGGTCTGGTTGCAGTCCGTGCCGTACAAGCGCACGTTATCGGTCAGCTGCGACAGCACGGCCATGTCACGGGTGACGTTATTCTGGGACGGCGGGTACTTCAAACACAGCGGGTACTGGACACCCCACGGCGTGTAGTCCATGCCAGGGAACACCTTGTGCAGATCCTTGTTATTCATCAGCTCCTTGATGGCCGACGAGTCCTTTCCGAGGTCACCATTCGCCTTGGTGTCATCCTTGGCCGACTGGTCACTGGACTTGCCGCTAGCCTTCCCTTCCTTGTGTCGACTGCCGATCGTGCCGCCGACAGCTCCGCCAACAATCGCACCCAGGATGATAATGCCCAGCACAAGCCCGACAATCAGCCCACGCTTCTTCCGTCCTTCCATGTGCTTCCCCGGCGATTTCTTCTCGCCGGCCCCGGCTTCCAGCCCGCCGCCGGGAACCGGTCCATACGACGGCCCGGCATTCTTGCTCTTCCCGAAGATGCCACCGAGGATGCCTCCAGCAGCGGCCCCGCCAGCGGCACCCGCCGCAGCAGGCGCAGCATTCGCAGCACGGGACTGCGACTGGGGAACGAACCCGTCGTCACCATCATCGGCAATCTCATCCGGGTTGATATTATCCATGCCGCCGGTGCTGTAAGCAGACTGTCGCTGGTAGGGACCATCGCTGACAACACCACCACCAGCATAGGGCGCGGGGTACTGATCACCGACGCCATGGTGGTAAGCACCAGCATCACTCAGATGTGACGAAGACTGGCCAGGCGTCTGCAAGCCCGGCGAGGCAGCCGCAGCACCAAGGGCGAGATTCGAACCGTACGAGTGCTCAGGACGCAGGGACTCGGCGCTGGCGTAGGCGGCAGCCGGTGGGACGTAAGGGTTGTCGGCCCCAGTCGTGTGAAAGCCGCGTTCGGCGGGCCCTGTGAATCCGTCATCGCGCACGGCTTCGACGCCGCTGAGCCGATCGTGCGAGTTGGCGACGCCGAGGGCGATGCCGCTGATGCCGCCGCCCACGGAGGCTGGGCCGAGGTTATCGACGCCTGGGGTCACGGTTGCGTTGTTGCGGATGGATTGTGAGTAGCCGTGGCCCGGGGGTGCCGGGATGTCCATGTCATCGGCGTCATCGTACCGGTGGGCACCGGACATGGTGAAGGGTCAACAGTAGTATCCAGAAAAAATGAGGATGTGGAGATGGTCAAGTTTGGAAGAGTCGAGGAGATGGTGAGAAGGTAAGAAGGTAAGAAGGTGCAAGGTGAGATGAGTCGAACACAAGAGGGAAGCCTAAAATTCAGGCATAAAAGCGTTTCACCTGAATCCACGGTTCCCGAGATGACGGGGTTGTGGGAGGGCAAGGTGGGCCGGACTGAAAAGCTGAGACGCGTGGATCAGCTGTGAGACACAGTGTTTTGTGTGTGTACGAAAGAACAGCACAAATAGCATGAAGAGCAAAGCGAAGTGGAAAAAGAGGTGATCTGCAAGTCAACAGAGTTGGTGGCCCGGACAACGGTGATATTCCCCCACTAGCGAGATCTGTCTCAGAGCGATCTCAGCGTGAGATAGTTGTCACTCAGCAGTAGAAGAGAGGTTGAAAAGATCAAAAGACGGAATTCGAGAAATTGCAATCTCTTTTTGACGGATGCCTCATTCCCCTGCATGCGAGGATTGCGCGCGTTTCTCTTTCTCTGATTCAAGTGTCAATGTGGAGCTGGTGGAGATTTCTCCCTGCGATCTCCAGTCCCTGTTGGTCCCTTTGAGTCCCTGGCCCTGTTGCTATTTTTGGAGGAATGTGAGACTCCTTCATGCCAAATGGCTGCCTTCGGAATATATTATTTCATGATTGATGATTGATGATTGATACACTCAAGAGCAAATATACTGCAAAAGCAATAGAATGGCTCGCCCTCGCATCTGTCAAAGCAGTGGTATATCTCAAAATGACATGTTCATAAACCCCATCACGTCGTTATCCATCAAGTCGTCACATCTTCCGAGTTCATTCCAGTCTCTGATCCCTGGTCCCTTGTTTGTCTTTTTCTCTTTTTCTTTTCTTTTCTTTTTTCCTCTCCCTTTTCCACTTGCAATCGCCGACCGTCGATCTCTCTCCACTTACCCGTGGACCCCCTTTGGGACGCGAACAATCAATCTCCAACGCCGACGCCGACAGCAGGAAAATCATCCATGATAAACCAAGAGAATTAAAATCGGGGATATCATCCTTAAGAGTATCCATGGATATCCCCTAACCTTCCACTTCCTCAGCACTGCGCTGAGTAGCTGACTGAGCACCGGCGTCCGCTTGGCGACCGCGCCGCTCGAGGAACCGTCGCTTGCCCCGACGAGTATCAAAGTGCTCGGGGATGTCCGCGGGATCTTGACCGGCGGCGAGCATGCTGCTGCGCATTTTGTTGCGATAGGCGTCCACTATAACAATGTAAGAAATAGGTTAGCCGGATATGGACAAAGGCAAGTGAGACAGTCTCAAGCCACCGCGGGGATCGTCAATTATGCCCGCCTGACACGTGGGTCAAGTCGAGTAGAGACGAGAAAAAGACAAAACAAAGAACAAAAAAAGATACATACGTGATCGCTGCAAAAAGAGCATCCGGTCCGCAAACACCCGGCTCTGGCTCCAGCTCATGCGGTAGCCGAGGTCATTAAGGAGGACCTCCTTGTGGTGGCGACGACGGGATAGCTTCGGCACATCGACCTCCCGCTCGCCGTCCAGCGAGGGCGCCGGGACAGTCGTGCGGCCAACCGTCGCAGCTTCGGGATCCTCGACATGCTCCGAATCATCACGGAAGAACCGCGCATTGGGCACAACCCGACCAGGGGCATCCTTCATCTGGACCGGGAAGTAAGTGCGTGGATAAACCGCATTGGACATGCGGTACGAGTCCGGGATCTCGTCCATATTGACCTTATCCAAAACCACCTTGACGCGCACGCGGCAGCCGCGCTGCGGGTCATCGACGAGGATGAATTTGCGGCGCTTGCCATCCGGCAGCTGGCCGAATAGTTCTTCGTTGCTGGCGCTCTGCTCGTCTGTGTTGTTGGCAATAGTGGTATCGTCCCCGCGGCTTGACGATGCTGCGATCGTCGGGTGTCGCCCCAGTGAGCCCAGGCTATTGTCTCGTAGGAGGGGTGGCATCGAGGGCCCGCTGGCGCTGGCTGGGAACGGGGCAGTCGGGGTGTCGTTGAAGACTTGAGCCGGACGCATGTCGGCGGAGGATGGCAGGCGGCCGGAGTGCTGGGGTCCGGTGGGATAGTCTGTGCCTATATCAAAGAATAGAGGCAGGGGGCACAGAATTAGCCTACGCTGTACTCCATGGGGCAGATCCAAGAGAGCGAGAGAGAGGGAGAGAGAAGGAAAAGAAAAGGGAAGAGCAGGACAAATAACAGAAAATGACAAAGACGCAGCGGTATCAAATGGATATGGTGACAAGCAGAAACACGCACAGGGTATGGAATCGACAAAAAAACAAGCCAGAAGACACAAGACAGAAAACAAACCAAGTCCAGACCAGGTAGGGATACACAAGCATACACCTCATATAACCACCGACACATGCACACCGTTTTCCCACATATACACATACAAGACATAACACCGGCCCGCCAAAAGGTCCTCGAGAGGAAGAAGGAAAAAGAGAGAGAGAGAAAGGGAGAAAGAAAGATACAGGAAGGTGGACAACAGAAGAGAACACATCATATATGGTGAAACATACCGGTGACTTCCTCAGTGCTAGGGCTGCCATCCGGTTGAGCATGATGATGATGCATCTGTGGAGGACCCATGGCAGCCATTGACGCAGAACTGATACTAGCGCGCGGCGCCGGGCCAGGCATCGCCGAGCCCGGCAGGCTCGGGGCAACGGGGCTAGCAGCGGGCATATGGGGAGTGGGCGCAGGAGCAGACTGGCGTCGATTGATCTTGGCCATCCGGCGAACCCTGCGGCTGCGCAGTCGCGGATCCTGGTTGCTGTTCCGCCAGCTGTCCACGGCGCGCTGGATGAGGCCTCGTTTTCCCCGCAGTGCCGGGTTCAACTCGGCTAACGCCCAGCCCACGGCATTGCACTCGGTCTCGTAGACCAGCCGGTTTCCCCGGTACTGGTCCTTGCTGCAACAGGCGCGCGGGTACACGCAGTTCTCCGTCTTGAATTCCTGGCCCAGCGTGTCGACGTTGACAGACTCGACGTCGCAGCGGATCGTGTACTCCATCTTGACTCGGTCCCTCGAGTACTCAAATGCGATCCACTGCACCCCGTTACTGTCCTGGCGCACCACCAGCGGCGTGGTCGCGGGGATGGGTCCCGGTGCGGCGTTGGAGCTTGTTCCCTGTGGCGGGCTGGATTGCGGGTTGTTCGCTTGCATGGCCGGGTTGCTGCTCGCCGAAAGAGGGGGATTCATCATCCCTCGCGGGGCCTGGGCTGACTGCTGTGATGTGTCCAGTTTGATTCCTGAACTGCCGGACAGCGGGTTCGGGGTGTGTGATGACTGATGCGGCGGGATCTGGGCCGTGGTGGTTTGAGGGGGCATCATCAGCGGTTGGGTAGTCAGCGGATGCTGTTGAGGAGAAGGGTGCGCGGCGTATGGCGAGGGCTGGACGGGGTTCATGGGCGAGTATGGCGGATAGCCGTACATTTGCGGCATCTGCGGGGACTGCGTGTACATGTTGCGTCCATGATGGTCGTGGGGCTGTGAAGTCACCGACGCCGGCGAGTTCGACTGGGGAGTGTGATAGATTGGGGGGTAAGGTCTCTGCATTTGGGTGGCGGTTGCCATGAGGTCGGATGGTCCTGGCCGCGGATCAGTCGAAGGTCTTAGGACAGAGCGTGGTAGGTCGTCGAGAGAGAGCGCACAGCCAGTGATAACTGCATAGATCCGTTCATTCACAACACGAAAGTTCTGAGCTTACCGCTAGAAGGATATTGCGCCGGTGCTGTGGCGGTGGTATATGAAGTCGGGTGGGTGGTATAGTAGGGTTCTTGGGACGGTGGCCCGTATGCGCTTTGTGGCTGCAAGACACCGTTGCCTAGATGATGAGGCGGGGGGTACGTAGCAGAGGCGATGGAGGGAGCGGGTTGAATAGGCGATGCAGGGCCGTGTCTGGGGAGTTGTGAAAGACCGGTTCGTGGTTGTTGGAAAGGATGAGGATGTTGTGAGCCCGGGTGCCCCGAACTGCCGTGTCGAAGCTGTAGCAGAAGCACGAATCAGTGACTGGGAATTGGGATATAGCCAGCGCAAAGCCGCCTGAAAGAGGCGACAGGCGAATTTGCGAGCCCGACTGCACGGTGGTACAGACCACCTAAGAACGTGGATGGGGGAGAGAGAAAAGAGACTCGGGGGCACAGCCAGATCGTTTGGAAGAGTGACGACATCGTCAAGGGTATCGAGCCTCCTGAGTGGAGCATGGGCATTTGAATCTTGAAGTTGAAATCCCCGACAAGCTCATCTCATCATGGGAGGGGGGCAAGGAGGCCTCGAGCAGGGATGCCATTAGGTGCGTAACAAATGGCCAGGGTACAACCAGGATGGCCGGCCCAGGACCAAAGAGAGGCACGAATTTGTGTAGCGCTGAGTCGGGGGCTTGATACCGCTCAGTGGTTCTTTTCTTCCGAAGGCGCAAAGCACTCGAGCTGCTCGATTTGCCCCCCGCGAGAGGCGCTTTGCAACGCCACACACGGACTCGAGGATTGCTCTCATTGCGCTGGGTCCTTCCATGTCGTTTCAAACGCGCGTGGCAAACAGAGATTGAGCGGGGATGAAGTCCCATGGGAATGTATACAAGAACGATAATGCGCAATGGACCATGACAAGCACCGAAGACCCAAGAGAACTCAGCGATAGTCGGGCATTGCCAATAGCTCGGCGTCCTGTTGGAATTGACCGCAGCAATGGGGGAGAGATCGATTGCCCCGATTTCAGCTTGCAATGGGACGGGGCGCACGGCGAGATCGAGGGCGACCCCGCGACAGAATATGAGAGAGAGAGCAAGATAGACGGAATGATATTGAAGTAGGGCAAAAGAAAAGAAAGAAAGAAAACAATCTCACAAATCTATCATGAGGAATACTCGACAGACAGAAAAGCGACGCAACGCAACGCAAAGAAAAGACACATAGCACTGAAGAATGATACTCACGGGATCATCAATCGGATCGTCCTTGAACTTGGGCAGAGGACCAAGATCAGTCTGTACCATGCCGGTCATGGACCTCACGGGCTGGGATAGAATAGGGAGAAAAATAGACTCGAAGCCAGGTTTGACAAGAGAAGAACTAGGATGGTTTGGCGCGCGAGGGAAGAACCGCGCGTGGAGATGTCAGAAAGGATGACACACCACGAGGGCGATCCGCGAGGGCCTGAGGCTGAACACTGCGCGACACACGGGGATTGTTGACTGGGGTTTCAACGGTGAAGGCAAGTGGAGGGTCCAGGGTTATTTAGCTGCACTCGTGAGACCCATTCTTTGGGATCTTGGCCTGAAGGCCAGGAAAAAGAAATCAAAAATAAAATGACAGAAAAAGAAAAGAAAGAGAAGGGTAGAATGGCAGTGGGGAAAAGGTGTAAGATTGACCACGAAAGAGGCCTCGAAACCGGTACTCATCCGAGCCTCAGGAGGTTTTAAAATGAATGTCAGACTGGCCCTGAAGGGAAAAAGAAAAGAAAAAAAAAAGAAAAAAGAAAGAGGGGGATGATGTGCAGCATGCAGGAGTGGAAACATGGGCATTACTATAATATTACCATTGAGTTATTTTCAGTATTATTTCTATTATTTCTGATTATTTTTATAACAAAGAAAAGACCATACTAACTCCGGCACTTGGCCTCGGTGGGGATCGAGTTCAACGGCCCTGGATTCGACTCGGAGACGGTGGAAAGACGGTGATACGTCCGAAGGATCGAGGGATGGGGTCGGAGGATGTCCCGGAAAGATAATCTACATCCTGCTGGAATGCTTTGTTACTAGACGGGATAGTGTATAGAAAGTGAAAAAAAGAGTACTAATAACACAAAATGAAAGAAAAGAAAAGAAAAGATCTCAAGCAATTGCTCTCCGTCCACACCCGCGAGTCTCTAAGAGAGATGTTTGTACCCATGACGTGGGGGATCGCAATTGCACCCTCCAAACCGCGGTCTAGAAGATGGACTAAAAAGGGCCGTGTGGAGACGGGAGAAAAAGGGCTTGACGTCGGATCTCGTGCAGTGGGTTTCAGGTACGAGTATACACAATGATTACTAGTGTGATCACATTATAACAGTATAACAGTATAACAGTATAATATTATTCTCGGAGTATATCGAAATAGAAGATCGGCAACAAAGAACCGGAGAGGGTTACACACCGATCTGACATAGTTCCACGGCCCAATGAATCTCTTCCAAGGAACTCCTCGGCCCCGTCTAAATAAACTCGAAACAGCCTAACGGCCATCGCATTTGCGTTCATGAGAGCAAAAAAGAAAAAGAAAAAGAAGAAAAAACCCGCGTGTAACCCTCTTTTTTCTTTCCCCTTCATTTGGTCTCCCAACCTCAGATCCCCGAACTACTGTTTAAAAAAAAAGAATTCTAATGCTAGTTGCCGGAGTATCTGCAACCCTGTGTTCGAGTCTTTGAAACTAAATGAAAGAAAGACCTGTTTCTTCTACTCAGTCAACAGTGGATCCATGGATATTCTCTCCATGCGGCCCCCCACCCGGGTTCACCCTGAACCACCTTAGCGCGAGTTAGGGCTTGGCAAGTTGGAGTGGATTCCCTTGGACCCAAGTTGTCTGGCTCTAAATCGGCCGACGCACTTTTATTATAACAATTATAATCTATTATTATTATCTTCGAATATTCTTCTCAGTGCATAGTGAATAGCCAAAATGCTGGAGAAAGATAACTAAAGTAAATGGTAAATGGTAAAGAATACTAATATTTAGCTGAATACTGTAGCCTGCGGGATTCGAATCTTCCAATGTTGATCCCTTGGGTTGTATATTCCCTATGAAAGACCTCTTGGAGAAATTCCAGGAAACAGGAATCTCCGGCTTTTATTCCTGAGGCTGGATCAGGAAGCCCGCGCGGACTATCAAAGTTGCGCAGCACATTGCATGAAAGCGGACGGACATTTCTCTCTCTCTCTCTCTCTCTCTCTCTCTTTGTTACTAGTGAAACTAGTCAGGTTCGAGGGCTTTCCAGAATCAGGTTAGTCTCGTCGTAATCGGCGCAGGCATCTTACAGCTGCCCCATCTATGTATCCATGCATCCAATGAAGGGTCGACAGTAGTTATGCGGGAAGAAAGACTCGACCGATAATGCGCACACACACACACATCAATACACTCAGGAACTCAGCCCTGAAGGTTTGGGGCTAATCACCCGTGTGTACGCATGGCCCAGCCCCTTACCCCAGTGGGGCCGAAGGGGCGGAGAGAAAAATGTCATTCGATCAACATTCTTATTGGCGTGATCGATGTAGGGTGGTTGGGGGGATGTCCGCGACTTGTTCTCTCTCTCTCTCGGGGGGAAGTTCCACCGCTGAACTTGGGGGCTCTTCCCCCTTCATGCTACTTTTTTTTTAAAAAAAAAATTAAATTTTTTTTTTCTTTGTTCATGGTACGGGACGATCATCTCGAGTGGAGGGAAATTGCGATAACAATCCGTCCATGACCCACCAGATCCAGTGGCCAGTGCGGGTTACTAGATCGGGTATGTGGTATAGTAGATGGGCAAATTTCCACGGCTTCGAGTCTTGACAGAAAGAAAGAAAAGACAAGAATTTGAAATACTTGACTATAGATGAGCTGGATAGGCTGAAAGAAACCACAATTAGACACAGAGCACTTGACCTTTGACTCTGTGGTTTGAGAGTATGAGGTCGTACAGTTCCAGAAATGTTTCACAGTTCAAATCGCAACGATCCGACGTGCTCGCTGGGGCTACCCGGGAACGCTATCGACGCTATCGACTGGGGGGGAGGAGGGGGCGTTTTCGGACGCAACTCCTGGGCGGATCAACCTTGGAACCATGAGCTTGAGAGTGGCGCGCCCCGGATCGACTAAAGGTTGAAGTCTGGGCAAGTCTTTCCTCTTCTTTTATTGTTAGTTTCTCTTTTTCTTTTCGTATATTTTTGCCCCAGATTATCGAGTATCGAGTCATACGTGCGTGTCAACAAAAGACGGCAAATCTCGTTAACTGCGCCAGTTGCCGATTCAAACTCGGGGATACGTCACGCACACAGATGGCCTATGTTAGGGTCACGCCGTTTGGATTGGGGCCCTCTTTTCTTTTTCTATGGCATCAGATGCAGCGACTCAACTTGTGGAAGTGACCGAGGCTGCTGAGCCACTTACATACCTAAGGAACTCTCCAGCTTGGTGGCAGTTAGCATCACTTTTGGCACTAAATGAATATTTAGGTATAACGAGGCAGCTAATGAATGGACAGGTAGAGATACCCAATGGCTTATGCACGCTTGTCTATGGATGAGTTAGGGTTAGGTAGCCTTAAAACTAAGGATTGCATACTCGGCACCACGATTCTAACTTACCTCTCGAGGCAGGTAGAACCGCCACCCATTTCCTACTCTCCAAGTCTCTTTCGACGAAATTTTCCTTGGTTCATCTACACCTGAAGAAGGGGGGGGGGAAGCTGATCGGCACCGACGGGCCAAAACGCCCACGTTGAATTAGCACTGATGTCAGCCCTTGCGGCGTGCAGATGCAGTCAGTTTGCTGTCCTCGTCACGATGACCTTTTCTCAGCCCAAGATTGAGATTTGGACTTGTCTGTATGTAGGTGGCAGTCTCGAACGGTAGAAAAAAAAGAAATTGAAAAAGAAATTAAATTAACAAAAGGGGAACACCGTGGAGACGGAGGATTCGGGACTCGGCAAGCGCATCGAATCCCACCCACAATCCACAATCCATAATCTCTCGATGCGTCGCCCGCCGCGTGTTGATTGCTAACCTGCCAATGATCGAGTCATCAAAAAAAAAAGTCCAGAAGTCTTGATCGGCTTGGCTGGCTTGGCGGGTGGACTGGACACTGGATGTACTGTACGCCCCCCCCCCCCCCGGGGTGGCGCTAGGATTGTAGATAGCAATATCAGAAAATGGGGCTACTGCTTTCCCGGTCCATGGACACGCTCCTCCTGGCACTGGTTAGCTTAATCCTTGAACGAGACTATTGACCGGTCATAATCCTCATAATCCTCTAATCCATCGTATGGCTTATACTATAAAGTATGTATACAGTATACAGTAATGTGCAATCCTCTAGAAGCAATCCAAATTAAAGTTGTCGCACCCTGGTCCCCCCTAGATCCCCCCTTCCATCGTGCCCTATAACTCGGAACGATCTGGCGCCAACGGCTTTTTGTCATGGATCCAGATCCATTCCGCATTTATTTTTATACACAGAGCAAACAGAGCAAGAAGGGTAAAAAAGAGGAACTAGCAGCTAGCAACGGATCAAGGCACTCCGGAAATCTACCATACACAAAGCGGGCTGTTCCGAGCAAGCTCCTGGTTCGGGCAATGATAATCAATACCTACAGTAGGTATGGCTCGCTCGCTCTTTGTTGGTTTTTGGAGAGTGTAATCCCCGATATAACCGTGGTCACATCAACTGCTCCTCTTTTTTCTTTCTCAGTTATTTTTTTTTCCCTGATATTTTTCGTATATTATACATTAATCAACGCTTCTTTGTTCTACTCTCAATGGTAGAGCCAGCAAGATCGGGCGTCGGCTGTGATTCCGGCTCCACCCTCCGCCCGACTCATCTCGACGGTCTATTTTATGAGTGCCCGAAAAAGGGAGGTGATTGAACAATAATCTAGCATGAGGTAACTCCATCACAAAAACGGTGTCTTTGACCGTTGCTCTTGTTGAGGAAAGGATATTCCGGCCGTGGAAATTAGAGAAAACGTATCAAAAGAACAAGGAAAAAGCAATTAGAAAAAATAAAAGTAAAAATAAAGAAAGGTTCTTTGACCGACATTCATGTATACATACATCGAAGGTTCAAGATTCGCTGTCAATGTACACCGAATCTTTGATACTGACACAGAAGCAAAAACAAAAGAAAGGAAAAAGCAAAATGCGGCTTCAGAAGACAAACTCTGTGAGGCATCGACTGGCGGGACCGCGTTAAACCTGCAGGTGTAGTAGCGCGGCGCGTGGTCCGAGTGAGCGCAGCTTGTTTCAGAATCTTTGCGAGCGAGAGCTGGAGGGCCTAATATAGAAATCCTTATAGCTGATCGCTGCAGAGATACGACTGTCACACTCGATTGTGCCTCGTCACCTATCAAAGGTACCTCTATGTAAAAAACATGAGGTATATATTGTTTCTTTAGATTAAATGCTTTACTTTGGTATAGTTGAGATCCATGAGTATATTACAGCGTATAACATAGGTATACCCAACGCCAGCCATGTCATAGCGTTAAATGCCAATGTCAAAATGTCGAGAGAGAGAGAGAAAGAGCAGATGCAAGGGGGAAAAGGGTTCGCCCCCATGTGCTACGCGATGATCATCGACGGATTTAGGTAGATGTATTTGCCACTACATACGTAATAACACAAAGAAAATCATGAAATATTTTTTTAAAATAAAATCATTAATTAAAATAAAATACACAGTAAATGAGAATAAGTCAAACACCTATACAAAGACTATACAAAAAGGCAATAAGGGTGAGGGATGTGTGCGAGATTCTCGATAACATCGACATCATCTGGGGTTTTCTCCCCCCCCCTCCTTTTTTTATCCATTATTATTATTTTTCTTATTTTGTTTAGGGATGTCCACACTAGATCGATCCAGAGACTTTGGCCACGAATCGTACCCCTCTCTTCCCATACGGAGTAATAAGTCCGTGAGCTAAGAAATCAGAGAGAGGGGGGCTGACGGGATGAGCTCACGATCTACCGGATCGAATCCTGGCTCCATTCCATGGGATGAAGGCCTCGCCAATAATAGATAGCCCTACTGTCCTAGGAAATGTCTGTTACTACCTACTGTCACTAGTATGTCAACTCTTCCCATGAAACACATGCCCACCATCAGTAAGACAACACTCTTCTCTTCGCTTAGGACCCACTCGAGAAAGGGGAAACTACTGTGGGGGACAGCCGTTGTTAGGTCGAGTTCTAGCTATTCATTACCTAGTTTGCATGCCGAGGAACATGACTAGCAAGAAAATAATAGTAATAATAATAATAATAATTTGAAAATAAAAAATAAAATAAAATAAAATACATACTACCCCCAGAGAGGCATGTGTTCACAAGCAACTTTCAGGCGCTAATCGCTTGCAGCTTGGGGGAAAGACCCTCGGTGTCTCGGGGTCTTTTCTATTTCCACAATATCCAGTGGTTCAGTACCATCCACCTATAGTAAAAAGACAGTGCCAACAATAGATGGCGCAGTAGCCATAAAATGCCGCATGCAACCGCGTTATTTTTTTTTCTGACAAGATCGTCCCCTTCCCCCCCCCCCCCCCTCTCTCTACTCTAGGTACCTAGGTAGGGCTATCACCGGGCTATTATTAATTTGTGGCCTTACATATGACTGGATGGACCCGGGTCTTCGTTGATTACTATTATTATATTGCCGTTTGATTCGGATTGACTATCCTATTTATTCCGTAGTTGTAGGGTGAATCTTTTACCCTATGCCCAGTACTACTACTATAGTACTAGCACAAGAATAAGACTTCCCGAGGTCTACTAGGAGATAGATGAGGGTTTGTTATTTTTAATAATAAGTATCTAACTATCCCAAAGAAAGCTGAAGTCATATCCATAGATTGTAACTGAATATCTACGCACTTTCTACTTAGAGCTAAGGACAATCTACCAGAATAGAAATGTTGGTCTGGCATTAAACACTTATCAATATACAATACTAGCCCTCCAGTGGCTAATTGGCCATTCTAATCACCTTCCCAGAAAAACACCGGTGAATATGAATTAAATCTCTCTGCGTACTTCGAAGTAAAATCAAATGTTTGCTTCAATATGTGTGGCGTCGTGTCTAGAACCTGCACGCTCCAACTGGCCACTGTGGTCCACCTGTGATTCCCCCCTTTTTTTTCTGTCTGTGACGATCAGGCGTGACGGCAACTTTCTTTCTTTCTTTCTTTCTTTTTTTTTCCTCCTCTAGAGGACCTATGTAGAGATATGAGGGGTGGGGGTGCATTAGAAGGGTTCTCATGACTGGAATAATTTCCGATAGAAAAAGGAAAAAAATGAAAGAAAGAAAAAGAAAATATCAGTTTCGTATACAATCGTATTAGTGGAGCAATTCTCTGAGCGTTGCGCCATTTTTTTTTTTTCTATTTTCTTTGCTTTTTTCATGTCTCTTCCAGCTTTCCAACTGGTGAGGCTACACAAGAGATGAGAAGAGAATAGTGTCTACTTCCAAGATTACCTAGGTAGGTCTGCTTGCAAGGATATAATCTGCCCTTTTTGAAAAATAATGATAATAGCAATAATCATAATCATAATAATAATAATAATAAATAAAATTTATGAAAATAGTCAAGTCAAAATTCGAGGACAAGTCATACAGTTCATGTGTGCGGATATCCCTCTTGCGTAGGTCGTACAAGAGCTGAAGTGGCAAGGCATCAACATCAACACCCCATGCAATCATTCATTGGTCCCGGTCTAGGACACTGGCTATGCAATACGTGCTCTTGATGAGCATGCCACTTACGCCATGTATAAGACTCTATGTATCAAGACAACCAAGCGGTGTAGATCCAAAACAGAGAGAGAAAACACCAAGACAAAGACCAAGATAGCAAACGGTGGACTGCGACAAGGAAGCTTAGGTAGAAGCAGTCGAGACAAGTGCATGAAATCATGAAATCAAGCGAGAGAGCACGAGGCCGCACATAATTCTTTCTTGTAGCCTTCGGCTAGACATTGGCTCACACATATACACATATACACAGCACCGGAATCCATTCGTTCGGTCGGTCCAGCCGAGAACTCGGATCTTTGATCAATTTCCTACCCTTGCGCTGGCGCATTCAGAATGGGTCTCTCATCATCAGGCGAATTGCTTGGAGCGCGAGGTCGGGACGGCAGCGCCAAATTCTCCGACTCAGGGGCCGGGGTCGGCGGAGCTTCAATCTGACGCGGCGCTCCATCATCTTCGTCCTCGTCGTCACTTGAGAAGTCGTCGTGGCGGCCATGGCGGCGGCTCTCGTCCCTGCGACGACGCTTGTCGTGCAAGTATTCCTTGTGTCGGGCGTCTGAACAAATCCTCAGTTAGTCTGACACTTTCACAAGACACCAACAAGACTCCCTTCAGATCAATTGGAAGACTTACCTCGAATCTCCTGCGTCTTGACAGCATACGCCTGGATCTCCTCTTTGCTCAGCACCCGCAGCACAATCACATACTCTGACCGCTCTTCGAATCGTTCGTTGCCGGCCTCCAGCGCAGCCGGATTGACCAGTCGTCGGTCAACCTTGGTCCACCGCGCGCCCGGTGGAATACCCTTTTTGTTGAGTGGAGCGACGCCCTCTCTGACGGGGTTGGGCTCTTCGGGGAAACTCTCACGCGGGGCCTTCAAGATACCCTTGGGAGCTGCTTCGGGCTCTTTCGAAGCCGGCGGCTCGACCGTGACGGGCCGTCGCCCATCGCCTGTGCGGTCATCACGCGGGGAGTGGCGCGATTCACGCCGGCGGCGGTCGTCTTCCAGTAACCGCTGGGGGCGAGACGAGCGGTGTCGCCGCGAGCGCGAGCGCGAGCGGTCCTTGCTTGACGTGTCGGTGCTGCTGTGTCGGCGACGGGTTGTCGCAGGAGCCTCGCCGCGGTAATTTCGAAGATCCTCGTCCGAGCTGTACGCGTCCAAATCGCTTTCTACCCGTCGTCTTGAACGTCTGCGTGGTCGCCTCGTATCTCCGGGCTCCAGATAGAGCTGCTTGTTTTGGTCGGGGCTGGGGGGGCCGCCATCTGTCGGTCCTCGGGGTGAAGAATGCGCTGGATCATTGTCATGTTCGGGATTGTGCGGGCGTCGGTGACTGCGTGGCGGAAGGCCATGTCCCCCGGAATCCGGATCTCCTTTATCCAATGCAGCTGGCTCGCGTCGATAGTTACGAAGATCTTCATCTGATGTCAACGCGTCCGAGTCGCTCTCCGCCGCTCGTCTCGAGGGTTTGCGAGACCGCCTCCGACGGTGAGAGTCGCCGGACTCTAGATAAAGTTGCTTGCTTTTTTCAGGACTGGGGACATCATCCGTCAGCCCTCGAGATGATAACCTTGGATCTTTGTAATGTTCGTCATCGCGCAAACGTCTGTGACTACGTCGTGCAGGACGATGGTCATAGTCCGACAGGTCTGAATACCCAGCACCCAACGCCGCAGTTCCCAGCCCTGGCAAGGCCTTTTTCATGTCGTGTGGCTTTGAATGCCGGTCATCTTCATGAGCTCGGTCAAACTCACGATCGTGATGTGGTCTGCGGGGACGGTGGCGGCGACGGCCATCGCTGTAGTCATCGTGTCGAGACGAATAACCAAAATCAGAGTCGTGGGGCACAACGACCAGGGCACGATCGTGATGATCTCCCTTGGGCTTGTGCATCTCTCGAACATTATCTGCATCATGAACCAAACCTCGCGGGCCGCCATCGCGCTGGTCCAGCTTATCCAGACCCCGCGAGGTCGGAGGTGGCCCGTGGCTCCGAGGTTCTTTTCGCGAAGGCCACTGTAGATGATCCTCCATTCCTGTCATGCTCAAAGGCCGGTCCTTGGTATACCCACCTCGTGGATGGCGCGGCCGGACCGGGTAGTCGCGGTCGAACTGCTCCCGGGGAGTGGTGTAGGAATATGCATCATAGTCATCGATATCGTCCCCTTTTTTCAAGCCAGTATAAGGTGGATAGCGCCGCCGGCCGGGTGCTGGGTGGACACGGTGTGCCCCGTGGCCAACCCGAGCTTTACTATCGCGCGGGTCCAGACGACCCGTGTCGCTCGCATAGTCGGTGCTATACATTCGACGGTGGCGGCCGCCGCTCTGAGAGGTCGAGGCAAGGTAGTGGGCGGAGTCATAAGGAAGTGGGCTGGCCGAACGCTGAGGGCTCGCACTCATGACCTGCGAGTGGCGGGGGTGTGATGACGAGGGCACCGCAAGTCTCAATGGGGTCTCGTAGTCTGCGGCGGAGGTTGTGTTGCTTCTGTGTCTGCTGGGCTGAACGCTGTATTCGGTCCTTTTCTTGGTAGCCTGATTGGGGTCGCGATAGGTCTGGGAGGCGACCGGGCGCGCCTCGAGCATCGATGAACGACTCGGGCGATGCCTGTAGGCACTGCCATACCCGACATCTGAGGGGTACTCATCATAGTCGTAGCGGCGGGCTGTTTCGTAGGGGTCCTGCGATGAGCCGAGTTGCACCATGCCGGTGGAAGCTCGCATGGGGTCTACCATGTGGCTCCGCCCGGCGCCCGGCGACAGAGTCCGGTAATGGTCCGAGGAACCCATCGTGGACTTCCCAGGACAATCTCCGATTCAGGCGTGGCTACCAGACGCCAGTACGGTTGGCGTCGAATCAGTGGTGCCGCTCTCGATTTCGTGGCGGGCGTGGAAAGCAATCGAGTGGATGAGAGCCGGTTGGGTCGAGGGCAAGAAGAATTCAAACACGGAGAGGTGGTAAGATAAAGAGGTTGGAGGGGCAGAGTCCAAACTCTTTCCACTGTATAACCCGATTCAAATGACCAAGGTGAAGGCAAATTGAGCGAAGGTGAAAGAAGAAAAGAGGAAAAAAAAAAGGGAGCTCTTCAATGACGCACAAGTGGGTTGGGAACCCCCACCGAGTCCTGCCTGACTTGCACTTGGGTGCTGACCGCGGGAGGTACCTGAGAAGTATCTAAGAAGAGTAGTACAGGCCAGGGTAGAGTCTTGATAAGAGGTAAAAAGTAAATATTACCCAAGTCTACTTGCAGATAAAAGCATATCCGTGGAATGCAGCGCTTTGAGCCCATGGATCGCCATGTGCTCTCCCCACCGATCCCTTGCGCAGCGCCAGTCTCCATCCGCCCGCCAAAACCCCCGTTGACAAGCGGTCAGCCTCGTCGACTCCACCGCGTTCCGGTTTGCCCGGGCGTCGGGCGAAGTCAGCGGGTGAGGCCTGGCGAGGCCAAAATAAATGATATCATCGGATCTACAGTGGGGAGATGGGTATGCGAAATCCTGGATCGGAATTAATATAGCGAACAATAGCAAAACAGCCAAACAGCAAAAAAACAATAAACAAAGATAGAAAACTTATAAAAGTCCCAAGCTTTACTCTACCAGACACAAGATTCGATTGGCTTACCCTCTTCCAATAAACATCCAGCCTTATACAACTACACGCATTGGCTTTGGATTTTGTTGAATTGGCGCATTCCGACTGGTCATGTTCTCTCTTCAAGTAGATCTTCTATAATAAGCACAAGCCCCTTTCAACCCCAAACGCCCCGGCCGAGGACTCCGCGACTGGCCCCCGGGCAAGCCAAACAAGATCTCCCGGTTTATGTCGCGCGGAATACTTCCATACACAACGTCACTATTATTGGGGGGAGAAGAACTCCACCGGCTCGTCCCGGCATGCAAGGGAGGAACCCGCCCTACGTACTTGACCTTCTAGAAAAGATCGATACTCTATTTGATTGAGCGGTCAAGTGGTTTCTGACTTCTACCGAGGCTCATCATGTATGGATTTGCGCCCAGGTTTGTCAGGTGTCATTTTCGAAGCCCTAAAAGGGTGTAGTTGGGTTCATGCCTGGTTTTGGTGCCCGCTGGCTGGCTGGTTCCTGTTGCTTCACTTCTTTTTCCTTTCTCTTGCGAACACCGGGGTCTTACTTGCCCTGGCCCGGGGCGGTCCTCTCCCTCTCCTTGGGGTTGGGGTGTGCTATTTCGGGGTTTGTGAGGCAGTTCTGTTCTTGCCTCAAGAGAGGGTGTGGTGCGGGTGGAAAAACTGGATCTATATAAAGATACCAAGAACTATCCAGTCTCAAGTGTATCAGTCAAGAATTCAATTGAGTTTATCACGGAATCATCATCATAGCCAGAGAAATCCATACCAAACCGATATCTCCATTATCTCGAGCATCCATCTATACCACCTCATCCAATCTAAATCTATCAAACTACAAACAACCATGTCTTCAACGCACCTGTCTCCCACGCTAGACAATCCCACCGCAGAATACGAAGCCTCTGCTTTCCACGAGGATCAATATCGATATCATCCACAACATGACTGCATCCTTCAACCAAGACTCCTCACAAGCAATCCACCACTTCTGCGCCGCTTACGATCTTCCTCAATAACATCCCCATCATATCCACCATCTATACTCCCAACCTCGCTATTCACAACCAATGCTTCATCAAGAACAGGGGCGATCCAACAACGCCCGGACTGGTGGACATGTTGTAGCTGCAAGCAAATGGCCAATCCGGCACTTGCCCCGGACCGATGTCCGATCTGCTCGCATTTTAAATGCTGTTCTTGCTCGAGGGAGAGCGTGCGGTGAGATGTGTTGGACATGTACTATTCTTGGATGATTTACAATGTGATCACGCGGTAATATGGGAGCTGTCATTGCAGTGGCTTCTACGGGTTAACCATTCTGTGATGTTTCTTGGAGTCTGCGGTTATTATTTTGGGGAAGTGTATATTATACTGGGAATGGCTTGTGAGGCTTGGACAACCCCAGTATTTATTTGGATGCTCTATGCTCCACTTTCTAGTCCTTTTTTTTTTTTTTTTTTTCGCCGGGTCGTATAAACTAGCGAAGGATGTTTGTATTCAATAATGATAGCATTCAGCCCTACCCCGGTGGATATTCGTAAGGCTACGGATCTAGAGACACAGTGCGGAGGCCGCAGGAGTGGATATAGTGGAGCACAACGTGCACGGTATCGATAACACCAATTATGTATGGATGGATGGATGATAATGTATGACTTATGCAGATTGTTCATAAAAGGGAAAAGCCCTTCCCCCCCCTTTGCGGTGATCAAGTTGGTGGCTGTGTGTCAACCCGTCGGTGTTGCAGACCCGCACCCCGATCCGTTGGGGGACGGTGCTACCAAGCCGGCTTCCTGTTTCAGGCGAGCCACCACGGGCCCCAGCGCAAAGGCACTTTCCAAGCTGCTGTGATCGGCGCAGGGACTCTGCTTCAGAGGAAGTAGCCAATCGGCGACACTGTACCCCATCACCTGCTGCAGGTTTGCGAGTGGGCTGCCGAGGTTGAACGGGTTGTCGCCCGGCTGGGTTTGGAGGATTGCAAAGACGTGGCGCTCTTTGGTTGAGGGCTCGCTGGTTTGGGGCTGCGAGGTGGTGGGAGGGGGTGTGGTGGCCAGGATACCATGCGGAAGTTTGGGGCCCAGGGGGATTCGGATGCCCATAGTTGGTCGAGAAGGTGGTCCGGCACGCGGATGGCTAGTGTCCAGACGGCGGATCGCCGGTTGAGGTTTTCGATTGTGGTGAGGTTGAACATTGCTAGTTGGAGACTGCTCAGGGTCATTCCCAAGGTGAATACACCAAAGAGTCCGCTCCTAGTGATTGATATTAGATGGATGGTAAGCAGTTTCCAAGGGAAAGACACATACAGTCCAATGCAGATACACCAATGTGCGTTGATTTCTCCCAGCTGACAAAGAATGTTAGTATCGAGTCAACATCCTTGACCGATTCAACAATATCTCCGGGCACTCACATGATGGCGCAACTCCGCCGTAAAGTAAGCGGACACGATGAGAGCAAAAAGACAAAAAACGAAAGTATAGGCAACAAATTGCACAAAGAACTTAAACGACGTCTCGGACACGACTCCGCCAACCCTGGCATGCTGTTAGTGATGTTGATCTCTCTCCAGATGGGAGAAATATCCATACCAAGGACAGAAATGGTCCATCTTGCGCACGCAGCGATCTACCTCTCGACAGTGATGCGCCCGGTCCGTCTTGAATTGGCAGCACGACGAACAATACGGAGGCCGACCGTCCGGCTGGCACACGAAGACATCCTTGGTGTAGAATCTCTCCAGTCCAAGTGGATCGAGCTGAAACGCCTTGCCTCCGGCGGTAGTATCCAAGCCTCGTTCTGTGTCGGCGTCGGGTTGGGTGTTTTTCTCCGGCTCTTGAGGCTTACGCGAGCTGCTCTTCCTGCGACGCGGCTTCTCGGACTCCGAGTCCTGCGCGTCCTTCGCGTCCTGCTGGATACGCTCCGCACCCAAGGGGAGATAACCTGGTTCCCACGCAACATAATATAGCAGACGGAGGTATGTGACAACCATCGGGATTAATAGAACATAATAGACGGCGAGGATGGCGGCGCCCGCGCCGACTCGGGGGGCTCGATCGTACGAGGGTAAAGGATGGATTAAGTAGTCAACTGGAAGTCGGCGACGTTAGCAATCAGACCCCCAATCAACACTATTGTTCCTTCGAGTCATCCCCCTGCAACACTCACTGCATAAAGGTTTGGTGACGGCATAGCTGGCGTAGACGACGGCGCCCAAAAGCACGGGCGGGATGACTCTGGAGACGGCGACATTGACGCGCTTCTGCGCGGGGGTCGCCATGAGAATAAGGGCTGCCTCAATGTACCAAATGCATGGGAAAATAATATAATGGCTCCAATCTAGGCATCTCTAGGCAGCTCCTATAGATTGGCCACGGATGATGAACTTGGGGATGACGGGCAGAACCAAACAGTGCAAACTGATGTAATCACCACCGTCCACCTCCAGGGCTGGGTAGCCAGGAACCACCTGCGGGCAGCTTTGATTCTCATCCAAATCATTCAAAAAACAAACCATTCCGGCGGGAAAACACGGGCCATTATGCAACCGTGTGACTCGTGTTCTGCTGCCTATGTCTGCCTATCGCGAGAATCGGCTGTCCGAAGAGCACCGGGTACCTTCGGTCGCATTCTGTCAACTACTCGGATACCTCTGGAGATGCCAGTGTCTTTCTTTCTAATCAAAGATTTGTCAGGTATCTGGCAAAGGACGGATATCCATGGACACGCGATCTCCATGGCGATTAGAAATAGCATTCCCCAACTGACAAACCAACCCACGCACAACTTGAAATTGAATATTCGTCCAGAATGTATTTGAGTCAGTAAACCATGAAACCATCAAATATCAAAGGTATGACTTAGGCAGCAGAGGCTTAGCGCGCAACCACCTGACTTGACGTTCCGCGATGACTCTTTTGCCAAAAATCCCTGAGAGTGGGGGAGTCCCGAATTTCCAGGCTCCAGGCAAGGCATCAACGGGAGACCCGACGAACCCGAGGATTTGGTGACCGTCAGTTTGACCGTGCAAATGCTTGCAAAGACCCCCATCCTCCATACATTGACCCGGGGAGCGATCCCACGCGAGACGGTGTAGCCTTGGCTGAGAGTGGACCCCCGTTGACTCAAAAAACCCTTGATGATTCACAGGTTCCTCAGGCGCGGTATCTAGGCGCAGAGGGTGGGTGCTTTTCCCACCCTGGGCACAGCACCCAGGCTAGGTGTTATTCTCACGGAATGATGTGCAAAACTACCATTATGCCGGCCCCAATAGGACTGGAGACCCCCCCCTACCGGGTGACCAGCCCATTCCTCATTCGGCTTTCGCAGCGCAGCCTACCGGGGCTGTTAACTTTGCCAGAACGCTGCCTTGTCCTCGATACATTTTTGATTTTTCTATTTTATACAATCCCCATAGCCAAATCTTATATAGTCTCATCGGATCCCGGTGGTTTCGATTTCTTTTCCAGTTCAATCCATCTTGTCTACACACATCTGTCTCTTGATACTTGCCCCAAGCTATATAGAGTCGTGATCTACCATCTACTCTTCTACCATCCACCCCAATATTATATTCTATATTCCCTTCATCCTCATTCTCCCATACTACCACAATGCCGTCGCTGTGGTACTGCTGCGAATGCAGCTTCGGCCCTCACAACTCGGCCCTCTACGACGCCTGCATCCAGTGCGGCAACACACGCTGCACCCGCTGCCTCGAAGAGAAGATCTCCCTGAAGATGAACATGAACAACACTCCCTGCTGCCACACAACCTCGCCCTATCCGGCCATCGCCGCCCTCGACCCTTCTCGCCCCGTCTCCCCATCATCATCTCCCCGGCCACTTCTACCACTACCTTCCACGATGGACCTCACAGCCCTGCCACACGTACGATCATCCTTGCTCCACGAAGACCAGACTAGATTCTCGCCCGCCTCCGTAGGCCCGACCCATCTCTACAGCCAGACGTACATGTATATCTGCTGCAAATGCAACGACGGGCCCAAGGTCTACAATCATCAGCCCCGATGTGTAGTCTGCAGCCATGAAGCCTGCGGCGGCTGCACCTATGTCAAGTGAGGCCCGATCCAATTTCCATGAAGTCAAATGGTGAGCCCACTGCATTCCTCCCGGTCACTCAGCCCTGTGGAGAATCGGAGACTAACATGTGTGTTCCAGTGATTCTGACTAGGGTGACATCCGTCTGATTTATTTTTGATTTTTGATTTTATGTGTGTCATGCAAAGCGGGTAATGGGTTTCAGCATAGCCGGGTGTATTGCTCTTGGTTTTTTTTTTTTTCGGGTGTTATTGTTGTTGTTATTGTTGTTGCTTAGATTAGATGTATACTTCGTGTTGCTTAATTTAGGACGCTGAGCTAAGCAGGGCTGGTCCCCTGATCGCCCAAGGCTGTTCTTGTTTTTGTGTCTTACTGTGATTCCCTAAGTTGAACTATGACGATGACTATGACTCTGAACTTTCCTCTAGTTCTTACTTGATCTCTGGAAGGATGGCTGCGCCATGCACCTGAGATCTTCAGGCGAGAATCACGATCCCCCCATCTCTATCCACGGCCCCTACTTCTCTCAACCGAGCCTCACAAACCCGGGCAACTTCAGTGGCTTGTGGTTGGACATTTGGCACTGAGCCACGGACCCAGTGATGATCTGTGGGAAAAGAAAAAGAAAAAAAAAAAAAAAAAAAAAAAAAAAAAAAAGAGGGCCACTAAACCCGAGTGCGAGATGGGTGCCAGACTACTGATGCGCCCGGGGAGACCAAACCCCAACCCCGTTTCCTCCCTCGGAGACCGCCCTTTGGCCGACATCTGCACGGCACCAGCCCTATCACTCTAGTCGAAGTGGCGGTCTTGTTAACTTTTGATCGCATCTGTCATTTTAGTTTCTTTATAACTTTTTTTTTTCTCTTTCTTTCTATTATTTCTCGGCCCCATTCCATCTATCCCGCTTCGTTTCAGCCCCCCGCCAACTCCGTATAGACCAAGACCCAGTTGTCCACTTTTCTTATTTATTTTTTTCTCTTTTTGTTTTTCTCTCTTTGTTTTCTGCGTGGCTTAGGTCCTCTCTAGTGTCTACTATAGTCTCCGAGCCTTATTCCCTCTCGTACTGCCTCACCGAGAGAAACGGCTGTGCTATAAAGAGAATAAAAGAAAACCAAGGAGATTTTTCTCCGTACGAGTGGACTGTGCGCCCTTGGGACTGTACAAACCCGGCTTCCCCTGTGTCTTTTTTCTATTATTACTCGCATGAAAAGAAAAGAAAAAAAAAACCCTCTCTGTTTGGTCCGCGGGGTTCCGCGGAGACTTGATCGGGATCCCGCACCCACTTGTTGCATCGCCTTGGTTCTATTTCTCCAGTGACGTCGTTTGACTTGCTTTCTATACTCTCTTTTTTCTCTTTATTGTCTACACCCGGGTTCTGTCGGGCGAGGTAACCATCTTGCTGAATAATTATATACGAACTCAAACCACTTTCAGGATTGTAAGATTTGAAAGATTATTTGCCCTGGAAGTGAGGCGCAAATATAGATGTCCATAGATATGAGTGAGAATCACTCATTTCTGTCTTTGACTCGACTTGGTGTCTACATAAGTGGGTCGCATACATGACGGGGCCAGATATACATCCAGGTATATGCACAAGAAAAAGATAATCCTGAAAAGATGGAGATTAATAATATCAATAATAACAATAATCATATAATCATATAACCATAAAAAGAACAGCTGAATGATATCCCATCCATTGAGCCTGTTTTCGGAAACGGTGGCTCCAAACCCTAGGGACTTCGCCCCTTCCTCCGACACTGACTATACTTAGCCCCCGTCAGCCGCAATCCCACTGGACTCTTTACAGTTGCATTCCTTCAATTGCTGTTCCTTTCTATGGGGGATGGTACTACATCTGAGTAGCGTTGGGGGCCTTACGTGGTTTTAATTTGCCGATGTGGATAAATGTATATTTTGGTTTCCTGGACACATATCCAAGCAAGTTATTGAAAATAGACTGGACCATGTACAGTTCTACGAAAAGCCAGACTGGCACACCCCAGTATAGAGGATAGCTCAGATGATCATTTCTCAAAGAAGGGATCTCTCGAACACTTCTTTTAGATACTCGCCGTGTTTACAAGACTAACACAAAACACAAGATCGAATCAAACAGATTGATATGGACGCTATTGCTATGAATATGTCCTGCGAGACCGTATGACCAGTAATCGTACACCCTCCATCCCCAGTAAAATAAGAAAATAGGTTGCGTCAGCGCAGATTACCTGGAACCCCAGACCAGTACTCGGGGCCAGACTGAAGCTCAACTGCGGAGTTACGACCAGCAGCAGAGGAAAATGTAGACGCCTCAACGCCCAGTTTGTCGACCAGAGAAACGTGCTGAGTATCTTCCAAAGCCCAGAAAATCGTTGCAAAAAGAAAAAAGTATAGTTCAGTTTCATGGGCCAAGAAATGAACCGTCTCCCGATGTGGTGTCGGGGATGCAACCAAAATGCAGAAACGAACGCTGTGCTGGCTAATGATGCATGGAGAAAGGGAGGGGTTGAAGAGAGAAGGAAAAAGACGACCTAAATATTCCACGCAAGGAACCGCCCGAGGATCGGAAAGAAAGATAATGTGGTTGGGCGGCGTTCACACCACAACGAGAACAAATCTTCCCCATGAGAGGATATGGCGTGTGTTTGCCCATCAGGAGTGGTGGAATGACAATGTCACAGAGGTCCATAGAAGCCTGCTCACCTTGATGACTCTCTTCCATGGTGAAGGAGTCGATGATCGTGTTCGGAGATGGTTACAGGGGCAAGATGCGGGTCGGGTCTTGAAGGAAGCGCCTACGATATGCGGCTATCGAGGCGGCCACAATTTCAAAGTCTTTCACCTTGTCACGTCGCAACTCGTTGATGATCTCTTTCAGCCCGGCGCGATAGACTTCTTTTTCTTCTTCGGATTCGCCTTCCCGAACTGCGCCCATCTGGACCAGGATCTTGTCGTCTGTCGAGGTTAATAACACTGTGGTCAGCATTCGGACAAGACAAATATAATCACATGGGAAGGAATCAAAGACAGAGGAATCCGGTGAAGCCCAGCTGAGAGAAAAGTTTTGGGAGGGAGGAATGAAATGAATGCAAGGCATAGGGCAAGATGGAAATGAAAACCATAGGATATGTGGCACGGCTTTCAACTCGACGACGCACCGCTGAGAGTCATGTCCCGGAAATGTTGGAACTCGCAGGAGCGGTCATTGCAAACACCAGCCAGCTCATACGGGCAGAGGTATTTCATCGGGTCGATGTTGTGGCTGTATGTTAGCGAACGGTAGCCACCCGGGACCTCGGCAGTATAATTTGGGTGGAAGCGATATGCCTTGAAAAGTCGCAGAGGGCTAACGTAAGGAGAGAATTTCGTCTCCGAACGGGTGGATGGTGGTTCGCTCTGGACGGGGTTAGTGGGTGGATCAAAACAACCTCCTCCAGGGAAGGCGATCTTCATACACCAAGAATGCCAACCTGAGAATCTAGACCTGGCTTCGACCCCGACACCTGGGGGGCTTCCGTTAGTGCTTCACCAGATTGGGGTAGGCCAAACGAAGTCGCCGGAATCGCCGTATCTGTTACAGAACCGAGAGGAGCAGGGCTGAATGGAGGACTGTAGACCGAGTCTGCGGATTCTGCGTCCGCGACAGGTTCAGGGGGCTCATAAGCATCCGACGCCGCGGAAGATTCACGAGATCGCTCGGCTTCATGACCCGAAGACTCGACTTCCATGTTGTGGTCGTCGGCTGCGGATGGGGGACTTTCGGCATGCGGATGATGCGAGGCGTTCGCGTCCACTTTGTTTGAGGCCTCTGCTATGCTAGCAGAGCTCGGCGCCTCGGCTTGTGTATCCAAGGTAGCAGTTTCTTCGTCCTCGTCGGAATCAGACTCAGAGGTACTACTAGAAGACTCGTCCATGGCGGACCCATCAGATTCAGAAGCATCATGTCTGAACTGGTCAGACTCGGACTCAGATATATCTGAGGATTCCTCAATGTCGTCAGAGGCGCCGTTGACCGCGATCGTACCAGCAGGACTGACGGCAGGCTGTGGCGGGTTAAGCGTGCTTGTAACATCTGTCGGACCTAGGGCATCTGAGACACTCATATCACTTGAGTCCGAGGAAAATTGGTTACTCGTTGATTCTGATCAAAAATAGTTAGAATAAGACCCTGCGGTTAAATGGAAACAATTATTCATGGTACACACCTTCCTTCGCCGCAAGATGTTGCTCCTTGACTTCTGCCTGCCGGCGAAGCTCATCAAGGTCTTCCAAAGACAAACCATTGATTTCGTAACTCAAGTTTTTCAACTCCTCAACGAGGTAGAGTCGACCTTCTTTCCCTTTGGTGATGTCAGACAGCAGTTTATCAGCCTCTGCCCGACACACGGAAAGACGAGATTCGGACGACTGGATTTCAGCATCCAGACCAGGAAGGCCGGACTCAATTGCTTTCATGCGCAAAATTTTGGATCGAATGTAGTCGAGTTGTTCCAGGTCCATTGAAGCCAGGACCCTCACAGATGAATCACTGAAAGTGTTGATAAGATCTGGGCGATTCGCAACGCTGGACGTGGAGGCAACGGTGGTCGGAGCCACTTGCAAGCTGGGCGTTGAAGCGGAGGGATCAGCAGGTTCGACATCAGCGGGATTAGATTGCCCAGCAGATGATGACGAGGCGCCTGAATCATCCAAAGCATTAGGTGACTGGGTTCCACTGGCGAGCTCAGCCTTTCGCTTGCGCTTTTGCTCAAGTTCTGCGATCTTGCGATGCATTTCCTGGATTTGCAAATCCTTTTCTCGAATGCCTTCCTGGTCGCCAGCCCGGGAGGGTGCCTGGGAAGTCGATGGTGCCGAATGATTCTTTTGAAGAGAGGGCCTGGCAGGGTATGGCACAATTGCTGGCCCCGGTTCCTGGTCTTGGCTTGAGTTTATATCCATATCGTCTTCTTCGTCATCCCAATAGAGAGATTCATCGTCACTGATGTCGATGACGAGTCTTTCTGCAGCACTGGGAGGAGCTGTCGCGTGACTCAAGTGCTTCTTCGGAGCGGCCAATGGTTCGTCAAAATCAGACGCTCGAGGTCGCTTGCGCTGAGCTGCCCGGGGTAACGGGGTCGGGTCGACAACAACTCCTTGGCCTGGCGCAGTGGCTCCCTCATGATCAGAGCCCTGCTTCGACCCGGCCATGAAAAGTCCAGGGATAGCAGCAGGCGATGAATCTGGCACAGGTGGACGAACGGGAAGTGGATGCTGAATGATTGACGCTGGAGCTACTGATATGGGGGCCTGGCCTATTTCGACGTTTTGCTCCACTGCGTTGCCTGGCCGACTAGCCTGCGCCTTTTGTCGACTCCTAAACATTGCCTGCTTTTTGAGTTCTTCGATACGCTGCCTTGCCAACTCTGTCTGAGCCTTGTTCTTCTCGCGGGTAGGAGCTTGGCTTTGCTTGGACACGGCTGGTGTCGAGTTGGGGCATCCAACAGATGGGGTTGGTGCTGGCTTTGGCACCGAGGGCTCCGTCTTTTTAGCAGCTTTAGCAGCAAGCATTCGAGCTATGACCTCCTTCCTTTCCATTGGCTTGTCTGTGTCTGACTGGGGGGCAGCTTGGCCAGAGTGCTCGGAAGGTTGGGGTGCTTCCAGACTTGGCTTCTGCGGAAGTTTGTCCTTTTCAGATGCTGGAACCGCCTCTTGCTTGTTCGATGGCAATGGGCTTGTCGCACCAGTCGCAGAAACTGCCGAAGAGGGAGTTGGATTCGCGATAGGCTGCTGAGGAGCATGCACAGCAGCTTTGGTTGCAGCAGGAGCTTGTTGAGGCTGTGGTGTTACAACTCGGATGCCAACTTCTTCATATAGCTGCTTAAGAACAGCTGGGTTGATGCCTTCAGCGACCAACTCATGGTAGCGTATATTATGAGGGGCCAAACTGAGCAGAGCTCCCTGAGCTTGTACGCGGAGCTGTGCTGTCGACTTGTGAGGCTGGGAGATGGTTGCCATTGCCTTAGGCGCATCATTTTGTTGCAACTCAATTGCATGACGGACCACATCTCGATCCATCGAGACGTCTGACGGTGGATTATATGCTGCACCCTGTTAGCGAGACAATGGGAGTCATAGGAAATGGGGAGCACAGTACAAGATCCACTGCTTCTGCTTGACCAAGGTGTACTTGATGCCATTTCGCCTTCTTCTAGTTCGGGATTCTGTGCCGTTGCGTGTGGGGACTTCCAACTAGTTCGCTGACCAAGGGACAGATTTTCTTTCGGAACAGGTGGCATTCCAGCCTCTTCTTCGCTGATTTCACCCTCCTCGCGATTTGGGTCAAGTTGCGTGGTAGATGTCCTCATCGCAGCTGGCGATCTCGATGACTGGGAAATATGACTCCTAGGTACGTTTGCATGTTCCGACGGAGTATTGAAGGACCCTGGTGGCATAGGAAGGCCCACTGGAGGTAGTGGCGGGGGAGGAAAAGGAAAAGGTGGGAGCTGTGACGGGTCAAACTCTCCCAAGACAGGGAACTGAGGTGGAAGGAAGAAGCCACGACCCCCGTGGTTACCTGGACCTGAAATACGCGAGTTTGCATGCACACTCCCCAGATTAACATCCAGGTATTGACCCGGAGGCGCTGCAGGTGGCTGAGTAGATGTATGATCGTTTGGATCGAGGCGAGAATCTTGGGCAGCTGTGGGAAGGTTGATGGGAGGCCACGGGGGAGCATAGTTGAAATGGCCACCGAATGAGGGGTGCTGGTTCGTCATGACGGAAGCCAGTCGCGGGAAGCTAAAAGCTAGGTAAAAAGCTGCGCCGACCGTGTGAGCAATCTAAGAAAGCTGCAGTGAGCTCAGACATCCCACATGGTCATGGCCGAAGCGCAACCGAGGCGGGTGTAAATTGCAGTCTCCAGAGAGAAAGAATACTGGGATGCCGAGGACTGTGCTTTGTGTGAAGATGCAAGTGACGCGTCTTTGGATGGAGATTAATAGAGAAAAGATGAGTAGTAGAGGCAAGGATCCAGAGAATAAAGAGGCTTTGGAGTGAGGAGTGCGGCCGATCGATTGACTACGCGCCGGCGAAAAAAAGATCGAGGTATTCACGTGATGTGCAGAAGCACGGACCAGCGATCGGCGGGAGCCCGAGGAACGCAGTGTAAACAAACATCATCGCCATCTTGTCATTGCGGGCTGCTTCCACTATTGACCTCTCTGGGTCCGTGGCCTTGTATTTCATACTTTCTCTGGTTTTTCTTCATATTCGCCAAACTTGAAATCCTGACCACCGCTTGTTGCTGCACTAAGGCACCTCGTCGGCTATGAGCAACACCCGTGTGTATGGATAATGCCCCATTGAATTACCTCCAACATGCTTCCCTCCCAGCTGAATGGCTCGCCCAAGCGGGCGAACCCTTTTGCCCGGTCGTCTCCTTCACCAGCACCCCAGTCACAACAGGGCCGACCGAAGTCAGCAATCATCACCTCATCGAATGGGTTGGAATCGACCAAAGGACACGCGCGCAACTCGTCAGTCTCACAGCTCTCGCACACATTATCACCGGCAACCCGTGAACGGTCAAACTCAGCAAGGAACAACGCTTCATCGGGAACATTTGCCCCAGGGTTTATCAAGTCAGAGGAGTTGCGCCGAGGTGCTGATCAAATACGGGGACTGGAAGGTGACAATGATTTTTCCGGCAACAAATATGTCTGGTTACGAGATCCCCAGAAGGCCTTTATCCGGGGCCTAGTCCTGGAGGAATTGGAAGGAGGACGATTGTTTGTTCAGAGCGAGGATGGCAATGTATGGACTACACTTATCCTGGAGATGTGACCCCGCCACTGACACCTTTGACAGCAACGGGAGGTAGATGCGGATCAGGTTGATAAGGTCAACCCGGCCAAATTCGACAAGGCAGATGATATGGCGGAACTCACGCACCTGAACGAAGCCTCCGTGGTCCACAACCTCCACACCAGATACCAGTCCGACCTGATTTATGTGCGTGCATTTCTTGAATCATCTTACAAGATTAACTATACTGACTTATATTGGGGAATAGACATATTCCGGGCTTTTCTTGGTGACGGTTAATCCGTATTGCCCTCTGTCAATTTACAGCAACGATTACGTGAAGATGTACAAGGGCCGGGGTAGAGAGGAAACTCGACCCCATATCTTTGCCATGGCCGACGAGGCGTTCCGCAATCTTGTGGAGGAAGGCGAGAACCAAAGCATCCTCGTGACGTAAGTCGTGTGGGCTGGCAATTTAAAAGATGTCAAACTGACTGGGAGTACAATCTAGTGGTGAATCTGGCGCTGGAAAAACAGAGAACACCAAAAAAGTTATCCAGTATTTGGCGGCAGTTGCTACGTCCGACACGCCATATGCCCGATCCGGGGCGAAGCAGTTTTCTGGTCTTTCCCAGCGAATCTTACGTGCCAACCCCATTCTTGAATCGTTTGGAAATTCCCAGACAGTACGGAACAACAACTCGTCCCGGTTCGGGAAGTTTATTCGTATTGAATTCTCGCGATCTGGTCAAATCTCCGGGGCTTGGATTGACTGGTATCTGCTTGAAAAGTCGCGAGTGGTGAAGCCTAACCCCAACGAGAGGAATTACCATATCTTTTATCAACTGCTGCAGGGGGCTGATCGCAAGACTCGAGAAAAACTCCTGCTCTCAGATCTCCAAATCGAAGATTTCGGTTATACAAGAGAAGGTAATGACTCCATCGTTGGAGTATCTGACCAAGACGAGTGGAACTCTCTTATCGAAGCATTCCATGTGATGAATTTCTCCGAGGCTGAGCAGATGAGCATTCTGCGTACAATTGCTGCCGTCCTTCATTTGGGCAATGTGTCTATCTCCAAGGAGAGCGTGCGTGCTGATCAAGCAGCCCTAGCAGCTGATGGGTATCCCAGCGTAGAGAAGGCCTGCCAGCTTCTCGGGATTTCTGCCGACCAATTTGTCAAAGGCCTTCTCCACCCCAAGGTGAAGGCCGGTCGAGAATGGGTGGAGAAAGTACAGACGCCTGAGCAAGTGCGCTTGGCACTCGATGCTTTGTCCAAGGGCATTTACGAGCGTGGATTCGGAGACCTTGTGACCCGGATCAACAACCAGCTTGGCCTTGGCTCGATGGCCGGGGACGACAACTACTTCATTGGCGTCCTGGATATTGCCGGTTTCGAGATCTTCGACAATAACAGCTTTGAGCAGTTGTGTATCAATTACACCAACGAGAAACTGCAGCAGTTCTTCAACCATCACATGTTTGTGTTGGAGCAGGAAGAGTACGCCAGGGAGCAGATCGAGTGGCAGTTTATCGATTTCGGCAAGGACTTGCAACCGACGATCGACCTCATCGAGTTGACGAATCCGATTGGTATTTTCTCTTGCCTCGACGAAGACTGTGTGATGCCCAAAGCCACGGACAAATCCTTCACCGAGAAATTGCATTCTCTCTGGGATCGAAAAACCCCCAAGTACCGATCGGCTCGCCTCAGCCAAGGCTTTGTTCTCACCCATTACGCCGCGGAGGTGGAGTACACGACGAATGACTGGCTTGAGAAGAACAAGGATCCTCTCAATGACAATATCACCCGTCTTCTTGCGGCTTCCCAAGAGCGGCACGTAGCCAATCTTTTCGCCGACTGTGCGGACCCTGAAGAAGATGGCGGCGAGTATCCCAGAAGCCGAGTGAAAAAGGGGTTGTTCCGAACAGTGGCTCAAAGACACAAGGAACAACTAGCCAGCCTGATGGCTCAGCTGAATTCGACCCATCCTCATTTTGTGCGCTGTATATTGCCAAACCACAAGAAACGCCCGAAGATGTTGAACGCGCCTCTGGTACTGGACCAACTTCGATGCAATGGTGTGCTGGAGGGCATTCGAATTGCTCGCACAGGCTTTCCGAACCGTCTTCCTTTTGCCGAATTCCGACAACGGTATGAAGTGCTCTGCCAAAACATGCCGAAAGGCTATTTGGAGGGACAGAGCGCAGCACAGATCATGCTGGAGAAGCTTGGGATGGACCGAGCATGGTACCGAGTCGGCCGAACAAAGGTGTTCTTCCGGGCCGGTGTTTTGGCTGATCTAGAAGAGAAGCGTGACCAGCTCATCAGGAGCATCATGACACGGTTCCAGTCTGTGGCTCGGGGGTTCACGCAGCGTCGCATCTCCAACAAGCGGCTGTACCGAGCCGAGGCGACACGGATCATTCAGCAGAATTTCCACGCTTACCTGGAACTCAAAGGCAACCCTTGGTGGCGAATGTTCTCGAGAATGAAGCCTCTTCTTGGAGACACTCGAACTGCTAAGGAAGTCAAGAAGAGAGACGACAAGATCCACGAGCTGGAAATAAAAGCGAAACAGGAGATCGCAGACCGTCAAAAACTGGACGAGGAGCGGCGTCGTACCGAGATCGAAATCCAGAAGATCCAGCAAACTTTGGAAAGCGAACGCGCGCTGGCCCTGGACAAGGAAGAGATCTTCAAGCGTTTGCAAGTTAGGGAAGGTGAACTCACCGAGAAACTTGCGGGTGCGATTGCCGATCAAGAAAGTCTTGAAGAGCAACTCGACGAGCTGGTCGATGCGAAGAAAAAGGCAGACGATCAACTGCAACTCCGAATCACACAGCTCGAGCAGGCAGGACTCATTATCCAGCAACTGGAATCCGAGAAAAATGAATCACAGGCCCGACTCGCGGAAATTGACGATAAGCTGGCTGAAACGGAAGGCCGATTCTCAGACAAGAACGGTCAAATTCAAGAGCTGGGCCAGGAGATCAAAATGCTTCAAAGCCACCTGAGTTTGAAAGACCGCAAGCTTCAAGATTTGGAGGCCAAGCTATTGAAAACCGACCAGGACCTTGATGTCAAGCTTGCCAACACCACCAAGGAGCTGGACAAGTCCAAAAAACAAGCACGGGACCTCCTCGATGAGAATCGCACCATTCGCCAACAGATATCCGAACTCTCCTCTACTTCTACGGGCTACGAAGACCTTCTTCGACGAAAGGAAAGTGAAATGGCAGTCCTCCGTAACGATGCAAAGAAGCACGAAGAGGAAAAACGGAGCATGGAATCCGAAAAGAACTCACTTTCAACGCGTCACGACAACATGCAGAAACGCCTTCGCGAGGTCCAAGCCGAGAGAGATGCCATGCGCTCTGAGAAGGTCCAACTGGAGCGTGAAGCTGCAGATGTTAAGCGGCTTCTGGAGGCAAAGCGATCCGAGGATGCCGAGGCTGGGGAGAGCAGAAAGCTGCTAGAGCAACAGGTACACGATCTGAAAAATGACCTGTTCAAGGCTCAAGCGGACCTGAGTCGAGAACGCCAGTCCAGAGACGACGTCCAGATGCTGGCGGAGCACAACCTTGCCGACTTGACCGACAAATACAACTCGCTCAATGAATCAAAGATTACTATCGAGAAGGAGATGTACATCCAGCAAGATTCGTTGCGTCGTGCCACCGAAGCCCGTGTCACTGCCGAGCAAGCGCGGAAAGATCTGCAGGCTGAATTGATCAAACTCCGTGACCGATTTACCGACGTCGAAAATGCTCGCTTGAATGCCGAGGCCGAGATCGAACGCAAGATTATGACTCAGGCCGAAGACCGTATGGGTAGTCTGCGCAAGGACCTTGATAGTAAGGCACGTCAACTTGAAGATGTTGAATCAGAACGGTCCCAGCTGTCGACCCGGATCCAAGAGCTGATGCAGGCGATCTCGGAATCGGACAACTTCCGTCTCCGCCATGACCAGCACAAGGAACGCCTCGAGAGAGAGCTTGTGACGTTGAGAGGCAGACTGACGGCTTCTGAAAACGATAACCGATCCCTCCTGACCAAGATTCAACAGAAGAACCTCGATATTGCTCGGTCGAATTCCAAGGCTAGTGACAACAATCGACTCCGGTTAACGAACCTTCAGAAGGAGAAAGCTCGTCTCGAAGAGGAGGCCAAGAAGCTGGGTCGTCAGCTGGGTGATTCACAGGTTGCTGTCACGTCTCTGGAGAAGCAAAAGGAGAAGCTGGCGTTGAGCTTGGAAGATCTCAACCATGAGGTTAATCGTGAGCACAAAAACAGCCGCAATGCCGAAAAGGCCGCTTCTACTGCCAACATTCAACTTGCCGAAGTCAACCGCAATCTGGAGAATGAAAAGCAGTTGCGAAGCCAAGCCCAAGCCAATACCCGACAGTTGCAGGGGACTTTGGACCGAGCGAACAAGGAGATTGAAGATTTACACCGGCAATTGATCCTGTTGCACAAAGTCTTCGAGCCCGAAGCTACTGAACCCACCAAATCCTGGGAGGCCGTCCAGCCGCACCTGTCGAAGCAGGTTGATTTGGCCCAGGTCCTTGACACCGTGCAAAACAAGCTGCAAGTCACCGAGGAGAAGTACATGAGGGCTGAGAGCCAATTGTCTGAAATGCGCCGACGCCACGCCGATGAGATGAAGGAGCTGGACACACGGTACTCATCTTCCAAGCGCGCTTTGCTCGAGGAGATCGATCAGAACGAAGTCGCAAACAACCGGACCCCGACGCACTTCAGGAAGGATTCCGAGAATGCCTTGAAGAGGTTTTCTACTCCCACGACGCCCAACAGACGTTACAACGTTTACGAAGGAGCAAATGAGTCTGCCCGGTCGGATCGCACAGTGGATAGCGTCGGCTACCAGAGACGAATGGATACGGCCGCTGAAATCGAGGAACTCCAGAACAAGCTTCAAATGACGGAGATGCAAAACAAGCACCTACAAAGCCAACTTGGATCGTCTACACCAACTCGTGATATTTGGCAGGATGACAGCCCCTCAGTTCGTCGTATGCAGCTCCTCGAACGTGAAAACTACCGTCTGCACGATCAGCTCGATGATTCCGCAAAGAAGGTGTCGTCCTTGGAACGCAGCATTCGATCCGGCGAGCTGTCGCTCCGTGACGTCCAAGCGAAGTCCCATGAAGAGCTTTACGACTTGATCAACTCGCAGGAACAAGCCAGGCGCTCATTGCTCAAGGTTCACAACGAAACCATGGCTGACTTTGGCGAGGCCAAGGCCCACTTTGAAAAGCTGAAGCGCGGCAAGGCATCATTGGAAGTCGAACTTCGAGACGCCCGATCCGAGACACAGGAGCTGCATGTGGCCCGGGACCAGGATGCGACTAGCCGGAACCAGCTTCTGCAAGAATTCTCTGACTTGCAGATTCGTCTGGACGCCGAGACATCAAGGTCTGCTGATCTAGAGTCAGGTCTCAGCATGTACAAGAGTCGTGCAGATGAGTATTTCAACAAGCTTGAGCAAGCCGAAATCGCTGTTCTCAAAGCCAGTCGTGCCGAGCAGTTTGCCAAGTCGCAAGGACAGGAAGCCGAGGATACTTATGCTCAGATAATGGCGGAACGCAAGGATATGGATGCGCTTGTGGAAGATCTCTCGCGGCAGACTCAGTCACTGGAAGCGCGGATGGAGGACCAAGCTGCGGAGCTCCAAGGTGCTTTGCAGGCCAAGCAGCGTCTCCAGAACGAACTCGAGGACTACCGCAATCAGCGAGCGATTGATCTGGAAGACAAGGAGACCTCTATGGAACAAACCCGACAAAAGTACCAGCGAGAATTCTCTACCTTGAATAACGAGCTGGAGATGGAGCGCGAGAGGGTTCTGAATGTCCGTGGAGAAAACACTCGCCTCCGCGAAGAGCTGGAAGACCTGCGCAGCAAGTGGGACGACGAAGTGCTGAATAGCTCGACATGGGCCAAGGAGAAGGCTCGCATGGACATGATGTTGCAGGACGTCACCACCTCTCGCGACGAGGCTGCCAATGCTCACAATGAAGCCCAGACCAAGGTCGTGACGCTCCTGTCGCAGGTGCGTACGCTCCGGACCTCTGTTGACGATGTCACAGCCGAGCGCGATATGCTCCTCAAGGATAAGAAGATGCTCGAAGGCCGACTCGCTGAAGCCGGCGAGCGACTTGAAGATCTTGCCAAGGGCGAAAGCCCATCCATGCGCAACGCTGCCAGCATGGACCGCGAACTTCTGCAGCTCAAGTCTAAACTGGCCCAGCAGGAAGATGTCTCGACTGCAGCGGTTGGCAAGATGCGCCGGGCTGACGCTTTGGCAACCGAAATGCAGAAGGAGGTTACGGCCGAGCGGGAGACCAATGCCCAGCTGTTCAAGGACAAGGCAGCTCTGGAGAAGCTTCTGAAGGAGGCACAGCTCCGCTGCGTCGACTTGGAAACCAAGAGCTACTCATCCGGTAGCCAGGATGTTCGCTTCTTGCACAAGCGGATCAAGGAGGTAAGATAGCCCCGGGTAACCTTGCACTGTTTCAAATGCGACTTATGTACTAACATGGCTTCCTGCAGCTGGAAACCCACCTTGAGGACCAAGAGAGCAAGCATACCGCCGAGCAGCGCTCTCTCCGCAACGTTGACCGCACCGTTAAAGATCTCCAATCCCAAATTGACCGGCGCGAAAAGATGAACGCTCAGCTCAACGACGATGTCAACAAAGGCCGCGACAAGATTGAGCGCCTCCTCCGCAACATCGAGGAGCTCCAGCAGAGTGACTCGGAGGCACAGATGCAAGTCCGTCGGGCGGAGCGTGAACTGCGCGAGGAGCGAGAGAAAGCGCTCCGGCTGGAGCGCGAACTAGGAGGATGGAAGTCGCTCCGGGGTGACAGAGGCAGCACGATGAGCCGCTCGCCCATGGCTGGCTTTAGCGACGTGGGCAGCCGCCACGGCAGTGCTGCCTATGGATCTAATGATACCCCCAGCGGAAACCCAGCAACACAAAGGGATTCTTGTGAATAGGGTTTAGGACAGGCTTGGGTTGATTTTGTGTGGTGTTGCAAGTCATGGCTTTGAATTGTTTCGTGGGCGGCGTATGATGTGCATTCTGGGGAGAGGGATGTTTTCGATTCCGTATTTTTGCTGGCCTTGTGTCTTGTTCATATTGCTTGAATGGCCACATGTCTTTTTATGTCTTTTTCCTGTTATCATGTTTCAGTATCAGATGAGAATTTGTGTTTCGGTGCCAGGTTCGAATGAACTATCTATACAGTGGAGAGATTGTGATCATTGACTTCTTACATGAATCCTAGCTCAAGTTTTGCAGTTGAACAGACCGAGAAAATGATAATTATGCAGCACTACCCTCGGTTATCCTACTCTGAAATACTCCATGTTTAATTCCCATGATCAGTGCACATATCGGAAGGAAACCACCCCATCCGCCCTATATCCAGTCTTGGGCCCTGCAATCGCCGATCCCGCCAACGCCCCCTCCTCCAGCTCAGCCCTCGCAAGCTCGGCATTCTCTCGCTTCAAATGCCACTTGATCCCCAGCGCCATTATCGCGCAGACCAGACACGCCCCGCTCATGACTCCACCACCGGCATAGTAACGAGGCTTCTGTGAGTCTGGGAACATATACGAGGTATAGAAATGGGCCACGCCAGCGCCCATCAAGTTGACAATAGCCAGTGCAGTTGCACGTTTTGTTTTGGGACGAGGTAGTGATGAGCTCAGCCATGAGACGCAGAGATTGTAGGGTGAGTATGAGCCCGCGGTCATTAGGAACATGCTGAAGTAGCGACCGCCTGTGGTTGGGACGAGCATTGCCTGAAAGGAACTACAGTTAGTTTATGGATCAAATGACAAGCCGGAAAGGAATGAAATGAAAATCTTGAAATTGTAGAACGATGACTCGAGGGGGCCTTTTCTTACCAACAGGTTCCCCAGCAGTGCAAACAGCAATGGAATGGAGATGTGGTAACCTCGTTCTTGCTTGTGAGCCGCATGGAAAGAGATAATTAGAGAGCAGACAAATGCAAAGCCATAGGGCGGAGCGGTAAGCAGCAGCGTGATGGTTTCATCGTATCCCAGGGTGCTGACGATCGACGGGAAGAAGTTGTTGAAGGATTGGGCTGTTATGAGTGCCATTTGCAAGACGATGAACATGTACAGCTTTGGGTCGACCACTGCTTGCTTTACGCCCCAGAATAACGAGTCGGGGTCGTTGTCGACAAGACCGGCGTTCTCATTACGCAGTCGCCAGTCCTGATGGGATGAATGGTCAACATCATAGATCTGGAGGGATTGTCCCAGCATATTCAAAGCATATCCAATCACTTACAGCCAGCAATTGATGCTCCTGGGTCAGCCACCATCGCTTGGTGAGTCCGGGATAGTCGGGAATCAGGGGGATCACTAGTAACGCAATCACCACCGTCATGGATCCTTCTATGATAAAAAGCCATTCCTATGAAAGAGTCAGAAAAAACCATCGAAAAATATATTTGGAATTGGAAAATACTCACCCACGCCGGTCGACCCAGCTTGCCCTCCATGCGCGCAACAATACCCGCAGCAATCAGTCCGCCAAATGCGCTGGCCAGCATATTGGCACCATAGAGAAGTGCAATTCGCGGGGGTAGCTCTGCCCGCTTATACCAACATGACATCAAGAAGAACACCCCTGGTAAGAAGGGTCCTTCGACCAGCCCTAAGACAAACCGACACAGCAATAACCCAGCAAAGTTATGCGTGAAGGCTTGACACATGGACACCACGCCCCAGCTGGCAGTCACGGCGCCGATGTAGATGGATGGCTGAACTTTGGTGATCACCATGTTGGAGGGGACTTGAGTGATTATATCTGAGTATTTGTTAGTGGGATTTGTTCAAGTCATTCATTCCCGAGGTATTCACCTACATCCAACATAGAATATCATCAGGCAGGTGTTATACTGCGTGTTCGTAATGCCGAGGGTATCGGGGAGTCCAGCTATCTTTGCGTTGGCGATGTTATTCCTGTTGATTATGATCAGCGGAAAATGCTACAGAGTCAAGGTGGAGAAGAGACAAACCGGTCGAGAATGTTCATCAAGAAAAGGATAATGACCGCAGGAAGCAGACAAGTATCCAGCCTTCGTACAAGGCCGGCCTCGAGCTTCTGAAGCTCATGGGCTTCATGAGATGCAAGTTCTTCGGGGAGAGGAAGCTGTTGCAGAGGTACAGCCTTGACATCTTCGATTAATTCCACGTCCCGTTTCGACGGAGCAATAGTATCCATAATGGGACCAGATGTCAATTATGCTGGGTTTTTTCTGCAAATACTACGACAGGCCAGGATTTGACAGTCCTCGGGGAAGGAAAGCGGGACTAAACATCTTTATGGTCCTTTTCTCTCCAAATACCGCACCTTTATAGCAAATCGTCGCCTCATTACTTTCTCTCTACATCGGGGTGGTTTCCGGAATCCGGGGTAAACGCGGGGAAGCCGTGGGGGCACGGACTTTGATCATCCCATCAAGTAGGTGTAAAGGGCCCTGCGCGTACAGGCCGGTGAGAAAGCCGAAACTTGAGTCTTGAGTTACATGAGCTTGTCTTGACTTTTCCGAACTCTAGATCCATAAGCAGAACACATATAAAATCAGATAGGAAAATAAATCACTTGGGATGAGGTGAATTATGGGATATTGGAGAGCTTCAAGGATCAAGATCTCTGGATTTAGAATTTAATCGACGTTACTGGAATTTCTTCAATCATCTTTACTCATCCCTGTAGCTAGGCATGCTCGAGCACTAGAACAGAGCAGGAGATCGAGAAGTAGCAGGACATATATACAGGGAGAGGGTCGGTGTGCCGATTTAACTCCGGTTTATCCTCAGAATTATAAAAAGGGAAGCATCCATATGAAGCAGCCTGCGAGAATTATAAAATCAGGTGCATAAAATATTTAAATAGCAGTATGTAGTGGAGAATCGACACAACCTTTAGGTTCAACTTCACGCATATTAACTGAATTTAGTATTGATAATAGGTATCTCATCGATAATTTCCTAGCCTAAAAACAAAACAGAGCAAGGCAATATTTCAAGTATGAGAATAACCGCTACATAGTAAAAGCAGAGATAGACGGCGCTAAACCAGACCACGTGATTACCGCGATAAGCGCCTCGAGCTGTCAAGCTTCATGTCCAACGTTTCTTCAATCCAGCCTTTTCCAGTCGACGGGGCCAATTCGTCACCATGGTGAGTCCATTCTTTCTCAAACCCAAGAGCAAATATGCGCAGCCTTCAATGAACCCATGATAAAAATATTTTCTTTTCCTTACTAACCCCACCGTACCCAAGGCCCGCAACAGTGAAAAAGCGCAGTCGATGCTGTTCCGCTTCCGGGCGCAACAAGCAGCAGACCTCGGAATCATCGATATCGGACGCACCCGCCGACCCAAGGCTATTACAACCGTCGACTCGATCCCCACTTGCGAACGCTGGCGCGGCCAAGTCCTCCAAGAAGTCTCCCGAAAAGTGTCACGCATCCAAGAGCAAAGCCTCAGCGACTACCAGATCCGAGACCTCAACGATGAAATCAACAAGCTCATGCGCGAGAAGTGGGCATGGGAGATGCAGATCCGCAACCTCGGCGGCCCGAATTACATGCGCGGCACTGGGCGGGTCTATGATGACGATGGACACGAGATCCCGGGCGGGGGCAAGGGCTATCGATATTTCGGTCGCGCGAGAGAGCTGCCCGGTGTTAAGGAGATGTTTGAGGCTGCGGCCCGTCGCGGTCGTGGGCCCGCAGAGGAGGAAGACGGCGCCAAGGCTGGAAGGGGCGGGGATATCGCGACGAAAAAAGTCGATGCCAATTACTTTGGCTATGGGCTGGATGAGGAAGATGGGACGTTGCTTGCTTACGAGCGCCTAAAGGAGAAGGAGGCTGTCGAGGGTCTGCGTCGTCAGGGCGATGATGACGCCGAGGATGGCTGGCAATCTCTTCCCGGAGATGCCGGTGACGGCGTCGAGTGGAGGCTCCCGACGATGGAGGAAGTCCAGGAAGAGCTGGTCGATAGGCGCCGGAGACGGCTCCTGTATAAGATCTCTTGATCTGGAGTTTTCATCTTCGTTTCTGCTGTGCTTTGACTATGTGCTTGGGCGTTCCGGGTGCTTCTGCAAAATATTCACGTCTCGAGCATTACCATTTCTCGTCTTTGCTAATGATACATTGACCTGCTTCAAAGTCATATCGGGGTAGGAAGGTCTATTCGTTATCTGTATAGTACATTATGCGGAGTTCTTATTTACATCCAGTTTGTTCTTGCGAGTCATTCGTTCGTTTCTTAGCGCCTGGGTCATGCTCAGGCGGGCGGGTTGCTCAGGATCATCCCGGCGCCGTTCTTCCGCCTCCAAGTCATCGAGCATGAACCGGCCCACGTCGCCTGCACGCCATTTCTGAATAAAATTCAGCGCGGCAGACTCCACAATGGGGACGCCGCCTTTCCCCAGCAGACCGGTTCGGCGCGCGAATGTCTCGAGAAATGGCACCACATCGTTTGTCGGGGCCGACCAGCGTTGATACGCCTGCGCATCATGCAAGTTGACTTTGTATAGAAGATAGTCCACCAAAGTGACTGGTGAGATAACCGCGTCCTTGACACAGCCGCAGAGCGCCAACTTGAGCATGTTCTCCGCGTCTGAAACGTAGGGCATGAACACTCCTGGTGTATCCAGCACGTACACGTGAGACCCGCTCTCGCGTTCGATGATTTTGACTGGACTGGCTATCTTCCGTGTGATACCGGGTTGCCCCCCAGTTTTCAATGCCTTCGCTTTCCCCATGCCTTGATTGCGCAGGTGGTTGATTAGGGTCGACTTGCCGACATTGGGCATTCCGACCACCAGTACGCGGCACCCAACTAGCCTGTCTGGGGCCTCGGCGTCGTTGCGGAGGTGTTTGATTATCTGGTTGATACCCTGACGGGACGAGGAGTCGACAAAGAAAACTGCGCTATCCGGATCGAAACTCTGAATCTTTTTCTCTGCCTGTACTCGTTGAACGTGTAAGTTTCACGGTCTCTATAGAAGGGTGAAGTGTTCCGATTCGGCGCGTACTTACGAGTCTCTGTGCAGGTGATTGGGGAATGTTCCCAAGATCTCTTTTGGTGTAGACAATCAGCCGCCTCGTCTTGCCCAAGGCTTCTTCAAACATTGGATTGATCGATGTCACTGGCGCGCGGTAGTCGCGACATTCGACGACGTAGTCAATGGACGCCAGCATGCTCTTCATTTTGCTGAGTCCAGCTCGGTGGTGTCCTAGGAAATAGGACCTCGGAATGGCCCCATAATGGGGAAAAACTTGGCGTGGAACGAACGCGGCCATTGTGAAATGCTATGGAGGTAACAGATGCATAGTTTTCTGGCTGCAGATTACTGAGCCATCTGCCTCGACGAACCCCGAAGAGCAAAGCTGGGAAGAGCGTGAAGCGGCGAAAACCACAATTCTGCCGGAGGCTCAAAGCGGGATTTCAGGCGGTGAGAGTATATGATGGACTTGAGGCAACCAAGCCAAACTCTCCATTGGATCACCCGAGGGATTGATTCGGGCTAATTTTGCTCTTTTGACACTCTGTGCGACCTGGTGCAAGTATAGAATCTTTATATTTTAGAATTGTCGTTGCCTGCCTTCACGTCCTTCCAGCATATGCATCCTTTAGATCATGTCGCTGATGTCGGCTTTTCGGCCACCGTCTACACGCACTTCGTCGATTCGAAGTAGATCACGCCCTCGGCGACGAAGAAGGGCTGGAAGACATGATGCTGCAGAGTTGGACTCCGAGAATCATTTCCATGACCCCGATGCTCACTCGATTATCACACCCTCGAAGCATACCCCAAGACCGCTCCGAGTCTTGCGAGGCTCAGTAGCGGCTGGTGGTCCCCTTCGTCCGTTCCGGCTTGTGAAGCAAGATATAGTCAATCTCCGTCGGCGATACTTATCTGACTGGACAGTGTTCAACCAATTGATCTTTGCCAGCGCAGTTTATGTTTTCTTCACGAATCTCCTGCCAGGAATCACCTTTGCCAGCGACTTGTATGTCCTGACAGGAAAGAGCTGGGGCACCATTGAGGTTGTGTTTAGTACGGGACTGTGTGGGATTATCTTCTCACTGTAGGTGATTTGGATATCTCCCAGCTATGCTGGATAGTTATTGATCGGCTGGGATAGATTCTCAATTCAGCCTCTCACCATCCTGGGTGTCACCGGTCCCTTTTCAGTGTTGGCTGAAAACATCTACTCGCTCTGTGAAGAAGCTTTCAAGGTTAGTTCTTTGAGTGAGTTGTGTACAGACAACTAAACCAGCCAGATTCCTTTCCTCCCGTTCATGGCTTGGTCTCTCATTCACTCCGCTTGGCTACACTATATTCTGGCTATAATCAATGCGCATGACTGGACTATGCGCTATGTCACGACTTTTGCTACTGAGATATTTTCTCTCCTCAACAGCATCATATATTTCCACAAGGCCATCCAAGAGTTAGAGAGAGCACATGATTCCCTTTCCTTCGCGGCGTTCCTCTACGCTGTGATTGGCGCCGTGGGAACTATGCTTCTTGCCATATTTCTCTCGACAGCCGAGAGCTGGCGACCCTTGTTTCACCGTTACATTCGACTTGGATTGACGGAATACGCTGCAGCCATTTCGATCATTGTCTTCATTGGCTTGCCTTATGTAGGCGAGCTAGCGCATCTCGACAAGATGACTCTCCCAGTCAGTAGTTCATTCCGACCAACCTCACCTGAGCGAGAAATATTCTTTGTCGAGTTCTGGAAATTACCCGTCCAATGGGTCTTTGTGGCTATCATTCCTGGCCTGATTATTACAATTCTCTTTTTCTTTGACCACGAAGTCAGCTCGATTATCTGCACGATCGATCGATATGGGACTCGCAAGCCGGGCGGATTCGCATGGGATATCATTTTGCTGGGCACAACCACAGCTCTCTGTGGGATTCTCGGTATTCCGCCAGCCAATGGTCTTCTTCCGCAGGCCCCCTTGCACTCGGAGTCTCTCATGCATGCCGAGAAAGAAGAGACCAGAGTCATCGTCAACGAAAAAGTCGAGACGCGAGAGGTCCGCCGTGTCTATGAGCAACGCTGGTCAGCATTTCTCCATTCCGGGGCGATTCTATTGTTCGTCAGCCCACCGCTCATGAAAGTGCTTGGCTTGACGCCAACCAGTGTCCTTGCGGGTCTTTTTCTTTTTATGGGGGAGCAGAGTCTATCAGTAAAGTAAGTCAGGGATACTTGGATATCTTTCTTGGGATACGCCCGCATACTAACTTAACTCTCAGCCCTATCCTATATCGTACATTTTATCTTCTCACGCCGCCATCAGAGTTACCGCCACTACCACACTCCTTACAAGTGTCTACCAGATCTAACCGGGATGCAGCCGAGGATTCCGTATCTTGTACTCCGTCCTACATCCCAATCCACCTCTACACACTACTGCAGATTGTCATCACTGTGGTGATATTCATAGTGACTTTAACCAAGGGTGCACCTGCGTTTCCAGTATTGATCATTGCCCTCGTACCTTTCCGGCTGTTGGTCATGAAACGCTGGTGGCACCGTGAAGTCCTCCGATTCGTGGACGCCTGGGCTTGTCGTGAGGGAACCCCAGAGGATGACGAGGACACAGTAACGAAGGGTCACCGGGCTACCGAAGAGAACTCAAGTGGTGGTGTTTTTGCTGGCCAGGGTGTCTTCCACCCTGATTCCGAACAAGACACTCGTCGAGGTTCATTGCCCAACAGGGCGAGTGCAGAGCCCAAGCAGGCGGATGAGGGACATGCTGATATTGGCCATCAGCGTATGCATGGCATGGCCGATGACAGCATGGCTCACGAATGGATTGAGCTCGGGGATCAAGCCCCTGATGAAGAGCTTGGACATAGGAGATAGATGTTTAGAAATAAAGATTTTTCATTTTTGGCATAGCCCTTGTTTCGATGAGCAAGATAACAGCCATTAATATCGATATCTTGACTTTAAAAATGTAGAAAAGTTGATGCACCGTGATTTATTTTTAATCTATGCTTGCCCGTAGAGTGTATTTAATTCCAATAATAATATTTTAGGACCTCTCAATAGGCGAGAATAAGTGCTAGCAACATTCCATCCTTTTAATCCTTCCAGCCCAGCCGATTAGCGATAACCTTCACAGCGTAAACCAAGCCCAACAACACCGGAACCTCAATCAAAGGTCCAACAGTAGCAGCCAGCGCCTGGTTACTATTCGCGCCAAACGTCGCAACAGCAACCGCAATAGCCAACTCGAAATTATTGCTAGCCGCAGTAAAGCTCTGCGTCGCAGCCAGCTTATACCCAAACCCGCATCTATGCGCAATAAACAAAGTCGCGAAAAAGACCACAGCAAAGTAAACCACCAGCGGCGCGGCAACCCGAATCACCGAAACAATCTGGTGGACGACCTGTCGGCCCTGCGACGCAAACAGCACCAAGATCGTGAACAAGAGCCCGATCAGCGACCACGGACTCGCCCACTTCAGAAAGACCTGGTCGTACCATTTCGCAGAGATGGCTTGGCGGATTGTGAACCGCGTGAGTATTGCAGCGCCGAGGGGAATGCCGAGGAATACGGCGACGCTTTTGGCTGCGGTGGTGTATTCGAAGGTTACCGAGTCGCCGCTGATGACGCGGATAAAGAATACGCCCATGGGTGCGAAAAGCACCATTTGGAGGAGTGAGTTGAGTGCTACCAGGATGGCACAGTATTCTCCGTCTCCGCCGGCGAGACCTGTCCATATCAAGACCTGATCGAGAAATTGTGTTAGTAAATTTTCGATTAAATGTACAGTTCGTCTTTTTAGTTAAACTGCTTACCATGGCAATGCACCGTGCAATTCCAACCAGAATCAGTCCCTGTCGCAGCTCAGGCTCGTCGGGTAGGAAAGCCCATGCCAGGCCCAACTATCGAGGTCAGCATGGGCACTAGGAATGAGAAAATATACCTGACATAGTCAAAGAATCGCATACCATTAAGAACGGAGCAATAATCCAGTTGAGCACTATGCTAAACGCCATCTGGATCCATATCTGTCGAGTTTGAAACACCCGATGCAGAGATTCATATCGGACTTTGCAGAGAATCGGGTACATCATAACAAGTAAACCAACAGCTGTGCAATAATATGTTAACTTGGAACCTGGAATACCATGTTATAGAATTCTACTCACCGATTGGAACTGACACACCAACAAATGTGCCTCGTTGTAATGCAGGACCAGTGTTCGGGACCAAGTTGCCCAGAATGATCCCGATGGCCATGGCCAGGAAAATCCATATCGCAAGAAAGCGATCCAAGATGCCGAGATTTTTGAACGCTGATTGTTTTTCTTGGGGTTTTGTTGAAACCATGGCGCTTTCTTTCTCTATATCGGGAGTTGGGTTAGTAGTCGAACTGGGCGGATTGAGGCTTTCGTGTTGTATCGACGCCATCGTGAACCGAAAAAAAAAAAAAAAAAAAAAAAAAAAACAAGTGATTAATGATTATAAAAGGTATAAGTGATGAAAGGAAGATTTCTATCAGCGAAGAATTATCTCAATTATAGACGCGGTATACTGGTCGATGTCACTAGCGCACGCTGATTGGACGAGCCGTCTCGGTTGGGTGAAATCTGGAGTTCCTTTGCTATGAGCAATCTGATTGGCTATCATCCTCGTCTATGGGACTGCAATCGTTGAAAACCTCGACATCATGATATTCGTAGTACGCAGAATATATATATATATATCTCGATTTCATGGACCAAGTATTAAGCATCTGTGGAAACTCGCATAGGATTCCTTTGTAACTGCCCCCCTAAAGATGAAGCAAATCCATTCATCACAATAGTAGTGAGATTGTCTCCCTTGAAGAGTAATAATACAAAGTTTCAATCTAGCACTTTAAGATCAAAATTTATACAGTGGAGCCTCTTGTGCCTTGTAAGCAGGTGCAGTTTATTGTCGGTTGGCATAGGGCATCCGGGCGCCTCCCCGAGTTACGTGGTGATCGACCATCTTGGCTAGATAGTTGTAGTGTGATCCACACGTCCGATCCTTTAAAAGCCAAGCCCGCCCTCATAGTGCTGCCATAGAACATTTTCCTTTGTTCACACCACTATATGATATCTAAGTCTTGACACGAACATATAAAAGTGCACGGTATAGATGTTCCACAGAGTACTTATCAGAAAAACACTAAAATCTTGCCTAGATCCATTTGACTGAATGGGGCCGAATATTATATCATTATTTCCGATGTGTTGATACACATCAAGAGTTAAACAAAATCAAACCAGCATGTTCGACTGGCTGAAACGACTTTTCTCCTCCGATGCCCAGGCGAACGCCAACACAAACCCGACTGCTGAAAACTCCAAATCGCAAAAAGAATATGAAAAGGCCCAGAAACGGGCTGCCAAAAGGCGCAGCCAGCAGGTGCGCGCTCGTGAACGGGAGTTGGCGCGGAGGCAGCATGGAGATGGGAAATTCTACATAGGGGGTTCAGGGGATGCCGGAGGACAAGCTGGAATGTAAATCAGAACTAAGCAAATCGATTGACTCTGTTGGGTATTCTAGTGGTTGTGTATATCCATGTTGCGCCGAGTTCTATGCCACACCTGTCCGAGATTATGCCCTAAATCCCCCGACCTCAACGCCGTGTACACGCCAAAAGTAAACAGAAAGATCCAGGCCCAAGCTTAGCCAGAGATTCCCAAGGGCTCGATTATGGATACGCTGTGAAGCCAAAAGGTAGAATCCAGAGATCGAAATTATGCTCGCCAACCTTGTACAAATTCGTGCAAGCGATCAATCACAACACCAAAGATGGCATTGACGCTATCGCCGATGAGTTGCTCGAAATGGCGAATGGCTTCCTCTTCGGACATCTCAAGATGGAAACGCTCCTTGACCTTCAGCACGGCCTTGTCGGGCTCGACACGGATATCGGGGATATTGGCGTCAACCATCAAACTAAACAGATTGAGAATCAAATTGGCGGATTTGCGCAGAGTCGTATAGGCAGTGTAGCAGTACTGCTTGAACTGCAGATAGTGTGGCGAGGTTGTACCACCCATGCCCTCAACCATCTCCTTGCAGAGCTTCATCATTGGAGCGAAGGGTTTGGGGTCACGCCCCAGGATGAAACCAAAGTCAGCGTGGAAGAAGTGGCCATCTGGCGCAAGCAGCAGGTTCTCGAGGTGACGGTCGCCCACGCCGAGGAGGTAAGTGATCACACAATACCCCGCACATGATTTGATATACGTGTCCATGGTCTCCTTGCGGACCCCGAGTGGCTCGCTGTCGTCTGGGTTGTTGGCTTCCAGATAAGCCAGGATGGATTTGTACTTGGCAGAGGCGGCCGAGAGAGAGGTTGACGGAATGAACTGCACCGCACCGGCAGTCGAATTAGTGGCAAGGATTCGATATGGGGTCAGCTTCAGATCGAGGTTTTCCTTTTGCAGCAGACGGTCCATCAAAATGATGATTTGGATGACCAACTGATCCTGACGCAGATCGTCGCCAACCTTGAACAACAGGGGGATACCGTCGACCATCAGTGGTCTTGAATGTAATGTGTAAAGGGGAGAGTGTTGATTTGAAGACGTTGGACTCATCGGGGAAGCATCCAACCACGAACACGTCGGGATCCAAGGGGAGAGGCAAGGGAGGGTCAATATGGATCAAATCATTCTTCGGATCACGTAGAGACTTTTTCAGCTTTTCGATTTTCACGACCCGATTCTCCCGAGCGAAGCGGATGTCTTTGGCAATCTTCGAGAGAACCGTGACCAGCTCGCCTTGCCGTAACAGGGTCTTGCGATGTTCCGGATGGATCTTTTCTAGCTCGGCCATGAAGTAGTATTCAACCCGCGCGAAGAGTCGGCGCTGGCTCGACAGCGTGCCTGGACCGGCATCATCACATTCGACCATGAGATACCAGTGCAGGTAGTTTCCAAGTTTGAAGTTTTTCGCGGCCCGCGTAATGAGGAAATTGGCGAGCGAAGAATCAGAGGCAGCGTCTTCAGTCTCAGTCTCAGAGTTCTCCTCGTACTTCAGAGCCTGGACCAATTGCAAAAGATACAAAAGAAGCTCATCGTCATCTGCCTTGCGAAGTCTTTCCACGGCATACGAACGAACCGCCGGGTTGTCAAAGGTGGGCCCCAGGAGCTCCAAGGCATCATCGACATCAATCTCCGTCCATTTGGGAAGAATCTCGATAGCCTGACGTGACTCTCCCACGTCTCGCCAATTGACCGATTTGACGAACTTCGTCAATGCCCGCTTCTCTCGGGTCAAATAGTATCTGAATCGCCACACAAGGTCCTTCTCTTCAGCAGTGAGGTCCTGTGTTGGTTCGTATGATAAGATTACGTTCAGATCGTCACGGTTCTTCTGGTTGGGCTTCAGGTCCCGGTCCATGATCCCTGTCCTATGACTGCGGATCAATCGCCGGTGCTTGTCTTCACAAGGGTTCCCGGCTTGACCGACTTCGGGATCATAGATGCGGATGACTCCTGTGCCATCAGCTCCCTCGATTCCAGGGCCGAATCGGACTTCTGGGACTGGTTTCAAAGCAGAATTGGGATGAGAGGGCACATTCTGTGGATAGGACGAGATGGGCGGCGGAGGATATTGGTGGTCGGCCCAGACGATCGGATGATCAAAGCGTGGAAATTCCACATAGAGCACAAAATTCTCATCATCCAGACCTTCTTCGTCCGAGCTCTCGTCCTCATCGGGAGTCTCCTGGTCCGATGTCTTCAGGCGCAAAGCGCGTTTGCGAGCCGCTTCTTCGGCATTCAGCTTCAGCTTCTCCAACTGGCGGAACACCATCTGATCCATCCAGTCAATCCGGGTAATTTCGCCCATTTCATGCTTCTTGATCAAGACCTCGACTCGCTCCAATTCCGATTCTTCCAATGACGGGCCCAGAGGATCGCGGGAATTGGGTCTCCGTCGCTTCGGCGGTGGAGTCGATGGGGTGGTTGTCGACGAGAAACCATCGGCAGCTTTATGACGATACACCTTGCACTTTTGCCGTCCCATTCGTAACTTGCCCTCATGGTTGAAAAGTGGGATCGTTGTTCCGCCGAATGGCACATCGTGGCCTTGGACTCCATCACCCGCCAGCGGGGACAAATCCCAGATCGTGATCGCCAATTGAGAATTAAGAGGTGCATCCTGAATGGACATGGGCATCTGCAACCATTCATTCCACTGTCGGATGGTCTTGAATGCTTTGTATGAGGTCTGCAAAGGTACACCGAGGGGCTTTGAGTCCGCCCACAGCTGGGCGGTCACAAACAGATCCGAGGCAGGGTTCTGAGCGGATCCGACATGACGTAGTTCTGGGTTCTTGAGAAGAACGGAGAATGGGGTTTGCTTCTGCTTCCCTTCCAAGGAGCCACTGCGAAGCTGTCAGCATATTGACTTCATGGGTCCCGCGAGAGACATACATCTTGATGTAGACTGGAAAGCCCACCTGGGTGGAAACAGCAAAGGTAAATGCTTCCATCTCCGTGTCCCTAAGACTGTGTCCCTAAGAGTCACCGAAGGCTGAAGCTCCAAGCTTCTGACGCGGGGGAGATGACATCACGTGAGACACGCGATCTGGCGACGCGCCTCGAGATCGGCGGGTTTGGTTTGGCTTCGGTTCATTGCGGTTTCGTCCATCTTCGCCCGTTTGCTGGGGTTTTACAGTGTTCCACGCTAAAATTTGGTGTGGTGTCCACTCGCTTGATTTCCTTGATTTCTTTGTTTCTATAACTTGCATCTCAGCTGGCATCAACGCAACTCCGATCGAGCATGGCACCCATTCTTCACTCTCAGCTGGACGAGGCAACGCGAAGTTCCAGCCCAATTTCATCGCCTAACTCATCATACTCGGACAAGGAAAACCCCCACAGAAGCACCAACAAAAGAAACACCCATATGGCGCGCTCAAGTCAAAACAAGCGTCGACGACTGACCGACCGCACTACCAATATCCAGTCGCAAGTTCCCTCATCGCAAGGTGGCAATGATAAAAGATACTATGACCCCGACCAAGATGCTGGCGAACGACGGCAGATTCGGAGAGGACTGAGAGATCTGACCAGGGAACTGAATGGTAAGTTGCCGTTGTGGGAATGGGTGATGAATGACAGGAACACGTTCTAATAGCCGAGAAAAAACAGACTCGCGAGCGGAGTATCTTCAGACAGGAAACGATGGGCTATACAAAACCGTTGAGAAAGCCAACGAGATCTTCGTCCAAGTCAAGCAGACGTCCGACGCCACCATTGATTCACGCCTCCTCGTCAGTGCCGCCGATCTTTCGCATAAGAAAACCTCCCAGCTCGCACTCGGGGAGTCTACTGCAGGAATCGACGTCGATGAATTTGTTTCAAAGTGTATTTCGTTCATGCGTGACGGCCCAGAAAGTACCACAGCCTCGCCCAACGGGACTCAACGTCGATCGCGTGTCTCCAGAACCCAGCGAGAAGCCAATGATAGTGATGATGAGGATGTGGGCGACGCAATGAACTGGGACTGGCTGGGTCGAACTGCGTGCTTCCCGTATAATGCTCGGCCCGCTGTATCTGGATGGTTATTGGGGCCACTGTCGCTTCAAAAGCGCGCGCGGCAGCAGATACAGCGGAGAGAGGCGGAGCGAATTGATCCATCACTAGCAGTGCAGCCTCAAGATCTTGAACAGCAGGACCTCGACCAGCAGGAGAACTCGAATCTCACCGTGATGTGCTCCGAAATTAACAGGAATCTTGCGGATACCCAGAAAACGAGCCAAGAGATGGTGGAAGAGAGACTATCCCAGGAAGAGGACCCCAGTCCGGACAGGGTGCAAGAAGTGATGGACCAATACAATATTGCTGACGATGGCGGAATTCCTCTGTTCCGTTTCTGCATCAATCCCCGCTCCTTTGGACAGAGTGTGGAGAATATGTTCTACGTCAGCTTCTTGGTTCGCGACGGAACTGTCGGGGTTTCTGTGGATAGCCGCCAGCTGCCAACGCTTCGTGAGTTTCTCCGGCTTTACTATACAATATCCAGTTTTCGCATTGCACTGAACTAACGGGGGCTTTGATAGATGCCTCGGCGCCATACGCGCCTAGTGAAGCGCAGAAAAAGGGCATTCAGAAACACCAGGCCGTTTTTAGTCTGGATTTTGAGACATGGGAGCAACTGATCGAAGTCTTTGAAATTGAAGAGTCGATCATTCCCCATCGCGAGGAAACCATGGGGGAAACTCGTCGGGGCTGGCATGGTTAGCCTGTTCGTGTGCTTTGATCTCAAGCTTATTATTCTGCATGATACCCTTTGGTCATTTTTGCATTGCTAGCAGCTATAGATCAATCTTAATAGCAATAGCGTATTACACGATCACAACTATAAAAATGTCACTTGCTCTGTACTGCCGGGGGATGTGGAGCCGAGGCTGATAAGCCCGCAATCATCACGTCACCTCTGAAGCTTCAGCTCGGTCGCACTTTCATCTTCATCTTTGCCCCTCTTTCTCCCACGCATTGCGAATATACTGTGTGTCTCGCTTGAGAAAGCTCCACTATTCGTCTAGTAGCATTCCCAGTGCTGAATTGTGTTCTTCCACCTGCGCTGCACAGGTGCGAGCTGTTGAAAACTGAGACACCCAACGCCAGGGAGTGTAACTCTCGAGTGAAAACCAAATCGCGAAACCCACCCGCCAAAATGCTGCAGCTCTTTCCGTCGAATCCAGCGGCCACGATGGTCATTCGCCAGGTGACGCCCGATATCGTCACAATGAGCCTACCGTTCGCGCGGTTTGGACACCTGCAGTTCGGCGGCCGAGGGACACTGGGTGAGTAGTAGCCCACCCTTACAGGAGAGAGGAGCGCATACCATCCGGAGCATGAGCATGGTTGACTGGTACTACTGGGTCTGTGATCTGCTGCTAACCCACTCCTTGCGTATGGCAGTCAAGCTCTCCACGGGTTCGCTCGCAGTGTTCTCGCCGGTGAGTCTCACGCCCGAAGTGCGCGAGACAGTCGATTCCCTCGGCGGTAACGTTAAGTACATCACGGCCCCGGATCTCGAGCACCACCTGCACATCACCTCCTGGAAGAAGGCATACCCGCAGGCCGAGATCCTTGCGCCCGAGGGCCTCTGGGAGAAACGGCAGTCGAACCCCGAGTTCAAGGATACCCCGTTCCAGCATGTATTCCGGAATGATGGGTCCCCGCGGACGATCTCGGCCGAGTTTGACGCCGACTTCGATTCCGAGTACGTGCACGGTCACGGGTCGCGCGAGCTAGTGTTTTTGCACAAGCCCTCGCGTTCTGTCATTGAGGCTGATCTGCTGTTCAACCTGCCCGCCCATGAACAGTACTCCAAGACCTCCGAAAAATCGAAGCCGAATTTCCTTACGAAATTAGTGCTCCCGCTGCTGTCGACGGCACCGCCCGCTATGGGACATAGACGGTTTGCGTGGTGGATTTTGTCTCCACGGGACCGTCCCGCCTTCACCGAGTCTGTGAGGCGTATCGAACAGTGGGACTTTGATCGGCTGATCCCGTGCCATGGCGATGTGATCGAGACTGGTGCTAAGGGGGTATTCCGGGATGTGATGGCATGGTTTTTGCCGGGCGATAAGAAGAGCGTCTAAGGCGCATTTATGAATTGTTGATGTGATTTTTGGGGGAGACTTTTGAGGGCAAGTGACGACTAATACCCATGGTGTTGAGTGAGTGTGTATGTTGAGTGGGAGTTTCTTATCCTTACTTTACCGGCAAGGCGTAGGCAGCATGAATTTTCTGGTCAAGAGGCTTTGCTTTTTCACTGCCACAATGGATGTGGCCCTGTACTGCAAGGCCCGGGGATTCTATACATAGTAATTGTGGCACCGCAGTAGATCTCTTCTGCCTACGATGGAGATCGCGCGAGGCTTTCACGCTAGCGAGGGGAATTTCCTGGGTCTACACTGGTCATTGCGATCCAAGTAGAAGAAAAATCAAATAAGATAAAAAGTGCAATCCATGGATGAATATACCCTCCATCAATTTCGCAGCGCAAGCAGGTCCACCCGCCCCCACGTCATAGGGCTGACGTCGGCATCAGCCACTTACCCCAAGACCTCCGGGAGAATACTGTGAAGAGTTCTGGATCAAGTGATGTCAGATTTCGCAAGGGGGCAGAGAGTAGTTTTACAGTGAGTTCTACAGTGCTGTATGTACTCGGATCATCGGCAGCTACAGTACAGTACTGGAATGCGGGACGTGTGGAGGATTTGCTGCGCATGTCAAGCGGGCTCTGCAGGCTGCAACGATGTTGCTCTCTCGAGTGGAGACGAGAGGTGCGTGGGCGAAAAAAGAGAGGAGAGAAAGAGACAAATAGTGGCGATCGGCAACGTCCTCCAGTCCAAATTCCCAGACCTGGCCAACGCATCCCCGTCGAAGAAAACAGGGATGGGCTGGGGTACTTGCCAGTGAGACAACCCAGTAGACACGGGCAAGTAACTATCCTGATAGTCCACGATCCTCCTTGCTCCGATCGGAAGTAAGAAAAAGAACAAGTCAAGCCACGGGCACGTAAGGACGATCTACACTGCCTGAACGCCAAAGCAAAAAAAAAGAAGTTGGGCGAAGATGATGCTAGCCCTAACTGCTTCGGGAGAGATCTGACGACTCTGCACGAAGTCGGTGGGTCTTGGTGTCTCGAGCGGGTTTATTTTATGTTAATTTGATTTTAGTTACTTCATATGATTCGTTTCTTGCTTTTCCTTTTCTTTCTTTTTTTTTTCCTTGGCCCTTGCTTGCTGGCTTTTAAAAGGACCGGCTTTCCCCCTCTAGCTCGTGGGGGTTGCTTGTGCCACATCTCTCTATTTACCTCACATCTCATCTACTCTCTACATCGACTCTTTACCGGACCTCTTTCTTAACTGACCAATTCATCGTCTACCTCTATCTATTATCACTACCACCATGCCCGTCGTCTCGCGCCTCGCCTCCATCGTGCTCCGCGTCGCGGAAATCGCCTTTGCAGCGGTAAGGGAAACCCCCCAACCCCCCAAGCCATACAGAAAAATAATAGCTGTTGCTCACATTTTCTCCTATCCAGATCGTCGCCGGTCTCATCGGGCACTACCTCGCCTCGTCTTCCGACGTCGACATCTGGCCCCAAGCCCGCTGGATCTACACAGAAGTCATCGCCGGCCTATCGATATTACTGGGCCTAATCTGGCTCATTCCGTTTTCCTCGAGTTTCTTCAGCTGGCCTCGTACGTACTTCCACATATTCTGCAGATTCCTATTATGCATGTCGTGTACGAAGATATACTAATCTTTCACACAGTGGACGTCCTCATCTCCTTCGCGTGGTTCGCGGCATTCGGTATTCTCGTCGACGCCCTGCGCCATCTGCCCTGCGGCAGCATCTGGGGATGGCACTTCTTCAACAACTCGGTCTGTGGGCGCTGGAAGGCTGCTGAGGCATTTAGCTTTTTGTCGGCTATTCTCTGGCTCGTGTCTGCCATCGTGGTATGCTATCACTCAATCCTCTCGATGGATCTATTTTGTGTTTGATTGCCTTCTAATATGACTCTCTCCTGCAGGGTATCTGGTTTACCTTCCGTGTTCGCGACACTACTTCGGATGGAAAGTAAGTTACCAACTACTACACCCTGTGCACTGATTCTCTTGTCTACGTCTACTCCCTGGCCTCGTTACGTAGGCTAATATTCAACCAATAGCCACCGCCGTCGCTGGGGTCGCTCTGCTGTCTAAAATGGGCTAGTTAAGGGCTGCATGCATGTCTTTGTTGACTCAGAGCGAATGGGTTGCTCCTTGAAACCTCTCTCTGCGAATTGCCCTTGCAAAAACGCAAAAAAAAAAAAAAAAAATCACCCGTTCATCTCGGTCATTCATGATCTTGCTACTTTGTCGCGTTCACCTCTTCATGATCTGACGGAGGTCCACGAATTACGACTTATGTTGATACCCTTGGTTGGAACCATGGTTGTGGTGCTTTGATTTTCTATTGTGATAGTCGCTCGTTCAGCCAATACATACATCCTTTTTCAAAAAGAAGAGACCTTTTCCCCCTTGATATTCAACATGAGAATAACAATCAATCAGAGTTCCCAATAGATCAACTATATATGCGGGATAGTAGACATCCAGTTGATTGTCGTATACGAGCCAGGAGGCAGCGCCCTCAGGGCCACAAACATCAAAATGAGATTGCCCCAACGAGCAATCGAATAGAAAATACCCACGGTGGAAATCCAAGCCACATCCCACAACGTCCATGGCTGAGTAATACCATTCTGATGCCTTCCATCAGGGCCCCATTTGCGCCAAAGCTCGATGTCCTGCCACCACGAGGCAAGATAGTACAGGACGGCCATGCCTAATGCAACGAGGGAGAACACCCGCCAGGCTATCTGCTCGGCCTTGGTTGGGAATGAGGAATTCCATCTGTTCGGAATGGAATGGTTAGCCACGAAAGAAAGAAGAAAAAGAAAAAGATAGGAAGAAATGTGAGGATATCACACGTACGCAGCAACATGAATCCCGCAAAAGGCTACCGCGGTGACAATCAACATCTGATTCTGCTGGACTTGCACACGAACCGTAAGTAACTCCTGATCGCCTTCGGACTTTTTCTCGGTCTCCTCGATGCTGGACCGGGGCTCATTAGATGGGCCCTCGCCCTCTTGAACTGCTTCTTCATCGCGAGGCGCTTCTTTATCGCGGGTTTGGCCTTCGCTCATGGGCGGGGTGTTCTCCGACGGGCTCAGGTGGCGTGCTCTGCGATTTCGAAACTTTCTTATAGTGCGTTTCAGCATATTGGATCGAAAGAAGGCCTGCGTCATGACAACTGGAAAGATCAATATCATGAGCGGCAAGAGTAAAAAGTCCGACATCGGTGTTGTTTGGTCGGTGGTTGTATCCGAGATGTGCATCCAACGTCCATAGCTCTCATCCAAGGCCTCCATGATTTGGCCTGGCATGTTTTCATCGTTGCGCTTATACGGAAACGGGATTACGATGGGTGTGACCATGTCCTTGGGCTTGTGCCACAACACCGCGTAGGTGATGGCAGCGCATACCACATACGCCACCGTCGAGATCTCCAGAGCCGAGATGGGGAGGCCGTATGCTTTTCGCGCAATGACATTGCATGCAATCCAGCTACTTTGCAAGATCGTAAACGCCTTGGCAAAGGAGTCTGCCTTGGCTCGATCTTCGATATCGCGCGCTCGCAAATGCGAGGGCTTGACCACGCCGGCCTGGATCAAAGGAACCACATTGCCGGGCTGAACGGGAAACGTCCATTCATCTGTGGTCTCCAGAATCAGACCATACATGTTCAGACAAAGCCATGGACCGCTCTCCACCGGTTGGCCGGGTTTGTAGCAGTCTGTGCAGCGGGCGTCTCAGACCACGACGAACTGGCGTCGGCATTCTCGCTCTCAACGGCGAGAAAGGCAGCATTGCAGCGCGCCGCCACCGACCGTGCCTGCCATAGGTCCTCGGCAGCCAGCACGGCAAATAGCTCTGGGGCGAGGATGGCATAAATCCACGCCATCAGCTTGCTACACATATGAACAACGTCGGTTTCATCGCGTTTAGGCAGCGGCATATGCAGTGTTGTCCATGTACAGGCGAAGATCGTTGAAACACATGTCCAGAGGATGTCCCAGCTGGAGCGCGAGTTGTCATCGAACTTCCAGCCCTCCTTAGCTGGAGGGTCGGGTTGGGCGAGGGTGTGGGTAGCATAGACGAGGAGAAGAACGAACGCCAGCACCAGATGCCGCTCTGCTGGCCGCGCCATGACAGAATCTCGTCGAGACTGTGAACTCAAAACACGCCCGAGTTTTTCATTTGGAGGGGCATCATCACGACCACTTCGAGTCCAACTTCAGCCGCATTGGGCGGGAAAGGGGGGCATCGACTCCATACCCTAATGAGTTAGTGTCATGCAGTCGCGCGGACCCTGGAAGGATGATTGACGACTGAATATCGTTGAGTTATGCAATTCCTGGAGCTTATGACCGGAATGAAGATCACAAGGTATAAATGAGTGGATTTGTGGTGTTTTCAGCCGAGTCTTTTGGGGCATCAAAACATCAGATCCACTCCTTGTCAGGATGTGAACTATCCCTGGATCTGGCACCCAATTTTTGACAGCCCTTCTTATTTTCCTAATTTCACAGTCTAACCGAGCTGGGAATTGATCATCTGTGTGTTGGATCCTCGACAGAGAAGCAAACATTCTCTTGATATTTGGAACCCTCTCCACCTCTCCTACTCTATAAGCTGCCCTCCTATTGAATAGAGAAAATAAGAGAGGAAAATAAAAAGGTTTACTCTATCGAAATCTCGAGTTCTTTATGGGCCTTCTACCTTTGTTGTTCTTCTTAATCGTCTTTTAATTGTCTTTCTGATTACTTTTATTATTAATTTTTCTTCCTTTTGTGTATACGCTAGCCCAGCGGAGCGCGCTATATTAGGCTATATGGAGTAAAGCGATAGTGGCACTCTATAGCAGTACACGTGAAGACTAGCACCTTTTTCTTTCTTCTTTAATTATCTTTGAAGTTGTTATTCTTCATCGCACAGATCGATCAAATGCTCACTGAAGCGATGAAGGCTTCGCCATTCATAACGCCAACTCTGTGACACAATGTCTCTCTACGCAACCAGGAGAGAGAGTTCTGACGACGTCAGCTCTTAGGTTTGGAGGCAGATAATTCTCCTTTGACCGAGGGACTCCCCTTTGATATTAGTATCCCCCTAGTCGGCTGTCGCTTTATCGCGCCTGTGACCTACCGAGGACGGAAAGCTATGGTTATACCAACAATCCCAACATCAAATTGCTCCAAGTATCCGTCGATCCAACCAACGAAGACGAACATGGATTTTGAGTCCTAGTCGACAGTCAATTTGTCAAATACATTATCATCGACCCAGGGCTCTATGAGCCCGACGACATGTGTTTCGGTCCTATTTTCATATCAATATTACCACCACTCCCAGAGGGAGACTGGAATCATGGCCATTTTTCCCGCGACCCGGCAACGGCAAACCCGACACTTTGCTACAGCCTTGAAGATCGACCTCGACCTCGCAGGAATCACCGATCGATGGCACCCTGTCCAGGTCGACCATCTCGAACTGAGTGTGGAACATGAACTTCGTTCCAATATCTTTGAAGCGACCTGTGGTCGCTTTGATTCGGCCGTGATTGTGAAATTCGCACGCTTTCCATGGGAGATGCCATATTTCGAAGCCGAAACGACAGCATACAAATGGATCCAAGGCCACGACGTCGGACCAGATTTCCTAGGTCATTTGACCGAGGAAGGCCCAGTGATTGGGCTTCTCGTGGCCCATATTACTCCCTCTCGGCATGCCACACCCGAGGGCTTGGATATATGCAGCCTTTCATTGTCGAAACTGCACCAGCTGGGAATCAAACATAGGGACATCAACAAGCATAATTTCCTTGTCCACAATGGAAAACAACCCTCATTGATTGTGAAAACGCATCTCGGTTCGCCAGCCCAGATGTACTGAGTGTATGTACCTACCAGCAGATATCCTAGGAAGAGTCAATAGTTGAAGCTCTTTGAAAATCATGCCGGGGATCCTTGTTTCAATGACCTTTTTGTGGCCGACTTTTGATATAGCTTCCTTCCGGTTGTGACCTAGAAGATTATATGGACATTGACAGTCTGACCTCGAATCCCCAGACCTTGCTATTCTAGAGCTTCAATTGGCCCGGGAATCTGTTGGGAAAATGGTGTAAATATACGATCTGGTGTGCCGCTTCCAATATCAACATATCGAGCATGATTTTGAATGTGGAGACCAAAGTCCCCCATGGCGTTCCTCACAAGAAAAAAACATCAGTCCCACCATGCCTTGAATGGCTTTTGAGCCATTTCGAACGATCATACTGTCATCCATTTGATTCATCGCCAAGAATGCCAGCATCATCGCAAGATGACTAAGGCCAAGACCAGATGAACACCCCCTAATCGCGTCGCGACGTCCCCCGTAACAAGAAGACAAGATCAGGCGAATCTCGAACTCCTGCGAGTGCAAGGATGCAATCGCAATCCGGGCCTGATGAAGGAGGCGACCGGACCTCGCTGTCGTCCGACAAGTCGGCAAATTCACTCCTGCAAGACCCTCAATCCCACTACACGGACAAAAACGCGGATCTTCGGTACGATGTCCGAGACAGCGGCGATCTCGAACTCGACGATGATTTAGAATTGGGTGATATCCCGCTTCTTCCCTCGCACCTCCGTGGCTCGGCACCTGCCCTGTCCCGATCAAGAACCATTAGACACGAGCCGCGGTTTTCCTGCTCACTCTCGGGGCTGCATACTTGGCTCCGCGGCCCCAGCCCGCCGCATACCCACCACATTCAGCCCTGGTTTCCTCGATACCAGGCGGCGCCGGCGCGGTTCGTTGATCGGTGGTTTCCGTGGCAGAATGCAAAAATTGCTTTGTTGCTGGGTGGGCTCATCTTTTGGATGCTGGTGTTCTTTTCCGCTTTAAAGGCGTCCGTGGCTGACAAGAATATTCTCGGATATGGACAACCCGTCAAGCTGTCGTGTCACCATCGCTTATGGTGCGTTCCCTGCGGCGATTTTATCTTGGTTTTTATGTTGCTGACAGCTCCATGTTCAGGGGCAATGCCACTGACTGCGGATTGAATGGCGACTCCTGTCGACCCTTTGAAGACCAGTCTTTCGCTTTTCGCTGTCCTCCCGGCTGCTCGGCGGCCATGCTCTTGGAGCCTTACGGTGTTGGCGACCAGGATGTCAACTACCGGCCGCTGGTCATTGGCGGCAAACCCCTTCGGCGCGACGGTGTCCTGAGCGGCATCTACCGCGGCGACTCGTCGATTTGCGCCGCGGCACTGCATGCGGGGATGACCAGTGACTCACAAGGTGGGTGTGCGATCTTGCACCGCAAGGGCGAGCGAGATGATTATCCATCCTTCGAGCAAAATGGGATCGAAAGCATTCCTTTTCCCTCGCATTTCCCAATGTCATTCCTTCTCACTCGCGAGGCATCGTCGTCCGGGTCAAGCCAAGCCAAACCAGTCGAGTGTTCTGATATCCGGTGGCCTCTGTTTGCATTCACGGTGCTAATGACAACCATAATGTCCCTCACAATAACCTCGCCGCCGGCATTCTACAGCGCGATCTTTTTTGTCGTATGGTTCCAAGTCGCTATGGCGTCGGACCCGCCGGCATCAGGCTTCTACGACCTGGTATCAATTGGCCTGGGCCGGTTTCTGCCCGGTGCGTTCGTCGGATTCGTCCTGTATTATTTCTGCGCGTGGGAGACACTCCACAACCTCGACGCGCACATCGACAAGACTGTGCTATGGCTAGGCGGCTGCTGGGTCGGCGCCCTCAACACCGACACCTTCGACCGCATCCCGATCTCGCGCCTCACGCTGCACGACATCCAACAGCAGCCAGGCGCCGTAACCGCGCTGCTCATCATCGTCGGGTCCCTTGTCGTGATCGTGGTCTCGCAAGCGCTGGCCTTCCGGCGCGAGGGCCGCTTCTTCTCCAAACTGGGCGTCTACGGCCTCTTGATTCTCACCATTCTGATCCTCGTCGCCGTCCCGCACATGAACTTGCGTATCCACCATTATATCCTCTCTTTGCTCTTCCTCCCCGGCACCACCCTCCAAACCCGACCCTCTCTTTTATACCAGGGAATCCTAATCGGTCTCTTCATCAACGGCATCGCGCGCTGGGGCTTCGACTCCATCCTGCAAACCCCCGCCGCCTTGCTCGACGGCGCCCGTCTAGGAACCACCCCGCCAAAGATCGACGTGCCCATTCTGCCAGACACCGAACATCTAACGTTTAAGTTCCCAGAGCTCGAGCCTCACATCGAAGGTCTGAGTGTGCTTGTCAACGATGTCCAGCGCTACAAGCAATTTCGGCCCAAGGAGGGTGGCGCTCTGCCGGACTTCAATTGGACCCGACTTCACCCCGGAAAGCCCGAGTATTTCCGTTTTGGCTATATCCATGAAAAGAAGCTGGGTGGGGTTTGGTATGAGGACTTCTCGAAGCCGTCTTCTTGGTTGCCGGATGGGAACTATTTCTACCCAAACTAGGGGGAGAAGTTGGCTTATGCTGTTATTATTGGTGTGTTGACCGTGGTATATTTTCTTTTTTTCTTTTGGGGGGTTGGATATAGATTTTCACCTGTCACATACACTATCAGCGCTGCATATAAATTAGAATTATAATCCTTGAAACTCGTCCCGGTCAACCTTGATCTATGTGTCTGCATCTGAAAAGAATTTGCTACAAGAAATAGACTAAAAAAAAAAAGCGGTCTGTATTACTCTTGCCAGAAATGAAACCTTCGAAGCAAACCCCAAGCCCCAGATATGCATTTCATGAAGCCAAAGCAGAACTACTTCTCTTTGCGATAGTCACGACACTTGACTTGCACAATATTTTGTTTCCCGCCGTCCTCGATGATCATTGCGGTCAGCTTGCCGCCCTTCACACACCCAGAGTCCAGCCCTTTGGTGTATGGGCGAATAGAGAGGGATGAATCAGCATCGTGGCCATAAATGACAGTCATAGTCTGGGAGACATTGTCGGAGGAAGCCTTATTCTTTGAGGCGATAAGTGACTGGTGCTTGTTGAAAATCTGGGAGAGTTTAGTACCAGAATACCGAAACAAGTTCTCGATAACCAAGAAAAATAAATACTTATAAAAAAAGGATTGACCAGTTCTTACCTTGACCCATTTCACTCCCTTGCCATCCCAGCTCGGCACATGCGTGTCCAGATCAATGACCCGCATATTCATCACGGTAGCCGGGTCCTGCTTCTCGAGCTCGACACCCGGGACCAGACCAGCATGCGCGACGACTACGTGGCCCATGCCGGGAATCGAACCCACATCAAGGATGACTGGACATGTCTCCAGCCAGCGGGCTTGTTCCTCGTTCAGGGACCGAGCGAGAGCGCGCTCGCGCTGCTCCTTTGCCGTAAAAGACCCGTCATCCGCATCCTCTTTGTCGAGGGTATTAGAGGCCACCAGCTGGTGCCGCAAGAGAAGAGAGCGGTCCTCGTGATTCCCGCGCACACATGAGGCTGAGTGCTTGCGGGCTAGATCCACGACTCCGGGACTATCGGGACCCTTGCTAATTAGATCACCTGCGAAGATGAGATGGTCGCCATCTGCCGGGGCGAAGGAGACCTTTTTAAGAAGCTGGAGCACTAATTACAGAAAACAAAAAGAAATTATTAGCATCCTCGACTTGCAAGTGATTCATAACTTTATTTCATCGCCGCACATACGCTCATCTTTGCACCCATGCACGTCGCCAATAACAATCAAGCGTCGCCGGCGTTGCGATTGATCTTTATCTCCCTCCGGCAAAGCCAAAGGCACCAGTGCCTGATCCAGGTTACGGATCTGGATGAGATAGTCAAACCGAGGCGGCGAGTTCGTCCCGAACCAGCCCCCAAATTTGTCCTTAGAGGCCGGGTCTAGCGAGAAGAGCAACGAGCGCTGCTCTTGCAGTCGTGGCGTCACGGCTATCCACCATCCGAGTAGCCCCAGAAAGAGTATGGCAGGGTAGATAATCACGTAGCGTCGGAATCGCGGGGCCGACGCTAGGGACTGGATCATTTGCATCCCTTGCGGGGTGTTGTGGGCATCATTGGAGGAAGGGGGGTGGGCGATGTGCGAGTGCGAGTGCGATTGCCACTCGTTTCGCGCGGAATCGATTAGTGGGCGCGAGGAGCTGGGGGCGCGGGAGCTCTTTTCGACGTCGTCTGAGTCGACGTTGCGCGGGTCGGCGTCGTGGGTCGCCATGGCCTGAATTCGGGGGGATTTTCAAGAAGCGGCTGGTGAAGGTGGCATTTCCCTTCGGATGTTTCTTCGTCCTCGGGGTGTGTTGGCAGATGCTGACGGGAAGGACAAAGCACTGCGTCACGATTGACGTGCAACGATCCCTTGATCTGGCTATCTCACCTGGTGTTACCCCGGCCCCGGACCCGCTTTAATTTTGCTGATCAAAGCTTTGCTCGTGTCACTTTTATTTGCTATACAGACAGCGCTACCGATATTGTTCATACTCCTCGGCTTCTCGTCGGCGCAGATTTACGCGCTGGAGAACCGTCTCGTCATACACCTCATCCACTGGCTTTCCACCCCGAAGCACCTCTTTCTCGTGTCGAGTAGCCTCGTCCTTGGTCATACAGACCAAGTCCTTGAGAACCACCGGCACGAACTTCTGACCTTCCTTCTCATACGTCAAATCTAATCCAAACCCCTGGGGACGTGGTTGCCAGGGGATCAGAACCAGTCGATTGGCCAACCCAGTAATCGCGCTCTTCCCCCTCCACACCTCTTCCATGAGGAATGCAATATCATCTTTGCTCACGGGGAGGCGCAAACCTACAGGCTCTTGGTCAGCGATTTGTCGTGCCAACCGTTCATGCAAACTTTGCAAGGAAGCCAAAATAGTATCGTAGGTCTTGTCGCGGCCCTTTCCACCCATGTTATATTCAATCGGATACCCCGTCACGCTGCAGATGACGTGGTTGGCGACCGTGTACCCAAAAACTGCAGGCATCGTGCCCAACACGGGCAGGATCCGCACCCGGAAGTCGGGGAGAACCCCCAGCTCGCCGACCTGGCCCTTGGTGTACTCTTCCTCCGGGAGCGGGAGTAGACTCGCCTTGCCCGGGCCGGGCTTCTCGGTCGAGAATACTGCTGCGACGCCCGAGGTGACGCCCAGAGCCTTGAGTCGACGCCGCGTGCTGCGGGAGAGGGGATCATCTGTGCTGAGCGAAATGTCTCCCACCACAACGCGCGTGGGGTCGGACTTGCATCCGGCGCCCATGGACGAGATCACGGGGAGGCTGTTCGAGTGACAGTAATGCAGTAGGTCCACTTTGGAGGTGATGTTATCAATGCAATCTAAAACGAAGTCTGGTCGCCGGCCCTGTCCATCATGTGTCAGGGTCCACGGACCGAGCAGGTCATCGGCCGCCGTCTTGCCGAACAGCTCATTGCGGCAGTCGAACATCACCCACGGCGAGATCTGTTCCAATCGCCTCCGGATACAGTGCACCTTGGGGGTCCCCACGTCAGCCAGCGTGGCAAGCGCATGCCGGTTCAGCGAGGACAATGTGACTTGGTCGAAATCGATCAGTCGGATCTTGGCCACGCCTGACCGCGTCAGCGCCGCAGCGGCGTGAGACCCGACTCCACCGCAGCCGACCACAACGATAAAGGATGAGCGGAGTGTCGCAAGCCCCTCGTCGGTCAGGAAAACACGGTTGCGGGCGAGTTGTTCAAGGATCAGATCTTGTGTGTTGGCGCTTTGTCAGTCAAGTTCGGCCGAAACCAGAGCAAATCGAGTACAAACCATCATCGTAGTCCCCCTGTTGCGCCCTGCGCGCTAAAGCTGTACTACGCTCATCTTCCTTGCTAAGTTGTACATCGGCTGCTGCCGCGCCGAAATCTGTGAGCTTCAGTGCCCCGCATCAGCTCTCTGTCGCAATCATCCGCTTCAGGTATAGCCATATCTTCCACAGTCGGCGAAAGCTCACCTTCTCGGCGTGGTGCCGCTCGTCAATTTCCGGGATCGAGGCCTTCAGGTCGTGAACCGCCTCCTTCCGCTTAAATGCTTGGTATCCGAATATAGCGCCCGCGACCGCGGCACCCGATAGCACAGCGGTGGACGCGAGCTGGGTCTGGGAGGAACCCGCTTGACGCTGCAGCCAGGACGACATGTTTCCAAAGACGCCCTGGTTGCTGGGATCCTTCAAATCTTCTGTTTCTCGTTTTTCTCGTGTCAAAGGGCGACGATCGTGATTGCGATTCGGTGCAAATCTATCGAGGTCGTCAGAATCGAATCCATAGTCGAGATCGGCGTCGTCGGGTGGCTGCCACCACCTAGAGCTGGGGGGCATGTTTCTGCAATGCAAAAATCAAGAACAAGAATCACCTACTCTGACGAACTGACGACAACCCTGGGCCTCTTATATCCTCGGAATGGGCCATCTGCAGCCATGCGCTCGTCGGTGGAACCACGTCTGCAATCACGTGAGATGCCGCGGTCCTTGGGCGAGTCGCGACTTCGCGTCTTGTCTGCACTTTACAACAGGTGAGTGATGATGTCGCAACAACATAATGGGCATTTTGGACTCGAGCTAACGCTTTCAGCAGATATTCGAGTACAACACTCGCATTCTGGTCTCGATGACGATAATTCGCACCCCAAGAGCTTCTCATGACACGCCCGTCCATTTGGGCCGGCCGGTGGACCTCATCCCTCGAGCTTGCTCGAGTGGAAGAAGACATCGGGTTCGCAGTGTGTGATTGAGATAATGAACAGAGATCTTAGAGACCCCCCTCTCACCCCGTTGATTCTTGTTCCGTGCTCTTTTTTACTAGGAGTTGTGGTATTCGAGTTCGTGTTGATCTGCTAACGGTGCCCGTCACCCATGTATCTACTTAGGCATTACAACTCTGATGAAATATTACTGTTGTCAACTCCAACTTTTCTGCACCTTTGCAATGCGATGCTATCTCCCGAGTCCCTATTCATGTCTACTTCAAGACACTTACACTTCTCTATCACTGGCCCAATGACGACAAATGCTGTTGCACACACTCCGAGGTTCTGTATATTGCTTGGTCTGTACACCTCCCGCAGGTAACGACCGAGCAAGCCAATGACGAGTGACATTTAAGGTAGTTTTCAATCTGAGGGCCTAGGTGATTCTATCGTGGAGTATTCGGTTGTTCAAGGGAGCTGATAAAGATTGATTGATTGCTATTTATTGACTGGTTGAATAGATTTTTTTTTAAATTTGATGAACGCTTGTGTCACATTTCCCGCTACAAATTCTCGTCTTCCCCTTCCTCTTCGCCTCCTTTATACTTTGCTACTTGTCCACCTGCCCACCTTCCCTTTGGTCTATCTATGGATCTCGCCCAGTGATGAGTTTGTTCCTGCGGACCACAAGCATCCAATAGTCGATATGCCCTGTGTGGCTGTCCGAGTGGTTGCAAGTCCCATGGGCAAACACAAAGCCAATTCTGATGACATCCGACCTCAGGCTGCAACTCCCTCTGGGGGCATTCTAAGAGTCTGGAAGTCTATGCTTCAAAATGAGAGCAAACCTGAGGGCGACCTTCTTTATTTTATTCCTCCTTTCTCACTTTACTCGCCATTGAATTAAATACTTCTTTTCCCTCTTTTCCTTTCTGGTTGCGTGGTGGATTCATCGCCGAATGCGAGGCACTTCGGTTTCTCTGGTGAGGGCCGGTCTCTGTAGGTGTTTCATTATAGCTCGTGTTATTTAGTTTGAGACTGAAAACATGTTCTGCCTTCATCTTCATCTCCTTTGTTGGACTTTGGCATTGGCAACTCATCGGTAGAACCCTACCGTGTTGCTATGCTGCTTGTGGGCGTTTTCGAAGAATTTCAAGATTGTCTTGTGCTGGCGCATCTACCCAGATTACAAGAGGTCATCCCATCAGATCCCAGCAAGAGTATCTAGCTTCTACAATGCTCGTGGGGCCCATGAAACACTAGGAGCTTGGAGGGCCAACAAAAAGGCACAAATCAGACCAAAGAGAGAGAGGGATGTCATTTCATAAACCAAACGCCGACTGATGCATTATTTTTGTTTTGATCGACGCTGCGCAATAGATAGACCAAGACTTTTAAGAAGAACCAAAAATGGCTTCGGCCAACATAGCTTCAGCTTCAGTGACGGACACGCTGCCATTACTGCAAGAACCGGCCAAGGGCACCACCAATGTGTTTCAAGTCCAAGAGGAAGGTATCATGACCGAATAACGAGAGGTCTTCACCCAGCTCGACGTGTTCGACGGCTTGGTTGCCGCCGGCACGTAGAGTGTTGGCGATCTCGCGCTGCTGCCAGGCCGGGAAAAGGATATCACTGGCGACGCCCATAACGAGGACCGGGTGGTCTTTGAGGGGGGCGAGGCCGGTAATAAGGTCCCGCGGAGGGCCGTCGGGAGCGTCAGATGAGACGGACTCGTTGAGCGGAGGCACAGACGCGGTTGCGCTGGGCTGCTCCTCATAAGGCTTTTCGGGGAGGGTTAAGCTACAAGCAGGATCGGATACTTGGGGAGCGATCCCGCTGTCGGCGATACGGGTTTCGAATTCGGCACGGCGACGGCGTGTCTCAGTCTGGTGGGCGTGACCGAGATCGAATAGGTCCATAGCCTTAGAGACATAGAGTAGACTGTTCGGGTCATACTCCAGACAGAACTTCTCGCCGGCGTGGTCAAGATAGGTCTCGATAAGGAAGTCGGCGCATAACGCCGGTTGCTTGCTAGGGTCGGCACGCTGGCGGCCAAACCGCTTCTCCCACTCAGGTCCGCTGCGGTAGGTGACGGTAGCGATCTCGCGGGCAAGCTTCATACCCGAATGCGGTGGAATGGCATCGTAGTAAAATCCGCGCGCCCATTTCGGGTCCATCATCAGCACCTGCCGCTGCGTGTGTCGCATAGCAATACTGTATGGATGGCTACGGGCACAACCGCTAATGCTGACGATTTTACCCACTCGTGTCGGGAATAACACTCCCGCAGCCAGACTCTGCATACCGCCCATACTAGATCCAACCGATGCGGCCAGCTTCTGGATGCCCAGCCCATCTAGAAGTCGGAATTGTGCTCGCACCATATCGTCTAGCGTGAGAATCGGGAATCGGGTCGCGTATCGCTTCCCGTCTGACGGGTCCATCGATGACGGCCCTGTACTGCCGTAGCATCCCCCAAGCACGTTAGTGCAGATGACAAAGTACTTGTCGGTATCCAACGGTAGACCGGGGCCGATGAACTTTTCCCACCACCCGGGCTTGGGGTTTGACGGCGTACTATGGGCATGGCTGGATGCCGACAAGCCGGTGTGCAAGAGGATTGCGTTGCTCTTATCGGCATTCAACTTGCCCCATGTTTCATAGGCGACGTCGAACTCTGGCAGCACACCACCCCAATCAAGCAGGAGCGGGTCCTTGCAATGGAATCGCTCATGTTGGCCGGTTGTGTAGGAGGGTTCCGGACCTGACTGCAGCGACCGAGCCGAAAGCAGCGCGGATTTGGCTTCCTGGGCATCAAGGCAGGGAAACGACATTGCTGGGTTGGACGAGTTCTCCCGGGGTTCTGCGGTCGTCGATGAGGCTTTGCGGGGAGGGACCGTGTGCAGTGAATGCGCCGACAGGGCCCGGTTGCCGGCAAGACTCAGGCGAGGCTCGCTCGGTCGCCATGGCGAAGTCATGAGCGTGCGCGACGCAGAGCGGGCAGCATTCTGTAGCGAACGCATCATGAGCAAAACCCGGGGTATCAATGGAGAGGAAACTGGGACTCGCCAGAAGATCTAATCGCTGCTTTATTTCCCGCGGGAGTGGTGGCCTCAGGCAGAAGCACATGGCGTCATCCGTGCGGGCGGTGATTGGCCACTCTGGATGTATACAACCCAGATGAGATGCTCTACATTTCTCAAAGCTGCCTCTTGAGAAGTGCTTGGAAATGCATCGCAAATGACTCGGTATTGTATTCTTCCATGTTGGAGCCAATTACTTTATCTTTTAGATAGGGGGTTGCCCCAGCCTTCGTGTCTGTTCTTCAAAAGCCGGTCTTCTCTCACGCGGAGCAAGCTCTAATACTACAGCAAAGAGTGAAATGTTAAATAACAAGAACTGAGCTCTGAAAGCATAAGAAATTGCTTCTCTCAATTCATGCACCCCCTGACCGATCTCTGCCCCCAGTCAGCCCCAGCAAGGCCTAGGAAACTATTGCTACGGGCAACCCTTCCTCAAGGATGCGCTAAACAAGACCTGCACCCCGCTCCGTCGGATTGAGCCCCGTGGGGGCTATGAGACGGCTGAGTGTAAATCCGGGGTAAGCTTTCTTAATGGCCGGCATGTATGCTTTGGATTTCTTTCCTACCCAACAGCACAGGTAAATTTGCCTTCTTGTTTCACACGTCCAGCAACCCTGCAAGTGCTTAGAGTAGCCGACATGTCGCAAACCTCGCTGGCAATTACAACCTCGTCGTTAGGATTGCATCCCTCCCACAGTCTCCCTGAAAAGATCAAGGCCGCTGCATCAAACGGATTCTCCTTGATTGAGATCGTCTACCAAGAGATAGACGACTACGGGTCTTCTCAAAATCCACCGCTTAACATACACACCGCCGCTCTTGCAATTGCACAATTATGCTCTTCAGTTAATCTGGCAGTGCTGGCTCTCAACCCGTTCAAAAACTTCGAGGGCCACAACTCGCCGCTTCCTGACAGACTAGAGTCTGCTCGCCACTGGATCGAGATTGCCGCGTGCTTGGGAGCAAAGTACCTGCAGGTACCCTCGCAGTTCGACACGGCCAATAGCACCGGAGACTGGTCACTCATGGTGACAGAACTGCGTCAACTGAGTGATCTGGCCTCCTCGCAGTCCATCAGCATTGCCTACGAAGCCGTTGCGTGGGGCAGCTACATCGATACGTGGGAGGATTCCCTGCAGATGGTACAAGATGTCAATTCTCCAAACTTTGGTCTCTGTCTGGACTCTTTCCATGTTGCTGCACGGGTCTGGGGGGATAATACCGTCGAGAGCGGCGTTCGCGTTGATACAGACGTAGCTCTGCAGGCCTCTCTAGACCGGTTTGTTGAATCGTGTCCTTTAGACAGGATCTTCTACGTCCAGTTCTCAGATGGAGAGAGGGTTTTGCCTCCACTGTCACCCCGTCATCGATTCTACCAGGAGGGTTTTCCTTCGGGCTTGACATGGTCGCGGAACATGCGTGTTTTCCCACTGGAAACAGAGCTCGGCGCCTATCTGCCTGTGGTGGAGATTGCCCGGGCATGGCTCCACCGGAAGCAATGGACGGGTGTAGTCTCTATAGAGATCTTTGACTGGCGAATGCGAGACGATGAATCCAGACGACCGGATGAGAATGCGAATCGGGGAATGAGATCATGGGAGAAACTGGTGGATGCTCTAGATAAACATCACTGATATAGTATGCCGACTTCAATATCTATTTTCATGAGATGGCGTGCCTCAATTGAGCCTCACTGTGCTTTTGCAGCTCCCATGCTAGCGAAAATCAAGAAAGACAACCGGTATGCGTCCGAGTCCTTTTTGCCGGACGACAATGGGGCCGGACAGTAAATTCCGAGCCACAGATGATCCAGTGAATCAGCAGAAACAATTCCTCCAGGGCTATCGAATCAGCACGTAGAACGATCCGTGGAGACAGTGGAGGCCGGGATGCATCCCAAAGTGCGGGGGACCCCGGATTCTCTTGGATTTCCCCGGATATTGTTGACCCCATTCGAGCCGTGGCCACTGCACGGCCATGCTCAGACTAAGACTACGGAAAAGTGGAAAGCCGGCCAGAAATATAAGCCCCTCCCCTGGCCTTTCGCTCTTCTCGCCTAGCAATCATAACCCTCCCCCCACGATTTCAATTCCCTCCTATTGACCATGAGCAATCCTTTCGATAAGCGGCGGCCTCCGACTCAAGGACCACGCGAAATCTACGGGCCACGAATCTATATTGTCGCCATATCTGCAACATGGGTTTGTGCTAGATCCTCCCAGTGTAAATCAAGAGCAATCCATTGACGAGGTTGTCGACAGGCCTCTGCCATGTATGGCTATGACTCCGCCTTCATCGGGGGAACATTGGAGCTTCCATCGTTTAAAACATCCTTTGGCTTGAGCGGCAGTGATTCAACCGCTATTTCATCCAATGTCGTGTCCACATTCCAGGCCGGAGCCTTCTTCGGTGCCATACTGGGCTTTTTCTTTGCCGAAACATTTGGCCGCAAGCCTCTCATTTTGGGGTCTGGCGTTGTCTTTTCTATTGGGACAGTATTGCAGATTATCGGGCGCCTCTCGCTGCTGTATGTTGGCCGAGTCCTCACCGGCCTGGGTGTGGGGTGAGTTCCTCTCTGTGCGTGTTTTGGCTGTACTAGCTGAAAAGGTGCACTTGAACTAACAATTTCTTTGATTGCAGCGCCTCCTCAACCATCATTCCCATCTACATTTCCGAATGTTCACCTGCTCTGATCCGAGGCCGCCTTGTCGGGCTTTTTGAAATCATGCTGCAGATTGCTCTTGTGTTTGGTTTCTGGGTAAATTACGGGGTCAACAAAAATATATCTGGCATGACTGCTATGCAGTGGAGGATTCCCGTCGGTATCCAGTTGATCCCAGCTGGTCTGCTGCTTCTATCCATGAGCTGGATGATTGAGAGTCCACGCTGGCTGGCAAGCAAAAACAACATTGACAAGGCACACAAAACCCTAGCCTGGGTTCGCAATCTCCCGCCAGATCATGTATATGTGGCAAACGAGCTGGCAGAAATCCAGACTGCGATTAACCACGAACTTGAAGCCAATGGCGGGAAGCGCAATTTCGGTCAGATTCTTCGTGAATGTATTGCTCCGGGGGTTCGGAATCGAATCATGATTGCAGTCATCTTGATGCTCTTGCAGAATCTAACTGGGTATGTGTTCTATCATTTTTTTTTAACAGATTTGGTCAGTTGCTAATGCTTTCGTTAGAATCAACGCCATCAATTATTACAGCCCTACTATCTTCCGTTCGGTATGCATATTCCCCTGCTATATTTCCTGCTGCTTTGCACAAGCTCTTAAAATATGACCACATGTTCATGTAGCTAACCCACGCGTCCAGATTGGCTTCACCGGAACCTCCGTCGGTCTATTAGCCACAGGAGTCTACGGCCTGGTCAAGATGGCCACGACCGCCGTATTCATGATCTGGATAGTAGACCGATTCGGGCGACGGCCAGCACTGCTAGTGGGAGCAACAGGCGCCGCCGTGGCCATGTTCTATCTCGCAATCTACTCGCAAGTCAGCGGTTCCTTCGACCAAGCCCCACCAAGCGACGCCGGAGCCCGAGTCGCCGTGGCAATGGTCTACCTGTACGCGATCTTTTACGGATTCTCCTGGAACGGCATCCCATGGATCTTTGCATCCGAGGTTCTTCCTTCGCGCGTCCGAACCATCGGCATGATGTGCTCTGTGTGCATGCAGTGGCTCGCTCAGTTCATGGTGGTCTATTCGTTGCCATATATGATCGCCTCGATCAAGTTTGGCGCGTTTTATTTCTTCGCCGCTTGCACTGTTGTTGCGCTCGTGTTTGCTTATATCTTCGTTCCTGAGACCAAAGGCGTGCCGCTTGAGGAAATGGATACTCTCTTTGGGCCTGACGTTAGTGTTTTTGCGGTCAAGGCGCGCCGGAATTATCGGGGGTTTCGGAGGACAGGGCTTGAGGCGAGTGCTTCGGCGCAAAGGAAGGAAAAGGAAATCGGTCATCTTCATGTCGAGAATGTCTAAACCATGGGTTGACTGTTCAAAGCCGGGCTACACTTACTTCCTACTAATTGTGGATTTTGGTAAAGATGGGTAGTGAGTGCGACATGTCTAATTTAGTCTTCCAAATGGTCTTCTCTTCTTCAATTGCCTTATGACCAATTCTCAATGTCATTTTAAGGCCTCAGTTTGTAGCATGCCGTGTCGTTGTACACCTCGTAGAACATCCCCGGCTTTCCCCATGATCCCCACCCCCAGAATTCCCCTCTTCTTGGCCTTTCCCCGGGATCAAAATCCTACGGGGAATGGTTCACCTAGCAGAAAAGGTGGGTCGGCTAAATGCCATCCGAAGAGTTCAAAACGCGTCGATGGGTCTGAACTGAGGGGTAATAAGAACAGATTATAAGGACCCTGACACACTCCTCTCAATTCCCCGTTGCAAAAGCACTATGTCTCAATCAGCATCTCAGACGATTCCCCAAAAGCCAATCCCAAACCGCCTCCGAGGCCTTGTTGCTCTTGTCACGGGGGCCGCAGGGAACATCGGGCTTGAAACCGCGTCGAGGTTTCTCCATGAGGGGGCCAAAATCGTGTTGGTGGATATCGATGCGGAGAAACTCAATCGATCTAAGCAGACACTCGTTGATGCTGCCAAACCATCAATGTCAACAAATGGAAATGAATTAAATGCGGATGAGGCGCTCTTCGCAGTTCAGGCGGATGTGACGGCTGAAGATGGCGTGCGACACTTCGTCGATGAGACTATCTCCAAATTTGGAAGACTGGATATTGCCGTTCTCTGTGCTGGGATCTCATACTCGTCTACGAGCATTCTGGAGACGGATGTGGAGCAGTACGACAAGGTGATGCATGTAAACTGCCGGTCTGGTAAGTGTTTGTCCCATCACTCATGGCTGGTTCAATCTACCAAGCCAACATCTCTCTGAAACTAACTTGATTAATCTAGCTTTCCTTGGAGTAAAACACTGCGGCAATGCCATGAAAAATACCGGAAACGGAGGAAGCATCATCCTAGTATCCTCAATCGCAGGCCTGCGTGCCACACCCGGTCTCTCGGCCTACTCAACGTCCAAGTTCGCATTGCGCGGCCTATGCCTCACTGCAGCAGCAGAACTCGGCCAGTTCAATATCCGCGTCAATACGGTGCATCCGTGCGGAGTCAACACTCCCATGTTTTTGGCTTCATGGCCCCCGGAAAAGATGAAGAGCATGTTGGCAACAGTGCCTCTTGGTCGGTGGGCCGAGGTAGCTGACGTTGCGGCTTTGGTGGCGTTTTTGGGGAGCCCTGATGCTCGGTTCATGACTGGGGGTGCTCTCAAGGTAGATGGCGGTGTTGTTATGACTTGATATGCGATAGGCTTGCGTATCGGGCGATAGAGGCAGCAAGAAGCTATAGATCCAGACCTTTCGCCAAGTTTACTAACTCGAGTCCATCTCGAGGTTATTCGGTAGTTTCTGAATGTCTTTTCCATCCCAAACTCTGCTGTCTTAAATTCGAGTGGACTCTTTTAGAAAGTCTAGCTATTGCAGGTTGCCTGTCAAACTTTCGAATCGCAACTACCAAACGGACCGCATCATAAATTTTGTAGCGAGTATAAAGCACTTCAACAAGGTCGAATATCTTAAACTAATCCGAATACAGTGATGCAATGGATTTATATGTAGTCTACTGTAGTGATTAAAAGTATTCAGCTTTCGTTGGTTATATTTTACCTTCAATGGCCTCTAATTCTTCCAAGGCTCTACGTGGAGTGGCCAAGACGCGGTGTCCTGGGCCGACTCAAGCCGCAAGGCACACTCATGGATAAGGAATGAACTACCTTGGAGAACCACGAAGGTGAAAACTTCACCAGTGCTTCTCTCTGTAAAAAAATGACTCTGCCTCGAAGTGTCATAACCTGGTCATGAACCAGAGCAAACCCTATGAGACAGCTATTTCAGCGAATCATCGACGTTATCTCTGAGTATTCAATCGGCCTTGAGGATAAAATACTTAATATGAGACAACAGCACAGTTATGATGCCCATTGACCCTTGCTCAGAATTATACTGTCACCAGGATTGGTCAAAAAAAAAAAAAAAAAAAAGACCACCGAGCTTTCATATAACTCAGTAACTCGGTTCTATCAATTGATCTCCCCAAGTACAGACTAAGATAACATGAAATAGAAACTTACCAGAAGAATAAGGCATCAGTTCTATTTGATCTATTCAATACCACACCAATGAAACCCAGAAATTCCACTGAAGTAGTGCTTTACCTCGAATTGGCCTTTGGCGTCTCTCGGGGTCGTGCCTAGCCTGTAATCTCCCGGTCCTTGGGATTGTGAAAGAATTGTATATCTATCCAAGATCTCAGTTTCAGGAGAATATCTCAAAGCCGTGCCCTAGCTCCCAGTAAGTTACCCCGACAGACGTCATCTATTTTATACCCAAAAGATGTCTTTTCCATCCCCACCTTTTCTTCTTCTCTTTAATCACTCTCCTCGTTGCTTACCACCTCAACAAAGACCACACAGACGAATATTCGACCTTGAAACACCGCCAGCAAAGATTCATTCCACGACTCGATTCGGTTCGTCCTTCTTTGGCCACAAGGTCAACATACCCATCTGAAAATCGAACACCGAAACATGGAACCGCCGAGCCCAGAATCAGAGTCTGACTGAGAACTGGGCTACAAGTGCCCCGAATCCTATATAACGGAGATCCCACCCGAGATATTAGGCATCCTGCAGGGAGATCTGCCAGTGCCGGACCAGATATGCCTTGCTCTGAGCTGCAAACACTACGCATATTTTGAATCGTTTCTCCAGGCTCAGGACAAACGCCTTCCTCGGCTTTTAGAGAAACACAAAGGTCTTTGCCGCAGTGTCGACATGCAGAAAATTGATCGAATACAAGTACTTCGCCGGCTCGAGGATCACCATGGGTGAAAACAATGCGACGAGATAGTTTCTCTATACGTTTAGCACGCATACGCATGAGTGTATCATGATATGCCTGTTTCGATCGAAAGCCACCAGACCAAGAAGGCCCTAACAGATATTCGTTGAACTCTTGCTCCGACTCAAAGGGGCCGGCGAAGTAGTTGGGAATGCGGACAAATCCTGATTGTAGTACCCACAAAAGAGCAGATCCTGTTCACTCCCCAAGGATTCGGCTATCCACGTATTCTGTCAAAGTAGCCCCGAAGGTCCCTCAAGATAGACTGCTTATCCTGGCCGAGTGTTTCGTATACTTGGCCCAGTTCTTCGCCGGGCACACGAGTCAGTAGGATCGAAACAGGCGCATGTGGTGCATCCGGGTGTTCTCCATAACCGATCACACGCCGAACTGGGAAACCAGCTTTCCTAGCAACCTGCATGGCCAGGGCTTCTTCTAGCCGAGTGCCATCGGACCATTTCAGGATCAGGCCAAATGGAACCTGGGCAATCTGATTGTCGTAGGAGATCCCCACCCAGCCACAATAGTGCCGAGAAAATCGTCACAAATAGAAGTGCAGAAAGCCCCAGAATCGACGAACTAGTGGTGGTGTCCATCGAGGTCTGGGCGGTATTTGGTCCTTGGAGATTGCTCGGGCGCTGTCTGGCCAATTTATGGCCAGGTAAATTCTGGCAAAAGAAAACGAGGGTGGCGTCGTCAATAGTCAACTGGTGAATACTGTTTTAGCATCTAATGATCGCCATCTTTTTGCCTCTGTCTTCTGTCATTAGTGCTGGCATGACTTCATTCCATAACTATTCCCTGTTGTCTCAAGGGGATGTGGATTCAAGGTCCTAGGACATCTGCGGGCTTTCGGTGTCGCCCGAGTGAAAGAGTAGCGTAGCCTTCAATATATGGTATTTTTGGAGTAGACCTGACTCTATCAAAGTATGTTTCAGGATGCTACGCTTGATGCGCCCTAAATGGTTGTTAGTATAATCCGAGAGGCTGCTGCAGGTTAGTTATGGATACAGCATGATCGCTGCGATTCAAAGGCAAGAGGCAACACGCCAAAGGCCAGAGCCACTCTCGAAGACGCGTGTTCGCGATCAGACTGATCCAAGTCAACTCTAGGGTCCATCATGCGTATGTGCATGCTCTTCTTCCTCATGCCCGTCTTCATCCTCATCCTCCCACTCGTCATCGACATCATCATTCAAACCCGGAACCATGACCTCCAATTCATCTTCATCCTCGTCTCCAAGCTCACCGCCCAGCATGGCGACCAGTTGCAATAGCCCGGGCTGTGATTGCAAGAGCGCGTCTGCCGGCGAAGGCTGCCGGGTGGGATCCGACAGACCTCCACTCACCGCTGTTGGATCTTCAGAAGAGTCAGCCCCGGCGGTCGAAACATTCCTGTCTTTGGAGAATTCAGGGGCGAGACCGATAATGCGGATGGCTTTGGTCGTGAAGATGCGAGCGAGGTTTTCGTGTTGTGGGGGACCACCGGGGAGGTCCGGGAGTTGTTGACGCCGGCCGAGGGTCTACAAGATTCTGATATTAGGATTTTCTTTTTTTTTTTCTGACATGGGCCGCGGAACGTACGGTATAAGTGGTCATGACCGCATCATCACACAGCGTCATGTAACTGACCGGCACGTCAAATTGTGGCGCCAAGCTGGTGAGCAGCGAGTACGATGCGCGGGCGGGATTCTCAACATCTTGGATTTTGTTGTTGTCGTCGAGCGCGACGACATAGATCCGGTCTTGGATTTCGAACATTATGCGGTGGTTGCGCACAGACAACCAACCGCCCAGGTCAAAGCTGGACCCATCGGACTCGCATTCGATGAGAGAGCTGTGAGCAGCCAGACTGGCCTGGTCACGGAGTGCCTTGCGCCAGTCCGAGCACACGAAGACACGGCCGGCGCGGGAGAAGCCCACGAAGAGATTTCCCTGTAGCATGCCTGCTCCCCATTCGTTTTCTTCGTGCCAAACGTGTTCAGGGTCGGTGGGTGGTGGGAGAGGGCCTTTGGCGAGTTTGATCGGGTCCAGGTAGTCTGTGCGAGAAGCACCAGAAGGGAGAAACCGATCCCCGAAAGTATGTCGCGCAGCACCGGCCAGCGCCGCACCCACCGAAGAAGGTCGGCGGGCAGGAGGACGGATGTGATATTTGTCCGTGCAATGGGACGGCTGCAAGATACCGAGGAATTCACCAGACGTCTTGTCATAGGCATAGTAGCCTCGTGCGCCTATGGAGTAAATGACGACGTCTGAGCTCTGATCTAGGTGGCCGACGGCATCTCGCTCTATCGTCAGGTGCGTGGTCAACTTGGGAGGTCGCTGCGTCATGTCATACACAAAGCCCTGTCCCTGGTTAGAAACCACACAGAGCGTCCAGAATGACAATTGAAAGCCTCTCGTTTGGCAACCATGGTTCAAGACCGCAATGCGGCGGAACTCTCCACGTGCTGCGCCTTCCAGACCCTCCTGCCAGACCTCAACGGCATTCCCTTCGCGGTCAAACACGACCATTCCATCCTGATACTCCAGATGCGCGTATGGGCGAACCGCATCCTCATCACGATCCCGCGTGGAGGGAAGTCGCCATAGGATCTGGCCCGTATCCATATCCGTGACGTTCAGACCACCGGCATGGGAGCTGGATATAAAGAATCGGCGCTTGAAGTCGGCACGGAACCGCCAAATAGGGGCATTGCCGACCTGCAACACCGACTCCTGGCTAACTGGGTGCTGCTTGGCCCAGTTGCGAGCGAGCAGCGTCTGGCGCCTGCAGACATCCTTCCATGATTCCGTGTCCTTGAAGAGTTTGTAGAAGCTTCTGGTTTCTGAGAGGAATGACAAGTCACGGGCACCATTGGGTGGTTGGGTGGTTTTGGATTCGGAGCCGTAGATGGCTTCTTGGTGAGTGACGTCGATAAATTGGTGCCAGGCGTTCGAGACTGCGGTCAGGGAGGCGAGGGTAGAGATTGACGCGAATTCCAAGACACGCAAGACAATCTCTGGCGGTAGAATGGTGAGAGGGTCTGCAACCTGTGAGGTGCCCGTCATATTTCAGACAGAAATTTGGAGAGAATTAAGAAGAAAGTCCGTTGATGAGGTGGGGGGGCACACTATTTTGTTGCTGTTGACCGCCTTTGATAACGACTTATCGCGCAAAATGGAGGCTCTGTCGACATCACTTCCTCAACCATTGGGGAAAGTCCAGTTTGCTTCGACGGTCATTGAAATGAAAGATCTCTCGTATGAATTATAATGGCATCAAACAGATCCAAGCGTGGGCTCGCACGCGAAATATTCTAACGTGGTGATGCTATATATAACGCTAATATAAACAGAGAAGACGGTCCAAATCCGGGGTCTGATCTGACAGGTTTATCACGAGTCGCCAGCTGAATTTGATGGAAGGTCAAGCGTGGATACGATGATAGTATGGTTAGAGCGGATGTCGATACCCGAGACATACATGCACCGCGCACCGCCGCAATTGGCGTGGAAAACCATCTTGGTCCCATCAGGCGCAACCGTGGCACCCCCGGGCGCCTTCAAGTCAAAATCGCCCGTTTGGAGCAAGGCCCGATCAGCTCGCTGATAGGGACCCTTGATTGATTTGGAATGGGCATACTTGACATTGTACCCCAGTGTCGAGAAGCAGTGAGAAGAAAAGAACAGGAAGTACGTGCCATCTGCGCTGCGGATTATATTCGGGGCCTCGACTAGAGGGCCGTCGCTCTGCTCGCGGTCGAGGATGGTCACCGGGTCGCCAACCTTGGTGACGCCGTCTTTCTGTACTTGCTGCAGAAATATCGGGGTGGGCACGAGAGGGTCTTTGCCATTATTGCAGTCCCCGCCATGGCCGACGGTGTTGCCATCGGCTTTATACGTCACATACATGGTGCCGTCCGTGTCTTGAAACGGTGAGGGATCGATGGCGCCGCCGTATTTGTGCGGACAGGCAAATGGCTCATTCTGGGGAATGTATGGCCCAAGTGGATCGGAGTCTTGCGAGACCGCCGCCCCGATGCAATGATGCTTGCCGTAGTGCTTCACCAGGCCAGAGTAATAGACCACAAATTTCCCGTCGTGCTGGAATCGAAGGTATGAGAAGATAGTCCGTCAAGTGGAATAGGGGATTCACCTACCCGCTGGATCATATCGGGAGCCCAGTGGTTTTCCTTTCGTTCCCAGTCGCCCATTGTTGGCAGCGCATCATATCCCTTGTGAAGAGTCCAGTTCACAAAGTCGGTCGACGTGGCCACGGGCAGATGGATGGTGTTGGGGCTCTTCTTTTTGGGGTTCGTTGCAAAAGCATACCAAGTCCCATTATGCTGACGGAGACTCGGGTCTGGGAAATTGTGGAGAGCAAAGAGGGGACGGTTGGCCTTGGACTGGTAGCTAGGGTGATTGTGGTGATATTTTGGCTCGTATGCGACGGACTGGTCATGATTTCGACGGTGCGTGAGAGCAACTGGGAGAGCAATCACCAGTGCCAGGAATATCGTTCCAGACAACGAGAGTGCAATGACTATGGCAATCTTTGGTTGACCCCATGATCGAGGCAGCCAGTCTTTCTTTTCTTCCTCCACCGGCCCTGCCAGTGGCTTTGGTTCTGTCGAGTTTGGACTGTCTATGCCACCCGCTGATTCGCTTTCAGTGCGAGATTGAACCGCTGGGGGTGCGGTGTGTGTCTCATGCTGAGGGGCGACAAGTGCGTCACCCATTATGTTTTTTTGGTGTCTCTCCGTGCAAGAATTGCAGGAAGTGTTGGGTTCTGGGGTGATATTTGCATGCAGAAAGAAAGATCCAAGGTAAACATTAGCACAATTGCAGGTTACTCGGAGGTTGCTATGGGAGCGCGAGACTGCATATGAGCTCGACTCCTTGCATAGACTATGGAGACGGAAAATAAGGTAAGGAAATTGAATGAGACATCAAGACTGAGGACAAGTAAAGAGTTTTGTAATGACCGATAAAAGCGCAACCAAGTCGCAATTAGGGTTTGGGGCGGGATGAAGGGATCGAGCGACAAGCTGGCACGGTGCAATGTAGACCCTATCAGATATTACTGAGACAAAGATATCTAATTGTCTGAAGTCTCGGTACTTTGAGATATATCATTTCACATTTAGAAGAAGGCCTCGATTGAAAAAAGGAGACAGAAGAAAAACGGAGAACAAGCTTTGATAGGGGAACCAGGGCCAATGATTGTATTCAAATAAATGCCCGATTTCTTGCGGATTTTGACGTTTCTGTTGATCCATTCTTTGCAGAATTGCCCGGTCCATGACATAAATAGCATTGTTTAGCTATTATTTTGATCATGATTTGAACCACGGTGAGGAAAACCGTTTTGCTCCGGGGTATTCCAGGCAATCCTGCTAATGTTTCAGCCACATGGCATCAAGTCGAGATGTCAACTGTCTGCAACAGCCCTGGAGGTCTTGGGGCCGGAGAAAGCCACAAACCGTGGCTAGAGACTCCAGCAATCGGCCCTCGGTGTTTTGCCTATAGTATTCAGGCATGACCATGAACCTGCGCGTGCGTTGTGGTTGCATATCACGCCGGCTCTTGTCGAAACAGCCAATGTCGCTAGTCTAGTGGCATACGCGTTCTATCCACCAGGAATACTGCACTCAAGTAAAGTGGCCGAGGGTCAATGAATAACGCTGAACGATTCACACCAGGCAATAGTATTTCTGGTGGTGAACGGGTTCGTATCAGATCACTTCTGCAGTCAATGTTAGTCGAACGGCACGGAGTCCCAGTCACTTCTTTTCTAGGATATGTCATGGTTGATGCTAGCAGAGAGATGCTCCAGTCAAGGATAAGCATGACGAATAAGACACCCATTGTCAGGGCGATCATCGCCCGTTGGGGACGCGCGGCCGGTGGGGATGAGGCACGAGGCTGATCCTGTGAGATTTAGAAAGTGTCGCAATGGAAAGTAGATAGCTGTCGATTGCATTTCTTTCTCTCTGGAGATAGAGAGAAAGAGAAGGTGCATCCACCAACGCAGGATTCAATCCGCGGGTCGCTCGGCAGCCAGGAACCCAAGTCCGAAGGCCACGTGAGTGGCTCTGCAACAAGCATCTCTGCTGTCCAGCATACGCAATCCTCAATTTTACTTGACAGAAAGGTCTTGGTGGCAGCGGGGTTCGTCCTTCATCTTTTTTTCACTTCTTGGGCGCCATCGTGCCTTGCGCCTAGCGTTGACCCGGTTTTCTGATCTTGGCGCATCTCCTTTTTCTTCTCGTTTTGCGCATTCCCTATCTCCGGCCGGCATCGGATTGCATCTTGAACGACATTGATTCTACTCGACGGTGCTTGAAGAGTGCAGAATGCCATTCCCAAGATCCTCGTGAGCCAGGACCCGACCACGCCAAACGCGACTCGGCCACGAGGGCGAGCGTTGACGTCGAATCCCCCGATTGCTCCTCTATCGAAGACAAACAAACAGGCCGAGGTTTCTCCTGTCTTGATCCGCGCCAGCGCACAGCTGTTTTAATTCGATTAAGGAACTCGGCCGGTTCCAATCCCAGTTGCTCAGCATGCCTACGTTTCGCAAGTCGCTGCTCGCTGCCCTCTGCCTGTTCGCCTTCACCTTCTTCCTTCGCTCGACGCGAACGCCCGACGTCCCCGGTGCCCCGGGTTACAAGCCAGTGCACAAGATCTCGGAGGAGCAAGAGGCTGCAGAATTGGATGCTGCGCGATTGAAGGCGACCAAAGGGTGGTCCCAACAGCCTCTGACGGAGTCGTCGCTGGCACCATTACGCGATCGCCTCCGGTACCAATTCCCCTACCGTCTCGAGAACAGGTTCCCGGCCTATATCTGGCAGACCTGGAAATACACCCCGGCCTCCATGTGGTTCAAAGACGAGTACCGCGTCACCGAGGCTAGCTGGACCGAGCTGCACCCGGGATTTGTGCACGACGTAATTACCGACGACCTCCAGCGCAATCTGATCCAATACCTATACGGCTCGATGCCAGATGTATTTGAGGCGTACGAATCGCTCCCGCTGGCGGTCATGAAAGCCGATTTCTTCCGATACTTGATCCTGTTGGCGCGTGGCGGCATTTACAGCGACATTGACACGCTGGCCCTGAAACCCGTGCGCGAGTGGCTCCCCGAGCCGCTCGACCGGGCCACCGTGGGTCTCACTATCGGCATCGAGGCCGATCCGGATCGTCCGGACTGGCATGACTGGTACACGCGCCGCATTCAGTTCTGTCAGTGGACTATCGTTGCCAAGCCGGGACACCCTGTTCTTCGTGACATGGTGGCTTATGTCACCGAGGAGGCCCTGCGCATGAAGAGGGAAGGGGTTCTCAAGAAAGGAAAAATGGATAAGACTATCATGGAGTTCACGGGTCCGGGTGCCTGGACTGACGCTGTATTCCGCTACTTCAACAACCCGGCCTACTTCAATATCCAGCCGGGGGATCGCAACGTCACCTATGAAGACTTTAGTCACCAGACTACTCACCGGAAAGTTGGCGATGTGGTTGTCCTGCCTATTACGAGCTTCAGTCCGGGTGTTGGGCAGATGGAAGCTGGAGATACCGACGATCCTATGGCTTTTGTGAAACATGAATTCGATGGTACGTCTTGAACATACTGTTAATTTGAAATTCATACTCACATCGCCTTCTCAGGAACATGGAAAACAGACCCGTCGCTTTGAGCGGCATTCCAAGTCCAGGTTATCATTTGATTATTCTGGCTTTTTTTTTTTGACTGACCTCCACCCACGAAAGCATAATCTGCCCACCAGATATGCTATGTGGTGAAGTGATTGTTCGTCGCCTCCGTTCGTCTCCGCCTGGCAGCAAAAAGCACCGAACCCAGTCTCAGGAGCTCTGGGAACAACCTTTATGGGCAGGAACCCAGTGTCTTGCCGGAAATATCCAAGACTCCACCCTCAGGTCTCTCTATTCGGACACTGCCTCGAGCAATGCTGTCGACTCGGGCGACCATCCTTGATTTCAATCTGAACTCCAGATTCTTTTTCTGGGACGCCGTCAACTATATAAAGACACCACCGGCCGGTTCCCCGGTTGTCAGTGACATGTAGGAGAAGCGTCAACCCAGAACACGCGATTATACACACGCGATCCATGTCTAATGATTCCCCCTCTTGTGTACGAATGTCTCCTCCGTCTCCGGCATCATTGTTATTATTTCCTGTGCTATACAATTCTTTTATTCAGCGGGCTAGAACCTTCATCAGAAGACAGTTTAATGGCGAGAACAGCAGATAAAATAGATTTCCTCATTCCCACGGCTACAGTCCTCCAGCTTTGGAGCATTGGAGGCATTGGAGGCATTGCCAACCTCTTGAATGAGAAGAAAAAAGGTACAATTGAGAGCTCTCCTCCAGACCATATGTTATAAGGGTTGGATATTTTTTTCTACCACGTAATAGAAGCAGAATGAGTTGTGCAATCATCCAAGAAATCAATTCACCAAAGGGTATGTTCCAAGATCAAAACCAAAACCAAGAACAAGAACAAGAGAGATATATACGGATAGGAAGATGGGGTGGAGGTTGGGGTTATATGAGAACATTGACACGAATACAGAGAAAGACAAGGGACAAGAATAAGGACAAAACAGCCACCCAAAATGCATGATCATCAGGCCATCCCACAGACACGCGATCATGTCCAGAAGCGAAGGCATTACAAAAACCGATAAAAGAACGGGTCATGGGGGAGACATGAACGGGAGACCCTGGAGCATAATGCGATCCAAATATTTGCACTTGAAAAGAAAATGTTGCCAGAGAGAGTCCCACCAGGATCAGATGGTAAACCCCAACAGACGCGGAGTGATATACACAGAGAGTGAGAGATAAGAAGAAAGTGAGAGAAGGGTGAAGGGGGTGTAGTGAGTGGTAGGAGTAGGATAAGACTCCCAAGTAGCGTCGCGTGAGAGCGAGCAGATTGGTTGGCCTATTTCAACAAGCCTAAATGGCACGGCGATATTGAGCCTTCAGAGCCAGATCGGCTATTGGCGGCTTCGTGAGACCGTAGAATCAAAGAAGGGATGAGAGCAATCACGGTTGCAGACCCAGTGACCCAAAGGCCTTGCGCTCGCGCGAGCCAATGCTCGGAGACATAGGGTGCATAGAGCCGTGGGCCTTTAATCAGACTTCCTCTGCAAGGAAAAACGGGTAATCAAGGCGAAGCTTGGTCAAGCCGGACAGAGAAACCAAAGCATCAAAAGTCGCTAAACAGAGTGTCGTACTTCTTTCTCAAATCATCGGTGTAGAGGTTCTGGCCTCTGACATCAGGAGGATCCGGGTAATCCTCGAAATTGCCTGTATCGGCAGGGTGTGACACTTTCGGGAGAATCGGGCCCTTGACCCGGTGGTAGAATAAGTCATCCCATACTACCTCTTGGAAGAACGGGTGTGACTTGACTCGCACTGAGCCGCCGGAGATGTAGCCCAGTCGCTCCGTCGGGTTTGTTTTGCAGAGCAGGGAGATGATGTTCTGAGCGGCTGGTGACATGTTCGCAGGGAAGCGCAGATGGCCTTCGACAATCTGTTCGTAGATGCGCATGGGGTTCTGGTCCCAAAATGGGGGCTGTCCGACCAAAAATTCATAGAGCAGGATCCCCAGCGCCCACCAGTCTACGGCAAGTCCATGGCCGCTGTTGTGAATGACCTCCGGGGCCAGATACTCGGGCGTTCCGCACAAAGTGTATGTTTCACGGTTGTCCACTTGCTTCGCGAAGCCAAAGTCGACGAGCTTGATGTGTCCGTTGGCATCCAATAAAATGTTTTCTGGTTTGAGGTCACGGTAGGCGACGCCGTGGATGTCATGCAAAAATTCAATTGTCATTGTGATCTCCGCGGCATAAAACCTCGATGTTTCTTCGCTAAAACGCCGTGCCCGTCGAAGATAACTGAAGATCTCTCCTCCGGGGCAATAGTCCAGCTACTACTTGGTTAGCGTGCTGCAGAAACCCAAGACGAGTAGTTGCTTAGCAGATCCAGGCACCACTCACCAACATGTACAAACTCTGTTCATCCGAGAATGATGCGACCAACGTCGTTATGAAGGGGTGACCGACCACCCCAGCGAGGGTCTTCCGTTCGTTGCGCACATGTTCCACTTGCTTCAACTTGATCACTGACCAGTTCCGAATAGCCGAGGTCAGCAGCCGTTTGTTGCAAGCATTAACCAGAGGACCCTACTCACCATCTGCCTTGCGAAGAACCTTCAACGCATAAACCGTGTTTTTATCCTTCTGATCCTTCAGCCGCGCGAGCCACACCCGAGCAAAAGTGCCTTCAGGCCAAAAAAAAAGCAAGCAGTCAGATCACGAGCACTGGTTTAAGCAGAAGAGATTGGAGCATCCTAACCGGTACCGAGAGTCTTCATGAGCACGAAGTCTCTCACCCGCAGAGTCCTCGACGAAATACATAGCTGTTTCTCGTCGGGCCGCTCAGTGATGAGGAACGGGTTCGCGGAGCGCGGTGAGGAGCGAATAGACTCGACCAGCGACCTTTCCCGCTGATGGATCCCATTACGGGGACTGCTGCTAGTGCCGGTGCTCTGCATCTCATTCAGGGCAGAATGCTCGACTGTTCCGGTCGCCATTGGAGGGGCCAGGGACCATGTCTCATGCGGTAAGGAAAAAAACAAAAATTAGATGAGTCGAGCTTGTTCGCGCGCCAACCACATCGGCAACTGAGCTTGAACGGGTCTCGGGTCAAAAGAACATGTTCCCAAAATGAGAAGAGTAAGAAAGGGGAAAACGCGGGGCACCGAGAAAGTTGCGAAAATGAAGTTCTGCTCTGACGTATCCCATGGGGGCGGGGCTGGACGGGTAAAGGGGACAGAGCTACGGTGAGAAATCGGAATCTGCCAGCTGATCCTGGGGTTTGATCCCATTCTATGCACACTAGTATACACCCCGAAAATAATCATAATAACCTTCAAATGACTCCCCAGATCTCGGTCAGGGCTCTGGATAGCTACCACGCTCTGCTGATCCATCTATGGATGTGAGGCATTAGATATGCAACGCCATATGCGCCAGAGCCTTAGGCGACCAACTGTATGGTGGGTGGAAGATGTAGAGGAAGAGATCGGCGCCTAAGACTTCGAATTCAGAATCAACCCAACAATGAGACTATTGCGCGCGTTAGTAAATGACCTTGCTGATTCCTGTCACCCGGGGACACCTACCCGTAAAGCCCCAAAACTTCGCCGAAAATCAGGATGAGAATCAATCCCACATAGACTCGAGATTGTTGCATGTAAGCTCGAACACCCTAGGGACAGCGGTTAGAACTCTATAGCCCAGCAGGCGTCTCCAAGCCGGGGAAGTAGTTACCGCGTCACCAACGATACCGATAGCATATCCCGCGGCCACCCCCGAGAGGCCTACTGAAAGCCCGGCTGCTAGATGCATGAATCCCCTACACATTCCCCGTCAGTATGTGTCGACACCAAAGCTCATCTCGTCCCCATCCCAACGTACGTGTACAAGCTCATTTGCGTTGTTGGGTTCACCGTTTGCGCGATGAGAACTGCAATCACCAGACCGTAAACCGCGATAATACCGGACATGACAACGGGGATCAGGGACTGTAGGGTGAGAGTTCGGTCAGCGATGCTTGCCTGCGAGTTGTCAGGTTGTCTCCGCTTGTTGTCTTGCCTTCATGATCAGGTCTGGCCTAAATGTGCCCACGCCCGCAATCCCAATCCCCGACTTTGCCGTTCCGTAAGCTGCACCCGCCGCTGGGAGGTTGTCAGTAAGTGTTCGGTCACCCAAGGTTAAGACTCGACCATGCGCGGTTCACGTACATCCAAAGACCATCTTCGGGTGGATGAATCGTTAGCATCATATCCGGTAGTACGTCTTTCTCGATGAACTCACTGCGGCGGCAATGCCAGCCTAATACAGGGTCAGTATAACACTCCCAGCTCCGGATCGAGAGATACTCACAAAGGAAAAGAACGGAGCAAACTTGGGCGCAAGATCACTTTCAGCCATGGTGAAGGTGCCTAAAGTTGGATAGTATGACAAAAGTGAAAGGGAAAATCAGAGCGGTGCAAACCGAGACTGAGAGAAGCAAAGGTCACCGAGTGTTGCTATCGCGGCGTTGCTGCTCCCTGCGTCTCAAAGGGCCACTTCGCCCGCCGTAGCCGGGCCTTGGTCGCCCTCTGGCTATGACAATACCATACCACCCCTGTGGCTGCGTCTTTTCCGTGGCAACCACCGTTTCTCGTAATTAATTTACACGCCAATACCGGGCTCGCCGTCACTCGCCTCATCCTCGTTCTCCTGGTCCCTCCACCCCCCCAGTTGATTAGTTTTCAACATTCACTTCCTCCCCACCCCCCACCCTCCGTCAACACCCACTGTCTATTTCTCCTTTTGCCTCCTGCAGGAGAGATGCTGAGGGTATGAGCTCGCACGGAGCCTGGACTTTGTTGCGCTCACGGCTCCTGGCGCTCGTTTACGCTTGATTTTGATCTCGCCTTCAAAGTCCCTAGGGTTCCAAAACCGAGGGGAGCTATGGCATATTGAGGCCCTTTTTTTGCACAGAGACGCTTCTAATCCTTTTCCCTCTTGTCATTGTTTGCCACGAGGTCGCTACTTTCGTTGTCCCCGTTTGTTTTCTTCCGTTGTCTACGATCTTGAACAGTACCCTCTTGCGACGCCCTGAAACGCTCTCTACGATCGACTCGGATAACCACCCCTTTTTCGCCTCCTTTTTGAATCACGGCATAGACCTCATCTTTCGTATTCAACGGACTCACTGCGCCTCATCGATCATCGATCTCGTTACCATGGCGGATTTGGGAAGCCAGCGTAGCCGGAACTACCGGCCCTACGGCCCTTCCTCGTCCGTGCAGCGAGACGCTGCTTATAACGACATTTTTGGGAACGCACCGCCACCGGGACGCGCGCAGACAATGAACTCCCAAACCCCGCAGTTTTCCCAGGGTCGCGCTCATACCATGTCGTCGCATGTCGTGCAACCCCAATTTCAGAGACCGCCGCCGCCGCCAGCACGGCAAATCTCAAATGGATATGGACCGCCACCCACGCCACCCAACGGGTATACACCAGGGCCACCGAACGGACAGTACCAAGCATACAATCCGGGGGCTGCAACGATGACTTCGCAGCAACCACCGCGACCGTACCCCGGACGTTACGCTTATCCTCGACCCCAACGCCTGGATTCCAGACCCGGCCCGCCGTCCCAATACCCGGACCCCAGGGACCTCAACCGACCTTTGCCTCCACCTGCGTTGAATTCTGATGCGACGAGGTCAAGGTCAATGGCTAAATTGGGTGGTCCGGCGTACCCGGCCCCGCCCAGTAACTTCAACCACACCTCTGCCATCGCCTCCCGCCGGGAGCCTTACCACGCCGGTGCTCCGATCACTCAGTTGGGGCGGCCGGTCCCGGAGAAGCATACCAATGAGCGGGCCATGTCCATGACTTCATATGCGTCGGAACGAGATGCGCATATCATGAACAGCGGACGGTCCATCCCCCACAGACGACCGCCGTCGGGCCACGATCAACAGCAAGCAGCCCGATTCGATGCTATTCCACCAAGTGTACCGGATGTTTATGCCAAGCCCCCTCGTCCACCGAGTGATGCATCAATGAGATCCCGCACAATGTCCATGGCATCGACTATCGCGCCTGATCGTACGATGAGTGTGCAGAGTCAAGCCACTCAGAACTCCAATGGCCAATCTACTCTCGTCTCGAGCAATTCTCGCCGAAATAAATTTCCCGTGGTTTATCCTGCATTGATTTCCCGCGTCGCGGATGTGTTCCGAGAGAAGATCTCCCTGGGCGAACGCCAGAAGAACGGACTTTCATATCAGAATGCCTTCTCGGGAACAGACGCAGTGGATTTGATCGGAACCATCATCCGGACTAATGACCGCAACCTTGCCCTCCTGTTGGGTCGGGCACTCGATGCTCAAAAGTTCTTTCACGATGTTACCTATGACCATCGACTCCGAGACGCTTCCGGCGAGGTCTATCAATTCAAAGAAACGATGGGAGAGGATACGCCCGGCTCAGAAGTCAACGGTGTTTTCACCCTTTTGACAGAATGCTACTCCCCTACCTGCAACCGGGACAGTCTCTGCTATTCCATCGCTTGTCCGCGACGGCTGGAGCAGCAGGCCCGTTTGAACCTGAAACCTCAGCCGGTTCTGAGAACTTCGGCCTCCAAGGGAAGCTTGCACATCGATGATGACGACGACAATGACAATCAAAAGTTATGGATCAACATGGTTCCCAAAGAAGTCTCGGATGCTCTCGATGACCATGAAAAGAAACGGCAAGAGATCATTTTCGAAATCATGTACACGGAGCGCGATTTCGTCAAGGACTTGGAATACCTGCGGGATTTCTGGATGCGGCCATTGCGCGCTGCAGGCCCTACAAACCACTCTCCTGTCCCGGAACATCGACGAGAAAAATTCATCCGAACTGTCTTTGGTAACTGCTTGGAGGTGCTGAAGGTGAACAGCGGCCTCTGTGAGGCGTTGAACACGCGGCAGAAGGAGAGCCAAGTGGTTCAGACCGTTGGTGACATCTTCCTTCAACATGTGCCTCGCTTCGACCCATTCATCAAGTACGGTGCCAACCAACTCTATGGAAAGTACGAGTTTGAGAAGGAGAAGGCCTCGAACCCCGGCTTTGCAAAATTCGTCGAAGACACTGAGCGCCTCAAGGAGTCCCGGAAGCTGGAGTTGAACGGCTACTTAACAAAGCCCACTACTCGCTTGGCCAGATACCCGCTTCTCCTTGAGTCAGTTTTGAAGTACACCGCGGATGATAACCCAGACAAGGAAGACATTCCCAAGGCTGTGAAGATCATCAAGAGTTTTCTGTCGCGCGTCAATACCGAGAGTGGAAAGGCAGAAAATCACTTCAACTTGGTCCAGCTGAACGCATCACTGAAATTCGGTCCCGGGGATTATGTGGACCTGAAGCTCACAGAGGAGAACCGCCAAATGCTCACGAAGATGGCGTTCAAGAAAACGACAGCCGACAGTTCAGAAGTCACTGCCTATCTCTTTGATCACGCCGTACTACTCGTCCGAATCAAGGTGGTGAACAAACGTGAGGAATATCGTGTCTACAAGAAGCCAATTCCGCTCGAGCTTCTAGTGATTGCGCAGATGGACGAGGTGATCCCCCGGTTAGGAATCGCCAAGAGACCCTCGTCAAGTCTTTTATCCAACAAGGCCGTCATCAATCCTCCCCCAGCCAAGGACGGGCAGCTCCCGATCACATTCAGACACCTCGGGAAGGGAGGATACGAACAGACTCTTTACGCCACGTCCCCCACCCAAAGGCGAAAGTTCATTGAAATGGTGGAGGAGCAGCAGAGAAAGCTTTGGGAACGCAACAGCAATTTCTATAACAAAACGGTGCTCTGCGAGAATTTCTTCTCGGCTATCAACCGGGTGAATTGCCTTGTTCCAATCGGTAAGTCAATATCCGCACATTCTTGCCAATATTTCGCTCGCTAACTCGCGGTCAGATGGAGGTCGAAAGTTAGTCTACGGAACGGACAGCGGTATCTATCTCTCTGAACGTTGGCCCAAAGAGAAATCCGCCAAGCCGAGGAGGGTTCTCGACGCAAGCCAGGTCACGCAAATCGATACTCTGGAAGAATATCAACTACTCCTGGTCTTGGCGAACAAGACTCTCACTTCTTACCCAATGGAGGCTCTTGAACTAGGAGAGGGCCAAAACGCCATTGCCAAGCGTCCCAAGAAGATTCAAGGCCACGCCAACTTCTTCAAGGCGGGCATTGGCCTCGGCCGCCACCTGGTCTGCTCAGTCAAGACATCGGGTCTCTCAAGTACCATCAAAGTGTACGAGCCCATGGACAATCTGGCAAGGGGCAAGAAGAAGTCTGCGGTCAGCAAGATGTTCCAGAGTGGCCAGGACACGCTCAAACCATTCAAGGTTCGTTCTCATTGTCTTATTTTCAGATTCATTGCAAGTCACTAACTTTTCTCAGGAATACTATATCCCTGCCGAATCTTCTTCGATTCACTTCCTGCGGTCCACCCTCTGCGTTGGCTGCTCACGTGGTTTCGAGGTAGTCAGCCTTGAGACCACCGAGACGCAATCCCTTCTCGACCAGGCTGATACGTCTCTCGATTTCGTGGCTCGCAAAGAGAACGTGAAGCCTATCCACATTGAGCGGATGAACGGTGAATTCCTTCTCAACTACAGTGACTTTTCGTTCTTTGTCAACCGCAATGGGTGGCGGGCCCGACCCGATTGGAGGATCTCGTGGGAAGGCAACCCGAACGCCTTTGCCCTCTCGTACCCCTACATCTTAGCATTCGAGCCCAACTTTGTTGAGATCCGCCACGTGGAGACCAGCGAGTTGATCCATATCATTACTGGAAAAAACATTCGCATGTTGCACTCTTCCACCCGAGAGGTATGTCACCCTGGGAGCCTTGGAGTCGTTATTTTCTTTGGTCTTTGCTAATTTTATCTCCAGATCATCTACGCTTACGAGGACGAAGGGGGTGAGGATGTGGTTGCCAGCTTGGACTTCTGGAACAAACCACAACAACACGGGGTGTGATACCGTACCCAGTGCATGACACAGATGAATTCGCGTCGACTTTTTCACCTCCTCTTTCCTTCCCTGTTTTCTTTCGTGGGGCTTCATCCACTCCGCTGTTCCTCGAGAGCGATTGTCCAGCATCCTTATATCCCCGAAACAAAAACTGCTGGTTAGGATTCGCTAAGGAAGACGGGGAAATGAAAGAGAAAGAGAGAACAAAAAGGACCTCGTTTTATTTCAACGCCCTTCTAATGATGTTTTGGCTTTTCTATCCTTCTTCTCATCCATATTCCTCCGTTCTCTTGACGCCGAGCGTACCTTTTGCCGTTGTGTCTGTACCGTGACGAAGATCCCCCTCTTCCTCGTCTTCTCCACAGTCATCGCCCTTCTGTTTTCCTCTCTCTTTCTCTCTCCCTTTCCGGCAAGCTGCTTCTTGAAGCCTCAGGGAGCTTGCAACCTTTCTTCTTATCTCCCTTTCTCGTTTCTCTCTTGTGTGTACAATGGGAGCGCAAATACCACTTCTCGCGCGTGTCTGCTTCTACTTATACTTTCTGCATCTTTGTTCTTGTTCTTGTTCTATGTTTTGCTTTTTTCTTCGTTTTCGATTTTCTGCTACTTCTTTTCCATTAAAATTCTTTGTTCTTTCCCCCACCCCTTTGTCTATTGAATTCTTTTGTTTCCCTTCTTCCATTTCTGGTTTTTTTGTTCCTCCGCATAGCCTGCGAAGTGATGCCTATATCTCTCTCGACTTCTTTGTATTGTTCAATTCAAAGTATTTCTCTATCTGACCCACTTTGGCTCGGGTTTCGTGACTTTCTACTTTATGTCAGAATGCTTAGCATTCGGTGGCAATATCTGTAGTGGTGTTATTTTTTTCTGTAGCTCTCGTGCCCATTCATTTTCGCGATAGAAATTGGCCGAGGATAAACCGGTCAAAGTAGCTGTGTTGATGTGGAACTCGGGGAGAGATGTTCATCTACAGAAGCAATGGGCCGGCAGGTACAGGTATGAGATGACAGATTTTTCGTATGCATCAAGTGGAAAATGCTTGTGCTTGGAAGCCGCCCCACACATCCTTAGTATATAAACACCCTTTTAAGGCTTTTTGAGGGTTACGAGCCTTCTATGCCTACATTTAGTGTGAGTGTTTAATGAATTTATTGCACTCTTTAAGGAAGTTCTATCACTTTAATTTTGCCTAAAGGAACTTGATTCAGCTGGCAAGTATGGCTTCAACTATGTGAGCTATCTAAGTTCGCCTAGAATTAACTTTCAACTTTATTGATATTTCACTAAATCGTATGGGTTCAATAGTATGGCCCTTACAAGTACATCCTGGAAAGCGTCATGCTGACTTGCAGACAAGGAGCGTAGCTTATGAGATAGTCATGAATAGTCGCTAGCTTTGACAACTCCAGATAACCAGCGTTTGCTTTCTTGTTTGACAAAGTGAATCTCGCTGCCATCATTCTTTCTGTTTCTTATGAGCACCCCTCCCAAATGTCTCATACCTCTCATCCCCTGAAGAGCAACCTTTCATTCCCGCGCAAGACTAGATTCCAGTCAAGTTTTAAGTCTAGAGTTAAGAACCTGCGGGGGCAAAGTACTTTTCACCCTTGATCCATGAGCTGGACATATTTTGGCTGATTATCTGAATTCCCAGGTCCTAATCTATGTACCTATCAATGCAACTCATGTACATGAGCTGCCTCTGGCTTATACAGCAGCAAGCTCTCCGCGGATCGCTATGACTCGGATTATCTCAGATTTGGCGATGAACATGCCAGTGGCCGAAATACAGATCCTCAGTATGGCGGGTAAAGAAGATGCGATCTACATACCCCCTAAAGATGAGAAAGCGCTGATATTGACCTCTAATCGTCTAGCACCCCGGATTCATCATCACGGAAGAAAATATGGAACATGGTTATACGCACGATACCTTGCCAGTTCCATTCGATGAAGAAAGCTTGCCGGGCAACTTCTACATCTGGGCGACTACCAAAAAGGTGGCGTTTCTGCATGGCCGTTTTGTGTGGATAAACTGGGATGTCGAGGAACTGATGGCAATAAAGTCTAAGATAGAGATGGATAAAGGCTTCTTGAGGATGGGGTTACAAGGTGTGGCATCCCAGGATTTCCCCATGCTGCTAGCCGGTATGGGTCGGGCTGTATAAGAACCTTGGAAAGCTTTCAATCTTTAATTCATTTTCGCTAGTCAACAGAAAATATTATACAACCCTACTTCACACTACCAAGTATAGAGTCAAAACCTATTAATCATACTTCCGTTCGGATGTGGACTTCATACCAAACGAGAAGTTTATGTTAGTTGTATGCTATAGATTTGACATAGAGTCTACTGGCTTAAAGCACATGAATGGGGCTTTGGGCAAAAGGGACGAAAATGGCATCAATGGTAGCTAATTTCAGCGATCGATGTACTAGGAGTCAGTGTCGAGGTGTGATATCCTTCGTTTTCCTTTTCTCTCTCTCTAAATGTTATGATTGCTATAGCAAGATTAAATTTCTCTTATTCAGTTTCTCCCTATTTACTTTCCTGCTTTATATCACTTCCCCTCTATTTTAAGCAATCTCATCCACAGACTACTCCTATACCGGGACCATATTACCCTCTTCCAGATCATCACTCTCTTCGAGATCGTCATCCTCTTCATCCTCTTCAGGAAGGTCATCCTTTCCATCATCCCTCTTCCCCTTCCCAGAAGTACCACTCTTCCCAGAAGTATTATCGTCATCTTCATCATCATCGTCGTCGTCGTCATCATCACTATGTGGGGTGCGTTGATCTTCCACCAGGGCCTCTCGGTTGTCGTTAAACCTTTGATGCATTTGTAATAGAACATACTGCATGATCGAGCTCTGGAAGGCCGCCGGTACCGCATCTTGCGCTTTCCAATAGTGCTCTACAAGCTCTCCCCCGCAGCCATATTTGGCTTTGGTCCTCGGAGACCCATTTGCTTCTGCACAAGGAAGGCGCTTCACATCTTCTGTGTCGTTGAACAGGTGTCGCGTGTAGGTTGAAAAAGCGCCTTGTTCGTGGGGGAAGTTATACTTGTACTTGGAACATCCTTTTTGCTTGTGATCCCAAGCACAGGAGAACCATGCGTCCAACAGCTGCCGAGTCCGGGGCGATCGCTGTGCAATAAAAAACCCCGCGTTTTGGTTAATGCCACCGCGCTTGTCATCATTTTCGGCTCTATCGGGATCGTCGGCTGCGGCGACAAGCGTGCGCGGAGTAATGCCCCAGCGATTGAAGAGGAATTCCAGGGGAACAGCAGGATACTTGAACACGGTGTCAGCATCCATGAAAACGACAAAGTCATAGTGCTCTATGTTTTTTCGGATCTTGGCGACCTTCGTCCATCTAGGGTTTCTGTCATTCGGTGCATCTGTGTGAACAAGTTTGTAGTCATAGCCGTGGAGAGCGGCTGTACCACTCACTGGGTTAGTGAAGAACATCGTATCATTGTGTGGAATAAAACAATTCACCGTAGAGATAATGGCCAAGTCTACCCGGTGTCTCGATGGCCAATTCACTCAAATTGAGAGATTGATCACTGAGGATTTGTCCCTTTTCATGGAGAGGCCGGCTCTCAACATCCAGGATCAGGAGATTCTTTCCAAATTTCTGAGTGTAATGGAGTGGTTGGGTGGGGGGTATTGAATAGTTCGATCCAGAAGGAGTGATAAATTCCCGCGCATCGACGGGAAGCATGTATGGCTGTAAAATATTGCGGAAATTATCGAACAGAGGAGCAACGGGAGGATCTTCAGAGCCATTGTTTGAAGTATCAGTATCAGTATTACCAGACACCGAGGCCTGTGGCCATGAGGGATTGGAGGATGAAATCCTGTGCCCTGAGGAATGGGGCCAGGAGAATTGGGGCGACGAAGCTTGGAGCCGTGAAGGAGAGGATGTCGAGGTCTTGAACATCAAGGGTGTTGCATGACGGTAGGATGTCTGAAAAATAAGTAATATCAAAAATGCACCGCAGACGAGTAGGACGGACCGCCGTTGAGTCAACCTGGAACTTGGCATTGAAACCAGGGAGAAACCACGGCTTTCCGACATGTTGAGTGCAGCTGTGGTATATCTGGATATTCGTTTCAAAGGAACCTATTCATGAAGGAGGCACGTCGACCTAATATTTATATACAAGTGGTTTGGGCTGGAATAGGCAAAGCAATCAGCCCCATGATCACGCGAGCCATCCTGAGATCCTTTCTCTAGTCGGCCACAATCCTCATCACCTATCCTGGGTTCTATCATGGGACAATCTTGTCCTGTAATGTATCAAGACAAAAGTATCATGCATTAAGGTACAATTGTTCTACCTTGCTTGGTATAGTAGTAGTGGTCTGAATTCATCCAGTTTGGACATTATGAGAATAATTGTATATGAGTATAATTAGTATCAATCCGTATCATTACCAGGAACCTCGAATCCCGGCAATCCAGGCAATCCAGAGACTGTGATGGCTCTCAAAATCAGCTTTTTACCATTCGTGAAGGTGACCGGAGATTCAGGGGTAAAAACGAACCCAGCGCCCCCACTTGAAGCTGCGATGGGTCCAAGGCGCTTGGAACTAAAGCCAAGTTAAGCATGTACCAATATAGCTAGATCAAGGTAGATACGGCATTTCCTCTTATTGTTTGTCTTCTGTGACACAAGAGGGATGTTTTTGGCGTGGGGTTCTGGGGCATATCTACATGCACGCGCCCCCAAATTTTGCAGGGACTTCCCCTTATTGCCAAGAAAGAGGATCTGTCGGAGCACTGAAGAAGTGTGGAACCTCTATTATCATTGGTTCATCATAAGGCGAGTCCATATGTCGTCAAAAACCCTGCCATTCCAACCACTATAAGAGAAATAGATAAAAGAAACATACGTTAGGTATAATTAAAGGTGGCCCTTATTATAAGTCTATTCCGTCTGGGTCTTGACAGAGGAAGGATCTATCTCCTTGGGTCAAAAGTAGCTCTAAAGAGCAGGCTCAATAGATGCAGCATCTCGTCAGCTACTGAGGTGTAGTTCAATCATAATAATTAAAGACCATTACTCTTTCGCTTTGTCCTCGGTAGAGGGTCAATTACTGCTGTGGGCATGATCAATGAGAGATTATAACTATAGGGTATTCGTTGCAGACGAGCTTTATCTGTAGATAAATAAATAGACTGAAAACGTGTATTGTGATTGTTTCAAATAAACTAACTATTCTCTCTAAATCATATCTTCGATAGCAACCAAACTATTCATATATAGATCGAACGCTTCTTTTAGAGAACCCCCCGGTATAGTGCTCTAATACCTAATATAATATTAGTCAGGTTAAAGAAAAGCCCATGTATATAATAACTTGAACGTATAGATTGCAATTGCTCTTCGATATCATCGTGTTGATGACTTGCCTTCCTCGTCATAGACCAAAATGGAGGAATAACCATCCCAACAGCCAGGAAACACAAAGAGAAAAAAAATCCAAGACAAAGTGCCAAGGAGATGGTCACATAGACCATGGAGACCACCGCACCTTCATATTGGAACAAACAAGGAGTGAAGAAAAGTTGGGAATGAACACTCCAAGAAACAACCTTCCAAGGTTAGGTTAAGTTGTGTTGCACGTGATATGGCTCCATCTGATTGGTCGAGCCTGGTGTTTGGTATAGTATCAACTTAGATAACTGAGTTGGTTACCTACGTTGAAAAAGGAAGTATCCTTTATATAAATAAAGAAAGTTCCGTTCTGTCCTGCGTCTGACAGAGAGAGCTCATTTTTGGGGCCATGGACTTTGATTTGAATATAGATTCGGAGGACGTCCACGGCGTTCTTTCCTTGCTACCTCATACCCGTCTACCTACATTACTGACTAGTCTACACTGTCGAGTCCCAGACAACACATACACAGACCAGGGTACTTTTTCTTCCTCATTTACTATCGGGCTGGGAAGATATATAAGGGAGAGAAAAAAATGAGAGATGGATAATAGACAGGGGCATGAACAACAAACGCACTCACTTCACAAAGGGGGAAGACACAAGAAAAAGAAAAGGCAAGAAAGAAAAACACAAGAGAAGAAAAAGAAGAGGGAATCTTGCTGCGCTGTGGACTTTGGACAAAAGGTGCCAGGGGTTAGGAAACAGGAGGGAAAGGAAAGAGAAAGAAGGTGGGTGCGGACAGGGAAATAGAAGTTAAAAAGAAGGGTATGCAGAGAAAACAGCACTTGGCAAGGATAGGACTGTTCGCCTGGACCTTCCCGAGTCAGGAGAGGGAAGCATGGTAGTCGGGAGGAGCGAGGGGGATCGAGGGACTTGGGGGTGGTTGCACCGAATGACTCGCAAGGCACGCAGAACGGGCATCGAACAGCCAAACTAGAACAAGTTGTGAGCTTGACCTGTCTCGGCCTTCCATCGGAAGCAGGGAAGAGCGATGCCTCTCATCGAAGCCGGAGCGTTGCATTCTATGTGGAGTTCTTGTCCATTCTCCGCAGAGAGCAACAGAAAAAGGAAAGGAAAAAAGATGAGAGAAAAAAAAGCTATTAACGTGAATAAACAGTCAATATTATCCCCATAAACAGAAACCAACTTCGTGCCACGAAGTCCATGATGTTGGCACAAACGGTATCACATTGCGAACCGGCGCCCCGCTGAATGAGCCGCATCGTCGACAGGGTATATCTAGGCTTCTCCATTGGCTTCGCTGACATTGCCCTGGCTTGCCTCGCGCGCCATGCGAGCCTCGATTTCTCGGAGCTGGCTCTCGCGAGCCAACAGCTCCTGCCGCTTCTCGGCAATTTCGCGCTGCACCTTGAGTTCGATTTCGCGCAGCTTGTCCTCCTCGCGGCGGAGCTGCTCTTCCTTGAGACGCACGGATTGCGAGGCCAGATCCTCGGGGTTCATGGTCGAGTCTTGGGGCCTGGCTCTGAAAAAAGAAAGTCAGTATGGGAAGCGCGGCCAACGGAGAAAAGAAAAATGACATGAAAGACGTACGGAGTAGCACCATCCACGCTCTTACTGAGCTTCTCGGTACGGTAGTTTTCGTAGAGGAAGTCATGGGTAATCTCCTTCAGGTCGGCCAGGTGGCTGTGAAGGAGAGCGCTGCGAATAGCCAGGAAGTCGGAGTGCCGGGGGTTCTCGACCTCGACCACACCCCACGGGTACTGTCGGGCGCGCACTTTTCGGTTCTCAATCTCCACAAAGTCCTCCGAACCCACGATAGCGAAAGGCATCAGTCCACGAAGCTCGGCATTCTCCTCCACGGTGTCCTCATCATCCTCTTCAATATCGTAGGGGAAGTTGTAGACGGGGATGCGGTAGTGTTCAATGTCCTCCATGATCAGCTTCTTCGACTCGGCCAATTCTGCGGGGGTGAGAGAGTCGGCCTTTCCAATGACGGGGATCACGTTCACACGGGGGGAGAGGCGCTTCATCAATTCGATGTCGAGTTCGCGCAGGCCGTGGCCGGTGGGCGTGATGAAATACAGCAGCACATGCACTCGGTTGTCCCTGAAGCGGGGGTTACGCTTGATCCGCGATTCCTCCGCAAGAATATCATCGTATTGGCGCTCGAGGTAACCAACAATCTCGCCAAAGCTATCGGGTATGATGTTAGCCAAGGTCATGGGGGGGGGGGAGCCACTCTGGCGGGTGACATGCCTGGCTTCGTTGTCAATCTGGTCACCAAAACCGGGGGTATCGACAATGGTCAGGGAGATGCGGGTGCCTTCCTCGTCCAATTCGAGCTCTGTCGGCCCGAGTCAGTATTCATTGTCCGGGGTTGTGATCGTGTGGGGGACTCGGGAGTAAAATCGACTCACCGACAGTGACAGGCTTGATACGAACGCCCTCCTCGAGGTGAGCATTGGCCGCATCATCGGCATCCTTGCCTTCCAGAACTTGCTTGCCACAAAGGGTGTTCACGAAGGTTGTGCGCCCTGAACCGGAAGAATTGAGTCGTCAGTAACCATACATAGACCACGATGAATGAGCTCATCAGGGGCAGAATTACCAGTTCCACTGGCGCCGCACACCATCAGACAGAACTGAATTCCCTTCTTGACATTCTTCTTGCGACGAATCTTGATCTAGTATGGAGACAGACTGGAGTTAGCTGAGGGACATTTTTTTCGAGCAGGTATAGGAGAGCACCGAATCAGGGGGATAAAAAGCACATACCGCGTTGAGAGCCGACGACATGGTGGGCGAAAAGAAAAAGGAAGAGGACCAGAGAAAAGAAGAAAAGCAGATGGAGAGGGCCAAAAGACAAGAAGTTGAGTCTCTCCTGAGAGCGGAGAGTAGGGGGGGAGGGAAAGAGCGACTGTTTCCCCCTTTCCCTAAGAGTCTCGGACCAATCACAGCCCGCGTTGTTTTCCGGCCTTAAGGCACCTTTTTCTTCCGGTCGACGGCGCGTGCCAAGCTACACAACGCCAATTGCTTGTGACGGTCTACAATCTCCAGCTTTTTGATTTCCTCGGCCTTTCTATGCGTTAAGTTTGCGCATTGCTGTACACTCAGGGGTTCCTCCGGTGGGTCGGATTTTTGATTATGTAATTGATGCGAGGTCTTGTGCCTTAGGCAGAAATCTGCGGGAGAGATCCACCCGCGGGTCAAGCTATCCACGTCCACTGCTGCTTGGGGTAGCTCGTCATGTCCCGTTGAAGTCTCTTCGGGGGCTCGATCATTTACCTGTTCATTTACCTGCTAATATTTTCTCTATGCAATACAACTTGCCTTGAACTACTCACATCTCAAAGCTTCTCCGGGTCTCCCTCGGATCTTGTTAGCTTCGCAGCTGGTTCGTCCCAGTCATGCTTCATGGATACACCCCAAACCCGAGGTCACAATGAACACACGCCAAGTCATCGATGAGTCTGTGGGGCCGTACTCGCTGTCGGCGGCCTTTAACAGCGACAGCAGCTGCTTCTCAGTGGGCTTGGACACCGGGTTCTGCAGTATGAGATACCTGGGAGCTGCTCCCGAGCTATAACAGCCAGTGCCGAAGCTAAGAAAGAAATCAGTTTTTAGTGCCAACCCCTGTGAGCTCAAAGTCTCCCGAGGTGAGCGACACTTCTTATTTCTTAATCGCCTTGAGGACCGCTGACCAAATGGGCGTTGCGCTTCACTAGACTTCAATGCGGGCATCGGCGTGGTCGAAATGCTAGGCCAATCCAACTATCTGGCCATCGTGGGCGGAGGCCGAAATCCCAAGTTCCCTCAGAACAAGGTGCGCTCGATCATTTCCGACGGTGCTTAGTTTCGTCTCATACTCATAATTTTTCTCGCAGTTGGTCATTTGGGACGATGCGAAGCAGAAAGCAGCCCTCACCCTCGAATTCCGCACCTCCGTCCTCGGCATCCGCCTTTCTAAATCCAGAATTGTCGTCGCGCTTTTGAATAGCATTCACGTATTCGCTTTTTCCAATCCTCCGCAGAAACTCTCGGTTTTCGAGACCTCCGATAATCCTCTTGGTTTGGCTTGTTTGGGACAGAAGCTGCTCGCCTTTCCTGGTAGGTCTCCAGGACAGGTCCAGATGATTGAGCTTGAGACGGGGAACATTAGCATCATCCCCGCCCATAGTACTCCGCTGCGGGCGATAGCCTTGAGTCCCGACGGGGAGGTCCTGGCAACGGCGAGTGAAGCGGTAAGACTCTGTAGACGTCGAATATCTCCGGCTGGCCATTGACCGAACTATCAATAGGGGACCTTGATTCGAACCTTCGCTACAGGGAATTGTACGAAAATGGCAGAATTGCGGCGGGGTGTAGATCATGCGGTGATATTTTCTCTTTCCTTTTCTCCTTCCAACTCCTTGCTTGCAGTGACGTCCGACAAATCTACTCTCCACATCTTCGACCTTCCACATCCGCACCACGTCGGCCGCAGCCAGTCGCCGGCCTCGGGCTCTGAGGAAGCTACCAACCAAAAATGGGGGATCTTGGGCAAAATTCCCTTGCTTCCACGCGTATTCTCGGACGTGTACTCATTTGCCAACGCCCACTTTGAGATGGGCGACGAAATAGCCCCCGGTTCACCCTATCTACCACCGCTTAGGTCCTCGTTAGGTCGACCACCCAAAGGCGTCATTGGCTGGCTGGATGACCAGACATTATTGGTGATTGGATCTGGCCGAGAAGGGCGTTGGGAGAAATTTGTTCTCCGGGACGGCGATGATGGGAAGAGGCATTGCCTGCGAGAGGGATGGAAAAGATATCTTGGTGGCTGAAGATGCAATGCATCCACCGTTTTCGTCTTTTTGCAGCCCATGGATACCAGCACAACGCGTGAAACCACCACGCATGACAAGTTTGAAGAGCCGTGTCTTTCCGGAGAAGCACCCTGGTCAGACCAGGGGCGCAACCATAGTCGATGGGGCCCGAGGAAACAGGTGTACTTCGCAGATTTTGAACCAAGTCAATAGATCATAGTTTTGATATATTCACCGACGGCGATCCCGTCTGTCCCGATCACTTCGATGCCTCCGAGACTCAGGCGAGCGCGATCTCACTGGCGATCGATCCCTTCTTGATCTCTCGTCACGCGGTGACCGATGACGGGATTTCCTCTGCCGCCCCGGAGAAAGGTCATCGCGATGTCTGCGTTCGCGCGAATGGGACCGGTGCCGGCGATGATGATGCCGGCTGGATCGTTCCCTGCTGTCGTCTCGTCGCCGGGATGATCTCTTGCCGCTGCTCTTCAGTTTTTCGACAGCGAGCGCCACCTCTTCCTTCTTTTCATCAATGAGGAACTCCTTCATGGGGTCCTCCTCGTCGTGGTTTTGTATCAACTCCTGGAGTTCCCTCTCTTCTCTCAACACAGGCCGCCTCTCTTCCCGGTCCGACGCATCGCTCGTCCTTCTCTTTCTCCAGCTATCTCCTTCGCTGCGTCCGCTAATCTCCGTATCGCCCATTAATTTAGCCACGTTGTTTTCTTCCTCCTCCTCTTCGTCGTCCCGCTTCTTGTATCGGGTATGGTCTACGCGGAGCATGCGCCCCAAGACGGTTGCGCCACCCAGATTGTCCACAGCCAGATCTGTACTGCGCTGGTCCTCGTACTTGAGGAACGCGAACCCTCGACTCTTGCCTGTTTCCTTGTCGCGAACCAATTTTACGTGCACCGGCTCGCCATATTGTGAGAAGATTGCCACGATGTCGCCTTCGGAGAGATCAAATGGAAGCCCGCCAATGTAGATGTAAGCTGTATCGCGATAGTCCGCATGCCATGATGCTTCTGGTGGTCTTTTAAAAACGAGCGAATGACAAGTCAGCTATACAGGTCCTCGTGGGAGCAAAGAAAGAAAGACGAAGGGAAAAAAAAAGAGCTTCGCATGAGCTTGGCTAAGGAGACTTACATGGCATTTTCGAGCTCGCGCTTATTGAGCGCCTGGACCTGGCGGATGCCGTTCATGAGGCCGAGGAATTCCTTGACGTGGTGAAATTGCAAAGTAGTGGGATCCTCGACGTTGGGGAGTAGCTTGGAAGCGCAGAAGTTGGAGAGAGAAGAAATGTGGAGCACCGGCGGACCCGTATGAACCGCCAATTGTTTACACGCTCTCACTGCGACAACCCCCCTGCTCCATCTGGAATACGTGACGTCGTCGGAAGGGGCTTCAACTTGGTGATTTCCAGCTTTCAAAGAATTTTCTTTTTCTTAGGAAAAAGAAAGTCTTGGTTGGTTTGACCTGCGGTTTGCCAGCTCTCCCCAGCTGCCTCGGATTCCCCTGACCGCGCTCCCATCTCTTTCTGACTCTCCCTCGCTCCGTCTTCGCCCTCCGAAATCCAAAATATCAGGTGCACACGCGAACCCTGTCGCCCTGCTCCTCTGTGTACTGTCGTCTGGAATGGTCAACGCCTCCTGAGGCATGGTGGGACTAGACCAGATGATGTCTTCGTCAAGTCCGAATCGTGGATCGAAAGCGGCCGGATCCAACAGTCGGCCCTCCAGCAAGGATGGCTCTAAGAAGAACATCTGGTCCTCGCTGCTCGATGGTGTTGCCAACGGAAAGCGCCTACCTGAGAAGAATTTGCTGGTCCTAGGTGCGTGATAATGGTCATGTCCATTTTCGTGGTGGATTGACGGTGCCGCTTTTTTTTTATACAACTCATTTTGCTGACATCCACGATCATAGGAGGTACACCGGAAACCCAAAGGGAATTTCTCGAGACGTTTTCCGCAGACCCCAGCCTAGTGAACGAGAAACGGAAGGGCAAAAAACCACCAATCGCCAATCAGTTCGCGCTGGGATACACATATCGAGATGTGCTCGACGCCGACCAAGAAGGTATATACCGGAATGATGTGCTCCCTCTCTTCCTCGGGGGCCTATTCCCGAGTTAAAGCTAACGCGTCGTTGCATGAAAGATACCCTGGCGCGTGTCTCGGCCTACCTCCTGTCCGAACCCTCCCCGTCCTTCGCCCCGCTCCTCAAACCGCTCCTGACCCCTCAATCGGTACCGGAAACGCTGGTCGTACTTCTCCTGGACTGGTCGGACCCGTGGACCTGGATCCGGCGACTAAGAGAATGGGTCCGTCTGCTCCGTTCGGTCCTGGTTTCGCTCGACGATGAGACCAAGATCGTCATGGAAGAGACCATGACTGAATGGCGTGATCGAAAAAGGGGCATGGATGCCAGTTCTGCCGCAACGGGCGGACTATCAAATTCGGGTGGTCCGGTCACAATACCTCTAGGACCTGGCGAGTGGGACGAGGGGTTGGGAATCCCGATGTGTGTGGTCTGCCAGGGAGTAAGCGGTTCCATCAGTCAGAACCCTGTGCTCAGGATTGTTTTGGCTAACTGTTGGCTGTGCAGGCAGACAAAATCGAGAAGCTGGAGAAGGACCATGGTTGGCATGAAGAGGAATTCGACTTCATCCTGCAGTTCCTGCGAACTCTTCTCCTGAAGCGTAAGAGATCATTGCTCGACCGATAAGTCAAAGTCATACTGACCCATCACAGATGGTGCCTCGCTCATCTATACCACTCCGTTCCTGGCCAACTCCCTGCAGAGTCTGATCCATTCCTCACTGGGAATTCATTCTTTACTCAAGAGACAGTCATTAAAACATAATGTGATCGACCGAGACAAGATCTTGGTGCCGGCCAACTGGGACTCATGGGGCAAGATCCGGATTATTCGGGAAGGATTTGATATGGAGGGCGTGTCGACTGCGTGGTCAATCGAGATCCAAGACCCCCCGGAGCCGATCGATCAACCAGCGGCTGGTCAGCCAGGCGAAAATACGGACTCGGCAGACGATGGGTCCAGCGCCGTGACGGTGTTCGAACAGACGATCAAGGATCCCAAACGCGAAACAACCATCGCCCATCCCAGCACCACCCCTAGGGACCAGCTCGAAGTTGAATCCTCAGATATGCAGGGATTCCTAGAGAAACAATCTGAGGTGCTGGAAGAGCTGAAGAAAAAGGATGACAAGGACCGGGCTAGTCAGCCCATCCCGCAGCTGGAGATGTCGCCCATGGATGACCAGGGCCGGGTCAATGAGCACATAGGTCCGGTACAGTTCAACATGGGCGGGATCCAGATCGATGCCGATGATATGCTGAAGAAGCTTCGGGTGAGCTATTTCTCCCACTACTCCTCGCTCCTCTTTTTTATTATCCGATTACATGGGCTAACACGTTATCTTTCTATAGGACCGCGAAGCCAGTCGATCCCAAAGAAAGGAGGGTATCTCCAGTCCGGGCGACGAGAAAGCGCACAACCAAGCCCTGGCGAACTTCTTCGCTGGACTCGTCAAGAAACCCGGTGGGAGTCCGCGCGGAAGCCCGTCTGCGTAATCATCGATGGTTCTTTTTCTTCTTTCTTCCCGGACTGTATTCTAGTTCATTGTGCGTACATACGGTGGAGACCCAGTTCCTTCTTCATATAAGGCAAGGAGACACGGCCTCTACATACTGTTTCTACCAAAGTCAGGGGATCCTCTTTCGAGGATGTTAGATAATGATACCAATATGAATCTGTGACTTGAGTTTAGCCTGGTAGCTGTATAGAACTAAAATAATGACATTTTGAGACCCTGTCCAGATGCTAATTACCCTATTCATCTTCCTGGAACTATATATTCACCCAATTATCCACCCCTTTGTACACTGTTTATGTACCACGACAACAAGGATACTATAAAACAAGGGAAACCGAGACCAGCTCAGCTCATAGCCCGCGCCACCGAACCTCAAGACTAGAGTCTTCCTGGCTAGAGCGACGAAGAAGAAGAAGACTAGACCTTCTGAACCCCCCGGAGTCCAAGCCCAGCGCTATCATGCGCTGCTTATCCCACAGAAACACGCCGAGCCAGCGCAGCGCATGCATCTTCGTCTCGCCTATCGTCCGCGACAGCGAGTCCAGCCGACAGCCATGCAAGCGCACAAGCGCCAGATACCCAGGTGACGCGTGCTGGAGGTGCGTGCTATCCTGCTCCCGGAAATACGCCGCGGGCGACGGGTCGAGCTCGCGGATGGGCCAGGTCGGCTGGACCATGTCTGGCGTGAGACGCGGAAGCCCGCCGAGGACGTTCTCGGCGTGGTGGTGATTATTATCATTATTACTATCAGCCTCTGAGTGGCTGATGCATGATTCTGATACTTCGTCGGCGCGCATGCTTTCGCGCAGGTAGTCGGCGATAGTGCACAGTTCCTGGAGCTCGAACGCCGGCAGTTTGGCCCAGAGGGTCGAGTAAGAGAGCGCGGGCAGATCCGCAGATGAGAAGACGTGCGGCGCAGCACGGACTTCGAGGTACAGCTGCAGACGCCAGAGGGCGCGCAGGACGCGGTGTTCCTCGACCCAGGATATGGGTGTCGATTCCTGTAGTTGTTGCGGGGGTCGACCACTCGGCTGATGAAGCAGACCGGTAGTGGTGGTGGTATTCTTCCAGGGGACGCAGGCGGATGCAGAGCGCGCCTGAAAGTCCCCGAGACAGGCCTGGGCGAGCCAATGTAGTCGCCAGGCCTTGTGCAGCAGGCGGCGCGCATGCTCGGGGCCGAGGCGGAGCAGCGGGATGTCACTCGCGTGGCCGTACAGATGGAACCACGCGAACACATCCAGCGACGAACACGGCACCGCCATCTTCTGGACTATGGCTACGGCGCGGATGCATCGCCGGGTGCCGCGGGGCAGGCGGGCGAGCGCCGCCTCGGTGATGGGCACGGCGTGCGCATCCCAGATCCTGGCGGCGGATGCGAGCGCCGTCGTTGCGCTGTACAGACTCGGCAGGTCGAGGAAGGACAGAACGATCAGAATGAGTTCTGTGGGGAGCACGACGAGTGGATCGCCCATTGTTGGAACCGCGGTTTTCGTTCCCTCCTGACCCTCGGTGTTCCCCACGGATCCGCTGGTTGGCGATGCCCCCAAATGGTGATCGGGGAGGAAAGAGCTGGTCACATTGCGATCAGCACTCCACTCTCTCTTCTCTTTTACTTCTACTTTCGCTTTCTCTCTTTTTTTCTTTTCCTCTCCTTTTCAATTGCTTTTTGTTTTCGCTCTCTTCTACCTTTTCTCTCTCGGCCTCTTTGCTGGATCAAGGACCGTCAGGTCTTCTTATCCGATTCTATTTCTTCTTAGTGATGCCTGATCTCTCCCAAGCTACATTTGATCCTTTCCCCGGATGAACTATAGATGGAGACTTGGACTCTATCCAGCGGGCGCTCTTCCGCTACCTCAAGGACATCGTCAAGATCCATTCCATCGTGGTTCTCCTTGTAGACACCATGCTTAGGTTGGTGATCGACAAGATTCACGATGTCTATGAAAGGTGGCATGAGCGGCCGACGCAACCAGAACTCACATATATCTGGCATGGGTATGAAGGAATCACCCCGCTAAAATATCATCAAGAACGTGGTTACGAAAACTCTCAAGGGTCTCTCATATCTACAAAGTCACTTAAATATCCCTCAGCCGAGCAATCTCAACGAAGCTCCAGCAGAGTCACCCCTCCATACCCACGGATATACTGTGAAGACATGATGGGGTGTCTGCAGGACTCCCGTACGTGCCAGGAGTAGCAGACTTGAGAAGGGACCAGAGCCTCCCGAACAACCATTCCAGCAACCCAGATGCCCTTTATCTTGTCAACCTCAGGTCCCGTACCAAGTACGGGCGGGTTCTGGCCGCATCAGCCGCTCGTACCATCCCTTATAAACATCGTGAACCTTGCCGATCACACACCCAAGCGTGGCCTCTACAAGTAGAGTCACGACGGGATGGATCTTGACGATGTCATTAAGGTAACGGAGGAGCGACCTCTGCAAGGAATTCAAAGTCCCCTCCACAGAGTCCGGGGGAAGTATCAAACGTAGCCATTATCCCAATCAGACATCACCAAGGAAAAACCAAAATCGGAAAAGAAGAGCTGACCGTTTCTTTTCCGAGCTGAAGGCCCCGGAGAGAAAAAAAAGAAGAAGAGAGAAAAACGGGGGGAGCCATTTTGTGTGGAAGAGGAGGCATCGTGGTTGTGGTTTTGAGAAGGAACGCAGTTGCTGAAGGTGCGGAGGGAAGGAACGGGAGACAAGTAGGAAGTGTATCTATCCATGGATGCATCCATGATGGATGTCGCTGTAATGAAATTGCAAATCTTCAAATCCAAGTAACCCAGATACACACATGGTATAACACACATCAAAGACTCGGACATGTTGCGAGCTGTCTCACCAGTTCTCCCACACTGCATCGGGCAACACTTTCCTCATAATCGCCCAATGCTCCAGCGCACCGCGGTCCTGGAACTTGTGCAGCCGCTTGACCTCTTTCGCGATGAGACAGTGTCTTCCATTCTTAGGGACGGTTGCAAAAAGTGCCGGGTTCAGCTCATGTTTCGGCACGAGGTACGACTCGCGCGACTTGCTGCGCAGGTAATCTTCCTGGACTGGGTCGCGGAACCGGAGCTTCCCAGCGCTCTTCTTGCAGAAGAGCACCATGTTCGTGAAGTTAGCGTCTTGGTCCTCCTCGGTGGGTGGTTCTTCGCGGAAGATACGGCAGGATGGGAAGACGGTCTGGATGGTGCGCACGATGAGGCCGGTTGGGTAGAGGGTGATGTCACCGGCGTAGTTCTGTCACGGTTAGATTGGCTGACACGAGGACAGAGCAGATAATGATTGGGTTTGATATGTCTAGTTTATATCAACTTACAATCGCAATGACGCCGTCGTCTTTGAGGAGCGAGCTGAGGCCTCTCAGGAACTCGATGGTGAAGAGCTCGGCGGGTTCCGTGCCGCCAGTGAAGACGTCGTGAACAATGTAGTCGTACCGTGGGGCCTTGGCCGAGGCCTGGGAGCGCTTAACGAACTTCGTGGCGTCCTCGATGGCGGCAATGTGGTTGGACGGGAGATTGAAGTACTCGGTGGCGAACCGATGCACGACGGGGTCGAGTTCGACGACTGTCGTTTCAATCCCATGTTTGATCAGGGCAGAAGGCGTTGTACCAATCCCGAGACCACTATGACAAAGTCAGTCACAGCCCTCATACCCAAACATCGCTGCCACAATCATCTTACATGACTAGGGCATTGCTGTGTGCGTCCACGCGCGGAGCCCCATGGTCTGGCTCGACCAGCCGCACGGCTTCGAGCATGGCAAAAACCGCATATATGGGATCATCCACCTCAGGTCGGTATCCCCGAGCGGTTTTGGTCCACTGCCCACCAAGAAGACTGTGGTCGCAACGCATGACACGGAACCCATCGTGCTGGTTTTCCAACACGGAGATGTATCCCGTGGAAGAATCCTGGCGAGCCAAAAGAGTATATCCTTCACTCTGGATGGCGTGGTTCGCGGCAGCTGGGCTACCCAAGTGGACATTGAAAGTCATTGACATGAGCAAAGACGGGATCGCCAGAACCAGCCATTTCGACGGGAGAGTCGCGGAATAGAAGACCGCGATGAGGTACTGCAGGCCGGTGCGGGTGAAGAAGAATGTGAATCCAATCATCCAGGACAAGATTGCTCTGGCGATGTGCTCGCCTGCCGAATACACCATGTACGTGCCCAGCATCGGCACATGCTCCACGACCAAGTCACCCTGGGACTCGAGGTTCAGGCCAACCTGGATCTGTTTACCCGCATATGCAACGGTGAGGAGCACCAGTGGATAGTATCCAAACAGCTCTGTGATCACCGGACCCGCAGGGTTCCCAGCTTGGAGCCCTGCTGCATGACAAAGTACTGGAGGGTCGGCACCCAGAAGGCTAGAACAGGGAGCATATAGCCACCGACGCGGCCCAATCGACGCTGAATTTGATCTTTCAGGAACCATCCGGCTGCCCCAAAGATGGTCACTCCATAGCCGTGGAAAATGTGTGAGGGCAAAGACCCGTACACAGGGGACAACACCAGCAGCGAGATAGGCGAGTAGGCGGCCGCCAGGAAGAGCAATGCCACGCCAACCCCGAGGCGCTGAACGTCCACCTGCCGGAGAAATTGCTCAGCAGACATATTCGACATGATTCAGGTCTGTATGTTTTTCAGCCAGTAGAATCCGTCTCGGTGCATCTGCGAGGGGTTGTCAACACAAGACCTGGGTTGCTGGAGTGAGATGGAAAAGAAAAAACACCGAGGGTGGGGAAAAAGCACGGGGTTGAATTCAGATAAATACCAATCAAACCAAAAACGAGGGACTTACATGTTCAGCTCCGCATCTCTCAATTGTCAACTGCAGAGAAAGTGAACGGAGTGGCAGAAACACTTTTGCCGCCCACTTCCGCGTTCCAACTTGAATCTCCCCAACTTCCTCTTCTTCACAAAACCCCGGGGACGATGCCCCATTTCCCCATGAATACCGGATTCTCGTCGAAGGATTCGTCCAGCGACCAGCAACAACCGTCCGTTCAGGCCAAAAACCGTCGCAAGCGGTATCTGGACTTGCATCCAGAATACTTCTCGGCGGAGCTCGAGCTAGCCGGTCCGCTCGCTCTTTTCTTTCCTTTGCGCATTTGATCTCCCATATATCTATCTGCTGGGCACCTGGATCCTTTCAGAGACAAGCAGCATGAAAATATCCAGAGCAGGGAAAGAATGGAAATAAATAACATGTCATTGCTAATCTGTGTCTTCCCGCTTCTATAGACCCCTTACTGTACGACCGCCTCATCCGCCGATTCCAGACACCCCAGGAAAGAGAAGCGCAGGGCCGCGCCCAGGGGTTCTCGGGGATCCTGCAGGCGGATATGCAGCGTTCCGAGGCGAAAATGGACGCGCTATTGCACCCGGACCCAAACGCCATGCTTAGCTACACTCGCGGCCCCAACGGGGAGATCCTCGCCGAGGATCGGGATGAGATTCCCGTGAGCAAGGAAGAGGGCGAGAAGCTGTGGCGGTGGGAGATGGGGCTGCGATTTATGAGAGGTCTTGATCCCGATTTTGATTATACGGCTGTCGATGAGAATGATGAATACGACGATTGGACCGAGCACCAGGACCGCTATTTTGAGGACGAGGAGCCTGAGTGGGTTGTTGGTGATGCGCGTGGCAATGAGGCTCAGGCTGTGCTGCAAGGTGAAACGGGTGTTCAGGATTTCTAAACTTGGGATATCTGGATGTCGTGGTATACGTCATCTCTGAACAAAGTCGATGGGTCTTTATCTGCTGGCTATATGGCCGCCGTTGAGCTTAAAGCTCTGTTTTCCACCGGCTGGAGATTAGCTGGAAGCTTTGCCGGGGATGAGAGACTGCTGTCTGCTGTGGGACACCCCAACGGGGACAGAGCACCTGTGATATCCCTGCCAGCACCCAAGCATCTCCGTGAAGAGGGAGTCCCAAGTCTTTACAAGAAGAGCCCCGGCCATTTGATGTGCCGTCGAGGAGCGAAGAGCACAGTTTCCAGTGGTATCCCTGGATCGAGGCTGGCCACGAGACCATACCGCTTGGTGTTTGGCGGCAAGACTCGTGGCAGTTAGGCTCGCACTATGCTGTCTGCCCGCCAGCACTGAAAGTTCAGTCGAGGGAACAAGCGAGGCAGGTTCATGTTGGATGCTCTGCACTGGCTTTGTGTCTTACCTGAGCATAAATCTAGGATGAACTATTTACAGCAATTTATTGATCTGCAATACTATATGAGAATCGGAATCTATCATTGACCTTCCGGTGCTCCAGTCTTCTCCCTCAACAGCCCGACGGCCTTCTCCTTCAGCTTAAATTTCTGGATCTTCCCACTCGCCGTCTTGGGAAAGGCATCCGAGGGCCCCAGGAAGAAAACATGTTTCGGAACTGTATTGTAGCGAGTGGTTGATCAGCTTATACTATAGTGAAACATGGAGGGTATTAATCAGCGTTTTGAACACTAACTTACCGAGATGGTTGCTCAGCTTCTCGCGAACCCATTGCTGGATATCCTCGACACTCACCGTCTGCGGACCGTGCTCGCGCGGAATTACAAAGGCGGCTACAACTTCCCCGTAACGATCATCTGGGACTCCGACGATAGACACATCGCCGACACCAGCATGGGCCAGCAGACAGTTCTCGATCTCGAGCGGGTGGATATTCTCGCCGCCGCGGATGATCAAGTCTTTGATTCGGCCGGTGATGGTGATATAGCCGTCGGGAGACATGGAAGCTTCGTCGCCGGTCTATAGCACCAAAAACATCAGACCAAGCGACTCGGGAAACAGGAATATTCATATGGCACACTTACATGCATCCACACCTTTCCTGCATCGTCCGCAATCATCACTTCAGCAGTTCGGTCCGGACTACCCCAGTACTCCTTCATGAGCAGATACCCACTGACAGCGAGCTCTCCCCGTGTCTCGATGGGGAGGATATCCTTCTTGGAAGCCGGGTTGACGATCTTAGCGTCAACATGAGGCATAAGCCTCCCAACAGAGGTAATACGCTTATCGATGGGGTCATCAGTGGTCGTCATAGCAGAGACAGGGCTAGTCTCCGTCATGCCATAGCAGATAGTAAGCTCAGTAAGATTCAGCACGCGATGCAACTTCTTCATCAGCTCCGCGGGAATACTGCTACCGGCAGCGATACCCGTACGCAGAAACTCAAAGCCCTCACTCGAGATCTCGCCCGCCTCGATCAGCGCCAGCTCTTCTAGGAACATCGTCGGCACGCCGTACAGCGCGGTGCATTTCTCTTCCTGGACGGCCTGCAGCGCGGCCCGTGCGTTGAATGACTCTGTTGGGAAAACGATAGCCGAGCCATGCGTCGCTGTCGCCATGTAGCCCAGGATGCATCCGAAGCAGTGAAATAGCGGCGGCGGGCAGCAGACGACGTCGTTCGGGGTTAGGAGCATGCGGTCGCCGATTTGGGAGCCGTTGTTCAGGATGGACCGGTGGCTGAGACAGGCTGCTTTGGGCATTGCTGTGGTCCCCGATGTGAATTGGATGTTCACGATCTCGTTTGAAGAGAGGCTCTGGGACGGCAGGGCTTGTTTGTCTGCTGCTAGTTGGGAATTGATTGCTGAGTAGGGGGTCAGGCTGTTGTATGCGGATACATCTACTCGGCCTGCGGAGTTGTCGATTAAAATCACTTGCTGCAGGGTGGGCACCAATGCAGACTCCAGCTTGGGCTTGGAGAGGTCCTCGACTAGGTGTTTGAGAAGAGGGATGTTGCTGCGAGGCTCTTTTCGGGGGAGATTGGACTCGGCGCTGATGATCAGATGGCTGGATTCGAGGTGGCTCAGCGCAGACACCACCTGACTGGCATTGAAAGAGGGATTGATCGGGACCTGTTTGCGGGTTAGGACTAATTGTCTCCATACTGGTGCAAAACGACATCACATACAAGAATTGCCCCGAGCTTGAACAAGGCATACGTTGTCTGCGATAATCAGTATGTTGGTTCTCGTTACTTTCTAGGCACCACCCACCACAGCATATTCCATTGAATTCCCCAGCATTACTCCCACCCGCTGCCCCTTCCCAACACCAGCTGACTGTAGTCCACGGGCTAGGGCATTGCTTCTTGTATCGAGGGAGGCATAGGTGGCTCGATCGTTTTGGTGTCTTGAAATGACACTTGATATATCGTCAGTTTTCTAGAAGGCGTTTTCGGGAACTTCCAGAAAAAGGCTCACGCGGTTCGATCACCACACTCTGCCACTATTTTGGCAAAGTGATCACCCACTGTCGATTCAATCAATGGGGGCTGTGTGAATCAATGTCGTCAGCATTCTATTCGGAGACGATGAGGAATTGACTCATTTGACTCACTTCCGATGGGCCTCGAGCATAGCTTTCGGTTAACAGCCCTCTCTTGAGCACAGATTCAGGCTGTGGTATTTTTCTTTTCGTCCAACAACCACGCAATATGCGGGCAGAGCCGAATCTTCCGAGAAGTCCGCTGGAGGTGCGCATACTTGCTTTCAATGACGTGCAGTCACTGGAGCGGCATGACTGGGCTATATGCTTGCGGTCAATTTCAAGAAACCAAATGTTGCAATTATATCAGAACAACATATCGAGTCAACCAGAAAGACGGGACGTTGGGTTTGCAAAAGGCGGGGGAAGCTTCCCCGCATCGGCTGCGGGGTCGGACAGTCCCGAGGTTCCTGCGTCCAGCATACAAATGGCACATGAGAAGGCCTGCATTCAAGTTCTCATCTATTCTATGGCATTATAGCTCAACCAAAGGCGTTTCCTCCGATACCAGACCCTGCTTCTGCCATAGATTATAGTATCGGTCACGTTTCTCCAGCAGCTCCGCATGAGTTCCTCTCTCCACGACTGTACCCTCATGTAACACGAGGATCTGGTCTGCATGCACAACAGTCGAGAGCCGGTGGGCAATGACAAAAGTAGTCCTTTTTCTGCTCAGTCGCTTCAACGCGCCCTGGATCTCCGACTCCGTCTCGGTATCCACAGCGCTAGTGGCCTCGTCCAGGACGAGGATCGGGGGGTCCTTCAGGAAGACGCGGGCGATTGCCAGTCGCTGCACCTCGCCGCCGGAGAGCTTGACGCCTTGTTCGCCGACTTTGGTCTGGTACCCCTTGGCGAAACTCAGGATCTTGTCGTGGATGGCGGCGGCGCGGCACGCCTCGAAGATCTCTTCGTCGGAGGCGGAGAGTTTTGCGTAGCGCAGGTTTTCCATGATTGATGCGTTGAAGAGGACTGGGTCTTGCGGGACGACTCCCAGCACGTCGCGCAGAGAGCTTTGCGTGATGTCGCGCACGTCGTGCCCGTCGATCTTGATACTTCCCGAGGTTACGTCGTAGTAGCGGAGGAGGAGCTTCATGAGCGATGTCTTGCCTGCGCCCGTAGCTCCGACGAGGGCAATGCTCTCGCCTGGTGATGCGGAGATGTTGACGTCGTGGACCACGGTCTTCCTGGTCGCGTACGAGAAGCCGACACGCTCGAAATCGACTCGTCCCTCGGCCGGTCCGAGATCAAGAGCGTCTTCTTTATCGGTGACGGTGGGCTGGGTCGTGAGCAGATCCAGTAGTCGCTCCGCGTCGATCAACTGGGATACGAGCCAGCGGTACTCGTGCGACAGATACATGATCGGCCAGACAAGGTGGTCCCAATACTGGGTCAGAAAGACAAAGTCACCTGGGGACGCACGCCCCTCATAAATCTCGCGCGCAACGAGGCATGCCAACAACAAGAAGGTGGTTGGGACGAGCACCTCCGCCAGGCCACTTGTATATGCATCCATCTTGGCCCAGCTCATCTTGGCCCCTAGATGCTGGTCTACTGCGCCTCCAAAGCGGAATTTTTCGTAAGTGAACATATTAAACGCGGAGACCGTCTGCCATCCCTGGATCGCCTGGTGCATCACACGGGTCTCGGCTCGCTCAGCCTTGGTCAGACGGCGGCGGTTTTGTACATTCCAACTGGAGGTGACGACTTCGAGGGCCAGAAATGCCAGCGACGCGGTTACCATGATAAGCGCCGCGGAGGAGTTGAATTTGACGTAGAGGAAGACGAACGCAACAAACATGTCAATCACCGTGGGCGACATCTCCAAGATGGCCGTCTCCAGGAGATTGGTCAGTGCCTCGCCCTGCTCAATGGCCTTCATCACTTCCGCAGAGTCTCTGTCTGAATGGAACTCCATGGCGAGACCCATGACGTGGTTGAAGGCGGCATTGGTAAGCTGACGATACGAGAACTGTTCGACAGGAATCTTGGCCAGCGACTGGATAATGCGCAGGCCCGCATCCCCATGGAGCAGGTTCAAGACGAAGTAAATGCCCAGGTCGGCGAACGGGAGCTCTCCGGCGAAAAGCTTGTCGGCAACGATGCCGAGCTGACGAGGGACCAGGATATTCAAAAAGCGATCGGCAATTAGGCAGAGGACGCAAATGAGAAGACAGGCCTGCACTTTGAGATCTTTGCGGGGAATCAAATACGGCAGAAAGACCTTGAAGTTGTGAATATAGACCATCCAGCTGCCGCTGTGGCGCAGCTGGCCGGTTCGCGAATTCTTGGGATCATCTTCATCATCGTCGGAGTCATCCGAGTCCGAACCGTCGTCGCTGGAAGACGATTCTGAGACCTGGTTGTGCATGGCCTGGCCATTTGAGGTGTGGAGGAATGGTCTCGCTTCATCTTCTTCGCCTTCCTCATCCTCCAGCTTCAATCTCTTTTTGAGGAAGAGAGAGCAGACAAGACAATCGATCAGCGATCCTACCACAAGTAGCAGTCGACCAAATTCAATGGCCAGCAATGCTTTGTGCTGTGGGGTCAGCACTGGATACAGAGCATCCAGAGCCAGCCCGGAGATCCCAAATCCGAACGAAATCAAGGAAAGGCCCCAGATCTCCGGGATGAGGAGCTCTTTGCGAAGGCAGGTTGAAGCCCACCCCAGGGCCAGGATCACCATTGCGAATAAGCGATCGTCAGTCCAATCGGGTTCATGGTGCTGCAGGGAGATGAGAACCGTTTCCGCGATGTAAGATGCCGAGACGAGCGCAACCGAAATCACTCGAAGGACCGATTTTCGCGCCGAAGACTTGGCCGGTGTTCCCCTGTTATAATTAAGGACAAATGACACAAACACAAAGAACAAGGTGACCACTGCGGCGGCCACATACAGCAGCTTATTGGCCTTTATAGAAATCATCTTGTCACCTTGGAAGTCTTTGGAGTGAAGTATCCCATGGCAATGGATTTGGAGTGGTATTTAAATCACGGATGTCGATCCGAAGAAGCCTGGAGCCTGGCGGCTAATAGCGGCCGCCCGAGCAGTTTGAGCAGTGACTCATGGGGGAATACGAGGGCAACTTCAAATTACTTATTTATACTCATTTAAAGGGGATGATTAGAGATCGAATTACATATTGGTTTGGGCTTGATTGTTCTCGCAAGGCGATATCTACGTGAAAATAAAGCAAGGGAAATATAAACTGTCCCTCCAGAATACCATACCGATCAAGATAGGTGTGATGTCGGCCCCAGGGGACCGATGAGTCTGCTCGGTCATCAACGCGCGGGGTCCGAATAAGGTAAAGTGAGCGAGTTTTGCAGGGTCTATATATAGTATTTATATAGTAGAACTTCAAGTAACCAAAGACGTTTTCACGGATGCTCGCAGTATTGATACTAGCGGAAACACCGATTTAAAGTCAACATAACCCGCTATAACTGTAAGATTGTCTTATTTGGTAATCGCAATGGGGGTTTTTTTGCCCAGTGAATCTACCTAGTATAGCAATAAAATTTCCCCACGCTCCAGATCACAGGTTGTGTAGTGTAATGGTTAGCACCCCAGACTCTGAGCATGATTGTGTTCTGGTAATCCCGGTTCGATCCCGGGCACGACCTTTTTGATTTTTTTTTTCGGTCCTTGGCCTCCATATCTATGGATTCTTTCTTTCTATGTTTCCTCGAAAGTTTCTTCTATTAGACTGTACCTAGTACAGTGACATTATTCTTTACTTGAGCTCTATTTAGATTAGGTGGCTAATTATGATCCGGTTTCCTTGGGTTGAATGGAAACTACTCTTTTAAAACAATATGACGGCAAAAGGACGGCCAAAAATGGCCGCTCGGACGCCTCTTCCTTTCATTTTCTTCGACGGCAAAAAAGGAAGAACGCGAGGATAATCACAAGCTCTTGATCATTGGAATCTTTGCTTAAGTATACCTTTTGGACAACCGGATTGTCGGAAAGGTCCCTCGCAGTGAGAGGGAAGAAGATATGCAACCGATTATCCGCGAAGCTATGGTTTATGACACTCTCGGCGTTCATCCACGAATTACTGAATGCCTCTCCAGAGGCAGATCCGACTATATTGACATCAAATACTATCGACATAGGGACCTTACGAGTTATTGTCAGAAAAACACGGTGGCTGCTGAACTTCAATCAAAATGGTACCAGCAGATCCTGGAAGCTATTGTCGTTATTCACAGACATGATGTCATTCATTCCGACTTTGCACTGCGGCAGTTTTTCGTTGATGACGAATTAAATTTACGACTCGGCGACTTTAACTCTTCTTAGTGCCTGGCACTGCCTGCTATGGGATTATAACCTTCCGAGCACTGAAACTTCCGAAATCTTTGCTCTAGAGTCTACACTATACGAGCTAATTGCTTGCCAGGCCCTATATAGCGAACTTGCCGGGCCCAAATCCGATGATCCGGATTTGATCAAAGCACAAATCCTACGACAGCACGAGGTGGACCATGAGATTGAATTGAGGTATAAAAGCCACATTTTTCCCGATGTCTCTGGTTTGTTCGGCGGGAACATCATATTAGGTTGCTGGAGAGGTGATTTTTCTGACGCAAAAGAAGCGCTCGATCTGTGGCGAAGCAAGAATTTATTTAGAATCTCAAGCACCGATCGCAAGGCCGTTATACCTATTTACAACTAGCGAGTGAGTGATAGGGGTACGGGCTTAGGAGAAGCTCCTTATTAACAATTATTATTAGACCATCTTTATCGCGAGTCGGGATAATTCTGGCTATTAGCTAAGGAAGCTAGTTATGGCCTGTATTCCACATACCCCACTTCTCTAACTGGTATTTAGTATGATGGAAGAAGCTTGAGAAGGACTGCGTATCTCTTCTCGCCCTCAAATACAAAAGGCCTGTCACGTATTTGTTAATGAAAGGGCGGATTGACGCAAGTTCAATAGCGGTCGGTCCCTTGAAATATAAGTAAGGGGCTTTCCGCCTGGAAATTAATATTTTCGTTTTTCACTTTTACTTTCAACCCTCAGTTAAACCTTGTCTATTACAATAAATTGACCTACAAATTATCCACGATGGGCGAACCGCTCGATAAAATCTGTGTCGTATGCGGGTGGACACTTGACAAAGAAAGGCGATGCCATTATACAAGCTACCTCAAACTATTCTACGGAGCATCTACACGGGGTGTGTGGACCATCGGATCAGATATAATTCTGAAAGACTGGCCTAATAAGGGTCCGAAAGCAAAAGTTGAAGTCAAAATATTGAACTATTTAGCGACCTATACCGATATACCTATCCTAAAGGTTTTACGTGACTGGGTCGATCGAGATAGGCGGTACTTCGTTTTGAATAAACGTATCGATAGCTAAACGCTTGAGGAGATATGGACTTCTTTATCGGAGCCTTAAAAAATAGATATCGCGGATTAAGTTGTGAAAGTGAGAAAGTAGCTTCGATCCGTTACGTCGACCTCTATTTAGTATATCGATCAAAGCCTATATTATCTAGGCTTATTATTTTTCGATCTTAAGCCCCGTGGACCTTTTTATTCCGATCAAGAGCTCTGGGATGCTCTGGCCCTTGACCTTCGTTATCTCCCTTAACAAGTTTTGGAGAACTTAAAGAAATATCTACTAAAGTGCGAATCCTACGTGTTTACTTATTGCGATCTTAATTTGGGAAATATTATAGTTTAAGATAGAAAGGTTGTCGATATACTTGACTAGGAATACGCTGTCTTCTTCCTTATTTGGTATAAGTATATTTCGGCCTCTTTTGGATTTACAGAAATAGATGTGGAATAGAAAAAGTTGCTCTAGGAGCGCTTGGACGTATATAGCGAGGCTCGCGAAAATGCCAAGGCTTTCTGGATGGACATGTGTAATCTAAGATAGTACCTAAATCTGGACGAAAAGGGTCAGGAAACCTTAGAGAGATTGTCCTAGACAATCTTGAGCTACTGAACCATGCACTCCCAAGAGACCCCTGTTATATTGGGAGATCTCTGTTATATTGGCTAGGTCCAGTATTTATAGTATGCTCCGGAAAACTCCCAGGTTCAAACAAATTGATCTAACAGGGGGGAGTTATTCTTATGGACTTTGTAAATTATATACGCAACAAACATTGGGAGTGGGTTTTTACTATATTGTAGATACCACCTGTGGAAAAACACTGCAACGATCGCGTAGTTGGGATATTTGTGATACATACCTTCCAATTAGTCCCTTATAATCTAGATCGGGTTATCGAAAAGCTTGATATTCAGCTAAAAACACCTATACCCCCCGAAAACAGCTAGGGTAGTTAAAATAGTCAATTCTCGCTAAAAACGCCTCAGAATCCAAGTTAGCTATATCGATAGGCTTTATCAACCAAAGCTCTACTAAATTATCGCTCTCATACCCCACCAAGTCCAACTAACGTGGCGCTAGATTAACTTATCAAAGGCTGTCAACTAGCGATATATAACGCTACAATCCTCGCGTATAAAAATAAGGTTTTACGCGTAGCTAATAAGAAGCAGAAGCAAAAACGAGCTAGATCTAATAGGCAGATACCTCGAGATCAAGGCCTATCGGTCTAAGAGGCTCATAAGCTAATATCAATGACGAACCAAGCCTCTTGAAGCTCAATTAACTACCCCGGCAGACTATCAACAAGCTTCGCAGCTCTCTACCAGAGCGCCACCTCGCTGTAGCAACTACCGCGAATTAGGTCATCGAAGATTACAGTACCCAAAACGATGAAATTGGGTTTTTTTTTTTGTATATATAAAGGCGTTGTGGCGAATATAAATCAATTTGAATTCTATATACTTGGTGGGGTGGCCGACTCGCTTGTGGATTACGTTAAGACTATACTATATGTATCTTCACAGTATTTATTTACCCACCTTTATATAACTAGTCTTGGTTATTATAATATAAGATGAATCTCTAATAGGTACCGTAGACCTAGTTTTACTATGAAAATAAAATCCAATCATTCCTTTGCTAGGAATGATAGGGTCTTTTTTTTATACTCGGGTGAGCTTGTGATATTATACCCTGTGATTCGGCCCACTCGGCAAGCCCTTGCAAAAGTGGCCTAGGCAGTCTACTGGTAATAGAGGCATACGACACAAAATTGGACCCTAAATATAGAAGGATCTGGGTTCTGGATATAAAGACAATAGAAGGTCTAATAAGCCACAGGTTTAAGCTAGGCATAAGCAAGGAAGAAAAAGTTCAGCGGAAAGAGTACAAGTCATTAAGGCTAGTCCGTAGCCCACTTTTTTCTTCTTCTTCTTCTTCTGAATAACAACTCTAGCAAATTCTTACCTCACGTCACTAAGCTAGGTACATATTAGGCAAAAATCTAACATGCGAGGATCCTTACCAAAAATACGCTTCCACAACTTAGGTTGTGTAGTGTAATGGTTAGCACCCCAGACTCTGAGCAGAAACTTGTTTATTCTGGTAATCCCGGTTCGATCCCGGGCATGACCTTTTACCATTTTTTTATAGACCTAATAATGTATTCCCCCTCACAGTAACCTTCTCACCGAGATCTCCTCTCTCCTTGGCAGCCGGGGAGACCCATGTTCCAGCGGTCATCTTGCGGAATTGTACTATATACAGAATATAAAAACTACTGTAGACGAAAGCGTGTATTCTTATGTGTAATGGCCAATAAAATCAATAACTCCAAGACAAAGATCAAACAAATCCAATTTTCCAAGAGTAAGACCATTGCAAGAATGAGATCTCTTGGTTGGGCCACCGCGATAGCCTGATTGTTCAAGACTTATCGTCGGTTTTCTGTCTTACCCACAGAGCCTTGGTGGTAATGTAAGGGATGGGATCGACCGGGATGAACAGTCTTCTTTTGTTTGGATGGCAAAATTCTGAGCGGCAAGCACGTTCCATAGCGTGATAAATGGGTGGAGTGTCTTTCGTCCATTGGGGACGGACCTCGGTTTTGCCCTCTGTGCCGCAAGCTTTGCATTTCGTACTGACTGGTCTTTGAAGCTCTTCAGGAGCTTCGTCGAATTCGAAGAGGTAGTCTTTAATACCCGCGCGTAAACGCCCATCCTTTCTGGGTTTTGCAGATAAATACTCCAGACTTCCTCTGACGTACCCAAACTCCGTAGACGCCGGAATCATCCAACGCTTTCGCCCATTGCACTCGTCTGAATCACAAACTGATTGTCGGGCGATGTAGAGTCGCGTATCCTGTGACCAGAAACGAGGCTCTTCATCTGAATTCGATGGTCTGGCGCAGGCTACACATTTGCGTTCCACTATAGAGCTTTCGAGAGGAACCATGATATACGGTAGCTTGGCCTCAGAGGTCATTGATAAAGAAGAAGGCGTTGCAGGCTTCAATGGAAGTGGATTTGGTGGCAGTTCAAGGTGCTCTGGTGTAGAAACCACAGGAATGACTTTCATGACGCGTTGAATCTTGTCTGCCAGGCCTGTATCCACTGATGGCTCCTTGGTCTCGGGCTGGGGTGAAGGAGATGGGTGTCCACTTGAGATGCGGGAGAGTATCTTCTTGTCTGGTCGAACCCAAGGAATAGCGTCGTCCAGGGAATTGCATATCGCCGACAAGATCTGAATTCACGGGCGACGTAGATTTCAGGGCTAGCTCGGCAGAAGCGTGCAACATTATCCGATCGAAGCACTCTCAAAGAACCAGAGCACTTGAGAGGGACCACCGAATTGGCACGAACCTCCACAAATTCGGCAATAGTGTGGAAAACCATAGATCTTTGGGTAGATGATCTATGTCTGCAGAAGAGGCTGAAAACCATGCGCTTGAAGCCATCTTGCAAATCGTCGCGGACCTCATCAGGATGAAATGCCTCCTGGTATGCATGTGCTAGATCATCCTCAGTCGTAACTGGGTCACCCGAGAAATTGGCTTGTCCGCTTTCCAACCAGTCTTTCATAGATCCTGGCAGATCTGCAAAGGTGTACACTTCGTCCACCCTGGACCACAAAGTATTGACCTGTCGCTCTGCCAGTTCGAGCAACTGCGTTCTCATATGATCCTTCGCTGGAACAGGGCCAATTGGCTTCTCAGAGGTTCCATCAGATATCTCAAGTTTGTTTTGGACATATTGCAGTCTCTTCAATCGCTTCGTTCTGTCAACAAAATACCATGCATCAAGTTCTATATCTCACTTCGTCAGACTTGAAAATTGAGTACGCTCTGTTAGGTTGATATTCGATGCGGAAAACCTTCCATGGCGGGTACCTGAGTAGGTTGATATAGCTAAGGCTGTTTTTCGAGTCCTTGATGTCAGATATGATTCAAAAAAAGTCTTTGTACTTGACAGCAAAAATGAGATTTAGTCATTATGAATCTTGAAGTTGACAAGGCATTGTCCAGTTGATGAGATGCAGATTAGATCTTGGCGTCATGTGGTGGGGAAGCTTCGGATGCGAACAATCAACGTCTCTCCTTGTCCCCCCGCACGGAGTTGGACACTTCATGTTATCTAGCGAACAGCAGGACAGTCCATGTCTCATTTACTTTTGTTCTGACCCTGCCCGGAAGCCCCTAGAGCAACACCATGGCCTCCGAACCCCCCGAGGAAGCTATCGCGAACTTCGTCAACTTCACTAGCACGACGCGTGAGCAAGCCATCAGCTTTCTCAAGGTCGGTGGTGTTTCTCATGTAAAAGGAACAACGCAACTAATATATCTGTACCACCAGGCCAACAACCTCGACTCTCAAAAAGCCATCAATGCCTACTTCGAAGATCCAACGGGACCTCAGACAAAGGTGACAACCACTCACGCGCGGTACACTTCTGATCCACTTCCTAATGACTTCCTCAATAGCCAACGGAACAATATGGTGAAACTGGTGCACCTTGTATGTCGGCCTCTCAGCTCGCTTTTGGTGGCTAACATATCCCCGCTCCAGCATTTGATTTCGGTCAACAAGAGATTGCACCTCGAGTTCCAGCGACTGCGCCACCCTCTCGTCCCCCATCTCGAGCCAATATCCATGATACACCCCAACCCATAGGGCCCCATAGCTCTACTGCGACTGCCACACAAGGAACCACGGGTGAGGAGCTCCGACAAGAGCAGCCATGGTGGGGACAATGCTGATTTGCGGTTACCTTGATGTATAGCAAGTTCTGGGCAAGGACTGAGCTTGGCAGATCGCGAAGAGCAAGAAATTCAGCAGGCAGTTGCTATGTCACTGAATCAGGGCCTGGGACAGCAGGAGACCGGTGTGATGACGAGCAGCCAGCCACACTTTGGGAAAGCAACTAGGGACCACTACGATGAAGGGGATTGGGCGATGACGTTGTTCAACACTACATCCCAGGAAGTCATCATTAGTCCAGACCCCGAGGATCGCAAGCGAGTGGATGGCGAGTCTGCATTCATTCGCCCGACCCACAACAACCTCTACCTGGGTGGATTTCTGACGATTCTTCACGAGATCCCTTTGGCTCGAGAGGCTCTGCTACTACGAAACAAGGTCCTTTTTGACTATGGGCATGATCCCCAGTGGTGGAACGGGCAGTCGATCAACCTGCCCAAGATCGTGACGGTCCACGAAACCAAGGACGGCGATAGTGACTGGGACGACATCATCCATGAAACACAGCGGTTAATGGCGTTCTTGGATCTTACGGACCGCGCCTTTGGCAGTGGTGATGCACTGTCAAACCTCAAAAGCGTATCTTCCACCGCCTCGGATTCGGAAGAAATTGTCGCCAGGTTTTTGGAAACGTGGCATGGCGCAGCTATCCGGGCCGAGCCTGAGAATCCATTGGCAACGACATTCTTGTCACATGCTTACAAGAAACCGCTCTCGGACGAGTATGATGAGCCTCTCTCCCGGGAACTCTTTACCCTCGAGCCTTGCGTGGAGCCGCGTCATGGGCAAACCCTCTACGATGTTCTGGACACAGCACTGTGGCCCGACAGATTTGGCGAAGAACTCGACGATGTGTGGCTAGAGCACTTGTCCGAGGTTCTCGTCATCAAGCTCGATGCCCCTGAACAAGCAAAATCCGTGGACGTCAAGGTCCCCGCTGTGTTCTATCCGGATCGATATCTGAGCAGCTGTCGTGACCGGACGCGCGAATTACGCACCAAGAAACTCGAGGTATGGGAAGATGTCTTAGGCCTGGAGCGGCTCATCGAGCGCTATACCACTCCACGGAGGCCCGTGGGCAGCTTGACCATCAAGGCGCTCTTCGAGAAAGCTGCTGTTGCAGTGCCCCTGGCTTTGTCGAAGAACATTGCCAATGGAATTGATACAGTCAGCCCCGAGGCCGCGAGTGCAGAAGCAGAGCGGCTGGCAAATGAACTCAAAGCCGTCTCCTCCAAAGTTGAGGCCAAACTACAAGGTAGAAGAGACTCTACTGTAGTGTTGTGAGTTTTATTCGCTAACGATCTGCAATCAGAGCTGGAGCTCGGAAAGCAAAAGGCCATGGAAACTTTACGCAGTTATTCCAAGACTCTCACCGAGCCCTCCGAATCCCCCACGGAGCCTCCTCTCCACAAGTACACGTTGAGAGGAGTCTGCACTGAACCGCACGTAACCTACATCTTGAAGCGCAATCATATCAGCACGTCGAGTGATGCAATGGATGTCGATGGCGCGAAGACCAGCGACAGCGACTATCAGTGGTGGCGGATCAGCTTTTCGGCAGAGGATGGCAAGACTCGACAAGCTGAAAAACTGAAGGCCCAGGGCGATGGTGCTGCCACGCAAGACGGCGATGTCGTTGGTTATAGTGCCCGCAAAGTCAGAGAGATCGAAGTGCTCCGCGCGGCGCGCGAAGAGTGGAGATCTGTGTTGCTGGTCTATGCGAGTGAGAAGGCCATAGGCGCTCACACAGAGCCTGCACCGTCACAGCTTCAGGTATGATAGGTAGAGACCCAGTGTCCGGCTATGTGCTAACTATTTGATAGGGATTTGTGAAAAAGGATAATGATGCCTTCACAGCTGAATTCGAGCAGAACGCAGCCAGCCCAGGAGACAAGCACCAGGATAGCCAGCAGCCTCAAAAGCAAGTGTCTGGCAAGCAGCAACCAATAGCCCACACAGGCCAGCAGGTGAATGTTTTCGACTATGAAGTTCCCGGGTTCGAGCATGAGCAAGGCCCCGGCCAAGAGATGACGGAGAGGGCCGGGTCGAGCTTACTGGGAGCAGGTGCTGCTGCCCATGCACCGACCTCAAGCGCTTCGGGTATCCAGTCAGACTGGAAGACCGATGACGACGAGGAAATGGCAGACCACGTGGAGAACGCAAAGACGCACTGAGCTTCCTGGTGAAGACGTGCACGAGTGACGAACACACTTTTCGTAGAGCGAGAATTCAGCCAAAGCGGAATGTGCCCCAATAATAAAAAAATACTTGATGATATTTACCTCATAGCATCGTAGACTACTTGAATTTACCTTTAATATTATGAAGAAACTGTTGACATCAAGCAACGGTCGTAGACCTCGCGATAAGAAGCCCCGTCCCCACATTTTCCGTGTTTGCAACCAGCGCGTCCACCTGTTTCTCCAACGCAACCCCAACGCCACCCCTTCTGAGACTGATTCTGGCATACAATGGCTCTCGAAAGCGACGCCGTTGCCGGCGCCACCATCGAGCTCCTCGAGGCGCGTCTGCGCCGCCTCACCTACCTCCTCTCCGGCGCCACCGACTGGACGGGAGTCCCAACGACGCCGGAGAAGCCCGCCTCCCACGACGAGACCGTGTCGCGGCGACTCTTCCGGCTCGAAAAGGAGCTCGAACGGCTTAGTCGAAGTGTTCCGGCGGTGCGGGATGTGCTTCAGCTCCGTAAGTTGGAATCCGGAAACTATCTGATGGAGGAATTGCACACACACACAACCCCTGGTCCGATGCTCTGTGTTGCTTTCGACAATCACTGGGATATCTCCCTACGATACTGGAAGATTAAAAACCAAGACCACATGGTTTTCAATTCATTCGCTAATGCAATATCCCATGAATTTTCCGTTTAGACGACCGCTTTCCAGACCTCTTCCAACCCCCAAACCCACACACCATCCCCGAAGGCCTCACCCCGCGCGCCCTCGCCTCCATCGTGCTCTCCTACACAACCGCGTTCCCCGAAACCGCCTCGCGCCTGACCTCCCTCAAAGACCTCCCCATCCCCGAGGCCCACAAATCCGCCGCCCTCGTCGAGCTGCAGCCGCGGTTTGACCGGCTGGCGCAGACTCAGTCGGAGCAGGCGGCCGCGATCTCGGAGCTGCGTGTGCGGTCGGCCCGCGTTCTGCAGCGCTGGTATGAGGTTGGGCTGGTGGGCAGTGGCGAGTGTTGGGCTGAGTGGGAGGGGAGGTTGGAGGATGTCGAGAGGGAGGTGCGGAGGACGGAGGTTATTCGGGAGAGGCGGGAGAAGGAGATTTAAATTCTTTCTTTCTCTCTGACTCTCTTTCTCTCTCCATCTCTGTTGTGTGTGTACTTGGTTTATGTCCTTGTGTTTTCTGGGTTGGTATGATATCCTTTTGTGGTTGGGTGTTTGGATTGGCGTTGTCACTTGATACCAATTGCAGTCTCGAATTTAGATCTTAAGGGTTCGATGTGATCTATGTTCCTTGCATACTTCGAGTTATACCATCGATGCCTCTGGTATATATTCGAGGGTAGTTGATATCTGACCTCATCTGCAGTCACTGGAATGCTGGTCAGAACCATGGATTTAGGGGCCGAACGCAAACTGGCGTCAGGTACCCGAACCATCCGAGCTATAGACCTATAAGGGAAAGTTGGGGCATGGTTTTCGGTGTGCATGAGTCGTATTATTATATGTTTTATACATGATATATATATTATGAAGAGCACATCAGACACTCCCATAATCTCGGCAGTGTCGCACGTGGGCCGGTACTTAATGCCTAATGCCGAGAGTGTATATATGAGGCCGAATAGGGTAAATCTCGAATCATGCTGTCTAGATCGAACAACAGCAGAACTACTGTTCACCACGTAAAATAACATATAACAAAAAACAGGAAAATCCAAGAGTCCTAGGAGTCGAGACTGGACGATCCGATCGAGCCCCGGTGGGGCTGTGGCGTGGTTGAAATTTCTATTGCTGAATTGCTGGACTTGAGGATATACGTTAATAGAGTGAATTAAGTCTGCAGGGAATATATTTTTTTTAGATATATTCTTATATTCTTATATTCTTATTCTATTTAGAAGTAGACTCTCGAAGAATCACTATCCATGGTGCCCATGAGTCGGTGATAAGCACAGGCCGGGCGGGGCCTGCGCTAGCTGCGATATTTATAGATCTCCCCTGGATGTTGGTAGAATCGAACAATATAATAAGAGAATATGTTTAGATATAGATATAGATATATATCATATAAGTGATCTTAGAGAGCATACTGATTCCATAGATTATATTATATACTATCATATACTATCCATAGTGAATAAAACAATCACATCTGAAACTTGACCAGGGGCGGAGTTGGCTTGGGGCCGGGGCCCACGTAGCACTTTCTCCCATTTCCCCTGCTTTTCGCTCGTTTTTTCTTTTCTTTTTTTTTCGCTCTTTCATCCTTTCGTCTTAGCCCCATCCACTCGTTCTTTTTCTCTGCTTACGTTGCTTTCCTTTCTCCGGCCTGGTGCTGTTCTCTGTAAGGGGCTTCTTTCCTTGCCCAACCTCTGTCTCTCTGCCCTTTGGCGCCTTTTTGTCTCAAGGTACGTTTTTTATTGCTGGCTCCTTTCTCTGGTCCTGCCTTTCCTATATTTCCTATGTTTCCTATATTGTCTACAAGGGCCCCCAGACCCAGCGCGACTTTCGCCCTGTTGGACCCCACGCGACCGAAGCCTCTTGACTCCCCGTCCATTTCCGTCCTAACAATCGCATTTAGTCTCTCATTCAACCCCCCTGTCACCGTCGGCTCTGCGTGAGACACCTGAGTTGAAGCACCGACGCGACATATATATCACCCCCGATCTCTCAACTCCATTCGTTCTTGTGTGGGGGCATCTAGCAGCAAGGCCGACCAAGCCCCTCTTCGACCTCCCTTTTCCCTCTTTTTTTGCAGTTTTCGTCATCCGCACCGCGTGAATCGACACACCATGGGCAGATTTCGTCCGAGCAACATCCTAGGCGATCCGTTCGCTCTGGCGACCGTCTCCATCTCTATTGTACGTGCTGGCTACCCCCCAATGGCTGGGGGGCATTTCGTTGCTGACCCGACCTTTACTTTCTAGCTGGCATGGCTGATCGCGTTCATCTCGTCCGTCATTGGCGAAGTCCAAACGGATTTCTACCCCAACTTCTCGTGGTGGGCGATCTGCTACATGTTCTGTCTTATTATCGGTGTGACGATAGTGTTTGGTACAGACACGGGCCATGTTTACAACGTCGCGGTATGGATTTATCGATGAGGATGTCCCCGTGTGAAAATGCTGATGTGATGACTCTAGCTTGTTGGATATCTGGGTTGCGCTCTCGTCCTGACTTCATTGAGCGCCAACAACGTCGTCTACAAGTCCAAGGGATCCTTCCAAGCTGCCGGGGCTGGTTTCATTCTTCTGTCAATGGTGGAGGTCATTTGGATCTTCTACTTCGGCTCCTCGCCCCAGGCCACGCAACGCGGTTTCATCGATTCCTTTGCCCTCAACAAGGAACAGGCTGGCTCCTACCGCGGCAGCCGCCCGATCTCGACGCGCCCGGAAACTATGGTGACCAGCCAGACGCCCCAGATGTACACGTCGGCCCAACTCAGCGGCTTCGAGACCTCGTCCCCCCTGTCTGGATACCCCGGTGGTGCACCAGGCGCGGAGCGTAACTCGTCGCTGCCTCGCTTCGGTGCCATGCCTACCAGCCCAGGCCCCAACAACGCTACGCAGGAGGCCAGCGAAGTGCCGCAGCCGACCGAATACCCGTACCGCGCCAAGGCCATCTACTCGTACGATGCCAACCCGGAAGACGCCAACGAGATCAGCTTCGCCAAGCACGAGATTCTCGAGGTATCCGACGTGAGCGGCCGATGGTGGCAGGCCCGAAAGGCGAGCGGAGATACCGGCATTGCGCCCTCGAACTACCTGATCCTCCTGTGATCTCTGTTCGTACGTGTGATGTCTGGTTTCTCTGTTTCGGTTTTCTTTTCTTCTTTCCTGCCATTTCTGTCGCAAAACATTGTTCTCCCTTTGATACCCTTCGGATCCTTATCTCGATGTGTGTGTGTGTGTATTTCCCCTCTACTTAACGTGATGTCTTGATGGCCACCTTTTCTTTCTTGTCCCTTGGATTTCTGTACGCAATTCTTTCCTCTCCTTTTCTTCTCTTCTTGGCACGTATTTATTTCTGGTTTGGTTATCTTGTGTGAGGTTAATCTGTTTGGCGGGTGGTTGGCCCGCGTGTCCATTTATTTCATTTCTTGTATTGTGTGTGGTTGCCGGTGCTCTTTCATGCTTGGGAAAACCCTTGGTTTGGAATCCGAGGTCGAGTACAGACCTGTGGACTGCCACCTTGTGCGTTTTATTTTCTCTGCAAGATCAAAAGTCGATGTGCGTATCAGCATCTAGCACCAATTTTTTTTTTGAATTTATCCCACGTAGTTCCATATTTTTCTGTTTATCTAGCTAGGGTTATAACCTTGGAAGTTCGTATATAGTCCACTTTGCTCTAGAACATTTCTTTGGAGTGCCTGGTAAGTCCACCGGTTCGACCTTGGCTCGCCCTATTCGCAACCTCGGGTCTTTCATCTTCCCCACCACTTAGACCTGGTTAGTTGCTAATTATGCAATTGGAAGACTATATTTTATTCTATGAAAAGGATTATTTGGCAAATCAAGTCAGATTACTTTGTTTATAGGATATAGAAACCTCCCATGCAAGTCTTATTAGAGTTCTTCCCCTACTAAGATATGAATAGAAGTCCGATGGTTAAGTCAAGCTCATCATTCGCCCCTATCGGATACACAAAACAGATAAAAGAGAAAATTGGGCCTCAGGAGTGGGGGATAATAGAGGGGCAGATGAGAACACTCATGAGAATGGGGCTAACATCGAGGGGATCAGCTTTACCATTAGGGTTGATAGCTCGAGAGATTTCTGCCAATTCTTTCATTTACCGGTAGACAAATTCGGTTTCTCTCTCGCTCTCTCTGTCTCTCATGCATCCAAAATGAGCCCGGCCGAAGAACAAAACACGCTTGATACTTTGGCAGGTGTATCCTCCGACAGCGATGACATCGCCGAAACAATCTCGACCTCGAACTTCCAACAAACGACACCCGTATGTTCAACAAGACAGATGCATATCTTCAACCTAACTGTCCTTCTAGCAAGTTATCAACAACATGAAGTCGATGACTGAGGAAATCATCGAGAAGAGGGTTACCTTTGGTAAGAGCGAGCAGGAGACTTACAAGTTATTCCAAGAAGCAAGTTCTCTCCGTATTTCCAAGAGAGAGAGAAAAAAAAAAGAAAACAAATTTTAAGGTGTTCAATAGCTCGTGACAGCTCAGCAAAAGCTTCTGGCATCCTTGAAAGCCAAGCATGAGCTCTTGAGCAAAACCTCTTTTGCTCAGCCCATTACGACAAGTCTTCATACTCTAGAAGCACATCTCGACACCACCTTGTGCAGCGCCATAGATAGTATGCCAACATTCAAAGAGGATGCTGAGAAGCTGAAGCAAGACTTGGACACAAGTCTAGATGAGGCCATAAACACATATAGCGAATGAGCACGGCATTACACTATGTCATCTTCAGAAGGACAATGCCAATCAGCTGAATCTTTAACACCCGGCTTTGCGCGGGGAGGAAGCATTCTCGATAACAACATAAATATATTGATCATCACACATAACAAGATCCTCCACTCTCTTCTTAAACAGTAAACACCTCGATGGACGCTTTATAGTCAGGAATATGAACCTTCCCACTAACCAAACCATCCTCGCCATTCTCATCCCGACACTGATCCAGAATCGCATCCAGATAGATCGACACGCAGACATCAGGCACACAGTTATCGGTTCCCAAGATCCCATCGGGTTTGCGACAGCTCGCCATCCGCGCATCGCTATTCTTGTCGGGGTTTTCGTTCGTTGCGCAACCGGACCCATAAGGCGAGCCACATTCACGCTCCGTCTGATCGCTAGGGTTGCTATCGGCGCCAACCTGCTTTGCTACCTCGACGGCACCTTTTCTCCAATGTGAGGAGATGTCATCGATCTGTTTCCATGTGGGACTGCCCGTCCCCGTGTTGCAATGCATCTCTCCAAGTCCGCAGCGCGTCCATGGGTTTCGGAGGCGTTCAGAGGTACGGTCTGCCAAGCAGGATACTGCCAGAGCGCTGATAAGGAAGGTGCTGTAGAGGGTTGAGAGGAACTTCATGGTTCTATTAAGAGAAGGTAATTGTTAGCATTCATGATATGTACTCAGAATAACAGCAGATGGCCACCAAGTGTTCAAGGATACCCACGATTGTTCTAGGTTGTCCTGAGTTGTGTTAGATTGAGAGGTATATAGGAATTGCTTTGAATGAATCAAGAAACAGAAGGACCCGGGCTTTCTGGGAGCCTTTATACCCTCGTCCCTGGTTTCCCATGTACATCATTTTGTGGGGATTGGCAGACCGGCAAATGGCGCATGCCATCATGCCAAGGTAAAAATAAGTCACCAGGATAGATTTAGAAAAGAAAATGCAACCCTACCCCATTCACCTCCATAATATTGTCCTCATGGTGGAGTATCCCCAGTTTCGGCTCCTCGATGAATACGTCGACAACTCCACTGAAAACTCTAAGAAGAAACAGACAAGTTTAGTATCTATCAATAGTAATCTGCATCCATAAAAGAGAAGAAGGCATGGGAACCCCTTCGCTTACTGCTAAAGACATACAGTATAGATGACTTCTACCTGCAGTTTTCTCCCTCAACTTCGGTCTCTATCGTTAAGTCACACTAATACCGCGGAACACTGCAGATTTACAAACCGATATACCTATATATCTAACTAGCCGTATGGGTCATCCCCACATTGTGGCGCGGTGCTGGCCGCCCGGCCCCTAAGTTGAGAAGAAACGCCTCCACATTTATTTTAAGAGCCTAGGTCTTTTCTGCCAATAAGACAATTCAGCGAGAGGCAATGATATAATTAAGCTAAAGTGTAAAAGAATCCTGCAGCCTTGCATGCAGGCCGGCAATTGAAGTCCGCCGTACCTATGAGAAGTATGTATGGACCAGATCCCTATTATTTGACAAACCCAAAACTCGAAATTTACGATATTCTGGGGCTTTTCCACAGAGACAAACAAGTTTGACTTGAGGAACTTTCTCTCTGCTATACCATTTCGTGGTAGACTCGACTAAATTTGTAGATCTGGTCCGTTTTTGTATAGACAAATCCGATTGTCGCGAGCCCTAACTAGCCAGGCATTGGCGGCCCCAGGTATCCATGGATACTTGCACCACAGTTTTGTTTTACCGTTGCCATCTCCTCTCATTTTCAAGGTTGGAGGGGGCTAATACAAGTGCCCCAAGCGGGCACAAGCGTCTTTTCTATACTTGGCTAAGCGAGGGTCCATTGCCGAGAGGCTACGCCATTCCCGCTTTTTGGTTTTCTCTCGAACTCGATATCCTTTCCTCTTTTATCTTTCCTGTTTTGCCTCTGAAAGAAACGGCCAGCCTGGCTACCCATGGGATATGCCTTGACTAATGTTGACTTTCTAAGAAGCTGGTTTCGGATTAATTCATGCTCCGGTCCAGCCCGTGTCAGCCCTTGATAGCGCCTCGAACAGGGAAATTGTTTACCCGACCTGGCATTTTGTCGCCTCCTATTCTTCTCGGATGAACAAGATCCACGTCCACGTCCTACCGAAGATTGATTTGTATCCACTTTTTATTGGCTGATTTAGTCTAGTCCCATCTCCCTCACCCTTCAACAAAGGCGCCGGTTTCGAAGAATGTCTCAAGATCATGATTCGCTTGCCATGCTGAAACGTCGTCGCTTGCTTCGCGGGGAGATCACATATGCCGCCGCAAAGGAACAAGACTCTAATATTCTCCATGAACTGGGATATAGGGATCAGAAGATCCGATACTTTACCCATCTGTACCGAAGTCGCAAACTGATCCAAACAATCGTGGCCCACCATCTCGGCCTCGCTTCCGCGGACACATGTCATATTGTTGATGTGGAGGACTGGATACATGGCAGCTTCAATGTTTGCATCCGAGTTGATGTCGATGGCCAAGGACAAGATCCCGGGAAACGATTGATGATCCGATTTCCATTGCCTTACCGAATTGGAGAGAACTTGTACCCAGGCAATGCGGATGAGAAGGTCCGTTGTGAAGTTGGGACTTACGCATGGCTCCAAGAGAACTGTCCAACTGTCCCTATTCCACAGCTTTATGGGTTTGGGATGTCCACTGGCCAAACTGTATGTCCTCCATTTGCGTGTCTTCCAATAAGAATTATTGCTTACAATCCTAGTTCACCGTTCTCGATAACCTGCCTTTTATAACCCGCATTATTCAGCGCCTGCGCCGCCGACTGTTAAATTGGTTAAACTATCCGACTCCATCCCCCTACGTTCAACATCGAACCAAAGATCAAGTTGTGCTGGGCACACCCTATCTTTTGATTGAATATATCGATCAATCGAGAGGTAAAATGCTTTCTGAAACATGGGAGGAAGGGCGCCACAATTTCAAATTGCGCAAGAACCTTTTCCATGGCCTCTCCCGCATTATGTTGACTTTGGCACGTACTCCATTACCAAAGATCGGGTCCTTCATTCTGGATGAAAACGGGTACTTGAGTTTGAGTAACCGGCCTCTTACCCTTGAAATCCAACAACTGGAAAATGAACACATTCCAGTCGATATGCCGCAAAATTCAACTCATTCCACTGTCGACTCTTATGTCAATGACATCCTTGCATTCCATGAAAGTCGGCTTCGCCACCAGCCTAATGCAGTCAACAATGTTGCAGATGGTTTCTATCAGATATCCGCATTGATGGTTATGAGAAGTGTCTGGTCTTGTTTTTTCCGTCGTGATCTCCTTCGAGGCCCATTCTTTCTTAACCTCACCGATCTTAACCAAACCAATATCTTTGTTGACAACGATTGGAACATCCAATGCCTTATCGATCTCGAGTGGGTATGCTCTCATCCAGTGGAAATGATTCATCCTCCGTACTGGTTGACGAACCAGGCTATTGATTTGATCAGTATAGATGACTACGAAATTCTTCACAAAGAGTTCATGGAGGCCTTCGCTAAGGAGGAGATGAAAATCAAGCTACCATTCCGTCTCTATCCTATTTTGCAGCATGGATGGGAGAGAGGAACCTTTTGGTGTTCTCTTGCGCTCAGTAGCCCCACGGCACTGTTCAAGATCTTTTATGACTTCATTCAACCGAGGTTTTCTAAGGCTCACGACGATCCAGCTTTTTGGAAAATCACCATGCCCTACTGGACGTTCAATGCCTTTGAGTTTATTGAACACAAAGTGAGGGACAAGGAGCAATACGACGCCTCTTTGCGTGAAGCATTTGAATCCGGAAGTTCTCATGACTAGAGCATACAAAAATCCGATCATCTTCGCTGACTCTGCCCTTGTCCTTCGCGCTTGCTTCCCTCACCACCACTTTGGTCTTTATTTTTGAAGTCCTCTACTGCATTCTGAAGATTCAGAATAGACTTTTTCCCTCTGTTCTGCTGTGCCGCTTTCCCTGAAGAAGAGAGCTGATTGAGTGTTTTGGCGTCCATCTTCATAGCCACATTTGCTTCTTCGATTTTACCATCGTAACTTGAATCTGAGCGTCGGTCCTCCATTTCGCTTGAGTACTAAGCGCCTTGTGCACCAGCGAAAATTGTCAGTGACCGTAAACTCCACTGCGTTGGTTTGGGTCCGAGATGGCTACCTTGTAAGCTGATGCAAAAGCCTTGTCGTCGGACCGTCTTAGGGGAATATCCGGTTGGTAAGCTGGCAAGAATGTTATTCATTGCTCTATTGTCAATAGGAAAGGCACTCACATGTAATACGAGAAGATCTAACGAGGCAAAAACGAATAGAGGACAAATATGAGTTCTCTAAACTTTCGGCCTATAGAAAGCGAAAAACAACCGGCGGGCCTTTAGGTTCAAATACTAGGAAAGTACCTTCAACATGCTAAGCGCTTATTGTGTAGTGACGTACCCTGCGAACATGCGGCTAACTCGAGAGGCACAGTCACTCCGCAGGATACTAGAACCTGATTGCTGCGTCTTGTCGTGATAGGAGTGTGAAATTCTGCATGTGTTCGGATGTACTGCAGGTGCCTATGCACGGATACAGAAAGATACAGTAATATGGTACATTCACATGAAGACTCTCGACGGTGTTTACGGTTGACCCTGGCCTTGCTGGAAGAATATTAGAGCGGGAAAATTAGAAAGACTCTAATATTTGTGAGGGGGAATATTAACAGGTCTGGAATAAAAAAGACCAGAAATTTCTACGGTTTTTTATATTCCCAGAATCCCAACCCGTTAATATTCCCCTCTCAAAATTCAGAGTCTTTCAACATTCAACTTTTTAACCACCAAAATCATATCGGAACGTCAGCCTTAAGGATGCTTCCAGTTCTATGGAAACACGAATGAGCCGGATCATCATCGTATGAAACAAAACCCTTGTCAGAAAGACCTTTTGCGGCATTTCGAGCCATATCTCTGCATGTAAATATAGCACTATACTGTTTACGGTTAGTCATATCGTGACCCCAGCGCTTGGCAGCGGTAATAAATAATGGCATAAAAATAGATGCTCGTATGGTGCGCTCAGTAGGCACGGATATGTAGTTGTAAGATTCCGCGCAAACAGGCCAGGCCTATTTCTGACACGTCTGTCAATCTGACAATAAAATGAACTTTTTCCCCGAACTTTCCACGGCTTGAGGTTAGATACATCTGGAACTGCCCCTAGCATGTATCTATCTTAGAGATTCTTTCCATGACCTTTGAGTACCATCCAGGCTTTCCTCTCTGATACAGCCTCATCGCCGTAGCCAGATATTGTCGGCTGGAGTCCTGTAACGCCATTGATAGACGATATCCCTCAGTCAAGCCAATTTCTTTTTCCTTCTCAATAACCATAGCAATATAGTCTTCCCTGTCCACGAATTTCTGTTTGTCTTACACGTCTTTCGGGAAGCCCCTTTCATCGTAGTCCCATGGCGCATCCATATCAGGCGGAACCACAGACAGGGTCAATGGAAACTCGCCCGATATCTCCCAGGGCTCAGCAAATGCTGTTTCCCAGTCGATGACACCAAGCAATTGGTAATTGTCATCGGAGAGCCTTCCAGCTGAACTACCGACCAGCGATTTAAAAAAAGAGGTGGATAACAATAATTCATCCGCCAGCGAACCGGCTGCTTCTTTCAGGCGGTCTTCTGATAGACCGAACTTTAGCGTTAGCGGCCTATACCTTGAAGAATTCGGTAGCCGTTTCGAATGGACCGCCTAGACCCGGAATAGGACCTTGTTCGTACGAGCCGTCATCGTTCTTGCGAAGAATAGTCCCGATTTTTGGTAGCTATATTCTCGACAGCTCGACCTAGGATGTGGAAAATAACATTAGTAAAATCTTCCTCATCATAAAACTAGCCAGCTATTGTAGAATACCTGAATTTGCGCTATTCTAGAAAAGACGTAATTTTTGTGGTTGAGCGGCATTTTTATACTGAGATCCATTCCCACATTACCTCTCAGGCAGTCCATCAGCATAAACTGTGCCATCACCTTGCAGTTGGGGTTGAGTTCAACAGCATGGATTTGTGGGACCGGGATCCTGCTCTCCGTCTAGACGAGTTGGATCGTGTTGTGCTCACACTTCATGATGCTTCTTGCTGTGTCCACCGTGTCTTTGTCCTGTGGTACAGGCTGCATTCGGAGCCGTGCTATCCATCTCACATTGTCATTAAATTCAATGATGCGCACTATGTGATTGAAGCCAAGGCCAATATCAGGTAATAACCTGCATTCCCTTCCGCTTCGCACTGCGGCTGCATATTCAATGAGCGAGGTCCAATCTATGGAATCGAGGGATTGTTGGGCTCTTAGCCGCAGCGTTTCATCAGTGAGGGAAGAGAAATAGGACCATCGGTAACCTGTAAAAGCTTCGCCACTGCCTAGAATAGCATTAGCAGAGGCTTGGCATCGTTTGCAAATGCTAAAGAGTAGCAGTCTCACAAGACATTTCGAGTTTGTGAAGGAAGCTAGCAGAAGAGCACTATTTGTTTTGTGACAGTTCTTTCGAGATAGAAGTGATTTATATAACGCTTGGGGAAAATGGCGGTAAGGGTATGTGCCCACTCCCGAGGAATCTCAGATAAATACTGTAATTTGCCGCGCCCTTAGTGTTTTTAATTCTGTAACATGGTTTTCAGGGTAGCAAGGTTATTGCCGCGGCCATTTCGACGCCCTGCCGCACCGAAGACGAGGACCCGTCTGATCGCAATTTTGATTCAGCAGTTGAACAGCGAAAACGAGGCTGTTAAACAAGGAAGGGTAAGGAAAAGAAATGAGTCCCTAAAAAGGGTTCGCACTAAGCCGAGGTCTAAACGGTTAAACAGGGTCGTGACTGCACATCTCAGGTCCTCCGAACGCTTTAGTAAAAAGCCAAGCCCAGGCCACCCTTTGCTTCAGTGAGCAGGTTGAAATATGTCCTCGGGGAACTTTTCCTCACAGGGTAAGCATTCCCCTTTAGCATAAGGGGAACCATCCTACGTAGGCACTGCTAAATAGACGGGCATCCTATGTAGGCACGGCTATATAGGCGCATGGCGAATCACCCGCGGCGTGGGCCAGATCAGGCTAGTGAGTCGTGGGCGAGTCGCCATGTAAGAGCAGCAAAAAGTAAAAACAACACGCAAAAGAGCAATATATTCTCCGCACCTGGGAATTTGAGCAAAAGCGCCTTTTATCCTAGGAAGCCAAACAGTACTCCCAGGAATCATTCAGTCTCCCAGGAACACCCTAGACATAGGTAGACCTTGACAAAACCCGCCCGCGGGAGTTGAAGTGACTCCCAACTCCCAAACCCGCCCGTCCGCCCTCAGGAAACTCCCACGGGACTCCCGCGGGCCAAATTTTTACATAACTTTCCCGAATTCCTAGGATATAAGCGTTTTGGGGTGCCCCTATCAATACCCAGAAATTTATATAATTACTTAATCCTCTGAAAATAGATAGAATATTTATTACTATATTATTTCCTAACTACTAGGCTTTATCGAGTTAGAAAAATACTTCTATTAATATTATTCGATAATAGTAATACCGGCCAGTATCTCTGGCTTAAAATTTAGGGGTAGCTATCTAAGGTTACGAAAATATTCTAGTCTCTCTTAAGTCTCCTCGCAGAGAATAGGATTAGTCTAGTATTAATACTTATTAGGCTAAGTAGGGGCTATAGACGCTAGTATTATAGGGATGATTAGATATAAATATAAGATTTTTGTGTCTGTGTTCTGGAAGATAATCACGTCAAGATCGATTTAGGCGGTTAGGGTTATAGAATAGGGATAAGAGAATAGGAGGGTACGAGGACACCGAGAGGGAGAGAGACACGTATCTTATATATATCTAACCAGACTAGGCGAGGAGGGAGGGGAGCTATCTTTAGCGTCGTTTTGGTCGCGAGTAGAAACGGGGAGAACAACTTGTTAAGGTCGAGCGCCAACATCAGGATAGGTAGATGACTACCCGTGCTTGGCGGGTGCAAAATAGTAGTGCTACCGGGTAGTAGGCGGCTCGCCGTTGGTGGATACGGGTGGAAAAGGCGGCCGTTTCTGGCCTCGAAAGCGGTCATTTTCGGCGTCAATTTCACAGGTCCTTATATTCTATTTGTAAAAGTGATCGCCAGCTATGCCGAGGGAGTATTCAAATCTGGTCATCACTTTTACTGAAATAAAATTCAATTCTTCTTTATTGTCTTTGGACTGAGTTAAATACTCACGTATAGTGGGGTCTTGTTGCTTATTCTCAGTTTATAGCAATCAAAGTGATATACCCAACCAGGAATGTCCTACGGCAGGTATGGCTGCATTTACAATGAATTGAACGGCTCTTGAAGTTTCCAGTCGGGCATGAAACCAGAAGTAGGGTAAATCTGCCTAGATTAGAGCTGTTCACATGTTTTTATATTCCTTTGTCGAAGTCTCCCTGAGGAAGAGCAACGGCCATCGCCAACTCATGCAGGCTGCTCATTGGTGTCTCATTAGCGTGGCTGAGATAGCTGCATCGTGGCCGGGAGATCAGCGAGCGCTAAGGATTGCCTGTGTGACTGAGCTTCCCCTCTTTTGCTTTCTCTCTTTCTCCCTTAGCTTCTGCCCGAGGGAGCGTTGTCCAGGTGGACATAGCGGCTGATCTCGTGTTGGGCGAGGGACAAGCCTGGGCAGGGTTGCAGCAGATCCCTATTTCACTCTCCTCAAACAGCCAGAAGGTCATGAATTAACCTCCCAAGGATTCTGGCTGTCACAATGCCGGACCGTCTGTCGCGTCTAAAGGCGAAGCTGCTGCGGCGATCATCGACACCCGCGGTTCCTAAAGTGGGCGACGGGGCGGACCCGTGTGTCCACCCCAACCCAACTTCTCGCACCTCCTACGCTTCGCATCTCTTTGAATCAGATAGCGAAAAATCCCCTGCGTACAGCATCGTCTCTTCCCCAGCCGATCAATCCTCTGACGAGATCTGCCCTGCGCCCGACTGGCACGAGCCCCAGCATCCCGACCGAGAGGCAAGGAGACACCAGCCTCATCCGTCTCTACGATCACAGCCACAGTGCCAGCATCCTTCCGTGCCAGAGCACCGTGCTTATACGCCACCTTCGACCGAGCCCAACACTTCGCCGCTGTACACTCCCCTCACCGGCGACCCTCTATTCCCCCTCGAAACCCCTCCGCTTCCGACTCCTCAGCATTCCGACGACACCTCGTTCCAGTCTGCGCATGGCAAAGCTCGAGGCACCCCGGCGGAGAATCCATTGACCCCGAGCCTTGATACTGTCGTCGAGCGGCCCGCATACGATCGTCCGCCACCTTCTTCTTTCTTCCCTCCCCCTTCGAGCAAGCGTCCCAGTCTTGCTTCACGTCGGCAGTCTCTTTTCCCGGTGTCCCACCAGCACTTGATCAGCGGGCTGCTGGAGCCCAGCCGCTTCTCTTCGCACGGCGACCCAGCCAGTGAACGTGCCCCCACGTTCGAAATGGTCCATCGTCGGGTTTGGGTCAAACGCCCCGGTGGCTCGGCCACCCTGGTGCCGTGTTTGGAGGATGCGGTTGTGGATGAGCTGCGCGACCAGGTGATCACGAAATATGCCAATTCGTTAGGTAGTCGCTTCGATTCTCCGGATATTGTGATTCGGATCGCCCCACGCGAGGGTTCGAATCGACAGGCACACCCCGATCGCCTCTTGAGCCCGGAGGAAATGTTGTCGTCTGTTCTGGACACTTACTACCCTGGGGGGCAAACTGTTGAAGAAGCGTTGATGATTGAAGCTCCCACGCGCCGGACTCCCAAGCCGTCGCCACGCCATTCTGTCTATCATCATCACCATCCGGGGCCGGGCGAGCACGGCGAGTATTTCCCTCTCATGCCCGTGAACCCGAACGCACCTACACCTCCAACACACAACTCCAATTCGGGATCTGCAACGAATGCACCCTCAATTTCGATTCTCACCACCGGCGTGGCGCCTCCACTGCCATCTCCAGGAAACCGTGCATCACGACATCACCCCCGGCCTCCGCTCGCAAGACATACGGCCAGTTCGCCAACGATGCTTGCCCAACCTCCTGGAACCACAGGTATGTTGGCCATTGGATGTTATCCAGAAATTATGACTGACCTTCAAAGAATCTGGTATCTCCCCTCACAACCAACCTCCCGCGACGGCTCCGGCGCCGACGGTCCCTACACCACCTGCCCCGGCAGCAGAGTCTCCACATGCCAAGGCACACACCCCACCGGCGCCAGTGGCATCTCCACGCGCCCACCGAAAATCCAAGGGTTCCTCGTCACCCGGAGCGGTATTTGGCGGGTTGATTGACGGTACTGTACCGCCAATCAATGTTCTCATCGTGGAAGACAACATCATCAACCAAAAACTGCTGGAAGCGTTCATGAAGAGACTCAGTGTGCGCTGGAAATGCGCCGCAAATGGCGAAGAAGCGGTCCGCAAATGGCGGCAAGGTGGCTTCCATCTGGTCTTGATGGACATCCAACTGCCAGTCATGAATGGATTGGACGCCACCAAGGAGATTCGCCGACTGGAGCGGTTGAATGGAATTGGTGTCTTCCCAAAAACCGCCTCTGGTCGCACGAGTGCGTCTAAAACCACTGCCACGTCCCAGCTAGAGAAAAGGCCTGGTTTCTATCGCACCGTCAGCGAAGAGGATACCTTGACAGATCTGTCACTATTCCGCAGTCCGGTAATTATTGTCGCGTTGACGGCCAGCAGCTTACAAAGTGACCGTCATGAGGCCCTGGCTGCTGGCTGCAACGATTTCTTGACCAAGGTATGTTATTATGTTTACATTCCATTGATATGGCCATTGCTAATCATATTATAAATAGCCGGTGGGATTCCCCTGGCTTGAGCAAAAAGTAACGGAATGGGGATGTATGCAAGCATTGATCGACTTTGAGGGTTGGCGTAAATGGCGTGGCTTTATGGACACCCCCCAGCCCACCCCTCCCTCGATCAACAATACGACCAGCCCGATGCAATGTGGCAATCGCAATGAATTCGAGGCTCAGACGGAACCCGCATCGCCCTCCAGTTCCCGCACAACGGCTAAACCAGAAAAGCCCAACGGCGCGCGGCCTGCTCTCCCTAATGCCGCGGAGATCCTGCGCGAAGACTCCTGGGGCAGTGGCAGCGGTGATACCGCAGACTCACCGACAAGCCCGCAGACAACACCTGCAGAATCAGTTTCACAGCCAGCCGCTGAACCCGAACCTGCTCCCCTGGACGGGCAATGACCCATGCCCAGTCTAGCTAGCCTTGTTCTTGAATTCTGAGACCACTCCAAATGCTGAAAATGGGATATTTCTCAACTCAATTGCTGATTCGCAGAACGAATTTTTCTTCCATATGTCTCGACTATGTTGTCTTTTCCATTGGATACCCCGCATAGCAACGCCTGTCTTTTTCTATTTCTTTTTGATCCTTCTTCATATCCCTTTCTGGGCAGTGCGGGTGCCTCCAAAGCTGTATAGGGACTGGAGCCATGATCTGTTTTAGAAGCTTCCTGGAATTTTCCGAGATCTCTTCTCTGGCTGCACTCATCTGACTGCACCTACAACTTTTCTTCTTGTCGCTTCTTTTATTATATGGTCTTTGAACGACGCCTTAGGTACACATACATGAAGCCGACATACTCGCGCATACGATGGAGATGTCTTGATTGAACCAATACCCTTTCTTTTCTGTCTCATTCTCTAAGATGGCAATTTGCATATCTCGTTTACCATAGGTATCCAAGGCAGACCACTTGTCAAGAAGCCTTACGCCCCAGCCTTGTCATCACTGGGGTGAGTTTCTGGTTTGCGAAACCTTCCAAGGCTTTTGATGACCTCTTGGATATCTTGCGGTTCCATTACGTCCCTCTCTTTCACCTATGTCCCCGGGTAATCAAGCTCGTCCCACCGTCACCACAGTGTGATGACAAGTCCGTTGCTGTCCCTCACAAACTCGAATATTCCTACTTCATAATAGTCCCAATCCATCATTCCTCGCGCCATTTTCTGATTGGGGTCGAGAGGAAGGAAGCTCAGCATATCAGCGTTATATGGTTCCAGATCACACTGGGACGCGGCGTTGCTTGTATACACAACCGCCACCTCGGCGGTAGCAGTGGAGGTAGCGGCGGTAAGGGTGGCGGAAGAGGATGAGGCCGTATACTACGGGGTATACTACGGGGTGGGTCGAAGAGGGAGTTTAGATCGCGAAATTTCACACCACGCTTCAACGAAGCGCTCGTGGTGTACTACACGGAACTGATTGCGCATAAATCAAAGATTCCATCGAATTTCTGCGATCTCATCCATTAAGTAAGGGACATGAGCAAGCTTTCCAGGCCTTTGATAAATGCCTTCGGATTCGTCAGCAGAAAGGCGCCAACTCACCGGTACACACGGGCTTTGTCTAGCACAAGATCGGCGTATTCATGCGCGCAAGAGCAGATTTGGCCAGCGCAATGTAAGCGGACCCTTTGTGCCAACCTTGGGAAGTCTTTTTATGTATGGTCTCTGATGCTGATAGATTCTCCTTTCAGCACCAGTGCATCCCTCCGATCAGCGATAAAGATTCTTGTCGCTTGTGAAGGTCAAACTGCTGCCGCTATGCGATCCAAATTCGCTGCTTGGGGTGTACTCCACGAGACTGGCGAATTTGCAGAAGCAGAAGAGGGGATGCAGCAGATCACCAAAGATCTCGCTGGCTTGGGCAAGTCTGTGAATCACGCAGACTTGACTGAAGATGATTTTGACCAATACGTGCTATATTGTCATAGATGAGAATTGTTGCCGAGGAGTGGAATGTGAAGGGTTGTTGTTTTCTGTAGAGAGTGTTGATTCAAGTAATCCAGTCTCTTTGCCTGGACTCATTCATCAAGTACGCTCTTAGTAGAACATTTGCGATCTAGGAACGCCTTCGTATTCTTATAAGGAGCTAATCGGATTCTTCTACTTTGACTTTTTTTTTTTATTGCCTATTTCCTATTTAGACCTTTATACAGAATTCCATGATACATTATAGGCCTATGTAAGTACATCCTTGATACTGAGATACTAAGCTCTGCTCCGAGAATATCTCAATAAGTTCTATTATAATCAACAGAAATACATGTCTCCCCTCCCCTGGTCAGCAAGACACGTAATTTTATCCTATTCAAGGCATACAGCAGTAGGGCCACAGCCACCCACCAGTGAACTATCCAAGTATACACCCAGTGATGAAGTCAGGTTGTACAAAGCACCCGTGGATTACCTCACACGCGCATAGCATTTCTTCTTTGCGACCCTAACACGGACACGTGCAGCTGGCTCGGCATCTCATGAAGTTCTTTGTTCTTTGATTCGTCAAGGGAATGCGGATCTATGCAGCTACTGTCCTACCCAGGGTCATATTGTTTCTTTTTCTTTTCCTTTTTCCCGGGATTTGGTTTCTTTGTTGTGTCTGTTAGCCAGCGAGTATTTGAGAATGAGAATTACTTGAATTCCAGCACTTACTTACCTTGAGAGTTATTAGAGCTTTACCTCGTCTCGCTGCAACACAGAGAAACTACTTGTTGAATCCCCAATATTGTGATCCAGTTCGATATACCAAGTCTATATAAAGTAAAGTGCATCAATAATTATCACTACTCGGACGAAACCCATTCTCATGCCCGACTCTTCTTCAGCACCTTCAAATATGCAGACCCAGGCCACACCCTCAGCATCTACTCCAACTACCATTAATCCTCCTCCCCACCACCCCCCTGCGACTAGCATAGCAACCTGGCTGCAAAAGACCCTCGCTTCGATCTGGGGCCTTTTCACAACAGACTCGACTGCCAAAGACGGCATGGAACCCGGGTCCGACGCGGTCTCGGGATGGATTGGGGTGCGGCGAGGAAGAGGAAAGGGACGGTGTCGGGGTGTGGGGAAGATGCATTGATTTCAGTTCAAGGGAGATTAATTAGACTCGAATATTCGAAATTTTGAGGGATGCTGGGCATGAGCAGAGATGATGGAATCTTATACAAGAAAACCAACCGTTTGAATAACCAAAGAATCTTCCCAGGGTTGGAATGGAATGATGATGCTGATGAGAAATGTAAAATCATGGTTTGGTATAGATACACGATCAATTAGACACACCACATACACATACTCCCCTTATAAGTACAAGTACAGTCCCATCTCCAGAGCAGACGACAAGACCAAGATCAGGCCTCCACTCGGGTCGGGACCTTGCGCATGCCGCGCTTGCGGTCGTCCGACGGCACACCGTACCGGCGGCCCGGAGCCCAGGGCGCACGGCCATCGCGGCCGGTGGTCTGCGTAGTAAAAGCAACTTCCTTGATGCGGTAGTCAAAACGCGACTCCTGGGGACTAACACTCGTGATTTTGCGTTCCCGGCGGGCCTGGGCAGCTTCACGCTGCTTCTGCTCCGCCTCCGCTTGGTCTCGGAGCCGGTCTTGGTGACGTTGCTCGACAAGGAGGGGCTCATCTGGGTACTTGGCGAGGTCACGTTCAAGGGCGATCAGCTGTGGGTGTGGGATGCGTGCGTCGGCTGGCTGCAGCACCTGGCGAGCATTGTCGCCCTTGCCGACCAATTCGATCAAGTGTGGCCTTTTGGGCACGCGTTCGGCAACGTGGTGTGGCGAAGACCATTTCTCGGCAATCTTGTGTTCCTGAGCGGGCGCGCCAGAGAAGACGCGGCCTGCATCCACACGCGTAAAGGACCGTGATTCCGGCACCGGGTAAAACATCTGGGCACCGGTGAGGGGATGCATGGGGAGGTCGTTGATGGACTCATGCATTTTCTGTTGGTCGGGATTTCTAGCAATACCCGTGGTAGGTACCATTTCATGGATTGCCCTCGCATATGGCAGTGCAAGAGGTTTTCCCTACTCGATGGTCAAGTCAGTGATGTGTCCTCGACTACCCACGAGTACGAAGCAGGAAAAGAAGAAGAAAAAAAGGGCAATGCAAGTGACTCAGAGAAAAGGGTAAGCTTTAACCATGCAGACAGCGAGGCCTGAGTCTTAAAGACTAATCGATTTTTTGATAACTCATCATATGCGCGGAAGGGCGAGGGCTCACAAAACCAGAGGATAACAAGGGCGAGGGCAAAAAAGAAGAATCATACCTGTGATCGCTGTCGCTTCTCTAACTCAACCAGCCGCACCACAGCCGCAATGCGCCTCATGTCGACCCCGAAAGTGACGCTGACCTCGCGCACAGTCTGCTTCTCCTCCACCACTCGTTTATAAATTTCATTTTGGAGTGGCAAACTCAAAATACTCTGGCTGATAAACGTCGGGTTCTCCGGGAAAGGGTATTGTTTAAGATCTCTGTATTCTTTTCCAATCATTTTCCGGTATTGAGACACATAGTTTGTCCGGTTGGGCTTGTGGTGTTTGAGTTCGGATCCTGGCCCGTCCAACCATTCGAACATCTCCCGACGGAGTTTGCTCTGTGAAGGGGCTGTGGCGGAGAATGAACGGGAGAAGGTCGAGAAGACGGAGGGTAATGACGGGAGAGAGGGGATGGAAGTAGATAAGGAGGGCCCAAGGTAGGGGAGGAGCGTGCTGGAGACACGCCGGCTTTGTATCCGGGGTGCCATCTTGAAGGCAGGGGTAGAACCAAGGGAAATAGGCAAATAAGAGACCCAATGCAGATGTCAGAGACCAAGCATCCCCGCCATTGACTCCCCGTGCGATTGAGGTTGGTTGGAAGACAAGGTGGAAGTTGGGTGCAGCAGGGGAAGAAGTTTTCGGCTATGTGTCACGTGACATATCCAATAGTCTGTGTCTACTCTAGATGTATACCGTATTTCATCCACCGGGTAGCTTTCCTTTTTCAAGATGTCATTTATTTTACAAGATAACTAATAGTCAGGGCCACTGATTCCTCAGATATACCCGAGAGGCATCTAGCTGGTACTGCTTTTTGTAGTGGGGATTGCAAAGATATCATGTGATCTGGTGTGGTACATAAACAGGTCTCACCGAGATCTTAATAGTTCATGTATTCTTCTTCACACTCCCCCAGTACTTCCTCCCAGGTGGTACCTCCCATACCGATTGACCCTACCCCATAATTTGACTTGTTGGTCGCTCTCGATGCGATGGTGACCTGGGGACTCTGGAACTTGACGATGGCATGGAATTCCGATCAGTAACCAAAACCTGATTGCCACTGTTGTAGGAAAATATCCCCGTGGTCAATTCATTCCCAGATACCGCACAACTCTGAAAACTATCCACCAGGTTCTTTCTAGATCTGACAACTTCAAGTGGGATATATTGTCCTGTTTCCGAGACCGCTTTATTTCCAACTGGATTATGTCTACACCGTTGATAAAGATACTGGTCATTTAACAGTCATCCAGTGGAAAACTGGGAACGGGGGCCCTATACCCTAGATCTCGATGGATGACGCTGGCCAATTCTCGAGAGACATCACCCAGTACAATAGACACACTCCTTGATGGTGTGGCGAGGGTCTGAGACCTAAGCACAATGATCACTCACTGAGTGGATTGAATGATGAAACCGATGCGCAGCATCCATTAAACTCATTCGAAATCATGCCCCCCCCCCCCCCCCCCCATCTCCCCGTGCCGCCAAGTGAGCTCCAATTTCATGGGAATTTTGTAGCCCGCAGTAATAACCACGCAGGGACTGTTAATGGGATAGCTCTTTCCAATAGCCATAACGCACTTTTTTTCGAGTTGACACTCGCAATAAACGATATCACACTTCAGTTTTCCCTCCCGATTCCCATTGTTACCAATACTCCAGCATAGTGTTGCTCCCCCGAATTCAAGATATTGGCATAGAAGGGGCGGCCAAGACCAGAGAGTGTTTTGCGGAGATTACAATACCCACGGGCCTTTGCGGCATGGTCCTTGAAGCGTCCACACCAAGGGCCTTGGTTTTGATGACGCAGGCGTCTATTCTGAGTGTCTGAGTGAGAAATGGTATGATGCATCTAGACTAAACTTGGCCCTAGGAATCCTTTAGATCTCATGGATATTATCTTTTAAGCAAAGGATCTCTGTAAGTAAAGGATGTAAGCTTGGAAATGCTCGAAATGAAGGATCGTCGTAAGCGAGAGAGGCAAACGTCCTGGCAGGAGACAGACTAATAAGCAAGAAAGTCGTTGGCTTCCCAGCCCCTTAGCAGCACTCAATGAGATCGAAAAAAAGAGTGTTTTGTACTGGAAAAAAAAAAAAAAAAAAGCTAATTCTCCACAGAAGAACTAATATCATTTGTTTAGATGAACTTATCAATTTTTGAAGTAGGTTATATACCGCTCGGGAGCACCTACACCGAAAGGTATAGGGGGGTGCATGACTCGAGGGTACAGCTACACATTACAGAGTACACAAGATCATGGTCATAGTCAAGTTTTAATAGCAGGCAGCAGTTAATACAAGATGGCATCTCCACTTTATTCAGGAAGGTGAAAGGATGCTAATAATGAGGTCAATTGGTCCCTCTTTTAACCCTTTACGTAGCGGAATGCACTGGCCCATCCATCCCTGAGACGGCCCCTACGTTAGAAGCCGTAGCCCCAGGGGGCCATCAGTGGGGGGGGGCAGGAGCTGTACAGCAGGATGTACTGTAAGCCAGAATTAAATGGATTACTGTACATTAATTAATTAGTGTGTACATATTTAGTGGGCATAGTGGACCTTTGATATTACGGAATATAAATATAAACCTTAAGAGTTTCCCCAGCCCGGTTCACCTCACGGCATACCATACGCTTCACCTCTGGCCTCATCCACCATGTTGGCCAGGTTTCTCATCTTGTTTCTATTAGTAATAACGACCTTTGCCAGTCCTGCGCGCCCCAAGTTCAAGAAAGGTCTCGTGAAAAGAAAGATACCCAATATCAGTGCAACCGAATTCCCTGGGACCCGGAGACAGCAGGTGATAGATGGGTTCCGCGATGCATTCAAATTGGCCGATGCGATCAGTGATATGCCCGAGTCGGTATCTAAGACTATCGTTAAAAACTGGTTCAACGAGATTGATTACGACAAAGTCAAGAGTATGTTGGAAGAGTTCTACGGAACCAACCCCAGCTCCCTTTCCCTTTTTGCTTCAGTCCCATTTAAACAAGGCCGGTTTTAACTGATTTGTGGCTTATAGGATCATACGACAAGATCCTCGGTGGTGCAAAGGGAACGTCCGGCCGAGATCTTCAGGAGGGAAATCCAATGCTGGCCCAGATCCATGTGCTCAGTGACCGCCATCCACAATACAAGGCGGAGTGTCAGAGACAAGCCAGCAAGCCGGGCTCTCAACTTGGCGCCTTTCTAAAAGACGGCCACACCTCGACGCCGACGATGGTGATTTGCGATGCCGCATTCTACACGGGGGGCATTGATAAGAGTTACGACTGTATTGAGGCGGTGACGTGTGCATCTATCGGCCGCGAAGTGTCCCTGAGCATGCTTACGCTCGGGTCCACCATTCTCCATGAATTGACGCACTGGGCCAATATCATGTATGATGTGGCGACAGAGGACCTCACCAAGTCTATGCAAGACGCTCGCTTTGGAAATACTGCTTTGGGCACTTCGAAGGAGAATGCGTATAAGAATGCCCAGAGCTATGAATGGTGCGCAAACCAGCTTTTCTGGACTTGGAAGTGCGAGTTGCCTTACGCATAAGGGGAAGGAGGAGACGAGTCGGGGCACTGGACCGCGATCAAGATGAGAAGCTATTAAGAAGCTATCTAAATTATGCATCAGGCGCAGGCGTTGAGTGAAGTTCTAGCATTACTATATTTTGAAGTATCTTTTAACACGGATGTTCTGGTCATACAATGACCTAGAGCACGATTTACAATTAATACAGGATATTTCATAGGTACACGGATGGTTCCAAAAAATCTGTGTACAATACCTATGTGGATAGAATAAACTAAGACTCAAGCGGAAGGAATCCAGATTTTATGCTAGCAATCTAGTTCGGGCAAGCATCGTGATCCTGCGGTGGCAGGCATCGGGGTCCTGACATGTAAAAAATAGACAGGACTAATGATCCTCTACATCGATTTCTCAGTAACCCAGAATGTACGTTAATAACAAACCAGAACGTAAAATCAAAAACAGAAAGCGTACCAACACCAGGCGGCAACACTGAGTTGATCGGTCCAACATATATAGGATCTCGCTAAAACAAAAGCTGATGTCCGTGAACATAGAAACCTTCCTGACTAGCGAACGCAACATCAACATCAACATAGAGAAAACAAAGGCGATCATGCGGAGGCATTGGGGCGATGCCGAGCGGCCCCCCAGATTTGGTTGGACTTGGCCCCTACATACAGAAGGCAACTCAGCCGGAAAGCCGGAAGATTTCATGTGGAGAAAGCGCAGGGCTTGTAGCGTCATTTTTCATTCCGGTTTAGGATAATAAGTGAAGGAGCAGCAAGGATTATCCCCACAGTTGGGGCCGCATGTAACACATACTAAAATAGTATGTAATAACACCGGTGGGGGGTACGGCTAGGGCTGAAGTCCTAAATCTGACGAGCAAAGAATTAATTTGTTTGGAATTTGAAACATCTAATCTGGGGGGAGACGTGTGTTATTGCTCATTCGCTGGGCTGGGTGCTGAGCAATGATAGGGTTTCTGGGGATACCCATATATGTATATATAATGTCTATATGACTTGATGTGAGTTATAGAGGAAAAAAAAAAAAAAAAAAAACTTGGAATAACCCTGTGTACTATTTGGGGAAATTAGGAAAAGCCAGCGATACTGGAACAGATCATGAAAAGGACCCTGCAACAGAAGAAATATAAAGGCATATAAATAGAATGCCGAGAAAGCACGGTCTATGTTTAGATCAAGGCAAATGACCAGAGCACACAACTCTTTCGCTAGCCAGTCAGTCACTATCACTCTCCAACACCTCACTCTGAAGGGAAAATCCGGTATATATAGGGCGCATCATGCATCAACATTTAATAAATTGCAAGGCTATGGGAAACCAAGTTCGTGAAAGAGGTCTAAACTCTGTGCTTCACAGCCAAGGGCATTTTCAAAATTGATATCAAGGAGTATTTTAGAGCAAGATTCGCAGTTTGCAATCCATTTATCAAGTACAGATCGAAGCAATTGTATCCATATCAGTACCGAGCAAGGCAAATCAAGGTCATAACAGATAACGCAGGGTTCTCAGACAATTACTAGGTTCAACACCTAGGCAAAAGTGGAGAGGGAAAAAAGACAATGCAAGCAAGATGAGGGAATCCGCCCTCGAGCAAATGCGTAGGTGGAAGTCATAACGCCAGCAACTAGGGAGGGTAAGTCAACAAGCGTCGATGCCAGACAGACGATGACATCGACCGCGGAAGAAAAGAAAAAACAAACATTAAAAACCCTTTCCTAATTGCACAAACAGGGTAGCAAGTTGCAACGAAGAAACCAGCAAATCCATTCCGATCCACGCATGACGATGCATCGATAAAGATCCAGCAAATAGATGTAAACAGAAATAAAAACAGGGGGGAATCACGGTCAAAACAAAACAATTCGTACCAGGCCGAGGAAGATCAGAAGGCATGGCTGCCCCTGCCCTCCGGAGAGCACTGACGAGAGCAAGAAACCACAATAGAGCCAGAAAAAAAAAGCAAGGGTATGAAGGTGTTGACGAACGCACATGATCGACAGAAACAAACGCGCTATTCGAGCGCCGCGAACCGACCACATAAGAATACAAGCTGGAACAATGACCTAGAATGCAATCCTCCCAGAGAAACAAAGCAACAAAAAGCAAAGTTGAAAAGAGCGCCCGGGTCCCCATGCAATACAAAGACAGAAAGCAACGCAACCACGGCAACGAAATCAAGTTGAATCAAGGAAAAAAAAAAAAAAAAAGGCAGAGTGCCGAATCAATACTCCCGAGAGGTATGCAGCCGCAGAATGCTGATCTAGCCCACGAAACGAAAGGAATCCCCAATGCGCCAGATACCCCAGTTCGTTCATCAAACATGCCGGACATTATCTCAAATATAATGCTGTGAGAAGGGGGTCTCACCGACCCATCATGTAGTCGGGATAAAAAGAATTGAAGCCGTTTATGTTTGGCCCCGTGTTGCTGCCGGCAGATCCCCCAGGAGGTGGCGACATCATCATGGAATTGACTCCGTTGGTTCGGATTCCAAGTCCCGAGTTGGGGTTATACGAGCCATTGCCCACCATAGCGGCGTGAGGGTTCCCCGGTGCGTGCATGGCAGTACCATTGCGTACCGGCATAGGCATGGACAGGCCGGGAGGGGCGGCCAAACCTGGAGGCGGACCACTCACAGTCGAGAACATATGGTTGTGCATCGCACCCAGGCTGCTCCCTCCGTGGACGGCCCCTGGGCCAGAAAGCGGGTTGGCCGTGTTCATGCTGCCGGGCTGACCAGAGCGGACACCGAGCGGGTTTTTGGAGAAGCTCAAGCGAATCCCAGTCTTGACACTGTTAGACAGCTTGTAACCATACAGCTCATTGAGCGCCTTGCTGGCCATGGCCACCTCGTCAAATTCCACAAAGCACATGGGTCCGTTCTGCTTGTTGCGGAAGCAGAGTCGCTTGTACCCACGCTGCTTCGAGAAGAGTGCCTTGAGCTCCTCTTCCGACGTGTCGGGTGGGAGGTTGCCAACATAGAGCGTGTTGCATGGCGGGTTCAGATCGTTGGGATTCGCGGCCGGGAGACTATGGCGCGGAGTATGTTGGCTGGTATAGGGGAAGCCATGACCTTGGTTGACGGCCGGGTAGCCAGATGCCGGTGCTCCACCACTTATGCGCGGGGCGGCACCACCAGAGTTATAATTCGGCAACGGAGGCGACATGTTCGATGACAAAGACAGATTGGCAAACCGACCGGTGGGGATCTGCGGGTTGGTCGAGCGGCGCGGGATGGATGCCGATGCCGAGTGCCCATTCTCTGCGTATCCCACGGGGTCTTTAAGCAGTTCCCCCGTTTCCTCATCCGGATCTTCATCGATCATGGATTTGCCGGTGATGCGCGGCAGATCGCCGACGCCATTTCCGATCGGAGATTGTGGGGAGAAGAGGTTGTGCAGACGCGAGCCAGAGTCGGACGCGGGGGGCAGGCCTTCCCCGATCGCTTGGGTGGAGGGGTTGGAGAGTCGCTCGAGGCTCTGGAACGTGCCGTTGAAACGCGATGACTGACGCGACAAGGGACCGTTGGAAGGAACTCCACTCAGCAGACCACGCGTCGCAGTGTGGTCAATGGTGTTGCGACGCGCATTTGCGAGGTTGGATCCGACGGGGCCCGGGTACATCTCAACGACCATGTTGGCATCGTTCTTGGAGTTAGGCTTCCCGTCGAGAAGGGCGCGCGCCTCTTCAGCGGCCGGCAGATTACTGAAGCGCGCGATTGCGCTCAGGAACCCGTCATCCTCCGGCAAATCCAAGGTCACAAAGTCTGCATCAACGAAGTCCTTGGCGAAGAGTAGCATACTGCGAAGAGCCTCGCGGCTCGTGTTGCGCGGAAGCTTCCGCATCAGAATCGCGCCACCACCGGCGCGACCGAGGCCGTTAAGGCCCTGGTTACGATCGGATTCGCCCAAACGCATATTGTCGAAAGAGGAGGGACCGAGCGGGGAGAACGGGTATGAAAAAGAGTTTCCTAGAGATGTAGGCGCTTGCGACGCACTCGGGCTGTACACGTCGGTCGACATCGCATGCTGAGCCGTCGAAGGCGCCTGCGAGGACGGAAGGGACGGCTGGGGTGGCGACGACCCAGACGAAACGGACTCGGTGCGCTGCGTGGTTCCAAAAGAGCCTGGACTCGTTCGAGTGGACTGGTTGGAGCTGCCGCTCATGCCTCGCGAATTTGAAATTTTTTTTGTTGTTTGCAATCTGTGATTCTTGGGGGGTGTAAAATCGTCGGGGTCGCGACACGCACGGAAGCGAGATGAGCCACCCAGCGATCACAGGCGAAAAAAAAAGAAAAACCGAATAAGAGAACGGGTGTGTCGGAATAAGATCGCCTCAGCGCAGCGATCGCAGGATAATGGTAGAGATCTTATTTCAACACCGGGGAAGTTATGCGGACGCGAAAAGGAACGAAATCAGCGATTCGATCGACGGTCGAGGTTCACACGGACGTTCGCTCCTCATCGGATTTGCGACAGTGTGTAGACAGGTGAGGGCGAAAAAATGCGAAACAAGTCGCGAGACGCGAAGAAAGAAATGGGATGCAAAGGGGGGAGGGGATGGATGCGATGGAGGGGAAGATGGAAGGGGAGAAAAGAGAAGGGGGAAGGGGGGGGAAAGAAAAGAGTCCGGAACGGTCGAGTGCAAGAGGCCGGTGCCAGATCCATGGATCTGCTTCACGACGCGCCCTCAACGGGGTGTGACCGGTATATTACAAGGGGAGTACATGGGGCAGTATGGAGATGCCCACTTTGGGGGAGGTACCCCAGGCTCAATGACAATACCGTGTACCACCATATCGAAGACGGGACCACCCTGGAACCTGGCCGCTTGCAGAAACGTGGGCGTAAGTGCGTGCCCCGAGCTGAGGAATGCGCCTGAGAAAATGGGCTATTAGATGTAGCTCCAGTAAGGTGGGAGCTACGAAGTGACTACTGCGAGGTACCCATCCTCCATATATCCCACATTCTAGAAACAATCCACTTCACTATGCGACTGTCCGTCCGAACCAGCACGAGGCATGACATTCCAGAGAACGGCGTAAAATGAAACCCACAGATTCATACACTCTCTCAAATGGACGTGCAGACTCGAGAATGAAATCCTCAGATCTCCCCCCCATGGTTCCTCACTAGTGGACTTGTTCTGATCCTTGGCTCACACAAAGCCTGGGGGACATTTGACAGTGAGGTTTAGCTCAAGTTTAAAGGGGGGCAACCCTGTCCTTAAGAGGATCTTGCCACGCGTGATGCCCCTCCCATGAGCATTGTTATAGAGGTCGTACAGCCCAAGCCGTGCACCGCCTGTCAGCCCGAATCCATGGGATCCTCAAACTCAAAAGGCGGCGATCCTCCAGGGTCGCTGACCAATTGCCACGGGTTCAACCCCCAGCGGGGTCTGGGATTGGCTGGGGACAGAAAATGACCCGGGCTTATCGAGGACGTGTCGGGGGGCGATAGTTCGTGTGGTTGGGCCGTGGAGAGAAGCCCCCCAAGCTTGGGGGAACAGAGGCCCCGATGAGGCTTAGACTGTGCCTGACGAGTAGTCATTGGCGCGTCACTAGCTGAGAGTCGTGGAGTGCCTGAGGTACCCAGGGGAGGTTTCTGTTTCGGTGCCCAGCTCTTGCCGCTTTTGACAATCTACTTCAAGAGAATGAGCATGCTAACCCGATCATCCTGTTGGGGTGTGGAAGATCATTTCTTCGAGCATGGAACTAGAGAATATCGACCCGAAGGAAATTGTTTTCCAAAAGAAGCTTTTTAACTCAAGCCACTCCTTCATATTCCTCGTTACAGTCCATGATCGAATCTGTGTGATGGAAGTGGTAAGTCGAATGTTCAACATCGATTATTTCAGTCAGTTGCTGAAAGGAACAGCACCATGGACGAGGACCACGGGAGTACTAGGAGCCCGACGACCGGGAATTAGGCATCCACGTCCTGGAATCAACCGCCTACGCTCGGCTCAAGGAGTGAGGCCTATGCAAGCGAGGGATAGTACCCAATTTCCTCGGCTCTCTGCGCAAGTTTGACGCATCACTCTGTCAGCCGCACCTCAAGATTCCTCGAGGGTGAATACCCCCCAAGCGCGATTTTCTTGGAGTACATCCCAGGACTTGAAATGATCCAGGTTGAAACTTACACGCCTCAAAACGGAAGGACGATTTCTTGGTCAGCACCCAAGAGATACACAAGGCGCTTGTTTGCCACAAAGACCCCAAGCCAAGAAACATGATGATTGTCAAGGACGATCCAGAAAGGGTGGTGTGGTTGGACTTTGACAGAGCATAGACCTACCACGAAGAGAGCATGACCGACGAACAAAAGAGATATCTCGAACGGGAGGAGACGATCGTGGCTGATTTTCGGAGGAGTCTGGTATGTATACTTCAAACCCATACCCAAACGAGCCATGGATGCCTCATTGTTTGCTAACCAAGAAATACAGGAATTCGATCATCACCACGAAAAAATAGACAAGACCTTTTATTTTGCAACATGACACTTTCGTGCAAAAAAACAATGAGCATGGAATCTGCCAAGCACCCCCTGGACTGAAGAGACTTGACCGAAGAGAGAAAGGTATTTTATTTGGACTTCTTCGGTTGTTGTAAGAAGGCGCCCCTTTGACTATGGATGACATTCTAGCACACTGACCCATATGTTGTTGCAAGAGTTACTTGGATCGTGGAATCGAGTCAAAATCAGTCGTATCAGCTTCCATGCGATGCCGCCGAGGGCAATCTACTATACACTTCGTGCCACGCACGTTCCCAAAAATAGCCTCAATAAACGCCAAAAATGCCAGGCAAGACGGAAGAAAAAGTACATCAAATGATCGCGCGTAGGAGTCATCGACTCTTGTCGATTCAATACCCTGCAGTCCCTCATCGACACCTGGTGACTACATCGCACACTATACCGCTGGGTATGGCGTAGACCAATCACTATAGAAGAGGGAATGGTCGAATAAAAGACGGAGGAAGATTTGCCCATGACAAAAAGCACAGACAAGCGGCGATCGAACAGAGAAGAGGTATCATGCCTTGTTCCAGGTAGCGGGCTTCTGTTCAACAAGACCAGCCTGTAGACACAATCGGTTAGCGAGTCACTTTCGGCCAATCTTAATTTTTCGAGCCGGGGGCGGTTCTCAATGGCGAGGCTCTATTGCCTTCCATCCCCCATAAATTGCCAACACCGCCAATCCCAATGCAATATCAAGACCCAACTTACCATGCTCATCAACTTCCAGACCGGATCGCTAGGCTGTGCGCCTACACCCAGCCAGTACTTTGCGCGCGAGCGATCGAGAGCAATTTCCTTGAAGGGGCGCACATTGACGTTCTCATCGTACAGGTTCGTGGGACGCTTGGGGAGGGGGTTGTAGGTGCCGATAACTTCGAGAGGCTTCGCACCACGGGCGGATCTGTCGAGGGGAAACAAACAGACAAGATCAGCTTTCAATTCCATCTAATCAAGCTAGAAGCCGATATCTCCAATTCCGAGCAGGGTAACGCAGGTCAAGGACCGGGTCTGGTCTAGTCGGGAAAACACTCGACATCGGGAACAAAAGAAAAGAAAGACATACCGTGCCTGCGCAACGACGATGTTGTAGAAGGGGACGTGTTTGTTACCGAAGCGCGCCAACCGAATCCGGAGGACCATGGTGTCGGTTGAGGGGGGGGGGGGGGTTGTAGAGTTAATTCAATATGGCCAGGACAGCGCCGAAGAGTCTCGCGGACAAAATCGCAAGTTCAGGGTGTCTGGAAGAATAGTTGATCCGGGACACCCAACTTGGACTAGCGGTGGGGTGATGTAATGGCTTTGATGTATACCCAACATCGCGGACTCGTTCTTCCTACAATTCTCCCTCTTCCCTCTTTATTAAGGCCAATCGACTAGATCCCGCTCCACTTTGTTGGACTGCTGTATTTGCATGATTTGCTCCACATTGACCAGACGGTTCTCTCTTTCCACCGTTTACCGCTACAGCAAAACAACAAAGATGTCGCTAAAGGTATGTTCATGGAAATAGACTTCAAACAGAAATGACAAAAGCAAATTATTCTAATAAACCATTGTGGTAGGCAATCTCGGCCAAAGATGCCGCCTCGCTTGATAAAGACCTCATGGACATTGGTGGCTGGTCTCTGGACCAGCTGATGGAGCTGGCGGGCCTCTCGGTATCGCAAGCAGGTTCGTCCCCGCAGCTTCAAAGGTAGCGCCTTGAATTGCGTATTTCCATGCTAATGCACTGTTAAAATAGTGTGGAGGATTCATCCTCCTCGCGCAGGCAAGAAGATTCTTGTTGTCTGCGGGCCCGGCAACAACGGTATGCAACCTCGACCAGCTCGATTATGAAGTGGTAGTTATTCCCAAACTAATATACACTCCTCGCAGGCGGAGATGGGCTAGTCGCTGCTCGTCACCTCGCGCAGTATGGGTATACGCCATCGGTATACTACCCCAAGGAAGGGAAGAATGAACTCTACCAGGTATGTATGAAAAGAAATGAACTAAAAATTGACAGACTAATTATTCTCCCAGCGCCTCAAAACTCAGCTCCACAACCTCTCCATTCCCTTCATAACCGACTTCCCCGCCGCCCTCCAATCCACCGACTTCCTCGTCGACGCCATCTTCGGCTTCTCCTTCGGCGGGCCGCTGCGCGACCCGTTCGGCCCGATCGTCTCGCAGATCGAGTCCACAGGAGTCCCCGTGCTGAGCGTGGACGCGCCCAGCTCGTGGGATATCCAGAGGGGGCCGCCCAAGGAGGGCCCCGGCTCCAAGTTCATGCCGCAGGCGCTGATTAGCTTGACGGCGCCGAAGCCGTGCGTGCAGTTCTACCGTGGTCGGCACTTTATTGGTGGTCGGTTCTTGACTAAGTCTCTTACGGATAAGTATGGGCTGGATTGTCCGGAGTATCCTGGAATCGATCAGATTCTGGAGATTGGGGTTGATGCCGAGGGGAGGCTTTGAATGAAGTGTCACGCCAACTACAACTAATTGCTTGAGAAAAAACAAAGCATTTCTCATCTACCTTCTTCCGCCAGCCTACTTGTTCAAAGATGATATCGATGGTCACTGCATGTTGCGTTGTCGTTAAAATGTAGTGTGTATCTATTCTATGCACCCCAAGAGAAATTCTTCTCCACAGGTTACAGAGCCTCCCTGATCTCCTCAATGACGCCCTTGATCCGTGGTTCTTTTCCAAGACCGGACCCTGCGACTCTTGAGAGAACATTCTCGACCTCGTAGATCTCCTTGGCCGCACTCTTGACCTCATCACCCAGAGTCTTGATCAATGTGCCCACTGCAACTAGTCCCCGATAAACCGCCTCCGAGTCCTTCTCTCCCGCGATGATCTCGACCAGCTCCTCGAGGAGCACCAGGCCCCGCTCGGCTGACTCAGGGGTCAGGTCTCGGCCCTCAGAGGTGAAATAGACCGCAAAGTTGATGTACAGGGTCGTGACAGCAATGGTGAGATTGCGGTTGGGGGAGTCCCCGCTGTTGGTCAGGGCGGTTTTCACTCCGGCCAGGATCTGGTCGAACGTGCTTACCGCCAGGTTGCGGCCTGCATTGGTCTCGAACAGGTTCGCAAAGGTGCGGATGGCAAGCATGGCGTTATTGACATTCAGAGGTGACTCAAATGCGCCACTGGACAAGATGCCCGACACGAGATTCTCGTCGTCATATTGCGTGGATGCGGCTAACGGTGCGGCAGCTGCCAGCAGCCGAAGGAGGTCCAATCCGGGAAGGCGATTCGCTGTGGGCCACGAGGTTGCGATCTTGAATACCAGAGACACGCCCGACTCCACAACTGGTGAATCTTTTAGACGCTGAGAGGATTCCAATTGACCACACAAAGCCAGAACCGTTTCCACCTCCGAAGGACTCAAAGCCGTGTCCTTTTCTCCCTCGGACAGAAGCTGCTCGTTCAGTTCCTTAAGCTTTCTTGAAATCACTTTGAGGTTTGCAGAGCGGATCGAGAGATAGGTCTTTTGGGGAAGCACCTTTGGACGTGATTCCGGAATCGAAGGGGGAGCAGCTTCAGCAACTGCGGCGTCTCCAGGACGGTACCGCCGCTCTGTACCCCAAGGATCAGAACCTGCAGGCGCTTGCTCCTGAGAAGATTGCCCGATACTAGCACCTTGAGTGTTCTGCGTGATGAAGCTGGCGACTTGATCGAGGTAGGTCATGGGCAGCTCATTGTCCTGGATAAATTTGGTCGCCGCCTCGTACGGGTTCTGGGAGACATTGTATGGGAGCTTGAGGGGAGGCTTGCCGTCTTCGATGTCAACATCAAAGACATAGTCGTAGTCTTGACCGAGATACTCTGTCTTGCGCCCACTACTAGCAGCCGAGTCCACCACGGTACCCACCGCAATCCATTCCTGCGTCGCAGAAGACCAAGTGTGGGCAGTCACGCTGCCATCGTTTTCTCGAATCATCTGGACCTGGCCCTCCTTGGTCCCCGACTTTTGTTGCAGGAATTCTGGACCAGGCAGCTTTTCCTTGTTGACCTTCCCCACCTGTTGCTCAGGAATTGCCGACTCTTTGACGGTCTGCTCGAACTGCTGTACAACCTCCAGGGGGCCTGGCGGTCTGGACTTCGGGTGAAGACACGAGTGATACGGTCACTCGCGCCGGTGACGATGTCACCCGTTTCACGGCAGGTCGCAACACTCCACACCGAAATCGCGGGGTGGGTTATAGTCTGCACGCATTGGGTTCCGTTCCATACTCGCACGGTTCGATCTTCGCCGGAGCTCACCAGCTCACCAGTGGGTAACGAGGCCAACGAATAGATAAAGCTCTCATGGCCATAAAGAGAGGCCATAAGATCACCCTGCAAATTGAAGAGGCGGACGATCCCATCGTTGCTAGCTGATGCAAACTGAGCTCCGGTTGGGTTCGACGCAGGGACCTTGCACAGGGCCCGAACGACGTCATTCGAATTCTTGAAGCTATGAAGAAGACTTCCTGAGGTATTGAATATCCGAATCTTTTGGTCGGCGCAGCCTGAAATTGGGTAAGTATATCATTTCCCTGCACATCGCCGACCTGACATGCATAGCGCCAGCATACCTGTGATGACTGTGTCCTTGTCATAGGCTAGCACGGCCCAGACACTTCCTCCATGGCCTTCCAATACCATATCACTCTCCCATTTGCCGACCTTCCAAATCCTGGCCGTCGAGTCCCAGCTGCCGCTGACGATCCAACCACCATCTGGAGACACGTCCAATGCACAGACATTGTGAGCATGGCCTAGAAGCATGGCATCCGCATTATCGTCGGCTGCCTTGCCTGGTTGTCTCGCTTCAATGATGGTGTCTTGTCCTCCAGATAGAACCAGACCCTCAGGGAATTCAGACGTGGGTGGGAAGTATGCTAAGCTGTTGATGAAGGCTGAGCCATGTGCAGTGATCGTATAGTCGTAAGTGGGGGGCGGGGTCGAGAGGAGCTTCCAGAGCCGGACGGTGGCATCGCGAGAGGCAGAGAAGACAGCGTTTGGGTTTGGAAAGGCCACGGCGCGCACCTATAGGTAGCAAATAGCGTGGTTAGTAAAATACGTGGCTGCAATGGTGATGTTGATACTGAGATCGCCTTACATCATCGCCATGGCCTTCCAGAGATGCGGAGAGCTTGAAGTCAGGCATACATAAAACTGAGGGAAGAAGGATGGGAAATCTGGTAAGGAGTTGAAGAAAATAGGAGCGAAGGATAATCTAATCCTTGCAAAGCAATGTTGAAAGCAATGAGAGAGTTGTCCTTTCCTCTCTCACCTTCGGGGTAAGGAAGGTCCCCGCCGGAGCTATCACGTGGGCGGTGGAATCTGCTAGAAGTACACCTACAGCTCATTCCTTTATCCTTGTGTAGGACTATAGATTATGCTTCTTTTACTTCTGATAGAATTTGAAGCCATGTCTTCTCCAATCTAAATAAGCCCAGAAAGAGTGGCAAGCTCTCGAAGATCCGGGGATACGGGAACAAACCGGCTCGGACTTCACTCCTTCGAGGACCATCACTGGAATATTGGTCTCCCTATGCCCTTCAGTATGCTCCATCCAGCCAAAACCCAGCAGAGTGTGGCGAGAGTGAATTGGCGGTGAACCCCATACTGGTTGAGGAAATCAAGTTTGGTTGTCCGCACTAACTCATGGTCCAATAAGCTCAATGCACACATCAAAAATTCGAAATAGAGATCTGACAAAGAATCAGTGATAAATTGATACAGACACTCGAATCTGGGTATAACATCAGCATAGTCTGTCCCCAGACGGATCTTCGTGTATACTTGAGTCTCTATACACCTCACGTGTATTCCCCCATTGAGACTAGCGCCCTTAGCTAATCTCTTCTTACCCAAGACCAATTCAAGGCTGTTGATGTTGAGAGCACCGTGAAATCACTCCAGATTCCTTTTCATCGGGCTCAGGAACTCCCGGCAGGCACAAGAAAAAGCCCCAGGCCCTATCTGCTTTCCTTTCGAGGTGTCTGGTGGATTTTTATTTTTTTTTTTCCCTTTTCTCTTGGGTGTTCCATCGATCCTTCATTCTGCCCACCCCACGTCTGTTCATGACTTGACGATCCTGACGAATCTCTTATGTACTTTCCTTGAACTGTTTGAAATCTCTTTGAGTCTCAAGGCAGAGCTGGGTGCAATGTTCATGGCGAATCACTGAACACATCGGACTCTTTCATTCCAACCTTGATTTCACCTCTGACAAACATTCTCCCTCGAAATGGCTTCTGGTGAGTGCCGGCAGATGAATCAAAAGAAAAAATAGATACTATCGTCTATTGCCTTCACATTGAAACTAACTCATCTGGCAGATATTCCCAAGGTCGTCCCGCTGACGTGCCACGGACATTCTCGTCCCGTGCCGCACTTGAGCTTTTCGTCTACTGTTGAGGATGACCAGTACTACTTAATCTCTGCATGCAAAGGTATCTTTCTCTGCTTTCACCATGGAGACCCTGTGTTTTAGTAATTGAGCTTGACTGACACTGGCCCAAGATAACAATCCTATGCTCCGGGATGGCATCACTGGGGACTGGTAAGTTCTAGCCGTGAACAGAGCCATCCACTTCATCATATCTAATATGTGGCCCTTTTCAGGATCGGCACGTTCCTAGGCCACAAAGGTGCCGTATGGCAAGCACGGCTCTCAGCCGATGCCACCATTGCAGCAACCGCAGCAGCAGACTTCTCTGCGTAGGTGTTCCTATTTCCCTTGTTTCATCCCAAGTAGACAACCCAGTCCCATTAACAAGAAACTTCCTACGTTTTTTAGTAAGGTCTGGGACACCTACACGGGCGAATGTCTACACACACTACAGCACGCGCACATTGCGCGCGCTGTCGCATTCCCCATCCAGTCCAACCCACAAGTCCTCGCAACAGGCGGCGCGGAGAAGAAACTGCGCATCTTCGACCTGACGCGCAGCAGCGGCGGCGGCGGTGGGAGTAGCAGCAACGGCTCCTCGCCTCCACTCCCATCCTCTTCCACAGCCGACAACAGCTCATCCGTGACAAGCTACGAGATCGGGCCAGGCGTGCACGGCGGCACGATCAAGTCCATCATCTGGAACCAGGACTACAACATCGTCACCACGGCCGCGGAAGACCGCAAGGTGCGCTGGTGGGACCTCCGCTCGCGCCACCCTGTGCTCGAATACGCCGTCGATGGGCCCATCGGCAGCTGCGAGCTGAACAGCCTGGCGGTACGTGCCAATGACCCGGGCATTTTGACCGTCGCTGCTGGCAAGAGCGTGTATCTTTTCGATGGCGTGCAGCCGGGCTGCCTGCTGCGCAAGGTCGATTTCGGCTACGAGGTCGCCAGTGCTGCGGTCAATAGCGAGTCTGGTCGCTTGGTCACGGGCAGTGCCAATGATACGTGGGCGCGTGTGTATGATCTCCACACCGATGAGGAACTGGGTATGTCTCTATATACCTCTCTTCTTTGCTTTTTGTGTTCTTTCTGCATTTTCTTCTTATTTCTGAAAATTTGTACTAACACACACCCTCCAGAAGTCCAAAAGGGTCACCATGGCCCTATCTGGTCCATCAGCTTTTCTCCCGACGGCAAGCTCTACGGCACCGGCAGCGAAGACGGCACTATCAAGCTGTGGAAGGCATGCCGGGAGCCCTACGGGCTATGGAGGTGAAAATGTGAGAAAAAAAAACCCCCTAAAGCCCATCTCGTAATCAACTCGATGTGTACAGCAAAATCCTTCCCAAAGGGTTTCCCCCTTGCTCGGTGCTAGTGGTTCATGACAGCATGTCTTCTCTTCATGCCTCTTTGCGGGAATGGTGGAGTCTTGTTTCATGTTAACTCGGGTTAGCCATCGGAGTGGCCACATAGGATGAATTCACTAGGAGATCGTATAGTTCTAGCGAGGCGGATCTTTTTTCATTCTTCGAGAGGAGCGGACCATGGGGGAAACAAGCAACCAAAGGACAGATCAGAAACCTCCGCATTCGCCGGCTCCATGAATTTCAGTGGTAAAACTAAAAACAAGGAGGGAAGAGAAACATGAAACAGCTGGAAAAAAAAAAAAAAAAGAAAAGAAAAGAAAAAACAACCCAGATGCAAAGAGAGATCAGCCCAAAATGGCAATTTCATGATAGCAGTAAAGTTACAAGGTCCCTTCTCGCTGAGCGAGTTTGGGAAACATGCCGAAGCAAAATGTCGATTTCATGCTTCTTGCAATGAAGATTCTTCTCATCGGTGGCGGGTGCGAACTGGTTGTGCGATCACTCGATCATGTCGATATCATCGTCGCCAGCGGCGGCAGCCGAGGCCGGTGCAACCTGCTGCGGCTCATTCTGGACAGGCTGCTGCTCGGCAGTGCCCGCGCCAGCGTTGTCGTTCCCACCCCAGTAGTCCTCCATCTCTTGGTCCAGCTCCTCCTGCGTCTTGCGAGGGCGGCCATTCACCGTGCGTCGGTTGGAGTTATCCGTGCCACGAGTCCGGTTGTCGCGGCCGCCACCACGCCTCCCGCCATTCCGGCGCACGGGGGAACGTTGACCGGGGACATAGCGATCAATATGGTCTGGGGCTGGCTTGGAGACATCACTGCGATGCGCACGGCCTCCCCGACGACGACGACGGCCACCATCGCTGGCAGACCCGGGACTCAGACTGCGGGCATCGCGTCCGTGTGGACGCTCAACACGGTCGAAGAGGCTGGACTTGGGACGTTCGGCACTGTCGAAGGCGTTTCGCTCGCGGCGGCCCGGCACAAGCGCAAGGCGGATGGGCTGGCCCTTGGCATTGGCGCCATCAAACTCCCGGAGCGAGGTGTGTGCATCTTTCAGGTGGGCGTAGGTGACGAAAGCAACACCCTCGGAGCGACCAGCGCGATCGTAGACAAGAGACAATGCAGAGACAGGCCCAATTCGGCCAAATAGATCCTGTTGCGTCGGAGCTCTGGTCAGGCTTGTTCTTCCTTGGGGATTAGACTCGACACATAAACACATACCTCGAGGTCGCTTTCTGTGATGTCGTAGTGAAGGTTTTCGACGCGAACCTTGGTCAATGTAGGGCCACTGGTATATGGATCAGTATCTCGTCTCATGGAGAATCCCTGGCTTCGACAGGATAAATTTCGTACCGGTCAGGCGACGGCGACTGGCGGGATCGGCGAGAGCCACGGGCCGGACGAGCTGAAAGAATCGTCAGAAAGGAAGTAAGCAAAATCAACCAGAGACACCCTTACCCTCTCGGTTATCTTCGTACTTGTCATGTACCCAGTCGCTGGTGATCCAAGCCCATTCATTAGTGTCGATCCAAGGTAAACTGGCGGGGAGATATAATCACAGGTTCAGATCGGGACGTTCTTGAACATATGGCTGTTGCGATTCAAGAGACACGGCGTTAGCTCCAAGTCAGATGAGGTATCACGAGAAGTTCTTGTCCATGTCTGTGCCGCGGCGTCTTTATTGTCGAGTCTCCGAAGACCCAAAGGACGAATTGAGACCGTGCCACGGCGCAAGAGAGGATTTCGAATGAGTAGGAGGAGCGCGGACCTAGGAATATATCACAAGTTAGCGCAAAGATATTTCTCACCAATGCGACATCGGGATATCCAAGTAGACAGGGTGAGGTGAAGCAGTTACCTTTCTAACGCCATCATGGTCGCGCCGGCGGCCCTGGCCGCGACGTCCACCAGAAGGGCGAGGCTGCTTTCGCTGAGCCTCAAACTGTCAGCCAATTTGCTTTATGGACAAATTGCATTGAATGACAAGCAAGCTTGGGAGGCTTACTGTGTCCTCGGCGATGATCTCATCGAGACTGCGATCCATCTTGGCGAATGTGGAGATGGGAAGAAAGGAAAGTCGAGGGGATTGAAAGAAGGGATAGAAATGAGAGATCAGTCCAGATACTGCTAGACAAAGGAGGAATTGAGCAGGATGGTGAGAGCTGCAGGACCGCGTTTTACCGCAGGATCATCGTCTTGCGCTCGGTGAGGTATATCACGTGACACCCACACGCCCTGTGCTACATCGAGTAGGCCTCTCTCCGTAGCAGATATTCTCTTAGCTTGAGACACTATTTGAAGTGGGTTGTGCTTGAATATCTCATGCAGATTATCAATTTGCTATTGGATTAGTCGGCCCGCTAGCCTATGGCTCAGACCAGGTGTTCACCTCATATTATCCTGCTGAACTATATAGAACTCGGCATGTCAACAGTACAAAAAATCATCCCTAGGAATGAAATATTCAGAAAAGGCAAATGGAACGGGTCATAAAGGATATTACTCAGTAGAACGACGTGTTAGGAGGGAGCCCCTCCTTTTGATCTTCCTCCTAAAAGCAATATTAGAGCCAATCATCACAAGGCAGGAAGGGAAAGAAGAGACAAACCAAAGCCTTTCCAAAGCCCCCTAGTATCCCAAATTCATATTCAGCGGCCTTGATCGGTCTCGGAGATTGAATGCCCAACTCCTCATCCATGAGTTCCTTCGTGGGGAACGTTTTCGCGACGTCGAAATCTATCAAAACCACCCTCTCTGGGCAACCCGGCACAATGAGGATATTCTTAGGATAAATATCATTGTGGACGACCAAGGCGTTGTGGACTTGAGCAAGCGCTTCCATGGCTTTGGAATGGCGCTCTTTCGAGTAATTCACGCAGTTAAGCGGCTCGGGGTCTGGCAAATATTCGAGTAGAATAGCGTTAGGGTGAAACTTGTCATCCACGAAGCCGTTGAGCCATGGCTCGTAGGATGAGGGGTTAAGTCGATCGATAGAGCCATAGTATTTTGGGACGAGGCCGCTATCACAAACGCCAAATGCATCAAGATTCTTGTAGGCATTCACCTCGTTGCGAAAGCGGTTGAGATCGCGGCCGTTCTTCGTGACCCCCGGGTCACCATTGTCATGGAACTGGAATATTTAGTAGTGACACTTCTCTTGTGGAGGTCCAGAACACCCACGACTTTTAATGCATAACTGCTGCCCTGTAACTCTATCCAAAAGATCGACGACGCCTCTGAGTGCCCGATCTCCGCTTTGAGCTGCATAGAGGCCAGGTCTGGGTTGACGAGTGGTGCACCCATAGCTGTGTGGATGGATTCGAGGTTCAGAGAAAGTTCAAAGATGGGTTGGGCCCCGGATCGGATCAACTTATGCGAATATGCGATATGGTGCGGTCAACTCTGAGAGAAAATGAGGAACAGCCGCTTGACATCTCTTTTAAGCAGTCATGCCGAGTGCACCATCATATCGGTTCACAGCCAAGGAAGATCGAGGTCCGAGGTCAAACAGCTTGTTCCTGAATTAGTACTGTTTCTTAAGCGGGGCGATTGGGTGGAGCTTGGCGCCACATCAACCAACCAGAAATTTGGGCGTTTATCTGGAATATAGCACCCTCCTATAATTAATTGATCTATAATTACGGGGCGTGAGCCGCTCCCATAATAGCTACATAACCGGCGCTTTGTATATAGATTCAACTCTACCCACTCAAGTTCCAGGGCCGATTGCCGCTGCAGAATCGCTCAAACACTAGTTGCATGAATTCGTCCAGGCCAAATCATTTCAACTGGCTAGCCTTTGCTCAATAGGATTCATCTAGCGCTTGGTGAAACTTCCATAGGTTCAGACAGTGACTATCAATCTCATCATTGTGATTCCTAGCGGCTATTCTGTAAAGCCTCTCTTCTATCCTTCCTATAAAGTAGAGATCAATATCTGAATTCTTGCCTTGAAAAACAACCGAAATTTTCAAGTTATCTGCCTCCTTGCATTCGATATACATACCACTCTCTACTTGGGCATTGAATGGAATCCTTCAGACATCATCACATGGTATCCTGATAGCATAGCATGACAAACACAAGAGTACGGAATACGAAGAGAGAGGGACCGCCTAACCCCCAGTATGCAATGATGGACAATGATAAAGAGAGTGAGACTCGAAAGACATGCTAGACCCTCCCTGAAAAGAAAAAGAAAATGAAAATGAAAAAAAACACCAGAAACAACACCGAATCAGAGCAACTCCCTCCCCAGAATGACCGGCAATGCTGTGCAAAGAACTCCGTCGCCCGGGACTCGTCACTCATTTCCATTCTTTTTTTGTTCCTCTCTCATTTTCTCCATGAAGCTGATGTAGTCGAACTTGGCCAGATCGCGGTCCTCGAGAAGATCGGGCCCGTCGTGCTGGGGCATGGTCTTGACCAGGTGATCAATGACTTCGTCGGGGATCAGCGAGTGTCGGAGATCCAGCTCGGTGACATAAGGCTGTGACGTTTGTTAGTATGGAACACATGAGATGTTAACTTCAGAAAGGGAACATACCTTGCCATCGGCAACTTCCTTGAAGCTCTGGAAGACTTGCTCGGCGGTGTTTTGATCCTCGGTGACGCTGACCATGAACCGAATGAATTGCTCAAAACTGACCCCGGCATTTTGTGCCAGTCGGTTGGGACCGCAGACGTCCACATACACTTGGTGCATTTCCTCCTCGTCGTAAACCAGTCCCAAACTCGCCAGTGCCGCCGAGAACTCGAGTTCTTGTAGGGTGTTGGAGGCATCACGGTCAAAGTGACGGAATACTGATTCGAATTCCTCCAGCTGGATGGGGGTGAGGTTCGTCATGTTCCGGGCAACCATCTGGTTGTCCAAAAAGGCCAGCTTCTTGGAGATACTTGACTTCACGAGACTTAGCTCATACGAGAGTTCGTCTAGGGTGAAGGTGGTAAAATCGTTTTCTTCGATATTGGCCTCGGCACACTGCTCATCCAGCACGGCAATTGAATCGAGGAAAGCATCGAGGGGCGGCAGGTTGTCGTTCAGCTTCTTGACATGGTCCAGTTGGTCCTCGACATCACCATCGAGCCCGGAGATGGCCAGAGACAGGGTTTTCAGCGTCAATGCAAAGTCATTCGCCTTATCCGCAAAGGAGCGACGCAGAGAGTTCTTGATATCCCGTATCGTCTCATTGATGAGCTGACTGCGTTCATGCTCGTCCCGCGTCAGACACTCCCACTCCATGTCACAGTTCTCAGGGCTCAGCTCCTGGGGCGGGTCGTAGGCACGTAATCGGTAAGTCCCCAGCTTGGTCTTGATGTTACCCAGCAGTGCTGCCAGATCGGATTTTTCAGCCACCCACTGGCGTTTCTCATTCCGCTTGTACATCGAGAATTCGTGCGCCTGCTCCTTGACATCCTTGTAGGTGCCCTCGAATGAAGAATTCTTCCATTCCTCGCGCTGGCCTCGGATGAGCCGTAGCAGCTCCCTCACACGGCGCTCATAGGAGTTCTGCATCTCCCATGCGCCGTGCATGTTATTGACAAACTTTTCCACCCGTCGCCCCGCATTCTCGACTCTTTCCAGCTGTGAGAACGCATGGAACCAGTAGGCGATATAGGTCATCAGAGAGCGGTCGTCAGGTCGCGGCACATCACACACATCATCCACATCGAGCAGGTCTGGGATACCGATCTCATTGGCGGCAATGTCAAACGCCAGCTTCATGTTGCCGCGGTGGTCGTTCTTGTCCAGTGAGTCGTAATCAATCAGATCCGGTCGATGAATGTCAAGCAGGGCGCAGAAAGCCAGGCCATCGTTCCAGCTAGACGAGAAGTCGCGCACCTCGACATCGTCGTAGCACGCTGTTTTGCGCTGACACCATAGCAGCAACCCCTCCTTGGCCGTCATGCCCTCCTCGTTGATGTCGCTGATGGTGAAGCGTAGAATAAGCGTCCAAATCAGGCCCAGCACGATCTTGCGATTCCCGTCGACGACATCCTCGGCACCGATATTGGTCATCTGGATCTTCCTCCCCTTGATGAAGTCCAGACTCTTGTTGACATTTTCGAACTTCTGCACCCGCAGCCTGGGTTTCGACGCATAGCGACCTAGGGACTCGCCGCCGAGGATCTCGAGGAGGTGGATGAGAACAGTCTATTTAGAGATGAGAGAGAGAGAGAGAGAGCGTCAGTCACTGCTTCTGTAGTCGCTGGCTGGGAGACCGCTTACTCCATCGGAGAGATCAGTGACCAGGTCATCGATGGACAGGCCTCGTGCCTTCAACTTGTCATTTAGCCTAGTCGCTGGTTTTCAGTGTGTGTATTCGCAGTGTCAGACCCAGGATCACTCACCACTTGGTGAAGGTCTTCTGCTGCACATTAATCCACTGCTTCTCGACCGTCAACATCTTTCACGAAGACATTCAGGGCCGATTGGCAATAAGTGGGGGGAGGGGCGATCAGGGATGCGAAAGGCGGAAATCAAATAGGCGTATGATTCGCTCGAATGGCGTGGAAGATCAGAAGAGTGAAAGATGCTGGGTTGTGCTGGACACAGAGGGGCGGGGTGTTTCTCCGCCAGAGTCACCCCAGCAACGCCTTTTTTTAATCTTCAATCCACTTGCAACCAGCAACTTCTTCGATCCAGCACCTATGCTTGGTAGACTGTGGTTATTCTCTGCTTTCAGACACTTGATTTTCTTCATTGATTGCCAGGTCATCAGGCAGAACATCCATGGATCGATATGCGCCCTGTCACCCTTTCTTTCCCCCTCGATAGCCCTTGTTGATGAGCTCCACCATCTCTCGGCATGCTTGACTCTACCTATGTCATTGACAATCCACAATTCATGAATGACAAGCCGCCATGTTATAGCCTAGATTAAATGTCACAACCTAGCGTTATGGACTCCCTAAGCCATGTACCGCTGGGATGCCTAACAACCATCGGTGTCTGAAGTCAAGTACCTATAGTTCGAGACCAGTCATCACAGATATTGTCCATTGCTTAGCTCAAACTACTAAGCCATAAAAGCATCAATTGACTTTCTCCACGGAATTTCTCCAATTGGTTTCCCTAAGTAGGCCATAGGCATTGTAGTGGAGTGATTCAGGGATCAACGTGATAGGAAGATATGCTAAGATCAAGCACTTTAAATATTTAACACTGGATAATTTATATACGATTCCAAATAGAAGCATACTCAGTATACTAAATATATAAGAACATCAGGTATACCACCCAAAGTCAAGTGGTGCCATCCGAGGGGAAATGATATCATTCGATTCGGTTCGAAGCGGGGCGCGAAGAATCTCTTCGACACGCCCATTCCTGTACCTCCCTCAATTGTCTCTCACCATATACACACCCCACCAAAGACGGAAGAAAGAAACAAAATGTCCGCCTCCTTCAAGATCACCGACCTCCTCCCCCTCCCCAACTCCAACGTGCGCATCCCGCGCCTGGGCTTCGGCGTCTACCGCTCGCCGACCGACCAGTGCGGGAAGTCGTGTCTGAAGGCATTGGAGACAGGATACCGACACATCGACACAGCACAATTCTACGCCAACGAAAAGGAAGTCGGCGAGGCCCTGCAGGCCAGCAATATCCCACGCGACCGGGTGTTCGTGACGACCAAGATTCTCAGCCCCGCCGGCTCGGTCGACGCCAACTACGACAAGCTGCTGGCGAGCGTGCACAAGATCGGGGGCGCGGATGGCTACGTGGATTTGTTCCTCATTCACAGCTCCAAGTCTGGCCCCGAGGGCCGGAAGCAGATGTGGCAGGCGCTGGAGAAGCTCTACGAGGAGGGGAAGGCGAAGAGTATTGGGGTGAGCAACTTTGGGGTGCAGCATATCGAGGAGATGCGGTCGTATGCCAAGGTGTGGCCGCCGCATGTGAATCAGATTGAGGTTGGTTTTTCCCCTACTTTCTTAATTCCATCGAAGGGATGGGACTCGACTAACCCACTTGGTTTCGCAGCTCCACCCGTGGTGCCAGCAGCGAACTATCGATGCATACTGCAAGCAGAACGGAATCATCGTCGAGGCTTACTCGCCCATCGTGCGCAATTACAAAGCCAACGACCCGACGCTGGTCGAGATCGCCAAGAAGTACGGTCAGTCCACGCAACAGGTCCTGATCCGCTATGCGCTGCAGAAGGGATGGGTGCCGCTGCCCAAGACGGACAACCCGGACAGAATTGTCTCCAACGCCGAAGTCTTCGGGTTTGATATCAGCAAGGAGGACATGGCCGAATTGGATGCCCTCGATCAGGGCAGCGCCGGTGCCATTGTGGAGGCCGTGGTCAACGAGTGAATATTTCTCTGCAACACGGTTGGGGAGCTAATGTGCTCCCCTAACAAACCCCCAGCGAAGCAGAGCCCAGTCGACACAGGCGAATACATATATTCCGGTGTTCAATAATCCGGCGGCTGCATCAGAAAGGCGTTGATGGACTGGAGTGTCGAGCGTGACGGATTCACGTCATGCTTGGAGGACACAATCCAGGCGAGACGCTGCCGGATGAATTGCTTGCCGATTATGCGCTTGCTGAGCGAGGCATCGAAGCTCCCTGGGGGGAAAAAGAAAATAAGAGTCAGTCTTTCTTGTTACATATACTCCCATTCTGTTCCTCATAGCGGTTGAATCCATTTCCATGATACCATGATATCCAGGGGGGGGGGGGGGGGGGGTGCAATGCCTTACCTTCGTCATTATAGAACAAACACAAGATCGCCAGCAGTGCTCCGGCCGCAAGGTCTTTGCCCGTGTCACAAGTCACCAGCAACGAGCGCGAGGAATCAAACCCCAATTGCGCGCCGACAAAGTCCCGCACCTTATTTAGCGATTTCCGTAGATCCCGACTCCCCAGCTTCGCCGCCGAACAACCCAGATTGAGACGCTTCGCATTCCCTCCAACAGCCGCAGGACTGCCATTGCAATCGATGACAAGATCATACGAGCCGCTCTCGTTGACGCGGGCATCCGTCGCACTAATATAGAGATTGCGCGTCGGAGCAATGAGCGTCGCCTCTTGGCCGCTGCTGTGGTGTTGGTGCTCAGATATCAGTTCTGCAATGAGATCCGGCAGCTCTTCTTCGGACGTCCTCTTCAGAATAGCCTGGTTGGCCCAGAACACCGGCGGCGTCAGCCCGTGCGCCCAGCCCTCGCTGTCGTCGCCCGCGCCTTGGATGTAGCCGCCCTCGGACATCTCGGCGCCGTGCACGCGCTTCGAGGCCGAGCAGAGGATGATCAGGTTATAGGCATCGCTTCTGTGCAGGTCTGTGGGGTAGAAGTATGACCGGTTGGCCCATGCGATCTGAATCGGTTTGCCGAGTTGCTGGCGCAGACTGTCGAGGTCGAGTTTGAGGTCCTGTAGTGGCAATTAGCCCGCTGTCCGAACAAACCCCTGGTTTATTTGAACCCTCAGAGAAAACCAGGTGAAGTGTCGTCAGACCTTGAGAGACTTCACAAACCCATCAATGCGGTTTGCGATCTGCGACTCCTCGGATTCGCCCAGGTACTTTGGAGGAAGTTTTACTGCGTGATACGCGGTCTCGGATGGGAATAAGGCTCGATTCAAGACGGCGCACCAAATAGGAATGGTTTTTGACAGAGCGTCTGGCATCACTGGACGGAGTCAGCACAAGGGACAACCCACAATGATTGTGCATAGTGGCATTTTGGGAACGGAGCAGATGCCGACTACGGTCTGGATAGCACATACATTTGCCTCGGCGGGTCGAATCCACGATTACGCAGCTGTATCGAAGAGCACCGAAAAAGTCAGCTTCGAGGACTCTTGATGCAACGGATATAGTAATAATAAAGAAGGGGGCTGCTGAAGATAACCACCACGATCCATGATCGAATGGCCATCAAGCAATATCTGAACTAACCCTCCATGATCCCTGGCCAGCGGAAGCAGCTGCAGATTCAGCCTACGAAAGCTAAAGTCCCATTGACCCGTGTGGCCGTCCGTGCTTTTGAAATAGGCGCTGCCCGCCTTGTCCACGGGGGAAATATACCAGCTGCCGCACCGCTCGTTGGCAACCAGAGGCAAGCCATAGTGATCAGCAACCTCCTGCACGAATGCAGCATCCGTCTCGATGGACTGGAGCCGGTTCGAGACAGTGAGAGCCGATCGACGCAGCGAGGACAGCGTCTGCGAGATGGACTGTTGTGCGGAGGGGAAATGGAGAGACTCCAGCGTCGGGAGAGTATCCGATGACCCCATTTTTCTTTTCTTTTGTTTTCTTTAAACGACAAGAACAACACCGGAAGACTTGATGCCAAGAAACAATTGACAGGGGCAATCTGCAATTCCGGTGCTGTCGTACTCCGGGGTAGTACGGGGCACTGTAGAGCACTCGGGTTCTCCCCCCAGGATGTCTGGGCAGACCTGGAATGAGGCCGATGGGTTAGTGTTGGTTGCACGGCCCTGGAGTACAAGACACAGCAAAAGGGAGGCCTTTCCTAGGGCGTTGGCCAAGACGCGACGAGAGAAAGTTGAAGAGGAAAATGGCAGATGCGTCGGCGACGATTCACCGGGTGTTGGATTGGCCAATCAGCGGGCATAAAGTGGAGTAGAGGTGATGGAGTGCCTGGCAGTGTATACTAGTAGCAGGTCTATAGATCCATAGATATTTCCAGAATGCAATACTTGGACTGTGGAAATATTACCGCAGATTTTCCCTAACATACTAATTACTGCTTCGACTATCTACTCGGCATGTTGCATTCGACCGGGAAAGTAGTGCTGACGAAGATGGACAGTGCTCGCCCGAGCGAATGGTAGTAGCACCGAGGCAGTTGATTCCCTGCAATATAATTGCCTCGATGCATATAGATAGGGTGTCTGGGTAGTATCGGGATATCCATTCGTCCTCTACGGCGGGACACCTGCGAGCCATGCAATTGAACGGGCTAGTCAGGTCGAGACATGACGAATGACAACTGGCACACAGGCAAAATACCTCAGGAAGATTGCAAACCCGGGTGACAGAACTCCCGTTGAAGAAAAACGACCGGAACGACCGTGCGGGCATAAAGCTGCCCAACCGACTTGGAACCAGATCCAATGATTCCCCCACATGTGTAGCCCGAGGCTAGATTGCTGTGCCACACCCTGCCCTCTCAATCTCTCCAGCAGGTACAGCAGCAGTCAGGTATTCTTGTAAGGAGAGAATGTTCTAGGAGGAAGTGACATTCTGCGACTTTCCAAGAAACAGCCTCTAGGCGGAAAAGGGACTAGCGTGGGTTGTTGGCCCAAAATAGTAAGCGCCGCTGACTCCGCCATGTGCGTGATTTGATTGGCTCTGGCTGGTCTCTGCCTTTTAGATGAGGTACTCAGTACCTATATCCTCATACAAATATGCACATTTGTCAAGTACCCGGTACCTCCCCGTCAATGACTTCAGGCCCGAGACTGATTCTCCATATGGCGGCGTCATGCTTTCCGTCTGTAGGACCGAGGGGTCCTCCCTGGTACTTAAACAAAGCCACACTCCACTCTTCAGAAGTTTGTTTTTCTCTAACCTTCATCGTCCCTCCTCTTTCCATCCTTGCGCCACTTCGGTCTGAGATCATATTAGATCATACCCGTTCCAGACTTGCCTACCTCGTTTTTTCCTTCAGGCACACCTTTCTCAAAATTCAAGACAGAGAACCGGCTCTCATCTCCGCTTTTCGTCATGCCTAAGGTTCGAGAGTCTCTTTGCTCACGCACCTGACCCACCGACGCTAACCGATCAACTGCAGATCACGGAAATCTTCTTCGACTGCGACAACACCCTGGTCCTCTCGGAAGAGCTGGCCTTCGAGGCTTGCGCCGATCTGGCCAATGAGATCTTGCAGACGCGCAACATTCCCGACCGATACACCGGGGAGCAGCTCATCAAGGACTTTGTCGGCCAGAACTTCCGCGGTATGATGATCTCGCTGCAGGCCAAGTACCACTTCGAGATGGAAAAGGACGAGCTGGAGGTCTACGTCAAGAAGGAAGAGGACAAGGTCATCGCCAAGCTGGAGGCCAAGGCTAAGCCGTGCGTCGGTGCCACCGAGGAGCTCGAGAAACTCTTCGAGTCGAAGAAGTACGGGATGGCCGTGGTTTCTTCCTCGGCTCTGCGCCGCGTGCGCGCCTCCATCAAGAAGGTTGACCAGGACAAGTTCTTTGACCATGACAAGGTCTTTAGTGCGGCGACGTCTCTGCCCAAGCCCACGTCCAAGCCGGATCCCGCCATTTACTTGCATGCGCTTGATGCCGTTAAGAAGACCGCTGCGGAGACTGTCGCCGTCGAGGACAGCAAGTCGGGTGCGCTCTCGGCTATCCGTGCCGGTATCCCGGTGATCGGCTATGTTGGCAGCTACAACGGCGAGGAAACGCAGACGGAGATGGGCAAGCGTTTGACCGACCTTGGGGCGCAGGTTATCATGACGCACTGGTCCGAGTTCGAGAAGTGCATGGCGTTCATCGAGAATGCGCCGGCTGCCGAGATCCAGTCTGCCCTTTGATTGTTCTTTCTCGCTCATCTTTTTATCCCTCCATCAACACGATGTCACGAAAGCGAGCGTCTGGTCGTTCTGGAGCTGTGTCTGGTTTCTGGTCTTTTTTTTTTTTTTTTATTGATTTGATATATCACAGATACACCAGCCTATGTTGACTATTCTGCGAGGAGATCTTTTCGAGTCTTGTTACAGTTTACAAGACAAGATTCGCGGGCTTTCTCCAGTCACATTGAATTGTGTTTAGATGTGGTCACTTCTCTTCTTTCTTGTGCATTGATATGTTGTATCTTTCCTTCGCATAGACAGATCTTCGTAGCCAATGAGATACCGAGTCTAGAACGGACATTCAATGATCATCGGCGTCAGTACATATGGTCGTCTCTCGAGCAGCAATGATTAGACATTGTGGTCCATCTATGTGGCTATTGACTGTCCAAATTGGGCCTCTTTGTTGTTTCCAGGTGCTTAGCCTGGTCTAACCTCATGCGTAGTTCTGCACCTCCGTTAGAATTATCGCATTCTTTCTTCCTTTTTCCGCGCTAGCCCAACACAGCGCGTACTTAAGTAGTATTAGACTATTAAAAAAAAGCGAAACCTAGGAACCAGATATAGCCAAGCGAAGCCCTCTCCCGAATAGTTTCTATTTTTGGCACAGTACGTATACACGAACTGTCAGTCCTCTGCCGAAAAGGGGCGTACCACTAAATTTTTACTTCAAGTTAGTATTATATACATAAGAAGCCTCCCCCCCTCTCAACAACCAATTCGTGCCATAACTGGGCTATTCCTCCTGTTCTTCTATTCAACACGCTGGCACCAACACAATAATCGATAAGATAAGGGCCCGCCCCGCGCGGACTCAGGCATAGAGCCCCTCGCTCGGGTCTTCATCGCCCTCCTACAACATATCGGGGTTTAGTTCCAGCCCGAGACACAGCAGCAAGTTGACTTCACTCACGGGCCTGATCTGCTAGTCCCACCTTCAATCAACGGCCAACTGCAAACATGTCGCCGCCCACACAGGCCCAGTCCAGCCACGTCTCGCGGGGACCCTTGGTACGCCCACTTGATTTCCTTTGGTTCTCTCTGCAAATACATTTCCCAAGTCCTTTTTGATGTTTTGAAGGAAAAAGTCTCAATAGAATGGAAAAGTTAAAAGCAAAAAGCTGTCATATCTATTGCAGTCATCGTCTAACATCGTCTCCAGGACCCCAACGAGGCCAGATGGGCTCGATTGATCAAGACCACGTACCGCGACCCCCTTGGTGTCGAACGGACCTGGGAATCGGCTGAACGTCAGGTAAGGAGCTGTTCTTGCCTCATTTTGGGTCTCTTTGCATTCGGTATTTTGATTGCCGCCGATGTCCGGGGTGCCTGCATGACACTTCCGGAGATATCAGCATTTTTCAAGGCATTCCCCAAGTCTCTCAGCCGCATTGCTTTATTTTCTGTTGTTGATGGCTCCATTGGTGCCAATGGATGACTGAGATCGGACATTGGTTGCCTTCTTTGATGCATGCAACACGCCTTGTACCAATCACTTCCACGATCTCTCTACCAACACTCAATGATCAACCCCAATGCTTGAATATCTCAATCTCAAACTAATCAAATCACCAGACTCGTCCGGCCAACTGCGCCATCGATGGCGTGGGCATCGTCACCATCCTCAACAAACCCACAGGCCCCGAGCTACTCCTGCAAAAACAATACCGGCCTCCCATCGACAAGGTCGTCATCGAGGTTCCTGCCGGCCTCATCGATGCAGGCGAAACCCCCGAGGAGTGCGCCGTACGTGAACTCAAAGAAGAGACAGGCTACGTGGGCGAGGCGGAGCAGACCAGTACGGTAATGTATAACGGTGCGTCTACCCTGACTTGATTTACTGCAACCTTCCACTCTCTGTGGCATATTGTCATGTTCCCCATCAAGGTTTTGTGGCAAGCTAATAAGCCACTGTGCATAGACCCGGGTTTCTGTAACACCAACCTCAACATGGTCCATGTGCGCGTGGACGTGTCTCTGCCGGAAAACCAGAACCCGAAGCCGCAGCTCGAGGATAACGAGTTTATTGAGTGTTTTTCAGTCCCGATGGCTTCTTTGTTTGAGGAGACGAAGAAGCTTGAGGATCAAGGGTATGCGATTGACGCCAGGGTGGGGACGTTGGCGGAGGGTATTGAGCTGGCGAAGAAGCTGAAGTTGTAGCTAGTAGAGCAGCACAGCGGTTAAGAATAGCTAGTAAGATACCATTGAAGTACATACAATTCTCACCAACAACTAACTCCCTTTCTACTTTTTTGTACATTCATTTTTGAATCACGGGGATATCACTGGGTAACTAGTGTAACAGATCTTCCCCTCCTGCTTCAACCCCCGATAAAGCGCCCAAGCCGCCAAAGTCTTCCCATCGCGCACGCCCTCCTTCCACAGATCCTCCAACGGTACCACCTTCAACGTAATCTTCTCCCCGTGCTGCCGCAGCCCCGTCAATTTCCCCTGCAGAGTCTCGATCTCCGCGCGTGGCATCCGCTTCTGGCACAGAAACAGTGGGATGAATTCATCGCTGCCCCCAGCAGACGGATACACTGCCCGCTGAAGGGACTCCCCATCCTCATGTTCCTGGACAGCCTGCAGCGCCAGAGACGTCATGTCGATTAGCTCGCTTTGTGGGATGGATAGTCCCGTCTCTTCGTGGATCTCTTTCGCCGCGCCGCCCGCAAACGTCCCGCTGTCATCAAGCATGCCCGCTGGGATTTCGGGGAAAGCGAGTGAGCCGGCGGGGATGCGGGGTTGGATGGTGAGGATGGCTTGTTTGCCTGATTCTTGGGCGGCGGGGAGATCATCCGGTTGGAAGATGAGCTGTGTTGATGTTAGAAATGGCATTCTTTCTTGGGCTTGTCGTTTTGGGGTTCGGGGTTCCCTCCTCCCTCCTTTGAAGTCATATAGAAACTTTGGAGTGGTGACAGTGATTCTTAAATATACTTACAAGCATACCCACACTCCCTCCACGCAAAAACACACTCCCCGGCAAATTCTCGCCCTGCGCATTCGACACCTCGGCCTTGAGCTTCACAAACCCCAGCCGCTCGCCGCCGAAGCGGTCCACCGACTGGATATCCATCTTGCGCAGCACGTAGGGATCATGGTGGAACTCGTGCGACGGGTGCTGCTGCCGAGCTAGGGAGCGCTGCAGCGTCGCGATCCACACCTTGAATGCTGGGAATGCGAGCAGATCCTCGCGACTGAGGTCGGGTGTGCTATTCACGGGGAGGTTACTCCCTGGTAATGTGAATGTTGACATGGCGGGTCTTCTTCCTACTTGGAATTGGAGTCTTTGCTCGCTGGACAGTGTTGGTTTTAGATGGCGGGTGGTTAGGCGCAGTAGGTTCATGGGTTGATTGATTGATTGATTTGTGTTTGTGTTGGTAGTTTAGACTGCAATCTGTTGAAGGGGTTTGGCGGCGGGCTGTCGCAGGAATTCCCTGTTCCAAGGTTGGTGTGTTGAGTGAGGTTTGTTTTGCTATGACGTCGGTCGGCTCGGGGGTTCTGGATACAACTTGATCCATTGCGAAGATATCGATATCGTTTTTTTCAATTATATACCTATTAAATGGGGTCTTCTAGTTATTTGATTGATCTTTCCGAATAAGTACTCTTTTATGCTGGGATACATGTTCAACGACTTCCAAGTGAACTATATCTGCCGTCTATCAAGCAACGATTGTATATTTTCCCACATTCTATATCTATACCCCCGAGGACATGCAAGACCCATCACAATCATACCACTATCCCAGTCTCCAGATGATAAGCCAACGCATATCTACGCACGCAGTTCCCTCATCTGACATGATCTTCAACATCCCGCTGACAGCCCCCTCCGCTATCCAATACACCCATGGACTGCGTCACCCTCGAAACCCAACGATCATGCGACCCCTCCTCAAAGTGACAACAGCATAGAGAGAAAATAAAACAAAACTAAATAAAATAAAGAAACTAAATACGAAACCAAAGCAGCTACAATATCAGACCATAAGCAATCACGCCATTCATGAGGTTTGATACTTGACACTAAGAGTTGTTCTCTTTCTAGTTTCGGCGCAAACCACCAATAAAATTGGATATAGCTGTATAGTTGAGAGAAATATATCATGCAGATCTCATGCAATAGTGCGGCCGAGGATCTCTTCTGGTTGACTCTAGAACTGTGGAGTTTTCTCTGGAGAGAGGGGGATTACACCCGGGTGAGAAGACCCACTAATGCACGGCCTTTTTTTTCTTGTCTCTCTCACTCCCCTGGGAATTATGCAAGTTTATTGTATGGAACAGCATCCTGGCGGGCGTTTCGTTGGATCAATTTATTCTTTCCTTTTTTTTTCCTTCCCCCCGCTCACCCGGGCGTAGAAAACTGCCTATCCTTATTTTCCCGGACTTTCGCGTGGCTGGGATCGTCTCGGATCTTCCGTTCTCCCTTACATTATACCTCACTACGTACATCATTTTGGGTCTCGAAGTGAGAATCTGAGCCGATCGTTGAAACCAGGGGTGGAGAAGCGAGACAGGGTTTTTTTTCTTTGTCTTCTATAGACAGGTCAGCGTCAAGTGGAACCGCCCATGGCTGCCTCGTTGAAACGGTTGCGACCCAGCCGCAATCCACATTGGGATTGAGTTGCACGAGTGTGTAAAATGACCAGACATATGAAGAATTAGTGGGATAGATATAAAGACAGAAAAAAATAAAGGTAAAAGACATATTAAGTCTATATAAATCATGAACTGTAGGTCTACTTCCAGCTCTCTAAAGCACCCTTAATGCAATGCTATCTCAGGCAGAACCCGAGCAATGTTGGCGCCCAGAAGGGGGGGCTAACGTCACATCCTGAGCCACATGCCGAGTATTCTCTGTCAGTTGGTCAATCCTGGAGACTCCGAGATGGTCACATAGACCATGCGCTACTTTTGTTGTATCAGCCAATAAGGCTGAGTGACTCGGAGTATACTCCTCCTCTCCCCCCGATCATCCATCGTGTAGTTCGTCTAGTTTTGTCGTGATGGATCCAGAGCCTGGAACCAGGAGGTAATCCACCCCAGGCAATGACTCGAAGCCTCATCTGGCATGAGCTGGAGCCTTGAGTTGTTATTTATTTATTGACTCAAAAAGTGGATCATCTCGCCAAAAGCCACAATACGATATTTCCAATTTTGGACTCTTCAAGACCAGTCATGTGTTCTCTCTGCAGGGCTTCGATGATCAACAGAATGGTTTTTTACTTTTCTGGGCTGGACGCACTTCCCTTCCCCTAGTCAGATAAGATGTGCAGGTCCCTAGTAGCGCCATGTGTTTCGCTCACCCTGGCGCTGGCGGTGCAAGTCTTAGGCAGATCATGCACTGTGCCATGACCGGACACGCGGAGAACTCGTGGCAAAAGCTGGATAAGGTAGCTGATGTGTCAATAATATCACGTAAAAAGAGAAAGAGAAAGAGAAAGAAAAAGAAAAGAAAAAAAAAAGACCAATCATTAGTCCATGAACACCCCTTTTGCCCCAGATCTAAGAGTCAAAGCGCTATAGATAAATTCATGGATATGGTTCTATCGGCTGAGCTCAATTTGTGATATCTTCCCAGGGTAGGACGCCTCGGAAATAGGTGAGGGGAATGGTCCATGCTTTTTTTTTCTTTTCTGCGAATGAGAAAAAGTCAGAACCAGCTCAAGAAGCGCCCATGATGTAAACTATCCACAACTCCTAGTCAGCAAAGGAGCGGTGACATTTGCCCTAGCGCATGCGCAAGGGTGAGAGAAAAAAAAAAAAAAAAAAAAAAACAAACCAAAAACCAAAAGACCTGGGTAATGCCAATCATGATTCCACCTGATAATAAACCCGGGCTATGACTAGAAGCATTTTGGGGGCTGTTGTTTCTCATGAGATCTCAAGAGCTAGGGTTATACATACGCCTAGGCGATGTGTCCCCAAGCCCGGTTTCATATAGATTCCATGAATTCATTTTTAGGATACACACAATCAAAAGACTCGTTCGTTTCTAGTAGATGATCAAAGTGAGGCGTGTAGTAGTGGCAAAATAGTGGCAACTTGGCTACCTACTAGGCAGCCTCTTCCCATGGATCATTGAAGTATACCCCAAACGAGGCTGAGGCCATTCTGTAGCCTATTGCCAGGGTGGATCTTTGTGTTATCGCGAGTATTTTGCGGCAAGGCAACCCTGGCGGATTCCTCGGGGCATACACTAAAATCTCCCCTGGGTGCAACCTCCGGGTGTCTCCACAGCTCAAACCCGGGTGCCGCAGCCCCAAGTGCCCGGGTACATAAAAATACCATCTTCCCCTCTGATCAAAGGCGCTTTCTTCAGTGAGCATCCCGTGGATCTCTCAAGATCAAAAGGTAAGACTATTTGCTTCGAGGCTTGGACCTTCTCTCCCTTGTTTCAACCCTTTGCTCGATCATCCGATCGCCACGGGGGAAAAGAAATCTCCACTTTATGTGTTTCTTGACTTTCTGGAATTCTCAATTAATTGATATTGCAGATGATGCGCGCCTGAAAAAAAACAGACCATGGGCGATACCCCAGTCCGGGAGGTCAGGCCAACGCGGCATTTTTGCGCCAACGGCCTTGGCCCATTGGGCGCAAAAACGTCCAATCTTCAAGGCATCCATGACTCTCCCAGGCAAGCATTTTGGTCCCCCCCTTTCTCGGTGGTTCAACAGTCTCCCCTTTCTAATCTGGTATCTGTAGGAGGTCCATTGGAAGACTTTTGTCTAATGAAACTCCATCCGAGTCAATGGCCAATCGAGTCTGTTGGTCGGCCAGTCCGACACTGTCCAATAGCCGCCAACACTCTACGGGCATCGCAGATGATGGCACCTGGGACACGCTTAGTAGCCAAGGCGCGCGAGCCGTCAAGGGCTCGCCACGTGCAAATGTAGCGTTTGCTCGCAAGCCCCATCGTCAGGGAAGCTTTCGGGTGTCGAGGGACCGCCGGAGGCTGTCGGCTTCGCCTTCGAAACGGCTAGGTGGTTACTGTGCACCTCGAAATGTCAATGAATGGGTTCCGCAGGCCAGTGTTTCTGCAGCAGAGACACCAGGCACACTCTTTGTCTCTGGCGAGGGCTCGCGTCCTGAGTTTCGGAGATTCCATTCGAGTCCCATCGCTCGGCACAGCCCGCATCTCAGCACACAGGTTCAGGATGGATCCTCTCAAACTCCGCATCCTCAAGAATTGCTCGGGGCCCCGTATTTGGCCTTGGAGGGCCTGGAGACAGATCCTGGGGTAGACAAACCTCATGAGATGTTTAGACAGCCAGACACCAACCCAATCACGGAAGACCAGCTGGTACACGAAGTGCGAGGCATCTATGCTGGACTGGTGATGGTGGAAAAGAAGTGTATCGAGGTCGACAAACAGCAATCGGATGCAGGGCCTTCCAAAGCCGATCTGTCGCCCGCTCGATGGCAAGCCATGATCTCCTTGCATCAAACTCTTCTTTACGAGCATCACGACTTCTTCTTGGCTTCTCAGCACCCCTCAGCCAGCCCTGTTTTGAAACGACTGGCGGAGAAATACGCCATGCCAGCGCGGATGTGGCGATATGGCATCCATTCATTCCTGGAGCTTCTCCGACAGAAGCTGCCGGCGTCTCTGGATTACATGTTGTCATTCATCTATCTCGCCTACTCGATGATGACCTTGTTGTTGGAGAGTGTCCCTGCCTTCGAAGAAACCTGGATTGAGTGTCTCGGCGATCTTGCACGATACCGCATGGCTGTCGAGGAGGTTGACTTGAGAGACCGGGAGGTCTGGGCAGGTGTGTCGCGCTATTGGTACAACAAAGATGCCGATCGAAGCCCAGAGGTTGGCCGCATTCAACATCATCTTGCAGTTCTGGCGCGTCCGGATACTCTTCAACAATTGTTTTATTACACCAAAGCGCTCGTTAGTGTGCGCCCATTTCCCAATGCCCGCGAGAGCATTATCCTGCTTTTCAACACCCAATTGAACGACAAAGCGCCTCAGAGAAATTCGATGATTACTGCTTTTGTTGCTGCCCATGGCGTGCTGTTCACACGGGGCCCAACCAAGAAATTCGTTGCGCGAGCAAATGAATTTCTCTCGCTTCTGCGCAAGGAGATCGACCGATTGGCCCGGCAGGGACAGCAGGGTGTCTATTTAATGTCTTGTAACTTTGCCGCTATGCTCCAGTATGGCGAAGCTGAGGCGCCCCTGATACTCGAATTCGCTCAAAAGCAACCGACTAGTCTGGCAGAAGCCCACGCCTCTGCGATTACAACATACAATAATGCAGTCTCCGGGATCGCCAATGATCCCGGGCACGCACACCCCGACATTTCATCCCAGCTCGTCTTTCAAGGCAGCTCTCTCGCATTTCATACGCTCTCCGTCATTCTGGGTCAAATCGGTGACCCAAAAATGTACCCCAGCGCTCACATCTCTCTGTCCTTTATTTGGTGCCTAGCACTCCACCCGCCTGCCATGCAACGATTTGAAGCGATGATCCCATGGACGGAAATCGTTGCATTCCTTTCCACCTTACTCCGACCCGACACCATGATCGCAAAGATCGAAAATGAATCCTTCCCGCTGCTCGACGATGGATCTGCCCAGCAGTTACCCGAGGACTTCTTGATACGAGGACAACTCTGGAGTCAGCTGTACTACCCTGAGAACTTCTTCAAAGGAGCTCCCATTGAGGATGACCGACCATCGATCGAGGAGCCTTCAGCAGTCATACCTCGGAGACATCGGTGTCTGTGGTTGGGAGTGCGCATCGCAACGGTTTGTGATCCCACTCAACTAGCCACGGCTGTAACCAGGATAGCCACATACTTCATGAACGTGCGTATCAAGCTAACAGTTTGTGATAGCTCAATCGTTGGATGTCATATGACTCTACCGCTTGCCGATTCGAAGCAACCCAATTGGCACATGAATATGCACCTATGGCGGAAAATTGCGGGCAACTGAACAGCAAAACACAATTCGTCGGGACCGAAGAGACGCCCTCCGACCTCGAAATGACCGGCGTCTGAATCGTGGTCAAAACCGGTTTGAATGAGGGTGCTACCCTCGCCTGGGGAGCGAAGTGGAAGTCATCCTCGACGGGGAACCTCAGTAGCCGGTTGGGAATGTCTCTTTATCTTCATCGTCACTTGAATCTTCAAGGGGGTGTTTTTTTTTGTACCTGGCCCATCTGGGTACAATTCGAATCTTTCCTTTAGCTCCCTCGTTTTATTGTCGTTTTTCTCCCTTTCTGTACGCGGACCTGGAAAGTGGATTTTTTCTTCTTCTTTTTTTGCTTCTTCCGTTGTTATGGACAAGAAATGCATGAGTCGCCCGACGACCATTCGACAGATTTGTGAATCCTCCACGGACACATGGAATCCAGAAACTTCTCCCCATTGAGCGGCGGATGCCAATTCTCCTGCGGCGTGGGGACCTTCCAAGGAAAGAAATGTTTGCATCCATTCATTCGTCCATGGATATCCAGGGATTTCTGGTTCGGCGACTGCGAAGCTGCCTCGCGTCTGCCTGCTTTCATGATGATCCCGGCCCGGGACTCTGCCTCGAGGGTTTGGAAAATATTGATTGCCCTCCATCTGGACCTCATGGAAAGCGCCTTTTCTCTCATCTGGACGCTCGGATCCTGCCCGTGCTGGATTATTCCAAGGGATCTCTCCATCCATTCGACCCATACCTCGGACTTGGACTTCCACAGCACTTTCGGATGGCCGTTTTCCCATTCTCTTGCCCTGGGTATTGCCACTGGAATTTGGCCTGGATTGTGAACAAAGGCACAAGTCAACCCCGACTTGCTTTTAGGAAGGACTTCTACATCGAAGACGGCGGTGGGTTGATTGACATGGGAGAGAAGGGCTATCCATCCATGGATGGGATGGATTATATGGATAGCTGGAAAGAAACCAACGACAGAAACACTCGAGACGGAAGGAAGTCTTGTTTTTAGACTTTTCTTCCTATTCATTATTATTCTTGGAGTCATGTTATCGGATCCCTTTTTCATATAGTCTAACTGACAGCTCGTAGGAGAATTTCATTCGGTATTGTTTAAGTTGTTTCAACCCTGCTCTAGTGCTAGTGTCTGACGCGTCCGTCTCTCTAATATGCATGGATATAATAAGCACAGAGCCAGATATTTCCGAAAACCCTAAGAAATAGTATTTTTCAAATCTGTATATACACCAAATGGAGTGGTTGTGTGGTAGAAACCAGCTCCAAATATACCCCGAACACCATGAACAGTCGAAGATTAGATCGAAAATGGACCGCAACAAGCCATAGTGTACTTCCCATACTAAAGCAAAACCCTCTCCTAAAAATTGCCATATGTTTGTCTTAGATTGTGGCTCCTCCCTGCTCCACTGTAGCTCAAAGCTTGCGCGTTGAATCGACAAAAGGCCAAGCTGGCGGTTGTCAACATGGCATTATTATCTCCCCCATTCCCCTCTCCCCATCATCCCGAGTCTTCTTCCCCTCGGCCCTTTTTTTGTTTTCGGTTGATGGGGTTTAGGTATTGATTTTTGAGGTTGCAAGTCTTTCTTTTTTGTTCTTTCTATGAATCTGTCTCTCCGCGCATGGCTGGCCGAGTGATCGCCTCCCTCGAGTCTCCCCGATTCGCATCTTCCCCAGTCCGTCTCCGCGTCTGAACGCCATTCCCCTCCCCCCCCCTCCTCTCCCGCCATGCCAGAATCCTGGGCCGTGGTTTGTCGTCAGTGTACTCGGCTGGCGACTGAGGTCCCGGCCCATGTGCTGGTTGTCGCTCTGTTGACGACGGGGTTGGGACTGTTTGTCCTGGTGAGTCTCCCTTTTCTTCGCATCGCATCTAATTTGAGAGACGCGCAGTCCTCAATTCTCTTTATTCAAGTCGCTGGCGAATAATTCCTCAAGGATTGGAGCTAATCCGTGGTTTTGTTTTGGGTAGTTCGTTCTCGCTTTATTCCTTGTCGCGCCCGTCCCTCGAAACCCACTACCGGAAGAAAAGAAGTACAGGACTCTCGCGCAAGATGGCGCCGTGACAGACCCGCAACCACTCCCCTGCTGGCTGGGCGCCGCCGACACGGAGAAACAAGCGCGCCGATCGCCAAAAGGGAAAGCTACAATCGAGCCGCCGGAGCTGTTCATGTCGGTCGTGGTTCCGGCCTACAACGAGGAGGAGCGGCTGGCCGGCATGCTGGAAGAAGCGGTCAATTATCTCGAGCGTATGTACGGGACGCTAGCGAGTGAGGACGGTGACGAGGCGGCGGCAGTCAACGCCGTGGAAACGCGCTCTGTGCGCAAGCGCAAACCCCCTGACTCCTCTGCGGCCAATGGTCATTACGCGGGCGCGGCCCTGGACCGAGGCTGGGAGATTGTCATTGTCTCAGATGGCTCTACGGATCGTACGGAGGAGGTTGCGTTTCACTTTGCGCGGGATCACCAGCTGTCTCTGCACCCCAAGGGCTATGCTGGTCCGTGGACGCCCCAGGTCCACGAGGGCGTGCCTATCCCGCCTGGAACTATTCGCGTTGTTCGGCTCACTCATAACCGGGGCAAGGGCGGCGCTGTCACCCACGGCATGCGCCATGTGCGCGGTCAGTATGTGGTGTTTGCCGATGCGGATGGTGCGACCAAGTTCGATGATCTGGGGAAACTCGTGACTGCGTGTCGGGATATTGAGGACGTGGAGGGCCGTGGTGTTGCGGTTGGGTCGCGAGCACACATGGTGGGAAGTGAGGCAGTCGTAAAGGTAAACCCTCTTTCTTTTTCTCCCCTCCCTCCCCTCAATTGAATATCTCCGTAAGGACCAGACACTCACCTGAGACATAGCGATCCAAGCTGCGCAACTTCCTGATGCATTCGTTCCATCTAATTCTGTGGTTGATGACACCACCCAAAACCGCGACCGTCAAGGACACCCAGTGCGGGTTCAAGCTCTTTTCTCGCGGTGCCTTGCCCTACATCGTGCCATGCATGCACTCCGAGGGCTGGATCTTCGACGTCGAGATGCTCATGCTAGCCGAGTTCGCGCACATCCCCGTGGCCGAGGTGCCCGTGGGCTGGCGCGAAGTGAAAGGGAGCAAGCTGAATGTCCTGCGCGATAGTATCGGCATGGCGTGGGGGCTGGCTGTGCTGCGAGCTGCTTGGTCATTGGGAGTATATCGGCAGAGATAGATCACCTTCGTAATCTTGGATGTGGCAGCAGAGAGCAGGGTCTTTTGGGGGCGTTTTTTCGGAATTCTTTCCATGTCAGGGTTCCCGGGCCGATGTGCTCCAGGGATCACGGGTATATACTGTTTCTTGTGAAGAGCTGTCTTTTTTTTTTCTGCATGGAATGTATGTGTATATTGTCCTGCACCATTATTTGGAAAAACGCAGAGTTCTCCGCACTCTGCAACCCATTTTTCCTGTTCGAAACTCCAGAATTCTCCACTTGGGTTTCGCATCAGGACCACATCGTTGAATTCTATTGATCCTTGCCCCGCGCGGGGAAGGAATTTGATAGAGTGTGGACAACTGTATAGTAACAGTAGAATCAAGCGAAAACCCTCATAAAAATAAAAAGGGGAGAGAAGAGTTTTGCACGTTCAACCGAGGTTGCATGGAAGGATTCTTGCCAAAAGCTTTGATCGCCCTTGCAAAAAGAGACAAGACCGGATACACTTCTCCCCCCTGATTTTTGGGTCTGACAGTGGATCCCGCGCAGGATGAGCTTCCCTGCCTTTTTTTTCGGCCCCAAAAGACCGTTGTCCGTTGACGGATATATATTCTGCTAACGTGTTCTATCAGAAGATTCCATTGGAATGATGAGTGGATCACACTAGTTTACTGCAAAAAAGTCTTCTCATCATCCATCGATGAATAATAGTATAGCTAGATACTCAGGTTAGAACGGTACGGCTTCCAGCGTATGAAACCTCCTGACTTCGGCCCGTGTGCGGCACCTCCGACCGGGATTGTGCCGATCACCGGGCCTGCCATGTGTATGACAATATAACAATGCCTTCCTGTATGAATCATGCAAAAAGAATCACTAGGGTTAACTACTGTACATTTCAAGGATTAAACCCCCGAGACGACTGCAATCTACAGGGAATCGACAAGGGTGCTGCAACATGATATTCATCCTAACCCCCTCCCCCAATCCAGCATCGATCGGCCTCATTTTTCCATGCTCGGGAAGGATTTGGCTTGCATGATGGATAGTATTCTCCGTCTCTCTCTCTCTCTCTCTTCCCCCCCCCCTTCAGGGCCCCAGTGGGGGCCATTCTCTTGCGGGGGCCGTGTCTAGTTTCGAGGTCTTTTTCTTTTGCCAAAAATCATCTTGTTGGTCCAAGAGAAATTGACTTGATTCAGGACCGGTGCTTCTGCTGAGAAAGAAATTTCTCGGGGCAACATTTGTCGATCGGATGTTTTTTTCTTCTGACCCATATAAACCCGTGGATGGGCTCCGAACTTGATGCTTGAAATTTTTTTATTTTTAAATTTTTCTTCTTGCCTGATCATATAAGCTACCATTCTTATTCCTTTTTTACTTTTTGACTTTTCACTTCTATCTTTATTCTTTATTCTACCCATTCCCAACGCTCGCTTGGGTCTCTCTCCCGTTCTATCAGATTGGAAGGGCCAGGTGCTGCTGGCAGCTCTAGACTGGCCCTTGTACATTTGATATAGACATTGAAAGTCGGCAATCGGCTGTCTTTTCCGCACATCGCCGTGTCTATAATATATATATATATATATAAAAGGCTTGCATCAACTACAACGAACAAGCCATGGGACTGCAGCAGAATTGCGATTCGTCCTTGCAGACATCGCATCTCCTCCGACTCCCAACAGAGCTCCGCCTCAAGATCTATGGATATGCCCTGGCCGTGCCCAACGACTACCTCAACAAGCCCCTGATCGTGGTACACGACCGCGGCAACGTCTTCACCGCGCGGGGCCGCTACCGTGCGCTATCCATGTGTCCCAGTTGGGAGGGCGAAGACGGCACCGCCCGCCGGCTGCTGGCCGTCAACCAGCAGATCCACGCCGAAGCAGAAGACTACCTGTACTCGCAGCACACGCTGTTCTTCCGCAACTCGTTCGACCTGGACCGGCTGGGCGACTTCCTCGACACGCTGAGCGCCACGGCGCGCCGCCGCATCCGCAGCGTCGGCTTCGAGGTGTTCTTCTTCGTCCACACCCAGATCGGCGTCCCCAAGCGCACCCTCAAGCAGTATGAGCGGGCTGGTCGTCTGCTCGCTGAGAAACTGCCCCAGTGGTCCAGCGTACTCTTCTATCTCGACCCCCGCTTCTACTACCCCTCTGCCTCGTGCGGCGGTCGTGAACTGGCTGCCCGTGGGGTTCTTGACCTCGCCACCCGCTTCGGGCCTCTGTGCCCCGAGGTTGATTTCTTTCCGCTGCCGAATAGCCACCAGCATCTCCTTGAGGAGGCTCAGCAGTTGCTCTGGCGCAGCAGTTCCCCTGACCGACAGCTTGTTGAGCGCCATCGCGCTTCGACTCCGTCTTTCTCTCAAAAGTGTGCTCGCTCTGGTCATTCCCCGCAGCCGGATTCATCTCTGGTTTGGTGATACCACTAACATATTGTCTTCTCTTCTTTTCTCTCTTGACGTCTGACAGAACCCCTGTTCATTCCTCACTGCATGGTACTTCTGGCGCTAACTGGACTCGAGGTTGGGACTGGCGTTCTGGGTCTGGAATCTGTAATTCTGGCATTTAAAACATAGCGAATCCACTTTGGAGAATATAGAATCTTACCTCGGTAGAATGGTAGACCGTAGAATCCCCCATCGCACATGGCCAGGGGCAACGTGGGTACCTGAGAGAGCCCGGGGCGTCTGGGGGTGGTATTTGACGTCAGCGACCCCTCGAACACTTATTTCCTCAGCGATCTTCTTATTCCTCTTCTTCTTATCCTTCTTATTGTTATTTCTCTTCTCTTTATTTTCCCTCTTATCGTTCTTCTCATCCTTATTCCTTCCTATCCTCAAGCCGGCGCCCGTTCGCCCCGGTGGAGATTGCGAGTCACCCTCGGTTCCACAACCTCCCATTTAACTCGCAGCTCCAACCGCCTTTCTCCCCTTCACACAACTACCCAACCTGCCCAACTCTTCTTTCTCAGGGCCCTCGTGCATATTCCGTCCACTGACCGACCGTCGCGTGGCCCAGTCTTTTTTTTTTTTTTTTATACTGGCTTGTGGCTTGATTCCCACGAACCGCAATATATCCCTCGGCACTGCTTTGGGGTCCGCGCATGAAATACCCCGGACTCGTTTCGGATGGTTGTGCGTGGAAGAATCCCCTTCCGCGTCTATATTTCCGCTCGTTATTGACCACCACCCGGTATGTATGTCCGCTGCTGTAATATGCTCGATGTGGTCTCCACTGACGGCGGTCTGGACCAGACAGTACTTCTGCGATCTGGCTGAGCTGGCCCACCCAGACTTGATATCTGCCGTTACGAGGATCCACCGCCCCTCTTAAACACAACCCCAACTACTCTCCACCGCTTGATATCTCAAAAACCACATTCGAACCACCGCGCGAAACCCTTTCTTTCTTCTCCCAACCCGACCACTAGCATGAAATCGTCCACCATGAAATTGCCCGACGGCCACGGCAGTCTCTACAAAGAGGTGCGCTTTTCTCCGACAGCAACGCCACTTCGTCGCACACAGTCTGTGTCGGGCAGCAACCCCACGACGAGTTCCAAGTATGGGCACCACCAGGCCTCTAACGCCTCTTCCCGAGGGAATCTCTTCGCTTTGGATACTTCCTATATCGACCAATCGCGAGCACTTCTGGAGAGTCAACGGGCGAATTTCGAGACGGAGAGGGCGCTGTTTGCCCAGGAACGGCGGCTGTGGGACAAGGAACGCTTGCTGTTGCGGTCAAGAATCGCCGAACTGGAATCATGCTTGAAGGGACAGGACGGTCAATCCAATGCGCCAGCTAATCTTGCCCAGCCGATGTTTGGAACACCGCAGTATCATGGATTCAACGGTATCGTCTCGAATTCGGCTCAGGTGTGGGAAGGGACAAGTCCAGGCGGTCGGCCGACAAGGGTGTTCCTTGACGCCGATGTCCCGGACCAGAGTCACCTGTCGCCGATCTCCGAGGTGGGTGTGAGCAACCCACCGTCCTTGGATGCAGCGCTCTCCCCGCAAGCACGGGCAGTTGATGCGCCCGGGATCAGCGTGTCGGTACCGATTGAGAAGCTGGACAGTAGGCTGGATGGAATCACGCTCAAGTCGACCGGGTTGCCCCCAGGGGTCGTCGCCCGAGTGATCACCCCACCATCCCCGTCGTCCCTAGAAACGTCCCCTGCGGCCGGCCCTTCGGCGTCTGCAAGGCCCAGCGTGGAACATCGAAACAGTCTCAAGCTGAAGCTGTCAGAGCTCGGCCCACCCAATGAGAATCTCGTGCGGGATGCTGGTCATACCCCCATGGCGATTATTGAGACCGATGTCAGTCAGCGCTCCACTGAACAGGCTTCTCCCACCGAGGAGCTCCCCTCGAAAGAGGAAGCCCCTCTCGCCCCCGTGGCAACCCAGGTCCACCAACCGACCGAAACGGGGGAGTCCTACTTCCCTGATCTGCCTGACGATCCGGCCCTGAAGGGACCCCTTGGTCTCACCAATGACGAACAGACTGACTCCAGTTTCCTGAATGAGTTGGACCAGAAGCTCCTGCACCAGGCGAAGCGCATCCTGTCCACGTCGGCCACGTCGAATGACCCCGATGAGACTGATGCCGACTTGCCCAGCCAGGGCGACCAAGAAGACCCTGAGATCAAGTTCAAGAACTCGACCAATTTTGGCACGGCGTTCGGACTATCGAGTTGTGGGAAATTCTAACCTAACATCTTCCCCACCATTTATTCTGTTTTTATGATCTGTCTTATCTTGGCTTATTTACGTTTCTTTCGGATGTACCCGGTTGCCATTGCCATCACCATCTGTCTACCTTCTTGCCCTTGTTCATTCTCTCATTCTTCTTCTATATCTGTTTCCCTGATCTTCACGAGATTACGAGATATGCTGAGACGTGCAATATATGATGTTTCTGCTTGATTCAACTGTGTTCTTCGTCGCCAGGGCTACCCACCTGTTGCCCCGGCAAGTTTCATATGATCTCTCCTGTGGTCGTTGAATATTGGCGTTCCTTGCGTGTGATGTGTATACCCTGGGCTAGCCCATTCGAATTTGACAATGTTCATTGGCCCTTTTCTTTGGTCTCCTGCAGTGGGGATCTTGGTGTCTCTAACTCCTTGCATGGTCTCTGCAACCTTCATCCCCACGTGTATACTTCGCATGTCGACAGCTCTACCATGCTGCCTACCCACTTGCACCCGTTGCACAGCGACCACTACGACAGCTCGGATCCTCGGCCTCGGGCTCGTGCATAAGCTTTTCGCTGGTTTAGGGCGTACATACCTCGGACCCCGACAACTGCAAAGACAAGACCCTCCACAGCAAATCATCATCGTCGATATGCTGCCCTGCTACTCGACAAGACGTGATGTCTCTCATGCCCTTTCGATCCTCATCCATAGGTCGTTTTCTCCCCTCTTCCCCTGGTGCCTTGCTGATCCAGACCCTTTGTGGCTTTTCCTTGGAGGTGCCACCAAGGGAATAGTCCATCGCCTTGCAGCATCCTGGTTCCTGGCGGGCCCTCTCCTTAGCCCTTCTGTCTCTGTCTCCCCACTATCCCACTATCCCACTATGGCCGCTCCGGTTTGCTTGTTGCCTGTGCCTGGAAAACTACATAAAGGCCATGGATTTCGGCCTTCATCTGCTCTTTTCTCCTTCATCCATTCACTCATCAAAGAACTCGGACAGTCATTCGTTCTTCTGTCTTTCTCACACCACTCATTCACTCTCTTCAATCAAACACTCTTTAATTCTATCTATCCATCCGGATCCATTCCTTCCGAGCTCTTTTTGAGATTCTTCTATCAAACCAACCAACCAACCAACAACCGTTACAATGGTCTCCACTACCTTCAGCTTCTCTGCCCTGATGTGCCTGATGCTGGCCGTCGGCCCTGCCTCTGTTCTGGCGGCTCCCCAGCTGGTAAGGACCCCTTGACAATACTTTTACTTTATATTGCAATATAAACTAATACATGAAACAGCCCGGTAACCTCCCTGTGACTGGCACCAACCCAGCCAACAACAACAACGCTGCCGCCGCCCCTCCCACCTCGGGCAACAGCGAATCCGACGCTGGCGCCGGCTTCGACGTCGGCATCCCCGGCGGCCCCGGCGTCCGCTACGGCGCGGGCACCCACCAAGCCCACCGCGGCCCCTGCGGCCCAACCAGCGGCGACGAGTCCGACGCCGGCGCCGGCTTCGACGTCGGTATCCCCGGCGGGCCCGGTGTCCGCTACGGCGCAGGAACCCACCAGGCCCACGACGGCCAGCCCTGCCCGGAGCCCCCGGTCCCGGTCTCGTCGTACACGCCCGTCGTCATCCCTCCCACCTACACCACGCCTGCTCCGGTCGCCCCTGTTCTGCCCGCTGCTACCCCGGTCTACCCCGCCAGCCATGCCGTCGTCGCTGCCTCCTACTCGACCCCGCTGATCCCCCGCCCGGCCCCCACCGCTGCTTCGCCTGCGCCGTCGATGCCTGTTTACAATGCTGGCTCAGCTTTGGCACCCGGTTCTTCTTCTTCGGCTCTTCTGGCTGTTGCTCTTCCTATTGTCTTGGGCTTCTTCTATTAAACCGGTTTAACTGGTGAATGGATTCCTTTCGACTGCTGCGCTTCTTGCTTCCTTTGCTGGTGTTTGTTACCATGACGCATGACGCATGCTGATGATTGCCCTATTTTCCCCCTCTTGTCTTGTGTGGCTTGGTGTCAGGTGTGACTGTTGGGTTTTCTTTTGGGTGCCTGTACTCTTTTTGTCTTCTTTTTCTCTGTCTACCTTTTTTTAATGCTCGTGCTCGCCTGTTGAGAGTCTGGTGTACAGATATCCCTGTATCTCGGCTCATATATGAGGGCCATTCCTACCTACTTGTTTTCTTTTGTGTCTGTCTTGTCTATCTGTCTTTTTTTTTCCCCATCTTTTTTTTGTCTATTTCCTGTACTTCTAGTGCTGGTGCTGGGGTTGGGTGTGTTTCGGGAGTCTGGGCTTGCTCTGCACAGTCGCTGTACTATTGCAATGATAATTTCTTATTCGTTATAATCCTCTGCCTCTTCTTTCTTTTCTATACAGTACCACCTGTAGTATCTGATTTGTAGATACTGCTTTGATTTGCCTCTTTGATAACTGTCCCAGGTCTATCTACTTCTCTTATCCAGTAAATACATGAAGGTATTCTTCTGGGCTTCGCTTCATTCCGTGGATATAGACTCTCGCCTTGATAGGAGAAACTTTGCTTGGTAACTAGTCTCTTCATCCCTACCTCGATGCAAGAGTTTATCGCTAGCGGGGCTCGGTGATCTCCCGCAGCACCATGCTCTAGAGTTTGTGGAGGGAATGACGCGAGGGAGGTGCAGTGCGCTAGTTGATATCTACGATGTGATCAATCTATACAAGAAAAATCAAACGTCGAGGTAAATAAATAAACAAAAAGCATACTAAGATTTCTAAGTAGGCAGCAGAAATACCAGTGTGATACGTAGCATAAGGGATGGTCGAAAAAAAAAAAATTAAAAAGAAATAGTTTCATGTGGCCAGAACGAAGTAAGCAACCTTGGAAATCAACGCCAGCTCATGTCATATCATGCAATATCAAATCGCCCCCTCTCTCTCTTAAGTCCTCAAGTCCAGTCTCCAAGCCGGGCAAGGACATCTCTGCCCTGTAGCCCATCCCCGGAGACTGGAAATACACAACCATATTCTCTCCCTCTTCCCTCTTTACCTCTCTAGACACCCATGGTAAAGTCATGCTCAATACCCGGCGTCACACTGGCAATGAACTTGAGGAACACCACCAAGTACTGATCCACCCGGATGGCAACCTGCTCTTCCTCGTCGTGCTGCAACATCTCCCACTCATCGCCACCGGCCTGCTGCTGCTTTTGCTGCTGGTCCTGGAGAGACAAGCCCTGCGTGTCATCCACCAGACCCTCCAGACCGCTATTCCCACCCTCTCGCAGAACTCGGCTGCCCTCTCCATGCGACTGCGACTGCTTGAGCTTCTCGCGCCGCAGCTTGAGGGCGGCGTCGGCGCGGTCCAGCAGTGTCTTCATGACCGAGGCGTGTCGGCATGGGTGCACGGTGGCCATCTTGACGCCGCCGTCGAACCAGGGGAAGTCTTCCAGCGTCACGGTCTTGTCTTTGTAGTCACCGACTATATCTTCCATCATCAGGTGTGGCGGGAGGGGCTCCGAGGGAGAGAGATAACCGGAAAGGTAGAGACGGGGGGTGCGGTAGAAGTTCGAGTAGGTGATGTAGAGGGTGTAAGTGCGGAGTGGTCTAGGGAGTAGTAATATGATGGTCAGAAAAGCATGAAGTAATATCAAGAACAACAGTCACTCACTGTGCTGTATCCGACTGTCCAGCCGGCTCACGGATGATAGCCTCCTCGTCGTCATCATCATCCTCCATATCCGGGATCTCCTCGTCGTCTTCCTGCTCCCCCAGATTCCCAGACTCGTCGACCGTGCGCACGTCGCGGATCCGGGCTCCTTGCTGATTGTGGTCTGCGCTGACATCGCGACCCCCGCCCGTGCGCAACCAACCATCGTCCCCATCGCCAGCGGGGCTGCCCTCCACCCCCTCGCCACCCGAAAGGAAGTCCCGCACGATTTCATCCTCGTGGCCGGCATCGCCGGCAAAGTTGTCGTTCAGCCTCCGGTGGCAGGGAACCCCACGGGTGACGAGGAACTGTTTGCCTTCAGGCAGGTAGGACACCCGCTTTCCGGGGCTGGAGGCATCGGCCCAAGACCAGGTGGGGAACTTGTAGACTAGATAATCGCCGGCCAGTACGAACTCCTCGGGGGTGATTTGCCCCGTCGAGCGGAAGGTCGAGGTGCGCGAGACTGGCGCCAGGCGGTCCCGCCAAGTCGAGAGCGTCGAGTGTAGGATATTCATGGCGTTATAAGCATAGAGAGAAGAGGTGTATATGTAGGATGCTAAGGCGTGGGGTGAGAGTGGGGAGAAGAAGGCGATATGCGGTGGAGCACATGATCCGCCCCGCGTGAGTTCATCGGTGCCTTGAAGCTGGTCATCTTTGTAAGAGGCAGCAATAAATGTGATGTCGTTGCCTAGCTAATATGAGATATTCTAAGATATCTGATAACTCTAGGTGACCGCCCAGAGGACTCTAGTTCTGCCAAAGAATCATGTATCTTGCCTGGCATGCTTTGCCGGTGTAGTTTGTTGGCCGTGGGTGCACCAGGGGTCACTGTCACGCAAGACTGTGTCCTGCCCTGCCCAACTCCCGTCCACACGGGTTTTTGTTAGGAGTCTCATCGGGCGGGACGTCAGGTGGGCTTCCCATCTGGCATTCCGTATGAGTGTCACCAAGGATCCGAGTACACAGCGGTATTTCTCGAGGCCGACCATCTCAATATCACTCGCCCTCTTCCATCATCCGTCGTCGCTCAAGCTCAGCTTCCACCTCATCCACGACCATGGGGATTGTCTTGTTCTTCCACCGCTCGGCCTCTGCGCGCATGAACCCTTCCGTGCTCTTCATACCCACCACGAGGAACCCGAGCTCTTCGCGGTCAACATCAAACACTTCCCACCATTCCCCATCGACCAACTTGACTCCTTCCTCCCGCGCAGCCAGGTAGATGGCGGCTACAGCTAAGGCGTTGGGTTGGTGGGTCACGTACAGCAGCTGGGGGGACAGGAGTGCGCCGTTGAGATGCTCGACTACGCGGCGGGCGACGGCGGGTCTTGTCGCACCCAGGGTTTGGAGGTAGGTCAGGGCGATGGTATGAGGCAAGGCGACATGAGTGTCAAAGCCGAGAGTGCGGAGGATGACGGACTCGATGCGAAGCAGTACTAGCCGGGCAGACTGGTACCCGCCCTCGGACAAAACATAAGTGTCCGGAGAAGGCGGCTCTTTCGGTGCCCCACGCGGGTTCACGAACCAGAGGGGCGATGCACCAGGGGATAGAAGAAGAGTGTAGACGTTGAGGACGGAGCGTGGTGAGGTGGGTTGGAAGGATAGCTTGGCTGTCAGGTAGAGCGCGGCGGCAGACACATCCTGTTCCACACAAAAATAAAGTCAGTGACACCCACAGATTGAATCATTCAAGGGCTTGAGGTGTGCCCACCTTGGCCGAGTAGATCCGCAAGCTTCCCCCGTCCGCGCCCAGCCAGAAGCGCGTGAAGATCACGACCGCCTGGGCGATGATGTCTTGCGACAGGTGCAAGAGAATGCCGGCCGTCTGGGTGAGCTGGACGCCGGCGCAGCGAATGGATGTCTCGAGGTCGGAGGGAACGCCATCAATTGAAGACGAAGAATTGGAGAGTTGGTCGGGGGTGGCCAGGGCATTGGACAGGTGCTTGAGTCCGGGGTTGGGCGCCATCCTCGTGGCAGACCTGAACGTGCGCAGCGCCTCGTGGGCGAACTATATGCACACGCGAGACTTCCCACCAAGAGAACTAGTGGCGCTCAATAATCCAAGTTGGGGGGTACGCGTATCGAGGTCCACCAGGGACAGGATCGAACTGAGCAAAGAAATCCAAAGATTCTTGAGTGGATCACCGTGGAGAACTCGTTCAGCCACCGCTATTTCATAGCCCAGCCTCTTATTTATTTTTCCCTATTAGGATCTTCGACTGGAAAGAAGAAAAGAAAAAGAAAAAAAAGGAGCAAAAGAACGAAACGAACCAAAACTATCCTGTGAAACACCCAAGTGCATCCCCGACTTCGATCGCTTCTCAGGGGTTCTCCAAGCTCTCCCTGATCGACTCGGTTCCCTGTCTCCCAGACACCAGCACACTATTCTCCCCCCTGCACACTATTGGCCCTAGGACGTTTCAATCTCGCCTTGCTCGCTGTTCAGAGTTCCACCTCAGAGCCTTCCTTCGACATGACTACCGAGCACACCCACGCTGTTGTCAGCGAGCATTCCGACGACGCGCAGGGGCCTCACAAGACTGTTGCCTCGCCCCCATCGACGATCCCTGTAATCTCAGAGAACCGTTTTCGCAGCTTACCTGCTCACCGTCGGGTCAACACTGAATACATCCCACGAGCTCCGCTTTTCGAAGAGGACTTCGATCCGAGATCCGAAGTTCGTCCACACACTCACTCGACCCTCTCGTGGATCGACACCTTTCCCAAAAAGAAACTGGAAGCTCGAGCCAGAATCCTATCAGATTGGTTCCAGGGCAAGCCGGAGCCAGTGGATCCAGGGGTCACAACACACCCCGGGGATTCTGACTCTGAGATAGAGCCTCACCGTCTGGCGCCCATGTCACACGCGCGCAAAAACACGACCTCGGGGACAGGTCGATTCTCCTTCTTCGGTCTGCGACGGCAGACGGAGAGCAAGCTTGACCCCCGGACCCGATCGACGATGAGTTTCTCAACATGGACATCGCCGAGGCTCTGGCCCTGCCGGATTCAGGAGCTACGACCAACGATGCAGCTCTAGATGCCTTGCGTGACCACGCCGACATGGTGCTGCGGCGCATGCAAGAAGCCTACAAGCAACGCACCTTTGCCATGCATCAGGCACTGGTTGACAAAAACGACAAGCTGGAGGAGCTCGAGGAGACCCGATCACGCGTCGACCATCTCAAGTCCCAGCTGGATGGCATGGCCGCCAAGGTGATGGAACAGGAGAAAGCCATGCAGGCCATGGCCGAAGAGTTGGAACAGGAGAAACAGCTCCGACGGCGGGATAATACCCGCAGTCGCAGCCGCACCATGCGAGGGAAGCCCACCGATGACGATATCCCTTCCCTTGTGCTGCAGACTCCGCACCGTGGCGGCAAGCGTGCCAGCCATGGCACTTTGACGAGCGACTCCGGCTTTGAGTCAGGCGATGAGAGCGTCGCCGACAGCGTTTTCTCGCAGCGCGAGGGCGTCGAGTCTCCGACCTCTACCCTCACTGCACCGTCTCCCAACCTGTCCCAGGTTGCCCTGTCCACGCCCGGCTCGACGCCCGCACCTGCTGTCCAGAAAAACCTCGCCTCAACTATGATGCCGCCGCCGCCTCCACGTTCCTCGACCTACGAACGAGTCATCAAGGGCCTTGCCTCGACGCGTCTTGGTAGCTCTCTCGGGAACTCGTCCCAGTGCAGCAACTGCCACGGTGTCCCGGCGTCAGAAGCATGGAGTGTTATGGGGGTTCTGAAGGATGAAAACAGGGGGTTGAAAACGCGACTAGGGGAGTTGGAATTGGTGATCGAAGACTGTCTGTGTCTCGTTGGTCCTTGATCAAGACCTGGTGTCTTTATACTGAGCGGGGAGTAGCTCTACTGGTCTAGGCATTTGACTCGTAATAATCTCAGGTAGATTTGGTATAATATATCGGGCTTTGAATTAATTTGTGTCAATTCATTTGTGGCAGCTCTTTGACAACTGTTGGCAGCTGGTGTCTCGAGTCGCAGGTCACTGTACTCCGAGTGTGGAGATAGCTCGAGGCTGCCATGAACACACCAGATGGCCCCCAGCTTGTCGCAGGATTAAAAAACACAGAAAAAAAAAAGAACCAGATAATTGGAAAAAGAGGTGAATCAATGAGAATCCAATCACCAGAGCTATCTGAACTGGGGTCATCGAGTCGGTTACGTTCGCCGTTCTGCAGAAGGGTGAAGACCAAGTGGCCTTAATTAGCGCGAAGCGAAAAGTGGCCAAACCTCGTTCCCTCTTCTTCCCTTCCCCCCAATTCCCGCCAACTCTTCTTCTTTTCCCCTTTCCTTTTTTTTTTTTTTTATTCCTCTTAATATTCAAGTCCTGCCGCTCCTTCAGCTGGCTTCTGATCCCAGCTTTCTTCATTTCCCTTGTTTTTGACGGATTGGGAGGAATTCAGTCACCATGAGCGGCCGTGAGTTCCCAACCCTCTCTCCCAGCACGCGATCGCAGCAATCCACGCCGGATTGACCCCAATGGATTTGGAAATACTGATGGAGGGTTATAGTACGCTTTTTGGACTTGATCAAGCCCTTTACGCCCCTCCTGCCGGAGGTGGCAGCTCCTGAGACCAAGGTGCCCTTCAACCAAAAGTTGATGTGGACTGGGGTACGTCGCTTCGATTCTGTGTTTGTGGAAAGTGAACTTAGATACTAATGAAGACACTCTGCAGTTGACTCTTATGATCTTCTTGGTCATGAGTCAGATGCCCCTGTACGGCATTGTGTCCTCCGACACCTCGGACCCCCTGTACTGGCTTCGTATGATGCTGGCCAGTAACCGGGGTACTCTCATGGAGTTGGGTATCACCCCTATCATCTCCTCTGGCATGGTCTTCCAGGTATGTAAACCCAAGAATCAATTGTTCCTTGGCCGCTGCGACATTCATACTGACATTCGGTTTTCTCTGCTAGCTCCTTGCCGGTACCCACCTCATCGACGTCAACCTTGACCTCAAGACCGACCGTGAGCTCTACCAGACCGCTCAGAAGCTCTTTGCCATCATCCTCTCCTTCGGCCAGGCCTGCGTCTACGTTTTGACTGGTCTCTATGGCCAGCCCAGCGACCTGGGTGCCGGTATTTGTGTTCTCCTCATTGTCCAGCTGGTCGTTGCGGGTCTCGTGGTTATCTTGCTGGATGAGTTGCTCCAGAAGGGCTATGGTCTTGGTAGCGGTATCTCGCTTTTCATCGCGACCAACATTTGCGAGTCGATCGTCTGGAAAGCTTTCTCGCCCACCACCATCAACACCGGCCGTGGCCCCGAATTCGAGGGCGCCATCATCGCTCTGTTCCACCTGCTCCTCACCTGGCCCGACAAGCAGCGCGCCCTGTACGAGGCCTTCTACCGCCAGAACCTGCCCAACGTCATGAACCTGCTGGCCACTCTCCTGGTCTTCGCCGCCGTCATCTACCTGCAGGGCTTCAGGGTCGAGATCCCCGTCAAGTCCTCCCGTCAGCGTGGTATGCGCGGTTCTTACCCCGTCCGTCTCTTCTACACCTCGAACATGCCCATCATGCTCCAGTCCGCTCTGTGCTCCAACATCTTCCTGATCAGCCAGATGCTGTACTCGCGCTTCTCGGACAACCTGCTTGTCAAGCTCCTCGGAGTCTGGGAGCCCCGTGAGGGCTCTGCCCAGCTCTACGCTGCCTCGGGTATTGCCTACTACATGTCGCCCCCGCTGAACTTCAAGGAGGCTCTGCTTGACCCCATCCACACCGCCGTCTATATCGCTTTCATGCTGGTTGCCTGCGCGCTCTTCTCCAAGACCTGGATTGAGGTTTCCGGCTCTGCCCCCCGTGACGTTGCCAAGCAGCTCAAGGACCAGGGCCTGGTCATGTCTGGTCACCGTGAGCAGAGCATGTACAAGGAGCTCAAGCGTGTGATCCCCACTGCTGCCGCTTTCGGTGGTGCTTGCATTGGTGCTCTGTCCGTCGCCTCTGACCTCCTTGGTGCCTTGGGCAGCGGTACTGGTATCCTCCTGGCTGTGACGTGAGTTTCCACTATCTTCGTCCAATATTACCATATATCGTTCATACTAACAATCCTTGACAGGATCATCTACGGATACTTCGAAATTGCCGCCCGCGAGGGTGACATCGGCTCAGGCCTGAAGGGTCTCGTCCCTGGCAGCTAGACTAGGAGACTGTTGTTTCAAGAGCCTTACTAAAGCCACTTTGTGACTTTGTGGTCTTTTGCATGTCTCTGCTTAGTTTCTGTCACTATCCTTCTTTTGCCCGCTCTTCGTTATAGTATTTTTTGGGTGAACGGATTGGGGTGCTCTTTGCTGCGGCTTGACTGGAATAGCACCTCGACTTGATATTTGGTTTTGACGTGCTTATTCCTGTCTCTGCGCTTAGAGCTATGTCGACGGGACCGTGTATGAGTACCTTATATTGGGTAGTGCAGTGGAAAGAAGGCATTGGTGGGAGGCGTTCGGGTCTCTTGTCGCCGTCGACATACCAACGATTCATACACCCTGTTCAGGGTCCTGTAACCATACTTATCTGAAAAGCCAAAATCAATCTACTTTGCCTTGAGCTCGTTGGTCATAGACAGGAATAGTTTGAGTTTGATGTAGCAAAAACTGGCGAGCATAGTAGATCGGAATGCATTTTGACTCTGTCAAGCAATGTGCTACTGGGTGAGTAGACACGCATGTAGTATATCGTTACTCTTCCCAGAGATTGACAACTACTCTTAAGTCCGGTAGTCCCCGTTGATAGTCACATACTCGTGACTGAAATCGCAGAACCAATACACTGCATCCTCGCCGTCACACCCAGCAGCACCCTGGTCTCCACCACCGAGATCGATTTCAATCTCCAAGTCCTCGTTCTGCAGAATCGCACTAGCCCGAGTCTCATCCACAGTCTCAGGCTCTCCGTTCACCAACAGCTTGAGGATAGGGCTACCATCAACAGGACGGAAGCTCACCGAAGTGCGCTCAGGCACGACGGTGCCGTCACGCACACCCTGCGTATAGCCAACAGCGCACAGGATACGGCCCCAGTTAGCGTCACGGCCGTACAGAGCAGTCTTCACGAGCGGCGAGCGCGCAATCGTAGACGCGATCTGGTGCGCGGACTCGTAGTCCGGCGAGTTGCGCACGCGCACGGTCACGAACTTGGTTGCGCCCTCGCCGTCGCGCACCACCAGCTGCGACAGCTGCTGCGCGAAATCGGTCAGCACCGTCTGCAGCGCGGTGTAGTCGGCGCTGGCGGGTGCAGACGAGGAGGGCGCTTGCACGGTCTCGCCGCCGGCGGCGCCATTGGCTAGCACGGCAATCGTGTCGTTCGTGCTGGTGTCGCCGTCGATCGAGATCGAGTTGAAGGATCGTGATACGGCGTGCTTCAGGAGCGATTGCAGCGCTTCGGGCGAGACGGCGGCGTCTGTGCAGACTACGCCCAGTAGCGTTGCCATGTTCGGGTGGATCATGCCCGCGCCTTTGGTCATGCCTGCTAGCCGGTAGGTGCGGTCTGGTGCTGAGGGAAGCGTGAAGGTTCGGGAGAGAAGCTTGGGGAAGGTGTCGGTTGTGCAGATAGCCCGGGCTGTGGTCAGCCAGGCATCGTGTGATGAGGCGAGGTTGGCGTGGGCAGTGGGGATGCGGTCGATGATCTTGCTGATGGGCAGTCTAGATGAGAGGTATATGAATTAGTTTTGCAAGTCCTGAAATCTCACTTTCTTTCTCCCTCTCTCTCTCCCCTCTCTAGGGCAATAGACTCACCGCTGCCCAATCACTCCCGTGCTCATAACCAGGGAGCTATTCTTCTCGACTCCACTGCACTCATCCACCTTATGGCCCATCTGCACCGCATCCTCCAGCCCACCCTTGCCAGTTACGGCATTGGCGCAGCCAGAGTTGATCACCACCGCCCGGATCCCCTTTCCCTGACGAGTCCGCAGCGTCTCCCGGCTCACCTGCACTGGCGCAGCCTGGAATTTGTTGGTCGTGAACACAGCGGCGGCCGAGCACGGCGTCTCGGAGGCGATCAGCGCCAGGTCCGGGAACCGGGTGTTGGACGCCTTGACGCCGACGTGTGTGCCGGAGACCTGGAAACCCTGAGGATAGGTGCCCGCCGTGGGGATGTAGCGCTGCTTGGACGCCGGGATGGCCATGTCCAAGGGTGCGGAGTAGCAACGGACTTGGCCCTTGAGCATACGCGCGAACGAGGTAGCCACCATGATGGCGGATTGGGGGTGCGAAGCCATGTGTGATGTGTGTCAAGAGAGAGGCCTATCGCATATTCTGTCAGGATACGTTTTTCCTCGGGGTTGTCGTTCTTATCGGGGGGAGCACTGTGAGTCACTTACGGCGCAGGAAAAAAAAGTGACCCGGTCTCGGAGTTCCTCTCTCGGAACGCAATTGCTCACAGCTCACAGCCCACAGCTGCTTGGGGATGCTGGGACTTGATTCCCCAAGAATTGAGGTAGTTCTTGTCCAGTGGTGATTTTGGCGAGAGAATATTGTGAGCCAACAAGCTGGTCGACTCCCGCTCTACTCACATGACCGGGGAGAACAAAGTAGAAGTTGTGGAGGTAGATGAGGGTTATTGAATTACAAAGCTATTAAGCTATTTACCAGCTGAGACCAGCAGTATCTCAAGCATCAGAAGATATAAGCGCCTATCTCAAATCTACATACTGTAAGTTGTGATGTCAACAGCCAACGGAGTCGGAGAAACCCCATCGGTCAATGAAACCTGCCCTTACTGACTCCAGCACATTCCAGCCGACAGCAAGTGCCAGGCACGAGAACCGTCCTTGACCCCTTAGCCAAGCGTCCCCCTTGCGTCCCGACCCTGGACACATTCTCCGGATCTCATGGTATTGTTGATTCCTGTCCCCATCTCTTGCGAAGAGCCCGTGTTCTGACTCGCCCGCCATGAAGCGCAAGCTGTCGGATTCCGGTCTGGAAAATGACCAGTCACTCGCTTCGACCCCGAAGAGACAGCGGAAGACGCTGGGGCAGACCAATGGCGCTCGAAATGGCCATGCGTCTAACCCCCCAGTCACGAACGGCGATGCCTCCTACGAGCTCCCACGCGGCCAGTCCACCCCGAAGAAAGCCAACGGCGTGACTGCAACCTCATTAAAAGAGTCTGGATTGAAGACACCCACCCACAAATCCAAGGCCAGGTCTCTATTTGCAACTCCAACAAAGCCCAAGTCCGTTGCTGCGGCCACGCCGACGCGCGCGAAGAACGCTGACCGGTCGGCGAAGAAGAAGAGTGCCCGGGTGTTGTTCGAGCAGGATGAGGATGGCGCTTGGGATGGGTCGGAGCGGCTTGCGGAGGAGATTCTCCAGGATGATGATGCCGAAGCAGAGAAGTTGGGCGAGCCCGTAACGGATAGTATCGAAGCAGGCGCAGAGCAGCCGCTAGCAAAGGACACAAAAGCACCCAAGCGCCGCGCAGGTCGACCCAAGGGCGCTCGGAACAAGCGTTCCCCAACGCCAGAGGGCGAACTCCCGGCGCACGAGCGGTACTTCTTCCAGAACCGCGCCGGTCCCGTCAAGACGTCCAATATGACCCTGAACAAGGTCCCGCTGTTGACACACGAGGAGTATTTTGAGAAACTGCGGCAATATGTCGACCCATGCCGGGATGAAAAGGAGTACTTGCTTGCCCTACACCATCGCTCATTTCCGCAGTGGTCCTTTGAGTTCGACGAAGGGTTTAATATCTGTTTGTTTGGATATGGGTCCAAACGCAAGCTCGTGCAGCAGTTTGCCGACTGGGTCTATACCTACCGGGGTGTGTCCTCCACGCCGCCTGCCATTGTCATAGTCAATGGCTACACGCCGGGCATTTCGATCCGGTCGATCTTCGCCACGATCGCCACCGCTGTGCTGGGGGACGAGCTGCCCGCCAAGCTTGGCTCCCAGCCCACCGAGGTGCTGGAGCTGCTACAGTCGGCTCTGAAGACTCGCCCGGCTCATGAAGAGCCCGTCACAGTACTTATCAACTCCGTCGACGCTCCGCCTCTTCGGCGTGCGGCCAACCAGGCCCTCCTTGCTCGTCTGGCCGCCACGCCGCGTGTCCGCCTCCTTATGACGGCCGACACGCCCAACTTCCCGCTCATGTGGGATATCAGCGTACGGGACCAGTTCAATCTCGTCTGCCACGACTCCACGACATTCTCTCCTTTTGCCGTTGAGACCGATGTTGTCGAAGAGGTTCACGCACTCCTTGGCCGCAAGGGCCGTCGGATCGGCGGAAAAGAGGGTGTGGGATTTGTGCTTAAGAGTCTGCCCGAAAACGCGCGGAACCTGTACCGCCTGCTACTGACGGAGCTGGTGTCTGTAATGGATGACGGCCACCAGTCCGACGAGGAAGCCCCGGCCGACGGAACTGGGGGCAAGAGTCCCGATGAAGTGGGTATTGAGTTCCGTCTGCTCTACCAGAAGGCCACGGAAGAGTTCATCGCGTCTTCCGAGATGATGTTCCGTACGCTGCTGAAGGAGTTCCACGACCACCAGATGATCACGTCGCGCCTGGACGCGAGCGGCATGGAGGTTCTGGGGGTTCCATTGTCGCGAGACGAGATGGAGGGCGTGTTGGAAGATTTGGTGCTGGGATAAACTTATATTTCTGTCGGGTATCGAGTAGATCCCGCATTCATGATACCCCTTGTATGAATATCACACTATGTATTGATTCACACGTTGAGTGTAATTTAGTTAAAAGATCGCGCGTTTTCATATTATGTACAAACTGTTGTCTTTCCTTGAATGTCTTAGAACTCTCCAAATGCTGCCAGCGCCATCATCGCCCCGAAGCTGACCTTGAACGGCCGGTGCTCGGACATGGCGCGGCGCAAGTCGACATTCTTGATGTAGCGTTGCAACCGGTTCAAGGGAAGGATATTGTAGCCTTTAGATGCCGCCCACTATATCAATCATAGTATTAGTACTTGGTACATCACCAATATATACACCCGTGAGCTAAAAGAGTGTTCCTAGGAAACAGAAACTGAAAACAGAGAAACATACCTCAACCAGTACAACCCCCATCCCCAGAACAACCACCAGAACCCGTGAAACAGCGCGCAACCCCACGCCCGCCACAAGCCCCAACATACTCCCCAGACTCACTTGGCGCAGATTCCGCGCCGTCAAGAGCCCATGACCCGCGGAGCCGCCGGCCCTCGTGCGGCCCTGCTTCTGGAGAATAGGGTCGTTGGCGTTGACGGCCCAGCCGGTTTCGGTGCTGGTCGCGGACTCGGGTCGGTAGTAGGGCGCGCTGTACTGGCATTGCAGGGGCGCGGAGCGGAAGGGTGAGAGTGGGTGGAAGGTTGCGGCGGAGAGGCCCGCGCCTAGACCGAGGCCGAGGCGGAGGATTGTGGAGGGTGGGGAGGTGAAGAGGGAGAAGGCCATGGTGGTTTCTGTTTTTGTCTTTGGGCTGTTGCTTTATGAAATTCTGGAAGACTTTGGAGGTGGTTGTTTGTAATTGTAAGAGTTGGAGGATAAGGACAGGGCGAGAGCAAGGTAAGCTGGGGACGCGATAAGATACATACCGAGTGACATCATGGCTGGTCAGCTTGGCTTGCTCTTGTTTTGTATGACATTGCCCAATTGGATGATCCTGTACGTTTTGTCATGCTCCCAATTGCAACCTCAAGGGTTGTTTTGTTTAGCGCTAGCGATGTATACTTGTTTTTACCTCGGGTGGTTTGGCTTAGAGCTCTCTATAGACTCTTCGGTGCCATGACTGACACCTATGACTTTTGACACGCGATTCAGTTTTTAAACTGGAATCTCTCTGTATATAAAATTGAAATATTGATCGATATTGATTTAGAGAACACCTCTCCATCAACTAATCACCCTGAAAAGGGAGAATCGGAATCTCAACTTGGCACTTGCACAGGCCACCACTACAACCATCCGTGAACCACCTACCTGCCCGCGGGAGCGCACCCACTACTTTGAGCATCGTCCATATTTCTGGACATCTGGTGTCTATCTAGAATGTTTTGAATCTGGCGTTACACTACTCACATATCCCATCTTAAGCCCTATCCTTGCCCGTATTCCTCCTTGCACAAGGGTTGCATAAGCCATTCTATTCACCCAACTGCTCAACTGCCTGCTCTGGGTAATAACTGCAGGAGACTGTCATCATCACCTCGGTGAAGCCAGAATCTCATACAATTATTCCCTACAGAATGGTATGGGCTGATCGATCCCACGGAGAAAATCGAGGAGACACTCCCCACTCATTGCTCTTCGAAGTACTATCCCACCAAGATGGGCGAAGTTCTGAACAATCGTTATCAGAGTACTACAAAGATCGATTATGGCGTGGCATCCACAGTCTGGCTTACCCGTGACTTGAGGTATGTACGTTTTTGCTTTCTATTTAGCGCAGCAACTTACTAGGCCAGCAGTGCATCCCAATACGTTGTTTTGAAGATTCATACTCATGGTTCCGAGAGAGACCATGAGCTAAATGTCTATGAGCACATAAATTTAATCCAAACAGATCACCCCGGAAAAACTTACATACGCAAACTCTTGGGTCATTTTTACACAAAGGGTCCCCATGGCCGGCACTCATGTCTTGTTCACCACTCGGGATGACGCTAGATCAGTATATGTGCTTCTTTCCAGGGAAGGTCATGGGATTCGATGATATGAAAGCCTGCATTCGTCAACTTATTGCAACCGTTGACTTTCTACACAGCGAGGCGCGAATCATCCACACAGGTGAGCTCCCCTATTGTAATGAACATAAGGAACTAAGAGTTGACATAGTCAAGATCTGCAATTAAGAAATCTTCTCCTGAATGTGGAGGAGTCATATCTTCCAAAAACCGAACAGGGCCAAATGGATGACCCTCCTGCTCGGAAAATCCTGAGTGATGGCCGGACGATCTACCAAAGCCAGCTGCTTATTCCGGGCGATGGATTGCCTCTTCTCGGTGACCTCAGAGAATGCTGATTCATAGGAGATGGAGACCCCCACAAAGATGATATTATGCCCAACCAATATAGGGCTCCTGAGGTCGTACTCAAAATGAGTTGGGACCAAAAGGTGGACGTCTGGAACATGGCTCTGGTCGTGAGTCAACGAATCTCATTGCCCTTCCCAAAATTTGTGAAAACGAATGCCTTAATAAATCAATCATACTAGGCCTGGGATATCGTCTCTACCCGGAGTCTTTTTCAAGGTCGGAATACAGACGGTATCTTTGATGACCGGGTTGACATTGCTGAGATGATCGCTCTCGTTGGATCTCCTCCTCCGGAATTTTTTCACAGGAGCGAGGTCGGCTATGTCTTCTGGGATAAAAATGGCAGGCCCTCTTGTCTTCCTGCGCTTGTCAAATTTAATAATTGGGGGGGGTGTTCTCTCTCTCCAGGAACTGGAAAGATCTCGCACCGGTTTCCGATATCACACTCGAGAGTTTGGGTGCCAAAATCCAAGGCGACAATAAGGAAAGCTTTTTCTGGTGGTAACGAAAGGCACTGCAATGGAACCCCGAGGATAGACCAACAGCCCACGACCTCATGTTTAACGAGTGGTTGTTAGAAGGCTTGCCCATTTCGAAACGTGCAGAGGAACCATCTAGTCAGCAATCTTAGCCATTCTTGGCTCTTTTGAGGGCTAGAATGTGGAAAACGAGATGCTTGGTTATGCTTCTATATCCCCACTACTTCCTCTACTCTGCTATACCTGCCTAAATAGGCAACCGAGGGCAACCCCAGTTTCAAGCAGGCGGTCAGTATTCCGGGGTGTATATAATACCGTAATATACCGTATTGCCCCGTGCCCGCGGGAAACTGCAGACGGCGAGGCCAAATTGCCGCGAGGGGCAGCCCCGGTGTGATTGGCGGCAGAGTTTGGGGGAAGTGTATTTCTTATGGTTTTTTGACTCACTTTTTTTCCTGCTCTTTTTCTCTTTTCTTTCTCATTTATTCTTTCGGCTTTTTCTACTTAATTCTTCTCTCCCAATCTTCCATTATGGCTACTCAGAATGGCACCACCGCCAATGATTTCACCGTCAAGGCCGGTCTGGCGCAGATGTTGAAGGGTGGCGTGATCATGGATGTGGTCGACGCAGAGCAGGTACGCAGCAATTGATGATATCCCAGAATCGCAGAGTCTCTTCAAGGGAGCAGTTTTGCTGATGTTATTACTTGACTAAGGCCCGCATTGCTGAAGAGGCCGGTGCCGCCGCCGTCATGGCCCTCGAGCGAGTCCCCGCCGATATCCGTGTCCAGGGAGGCGTGGCGCGCATGTCCGACCCCAGCATGATCAAGGGCATTATGGACGCCGTGACCATCCCGGTGATGGCCAAAGCTCGCATTGGACACTTTGTGGAATGCCAGGTGCGTGGTTGTTATCTACAGGGAGGGTGAGGGGTAAACTATGCGGGGGGATATCCAAGCTGACAATGTTCCTGGGAGTAGATCCTCGAGTCCATTGGCGTGGACTACATCGACGAGTCCGAGGTCCTGACCCCCGCCGACGATGTCTACCATGTCACCAAGACCCCCTTCAAGGTGCCCTTCGTCTGCGGCTGTCGCAACCTGGGCGAGGCCCTGCGCCGCATCTCCGAGGGTGCCGCCATGATCCGCACCAAGGGCGAGGCAGGCACTGGTGACGTTGTCGAGGCCGTAAAGCACATGCGCACCGTGAACGCGCAGATCAGCCGTGCCCGCGGCATCTTGCTGGCCAGCCAGGACCCCGAGCCCGAGCTGCGCGCTTTCGCTCGTGAGCTGGAGGCCCCCTACGAGCTCCTTCGTGAGGCCGCCGAGAAGGGCCGTCTCCCCGTGGTCAACTTCGCTGCCGGTGGTGTGGCCACCCCCGCCGATGCGGCGCTGATGATGCAGCTGGGCTGTGACGGTGTCTTCGTCGGCTCCGGCATTTTCAAGTCTGGTGACGCCAAGAAGCGTGCTCGCGCCATTGTGCAGGCCGTCACTCACTACAAGGACCCCAAGGTTCTGGCTCAGGTCAGCGAGGGCCTGGGTGAGGCCATGGTCGGCATTAATGTGCAGAAGATGGACGAGGGCGAGAAGCTGGCCAAGCGCGGCTGGTAGAGTGCTTTTTTGTTCTGTCTTTTTTTTCGGCTTGGCCCGGGTCTGGGCCTCACAAAATATTTTCTTGTACATGAGCCACGATCGGATGCGTTTGCATGATATATACAATTTAGAGATTTCGCCACTGCGGAATGGTTCTACCTCTAAATTACCCAGTAGTCCTAGGGGTTGCTGTATACTACCTTCCCGCAGGTTGTAAATGCAAATAACTAAAAGTATGGACTTTTTTGAAAAAAGTGAACCCCTAGTTGTTTATAGTACAAGAAATATGTGACCGCACCGAAACAATTCCCCAATTGTTTCCTAGTGGTTGAATTAATCGGGATGGACATAGAGAAGAAAAAGAGGTAAGGATTTATAAAGGATTCATAAAGGATTAGAAAAAGGATTCCAAGGTTAAGAAAGCCGTCTGAGCAAAGCGAGGGTCAGCGGCTTGTAGTGAACAAGGAAGTGAGTCACATCAGTAATCAGTATAGATAGAGGGTAGCACATCGGGCGAGGTCACCGTCTGCTGATAGGCCCTCCACACCGAGTCACCGATCGCCAACGGGGAAGAAGGCCCCAACTCCGGGATCTGCTGTCAGAATGCCGAATCGACCACTGGCCTGCAATGAGATTGATCTTCGTTTGTATCACTCCGAGGATATCCGCCTCGAATAAGGTATTCGCCACGATTCTATCCCCCCAAGGTTCTTCACTTCGGGGATCGGTATTGGTTATACCGAGTGTGTATTTCAGCTTACTGGTTTTAACAGGAATCGTAAATATTGGGTGGTGGGAAGACAACTGAAGTCATGGTCTGTGGCGGTGGCCATCTTGTGGAGGTATATAATGTGGTTTCATAGGGAGGTTGGTTCGTGGTGTTGATGGTTATTCTTAGGTTATAGATTGGGCATTAAGAATTCTCAGAGTTTACAAGAACACAAATCATATATTATGAGGGTGGAAGTAGGAATGGAAGTAGAAATCGAGACTTACCAGGTTAAAATAGACTATTAAATGAGTCTATACCTACTAGGTACAATATCCTTGAAGATAATTTTATATTCAATCTCTGTTGTCTAAGTGCAATTAAAGAAGTTAGTAATGGACGATCAGCGGAAAAGAACCCCGTCCCAAGCTTATCGATCAGAGCTGGGATCCCCCGAACTTTGTTGCAATCATGACACGGGCATCAACATTCTCATATATCCCCAACCCAGCTTTTCCTTCTTCTTCTTCTTCTTCTTCTTCTTCTTCCTCCTCCTCCTATTGTTCTTCTACAATTACCTCTCACCCAGAACTTACCATCCACCAAAATGGCCACTCCAGACACCAACCCCAGCCAAACACCCAGCATCTCATCCCCGCAAACCAATCCCCTCCCCTTCTACGATTCCAACTTCACCACCTCCAACACCAACAACACTACCAGCAACAACAAAAACAACAATGAATCCTCCATCTCATCCATCCGTCAAACCCTCAAAACCCTCCTCTCCCATCTCCCACCAGCCCTAACAACAGCCCTGACCAACCTCCTCACCCTCTCAACCCAACACCCCCACCTATCAACCTTCATCCTAAGCCAAACCCTCTGCGCTGCAATCCCACTGCTCCTCTTCTTCTTCGGCGTCATCATCACCGCACTGGTCGCCGTGGTCATCGCCGTGGTGATCTTTGTTGATGCATCGCAGCTGGTTTTGATTCCGGTGCTGATGATGTCGTCTGTCTTTGCGACTGTAATCTGGGGATGGAGTTGGGCGGTTTATTTGGGTGGGAGCTGGGTTTTGCGGGTTTGTTCGGGGTCCGGACAGAGAGGGCGAGAGGGAGAGGGAGAAAGAGAAGTGGAGGGGAGGATGGATTGGTTGGATGAAGGTGGTACTGGTGGTGGTGCTGGGGAGACAGGTCAGAAGTATGATCGTGGGAAGGATGGTGCTACGACCAATATCAAATTGGAAACTGCTGATATTGCTACGGAGCTGGGCTCTGTGCCGGAGAAGGGGGTTGGGGAGCCCAGTGAGAAGTAGAGTGGAATTTGGGTTCTCTGATATCATTCTGGTATATCCCGGAGGATATCTGTGCTTGCTAGATGCGAAGATCTATTTCGACTTCCACGATACAATGCATGGTCTTTTCATTGCGAACCCGCACAATATCCAAGACATTGTATAACGCCGAACTCAACGATATACATCAGACTTCCGAGGATCTATATATACTCTTGGAAATAGTCCATGTCCTACACGGCACCCATGACAAGAAAAGTCTCATGATCATTATACATTGCAACACTCAAATGTCTACACCGATTCCCCCCATGCAACCCACCGCCGCACACACTCATCCACCCCCCGCAGCGCCTCCTTCGCCGCCGCAACCTCAAACCACTCGCGATGCTCCTTGCCACACTCCCCACACCGACCCAGGTCACGCACGCGTAGATCCGCAAGCTCTAGGTGAATGAGTCGCTCCACACGATGAACATGCGGGACTTTACATCCTGGCATCCCGGCCTCGGCAGAGTTGTGCTTTTGCTGATCTGGGCGGGGCCGATATGGGGGTCTGCGCGCGGGAGAAGAAGATGTAGATGCAGAAGCAGACGCGTGTTGTCCTATTGAAGATGGCATGTATGGATAGTAGCGGATCAGGGTGAGGTCGTGTGAGCACTGTCTGGTCCACTCCGTGAGCCGGCGATGAACATTCCCCGTGCGCCCAATCTTGAGCCGGAGTGTCCCCGGCGAGGTAGATGTTGGACTGGAGATTAGGGCATTGAGGTCCTGTGCAGCGCGGATGGCCTCGCTGACGCTGCGTGGTTGGGCTGGTGGGCGGAGAGTGCTCGACGGCCCCGGGTCGGCAGGGAGCAACGACGATGCTATTTCTCTCGATGGACGGGCCGCTGAGCTACCCCGAGGACTGGCTGTTGTCGGAGGCGTCACCCAGAACATGTAGATGTATCCTTCTTCGTCGGCGCTGGAGATGGGCTTGGCCATCTCGGTGAGTAAAAGCGAGGTCGTCTGGGGCGAGAGCGTCGACGGTATCCATGAGAGCAGGGACTGGGTGTGCGAGGAGCACGATGATGAGTTCTTGTGGTGGCGACGACCATCCCTCGAGCTGGTGGGAGCGGAAGATACTCGCGGCCTGGGAGATGAGGGTACTCGCACATAGTGCGGGGGTCCGGCATTGCTTGGTCGCGGAGCTCGCTGGTAGGGACTCTGAGGAGATAGCGAGAGCCCTGGTACCGGGCGAGTTGGTAGAGTTGTATGGACAGGTTTTGAAGGAGGCTGGAAGTCCTCATCGTCTTCGTCGACAACCTCGAAGCAGCAGAACGTTCTCTTGGGTGCTGGTCGACGCTTCTTTTTCTCGCCGCAGTTCGCGCTACTTGTGATCTTGGAGCCCCTGCGATGGGTCTTGTGGGAGACTGGTTGCTCATCTTTGATCTCAAGAACCCCCAGCCGGTCCATCAGGGTGTCGATGCTGGTTCTGGGCTCGACTTGAGCATTGGAAGTGCTGCATGCTATGGAGGACATCGCCTGATCCTTATGCTGCCAGCAATACAGCGAGGCTAGATCTGTGCCATAGCATGGTCCCTTTCTCGGGGTTGCTGCTAGCCCCCGGCGACAGGGCCGACCATTTGCTGTGATGCCTCTACAGGTGGTGGCCGGGTTTCGAGAGTCGGTGCGAGGGAGCAGAGACTCGGGAGTATTTGTGATTTGAGGCATGCAGAGACTACCTCAAGATAACAAGAACCAAACCAAGGCAACAGACAGAGTAAGGCCAGGGTTGTCAACTGCAAAGCAGCTTCAGCCTGGGAGGTGCCATGATGCCTGTGCGGTGAGCGCAGGAATGTTGTGGAAATGCATTGGGCGCAGCTCCACTTGCATGAAATGCCCAGCCCAGTGGGTAATCATAGGAATAATAGTCACCACAGCCATCGCAGTAGCTGCAGTAGGCAACGGTCCAAGTCCGAGGCTATTTTGAAACACGGTGGCGGTGCACTGTGGCGGAGACAAAATTATACAACAAAAATATAAAATAATCAAAAACGTAATAATTGATTGCGCCAGAAACATTCATGCAAATGGATATCTAAATGAATTGCAAATTTCACCCACAACTCCAGCATCATGCCATCCTGCCAGCATCCGAACTCTTCTTTATTGGGCATAATCAAAGGTCATACCACGACATTTCAGCCAGAAGGAGCGCACAAGGTCGAGCGACTGTTGTTTAGCTCCTCGGGCCACAACAAGAGACCCAAGAAATCGTGATTTATCATGTGGCGACAGAGGTGACCCTTGCTGCCCATTTCCATTTGGCAACAGATTGTCCAAGGACTCGAGCGCAGCGTTCAGGCTCGGACGTGCCAAGCCCATTTTCTTGAAAATGGTACGCCGAAGTACATCGTTCAGCGAAAGCAGGTCAGAGCGTGAGCACCGACCCGCAATCTGCTGGATTAGGGCGCCGCATAGAGGAGGAATGAACTGCTCGAGGACAGATTGAATGGCCATGGTTTCTTCCTCGGTGCTGCCCCGGAGATCCATCACAGCCACCCAGAACGTAGAGGCAGAGCGGAGTGGAAGAGGTTCAGGCCGAGTCAAGGCATGAAGCGTAAAATTCAGCAACACTGCGAGAATGGGCGGGCGCGGGGACCCCGAATCAGAAGCTGGCGCCGAAAGTGGTTCTGTCAGGGAAAACAGAATCGAGTAGTATTTTGGCAGCAGACGTGCCAAAAAGTCGATACCGGCATTGGCAGTCTCGGGGTCGTACATATCCGGGTTCTCTAGCATTGAAGAGAATAGTTGGGCCACATGGACAATCAATGCCACGGCCTCGTTCCGGATTTGCAGCGCGTGGGAAGCGTGCGAGGCCAGAAACGAGGAAGCAGTGGCCATGATGACATCTGTGCCTGAGATTCCGAGCGGGAAGCTTTTGATGAAATCCACGGTCAAGGACGGCGGGAAAACAAACAGCCCAGATGACTCGGTGTATCCGGCCTTTAAGATGTCGCAAGCTGCATCAATGATGTTATTATCGACGGGAAAGTCGACGATTAGGAGCCGCATTGACTCCATAATGAGGCGTTGTGTTTCAGCACCCGGTCCAGCGTTCCAAAACGACGGGCGGTACGGGTTTCCATCCTGCGTTTCCTCAATGTTGATGACATCGTCACTATCTGCCCGAAGTCCCTTTCCGATGCTGGCGATACAGCTCAAAACAAGGTGGCCGCGAGCACGGGCAAATTCATACCCAGATCCTGCCGCTTCGTCGCGTGCCGTGCTGGCTTCCTGGACAAAGAACCCCAATATCCTCTCCAATGTCTGCACTTTCTCCTGGTCGGTAGACAGATTTTGTATGATGGTGGCAATTCCTTCCAGGACCTTGGGCATCGTGAAGACCGTTGCTGTCGGCTTAGTCTCAAATCTATCCAGTTGATCGAGAAACGCGGGCAGCTCCGCCGTTAAGACGCGGGAGCACGACTTGGACAGGGTGAGAATAGAGCGTGACGCTGCCTGAGCACACGACTCAAAGTTGAGAGAATCAAATAGGATATTCAGAACTCCCGGCAGAAGTGAATGGTGGCGTTCAAAGTACGACTCGTATTTGCCGAATGCATCTACCAAGGTCTGGCGAGCCTTGAGTGGTAGACCCGTCTCTTCACCTGCACAGAGTTGGGTAAAGGTATCACTGCCAAAGATGGCATCTAGACACTGATCAGCGTGCCCATTTTCATCAACTGCTTCAGAAAGCTGAGCAATGCAGAACATGGCTGCCTCGAAACTGCGCCAATCCCGGTTTCGTAGGTTGGTTGTTGCGCTTTCTTGGAAGACACCCACGAGCTCAACACCAAGGACTGGATAGGCTGAGAGTAGGTAGTCACAAGCCTCGTAACGGAAAGCGTTGAATTCACCCCGCTCTTCATCGGTCCATCCCTCGAGATCTGTGACAGCGGGATATAGCAGTTTGTTAAACACTCCAAGGACAACCTGGGCCAAGTGGCCTTTCACCACTTGATACCTGGGGTTATCTGTCTCCAGCTGATCTGGGAGACACTCTGCGATATCGTTCCAATACTCCAGAACCCGCGGTGTTGCGAGATCATCAATTGCCGCATAGCCCGGAGTTTGGAAAATGTCATGCACAAGTGTGAGGATCTCGACGTTCTGGGATGTCATTGGGTCACTGAAAAGCTCCATTTGTAGTGAAGAGACATATGCCACCATGAGGTCCACAAATGCCATGTTCTCGGAGATTTCATCCCCATTCTTTACCGACACGATGTGCATGGTCACAGCAGAATGGGCCAGGATATCAGAGAGCATCCATAATGAGTTGCCGTCAAAAGCCCAAGAACGACTCTCAAAAGCTGATGTCAGGATGGATGCTGCGCTCTCACTGAGGCTAGGTACTCTGAGCGCTTCGATGATATTTTGACCACAGACGATTGCTAGATTATGAGTTTTGTCTGTATCAGTAGAACGTTGGAAATTTCCATAAACACCGAGCCATGTCTAGCAATGGCAAGTCAGCGATAAACCGCTTAGAAGTGAAGCCAATCTCAGTTAAGCATATCTCACCTTCCAAGCCCCCATGGCCTCAGAACCAAGGGTCAGGTCAACCGCATTATCATCGGCAACATTGACCTGATGAACAAGCTGCTGCAGTATATATTGAACCAGGAGGAGCCCATCCTTGGTATTGAGGACAGCCCGTTGGATGACAGACCCGTCAACCGCCAAGTCTTGAGGTTCAGCATCTAAGCGCAAAGTCTCCTCAGCGAGAGCCACTGAAAAGAATACTAGTGCAACAGCCTGCTCTTTTGCCATGGCTGGCAGGACACCATTGAAGAAATCCACTGTCTGACACTCTTCCTCCGATACATATCCCCCATGGACAAGGCTTGCTGCAACCTGCCACAAAGCCCGTTTCCATAGGGATGCTGGATGCCGAAAGATAGTTACCAGGCTCGAAGCTAGCTTTCTCGTCACCATTGCCTGCTCACCCCGGTTGACCCGGGTGACAAAATGATTAACCAGGTGATGCATGACTTGAACGGCCATATCTTCTGTAATGTCACTCCTAAAAGTCAAGTTCAGAAACCAATATCAAAGAATGGAAGTGAAGTATACATTAAAAAGGACATGGCGGGAACCTACCATGAAACATTAATCTTCACCGTAAAGGTGAGCGCACCGATGAAGCGATGATGGGGAGAGCCATCTTTTTGGAGGAGTGAGTCAGCAACAGCCCAGGCATGGTCACCTTTCTGAAGCTGTTGAAGACGGGCTTGGATCTCGTTGATCCTGGTGGGGTTTCGCTGGTTGGTGGGAAGGTACAATTCTGACACTAGCTGGAAAGTGTCAGCAGAGATATGGTCTGAATTTTGGATAAATATATACATAATCTGCGTCAGAAATTGACTCCTGGGCTCCAGGGCCCTGGTTGGGGCCAAATGTCGCCATGGTTGGGGTCAAAGAAGGAGTAAGTGGGTTGGATGCGATGGAAAAAGGAAGAGTATACAATCACGTGCCGATAACCAGCTTAATCTGGCATTATTTTGTTTGCATTTCTCAGCCAATTCAAATCGGACAAAGTCCAGGCGGTATAAGAGTCGGTCAAGGTGGGATGGCCAGATGCGAAATGCCAACTTGGAAGTTTTGATGTTCTATATGCGGTGAATTACTTATAGCTATAACCCACTTTTGCCTTGGGTCGGGCTATAAGATACCCGTGAGTGTTTTCAAAATAAACCAATAACTCTCTAGCTATACAATTTCTTTCGTAAGGAGGTTATAGATAAATAGATCTTGAGCACTATAGAACATAGCCTTGTAGAGGGCAGTCACGGGAACCTTGGTAGCTATTAAGGCATTAAGGAAATAAATAAATAAATAAAAATTAATGCTAAAGATAAGACAACCGGAGGCTATTCCGGAGAAAGGAGCAATGCCAATATAAGGCAAAGGGATCAGAATTATTGCTCACGCAGTGCAAACATGACAACATCCAAGTGGGCCGCTGGAGGACTTCCGCGATCCTATGAGCAACCTCTCCACCTGCAAAAGCCACTCACACGACCTGCGGAATTAGTCGCAGCCACATCAGCACCTCTCAAGCTCGTTATCAACTTATCTTCACCCCACTTGATCCCTACAATCGTGAGGATTGGTGCGAGAGGCCCCCTTGGACTGCGTTCTCCCCTCGACCTTCTTCCGTGGTGTCCATGCTTCTCTCCCATTCAATTCGCCTTTGCTCATCTTTACGACCGCTGAGACCGTTCTCCCACCCAAGATTCTTTTCTGTCTTTGGTCCGCGCTACACCGTCGATATGGGAACCGTGGACACCACCGAACGCCTGACGCGGCTGAGACAATTGATGCGGGACAACAAGGTGGATGTATACAGTATGACATCACTTATGTTCCTTCTCAAAAGCTCTTGTATCCCAGAATGGTGCTCACACTCTCTACGCAGTTGTTCCCTCAGAAGATAGCCACCAGTCCGAATACATTGCGCCATGTGACGGTCGTCGAGGTCGGTGATTACCTCCGCATCCGCTCCTTTACCCATATCCACGGCTGATAGTTTTATTTGCAGAGTTTATCTCCGGATTCTCGGGCTCTGCCGGTACCGCTATTATCTCCTTGTCGAAGGCTGCCCTCTCCACCGATGGACGATACTTCAACCAGGCCGCGAAGCAACTCGACAGCAATTGGCAGCTGCTGAAACGCGGCATTGAAAATGTCCCAACGTGGCAGGAATGGTATGAATGACAAAGGCTGGAGCTTTCAACAGAACAAAGAGACTAAGGGTGTTGTTGTAGGACTACCGAGCAAGCCGAAGGGGGCAAGGCAGTGGGTGTTGACCCGTCCTTGATCACAGCGTGTGAGTACTGCGACCTCGATGAGTTCGAATGAGAGGCTGATACTCTGCTTTGTTACAGCCGGTGCACGAAAACTGGCGGAAACCCTCGAGAAGAATGGCTCGTCGCTTGTGGGAGTTGAACAAAACCTGGTTGATTTGATTTGGGCCAAGGATCGTCCGGCGCGCCCCAACGAGAAGGTGCGAGTGCACCCGAAGAAGTATGCTGGAAAATCATTCCAGGAGAAGGTGGCTGAGCTGCGGAAAGATCTGGAGTCAAAGAAGAAGGCCGGGTTTGTCATCTGTACGCCATTCCCTCGTGCTTTGCCCCAGAACAAACACTTACCGATTGGCAGCTATGCTTGACGAGATTGCCTGGTTATTTAACCTGAGAGGAAGCGAGTAAGAAGCGAATTTTCTACGTGGTGATGGACTTTATACTGATTGATTACCAGCATTCCTTACAACCCGGTGTTCTTCTCATACGCCGTCGTCACGCCCACAACTGTTGAGCTCTATGTCGATGACGATAAGCTTACCCCAGAGGTGAAGGCTCATCTGGGACAAGATGTGGTCATTAAGCCGTACGACTCCATCTATGCCGACGCCAAGGCTTTGAGTGCCGCCAGGAGCCAGTCTTCCAGCGCCGATGGACAGGAGAAATTCCTGTTGTCTAACAAAGGTTCCTGGGCATTGAGCCTTAGCCTCGGTGGTGAGGACCAGGTTGAAGAAACCCGCAGCCCGATCGCAGATGCAAAGGCTATCAAGAACGACACCGAACTGGAGGGCATGCGTGCCTGTCACATCCGGGATGGCGCTGCCCTGACCGAGTACTTTGCTTGGCTCGAAAATGAGCTGATCAACAAGAAGACGGTCCTGGACGAAGTCGACGCAGCCGACAAGCTGGAGCAGATCCGCTCCAAGCATGACCTTTTTGCTGGCCTTTCATTCGACACCATCTCTTCTACCGGCCCCAACGGGGCGGTCATCCACTACAAACCGGAGAAAGGCAGTTGCTCCATTATCGACCCCAAGGCTATCTACCTTTGTGACTCTGGCTGCCAATATTTCGATGGAACGACTGACACTACTCGAACGTTCCACTTCGGCGAGCCTACCGCATTTGAGAAGCGGGCATTCACTCTGGTTCTGAAGGGATGCATCGGAATTGACACGGCAGTTTTCCCCAAGGGTACCAGTGGGTTTGCTATTGATGTCCTTGCCCGTCAGCACCTGTGGAAGGAAGGCCTTGATTTCCTCCACGGAACCGGACATGGGATTGGCTCTTATCTGGTAATTGCATTTGCTTGACTCCGCCCGTTTCTTCTTGCTAACCGGTTGTTAGAATGTCCATGAAGGCCCTATGGGCATCGGCACTCGTGTCCAATACACCGAGGTTCCACTTGCAGCAGGAAACGTGATCTCAGATGGTGAGAATTTCCTTTTGTATGGTATTTCCACTCCATGCTGATTTTTGATGCAGAACCTGGATACTACGAGGACGGCAAGTTTGGCATTCGCATTGAGAGTAGGTTTTCCTGGATCCCCCTCGACTTTGACCCATGCTAACTGTCTTTAGATGTCGTGGTGGCCCGAGAAGTCAACCCTCCTCACAAATTTGGCGACAAGCAGTGGCTCGGCTTTGAGCACGTTACCATGACTCCCATCGGCCGCAATCTGATTGAGCCGTCGTTGCTGAGTGATGAGGAGATCAAGTGGGTGAATGACTACCATGCTGAAATCCGGGAGAAGACACAGCACTTCTTCCAGGCAGATGAGCTGACCCGCAAGTGGTTGGAGCGCGAGACCCAGCCCATTTCCAAGTAATTTGGCAAAGGTCACGATGAGTGATATATGTGGTTGTGTAGGATAGCCGCACCCTGTGGTCGATCCTGTATTTAGACGGGAAATAATCATCAGAAACAAAAGACATCCTTACGCATAAATTAGTAAACGGATAGTCCAGAAAATACTGCACTTCCACAAAGCCCAGTTGATTCCGGCAACTGGCCAGTTGGGGAATGCGGGAAGCTCGTGTGGAGACACTTGGACTTTCTTCTGGATCCCGCCCCGGTGCCTGTTCTGACATGGCACTTCCCCATCCAACCCGCCCGCATCGAATCACCCTAGGCTTCTTTGATTACCCATTGCGCGAGAATGCTCGCTGCTCTTCCTCGCCCATTGTCGCGCGAAAGCCCCAGGACCTGAAGCCGAACACCCTCTCGCCAACTGCGGCCCCACGCCCCCCCCCTTGCCGCAGCTCACGAAACACTCGCACACTGATTTGAAGCACCCCCGGGAATCCATAATTGGATATCTGTGGGGATGAGTGGCAGACACGGCTACGGCAACGGATACGGCTACTCCGACGCCGGCCGATACGATCATGGTGATGGCGGATACGGCAATCTCGGCGTGAACGGGTACAGCGGCCGAAGCGCCGGAGGACCAGGAGGACCAGGAGGAGGAGGCGGCCGAGATCGCCGTCCGGGCGGATATGGTGGATTTTACCCCGAACCGATCCAGCAGCCGTCTATCTCTCCAGGCCATTCCCCGGAGCCGCGTCGCGATCGAGCAAATCGGGATCGGCAACAACCGCCGTCGCAGCCTACCTCACGGCCCCGCACGAGAAACGGCGATACGGACAGAAGATACCAGGCTTCCAAGGATGATCGGCCCAGGGACCCAGCTAGGGATCCAGCTAGGGATCCAATCAGAGATCCAGCCCGAGATCTACCCAGAGACCAGCCCAGAGACCATCCCAGAGACCATCCCAGAGACCAACCCCGAGACCTAGCCAAAGACCTGCCCCGAGAGCCCCGGCGGCATCCAGAGCACAGGACTCGGGAGCGGAATGAGTCTGATGTGATGAGGTTGGAGCATAACGCTGGGGAGGCGCAGCCCATTGAAAGTTCGTCTTCGGATTGTCTTGGCTTGAAATACTGGAGTAGCTTTACTGACATTTCTGTAAACTGCAGCGGTTCTACAATCAATTCAGCGCGACTGGGATTTCATGACCGATTCCGAATGCATCCCGGTGGACGTGGCTTTGAATTTGATGGACACGAGTACATTGGGAAAAGCCGATCGTGAACCGGACTTTTTGCGCATGCACAATCAGATCCAAAGGACGCTTAAGACGATTGTCAATGGTAGGTATCGATCGACGACTGTGACAAGTCCATGCTAACCCGGCTTGCTGCAGAACATCACCAGGGATTCAACAGTTCCATCGGTACATACCACAAAATCCAGTCGAATATTGCTACTTCGCAAGGTCGGGTGCGCAACCTACGGAACTCCCTGGAGGAGGCCAAGTCCGGGTTGTTATCAACAAAGCCCGAGCTGAAAGGGCTGGCAACATCTTCTCAAAATTACGACGATATCGTCCAGTTGTTCGCCCAGATCGAAGAGATTCAATCTTTGCCCGAAAAGCTTGAGTCCCGGATCTCTGACAAACGCTTCCTCGCAGCGGTGGAAGTGCTTCACACTGGCTTGCGAGTGCTCCGGCGCTCTGAACTCGAAAACATTGGTGCATTGTCTGACATCAGGGCCTATTTCAGCAACCAGGAGATTTCGCTCACAGACATTCTAATCGAGGAGTTGCATGACCACCTGTACCTCAAATCTCCGTACTGTTCGGACCGGTGGAAGCCCCCTGTATCGGACGGTGAAGTGAGTGCATCCAGCTGGTCCGGCAATCGCTCCTGGGAACGCCCAATCTACAGTTTCTTGGCCAAATTAGATGGCTCGTCACCGATGGTCGAAGATGCTTCTCGAAACCCGGAAGCCGACACGTTCTCCTACATTCAGCTGTTGATCGAAGCGCTGAATATGATGGGTCATCTTGATGTCGCCATCGATCGGATTGAACAGCGCTTGCCCGTTGAACTATTTGCCGTCGTCGACAAGACCAATGCAGAGGTCGACACTCGCTACCCCACACCGACCAAAAGCTTTTCTTCGCAAGACAATTATCTCAAGTCCAATTTGCCGACTGAAGTTATTGAGAAGCGAGGCCACGTATTGTCCGAGTTCTTGTGGGCTCTCTACGCCAAATTTGAATCTATCGCGGAGGGCCACCGGGTTGTTCACGATGTTGTTGCGGCCATTGTGGAACGAGAGGGCCTCACCACAGGCGAGGCACTTTCCGGTGGATTCAAAGAGTTGTGGAAGCTTCTTCAGAGCGAGGTAAGATCTAGAACTTTGCGATTCTTGACTATAATTTCTTACAGATTTCTTCTAGATCCGAGCTCTCTTGCACGATTACCTTGCAACTGATGGAGAGACGTCTGTTCGAACTCGGGGAGAAGAGGCGGAGTCGCGGCTTCATCTCAATTCAGGCACCCGGGACAAAAACAAGGTAAAGATGGAAATCAGCATTATAGGATGTATCCAAGTAACTGACAGTTGGTATTTTGCAGAAAATGTTCAAGCTATCCGATATTGACCAGAACTCGGAAATGAAAGCCGAACAAGACGAGCTGGATGAAATTCTCAAGTCCTCAGTACCGGGACTTGTATCCAAATCCAGACAAAAGGCTTCTGCAAACGATGCTGCACAGTCCAGGCAAGGCAACTCGGGGACAGGCCACAAGATCCTGCTTCAACCGAGTGTCTTCAATATGGGTCTGCTTCTTCCGCCCTCGCTATCGTTCATACAGCGCCTCAAGGATATCGTTCCTGTTGATTCAGACATCTCCATGAATACATTGACCTCCTTTTTGGATGACTTCATGGTCAACGTGTTTCTTCCCCAGTTGGATGAGACTGTGACGGACTTGTGCACACTCAGTTTCATTTCAGCCGATGCCTTCACGGAAGACCCGCAGTGGTCTAAAGTTTCCCCCCGGCCTATCTTCAGGGTGAGTACCATTGCCCAGTTGCAACCCGATATTGTCTAACAACCCTATTTTCCAGGGAGCGGTCAAGTTCATGTCTATCGTTCGTGAGTTCAGCAAAATGTTGTCGAGCATTCCACACGACCAGGCATTTACGCAACTTCTCATCGATCAAATTGTCACATTTTACGACAAATGTTGCGGGTGGTATAAAGGTAGGTTTACCCGAATATCCTTATTTTCACAATTTGGCTCCAAACTAATTTTTGTATTTAGCAATGGTTACAAAAGTCTCTGCGAGGAATCATGGGGGCGGTGTCCAACTCAAAGCCGCAGCGTCATTTGCTGATTCCGGCGATATCCATGACACGGTCAACGATCTATGGAAAGGAGCTGGGGACAAGAAACAAACCCTCATCGACACAGTAAGCATTCGGCACTTGATTTCTGTATTTATGGGAACTGACTAGCATAGGAAATCGATCTTCTTCTCAAGCGGACAAATGAGGTGCCTCTGGAACCTTACGATATCATATCTGATCCTAAGACCGTCGTTGCCCTTTCACTCCTGCATAACAGCATGGTAAGAGCAGGATCATCACCCCTTCTGGCGCTTTCATTGACGACTGACATTTTTCAAGCAATGGCTGGGAAGTCATCTCGCCAAGATTCGGTTTGTCATAGACCCATTGTCGGAGTCGGACTCACCAACCTTATCTTCGAGCGGTCAACCTTCCCGCCGGTGGACATTGTTTGGGGCGATGAAGCCCAAGCGGGACAGTATCAACCACCCAGTATACCTTCCTCTTAACCAGGAAACGGCCCAGGCTTTCGACAAAACTATTCAATCTCTCCATTCACTGGGCTCCACCGCTGTCCTGACTCTGCACGTGGATATCCGCTGCGGCATCATTCACATGTTGACGAGGACCATGTCCGGCCCGAACCCTCCTGCTGTGCGAAACTCTGAGCCCATGACCCCGTCCGCGGGTGGGGGTGAGGGTTGGTGGCATATCCTTATGAACCAACCCACGGCCGCGTCACCCACTATCCTGGAACTGAACAATGACCTGATTGCATTCGACACCAACGTCTCAACGTACCTGGGATCCGCCGAACGATGGTTCATCACGTCCGGTCTCGCGCGATTCATTGACCGCGTCTTTGTGGATAGCAGCCGCTACATTGGGGCGATGAACGAGAATGGGGCTCTCCGGTTGCAGCTGGATGTGCTGGTTCTACAACAAAACCTAAAGAACATCATCATTGACCCGACTGGGGAATCGACAAATGGGGCCAGCTCCGCAAAAGGCTCATCGCAGGAAGTCGTTGCTTTGCCACGTAGCGCCAAATTCCTGGACTGGTTCCTCGAAGGCGCCGAGAAAGCCCTTGAATATGCCAAGGAAGAGAAGGAAGCGTTCGCAGCGCAGGGAGAGAAAGCCTTGGCTGCTGGGAACGGCGAGCCCTTCACGTACGATGAGCTGCGCGTGCTTGTGGACCTCTGCTTTTCTGAAATTCTTCGAGGCCCGCGTGGCATCGAGAACCGGGAGGACTTTATGTCGGCGAAGAAAGCCAGTGCTGATGCGCTGTTGACCCTGAACGAGATCATGTGGGATGCGCGGTAGTTGATTTTCATCTTATCTATGGGATTACAATTCTCAGTCTCGACTTTTTGTCAATATATCAACTTCTCGTTTCTTTTTTATTTCATCTCACGCCCAGCTCGGTTGTGAACGCCTCCGTAGAAATGGCGCGCCATCGGCCTCTTTTAGTGTCATTTGGTTTAATTAAGCAGCTTCCGCTAGCCCCGACTCAGTATGGCTTCCTGGGCCACGCGTCCTTTTCGGCTGATTCCGAGCCCCGAGACTGGCCGTGGCGATCCACGCGTGTTTCAAGATGCGGCGTTCTCATTTCTTGAGTCCCTGGCGCAAATTATCTCGGCCCGTCGGTGCCTTCGGTCCTGGTCCTGGTACTGGGGGCGTAATCCACGCTCTTTATGGGCCACCCCTAGGGCTTCGCGGTTTTTCTTTTCTGCTGTTCTTTCCCTTCTTTTAAATATTATTTATTTCTCACAACCTTCTGTCTGGGACAGTGGCATTCTTCAAGTCTGGTATTCTATATCCAGACGTCCGTTCTTTTCCTTGTGCCGTTGCACGTCCTGTCCTTTTTAGGGTTAAACTACCACCCAACTTACTTTCGTGATATAGCGTCTGCTATGAATCTATACAATTCTTTTTCTTTGATTGTTTACATTGGTACTTGCAACAGCTCTCCTGTCAAATCAAGCAATTCACAATGAAGTACCATCGTCTGGCATCTCTCGGCGCAGCCCTTCTCGGTGCCGCAGCCAACGTCTCTGCGAGTCCATTGGTCGTGCAAGAAGATGCCGGCCAGTGTCCTCGGGGCTACACGATGAGCATCAAGACTATTATCGTGTACCCGACGACCTCTGCGACTCCCTCGCTGTCGTTCGCGACTCCTTCGTCTTCAGTTGTCGCGGTAGAGACGAAGACTCCATCGCCATCGACAGATAATGTTATAGCTTCGGTGTCTTCGACTCCAGCTCCTGAGTTGCCTGTTCCTGAATCTACACAACCGGCTGTTCAGACCTCGTCTTCTTCGACGGAGAGTACCGTGGCTGTGACTGTAGCCCCTACTACTACATCTACAAGCGAGGAGACATCGACCTCGACCTCGACCTCTACAGCCGAGGTTGTCAGCAACTCTTCTTCCTCGTCCTCTTCTTCAGGCTCTTCTGGACACAATTCCGGCGAGGCCACCTACTACGGCGGCAACATCTCAGGTGGAACCTGCTCGTTCTCTGGATATACTCTGCCCAGTAGTATGTTTGGCGCGGCCTTATCGGCAGACAGATGGGACGACGCAGCCAGCTGCGGCGCCTGCGTGTCTATCACAGGCCCGATTGGAAACTCGATCAAAGCAATGGTAAGTGAATAAATCCTTGTTCAAGCATTTGCTTTTGCGATATTTCTCTTCATTCTTCTTGCTTACCTTCTTCCATTCATCCAATCTCACATCATCAATTTATAGGTCGTCGACCAATGCCCCTCCTGCCAAAGCAACCACCTCGACCTCTTCGAAAACGCCTTCACCGAGCTCTCCGCCCTGGCCTCCGGCGTCATCGACGTCAAATGGTCCTACGTATCCTGTGACCTTGACGGCCCGCTGACCCTGAAGAACAAAGATGGTACCTCGGAGTACTGGTTCTCGATGCAGGTCGTCAATGCCAATGAGCCTGTTGTCTCGCTGGAAGTCAGTACCGATGGGGAAGCTCGTGGCAGACTACCTCGCGTACCTACTACAACTTCTTTGAGAAGAAGTCGGGCTTTGGGACGGACACCGTCGATGTGAGGGTGACGGGCAAGTCTGGGAAGAGCGTTGTTGTGAAGAGTGTGGGGTGTGGCTCGGAGACTGAGGTCAAGGCGGATTCGAACTTTTAAGTGGGTTTGAGGGGCTTTATTTGCCTCGCTTTTGTGTGTCTGGACGATGGATCTGGAGGTGTATGCTTTTGTGTTGCATACCTGCAGTATCGGTGGATGGGGATAGGGTTTCCACGGACAAAAGGTCCCGCCTAGCATTTCATTTTCTGAGCATGTAACTAGCATTTATACGCCGACTCACTCCTTGATCAACACATCAAATACGGGATTATCTTTGTTGTCTCGCCGTATCTACGCTGGCCGACGAACACTCACGAGTTACAGTTGGAAACAGCCCTTGGGCGATGAGTTCTCTGAGTTCTCTGAGATTGTAGTAAATTGCAACTAGCCATATCCAAGCAGGTTGAATTTCGCATCAACCTTTCACATATCACAAAGCTTCAGGTCCACTTCTAACCAGGCCTGATTGTTATAGGCCTTGACTATCATCCAACCTTTTATGGTCTATAGGTCGAACGTTGATGAGTGTACCGGCGCTGTGTGTTTCCAATACATCCACTATCATCCCGATATAGATTCCATTTAACACGGGATACAGATGAAAAAGGCCACCGACACTATCCAGACATCTATCAATCTAGACAGCGGTAGGTAGGTCTTTCTTCCCGGATGAAGAGCTCCCTCATTTTAGATTGACTTACTTAGACAGGCCCAGACTCGGCGTTGATCTTCTTGTTATAATAACTAACTTTGGACCTCTCTTTTTGTCCGGCCAGAGCTAGTTGTTTGACTATCCATTCATTGTACTCATGGGGTGATGCGGAGTCCTCACCCGGAGAAGTCAAGTAAACGGATGCAGCTGATGTCAAGTTAGCATAGTAAAAAGAAGATAGTATTATGCATCCGTACCATCGACTTTGGTAGTCATGCCTATTTCGAGTGGAGATACTATAAAGAACAAGTTGAGGCGTTTTTTTAAGGATGTTTATGAGGATATGAACTTTTCTGAGGACTCCAGGGGAACACTCGACGTTTTATATGCTTACCCCTCAGTTTATGTGAACGAACGGCTGAGGATAAAGTGGAAGTTAATCACCAAGAATCCAATGAGGTATTCTAGATGCACAGTACTTTCCATATATCTGTATGATAGACCGATATATCATACTGCGGTAGCTCTGATATCATCACACTAACTACCTACGCAGTTGAATGCATGAACCCAATTCATACAATGTATCTTCGTGCTAGAGATGACCGCACCCACCTAGATTACTGATTGGCTAGCCGGGCATTGACGCAGGGCAACCGCTGCTCACCGCCTGCCCTAGACTGACGTCACATGAAAGTGCTCCTGTCGCATGGTAACGTTTCTATTCCGTACTCTTTATCGACTCCAGTTCTGTCTTCTGCCCCTCTCCTCACACGGCCTATTCAGCCAACATGCCGTCTCTGTCCCTATCAACAGTATCCTCCTCCTCCCTGGATACAAATGACGCCGACTCGGCGAAGACTATCGACAGTTCCGTGTCACTCTCGCTGGACGAGGCAGCGAGGGACTGTGATTCGCACCTACCATTCGAAATCCCGGGTGCTGAAGTGTTGACTGCCCCCTCTGTTTCTGTCCTTCGAAAAACTGCGAACGATGTCTGCAATCGAATCAACTCCGACACGTCTTACTCGAACCAGTTTATCATCGTGTCAAACATATCCCAGCCTCTACAGGAGCTTATAGGTGGAGATCGAAATCCCCTTAAGATTCCCTATAGGTTGACACTCGACACACAACACCAGCAAGGGGTTATCCGAATAATACCCTCAGGAGCTCATGAGCGTGTAACGCGGTCATTTTCAAACAAACTCGTCGCAAAGTTGCTCGAAATGGGAATTGATCCAGACGATTACACTATGAACTCGGCCACCCGGTACCACGGAAAATCATGCGACAAAGAAGCCGACGAGTCTCTTACTCCGTCAAGGAATCCTTCTGAAGGCGAAGACTGGCCTTCCCTCGTTATCGAAACGGGTCTTTCTGAATCCGAAGCACAACTACGAACCGATACATACTGGTGGTTCTCAAATTCTAGCTACCAAGTTAATACTGTTATACTCTTTCGTATCCAGAGATCCCCCGAGCGTAAAGTCTTCGTGAAACTCTATACTCTCGGACCTACCACCCCTAGAGTCACGCGTGGACTACAGAAAGATATTAGGCGTACCCTACTCTCTGATCCTGCGTTATCTCAAACAGACTCCCCAACAGTGTTACGACCGCACTTAGCGGCCAAAGAGATCGTCGTTACCTCGAGCAATGTTGAGAATGCTCCACTAGAGCTAGAATTCGAATCTATTATGCGCCGGCCGACCGCCCCTAACACGAGGGAAAAGGATATTACATTCACGGCTGAGGATCTTGCTGCGTGCTGCCGCCACGCGCTTCCAATAACTTGAGTTATCATATCCACAAGAAATGCTAAGAATGCTCCACTGAGGACCTTGCTGTGTGCTGCCGCGGTCTCTCCGGACGCCTGGTCATTATTAGTATATGTATTGTTAAGAAGTTCAATCCAAGGCTTGCGTTTTGACAGATATCCTTGTAGTACTGTATTTTACGTGGTTCAGGATTCCGTGGTAAAACACTGGCAAATCGATGGCCAAGGACAGCCTCACTTGCGGGCCATTTCTTACAGTCTACCTGCCGTCTGTTACTTTAATTCAGTATAGAACTACAAGGACTTTTTTACTTTAAAGTCTGATATTCAGACACGCGTCTCTCTGTTTCATTCAGTTTTCATTTCGATGTCAATGGGTTGCTGTTTTGCTATCTGACAATTCCACTCCAGTTATGTACTCAACTCTCGTTGCCCCTAAGTCACCACAACACAAGACATGTTTAAAGTTAAGGGGCCCTTGGATCAAGACACAAAACCAATCCAACATGAAATATGATCTAAACCTGGCCCATTGCGAATTCATTCAACAGTTACATCAGAATGGAAAAGAGGTGGATAAGAATGAAATTAAGAATAAAAAGAAATTTGCATTACCGCAGCTCCATGGCCTCCGAGATCCCATCCCATCCTTAGATTTCGCCAGCCCGTTCATTAAAGATAAAGGATGACACAAAACGACTAACAAGTAAAACAGCACAAGGGGAAGAAAGGGTTACCAGAGTAAAGAGAAGAGAGAAGATGAGAGGACAACGCCACAAAAAAAAAAACACAGACGCGTATTCAAACCCACCCCTATGTCACTGTGTTGCTTGGACACACCTCGTCGGGCGCAAGGGAAGAACAAACAAAGAGAAGAAAAGAAACCGACAGAATGAGGGTATGTTCAAGGGTTAAGTTAACCTCCGAAAACGAAAACAGTTCGTAGCGCATACAGAACAAGACAACGAAGTGTAAGCATCTTACTCCAGATCGAAAGTCTCAAGCTCCCTGGCTTCTTCGAAGTCGTCGAACTCGAGACCGGCATCGCGACAACGCTGAAGCCACTTCAGGGCAATGTGATTGCGTCGGCTGATCTCGGCCTTCAATTTGGCGTTTGAGGTACTGATTTCAGAGATAGCGTGGGTGGTCGTCAGGCTATGTTGCTCGAACCGCTCGTCGGTGTTCTTCTTCTCCTCCTGGAGGTGGCAAATGTACTCAATGGCACGCTGAAGGATCGCCCCCTTGTTCTTATCGCAATTCGGCACAATTCGAGCAATCTGGTTGATGCCCTCGTTGATTGCTTCACGGCGTCGACGTTCAACTGGGAGAGGGGGAAAAAAGTTAGCAGGCGACAATCGGAACATGGCGTGGGTCATCCTCACCCTCTTTGTGGTTGTTCTTGCGGATCTGATGCCACTCCGGCGACCCGACCGAGGGCTTCTGGTTCATGCTCTGGGCCTCACGGGCCGCATAAACCGCCGCGGCCGTGGAGTTGTGACTGTGAGCGCCGCCGATGGGCGTCTGATTCATATCATCCCCAAACGACAACCCTTGCGTGAGGTTGTTCGCGTCGAAAGCAGCATCCGGGGGGGTGGATACTTGTGTTGGGGAGTGTGAGCCGCGAGGGCGGCTTTCGCGTTGGCGGTCAGGGCGCTATCGTCCGACATGCCATTTTGCGTACCAACATGTTGCAGAATCTGTTGGTCGATGTTGAGCTCAGAGCCGGCGTTAGGGAGACCGTGTTCATAGTTTGCGAGCGAGCTATGGCCGAAGTTGGGCTGGTTATCAGCTCCGGGAATGCTGCCATTGCTGCCGTGGGAAGAGCGGTTGAGACGCTGGGGGTCAGGCCCCAGATCCTCCGAGCCATCCCGCTTTCGCTTGTGCGAGCCATGGCCGTCAGGGCTGTTCATGGTGGGGTCAGACATGGTAAGCCTGAAAGGTGAGCGTTCTGGTTGATAAAGCCGTTAGTCACGTAACGCCGACGAGCCAACACGTAAACGATGGCATGAGAGTGTCAGGCAATGTGTGCAAAAGGGAAGGTCAGTGTAATTGAGACGTGAATCGGTCCATGACAGGTCGAGTCACTCTCGGGATGATCAGTGGGCTCCTCCCCGAGGTAAACAAGAGACGCGTGTAGCCGACGCGCTCGCTAGGGTCCCCTCGACGGGCGAGGGGACCAGGCTTGGTCATCATCGCTGGTGCCTCCAGGCAGCGAGTGAATCTCCAAAAGCTTTCTACGAAGCAATGATGCTGTCCCGTTTCCCGTGCAAGGCTCAGAGCCCGATGCACCGGCCAGAGGGCGACATCAGCAACGCGTCATGATGGCCTGGAGCCGATCGACATGACACGGGAGCAGCATCGCAAGGAGGCGTCGTTCATGATCAAGAGCCATCTCATCGTGGAGGGGGAATAGGGGATGATGTTCACGGAGATTGGAGAGATGAAGGAACCGTACCTTGGGATGATCTCTCTATCACCTGACAGGAAGTCACCTGCCGACAACAAGACGCAGGTCACGTTGTTTGCGAAATGCCAATTTCGAAATAGACGAAATTTGAGAAAGTGGAGGGAAAGATGGATAGGAAAGAAATGATAGGACACTCGATAGCAATTTCAGAAAAAAAAAATCCCTAGAATTTTGTATCAAGAACGAAGTGATGCTTTTTCGGGGTTGTAGAATCGAGGGTGAGGGACTGCTCACGTGGCGAGGAGGGTGAAGAGGAGAGGAGAGGAGGTGCGTGATGTGCGGTGGAGGACAGCGACCACTAGCGCAACAACATCACCTGATCCAAACCCTTATGTAATCAGGTTTCTCCACCAGGAGAAAACCACAAAATAAAATCAATTAGGAAAAAAAGACATAGACACTCAAGTCAGCACTTCTTGAGTGCAATCTCTCTCGTTGCGACCGCCGGCGTTGAAATTCTCTTTTGTTCAAATGCTCGTCAGTCATGTGCGGCAATCCCGTGCCCCTCGACCGTACATCCCCACTCTGATTGGCTGCCGGCACCCGGAGGGGTGTTCTCCCGGGGTCACGTGCGCATCCAACACAGACCAATCAGCGTCGCGCATCCGACAACGTCCATGCGGGTGATCGTGCAGCGCCCTAGGGACTCCCCTCCTACAACCTGCGCGGATGTCGATCTACGGGGATGCCATGGTCTGAATCTTGATCGCGATCATTGCATGTCGTTTTCATATGGTTCTTCAATATGAATATCACTGGTGGCGCTTGATAGTGCCCCACTAGTGGAGAAGCAGACGAAAATACCAAACCGTCACATGTTGCAGGGTGGACACCCTCCTTGATACATAGTCCAGGGCTTCACACCATTGTCGGGGAGAAGGTTGCATCGGGGAGCGGGTAGGCCGTCCTTGGAGTTATCATTGTAACTCTGTTTTCCTTGTTTTTTTCGACATGGCTATCATCTAGTGGTCATGCGACCCCGAGGATGCGAAATAAGGTGGGTGTCCGAGCTTTTGAAGATACAAGACCATGGGGCGATCCAGGCGATCATTGTGCATAAGAAAATGCCCCTCTCACATGATGCAACAGTCGCGATCTTCAGCCATGACACTCCCAGAGCCAGGATCGGCACGATTTCATGCAAATCTGCTACCTCAAGTCGCGGCGGGGGGGGATCACAAGAAACCAAAGGTCTAGATGCAGCAACGAAAGACCCGCTTTCGCTTGGTTTGAGAACACACGCACCCGTCTCAGCACGATCTGACGCGTCGCGTTCACCCCGATGCTTTTTTCAGTTCGAACACCATTTTCGGATCTGCCGTGGTATCCGCGAAACAAATCCCCTCCTCCGCCGCGCCAAGCATATCCCAGCAGAGGATCTTCACATCGAGGGCCTGGTTTGGGCTGGCTGTCTCACTCTTCTCCTCGCTGAGTGTTTCATCATCTGATGACCCAGCCGATTGTTCTGTAGCAGGCAGAGGTCGTTGCGTCACGGCCATAATGGTGCTCGTCCCCGCATATCGTGCTGGGGGTTTCGTCTCATCTGCCGGTGGCTCCTCGCCAGCTCGATTCGCAAACACAATAACAATCCTTTTGGCATCTGTATCGTCGATTTCGGTGTCGTGTTTCATCTGTTTCTTGAGCAGGGGCCAGAATCGCTGCAGCCAGTAGTTGAACGTGTCCATCTCGGGTTTTCCTTTCAGAGCCTCTAACTCTTCTCGAGTCAACAGCGTCAACCAGGCCATGGACAAAATGACGAGTTGAGATTTAGAGTCAAGAACCCGGTTTGCAAACTCCCACGCAGTAAATGGAGCTTCGAACTTGTACGGGTTGATGTCCATGCAGATGCCAAAGGATGTCGCGATGCGCCTTTCCTTTTGTTCTGCTGTACTTGGACGGACCCCACCCACGAGATCCGTCGATGACGAAGACCGATCGTCCGAGGAGAACGAAAGCTCATGGAATCCCCGCTCCACATCACCTTCTGCTGCCCAAGTCTCATCAGTGAAATACAAGAAGCTCTTCCGATAGTTGAGGATAACGTCGCCGTTCTCGTCAACCACAAGAAGTGAGTTGTAGTACTTGGTTTGGCTAGTATCCTGTGCATCTGCTTCAATCTCGGGGTATCCCACACAGACTTTGCAGCGCAAACGCTTGGCCGTGTCTCGCGCCCAGCTGGCACAGGGACCTTTGCCGGCGGGCTCGAGATACGGCTTGATCGCCCCCAGCGAGGGAAAATTATAGCCTGGTGAGAGATATGTCAACGATAAAGTCTCATCACGAGAAGGTGTTTTCTATGCAGCACAGGTGACGTAGAGAGATAAATCGCACGATTTTTGAACACATACCCGTCAAAGCCATCTCTGATAGCACCAAGAGATCAGGTCTTAATAGTTCCACCCCGATTCCGATGCCGAGGTTCTCTCCCCCTACAGAGACAGCCTTGCCGCTTTTGAGGAGCTCATTTGCTCTGGCAATGTTGCCTTCGACATCGCCCAACTTGGCGGCGAATTGCAGCGTGGCAATCCTCATCTCCAAGTTCTGCGAGACTGAAAACCTTCTTCTACCCGTCAAATTTTGGTGTCGACAGATGCCACCAATTTCCCCAGAGGTAAGGGTGTGGAGGCCTGGAACCAACTTGGTTGCTGCAGATACTTGCAATCCCACTCTCCTGGTCCCGAGGCGGACGAGACAAAGGGGTACTGTTGGCAGAATGATGGCGGGTTTCTACTCAGAGACCCTGTGAAATAGAAAGAAATGTACCGTTTGAAAAATGGAGAGGATCTTCAAGTAAAAAAAAGGCGATATGCGACTCTGTAGTTGGAAAAGAAACGATGCCGGCTGTGGCTGAGAGTGGGACGTGGGTGTTGCTGCCTCAGGATAGGAAGCATTGACCTCAGATGCACCCGAGTCACATCGGGATTTTTGCATTCACTTCTTTAATTACTTGGTGATATTGAGAGATCCAAAGATTTGTGTCTTTGATTTTCCCAAGCTAACTCTTCTGATCGATTTTTCTTTTCGTATGGCGTGGCTTTTTTGCTGGCCACCTTTTTTCAATCGCCGCAATAACCACCGTCAGTACGAGTTCCACAGCAAAGAACATGGCAGCCACCTAATTAATATCCGACAGTGAAATACAGCTACTGTCCGGTGTTATAAGCTAGCAACGTCATCCAGGCATTAAACGTGAACGCGACCGCCTCCATCACTCCAATCACTCCGATCCGGTGTTTGGCCGAGAAGTCGCACAGGGCGATGGGGATATCGAGAATCCTGTCAAAAATGAACAGTCATTGCCAAGCAGTGAGCCCTGTGCGTTCGTTCGTGTCCGAGTAAAGCTTTCTCTAAAGGTATCCAGAGAACATGTTGGCTGCACTCGAGGAGGCCTCGAAAATGGCGTTACGCTACCAACTCTTTGTGAGGTATACCAGCTCCCCAGCAGCGCGATGATGCCCCGATTTGCGGACCCTTCAAAGAGCCTAATGAAGCAGTGCAACACAAAGAAGGTTTTAACGTTCTTTGTGTCTGCCAAAGCCATTACCAAGATACTCCTAAGGGGGCAGCCAGATAGACGGGCGTATTCCGGTCAGCACCAGCTGCGATGGGATCTGGCCTAGAATATACCTGGTGTTCCAGTAGGTAGTAATAAAGTTGAAGGACCAACGCTTCCTTCTTCCGTGAGACCTAGGCGTTGGAAGTCTACCGAAATAATAGTCCCTCGCCCGCATTTCAATAGTCGAGTCTCACGTTTGATTGATCTAGCTCCTTGATAAAATAGGCACTGCATGCATAGCTTAGAAGCCACCAGTCCAAATTTTGTACCGGCCGACTTTCTTGTGGGAACTTGTCCCGTGTTTCTCATGTTGAGGCGTTGATGCGCTTTTTGCTCTAGTCCGTGGAACCTGCATAACTCCATTACTCGATTGGCCCATCTCGTACTCATTGATCTCGGTAGTTGTTTTTGGTCGTCATGAAAACAAGAGTAGGCATTTCTCCTCTGCCTGAACATACTAAAGACCACCAAAAAATAGACAAAACAAACAAAAATGAGAAAGGAAAAATAAAACCGGGGCAAAGTACACATGCGAGGTAGGATCAACAGCTTGTTTGCATGTGCGTAAGTGGCCTTAGGGCTCCCTACATAATCAACCAAACTAAAAAAAATACTACCTAGTACATTATACTATAGCAGAAACAAACGCTCTAGACTTACGAATCAAAGCTGCCACCTTCGACACTGGCATCATGGGCATTTAGGGCACTCCCTCCACGTGACTCGGGGTCAGCTGTATCCGGGGGGAGCAATTGGTTGCAATGAATTAGCTAGATTCTCGTTTTTGATATCAGAAGCTATGTTAGATATTTAGGATACTTGCTACATACGAATTTACCAAGTCCATGTTTCATAGGTGAGCCGAACTCCACTGAACCATCAGCTCCAGATATCATTTCCATAGAGAGCTACATCAAAAAAGGAAGATAGAATGAGAGAGAAAACGTCTATTACATGAAGAACTCGGCATTTATAATATTCATACTCAGAAAGAAGGGCATTGCCCACAGAATTTACACAAGAGATATGACATAAAACGCCCCTAGAATGCAAGCTGTGAACCCCCGATCGCCAGCATATGCTAAATCAAAGCCATTGAAAAGAACACACCGCCGCCTCATTTAAAAGAAAACGCATTCCACACCTATGCACTTCTGCTGAGCTTGTCCTTCTCCTTCTCATCATCCTTATCCGTTTCCTCGTCTTTCTTCTTATCCTCCTTTTTAAGGGGGAACTTGAGTGGTATGTATGCCAAGCCATGGGCCCCAGTGCGTCGAATCCTCTCTTCAGTGCGAGACATCGTTCGGCCCAGGCCCAAGGGGGTATCTGGCGCATATGCAACACGGTAACCATGAGATGGGACCGGCGGCGACATGCTCGGAGTGTATGACGGGGAGTAGGAAACGCTGCGACTAGGGTTGTAAGACGACAATCGCGGTGGGGTGTACCCCGGGAAAAGATCCGACAGCTTGGGCCCGCTTCGCAACTGCTCGGTTGCGATGCGAGCAGCATTCAGAAGCATCTCGTCTTCGTCCACTTGGCGCAAACGGCGCTTCTCGGCCTCGGTTTCTTCGAGAGTAGGTGGCCTGGGCTGAGTCAAAGTTTTGACTTCTTCCAGTTTCTTTTCCAGTCGTTCTAGGATCGGGAGCTTCGGCAGGGGTTTGATGGAGGCTTCTGCAAGCGAAAACTTCTTTGGAAGTTCCTTTTCGTCTGATACCTTGGGCGCCTTGGGACCAGTGCCCTTTGCAGTGTGTTCGGGACCGAGGGGTTCGCTGTAAACTCTTTTCCGAGTGGCTGGCGGGGCTTGAGGTTGCATTGCGGCTTGCTGGTGTGCCCTGGCCTGCCTTTCCGCCGCGGCTTTCTTTTCGGCTGCAGCACGCTCCCGTGTCTCGAGTCTTCCCAGGAACGACTCCCACACCCGACGGTGTTCCGCTTCGACCTCAGGGGCTGAAAGAAATCGAGAAGTTAGGTATTGGGTTTACCCAGGAAAGAGGGGAGTAGAAAACTTACAGATCAAGGGAGGGTAGGCTGTAGGTTTTTCCTTGTCTTCAGGTCCTGCAGTGATAGCAGACTGGACAATAGTGGACTGGACTTGACCCCCATCGGCCTTCTTGGCAACAGACTCTGTTACCATGGTTTTAGATGGCAGCGGAGCCTGAGGATGAGTTGCAACAGGTGCGGTAGCAGCTGACTTTTCTACCTGATTGGTCGCGTCCTCAAAGCTCTGTTCCGGTTGCTTCGTCTCCGGCTTCGCCGCGGGGGCGACAGGAGTGTTCGGTGTTGGGAACAAAGGCTTTGATGGCTGGAATGTCGCAGCAAAAGGAGAAGGACCCGTCGATGCCGAGTCAAAAAGCTTTGGCGCCGGCTTGGGCTCTGAGACAGGCTGCGCAGGTTGAGGTGGAGAAGCCACTGGGGTGTTTGTTTCCTGAGCGGGAGCCTTTTGAGACTGGAACAATGAAGGCTGCGAGAACCCGGTGAAGGCTGGCGGTTTGGCCGACTCAAAGATACTGGCCGATTGCTGAGTAACATTTGTTGCAGGGGGCGCAGACAAGTTCGGGGTGGGATGAAAGGTGGAGGCAGAAGGAAAGCTGAACGGGGAAGTTGATGAGAGCGTCGTCTTCGTGGCGCTGGTTTCCTTTTGCTCAGATGAAGGAAAGAAAGGCTTGGCGGTAGGGAAAAGTGAAGAGGGTTGAGGAGTCGATGTGGTGGTGGTCGAGGGTGTGCCAGCCTTCGGGTTTGGCTCGGGTGCTTTCGGTGTTGTGAATGATGAAATCGAAGATGCGAATGGATTCGAAGGAGCAATTGCTGGCCCTGGTGTAGTAGTGGTTGCACCATTGCCCCCCAGAGTCGATGACTGCCCAGCGAATGGGGAAGGTGACTGTCCCACAAAGACGGATGGTTGACTGGAAATTGATGTCACAGCAGGCGTCTCGTCCTTTTTGCTGATGCCAGCCGTGTTCAAAGGGGTGAAAGGGGAAGAAGGGGCAAAGGCGGAAGCAGTTCCTGATGACAGGGCAGCAAAGGGATTCGGCGTTGCAGTAGAGGTCGCTGGGGGAATATTGGTTGCGGTACCACCAGAAAAAGGTGTAGAGAACATGGCAGGCGGCCCAGAGGACTGGAAGGGATTCGATGGCTGTGAGACAGGGGGGTTCAGCAGGGCATTGAACGGTTGGTTCGCAGGAGGGAGCTGTGCAGCATCCTCAGATGCAGTACGGAGACCGGAAGCAAAGAATGGAGACTGTGCCCTAGCGGGTTCTGCAAAAGGTTTGGCGGCCTCAGTCACTGAAGTGGGCACCTGATTGTCATCTTGGCTGACAAAGAGGGAATCATCCTGGAGAGGGACCTCTGGCGCCACTTGCTTGGTGCGCGCAGGTAACTCAGAACGGTCAATCATGCCCATTTTTGCTGCTTCTCGGATGTTCAGGCCAAGGATGACAGCATCCAGGGTTCGCCCTGCGCGCTTTGACTCCACGTATTTGCCAGAGAAGGAGTGTTCAGAAGATGGTTGGAAGCCTGAGAGTGTAGCAATGAGTTAGAAAGAGGTTAGGAAAGGTAAAGCTAAAATGGGAAATGAAATAAAAAGACGCGTTACGCGGACGACAATATGCGTTACGCGGGGGTACCGCTCGGGGGGGGAGGGGGACGTTACGTGGGCGCAACGATGGTAGGCAACGCTGACGCGCAGCAGAGGGACGAAATCATCGCTGGGAAAACACAAGACATACCGACAGAATCAACGGGTCGGTTCCCCCAGTTGAGATAAAGGTCGCCATTAGCGTTCTCGGCCAGTTGCAAATCTTGCTCCTCACAGAAACTGATAGTCTGCTCGTTGTCATCGAAGTGTAACACCCGAGTCAGTTCGTCGACAGTCCATTCCTCGTTCTTATGCTGCTGCGAGGCAGGAGAACGGCAGTAAGCTTTCCAGATGGCACGAATTGCTGTCTGGCGTATATAGTTGAAGTAGATTTCAGCAACACAGGCCATCAGATAGGACACGCTCGGGGAATTGATGATGTTGAAAAACCGCGTGTAAAACCCCTGGGCAATTGCATTCGGCCGCCGAGCATCCAGAGCACCCTGATACTCCCACGTGTTGCAGCAGGCCGCGAAGATCTCCAAGGCCACCTGAACACGAGGAGCGTTCAGGAGTGCCACAGGCCATTTCTGGACACGGGCCTCCAGGTCGGGACGCTGGTCATGGATGGAGAAAATGATGTAGTAGGCGCGGAACTCATCCTCGTTTGGGAACGAGATACGCCCGCGGTTGTCGTCGTAGTAATACATCAGGGACAACATCGTGTTGTTGAGCTGCTCGCGCTCCTGATGACGGTCGAAGGGCTCCTCGTTCGCGGGGCTGGAGAGCAGGTGCAGAGAGACAATGTGGAACCGGGCAATTCTTTCCAGGCAAGTAACTGCCATTCTCACATCATTCTCTTGGGTGAGTTGCTGCACCGAGAAATCATTGCGAACGGACCGGGTCCGATCCCAGACAAACTTGTGGATAAGGCCCAGCGATTCGTTACCATTAATAACATGCCGAATCAAGTAATTAGTAGTCTGGAGCAAGGCTTTTGGCGTCCGAATGTCCGAGGGCAATTGCTCATCATACCCAGCAGCTGATCGGCGAAACCGCTTGAGCATCTTGGTCTCCATGTTTTGCAACGAGTCCGTTGACGGATGAAGAAACTGGAAAAGTATAGTGAGCACGTGGTGCAACCAGTACCCAGGCGCGAGGGTAGTACCTTTTCGCTTTTATCAACCATCTTCTGCACAATGCGCTCCACGCGTTCGAATTCGGGACACATGCTGGTGCAGGTACCAACAGGCGTAATGGCTTGATTCAACGAAGTTGGTTGATTCGGATCAGCCATCTGCCCCTCCTTGATCGCCTTCTGTCGTTCTTTCGCACGATCGATTTTGAGCTGTAAAGCGGGTCAGATGAATAATGGTCCGTGCGGATGGCGATTTCGCATAGTCCGGGAGGAGAAATTTGCTGACCTGTTCGTAGCGTTCATGATAACGGTTCAAGATCGACGTATCCTCCACGGGCACAGGAGCATCCGGACCGGCGCCGAAGTTGGTCGCGGGGGTTGTCGAGGCTGCGCCGGGGCGCCATTGTCGATACCGGAAAAGGGAGACTTCTGCTGGGCAGCCTGGCCGCCAAAAATGGCCGAGAAAGACTTTTGCTGGTTCAATTGAGTCTGATGATTCAACTGAGCAAACGGGGAATTGACCAATCCGGGATTGGAGGCCTCTGGTGCGGTGTACGACGCGTTGGTGGTTCCACCGACGGCGCCCACGCCACGGCCGCGAGACCCCCGGGCCCCAGTGCCTCGTCCACGACCGCGGAAGTTTGCCCGAGGCGCGCTGGAGCCTCTAGGCTGAAAGGTCGATGGGCCTCTTGAAGCTCCACGACCGCGCCCCGCCGCGCCTGTCGCACCGGTTTTCTGGCCGCGGCCAGCAAACGGATTGAACGGGCTGGCCATCCTGTCCGCAAACCGCGGAGAGTGGATGGGCGGCCTTCTTCCACTTCACCACCCCGGTCTCGGAAGATCCTTTTCAGCGTATCCGTGTATGTTGATGTTTTATTTTTTTTTCTTTTTCTCTGGTGAAAGGCGTTTTAAGAGAGTATGAAGGCGGAAGAGGGGCGGAGAGAGAGAGAGAGATCTAAAGCGCTATCCGTCGCAATTGGGTCGCCAAAGCGACAGAGAAAAAGTCAGCCCATGCTGCAACAGAATTGACGAGGGCCGGGTCTTCGAGGTTCGCGACGGTCCGGGTTTGTCCAGACAATGAGGAGGACTGGCAAAAAAGACTGGGCGAATGCGAATGTGCGCAAAACCAACGCGATCGATATACCTTCCAAAGAGCCGAGAAACTAGACTGTGTTTATTGATGATTCACGCGCGATTCATTCAGCAGCCAGCTGCCTTGTCATTCGAGTCGTTTCGGTCGTCGCGATTAGGGGGTTTTGTCGAGTGGCGTGGCGCCCCCGGTCGGGAAAGAAAAATGTTGGAAAAAGGTGCCTCTGGTATGCTTGTCAACCCACTAAGCATACCACTTCGAAGGAGTGCCGAGGACGTACAGGATCGAGGGAAGGTGAAGAACTGAGGAACGGGCAGATGTGCTGATTGAAGCAAGCTCGCGGAGCAGATCCACAATTAGCCGCGCGAGTAGTGTTCACCGCCTACCAGGATGGCAGTCACGTGCATTCATCTATACACCTCAACAATGGGACATGTGAAGTTACTAGAAGAGAAAGGATTCAGAATTCATAAACGAAGCTATTTTTTGAAGTATCTACCAGATATAAAAGCTATCAACAAATGACCCAGGAAACACACATAGACCCGGGAAACCATATACAGGAGGAACCACCAAAACAACAAACAATCAGATCAACGAAAGACAAGAAGAGAAAATAAAAAAAATAAGTAATGAAAAAAAGCGGGGGAAAAAGGAGACCAACACTCAAAAGCAAGAGGATTGAAGAGTGTAGCCACCATAGCGAAAAAGAAAACATCCAAGGTGTGAAGGATATCACCAGAAGTTTCGAACCACAAGAACCCATTTGTCCAAGATCCTCTCTTTATATATCGACACCATCCCGATTTTGTATCCACAAAAAAACGAGATCAAAAAACTCCCCGCAACAAAAAAGGGCATTGTGCGAGCGCTAAGTTTGTTAATCACAGCCATCAAGTCATGTATAGTCGTTAGAATTAAAAAAAATCAAAATCAAAATCAAAATCAAACATCCGTTGCCCCGTTGGTGAACGTTTCGGTCATTGCAATCCGCCTGTCAATCGGGTCCAGCCCGTCCCTTGACCTTTTTCTTTTCTGTTTCGTTTCTTCGTATTTTGAATTTTAGGCGGGATGGGTCAATGGAAGCCCGTGGGGGTGGCCCAGGGATCCAGTGCGAAAGGGCAGGGCTCTTTGGCCTAGGGGATCCATGGGGGACTGGGCGTGGGGATGCGACATATCGTGCAACTGAGCAGGCGATGCCAAGGGCATGTGGTAAGACATGGAAGGTGGACCCAATGGTTGGCTGGTTGCCGGGGCACTGTAGTCGACTGGACTGAAGATGTTCTGGCGGAAGGTCGGGGTCCAGGGGTCATACTGGCCAGCAGCGCCCGTGCGCTGGTGGTCCGGCGTGGAGGTCGGGAAGGGGTTGTGGGCTGGGTAGTCGAAGACTGAGACGTCGTGGGGGCTGATCATCTCAGCGCTCACGGGCGTGCTGAGCATGGGCTGCGAGAAAGAGTCTGTGTAGTGCGGCGGCGTGGCGTAGTACGGCCGGTCCTGGCGACCAGTGCCATCGAAGCTGAGCGGCTCCGGCAGCGAGAAGCTACCCGGAAGAGAGCGAGCCGATGCCACCGGGTTCATGTCGATGGGCGTGGTGAGCGGTGCAGAGACTTGCTCGACCGAAGAGGTTGGCGTCAAGAGTCCTTCCTCGACGTGCTCGGGCTCTTCGACTGCCAGGGCTGTGTCGGCGGACTCCTCATCTTCGTCGCCCTTAGGGCTAGGTCCGCGGTTCATAACATAGACCACCATGTTGGCATCTGGGGCGTGTTAGTTCTCGGACCTCGTTCTGGTTTGGAGCTATCATGCACATACCGACTTCGCCTCGCTCAAATCGCTCTTCCATCTTTCGCACCCGCAGGATCTCGTAGATGATCTCCACATGGGAGGGGTGCTTCAGGCTCCGCTTAGTGTCGCCAGCGACTTCCTTCAACCTGTCTGCGGTGATGCCTTGGTTGCCGAGCTTGCGCACGATGTGAAGCAAAAGCTCAATGCGGTCTGTTTTGTAAAAGGTTGGTCAGTAGGAATCTCTTGAAACAAGGAGATAGTAGACGTACACTCTTTGCGCAAGTGGTCAGGCTCTTTGTGCATGACACCCGGCGGCCACCACTCGGGCTTGGTCTTTTCGGGGTCACCAGTGGTGCCCGGGGCTGAGCCGGCTGGGGGCTTGCCTCCGTTGTAGGGGTGGCGGACTTGCTTGCGCGGCTCGATGAACTTGATGAAAGCCTTGGCGACCATGCGGCAGTTGAGCTGCTGGAAGTGCTTGAGGGCGCCCTCGTAGTACGAGAGCACCTTCTGAGTATCTCCAATGCGGAGTGGGGCCATGTCAGTTGACCCATGCGAGAAGTCCTCGCTGTCAGAGGCTTGCTCAGTCATGCGTTCCTCGGAGACGGAAGAACTGGGAGCATTTCCCTTGCGGCGTCGCACTCGACGAGGCGAGGCCTCTAGCGTGGCTGATTGGCGATTGTTAGCGAGAGCTATTTTCCTATCAGCTTTGAATGTGCTAGACATACGACGTGTAAACGGCTGGTAGTAGCCAATCTTATCACCCAGAATCTCCAGGAAGTTCTGTCGCACGTCTGGCGTGAAGACGGTGGATTTTTGCTCTTTGATTGATGGCGACTCTTCTACCTTGAGAACACCCTCGTTGTCCAGGTAGATCATGGCATAGTGAGTGTAAGGCAGGCGGAATGATGAGCGCGAGGGAGCCATCATAGGCTGGCAAATATTAGCTTGACTTGTTTGCAACATAAGCTTGCAGGTTTGAGAAATGTAGACTCACGGGAGCGACGTCCCATCCAGCTGGTCCGTCATTAAGAGCCGAGGCTGACCGCTTCATGGCGCCAGTTCCAACGTTAGGTTTGGTGTAGACCATGTTGCAGGATATCGAGGAGAAATAGCCAAATACTAGTCACAGGACAGTAGAGGCGGATAGGGACGTAGTTCCTCTCGAAGTTTTCAGTGACAATCAGAAAACCTCATCAAGAAAAAGAGAGACAGGGTTGCTATCAGAATCCGGAGAGGCGCGAAAAGACGCAGAACACCCTATCAAGAGAACGGAATGGTCCTTTATATAGAGGCGAGCGAGCACTTGGAGAGAAAAGAGTGGCGCAAACCCTGCCGATTTACCGTCAGTCTAATGCTCTCATCTCTTTTCTATTCCGGAATGATTCCATGCAAGCATCAATCCGTTTCGAAAATACGGTGGCGGAAAACCGGCGGGGGGCCATCCCGGTGTTTCCCCGAGGTGTATAGGGCAAACGATGCCAAACCGGTGAACGGCTCGCACCAAGCTCTTGCCCATACAACCGGCTTTAAAAAAGGGTTCATGCAGGGATCTACTCACGGGTCGAGGTCAACGATCCAGAAAGCAGTTTGTAGTAATTTCGAAGATTCGAGTGAAGCCTGCAGAACGGGGCTGCTGATAACCGACGAATAGTCTCTTTGTTCTTGAAAACCCGGGTTGTCAACCGGGGGGGAATAGTGATACAGGCCGGGTTGGGCTGGTTGTATACACAATATATGGCGGGACACCAGAGTGAAGCAAAGAGAAAGGTGGGTCGAAGTGGGATGGGATTGGAATGAAGAAGTTAGGGACGGGGGGGGGGGGGAGGGAGAGGGACTGTTTAAAATAAGTTGACAATAAGAAAATGGAAGAAATAAAAAAAAGAACAAAAGAACAGTGCATCAAACACACAATCCCTGGGAGCATCAGAGAAAAAGAGCCGGGGGGATCCCCGACTTGCAGTGAAGGTCCCCGATCCAGTATCCCTGCAGTCTGTAGATCGGGGCTAATTCAGGGATGATTTTATTTTATTTATTTAATTCAATTTTAACATTTTTATTTTCTAAATATTTATTATTATTATTATTATTATATTTTATTATAAGCCCCGCCGCAGAGGATGCCAAAAGGAGGGTGGCGCTGATTATCACTTCTTCTCCACAACTCCAGGGCTTCCTGTCACTCGAATGTCCCTCCCGAAACGGTTCCCGGGACCAGGCAGCTGGTTTCGATATTCTTTGTTTCTTGTTCTACTGAGAATATTGCTTCTCCCCTCTGGATTACTGATCTATACTCCAGTCGAGAAGAAAAAAAAAGACCACTGGCCAACTTCGTATCGCACAGGCCCTGCCTTGCGTCGGGAGCCCCACGCCCACGCTGGTAGTGTGGGTGCTATTTCTGCGCATGCAGATCACACTCAGCTTCGGAAGGCCCGTCTTCCAGTTTGCAGATTCGTCATCCGCAGAGCCCAGATATTGACTCTCGCGGATCTGGGGAAAGGAACTCCGTGGCAATGTATCAGAAGATAGGAAGGAATTCTATTTTATTCTATTTTCTATTTCTCCCAACCGACAACCCTGTTCGAAAGAGAGAGAGACTCTCCCCCCCTCTCTCTTGATCGCGCGGATCTGAGGCCAATGTGCCCCGACGCGCTAGTGATAGTGGCTCCCCCGTCAATCACCCAATCACACCACTAAAATGACACTTGCCATGATCGTATCAAGGTGAGGCTTGTGCGTGGCCCATGATCCTGGATCCTGGGATGTCGAACTGAATTAGGGCTTGGGTTGTTTGGTTGGAACCTGGTGCTTTCACAGACGCCTTCTACTTTCTACATCATGCCGTTTCTTTTTCCCAGTAGATCCTGACAGTATCAAAATTATTAATTGTTTTTGCTGGGATATGCTGGCCTGGTGGCCGTGGCTTCAGCTCGCCAGTGGTAGAAACCCCTGAGATCAGACCCTTTCGACTCGAACAACTCCGGATCAATAAAACAAAAGCACCATGACTCTCTTTCGTTCTAACACAAATCGAGAAGAAAGCCTTTTGGCACAATAGTCTGGGATCCTTGTCATCGGGGACTAGAGCCTGGTTGCAAATGATTTCTATTTTATTTTTATTATATTTCTTCCCCCCGGGTTAGCCGCCGGACTTTTGACATGCGACTTGAATGACAGTCCAATCAGAGTACTCCTAAATTAATCATTATTATAAACCTATAATATCCTACTAATCCTACCCCTAATAATAATATTACTGTTATTTTTGAAAATCAATTTTCGAGCCCGACCCCCTGGGCCCCTGGGTCTGTGCTACGTTTGGCGAGTCCAGGGGAAAGGGACCCTCCACCCAAGCTACTGTCAACGCGTCCATCTCCCGCTGACAGGATTTGCTGGGACAAGGCAACGGGAAGTGGATTGCCCCTGATGCAACAAACACCCATGTTTGATCCGTTATTTTTCGATTCTGATCCATCCTGTTGAGTTTCTTTAGATATTAAAAAAAAATAAAATATAACACTTCAATATATACACCCCCCCTCCTAAAAGAGTAATACGCGATTGCCATGCCCTAATTAGGGTCTAGTTTGCCGCAAGGCGACACGAAATAAACCCACTTAGTGTATTCTAGTTATTTGTCATTTCTACTTTTGGTGTTTGTATCTTCATTTTTTTTCTTTATTTCAATAAGAATTATATCTCCTAGAAAGCAGTTATCATTGTTTGCCCCTCCCCCTTGAATGTCATCTTAGACACTCCGGGGGGATTTGCTTTTTACCCGCTGTCAAGTTGAAATATTTCAAAATTACCCATAGTACAGATAAGCAGTCATGGACACGACTATGAGATAGGGCCAACAATAAAGACAAAACAACGGATTACTCCGGAGTACAGACATACAAAAAGACGATCAGCACCATAAGCCTAGAGGCCTAGACCTCCCACCTATTCCTAGGCTACCAAGTATACTAAGTTCCTGAGAGCTCTTAGACTCTGCCACACCCCAGTTGAAGCTTCTCATTGGCTCCTAGCCCCTGCAGCGCCCACATACACCAGCCACGTTGCGTGGCACAGTTCTATCTTTAGTCGATCAGCACCGCCACAGCCATGACAGCTCTGTCAATCCTGCAATGTAATAGGTGCAGCCAGGCTGAAAGTGATTATTTAAATACAGGGAAGACCCCTGGTGTAAATAACTGTGGATACATATATTTGCCCACACACAGAGGTCCCCCTCCCCTAACTATGGGGGGAGCCGTTTGACTGGCTTGGCAGTTTGGCAACAAGCTTGCCGAGCAAACATTTTATTTCTTTTTTTTGGGTGCATATTCTCAAGTGCCCGCTTTTGCCGCCGGATCAATCTATCTGTCTCTTAGGTCTTAACATCGCTTTTTTTTTCCCTTCTGGCCCCGGACGTGTTCGGGTGATCGAATCTAATTACCCTGAAACTAGCTATTCCTGACGGGGTTATTACAGTTCTACCCTTAATAAGTATAGGCTCGATAAATTATGCTACATTCAAAATTCTATGTAGGAGTGAAACTCGCAGATATGTACACTGACGGGTTCCTCAATACGGGTCCCGGAATGTCCCTACAGCACCCTAGTGTATATGGGTGGAGGTAGATGATAGATGGCTGGGGTTATTCCCATTTGTTTGTTGCTACTGCACACAAGACTCGATCGGGGTTGGTGATTGGAATTCGGGCCTTGGATCTACACAACACTTATGCTTGTGTCCGCGGCAACCATTTCTTGAAAGGGCAAGTCAGGGCCCAATACCCGGTGTTCCGCAGCGCGGGGAAACTGTATAGATAAAAGAAATGTGAGGCATTGAATAAATCAATCCCGCCTGCTTCATCGGGCGCCCGAGGGTCCAAGAGCCGATTCCTTTCGATCGAAAAGACCGGGCTGGGAGTAAGCAAAAAAAAAAGGGGGAGGGGGTTGGAAGGTGAGAGTCTGTTCGCAGGTCATCGAGATCACCGATTGACTTTCATGTGTCCAGGTGTGGTGTAGACAAAGGTACCAGGGAGGATTGCGTGTGGGAAGAGGAGGCAGGACGAAAGTGAGGCAACCGCTCCCATGACCCGCGATCCATCTGACAATCGAAAAGCAGTCTCTTGGATGATAATCACATAGTATTCCGCGCCAGACGTCAGGGGCGGGGAACTATGGGACTATCTGCCGCACTCTAAATGAATCCTCGGGACAGGGCGACATACGCTCAGTCCTGTTGTTGAGCCGACAAGGGCTGCAGGCACGATCGATCAATGATGCGCAGCGATCGAGCTCGCATCAGACCGAGAAATCAGGGCATTGCGTCACACCCTGAGATTCCTGAGTTTCTCGGCTCCAGAGGTCTTAATTCGCGTCAAAGGTCAAAGGTTGGCAGAGGGGCAGGGATAGGCGGTTCATAGGGGAGAGGATCATCTGATGTGGGCCGTGGGACTTTCATCACTTTTGCTGTGAACACTGTCCTGATTGGGCTAATTGGGTCATCGAGGCTGTGTTGGAGAGAGAGATCGGGGGGAAGATGGCGGAGATCACTCGGATCCAGAACCTCCCTCTTCCTTTGTTCTTTTCTCTCGCTCTCTCTCCCGCCCCACCCCGGTGGGGGCGGGCGGGCCGGGGACGGCGGACCGGCGGAGCTAAGGCTGTCAAACATCCCAGAAAGGAAATCCGTGCCCCACTTTGAACCCGACGCGAGGGTCAAAGTTCGGATCATTGGCGTCTGGAATTTCTGGGCCCCCTCCCCAGGGGCTTGGGGTCGATCCTACTAGAGTCGTCCATCGAACTTTGATTGTAGACAGTGTCGACTAGTTCATAAGCGAGCTACCTGAAACCTACCTCTTACCGATAGGTAGCCTAGTAAGGGAATTAGGTGTTTGAGAGACACTAGGAGTTGCTTAGTCGTACAAAATTCGGGGAGGTCCAGACTGGGTGTTGCCCCGATGGATTGCTGATCATCCCCAATAACTTCGTTTATAGTAGCCAATGCCAGCGCGAATCAGCCCTCCCTCAACTCGGGGGATAATTTTCATGACAAACGACATTCTCTTCCCGGGGAGAGATAGACACTAAGGCAATAGATAATTCTGCGACGGGGCACAAAAGCACAAGAGGAAAGCGGAAAGTGGATATCACAGAAAATAGCAATTTCAAAAAGAATCCCTTGCCATGGCCCGGCCCGAGTGCCGCTCCCATAGTGTTCCTCCGGGTCGGAGCAGCCCTAGTACATCCAGTACATTTATAGGTGGGTCAGACACCGAGGGATACAGTGTTGCATACAGCATACAGAGAATGTGGGCATTGATATCGCGGGTTGACGCAATAGAATGCAACATTAGTTTCTGCATCTTGATGAGAACAGGAGTTCCCTGGTCCCCGGGATTTGTTAGATATTCTACAGTAAGATTAATCGCCAACCCTAAACAATTCTCTTCCCCAAAAGAATTATCTGTTCCCCCCCTGACGAATACTGCGGAAACCAAAAACATTTCTTTACGAAAATTATTCTAAATACTTTGCGCACAGAGCCCGGCAGCATGGAAATGACACTTGGCCCTTGCGCCGCGATGGTTGTACCGCAATGCCGGTCCACTGGGATGCATCGCGGTGGGGCTATTATGGAGTTGAGCTCCAGTGATCGCCTCAGCTCGCTTGGCTAAACCCGCTCTTGCAGTCCTCCCCGGAAGAAGTCTCCGGTTCTCCCCTGGTTTCATGAGTTCATGTGGGCAACGTGGAAATTAACGCATGCGGGATGCCATGTGTTTGATATAGAGATATTTTATAGATCTACAACATTTATTGCAGATGTAGCATATATATTATAGTATATAATCACTTGAATAGGATACTATAGTCGAGTGACCAGACTAGGATAGTGTGGCCCCCAAAGTTCTCAGGTTTTGGCCAGTCCCGGATACCTGGATAAGTCCACGATTGAGACGTGTGGCTTGAAGAGGTCCGGTGCCCCGGGGCCCTCTTCCTTCTTGCTTCAACTTGCTCCCTCGGCCAGTAGTTCACTTTAGTTGCAGCGTACTTGCATCTCTCCATCCTGTGGACAAGGCTAAAATCTTTCTCTCTCTCTCTCTCTTTCTTTTCTTCTTCGGAACTCAACACCCTCTTCCCCTAAAGTTTCTTCCAACCCACCAACATGGAACCTCGATCGCGGTCTCATGCATGCACCAGCGCATCTTCTCTGTGCTCCCCCATCAGAGATCCCAGAAGATCATTTAGCGTTGTGCGGCCCCCCCCCCCTCCTCTAAACTACACACAACTAATGCAATTCCCACTATGACTACAGTCCTGGAGACCTCCCCCATGCAAGGACGGGGAAATTGCCCGAAACGGCTCCCAGATCGTCATCCTAGGAGATCTGCGCCCGGTCCCGATCGAGTGGTGTATGGCTAACACAATCTCACCAGAAAATCATGGATGCAAATCCCAGTTTATACTCCAATAAGGTTGCTTCCATCTAGCATGATCTCATAAAAGAAAGAAGATAGAGAAGGTAGAGAAAGAAAAGAGATATAGAGGAAATATATCTACAGACTGTGGGCTTTCCTGCATCGTACATTTCCTGGACACGCCAGTCGATCAGTGGCTGGGGAACTTCGGGTCTGGGGGTTCGTGACAAATACTTGTCTTTTCTTTTCCTGATTCTTCGAGTTGGCTCTTTCCCCCCCCCCCCCCCCAGTTACTATGAAGCCCTTATCTTCTTCCCCTTTTGACTGCGCCCGGAATATTTATTTTCACCAAATGAAGTTGCAATTCAAGGCATTTTTTCAGACTCCCAAAACCCCGAGATAGTAAAAACAAACCAAAAGAAAGTCGTATTGAACATTCCCTTTTGTATTGACTTTCCGATGATCATCGGCTTTACACCCACTCTCACTCACCTGTTACTCCGCAGCGGGCCTAAGCCAGTGGCCTCGATGCACAGTGTCAGCGTAGTTGTGGATGGCTCCATCTGATATGGCTCAACAAAGACTGCGAGTCCATCGTCCCCTCATTCCTTCTAGGCCCGGGGCGAGCCGAGCTTTCACCGTGCCCAGCCCACTTGCGGGAGTCACACAAGGCGAATATTATAGTCATAGATAGGGCCATAGATACTATATCAGTAAATCAAAAGATGGCTCTGTTGTACAAATATGTCCTCCTTTTATAACAAAATTTTCAGAACCCTTATGTTCTGTGTAACCTCTATCGAGAGTACCAGCCACAACCCCAGTGGTTCATGAGGATCGGGCACAGAGAGGAGAACTATGCAGTAGCTAGCACCCACCAGGCAGATCCCTCCTCTTCCATTTCTTGGAACAGAGATCCGTGCTACACAAAAACAAGTTCCAGCCCTGCACCAGTGTAGGGAGAAAAAAAGAAAGAAAAGACAAGAAAAGGAAAAAAGGTCCCCGCCATTGACGTACAGTCTGCAGCTACAGTGCAATTTTTCTGTCTCTTCCCGAGTTCCTAACCTCCTGCCAGAAGCAAATTCAAGGTTTTAAGACTCTATCAAGTGGGTAATCAGAGTGGGTATAGGGCGGGGAACAAAAAAAAGAAAAAAAAAAAGGGAGGGGGGGCACTCGGACATGTTCGGATGATTTTCACAGGGAAGAAAGGAAAAGGAAAGGAAAAAGGAAAAAGGAAAAATAAGAAAGACACAAAAAGCAGGAAAAGAACCATGAGCCACAATATCCCCCGGAGCTCATACCTAACTTGGTAACAGCCTCTCTTTCTCATACTTCTCAAGACCCGAGATCCTGAGGACGCAAGATCGATCTTCCTACCCAGATCTTCCCTGATGTGCTTTGTCCCATGCCGCATCCCGGGATCTTTGATCGGAGAATGCCAGTGTGATTGGCGCATCGTCAACCCATGAATATGGAACTTGCGACTGTGTTCCCCGGCACTAACAATGCACGCCATGCGCCCTGTTCCTCGCAAGGCAGTCCCCTTGCCTGGCATTATTATTATTATTATTATTATTTTGATAGCTGAAACAAAGGCAATATGCATTACCGATACCCAATCATCATGGAATATTGAAGCACAGATGGGGGAGAAAAGGAAAAGAAAAAAGAAAGATTTATGCCACGCGACCTGATACATTATTGCATAGCTCGTTGCTTTTTTCTTCTCCTCCCTCTTTCCTCCCCGGCTTCGATCTTTCTCTTACTCGTATACTGCTCTCTATTACGTACATGCCGAGGAGGCAACCTTGCAACGCCGACATATGTGTACCTACATCTATATCTTCTACCGAGGTCCCATACTGCATATCCTATTCGAAAAGATCGTCTGGCGCTGTAAAGTTAATCTCACAAATGACATCGAATAGGATTAAATAACACCGCTTTCTCCTTATCCGTACATCATATTCCCAGAACAGATATGCAATATATATATATATATATTTTTTTTTTCAATTCACATGTAGTAACTCTACGCCACGACCGCGTGGAAAACGCCGTTCCGCATATAGTTTCCAGCAAGGGGAGCGCAGTTTAGGCCTACAGACTGCGTCGCCACTATTGATCGAGTGGCATAGTGCCTACTGTACGCATACCCCCCTTATCGACTTACCTTGGATGGTAAGCATGTAGGCAATCTCCGTGTCTACATATTTCTCCGATCGATTCTCTATACCGAGAGAAAGAGAGAGAGAGGAGGGGAAGTGGTCGAACTAGACTCGGGGAAGGCGGGAGAGCCTAGTGTGGCGGTTTAAGTGATTAGCGCTGTTGCTGCACTATTGGTATAATGTTACCTACAAGTTTTAGTAGGTATAGTTAATGTAGTTAATAGAATTCGAATCTCAACGGAATAATGGCGAGCAGCTAGCTGACTTTATTCTGCGAACAGACACCCTCTTTCCCCTCACCTTATGTAGTCAGCTGGCATGGCTCTTTTCACCGCCATGTCGATATCAAGATGTCACCGCCACGTTTAGTGAACGCTACTGCATAGAATCAACCCCCTTATGTCATTCTGTCGGTGCAACGCTTAACACTTTTGTTGTCTAGGGTTGACTTGGACACCGCTCATTGTATGCTTCCTGTTTATGTGCGTGGATTGGGTGAAAACTGGACTATACATACATTCAACCCAACGCTGTGCACGGCCTTCTCAATCTTGGACAACGCAAAGGGGGAGAAAGTTTCAAACAAAATGGCCATGTCAGAAGGAAAACAAAAAAATGAAACAGACTTTTCTCGATTTGCAACTGTTCAATCGACGATCCTTGATCTCATCGCTTCGACACTCAACCATGCCATCCCAACATATGAAACACCCACCCAGACCTCGAGAAAAAAAAAGTATTTTGTTTCGAGTAAAAGAAATTGACTTTTTCCCCCCTGCATTCCTTTTCGGTTGCCTCGATCTCTCCTGTCAGGGAACCCCCCTGAGTACTTGCATCAGAAAAAGTCTGCGGCCTCGATACATGTACATGCAATGAAGCACAGACACCCGCGCCACACCAGGACCCATCTAGGCGCATTGGAACGGCCACAGACGAGACCTGATCCATGCAGGCAGCATGGGCAGTGGACAATTTTTTCACTCAGCTGCTGTAGCGATCGGCCCGAGAGATACCAAGGGAGGCAAATCCGGGTTCCGCGAGCCACTCACATTGGCGAAGGCGAGGTTATTCCTTTCTCTAAGGCTGTGGGGAAGCTGAGCAATCCGGGATCGAGCCCATTGCTTGACACTGGCGGAGACAGCGGAGACGGGATGAGGGCTTGGACTGAATCCAGCCGATTGGCTTTTATGCTATTGAGAGGAGGCGACGGCGCCGTCATTGTCAAGCAGGCCAGCCTCCTTAGCGAGCTGGAAGAATCTGCCACCTCGCTTGATCAGCTCCGCTGGCGTGTCGAATTCCGCCACTCGACCCTTGTCTAGCACGACAATTCGATCCGAGTCAATGATCGTGTTGATTCGGTGCGCGATCGTGATGATGGTACGATCTTGGAGATGATGCTGCGCGCAGGGTCCGCTGGAGCAGCGCGTCCGTCTCCACGTCAACCGCGGCCTAGTTCGCTGCTGTCAGCTAACGTTCTTGCCTAGATAGGAAAATGGAAAAGGGGGTAAGGGGGTGCTCACTGTGGCCTCGTCCAGGACAAGTATGTTGCTGGGCGTTAGCAATGCCCGCGCGAGGGATACCAGCTGACGCTGGCCTTGGCTCAGGTTCGATCCTGTTATCGTTTTGTGTCAGATATTGATGCCTGAGGTAAGTTCTTGTTGAACTATTCACTAACCTCCCTCTTGAATCTCCGCGTCCAGCTGGCCCTCCATTTGAGAGACATGTTCCTTCAATTTTGCGTGGTCTAGATTTTAGATTTCAATCAGTCATGTTGTCCAAGCCAGATAGAGGTAGCTGAGATTGACAAACCTAGAACACTCCAAAGTTCGGTATCGTCGTGGACATGCCGGGGGTCCAGGTTATCACGCAGGGTACCTTCGAACATGGCAGGATCCTGAGGAATAATGGCGAGACGGCCACGCAGGTCAAACAAGCCAATGGTCGACACATCGAGCCCGTCAATGCTGTAGTCAAATTAGCACACAGTAGACAAAACAAAATCTTGGCATGTAGTCTGCCTTACCTGATGTTGCCACTAGCAGCCTCGATGATCCGGAAGAGAGCCAAGGTAAGTGAACTCTTTCCAGCACCTGTCCGGCCAACGACACCAATCTTTTCGCGGGGCTTGATATCAAGGCTGACATCCTTCAGCACCAGATCGAGCCCCGCACGGTAACGAGTGCTATAGTCCTTGAAGGAAACAGCACCTTGAGCCGGCCAGCCGATAGCAGGACGACGCTTGAAAATCACCTCAGGTGCCTCGCTGGGCAGGTTGGCGTACTCGAGCACCCGCTCAACAGACACAATGTTGGTCTCCACCTCCACGGTCTGACGAACGATCCAGTTCAAAGACTGAGTGATCTGAAGAGCATAGGACATGGCCAGCCCGACCATGCCGGCCGAGAGACCACTTCCAGTCGCGACTGACACGATAGCGAGCCCTGCAGACGCCAGAATGATAATTGAACCGATGAACTCGAGACGGACGGCCAGCCAGCGGTTGGCACTGATTGACGGGAAGTAGGCTCGAAGATTGGCATCCATACGCCATTCATTCTCAAGTGCGAACCGGTTCTCTTGTCGGTAGGCTCGGATAGTTGAGATTCCTCCCAAAGACTCCTGGAAATGGGCGTAGATTGGGCTTCGAGTGACGCTGTCGAGGCGCTTCAACTCACGGGAAGTCCTCAGGTAGTACTTTTGGTAGCTGAGGTAGACATAACTCAGCGGGATGACCAGCAGCATGAAAGCTGGAGTCGAAGCTGCAATGACAACCATAGTAAACACCGCACGGGCAGAGTTGGCAAAGAGCATATTGAACGTGCGAGCCAATACCTCGTCAACACGGTAGACATCACTGGAGAAACGGTTCAAAATCCGGCCAGACGGTGTGGTTTCAAAAAAGCTCATGGGGGAGCGGAAGATGGCAAATGCCATTCGCTCATGCAGTTTCCGAGAAGCCTCGATCGAGCAGAAGATCCACAGGATCAGGTTCTGGAGGATGACCAGGACAGACGAGCCCAGACCAAACGCCAGGTAAATCCCGATAAACTTGCCCGTGCTAGCGTTAGATCCATGTGCTTCGTTTGACTCGGTCCAGCTTTTCAACCAGAAGTTGCCGAGCACCTGGGCGGTTTGCGAGGCCACAAGAGCAAGCAGATAAAAGGTGACTGCACCGATGTTGCTGTTCTTTGCATATTCACCATATACACTCCACTTGACTTTGCCCTGCTGCGAGGTTTCCTGCGTTTGCTTGCTCTTGAGCATATTCTCTTCATCTCCCAGTTTGCGTCTTGGCCCTTGCCAGCTTGCGGTGCTAGCACGACGCAGAGTGACAGTGCTGGTTTTTCTCTGGGGTTTGCTAGCCGACTTAATGGGGACAAGAGAGCCAGGTTGTTCTACCTCTTCGCTGTCTGTGCTGTCGTCTCCTTGCTCGACGACGGCTGTTGTGTCGGAGCTGTCAGGGCTGGCGAGACCATTCTCGGATCCACTAACAGCGCCTTCGTCGTCTGATTCAGCCAGGGTTGTGCGGACAAGGTTGGCAATTTCGCCCTTCATGGCTAGCAGTTGCTCGTAAGTGCCCTTTTCGATGATAGTTTTATCACGCAGCAGGCCAATGAAATCAGCCTCCTTGAGAACTGTGATTGCGTTGGTCGCGAGAATGCGTGTCTTGCCGTTAAGAATACCAGACCGCCCAAGCACCTTGTTGATAATGTGGCGCCCGACATGCTGGTCCACGGCCGAGAGAACATCATCCAGAAGGTAGATATCTGCTCGGGCGTAGACCGCACGGGCAAGGGTCAATCGTGCCTTTTGTCCTCCTGACAGAGAGATTCCGCGTTCGCCAACTTCAGTCTGATCACCATCGGGCAGGTTCTTGAAGTCATCGAGTAGAGCACAAGCTTCAACAGTGAGATCGTAGAAGGCGGGATCCCATCGATGCCCAAAGACAATATTTTCCCGGACGCTAGCGTTCATCACCCACGGCGCTTGTGCAACATATGCGACGCGTCCACGCACAACCACCTCTCCCTGGGTTTTCCAAAGATCGCCTAGCAAGGCTTGGAGCAGCGAAGACTTGCCCGACCCGACCCGGCCAACGATGCAACTGAGTTCACCCTTGCGAGCGCTAAGGTCGATGTTCTTCAGAACAGTTGTTTGGGTGTAGCGGTTCCATGTAAACGAGGCATCATGCACACGCACGGACTCATCACCCGTATGTTCCACGGGGTCTTCGAATCGGACGGCATCAGTTTGGAGTTCCTCTGCGGTGAAGTAGGCCATCAATCGTTGCACCGCCACAGAAGATTCAATGACCGAAGTGATCACCATGGGGAGAATCGAAAGCGGGAAGGTGAGCAGGTTAAAGAGAGTCAACGCAGGGAAAACAATTTCCGTGGTCAATGGGCGGTCACTTGTCAGAACGAAGACGGAAAATGTCGAGCAAGACACAAGGAAAGGAGTGGACATCCAGGTGAAGTTCGCAATGGATTGCGTGGCCCCAATTTTCCGAAGCGTGTTCAATTCCAGGTCATTCCGGATATGACTGAGCTTGTTCATAAAGGCAGTGTTCCAAGCATAGAGCTTAATGCTCTTAATGTTGTTCAGAATCTCGGTCATCAATCGGGTCCTCGAGTCTTTGTTCTTCATCTGGGAGATCTGCAGCGTCTTCATCATCCGTGCAATCACACCATTCAATGGGATCATCAGGATCATCACTCCCACACCGGCAAACATGCTGGCACCAACAAGCTGGTAGAGAGACACCATGCACAGAGTGATTTGGAATGGAGCAGAAATTAGCTGAGTGCCGAATTGAGTCAAATCAGACAGCCGTTGTTGGTCAACAGCCATGTGGTTGACAATATCACCAGTGGTCTTGGCCGCGCGTCCTTCGCTCGACAATCGCAATGATTTTGCGTAGATCAGGGCAGTCAGGGCTGATTTGACTCGCATGCCAGTATCGAAGGCTCGCTGGAAATATTGATGGAGACAGCTAGTCTGGCAGACCGAGACAACGAACATGGCCAGGGCGATGGCAACGCCTCTGATGATGGGCTGGGGATCCGGGCTTCGGTACGAATCGATGAAGGCGATCAGAAGACGCAGGAGCTGCGGTTGAACAAAGGCAAGCATGTCACTGCCCGATTTAATGATGGCACCCCGAAGGTAGGGCCCTCCAAAAGCCTTGAAAAGTGCCATCCAGAGGGACGGTTTCTTCTTCTCAAGCTGTTCCTCCCATGCCTCTCGCAGATCGTCATACGTGACTCGAGTAGTGTCGCGGCGGCGAAGATTCCACAGATCATCTTGCGTCAGGAAATTATTGTATCCGAACTTCATCATCGGAGTCATCCAGCTGAAAGTGAGGACGGAGAAAATATCCGCATAATTGTAGGGGCATTCATCTTCATCGCCCAATGCATCGTAGGCACTCTGCTTCTTCGGCACGAAGTATTCCAGCACGAACTCCAACAGCGCAAGACCCAAGCTCACGTTGACACAAACAAAGTAAGGGGGTCGATGCAGGTATTCCTGTCGCGCGACGAGTGACCGCAGCTTGACGGCATATGCAATATTGAAAAAGAGCCAGTAGAAAAGTACGACCCCATTAGGCTGCCGACTTCGCCAGTGTTCGAAATACTGCACCATATATATCACACCAAGCGAGACAATTGTCGAGATCGACGACCAGAAGCGAAAGTCGGCCCAGAAAGTTTGGGGTTGCGACTCGACCTGAAGAGCTGCTTGCAGGCCAGAGACAAAAATCAGAGCGGCGAGCACGACCTATACGTCGACGACCGGTCAGAAACACGGCCGCGCCATGTGGAGAGGGGATCTGGAATGTACTGACCAACTTGGCGTAGAAGTGCCAGTTCTTCGAGACAGGCGACGGGATGCGCTTCTTCAGCAAAAGCCACAGTGCAGCGACACCCGCCAGCGTGCCCCAAACGGCCACCACCGCCACAATCACATCCAAGAAGCATGGTGTCAAATCGAATCGGGATGAGCTGATCGGGCCCCAGCCCTCGACATCACTGCAGAAGGGCTGTCGGGCGTCGAATGGCGATCCGGGGCGAGAATGCAACAGGGATCCCGTGCCCCCGAGCACCTCCTGGGAATGGCCATCCAGCATTTTCCGAACAAGCAACGGCACCCCCCGTATTTCCTTTCTTTTGTGCAGACAAGCAAGGATGAAGAGAAAGAAAAGGCCTTCGGGTCGAGAGCTCGCAGGATGCTTACTAAAAGCCGTTCCGAGCTCCACTTGCGGCGTCGGGGCTGTTTACCGCAAATAGGCAAAAGGGAAATCCCTTGATAACGAGAAATACGTTATTCTTACAGAGCCTTTTTTTTATGCTTGGATTTACTGTATTTCTGGCTCCTAGTTTCATGGCTCTGCTTGAATCTCCCGAGTCCACGGCATGGGACATTGCGACTTGGTCACCTGACATTACGTCTGTCGGCGATAAGCCTTGATTAATAATTTAAGCCCGAGGCCCGGGGATTTTCGACGGATGGTGGGTTGAACAAATTGCAATTAGCAAGCTTCTTATTGGCTCTGCTGTTGCTGTTTTGTGTACAATCTTTGAACTAAAATTCTGGGTGCGTAGGCCTTGTGGAATAGTTCGTTGCCGGGTCCCTGTAGGTATTTCTCTGGATCAGTCCAGGCAATATATATCTGCTGGCCAGGACATCAAGGCCAATTATCAAACTACATTATATTGCACCATAGAAACCAAGAAATGTAGATTCATAATACTAACAAAACCCCACAACAAATATAGAATATATTCTCCTTTTCCTTCTTTTGGGCTATGAACTGCGCAGGTGAACATCAACAAACACAATGACGTAACCGCAGATGTACCACCAAGTCACGTGTACTCCAAGTAGCCATTCTAAAAGAGAAAAAGAATAGGAGAAAAAGGGACATGATTACCTGCAGGAAATCGAAGGATCAGAGCCTCGCGACTGGCGGGATGGTGTTCGAGTTCAAAGCCTCCAACATTACCCACTATGAGTCAGGCCCAAATCGGAGGCCGATTTAGTCATAGTTTATGGGCGTGTTCCAGCACAGCCTGAAAATTCTTATACTCATGGAGGAATGAAAAATGGCTATGCAAGGCCTCCAGAATTCGTGTGACTCAATATCAGTTAGAATATCTACCCATTGGTAACATTTAAAAAGGAAAACAAGCCGACACAGAAGTCATCAAAAAAGCTCACCTTCCCGAGGCGGTCAGAATCTGCCTATCGGCGTCATTGGTGGGGCACTGGGATTGCGCGCTTTTAACATACCTTTCTGCGAGTAGAAGGCAACATGGTGGAATCGGCTCGGATAGAGGAGCTCTTGAAGAGACCTCTCTATGGTGGGTTCTTGATCTTCTCAGAAATCAAGACTGTCCCAGCTGACCAGCGACAGTATATGATCTTCCACCAGAGCTTCTCGCGACGCTTGCGCCAAAAACCACAAATCAAGTCCCTGCTGAACCCGACTCCGAGCCCACCCCGGAAGACCCTGAAAGTACAGTACAAGAGCTAGCGATCGCAAATTCTACATCATGCTCTCTGTGCAAGGTCCCCTACCAGAACGTGCAGGAGCAGCGCAGTCACGTCCGATCAGACCACCACCGGTATAACCTCAAGGCCCAATTGCGCGGGAATGCCACCCTCGATGAAGTCCAATTTTCGAAAGCAGTCGGAGAGCTGGATGAATCTATATCAGGGTCGGAGTCATCGGAGTCAGAAGATGAAGAGACCGACGCCGGCGCGGATACAACGCTGACGGCCCTGCTGAAAAAGCAGGCCAAGCTATCTCAGACGAACGAAGAAGCGACGACAGTGAAACGGGGCTCACCAAAGCATCCGGTTTTCTGGCTGTCGAGCTCAAGCTTGCCATCCAACAAATCCCTGGGTATCTATAGGGCGATCTTCTCCAATGTCGAACAAGATGAGCTCGGTCACCTGGTTGATTCTTTACGAAGAAAGCAGCTGGCAGCCGTCAATGTGCGCACAGATAACGCGAGCTCTCCACAAGCTCCCAATACTTCTAACCCTCACATGTTCATGTGTATGATCGGCGGTGGCCATTTCGCAGCAATGCTAGTGTCGTTGGCGCCCGAGATTCATCGGAAACAGGGAGGCGTCGAGGAGAGACAGGCCAGGGTCATTGCACACAAGACATTCCACCGATACACGACCCGACGAAAGCAGGGTGGCTCACAGTCTGCCAGCGACGCTTCTCGAGGTGCTGCTCACTCGGCGGGGTCGAGCCTGCGACGCTACAATGAAGCCGAGCTAGAGAAGGATATTCGAGAACTGCTGGCCGACTGGCGGAAAGAAATTGATACTGCCGAGCTCTTGTTCATTCGCGCCGCGGGAAAGACAAATCGAAGAATTCTCTTTGGTCAATACGATGGGCAAGTCCTCCGGTCGAATGATCCCCGACTGAGAGGATTTCCCTTCAGCACTCGTCGGGCGACGCAGGCCGAGCTCATGCGGTGCTTCAAGGAGCTGACCCGCGTGAAGGTGAGCGAGGTAGATGAGGCTGCGCTAGCTGCCGCAGAAGCCAAGAAACGCGAGGAAGTGTCAAAGCCACCCACGCCTCGGCCGCAACCCCAGAAGCCGAAAATGTCCAAGGAAGAAGAGGCGGCGCTGTTACACACCACTCAGATCCAAGCCATGATTCGCCGCTCCAAAGTACCTGCCCTGATGTCCTACCTATCGAACAACTCCATCTCCTCCTCTTTCACCTTCCAGCCGACCGACTCGCCACAGAACTTTCGCTGCCCTACTCCCCTCCATTTGGCCGCAAACCTGAACTCATCAGCTGTTGTCACAGCGCTTCTCACTCGAGCCGGATCAGATCCGACTGCAGTCAACAGCGAAGGCAAGACCCCGTTCGAGATCGCAGGCGATCGAGCCACCCGCGATGCTTTTCGCGTCGCTCGTCACGAACTGGGCGGATCGAAATGGGACTGGAATGCAGCCAAGGTTCCATCGGCAGTCTCTAAATCTGATGCCGAGAGTCGGGCTGAGCGAGAGCGAAAGACCGCCGAAGATGAGGAGACAAATCGACGCAAGGCCGGAATGGATCGCTTGAAGCGAGAAGATGTCGAGAGGGCTACCCAGCAAAAATTCACCAAGTCTGGTGGTCGGACACTGGGGGCTGTGGAGAAGACTGCAGCGGAGAAACGCGATGAGGAAACTCGGGGTATGACCCCAGAGATGAGAATGCGACTGGAACGAGAACGCCGAGCAAGGGCTGCTGAAGAGCGCTTTCGGCGAATGCAGGGCCATTGAGTTCTTTCTTTGCAGCTATCCTGAGCTTGAATTTTGTACAGGAGTGATGCGGTTTTCCATGGTGTTGTGTATATGGTAGAAAGCACATAGAGTCGGAACGGTCACATGTTCTGGGTGTTCGCATCCATCATTTCTCCCATCTTCCACTTTGCTTCATTTACACTCTTCGTATCATCAATTCTGCACTGGCAATGGCCCACATGCCTTGGTCCTCTCCATCACTCTCAGCATCGGGTGCCAAATGCCTGGTGGGTACACTGGTCCGATGGGACCCCGATACCCGCAAGGCCAGCGACCCACTGGATGTCTATAGCAGCGACGAAGTCTACATCGGACGAGATAAGAAAAACTGGTACTTCAAGTTTGATATAGAGAATATGCATGTTGATTGCCTCAGCTAACCCTGGACTGTTCTGGTTCAGCCAATATGTCATCCAGAATCCTTTCGTGTCCAACAAGCACCTCCGTATCTACTCCATCCTGTTTGACCAGGAAAACCCGCAGGAGGTTCCACCCTTGGTGTATGCCCAGGACCTGTCCATGAATGGGACATTGTGGAATGAGTACCCGATGGGCAAAGCCAATGGCAGTTTCCTGCTCAGCGATGGCGATGTCCTCCGAGTCACAGCGGGTGTTTACCTTCGGTTTCGCTCGGCTGGCTACTCAGAAGAAAATCGAATGAGCTACCTGCAGCGCATCGAGATGCAAGTAAGTATATATAGGATCTGTTTGGAATATGCTTTTCTGGTTATTAGAAACTAATTTTGATTTTGTGCCAGGAATTCAAGGACCGCTATGTAATTACCCAGCGCCTCTTAGGCTCTGGCGCCTATGGACGTGTCCATATGGCCTTCAAGAGGGAGAGTGGCCAGCAGTTGGCTTGCAAGATTGTTGATCTTCAATCCCTGAAAGCCAAAGCCATTGCACACATGGACGAAGAGCAAAAGTCCAAATTCTTCGCAGGCCGTGCTAAATCCACACCGAAAGATGTCGTTGCATTACGTAGAGACAGTCTTCAAGAGACAGCCATTTGCAACCGAACCGAACTCTACCAGCGAGAGGCATTAATTCTGGCGAAACTTTCTCATGTAAGTTTATTGGTCACGGACAAGCATTGCATTGCATCCAGCTGAGATCCGCAGCCAAACATTATCAGCGTCGAAAAGGTCATTCGCTCAAGCAACACGATGTCAGTGATCAATCATTCAAGGAAAGATAGTGTGCCATGTCTGATACATATCCCACAGCTATCTGTTTCAAGAGCTCGTGACTGCAGGTGACCTCTTCTCCTTCATCAGTTACAAAGGAGGAAGACTCGAGGACGACGCAGCGGCCATGATCATTCACCAGATCCTGTTTGCACTGGAATATCTGCATGACCAAAACATCGTGCATCGAGATTTGAAGCCAGACAACATTCTCATGACCTCGCTTGCGGATGGAGGCAGAGTTGTTCTCACAGACTTTGGATGTGCCCGACTGGTGAATCTGCCTGCCCAGCGCATGTCGACCATAGTTGGCACCATGGAATACTGCGCACCGTAAGTGGCCATATTTCTTCTGGGCTCAGAATTTAACATGGATTGATTTCTGTAAAAGGGGAGGTAAACTCATCGAATCGACGAGGCTACACTAAAGCCGTTGATCTATGGTCATTGGGCTGCGTCACTGCCGTTGTGGTGACCGGCTGTACACCGTTTGAAGAACAGCAGAGTTCTATGGCGACTGCTCTTACAGAGCTTGAGCGTGAGCTGACGAGACTCCATATAGGCTCTTGCGCTAAAGACTTCTTGCACAAGATGCTGGTTACAGACGAGAGCAAGCGGCTGGATGTCAAGCAGGCGCTGGATCATGAGTGGTTCAAGAACCCAACGCATCAACGCGAGTTTGAGGAGCTGTATCACCGATCTATCAAGGATTGGAAGCCGAGACTGAGCTCTCATGAGGAGCCAGTGATTGTCGACCTCTCCAATTATATTCGTGGTGCTGGCAGGTATCTGTCTTCGGTGTCTGGCACTGTTCACAAGCTCGAGGACTTTTCTCAGGGTGCATCGATTGATCACATATCAGAGTCTTCCTATGGCGAGTCTCAAACGCACAAGACCATCTCATCGAAGCTTTCCACGCCCTCGAATGCTTTGCGTCCACCGCATGGGGTGTTGAAGCATGAGAAAATAACCATCCGGAATTTCGGACCTCGAGCTGTGAAGAATGACAAATGGAGTCAGAGCCAGAGACCACAGAGACTTCTGCAGCAATCAGAATCCAGAGACAAGGGATCTGATCTGGCCCATTCCAACTCAAAACCTGTTCCACACCAGCCGGCTGCCAGTGCAACAAATGACACCAGCACCTGCGTGAATCGTCAAATCTTTTTCAAGAGAATTCGTCGAGAGACATCTCTTGCCTTCGCCCAAGTATCTCTTCCCGACATGAGCACAGTCCAGCAGCCACCTATTCTCTCTCCCAAAAGCCTGACTGTGACTCGACCTGTAGCCGAGAAACCGTTCAAAAGAATTCGAGCTGCTAGAGACCCGAGTGTGGAAGAGGACGAGGTCTATGAGGAAGTGCAGAACCCGGTTACTGGCAAACGACAGCGACGAATTTACGGCAAAGAGATTGATCTGCTGAAGGAGTTGCTGTAGCAGACTCTGCGGGGATTTGTTCGACACGTCGGGATTTCAGGAAACAGCTTAACTTGATTTGATGGGGATACGAAGGACGAAATCGAAGGAAGGCTGGATTTCTTTTTAATAAGGGGATTTTTTCTGTTTTCTTTCCTTTTTCAAAACGAAATGGCGGGATATTATTATGCAATTGTGACAGCTGGGTATACTTTCTTCAATATGGTTATCTCGGTAGAAGCATTGATGGAATCTTTGAAATAGGGTACCTGCATTCTTGAGATAATCATAGATTTTTACATCTGTCGTGTCGATGCAGGGTATAGTTTGTGTACATGTAAACATGGCTGGAGAATAAAGACTAGCTTTGCTGCATGCAAGTAATATGCAAGTAGAGCTGAATGAGAGGCTAGGCTGGAAGTCCACGAGATACATGCAAGCCATCGTGCAGCAAGATCTTGGGATGCAGTCTGCATAGGAACCATGTAGGCCCATAACCCCATTACGTGTGAGTTGAGCAGGTACAAGACCAAAGACAAGTTAACTCGTTCGTTGCCACAAGATCCAGGAGACATGGGCCAGCACAATCTCGGACTAGGCAGCTGGGCTGGCATCTCTGTCAGCTGGAAAGGAGTGAAACATGTCTCCACCATGACGGAAAGCCGTCGTACGAGTCGAGGCCAATTATCGCCCCTGGAAAACTATCATCATTGCCGCAAGGTTTTAGGTGACCAGTGCCCAAAGATCAAGTTGGAAAGGGGGCAATGAACTAATGAGATCAAGAAGCGAGAGGGATAGAATCTTGTGGGTATAGACTCATCCTGAAATCACTCCATCGGTTGAATCCAGAGACTTCCATAGCAGTGAATGGTAGAGCAAAAAAGGGAATGACATCTCCCCCCTCTTCCCTTTCCCAGGGGGTCGCCACCCAGGTAATAGTTCGTGATGCAACTACCCACAGTGGCACAGGAGGGCGAGTGGAAGACATTGCCCTGGATAAGCAACGAAAGAGGAGGGGGAAGGAGAGCATGGATTGGCTGCGTAGTACTGGGTCCTTTGACAGATCCTGGCTATAGTGGGCTGTGTCGGTCCCTAGATGTCTAGGACCGGTCCAGTGGGCACTGAGCAGGGGCAGTGCGATTGTCGGGTGACCAAGGGGTGGGATGGGCCGAGCACCCTCCTGAGAGCTCAGACAGGAGAAGGAGCTCAGAGTGGGGGGGGAGATGGTGTTGATCAAGTGGGTGTGGTGCCCACGGTTTCACTTGGGAGGCCAATGAGCAGATGCTTGATGGAGCGTATGGCCGGGTATAGACATCCTAGGACTCACTCGAGTTCAATATTTTTTTGCCATAGTGAGTGTTGGCAAAGACATCTGCGGGCCTGAAGAATCTGCGGCTTTTGCCCAAACATTGTGTTGCTATAGGGGGTCTTCCTGAAGACGTAGTTCACTGGCTGTGTCTCAGAAAGATATCAACGATGCAACTCGGTGTCGGCAATAGCGCCGAGTCCATGACAAAAACACATCTACCAAAGGCATTGCCAATGAAATCAAGGATCAAGCAATAGTGGCAGCCTTTGGACAGTATCAAGCCAATGATCACACTCTCTGCGGTCAAAGAATGTGGATATCGTGGTGTATAGGTGGAGCCAAACCGGACAAGGAGGGAAAGACATTTGATGCCAAGAACGTCGTGCATCTATATAGAAACAATACTGTGAGTCAAAAAAGAAAGACGAAGATAGGTGAGACCCTGTATTCACACTGGTCCAACCTATACAGGAGTCTTAGCCCTCGCGGGGCACGGTTGGAGGGGCAACGCAGGACCCAGCCACATCTGTGCATGACGGTTATCGAGGATGTGGAGATGATCGACGTTAGTGGCCGTTGTGGGTAGGATGGGGATATATGTCTTGCATGAGGTTTCTTGCAGGGGTACTTGCAGGGGCAGAGGGTTTGCACAGTCTGCCCTTGGAGGAGGGAACAAGCCCTCGCAAACCCACACGACAAAGGGCTGCGTCTGCCACGATGACTCGGGTGTGTTGTGCATCCCCGTTGCCCTTGGCTCACTTAGTTCCTTGAAGGCTAACCTTGAAGGGGCCTATAGAGGGCTGTGAAAGCACAATGGTTGCATCGGCTTTGTGTATCCCTTGCGTGAGATTGGATTTCCATCGGGGAATGATCCCGAGTACCGAGGGGTTACTTTCACAAAGAGCTGAGGGGCGTGTGGTTCAGCCGCAGTTGTGGATGGGACCAGATCCCTTTGAAAACCCTGAAGGGATCAAAGAGGAGAGAATAGGTGAGGCCGATGGGTTCTGAGAGGGAGGTTGAAGAAGGGAATATCATTTTGTAGTTAGATATTGGATTTAGACATTATTCCTAAGTGCCGACCATGCTAGATTCAATGTGGTTAAGCTGCTGCATCTATCGACGGCCCGTTGCGTGCATCGGGGATTTGGCACTCTCCACTCTCATCCGAAGAGTAAAGAAAGGAAACTAGTAGTGTTCACCGGGGTAACCAGGTCTGCAAGAAGCAAGGGGGGCATTGGAGGAGTAATAGTGGCTGATGAGGTGCAAGAATAGTAGTTGCCCTAGGAGATGGACAGAAACTGAATAGATCCTTGTTCATTCAGTGTCTATTGTACTACACATCTAACAATCCATGTATACAATCCATGAATTGATATAGAAACCACCTGCCTATTTAGGAAAACAATGACATAAGCATCGACAGAAACTTCCCCGCCGCTGATTGGCTGTCGCGTCGCGTAACGCGTACGCGTCGCGTAAACCTTGGAGGCCGAAGGATTCAGGATTCACATTCAAGAAAATCAGCCAAAACCAAAGGCTGAACAGAAAGGCAGGACTCAACACCGGATACTGGATATCCTGTGAGAGGGCTGGTATGGGTAGGGACCAAAACTCCTGGGCAAAGGGCAAGAAGAATGGCAGGAAGAAGGGCAGGTTGGGCCCTACTTGAATCGCATCATAAAACCAGCCGGGTCGCCCGGGGGGGCCAGTGGCAACACACTTTGACCGGAAACCTTCGGGGAGTGCTCGGATGTCCTTTTCTTTTTGTTCGTGGTTCGTTGGTCGTCGCCTCGGTGGTGATATAGGATATAGGTCTTTGTCTGCAGCACACTCGAGGTAGCCACACCTGCAGTGAGATGGTCCCTCGGGCAACTGAAAGAAAATCATACATCATGTATATTGGGGCCGTAGAGAGGGCCCACAGGTCAACCGCATTAGGAAGTGTAATGAGTAAATGTCGCACGTCGATCTTGGTGTCTCAGGGGCCTCGTGGGGGTCCCCCCCTTCTGCAATGTCCTTGCATGGGCCTCCTTTGTGTGTTTCACTGGGACCACGAGCAGAAGAAGAAGAAAAAGAAGGAGGAGGGACTTGGAATCAGCCTGGAAAAGGGAGTGTAGGTATAATAGAAAATGAGAGAGGGCGCAGGGCCGAGGAAAACATTGTAATCCCTCTAATTGATCTCAGTCCTTTGCCGGTTGACATCCGATGACTTCATTCGTTTGAAAAAAAAAACATTCTCTTTGATCTCTTTTCTAATTTATTTTTATTCTTATTTTTATTCTACTTTCTTTCAGTTCTCTTGTCTTTATATCAAACGAAAGAGAAGGAAAGAAACAAGTGGAGGGACGTTTCGGGTGATGTTCGCTTGACCGTTTGCGCCAAATTTCTTTTGTCGGCTGGTTCCCCCCCGCCGACTCTTCGCTCTTTTCCCCCTAAACAACTCTCGCCAACACCCATCAACAACAACCACCCCATCGCATCCCCTCGGAAGCGGTGCAAATCAGAGCGCATTTCGACCATAGTTGCCTCCACTCGTTTTCAATCTCTCAACTCCATCGTCGCGCATCTCAACCGCCTCCGGCGCAATCGCGCACTGCGCACAAATTCGCGCAACCTTGACCAACTCGACTTTCGCTCGCTTTTCGCCCACACAACCCCCAGCCAATCATTCAACCACTGCCGTCTTCGATACGCGCAGACAATACTTCTCTGCGCAAAGATGTTGCTCCCATCTGCCCTCCCCTGCGATGTGCGCCGGTCGTCTCGCTTCACCCCTAGTCGCCTCTTTGCGACTCCTCCCCCCTCCGACAGAAGATCTTCTACAACAGGCAATGGCCTGCTCGGCACCTGTCGCGCTCTCCAGTCACTGTTGAATGGATCACCAGCGCCCTCATCGCGCCGATCCGTTAAACCCCAACGCCTCCAGAGCCCCCTCCCCATCCAGCCCCCGCGTCGCTCACCACGGCTGCGCAAAGTCGCTCGTCCTGCTTCTCCTCGACAAACTCCTGCTCCCACTACCACAGCCCACACTCCCCCTCCCCCACCATCAGCGCCCGCGCGAGGCGCCAACAAGCGGCGACGCGATGAGTCCGACGACGACAGCGACGCAGATCTCGGTCGCCGGGTTTCTACCCCCAAACGCCGCCGGCACGTCCCTTATGACCTGCCTCTCGGCCTCTCCTCGACAGATTTCTATTCCCTCCACTCGCCACCCATCACCCAGTCTCCACCGTCTCCTGCACAACGTCCCATCCATCCGCGCAACCACCCCTCCAGTCCGCGCATCGACCCCGACGCCCCTCTGCCCTCTATCGAAGAATCAGACGAGCCTGCTGGCCCCTCACCCGCACTCAACTGGACTGCCGAAGAAGACCAACACCTGATCGAGGTGGTCCTCGAGAAATTCCGTCTTTCCCAACAAGAGTGGGATGACTGTGCCCGCCAGATGGGCCGTCGGAGCCACTCGCAAGTGGGACACCGATGGAATACTCTCGTTGGCGAAGGTCGCGTCGGGCTGCGCCGTGGACAATGATCTCTTTTTTTTTTTTTCTTTTTTATTCTCTATTTTTCTCTTTCCTTTCACCGATTCGTGTATTATATGATCTCGTGCAAGTGACTGCTTGGCCGACCTGATTCCGTGCTGCAAGAACCCACCCCATGTATTATCTCATTTCTGTTTATTGTTGCTTCTTGGTTTTCTTCGCCGGCACTCAATCACCGTCTTTCGTTTTGCGGTCTGCTTTTTTCTTTCTGTTGATTCGCATCGGGCTATGTGAATATCTCTATCTCTATCTGTGTTCCTGTTTATCGAGGACTATATGTTTTTATTCTTATGTTTCCTCTTTGTGTGATTGATTCATGCACATGCTTGTCGTTTCTTGTTTTTGTGCGACTGTTTTCTGGGCCATATACTATTATCTACTGATCCTGTACTTGTATATCGAGTTATCAAGAAGATACCATTTATTTAGATCACTATGACTTTTGTATTTATTGTAAAGAAGCTTAAGCTTATTTGATATCAGTCTTGCTGTGTCTTGAATGCTTTGCAAAATAGTATGTACGTGGATATGTAGAGGGCCCCATCCAACGCCAGACACCCAGCCTTTGTGCCGAAGAATAACAGATGAAAGAGGAATCCAACCAGATATATGTCTTCCTCGATATGAGCCAGTCAGAAACTACCATTTAGAACCTAAGGAGTCAGTATCAGCAGAAAATTACATATAAATAGGAGATATAGAAAAGAAAAGTGAAAGGCAAAAAAAAAAAAGAGAAAAAGAACATACCGGATCTCGTAACTCCCCGCACGAGTCATGTAACGCACCCACTTGACAGAGCTATAATTACTCTTCTCAAAGACCTTGAGGTAGCGCACAAGCAAGCCGGACGAGGTAAACATGAGCAGCCCAAACGACAGGCTGAGCGGGGGACGGCTCCAGGCCTTCTGGTGGGTCATAGAGGTGAGGGTCGCCTCGGCGTTGAGGACATACTCGCTCTGGCCCGAGAAGCGGGCAATCTTCCAGACGATATTGTTGTGCTCGGGCTCATACTTGGCGCGGCCCTGGCTGGTGCGCTCGGTGGTTTTAGCGGTGTTGAGCGGGGTGGGGATGCGGATGATGACGTTGGTCGCGAACAGCTTGGAGCTGTAGTTGGCCTTGATGGCGACGCTGTACTCGACCTTGGTGGTGCCGATCTCGCGCACGATTGGGTGCACCTTGAACGGCAGGTTGACGTTCTCCGTCGCCCGGTATCGCATCAGCTCGAACTCGCCGTCCGGCGGCACGAACGAGATGATCCGGTCTGCGTCGAACCGCCCCAGCTTAACGCACTGGTGGAACTGGCAGTCTTCCAGTGTCACGGACCCGGCGGCGGCTCGTGTCGCTTTCGATGCCCCGATTCCGCCGCCTGATGCTCCGCCACCACGACCACCTCCTGGCCCGGTCGGCTCGCCGCCGTCCAGGAGGAGCCGGTCATTGAGTCCGAACTTGCATTCTGGTGTGCCTGTGAGATATGCCCGCATAACAATCTGTCCGTTGACATCGGCGCGGAGTACCGTGCCGGTTGCTGACATCAAGAGGTTGACGTCCTCGATCACGTCGACGAATGCTTCGTTTTTGCGGTACTTGATGTCGGACCGCCGCCACGAGAGCGCTCCAGTTGCCTGCATTGTAATCCGACTGGAATCTGTCGGGGAATTGGCGATGGCCGACTTGACTCCCTCGGTCGTAATGTACATTTTCAGCGTATCAGTCTCGGTGTTTTGCGGGTAGCCGAAGTCCAGAATTTCTATCGATCACAAGATCCGCAGTGTCAGCTTCGGCTTTAATCGAATTCAATGATTAATCCGGAGCCATAACAAGGGCAGCACTCACCGTCAAGCAACTCGTAGATCAGCACAAAGTTATTCTTTACGGCTTCCTCGTCCAATTTGCCGAAGTAGCTCTTCCCCAGCACCACCAGCCGATACAGGAACTCAAACACCAGCGCGGCATTGGCATTACTCTTAGTCACAGCTACCAAATAGATATTCTCGTGCTTGACATGGCTGAAAGTCGTCGAGCCCAGGGTCAGGATCGGCGAGCGCACCTGCGGATTGGAGATGACCTGGATGCGGAAGATATCGGCGAGGCGGGGGCGGCAATCACTGCGGAATGCGCGGAAGATGAGGTTCTCCCCCTTCTGGTTGAAGATGAGGATGCCCGAGAGCATAGTGGGTGAATCGAGGGCTCATGTGGTTTGGAGGTGCAAGAAGCTCGAGAACGGGGGGAGGGAGATGTGGGGGGGGGAAGAGTGGATCGACACCGCCTGAACCATCTCTCACATGGCGACACTGTCACTTCCCTCCTACGCGCATTTCTCCCCGACACGAATTTATGGCGATTGCTTACCTGCAAAGATGACGAGATTCATCACTAAATGGTTTAGACGGGAGAAAACACACGAGCATATTCCGCGGCCCTCCGAGCCCGGTGCTATCGGGATCCCCGATTCCACCTGCGAAATCAACGGGGATCCCTTCAACCAGAGCAAACTACCCATTCCAGCAGAAGAGCAGCGCCAGCTTAGGATTGACAGTCCACGCAACCCCCAACACCAGAGCCGCTTTTTCCAGCTCCCGCCAGAAATCCGGCGATTGATTTACATCGAGTTGCTGGGTGGTTGCCGCGTACACATTGACTATGCGTTCAAGTGGCCGCCATTATTTGGGCCACAAAAGAAATCAAGAGATCGCAAACGTTCCTGGCAGTGGTGGCACGTCGTGTGTGAGGGGGGCCATTCATTCATCGAAGATCATGACTCAGATTCCTGTAACGACTTCGGCGACGAAGCCCACGATGCCAGGAAGTTCAAGTGGAACACTGCACCTCCCGGGACAAAAATTGTGGCAGTCCACTGGTTAACGTGTTGTCAGATGGCGTTAGTCAATTCCTTCGATATCCATGTTCATGGCAACGAAAGAGAAGAACAGAAAGAAAAAGCTCACAATGCAACAGATACGAAGAAGCATTGCCAATCCTCTATGGCTCCAATATCTTTGTGACACGCCATAAGCTCGACACTCCATTCCACATGGCTAGAATCCTCCTGCCAGACTACACTTCTCTTATTACATCTATGGACATTTCTATCCACATTGGGGGCCCTCACACTAACCCACCAGAGATAACCGGGGAGTGGGCAAAGTTCTACCCAGCCTTTTTTGAGCTGTTCCATCACACATTCCGCAACGTTTGTCGGCTGCGCTTGACGATGCGCCTGAAGCCGGTGCAGGTCTGTCCCGATGCCATGACTGACAAGAACCTCGACATCTTTCTTGCCCCGTGGGAGGCTCTTGCCGCTAGCCGCGACTGGACAAAGCTGGACCTGTGTGTCCCGGAAGACTGGTATGGTTGTCTGACAGGGAGAGCTGCAGGCCACAAGAAGTGGACATTGAGCAAAACCCAGTGGTCTGGTAGTTCTTATTTCCCCCGGCGAGAATGCGTATAGCCATGACTTCTGTGCTTGATGGATTTGATTTTCATAAACTTATAGCTACAACACTCACATGAAGGGGATCTTCTATTTTTATGCAGCTATTTTTCATCATAGATCTACTTCTGGAGGCTTTTCAGACGCTACGTGAAGTAGCTACCTCCTATGATACGGAGGTCATGAGAGAGGCACGCAGCACGGCGGTTTTACTTGTCAAGCTGCACCAGCGACGAAAGGAGCAAGATGCCAAGGCCCTGGGCAAACTTATCCAAACAGAGACTGAGCCATCTGATGCTGAGACCCAGCCGTTGGGCATTGCGGAACCTGAGTCCAACCTCGTGAATCAGTCGAATACTTTCTGGGCGGACAAATGCGATCCTGGGCCTTGAAGACTTCGAACTTGATCCGCTGCTCATGGAAGTTCCATGGCCAGCAAATTCTTTCCAAATGGGATTGAAGGTTTATAATTATATCATTCTCTGTATTAAATAAGTTCAAACATGTTTCAATATCCTAGAAATCCTTCTCTCGAATCAAATAGAGCCATTTACAGTTGTCCAAAAACTCACATATCGATTCCTTGGTATCTGGGTATCTACCAAGTAAGCGTAACTATAATTCTACCTCCAGTCCTTGGGGTTAAACATATCTCGGCTCGTAACTATCCGAGTGGAAGCCACGAGGGCTTACGTGTCTCGAAGAATTAGGGCTACCAAGCACACCCATACCGTTTCCACTTATCTCCGCTCGGAGAGATCAGGCTCAGGTATTCGCATCTGTTGCCACACTAGAACATAAATCAATAGATGCCATTTCGAAGAGCCAATAATAGATTACCTTCTTAACACAATAAAGCCGAGAAAGGGCCACAGGTGGGAGTTTTCCCCTGGCAATTCATCTCATCCATTCAACTCAACTTGAGGATCAACGATGCGACTATCACGTCCATAGTCCGCAATGGCATTGTATGGTTCACCTGCTTTTTCAGTTAAAGCTTCCTGTTCCTTCCCTTGTTGTTAGTATTCGCCAGATCTCGACATTGATCTTAGGTCAAATAGATTTATGAATATTGGGAATCATCGCTGGCAGCAGAAAGCCCTTTGTAGGTCAAATCGCCTAGCTATCTGCTTATTAGACATCAAGCTGAAGGGAATGCCCGGATATGGCCAACTATTAACACAAAGAAATGGCCATCACAAGATCGTCTATGGCCCGAAAGTATGTATCGTCGGGAATATTCCCTAGCCATAGAATAACAATGGAACCGAAAATAGTAGACAAATCCCCAGCAGTGAGTAAAAAACAATAAATCTGACAGGATATTAAGGTATCAACAGGCTGGAGGTGGAAGAAAACCGCTGGGAGGGATATCATGCACGCAACATATTACAAAAATATACAGCCAAGAGGGGGAAATGTCGAATGACAATGGCGTTTTGATCAACAGAGGGCGATAGAGAACCTTCAACCAGCCCCTGTGCTGGGTCTGGTGTTTGGCAAGGACGGTCCCTCGCTGGGCACAATGCCAACCTTGGGGTCGGGGATCTGGATATCCAGCGACATGTATGCCGTGCGCCGCAAACTCCAGATGTAGACGCCATCTTTGGCGCCCACTTCGCGGTTCCAGTTCTCCAGCCATTTCTCCACATGTTGCAACTGATTTTTCACCCCAGGAGCATTCAGGTCATCCCACACCCAGCCGGTCAAAAGGCCCATTGCCCCATCAAACCAGTTCCGCAGACTGTATGGATCAAAAGCCTTGACAATTCCATCGTTCACGGTGGCAATCACCTTACGGAATTCTTGCTCTGACAGGAGCGGATCCAGAATCTCCGGGTAGAGATTCGAGAACGTAGGCGCCAAATCACCCTTGATCATCCAGTCGCGTCTAATGCGAATCACTCGCGTTGTATGGTGCTCTTGTGAGCCAACCGGTACGTGGGGATTGAGGTGAGGGAAGCATGGATGGGCAGGGCCCCAGGCCAGCTCCTCGGCGATGTCGGGAGGGGGCTGGCCCGTGTGCGATGGGACGGATGCGATCTGGGATTGGGAACGGAGGGAGGTATGTGACTGGACATGACGGGGTCGGTCATCATCTCGGCGACGACTCCCATCCTGGGCCAAATGGACCTCCTCGGGAGGCCGCAGGTTCTCTACTTCCCTCGCTGCACTCCCGGCGAAGGCGGCAGCCATATCTGCGGGGAACGAGGGTTCACTGCGTCTCTGCCCACGCGGCAGAGCGATACTGGTGCGCCCGCTCTCGGTTTCCCCCTGACTGCGCTCGACCACTAGGCTCGAGGGAGACGGTGTTAGTCGACTCCGTCGTTTCTCGGGGACACTGAGGAGGGGGCGGGAGTCTCGCTGGGCGAGGGGAAGGCTTTCGTCTGAATGGTGCGGCGGTGGGACGGCAATCGGAGTGATCCGGGGGACGTGATTAACGGGGTTCGCGAGTCGGACAGCGGGCGGTCGGAGGAGAGCAGGGAACGATGTTGGACCGGCGAGGGGCGCACACTGCCGCCGCTGTGCTCGAGCGAATGACGCAGTTGCCTCCACGGGGGCGCTGGTGGCACGAAACCCAAAGGAATACTGGCCACGTGAAGAAGGGCGACAGCGGGACTTTTCTTCTCCAACCTCCCTCGTCAGAGGCCAGGGTCGGGTTGTTAAGGACGCCGTTTTGAGAAGGGGGGGAGGTGAAAAGCCAAGAGAGCGAGGTGAGGTGGAGATCGAGGGGAGAAAGTCTCCTGAAGCTACACACACACAACGAGCGTACCACCCACGAAAAAAAACCAAAGAAACGAAGGGAAAGAAGGAGAAAAACGAAGGGCTGGAGAGGAAACAAAGACAAAAAATAACCAATGCACCCCAGATCTTGAATTGTCGGCGCAAATTTGAGGCGAAATCCTTCCCGGGCGATGGACCCCCAAAAGTGGACTACGGATCGATCACCCCCATGATGAGATCCAAGGCAGATTGGCTCTTTTATGGGCCTGTCTATGCCCGACAGGTCAGACTCGAGGCATGAATCGTTTGTGGTTTCACTGTGATGAATCCAATCCCCCTTGTTTCACCTGCCCGAGGCTTTGCCGATGACGTTTGTAAACTGACCTGTATGCCGGGCAAGCTTCCCTTCGACGCAGCTGTCTAACAGGATGAGAAACTGACGGCGTCTTTCCATGAGATGGTGCGGTGGCCTCTCGAACGCTGGAGCTCAGGCGGATCCTACCCCTTTCCACCACATTTTGGCGCGTCTCGGCCAGGAGGGTCGCTTTAAGCGCCTTTACACACAGAATGTCGACGGAATTGATGCCGCGATGCCGCCGCTCGCCAATGAGATCCCTATCAGTCCCCAATGGCAGTTGGCCTATCATCATTCAACTCCGCGGTAGCATCAGCAGGGTGGTATGCCAGAAGTCATGAATCCCGAAATATTCACACAACTGGAAGCACTTACGTGCCCTGACTGCTTTGCTCGCGACGAGGACCCAAGAAAGGGCCCGAATCGTTCTATACAACGAGCGTAACTCCGATCAAGAGGGCGTCACTTCAGTCATCAACGCTGATATCAAATCTTATTCTCACGCCCTCATTGTTGCCGGGACAAGCATGGACATTCTCGGCGTCCGCCAGATCAGGAAGTGTTTGTGTGCCGTCATCCGAGCCCGTCGGGATGTGGGTGACGATTTTCATCAATCACAACCCCAAAATGCGATAGGGATTCCGAGAGTACCTTGACCTAATTGTCTAGGGGTCCTGCGACGAAGTGGCGAAGTTTGATAACCTAAAGCGATGGGATGAGCTATTCAAGCAATCGGTACCACCATCACTCCCATCCAAACAGACCCGCCCCAACGAGGAATATGCCGAGCCAGAGACCGAACGTCCGAAGAGAATGCAAAGGGCTATTGCAGTGTTGATTCCTTCTCCCTCTCTCCAGGCGCCAGTGACGGGCAAGCCGACGAAACCTACCAGGAATAATAGCGGCCATGTCGCTATATTAGTCCGTTCGCTCCTTTCCAAGGATAAATGGGACCGACAGAGCCTGTCGAATACATCCTTGAAGAATTGAGTCTAGGGCATCGCGTGGCATGTAACATGATGAGATCCTGTTCCTTTCACAAATCCACTACATAATGGCACGCGGTACATTGCATACCCAAGTCTTCTCTGGGTCTTGCCACTCTGAGTACCCTTGACTGTATACAACCAGCCTAGCCAGAAACAGGACCCGAAATCTCCAACCTCCCTCTATAGTAGTCTCTCTTCCCTCTCAGCTCGCCCGGAGTAGTTGGTAACACGTGCCTGTGCTCCATGCTGAATCCAAGGTCTGAGGTAAGTAGACCAAGTCTATATATAGATGTCCGGTCTTGTATATGATTAATTTATTATTTTTTTTGTTAGTTATTAGCGGTAGTTTCTTAGGGTTATTATATCAGTTTATTATCCTTAAATTTAACAGTCACTACAAGAATTTATAAAGTGCAACACCGTTTTGCGTTGAACTGACACGTATATCAATCACTGTCACTACCCTCACCGGATCTAGCATGACCTATTCAGAGTTGAACCCGAGTCCATGAAGGCAGGCCGACATCTCGGTTCTTTACTGTCGCCTCTCGGGCTAGGGGATGCTGTACCTCCGTAGTCATCTGCTGAGGACGGTAGCTTCATTGTTTACCCCTAGTGTTTCTGATATACAAATTCTCCGTGTTGGAGAAATATGCCCTGCGTGGTGGTACTGCCTCTGGTATATCCAGAAGCCATCGACATACTTCGCTGGGGGCTACATACTACACTCGTTCTCCCTAGTCCTTTCCATTGCACAACCCTCGCATGAATATTTGGTTGCCAGCTTTAAAACATACTATCGCTGTATCTCACCTTTTTGTCTCGTGGAGACTCAAGAACAAGAGCAATAGTTCCTTTATAAAATTCCAGATTTTATGTCCAGTCACATCAAGAATTAGATAAACATCTGCCGTTCAAAAGAAACATAGAAGAAGAAGAAAAGAAGGGTATCAAATCAACCGCCTACATCTTCCGATTCACCGAAGCCTGCATCCGCCGCATCGCCTGCCGATGGAGATCAGTCATACTCCCCCGCTGCATGCCATCGGCAATGGCATTGCCCAGCTGCGCCGACGAGGCATCACGCATCTGCTGTACAGACCCCCACAAGCTCCTTGGTCGTTCAGAACTCGGAGACCCCAGCGGCGTCGGGGGCTGAGAGCCAACGGATCCCGCCGTTGCGAGATATCCTCACGCACGGAGTGGCGCCAGGCCGCCATGACAGCGGCTGAGCGCCCTGAATCTGCGTCCGCAGATGACGGGGACCGGATGGGCTCGACGCTTTGTATGGTTGTCGAGGATGGGGAGTGGATGGTCTGGCGCTGCAGCATGACGCGGCGTTTGGAAAGTGGGATGTCGTCTTCATCGTCGTCAACTTGGCTTTGACTTGTTTCTTCCTGCTCTTCGTCCCGTTCTTGAGGGATGGATAAGAGTGTTGGCGATGTGAGTGGGGATGGCTCGGCTAGGGAGTGCCACGACTGGTTGCGCGATGTCCAGGGGTCGTATCGGAGGGATGTTGAGGACATCCGGTTGCGCACCATGTTCTCTCGCACTGCTAACAGGGGCGGCGGGCCGCTCCATCGCGGCGAGTTGGTGTTTTCACTGCTTTCTTGTGGTGCGGTAATGGTCAGAAACGGTGCTGACCTCCTGCGCGTTGACGCTGCGGCGTCATCTTGTTCTGGCAGCGATAGGCCAGGTGCTACATGCGGTACTTTCTTCGAGGCTGACGAAGTTCGACATAGGGCTTGTGGAGGTTGGACCTTGTTGGTACTCTGTGCACTGCGCCTTGGTCGTGATCGAGGTACGTCGGCTGATGGTGCCGGCGAGGGAATACCAGAGTGTCGCCGGGTTATCTTCGGGCTTGTTGTGCTCTGGTCCATGAACTCTGGTCGGTTAACAGCCGGCGGTGGTTGCGCATTAAACGGTGTCTGTAGTAGAAGATCCATATCGACTGGAGTTGCGGCTTCTTGAGCTTCGGTTAAGTCTTCCGAGTCATCCTGTAGCTCACTCTCCAAGTAGATAGGCTCGGCATCCGGGGTTTCTGCATCTGCCAGGTTCTTGGCCCATTCATTTGTGCGGTATGAGTGGATGATCCTCGAGGTTTGTTCGGGAATGGATTGGACTGTTGATGTGTCCAATCTCATCTTCTCTTTTCTCTCCGTTTCTTTCTCCGTTTCTTTGGAAGGACGCTGCTGTTCCTGAGTTTTTTCAGCACCGCTCTTTGCATCAACAGCTGATGGTAGTTGTTTTGGTGTGTTGTCCTTGGTTAGGGATTTGTTCTTGGCTGCTGTATCTACAGCGTCGGGAACTGCATCTTTCGAACGGGGTTCCTCGACGTCCAAGTCTTCCGACTTCTTTGGTGCGCTTTCAGCCGGTTGATTCAATCCAGCAGAAATTTCGTTTTCCTTCTCAGGTGCTGTGTCGTTGTCAGGCTTTCTATGATGGCTGTTCCTTTGCGAGAGACTCTGGTCATTCTCAGCGGCTTGACTGCTTGCCTCATTTCTCGTCTCTTGAGCTGTCTGTGGGATGGCCTCAGGGTCTGGCTGTGCTGGGATCTCGGCCTGCTTGGTTTCTTCCGGCGCACTCTTGCCTTCTTGTGATTCTTCATTATCAACTGATTCTTCACGATCGTTGTCTTTGGTCTGATTATGGACACTGGGTGTGATACTGGCGCAGCCGGTGCTCACATCGTGCAGCTCATCCACAACGCCCGCGACAGACGAATTGGTGTCTTCTGGTACAGCCAACGTATCTTCGTGCTGTGAGTCGGTAACATTTGCACCTTCGCGGTTTTGCCATGACATCCGCTTCAAAGAATTGTCTGAGAAGCACCTTGAGCGCAATGCGCCGGCTTCTGAGCCGAACACAGCGCCATGCTCAGATCTATCATCTTGCAAATGCGTCGGGCCAGCTGTATTGCTTGGAACGGGTGTGGTCGCTCTCGGCATCTCTGCTTCCAAATGCTGTGATCCATCATCCGAAGGTTGGACATCGCAATACTGTTCGTCTTGCTCAGCAACCGGGGTGTCAGGAACATCTTGGTTTCCAGAATCCTGGCTTGTCTCGTAGGCAGATGCCCCAACAGAGTCATCGGGGCTCGTCATTTCTTTGATTTCGAACTCGCCCCTCTTCTCGATGTCGGAAGAGCCATACCCATCAGATCCTCGTCGCGAGTCCTCCGCAACGGCGGTTTCAGACAAGGAAGGTGTTTTGCCGCTGTGGCCGTGGCCGTACACGTTCTCCCACTCGGCTCGCTCTTTGACGTTCTTTTCTTTGAGCTGGCGACCAACCTCGGCTTCGGCTTCGTCGTTCTTCTTCTCGTCTTCTTTGCGCGAGTTCTCCTCCTTTGCGCGGCGCTCCTTGATGACCTTCCATAGTCGCAGTTGGGATATCACCCCGCTAGCCGCGACGATGATGATAACGGCGATTTCGACTCGGATGTTGCGTGTGACCGGGTAGGTGTAGGTGTCTGAGGGGAACACGTCCTCGTTCAGGTCTGAGGGAAATGTCAACATGGGCGATACTCACAATCCCATTCCAAAAGAAAAGAAACTCACCCCATATATAGAGCCAGAACTCTTTTAGTCCCGCTTTACTGTAGCAGTCAATCCCAAGCACAAGCGCAGTCGCACCTGAGAATGCGGTGCACGCAATCAACCCATATGAGCGCGTATAGTGGCTGAAAGACAAGCAATAGAACCCCACGGCGAACGCCACGATAAGCCCAACTTTCGGGCCACTGCTGCTGACTAGTCCACCGGATCTCAGTGTCAGGAACCACATGCCGAGACAGAATCCGCCCAGCAGACATCCCAGCCCCTCGGTGATTTCCTTGAACACCAGGGCCAGGCCGCCGAAGATGGCGCCGGTGAAAAAGACGGCTATCAGGTACCCGCCCTGAACAGCGTTGCTCACTGGAGGATTCATCACGTAGACAATCAGGACCTGGGATTGGGAAGTCAGTCATACAATGCTTTGGATGTTATGGCCCGACACTCACAGTCACTCCTAGGGCTGCAAGGAATGCGGTCGAGAGGAATATATGAGCCCTAACAGATATTGTCAGCGGTACAATTAACAATTGAGTGTTTTAAAGCAAACGGCATATACCATTTCTTGCGGACGCCGATAAAGGCCAGAGTCGCGCCGAGTAGCAGCAGTATGATACCTCCGACACCCCAGGCCGGGGTGATCTCCGGCTGAATAGGGAGACCACCCGAATATTTCGGCTTTGTATCATTCTTCGGGTCCTTATCAGAAGACGCACTTGATCCATCGAGCGAAGGAATGGTCGTTGAGGGAGAGGGCGCGGAGTGAGTGTTCGAAACCGTGCTGTCTGCCGTTGTTTCTGTTGAGACATTGGATGTAGTGGTTGACGCAGCGTTGGACCTGGTATCTGTTGTTGTCGATGTCGTATCCGATTGCTGTCTCGGCTCGAGAGTAGGCACAGTGTCAATATCTCGTTGTCCCGAGTCGGCGACGGGAGCTCCGAATACTCCCACGAAGAAAAAGAGAAACAGAGCCCAGGTGAGCAAGGAAGACCACCGCATGTTGGTTATATTGTCAGGCAGCGGACTGCAATTGACCAATATCTTCCCAAGGCAAAAACGGTCAGGTCAAATGGCGAGGATCTATACCAGACGCCGTTCACATATCCAGCACGTATCGGGCCCAGTGGATGTTGGACAAGAATTCAAAAAATAGAAACCCAAATAGATAAAGTCAAAATTCAAACCAAATAGCCCCTGTAGATATCGATAACAAAACAATAGAAAGAGGGGCGTCCAAAGACCCATAGGGCTAGTAAAAGGAACAAGTTGGAACCACGTCCCCGAGATCCCCTGGATATAAACCGCAAATTGACACCGCCAGTCAAAAAAAAAATTCCAGAAGGCCGGGAAATTGTGCATGCAAAATAATCTTCCATTGTTATGGAGCAGCATTGGGTTCGAGTGCCAAGCCACAAGGAATTGGAACCACGCGATGCGACGAGTCTGATGTGCCCCACCGATCGAGCAAGGATCAGCTTGATCAATTATATGCAGTGTGTACCTGTCCCCTCGCGAGAGATCATTACAGGAGCTTCGCCGTTGGGTCATCTCTCGGCCCGTTGCCATCTTGTCGTAACACCATCCCCAGCCTAGGGCTGTTGCACGTTTGGAGGCCCACGGTTAAGAGCAGATAACAATTTGGGGCCCGGTTATCATGCCAATTCGAGGTTGAAGAATCCACGGCACTTTTTTAGTCGCCTTGAGGAAATGCCGTCGATCCATTGCCCAGTCCACCAACGGAATGCGGGCAGTCAAGTCGTGATCTGTCAGATCGAGCGAGCCCAACATGCCAGCCTCACAGGGTATCTGGGCCGCGAGAAGAGTCAACGAGATAAAAAAAACATGGTTCACCGTCGTTGTATCTGTGTGCGCCAGACGGTGAACAGCTGTCAGGAGCGGAGTCGACAGCGCTCGCCATACGAGGACAATAGTGTAAGTAGGGGTGTTCGTGGCAATCGATCTATCGAGTCGACCCTGCAGCTATTGTCCTGCAATGCAGGTCCAATTGTCCTATCACGCCCGTTGGAGACGCCACAATGCTCTGGAGGTGTTGGGCAAGAAAATTGATTTCTTTCCAAGATTGTCGAGTCTCTGCCGTGTCGGGCCAACGCAAGGAGTTGGCAATGCAGCTGAGACAAGAATATCTTAATTTGGCGCTTGCAGGTGTCCATGCGAAATCAGCGGTGGGCAAGGGCCCGCCTGATTTGATTGTTATGATTCTGGGGTAGCATGACTATACTCGACTATGAAAGAGAGAGAGGCTGGAGAAAGAACTTGATCAAGGAGTGAGTCTACAAAGCACGGGGGATTTATATGTATTTTCGACGCTATACTCTACAGCCCATTCTATAGCACATCCAATAGCTAAAAAGCTCCAAAAGCTTTGATAACCTTCCACAGCAAGTCTACGAGCATTCTTTGTTTAATATCCCCAAGAAATAAATAATGTATTCTCATCTACCTCAATCCCTCACGTCGCCGAATGCAGTATGCATCACGTGATCTCGACCGCGTTCGCGATCCGCAACATCAACCGTCGGGGCTCCTGAGCTTCACCGGATCAACACCATCTAGCTTCCCCAGCCCCAGTTCCCGCTCCTACAACTACGCTCCTTTGGTTTGATCGGCAATGTCCGCCTTCGCTTCTCTGCTGCGCCCATCGCTGCGCATGGCCACCCCGGCCACCTCCACCGCGCGCACCTTCAGCTCGTCGGCGGCGCGCTCCCTCGCCCGCATGTCCATCGTCGGTCGGCTGGGTGCTGCGCCCGAGCTTTCCGTTACATCAACAGGCCTTGATCTCGTCAAGTACTCTATTGCAACCGATACAGGGCCCCGTGATAAGCGCGAAACCAGCTGGTTCAGGGTCGGGACCATCTTGGATGAAAGCAAATTCCGCGACTTCATGCTCGCTTTGCCTAAGGGGTAAGTGTTTCTATTTTTTGGCCCATTGAAATGTACCCTTTGCTAAATAAAATTTTGACAGAACCCTCGTCCTTGTGGAGTGTGAAGCCAGAATGAAAGATAGAGAGGATGCAGATGGCAAGAAATACAAGACACTGACCCTCGCGCAGCGTGTGTTCCTTTTCTCCCCCCTTAAAAGCCCCCTTTCCTGATTACCATTGCTTATTGCTGACATCGTGCCTCTTCTAGGCTCTATTGAGGTCCTCAGGCGACCCGCCAACATTAGCGACTCTAACGAGTCCGAGTTCCAGTCCGAGTCCCGGCCTGAATAAATGATGGAATAACGTGCGGGCTTTTGGGAATTTTCATGCTGCTCACTGGGAGGTTACCTCTGGTCCACCCCGCAGACCTGGGACACTACTGTGCTTGAATATGGGGGCGTTCTTGTCGATGGGCATGGGAATGGCCTTGGTTAATTTACCAGGGCTGTAAGGCTTGATCTCTTCTCTCTTCTCCCTCCCGCTCTCCCTCTCTCTTCTTTGTGTGATTATATTGTACAAGTATACTCTGAATACACCCTGTTCAATGACGAAATCTATACAGCCTCGGTTTGAAAAATATGAGACCATATAATAAACAAAGTATATAAGGGAATGGCTTTTCAAGTTGGTAAGGAAGCCTCAAAAATGTGACGACAATAATATACCAAATGTCCCATGCAACATCTATGGCCCAGGGCTAGGACCTGCCCAGTTATTCTCTTGCACTGATAGTCCAGGAAGATTAAACAATCGAAGCAACAAAGCATATACCTACAAGGGGTTTTTACTAGAAATGATCGGAATGTTCACTGTAAATTCTCAGGGGTATTATGGTCTCGCCAGAATTAAAGCTGTTCTACAGATAGCCCTCCAACGGAGGGAACAGAATCGAGAAGCACCGAGCCGATGAAAAACAAGTATTGTAGCAGCATTCCCATCCCTTCCCCCTAGAGTAGATCAGATCACAAGAGACCAACCTACCAGAGTCTTAAACACCATCGCTTCTCCCTGTAGGCACGCATAAGAAACACATCGCACTAGCACGGTCAATTAGCCCTGCATCTCGCTCTGCTGGCTGATCACCTGCTTGACGCGAATAAACTCCCGTTGCTCCGGAAGCTCCGGGGAAGCAGGACCGGAAGCCAACTCGCTGCTGCCGCGGCTCTGGCCCGTCCCGGCCCAGGCGTTGGTACAGAGAGACTGCGAGGGCACGGACAGATCTTCCAGAAGGGTGTCGCGATCCTGGACTCCTGATCCGAGGCGCTGGCGCATGCGGAACCAGGGAGAGCGGAACCAGGAGGTCTTTTGGGGGGGTTGGTTGGGGTGAGAAGTGTTACCCTTTTCGATGTCGTTGTAGTTTGTGCGGGTGGAGGGGAGGCTGCCGGGCCATGCGTCCCTGTGACGGTGTCAGTGGACATTACCCATATACTCCAGAATAGAGGCATGTACAAGAAAAGCAAGGGAATAAAGGAATAAAGGAACATACTGTGGAACCGGGGCCTTTCGTCGACCGAACAACAGCTTGGCTTTGCTGCCGAAAGAGCCCACGACTGTAGTCGCAGACGAGGTATTGGCAGCGGGAGCTGTGGCACGAGAGTCGACCGGACGAGCCACATTGGGGAAACACTTTCCCAGTCCCAGTTTCCAGAAAAAGGCGCGGTACATGCGGGTGGCATCGCGGCCGAAGCCGAAGAAGATGAAGATCATAACCGCCGAGGCAATCGGAGTCCAGCGGTCAAAGAAGACCAGGCCCTGAGTGGGTACTTTGATGATCTGGTGCCAGGCTGGCCCGTGGATGCGGCTCCACGAGTATGGGTGCCATGGAAGCGAGAGCGTCAGATCATAGTAGACGACATAACCCTGGACCGGGATAATGGCGATGAGCATAGTGAAGGCAAGGAAGAACAGGCGAAGGAACCGGGACTTGCTCATGTTGCTTTGGGAGGCGCGTAGGATATTCACGAAGTCACTGCGGTATCTGCGGAGGCGGATGAGGACCAGGCCTATGCCGATGAGTTAACAACGTTCTCGCCGACAGCCCTGTGAAGTACTTACAGCAGTAGTATCCGGCAATCAAGCAGATGATCGGCGGCCACATATATGCCAACACGAAGCTAACCCAGCTCTCGTCGAAGTTGTTGACGCACCCCGAGATGGCGTAGAGATAGTACCGGCTCCTCTGCCAGACGTAGTGGGTGATCATCGCAATAACCGGAACAACCACACAGAACAGAGTATTCATTAAGTGATTGCGCAACCGCTGGGTTTTGGTCGGAACCAACGTGGCCCGGTTGGTGTCAAGTACAATGGCCAGGCTGCGGAAGATACACATGATGGTTCCTGGCACGGCAACATAGCCGGCAACCATGATCTTGACCTCAACATCACAGAGACCAGTGCCGTCCCACCACGAGTCAACATCATCGGTGGGCCAAAGCAAGGCATTGATGATATTGAACAGGTTGAGAACGAGAGACCAGCAGATGAGACTCGCAGCTGGGAAGTTGCGGTTCTTTGTATGCAGAATCAGCGGCGGAATGCAGAGTGCAATAGCAACAAAGGATAGGATCGGGATAGCCACAGCCAGCGGATACCGCTTGTGAGTCGTGTCCATGGTGGTCAATGGATGCCGAGGCTGATACTTGGATTCTAGCACAGCGGCGTTGACAAGCGTGGAATTGAGTCATGTACTATCAGGAACTGTGTACAAGATAGTCGAGATAAAATGGATTGAATGCAAAGAAGAAAAGAAGCATTCTCTGTTCTCGATGTGGTCGTATATCAAGCCAAATGGCCCAGGGGCGGCAAGTTAATCAGACGAGATGTCTTATTGAGGGCCTCCCAGAATCAGGGATCCAGTTGATTCACTGTGAATTGCGTCCCAAACAGCCGAGATCAAACATCACTGCACGAAAAGGGTTTGGGAGCAACAGACGCCGGTTGCCTAGATGGTCACTTTGGACGCCGATGCAGGCGCAAATGTAGGGCCGAGTGTCGCAGAGTACACACTGCGCGGCACATTTTGCGACAATAAAGGAACCTGTCCATTGAAGTAGAAAAGAAGATAGGCGTGTCTGAATAGTCTGAATAGCCCATGTATCCGGGTTGCTGTTTCGGGGGATCAATAGAGTCGAGATGATTCACAACTATTCGACCCCCGAACGGGCAGGGTGACCCATGGACTCGCGACAGCCACCGCTCATCTTTCTTTGTGTCATTTTTAGACCACCGAGGTCTCGGTGATTCTCTCAACCGGGTTGGTCTGGCCATTCTCGCGAGTCCAGGTATTCCATTCGAAATTGTCATCTTTCACACATTCTGGTGTGATGACCCCCGTGTGAAGAAGACTCATGGGGTAATGGGGATTGCAGACGTGGTCGACTTGGCCGAGTTCTCGAAGAAACAAAGAACAATGAAGTCGTCACTGGGGGCTGTGGAACCAATGTATCACACACGGCGACCAGCGCCTATCAACCTCGGCTGTTGGGAGCAAAAAAGAAAAGAAACTCCGCCCTTGATGACCTCTCCACCAATCTCTCTCCGCATCGGGCATGTCCTCAAGTGCTCCCTCTTCCCGCGCCCGTTCGCCATGGCCGACCCGCCCTCCATCGCCCGTGGCATGTCCGCCCCCTTGAACACGCTCCGCCGCCGCGGCATCCCCTCCCGCGCCGCAACCTTCGCCGACGGCGCAAACTGGCCGAGTCCGCGTCGCAACTCGACGCTGTCGGACTCGATATCGGAGGCGCGTAACTCGATCCGCTCCTCTACCGACGATTTATTCTTGCCGCGAGTGCCTACTGCCGAGGCCCCGCTCTCTACTGATGAGTCCCATTGGCATTCGGCGCCGCTGGCGCTTGCTCTGCTGCCGGCAATCGCGGGGGTTTTCTTTCATGATGGCAGTTCCTTCGTGACGGACGTGACGTTGTTGGTGTTGGCCGCCATTTTCCTCAACTGGTCTGTCCGGCTACCATGGTACATACAAACCCTCGCTTCCCTTTGGCATATTGGTTTTATAGATCTCAGTAGTTGACCAAGGCTTTTTTATAGGGATTGGTATCGCTCCGCGCAGGCAGTTCGACAGGAAGACAGTGGATTTCAGGCTGTGACCGACGACACAATTGAGATTGAACTGGAAGAGGACGAGGCAACAGACGCGGGGGATAACTCGCAGCAACACAAGCCGTCACCACAGCATACTGCGGCAACGTCTGCTAGCAAGGAGCTGCAGATCCACGAACTCGCCGCGCTCGCGTCCTGTTTCGTGTTCCCCGCGGTTGGGTCATGGCTGCTTCATGCAATCCGATCCAGCCTCTCTCGGCCCTCGGAGGGCCTAGTATCGAATTACAATCTCACCATTTTCCTCCTCGCATCAGAAGTGCGCCCCGTTGCACACCTATTGAAGCTCGTGCAAGCACGCACGCTCCATCTACAGCGAGTTGCGGCCTCAGCAAGCTTCAATGATCCCGTCGACCCTGGGACCGTCCAAGATCTCACGAAACGCCTCGAAGAGCTCGAGGCCCACGTCGCCGAGACCACGGCCGTACGCCTCGCATCATCAATGTCTGAACCAACCCAATCCCCATCATCACCGCATGGACTCGGTGACAGTCCAGCATTGGCGGCGCAAGCCGTCGCCGAAGCGCGCCAAGCTCTCCAGCCCGACATCGAAGCCCTCAACCGCGCCATGCGCCGCTACGAGAAACGCACCGCCGTCACGGCGCTCCAAACCGACACCCGGCTCCAGCAACTCGAGGCCCAGACCCGCGACGCGATCGCTCTCGCGGCGGCGGCGCAGCGCTCCATCGCATCCCGTCGCCCCAGCTACGCCTTCACGCTCATCGACTGGGCTTGTGCCTGCCTCGTGGTCCCGGCCCAGCTCGCCTTGTCTATTTTTAGCCTTCCCGGCCGTGTAGCATCCCGTTGTTTACTTGCTGCTCGCCGTATGCTAGGTCGTCCGGCCCAAGCTGCTCCACAGCCTCGCTCGAAAAAGGCCAAGGGGAAGGCTCCCCAGGGATACGCTGACTCGCAACTTCGCTCACAGTCGCCTCCCCCACGCCGCGCGCCTGCTCTTTTGCCGCTATCGCGCCAGTCTGCAGGTTCGGTGCGGGTGGCCTCGGGATAGGCCTACTAGAGCTTCTTATTTCGGTACATCTCTTGACATATACTGAGCTTCCTATACCCTAGTCGGGAGTGAATCTAATGAACATCTTTTCGGACATTTTTTTTTTCTTGGGCGCGAGTGTGGCCATTTCCTTAGTTTTAGTTTGACCTAGCCAGTTCAGAAATATCGCCATATTGGTCATTTTCTCACCCTGTAGTGTTGCAGCACAAGGCATTCTCTGCCCAGTGCATTATTTATGAGTCATATCAGTCCAACACCGCCCCATAGTTAGCGCGAGCGAGATCGACACCTGATCAGAAGGATCAGCAGCTAGCGGAGGGGGGCGTACTTTTTCCATTTACCTCCATTTCGATAGAATGATTCTCGAGTTCTGTTGATTTCAGCAAAGAACAATGACTTCAATGCATACTTCTTCCACATCTCTGGTAGAGCAGCTAGCCTCTCCTCCAAAGATATCCCTCCAAATCCGTGGCACCCATACGAGCAACGAAACCGAGGTTGTCGATTTCGATTTCTGGATCGACTATTCAGAGAAGGCAACAATTAAATCCGGTGCATTCTTGACAAGAAACGAAAGTGATACTCGCTCTTGGAATCACTCCACCAGTGAAGATAGCCCCAGTTTCCAGACGATAGCGTCTAACTGGATCGACGACTGGCTTGGTGACAGCAATGGCAACCATGGGAGAAGGTATACACCCAACCCAACCCAACCCATATCCAATATCCATGAAATATCTTCTAGTTACGAATTATACTAAAAAATGGTTAGTTGCACTCTCCAAACACGAGTTTCTGTACACGACGACGAACCTGCTGCTATAAAAGCTCACCTTGAGAGGCTAGCACGAGGTGTTGCATATGGCGGTACTATCCAAGATGAGATACACACTCTACCCATAGAACAAGTGGATATCTTACCTGAAGAGTATACCGCGGTCGTTCGAGTGGAATGGAGTCTTGACTCTCCATCCATATTCATCCCTACGGAGCAAACATGGGACCAGATGGTGATGAATGCTATGGTGGACCACAAAAGAGGGTTTATCTCTATGGATACTCCATGACCTTCTTATGGAATGTCGCCGTTTCGCAGGGCTATGAGGGCTAATAACACATCTACGGTTATATCGCAGGAGCGAGACAGAAATGGGGGTGGGTACTCGGTACGACAATTCGGACCATGGGGATCCGATAGTTGCTCATAATGAAGAGAACGATATCTTGCTGTTTGCTCGTACCTTGGATGCATAATATGTGTGCCTCGAGGCAAAATGAATTCCAGTTCAAGTCTATCAAGCACACTCATCTCATACATATCTCTCTACTTTATAAACTCGCTCCAATAACGACCAGGTTGCACCCACCCAAAAATTATAGAAACAGATCATCGACGCTTCCAAGGATCATGACTACAGGGTGAAGTAAACCACCCCAAAAAAGAGGGAAGAAGCACACGCCCACAACTCAAGCACGGCCACCGGATGGACCCCGGTCGTCCACTCCAATCATCTTCAAGAATGGCTCGATGATACCCCGTCTCCGCTCGTCAGACGCTCGGCGCTCCTTTTCCTTGGCAGGAGTAGGAGCAGCCGGGGAGATAAGAACGCGCGCGAAGATTGCCGCGAAAGCCGCCTCAACGGCCTGTCGACGGGCCACGGTGGGGGAAGTAGTTTGAGAGGTGCTGGTAGAAGCGTCGGAGCCGGTGGATGATGTTGGGGAGCGATTTTTGCGGCGGAAACTGCCCGCAGCGATGAACGCGGCCGCCGACGCCGGGGTAGGACGATGGGATTTTGGGCGATCTCCTATCGAATTCGATTCTTGAGATTGTTTGGGGTCGGCGGATTGTTCTTTGGATGAGCCGCCTTCCTTGCTATTCTTGGAGGGTGCGCCCCCTGTGGATGATGGTACCGGGGCGACTTCGTTGGCAATGCGAGCAAGCATGAACGTGACAAAGGTGAATGAGACACTATGTGCGGGCGAATAAGCGAGGCTTTCGAGCACCCAGGCTTGGGTCTCTTCCCAAGATCGAGGTGGATATTTGGCTCTTTCACGCGCGATCATCTGCTGCTCCATGTTCTGCCACACGGATGCAGTGACAATACCATCGCTTAGGGAGTTGAGGAAGGTCAAGAGAGTTTCGCAGAGAATCTCTAGTCGGAGGAACGAGGGGATCTCTGGCGCAAAGACAGATGTGAGGGATTCATTGGTGTCGAGAGATTCACGGACCATAGCAAGTAGGGGCGCGCGTTCATGCGAGTTTGGGAAAATCCATGTGTCGGGCTGGAAGGGCCATGCTGCTCCATTGGGGTCTTTTGTCCACGGCGCCTGGTCTTCTTCCGCATCGCCCTTTGTCATGCTCCACTCGGCCACAGCGCGTTCCGTCAGCTCGGAGATCGACTCGGTCAATCGAAAAAGTTCCCGAGGTGCTGATAATCGGACTTCAGTCTCCCCCTTTGCCGGACCAGGTCCTTCGGCTGATGCCATGCTGCGAGCACCTGCCTCGGGCATGCGCGTCAGTTCATCCACACTACAGCCGAAGCAGGTCGGCAGCCAGTGTCCCGTCAGAGAAATGAAGTGGTCACGGCCGCTGTCCACATGAAGAACCATAATCTCTTCTAATTTGACCTTCTTCAAATTCAGCAGGCGAACATGCTGGATGTCATGAACATGTGCCGTGATATCAACGTTAGCCACCTCTCCAGGAAGCAATGTGTGTCGCGCTGATGAAAGACCGCTCGCCTGATCCTTGGCTGGGTTTTCGGACGGCCGGTCAATCTTAATATCAATCCATGAGGGCGTTTCGGGGTTAGATTCGTCCACCATACTAGGTCGTTCTGCAAAAGAAAAAGTGGCCGAGGCACCGCTAGTGTTGGCAATGGTCAGAGACCGGTGGACCGGCACATCAAATGCTACATTGCCAAAGTCGACAGCGTTTGGATCCTTAGTGTCTTGATTCTCATCGCCATGGGTGTCCACCACGACAGTAAGACCAGGTCGAGCCTCGTTCTCAGCCTTGTCTAATTCACGAACCACTTCTTGATGGACCTTTGCCTTGAGGTGGGGATTGACGGCATCAAAGGTCAACGTGAAAACGGCGTCCAAAGGCTTATGGTCCGATGACAGAATGCCCTGGTGTGACACGTAATGGTCCAGGTGAATCAAGTCTTGGGATGCATCCTGCGATTCAAGCGATGCCGCATCGTCGGCTTGTTCCTCATCTGACACGTATTCGTCGGCGCTATTCGCGCCGTCGACGTCGGGATCATAATCAAAGAGGACGTTGTCATCGGCGACCGCCTTATCCAACCCGCGCCTATGCATCTCTTCGTCTCTTTTCCGAGCCAGTTCGGCTTCTCGGTCGAGCTGCTCGTGCTTCATCATGTCTCGTCGGGTTCGAAAGAGGATCCGATCACACCAGCTGGGACCGCGGTGTTTCTCACTTGAATCGAACATAGCCACACTCCCAATGTCATATTTGTAAGTCGGCAGGAATGAAATCTCGCCTTCACGCCACCCTTTATGGAAGACTGTCCCCTTTCTCTGCTGGATGAGTAGCTGGTCATGTGCAAGGAGAGATGAGATCGCGGTTTGGAGAGACGCAGGATCGTTACGAGGGTCAATCTCCTCATCAGTTACCGGATCAGTCCTCTCGTCTGGTATCTTGGGCGATGGAGGCTTCTGATCTGAAGGCTGACTATGGTGATCTTGGTGATTGCCAGACTTTTGCTGAGCCTGGCGCGCTGTATCATAGGCGTTGACGGTGTGTCGAGCAAGGACCTGACGCACATCGTCGCCGGGTATATCATCAAGCCGGTAGTTGAGATCACCAAACCAAAAAGTGAAATCTTCCTGTCCGATCCCTTCGGTGGAATCGTGTTGTGGTCCACGTTCCGAGTCAACTCCCCCGAAACGAGCACGCGAGACAATTTGAGACGCGTCCCAGTTGCGACGCTCCAGGCTGCCCTTGTCGGATCCTGCTGCGAGATGGCAATTCACAAAGACCAAGCGTGTCGTCTCACCCAAGACAATTCGCGTCACAACGCCACCCTTGTTGCCCATGTACCCCATCAGGCCCGTGCCGATGGCATTGCTGCTGATAGAAGAGACGTTTTCTCCAATTGCAGGAGAGGCATATATCAGAAGCAATAGACCAATCAGCTGGGTCTCGGCAACCAGCTGGTATCCTGGAGGCAGCGCCTTGTGAATCGCCTCTTTCCAACGGTTTGATGGCGCCGGATCAACATAGGGTCGCAGTGCCTCAGCCGGAGAGGAGACATCGACGATCTCTTGCAAACCGAGCACGTAGAGATCTATCTCCTCCGGGCTGGATTCAAGAGGTGTTGCCGATTCCCCGCTGTTCTGCTGATCATCAAGATCAGGCTGGCTCGTAGATGACTCCCCGTCTGCAGACTGAGACTCGGGGGATTTCGGCTTCTTCACTCCAGAAAGCTTCTCACAGACCCCTGCCCCTTCAACAAACCACTTCCCGATGTCTTTCTCCGTGCCGGAAATGGCTGCTACGTTCCAGGTGCCGATCTTGACCCGGATGTTTCGCCGACGAGTATATTCTGCCTTTCTCGCTTTGACTGCGCGCGAAAGAGACAGCAGGTCCAGTGCCGGGTTATCGATTTCTTCCGCATTTTCAGACGCAGGGTCTTGGTGGTCTGACTCCGGGGGAGGTGATTGTGGCTGGGCGCTCATATTGTACAGAGAGATGATGTCGATCTAATGCACGATAAGAGGGGTTCGCATGACTTTGGCGATACTCGGGTGTTTATTGCGACAGCATATGTGTATACACTGGCACATTTATAGAATTGTATGTGCGGGTATCCTGCGCGGTTCTCAATTCCGGCGAGGAGGGTGCTCGTTCTCGGAGGCTCTCGTGGGGAGAACAGTGAGACGGAATGACAATTGCAAGATAAGCTGAACAATTGAGCAGAAAAACAAGGTGAGAATCGGCCGGCTATCGCATGGCGGAGCTTATCCCATCTAAATTCGCAGGACTCCGGGCGGCGCAGTATAGAGGAAATGACGAAGCAAGCAAGTACCGGAACTCGGACGAATCGGGACGTCGAATCTCAAAATTGCTGTGCCAATTTAACAGTAATTCAGTCGTGATGTCCACCAAAGAGGTGTGTGAGAGAGAGTGAGAGGTGGGAAAGCCGGAGAGAGAAGGGGCGGAACTTATGACGATATCCGGAGGGGCCCTCATTCTGCCCGTCCGCAACTCTGCTCCTTCAGTCTCAACTCATTTTCCTTTGCCCTCCCAATCTGCCATGACCTCCCGCAAACCCAAGCGACAAAACAACCACAGCTCTAACAACCACTTTACCGACTATGAATCCGACGCCTACCTCTCCGACATGCAGCAACCGCCCCCGCTCCGCTCCAACGAGGAGCTGAACCTCTCGGTTATACAGCGCCACAACCCCACCGTGACCTCAGTTCTGTCACTAGCCCCCTACGCAGTGGTGTACCTCTTCAGTCCGACAACGCGGCAATGGGAGAAGAACGGGGTGGAAGGGTCACTATTCGTGTGCCAGCAGACGCAAGGCAGCCTCGGCGAAGAACGATACAACGCCTTTGTCCTGAACCGACGCGGACTTGACAACTTCGACCTCCCTCTGACAGACGGCGAGAACGTGGAATTAACAGAGGAATACGTGATCCTCAAGGCCGACGAAAGCGCCGAGGCTGAGAACGGGGAGAACGGCATCGCCGACCCCTTGAACCCGCAGAATGGTCGCCCCAACACCCAGAACGGCGCGCCCAACAACGTCCGCATCTATGGTCTCTGGATCTACTCGGAGCCACCGCCTAATTCCACCGCCGAAGCCCGCACCCTCAATGCCCAGATGATTCGCGAGTGCGCCACCCACGCGGGACAGAGTTTGAAGCTCGCCCGCGAGCGCCTCGAGGCTATGCGCCAGAATGGCTTGCATGTTGCTGCCGCTGCTGCCTCGACACAGGCGGCTCCACTTGAAGAGGTCCAGGCTAGCGTGCCCATGGGTCGCCAGATCTCGCTCAAGGACCTGTTCGGCCAGCAGCGCGCCCAAGACGATGGCTGGAGTGTTCGAGCTCACCACCTGGGTCCCGCCGACCACCGACCGGCGTACCAGCCCATGATGGCCCAGCCACCTCCTGCACCCCAGGCCCAGCCCGACGTGCTGAGTGATCTATTCCGGAGAGCTGGATTGGCGTCGCAGGGTGGCGCGCCACGGTACTAAGAGGCAACTGTTTTTCTGTGGGGGGCTGTTCAATCATGTTCCATCAAGTCGGCGGCGTACAACTGCATATTTTGGTTTTTGCACTTCGATTACTTTGATTTCCCTTGTCTAGGTGGGGATGGGCGTAGCGTCGCTTGAGATACCCGTTACAAATCTGCACCAAATTGGCGAATTCATGGTCTATCCCATCTAGGCACCGGTCCAGGGCCTACCATAAGCATTTTCGGGTTTCATCCTGCTATAAATTTTATAAGATAGGCCGGATCGAACAAGATCCCAGGTTGATTTCTTATCAAGTCAAGATCTCCCGAATCATCCCCGCAACCTTGCGAGCCATGGTATCACTATGTTCTGTAGAAAGTTAGCATCAAAGCACCACATGAATAAAAAGAAGAAAAACATACTTAGACAAAACGCATGTGGCAACCCCTCTTCACAAACAAGCATTGTCGGCCCGCTGCCTTCCTTGCGTCCTCGAAGCGCAATAATCTCATTTCTCGTCTTCTCGGCCACCCAATGGTCATTTCGTCCGAAATAGAAAACAAGCTTCATAAGTGGCTCACGCGCCGTTGCAGCACCCCAGACATCGTCGGTCCACTTGTCCGAGGTGATAGTGCGCATTTCGTCGGTGGCCATGTGTCTACATAGCCATTAGTAGCGGCTCCCAAACAAGAGATAACAATGGCGATAGAAACATACAGAGCCTGTCGTACGCCGCCAGAGCTCTTCAGAAAAGCAACAGTTGCATCTAGAGCATGGGAAGGCGGACTCTTCATCACGAACCGAACCACAGACCGGAGGACAAAGTCAGGTAGCAGGAAAGTGAGGAGTCGGACTAGCAGGCCAACAAGCATGGCGAGCCGGGGAATAAACGATAGAAGAGTCTAGACAATACAATATCAGCAAGATGATCAACAAACCACGTCAGAAGATGAAGAGCCCCGTCTATGCGCACAGTGAGTTTCTGTCCCGATGGTGATGCTGCGATATCAATGACAGTCGGGAAGAGCATCGCGCCCCCGACGATATCTAATTCAGGAGGGGAATAGTCATTCATGGAGGCTAGCTGTGCTGCTCTTCTTTCGGAGCTATTCTTTGGAATAGTCTCGCGGTGGCGCCTGAGAATTTCCATGGCAATATACGCTCCCACCGAGTGGCCGATCAGAATGACTTTTGGCCGTTGCGTGGCAGTGCCCCCAGGAGATGAGTCTGGTCTGTGGTCATGGCTTCTAGCCGCGATGGTAGTCTCCATGAGAACTGTGAGTTTCTGGTCGACGAAGCGGATCTGATCTTCTAGATCATAGTCACCGGCTTTCCCGGGCTGTTTGCGATGCTTGGGAACAGATGCATCGGACTTTGGTGATGACGATAATGATAGCTGGTCGCTGGCATCACTGTTGATCTCGAACCCCCCGAGACTGCACCCATAGAGCTGCAGGGCTGGCAATTTCTTTGCTTCGATGCCATTGTCCTCTGGCTCGGCTAGATACTTGGATAGCAGGGATAGGAATGGGTGGTAGTAGCTGATCAGACCCGGGTTCCCTGAGATGAAGAACACGGTCGTGCTGGCTGCGGCCGATGGCCCTGTGCGGGTGAGAAAGCTGTTGGGTGTGATCTGCGAGGTCATGGTTTCCAAAGCTGGTGAATTGTGCTTGGGTCCATCTGAAGAGACCTCAAATGTACCTCGGCTGAGGTGGTCGCTCTGGGCACATCTCAACAGGAAAAAGTTCGGGTCGGAGTGGATCCCCCGCCAGACAACACTACAGCTACAGCTACAACTACAACAACTACAACAATCGAAAACACCGCGAATGCGACATGGATTGCAAATCTGCAAATCCCAACTCCCATCTCCAGACCCACAGATCTCCCCTTGCCCGTAGCCTGGTCTCTAAGCCCAACAGAAAAGAAAACACGAGGCACCACGAGGCCGGTTTCCAATGCAATTGCCCAGACGCCGGCATAGCACAAATGTACATCTGATTCCCCCGATCCTTGTCCCGGCTAACAAGAGGAAGGAAAATAAGAAGAGAAGATAAAAATAATAGAAAGAAGAAGAAGAAAAGGACAGGGGAAGGTAACACCGTGGACACAGACATGTCGCAAAATATAACGCTCGCAAATATGGAAAAGGGTGCAGTAAGAAGAATCGCCAAATAGCAGCAGCACAAGAGGGTGGAAAATTGAGACAGAGACATGGAACCTGCGCTGTATCTGGTATCTAGTTCATGAACACAAAACATGTGGAGAGAAGTCGCTGCTGGATCCGGGAAATACGCACACACACACAACGCCCAATTGCCAGGTCGGATACAAGGGGCATCATCCATCCTCGCCATCTTGGCTGTCGGTTCGGTTTTCTTTTTCATGGTTTTCGTTTGAGGCAATTTCTGCGCCGTTGTTTTCACTGTCGGTGGCAACCGGTTTGGCTGCCTGCCCAAGGTTGATGGCAATTCGCTTGGGTGCTGCACTGCTGGTGACACTGCCAAAGACGCCCGTGGTTCCCTTTTCCAAGCCCAACGACCCGACAGATAATGTCTTTTTTCGACCGGCGCTAGAATTGCTGCTCGTGGAGCTTCTTCGCTTGGATCCGGCAGCGAGCTTCATTAACTCATCTTCGTCTTCTTCATCGCGTCGACGCTTCTCTGCCAGCCGTTCTGGCACAGGCAAAGTCTGGGTGGGCGATGCAGGAGTGGGAGCTGGGTCAGCAGGGTGTTCGGCCTGAGTGTCGCTCACGTTCAAAGGCTGAACTTGGGCAGACTGATCGGCGAGATCCTCGGGTTTGGTATCCATCACATCCTCGTCGTCATCGTCGGGGTAGTCCACCAACGGCTTGACAACCGGCGAGGCAGATCCATTAATCGCATCGGCAGCAATGGCAGCACGGTTCTCCTGTGACCACTGTACATTATCAGTCATCTGCATCATCCATGACGGAGCTAGATCACCTACCTCGTCTTCATCATCAGATGTGTTGAAGTACTCTTCTTCGGCAGCGTCCATCTCCTTCATGCCCCGCCAGCGCTGACCATTTACCGGTATCCGACGGGGTGTGCTGCCTTCATCTTGGCTGAACAGCGCGGAGTCGGCCTCAGCACCATAGCCCTGCATCTGATCATACCGAAGAATCAAGTTTTGGAACGTGTTGACGTAGGTGATGTGCTCAAGCTTTTCGCGGTATTTCTCCACGATGTGGAGAATAAACGGCTTGATATTTTCCCGTTTGATAAACTCGAAAAACTCGAGGCAGGCGGAGTTAAGCAGATTGTCGCGCGGCATTGTTTCGTAAACGATATCGAGGATCAACCCAAAAGTGTTGTTATGCGTCATGAGAGCTTGGTAGAAAGTATCCTGAAGACTGACCAAGTTACGGAAGAACTTGAGGGCAACTATGACAAGAGAAAGCTCGTTAGATATGGTCCATGTCGCTTCAAATCAAGACACGGGATACTCACTCAGCTTCAGGTGTTTCTGGGGTGCCCGCAGAAGCTGCGCAACTCGGGGGGCGAGAGCTTCATTGTGGATCGCATTGCGCGTACGGAAAAGATGTTGACGGGCAAAGAAAGTGAGAATATCAACAAGATGCGAGTGAAGCGTGACTTCTTGGAACGTCAAATCATGAACTAGAGATGGGTTAACTCAGTATTCTTCAGTCACAGGCACGTGAAATAGAAAACTCACGGCTAGCGCGATTTGCAAGCTGTTTGAGCGGTTGAAAGAGCCGCTTGGAAGACTCATCGAAATGCTGCTGGACGAATGCATCGGAAAGAAGGTTGGAAGAACGGACTTTGAAATAATCGGGACCAGCCCGGCCGAGCGGGTCTTGCAGGGGTAATTGCGGGTCAAGAAGAATCTTGATCGCATCCGCGAGTTGGTTTTTGACTCCAAGGTCGGTCTCCGCATGAAGCAAATCAATCAAGGTGTCGGTGAGCGGCGTCTTCTTCTCGTTGACGGCCTTGAGCATATACCCGCGCATCATCACTGGATCATGATCCAGCAACGCCACCAAAATGTCGATGCCGGTGGTGCGCATGGCCGGTTTTGGGTGTTTCACGGCAAAGGCAATGACGGCGAACAAGCCATGGCTGATGAAGTTGGCGAAAAGTTGGGCCCGCGACGGTGCTTGCAGGTTCTTCGCAATCGCGGCGCACTGGTGGAGGAATTGCACCGCATCATCCTTGCGTTTCCCATCCATGCTTCTCGGGTCGAAAACGGAGAAAAGCTCCCGCAGGAATTGTGCGTTCGATTGAATGTGGTTCACGATCTCCATCTGGTTGAAAAATATCAAGGAATTGAGCACCGAGAACGTCGGGTCGTCCAATATCCGAGCCAGCACCACATCTTTCAAGTATTGTAATCGCCAAGTACTTCGAATTTTCCGGCGAATCAGCGGGTCCTTGATGGGAACGACTTCTTTGTAGCGCGACTGATCTGCGAGGTACTGTCGGTGGTTCGCCTTGTGGGTGGGAAATTCAGGATCGTCTGCGGTGTTCTTTAGAATCAACTCTCTCGGGGAATTGAAGGGCCAACGTACATTCCAGAGCACCAACTACGCCCAGTATAATTTGATCGGCCACCACTGTCTCAATGATGGTGTTGTCGTTCAGGAGAATGAGGGATTTCATAATGTTGCAGAGACGGTGCAGGTCGGTCAGACTCTCAAGATCCTCAGCCATTGTCACCAATGGCACTAGTTTGTTGATATACTCGTCGCGGATGATGAATTTGGACAGCGCATCTCGGCCCGCTTGCGTCATGCTCGCGGCGCGTACGATTTGTTCGATTTCCGGGAGATTGCCGAGTTCGGGGGCAGGCAGCACGATCGACTGGTAGCTTTCGAGGTCGTCGGAGAGGGCATCATCTGCAGAAACATCGCGCGATCAGTACGCGGGGCGCGCGATGCGCGATTTCATCAAAACTTACCAGCTGCGGCTAAACTGAGTAGATGTTGCTGAACGGCATTGACAAAATCCCTAGGGCCTTGGTCAGTCGATGGACACGCGCACGTTATTTGAAGCCATGTCTCACCAGATCACCGCACAGCCATCGGCCTCTTGAAAACTCAGCGCCATATCCGTCCCATTCGGCTCCGTCCAGACGATCAAGGTCTCTGGTCGCGTGAGACAATCGTTAGCAAAAATATATTCTTCTCCGGTGATACGGGCATGCAAGATGTGGGACAGAAACCTTGTTGTTTCTGGTAGCCATCGTCTTTGGAGATCTTGGTCTCCAGCAGTACGCGGTCTGGCTGATCTTCCGATTCGACGAGTATCCGAGGCTCCTCCTAGACAAGAAAAAAGAAATCTCAGCATCAATAAGAATTTTTTTTGTTAGATTTTTGTCGGGTCGCACGCCCCGGGATGCCGAGTGCGATCGCGCATGACAGGAGCAGCGACCGTCGCACTATTTCTCGCATGCGCCTGACGCAAGAGAAAGCGATAGCTTACCCCCAATATTTGCCCTGTGCAAAAACCTGTGCCGCGGTCAAACCAGTCATTATCCCTCAACTCGTAGACCTTGACTCGTTTGCGACCGTCGGGCGGCTGTAAGTCCAGCGCCATGATCTGGCAGGAACAGGGCGACGCGACTCGTCACTCCGGGCCCAGCTCCAAGATGAGGTGTGCACCGGCGCGAGGAGAGCCGCAGAGGAGCGGAGCGGGAAGGAGGACGGCGTGTGGTCCAGGATGAAATGGAGGAGGGGTGTGTTGGAAGAAGAATGAGGTGGAGATCAGAGGATGATGAAAGAGTCTGCGGAGGGGATGACGATCGAAGGGGAAAAAAAAGCCTTGAATGGCGATCTGAAAGGAGGGCACCACCCTCACTCTCACACTTCACTCCTTCAAGGGGAGAAATTTAAATTTGGAGATCGGGAGTTTGCGAAGGAGGAGCTTGAAGAAGAAGAAAGATGGAACGGGCCACACGCGACCGGGAGACAAGTGGGCACTTCCGGATCTTCCAGAAAAGTCATGCATTGCCTGAGAAGAACCTGAGGCATGATGGTTAGGCAGAAAAGGATTATTCTTTACTGCTATGACGAGGATACACTATGATTTATGACAAGAATGTTATTTTTATTGCAATTAGACTACGGTTCTTCTGCAGTCCAATCTTGGGTTATTCTTAGGCGATCGGCAGAAGGGCTGGGGAACAATTCCAGTGCTCAGGGGTTCTCGGGGCAGAACCGCCGCGCTACCGAGGTCTCTTAAGACATTGGATGATAAACTGGAAATACCGGGTTATTTTTTTATATATTTGTATTCAGTGTAGAAATAACAATGTCTATATACATTTCTCTGATCATCTTAACTCTCATATTTAACATTTACGGGTCTACTGGTCTATTCCTAAGGCTGTCTTGGTCCAACTATACCCAGCTCTGCCTCAGGCAAGTGAGACAAGACACCCTGCACGGACCCTGTCACCGCCCCCACCCGTCAACGCTGATTGGCTCCCTGCAGCGTGGCAGATTCTTATCAATGCTTTCCCAATGAGGAAAGGTTCCAGACCTCGGCGCGGCTTTTTTTTCCTGGCGGTTTTAATTAGCTCTTCTTCATCTTTTTCTTCAGCCATCCTGTGTTCTGCTTAGACGAGCGACTTCTGGGAGTTTTGCGCTCGTCCTCTTGCCATAAAGCTCCCCTCGGAGGGTTGACCTGTGTCAACATTACATAGACCCGCGTCGATATCGGCCTGTCACTATTATACTCCCAACCCCGCTTTTCGGGCATTTGGCAGCTCCCAACCCGCTATGACTGAGTCGAAGGATCAGGTAACCATCCAGGCGACTGATGCGAATGTGCGCTCGTCGCAGTCGCAGTCCCAGGATGCCTCGGTGGCGGTTGTGCAGACCTCTACCCCAGAGGACTCCGAGGTGCCGGCGGACCAGATCGACGAGGAAAAGAAAGGCTTTTTGGCTTATTTCAAAACCAAGGAGTTTTATATCACGTTGGCTCTAGGGTGAGTACCGTATTTGCTCGAAAATTTGAAGTGTCTCAGACTTATCAATCGCATCTATGATAGACAACTTCTCGCCATTGCTAATACCTCGACCGGCACCTTCACCACGCTTCTCGGGCTGCAGAATTGGGCGATCCCGGCGTTTCAAACATTCTTGAACTATGTGGTTCTGAACCTGATCTTCACTCCATATACGATGTACCGCTACGGCATCAAGGGCTGGTTCCGACTGGTGTGGCGTGACGGCTGGAAATGTATACACCTCCCCCCCCTTTTTTTTTCTGGAGTCTATAGAAAGTAACTTATCTTTCGGGCAGACATCATCCTGGCTTTCTGTGATGTGGAAGGCAACTATTTTATCGTGCTGGCATACAAATACACAACGATGCTTAGCGCACAACTAATCAATTTCTGGGCCATTGTCGTAGTGGTGGTGATATCGTTCATCTTCCTGCGAGTGCGATACCACATCTCGCAGGTGCTGGGAATCTTAATCTGCATCGGCGGCATGGGCATCCTGATCGCGTCGGACCACATCACGGGCACAAACGGCGGCAACGTCACGCACGGCAACCAGCTCAAGGGCGATTTATTCGCGTTGCTCGGCGCCTCGTTCTACGGGCTGACCAATACGGCCGAGGAGTACTTCGTGAGCACGCGGCCCGTGTACGAGGTGCTGGGCCAGATGTCGTTCTTCGGCATGATCATCAACGGCGTGCAGGCCGGCATTTTCGCCCGCGACGACTTCCACGCCGCCATCTGGAACGGCAAAGTCGGCGGCTATCTGACCGGCTACACGCTGTGTCTGGTGCTTTTCTACTGCGTGGCCCCGCTCCTCTTCCGCCTGTCTTCGGCGGCATTCTTCAATATCTCCATGCTCACGATGAACTTCTGGGGTGTTTGCATTGGCATCGAGGTCTTCCATTACCATGTGCATTGGATGTACCCCATTGCCTTTGTCCTCATCATCGTCGGTCAGCTCGTCTACTACCTCGGCCGTAGGGTCCTCGGTGAGTCTCGCAAGCCCTGGCTCGGCCGGAACCAGGAGCGCGGGATTGCTGGCCTCTTTACTGCCAAGAAGAAGATCGAGACTGTCACCCCTGCCGGTGCAGATCCCCATGATCATGACCCCGAACGGCCTCCTGCTGCAAATACTAGCGCCGCCTAATGCTAGACGCGAAACGAGGGTCCTGGATTATATCTTTTTTCTTGTTTATTTTTATCTTTGTTTTCTTCTCCTTTTACCTTATGACGGGGCTTGTAAATATGGGAGATCCACACACTACAACCCTAGATCTATGTACAGGTCTTGCTATAATTCTTGCTCTCTGTTGGTTCGGATCCAGTCTCGGTGGTGTATGCCCCTTTGATGTCCTTACGATCTCTTGCTCATGAAAAGTTTTACATGCGTATTGCAGGGCGCACGCATCTAATTCATTAATACAAGAATAGAAGGCTGCAGCAAAAACAGTTCCCCTAATTAGGATTTTCTTAGCACGGTTTCCTTAGAAGATAGCAGTACTTCTTCTCCGGGATAATATGACGATCAGCTTCACTTTCCGAGGTGCTTTTTCCTGCAGACTTGCCATGGAGATAACTGGGCTAATATAATCGAAAGACGCGGAGTTTGTAACAAAATTAGACCACCGAAGGTCACACTTAAAACTATGTCTCCTTCCTCTATATACATTGGGACAATCAATCCCAAATAACTTAACTATACTATTCAATCAAGGATCACAGCCTACACATAGGATAGATAGCACCAAGGGTGCACCAAGGGTCCACTAGTGAGATACCATAGACAACAATCCACAAGAAGTAGAAAGAGGAGAGGAAAAGACATGAACTCCAGCTCTCAGTACAAGACCAGATCCCATATCACACACAAGAAAACAATACCAGATCAAACAGGAAAAAACCACGTTGTGTCCACCGCTTCTCTTGCAAAAGAGATGGATGGATATCTCGAGTCCAATCAGAAGAAAAGAAAAGATAAGAAATTGTGCACAGATCCCAGAAAACCCCGAATCCAAGAAATAGACATTCACACCGGAAAGGAGGAACACGAATAAATAAGAATAAGAGAATAAGAGAAAACACCGAGAAATGGCAAGCCCGAGAGCTTTCACATAGAAAATATCAAGCGCCAATATCCGACCATCCATACGGGCACCCCGAACACAAAAGAAAAAGAACACAACCAGAGACCAGAGAACAACCAGAGACTCAGCCCGATGAACCAAGGGTAGAAAGAGAGGGAGAATTCGCCAGAGCATATGTTTTGTTTTCCAGACCCGACACCAACAGGGTAAAAAGAAGAGACTCCAGGAACCAGCAGCACCCCTCCCCGCCCAATAACCAGCTCGGCAGACCAAACCATAACCAAACAGAAAAGGAGAGAAAGAGAAAGAGAAAAAAAAAAAACAGAATAGACCAGACTGAATCGAGCTCCAGAGAAGAAAGGAAAGAGACGGGGAGAAATCCAACTCCAATTCCCTTCAGCCCATATATGTACCGTGCTCGTAATTCACGAAATCAAGGGAAGCCATTTTTCTCTCACAACGCCACGGGGAAAAAAAAGAAAGGGAGACCCCATTGTTGAATGCATGCAATATAATGCGCCAACTCGAATCGATGGTGATGTTTGTTATTATTTATCCCCAAACGGAGGCTTGGACGCCGAGGCCGCTCTTCGAGCCCCAGACGCCACTGCCGTTGCCCCAGCCCAGGCTGACACCGCCCGCGGAGGGGTCCTTGATACCAGGACCACCTGACGAGGCTGTGATAGCCGGATTGGATGCCGTTGACGTGGCACGTTCATTGGCGGCAGCAGCGGCAGCGGCAGCGGCAGCATCACCCGGGGTGAAGCCAAAGCCCAGAGGAGACGGCAGCGGGGTGGTTGAACGCTTGTTTAAGGCCGGGTTGGAGGTCGGACCAGAACTCTGGCCCGTGACCGGGCGAGAACCGATCGGACCGACGGATCCGATGGGTCCGGTTGTCTTGGACGAGGGTTGTCTCGAGGAGGGCGAGTCGGCACCGGGCGACGAGGTCGAGGTGACGGGCTGCTCAGCACCAAAGCCGGCGTTGATGCCGGAGCTGGGCGAGGAGGTGCTGTTGGCCCGCGACGGCGACTGCAGACCGGACGCAATCTCTGTGCTGGCTCCCGGCTGCGAGATGCCGAACGGGTCCACTCCGCGTGGGGACGGACCGCGGACACCGGAAGTGGGAGTGCCACCGGCCTGGCTGTCAGGCCGCGAGTTTTCGTCGGACAAGGGACCGGCCGGGAAGAAGGCGGGGCTTTCGTTGCCGTACAGGGCGCGGTGCTGGCGAGCGAGGAGGTCTCGGCGGCTTTCTTCGCTCACGGCAGCCGGGCTGAGGGAGCGATCGGATTTGGTTGCAGACATCTCGGCGAGCAGGCCTTGGAAGGAAAACACATATTAAAACCCCGTGTTCAAAATGAAGCCAAACCAAATGTATTATACAAGGCCGACGGATACATAGATGCAAGAGAAATGAAATGAAAGAGAAAAGAGAAGAGATCGAAAAGAGATCGATGGGGGAATATGGCGCAGGAAAAAAGACAGACGCTACCACGTACTTCGGTTGTACTGCTGTTCCTGGTGATAGTTGCGGAGTTCCCGCTCACGCTGTGCCGCCATCCGACGCTTCGCCTGCATCATCTGTTCTACCTCATTCGAACGACCCTGGTAGTGGCGCTGCGAGGCGTAGAAGCCTTGAGCATTGCCGGAAGGGTGCATTCGTGAGCCTTCGAACTCGCTAACCGAGTGGTGTCGCTGGGGGCCACCACCCATCCGAGGGTCTGCCAGGACGAAAAGTCAGATCAGGGGAAACTTGGTCACTCGGGTGTGCAGTGTCGTACCGTAGTCGGGATAGGGCCGGCCCATCATCATGGGCACCGAGTCCCGGCGGGGAGCATTCCACAGCTTGCCGCTCTTGACGAGATTGTCGATCGCACGATCGACCTCTTCACAAACGATCAGTAATCATTCCACCAAAAAAAAAAAAGACACGTCCGATTATTCGTTCCAGGGGATTTGCATGGAAACCATCTCATATCGACAAATCCACGAGGGGCGCGGGTCGACGAGGCGGACACAGCCATCGAAATCGAAATCCCATTACAGGGGAGGGGAGAGGGGGCAGAAGGTGTGCATACCGTCAAACTGCGAGGAGAAGGCCGGGCTATCTTCGCGCTGGGAGACCGAGCTCGAACCTGAGACATCAAAAAAAAAATGTATGAGAATTTGTTTGGTCCCGCAATGTTTTTTTCTCGAGTTCAAAGCCTACCTGATCGAGAGGGCGGGACTGGCTGCTCCCATGACACCTGGCGCGCAGCCGGTGCTTGCCAGCCCTGAGGTTCGTAGTACGAAGACATGATTGAAGAAATTCCCCGGGAGAAACGGGTGGTTCAGGGGGTGAAGAGCGGCGAAGGAGATGATCCGTCCGGCGGTAATCAGAGGCGATCTGTCGCCAAAAAAAAAATTTGTTAGGCCCTAACACACAAGAGAGATTGGTGCTCAACACATCCACCTTCGCAAAGGATGAGAATGTATCCTGGAGTCGAGAGTTGGCATTATTTGGGCTTTTTTTTTTTTTTTTTGCTTCTTTTTGTTCAGTTCCCACGTAATTTTTTCCCCCTTCTGGGTGGATTGGGGTTTAATCCCCCAACACCGAGGGATCTCTCATTGACAGCCATTGGATCATCCGATGCAAACGCAGGTGGGATGAGAGACACGCAAAAGAAAAAAGGATCAAGGCGAGAAACTCACGGAAAAGGAGCCCCCGAAAATGAAACGAATATATATAGAAAGGTGTATATATATATATTCACGCTACCACGAGTCAACGAGGCAGACCAACCGAAGTAACCACACAGGGGAAAACAGGAAGACAAGAAGAAAAGGAGAGACCCTGGGGCGGGATTGACCTTGTGAGGGGAGGAGGGGGGTTATCTAAGAAAACTAAGAAAAAGGAGGCTTCGAAGTGTACGACCCAAGACTAGGTCAGAGTAATTTCGCTTAGTGGGCCTTAACAGATAATTATATCCAGGTGCTCATAGTAATAGTAGCCACAATCATCCCTTTCAGTTATATAGATACAATTGACATCTTCAAACCAATTCTCTTGAGAAGAAGAAAAGAAAAAGCACTTCCTAACACCCACGAGTACCTGGTACAAGAAAGTACGCGGCAATTCCCGGCATCCACTTTTTTTTTCTCGTCTTCTTTTGCCGGAGATTGGATGGGGCACGGGGTGCCCGAGCGCAAGCTTCCAACGTTTTGTGTTCCCTCTTACACATTTCTCGTGTGCGGGTGTATTCCATATTCCATGATTCGGGTCCTCTGATATCGTGCATTTAGAGTGGAAACATAGTTTCTCTCGGTTCCTCCCTCACTGCAATATTGCAATATTGGGGAGCATGATCATTGTTCTCCGTTCTACCGCGTAATTTTCATGTTATGCGTGGGGTTTATTTCGTGTTTTGGCACGATGATCTCCCGTTGACTCGGGACAATGGGAAAGGAATGATTTCCCCCCGAGTGTTGCCCATTAAATACCAAGTCAGGAACTATACCCGCGGCTATACTTCAAAGTCACATTCTTTTCTAAGTATCGAGTTGGCAGACTTACTATACTTTACATTGGCAGGGTTGCCTCGTATTATGAATATGAGTATCTCCGAGCTGAGCCCCATGCAGCTGACAAACCCTCGGGTCTGCTGTGCGATGATGATGGACATGCAATGTCTTCTGCACCATGCAGTCAGCCTGCCAAGTACTCTCTGTCCTCTGGATATTGTCTGCAAGTTGGTCTGATCTGGAATCGAGTCTGTAGTGCATGCCATCAGCCTCTCAATATAGAGAAAGAAAGACAGAATCTCGGAGTAAAGGTGTGTCGGATCAAATCCGAATACATGCCATGTCCGACTGGGGGGAAGGAATCAGATTATGACCAGATGCATCTCGGTCAAGGGGTCCCAGGTGGGGGAGGGCATATACTACATCATCCATGAGGGCAATTTTGAATACTGGACGATATCTATGGGGATCCATATTTATGGGTACAGATTTAATACTGTAAGATGTCCATAGACATATTTTGATAGATATTCTGATATTCTCCCGCAAAGTCCGCGCTGAGAAACTGCATCAGATGCCTGCAATGACTACTGTAGTCTCGCATATCCATAGCCTACCCAGGCGGTCCCCAACCAGTCAGCGGCTTGAATGAGTCCCGCGTAGAAACTTCCATGACGGAGGTGGGGTGGGGATCGGGGCGAATCGAGAAATTCCCTGATCATGGTTCTAACCACGTAGTCTCTTACAGCCGGTATTGACGAGGGGAACATTATTTGAGGTGCAGTAGCATATACATGCCCTAAGTACCTGGTACCTCATGGGAATGTTTCCACAAGATCCAGCTTTCCCCAGAAACTCTAAAAGATCTCATACTTACAAGATTTGAGTCGACTGTGTGCGTGACATACCTGTGCAAACCCTCCGGGGTGTGTGTATCACCAGGATATCCACCAGTGTGCCTCACTCCGCGTCACCCCAAGGGCCCCGAACCTAATCAAGGCTTTATCTGTCATACATGGGGTGGTGCTCGATGCACTGTTGAGCATGGTGCTGCCACCACTCAAGTATTGTTGGACGTCATGCCCAGTCCTCCAGTGTTTTTCATGGACTGACGTCGCCCGAGGTCAACCTGGGTGTGGATGTTAGCACATTCCAAAGCAGGGAGCGACAAAGAAACCCGTACTCACAGGCAATAACAGACTGTGGAACAAAGCAACCACACAGTGTTGGCCGACCATGTGCACCCAGACCAAGCTCGACAGCCACCAGGTTCTTTGATCGGCTTCTTCTGGTCATGCCTCATGATCGGGGTTGGAGAAGCCAACCCCTCCTTGGTCCTGGTCCATCAAGCTAGGACCAGTTGTGGAAGATAGCCACATCCAACAAAGAAAGAGGGGGCAAGAAATCAAGAAAGAGGACCGGGTGATTCTTTGCGAAATGAGAAGCCATTCACTCGCAAAGTGCCCCTCGAGACACCCGTCTGGATTAGGTTATAGTGCCCACACGTGTGAGGGAGAACGCGAAGGGATCGCGGGGAGTTCACGACGATCGGAGGCAGGCCAGAGGAACACCCGAATTGCAGACATGCAGAGTGAGATGGCTTAATCAATAGACCCTCCATGGATGATCCATCACAAGAAAAAAAGAAGTTCATTGAAGAGGTTGAAAAGAAAAGTTGGGGTGTTATCGATAACCCACCATGGTACCTGCATGATTGCATAGCTTGGTGATGCTGACCGACTCGACTTCTGAGATCAGTCACTTAAATAGAGAAAGAAAAGAAAGAAAAAGAACGGAAAGAGAAAAAGAGAAAAAGAGACCGAGAAGGGGAGAGTGGGAAAACAAAGGACATTTAACCCTAGAGGCGACCATATCCGATCCTTCAATAGGCCATCCTTTCCCCTTCACGGTGCTTGATGATCGATTTATATTCTGGTTGAATCAGGGTATCCTGTACTTGAAGCCTGGAAGTGATCTTGGGGGATTTATTCTTGATTTTGCGTATATCCGACCATCGAAGTGTCCCCCCACGGTTGATAGTCCTTCAAGAGGGACGGTCGGCAGTGTCTTTACCGCCGACAGGGGCTGACCTCGACCTTCACAACCAACTCGCGATTTCCCCCCTCTTTCTCTCTCTCTCTGTTTCTCTCGATTTGTCTCCATCAGGACCCCGGCTGGTCCTTGTCTTCTTCTTGTATTGTAATACCTCGACTCCTGTCCCCCCTCCCCTTTTTTTCGGTGCTAACCGCTTTCTCTCACAGATCGACAGTCTGTGAGGAACACCCGACACGCACTGGAATCCTTTTCTTTTTTTTTGACCGTGTACTTTTCCTCTCCTGGTTGAGGCAATTTCTCCTTTTTTCTCCTCTCCTTTGTTTGTTTACTGGTGCCTCGAGGGTTTTATCTGTTCGAATTTTTTTCCGGGTTGGCAGCGTGCTGTGAGGGCGATTGATTCTTCCTCCCAAAACCACCGACGAGGATTCTCGGTGCCTCGCAACCCTCGAACTCCCCACGAGACACGATCTCCCCCACTGGGAAATACCGCTTTGGGACTGGACAGCGGAAAACTGTTGGGTTTCCCTCCGCGACCTTCGATTGAGTGGGAAAACGAGGGGTTCTATATCGTTGAACGTGGTGGGCTGTGGAAATCGATCCGCCGAGTTCGACCCGGAGAACTGTTGGGAGAAATTGCTATATGGTCTCACCCATCGATGGGAATGCAAAGTGTTCCCACCACCCGGGTGACATCTCACCTATAGCGTCGGATCAGCCTTCCACCATGGCCTGGATGCCGCAATCCGACGCGTCCGAGATCCCACCGAGGCCGCCATTGGCCTCCCACCAGTCGAGCTCTCTTCCGTCGACCCCTTACCAGCATGCGCGCAACCTCTCGTTTCATTCCCGGTCGCCGTCCCCCGCCCGTGGAAGCACCTCCCCTCGATCCACCCACTCCGAATCCACCCACTTACCCCCCTCCGCGCGCAAACCGCTCGGTGTGTGTAAATATGAAACGGCCATGGCATATTTCCGGAGACGGATACCGTATAGTTTGGGGGCGGATATACTGCCGCAGGAGAAGGAAGGACTGAAAGGGCGTCTGAACCCGACGGAGGAGCAGAAATTGTCCGCCGACATCATGGACCTCTATGATCGATTATTACCGTCCGCGGAGAGCGATGACCGCCGCCGTCAGCTGGTTCGCAAACTCGAGAAGCTGTTCAATGACCAATGGCCGGGCCACGAGATTAAGGCCCATGTTTTTGGCTCCTCGGGGAATAAGCTGTGCTCGAGTGACTCGGATGGTAGGTTGTGATGAGTGGCCAACTTCAGGATCAAAACTGACTTGAGCAGTGGATATCTGTATCACGACCAATTACAAGGAGTTGGAGCATGTGTGTCTGTTGGCGGAAGTTTTGGCGAAGCGTAAGAAACGCCCAGGTCCTGTGGTGTCGGATATTGGACTGACTGACTGACGTCGGGGGTTTAGATGGGATGCAACGAGTGGTCTGCGTGTCTCATGCAAAAGTTCCTATCGTGAAGATCTGGGACCCAGAGCTGCGGTTGGCTTGCGACATGAATGTCAATAACACCCTCGCATTAGAGAACACCCGCATGATTCGGACATACGTCGAGGTGGATGAACGAGTGCGGCCGTTGGCAATGAGTGTCAAGCACTGGACAAAACGACGCATTCTTAACGATGCCGGTAAGCTTTGGACCCGATGCACCTCAGGCGTCCTGATGGGCATTAACCTCGGTTTGCAGCACTCGGAGGCACATTAAGTTCCTACACTTGGATTTGTTTGATCATCAACTTTCTGCAGACGAGAGACCCTCCCATTCTCCCCAGCCTTCAAGCCCGCCCGCACAAGAAAAGGGTCACCTCGGACGGGTTGGTTTGTTCATTCGACGATAATCTTGACTCCCTGACTCAGTTTGGCCGGAAGAACAAGCAGTCGGTTGGTGAGCTCTTTTTCGAGTTTTTCAGGTATTATGGCCACGAGCTCGACTACGAGAAGAATGTCATCTCGGTGCGGGAAGGCAACTTGATCTCCAAGGAGGCCAAGGGCTGGCACCTGCTCATGAACAACCGATTGTGCGTGGAGGAGCCGTTCAACACATCAAGGAATCTAGGAAACACCGCCGATGATACCTCGTTCCGGGGTCTGCATTTGGAATTACGGAGGGCTTTCAAGCATGCTGCCCAAGGAGATTTGATCGCTTGCTGCGAGCAATTCGAGTTCCCGGCGGAGGAGGAGAGGACGTGGGAGCGGCCACCGCCTCAACCGCGGCCTATCCTCACCCCATCCCTTCCCTCACGCGGGGGCCGAGGTGGTGGGCGTGGGGGTCGATATCCGAACCAATTCTCGCGCGGTGGGTATACGGGAGGCCGCCGAGCGTCGAATACGGGGAACAAGTCCAACGCATTCCGGCAGTCCAACACTGGCAACCCATCGGAAATCTCTCTGCAGGCGCAGCAGCAAGCCCAGTATCTTCTGCACGACCAACTGTATCAACAGATCCAGCTTCTCCAGGCGCAAGAGCAGGAGCTGCGGATGCAGTTGCACAATCAAGCGTTGATCACCGGACGGCCTCCACCTGTGTTCCTCTGCCAGCCTTTCATCCAATTCCCCATACCGCAGCAGCAGGAGTATTCCGGGGATGAGGGTGCACGGTCTAGATCAGGAACGGTCAGTCACCCGCCGCCCAACACATTACAGCGGCAGCAATCGTTTAAAAACCCTACCTATGCTTCTGTTAGCGCGTCCAATCCGCAGGGCAGCACTACAAATCCCCCCTCGCCCTCTGCCAATGTTGCCCTGCCCGACTTTCGTCGCAACTCACGGCGATCCTCGGCTGTAAATGGGTCGCCCAAGGGGTCACTTCGAGCGCAATCGCAGCCTGCGCGGCCCCAAAACTCACCATCCCTCCAGAATTTCCTGCCTTTTTATACCATCCCACAGCACCTGGAGAACTCGCACGGCTCCAAACAACGATCAGCCACAGATTCGTCAGAAGGTGGAGAGGGCAGTGGGGACGAGAACGCTCTGCCGCCAAACAGTCTTCCCAGCAATGGATCTCGCTCCGACTCGGTGGACGGCAACCGGCCACAGGATGTTCTGGGCTACTATCTAACCCCGCAGCAACTGCAGGCCTATCAGCAAAATTCTGTGATGCCGTCTCTTTCAACGCCAGTGGGACTGGCTTTGCCCAACGGATACACGCCTTTTGTTCCCGTCCAACAAGAGTATCGGCCGGCAACGTTTTCGCCCGAAGGCTTCAATGGACGTTCTGAGCCGAACAATACCACAGCATCAAAACCCCAGCCATCACAACCACGGCGCTCAGCTTCACGGCCTGCCGTGGCTGCAGATCGGGGTCCCTTGATCGTTGATGGCTCGGTGCCGCCCAGTGAACCTCGCTCGTCCTCATATACCTCGGACTTCATTGATCCTTATACTGCCGTCACGCATTATACGTCAACGTCGGATGACCACAATATCAATACGCCCGCCAGTTTCTCCGATTCGTTATCCCAGGATTTCCAGGACTCCGGTCCCTTTGAGATGGAACAGTCCGGCGTTTTTACCCGGCCACCCGTCGACGCCCAAAAAACGAATCATGTGGGTGACGAGAAGCCGGCGGAAAAGGCCAATGGCCAGCCTCAGTTGCTTGCCAGTCGACTGCAGAATTATCACTTGTCAAACGCCGAGAAACTGGCCCAATCACATCCTCCACCCAAGGCGAGTTCCGAGCGACCCAAGAACGGCGTGCATTCAGGAACAGGCAAGGAAGCATCCAAACAAGGGCCGGCGGGTGACAAATCCACTTCATCATCTGGTGCTCCACATGAGACCAGGCCTCAGGCGTCAAATTCAAAGCGAAGACCAAACGGGGTTGAGCATCCCGAGAAAGTGAATGGTGTCAACCACAAGCCCAAGTCAAAGGGCCGTCATGATGCACCGCAGCACTCTACCCCAGCATCCGAGTCCAAGGACCGGCACGTGGACCATCCGCCACGCAAATCTGGCGGAGCTCCCAATGGCGTCACTGACACCAGCCACGGCGGTTGGCAAACCACGAAGAAAAAGAATCGCAAGAACACCAAGACGTCGAGTGAAACCCGGAATGGGGACCACAGTGGCCCTGAACCACTTCCTGCAGATGAGTCGTTGCGAAAAGGTGGCTGAACCTGGAGTTCACCCTGCTCTCCCCCTTCCCCCGGGACTCTTCCATGTTTTGTTTATGTCCATATCCTCAATCCATATTTAACGGCCTGACTTGGGAGACACTGGCAGATTGTCTCCCTCATGTACCCGCAGCAGTTCGGACTTTGTCGAAATGAGTCTCTGACAGATATATTTGTTTCGACCGCGACTTTTGTTGCTTTTTTTTTTTTTTTTTTGTTTTTGTACTTTCTTGCACTTTCTTCCCTGGTGTCTCGGCATATGCATCATCGTTGCCTTTGGGGAAAAGTTGGCCGGTTCATCTTCCAGAAAACCCAAGCGCAATGAACGAATTTCTTCCAGCTGTTTGGAGTTATTTTGTTTTCTTTTTTCTTCCCTTTTCCTTTCTCTTGTCCTTTTCCTCTTTTCTTTTCTTTTCTTTTTCTGTGCTGTGTGGGATGGTTTAGACCCCGGGTTAGTGTGAGTGAGTGTGAGTGACTGATTCTTATGAGGGCCATATTTTCTTTTTCGGTTCTGTATAAAAGAATAACATGTTGCCAATGAGAAATAAAGAAAAAAAAATTCGAAAAAGAGAGAACTTCACTGTTCTTAACTAGTTTGGAGTAGATTCCAAGTGTGGATACTTAAAAAAGGCTTTGGTATATAGTTCAGGTGAGCACAGCCCTATAGCCCTATGTATATAGCCTTCTTCCAAAGTTGACCGACGAGGGGTAGTATAGAGGCATCGATATAAGTATGGATAGAGAACGAAATTCTTTCTCCTCTTCTCTGCTTTTGTGTATAGATGGCATTGCTACTTATAAATAAAAGAAATGGGTAGCTTCTGTCCTTCATTGCGCCATCGCTATCACCACTGCCGTCATCGGGCTGTGTGACCATCCTTTGCTTTTGTTTCTGTGAAAAGACCGGCAACCCAATCGTCGGTGATGGTCTCACTTCTTTCCCACGCAACATCGTCAAAGGTCATGCGTGTCCGTATCGTTGATCAAATGAAAACTGGCTGGTTGGTAATGGAACTGAAAATAGTTGAACGATAATATGGTGGGAATTGTGTGAAGTAAACAAACCCCAGAAGAGGTGAAGGGGCGGTGGGGCCTTGGGAGGGAAATAGACAGGAGTTGCTCTCATAAACGCTGGCTAACAATACGAACAATTCATGCCATGCCAATTCATCCAAATTAAGTACGTTCCCTTGCACAATAGTTATTCTTTAAGGACAACCCTGGAGTAGTAGGAGTAGTATGGCTACTAGCTTTTCGGTATATAATTAGCTTGCTTGTTGATTGAATTCGCGTATTGTCGGGATCTCATAGATGCCTCAAGTGCTTTCTAGGATTCTGGTTTCCTGGTTTCCTGATATCAACTCATCTGCTTTATCAACTGCCAGCGAGCAAATTTCTGGTTGCAGTAAATACGTCTAGTATATGAGTGTGGTATAGTACATGTGACATAACAGAAACGCTTTTCAAGGACTCCCAAAGTGCGCGAAAGTGGCCGAAGAAGAGAAGACAGGAATTAATGCACATCCAAATAAAAGTCGTAAGAAAAACCACAATGGGAAACCCCAGAGGAACAACAGGGCCAGGTTGCCATCAACAAAAAGAAAATAAAAAAAAAGAAGAAGTTATGTTCATAGAAGGCAATAAGAAAAATTAAAGAATAGAGTGAGATAACCCACGCGTTAGCTCCATATCTCGGCAAAGATATATGGGGCAATCACCACGCAGGCAGTCCAAAACACCATGATGGACTGGAACGGGAATAACAACAACCGGGACACGGGAGTTTCCCGGAAGAGAACCCAGATAGAGAGGAAGGCGACAGAGAAGAAGTGGCTGAACAGAATAAACGGCTGCTTGATCAGGCCTGCCAGTAGCCCGACGGGCCCGGCGACGTAGCCTAATTGGAAGTAGCGGAAGCAGCCACGTTGCAGGGCCTTGAGATTTTGATCTGAATGAATGTAAGCGTGAGGCACGAGAGAGGAGAAAACACGGAACAAACACATACCATTAGCAGCAAAAAGCATGTACAGTGCCTGGGCTAAAATGTTGATGACGGTAGCCGAATTTTTTCGGGTCCAATGGAAGCGGCTGAGCTGCTTCAGCACCAACCGCGTATCTGAGAGACTCGGTACACGCTCCGGGCTCAGCAAGTCGCGGAGGACGCAGACATCGTTGAGTGCGACGGTCATTCCACCTCCGGTCAGAGGATGTCGCATATTTAGTGCATCACCAAGAATGGCTAAGCCGGGGGTTTTGTTGGCCGAAGCGGGTAGAAACGAATTCGGCATCGAACGCAGCTGGCCCTTCTCCAACGCAGCCAGGAACGACGGTTGTACGGACTCGGGCAATATAGGCAAGATAGTATTCCGTAAGTGACCCTTGACGCCACCGTTCTTCACCGAGGCCGAGGGCAAATTATCGGGGATATCAACGAGGATGCGGGTCTCGTGGGTGCCGATCTGGTACATAAGCACGGGCGGACTGTTACTGAGCAGAACATGACCGTAGCAGGGAGCCGGCAGCTTAGCGTCGATGAGCTCGAGGCCCCAGAACTTGGACCGGCGCGTCGGGGTGTGCGGGTGGTACGATTTTCCGAGTTTGGAGTCGTAGCCGTTGGCGACAACAGTGAGCTGGGCAAAATAGCAGTCCTTGAGGTCCTTAGCCACGCACTCGACCCCGAGCACCTGCTGCGTATACGACGATGTCACCAGCGCCGTCGCCTTAGTCTCGACCACCGTCACGTTGGCGCAGGCCAGGGCCGCCGCACGCAGTTTTATCACAAACCGGCCGTGATGGAAAGTCCGGCCTAGTGGCGAGGCCGACGACGGCGTGGACTTGGGGTAGTCCAAAAGCACGGGCTCGCCAAAGTATGAGACATAGTATCCCTTGACATCGATCGAGTCGATCTCCTCCAGACAATCCCGCAGTCCCAGCATTTCCAATGCGTGCACCCCTCCGGGCTGGAGGAGCTCACCCACAATGCGGTCGGGCTCCTTCATTGAATTCTCTAGCAGAATGACGCTCCGTCCTTGTCTTCCCAGCGCTACGGCAAGCGCACAACCCATAATCCCGGCGCCCACGATCACGACATCGGCTTCGTGGTGCTCGATGCGGCGCTGCGCCGCTTGCTGCGATTTGGAGACATGGCCGTTGACGGAGGTCATGGTGGAATTCATGTGAGAACAGAATCAGAATGGCTCGGATAGAACCTCAGCATTATCGAGATGCTGCGAGAAAGGAGGATTTTATGAAGCCAAAGTGCGTGGGCTGATGTTTTCTTTTTTTTTTTGTTGGGGGGAAACCAGGGGTGTGGCCTGACATGTGAAGGCAGTCCACTCTCCGCCTTCTCAGTTCTACGGCGCAGAGACGAGCATGGACTTGGCCTTTCTATACTTCCTGATTACTATGATAATACACTGCAATATACACTGCAATGCCCTATACAATGAAATTGTCCGAGAAATATTCATTTTATACACAATATGTACATCTTAGCCTACATCTACCCATCTCTTCTGCGGATACTGAGGATCATCCGCCGGTATACTTGGTTGCCCCAGTATAGACTTCTCATTCCATCGGTGCAGCGAAATAGGAGTCGCCTGGTGGGGGTTCACCAAGAAATCCAGCTCCATCTGTTCGTCAAAGGTCACAATCATGTTTCGAACTAGCCCACTGGGAACGGAATCCAGTTCATCGTGGGCGATGGAACGGAGCTCTTCGCGCATCTGGCGTTTAAAATCCAGGTCGGTAGTGATTCCCAACCAATACGGGTCCTGGTGCAGCTTTTTATCCAGTACCTTCACTAGCTCCGCCAGGGTTCCCATATCCGACCGGCGGTGCTGTAGGTACGATCGCCGGCTCAGCTTATCGTCCAAAATGGACATGACGAGGTGGGCTTCTACCACAAAGTTCCGGAGAACGGGTTCGTCCCGCGAGAGCACGGTGAGCATGCACCACCACACGCCCCGGAGGTTGCCAACGTGAGCGAAGGCGCGCATGAAAATCTTCAGCAGCGCTTGGTCAAAGCCGTACTCGTGCCGCCATCGAGATGTATAGATTGCCGTCAGAAGTCTGATGGCAAGGTGTGATTTGCCATTGAGAATGAGCTTTCGGCTGACAGCAATGGAGATGAAATGCTTGAACTTGAAACCCGGTTCGATAGTGCAGGTCTTATAAAATTCGAAGATTGCCATCTTAAAAATAGTCGCTTCGCTAGCGAGCTCTGGACTTGTCTGCAGAAGCTGTTGGAAAAACAGCGGGAACGTTCTCGGCCAGCGCGGGGTGTCTTCCAGCGTTGGGATTTGAAGCCCATAGTACCAGTCAGCCTTGACCATGATACACGCGTCCACCAATCCAGTCTTGCCATTTGCGAGCATCGTCGCGATCACGGCCAGCTTGAGATGAATCGGCCGCATGACATATCCGGCCTTTTTAGCGTACTGGTAGACATCCAGCGCATCGTGGAACTTGCCTACATGGAGAAAATGCTCCATTCGCCGGCGGAGGGGGATGTGCATATCGATCGGCTTCGCGGTTGCCATATTATCAAGACTATGGGCGTATAAATCATCCGCCGGGCGATGAATCGGCTGCAAGACTTGTCGTTCCGTGGCCCAAGAATGCGCGTTTGATCCCAAGACGCGCAAGAAGCTGGCCGCCTGGCCATACTGCCGTTTCGCCGCTTGTAGCGTCCGCCAAAATCCTATCGGGGCGTTTTCCATTGACTTGCGGCGGCTCTCAATGAGGTTGCAAAGTTCTTTGTCCCCCAAACTGATGGGCCATTTGTGCTCCTTGGCCAGATTGGTGATATTAGAGACCATGTCAGGGGTACCTCGATCGATCAACGCCTCTAAGATGTGCCGATAAAGGACATCATCGGGTACGATGTCAAATTGGATGATGCAGCCCATAAGGAAGTCGTAAATTTCCGTGCCCTTATGAATCGGCCAGTACTCCAGAAAAACGCGGTCGAAAACCACCGAGAAATCTGCCTTGTTCTGAGTAAATCCCCGTGCGTGCATGTCCCGCAAGTCGGCCATGACACCGTCCCAATCGAGCGCAAGCGCCCTACCATAAGAAAGCAAGCCAACAGTCCGCAATCCAGGCTGGACTTTGTACTTCTCAGGCATGTCTTGCACCAGCGCTTCCGCGGCGTCGGGCTGGCCAAATTCAACGTAGGCTTTGACCATGGGATTGAGAAGTTTTTCGGTTGGCGCCCGCTTCAAGAAGACAAGACCGGTTAAAATGGTTCTGAATTCGCCATTGATAAGTTCCAAATTTCTGGTCTTTCTCCATAGCCCATCGAGGTAGGCCCCGCACAGGCCGCAGTCGCGATCCTCTTGGATGCGATACCAGAAAAGCCATTTCGCCGAGATTAGTCGCTTTGATTCCAGAAGACAGCGAAGGATCACCTCGAGCAGATAAGATGGAACAATGAGCTTGGTGCAGTGACGATCGAACAGGTTGCCGACTGATTCGATATGGCCTTCTTTCGCAAGCAAATGCATCATCGTGGCCCACATCTCCGAAGTCACGAACGACACCTTGGCGATGCGATCAAACAGAGTTCGCGCAGCGAAAATATTCCCCTTGATGCAATTCATTTTGAAGACTTCGCACCCTATCTCTCGTCTCTCCAGCGAGATACCACAATCGTGCGAGTGAGGGATCTGCTTCAAGAATAAATATGCGGCATCAATTTCGCGACCTTGCTGCAGCATGTCACGGAGTTTTTCTTCAAACGGAAGCTCCCCAGCGGCTCGGGCAGCCGCGGCCTCTTCAGCCTCCCGGGCTAGAGCGGCATCATTGGCAGCACCGGTCTTGTCGTCGGGGGATTCTTCAGATGTCAAATCCGGTGTATATTCTTGCGCAGAAGAGAAGCCCTGGCCAGCGAAGCTAGGTATGGGTGGGCATTTCAAGCTCTTCAGCAGCTCCTCGTCCATGGGTGCTTCTGGCTCGGGACCAGCTTGCGGCGTTTGCGCACGGGATCCATTGTTCTTGTCCTTGAAGGATTGCAGGCCCGTAAACTCGCCCGCCTCAGCGGCTTCCATCATGGCTGCTAGGCGCTTGGCGGAGGAGGTCGCATCGTACTTTGGAGCGGATGTGTGCAGGACTCGTTTGTTTTCGATGATCTGTTCGGCCACGCGAATTCGGCGGTGGACATCGTACGTGATGACAGCAACGGTGCAAAGACCGCCGACGGTGGATCCGGTTAGAGCCAATTGTCGGAGCACTCGAAGGGCATTGCGCGACGGGACCATTGAGGTGTTTGCGGCTTTGGCGAACATGATGGAGGAAGTTGGCCGCGAGGCACGCTAACCTCACGGGATACGCATCGGCAATTGCAGAGGCAGGTAGCCAACAAGGAAGATGGTAGGTGAATGAGGTTGGCTAAGGGTTTCCGTTGTAAGTGTGTATTTAGTAGCGAAGACGAAGAGACAATGGCGCACCCGAGTGCTAAGGACAAAACCCTCAGGCCGCTTTTTCTTCGGGTGCGTGTTAGGTCGGTGCGGTCCGCCCGAGTCTCCCCTGGCGTGAAAATGCTGGATGCTTATTGGACGCTTCGACTGTATACCCAAACGTGTGAGGTGTTTTGGCATGGGGATTTTTCAAAATCTGAATTCCTCTAGGGCTCCTGATATTGCGATGCTGATATAAATCACACTGTCATCTCAATGCTCACTAATACAGGCTCGAAACCCTTTAAGTTTGAGGGGACTAACACTCATCTTCACCCTTAACGCATAGGAGAGATCACTATATTTTTCTAAATCTCGAATATTTTCAACACAATCCAAGCCAATTATATGCAGTTATATATGGTAATGGTAGATACAAATCCAAATTATACTCACTCACCGCAGCAGTGGGGTATTCTCATCGTAGCCATGCTCATTAGCCTCGTCTCTCGAATGCGAGGGGACCTCATCCAGATTGACTGGCAAAAATCAGTTAGATCATTGTTATATTCCTAAGATGGTTCTTGATGGGGAAAAGGAAACATACCGTATGGTCGAATAAGCCAGCTCAGGAAAAACGCCACGCCAAACAGAGCCGCTAGGGACACGAAAACAGCCTGAGGATAGGTGGCGACGGTCACACTATAGATCAGATTGAAGATAGTCGGCGCGATAATGCGGGCAAGGGCGTGTAAAAGACCCGTGACACCAAGCATCTGGCCGATCCGATCGGGAGGGACATGCTTGGTGAGCGAGGCCTGCAGGGTTGGTGATCCCATGCCACCCAGAGACGCGACGGCGCCGGATAGGATCATCATCGCTGGATGCCTTGCCAGCATGTAACCAATATAGCCCAAGATATCAAAGAGAATCGAGAGCCGGATGAGCACGATGTCCAGCATATCGGATCCGCGGATGCTGCCGTCGTCCTTGGTTGGTGTGCGGAAGAGCCGAGCCACGATCGGGAGAACCACGAAGAGATTGATCACGCGCACCACATTGTTCACCGACACGAACAGGCTAGATTCCACGCTGTCCCAATGGAACATGTACTCAGCGTAGATGATGATGAGCTGTCCGGCACCCATGGTAACGCCGAAGACGACTGTGTCGATGGCGGCCAGCAAGACAATATTTCGTCGAAGAGTCGGAGTGGCGCCTCGGCGCGTGGGAAAGAGCACACTCGGCCGTCCTACCGCTGGCAGGAGAATGACGAGAGGTGTCACAAGATGGATTGGGTTCCAAGAGCTCCACGAGCACCAGTTGGAGGCTCCATTGTCAGCGGTCTTCTCCCGATGCCTGTCACGGGCGGCTTGTTGGCGTTCCTGGGAGAGAGACTCGGGGACAATAAAAGCGACGGCCAGACAAAAAGTCGCATGAAGTGCGAGGGCAATATAGAAGACAGGCAAAGTCCCGCCAGACTTTTTAATCAAGAATGCTGCTCCGCTGGGGCCCGCGGCGATTCCAAAGAATAGAGCGCCATGGAATAGACCAAATGCCACGCTCCGTCGCTCGGGCGGCGTGCAATCAGATGCATAGGAATGGATCAAAGCCAGTGCTGCAGTGAAGGACCCGCCCAAGCCGTCCAGCATGGCCCCGACCAGGAGCAGATTAACCGGCATGCGTTCGGGCCAAGACGCGACAATCACGGTGATGACTTCATTCAGCACAGCGCCCATGGCGCCCAGCGCGATCATCCTGGTCCGTCCATACCGGTCGGACAGATGCCCCAGTCGGGGACTGACCAGTGCCGAGATAATGCCAGCTGCAAGATTGAGGTAGAGCTGGAACCGAGCAACCAGTGACTGTACCTCGGGGATTTGACAGTGCGAATTGTCTCTCCCGAAGGCGACCGGAAGATAAGTAAAACCGGGCTCTTTGAGACTCTTTTCAGCGAGATAATCTCGACAGACCAGAGAGATGATCAAATTGATCTTGGGCACGGCGAGTCCACCGAAGCCCACCATGAACAGGAGGCCGAATGGCAACAGCCACCAGATCTGTCGATGTTACAATCAGGGTTGAACGTGCGTCGGCATAGAATCGAAAAAAAAAAGTCTTACACTGGGTGCCCTCCATGATGGCTGAGGTTTTACGTTGTCAAAAATCTGCTCTTCAGGGAGTTCATGATCTGGGGGCATGTCGGACAGCAGGGGACTTGCGCTGCGGCGCGAGTGCTGCTCTGCATCCTCGGCAGTGCGACAGGCGTTGCGTGTGTCGACCTCGGGCTCGTCTGCAAAAAATTGTTCATTCTCCATGATCAATGTCGATCAAGCAGGGAGTAGTGTCATGAGGAAAATATTGCAGGACAAATCCCAATTTCTAGCACATCGTTGATTTGTAATGGCACTCGGTGGTGTCAGGATTACCCGTCGACAGAGAGTGATGCGAGGGAACTGCGCCAACCGGCCTTATCACAATAGCTTGATAAGAGTGGGTTCTGATCATACATGCCCAAATTGAGGCTGCTATTACAATGACTATGTACAGAGGTGGGAGTATTTGTAGCCTATGCAATACCCCTCGAAATCGCGTGTATATATACAATGCCAGAGCAGGAGAAAAAGCCCCCCAAATACATCGACATCTACTTCACAGCACGAGAGCCTCGTTCTCCTTTCCTGCAAAGAACTTCTTCTGGCCCAGGCACCGCTCACTGGTGCAGCCCTGGCAACGCAGGGTCAGCTGGCGAGAGCAGAGCTCTCCCTTGTTCATGTGCTCCAGAGCAAGATCCGCAAGCGCCTGGATGAAGACCGGGTTCCCGTTCAAGCTCTCCGCCCGCTTCACCCCTGGGCTATTGGCTTCTTCCATGACCTCCAGGTCCAGCTCGTACAGAGTCTCGATGTGGTCGCTGGTGAAAGCAACGGGCACCAGAATCAAATCTGTGTGGCCTCGCTTGACATACTCCTGGACGGTGTCGCTCGTTTGGGCACCAAGCCACGCTTTAGGGCCCACCTTGGACTGCCAGCACAGACGGTAAGGGTTGCTGAAACCCAGTCGCTGCATCACAGCATGGACAGTCGCAGCCACCTCAGCCGGGTAGGGATCACCTGCAAGAACATCGATCAGCGAAGTCCACCTTGACGAATATCTAAAGGGATGTAGTTACCTCGGTTGACAACGCTCATAGGCAAACTGTGGGCCGAAAACAACAGCACAACTTCATTGCGCTTCTCGGCCGGGTACGTCTTCAATTGGGCCTCGATATTCTGGGCAAAAGCCTCGATGAGACCAGGGTGGGAGGGCCACCGGTCAATGACACTCCACTGGATTGTTCCCGCAGGATCCGCCTCTCCATTGGCACGCTTGCCTTCCAAGCGGTTACGCCACTTCCACAGCTCATTGAGGGAGCTGCCGGTCGTGGAGCACGAGTATTGCGGGTACTGGGTAAAAGCCACCGCACGACCACCCTTGCCGTTCCCGAATCCATCAGCAAATAATTGTTCATACATGGTCTCCGTCAATGGTGCAGCGTAGCGGAATGCTACATAAGGTTTGTGCGGGGCGGTTTCCGGCGACATCTTGTCCAGCAGCTTGCACATCTCCTTGCACTGATATTCCGACCACTTGCGAATGGGCGAGCCTCCACCAATATCTGAGTATTGCTGCTGAATCTTGGGTGTTCTCCGGCGGGCGATGAGGGGGCCGAGGTAGGATTGAAGCCGCCCTAGAGGGATCAGGTCACCGTCGGCCTGTGGGTAACCCAGCGTGTTAGCTAGTGAACAATCATTGGAGTAAAAACCCTCGAGGATCATCGCTTGGGTCAATTCCCGGGGCAGCATACAAATAGTCTGCTCAGGAAGTCCTCCACCTCATCTGTTGTCGATGGTCCACCCATGTTCAAGAAGACCATTGCGGTCGGCCCCTTGGAGCCCGTGGCATCTTGGGTTACTGGGGGCACTGCAGTCGCGAATCTGGAGCGTTGGTAACTAGTGCATCCTACCAGACTGCGAGCCACTGGTCGGACAGCCGACGGGGCGGCACTGTTCCATATATGTCGGGGTATGGCAAAGGGCGAGCGGAATGACATGATGAGGGAATTGACGGGGAAATTGTGGAGGTATGGCAATTGGAAAGAGAGAGGATAGTTGTCAAGAGCCACGTAGGCTGGAAGAAGAGCGGGGGATTAAGTATATGGGGGAACTGGGGGCGGTTCCCAAAAATGAAGCTTGGATGGAGGCGAAGGTTGCTTGGCCGAGGAAGCTGGTGACTTTCTACGATCAGCCAATCAGCATTCCCGCGGAGTCAGCACTCTGCGATCCAACCGCGGAGATCGTCACCTGACTCCACGATCGAATGCTTCATATACCTGCAGGAGAGATAGCATAGCGCTCGAGCATATTGAGATACAAATAGAAGAGATAAATGAGGTGATAATTTCATATTTACTCAACCATACTGCCCTAGGAAGCACTGGAGTCATGTCCTCAACATCAATAATTGGCAATTCTTATCAACGGCGGACCATGGACGCGGGAGGATTAGTGGTGCCCACCAGCGCGTAGCGAGATCCTGGCGGAAGTCAAATGAAGCGAATTGATCTCCACTTGACGACACTCTGCGGCGTTAAAGAAGATTGAATTGCTCGGCATATGCCATGCCCCTCTGAGTAAGTCCAAGCTGTCACATGACCTTCGTGTCCCCCCGCGTCTCGGCGCGTCAGGCAGAAGACTCGTGGGAGACGTCATTTCTTTCCAACAACCCATCATGGCCGACGAAAACTATGCGCGAGAAGAGGACGTGGAGGAAGAGGAGATTGACGAAACCGTGAGTGGTAGACCGAAATCTGGCTGACTCTCGACTCTGATCTTTTTTTTTCTTTTTACTATAGAGCTTCAAATCCATCAAAGATGCCGTCCTCTTCGCTATCGACGTTAGCAGCTCGATGCTAACACCCCGTCCATCATCCGATCCTAAGAAACCCATACAGGAGTCTCCCACATCTGCCGCTCTCAAGTGTGCCTATAATTTGATGCAACAGCGCATCATATCCAATCCCCATGACATGATCGGAGTCTTGCTCTACGGGACGCAGTCTTCCAAATTCTACGACGAACAGGAGGAGGGTCGCGAAGATCCCTCGTATCCGCATTGCTATCTATTCACCGATTTGGACATACCATCGGCCCAGGAGGTCAAGGAACTGCGGGCGCTGGCCGAAGACGAAGCGGAGACACGGCAGATCTTACAGCCATCGAAGGAGCAAGTGTCGATGGCCAACGTATTGTTTTGTGCCAACCAAATCTTTACATCCAAAGCCCCGAACTTCCTGTCGCGCCGGCTCTTTATCGTGACCGACAACGACAACCCCCATGTAGACAACAAGTCTCTCCGGTCAGCTGCAACAGTGCGGGCACGAGATCTGTACGATCTGGGGGTCACGATTGAATTGTTTCCCATTTCTCGTCCGGATCGTGAATTTGAGACATCCAAGTTCTACGATGTAGGTAATTGAACTGGATATTTTCTACACAGAGAAATACTCACACAGTACAGGACATTATTTACAAAACATCACCGAGTGATGGCGAGGCGCCCGCCTATCTGCAACCCGACATCAATACCTCGACGGCCAAAGGAGATGGTCTCTCGCTGCTCAATTCCCTCTTGTCCAGCATAAACTCCCGATCAGTTCCCCGCCGCGCGCTGTTTTCAAATATTCCCCTCGAACTCGGTCCCAACTTCAAAATTTCTGTCAATGGATACCTACTCCTCAAACGACAGGAGCCGTCGCGGAGTTGCTTTGTCTGGCTTGGAGGAGAGAACCCTCAGATTGCCAAGGGTATAACGACGCAGATGGCCGACGACACAGCACGCACGGTCGAGAAATCGGAAATCCGCAAAGCGTACAAGTTTGGCGGCGAACAGGTTTCTTTCACACCCGAAGAACAGCAGGCGCTGAGAAATTTCGGTGACCCCGTAATCCGTATCATTGGATTCAAACCACTATCCGCTCTTCCCATCTGGGCCAATGTCAAACACCCGTCGTTCATTTATCCCTCCGAGGAAGACTATGTTGGTTCCACGCGTGTCTTCTCAGCACTGCAACAGAAGCTTCAGAATGACGAGAAAATGGCCCTGGTTTGGTTCATTCCTCGCAAGAACGCTGCCCCGGTCTTGGCTGCGATGATCGCCGGAGCGGAGAAGGTCGACGAGAACGGTGTGCAGAAGGTACCGCCCGGGATGTGGATTATCCCTCTCCCTTTCGCAGACGATGTTCGACAGAATCCTGAGACTACTATGAATGTCGCCCCGGAGCCGTTGATCGATTCCATGCGCGCGGTGATTCAGCAACTGCAGCTCCCAAAAGCCGTATACGAACCTCCCAAATACCCCAATCCTTGTAAGTTGTCCAATTTGTTCTCTGCGAAACTAGTTCTAATTGTTGGCAGCCCTTCAATGGCATTATCGTATTCTACAGGCCTTAGCCTTGGACGAGGACCTCCCAGAAAAGCCTGAAGATAAGACAACACCGCGGTACCGCCAAATTGACAAGGTAGGTCATTTAGTTGGGTGTTTTTGCGATTCATGAATGTGGCACTGATTCTGTTCCAGCGCGCTGGGGACTACGTTCTCGCATGGTCCGATGAGCTTGATGCTCAGTCCGCGAAGATGTTCGGTGGAACTGCGGCCACCAAAACAACCCTGGTGAAGCGAAGTGCCAAAGACCGTGGCGAAGGCATGGATAGCGGTGCCCAGCCAGCGAAGCGGCCGAAGATCGAGAGCGACTCCGCTGGACTTGATGCTGACATCAAATGGAGCTATGAGAAAGGGTCTGTGTCAAAGGTGAGCATTGGTTATCAAACAAACGTGTGTATTGAATTTGGCTGACAACTCCGTGTGTGGATTTAGCTCACCATGCCCGTGCTCAAGGAGTTTTTGATTTCGCATGGCCGGTCTGCGGCTGGAAAGAAAGCAGATCTCGTGGATCGGGTGGAGCAATATTTTGAGCAGAAGTACTAGGTTCTTGGTGCTCCCTGTCCAATACCCACGAGTCGAACGTCCGGAAGGATGGTCCTTGGTGAATAATGAGTTACGATATCTCTCGCTCCTCGCATTTGGTAGCATGTTTGGCTTTATAGAGGAATTAAGTTTAATTGGCAATATTTGAAGATCAAGATGTGTCTTTCAGAAATTTGACAGCCCTGTACAGCTGTCTCGGATTATACCATAGGGAACCAAAAATGTACATGAAATAAATAGAGATGATCTATCCAGGTGAGCTCTTTCGTCTGCGTACGACTAGGAACCCTTGATGATAGCCGCCGATATCTTCTCCGCCAGCATATCTAGAGATGAGGTTAGCAAGTCAAGATAGCACGAGGAAAGCAAGAAATAGGAAGGAAGGAAAAGGAGAAGCATACAAATAGTGGAGTTAGGAGCCCGCATCAACAACCCGCAACCCCTTCACCCCATACGCTCGAGCCCGCGAGTCCACCACAGCCATCTCATCATCGCTCGTCCCCATCTTGCACGTACAAGCAGCGTGCCGCAGCGTCATGACATTATCCCTAACAAACTCCAGAATCTCGGCATCGGACTGCACATGCAGGCCCGGGTAATACTCCTTGCCGATGACGACGGGCGCCACGGCCTCGCTCTGGAAGTAGTGCGGTATGCTGATGGGTATATTAGGGCTGTTGTTTGTCTGACATCTCCTAAAGCCGCCCGAGCGAAGCGAGGGTCAGCAGCCGGTAAAGCAGTTCAAAACTTGGCTACCAAATATCCAAGATGATTCGACATCAAGGGCGTAGGTATGTGTAGATACAATAGGAATTGTCATTGTTATATCCATTTTGACCATGTGCAAGGACTGGCAGGGGTCTGTTCAGCAAGGTATATATATATATATATATCCCAAGATCATTCCATGTCTCTCAAACGAGACATATTTACACTCTCGAAAAAAATGAGAGAAAATTCTTTCCCGGCGCCTGAACGCAATGAGTCTCTGCAGAACTAAACCCAACCATGACAACTCCGGGGTCTCTATACGATAAGCGAGTGACAAGATGAAGCCCAAGGGTATCCAAAACGCCGACAATATGTATAGAAGAGCCAAAAAGCTATGTGTATATAACGCCGACACCCGTCAAAAAAAAAAAAAAAAAAAAATACAGACAGAGTCACCGTGGCGGGAACACGAGTGGTGAGCGATGAAAATACCAGGGAGAGCACATATGCCGGGTTAGCACCGCCCGTAAACCTGGCAGTAGCAGACTTCCTCGGCAGGGCAACTAAAAAATATTAGTAACCGGTCACATAATCACACCTTTTCTCTTCCAGAAAGGAGAAAGGGGGAGGGAGGTCCAGGGCACTCACTATACAGCCTCCATTCCGAAAATCACATGCCACAGAAACTCCATCACTCTCCCCGACGACGAATCCTTCAACTCGGTATCAAGGACCCACTGCCGAATCTTGACATAGTCGGACAGCGGCCGCCGAAGTACCTGGTTCCGCGAGACGGCAAACTGCGCACAGCAAGCGGCGCCGACCTGGTCGGGCTTGGGCAGATAGCGCTGAGTGGCTGAGCTCTGCTGCCACGGGTCGGAGGTGTTCAAGGGGGGCGTGCTTGTCCCCTCGAAAACATCCCACCAGACCTGGTCGGTGACATGTTTATTGAAGCGGTGGGCAGCCTTGCAGCCGGGGTTCCAGTTGCAGCGGAGGTTGACATAGCCGTTTTGTTGGACAAAGTCGAGTTGCAGCATGCGAATGGCGGCGGCGTTGTCGTGCAGCGGCGCATCGACGTGCCAGGCCAGGAGGAAGCCGGCGCGGTGGGCATGGAGGAAGGCGATGGTGGAGGGAAGGTCGTTGTAGTGATCGATGACGTAGGTCAAGTAGGCCATGGACTCGTGGCCCTTGTTGGAGGGGGTGGTGAGGGCTAGGGTGTCGGACTGGGTGGATTGGGATGGGTTCACGGTGTAAATGGCGCGCTGCCAGCTGTGGGAACAAGCATTTGGATGAGCACAGAATACAAATGAGCGCAAAAAAAAAAAAAAAAAAAATGGAAAAAAATGGAAAAAAATGGAAAAAAGAAAAAAACAGAAATTTCAAGGACCGCCTACTCTGGAAGCTCCTGTGCCACCCAGTCGGTGTTCTCCTCCTCCAGCTTGGCCATGACAATCACCTTATCGCCCGGCGTGCCATGGCTTGCCGATGGGGTCTGGGAGCGCCCACTGCTGTCGAACCAATCAACCAGGTATGCGCCCGCGCTATACTGGTTGCAGAGATCTTGGAGATGAGCCTCCAATAAATATAGCGAAAACAAGACGAGGAATGTGGCGCATAATGCGATGCGCAGTCCACTTTTCATGGTGAACTCGCAAATCCACGCGCAGGGGGGAGCAAAAGCAGCCCCGTATAAGTGTCGACTTCACCAAATGGGACCTATTAAGCCATGGAGGGAAAGATCTCGATCGGATAGATAGGGTCGGAGAGAAAAGAGCAAGAAAGAAAGAACAATGTATTAATGGCGAGAGATAGAAAGAGGCGATTTTGAACCAAAAGGGAAAGAAATGGCAAAAGGGAGGAAGAGAGAGAGAGAGAGAGAGAGAGAGAGGAAATGAGAGGGGCAAAAAGAAGGTGAGCCCCCTCCCCCCGAAGGTTAAAAAGGAAGAAAAGCGTTGACGTCGACGGGAGAGTATCCAAAGAGTCTACACTGTCAATCCTTTTATTGGCCTGAACATTCAGGGGGGCCCCAACATGAAGCCGGGGCAGTTTAGGGGCAAAGCTTGGCCTGGGGCCCTGTATTTTTGGTAATTGCCGGTAATTTGTGGTATTTCCAGGCAATCTGCACTGTATGTCCTGTAAAGAATGCAGGGCACGTGGCGCCCGGCCAGCAAATAATAAACTTCGGACCAAGGAATGGTTTCGAGGCGCAGTCGAAGCTTTGTATCGCCCAATAAGCATCTTCTCTTCTTCTCTCCATCTCTCCATCTCTCGAAATCCCCCAACTCTTGTGAATTCGATAAGGGAGCCTCAGCAACAGATCAAATCAATACTGGGCCAAACCAAAAAAGAGAAGGTATTGACATGGTATTAGGTGCTGACCAGACGCTTATTTCGAGTGTGGCGATGAAGGGACCAAAGCCCCCACATCCTGTCAGATCGGCAATAATAATGAAAGCTTCGGGTTTCCCACCAAAAACTCTCACCATCCTGAGGGGCGTTGCGAGAAAAATGATTGACTCGCAACAGTTTATAATGTGGAGAATCTTGCGTGTTTGGAAACTGTGCCGATCTCCGGGGATCTATTGCGTCAAGAGACGGCTTGATACGGGTTCTCCTTGGTTTCCTTCCCGTTCATGCCTTGATCTTCATGATAGATGCAACGGCGGGAGACTTTCAGCCGCGGTGTTCATCGGTGATATCGGTGACCAGTGGAAAATTCCTGTCGAACTCGCCTGGACAAATAACTGTTGCCTTGCAGCTTGCGGGATGCTGATGGAGTCACCTACTCATGACTCGAACTACCCTCTTGATGTCGATCCAGGACAGATCACAAAATCGACGGGATGGTCATCTGCTGGTCATGGCCACTGCATCCAGGAAGGAAATATTTACTCTTATTCTGTCAGCCGGTAACCTGCCAAGTGTTGGTCGTAGAAAGCGGTAAATCCATACCCCCTATAATGGATGGCAACTACTTTCCATACTTTCCAAGGTTGCTTGATACGCAGATGCACATCGAGTCTGTGATCTAAATTGATTGCTATCTGTGTTCACACAAAGTAAGCAAGTCGAAAATTCATATAAATTCCTCGATAGCCTCGTATCATAAAAGGTGGAGTCCCTACAAGACTGCTAGCGAGAAAATATATGCATCGATTATTTGATATTCTGCTTTTACATACACCATGGTGCAGTCCAGCTGCAACGATGCCTCTCCAGATTGCCGAGACTCGCGATCGGCTTTCATCCATCGTTCTCTTCGTCTTCTTCACTAACTTCTTCACCCTCGGCAATGGCCTTTTCTCGTAATTTCCGTGCACGCTCCCGTTTCTTATCCAGCAAGGCATTCAGTTTCTTTGCCACGTTAAAGACACCCCCAGTTCCAGCCCCACAAGCAGCACAGGACGGGTTCTTTCGGTATCGCTGCAGAGCACAGGATTCGCAGAAATAGTGGCCACACTTGGTGACGATGGGGTTTTGGTAGGACTTGCGGCAGATGATGCAGGCAAATGGGATATTCTCCAGCAATTCATCTTCATCGTCGTCCTCTTCCTCGTCCTCGTCCGCCTTGCCCGCGCCCTTTCGCTGCGAGACCACTCGCCCTTTCAGCTGCTTGCCCTTGGTGCCGATTTCCCAGTCGCGATCCAACTCCCAGCCCTGTTGATAATTTTCACGCGAATGGAGAAATTTACAGCTGTCTCCATACCCGCAATATCCTGTCTGTTTCCAGTCCTTGCACACATCGGGGGCGTAGTCCGTCACCGTGATAGTCCGGACGTTGGTCGGCGCTTTGATCGGACCGAACTGCTTCGAGGGCGCATTGGGGTTCTTTTGAATGAAGGACTGGTAACCGGATGCGCCTTTATACGTTCCGTCGGCTGCTGGGGTCTCGGATGCTGTCGGCCGTGCTCTGGTTGTCCCCAGAAGGTTCTTTGCGCTCAAGTCGTCCTCGTACCAGTCCGAGTGCTTCGTCGCATCGTTGGACGTTAACTGCACCGGGGCAGCATGTCCTGCAGGCTGGTCGGGTTCTTTGCGGATCACATTCGATGTGGAAGATGCGGTCACGGCCGCATTCTTGCGTCGCCTCTTGATCCTCCGCCCTTCTTCGTCGTCGGAGGAAGTAAAGTCGGAGTCGGAGTCGGAGGCCGGAGGTGGCGTCGCAGGCTTCTTGCGCAAGGTGGCCTTGGCTTTGGAGCGCTTCTTAAAGCCAAACTGGGGGACGGGCTCTGCTTCGGTCTCTTCTGGCATGATTGAAGGTGTTGGGTGAGAGCAATCAAGATTGGCTGTGCATCTTTGAAGACCATCGAGAACATGTGACCTAATGAGTCAGCCAGGCAAGACAAACAGGACAAACAGTCTCCTTCCAAACAAATCCTGGCGCTCTCCTTCCGTTCCAATGCTCACCACCTCGCCGCTTTTGCTTGAGTAGAATTGAGCACGGCCCTCACCAGCCTGAACTGATCAGGGTATGGATAGGGACACTGCAGGTTTTTCGCTATTAGCATTACAAAATCTGATATTAGCAAAACCGCTGATATAATCGAATTTTTTTTATATACACTATTAAGTATAACGCCTGTATCAGCCTGTGGTACGTTGCTAATTTGCAGCTTACTGATGATATCTTGGAAAAAGCTGCCTGCGTAGTGCGAATGGACAACCAGATGGTCGAGCGGCTTTGATCTTCTCTTCAAATTTTCTCATTTCCTTCTTCAGCAGCCCTTTCTTTCTACCAGGGCCCGCCTCGTCAATAAAATAGCCATCAGGATAATACTTTATACTGTCTTCGCCACCAGCAGATCAGAAATCCGTGCGTGTTTAATACTATGCTTTCTGTTAATGCAGGTCATCATGGAGATAAGACCGCCGTAGCCGTCGCTGAATTGGTGAGAGCATTATGAGTGATATAGTGCACGATCGAAGCCATTGTGCAAAGAAACTCGATGAACCACGACCACTTTCCGAAACTATCAATCAAGAGGATTATTATATATCTCCGAGTTATTTTTTTCTTCTCCTCGCTTGACTTTTCTGGAAAGTAACACGAACAACATGCCATCACATACGCACACGTCTTCTAAACAGAGACTTTGAGTGGCCATTGCTGGGCCTTGATGTCGAATCCCAAGTAGAGCGGAGGAGAGCGAGACATTTGAAATGCGGGGAAATGCGGGGTTCACGCATGGGCACAGCATTTGGATTTTCAATTCGACATAATACATATATCTCCCTAGGTATACACTTCTACAATTGATTTTGCTCATGCATAATGCCAACGAGAATCTTGAGGAAGCCAAGATTATAAGAGTGATGCCAGACCATTTAAGATCATTTCCTGCCTTTGCTCGTCTTCCTGCTCAAATAATCTTTAAATATGTTTGAATGCTTTTAAGGTCGAAGCAACTCCCAGTAGTTTAGTGTTGTCGTTATCAAATCTATCCTGCTGCCCCCAGCCCTATACTTCGATACCCTTATATACATCGAGAGCCTTTGCTTCCGCTGCCAGTAGCCTGACACTCAAGGCCTGGATACGATCCACCAGATTAGGACCTCTGTTTACCATTGGAAGTGTAGTCAGCCACTCTTTGCTTGCCAATTCAATCGAATCAAGCGACCTCGACAATACTAGGCAGGCCCATCCCAATCTCACAGAATCTATTATAGTGAACGGTACCAATTCGTTCAAGACCACCAAGCAAAGGCCCGATGTTATCCTCGGCACGCTTCAGCACGCTCTCAACATGCTCATCGAACATGCCATTATCTTCGGCCGCAGCGCAGTCTCTGAGGGTCTTTGTCGACTTGGTGATTTGTTGGCGAACTTTCTCGGCCTTCGCGCCGATGAACCCAGCACCTATGATGCTCATTTGGGCGGGATCCAATTCCACCATCTGGTTACAAATTTCCTCTTGCCAGAGCTGTTAGAGAGTTGTCCCAATGAATGACCGGAATTATTCAGCATACTTGATTTATCAAGCAAATCTTCGATCGACGCATCGGCGTCCTGCCAAGGGCCTCTGTGTGCTGCCAAACCCAAAGACCATGATGAGAATTGTTGAAGAGAGCAACTGTCAACGATTGAATCAGCATCTAGTTAAGCACTAGAGAATCATCAACCATTAGCGACTACTACTACAACTGGGAATAATGTTGGAAGATATACATAGAGGTGCGACCTCCTATAGAATTCAACCGCGCATCGGTGTTCATTACTTCCCTTTAGGCAATTAACGGGCTGGTTAGACATGGACAGACCCGTCCCGTGGGGTCGGGTCAACAAAGTCCTGATCCGCCCATGAGTTGACCCGCGAATTAAAGGGTTAGTAACACAACTTGATACTAGACAAAAGCCTAGCCCAGGAAGGGGTTGGGCTTTAGGCCCAGTTCTCAGGCCCGATTGGGAGCTAGTGGGGGCCTACTCTTGTGTTAGGACACCGTAGGTATGCTAGTCCAATACTTATTTATACTATAATCTCTCTTTAAGATAACTACCTACTAATAGAGAAACTACTTCGATACTAACCTATTAGACACTCTTCATAGAAGGACCCATGTGTTTTGGTGAATTAAGAGAAGTATACTTTCCGTTCCAGCTAACAGTAGGTAACCAGTGCGTAACTCCTAGCTGGGTGCCCTTACTGAGCGATCACATGATTCCACTGACTGAGCAGGAGCCTGTGCTGTCATATACTCAGTCATATACTCGGTTATTGATTTCGTTATTTACTCAGTTATTTACTCAGTTATTTACTCAGTTACTCAACGTGACTGAGTGCCTCCATAAAAGCGGCAGCCCATCCATGGTTATAGGAAAGCCCCACTCGGACCAAATCCCGTGTACAGGATATGTAGAAAAGCGTATGCGAGGTGGGATGTTTATTGGTGCCTTGATCGAGTGTCTCATAGCAATAGTAGGAACTATGTTTTTATAAGCCTGGAGTTGATGCATTGGAGGGGTGGACGTTGGCGTGAATCTCAAACACCGGCGCCAACTGGCAATAACAACAACACATTCTCTCCCTCTCTTCTCTTCCCTTCTCTCCCCGCCCGAGTCCATCTCTGCCCCAATCACTCGACGCTCTCTTTTTTTCCTTTTTGTTTCTTTCATTGTCTCGGACGTTCCTTTGTTTGTTTTTTTTTGTTTTCCTTTTTCTATTTTCCCTTTGTTGATTCTCCCGAGGATCGTGCCATCCGCAGATCGGAACGTGCGACTTCGTCTGCTTGGGCCTGTCACATCTCGCGCGTGTCTGGCTGAAACTTGCCCACCTCGTTGATTCGCCCAAAGGTCCTCGGTGTTTGTTGTTCCACTTTCCCCTCTCCCGCGTCCTGCAACGCTTCTGTTTTTTTTGTTTCTTTTTTTCTTCGATTTTTTTTTGTTTCTGTTTACGCCCGTCGCATCTCGGTTTGCGCGTGGTATTCTTCTCCATTCACGGTCGCGGGTCGGCTCGCCAATTGTCCCAGCGAAAAAAAAAATCTCGCGATCGGTTCTTTACGTGCGGTGGTTTGGAGGATGATTGTGGCATAATATCGGGACAGGAGGAACAAGGAACGCGCCCGTCCCTGAAGTCTCAACGGCAGCTGTATCCTCGCACTCAGGGGGGATCCAGAAGCCGTGTGAGGCACCACAATTCTCAAATATGGCGGCGTACAACGCGGGGGCCAGTGGCGCCTTTGCGTCCATGGATGACCCGTTTGTTTCGAATGCCAACCAGCCCGCCGTGCCTCGCGAATCGCATCGCTACGCGTCCTTTGATACTCAGCTATTTAGCCTTAATGCCTCCTCCCCTGCCCAAGCCAAGCGAGCCCTCGAGGCTCACCTGGCCGAGACCGAACGTCGCCTGGAGGAGGCGTCCAAGTTGGGAACCGCCCTGATTGACCAGCAGCGAGGACTCTCGGAGCAGCTGAAGGAGGTGGAGCAGCAACAGGATGAGGGGGAAATGGGCCCGGACCTGCGACGGCGGCTCGCCGACCTGGAGAAAGAGTACAATGATATTGGTCGGGAGACGGCGCGCGCATTTTTGGCACCCAAACGGCTGGCAGGAGGTCCAGAGGATACCCAGTTGGGAACACCATCTGTTGACCCAAAGGTTAGATCCTCGTGGTGAACCCCAATAGTGCCAATTCTGGTTCTCAACTAACTGATCTGAATAGTCTCCGCTCAGCCCGGCACTGTTTGCTGGACAGGCTACCAACTCACCCAGCAAAGTCAGCGCCCCATCACGCAAGCAGCGCAATCAACCCTCCACTCGCGTTCACGACATCGAATTCGCGACTGAGATCTCGACTTCGTTATTGGCCCAGGTCCGCCAACTGCAGGCGCTCCTTGCAGAACGAGAGGAGGCGTTGAAGTCTGTGAACTTGGAGAAATCCCGGCTTGAGATTGAAGCGGAGGGCTATGCACAGCGAATCCGGGCACTGGACGACAGCGAGCAGCGGTACAAGGACGAGAACTGGGCTCTGGAGACGCAGACTCACGAGTTGATGGCCGCCGTCAAAGACGCTGCCGAACGCGAAACGAGACTCAACACTACGTTGAGTACATCGAACTCGGAGAAGACTGCCGTGGAGCGAGAGCTTGAAGAGTTAAGGCAGGCGAACTCGAGGATTCTGGAGGACCAGACTACCTCCCAGAAGGCAAATGATGCGGAGATCCATCTCCTGCGTCGGAACCTGAATGCTGGAGATGCGGAAAGACTGGCCCTTCAGAAAAAACTCGAGGAAATGACCTCCCAAAACCAAGAGCTGGCCAAGGCGGTTGCTATGCGACTCAGACAACATGACGCACAAGGCGCCCGGGATATCCTTCACGACAACGAGGGAGATGAACCTGAGCAAATCACTCCCGAAAGCTCCCCACCGCCGTCGCCCAATAAATTCACTCCTCGGCATAATCATCTGGAATCAGAAACACTGAAGAGCTCGCTCGGTCATGCCCACCGTATGATCCAGAGCCTCAAGAGCACCATTCATCGGGAAAAGACCGAGAAAATCGAGCTCAAGCGCATGTTGCAAGACGCCCGGGATGAAGTTGAACAGCGTCGTCGTGAGAACAATGCTCCAAACGGTTCTAGCAAGCGTCAGAAGAACAAGCAAGATTCGGCCCGGAAGCCTGTTCGCCCCGATCTGCTTGGCGCAGGCCGCAAGGAGAAGTCATTTGTTGAACTTCATGACACCGACTGGGAAGACAATGCGGGCCAAGTTAGCCCTACCCGTCAACATGCTACGACAAATCAGATCAAGAGCCGCACCGCCGCAGAGTCTGCGGATGAGCCCAGTGATGTTTACCAGACCGCCACAGAAGCCGAGGACGGGTTCGAGACGGCCAACGAGCGCGGCACTGCAACCGAGAGTGAAGCATTCCAGACCGGCGTGGAAAGCATGGCCGACGACAGCAGTGACTCGGCAGATCTCACTGAGACCGAGAACACTGTTCAGACTACTCCGCGCAACCGCAACCGCGTCACTTCTTCTTTGAAGTTGTCTAAGACTCGTGAGCGTCACTCATACCACAGTTCCGCTTCTACATCAGACGACTCCGAGGAAGACGACCGAGGACACCCCTCTCCAAGCCAAATCAATCTCCCTCGAACCCGCGTTAGGTCGAAGCGGAGTATCATCAAACGGATTCGACCATCTGGAGAGGCACCGATGGCTTCTAGCAGCCGGCCTTCTAGTGCACGCAATTCCCCCGCAGCAAGCTTCGAGCCAGAGCCCGTGACCCAAGAGGGCCAGAGCCTGTTCGCAGAGCTCGCGGAACTTGAAGGACCCGAGGAGGAAGATGAAGGCTTCGGTGCAGCTTCGCAGGCCTCGACGCCGCGCATGCAGCCTGCAGCGGACTCACGACGGCCGTCTGATGCCATGCTGGATGCCCCGCCCAAGCCTGTCATGGTTGACTCTGGGGTGATGACAGAGCCTTGGGAACCCATGACCCCCACCAAGGCGGCCATGGTTAGAGGAGATACCCCCCAAGCGTCCCGGTGACTCCTCAAGCCGCTCAGGGCGCAAACCGTGAAGTTCCGGAGACCAGACAAACCCCAGAACTTGTCAGTTCAGGAACACAATGGACGCCTCTTAAGCCCTCGCCTGCGGATGACAATTTGGCCAATGTCCCTACGCCACCGAAGATGGTCTGGGACGAACATTCTGCTCGAGACCAAGAGAACGGAGTAAATGCCCAACCCCAATTGCCTGTGATGGGTACAGCGACGGTCGATTCCCAGGAGACCGTCCCCGAGTCGCCTACGTGGCCGGAGCTGAGTGTCTCATACATCACAGGAGGCACCACTGCACCCGTGCAACATGAACTTCCTGCGCCTGAAATTCCTGACCTCAAATTGTCTTCCATTTCTTCTCAATCGACCGAGCCGGTTTTGGCCACGATTCCTGAGCCTGAGCCTGTAATCCCCGCTGAACCCGTGCGGGAGGTACCTGAGCTGTCTTTCTCATCGCTCTACATTCAGTCTACAGAGCCTGTCCAGGCACACATTCCTGAGCCTGAGCCTGTGGTTCCTGTTGAACCTGTACGAGAGGCACCTGAGTTGGCATTCTCAACCCTCTATAGCCAGTTCACGGAGCCTGTGGTTCCCGTTGAGCCCGTGCAGGAGACACCCCAACTATCATTTTCGTCCCTCTCTATCCAGTTCACAGAGCCCGTTCAGGCGCACCTTCCTGAACCCGAACCCGTGGTTCCCGTCGAGCTCCCACAGGAGACACCCGAGCTGGCATTCTCACCCCTCTATAGCCAGTCTACAGAGCCCGTTCAGCCATACCTTCCTGAACCTGAGCCTGAAGTCCGCGCACCAGTTGTACCACCTTCTGAGCTGGTTGTTTCATCTATTTCCTCAGAGCATACTGAGCCTGTTCAACCTCAGCTACCGGAGCGTGCCCTGGAACCTGAAACGATTGTGGTACCCGAGCCCAAGCCAGCGCTCCCAGAATTGTCAGTCTCTTGGCTTGATCCAGCATTCACTGCGCCAGTCGCACCTAAACAGCGCGAGATTCCGGCAACTCCAGTGGTCCCTCTGTCTGTCTCTACCCTGCGCTCTGTGGAAACTTCGCCAGTGAAACCTGTGCCACGTGCTATACCTCTGGTGGCAGATCTGTCCACTCAAACAGATCCAACTGAGCAATCGAAGGCGGCTGGAGCCGCAGTGGTTGTTCACGAAGATCAGGGCAGCGAAGATGAGCCCAGTGGCCCTGCCCGCAACCGTGCTAGTACCAGTACCAGTGACCTGCAACCGGGCGCCGGGTTGGCACTGAGCGACATTTCTGGCAACGCCTTAGGCCGTTCTGCTAGACAACCACCCAGCTCGGTCAGCATGGATCAAGGGGCCCAGACCATCTTGTCTTCCAAGCAAATCGACCAGATCCTCATGGACCGGGAGTTTGCTCGTCCTATATCTTCCCCCGACAGCAAACAATCACAACACAACAGAGAAGCCGCCATTTTTGGCGGGACCACCGCATCACCATACGCAACACCCAAAGTCCGAAGCCGTCTTCCACCTCAATCCTCGACCAAGTCGGCTACATCAAGTCACAGACGACCTGGCAGTGCTACGAGCCAGGCATCGGGCCTCAGTGCCCACCCGCCCTTGCCTGCCGACCACCGCGAAGCAATCCTGGCTGCCGAAAAGAAGTCAGTGGATATGCCTCCCTCGCCGTCTATCATGGGACCTCCGTTGGCGCCTGCTTCTGCCTACCGAATGAACACGCAGGCGCACCCGCGAACCCCGAATGAACAGGTTGCGCGAGCTGGCTCTGCGAGAACCGTTTCTTCGCAGGCCAGAATGAGGAAGGGGAGCCAGAGCCAAATGTCGCGGCGGTCATCTGTGTCTTCCTTCGCATCCGAGCTGGAAGAGCGATTTAATATCAACCTCCAGGCTGGTCCCATGCCGCAGGGCTATGGGCCGAATACGGATCCGCGTATGATCCAGGCAATCACTCAAACCATGATTGGCGAGTTCCTCTGGAAATACACCCGTAAGACTGGCTCGGGTGACATGTCAAGTACGCGACACAGGCGATACTTCTGGGTTCACCCGTATACGCGCACGTTGTATTGGAGTCAACAGGACCCACAAACGGCCGGCAAGAATGAACTTCGAACCAAGAGTGTGCCGATCGAGGCTGTGCGGGTGGTTGCAGACGACAACCCCTACCCACCGGGACTTCACTGCCGGAGTTTGGAAGTTGTCAGCCCCGGCCGACGCGTTCGATTCACCGCCACCACAAGTCAACGGCACGAAACCTGGTTTAACGCCTTGTCGTATCTTCTTTTGAGAGAAACCAACGACAACTGCGAAGACCACGACGCCAGTGTGACTCTGGACGATATTGATGAATTCAACCCGGGCTTCCGATCTGCTTCTCGTCAGACGGCGCGGATGTCGCTCTCGTCGTACAACAGTCGTACCGCTCGTCAAGCGCCCAAGCAACAGCGAGCGGCTTCAGCCATGTCCATGCGGTCTGCAGGAACTCACGGGCGTGCATCCCCGGCACTCAGCTCACCCGCCCCAAATTCGTCGCTACAAGTTCCAGAGGAACGCCAACGATCGTCGTCCCGACTCAGCACCATTTTCAATGGCTCGATCCGCGGGTCGATTGCTAGCCTGAAGGGGCGCCACGGCCAGGCAGGGAGTGTCCACAACGGCAGTCTCGGTGGTGAGAATAGCGCGGACGATCTGAGACACGAGCTCGAGGGTGAAGACGAAGACCGACTCGAGAATGTCCGCGCTTGCTGTGATGGTATGTGAAAGTGATTTACCCCTACAAATCATCTACTTTGTTGCTAACAGCTGATCATAGGCAAACACGACGTTGGATCGCTTCCTCGAACGAGTCGGTATAGTCCTCGAGTCAACCGCATTCATTCTCACCACTAAATTGGCGTCGAAATTGTATTGTTCGATAGAGTTGGCGGCAGGTTGCCAATAGATGGTATGCGTTACTGCTATAATGGCCATATGTCTCCTTTTTCTTTGTTTCCATGTCTCGCCCCCATTCCGTCCGTTCGTGGCCCCTTTGAGCCTCGTCCTCCTAACGGGAGCGGTTTTCAAGTGAATCGCTCTTTTTTTTGGCCCAATGCCTTAATTGGAAAAATCTCCTTGACAACTTTCTCTCTCTCCCTCTCTTTGTATCTTCTTCCACTCTTGTCACCGTCCTTCATTTACCAATTCTGAAGCACCTCGCCTTCTCTCCATTTTCCTTCTTCCAGTCTGAGCTGTGTCTTTTCTATACTTTTCTTTCCTTCTGTTGATAATTCCTGTGCCACCTGCGGTTATTTTGTGAGCCACTCTACTACTAGTACTAGTACTACTACTACTCTCTTTCTGTGTGATCGTCTTGAGTGATTTGTACAGATCCGCTGCACCAGAACGGCATCCAATGCGAGCTCTTGCATCTGCTCAATCTTGATACTTCGATACTCTGGTATAGTAATACCTACCTAGGTCCACGGGTAGTGTAGATGCTTGGTAATCTGTACCGTTGAAGAAAATATCACGTCTGGGGGGGACCATGTGACTCTGGCACGCCCTAGTCCATCGTCGGACCCACTGAAATGGCTGTGGGTCCGACTATAGCGGACGAGGACGTGACTACTCTTTCGCCCCTCTTGCACTCTTGCAATATCACGCATTCTTTGGACCTTGGGTTCTTCGATAGTTTTGATCTTTTGTTTACTCCCATAGACATTAATATGTCGTCTGAAAGCGCTCCGCCTCTCGGCGAGCGCCTCCTCGCCCTCTTCGAGCCGGCCCTACTGATGGCCTGGGCCGCATCGCGTAAGTTCCGTGCGGAGATCTGTGTGTTGTTCTCGTTTTGCTGCTGCTTTAAGAGGCCTGGTTGGCATTCAGGCTCGTTGCCAATATGGTATACAACCTGGTTTTGCTTGTTGAAGTATCCTGCTGGTGGATTGATTTTGCTGGGAGATTTTTTGATCATTGTCCATTGCTTTCCGAGTGAACTTTTTTTTTGACACTGAGAACACCTTCCGTCGGCTGACCATCTCTTTCTTATTTCCTTTCCAATGGCAGACTATTTCCGCGTCTGTGCTGAGGCAGTCTTTCAGAAAGGGCAGATTCTTGCCCCCGTCCTGCAGACTGGCAGATTGCGCGATGAGGCGTTTGGCAGATTCTGGGTCGAGTTTACGGGTAAGTCGTGCATCTTGTGGGATGACACAATTGTCATGGACAAGAAAAGAAAAAGAAGAAGAAACGATATCCACCATATATACTCTTTCGAGCCATCCACATATCAATCTATAGAACAAGTCTGGCTAACAACTTAACACAGGAACCCAACAACGCCAAAAGCAATTCGATTCAGTTGCATCAGAGAGCAACCACACAGACCCAGACAGCAACAACAACAACGACGACAAGGACAACTACGCTCAACCAGCAAGCACCTCATCAGAACTGATCCCCCCACTCCTCAAAACAGCCTCGGGCATTGTACTCGATATCGGCCCGGGCACAGGCACACAAATGCCCCTCCTGCGATCGCCCGCCATAACAGCAATCTACGGTCCCGAGCCCTGCCACGGGCTTCACGCCGAGCTGCGCGCCAAAGCCGCCGCCGAGGGTCTCGGCAGCAAGTACCACGTGCTACCCTGCGGCGTCGCAGCCGAAGAGCTTCTACCAGCCCTCCAAGCCACGGGCACGGGCATCGTCCCTAACTCTACCTCTAACCCCGGCCCTAACTATACGAAGAAAAATGGCACCAATGCCGCAACCTCCACAGGCGTCTTCGACACCATCCTCTGCGTGCGCGTGCTCTGCTCCGTGCCGCACATGGAGCGCACCGTGCGCGAACTGTACGCGCTGCTGCGGCCCGGTGGCAGAATCCTGGTTACGGAGCATGTGGTTAATCCGTGGCGTTCGGCCAAGGGGTCCCTCGCTGGCCGCATTGCGCAGGCTATCTATCAGTTCCTGGGGTGGAGCTGGTATATTGGGGATTGTTGTTTGGATCGGGATACGGAGACGGCGTTGAGAGGCGCTGCTGATGTTGATGGCGGGTGGGAGAGTGTGCAGCTGGATAGGTCGTTTTCTTGGTCGGCTATGCCGCATATCTCGGGTACTTTGATTAAGAAGAGTCTGTAGACTAGAGGGGGGTATATTATTGTGGATAACTCTAGGATCGTTATGGGGTTGGGATGGTGTGTGCTAGATTTTGGATATAGATAACAGTATAGTTTTCTTTTCAAGGTAGTCATGCTCTCATGTTAGATGGGTATCATTGTTAATATACATTTTCCTGTCATGCGGGCTACATCCTGCAATAAGGTTTTGTCATATGGGATAATGGGATGAACCGTATGCCAAGTCAGAGGGCAGGGCAGCATACACAGCTCAAGATCAAATTAGCCGGGTTTTACTCGCCCTGGAGGCCAGAAATTAAACAGGTCCATGGCCTCGGCCGTCCACGGCCCCTGATCATGGGGTTCGTCTGGACACGCAGCAGTGCTCAAAGAGCTCCGAGTGAGCGGAGGCCGGCCCTGAAGACTGGGTCTGGCAGTTAGGGTGGTAGGGTCTGAGATCGACTTGCGCAAAGGCGCATCTAGAGATCTCCGTGCTGGTAGGTTCGGCGCCATTGGGTTCAAGTGGCCCGGTTCGTACTTGGGATGTCGATCTGTTTTTGTGGTCGAAGTTGGTTGAGCCCCTGAATCGTCTATCATTTCCTCGAGGATGAATTGAGTCGATACTGAGGGCGCGAAATCAGCGTTCGTGGACGGGGGGTCTGGAGCTGGGTCGGTGGCTGCTCTGGGTAAAAATTAGTATAGAAAACCCTCAATAGACATGGGGTACCTACGGACCGAGGTTGCGTAGTGGTTGAAGCAGACTCGCTCTTATTTTCATTTGATAGTATTATTGACGGTGCGGAGACCGGGGTTCGCGATGTTTGGTCTGGCAAAAGCGCGCGGTAAATGAGTTTCTTTCGCGGTTTGTCAACAGCCATCCTGAGGGTGCTCGTTGGTGTATCCGAAGACGGGTTGCTTGAAGATGTCCGGGAAGCAGAGGGTTGGGAGATACTCGGCTCTCGGGCGCTTTCAGACTTTCTAGGGCGCGCATCCTCGGCCATATTCTTTACCGCATCCTTGACCACTGTACGAGCTGGCGCCTCTGGAGCGGGACGGCTCATCGTCGGTTTTGATGCCGGAGGTGCGGGAGGCATGGAAGGTTTCGACACTGTAGACTTTTCAGGCTTCTGGGGTCGTACAAATTCCGGCGCATCTTTGGATCTTTCCTCGCGAGGCGAAGGCTTGTTCAGTCCAGGGTTCTTGTGGGATTTTAATGTTTCGTTGGTTGGTATAGTACTTGGCGGCTTCGGCTTTCTCGATGGTGCTTTGGGTTTTGTCTGAGTGAGGTCAACCACCGCGGGTTCGACGTCAGAGCTTGCCCTGACATTGCCCTCCGAGGATTTCTTCTGTCGCTTCGGCGCTCGTTCAGGCACATCCTGAGTATTTGGACGGGGAGCCTGTGGGTGTCGCTCTTCATACGGTGACACCAGATGCCCGATAGAAGTTTTCTTGATACCAAGTAGATCATTGAGCGAGCGGAATGGCTGCGAGGAACCCGACGAACGGAGGGGCGTGGACGTGCGCGGTTGAGACCCGGGAGCATTGGACTGGGGCGATGTCTGGCTGGATTTGCGCTTCTCGAACAGATTCGACAAGTCGGTCTGAGTCGTTCCCATAGCCTCGCACACCTGAATCAGCGCGCCCTTATCCAGTTCGAGCTCGTCCCCATCCTGGACCTCATCGCCGGACCGCCAATGGTGATCGCCGATGAAGTTCCCCTGCTCATCGAAAACCATAATCCGTTTATTGAACGTGTGGTACCGAAGGTAACCGTCCTGCCATCGTTTCGATTTGCGGCGGAGATCATGCGTGTAGAGACAGCGAAACTTGACGACGGACGCGGTCGCCTGGGACGGGGTCCCGCCCGTGGGCCGCGGGGTAGACGACAAGGGAGTGGACATGGCGATGGTGTCCGAAAGTCACCCCGCTAGCATAGCACTGGGGAGACCCGAGGGTGTGGATGGTCAAGCGCAACGAGTGATCTCACGGATGTCCGAGACGCGATGTGGTTCACGCGTGTGGCCTCAGGCAACGACTTCACTCAGCTCCAAGGTGGATCCTTCGACACTCACACACACTGGCACGGTGGATACACACAGCCTCTCCTACAGCGATTAGCGGTTCAAGGGGATTTCAGTGTCAAACAATTGACTCGGGCCGCCCCCACGCGGAAAAGCAAGTTAGGATCATTCGTCCCTTGATGACGGCGTCCGTGCTGATTTGCCCTGGGGCCCTACGGGAGTGGAGCAGCCTTGGAGGGGAACGATGCCACTGATCGGCAACGCCCTGCCCCATGGCCAAAAATAGGAGGGGGAGGGGGGCCGTGGAAAGAAGAGAGAGAGAGCCGCATGGGTCGCTGAAACGTGAGACCATCTGTGACAAGTTTCCCTCGAAACCCAACAATTGAAACTCGTTCTGATTCCTCCTTTCCCATCGATCAAGCCCTTAAATGCTCATTTCAGGCTTGGTTCTGGGTTCAAGTCTCGCATATAAGCTTGTTTTGTTTCTCCAATACCAACACCGCCCTTTGCTCTCCCCGTAAGACACACATCGGGCAAGCTGCCACCCCATTCACAACAATGCTGTCCATGCAACGACACTTTGCGCGCGTGACGTCCAAACGGTCGGCCGATGACAGCCAGATCGCAGTGCTGTTGAAGGATTTCGAAGATGGCGATATGCTGATGACCAAGGTAGGCAGCCGCATTTCTCTGTAGCTTGTTTGCTCTGCAGCCGTTAACACTGCCTACCACAGATCGTGGATTCCAGCCAGTCCTGGCGCGATGCCTGGGTCTCCATTGCTACTTTCCAGAGTCGCCTGGTCGACGAGTTCGATGGGCTTTATGGTCCCATTGTCGGCACCTCCGAAACCCCTTCCAACCACAAGGCCATCGAAACACCACCCGCCACTCTCGCTCGGACAAACAAACTACGGAAGGAATATGATGAGTTGCGTACCGACCTGTTGCAGGAGCTCGATGCCGTTGAGCAGCGTATGACCCGGCCAGCTGCGCAAGCCAAGGAGTCTCTGACTCCAATGAAGAAGACCATCAAGAAGCGGAATGATAAAAAGGTGAGTAGCAAGGAATACTGAGTCGCTGGAAGACCCCTTTCTCTGAGGATTTCGGTGTTGTTGACATTCTCCGATCGATCAGTTGGATTTTGAGCGCCACCAAGGCCGTGTTGATGGCCTCGTTAAGAAGCCCAAGCGCTCCGACCGCGATAATACGAACCTTGCCAAAGCAGAAACAGAGCTTGCCAACGCCAAAGTGGTAAGCAGGTCGATCTGAAATTCCAAAATCTTCAATTAAGACTGACGCTCAATCTAGGTGTATCAAGCAGCCGATGACGACCTCCGACAGCGGCTCCCAACACTGATCTCACTCATATTCTCACTGGCGCCATGCGTCCTCGAGGCCCAGATCGAAATCCAGAACCGTATGCTGGCACACTACTACACAGTACTGCACACATACTGCGAAGAAGAACAGTTCCCATCTCCACCGCCACCTATGGAACAAGTGATTCAAGATTGGGAGTACGACTCGCAGCTCGTCCAGCAGAAAATCGAAAGATTCGGCTGCATCACACAAGGTAAGGCGATCCGACAATCAATGGCCGCCGACGCCCAGAATAAGCGACCGCCCATGAGTAGCCGCGCAAACAGCATGGCATCGCAGGTCTCCAACATGTCACAGCGCAAGCCCACAGTCCCTCCACCGATCCCAGGCAACAAGCCATGCGGCCTCGAAGCCATCTCGCCGGCCACAACACCATCAATCGCAACCCCCTGCGACTCAATCTCCATCTCCAGCTCCGCCGCCACCACTCCGCTCCCCACCGGCGGCGACTCCTACATGCCCCCGCCGCCCGTGGCTCCCATCCCACCAGCTCCGGTCCAAAAGCCGACTCCCCCAGCCGGCGTGCAGTTCTCCCCTGCCGGCCCCAACATCGACCATTTCCGGCTCGCCCGCCAGACCACCACCACCTCATCCTCGGCATCTAGCCTGTCCTCTTCTGCGGCCCTCTCGGACGCCATCAAGCTCAAGAAGGCGCGTCCACCGCCCCCGCCGCCCGCTGCCCGCTCGGCCACTTTTGTCACTGCCCTGTACGACTTCGACGGCCACCGTAACGGTGACCTGGCTTTCCGCGAGGGCGACCGCATCCGCGTTGTCGAGAAGACAGACAGCACGGAGGACTGGTGGGAAGGCGAGCTGAAGGGGGTGAAGGGGGCTTTTCCGGCGAACTATGTCGAGGAATAATAGTATGCATCCTAGCGGAGGGAAGAGTTGGGAAGGTTAATCATGTGTGCAAAAAAGCCTTCGTTTAGTGGATCAGATACCTCTCATGTTATATGCTGGGTTTTTAATTTATTTATTTTAAGGGTCATTCATTCATGGGGTTTCTTAGTTGGCAACTCCCAGTGCCTATGCCTTTGACTTGGGAAATGCTGTATAATCTTACGCCCTGCTGAATGTAGTATCAATCATATCGTCTATCATAGTATGTCAATGAGAAAAGGGAACTATCAACCACCCAAGTGGCCGAGCAGTAACTTGGTCAACTTATCTTCCTTGGTCTAGTGGTGATGATTTCCGCTTGTCAAACGATAAGCGCGGGAGACCGGGGTTCGATTCCCCGAGGGAGAGTCATCTTTTTTTGCCTTTTTTATTTTAATTCTTCAAATACAAACCATTGAATTTCTTGAATCTTTTCTTTTTACAAAAGCATTCAGCTGGTAATAATATCTGCGCTGTTTCCTATCGAGCACTATAACTACATCAAGTGTCCAACTTGGCTGGATTGTATACAACATGCAGCTCACATATCCAGCCGCTGAGAAAAAAAGAGCGTATGGGGAAAAGATACACAACACAAGACATTTCCAATCCAAAGCAAAACACGCCACTCCAGTCAGATTCAGAGAAACGCTCCATCGGCCGTGTTGCCAGACATCCCCGTCTCCATCTGTCGGCTTCGACTATTCAAGAACATCTCCACCATGTGCTTGCTGGAAATCGTTCCATGGGGCTCCTGACCTTGATGGTAGTCTTCCATCATGATATCCTCTTTCTGTCGCACATTCTCATTTGTCATCCCCCGAAATTCCCGGTTCCTCATCGATCGAAATTGGTTGGGCTTGCCTTCCGGTGCCACGGGAGGACGTCTGGCTGAATAACGACGATACTGCTCCTGTGTCCATGCTCGTTTGGGGAGCTCCCTGGTTCCCCTCTTGGGTGTAGGGGATTCAGGGGCTGGCAGCAAGTTTCCCGACCTCAATCGCACTGGCGACATGACTCGGTCGCCAGACCCAGGCGAAGCATTTTCAGTCGGTCCGCCACCCAGATCCGCGCGGGAGTCTTTTGAGGAGATTTTGATTGTATCAACTAATTCGGCTCTTTGTCGCGGCATGATGGTCCGCACGCTTGATGTTCGGCTGAACGGGCGTGAGAAGTTGCTCTGTGGCAACAGCGGGTTCTCTGCAGATGGTTGAAGATTGCCATTGCCCTGGCCTTCCACTATATTGAGCATGCCACTGGGAACTCGACTCGGTGCAGGTACTTGCCGGGCGATTTCGGCAAAAAGTTTGTCGTCATCATCCTCGAGTTGCTCTTGTTCTCTGAAGTGTTCTCTCGTCGGAGTCGTTTTCTCGATCCGCTCAATCTGAGAGGTCATCCACTGCTGCCAATCTGCGCTGGGATGCACCTGGGCTTTGGAGGACTCGGCGTCTTTAACACGCTTCGGTGAGTTGTAAGTTGACCGCTGAGAAGCAAAAATCGTTGCGGTTCCGGGCTCTTCATACGCATCTGATTCATCGAAAATGCCGTCTTTGTTGTCTTTTGTTGGCGTGTTGTCCCCCGTGGTTCGAGAATAGACACTGGGAGAATTGGCCACGCCTTGTGATTCCTCAGAATGAGCGATAATCACACTACCATTGTCCTCATCAGACTCCTCACCAATTGTGTATTCTGCATATGGTGATCTTTTGGTCAAAGCAGTAGGGATGTGCTGGTTTCTCTCATGTGCAGACAGATAAGACATACTCGCCGGTCGAGAATGGTGTCTTTGTGGTGTCAGCGAATCACCTCCATGCGCGGTAGCGAACGAGCCCGGTGAAATTAACGATTCTTCGCTTGGGACATGGCGGATAGTGCGCCTGCTGCGTTGTGAATAAATCGAAGACGTACGCTCTGGAATCACACGATGTTCTGGGACAGTGCCAAAGATGACCTCATCATCAGATTCATTGAAGGCATTTCGCCCAATCTGCCTCATTAATGCCGAGTACAGGTCCTGGCTGTCGACTGACCCTTGAACTTGACGCGAAATTGGTCTTGCGACAAAGGGCGACTGCCGCTCCGCGGTATGAGTGACAGGCATCTGTGGTAGCTGCTGGCTCAGGTCTCCGTGCTCTTCGATTAGACACAAAGATTGACGGTGCCCTGTCCTCCGGGTCTTGACCGTGTTTGCCACAGTCGAATCGGCCCAGCTGGTGACACGCGAGTTGGCGGCACATAGGCTGTCACGACTGGGGGAATTCCGCATTGTCTGCGACGGGGTGTAGCTGACACCATGAACTCCTTTCTCTCTCGCGTTGGGGAAGTGACTGTCATAATGATGGTCAGCAATATTCTCAGCTGGAATGGTCGCATTATTGGAACTGGTATGAGATGGATATTGCTGTTCAGTGGTTCTGCTAAGACCGAATACCCGCTTGAGACCTCTTTTGAAGGAGACAGAAAAGGCTCGAGATTTGCTTTGAGAGTGTCTGGGACTGGGTAGCTCAGACGGTGGAGGTGCCCCAATACCACCCTCACTCGTGGCACGAAATGTCTTCCGGAACGGCTTGTGCTCTCTCTTATTTCTAGATATAAAGAAAGAAGACCGTCTGGGTTGGGTTCCTAATCCACCAGGCTCCTGCAGGTATTGGCTACGAGCCAGCTGGAGGGCCGCATCATGGCTTTTGGCTTGTCGAGCGTCCTGCGAAGATTGCTGCTGGCCTCCTCGAAGGAAAGACATAGACCGCCTCAGTGTTCGTTGCATCGGCAGCTCTGGGCTGCGTTCTGGGTCTGGATGGTCTCCATGGAATGCCGACAACGGCCCATGTGTGACATGCGACGTTCGCTGCCTGGTCGAGAACATGGACTTGGCTTTGCGCAGCCGACGGTACGATGAAGGCTGTGAACAGTCACGTCCATCAAGACCCTTGAACTCTGTGATCGGGGGTAGCACCGCCGGATCGTCAAGGTAATGATGCTGAGGTGCCGCACCGCTTGTCTCCATTGATTGCCGAGGGAGTGGGATTGCGTGTGAATCAACCGACATGCCATCCTCTGGACGCTGGAGACTTGATCCGGGGCGTCTTCGCGGAATGGCCACACTCCCTGGACCGCCCAATCGATTGTATGAGCTACCGGAGTCAGTGGACGATCGCTCGCTAGAGCGCATTGCGTGCGACGCAGCAGCGGCTGCATGGTACTTGGCAAGCTCTGGATCGATGGTCTCCGGTTCTGGAGGTCTCCGGCTCTTTCGCATCGAGCGAGTGGACATGGACCGTCTCAGTCGGTCCTGAGTGCTGAACGAGGAAAACATACTGCGAAAACCTGCAATATAGGTAGAATGATCGGTAGGAAGATGCGACTAGGGGAGATTGATGAGTCGAAACCGAGTCTGTTGGCGGCCATCCTGGAAGGGGCAGTGCCATGGCAGGAACGCGACGAGCACTTTCCTCTGCATCTCAGCCGGTGGTCTACACATCGCTGATCTATCGAGCCTCGAGTATTTATCGATGTTATGATTCTTGTTTGGCATGAAATGTGCGTGGATCACCGTGTCCTGCGCTAGCCCTAGCTGACGCAGCCGTGAGTCACTGCCAAGAGGACGCAGTCCATCCTGACTCAAGACTTCGTATGGCATTCTCCGGTTTGTCTGAACAAGGAATTTGACCTTTGATATAAAAGAATAATGTGAGGTTCGTTGCTTGTGAATCTTGAAAGATTCTCGACATCCAAATACCAAGTAGGCTGGCCGTCCACGCGGAGCCCTACATGGAAGAACAGTCTTCTACATCCACTGGGTCGGGCTCACCACCCAAACCATCCAAGCAGATACGTCTAGATGGAAGAACCCTCGAAGGAGGTGGGCAGTTGGTCCGCATTGCCCTGGCATTATCCTCTCTGACCGGTCGCTCGGTGATCATCGACCACATCCGCGGGAACCGAGAAGGGAAGAAGGGTTTGAGAGGTTCTCACGCAGCAGCAGTTCAGCTCTTAGCCGATATCAGTGGCAGCATTGTCTCTGGTGGCGATGTTGGATCTCAGTCTCTGTGTTTCTTTTCTCCTCACGACGATGTTTCTCCATTAATTTCCGCTTCACGCGCAAGCTTGATTTCGCCATCCAACTTGCGCGTCCAGTCCGAGTATGACATTCGTCTCCCAACGGCAGGATCTATTTTCTTGGTCTTCCAGGCCTTGTACCCCTACCTGCTGCATGTCGGATCGCAAGCAGCAACACCCTGTATCAAGGCAACCATCACGGGGGGAACTAACGTATCATACGCCCCATCGTACGACTACGCCTCCCAGGTAATGGCACCCAACTTTGCTCGGCTTGGTCTTCCCCGTCTCTCTGTACAACTGCATAGTCGTGGCTGGTCATCTGGATCGACGAATCTCGGGGCTGTGAGTTTCTTCGTTCACCCACTTGGCTCGTATGAAGGCCAGGATGGAGAGATAGAAGATAAAACATTGGCCGAGGGTCAAAACGATGATACTTTACGCCCACGGGGCTGCTTTCCGCGGATCAGCATTATGGACTATGAGCGTGGGAAAATGACTCGGATCGATATCACTGTTCTTGCACCCGATAACCCTTGTCTGGGTGCATCTACAGTTCGCCAATATGCCGAACACGCCATTCAACACACACTCCGCCATGAGCTAAAGTCATTGGACCCGTCGATATTTGAAACACACTCACCTCGCCATCATGACCCATTGTCCGACACACTGGAAGGAGATCTTCCAGTTCTTATTCATATCCACACATCAGAGCGCACATACCATCGCAGCCACCTCTATTTTCTTATTGTGGCACACACATCAACAGGGTTTCGAATTGGCCATAACGCTCTGTTTGGTAGTTACGGTGGCGATCAACCCAAGAGGGCGAAGCACCACAAAAAGAGGAAAGGGCCCAAGGACAAGTCTAGAAATTCTCAGGACGATGTGGCTGTGGTTCAGAACTTGGTTGATCAATGTGTGCAAGGGTTTATCCAGGAAGTCACCAACCAAAACCCGGATATGCGTACAGATCAAGCACCTGATTCTGAAATTGGGAAGAGGGCCTGTCTGGACATGTACATGAGGGATCAAATTGTCGTTTTTGAGGCACTGGGGCAACTTTGCGGAGAGAACATGAAGAAGAAACCCGGGGAACATGACTCGAAGATGGAGGATGAGCGATATTGGACATTGCATACAAAAACTGCGCAGTGGGTGTGCTCGCAGATGCTAGATGACCAAACATAACTGTGCTGACCGACAGTCGTCTTTGAAGTGCGAATGAAAGGAACCTTGTATCCACGAGTGTACGGGCTTAAATAGTTTCATTTGACTTTAAACCTCTTTTGGATCGTACTTTTAAGATTTCTTCATACTCGTTGACCTCGGGATGTCTCTCGTTTTCTTTCATCTAGGTCTAGACGACGTATGTCTCGCGAACCTTGATTATCCAACCTTAAGATACATTGCCATAAAGATTAACTATATATGCACATCGACAGTCATGAGGGCATAGAAACCATAGCCCTAGGAACTGTGTCCCCGCTTTACAAGATATGATGCGAGCCGTCCGTATCATCTCAGATGACATTGATACGCTCCTTGGGAAATAGCTTGCGCCACGCCTTCAAATCAATCCCCTTGGCACACTTTGTCGGGACAAAGAACGAGTGACCGTCCACCCCGACCTGGCAGTCAGGATGCAGTCCCACGGGGAAATGCTGCGACAGAGTCCCGGCAAAGGTCGTGTTGCGGACCTGGTGCTCGAAGCTCAGGTAGCCAGCGGGGTGGTCGTCGGTCGGCTTGTAAGTCAATGAGAACTTGCCGTCCCGGGTCTCGGAGTGTTCATATTCCTTGTCTGTATGGAATATCTCGGGTTAGCATTTGTGATTACATGCGTTGCGAACAAACACCGAGTCACAAAAGTGTTGAGGGGGAGTCTGAGGATTGGGGAGTCACTTACTGCTGACGCACAGCTCGGTTCCATTGCCGAACTGGATGAATTGTCCAAGTTTCTTCGACTTGCCACTGAAGCCTTGGATATTGTGCAGTTCGGCTCTGCACTCGGTCTTCACGACGATCAGCTTGGCCCACTGGTCTGGCATCTTGGTGGCCTTGGGCGAGGGCGAGCTGCGGCTCGAGGTGTGGAGCGGTGTGGACTTGGTGGTACTGGGAGTAGCCGAAGACGATGGTTTTGACTTCGTAGTACTGGAAATAGCTGAAGAAGATGACGTCGACTTGATGGACTTGGTGGACTTAGTGGTACTGGAAGTCGTTGAAACAGATGGCTTCGGCTTGGTGGTACTAGGAGTAGCTGAAGTAGATGGCGTACTCTTATACACAGCCGGTATGGCGGAACCCTTAGTGCTGGAAGCCGGTTTGAAGTTGAACGAAGCAGACGAGGCCCCGGAGCTGAATGTGCCAGTCAGAGATGGGTTCCAGGGCTGTGACGATGACTGCTTCCACGGGTTAGACGACGACGTCGGGCCGGGGATTTCATTGTAAGAAGACCCCGAAGTCGACACAGACACGGTAGGAAGAGAATTCCAGCCGGTCGCGTCGTTATAGCCGCTCGAGGAACCGCCGAGGGTCGCGGCGGCATTCGACGAGGTAGCGGTGGCATCGGCCCATGAGGACAAGTCGGCCATGGCGCTGGACAGTGCCTTGGGGTTGCTGCAGACGCCCGGCATGCAGTTGCATAGTGGGTTGCTGCTGAGATCCTTGCGCCGGGCCAGAGACTGCGTCGCGGCTGGCAAAGCCGCCGTCGAGAGGTCGGCCAGCGCGCTAGACAGCGAGGTTGGGTTGCCGCAGACAGCCGGTTGGCACACACACAGGGGGTTGTTTGGGGGTGGGTGGCTCGCTGGTGGATGGGCTTGTACAAGGCTGGCGAAGGCGATAGCCGACACCACCGATGCTACGGGCGTTGGCAGCTTCATGGTTGCGACGTTTAGTAAGGAATCGATATGCAGAATCTTTACAAAAGTCTACAATGGAAAAGTCTTTTTATTTATGAATCGACCAGCATGACAACTGCCCCCTTTGATCTAATTTGCTTCTAGATACGAGTCGCACAGGATTCCTTGGCCAAGTGAGCGTTGGCACCAAAGTGCATCTGGGCTTGCGATCCTTTTGGGGGCCACTTTACCAACCCCGGTATACAACGACGCCTATCTTTTGGTTTGATCAATCACGGAAGAGATTGAAGGGCCTTTGGCTTAGACTAGCTCAGCTTATCCCCCGTATTGCTGCTCCGTGCCTGATTCCTTTGAGATTCCTTTGAGACAGCCGAGAACCGAGTGGGAGTAGAACATGTCGAGATACTTGGTTCTTATTCTTTTCTCGAATTGTTGTCGTGATGTCCAGTTGTCACATTCAATTGATCCTGCATTTTGCTTGGATGTCAATCCATCCCCTGGGTGAAGCCCTGGCATTTCTAAATTATATACCCTCAGCCCTCAGCCTTGTCCACAGGTGTTGGTCGAGAACCCCTTCAAATCTCAGCCTTGGCTGATCCATTCCTAGAACAGACTGGTTTGGTTTGGTGGGATCCAATCATTCTACATACTGACTCGTGTTTCTCGTGCATTGTGAGGTGTCCAGACAAAGCCCGAAGGCATGCTTCTCTGGTGCAACCGTTTTTCTATCCGAATATTGAGCCGAGTGATTTGGCGTGAGACATTGCTTATGAGCACTTGCCGATATTATAAAGATCCACTATCCTTCATTTCATTCGATTGAAGAGACTATATGTATATCGTTCTTCACATCCTCCACAACTCTATCTTCGCTGTTCCTCACGGTATCCCAGCAATTTAACTATTGAATGTTTTGTAAATCAATTAAATTGACTATTATTTGTGCTAGGCAAGCCTTCGAATTAGTGAAAATGTTTTTCAAGAACCAAAAAGGTGCCTAAATCAGGGCTTTGTGTGTCTATTTCATAACCTGTTTCCGTGCTGCAGGGTCTGGAGGAGCAAAAGGGATCGACACAAGATTTCGTCATTCGTCAAGGTGAGGGACCCGATAGTTCTCATGCGAATCCACCCATCTTATTAGAAGGTCCTTGGCCGACTTCATGATTGCTTTTGTCTCTACGACCTAGGGCGCTTTGCTCTTACCCTAAAGCTGGGAAGAGGCGAGTCTAGTTGATTTGCTAGAAGCCCCTAACCAGTCATTTCCTTCCTATTACCTCTACTTGTTTTCATATTTTATTATAGAAATCATGATCAATTTTGAGGTAAGCAATTATTTCAGAAGATATGATTACTCTTAATTTATTTCTCTTGCCCTTATTCGAGAAGATATTGCACCTAGAAAATAGACTAGTTGACCAGAGAAAAGATATATATTAATATGTAATCATTAAAATAAAGGTGATAAGTGTTAACACAGCCATAGAATAGCGAGAGAGAACTGAAACCTATACTATAAGACCACTACTATCGAATAAACGCAACATAAAGCACACAATCTTAGCTATATTAATCAAAATAAACCCCCAGTTTTTCCTATTTTTTTTTTCAAAAAAAATACAAGATTTGACAGTATATCATAAATACTGATTTGGAAAGTTCATTTCATATATTCCAAATCCCTCAAATGCCTTTTTTTGTATGTATCATTTATCTTCTACGCCCCATGTATGTACTTGGGCAGCCGCCGACATCCACTGATTCCAAATCCTCTCATAACATACCTTGATTCTGGAAGGACACCGAAGCACACAGAAACATCCAAGTGCAGCTATGTATCTGCCCAGGATTCGAATTGGGTGGTTGGGGCTGCAGGGGCCGGGTCGTCGAGCCTACAGGATCCAACGCCCAGGTCGCCGCAGGATCAAGCGAAACCATAGATTTGGGGCACGGTCGTAATGTTTGGCAAAAGTCTTGTCTATTTTAGGGAGGGAAGAAGCGATTGGATGGAGATGGATCTTATTTCTTTCATGTCGTGCATATAAATATGTGGGAAATATGTACATACATGCACAGATCGCCATTGGCCTATCATGGTTGAGTGTATAGTATATAGTGCCATTTGATCTAGAATATTACGATGAATAATATCTGCTCTACAGTATACTATAAGCAGGATATATGCTAGGTATGCTATTTTCGATCTATTTCTAACATGTTTAGTAAAATATACCCCTGCACCTAGATATCGATGGATGCGTCTCATCCTATGGCTTGCGTCACCAACAACCAATATCGCATCAACCTTATCGCAATAGTTCTAACTAACTATGACACATTCCAACATTTAAGTGTATCAGTGGAATAGCTATTGCAGTCGGGCGCACCTGGGGATACAAGCCACACACACACAGACCGACACTCCACCTTTTTCTCTGCCCCTCCTTCCACGGTTCATTGTGCGACTGAATCGCGAGCCCAGGGCCAAAACGTGGGTGGAGAACTGGCTTGAGAATCCCCACAGTCCGAACCTGAAACACGCGAACGAGTGATCTAACTGTGGCTGAGCTAAAGTCTAACGTAGCTGAAAAACAAACCAAAACAAAAGCTGGCTTGCAAGAGAATCCCCATTGTCTTGAAACAAACCAAATAAACACAATATAATACTAAGGACTTGTGAATATTAGAATTGATTCTTTGTTGGTTATGGGGTTCGTTTTTTTGGGGGGGCCAATTCCAGCCCCCCCGCCGGAGTGGCCCGCTAGTACGGCCCTGATAGTGATTCCTCTTTCATGGAGTGTCAATAATAGATCTTGTTATAGACATTAAATAGGGCATCCTGACATGGGGGAGGAGGGAGGGGATGCTATATATAAATAAGCAAGTGGGGATTGATGAGGATGGATACCTTCATCCTGGGGTTGTTTCATGTCTCCATAAAACCTGAAAAAAGGGAAGGCTGATGGATGACCAGTTACTTGCCCGGTATGGGAATAGAAATGTAAATATCTATCTCCTATCTCCATAATTCCTGGAGTCGGCCGAGTATGCACTTTGATATGCACCTAGGATAATGGGGAAGTCTTTCGCAAGAGGCATTTAGAAGAATTCAAGATAGACAGATGACCAAAATAAAGGACAGGGCACAAGGCACAAGGCACACATACATACATACATATGCTTGAAGCAGAGGGCCACAGCAGGAATGATTCCTTCTCTCCTACTCTCTCTCCTACAGGGAAGGGGGTTGCCCCGGTAGACACACAGACGGAACTAAATAGATCCCCGAGAATCCTTATTTATTTTTAACACAAGCAATCCCTTATCATGGGTATATTTTCCCGGTGGTTGGGTTCCACGCTATTGTAGAATGGATCCCGCTACAACTAATGTAGATAATCCTTATTTTTTTTTCATGTTGATGCCATGCTCGGTTTGCAGGGCTGGCTCCACCCCGAGCCCGGGCCCGGGCCCCGGGGGCGGGAAAGAAAAAGAAAGAAACAAAAAAAAAAAAAAAAACACAAGGGATCAGAGGGAAAGTCGGGATTTAGGGAACGAGCCGGCAATCCGCCCGAGGAGTCATGAGGAATGGCCCCTCTGCGCGAGGACGGAACGAGTATGTCAGAAAGCAATAGAAACAATAACCAGGTACTAAGAATATATGATTTGCTTGATCGTAGCGGGGCGGGGAGGGAGGCAGGGATTATTAGGTGGATTTTCTCTTTTGAGAAGTAGTTTTGTTTTTGATCGCGACTTGTGTTTCAGGGATACAAAACTGGGGAAGGAAGAAAGAAGAAAAGGAAGGGGGAAGGAATGGGACCCTAGCTTAGCTGCATCGATAGATGTGTGGGGGTCGTTTGGGTTCTCTTGAGACTTGATTGTGCTTCATCTTTGAGGGATGACTGGCCGATAAAAATAAAGAAGAGTCCCCACGAGAGATTCCCACGAGGGGGCCAAAAAATGGAGTCAAAAAAGAAGGGGGAGGTTCCGGTCCGTCGGTCAGGGCTAGTCGGCACTAAAAAGATGAAACTTGACAGGGGGAGAATGGAGAGCCGAGTATTGGGGCTAGCTGTACTGAAAAACATGACATCACTTGCTACAGAGAGTGAAATATTGCAAGGTTACAGAAACAAATCGGAATGAAGAGATGGTAGAAGGAGGTATCTAGCTCGGTACAAGGGAAGTATGAAGTCCATTGAAACAGTCGTAACGCAAACCGGGGGTATGGCATCGCAGGCAAAAAGAAAACAGGGAAAACAGGGGAATAGGCAGACAAAACAAAGAAACAAGCCAAAATATCAAATCGTGCAAAAGACAAAGCAAAAAACGAATGCGGGAACCGAGTCGATCGCCGATCGACGGTCCAATGCATCTGCGCCACTTACCCAGTGGCAGATCCCTGTGTCCGTAAGGTATCCATGCAATGTGTCTATCCTCCATGCAACGAGCCTTCTTTATCCCTTCCCAAGAACCCAAAAAGCGAGTGAAATAGAGCGAGTGACAAAAAAAAGCAAAGGGAAAAAAAAAGGGCCCCAAAATACGCGCATGCTGTGCTGAAACAAAGAGCAAGAAATGCGCGCGGGAAGGTGAAGCGAAGGAGACTGGAAAACGAGAGAAAAAAAAGCAAAAAGCCGCCGTCGCTGTGTGGTAAAGAAAACTCCCGGCGATGCATGAAAGAAACGAGAGACAGAGAGCAACAAAGAGGGAGATAGTAAAAAGGATCACATGAGACCAGTCCTAGCCGGCAGAACGCAGTCGAGAGAGAAGCTGTCAATAGACTGAGATTACAGCTCCGGAGTAGGAGTCTTGTTTGGCGACTCGTTCAGCATCTCTGACGGCAGCATCCGCTTATAGTCCCGAGGCTGGGCAAATGGAGATGCGGATGCTGGGCGTCGCAGGTTGAGAGTCTTTGAGTAGAAATTAGTTTCAACGAACCAGCTTATCGGGGGAGAAAGAAAAAAAAAAAAGCACATACGACACAGTCGGAGCACTTGGCTCCTTGCCGGTTGACCCGGCCTCGGCATCCGCGGGGGTAATTCGCGCACGAGTACATGGTGTGGATTTGAGAGGAAGTGAAGTGTGTTGAGTGTGTTTAGTGTCGACGTTGACACTAAATGAACAGGCAAGAGAAAAAGTAATGGAAAGGTAGCCTTTGGAGGTTGAATGGTCAAGCAGATGACGTCAAGTAGTGTTGACAAAGCCAGTGAAAAGGAAGTTGGAACGGGTTGAGAGAGCAAGTGTGACTGGGACGATGAGAGTGGAAAGGCGACGGGGTTTATATCAGCGGCTCAAAAAGATGGCTTAGACTTCAGGTAAAACACACCAAGTGTACCCGTAAGGAAAAGAAAAGAAAAAAAAATTAACATTAGAATTTTTAGGGTTCCATTATTACGGGTAACGGAAACGGCGTTTGTTGACTGGGGTTCTATTATTATGCGAAGTATTTTTTGGAATTAGATTATGTATTATGTATTATATATTTGTATATATTATATATTATTATTTCCTGATTATTTCACTATTCTGATTACTATTTATTACTATTCCTGACATCCATGGGTTACTATTATTATTTCTCATCCTCTGCCCAAATCGCCCGACCCAGAAAGGCGAGCTGGGGACCGGGGCCCATTATTAGATCTCAGCTTTGGGAGAGACCCATCGCAGCTATTGAATGGGCGTCGGCAGGTTCCGACTTTCAGGTTGTTTTCCTGGTTAACGCGGCTCCATCCGGGTAGACAGAGACTGACAGCCTGGATGGCAGATGGCAGATGGCAGATCAGTCGATCTTCACGATCTGGTCTTCGATGCATGAAGGGAGAGCCAATAATGAAAAAGAGACAAAGGAGAAAGAAAGAGAAAAAGAAAAAAAAAGGACTGCGGTTTGGTGCAGCCAGAAAATGACTCGCAGTTTCAGGCTTGAAATGCAGGTGGATCATGATCTTTTATTTTATTATTATTATTATTATTATTATTATTATTGTCACTCTACCTAGTCTACCTAGGTTGATTATTATTTCTCAAGCCAGCCGAGTGCCCGTTAAGCCTCAGATTGAGTGCGGCCCCAAAGAATTTAATGATTGCCGGCACAGCCGAGCCTGTGATTGTTATTCTTATTCGCATTACTCCCTATCTTCTAGATTCGGATCGGTGGACCCGAGCAGGTTCTGGACTATTCCTGACTATTTCTGCCCTATTGTGGGTAGGGGCATTCCATGGATTAGTAGCCAGTTCTTCCAGAACATCTCCATATCCCTGATCTGGCCTGTTTGTAATTCCTTCTCAGTCGATAGGGCACGGCGTGGTTCCGGTTTCGTTCACCTTTTTCCATGGTTTGGGTTGAAGAGTCAGCCCTGTCAATTGGTAACACCGTGCTTTCTTGGCCCTTGGCCCTAGACGATGTAATTCACCAATTTCTTGCCTGATTGTGCTAGAGGAGTCAATTAACCACTGAATACAGATCTCAGTAACCCTAAACTTGTACTTTTTTTCAAAGATTTTTTATTATTATACATTTATGTTTGTATCTCTAAACAGTTTCATCTTTGTGGGATCTTCATAAGCGATCTAATAGGGCATTCTGGAATTGTTCTACGTGGCCATACCGTAATTATCTTGTATTTTTGTATTTTTTTCTGTACTTTTTGACTCTCTTCTCTGTAGCATAAATGACAATGAGGATGAATTCTTTCAAATAGTATCTAGACATTCTCGGCTCAAGCCGAGATGTCAAACCATCCAGTGTGCATTCCAGAGGCCCGGGACTCCAAAGCTTGATCGAGAGGCATCGACAGGGATGACACCCCTCTTGAAACCCTAGTCGTTCGATCCTCTACAAAATTCCAACATAAGAATGGCTCTTGGCAAAGGTCGCACGGGTTGAGTGTATCGGTGAAGTCAACGGTGAGAAGTCGACGTGTCTTGCAAGACCCACGCAAGTGTTTCTTGGAGGATGCAACAGGAAATTCAAGTCGAGGAGAGCCTTCTCTCTCTCTCTCTCTCACCTGACAGGCTCATGTGCCGGGCCAATTGACAATCGTGTGACGGCAGTGGGTACTTTCTCCCTTTCTTTTCTTTCCCCTTTACTGTTTCTTTGCTTTTCCCGTTTCCCTTTCCTTTGGCTGAATCAGGATATTCCAGAAGTACCTCACCCCCGGGCCCTGCTCAACAGCTAAAGTACCGGCTCGATACATGGACGGATCCAACAACCGGACATCAAAGACAAGTCCCAACTGTGGGGCTCTCCGGCCAACATCAGGCTCAGGTACCCTTCGCTACCCGTGGGCTGACACGAGTCTAGAAGAGAAGAGGAAGCCATAGAAGGGCAGTGCAACACGAGAGAGCCCTCGGGATGTTTTTTTTTTTCTAGTCACCCCACTTCACCGCATCTGTGATCCTCAGCTTCCGTGTGACCGAGTGCCGTTTTCTGTAGCCGACGGGGCTGGCTGGATCTAGTCAATGTTGCAGGGAATATGATTCTGCAGAGGCTGACAAAAAAAAAAAAAAAGAAAAGAAAAAAAAAAAAAACTGTTAGGCGCCCCTATTCAGCTGGCGCAGAGAGTAAGTAGGTCAAGGCAGAGATCTAGTGATTCTACCGAGGTAAACAAGCCATGGATGTTTTGATGCATCGTCAATCGGTGACCTCATCAGCTTGGGGCTGGGCATGCAGTGCCCCTCCAACCCGCTGACCTTGTTATTTATTTTAGTTTATTTTTCTGACTGAGATGTTCACCGTTTCAGACTGGCTTGATTCATGTGATGACCTCCCTCGATTCTGCGGTGTGCACAAAAAGGTTGCCTGGTCAACTCGACTGTTGCGAGAGCATCTTCCAGGGCGTGAGCAGTATCGGCCCGTCTCGGCTGACAGGCTGTATAGCCCAGCATCACACCCGATGGAGCAGGGTTATCTGATGGAGCAGTCACCGCTTGTGTGGTTTACTCTGAGTCATAGTCGCTGGAGGGCTTTGGTCTTGGTCCGAGGCGGCTGACCGAATGTTGAGGAAGCCGCAACAGACAGAATGAGTATTGAACAGATGTGGTATATTAACCCGAAAAGAAAAAGCCCCCAAAAGACAAGAAAAGACATCCCGAAAAAAGAAAAGCGCCAAGTGGTCACTCAAACCTCCAACAGAGACCGCAGAACAAACCACGCCCCAACAACCCCAATCGTCGATGCAAGCAGCAGCCCATTTCCCTCCCAGGTCATACCCAGATATGCAACCAACCCCACCACAACCTCCTTTCGTCGGGCCACATCACGCCGCTGCCTCCAGTGGGGATCGATCGAGAACGGGGCTACGGCTTGGGCTTTGGTGCTCATGTGATGTGTATCCCCCGATTCTCCTTCTCCTGTTCCTCCGTCGCCACGGGGCTTCAGAGACACCGACACAGCCAGAGCAACGGCGCGATGGTCTGACAGTGGTAGCAGAGGCAGTGCATTGTAGACATGCGGTGTGACGCGTCCCCGACTACTGTCTGCTGTTGATGATGGCGTGTCGAGATACAAGATTCGATCGCACCAGCTGGGCCATCGATGACTCGACCATTTCCATTCCTCGCCCTGGGTGTCTAGGCCCAGACGGGCTGCTTCACGAGCGGTGTTCGAGTATTTATATGTGGGAGGGAAGTTGATCGGGGCTTCGGATAGTCCATGGAAGCTTTTGCCCTGCCGCATCTCGCGCATCAGCTGGTCCTCTTTCAAGAGGCGCGAATAGTGTGATGGGCTGTCGGGGTGGGCATCGTGTCGCGGAAATCGACCCACGTCTTCCTTCAGAGGCCCGGTGTTCGAGGTGCGGTAGTTCAAGTCTCCCGCCAGAAAGAGGTAGCCGTCGGGAGCGAAAAGGTCGCGGCAGGGGCTCTTTGCAGCCGGCGATGAGGCAGGGTCGGTCAATAAGGATGTGTGCTCATCTGCATCAGGCTCTGCTCTCTGCCCCAGACCCGTCCGTTTCGGATCTTGGTGCTCGGAGAACACTAATCGCTCAACAATACTCTGCCAATCCAGGTTCCGTTGCTTATACCCATCCTCCATGGGAGCGAGATGCGCCGCGACAAACGTCAAATCCGTGGTCTGGGACGACTGTGTATCAACGATGTAGCCGAGACGCGCTCCCACCGCACCCTTATTCCCCATTTCGTGGATCCCAAACCCGACATGAGCCGTGTCGATCCCCGCAATTCTGTCCCTGATATCGGCACGCGCGAAGACCATCAACCCCGTCATGCCTGTATTCTCTTGCACTAGATTCACGTAGTGTTCGTCCCATTGCTTCGCCGCAGCTTGGCTGACTGCCTGGCAGAATGCGTCGAAATAGGGGACGAGATACGTTCCTCCTAGAAAGGAGTAAGAGACGGGCGCGATCTCTTGGAGGGACAGGACTATCAGCTCGGGGGCTTGAAAGCTCCCCGCAGTGGGGAGCACATCAAAGCAATGTTGGGCGAAGAGGCCGATGTCGATTAGGTTGCGGGCGCAGTTGAATGTTAGGATGTAGATATTCAGATTGGCCATGTTTGCATTGATTCGCAAAAATCAAAGGAAAGAACAAGAAGCAAGAAATGGTTGTCCAGGTGAGCCTGACGGAGCTTAGCTGAAGGAGCGGTGACGTCTTCGGGCCACGTGTGGAGCCACAAAATCAAGGCACCAAGATCGAGAAAGCAGAAAGAAACAAGATCAGGTGGACATATATCCACACAAATGAACCTCACTCAAGAAAGGAAAAGAAGAAAAAAAAATGCATCATCCGTGAATCGAACACGGGCCTCGTCGATGGCAACGACGAATTCTACCACTAGACCAATGATGCCGTGGGACCAGGGAATGCTGGATGTTGATTCGCTGGCAATGAGAGAGACGGCCAGTTTATGTCTTCTGACTGACCCTTCCGCCCACAAGTACTATCACGCCATTACATTGAAGTAGTTCTCGACAGCAGACTCTTCAATCGAAAGCCATAGACTTTAAAAGTTATCTCATAGTACCTTAGAAAGTTCACAGTAGTTCCCTCTCGCGATCAGTGACCTCCTTCTTGAGCTGCCGTAAGCTACGTAATCCTCGTTTTCTTTGACCTTCTTCTGCATAACTGCTCTCTGCGTTGATGTTGCCGTAGTCTTGGGATCGAACCAAAGTGCCAGCGAAAAGACAAAATTCATGACATCCGAAAAGGCCCACACAGTATTTCATTCGACGGTACGGTCAGAGAACTGGGGCATTTCTCTACCAAGTACGCAGCTAGGGCTTTGCACAAATCTAATATTCCTGCGTCAGAATCCCTTCATTGGGTGTTGCCAGGTACAAAAGCAGGGTGGACCACATACCAACGGTGGGTTTGCAGCAAACTTCACAAAAGGCAAGGGGGAGAGAGAGTTTGACATCCTCGGTGTCGAGGATGGAGTTCTTGGATTGTTCAATGGCAGCTTGAACCACAAAGAAACCCTACACTACTCATCACAGTAAGCCTCGATTCGGGACAAGTGCCGCTGATGGACTTCACTCAGGGGGATGGAAGCAAGAAATAGATGGAAAGAAATCCGAGATGCCATTTCGATGAAGGGCCTTATCTTTTTAAGGTGCGAGGATGGAAATGTTGAAGTGTGGAAGGGTCAAAGTTGTAAATTCACAGCTGAAGTGTGTTTAGGGAAGCGGCGGCACTACAATTTCCCTCGCACTTCCACCTTGCTCTTGTCCTCTTCCAGTTCCACCAGAAGCATGCCCTCGGCCACATCTTCCTCGTCATCTTCCATCTCATACACCCACGATGCCCTGCCAGCTCGAGGGCTTCTCACTTCCAGCTCCATCTTCATCTGCTTGACGAACGCCAAAACTTGATTCTCGGCCACCTCTTCCCCCTCCGCTACTAATATCTCAATGAGTTTCCCAGACAGTGGAAGAATGACATGTCTCGGGTTCTTGGGGTCTCCCCGACGGTGGGATGAAGAGACCAGCGCCGATGCCGCGGTGGACGTGGTACCAAGTTGCATGCGATATGGAATTGCTGTTTGTGATGACGGGGTAGTGTATTCAATTTCCGCTGCTAAAGATGCAGGAAACTCATTGCGCAAGACTCTGGACAGGCGCAAATGATGTACCATCTTCCCTTCCTGCGAGGCAGATTTCTCCAGTGGTTCCAATGTGATCGACCACGCATCGCCCTTTCGGAACAGCAGGTTCGAAGATGGTAGCCCGCTTTGCGTTATTCCTTGCGCGGAGGGCCCTGCGTTTTCGCCCTGATCGTGAAGCGCTCTCGAGATGTTCTCTCCAAGCTGGACGACTTCATCAAGCTTTGATTCTAACCACTGCGTGTCCACGGCATCAGCCCCGAACTCAACATGGCTCACAATACCTCGCAAAAGACTGATATTGGTTTTGACTCCGGAAATCCTCGAGTCGGCTAATACGCGCTGCGCTTTTCTCACAGTCGCTTCCCAGGTCGAGGCAGTGACAATGATCTTGGCAAGCAAGTTGTCAAAATTCGACCCAACAATGGTTGCCGATGTGCCAGAGACATTGATATTGGTGTCTACTCGAATTCCATGTCCACTTGGCACACTGAATTCGGTGATCTTGCCGATGCTGAGGGCGAAGCTCGCAGTTGGGTCCTCGGCGCAGAGCCGTAGTTGGATGGAGAAAGACTTGGAAGGAGGATCTTTCGCGTATATTTCGGACCCAAGACCAAGTTCACTGAGTGAACACCCCTGAGAAAGCAGGAGCTGCGTCTGCACCAAGTCAAAACCACTGATGGATTCCGTGATGGTATGTTCAACTTGAAGACGGGGATTGACCTCGAGGAAGTAGAACTCCCCACGGTGCTCGTTAACCAGGAACTCAAAGGTCCCTAGGGATCGGTAGCTGATCTTGCTGGCCATTCTGAGGGCCGAGTCGATCACGCGACTAATAAGATCTCGATCATGCATCAACGCCGGCGCACATTCCACGACCTTTTGAAACCGTCGCTGCACACTGCAGTCTCTTTCCCACAGATGCCTCACTTGACCTGTCCCGTCTCCAATGACTTGAATCTCAATATGATGGAATCCGTCCACCGCGGCCTTTTCCACAAATACCGTTCGAGACGGCGACTCGCCAATGGCACGCTGGATACCATTGTCGAGCTCCTGGTCTTCGCGCACTAAACGGATTCCTCGCCCGCCTCCGCCATCAACGGCCTTGACCATGACTGGAAAACCAACAGCCCTCGCAAAATCCCGCGCTTCATTGACATCGGCTGTGGGCTGGTCCATGGCTTTCAGAACTGGCACTCCACATTGTTGCGCTAGTTGCTTTGCCTGCAGTTTATCTCCGGTGCCGGCAAGATTCTCCCATCCGGGTCCAATAACAAGAGATTGAGCTTCATGCCACATGCGGTATGCAAAGTCAGCGCTTTCGCTCAAAAACCCGTAGCCCGGGTGCACCGAGTCTATGGAATGTCTTTGAGCAAGGCCTACTAGCAGCGACACATCCAAATAGGACGAGGCCGAGGAAATTTCAATTGCATGATGTGGTCGCCCTAGGTCGCAATGCGATCGATCGTCTGAGGTGTATAGAGCAAATGTCTCGACGGGATCAGGCAGTTCCCGGGCAGCGTGCAAAATGCGAACCGCAATTTCCCCTCTATCCCACCAATTAGTCTATGAACCGTTGGACTTTGAAGAGAGTTCTACCTGTTGGCGATCAACAATCGCTTGATGGGTCGTGGATGTGGGGATGCCATTTGGAGAGTCAGGGGTAGCGACAGAAATCCAGGCAAGACTGTTCGGCCTGAGGAACGAAGCCGGATTAAGTGCAAATCCCAAGATCTTATTTGGTGATATTATTTGACAACAAGTTGGGAATCGTGTGCTTTCCAGCTGGATTTCCTTATAGCTTGATGTTGCGACCTCGGCCCTCGGATGGCCCTATCGCCCCCTCACCGGCTTCAAACAACCCCCTATTTTTACATAGCCACAGAGTGCAATTGTGCTGGTGAGCTAAACTTCAAGGATTTGGCAAGATGGCAAAGGATGATGATAACTCGGCTCTCCCAAATGGCAAAGCACAAGCTACCGAGCGACTGCATCAAGTTTCGTCACATATAGCTCCGCCAACTGACACGCCACAAGAGACCAAATCAAAATCAAAGGCCAGAGCATCTCGTCTTCCTGCAGACCACTCTGATGTCCTAGGTCAAATTGCCACGCTTCGCGCCATTGCCGCAAAGCCAGACCCCAATCATCGGGGTTATGTGCGACAAAAGCAGGCCGGGAAACTATGGGTGCGCGAACGTATTGAGCAGCTGCTTGATCGCAATACCTTCCAAGAAATTGGATCGGTGTCGGGCACCGTTCAATGGAAGAAGACGGCGCCCATGTGCGAGACCCCCGTGTCATTTGTGCCCAGCAATAATGTCCAGGGCGCAGGCATGCTCCGTGGCAGGAAGATCTTGCTCACTGCTGACGACTTTAGCATCCGGTCTGGGCATGCTGACGGGGCAAGTGCTGGCAAGACCGTGTATGTTGAAAAGCTGGCTATTGCATTACGGCTGCCTGTGGTGAAGCTGGTCGATGGCAGCTCTGGTGGCGGTAGCGTGACGACTATTCGCAAGGAAGGATGGAGTTATCTGCCGCATGTAGCGCCGTTCAAGCATGTTGTTCAGCAGTTGAACATGGGCATTCCTAATCTCGGTGCTGTAGTTGGACCTGCTGTGCGTTGATCCTTCTGTCGCTGATCATCAAGCCCTTTACTGATTAACGGTTCTCAGATTGGTCTTGGAGCCGCGAGAGTTGTCTCCTGTCATTTCTCGGTTATGGCAGCTGACATAGGTGCGCTCTTCAACGCCGGTCCGAAGGTTGTTGAGGGCGCTACCTTCGAAGAAGATCTGGACTTCCAGGACCTGGGCGGGCCGAAGGTGCATTGCATGAACGGCACCATTGACAACCTCGCCGCCAATGAAGCTGAGTGCTATGAGCAATTACGGGTTGTGTTGAGCTATCTCCCCAATTCCGGGAGTGAAGCTCCCCCGGTGGTTCCCAGCAGTGACCCCGAAGACCGCGAGGATGTAGGTCTGCGCAGTGTTATTCCCCGTCGGCAAGCGCGCATGTATAATCCTCGAGCAATTATCATTTCTGTCATTGATAAAGACTCGTGGTTTGAGATTGGCGCGCTTTGGGGCCGGACTGCCATTGGTGGGCTCGCACGGTTAGGTGGCCGTCCTGTCGGCGTGATCTCGCTCAATTGCGAAGTGAATGGCGGCGCATTGGATGCAGCTGGTAGTCAGAAATTGACTCGGCTGTTGAAGCTGTGTGATGTCATGAACATGCCCGTGCTACAGTTCCTCGATGTCCGTATGTATTCCTGCCTCATTGAAATGATTCGAAAACAGATACTTCTCTTCGATGTTATTATTCTTCTAACTTCTGGGTTAGCTGGCTATGCAATCGGCACAGTGGCTGAACGCACCGCAACCATGCGTTGGGGTGTTGAGCTCGCCAAAGCATACTACACTACCACAGTCCCGATCTTCAACGTAATTACGCGCCGAGTTTTCGGCGTCGCCGGCGGCGTGATGCTCAGTAGCCGCGATCCCGTCATGCAAGTTGCCTGGCCGTCCGGTCAGTGGGGCTCGCTGCCGCTCGACGGCGGTATCGAGGTGGGACATCGTCATGAGCTGCGCGAGGCAGAGAAGCTTGGCAAGAAGGAGGAGCGCTACCAGGAGTTGGAGGAGGAGTACCTGCGGCTGATGAATCCTGTGCGCACGGCAAATTCGTTTGGGGTAGAGGAGATTATTGATCCTAAAGATACGAGGCAGGTGTGCTGTGCGTGGGCGTCGCATGTATACGAGGTGCTTATGCGGGAAAGGATTGCGGATCGGGCAGCAGGGAGGATTCAGCCTTCATTTGCGTAATGTCTTGAGTTGTGGAAAGACATAAGCCGCTGGCTGTTGCTTTGCTCATATTCTCTCACTCAGATAAATGAGACTACCAGTCGCCCTATTCTGTATTATTTGTATATTTTCCCTTGCTTTCTGTTAACTAGCTATTTTTTCATTCTTCAATATCTTCAATATGTTGTTTATAATGGGTATAATTTATGCTCCCTAGCCCCAGGAACCGTGGGAGCAAGACAGTCACGCTTCTCGTGGTTAGGCCCAGTCGTACTTCATCAAGATCACAGATAATGATTTTTCTTTAATCAATTAACTCTAGAGTAAAGCGGATTATACACTCGATCCGAGATAAAGTTGTCACGTGAAGACGATATCAAACCCGTCACCCCACTCGCTGAAGAACCAAGCCACGGGACACCCACCATGGCATCAGTCCAGATCCTAGATGGGGGCCTCGGCACCTCTCTGCAAGACCAGTATGGAGTGAGTTTCGACGCATCAACTCCACTGTGGGCGTCACACATGCTAGTCGCAGACCCAGACACGCTCCGCGCATGCCAACACGACTTCGGAGCCGCAGGCGCGGACGTGCTCCTCACAGCCACGTATCAAGTCTCGGAGGAAGGATTCGCGCGGACCAAAACAGCCGACTTCCCCACCGGCATCCCGCGCAGCGCTGTAGCGCCATATCTACAGACTGCAGTCGACGTTGCCGAACAGGCCAAGGGCCGCGATAGCGCCAAGATCGCGCTGAGTCTGGGTCCCTATGGGGCATGTATGATCCCCGGACAGGAGTACAGCGGCGCATACGATCCCGCCCATGACAGCGAGGAATCGCTGTACCGCTGGCATCTGGACCGGTTACGTCTCTTTGTTGATGCTGACGGCAACTTGGTCCGTCGTCTACAGTATGTTGCTTTCGAGACGCTGCCGCGGCTGGATGAGGTGCGCGCGGTGAGACGCGCGGTCCGTGATGCGGGAATTGGGGCGCCGTTTTGGGTCTCTTGTGTGTTTCCGCGTGACGACGATGCTCTGCCTGATGGGAGTTCGGTTGAGCAGGTTGTATGCGCTGCTCTGGCGCCTCTGGAGGGCAGTGCTACGCCGTGGGGTATTGGTGTCAATTGCACTAAGATTCATAAGCTGCCTGCCCTTGTCAATGCATTTGGAGAGAATGCTGCACGGGTTGCGTCAACTGGTCAGCTGTTTGCTACCCCGGCTTTGGTTTTGTATCCCGATGGTACGAATGGCGAGGTGTATAATACTACGACGCAGACTTGGGAAAAGCCGGATGATCTGAGAAAGCCGGGAGACCGGGATATGGTACGCGCATCTCTCTGATATTTGCAGTTACTGGTTGCTATCGTAGAATATGCTGACGTGCTACCAGCGCCCTTGGGAGGTTCAAATCGCGCAAGTAGTTAATGAGGCCTATACAAGGGGCCATTTCAGCTCTTTTGTGGTCGGCGGCTGCTGCAAAGCTTCTCATCACGATATCAGAAAGCTCAAGGAGCAGTTCACGACCGAGTGATCCATGCGAGAATGAAAAGTTACCACAGCTACAAAAACCACAAACGGGAAAAATGCAAGTTTTCACATTGAGCGCTAATTGTCATCAACATGACATGCATCTATATACATTTCAAATATGCTTTTTCAAAACAGCCAGTCGACAAAGCGTCTCCATAGGGTTTGATGCGGGTTCTTCTGTTCCATGATTTCGCCATCCTGGAGCCGGCCCGACCATAGATCAATACTCGCGGCGCGGGCGAACTGCAAATTTTGAAAGTCAGCGAAGCTGCATTGGGGAAAGACTACCACGCAGTCTTGCACACGCGACACTCACCTTGGTACCATAGAATAGCTTCCATCCCAAAATGGGCACAATGAAAATCGGGATGCCAATGTACGAGGCGACAAAGTCAGATGAATTCCAGTTGCCCTTAAGGAAAACGGGGAACCCGGCAATCAACGTGATGATCGTGGAGCCGATGAACCCAAACCATGCAGCGTACGGCTGGAGGGGCGCTTTCCATGGAAGAGAATCGCGGGAAACGTTTTGGGCCTTCATCGCGGCGTAGAAGCGAATGTAGCAGAAAGATAGGGTTGCCCATGCAATCAAACCGGCGACTGTACTTAGATTCAGAAGCCAGGTGAAAGCTTGGCTGCGCCGCCAGAACCGAGACCTGATTATTGCTTGTTAGTCCACAACTCTCATATTCTATTTTGTCAAGAACCCGACTTACTTAGGTATGCGAGCGGCCCAAACAGCCAGGCGGCGATCACTGCAACGTATGGCACACCCTTCTTGGTCACACGGCCAAAGACCTGCGGCAGCTGGTGGTCTGTAGTCATGGCCAGGATCATTCGCGAGCCAACCCAACAGTATGAGTTGCCTGCCGACCAGGCGGCGATGAGAATGCATGCATTTACAATGGATGGCAAGGCGTTGATCCCGGCTTCTTTGATGGCAATGACGAATGGCGAGCTGTTGGCGTTGTCAGAGCCCGAGGTCAACCCGGCGTTTCTCGGGTCAACAATGATACCAATAAGCAGGGCGCCGAGAACATAGAAGAAGGCAATGCGGTAGGTCACGCGCCGTGCAGCCTTGGGGATGGAGCGGTGCGGGTCAACCGACTCAGCAGCCGTGATAACGACAGTCTCGACGCCGATGAAGCTGAACGACGCATTGACGAACGATGAGAGGAACCCGAGGAAGTGGCCTGTCGGGCCGGTGATGCCGTTGTAGTTCGTCCACGGCCCGGGATTGTTCCAGAAGCGGAATCCGATAGTCTCATGTTTGGGTCCACCGCCGGCTGTGATGACGATGGATACAATCACCAAACCCAGGAAGCAGAGCACCTTGACTGCACCGCCGAAGACCTCGGTCTCGCCGTAAAACCGCACGCTCATCAGGTTGATGGCCAGGATCAGCACGAGCCCTACTGTGATGACCACGGCCGGCGTCAAATCGGTCCAGTAGGAAACGATGACCGCCGCAGCGGAGACCTCCGAGGCGATGGCGATGGTATAGCAGTATCCGTATGAGATTGCCAGCGAGAAGCCGACGGCAGGGTCGATGAACCTCGTGGCCCAGTGCGGGAAAGATCCCGCGGTGGGCAGCAACGTCGCCAGCTCCGCGATACTCTGCATCACGCACCATAGTACCAGTCCAACAACAAGATACGCCAGTAACAGTCCCGCCGGGCCGGCTTTCGCATATGCAGCACCCGTACCCACGAACAGCCCCGTCCCGATCCCGCTACAGAACCCGATCATGGTGACCTGGTAGTTTCGCAACCGTCTCTGCGTGCCACCACGACCACCAACATTGAGCTGCAAGCCCTCCTCCTTGGGGTGCGCCTCATAGTCGAAATTTGCGCCGGCCTGCGGCTGTATCGCGTCCTCCTTCTCCATTGCTTGGCTTGGATGTGCCGTGGGAATCATATTCGCTCTCCACATACACGAGAACCAAGAGATTTGAAAAAGTGTCAACCATGTGGAAGAGAAAAGCTCTATTATTTTTTTTTCTGCAAGATCTTTAAAATCACGTCAATCACGACATCGGACTTCCGCCGTTGCACCATCTGCTTCTCCACCTTGGGACGGTTCATTGGGCTGCGTCGGGGCTCCACTCTTCGGGGAGGCAATTAGTTGATTTTTTTTTCTGCAACTGGCCGGCTAATCTTGATTTAAAGGCAAGGGAGTACATCCGGCTGGTACTGTAGACTATTATAAATGGAACTGTTGGGATAATGTATTTGTGTCTTGAGGTGTCTCTCCAATTAGGGCTGGCTTGACCCCGTAGTATATCCACCTCGGGAAACCCGTTGCGTGGTGCATGCATCTGCAGCTCGGAGATTTGATCTCTGGCTCATTGGCCAGTTTGGTCTTTATGGACCAAGCCTTGAATGGTTGTTAGATATTTCATAGACTTTTATGATTGAGTTGAGTCGGGGTTGGTAGAAACAAGAGCGAAATTCTAGGGGTCTACGCATATGTTTCGCATATAATGCATTCGTTTCAGCCAATTGGCGAAAGAAAGATGGGAAAATGAACTATTGTGCAGGTACTTTTGACAGCGCAAGAACTAGAAGTATATCAATAGCCCCCATCTCTATACTCCTTCCCATCCCCCTAACTTTGTACAACTGTACAAGTCGAGATTCAGGAACAAAGGAATCAGAGTTAATCGAGTCAGGGCTGAAATGCCGATCGCAGAATCCTTCAGCTTACAAGATCAGTTTCGGATGCAACATCGTGCTATCGAACCAGAAAAAAGCAAGTTTCCGCGCCGATGGTGCGCGAGTCATGGGCAAAAATCAAATACAATAGAAGCCGCTAGCGGCGATCCTCCGGAACCCACGAGCTCGTGTGGTTTGGTGAGAACCGAGGAAAACCTCTTATTCAGCGCGTTTTTCCTCTTCTCCCAAATTCTTTCATTGGAATGTTATAAACCTCCTCCCCTCTCCCTGGTCCCAATTATACACTCACCAGGCTCCCATCGACTCAATTAGCTCGACACGGTTCCCCCTCGATGAACGGTTGAGTCGCATCCAACGCCATGTCCGAATCCCCGCGACAAAATGGTCGGCCCCAGGGCCCCCCGCCGACCGCCGCGGAGGAGGAGCCTACCGCATCGGCGAAGACAGCGCCGACCTCCAAACCAGGCCGGAAACTGCCCGAATGGCTGGATCATTTCAATGCACGCGATCTCAAAGTGCTCTTCCGCTGCTCGGTGGCGGCGTGGGTCGCGTCGTTGTTGATCTTCATCGGACCGTCGCTGCGCCAGATTGGGACCGCGACGTTCTTCGCCAAGTGAGTTGTGAGATGGTCACGCGTTTTGTGCGTTACCGTGTAGATGCTAACGGATTAATAATTGCTAGCCTGGTGCTCTTCATGGTTCCTCCGACCGGCATCGTGTTCATCTTCCTTTTGGGTGCTCTGACGCTCATTGTGGGTATGGCTCTGGGCTGGGCCTGGGGTATGGTTGCTATGAAGGCTGCACTGGCGGCGCGACCGGCGGCTGAAACTCAGGCTAAGCTCCAGCAATTGGGGCAATTGGCTTATTCCCAAGCCAATGCCACGGGGGTGCCGGTAGCGATTGTGCAACAGCAGCTGGTCTACTCGGGCTTCATGCTTGACGCTCGCGTATCGGCCATCTATTTCTGCCTTATCTGTTTTGCTGTCTACTTGCTGGTGAGCAGTCATCGCTGATGAACACACACACAAAAAAAAAAAAAAAAAAAACAAAGAACTGACTGTTATGGATAGTCTCGTCTTCGGGCCAATAACCCCAAGTTCATCCTCTTCCAGATCTTTGGTATTATCATCATGGATGTCGTTTTGACGGTTGGCCCGCTGCTTCCATCGTTCAGGGGAACGCTGCCCAGGATTTTGATGGAGCCCGCGGCTATTGGAATAGGGCTGGGATTGGTTTCCCATATGCTCTTCTTTCCTCGGTCCACGTCGCATGTTGTCCTCGATGGCATGGAAGGTTTAGTGCGACTACTGAAAGCGCCACTGGACCTTACCATTGCTAGCCTAATGAAGGGCGAATCCTTAGACCTGAAGACCCTTCAGAAACTCAAGGCGAAAGGTATTGCGGCCTACAAGGGCATTGAGCCTCCAATTGGCTTCTTGCAATTGGATTTTTCACTCGGTTGGTGGAATGCGGACGACATCAAGAGCCTCAAGGAGCCTATCAGGCAGGCCTCGCTCAGCAGCTATTCGTTGCTGGATCTTCATATCTCCCGGGTGGGAGGGCAGATGAAACTGGACAAGCTCGACGAAATGACCGCGGGTCGAGAGCAGGAATCCGACAGCGACGCAGATGAGAAGCAGCGGCCGCGTGAGGTTGGCATGCGCCAGTTGATGGAAAGCGCCAAATTAATGCAAGCTCTGCGGAGCCCCGAGCATGAGTCTTTGCGTCTGGAGACTGTCGAGGCAATTCGCCAATCCAGCAAGGATATCCTACCCGCATGCCAGGGGGTTACTGTCATCACCGCCGATTGCATCCACGCTGTCAATTCGTCGCGCTGGTTTGGCCGGCCCTCCAAGGCGCGTCTGAACGAGCTCTATGAATGCGGCCAGTCTGCCCTCAGCGAGCTTCAGACACTTCGCGCCTCCTTTGCCACGGAAACCACCGAACGACTCATTCAGACCCATGCGGACTTGTTCGATGAAAAGGGCATGCTCAAGTCTGTCGATGAGATCTCGATGCACAAGGTGAGGGGAATTACTCTCGGCATGGTTTTTGAAGAACAGATTCTCGGTGTGGTCCATGCGTGGGAGAAAGTCCTCGGACAAGTCCTTGCCCTGATGAACGAGCGCCAGAAGGTCCAATTGTGGTTCCCGAGGGGGCTGCGATACGCATTCAGCTGGGTCTGTCGACGAAGTGCCGTCACCCCTGTCACCGCAGCTCACTCGCCAGCTGTCGATCCTGACATTGTCGAGGCGCAGTCGAAGGCGGCACAGCAGAACCTTCGTATTAGCCGAGGATATCGCGTCAAGCAACGCAGTGGGCTCGGCCAGGCCATCCTGGGCACGTATCACTGGTTCATCAGCGCAGAGGGTCTGTATGCACTACGCATGGTGATTGTCACCATTGCCCTGGCCATTCCCGCGGTCATCCCGTCCAGCGCGAGCTTCTATTATCGACAGAAGGGGCTCTGGGCGCTCATCATGGGACAGACTACGGTTGTTGTCTATATGGCGGATTTCACTTTCTCTCTTCTTTCTCGAACTATCGGTACCGTGGTTGGCGGTGTTTTAGGCTTGTTGGGATGGTATATTGGTTCTGGTCATGGAGCGGGCAACCCATATGGTCTTGCCGCAATCATGGCTGCTATTATCATTCCCCTGATGTGGGCGCGCATTTTCCTGCCCCCTGCGCTGCTTCAAGCCACGATCATGGGTGGTGCGACCTGCATTCTCGTTGTCGGCTACAGCTACGATGACACGTAAGTAAACCAGTCCTGCTCGCTGGACCCCCACAAGTTAACCTTGAATACCAGACACATCCCGCAGTACGGTAACCCTGGACTAGGATACGGTGTGTTTTGGCGCCGGCTTGTCCTTGTCATGGTCGGGATGGCGGCCGCACTCATCGTGCAGATCTTCCCACGACCGCCATCTGCGGCACGGCACATCTGCAGGTCGCTCTCGAATGCCATCCGATCTCTCTCGGACCACTACGCGCTGCTGCTGTCCTGCTGGGGCCAGCCCGACCGCGACGACGGACTTGTGGCCCAGCAGCTTGCCCTCGATCTCGCCGATACCCTCAACACCCTTAATGGGCCCATTGCCATGCTGCGCTTCGAGTTCTCTAGCTCTCCCTTCGACAGCGAGCGTCTGGGCCAGGTGCACTCGCTCTGCCACGAGCTGAACCAGCACCTGGGCCGCCTGCTGTTTTTGTCTGCATCGCTGCCCGAATACCTGCAAACCCGTCTCGCGCGCCATGCCGGTCTCCTTGACCACCATAATGTCGGTGACATCATGTCGGTGCTCGGCGTCGTGGAGCAGTCCCTCAAGACTGGGGACCCCTTGCCAGAGGTGCTGCCAACGCCGCTGCTCAAACGCTGCCATGAGTACTGGCAGTCGCGGCAGATGATGATTGCCCTAAGCACGGAGCTCATCCGCGACGAGAACTACCGCCGGTTCTGCGTCGCCGTCAGCTCGTACCTCAAGTTCCTGGCGGCGGTCGACGACCTGGTGCTGGTGCTGAAGGGCACGCTGGGCGAGTCGCATATTGTCAGTCGAGAGTTGGTGCACGGCTGGGAAGTGTAATCTGCACGAAGATCTACGACATATTTCTCATTTGCCATATATATATATATATATATACTATGTAATTTAGTTGAACAAGTTATATACATTCGCGTGTCTAACGGGCTTCTGGCGAGCCCCACATTCCTCCGCACGCTTTATTCTCCAATTTTCCCTTTTCTCCTCATCCCAAAGCGCTTTAGTGTCGGCGATGGCTCGAATCTCCAATTTCTTTCAATTCTTCTTATGCAATTGTTTCTTGTCTTCTGCATGACCCTGAAATCCCACCTCTTTGCATTCGCAGCCCGGCGGACCTCGTCATGCCTCCTCGCCTCGCCCGTCTTCCTCGGTGGATGAGTCACTGGCTGGGGTATCGCGCAGAGCCACCCAAGCCGCTGTCCCAGTGGACCGTGGCAGCGTGGTCCTTTATCACGGCGTTTTGCGGGCTGTCCGTCATGCAGGCGCTGTTTAACTATTCCGAGTATTTCACTGCGCGCCATGTCCCGGGGATAGTCGCATCATACGTGAGTTTCAATTCTCTTTCAAAAACAAAACAGGCGAAAAATTGGTTGGCATAGTGAAGATATCTAACATTGGATAATTACAATAGGGCGCTTCCGCAGTCCTCTGCTTCGGCGCCATCGAAAGCCCCCTAGCCCAACCGCGCGCCCTCATCTTCGGGCACTTCTTCAGCGCCTTAATTGGTGTATGCATCACCAAACTGTTCAGCCTCATCCCCGATCCCGCGCGCTTTGAGTCTCTGCGCTGGCTCGCCGCTTCACTGTCGACGGCGTTGGCCATCGTCGCTATGCAGCTGACTGGCACCACGCACCCGCCTGCTGGCGCGACGGCTCTGCTGCCGGCGACCAACGAGGAGATCTGGCGCCTGTCATGGTACTTCTTGCCTGTGGTTCTGCTGTCGTCTGCCTTGCTTATGGCTTGTGCGTTGCTTCTGAATAATTTGCATCGTCGGTATCCTGTCTTTTGGATTGCTCCGTCGCCGCCGGCGCAGCCTCAGTCTAAGCCGGAGCCTGTGCCTGTGTCGGCTGATGAGGTTTCGGCGCGGCAGGGGGGCTGTCTAAGGGGTCTGTGTGACTGTTATAAAAGTAAGCGGGGATTGCGTGTTTATTTCTACTCTGGGTTGTTTGGTGCGGTGTCTAACTAGAGCCTTGACAGTATCCATGGATCCTGTTTATAAGCTAGCTGGTGGCGATGCACTGCCAGTCATATATCACTGTCTCCTCGATGTTCAAGAGGGTATGATAGGTCATATACCCACACATGCCCGTTAGGCTTTTCGGATATACAAGAACGGGAACCTCCTTGGGCATTTTGCGCTAAACCCAAGTCTACATCAAATACTCATAATGCACACCAGACCAAAAGTTCATAATCCATATAAAGAACCAGCAAGGAACGTAGATTGACGCAATGACAAACTAGAATCCACAAATATTTACGCATGAGCCCACCCCAAAGGCCGCAACAGCTGCATCTCATTAATAACACAAAAAAGCCCGGGTTCACGATTCCTATCTCCCAACGCCATCCACCTCGCCACCCGATTCCTCACCGTCCTCTCTTTAAACCAGACCGTGGTCGTCCATCGCCGGAGCCGGTTAATCCACAGCCCCTGCAGAATCCTGCGCGCAGAGAGCCAGTTCCGCGTCGGATGAACCGCGTCATAGGCGGCGCCGTTGTATCCAACCCGCACCAGTGGGTTGAGGTAGACACCCTGCGGCGCGGATAAGGGGCTGTCGGCGTGGATGAGACAGCATTCGGAGCCCTCGAGGTGTGATGTTGCTAGTGTGTCGGGGATGCCTCGGAAGCGGAGGGGCGGGCTTGCAAGAAATGGGGCTGTTGGCATGGCCACTGGAGCAATCAAAGGAAAGAAGAAGTGGTATGTTAGTTGAGTTTTCTCAGTATGGAGCATGGATTGGGGTTGCTCGTACCGATCCCGTTCCAGCAACTCGTTACCGGGACAGGGGACATGGTTTTCATGGCGTGTCGCGATGATGCGCTGCGGAAGTATGGCCATGTCTGCATGAGTGCCTCATGGCCCTGGCTATCTCGCAGCGCGAAAGTGTCGTAGTATCTGGGGGGTTTGGAGAAATCCAACGAGCATGCGGCCGCATATTCGCCGTTATTTGTATCCAACAACTCGAATACATCGCTTGACTAAACCATAATACAGTTAGTGTGGGCAATAGTCCAGGTGTAAGAGGCATATGTAAACCAACCGAGAAAACCACATCATTTAGAAACAAGATCTTGTCAAATGTAATACCTTGGCGAGCAAGATCCTCCAGCGGCCGCAGACTCAAATTCCGCACGCGCGACAAGTACGGGATCCGCCTCAGCTCTTTTTCTCCCGTAGGCCCCTCGATCCAGCCCTCGCCTCCTCCCGACGGAGCCAGAATCTCGTCTTCATGCGTCACAGGCGACAGAGTAATATTCCGCGGGACATCAAGCCGCTCCAATTCCCCGTCGAGCTCCTTCAGCGCCCCCTTCGTGTCATCGTAGCTGCCGCTCTCGTAGATACTGATAAACACGTTCTCGGGGCCTAGTTTTTGGGATAGCTCAATCACTGCTTGGTTCCAGTAGTCCCGCAGGATGATCTCGTTGTTCCAGTGTACCCCCGCGATATAGATGCGCTCGTGCCTTAGGGGCTCTTCGTGGTAGATGGTGTCTGTTTCGGAGAGCCGTCTCACGATTAGATGAAGCTCTGTCAGGTTCCATATAATGAAGATTAGAATTAGTGCTCGTACGAGGCGGCGCCGCCACCTCGATCGGCGATATGGGCGCGTGGTGGTGGGCAACAGGCCCATGGAAAGCTGGTAGCGGGGGGTATCAGATTGGGAATTAGGGTTGTGTTATCAGACTTGAGTTTGCGTGTGTCATGCTTTTGGGGTAATTTGTAAAAATTGGTGGCATTTCTGGTGTTTTCATGTCCAGAGCTGATGGCGTTGTGAATCAAGGGATGAAAACACTAGACACTTTGGTATTCTCCCTTTCGCAATCTCAAAATGATAGATAATATGCAGTCGATAACAGGCATGCCTGGAAACAGCAACAAGTGGAGTCCCTATGACAGTTGGACAATTGGTTACTAGTATATCCAATATATGAGCAGCAAAAAAGACGACATGCTATAAACCAGCCTAAAATGCACGTCAAACACAGCTAATCTACTCTACCTCCAGTAATAAGCTCTCTCAACATGCTAAAACCACAGCTATACTTATCATGGTCCCTGCGACCGCCAACCCTATACTTCTCAAGTCCAACCTACAACAAGCCCCAACCCCATTGATACTGCTGGGATACGTGCTGGCTCCACGATCAATCCATGGCTGCCCAGGAAGCGAGTCTGATTCAACAAACTCCAAGAGCTTAGTTTCCAGCTCCGCGCAGTCAACTCTTTCTGAGTCATTCGGGATACTGTTGGTGACTGAGATGGGGAGATCGAACCACGGCATAGTAGTCGGTCCCATTCCAGCGAAAAGACTGATGCATAGATATGTTATATGCACCGCGAGCTGAATCGTCCGTAGAGTCGCTGCCGTCACAAACCAAGCATTTGGGCCATTTCCCGTGTATGTCTGTGGCAGTAGAGGACGGCTCGATGTCCAAGACGGGGCCAATGTAGCTTTTGGTGGTATTTGATGTAACCGACCCATTGGAAATTGTCAAGTTGTATGATAGCGGCTGAGAGGTCAAGAATAGCGTGAGGTTGTGGAAAAGAGTTGGTGAGTCGGCGGACTGCGGACAGGGCAGACGGCCGTTTCCTGAAACATCAATGGCAAGGTGCAGGCTGTCTTCAGGTTGGTTAGTCAAAATATCTCTCAGGATTTCCCCACTGACGTGCCTCCTCCCAGGGGAGTATCGGGCTGTGGGGCGTCCATAACCGCCAGGCCTGGTGTATAGACCTGGCCATTCACAATGGTGAGGTTGCTCATGGCAGAAGAGAATAACACAACTGCAGGTGCCACCGGTAGATACTCGAAAGACTAAGTGATCTTGCTTATGAGATTTATTCGATCTATATAATAAGGGATTCCCACTGCGCCAAGGGTTTCATCTCCGATGCTTCATTGATTTCATCTAGGCTAAATCCTGCCCAAGCCAGGATCCGGATCCTGCTTCTACAAGCAATCCATGTCCAGGAAGTGGAAACATCCTGAGCAATAAGTCATTTCTACCTACCCTATACTGTCGTTGGGCCTGGGGTCCTCTTCTGCACATGAACTTCGAAGTCTGTCGGTTTGACAAACCAGAAGTTTTCCGTGTGCCAGGCCTGTCTGAGAGGAACAAAGTCGAAAGCTCGTACGAGTCGAGGTATCAGTTTGGACATCTCCAGAATCGAAATGTGCTTTCCTAGACACGTTCGCGATCCCAGGCCGAACTATTATCAAGTATTGTCCGAGTCAGCAAAACCATCATAGGGTTTTTCTTAAGCGGGGAATACCCACTGGCATGTACATCTGGTTCATGACCTTTAGTTTCTCTGGTTCACTCTCTGCTTCAATCCATCGCTCCGGCCGGAAGGTCTTTGCGTCGGGAAACACCCGTTCATCATAGTGTGCAACCCAGGTATTGATGCCGACAACAGCACCAGCCGGGAAAAAACGACCACTAATCTCGGCACCCCCAGCAGGAACCTCTCTCCACATCGGCAGACCGGTGGCGCCATGCATTCGTAGAGCCTCCTTCATAACGGCCTGGAAATACGGCATCTCCTGGCTCTCCTTGAAAGTAACATCGGCACTGCAACGGCCCTGGGCACTGAAATCATCGATTTCCCGACGCAGTTTGCGAAGCACCTCACGATATTGCAGCAGATACCACATGATAGCCGACAGACTGATGGCCGTAGTATCGGACCCAGCGATGACATTGGACTGACCCATGATGAGCAGGTGGTAGTCGGTCACTTTCTCAGCGTTCTTGTCGCGAGCGATTATCATCTTTTCCACAAAGTCCTGGGTCTTGGTCTCTTCATCTCCTGCTTGATGTCCTAGACCCTTTTCTTCGTGCAGTCGGATCTTCTCCTGTACGAACCGGCTGATGAAGGCTTGCCCGCCGGGGCCGGACCATTTGAATCGGCTGAGGGGTCCGAAGAGTCGGGGATGCCATTCGGGATAGATCCCGACAAGTGTGCTGTATATCGTGATTTTTTCTATGGCTCCCATTGCCCCGTTGATGTCGTCGCCTCGGTTCAGGAACCCTGATATATACTGCAGTTAGGATTGGGCTCGTTGATTGACTGAAAATGCTGTCACACACCGAACCGCTCTCCGAATGTGATATTCCCAATCACATCAAATGCATAGCACTGGAACCAGTGACTTAGATTAAGAGGCTGTTGTCGATCCGCGAACTCGGTTAAGCGCTGCGTGAATAGCTGGGCGCAGTGATCTACAAAGGACTCATAGTGCACCAGCGAGCTCATCGAGTAGAGACTCGTGTACCGTTTTCTTGTATCAGCTGGTTCCCATAGTTAGTCGAGACTTGTACTAATCACAAACCGTCGGCAGTGAAATTCCTCTTCTCCCCCAGACAGAACAAACCATGTCTTTTGATATCTCGGTCCGCGAATACATTCCACTGCGCGGGATGTTTCCATCCATCATACCAGGCCGACTTGGCAAACCGTGACCCTGTCCCGTAGACGGTCTTGATGGCGGAGATGTCGCTGAGACTGTAGTGGTTGGGAGCGACACGCACCACTGGGCCATACTGTTGGTGTAGGCGGATATTTTCGTGCTCGAACTGGCCGCGGCGTACACGGTCGAAGTACCACAGCCTGCTTACGCGGGCCCAGAATGGACCGGGGATGCTCCTCAGCGGAGAGAAGAGGACTCGGCTGAGGCGTAGGAGGATGGGAAGTGCGATGAGAACCGAAAGTAAAATGGAGAGATGCATGGCTGGGGTGGCAATAAATGATGCCTGGCTATCTTGGCTGATCTTGCCCAGAATTCATCTCGGGGGACACAGAAGAAATAAGAGCCGTAAGCTGACCATGTCCCCACCTCTGCCGCTACCTTCCGGTGGGGGGAGCGCGTGGTTCTCCACTGGCAGATATCGGGTGTATATGAAGTGAAACCATACATTAATGGCCCGGGCAGCCTTATGAGAATACTCTAGTCTCCCAGATCTCAATTATTCTCAACATAGAGGACGTAAGAAGAGGTGGTTGCCCTCGATTCGATCAAAGAAACACCTTCAAAAGCATTGAATAAACAGAGAAGGAAAAAAAGAGAAATACATGGGTAAAACAACCAGTGTTTCGCCAGTTCGCCAAAATCAACACCATGTCACTCGACCAAATAAAGCGTCTCATGATGAACAGGTTGCTCTCCGAGTCCACATCCACATGGGAACATATCCTCACGACCGATCTCCCCACAAGCCCACAATGCCCATCGAGAACGCAGCTCCAGACAACCAAGCGCGCGCACGATGCAGCCGGCGCTCCTTGTCCATCTCGCGCTGGACCATCTCGCCGTTCACATCCTCCTCGGCCTCGACCACAACCAGGTCGTCATCCTTCTTAGCGGCCGACTTTGAGCACAGTGCCAGACCCGTGGCGTCTTGAACCGCGCCGCATGCCCACTGCTTAATGCCCACTTGGCGATTGAACCACAAGTCCAGGCCATAGGAGGCTAGGACCGTTGTCGCACCCATCCAGAGCAGATACGGGTGCTTGCGGCGTGCGGGCGAGATGCAGTAGGCGAAAGTCAGACAGGTGTTGGCGAGGCCGGCGAGATTGAGGGCATGTTTGCGGCCCAGTCGCTTCACTTCATTGAGGCTGCGGGAGGCGGTGGTCGAGGTGGGGAGGAGTTTGAGGGCGGGGACGGTGATGGCGGCGGTGGAGTATGAAAGGCCCTGTTAATAAGACGGTCGTGTTAGTATCTAAGAAGAGCAATTGCCATTTGGTCTCGTTGTCAAACGTACCGTGAGCAGGCCGAGGGAGACCGTCCCGACGAACTTGGTCACAGTGATGGGGCAGGCCATGCTGATCGGCGAATGCGCCAATATGGCCACGGGTCCTTGGAATGATGAAAGAAAACAGGGCAAGAATGCGATAGAGAAGGGTTTTGCGGTGCGAGACAGGGGAATTGCCCGAGGACGATGAGGAGGAAAATGAAGATGGCCGTGTCGATGGCCGTGACGTAGCGCCAATCACAAAGCGCCCGTTGCTCATGGCGTTCTGATCTACGTACATTTTGACATTTTATATTCTGGTGATAATACTATGACTATTTCTACTGGATATTTCTATTTAATATAAATCTACTCTTTATTTATTTTCCACTTTCTGTGTTCGCAAATACGGGCATTAGCTATTGCTAGCAACCCGGCCATGGAAGATCGGCCCGATCCAATTGTTGCGCTTTCATTTTTATTTCTCTCTATAAGTAAACCCATGGACTTTAATCTATCAATCAATCTGTCAGAACAGACAAGCAGAGAAACCTCGTGGTTGCTCCGGAAGTTATGCGCCCGCATAACCACCGCGCCGAAGCCGAGGTTCAACCGCGGCTGTGGGGAAAAGGCGACGGCGCATCTTGACCTCTCTACCCCATCGCCCATAAACACTCCCCGCATTCCCCATTGAAGATTGTAAAATACCTCATCTTGCACTATGCCTCTTTCACAGGTGGAGTATATGAGCGATGTCTGGAAAGATGATCTCTTCGGTAAGTTGTGCTTTTTGCGCCAGGCAACGCCATGCTGAATGTCTCTGCAGCGAACAAGGTTGTCTTTTGCACGGGCGGCGCCGGCACTATTTGCAGTGCCCAGGTCCGCGCTCTAGTCCACCTTGGGGCCAATGCATGTATCGTTGGTCGTAATGTCGAGAGAACCGAGAAAGTCGCCCAGGACATTGCCACGGCCCGGAAAGGAGCTAAAGTTATCGGCGTTGGCGCCGTGGATGTCCGCAAGTTGGACAATCTGAAAGATGCAGTCGATCGATGTGTCCGGGAACTGGGCGGCATTGATTTTGTCATGTATGGCCAAGGAATTTACTATTCTATTGCACTGCTATTCTTGATGCTGACATGTCTTGCAGTGCGGGAGCAGCGGGCAACTTCCTCGCCTCGATCGAGCAGTTGTCTGTCAATGCATTCAAGTCGGTTATGGATATTGATATCCTGGGCTCCTATAACACCCTCAAGGCGACCCTCCCGTATCTGACCGAGTCTGCCGCTAAGCACCGAATGGACTCAGAAACCCGTGAGTAAACCAGACTCCCATGATCTTAGAGCCGACCCTGACTATTCTTTAGTCAAGCCATCTCCGGCCGGCACCGGTGGAAGAATCATTTTTGTCAGCGCCACGATTCACTACCGGGGCATGCCCTTCCAATCCCATGTGTCGGTTGCCAAAGCCGGCATCGACGCGCTATCTCACAGCGTCGCTATCGAATACGGCCCCCGAGGAGTCACTTCTAATATCATTTCGCCTGGTCCTGTTGCCCAGACGGAGGTGAGTTTTAATCTATATAAGACAATCCCTAGTCTTTCCAGGGGATTTGTGCTCACCATGTCGTTCAGGGAATGGACCGCTTGCTGCCCTCGGACGCCAAGGCGGCATACATCAAAGCCCAACCGTTAGGACGCCTTGGACATGTCCGCGATATCGCCGATGCCACTGTGTATCTCTTTTCGGACACGGGGAGCTATGTGACCGGCCAGGTGCTTGTTGGTAAGTGTACAACGCCCCTAGCATCATCTCAGAAGCTGATTTTGTTTTTCAACTTTAGTGGACGGCGCGAACTGGCGCATGTCGGCGGGTGGCGCATCCGGCGGAAAATTGTCCTACCCGGACTTCCTTCTTTCAGGTCAGGATGTGCCCAACGTGACGGGCAAGAAGTCCAAGCTTTGAGCGGGATCGCCGAGGATCGTTGGCAGTCGACGATAGACGGAGGCTTGCAATTATTTCAAATTTTAGCTTTACAGTGTGAATCCGCAAGTATACATTCGGAGTCATCGATGAGGCTCTACCGGTGCTCAGCCTCTCATATTGTCGAATTTCTTTTGTCTATCTGGTTGTAGCACCTGTTTTTTTTTTTTTTTTTTTTTTTTTTTTTTGGCCTATTTCATGATACTCTTCAAGGCGCGAGGGATCCACAATTGGACCATTCTCTACTGCCCAGGTTTATACCAACAAAGTCTTTACTTCCCCTTTACAATTCCATTGTTTGATCTAAAAATGGATGCCTGGAAGACAGAATGCAAATAACGAATTATCCAACAACGGCGCAACCCCGGATGAATCTATCTAAGTCACCTCTCCCAACGCATTTTATAACTTCCTCCATTCAACTGAAAATTCTTCATTGCTAGACAGCCACAGCTTCTGGCGTTTCCGTGACAAGAATTCACTGAGAATTGGATGGATTAGTAAATTAGTTATATGGGCTTTGTTTCCAATATTCATTGTGGTTGGAGCGTTTCATAGATACCCCGAATAAAGACAATAGACAAAGACACAATTCCATTCAAAGCATCCTGAGACGTGCCTTTCTTTCATCTTATTGTGCCATCGACTTGAAAGGCCGTAGACTCGAGAGCTCATTTATAGACTCTTTATTGTCCCAATTGACTCTTCTCCCAATAGACACTTGTCAGTAGACGAAGACAGCCCATGAAAATATATTTGGGAGGCCAGCCCACGAGTAACTTCTCTTCCCCATTCACCCTTTCTTATAATTCTACACCATCGCCATGTCTTTCCCTTCCTCTTTCTCTAGCACTTACTCTTCGCTCTCGTCGGCTGAGCTGACGCCGTCCCCGAGCCCTGGGCCGTCAACCACCCGCCAGTCAGCCGTATCTGAGACTCCTCGTAACCAGCTGGTCCGGTACGAGGATGCCCCAGACAAGAAGAATTCAGACCCAAGTTGGATCCAGAAGGGACTGCTGGTGATGGACCTCGCCAAAGAGAAGGAGATCAACCGCAAGCTGGAGTATCAGGTCCAGCAACAAGAGGAGACCATCAGCGACCTGAGCAGCGACATATTCGTGCACAAAGAAGCACTGGCCGACAGTGAGGCCCAGAGCGAAGCCAACAGAGCCGCGGCACAGCGCCTGCGAACAGCCCTCATTCGCCAGGGAAAACAAGCCGAGATGAGCGAAAGCTACACCGGGGAGGTCGAGCTCCGATGCAGCGAGCTCGAGATCGCCAACCAAAGCGTGCGCCAGGTCTCGGCAGATCGTGAGAAAGTCCTCAACCGCCAAATTCACCACATGGAGGACCGCGTGCAGGAGCTTGAGCAAGCCGCCACCGAGTCATCGAACGATCTGCGCCTGTATCAGGGCCAGATCAAACGCGACACTGAGCACTGGTTCAATCTGCGACGGGCCATCGAAGCTAGCAACCCCGGCGAGCAAGAAAAGGTCGGCCTCCTGAACGACGGCATGGCTCGCACAATGCAACTCGTCGACCGCGCCGAGGCCATGTGCCGAACGATCATGCAGCAGCAGACCGGGTTCCACCGCGCTGAGGTGGATGTGAGGCGCGCGATGACCGCAGGTCAACGCCTAAGCTCTCACCTGGGTCTGACCCAGCCCCCAGATGCGAAGGACATGTCAAGCGACAAAGACACGATGGACGGTGTATCTTCGTTCAAAGACGACGCGCCGAATGATAATGACACCATCATGCGCAGCACCACGCTGTCGGTAGCATCGGAGCCATACAGCCCGATGCTCACGGAGATGCACCTGCCTGCTAATCCTGGCCCGGATTTCATGGAAGGTGTCAAACCAACCGGTCCCGGCGTGTCCTGGGTCCAAGGAGTCTGGCCACCGATTCCGCCCCCTTCGCCCGTGAGCTCGGTCGATTCGGTTTGGGATGGGGATACCGCCGTGATCAGCTGCCCGCCAAGCACCCGGCTTCCGCCCCGAAAGCGCGCCCGGTACATCATGGCATCCGATGAGAGTTCCTCGTCCGATGATAGTGACTTGTTCGATTTGGATGACCTGCCCATGCCGACCTTCAAGCGCATGAAGGTGTGCGGTGGCTGTGGACGGCCCGACCAAGTCCCGCCGTACGAGATCCCCGTGCGGACAGTGGAGATGGCAGACGCCCCCATCATGGAGCCTGAGACTGGCACGTTTAGCTCGATTCCGAAAGCCGCCGCCGATCCCCAACCCACCCCGGCACCACAGAATGTTGGATATCTTCCGTCGTCCGATTCGCCGCCGGCATTGAAACCTGCTCGGTCCAACAGCAGCGTCCAGATGACACCCCCTTTCGTGGTCTATGCCGTCCATCCCGAGCCACCGCGGCCCAAGGATTCGTCGATGGTCTCACAGGGGACGCAAGTGAGCGACCGCCAAGCCCGTTGGGACCTCTCCATCGAAGCTGGCGAATTGCCCATTCGATCCGTCCAGACGCAGACCGACAAGCCGCCGGTTCGGAATCAAGGCACCCAGACGGACAGAGGACGCGTCTCCCGTTCCAGAGAAAAACGGAAGACAGCGATGCGAATAGACAAACACAAGACAAGCCGACCACGTCCACGGCCACGTCCACTCATGCGACCTCAGCGAGCGCTGGAGCCAAAGCGGTATTCGATGCCGGGAAAGTGGCCACTGAGTCCAGTTCCCGAGGATGCAGCTCATGGATCAGACATGGCAGAAGCTCCTCGCCACTCGGGAAGCACCATGCATGGAATTCTCGACAGCTACCAGCAGGTCCACCACGGGGTGGTGACTTGGCTGACTCGGTTGCTCCAGATGCAGCCGCGAGAGATGATCTGCAGCGTGGTTGGTCTGGCGGCGTTGTTGTACTTGTGGCATGGTTACCGCGTTCATCGCCACTGGATGCTGGTGAACGAGATCCCCCGGGGTGTGGTGGAGGGGCTGCGCAACCGGCCCATGTCTGATTCCGGTATGGTCGAATCGATCACCTTCGGCCTGACGACGGCGTTTAATGTCGACCGCTCAACTCTGGGCTGAGGGTGAAATTGTTTATATGGGGTGTTTTGTTGTTTTCGTTGTTTCGATAGAAAACTGTGGGATTTGTTAATGTACAGTCGCGGGGAGAGTGTATGAGCCTGCGAAAACACAATTCCCACAGTGTCAATGAATGAATGCATGGATTTGACCACCATCGATGCCACTATCGAGTGGATATAGAGATATCCCTTGGACGTGGTAAGATGTAGAACTGTCAGTTTTAGCGCCTTCCCTAAAATAGACAAAACACCAACCAATAGAACGGCAATACTGTTTGATACCAGTTGATACCTGCTGTACGCCACATTGGCGCACTAAATGTATAGTAAGCCGGTATTGTGATGTATCCGCCAATGGTGGATTGCATGCCACGCATCTGCTGGCGTCATCACCTCCACCGGGATCGACTCCCCTTAGACGCTTGACGCACCCCCTCTTAACTAACTCTAAGAAGAATATCTTCTTCTTTCAACTTGGAATCCTCCAGCCTTCTCTATTTTGCCGATACCATTCTCGTCCTTGACGTCCGCTCTTTACCATACTCAAATCTTCAAATATGTTTCTTCGCTCTATGCTACTGGGTGGCGCTGCTGCCCTCGGCGCCAGCGCTGTCCTGGTCGTTCCCGAGATGGAGCCTAAGGTCGACGCCGTCAAAGATGGCTTCATGAATGTCCATCCGATGCTGCTGGCAGATGCCCAGCAGGCAGTGGTTGACCTGCCCTGTACCGAATGTCCATTTCGAGAAGTTGATGAGAAGGGCACTGTCAGCTGGACTGATGGCATACCCTCAACCTTGGTATGTCTCCCCTGGTTGCATAGTTTCATAGGTCGGCGACAGACTGCTAACACCCCGCAGATGCTGGATTTCTCTGTCGTTGATAACCGTCTGCTGGCCAACGGTCGCCAAATCTTCCCTCCCGGCCCTGCCTCTCCCATCCTGGCTGTTCAACAACGGGTAGATGGCAAGGACTCTGACCCCATTCCCGTTGGCTATGCTCTTCAGACCGGTGTCATGGCCGCCAAATCCGATGAGCCTGATGTGAAGATGGCTGAGGTTCGCTTCACTGTCTTCAACCTGGAGGGCCAGCCTGTTCCCGTTGATACGGTGGCAATTACTGTCATTCAAGACGCCCAGGGGCTGCTCTTGATTGCCCGCGCTGAAATTGAAAAGACAGCTCCTCCCTCGGGCAGTATCTCGTGGAAGGATTGCCAGGGCAAGGGCAAGGCCAAGTGCATGCAGGAGTTGATGGTTGCTCGTGTGCAGGGCCTGCTGACAGCTGCCAAGGCACGGGTGATGGGTATGGCATCTGGCCGCAAGCCTTGCCACGGAAAGCACAAGGGCAAGGGCAAGCACATGATGGGACACCATGGCCACAAGGATGCGATTGCTGCTGCTCTTTTCCCTGGGCTCGAGGGCGAGGGTTTCAAGCACGGCGACCACCCTCACCACCCTCACCACCCCCACCACATGCACCGTGGTGCCTTTGCCCGTGCCTTCTCTCGTATGGTGCGATTCATTGTTGTCCCGGCTGTTCTGGGTGTCCTAGCTGGTTTGACGGCCAGTGCCGTTGGCATGCTGATCGGACAGCTCGTGGTTTCCCTCTGGCAGCGCTACCGGGGCACCAAGCCCCAGGAGCACCGGGCTGCCTGGGAAGATGGTGATGCGTGCGAGAAGCAGGGTCTGATGACCGAGCCTGAGGATGTGCTTCCCGTGTACACCGAGGAGCCTTCAGAGACCCGAGTGTCGACAGACAAGACCTAAGGCTTCTGTGACTCTTGATTTAATGACACTGTCTCCTGTATCGGGCGACACAGCGAATTTATTGCGACTAGTCAGGTTACCAGAAACATGACAAGCTCACCCGGTGTTAGGATGTTTTTTTTTTATTTAGCCGAGAATGCATTCATTCTCTGGCTTGCTTTCATTTTCATGGCCTTTGTCTTCTATGGTCTGTTTTCTTTTCACCTACCTCTGATATCAAGCTTGTACAGCGAATTTCCTTTAATCAAGTCTGTTTTAAGTCATTATCTCTTGAGTCGTAGTGTAGACATCAACAGTCCAGGACATAAGATCTCGACCACGGTTCGGGAGGCAAATACAACTTAGGATCTACACCACAGACTTGGTAGCCATTCTGTCATTCAATTAGTCTTTCTTATGGTTATTCTACAAGTTGCTGAAGAATAGATGTCTCCCCGGTACAGTCAGTGTAAGGCTGAGCGGGGTGCACGTGACGACAGGCATCACCACGCTTCCCCCTCTGTGATCCATTCAACACCCACCCGCCGCATGTCCCCGTGCTGCAGGCCCAGTGCTCGGCCAAACATGATTTGGGCTATACAATGACCTTCCAGCTTCTGTTTTCATCCAGTACGGCTTTGCATCTTCCGTACCCGGACCCACTTGACATCTGAGCTTCGCAGCTCTAGCTCCGACATCATCGGATAGCCGTGCGCTCTCAAGACGTTCTCAACCCCCAATCCCACCCATACTTCCCACCATGCTACAGTGGAATTCATTCGTGCAAAAGGCTCAGTCCCTGATTGACCCAGCCAACTTCAACATCCCCGCCCTCTCCTCATCCGACCATAATCCCTCCAAGGCTTCGTTATTCCGCCAACAATTCCGCCTGCCCGACTCGCAGAACCCCCTCCAGGAGATTACTGCCGACCTTGTCCTTCCCCTACCAAACTCATCGGGAACTCAAGGCGATCGTCGGGTGGACCGGGCAGGTGCTCGCTACACTGGGCGTCTACACCTGAGTGAACGATTCATCTGCTTCTCCACCCAGCCGACGAGCTTCTTACCTTCCGCAAGCCTAACTGCCTCTACCAACTGGACCGGGCAGACACATGGGACAGGCCCGTCTGGAAATGGCTTCACCCTCCCCCTTTCCTGTATCCGGCGGGTGGAACGCCTCCACAGCGCCAGTCATGTGTTCTCTCTGGCACTGACGACGTGGAATGGCCTGCTAAGCAAGCAGCAAGAACCTAATTTTGTGCCTCAGCGCCTCATTATCCAGCTCGTCGGTAGCAGACAGTCCTCTGAACGGTTCTGCGACTGTCTCAAGAAGGGCTTGCGGGAAGGCATGAAAGAAGTGGATAACTTGCGGCTTGTTGTCTCGGATTGCTACTCGGAATATCTGCTATCGGGTGCCAAGGGGAAGTCTCAGGAAGGGAATGAGGCGGACGCTCGTCAGCCACCAGATGCTGGACTGGGCATGATTTTCCGTTACCCTGGCGATGCGCGCAAGCTTCGGGATCGCAGTAAGATGCGACTGTGGGGCGAATACTTCCGAGGTGAGAACATCCTGCGATACTGTGCTATGACCCATTAACTAACATTATTATTTTAGAAAATGGTCGCAATACTACCCTTGTTCGCCAGCCCACTTTTCACAAGTTGATTCGTGTCGGTCTACCGAATCGTTTACGTGGAGAGATCTGGGAACTCACGTCTGGCTCTCTTTTCCTTCGGTTACGATCACCCAATTTGTATCAGGAGACTCTAGCCCAATTTCAGGGCCAAGAGTCCCTTGCCATTGATGAGATTGAAAAAGACTTGAACCGGAGCTTACCAGAATACCCTGGCTTCCAAAGTGAGGAGGGTATTGGACGTTTGCGACGGGTCCTCACGGCCTACAGTTGGATCAATGCCGAAATTGGTTACTGCCAGGCCATGAATATCGTCGTTGCAGCATTATTGATGTTCGCCAACCTCAATGTCATTCCAGAAAACAAATGCTAATGTCGACCTAGATATATGTCTGAGGCCCAGGCCTTCTCTCTTCTGTCTGTGCTATGTGACCGTCTTCTACCCGGTTACTATTCCACGACTATGTATGGCACACTGCTTGATCAAAAGGTCTTCGAATCCCTCGTGGAGAAAACCATGCCTGTCCTATGGGATCACCTCGGCAAATTCGATGTACAACTCTCCGTTGTGTCATTGCCGTGGTTTCTTTCCTTGTACATCAACTCTATGCCGCTTGTCTTTGCCTTCCGTGTATTGGATGTTTTCTTCCTGGAAGGACCCAAGGTTCTTTTCCAAGTTGGTCTTGCCATTCTTCGGGTCAATGGCGAGGAGCTTCTCGATGTCCAAGATGATGGATCGTTTATTTCCGTGCTGAAGTCATACTTCTCACGCTTGGATGAATCTGCCCACCCCCGATCAGAAAATCCCAAGCTGAGAGCCATCACTCGGTTTCAAGAACTGATGGTGGTGGCTTTCAAAGAATTCTCAGGCATTACCCACAGCACGATCACTGAGCAGCGCGAAAAGCACAAGGATGCTGTGTTGGAGAACATTGAAAACTTTGCCAAGCGCACTTCTATCCGCAACCTTGGACCCGAGAGCAAGCGCCTAAGTGTGGACGATCTGGGAACTATTTACGACCGCTTTTACGAAACCCTATATCAATGGCAACAGCACCAGAGGCTTATTGAGGAGGAGAGGAAGCGACAAGAGAAGAAGAAATCCGAGCGTCTATCGATCCTTGCACCTACCGAGAGCGAAGTCGGCCGGGTTGGTCTCGGGCCCAGCCCTACACATATGGACTATGAGGCCTTCCGAGAGTTTTTGGCGGCCACATCGAAGTGGGCAGCTGGTGACTCGCCCGCCCCCTCCAGAAAAAATTACCCGGGTGACCAGGGTTATCACAGCCAGAAGGGCTCCACCAAGTCGCTCTTGTGGGCAAATCGCCGACTGCCAGCGGACCATGAATTCATGCAACGCCTCTACCGCAAGTGGGCTACCGATCCTACCGAGGGATTGAGCCTGCAAAATGTCGTGAATGGCCTGGCGCGCCTCAAGGGGTCGCCAGATATCATGAACAACATCAACTACTTCTTTGATCTCTACGATGACAGCGGCAGTGGCGAGGTTGACCGCGAGGGGATTCTCAAAATGTCAGAGGCGCTGCTGTTTCTTTCCCGCCGAGGGTTCGAGGGAACCATCAGTGCTCCTACTCAGTCATTGGAGGATTTGAATGGACCCCGCGATCGTGAGCACGCCGAGCAAAACCGACTCACCGCTGATGAGAGATTCCTTGGAAGTGTCAGCGCGTTCATTCGTCGTTGTTTTGAATATGCCGATCCCAGCCATCCGCAGAACCAGGGCACTGCCAAGAACAATGTTACAGAGGCAGCGGAAAAACTGGACTCGTTTGCTATCGGCGGTGACGACGACGAAGACCTGATCGATGTGGATGGGGATTCTAAGTCCAACAAATCGCCGGTGTCAGAAGCATCGCCCCGGCCAGCCAAGTCCAACAACCCCAACGCGACTACTCGAGGACAGAACCGGCAGGCATCCGAGTCTGCTAACCCAGCCCTCGACCCCAACAACCCTCTTCACATCACTCTCCCCACGTTCCGAATGGTTGTGTTGGCCGACGAACTCTTGGAGCAGTTCTTTGAATCTTATTTCCCGCAATCCTTCCATCTTTCTGACCATCCGCACCCGGCCGCTCTTGCCGCCTCCTCTTCGCTCTCGTCCAACCTGACGACCTTCTCCAACCTTGGCAGCCTCCGATCACCCCAGCTCGGCGCCGCCTCGGGTGTCTCTGTTGCCGGCGCCTCCGGGGGTATCGTGCCCCCCGGCAAGGGCCTGCGTGGCGTCCTCGACAACATCGTCACCGACGGTATCCGCATGGCGGCCGAAGTCAAGAAAAGATGGACGACGCCCAGCGCGAGCTCGAGCGCAACGCTCTTGGTCGCGACGAAGACGACGATGAGGAGGACGAGGAAGACTACCCCCGCCGTGCTGACGCTAGCGCCGCCGCCATGGCCGGCGGAATTGGCAGTTGGGGCGCTGGCGCATACGGCGCCGACCCCGAGCGCCGCAGTGTCCGCGAGGCGGACCGAGACTTGTTGGAAGGCGCCGAGGTGGTCAGCGTTCGCGGCAAGGACGAGTCATCGTCTCTGCTGGAAGGCAATGAAGACTCCGAACTACCAGCGAACAAGGCCGTTGGTAGTCCTACCGACCACTCCGGGGGCAATTCCTCATCGAACCACGATGTTGAGGTTGTTAGCAAGGTCGTCGAGTTTGACTCATGATAATATCCCGTGTGCCCTATCTCTGGTTTTTTGTGTCATTTCTTCTGCGTTTTTTTTTTTTTTTTTTTTTTTGGTCATATGGGTCTCCTTGCCCTCCTATCCCCGCTGCCCCTTTTTTTCTGTGTGCTCTGCTTGGGTTCTTTAGCTATGACATCGTGCCAATTATTTTTTTCGTCTGCATTTCGATGCATTACACCTTTGTTGTCTCTGACTTTGGTTCGTTTTGCTTGTGGGCTGGGTTCGTTGGCAGAAGCTAGATGCGATCAATGGTCTTGTCCATAGAAATCCCCTGGAAATATATCAAACAGGCGTCGAGGTACCGAGATGGTGTTTATACATTCTGATTGCGGATTTTTTTCTTCTCCCCCTCCCCACCTTCCTTCTAAAGCATTCTTATTATCGATTTAGAAAAAAAATCAAGTTCTCAAGAGTGTACATAGGATGGGAGCTACTGTTTACGCTGCAATGGATAAAATCGAGAGCAAGAGAAAAGAAATGAAGAAATCGAAATCGGAGAATCATCATGGTCATGGCAGAATGACACTGTCTATGTACAACATAATCATCAGAGTAAAAAAAAAGTATTGAGACATGTCCTTTGCAAGAAGAAGCATGCCTTTTCACCCAGGGAAATACATGCATAGAAGCATCCATTCCCTTCGGACACGGGAATCAAAGGGTATTATAAAAGACAGAGACGAGGAAACAGGGGGAAGAACGGGTATATTCGGAAGAAGGGAGTGAGGAAATGGACGAGAAAGAAGATCCTCCCGATGGTCCGTCCCTTCCATCACTTTTTTTTAGGCCATGCAGAAAGAAAGAGGGAAAGGAGGGCCAGGTAGAAAGGACGATGTTAGGGGGGAGGGGAGGAGGTATAACCGAAAAAAAGAAAATCCACTTGACAGGAAATATACGACTCCAACCCCCAGCCCAATTAGAACAAACATCCATGAGCCAAGAGGCGATTTAATCCTTCTGGCCCTCATTCTCGACCATCTCCAGAACTATCTGGCTGCGTTCATACTCGGGGTGTTGCATGCAAATCTTGACCGTGTACCCACTACCGGCCCCGGCAACGCCGTTGGCACCAGCCGAGAGACCACTAGCGAGATTCATCAAGCCACCGGTATTCGCCTGGGTGTGGGTGCCAGGCATTTTGCTTCCGTCATCCAGACAGACGACATTGTGGCCCGGGATGACCTGTCTCAGGCGGCCGTTCATTGCGTTGCGCACCTCGACGAAGTCGTCATTGAACAGGATCAAGAACCTGCCATGGAGACAGGCCGAGTGGGCGCTGCCCACAAACTCCATGACCACGCTGCGGGACACGTCGCCGTGCTTGTTGACATACACCGCGCATTCCTGGTAGGCGACCAAAAACTCGCTTTCGCTGAGCCGGAACATGCCCAGGGGGCGGAGATCTTTGATTCGGTTTGCGATGCTGTGCAGGGTGTCCTGGGCGTCTGGGGCCTCGGAGCGAAAGTCTGGGACGGACCAGGACTGTTTCTTGTCGAGGGTAAGGACTTCGATGCCTCGGTGGGTCGAGATCGCGAGCGACGTGTGGAACATGTTGATACTGTAGCTTTCGGCTGGGATGTAAAACTCGTCATATTCACGGAAGAACTCTGTTTGCGAGCGACGATGGAAAAATCGCCCTTTGTTGTTCGCTGATTTCTGAAGCACAGGCTCCAGGACCTACATGTTATCAATTTACCGTCAGTTATCAACTCTAAGAAAGTCGTCGACATGAGTCTGCATACCTTGAACGTAGACGAAAGCCCATCCCGCTTCTTATACAGCACCAGATACCGATCCTTCATACGCCCTGCGGCAAAGAATCCCACTTCGCGGTTCCCAGACAGTTTCTGCGGGGCTCGCCGCGATGAGTCCTGCGACTGGGCGGGAGCACCACTGGCGGGACAGACCACATCGAGATGATAGGCAATCAGAGACCTGTCTGAGATGAGCATGAACAGGTTGAATTCTTCGAACACGGCCACTTGGGTCACCCGCATTATAGGAATCGCTCGGTACCAGCCCCGCGGATTGTTGAGCTCAGACATGTACACGCCGTAATCAGTGCCAATGGCGCACATGATCCGACCAGGGGGCTGCTGGAAGATGGTGGCACAGTTGACTGCGGCCCTGCATATGGGGGCAGGCCGGGATTTGGAGCCCCCGTATTTCTTCTCTACCTCCCTGATCGCACGATGCAATGGGGTGCCCTTGATGGTGACACTCTTGGAGCCAGTCGCATTGTCAGAGTAGGCGAATGCCGTGTCGGCAAGAACTCGGAGTCGGAATGGCTCGGCATTTTGTGAGAAGAGCGCTGCAGCGTGTTTCGTCTTCGCCTCAATGATTTTTTCGCACCAGTCGTTGCGGCTTTGAGCAGAGAATGCGTACAGAATGTAGATTTCTTGTTTGCCCAGATGTTTGATCTTGAACGGGTAGAGAATCTTGTCATCCTTCGAGTTGTCAAGAACAGTCGCTTGACCGAGACTCTTGCCAGAAGATGCAGACACTCCCGAGACAGACAGAGCGGACCCCGAGTGTGTCAGAGGGCTCACACTGCCTTGGGAAGGCGTGACAGTTGAGACACCTCGCATGGATGACTTGATGACGGGGTCATCCTTGGTGCTTTCCAGAACTAATAGATCCATCGGGATAGGCAATTTCGACACATCGTACCGCTCGTACTTGAGGGTTCGCGAAGAGTCTCGAGTGGAGAAGGTTTTAGCAAGAACGAGATAGTGGTCGAGCAGGATGGCATGGGTATCGACAAGGAATCGAGTCCGGGTCCCTGGGCGCTGTAGGTCCCCCCGAAAAATGATCTCGCGACCCAGGTGTTCCATATTGAGCTCCACTTTCTTCTTCATCTCCGGCCGCAATTGCAGCTTGGCCGCCAGTTCCATTAGGTCGGCCTTTTTATTCATCTCGCCGACTTTGTTATCACACTCCAACGCCACGACCTTGACTTCCTCAATTGCTTGTGCCACATTTGTCTTTTCTTCTGAATCCTTGACCATATTCTTGTGAATGGTGGCAAGCAAGAGGGTATATCGTTGAATTCTGGTGATTGGGGCTTTGAGGAATGTGTCCCAGCTTAGCCGGTTCGACAGCTTGTGTTCCCGTACTTGGTTCAAGAAATGCTTGAAGTGGGAGTTACGCTCAGCCTCTTTGCGAACAAGGTAGTTTGCAGCCGGGAAGGTTGCCGCATAGTCAATGTAAACGTTTTTGGCCTTGCGAATCCATTCCCTGAAAATGTCACTGAAGCCGGTGATGAAAGGGCCCTGCTCTTTCTGGCGATATTTGAGCTGCGCCAACAAGAAGTCTTCATTGACCTTCTTCACGGCGTCGACTTTGCCGAAGACGTCGTAAAGGAATTTGCCGAGCCGTTTTGGCGCGATGATCGAGGGATTCATGTTCGCCAATTGGTCCCGATACAACTCACGTAACACGTCCAGTTGCCCAATGTAGGCATCTTCGGTGGTGACGATCTCGTGCAGGTTGTTCTGTCGATCGATCTCCTTTCTCGGATGAGACTCCCAGACTTCTTTGGGCACCTTGTAGAAGGTAACCCAGTCCTCCACTTTCCTCTGCGGTGCCATCATCTGCGCCTTCAAATTGACCTTCTTCAAAGTTCGCATGCAGTGGTGGGAGTAGCACCGCGCAAAGGCATCGGTATCGTGGATGTGCATTTCTTGCTCGTGCAGCTTGGGCGAGTAACACCCGGTCCCAGTAATTTGAAACAGGACTCCTGACAGACGACCAGAGCTGAACTTGACCCATTCTTCTTCTTTAACCAATGCTTCTTCCTGAAGCATACTGTTGACAACGCGTGCTGCTAAGGTTTCTGCATCGGCAATATTCATTGTCGGAACCTTGTGGGTAAACAATGCAACGATAGCGTCAACGACGGCCTGTTCCCTGAGATCGGTTTCCTCCTCGCTGAGATCTCGAATCCACGACAAGATGGAGCTGAGAGCCCATGGCTCACTGCACTTTTTAAACTGCTCAGATGACAGTTTTGCAGGGTGGAACTTCTTGCGACGTCCGGCCGGGATAGTCGGCAAGTCCAATGCCACAGCTGCCGCGGCCGCTTGGGACGGATCAATCTGGGGCAAATCTTTGTTCTGAAGCTGCCAGAGAGTCTCTTGTTGCTGCTTATATTTGGCTCTGTCTGCATCAGTCTTGGACCTGATAGGCGGATCAGTGCGCGGTCCAATTGGAGTCGACAGAGATGACGACCGTGGGACTTGGGATGGGCTGAGTAAAGGTTGTCCATATGAATCCGCTGAAACCGGTAAAGAAGGGTGTGTGAAATTTTCATTGTCGTGCACGTCATCCTGCTCTGGGGGGCGATAGGTGCCAGCAGGCATAAGGTGCGAGAAAAGATCAGCACCGCCGGCCGGCTCAACAGGTGCAGGCGGCAGCGGGCGCATCCCAGGGTGAAAGAAGAGATCTCCCTGTGTGCCCGGGTAAGGGCTTTCGTCATCAGATTGATCTGCATCATTGTGCTGTTCATAAGGACTCTCTCCTTCGTCGCCATAATCGAAACTCATTCGCCGACCATAGGCGTCAGGCGCCGACAAGCCCCCCGTTCCTCCGGCATCAACCCTGGCATTTGGCGGTAGATGATGAAAACGTTGGGCATATTCGTACGCTATGGGAGGGTGATCATAGTCATCAAGATACGCTCCTCGTTCATCTGGAGAGAGGTTGGAACTCCTGAGCGAACCAGATGTACCCTGGAATCTCTCCCCAGCAGCCAGGTCTGAGTATTCTTCGGAACTGTAAGCCCGCTCCTCGCCGTAGTGAAGGTTCCCTTGATATCCTCCTCCATACAGTGCTAGATCGTGGCCGATAATTTCGCTGTCTTCCTCGGGGCCGGAATGCGGCGAAGGCCCTGCCGGCGACGGACCTCTGAGTGACGGGTGCGATCCGCGGGAGCTCATGACGGAGTTCATCGTCCCGCGTCGAATAGGCCCGTGAAGGCGCTCGCGATCTTCTTGGGCCTTTTCCTCCTCGTCCGCCATCCGTAGCATAGCAAGGCCAGCTTCAGCCTCCGCATCACTTTCATCACTGTGGGCAGCATAATTGACAATATGCCCTGTCCCTGTTGCCATATTGCCATTGGTATGGGTATGACGCTCATCAGGCGATAGGGGCATGTGAGAAGCTGAGTCGGTACCGGATACTCTTGAGCTGTGGCTCCGACCAAAGCTGCTCTGGGTGTCCATCACTGCCGCCTCAACCTCTTTCATCAGCTCATCATAACCTGCGGCATCATTGGCCTGATACGAGGTGGATGATGCCTGGCCGTTGAGAACCGGCTCGCTTTCTATCGGTGGTCCGGGTAAAGGCCGCGACTGAGGATGTCGAGTCAGAGTATCGGTTCGCCTCGGCGGCGCTTGCGCAAACCCTGCAGCTTGCTGTACTGGCGGTGTTGGGAGTCCGCGTCCCGACCCAGAATGAGAGACACTGGGTCGCTTGCCATACAACCCATCGCTGGGGGTCTGGTGCGCAGGTGGTTCGGGGGGTTGCTCGCCAAAGGAGGTACTCATAGTCGCTGTCGGGTGGGGAAAGAATTGTGATTCATAGCCAGACCCTTGAGAGGAATAGAAGTGCGTGCGAGTCGCGGATGTTGCCAGATTAGCCCCGGATGGAGAGTTCGAGATCGTATATGCGGTTTGAATGCTCGGCGACGAGATCGCTTGGTAGGCGGGCGCGCTCGTAGTAAGCGGTTGGGATAAGCCAGGTGATGATGCATATGAAGACAGACGCCCTCCGTACGGGTGATCGGGCCCTCGAGGTGGGGGAATCGGAGGCTGCTGGGAAGGATACCCATACGACTGTGGAGTCGGGGGTGTCTGTCCATACTGCGAGGCTACACTGGGTCGACGCGGGACACTCGAGGTTCCCAGGCCAGACACGGTAGCAGACTGATATGCTGCCGGGTTGTATGGCTGGTGACTCGAAACCGGGCTGGAGTAAGAGGCCGTGCTGGCGCCACTGTATGCCAAGGGATTATATCCTAGAGTTTGCGGTTGTGTCTGTGGAGGGGCGTACTGCTGCGGATTATACGTCTGACTCGAGGATGTTGCTGGCGGGTATTGGTACTGATATCCCGACATGACCGAGGTCTGAGATGAAGCGCGACTCGGGGACATTCGCGTGTCTTCGGAAGTGTACGAGGTGCTATCGTCCTCATATGCCCCGTGCGAAACGCGGTAGCCTCCCTGTTCGACACCACCATATCCCCCTGGGTGGACCGCGTATCTTGCATTCCCATCGGTCGCTCTCACATTTTGCATCTGTGGGGTGTTGAAGAATTGCGACTCATCTCCGGCGTTATAACTGGGCATGCGTCGGGGGAGTCGCTGGTTCGGAACAGGGTTAGGCCGTGTGTAATTATCATAGCGACCAGGGACCGGTTGACCAGAACCAGGTGGGTTGCTTGCTTGGCCATAGTATGCCTGTTGACCGTTGGGATGGTGTGCCATTGCTCCGCACCGGGGACTGATCCAGTCGGGGATTGGCTCGGGTGTTAACGCGCCTGCGGCCTGCTCAAGAACACCTTCTCAGAGCAGGAAAACACCAGATCTGACGCAGCGCAGTCGCAGAAACCAGCGACCGTGGGAGAAGGGCAATCGATCTCATCCGAGTGAAGGGCGGGGGGCAAGTGGGCAGGTGACGGACTGACAGACAGGTGAGGGCATCCCTCGAGAGAAAACGAGTGTCGCGGGGATAAAAACAGAAGTGTGAAAAGGGGATCCCCCAAACAACAAGGCAGGTCTGCGCGTGAGGTGGATGGGGAGAGAGAATGTTGGCTTACAGCGAACTCTAGAATCCGCTGTGCCTAAACGAAGAGGTACTGGGCACCGGCGCGACCGCCGTTCCCCACCGCCAATCCCAGGTACCAGTACATCTGGATGTTGACTGCTTTTGATGCCTGAACAACTTATGCGAGTCTCTTAAGAGTCGCATAAGCTCACCAGTTCAAATGTCAGTCACTCTTTGCCATGGATCTTCCTGGTTCTTGATTTGATTTCTCTCGCTTGACGTCTATTTATTCTCCGCATATGACAGGGGTTCCACTCTGTTAATATATCCAGCATTTGGCTTTTTCTTGCTGGCTTGGATCTCCCCTGGTCTATTTAGGGTCTTAAGGGGGGCTGAATCTTTCAGCTGGGGAATATAAACAAGAAAACTGAGCCACTGCGCCCCATACTCTTGTGCACTGCCGAGAGCAACCTACTTGTTTACCAGCCACACATGCCTGATGTGGTTCCTGTTTACAATAATCCATGCATATCATGATTTTGAAATATGGTTGTTCAGGGTTGCTCATACTAGGCAGACCAACAGAATGCCCCTGATTCCTCTGTTAATTTGGGCCCAAAAAATATTGAAAATAATCTACAAAGGAATGGCAATTAGCTTGCATCTATCAAAGTGCCTCTATGGCGACAACGAGGCAAAGAAGATATATATTGCGAATCCGAATGTTGTTCTATACTGCCTAGGCGTGACTCGACTTGAACTCCGCCCAAGTCCTCTTCTCTCCTCCTCTACCTATCCTCCTCTCCATCAATTTCTTCCCTGATTCCATCGCTACTGGGCACTCAGTTGTGCTTTTTCAACAGTCCTCGCCCACAGCTGCCCTTTATATATATTCTTTTCCATGTGTGGGGGGGATTGGTGATCCCGCGACTACTCTATTGCCAATTCCTCTACAGTGGACCTCATCCTCTTGATTTACCATCTAGATCACGAGACAAGTGTTGCCTATGCAGGACGTATCCCTATCTGATCATTGATCTTGCAGAACAAGACCTAGCCATAACAAGACCTAAGATGGCTAGGGACACTTCTGTCGCTGGGCCTGTACAGTCAGGCCGAGTCACCCGATCAAACAGAAAGCCACGCATTCAAGGTTTCGCATCCTGTTTATTTAATTTGATCCCATTTGATGGAATAGGTGGTGCTAAATCTATCTAGTGGCACCCGAAAAACTTGCTGCTGCTGCAGGCATTCCGACCCTGGAGCCAGTATACGGACAGCCCCCTGCCTGGTCGGAGGTCTGTAACCCCCATCGTTAGGAATCGAGGGTTGTAATACCAATGCTTCTCCTAGAATCGTCCTGAACTCTGTGATGCACTCCCGTGGTTTCGCTCCACCCAGGGAGGTGCCTACCACTTGAACACCCTGTGCTTTGGCTTCTTGGTGGATGCTGATTGTGGTGACCGCTCATACATCGACGATGAGATTGTCATCACCAGAATGTGAGAATCATTGTTTGTGAAAGTCTGGTATATTGAATAATGTATATGCTAATTTAACCAGCGGTGGAAACTGTGTCAAGGACGCAGAGGGGAACTTGATCCTCACAAAGGACCTTGACGCAGATAAAGCGACTGTCAAAAGCATTCTGAACAGCCTGAGCATGAAAATTCCCATCGGCCTCATCATCGGTATATGATCCCATCTTGAGCAGACATTCATACATGGTATCGGGGTGTTGACTATTTCCATAGGGAATAGAAACACCCTCCTCAAGAGAAAGCTTCCTCATCGCTACAACGTCATGGATTGGTTCCGCATTACCAATGTCTGGCATGAAAAGATCGGAAACAAAACCGGCTTCAAGGTTCGTTTCGAAAAGCTGCATCTCTCGGAGAAGAGCTGGTGGGCAGCCAACGACTCTACCCCGGTTGTCCCTCTGGAGCAACGAGATTTCCACACCAAGCCAGCATCCATTCAGTGCCAGAAATGCCTCCGAGAGAGCCTTCGTCTATACAAGGAAGGGTGGATGTGTCTTGAGCCATCATGCGATGCATTCTGGAAAATCGACGGTGCCCCTGCCTCGGTTGTCCTTAGCTTCCATCCTGATTTCTTGAGCTTTCGTGCTCAGCCAGATGCAAGCATCAAGCCCCATCACAGCCTTGTGCCTGATCTCCTGTCAACCATCAACAACAAGGATGCAGATGTCAGCACAATTCGCATTACGTGGAAGGGTATAGTGTGCCCTCAGTGCTCTCGGTGCATCTCTCGTGTATTTTGGGACGGCTGGAAATGCACGGATGACCTTGCCAACAAATCCTCTCCAGTCAGCAATAATTGCACATTTGAGAAGATTTTGAACATGCCTCCAGTTTCTCTGCGCTCTGTCCTCGATGACCTGGAACTGGGGCCCATCAAGCGAGCACTGTTCTTTGAAGAGAAATTCGCCAGACCCGAGATAGATGATCAGTCCTTGTTCCCATACCGCAAGCTCACGTACAAAATCAGTGGCATCGGCTCCATCACCCACCTGGTTTCCAACAGGGCCATCAATAGCCGCAAGCATGGCCCTAATGAGCTCTTCAAAAATCTCCAAGAGCAAAATCTCGCTCTTCGACGGTATCCACTTCAGCAGAGCGTTGGTGAGTTATCCATCTTTGCAAAAACCCAAGGGAGTAACAACTAACCCGGGGACTAGTTGCCGGAACATTGACTGCCCACTTTGCTGTCAACTACGTAAGGAGACAATGGTCTTTCCCCGAGCGTCAGCACTGACCACTGACTAGGGAATGCCATACAAATATGTTGTATCTGTGGATTCCAAGGGCTTTGATGAAGCGTCGGATGAGGTCCTGCGAGCATTGGGCCGTTTGACATGGGCCACCAAAATGGCAGTCACCAGTGCGGGTGATGAGTTCCTAGCTCCCAACGAGCTGCTGATGCTTGGCTACCTCGAAGGGATGAAGATCGGGGTAAGTCCCATGTGGATGAGAATGTTCACCACCAGCTAAGTTCTCAAGTATCATGACGATGGCGAAGCATCGCTGGGTCCAACCATCGCTACCCTTTCTCTCGGAGCCAAATCAACCATGTTCATCCGCATGAAGTACAGGTACTACAACGGGCTCAGCCGGGTGAAAAAACCACTTGAGGAGGACCCTGTGCTCGAGCACTGCAAGTTCGAAGCCAATCGCCGGATGCTGAAGGACCAGTTTGAGGCTGGGCAGATCTCGAAACAGAAGTATGACTCTGATCGTCGCAAGCTTCTCGGGGAGACCAAAGGCGGGGAGGCACACCCCATCATCAAGATTGAGCTCAACCATGGAGATTTGGTTGTCATGCATGGAGAAAAGCTGCAGAATTTCTACGAGGTTGGTCCTCCTACTCCCTTTTAGCACACGAGATGGGTTGTCTCTGACCTGTGCAGCATTCTGTGGTGCCCGAGGACAAACTACGCTTTGCTCTGACCGCGCGATACATCAAGCCTGGTCATATCAACAACCACGATCGAAAGAAAGGGAATTTTACTCTCACCCCCGACCAAATTTACGATGGACAATGATTCGATTTACCAATCTCGCATTTCCACGTTCTGACTCTCCGCCGATATACTATTATCTCCTGCGTGTTCCTCGACTATATTATTATCGACATTTCTATTTCCGATTTTATTCCTGCTGTGCAGAGGGTGATTAACTCGGCTCAATGGGGAATGCATTCACGACTGAAGTTGACTATATTATATACCCCTGGTTATTCCTATGACTGCAAGGCTGTTTGCTGCATGTGGCGAGAGATAATTATTAGCTATATCCACTTGCACGATATGAATTAACTCATGAATTGCTGCTGATAGTTTCTCTGAGCTTTACCGAAGAAGTGATTCTCGAGAATTGGAAGAACAAAAAAAAAGACCCGACTGTGTGCAGGCTGTGCAACTGCAACTCTTTCCTAGACAAAACCAGGGTATGACGAATAAGGCCCAACATGAACCCCCTTAGTCCGCCGACCCTTTTTTGAGGGTTTGGGGCCAGGGCGGGTCCCTCGATCACAGATTTGCCAATATCCGAGGCATTTCCCCATTGGCGTCATTCGGTACCATCGGCTCTCCAACAGCCTGCATACTAATAAGAACGGGGTCGGCCATGATCTTTTCTATTTTATTTTAAATTTCTCTTGATTTGATCTTATTTTCGCAGTCGAGATCACTCCTTGGCTATTCTTATACTGAACTGGTTTCATTGAACAGTTCGTCCGCGCCATCTGATATACTAAACGCAATCTGGGGTATTTCGCATTTCGCTGCATTTACCGATTTCCCCGCACACGCCCTCCACGTTTTCTAATCCCCCGGGTTTCACTCTGCTCGCCTTTTTTTTCACGCCTTTTCGCCGGGGTTTTTCATTTTCATTTATTTTTATTTTTATTCTTATTTTTATTTTTTTTTTCCTGTTATCTTGGTAGAGCAAGATCATATAGAGAGGTGAGTGTAAATTCCTTCTTGGGGAGATTCTAAGCTAATGAAAAGTCAATTAGCAGTGATCTTGTCCCCCTTTATACATACCTCTTTCAACTGTCATACGTAGATAGATATCACCGAGAAGAAAGTGACGCAAAAGAACGGCAGCCATGGTTTTCTTGCCGCCCAAAGAATACGGCCAGCTTGAAACGGTCTCCGATCACATCCCGATCTGCGAGTTCATGCTCAACGAGCAGCATGGACGGGTGGCCCATGACCTATCCAGAGATCCTTACACTTGCGGGATCACGGGCAGGTCGTATTCGTCGCGCGAAGTCGTCGACCGGGTCGACTCGCTGGCTCGCGGGTTGGCCAAAGAATTCGGATGGGCGCCAAACAAGGGCACGGAATGGGACAAGACAATGGCAATTTTCAGTGTGAACACGGTATGGATCGATGTCATTGACAAAGAAAGAAAAAAATAATAATAAATGACTGATGCCATTTTCTTGCCCGCATAGATTGACTCTCTGCCTCTGTTTTGGGCGGTGCACCGACTGGGAGGCGTGGTGTCTCCGGCGAATGCTGCATACTCAGCGCCCGAGTTGAGACACCAGCTGCTGGATTCCAAAGCCAAGGCGCTGTTCACTTGCATTCCACTGCTGCCCACTGCCCTTGAAGCTGCTGCCAAGGCCGGTTTTCCCAAGAGCCGAATTTATTTGATCGATTTGCCACAAGAGATCCTTGGGAGCACAAAGACTCCAACGGAATACAAGTCGCTTGCTCAAATCCTGGAGGCGGGCAAATCCCTCCCACCGCTGGAAGACCTGAAATGGGGACCGGGAGAGGGCACTCGCCGGGCGGCATTCCTGTGTTATTCCAGCGGCACGTCCGGACTACCGGTAGGTCGAATAGCGACTGGTCTCGTCACGCAAAGGCGGCATTCAACTGACAATGAGTGTAGAAAGGAGTGATGATCTCCCACCGCAATGTCATCGCGAACACACTGCAAATCAAGGCTTATGAGAAGAAGCACCGTGAAGCTGTACGGACCAGGTCAAGCCCCGTCCACACCGATATTGCGCTTGGCCTGCTGCCACAAAGCCATATCTATGCGCTGGTAGTGATCTGTCATGCTGGCGCTTACCGGGGCGACCAGACCGTCGTGCTCCCCAAGTTCGAGCTGAAGTCCTATTTGGCCTCGATCCAGCACTTTAAGATCACCTCGCTCTTTTTGGTCCGTAGCTTCCCGCCATGAAACTGGATTTCGTGAAAATGCTGACTTCGTAAATCAAGGTTCCCCCGATCATCATCAACATGCTGAGGAGCCCAGACGTATGCTCCAAGTACGATTTGAGCACCGTTCGAGAGCTGTTCACCGGAGCCGCACCATTGGGTACGGAAACTGCGGCCGAATTCCAGAAGGTTTACCCCAATGTGCTCATCCGGCAAGGATACGGTAAGACCTGACTTGACAGGCATTCCAATAGATCCCCAAAACTCACTTCGCTTGTGCAGGCCTAACGGAAACCTGCACGGTTGTGACTTCGACTCATCCCACGGATATTCTACTTGGCTCCTCGGGATGCATCATTCCCGGATTCGAGGCGCGAATCATGTCCCCAGAGGGCCAAGAGATTACTAGCTACGACACACCTGGCGAATTCGTGGTTCGAGGCCCCAGCGTAGTTTTGGGGTATTTGAACAACGAAAAAGCCACCAAGGAAACCTTCGAGGATGGGTGGATGCGCACAGGAGACGAAGCTGTGATCCGTCGAAGCCCGAAGGGCACTGAGCATGTCTTCATCGTCGACCGCATCAAAGAGTTAATCAAAGTCAAGGTTTGCAGCAACCCTGATTGATGCCTTCGGGAATTCAAATTCGACATATCACTGACAACATTGACCACAGGGTATGCAAGTCGCGCCTGCAGAGCTGGAAGCTCATCTTCTCGCCCACCCAGCAGTCGCAGACTGTGCCGTCATCGCCGTGCCCGACGAGACTGCTGGTGAGGTCCCAAAGGCCATTGTGGTTAAGTCACCCGCGGCTGGCTCGGATGAAGCAGCAAGTGAGTCCATTCGGAAGCATGTCCAAGATCACAAGGCTCGCCATAAGTGGTTGAAAGGCGGGGTGAAGTTTGTCGATGCTGTTCCGAAGAGTCCCAGTGGCAAGATCCTACGCCGGCTGATTCGGGACCAAGAGAAGGAGGCACGGAGAAAGACGGGAGTCAAGCTCTAGATGTAATTCACCATTCCCGGTTGTATATTTGAGAGTTGCGAGTTGTGAGTTGCGAGTTGAATCGAGCAGCATAGATAACGATAGCGCGTTTGCACTGTTTGTCGCGGGGTCGGATTTCTAAGCGGGGATTTTTTTGTAGAAAAAGCAGTTCGACTGGCGTCTTTTGCTTTCTCTTGAGTCGTCACATTCCAGAGATACCCAGTCTTTGTTCTTTTTCTCCTTTTCAATTTGAACAACTGAGGAGAGTGTCTGTGTCTGACACCATTATCGACTGCCAATCCTCAATTGCGCCAGAAAAAAAAAAGCTTGTATATCCATACCCACCTAAAGTATGTCGCAAGACCCCCGCCGAGAGGGTGAAGACGACGCCTATGTCGAAGCAGACGAGGCCGAGGAGATTTTCAACCGCGATGAAGACCACCCCATGGAATCGGACGGGGAGGACGACCAGCCCATGACCTACGAGGAGCAGATCACTTTCCAAAATGACTCGGCAGCGCATTTCGACTCTCACAACGACTCAGTCTTCTGTGTTGCGCAGCACCCCGTACACAACAACATCGTCATCACCGGTGCGGGCGACGACACGGCGTACATCTTCGACTCGACTCCAGGCGACCGACCCGTGCTCCCGCAAAGCTACGAGTCGAACCCGCAGCCCCGGGAGCGCGAATCCCTGAAGCCTGTTGTCAATTTGGACGGACACGCAGACACGGTGAATGCTGTGGCTTTTACAGAGCCAGCGGGCGAGTATGTCGTGACGGCGGGGTTGGATGGCAAGCTGCGCGCCTGGCGGGATACGACACCCCAGAAGACAGGTTTCGCGTGGGAATTTGTGGCCGAGGCGCAAGAGGTCGAGGAGATTAACTGGGTTGCCGTGTGTCCAAGTGACCAGAACACGGTAGAGAAACACAACGTCATTGCACTCGGCGCCAACGACGGCAGCGCCTGGGTCTTCCGCATCGACCACACCGACTCCGCGCAGCCCATTTCTATCATCCACAGCTTCTTCCAGCACACCGCATCCTGCACGGCGGGTGCTTGGACCCCCGACGGCAATCTGCTGGCAACCGTTTCCGAGGATGGGAGTTTCTATGTCTATGATGTCTTCGGTGCCGCGGCGGCCGCGGGCATCTCGGGATCCCAAGGCACGAGTGCTATCATCGGCTTGACTGCCGAGGACCAGCGGTTTGCCGTCGATGGCGGCTTGTATTCTATTACCGTGTCTCCCGGTGGTGGTATTGCGGCAGTGGGTGGCGCCGAGGGCCACATCAAGATTGTTGGTCTTCCTCGGCTGGCAGCCGGTGCTTCCTCCCAAGCTGCTAGCGGTGCCTCTGCCGCAGGCACAATTCTGGCGGCGCTCCAGGCGCAATCAGACGGTATCGAGACGCTGTCTTTCTCGCAACCGCCGCTCACCCTTCTTGCTGCTGGTTCTGTCGATGGTTCGATCGCGCTGTACGACGCAGCTCATCGGTTTGCCGTCCGCCGGCATATCAAGGAAGCACACGAGGGCAATGCCGTGGTTAAGGTGGAGTTCCTTCAGAGCCGTGTACCGACAGCTGCCCCTCGCTCCGGCCCTCTTGCCTCTGCCACTGCAGGTCAGGGTCGGTCATGGCTGCTGACGTCTGTTGGGTTGGACGGTGTTGTGCGACGCTGGGATGCTCGTGGTGGCACCGCCGCTGCCGCGCAGGGACTGTTGAAGGAGTGGAAAGGTCATATGACCGCCACGGAAAACGAGGATGGCGAACAGGCCGGTGGTATTATGGGCTTTGTACAGGGACTGGATGGCAAACGCATTGTCACGGCCGGTGATGATGGGATCTCTTTGGTCTTTGAGGAGTAAGGTGTCTGCGATTCCCCCAAGGTTACCGAGGTATATAGACTGCTCGAGTCGCGAGGCTCCAGCATCGTATTGATGTGAATTATGATATCATGCCACGCCATTGACTCTATAAACGAGCTAGAAGCTTTAAACCCCCATCCCAATGTATAACTATCCCATTGGATATCAAGAACACAATTCGGATAGCTCTCGGTAGAACAATGAAAAGACATCTGGATGTGGTAGTTGAACATAAGCTATGTACACGGAAATCAACCCAACCCAAAGCGCCGTCTGTATCTCTGCCATGACACGAACAACGACTCCTCTACCGGCCGAAGCCACCGCTGCCACCAGCAAGTGCCTGGAGTTTATCTCACCAACGGGATGCGAGGTCCTCCCGCCTGTTTGGGTATCCGTCCTCCACTCAATCGCTCGGTCGGCGGGAGCCTCAACTGCTCTACATGCATCTCCAATGTATGAGCTTTTTAGTGGTGGGCATCACCGTGGTGGTGGTCATCCTTCAGGAAGAAGTGCTCATATGTGCAGTAGGCGGCAAAAGCGACGGTCGCAATTCCGAAACCGGGGAAGAGTCCCTTGAAGCGATTGAACCGAGAGAAGGGACCGGTGTACCGCCAGGTCTCACTGTAATCAGAAGAATATGCACTGTTAGTGACCGCGAATTCCCCTCAGATTGGAAAGGCTATCATCATACTTGCGTGTCCAAGGATCTCGGCGGGCATAGACAGATGACGGAGAGGCCGCAGCCTTGAACTCCTTGAGATCGAATCCAGTAGGGTTTCGAGCAGGCATAGTGGAGGAATTAGGGAGAGAGCGAGAGATCCGGCGAGCCCGTTCAAGGGGAGAAAGAAGAGTTCAGGCAGACTTGGCAGAACGGATGGGCGCTAAGCCCAAGGCGGAAGCGCAATAGCTTGCCCGCCTTCGAGGAAACCTGACCCTCTCTCCGCCCAATTCACCTTGGAATGCGCACCGAGTTCCTACAATGCCTCCTCCCGTCGGCCGATATGGGCCCTCTGGCCTAGGCGCTCCTTATTCCCTGCAGCAAGCCCATCTCCAGTCTCAACCCCCCCACGCTCAATCCGCCAACTCCGCTTTGCCGCCCCCTTCGCTTGGTGGCCATCCTGGCTTTGCTGGGAACCCAAACACCAATATGAACCCATTCACACTCTCTGGAGCAGGAATATCAAGTGGCATGTCAGTTGCTGGGTTTGCAGGTGCTGCTGATGGCGGTGGAACCGGTCTGGCTAGCCATGCGGCTCAGATGGGGTTTGCGCGCGGTGCACAAATGCAACAGCAGCAGCTCCATCAGGGTCATGATGGACGCTTGGCTCTGGAATCAAAGGCTGGTGCTGTGAAATCACGGATTCGCGATGTGTGGAAACACAACTTGGCTCAAGAGATGGCTGTGTTGCGCCAGTTGGTCGACAAATACCCATACATCAGCATGGTAGGTGTCCCTCTTTCTTTGTCACCGTTCTCGTGATGGACCTTTATGGGTGGGAAATATGAACAGTATTGATTTCTTGGAATATAGGACACTGAATTCCCTGGGATCGTCGCCCGTCCGATCGGTTCGTTTCAGACCAAGGCCGATTACCACTACCAGACTCTCCGATGCAATGTCGACTTGTTGAAGATGATCCAGCTGGGCATTACCCTGTTTAATGCTGAGGGAGAAGTGCCCCCGGCCAACGCCACCGATGCCAACGGGCAGCCGTACGGAAACGCCATGGCCCCCGCACCCTGCACCTGGCAGTTCAATTTCCGGTTCTCGCTTGAAGGAGACATGTACGCCCAGGAGTCGACAGCCATGTTGGCCAAGTCTGGGATTGACTTCAACATGCATGAAAAGAACGGCATCGACCCCTTCGAGTTTGGTTCTCTGCTGATCAGTTCGGGGCTGGTGCTGCTGGACGACGTCCACTGGGTTTCGTTTCACTCCGGCTATGACTTTGGCTACTTGGTGAAGATCATGCTTTGCTCCCCTCTCCCCGAGAATGAGGAGGAATTTCACAAGTTTCTCAACATCTTCTTCCCGTCGCTGTACGACATCAAGTACCTCATGAAGCACGCCAGCCGCAACCAGGCCGTCAACGACATGCCTCTGACGCCGGCCGCCGCTCAGATTCTCGCCAATTTGGGCCAGAAGTCCGGTCTGCAGGACGTAGCAGACGAACTCGGCGTAAAGCGGGTCGGGATTGCTCACCAGGCTGGCTCGGACTCCCTCGTGACGGGCGAGATCTACTGGAAGATGCGTCAGCTCGTGTTCAATGGCACCATCGACGAAGCCAAGTATTCCGGGCAGGTCTGGGGTCTGAACGGCCAGATTCCCGCACTGAGTTATCACATGGCCCAGCAAACTCCGAACCTCAACGGGGCCACTATCTACTCCGCTGGTACGCCCACCACTCCCAACACTGGGCACGTCGGTACTGGCGCCCACACACCTCAGCACCATGGCGCAGGCTTCGGTATCCCCACGCCCGGCGGGGCCTTCCACATAGGCAAGGTATGAGGCCGCGGGAACTAGGGGAAACGTGAAGCATTGATACGATATGATGCATGTACATACGCGCGTGCGACTGGTGCTGTTTGTTCTTCGGCATTCGTTCTTCTCGCCTGTCGTTTTGCGTGGGTTTCGTCGCCTGTGTCGACCTTTGCATCTGGACGAGGGAGAGGTGTTAGGTCAGGGGGAGTCTGGTGTTTTTCCATATGGCTGGTATTTGAAATTCATCTTCTTGAGTTTTCAGGCGTTTGATCTTATCGTGGCTTCGACCGTTTACTATGGACATTTAGGTGTCTGTTTTTCTTTTCTTCGTTTCCTTTCTTTGCGGGTATAGATCGGACTCGGGGTATGATGTACAGCAACCTTTTTCCTTCTACGTTCTTTCTTTCGGCACATAGCCCTGGAGATCGATACATTGTCACTATAGGCAGTATCTTCTAGTGAGAAAGACAACAGTCAGGAAACTTTTCATGTGCCAGATAGTTGGAGGCCACATCTCACCTTGTATTTGAACAGAGTATCAAAAGACTTCCATAAAGATAATCGAATTGTATGCCATCATGTAATAGCCACAATCCGGAGCGTCTCCAACTACCGACAGCGGGACCCCACTCGATGATTCAAGCCCACCACACATCCCAAGTCACAAATGTCAACTCACTCCATCGCCGAGTTCTTTGATATAATCCTGCTCTTGGTTATAGCTCAATGAGTGGACGAGATCCCCTCCGGCCGACCAAGTCCGGCATTGTGCGTTCACGAACGGGTTGTATGATGTGTCATCGACGTCGAAAAAGGGTTTGGTCCACATTGCCTCGTTATTGCATGTTCACAGGTCACTGAGATGCTATAGTGTGATGAGAAGAAGCCCGTCTGTGGTCTATGCGCGCGGTTATGGGAACGCTGTGAACCCTTGAAGACGAACTTCGAGTCCCGGGAAGTGTCTTTTCATTCATCATGCAGGAATGAGGTACCGTCTATTACCTGGAGAGACCACTCTAAAACTTCGCCGTTATATACACCAGAACAGACAGGAAATACAATCATCGATCATAATCAATGTGAAGAGCTCGCATACGATGGGACAAGGTGTCTCTTTGGCGCTTTGGTTCCCGGGGTCGAGAAACTGACGGAAATACCTCTTCCTCTGGGTGTCGATGCAGGATTTGGTGCTGCATCCGAGTGTGGGGTGGAATTGTCTTCAATGAGTGCCCAGCTACCTTGGGAAACTCATCCGCCCGGCTCATCACGGCATAGTACTGGAGCAGAAGGATCGAAGGGCAGAATTGGGGAAGAAAATAATCCAGCATCTCCCTTCTCGGGCACCGCATCACGTCTCAGCCTCTGGGGTGATGTCTTTCTATGCGAGATGCTAAATTCGGAACCTCTCAGCAACGATATGACCTGTATTTCCTCATCTGGGGTTCTAGCGGATGAGGGTATAGTCGAACCCACAGCCGGAACTTTGCAAGCCAACATCCCCCACGAGATATCATTGAAACGCGGTTCAAACCAGGAAACTTTTTACATGAACCTTTGGGATACTCAGTGTCTCGCAGCTCTACATCTTGCCTTTCAACGGTTCGGAATCCTGCAGAGACTTCCACTGGTCATGATCGATACAACCATCGCACTGGCAGCCTGCCAACTCAGTCGAATGCTACCACAAAGAAAACCATTCACAATATCGGATATCCCGGGGCTTTCGTGCAGATCCGACATCTCACACCAAACCCTCAGCCAGCAATACTACCAATCAGCCATACGCCGAATCACCTTCTGGGTGGAGAACGACAAAGGCTCAGATCCGAACTCGATTCTGACTGTTTTGGTCCTTTTTTGCAATTTGGAATCGTCTCTGGGTAACTTTCGAGGGTTCGGTTTACATTCCACGGGTGTGACAAGCTTGATCCAACAATGCACAGAAAAAGGAATCCAGAATGACCCTAGTCGAGCTGGATTGCCTGCTGCCTGGCTCCAGGCTCAGCTGCTTAACTGGTGGCAGAGGTTTCACTTTAGCACTCCGGTATTTCAGAGGATGAGCCTGTCTGTTTCAATACAATTGGGGCTTGATATGAAATCTTGCCGCAATGGGTCTTGCAGAATACTGGCGAAAAGTACATGACAGACCTACACAGTCCGAGGAGCACGCCGACGGTCCAATAGGAGATTGCCCTCTGAGCTTTGCACTAGCTCCCGACGGCGAGTCACAGTTTAAGGAATACGAAAACTTGCTAATCATTCAAGCCAAGAGGCTGGATGAATGGCATGCAGACATGCCTCTGTCAGAACGACCCATTGAATCGTTTCAAGGTGCAAGCCGGTCTCAAGGGACGTCGGTAGAATCTGCTCTATCCATTCAACCTCTATCATTCCTGTCGCATGACACTGCCATGAGCTACGCATAATACATATCTGCACGTGCAACCCAATGTTCTGCAGACTCGACAGTCTCTTACTTCAAGAAGACCCCAATATGCGATCAGTCCAACGACAAAACTGAATTCTGGGTCACAACCATGCTCCGCATCGCAGCTGGAAATGATTGGGAGAGCTGCATCAATATTAAAACACACACAATCGGATTGTCAGGGCTGCTTCTTGCATGCGCTCTCCGATCTCGCAGCCTGCTTGTCGGGCTGTGGATCCAAAATTGGCCGGAAGAACGACAAAGAGCAACGGGTCTCGAAGAGGGAAGTTTCCCGGTTCTCCAAATTCTCCAGGTTCTCCGCGTCATCAACCGAGAATGAAGGGCTGGGTACGAGGTTTTGGCTATTTTTCAAACGACTGACGATGAAGGAGGCCATGGGAAGTTCGATTCGTATCACAGTCAGGTTCTCACGTCTATCATGACCTATGAGTGGTGCAGAAGAACCGGCTGGTTGCTGTCCAAGTGTATTTCTGTTTAGTTTATCGTAGTCTCCTATCATACAAACAAATTAATTGGATAGCGGGGGATTAGCCATTTGTTGGTCGAAGTATTTATCAGTTCAAGGCGGTAGACTACAAAATACTTTGCATATATCTACCCAACTACCTCAGATCATTCATGCATTAGGAAACTCAACCCGCTTCAAAGAACGTCCTTTTTGCAAAATGAATAATCACCGCACGTTGAACACGTCGATGTCAACAAGCATCGCGTTGCCCTTCAAGGATCCCGCACCATACTCGATTAGGGCAATCGATCCGGCCTCCGATTTATCTAATCGCCGTCGATCGTGGAGTACAACCTGGAGATCCGAGGTCGCGATAACGTCTGCCCTTAAATACCCTGCTGAGTTCAGCTGTCAGGTTGAGCTGCTTACTCTAAGTCCATTTTGGTGCACGATCTCGGTTCCTTGCTTTATCCTTCTCTCAGACACCCCCCCCCCCCCCCCCCCCCAACCATCCGACCATCCCCCAGACATATATAGAGCTAGCACAGAATGGTTCTCGACCGACTTCAGCAATTGACCCATCAGGTCAATGCTACTACGCCGCCGCCTCACCCGTTCGATCCCCTCTCTACGGCTGAAATCGATGCCGCGGTTGCCATCATCCGCAAGGAACATGGCCCGCTCAACTTCAACGCCGTCACGTTGTATGAGCCCCGCAAGGCCGAGATGATGGCCTGGCTAGCAGATCCAGAGCACGCTCCTCGCCCGGCGCGAGCAGCTGATGTGGTTGCCATTGTTCCGGGCGGCAAGCTGTACGATGGCGTGGTCGATCTCGACCAGAAGAAGATCGTACAGTGGGTCCACACGCCCAATGTCCAGCCTCTGATCACTATGCAGGATCTCCAGGAGGTCGAGCATGTCGTGCGTCAGGATCCTCGGGTTATTGAACAGTGCGGTATCATTGGGATCCCCAAAGAAGATATGGATAAAGTATATTGTGACCGTGAGTCGGCTTCTATCCACTTTCATATACTTCCAGAATATATTTCAATGCTAACATTCTGAGGTTTGGCTTAGCATGGACCATTGGGTATGATGAGCGATTTGGTACTGGGATCCGTCTGCAACAGGCACTGATGTACTACCGTCCGCATGTCGACGACTCCCAGTACACCTTCCCGCTGGACTTCTGTCCCATCTACAACTCGGAGACCAAGCAAATCATTTACATTGACGTGCCACCAGTGCGGAGACCCGTCAACAAGGTTTCACCAAACAATTACCATGTCGCAGACATTGAGAAAGAAGGCGGCTACCGGACAGATATAAAACCCATCCACATCACCCAGCCAGAAGGGGTGTCATTCCAGGTCAACGGCCGAACCATCGAGTGGCAGAATTGGAGCATTCACGTCGGCTTCAACTACCGAGAGGGAATTGTGCTTAACAACATTACTTTCAATGATAAAGGGATTGTCCGGCCAGTCTTCTATCGGCTCTCGCTGGCGGAGATGGTGGTGCCCTACGGAAATCCCGAACACCCACATCAGCGCAAACACGCGTTCGATCTGGGCGAGTATGGCGGCGGATACATGACCAACAGTCTGTCCCTGGGCTGCGACTGCAAGGGCGCCATTCACTATATGGATGCGGCGTTCGTCAACAGGGCGGGCGCGAGCACTATCATCAAAAATGCCATCTGCATCCACGAAGAAGACGCAGGAATCCTATTCAAACACACGGACTTCCGCGACGACTCGGTGGTTGTGACACGCGGCCGCAAACTTATCATCTCTCATATATTCACCGCAGCCAATTACGAATACTGCGTGTACTGGATCTTCCACCAGGACGGCACCGTGCAGCTGGAGATCAAATTAACAGGCATCCTCAATACCTACGCCATGAACCCGGGTGAAGATACCAAGGGCTGGGGCACCGAGGTGTACCCGGGGGTAAACGCACATAACCACCAGCACTTGTTCTGCCTGCGCGTCGACCCCAACATCGACGGGCCCGATAACACTGTTTTCCAAGTCGACGCCACTCGGGGACCTGGCGAGGTTGGCAGCGCAGAGAACAAGTACGGGAATGCCTTCTACGCCAAAAAGACCAAATACTCGACTCCGCGCGAGTCCATGTCCGACTATGACGGCTTCACCAGTCGCACTTGGGAGATGGCTAACACCAACAAGCTGAACCCATACAGCAAGAAGCCCGTCTGCTACAAGCTGGTCAGTCGCGATGTGCCACCGCTCCTCCCAAAGGAAGGCGGGCTGGTGTGGAAACGCGCTGGGTTTGCTCGGCACTCAGTGCACGTTACCAAATGTATGTTCTCATTCCTTCATTCTTCCTTGGGTCTCCCTCTATCCCTATGTCTCTCGGAGTATATACCTACCTTCTCACACCGTTCAGACTCCGATGACCAGATCCATCCAGCTGGCCGTCATGTCCCCCAAACCTCCGGCGAGCCCTCCCAGGGCCTCCCCGCCTGGATCGAAGCCGCGGGCTCAGACTGCTGTATCGAAAACACCGATATCGTACTCTGGCACACGTTTGGGCTGACTCACTTCCCCTCGCCCGAAGACTACCCCATCATGCCCGCCGAGCCCATGACACTGCTGTTGCGTCCGCGCAACTTCTTTGATCGTAACCCGGCCCTCGATGTGCCGCCGAGCTATGCTCGCACGCCGTCGCAGGTTGCCTCTGAGGCGGGAGCATGTGTGTGCAAGAAGAGCGATGGGTCGAGTGTGCAGGTCTGAATTTATGATCTTGGCTATTTTTTTGACAATAGGCGTTTCTGTCTTTCAGCGGTTCATGAATATTTGTTTCTTTCCTCCTTCCTTTCTCTCAAACCTAGCCCTCGATGCCATATTCTGCTTCGCTTTTCTGGGCACACCGAATACAGTTGTTTATATCTGATATGGCGAGTGATCTAGACATCCCCCAAACGAACATCCACCCTTATTTAAAGCCCTGAGAACCGTGAATGTCTGGATGTCATATTCATGCAAATCAGAGTCATAAGCCATGGAAAATGAAGTTATCCAAAGACGCAGCACCAGGTGTCTACAAGATGCTCCCCTCTAGAATAGAAACCAATTCTATAAGAGTGTCCCTTGGGATCTTCATATTGGATATACGCCGAAACCGAAATGTACTATAGAGGACTAGTTCTACTGAAATCCACATAGAAAGCTTTTTATTGCGACTTTATATGGAGGCTAGGAACTTTGACCTGTAGGTGGTCCCATATCAGGCCAGCACCAATGAAACTTGTATTATTGAACCAAAAGCAGTTTAGCGCGGGGTACGGATAGCATCTGGAAGGACGGTTACAACTTGATTAAAAAAAATTTTCAGCACCGACTGTGGTTCGAACACAGGACCTTGAGATAGCTGCTTTGTGGAACTGCAATCTCCTATTCTACCACTGAACTACCGGTGCTAGTATGGGCTCCAGCGCCAATTTTTGATACTATCAATGAAAGTAAAATAATTGCATAAGGTTAATGCCAGTCGGGAGCCTTCTAAGGTTCCAAGGGTAGAAAGGTTCTTATAATCAACAAGACATCTTCCTTATAGTACCAAAGTATCTTATTCAATTGTGACTTTAACCGTGCATTTCCTGCGTAGAAGGCTCTTGTTTTTTAATAGGGGGGGATGAAAAAAAAATGAAAAAAAAAGCACCGACTGTGGTTCGAACACAGGACCTTGAGATAGCTGCTATATCCCGAAAGGGACAACTGCAATCTCCTATTCTACCACTGAACTACCGGTGCTTGATATTACCTCAGACGCAAATATATCTTTATATTTGATAGTTTTTTAGGGCTAAAATTTAGAATAAATGGCAACAACCACAGTTTTACTTTCGTGGTCATTCTATGGTCGCTCTATAGTCTACATGTTTGCAAATTAAACGAACCACTTAAGCTATTACTCTTAAGCTGACATTCTTAAGTCAATTTCGAACCATGAATGCCGAGAACATCTGATACAGGCTTGGTGAGAGTGTTTATTTAGTCCAGTACTTGAACTACTAGGTAGTTTACACATAGACTATCCTTGATCTAGTCCCAGCTCACCTATTACTTTAAATTAGGCATGCCATTCAGACACCAGCCAATACTGCAGGTTAAGTTCGAATAGACAGGTTATTTAGTACATAAGTTCAATCAATCGTTCAAAAATGGAGTTAGAGTTCCTGAAGAGGATCGAAGTGATCCACATCATAAACTCGCTTGAATTAGCACCCAATGAAAAATCAGCCTGGTGAACATCAGGAACAGAACAAAAATGAGTCAAAAATGTAACTCCGATAGGGGGAATCGAACCCCCGGCTGCCGTGTGAGAGACGGCGATGTTAGCCACTACACCATATCGGATTTGATAGTGATCGACGGGGCAAATTTGAATTGTATCCTTGTTAAGCATCCTGAGTCACTGTGTGCGTGCGTGAAGTCCTCCGTCGTCGCTTTAGCTTCTCGCTCTTTTTTCGCCCTTCTGATTCTCCTTTCTTCCCGCCTCTATATACGTCTGACAGCTGGGAAGATGATGAAGAGATATTGTCTTGCTTCCAAAATAGGCTGTTCCCTATCGACAAGCATGCTTGCTATCGCATCACAGAGAAATGTTGGAAGCAGCAGTACCAGTCTGCTGATGATGTCGTTTCTGATATATCTCTAATTCAAGTCTCTAACGGAACCCCTTAATAAATAGTATTGGGGACACCGAGATACAATGAATATTTTTGACAGATGAAGCTATCTAAACTATGAGAAATGACGAAGCTGAAAAAGCAAAGAGAGGCCCGTTAAGCCTAAAGAGCCTACAGCCTACGCTCATGATTGAAAAATCTGGTCAAAGTTGATAGCCGAGGTGGCAAGCGAGGTAGTAGCCGGCTAAGGCTGGGCTAGGGCTGGGGCTGAGGCGTTTTCTTGTTCAATGCCATGATTTTTGTGGGTCAATAGCGTTGGTCGATGGGCGTGAGGCGTGAGTGGCTTTGGTTATGAATCGAGAGGCGCGAGATGGAGTCGCATTGAGTAGCTAGTACTCAGTTACGCAGTAAGCCTTGATTCGGGGGCGATTAGGGTCATTCTAAGAAAGTGGGTAGACTATCGGTCTTCAAAGGCAGGCAGGGGAGTGCAGTGACGGACAGGCAATCACTACGCTAGGCGTACCCCTGCTTCTTGCATAGGGAAGATGTAGGAGGCCGGGTTATTTTTCTCTCCCTCTTTCTCCATTTCTCCCTATATCTCTCCCTCTATCTCTTTATTTCGACTGTTTATCTCAAATGAGTCTTCGTAATATACTATAAGGCTCCATAGAATCTCGTATAATTATTTTTGTAAATAGCCTAAACGACGCGGAAGTATTCAACGTAACGGTTACTAGTGCTTATACCACAGTTATGAAGCCTCGGAAACTTCTAAAGCTAGTCGAGACTACTAATCAGAAAAGAAACAAGACCCTAGAGGCTGAGAAGCTATCTGTAAGTAGGCGAGCTAAAGATATAGGGAAAGGCGGTAAGCCGAGAGCTGGCAGACAGCGAGGTCGAGGCTATATAAACAGCGAAGCTATCTAGATAGTAAGGTCGACGAGGATGTCGACAGCGATATACTATTTAGTATAAGGCTTCCTAGCAGCGAGCAAAGGGACTTATAACCTAACAGAAGAAGAGGGATATAGATTATAAAGCTATCTAAGTTACGAAAGAAGACTAGGATAAAGATCTTGAACAAATTGTCAAAAAAGTAGTATTCCTTCACTGTCAAAATTTCTTGCCTACTTTCCCTTAGAATTCTAATAAGCTAAATCATCTCGGCCTATAAACGCAGTCTAAGTTTGAACTTAAGTTTATACAATATATCTTTGTATCTGAACCTTAGCACTTAGGGTATATTCCTCCTTTTTTGGTGGATTGGCCTATATACTAGTCCTCGTATCTACCGTAGTCCGACTTACCATATGGTTGAGGGTCGTATTTCATAATGATATATTTCGGTTATATAGTGCAGTTGACAAATTTAGTGGTATAGACGAATCGAGTATATATTTTCAAAGTCTTCGAAAAGAGTCTCACGACTACTAATATAAAATTGGTTAGATTAGGACCAGGAATTTGGACGATCAGTACAAAAGCCTACTGAGGTATGTCGGGTTCTTAACTGCGAAACTTTTTCGTCAGAATATAACTAAGAATAGGGGAGATAACCGTAATTCTAGTCAAAAGTTGCGTATAGATTACCTGATGTAAGTATAGGGGAATGATAAATGATACAAGGCGTGAAAATTAAATCTTATATCATAACTAGCTGTCTCGTAAGGCGGTTTATGTCTTCTTTATCTATATGGACCATACAGGAATACCCGCCTTCTTATCTGGCAAAGAAGTATGAGAATGGGGAAGAATGCAGGGCTTATAATGATGATTGGATTATCATGTAACCTACGATGAGATTCAGTACATGATCAGCGGCTTCTATGGTATCTCATTCATCACTAACTACGCTAACTTGCAAAGGCGTGGCTCAACTTCCTTGGCTAGTGTGGACTTTCCGCCTTGTACTAGTTACGGGGATGGATTCTTCAACCTTGCTTGGAAGCCTGCCTGCTACGCCATCTACTCTTCTTGGATCCACAGCAGGCCTGTTACTCCGGGAAGCGGGCACACAAAACTTTGAGATTGGTAATAATGACTGACTTGCGATTCCCGGTATATACTACAAACGGGGTTCTGCTTGGAGGCTGTCTGTCAATGCAGACGGATCGATATGGGAGGATGCCAGCGAGCCTATTGAGTAGTGAGAAGATGCTAAATCTACATAATGAATGGATTCAGACCAAAGCATACGATACTCGGCCTGAAAAACCAAGAAACTATTAATCTGACACCCGCTGGATCCCCACTGCAATGTCTAGTCTGTTAGCTGGTTGTCAAAGAAGGAATATTGAGAGAGGTGCCTGGATTCTGCTTGACCGACTCTACAGAGTAGATAGCTGGCTAGTTCTTCTTATCTTCCAACTAACTGTTCTGCCTTCTCTGCTGTCTTCTTTCTGTCGGTAGCTAGATGCCAGTTCTTCTTTACTGACCTCTGCCAGTTTCACTTTTTTTCATGTCGAACTACCATTCCACTCATCCCATTCAACTCCGTCCTTGCTTCCCTTAAACAACGTCATTCCCGTATGCATGCTGATATAAATCCATTAAGTTTTCAGTGTCCCATCACTCCAATCTCCAGGAAGCAAGCTTGTCACCAGGCCAAACAGACGATAGCTTTCGGTGTTGGTGTTAGCCCCTCCCTGTTGAGCCCGGCGAACAGCGTTGTCCCACCCTAATGCGAGATTTCTGACTATAGAACATTTCGTGTCAGCAAGTGGTTCCTAGCTAGTATAGATTAAAGAACATAGGGGATGAGATTGCGGGTCGCATACTAGGTTCCTCTCTTGTTCCGGCAATGATGGCAAGTTGGGATAAGAGATAGCTTCCTGCGATCTCTAACTGATCAAGTGGCCGGCCTTGATGTGCTCTCTCGAACGTGATGGTTCTCACACTCGCCAGGCTGATGCCTGAACCCCAAGAACGGCCACATAAAACGATCGCTGGATAAAGGCTCCCGGACGGTGTAGATACGGCCCTGAGGCCAGTCCCATGGCACATAGATGACCCAGATCTCGACCTCCTCGGAATAATCAGCGGGTTATAAGATGAAGTATAGCCCGGGTGACAGTAGGCGCCGTTATAGCCACCTATCTCGACTATAGAGGATATATATATTAGTCGGGTTACCCAAGGCAACCGAGTCACAAGATGCTCACCTGGATCAAAGCCCTGCCATCTAACGGGATTGCTATATCTGTTCAATGGACTATTAGGAGGCGCTGAAATGCCAGCCTGCTTAAATGAGGTGGCCCAGAGAAAGTCTTTATCGCCCCAGTTGAGCCATATGTAAGGACGTGAAGCGAGTAAAAAATTTAAGATTTTTCGATAGATCTCTGTCCATGAAAATTGAGCACTCTATTATTAGCCATAAAGTACCCTAGGATCTATAAGAGGAGTCTTACCAATAGGCTTATCAAGTCGTCTCCTCTCAGGAGGGGAGACCATGATATGGTGACCGTTGTTTGAGTATGAAAACTTCCACAATTTGCGCGCCGCCTGAGCGAATATGAGATTGTCGCGGTCGGATTTAACAATAGGATTTTGGAGAATTCGAAGGGCATTGTACGCGCTGTATGCCATCTCATACGCATTTTGAACAGATCGATCAAGGAAGACCTGATCACGGCTACCGTACCAAGATGCTGGTTCTCGCGGGGGATGAAGTTGAAGCTTGTCCCAGCCTCCAGACAGTCTACATCTACTCGTGGAACTGCATGGACAGAGAGTGCAAGAATCCACAAAATAAATGCTCTGAAAACTTGCGCCATCGGTGTGTCAGAAATGACGATTTGAAAGAAGGGAAGAACACAAACGATAGAGATCAAATAGGCGCGGAATGACCAGTATTTATAATAATTCTTTTCATTGGCTAGTGAGTTAATTGGGTATGTTTAGAGAGCGTAGCCCTAGGAATAAATCCCTTCTCTAACCAACTCCGGTAAAGGGGGATTGTATGATATGACAATATAGATCCTTCCACAAGCTAGGCAATCCTTCCAGGGTTGTGCAGAAGATATACTGTATGTATAACCTCACTCGTATTAGCGTCGAAACTAATTTCTTCTAATTTCTCTTAATTTCTCGTCTTTTGTAGGGCGCCTTGAACCCACAAACTACGCCTCGGCCCCAACCCTCCTCCCAAAATACGCCCTGGCCCCCAAATTTACGCCCAAGCCCGAATTTCTTTTTACATTTTTCACCATGGATGACAGGTCAGAGAAGGCTGCTGTGTGGAGAAGCCAAAAAAAAAGAAGATTGTTGAGAGGTTCCCTAAACTCCACCATCTTGCAGTTATGGACTTGCTCCATCGCCCGGCCAGTTACGTACAAGAGCCATTGTGACCATAAATTCCTCGAGGATCTGGGATTCCTCACTGTAGGCATTCTACAACAGTTCGGATGAGCTAGATCTAGCTGCGGATGAATTGCGACTAACTGCCATCTTTCGGTTACTAACTGTGTCATCGAGGACAGTCTTTGGTGTTTCTTATGAGTACTTCCTCCCCCAAACTCCTATAGATCTGTTTATCGGTCCAACTCCACGATACTTAAGTGGAAAGCCGTGACAGCCTTTCAGATATCTGCTGAGCACCAGTGTCATCCGGCCTTGCCTCAATACCACGCACTGAAGCCTCGTAGTCGTCTGACTTCGGAGTAGCCACGCCGTCACTTTCCATATGTCTCTCATCTTCGTTCCCGTTCTTCTTGGCAGCAAAGGTCTTCGCAATGTCGATATGAGACCGGGTATATTCATCTGGGTCCCAAGCCAGGATCCTGCTTTCCATCTCTTTGAGCTTCTGTGCAACAAGCAGTACCATCTCATCTTTGTCTTTCTCACTCAAGAGGCCAAGTCTCTCCACGCATCCTCGATATCATCGGCATGTCCGAAAAACCGTTGATCAATTTCTTGCCAATATATCGAATCGAAGGCAAAGATGTTCCTCGCAGTGTATGCAATCCAGAAGTCACCACTCTCCCAGCTCTCTTGCATTGGAGTAGAGAGTCGTTCATCTTCTGTCAATCGACCTTCCTTGATGGCGGCGTCTTCACAACTGATCATCGCCTTGAGAAATGTCTGAAGGCGGCGATAAAACACTTTGGTCCAATCAATCCTCGAGACCATCTGGCCAGTACTCGGGGTTTTCGAGAAGGAGCCACTAAGGCGACGCGTAGGTAAATTCGATCGGAGCCGCGTATGTGAATTCAAGATCCATGATGCCCACGATTTTCTTGGCATCATTGACAAGAACATTGGCTGGGCGGAAATCATCGCACCAGATTTTGAACGAGCCTTTGTCGAATGGTTCCCATCGCTCAGTGAGCTTCCGTTCATGCGCTAGTTTTCGGAAGAGGTGTCTAGCGACGAACTTCCGTCGGCAATCGTCAGCAGACTCGATCGCATCATTTCTTTGGTTTTTGCGATGAGCGATGTGAAGTTCTGCAAGGAATTCGAAGTATGAGGACATTGAGTCGAATATTGTCTCGTAGCTGGGTAGACTCGATTGAGGTAGGGAGCCCACTCGAATAAGCTCGTTGACGCCTGATGGAGGACGACTCGTTACCTCCCAAGTGAAATCATCAATCTGGCCGAGGAACCCGATCTGCGAGAACGATGGTTTTGAAAGTTCTAGAAGAACGCTAGCCAGCTCCCGATATAGAGCTCCGAGGTTATCCTCGTCGATATCGGGGTTCAGCCTTCCTCTTGCATCGTCCGGGCACCCCAGGGTATTAAGAAGATCGTACATGCTCGAGTCATGTTCGATATATTCCATGATAATAAAAGGGCCAAATTCCAGGGGACATGATTCTTTTGAGCCCCAGTGATAGATGAATGGCACCGGGATTGAGGTCTGGTCAGAAATGTATCGCATGATAGCGACTTCACATTGAAGCTTTTCTTCGGGGAACATGGTAGCACCAGGTAAAGGAAAGCGTATAATAGCAGAGCCGATTTTGTAGGTCATCTGAAGGGAAATATTGAAGATCCTACATGACTCGTAGCACCCCGAGGGTACCATGGAAATTAGCAGGATATCTCGTAGTGGAAAGGGCTAGGCTCACTAGCGATGACATAAAGGGCTATATATGACAGCAATGACAGCTGCTGGAGTTGAACTTTTTCTTAATGGTTTCTTTTTAGGTTGGTATAGATAGAATAGGAGCCTGAATGTTAATCGAGTCACTTAGGGACCTTCGAGGGCGCCGATGTAGGCCAAGACTTGCCCCCACCGTGCCTAGGCTAGTATTCCACTCTCCATGGTTAGGGGATAGCTCCCCGGTGTCTGCATTGCAGATACCCCAACAAACACCTGCATTTTCTCTCCATGACCGCAACCGGGAGATGAGTCTAGAGTGAGTGGTTTGTTAGTATTATAAAACGGGAAGTTTATATATACATGTGTGTGTATGTATGTGTGTGGTTGGAGAAATGACTTCCCGAGGTCTTCTGCCAAAGCGCCCGCAGCAAAGAAAACAAGACCAAGGCTAGCGAGGAGTTTGATATTGGATAGTCGTATCACAAGACAATTGGTGACTTGGGGTTTGGGTTTGGATTTGGATTTGCGGATGAGAACGGGAAAAGAATAACAAAGAGGCAGCATTCGAGGGCTAGGACAACATCTTTTTATAATACAAGCAGATGTAGCAGACTGCTCCCGGGGGGGGGGGGCCAAAAAAGTTATTAGATGTCTACTTAAGAAGTAAGCCTACAGTAGAAGGACCTTCATGACTCGAGCCTATACAGTGGATCCTAGATGACTCGTAGCTACACCCAAGATTTCAAACAGAAAACATTGAGAATTTGACTATCTAGAGACTAGAAGTACCATCCATATATAGATAGCAGCAATGGCAGCAATTGTAGTTGACTTCGTTAATTAGTATATCATATTTAGAAGAAAAGCTTCAAATTTTAAGCCAGTGGAAACAAGCCGAAAACTGCCCCCACTGCACGTTGACCCGCACATTCATCGGGTAGAGAGAGAGACTGACTGGGTCGGAGATGCCGTTGTGAACGTTGTAAAGGCAGTTAAAAAAAACAGAACTAAAGAAATAAAGCTAGCTACATACCCAATGGATTCATGAAGCAAATCGGGTATCTGGCAAGGAGATATTGTTCTGTTTTCTTTCTTTCCTTGTTTATCTTAAAGGAATAATAATTCCTGCTAGTCATCATCTTGAGTTAGGGCCCTAATAAACCGGAGTAATCCTTGCTCATAATTAATTAATTATTCATATAGAATCTAACCCAAAGCTGCAGACTATTCGAGCGTATGTACACCCTATATTGGCTAATAGCCGATAGATATCGGTCTAGTCGATCCGCTCTCGCCAGGGTCGACGGATTGACTCGACGGCGACTCACCCGAAACTGTCCAGAGGGAGGCCAAGAAGGATGCGATGATCGTGGGGTCCGCGGTGACATGAGCTGGAAAGCTTTCCAAGGTTCTCGGAACAAGAGCGAAAATCCAGAGTAATGCTATGGTCCCCGATCAGATCATGATTGTCACCAAAGAATCGAGGAATATGCCAGTATTCTTCTTTTATAACTTCGGAAGCAAAAAATAAGACCTAAGTAGTCATACAGGAAATGAATCAATGCATTCGCCCATGAAACGCCAAGATAGGTTCAACAAAGGGAATCATCAAGCAAAAAAAAGAAGAAGAAAAAAAAAAAACGAGGCCAACAAACGTACAATGCAAGGCCAGAAGCAGAAAACACAAAACCAACAAGCCCCGTCCTCCCACTCTATCTAAGAGGCAGCCGGACGCTCCAAAGCACGATCAACATCCTCCAACAACCCCGACAACTCCTTCCCACCATCCGACTCCCGCCCCTCGATCTCCAGCGCCTTCAACACCAACGAGCGAGCCTCCTCATAGCGAGTCATTTCAGCAAGACACTTGGCCAGCCGCCACCAAGCCTTAACATTCCCCACCCCCTTCGAATCAACACTAGCCTTGGAATCCACCAAGCCCTCAGGCCACGCCTGCTGCGCCATATGCGCCTGCGCGCGGTTGGCATACAGACCCGCGAGCTCGTCGCGCGCCAGCGTCACGGGCTCCCACCCGGGCCGGCTGAGCGCCATCTCAATGGCATACGTGTACAGCCGCACGGCCTCGGCGTTGTTGGACTTGCGGTAGGCGGCGTTGGCGCTGTCGCGCAGCTTGGTGATCTGTGCGCTGCGCTTCGGGTTGACGGGCAGCGGGGGCGGTGGGATGTTGGGGCTGTCGAGGCTGATGAGGGCGCGGTGTAACTGGTTTAGTTCTTGGAGCTCGGTGTTGATTGTGGTGGTTTGCGTGGCGGTTTGGGCGGAGGAGCTGGGGAGGCTTAGTGCTTTGGAGGCTGGGTCCAGGTGCAGGGGGTATTGGTTGTAGATGTCGATTTCACTGGCCATTTTGGATGGTAGTGGGGGGGGGGGGGGGGGGCAGGTTTTTGGTGATTTTGTGACGAAGAACAGCTTCCAAGTGGGTGGTCTTTGCCTGGACGGTCAGCGTCGTGACGATGTGGGAGTGGAGGATTCGATGCGCACGGGCCAGGGCACTTCCACGCTTAGCCAGTCTGGGGGCTGCACACTCACAGGATAGGTGGCCTTAGCCAAAACAAGAATCAATGGGAACGTTAAGTGTACTCAACCGTGGCGGTCGATCGACAAGCCAAGTTGTCCAGATCGGGGAGAAGGCGGTGGCAGAACCGCCGTCAAATCTATTTGCCTCAAATTCAAGTCCAAACATACAGTCGTCGCCTCGGAGAGGCCAAATACTCTCAAAAACAAAAAGCTATACGCCGGCCAACACCGCTCCGTGGTCATGTCCAAGGCAGAAAAAAAAATCAACACAAAAAGCAGAATGACCCGATTTTGCGGGGTATTCATTGTCGTCCATATCCTCACCCCACAATTGATCCCGTCTTTTTACCGTCCGTACCCGCTCAGCGAGGACCCATAATCTGTCGGAGGTGCATACTCCGTCGGTGCATAGTGCTGCCCGTGCGCGCCACCGTAGCCCGTATTGTTGTAGTCATGGTCGTGGAGGACGCCACCGGGGGCGGGGGCCGTGGGATCGTAAGCGCCGTGCATCGCGGTGCGGCCGTGTGAGTTGCTCAGATCGTCGACCTCGCTCTGGTGGAGCAGGGCGTAGTCCTCGTCGCGGTCACCCCGCGAGGGCGCACTCATGCCGCCGCCACGGCCCGAGCGGAAGTCGTCCTCCTCTTCCTCGAAGTCGTGGGCCGGGTTGGACGAGAACGCGGCCTTGGACTGGGCGGCGAACGTTGGGTCAGAGACAGCGTCGGGGAGGGTGCCGGTGCGGCGGAAGTGCATGACGTTGCGGAAAGACATGTACGCGGTGATGGCGAAAAGAAGACTATGAAGATATTAATGACAAGAGTCCAAAAAACGGAGGTGGTCCACGTACAAGATCACGACGCCGATAATCGTCGTCGCCGTGCTGAGATTGCACTTGCTGGCGCTGCCATACCCCCAGTCATCACAGGTTCCGGATCCGCCGGCTCGCTTGTTGTTCTTGTCCTTGCTCTTATTCTTGTCCGAGTCGTTGGAGCTGGAGCCCTTGGCCTTGCCCTGGGCCACGTACGAAGCCAAAGCGACCCAAGCGGCGAACCACAGGACAGCATAGACGAGATCGACGCTGGCGAAGGCGTAGACGTTTCCGAACCGCCGGGCTCGGGGCCACATAGGCACGGCGACCAGGTAGATCAGACCGGGGATGCTGAACCAACACTGCCACAAGACATATATTAGAGACGACTCGCGATGACTTCATGTCGCAAAAAGAAAGAGAAAACTCACCAGCACCCAATACCACACTGTCCGCCCATCGATGCCATCGCCCTTGGTCCAGATCGCGATGGTCATGGCCCATGCGACAAAGATGATCAGTGCCTGTGCGAAATGGATGAAGTTTTTTGTCCGGCCCAGGCTGCCGCCTGACGGTCGCTGGAGTTGAAATTTCATTTTGACGTCGGAGGGCTGCAAGGGTGTGTTCAACCCCTCAGAAAGGCACCCGGCAAAGGAAGCGTCAAAGGTCGACGGCGACGGCGGTAGAAATCTCGGACTCGGAAGGGAGTTTTGTGTGTGCTTGTTGGACAGCAGCACACAAGGTAATAGTCTTAACACAAAAGTTTTGGCGGGTAGGATAAGGTTGAATTCAGGAGGACGAGAGGAATGGACTGGAGATCGGGGGACGCGCAGTGTTTCTTGGCTCACTACGCCTCGGGGACTGTTTTGGCGCACTGTTGCAGGACTGTCGCAGAAGTTGATCGGAAGAAGTCTGAAGTCAAGTGAGATTGAAAGAGAAAGCCAGTGAGGCTTTTTGCACACTCTCTGACTTTGTTTGTCCCAAGGCTCAGCTTATCGAAGGGGGCTTTTCGGTGTGATCGCCCAGGCGACAGCCCGTGCTATTTCTGGAACTCCGCCACGGTGGATCTGTCATCGCTTCAGCTGGTAAGCGGTTCACGATCCTGCAACATTTGCCTACAAAGGCAATGCTTTTCGTCGAAATCCTTCATCGACATGGCCATTCTAAGGTAGAACTCGAGTCAAGGAAGATATACTCAGATGCACTGTATTCCATACAGTACTATACTATTTACCTAACGTGGATTCATCCATAGATGTATAATCGAATTCTTAATTCTCTGGTCATATTCTCATTACTCATAAAATCCCGAAAAGAAATACACCTCAACCCACCAGTCCTGACTCTCGGTTCTGCTTCATCAACAGCCAGACCTCTCGCAACGGCTGGTAAACATGCACATGCCACCACCAAGGGAGAGGATCCGCCGGCGAAAACCGCGGGTCCTTCCAGAACAAAAACGGGGTAATTTCTACTCGCAGGACTCGGATCGCCTGTGGAAGGAGAATCCAAGGTGCAATGGACGAGAGAAGAGGGAAGGCCCTAGCCTGCTCTGCCCATGCCAGCGTTGGGCGTGACGTAGATGACCGGGTCACATTTGCCGGCCAGGCAGCCGTCTCCACGGGATCGGAGGACAGCACCGCCAGGTACCCAGCCACAGAGTGGGGGGTATTGTCAAACAAGTACTCGATCACCTCGGCACCAGGAGTACAGCCAGCGATATGGATTGCATGTCGCACGGAGTGTGCATCAAACTCTTGGTCGACCATAAGACGGACCGATAGATGGCCAGTCATACGAACCCCGCCTGCCATGGCAAAGCGCTGCATGAGTCGATGGATAGCCATGGCCAGAGCCTCATCCAGTAGCGATGAGCCAAACTGCGAAGAGCGAGCCCCGGCAGGCCGGATCCCGATGGCATGGACATGGCCGCGCACAACCAGCAAGTCTGCAATGAACTCACCCAGCCGGGGCTGCTGCTGCAGGACCCAGGGACGATCCTTGGAGATTTGAATCTCGCTCACCCTAGTGTAAGTCTTGCTGAGAGTGCGTTTCGGCAAGATGACGGCCGACTCATCGAACCCAAGACGGCGCATCTGATAGGATTTGGTCGGCGAGCGGTGCAAGATCTTGTGCACAGAGTCGCGCGACTGCACCTGATGACGTTCCACCACAGGCAGATCCCTCTCTGCCACCCACCGCCGAAAGGATTCTGGTTGAACAAAACAGGCCGTCAACTCGACATCGAAGGTGATGCACTTGCAGTTCGTGCGACTCTCGATAACCTGCCGGGCCGTGGCATCCTCGATCACGTTGGCCTTGGGCGAGCACGGGATCCACACATCGACCTTCTCGCGATGGATGATATCCAGCAGCCTAGAGATGTAGTGATCCTTGGGGACGCGGTAGAAGGCCACCAGGGTCTTAGACATGCTCCCACCCGAGCGCACGGGGAGGTCCAGATCGGCGACATCGGCACCCACGACGCGGTGACCTTCTGCCTCCCAGGCCCGCGCAAGGGCTAAGCCAGACGGCGTGCCAATTCCAGTAACGAGGACCGACTTGGGATAGAACCGAACATTTCGTAGTGTGGCCTGTCGCCGGCTGACGATCCGGCGGAGACGAGCTAGGCACCCGACAATCAGCAGGATCGTATTGTCGACCCACAGCAGCGAGAGCGAGACAAAGATGCGGCATAGATGCCAGGCCACGCGCGTTAGAGCCTGTGTTGAGATGGGGCCGATGGATCTCATGCCAAGGCGTTGTCCGACCGCCCGAACTGCCATTGTCGCAAAGGCTTGGGCACCCCCGGCACGCATTCGGTCTTTGGGGCGACAGGGTGAGCGCGAGGGGATTCCGGCCGAAGAAGGACGCTAGGACATCCTGTGGAATGCTTCGGGAATCCGGTGCCCGTGAAGTATCTGAGAGAGTTGAAGTTGCAAGGAGGGGGCGATCGACACTCCCTGCAGATCACGTTCGCTGTACAACGCAGACCTCGGATGGTCGAGTCTGACATCAAAGACGATCAGTTCTCACACTAAACTGTAAGGGATCAGGTTCTCGAGGGGTTTTGTTTTTTATTTTATCAGATCATTCCTGCTCGGCCTGAATTGCCCGAACAGGCTTTATCGATGGGTGTGTCCGAACATCGATGGATCTAGTACGGACCTCGTACGAGGAACAGTGCGATGCCATTCCACGGGTCCACCTGGGCACTGTCATGACCCGTCAGCGTGTTGCTCGTCTCAGTACTTATCTCCGAGGCAAAGAACGGAACCAGCTCCGCATATAAAACGGACTATATTGTCTTGCTTTATATTGCGCACTACTCTACTTTCCAAACTACGTCGCTAATTGCATCGAATTTCTCCCTCAATTTCTCCCCCAACTTCTGTGACGATGTCTGTGAAAGAAGATCAACCGTCCTCCCCACCTCCGCATCCCGGCCCAGGGGAACGCTCGGTGAGTCTAGGACACACAGATCTATATGATCCAGGGAACTAACACTGACTCAATAAAATAGCGCGAAGCGGGCCGAGAGATGAAGCTGCTGCATTTCATCTACGACCAGCCCAACATCGACGAGATCCGAGGATACCCGCAGAAGGTGCTCGATCTCATCCATGAATTTGAAAAGGACTACCACTTCATGAATGTCGGGTCCGCAAAGGGCCAGATCGTCACGGACTTGATCGACCAGATCAAGCCGAAGACGATGATCGAGCTCGGCTGCTACGTGGGCTACTCGGCCATCCTGTTCGGCGATGCCGTGCGGCGCAATGGCGGCGAGCGCTACCTGAGTCTGGAGCTGAACCCGGAATGGGCGGCCATTGCCAACATGCTCGTAGAACTGGCCGGGCTGCGTGACTTTGTGCGCATTCTTGTTGGCCGCAGCGATCAGTCGCTGCACAAGCTGTTCACCCAGGGCGCGGTCAAGCAGATCGAGCTCTTGTTTATTGACCACTATAAGCCCGCCTATACCACCGACCTCAAGCTGTGTGAGCATCATGGCATGATTGTGCCCGGCTCGGTGCTCGCGGCTGACAACGTCATCTATCCCGGTAACCCGCCGTACTTGGAGTATGTCCGCAGCACGGTCGAGCAGAAGCGCGAGGCGGCTCAGAAGGGACCGACCCAGGGATACAACACGGCTGGTATCCCCGAACGCACCGTTCAATCCTACATGGGCAAGAATGCCGTGCCCACTTTTGACTATGTCGGCTACCCTAACTTGGTCTACCAGAGCCAACTCCGACAGCCCGAGGGGTCCCAGGTGAGTATCCATGAATTACCCGTTTTGAGTAATCTGCGCCGCAGCCTTGGAATGAGTCATATTACTAACCATTGGGTTTTGCAGGACGCAATCGAGGTCACTAGATGCGTGGGGGTGCAGGATGTGTAGATTCGGAGATGAGGGTGGAACTGCTCAGCGGGTCAAGCCGCCAGAATACTTGCAACAAGACCGTAGAGAATGACACTTTTTGATTATCAATCACAATTGACCATGCGTCACCTATACTGCCGTACTTCGGGGAGTGTTGGATCGAACGCCACGGGAGACCGAAACTCCGCGTCGACCGGCATTTGCCCCGCCCGACCCAAACGTTGCCGTCGCCAGGACCTTCCCCCGCATCGGTGGCCGAAATCCGTGATTTAAAGAGCCTCGCTGCCCGGTCTTTCACTGGTCCCGCATTGTACCCTTTCTCTTTACATCTCTCATCATGGCCACCAAGACTTGGAACGTTGGTATCGTGGGCTACGGCTTCAGCGCAAAGATCTTTCACATCCCCTTCGTCCAGCAGGTCCCCGAACTCAAGTTCCACGCTGTGGTGCAGCGCACCCCCAAGCCCGATGACGATGCTGAGAAGGATCACCCGGGCATCAAGTCATACCGCACCACCGAGGAGCTGGTCAAGGACCCGGCTGTCGACGTGGTGATCATCACGACGGCCCCGGATTCCCACTTTGCCTTGACGAAGTTGTCGCTGGAGGCTGGCAAACACGGTAGGTGACTGGAAATATGAAAGTAAAGTACTGGCGTGGAAATATAGCATGTGGCTGATGCGCTGTACACAGTGGTCTGCGAGAAGCCCTTCACCCCCACCACCAAGGAAGCCGACGAGCTTGTCGCCATTTCCCAGAAGCAGAACAAGCTGCTGGCCGTGTTCCAGAGTATGTCACTCGCAATTCCTGATTCCTGCTTGATCTCTTCTCTTCTTTTCTCTGACGCGTTCACTCGTAGACCGTCGCTGGGACGCCGACTTCGTGACCCTCTCCAAGCTCGTCAAGAACGGATCGCTCGGCCGCATCTCCGAATTCGAAACCCACTTTGACCGTCACCGTCCCGAAGAGCCGGCCGCCGATGCCTCGAAGTGGAAGAACAAGGTGATCCCTGGTGGTTCTGCGGTGTACGACCTCGGAACCCATCTGCTGGATCAGGCGGTGCACTTGCTGGGTCTACCGAAGCGGGTGACTGGGTTCATTGGGTCCAGCCGCGAGGTCAACTCGTCGGGATTCGAGGACACCTTCACGGTGCTGCTGCACTATGCCAACGGCACGCTGGTCACGGCGAAGGCGACCGTAGTCAGCCCCGAGGAAGAGCAACTGCGATTCTGGGTTCGCGGTGAGAAGGGCAGCTTCAAGAAGGTAAACGGGTTCTGTGCCCAGTGTACGGTTTGTGCTTGTGCTCACTAGTTTCGTCAGTTCCATCTCGATATCCAGGAGGACCAGCTCAAGGCTGGCGTCATGCCCGCTGATAATGGCTATGGCCGTGAGCCGAGCGAGCGATACGGTCGGTGTTTGCCCCGTGTCGTTGTGTTGAAGGTGTTCAAAATTTTTTACTGACTGAACCCAGGTACTCTGACGACCATTCAGAACGGCAACCCCGTCAAGGAGATTGTCCCCACCGTCGAACCCCCGACCTACACCGAGTACTACCGCAAGCTTGCGCGGGCTCTCGGCGGCGAGGGGCAACTGCCTGCCAGTGGCGCGGAGGCCCGTGAGGTTATCCGGTTGATTGAGTTAGCTCGCGAGAGCTCCCAGACTGGTCGGACACTGGATGTCTAAGGGAGAGAAACTTGGAAGAATCGAATAGTTCGAGAATAAAAGTGACGAGATTACGATCAGCCATATCCCTGGAAGACTGCGTAGAATCCACCGGGCGTATGCAAGTAGATGCTGACTCCCCCCACTTGGTCTTACAAAGAAAACAAAAGGCTGACAAGAATCGGCCCCAATTTGCTGCCCGACCCGGTGGATCATTGATCTGCTTCTGGGGGGCCTTTTCTTATCAATGCGAGGCATTCTTGTTGTGACTGCACTCTGAGGATTCCAAGGTTGAAAGTCTCTCGCCATGGACGCCAACCTCCTCCCCGATTTCCAACTTCTCTCGTATTCTTCTCAGTCCGACCATCCACCCCCGTCTATAGACCCGGTCACGCTCAACATATCCTCCTCATGGACTTACTGTGGTCCCCTCTTGAGTCTCGACCCATGTAGCCTGCCCGCCTCGTTCAACACCTGGGCCCACGCTACGGTGAAGGGGTCTGTCCTGGCCCCGCTCTGTGCATTTCTGGGCTTCGTGCACGAGTTCCTGGCTGCCAACGGCCTCTCCCATTACTGGCTCACGATCCGTGCCAGCCAAGGGTCGCACGAGTTCGATGTGCCGCGATGGCACACGGATGACCTTTTCTTTAGTCCGCCGCCATCATCATCATCATCATCATCATCACAACCCACTCGGCGACGGCGCACGTCTCGACTGGCATCGTTTTCTTTACCCCCGCAGTTATCTCGATGGGGTCTGCACAGCCGAAGCCAGCACCAGCAAAAATACCAAGAACACAATGAATACCACCACCCCCGGCCACGACAAAAACAACAACAACAACAATCTGAAATAGAAAACCCCAGCATTCTACCCGACGACCCCCAATTCCTCTCCACTACCCCCGCCCAGATCATCGCCCCGAGCACCAACCCCCCGAACTGGAAACTGGCCACCACCCTCCTCGGCCCAGGCACGCTCTTCATGGCCCCGGGAACAGGCCCGCTAGCGCGCAACGCCCAACGCACCGCCAAAGACGCCGCCCGTGCCGCGAACCCCGGCCACGTGTGTCTGTCCGTCTGCTGCGTGGGCTGCGCCACGGCAGCAGAGTCGGTGCGGGCGCGTCTCGCCGCCGAGCTGGGCCAGCAGAGCATCGTGCAGGCGCAGCCGGGCCAGTGTGTGTTTTTTCGGGTGGGCGAGGACGAGGGCGCGGTGCATTCGGAGCCTAGATCGCATGGGGACCGGATCTTTGTGAATGTTGTTCCTGGGCATGAGGGTGACTTGCGGGCTCAGATGGCGAGGTGGGGGATGGAGTTTCCGCGGGCTTGGTGTGTGGATTTGCCTATGCAGCTTGATGGGGGTGTACATTTGAGGGATGTTGGGGGCTCTTGAAGAGGATATACTTAAAGTTGTTCTCGTTGGGTCTGGGAGTATATACTACGCTATAACTATGCTATGTTCTTATAGTTTATTTTATAGATTTCTGCACGCTTGGAACATGCTATGGGCTATTGTAACATCCATGAATTCTTTTTATGGGTCTTCTCTTATTTTTATTGCCTTTCCATAGATCCCTTGTGCTGTTTTCTCCGATGCTCAGCCCTATACATGCGGATCGGCGGGTAGAATGACGTACGGGAACACCGGCTTCTACCATTTCAAGCCACGTCAAACTCTCCCTATTTAGTTCATTTTCACTTCCAATATACGGGGAGTATATACTATACTCTACTATATCCTTGCATCTATAAAACTGTCCAGGAACTGTAGAACTGAGTCATGATCGCCAGTGACGCGATGCCAAGCCACTAAACCACAAGCAGTTTCTGTTACCAAATGCAAATGGCCCGAGTGGAAAGAATGTCGAGAAATTGGAGTTATTCACGCATGCCTGCTGGGTCAGGCCTGTATCCGCGGAGAAACACTCGAATTGCGCCTGAGCCCGCACGGATGAGCCCCCGGCACAGACGGCAGGTGAGGGTTTTGTAGGGTTGAATCCCCTTTCTTCTGTTTCCTTTCTTTTTGGAACCTTTTCTCCACCCCTGCTGGTCATAGTCAGGTACTCCGGTATAAATGCATCCCTGATTCTCGGGGCTAGCCTCTCGGCTGTCGTGGGCTTCGTGTGTCATGACGCAGTCACCGCATGGGCCCGTGGCCCTGTCCCGTGTTTCGGGCTGGCATCTGGATATTGATCGCGTCTTGAATCCGTTCATTCCGGCACCCCGGTGGCACTTGATCCCTCGGCCTCTGGCTTATATGCTGGGCCATCGAGAGACACCGCCTGCACCTCTCGGGAACATCGTGGTTGCGTTTTGGTCGCTGGTGGGCGCCTTTTGTGGCGTGGCATTAGTGTCCGAGGTCTCGAAGCGTGTGCCATCCTTTGAGGCTCGCGATGCGCCGACAATAGTTGGCAGTTTTGTAAGTTCGCTTCCTGATATCACATCCCACGGATGGATCAATGCTGACTATCAACCCAACCCAGGGTGCAGCCGCGGTGCTTGAATTCTGCGCCATCGAATCGCCCTTCGCGCAGCCCCGCAATGCAATCGTGAGCCAGATTATCGCCTGCGTCGTCGGAGTCGGGATCGCAAAGCTGTTTGCTCTGAACTCGCATGCCGAGGCCTACACCGAGCTCGGGGGTGCCCTCGCCTGCGGCATCACCACCGCAGTCATGGTCCTCATCAATGCCGTCCACCCGCCGGCGGGCGCGACGGCTCTGCTGGCGGTCACGCACCCGCAGACAGTCGGACTGGGCTGGTATCTCATTCCGGTTATGCTGTTGGGCATTGCGCTTATGCAGGCGGCAGCTCTGGTGCTGAACAATATCCAGCGTCGTTTCCCACTGTATTGGTGGACTTCACATCCTCTCTCTCGGCCTTCACAGGATGTCGAGACGGCGCCGGACAAGGAAGCCCCTAGCGTGCCGAGTCATTACGAGGATAGTCTGACTGACGTTTCTCGACGACTGGTGCTGGAGCGGGGGGATATCTTGGTTCCGGATGGGATGTTTTTGTCGACGGAGGAACGAGAGGTGCTAGAAAGAATTAGCGAGCGAATATGATTGTGCGCGTTGAGACCATGTTTACGAGGCCCAGCTGTCATGTGACGTGCGTTATCTTTGCTGAGGCTACTTCTAATTGGACATCAATGACCATGAAGATATTGAGATTCTTGAGTCAAGATACTTTACCATGAATAATTGCTAAGTATAAGCATTAGCTTTTCATACTTATAGTTCACCTCCAAGGTACCACACCAATATCCATGGCTTCCAAAACCCATCCAACGCCTGAGGCATACATATAGTGGCGAAATGCTGCCTCAGGCCTCCACGGTGCCCAACCGCACGGTGACGTCTCAGCTCCAATCAGCTGCTCCACTGTGGCCCACCGCAAGGGTTTTTTTTTTTTTTTTTTTTGTTCTGCGCGTTCAATTTTTCATCTCGAGGCACTCTTAAACGAGGTCAGATCCTGTCAGCTGTGTGTGGCTTTTTAATCCTATCTCTTACTTGCCCCTCCGACACACTGACGTGGATTAGAATTCCCAGCGTTTTCTATCGATAAGGGCTTGAGACGCTCCACTCGAGGTTTCGCCCCTCTATTTTCCTCCGCCCCGCCATTCGATCCACTCATCCTTTTTTTTGCATTTCTCTGCCTTCAATCTCTTCGACCGAGTTTGCTTCTGGTCGCCTATCTCCGTCTTTCTTTCCTTTCCTCTCCCCCCTCTCCTTTCTTCTTTCCCCTATCTCATCACAACTCGTCTCACCGCCAACATGGTTTCCGCCTCTAAGGCTGCTCGTATGGCCAAGCGTGCCGACGACGGCAAGAAGAAGGGCAAGAAGGGCGACAAGGGCGATGAAACTCCCGTTCTTGACGCCGATGGCAACCCCTTACCCCAAGAGGAGCAACCCGCCACCACCGATGCCAAGATGAAGGAAGTCGAGAAGCTCACTGCACAGATGGACAAGCACGGCCTGTCGGACCGTGTCACCACCGGTGTGCTTTCGTCTCTGCCTTCTTCCCGTGACGCCAAGGTCACCTCGGCCTCGCTGGTGTTCCACGGTAAGGTCCTTATTACCGACTCTACCCTCGAACTCAACTTTGGCCGTCGCTATGGTCTGCTGGGTGAGAACGGCTGTGGCAAGTCCACACTGCTCAAGTCTATCGACTCGCGGGAGTTCCCCATTCCCGAACACATTGATATATACCTTCTGAACGAGGGTGCACCTCCCAGTGACCTCGGTGCTCTGGAGTGGGTCGTCAGCCAGGCCCAAGAACAGCTGGACGGGATGGAAAAGAAGGCCGAGGAGATTCTGGAGCACCACGGCCCCGAGAGCCCCATCCTGGAGGACCTTTACGACGTAAGTTATACTCTACTACTTCATCTTATGCTTTAGTTTTGAATTATAGAGCTGACTCTGGGCACAGCGCATGGACAAGATGGACCCGTCCACCTTCCACACCCGTGCCTCGCTCATTTTGACCGGTTTGGGCTTTAACAAGACCACCATCCACAAGAAGACCAAGGACATGTCCGGTGGGTGGCGTATGCGTGTCGCCCTCGCCAAGGCCCTGTTCGTCAAGCCGTCGCTGCTTCTGCTGGATGACCCCACCGCCCACTTGGATCTCGAGGCCTGCGTGTGGCTGGAAGAGTACATGAAGAAGTGGGACCGCACCCTGGTGCTGGTGTCGCACTCGATGGACTTCCTGAACGGTGTCTGTACCAACATGATCGACATGCGCGGGAAGCAGCTCCTCTACTACGGTGGTAACTACGACTCGTACCACAAGACCCGCTCCGAGCAGGAGACCAACCAGATGAAGGCCTACAACAAGCAGCAGGAGGAAATCCAGCACATCAAGAAGTTCATTGCCTCGGCTGGTACCTACGCCAACTTGGTGCGTCAGGCCAAGTCGCGCCAGAAGATCCTCGACAAGATGGAGGCCGATGGTTTCATCCAGCCGGTCATCCCTGACCGTGTCTTCACCTTCCGTTTCGCCGAAGTCGACAAGCTTCCCCCTCCCGTTTTGTCCTTCGACGATGTCAGCTTCTCCTACTCGGGCAAGTGGGAGGACTCCCTCTACGAGCACCTTGACTTCGGTGTCGACATGGACTCCCGAACTGCCCTGGTCGGCCCCAACGGTGTCGGCAAGTCGACCTTGCTGCGCTTGATGACCGGCAAGCTGAGCCCGATTGGTGGTCGTGTCAGCCGTCACACACACCTTAAGCTGGGCATGTACAGCCAGCACTCCGCGGAGCAGCTCGACTTGACCAAGTCTTCCCTCGAATTTGTCCGTGACAAGTTCCCCGAGAAGTCCCAGGACTATCAGTACTGGCGCCAGCAGCTGGGCCGCTACGGTCTCAGCGGTGAGGGTCAGACTGCTTTGATGGGTACCCTGTCCGAGGGTCAGAAGAGCCGCATCGTGTTCGCCCTGCTGGCCATCGAATCGCCTAACATGATTCTGCTGGACGAGCCTACTAATGGTCTCGATATCCCCACCATTGACTCCCTGGCTGACGCTATCAACGCGTACAGTGGTGGTGTTGTTGTGGTCTCCCACGACTTCCGTCTGCTTGACAAGATCGCCAAGGATATCATGGTTTGCGAGCACAAGACCGTGCGCCGCTGGGACGGCAGCATCGGCCAGTACAAGAACCACCTGCGCAACAAGATGCTGTCGGCTGGTGCCGTCTAAAGTACTGGCTACTTCTCTTTTGTCATTTTCCCCCTTTTTCTTTTCTATGACGACGAAATGCTAGATGAGGATTGAAGGAATACAATTGTCCGCGGGGACAACACAAAAATGGGTTTCCGCGGGGGTTAAATAAAAGTTCCTTGGAATGGATGGGATGGGCTCAATGGATGATCTTTTTGTGTGTCTTTTGTTGTTTTCTTTTTGTTCTGTTGCTCTAGCTAGATCGTTGGTTGTGTTGGACCTTGTTTTCTTGCTGTCTAGATCTTGAGCATTGGACAGGTTGGACTTCAGGTTTTCGCTGTCATGACACCCATCCCCCCCTACTACTCTCGATTATAACAACCTGCTTGTTGCTGGTTTACCTTTTTATTCTTTTCTTTCCTGCCTTGCCATGCATATCTTGCTTCATATAGAGTACCTAGTCGCCTGGTCCTTGGGTGAATCTATGGGATGCCGCTCTGACCCTGTGTCTTGTAGATAAGATCTACGTCTATGACTAGACTGGGCATGCCAGCCTTTGGGTCTCAATGAAGAGTTCGATCCAATGCCCCGTGTCTACATAAGAGGCAATGTAAATTCATGTGGATGTGGCTAGTATAGTTGGAGATTCGATGCTAGCTACACACCCGACGCTAATAACCACTCGGACACATATCCATGGATGAGAGCAGACATCCTGCGTTGAAGTTGAGCCTACAGCAATCAGAAACACATCCCCAGGTTATTGCCCCTTAGTTCGCTCCGTGACCAGCTCCGGCCCGAACAAATCCTGCCCCCGACGAGCCTGCTGCTCCTGCTCCAGTTTCCGCTTTTTAGCCAGTCGCTCCGACTCGCTTTCCGAGGCAGGGCCCGAGTCACTGGCCGCAGTGGCGGCAGCCGACAACGGCGGCTGGGCAGAATCGCGCTTTTGCGCCGTGCCGAAATGAGCTTTTTCGGGGCTCTGTTTTTGGCAGTGATACAATTTCTTTGCAATGCGCTTAAGACCCTTCATTTGATCTGGGTCGGCGGACAGCGGGGAGTAGGACTGGAGCATGGCGGAGCAGTCCGTGAGGACGCTGAGGAGCTTGGTGCGGAGTTCGTAGAGGGGGTTCTGGAGCGGGTTGGTGGCATCGCTGTTGTCGGTGTCCGTTGCCCGCGCGATGGGCCCGCCGAGTTTGGTGTCGAGGTAGAATTCGGCTAGGGGGCGGTCGGCGAGGAGGAAGGCCGATAGCCAGATCTGAGATGGTGTATAGAGGAAGTAGGCGTCGGTCATCTGCGCGGCGGACTTGAGCATCTCGCGTGTCGTGCCGTGGGCGCGCCCGATTCGGTCTGTGATTGATGATGACGGGGTTGGTGGTGGCGCGATCGCGAGCAAGCCCCGTCGCAGCTCGTCCGGCATCTGGTGTGGTAGGTGAGGTGCTGGCTGGCCTTGGCCTTGGGCGATGGCTTGCAGTTCCATGACGCCGCCTTCGAGCCCGCGGAACGGATGGCGCACGTCGAACGTGAAGCGCAGGCCCTGCATGAGTAGGAACTCGGGCGCAATGACGTCTTCGGTTGATGTGTCGCCCGGGATCCCATCTGCAAATTGTCGCAGAGACATATAATAATTATCTGTTTTGGTCGCGACGAACAGCGCGCACGTCATGATTGATTTGGGGTGGTAGATCATAGGCGAATTGCTCAGGTAGAAGCGGCGAAGATATTGAATCGCGGTGGCCTATAGCAGAAAGAAAGAGAGAGAAGAGACTGTCAGTTTAACAGGAATCCAAATAGCTCATTTGAGACTAACGTACCCGGACCATGGTCGGTAGTGGTGGCTTGTAGGTATCCCCCAGCTCCAGTGTCTTCTCACAGTAATATCGCACCAGCACGAGCTCCTCTTCGGGCGTCAAGCACTCGATATTTGCTTCCTCGTTCGGTTTGCTTTCGCTCTCGCTGCCCGGCTGTGGTGTCCCCGAGGCGGAGGATGCAGTTGATTGTTGGGCCTCGCGGGCTCTGCGTCGTACGCGCTCGCTGGCGATAGCATTCGTCGTCGCCCGAAGAGATTGTAGTGAGGCATTTGTAAATGACCACAGCCGAAACTGGGAGGAGGTGCGATAAATGTCGTCTTCGATCATGGCGATGGTGAGAAAGGAAGAGGGAAGGGTCGAGAGCCCGGCGTCACGCAACGTGGGGATGTCCGCAGGCCTCCTGGGAACGGGTCCTGCTAATATAATTATAGCACGTCCACTGCCTAGGTAAGACCCGTGGATGGCTTCAATAAGAAGAAGAATATAGGCTTGATGAATAGTGCAGTAGTTGCACAGGTCAGTTTGTGCAAGGAAGAAAGATGAGGCGGATGCCTTTGCTTATCGATAACAGCTTCATCTCTATATTCGCACCAAATATATACAATCTTGGACAAAGTAACATCCTCGATTTGCTGCGGACCAATACTGCCACTCGAATGTAAAAGCCCAAAAATGCACATATTCCATTATTTCATCACGATTGTTTACTCTCCCAAAAGTCGTGCAGTGATATCACCCATAGCGCCCTCTTCCAGTTGGTAGTCCTGGCCTCCACGCCGGTCAATGCGAACTTGATGGAAGGCGGTCACAACCCGATCCACATCAAATCCCATACCACAGAAGCGGTCGACCAGGTCTTTGTTGTATCCATCGTACCTGTCGAGGCATGAGCATCTGCATGGAGTACTTTGCGAGTTACCTACTTGGCCAGATTCTCGCGCCCTGCGCCTTCCGGCACGTCATCTATGCCACCTCGACTGCCCTCTCCGGCTTCATTCTGGGGAGCACCGGCATAGATAACAGCCCATTCTCGCGCCACACGCTCAAACTCTTTCGGCTTCCGCAGGAGCATATTGGCGACCTCGGCGTCTTGAGGATCCTTGGGTTCCGGGGTGCTGAGCAGGGATTGCAAAGAAAGCAGGGAAGATTTGATAGTCAGGACTGGAGACCAAGCACTGGCGAGCGTATCGAGGCAAATCGCACCCTGCAGACTTTCATGAGCTGGCAAGATCGATTGTTATTCCACTGGAGGAGCCACTGACCGTTTGGCTGCTGACATTCGGGTGCCACACTTTGGTTTCGAATTTCATCACAGGGGGTCGGAAAGGGTAATCTATTGGAATCTTGATATCGATGTTGTAGGTGCCGCCTTCGTATGGTGTACCGGGTGGTCCTGGGAAGGAACCTCGAAGGTGTGTGACATCATCTTCGTCGCCAATGGGCTCTGCCTTAATCTGAGAGTGGGAATCGGCATAGATGTCTGCCATTTCCTTCCCAACACGACGCATACGGTTGCTCGCCATGGTGATTTGTGGACTCAATCAAAGTGCGATATTGGCGATTTGCTGTCGCGTGCTCGGTTGTGGAGTATAGCTTTCCTTGCTCTATAGAACGTCGTACAAGATCGGCTATGAGGTGACCAAGCGACAAGTCTTGAATGGGAAAGAACCAAGAACAAGACTGGCGATAAATCCAGTAGCTCAGCTATGGAGGGGAACTATGAGGGGAGGATCAGCGTGGGTAGCAGCCTTAGATCAAGGGCCCCAGGTTGACTCGAAGACGCCAGTAAAGATTCGCATACCAAATATTGGCTCAAACAAGCAACTTCTCTTGCTAGGACCAGTCCGAACTCGAATTGTTCTGCTTGTTTCCGAGGCGAAGTGGATGTGGGAGCTGCAAATGTGTTCAGGCAGCAAGGCAGAGATGACGCATTGGCAGCCTGAGGCCCTAAGGTCACGTGTAGCAACAACAGCTTCCAGCTCGCTGAGCCCCGAGCCTCACCACTGCATCTGCATTGCCAACCCATTTCTTCCATCCCCTTCTTCCATCGTCATCCCGACACCTAGAGCTTGGGACTTACGCTATTTTTATTATTATTGCAACTTTACCGTCGAGACTCTTGATTGTGTCTCTGTCACTGGCTTTCAAACATGGTTAGTGCCTCGTTCCCGGTCTTCCGTATTCGCAACCTGCTGACATGGTATCGAACAGGGTAATCAACAATCTAACATGGGTGGTGGCCCTGGTGGCGATGGACGCGATGACAAGGATAAGAAGGTAAGCTCCTAACAGCCCTCTGCTCCGGAGACCTGAATTAAGACCGCGTCATCACACAGAAGGACAAGCCTAGATACGAACCTCCTCCGCCGCCCACCACCCGCGTTGGACGTAAGAAGCGCAAGGCTGCTGGCCCGAGTACCGCCGCGAAGCTTCCCGACATCTATCCCACGTCGCGATGTAAGCTACGGTATCTTCGAATGCAGCGGGTTCACGACCACTTGCTGCTAGAAGAGGAGTATGTCGAGAACATGGAGCGGATGCGCAAGGCCAAGGCCCAGGCGACTCAGGATCCGGTCAGCCGAGGCGACTTGGATGTGATGGATCGGAATGCGGATGAGAGAAGCCGAGTTGACGACATGCGAGGCAGCCCGATGGGGGTTGGCAACCTGGAGGAGTTGATTGATGACGATCATGCGATTGTTTCGAGCGCCACAGGGCCCGAGTACTACGTCTCCATTATGTCGTTCGTTGACAAAGATCTCTTGGAGCCGGGCGCGAGCATTCTTCTGCACCACAAGTCAGTTTCTGTCGTCGGTGTATTGACTGAGGAATCCGATCCCCTTGTTTCAGTGATGAAGCTGGACAAGGCACCGACTGAGTCGTATGCCGACATTGGTGGTCTCGAGTCCCAAATCCAGGAGGTCCGCGAGGCCGTGGAGTTGCCGTTACTACACCCCGAGCTATACGAAGAAATGGGTATCAAACCACCCAAGGGTGTGATTCTCTACGGTGCTCCAGGAACTGGAAAAACGCTTCTGGCCAAGGCAGTTGCCAACCAGACTAGCGCCACCTTCCTTCGCATTGTCGGCAGTGAGCTGATCCAGAAATACCTGGGTGACGGCCCGCGCTTGGTCCGTCAGATCTTTCAAGTCGCTGCCGAACACTCTCCTTCGATTGTCTTCATTGACGAAATTGATGCCATTGGAACCAAGCGGTACGAGTCCCAGTCGGGCGGTGAACGAGAGATCCAGCGAACCATGCTGGAACTGCTCAACCAGCTGGACGGATTCGATGACCGTGGCGATGTGAAGGTCATCATGGCCACCAACAAGATTGAAACCCTGGACCCTGCTTTGATCCGACCTGGTCGTATTGACCGTAAGATCCTGTTTGAGAACCCGGATCGTAAGTGCAAGCTCTCAGTACATCTTATCCGATCTATTTGCTAACAGCCTTATAGAAAACACCAAGAAGAAGATCTTCACCCTGCACACGTCAAAGATGTCCCTCGGCGACGATGTGGATCTGGACGAATTCATTAACCAGAAGGACGATCTCTCGGGTGCGGATATCCGAGCGATCTGTACTGAGGCTGGTCTGATGGCACTGAGAGAGCGCCGGATGAGAGTGCAGATGGACGACTTCCGTGCCGCCCGAGAGCGCATCATGAAGACGAAGCAGGATGGTGGTCCCGTGGAGGGACTGTACTTGTAAGCGCTGGTGATCGCTCGGCAATGGCTACAATCATGCCAAGCAATGTCTGCGCTGGACCTCTACGAGGCTGGTTGTGTATTTTAATGATAAGGGAACCCGTAACACTGATTGAGCCTGCATCAATTGATCGATATATGCCTTGGATTATTTGCTAAAAATGTAGTATTGCTAGTTCTAGTTGTGTCACGCATCTCACGACGCCGAAGTTGGAGACTGTGGATGACGTTGGTGATCGTCGTGCAAACACTGCAAACAAGCTCAGGTTGATCAAGTCCGCGCCGGCTGCAACATTTGCGTTGTTCAACCTCTTCACAATGGACGGGTTCGATGAAGAAGCATTCAAAAAGTTCTTTCCTTCTAGCTTTGGGAAGCAGGAAAAAGGCGTCGATGTCGACTCCCAGGTCAATCGCACCAAGCGAACCGAGGTTTCAGCGCAGCCGAAACCACTCGAGGACGATGAGCGAGACTTAACCGCCACAGCATCTGCGCCTACTGGATCGGAAGAGAACCGAGACGAGGACGATGACGTCTCAGATGATTCGGACGACGAGGACGAGTTTCCCGTATCGCACGAACTCGTTGTGAAAACACATGAGCGCGCCGTGACGACCATGACTGCGGACCCCTCGGGAGCGCGGCTTATTACAGGCTCTACTGATTGTACCCTCAAGCTTCATGACTTTGCTTCAATGACACCCTCGACCATCCGCGCATTCAAGTCCGTTGATCCATCGGCCAAGAAGCAATCGGCGGCGCAGGACACCCACGCCGTTAACTACGCCGCCTTCAACCCACTGTCCCCTAGCCATGTGCTAGTTGTCTCTGCGACAGCACAGCCCCGTATACTCAGCCGAGATGGTGACACGTTGACGGAATGTGTGAAGGGAGATATGTATTTGCGGGACCTACACAATACCAAGGGACATGTTTCGGAGGTGACCAGCGGTGCCTGGTCTCCTTCCGACTATAACCTTTGCGCAACTGCCGGGAGTGATAGCACGATACGCATCTGGGATGCCAACGTGGGTCGGTCGCAGAAGGAAGTGATTGTCCATAAATCGAGAGTGGCTGGGTCTGCTGGTCGGACCAAGATGACTGCTGTCGCATGGGGCTCTCCGAAACAGGGCGGAGCTGATGTGCTGGTTGGCGCCGCTCTTGACGGAAGCTTGGTGATGTGGAGTGGAAATGGACCTTTCACGCGGCCAAGCGCTGAGGTTCGAGATGCTCATATTCGGGATACGTGGACCAGCGGGCTGGATATCAGCTCGGATGGCAGACTCGTGGTGAGTCGCGGTGGTGATGACACTATCAAACTCTGGGATACCCGCAAGTTCAAGACCCCGATCACCACCGTTACACATCCCTCGACTTCTTTCCGCTTCCCCACCTCTAACATTAAGTTCTCGCCAACATCTGCGAATGTCATAACGGGCTCGGAAACGGGCCATCTGCATATCCTCAACCCGGCCACGCTGAGACCAGAGCTTGTCACTCCCGTGACGCCAGGGTCGCCAGTGATCACTGTGCTCTGGCACGAGAAACTCAACCAAATTCTCACTGGCTCCGCCAATGCCGAAACCCATGTCCTCTACAATCCGACCATGTCGACGAAAGGTGCCGCCCTGGTCATGTCCAAAGCACCCAAGCGCCGCCATGTGGATGATAATGCGGCTCTCACCACAGATCTGACCCAGGGGCTTTCGGGCGACTCGGTCGTGGTCGGCTCCAACGGCGTCCCGCATTACAGCTCGGCGACCTGGTCGGCCCGCCATCCGAATGTTGGCCTGACAGCCTCTGGACGCTCTCGCGATCCCCGTCGCCCGCACCAACCGGCACAAACACCCTTTGCCAAGTCTCAGCCAGATGAGAAGCACATCCGCGAGAATATCCCTCTTAGTTCTATGCGTGATGAGGATCCTCGAGAGGCGCTATTGAAATATGCCGACAAAGCTGAAAAAAACCCTATATTCACCAAGGCGTATAAGGAGACACAGCCCAAGGCAATCTACGCGGAAGTGAGCGATGAGGAGGAGGAGCGAGGGCCAGAGAAGAAGAAAGCGAGGCGATGATTTGACTGTTTAGTGTTTCTTGTATATTAAACCATCTATGATCATCCGCTGGCCGCGATTTGGGGAACCCTCACGGGGTTTTCCGTTGATCTCTAGGCAGATACCTTTCCCTCGACTTTGGGTAGTCTCGTAGCGCAATCAAAATAGCTACTGCAAGCTCGATCTCACCGAAACAAAGCTGGTCTCCTTGCATGGACTGAGGAATGTCCCCTCCTTTTTCGCTACTGCATGATGTCCAGTCGATCTCTGTACCCAAAACACCAATGACACCGATGGGCATCGCCGCATGAGCTTTGGTCTCGCGCCAAATCGAGCCTGAGCGCAGTTGCACTTGCGTTGGTGCGCCGTTGGAGGCGGCTCGAGTGCGAGGAGCGCATGTGCTGACATGATCATCGCTCTCTCCGCTCGACATCTCCGACCATTGCCGCTCGGCCTTCTTTCCATCTCGTCTTGCATGCGCTTGTGGTGACTGTTTCTTGCGAGAACCTTTGCCTTATCTAGACACCGACATGCAGCTTTCCACGACCTGATCAAATGCTGACCATCGATCCCCGGGCACATCTGAACCCATAGCTGCTGGAGAGCCGGGGGGTTCTGGGGAACTAAAAGTTGAACGTCCATCGGTTTCCCCGGTGGATTGCAGACTAGAACCCAGTCCTTGGGTGCTTTGTTTGCACTCTACGCGATCAAATGGACTCATCGCAGGAGTCGTTGGTCGCAGGCCTGTTTACCTCCCTGCTCGCCTCGACCGTCGCGCCATCATCAACTCCGCACCTCGCCTCCTACACACATCCGCCCTTTGCAACATCCTCTCCGATCGCTTCGGATCGCCCGCATCATGGTAGTGGGAAAAACGAAACAATCCGCGAGTGGTCCTCACTGATCGGCATCGTGACAGCCTTGATCGGCAATATCCTCATCTCATTAGCCCTCAACATCCAGCGCTACGCGCACATTCGCATTGCGCGTGAATGGGAACACGAGAAAATTCAAAAAGAGACCTATTGGAGACACTCGGATTCCGGCTCAGGGACGGCGAATCCGTACGGGACTTTAGGAGATAACGGCACTCGCATTGGGTTACAAAGGGGAAGGCCGCGTGAACAAGGCCGACACTCTCAACGCGCTGGTTTCGAGGCTTATCGCGACAGTGAAGAGGGCACCGATGGACGAATTGATGTCGCGGAATCACAGAACCAACACCGCGGGTCTTTTTCGTCTGACGCGACAGAGCGCCCCGAGAACAAAGATGCTGTCCATGGGCACCGCAAGTCCTACCTCCGATCCCCCTACTGGTGGGTTGGCATTGTACTCATGTGTGTGGGCGAAACGGGCAATTTTTTGGCGTACGGCTTTGCGCCGGCGTCCATTGTGTCGCCTCTGGGCGTGGTGGCATTGATATCGAACTGTGTTGTCGCGCCGTGTCTACTCAAGGAGAAATTTCGCCAACGTGACTTCTGGGGTGTGCTTGTCGCCATCGCTGGCGCAGTGGTGGTCGTGCTCAGTGCCAAGTCGTCCGAGGACAAGATTGGGCCCCATGATATCTGGGTGATGATCACGCGATGGGAGTTCGAGCTCTACCTGGGATTGACTATCTCACTGATCGTTGGTCTCATGTGGGCAAGTTACAAGTATGGCCCGCGCTCGATTCTCATCGATGTCGGGCTTGTTGCGCTGTTTGGTGGATACACAGCCTTGTCTACAAAAGGTGTTGCGTCGCTGTTGTCGTATACGCTGTGGCATGTTATCACTTTTCCGATCACCTATCTTCTTGTTTTCATCCTTGTCTTCAGCGCCTTGATGCAGATTCGCTATATCAATCGTGCCCTTCAGCGCTTCGATTCTACGCAGGTCATTCCGACTCAGTTTGTCCTGTTTACCCTTTCTGTCATCATTGGCAGCGCGATCCTCTACCGGGATTTTGAGTCGATCACGGCTGCTCGCGCTGCGAAGTTTGTCGGCGGGTGTTTGATGACTTTCCTTGGGGTTTATTTCATCACTAGTGGTCGAGTTCGCGCCGATGACGAGTCTTCTTTCTCCTCCGATGACGAAGAAGAATCGATCGGTCTTTTGAATGGCGAAAGATACCAGGATCGGGTCGACTTGTCTCCCCCTGGTCAACAGTTGCGGACCCAGAAGGCTCTACGAGCTGCTCCGGAAGCAGAAGATGTTGATCAGTCACCTTCCGGGTCTCTCCTCAGCCGTGGCATCGAGGGGATTGATGATCACCAGCCTACACCAAGAGGCGTTCTCTCTGCGGCGCCTTCTTCCCCCGGTGGCTCATTGACGGCCGAATCCACTCTTTCTGCGGCTTCGCTCGATCACACGTCGCCACTGCGGCCCCCATCCCGCATGTCGAACCCCTGGGCGAATTCCCATGATGACTCGGCCATGTCCAACACCCAGATTACCCGCCCCGTTACTCCTCCGGGTCAGGCAGATGACGCTGTCCAGGCCTCAACGGTTCTACTTCGCTTTCCCCAAGCCCCTGGCTTAGAGGAAACCCCAGAGGCAAATGAGGAGGCTGGCCTTGGCCGACGTGCATCAACTCCTTTAATAACCCATCCAAATCATCTCGCCGGCCGACATCACACCACAGGGCAAACCCCAACACGACATGCATTCCGTGACTCGATCTCCAACCGATTTTCACCTGGCCCACTTCTCCCCACCCTTTCGGCCGGTTTCAGTGCCGTGGTTGCCGAGTCTCTTCGACGCGGGGAAGGCAGTCCCTTGAAAGACCGAACCCGGCGTAGACTCGGCCGCCGCAGACAACTTGAGGGGGCTTTCACAGATGATGCCTTGCGGTATCGAGACGGAGAGGCTGGGCCCTCTGGTGTCGATGGCGACGGCCACGATACCCCGCTTACGCTTGCCAATGCTCGACTTCAGTCCGCCACAAGCTTTGCCGCTACTCCCGCGGAGGCCGGCCGTTCCACCCCAGCTCTTGCAACGGAACTCTACGCTGCACCTGCCCAAAAGTCAGATGACGATATTACCCGCCTGCGCAGTCTTAGCGACTCGTGGAGCGGTGGCCTCGCATGGTTGGGCGGTGCTCTGCGCATGAACCCGCATAAGAGTGTCGATAGTGTTGCCGCCACGCAGGACACTCCGAGCCCACAGAATCTGGAGACACAGTCTTCTCGGGGCAACCATGACCGCCCCGATGCTGACACCGAGACAGACGCTCGGCGGTAGGTGTACAACAAAGGACAAAGGACGTGGTCATCCCTATTCGCAATAGGGCCGTGCATGGAGAGTGGCTGGGTCACTCGATCTATACATACACCTTGCCTTTCTTCTTCTCTTATTCTGTGCCGTCGCATTTTCAAATTCTTCTTTCTTGTCCTTTTCATTTCTTCATGGGATACCGATCATGTTGGCATTATTGGGTTGTAATGGGCATTGCATTCTGCGGGTATACCATTAGGCAATTTTAATATCTTCTTTTTTTTTCTTGGGAGTTTTGTTCTTTTACATGTCTTTGATCTTACATTTGGTGTGCGTCGGTCCAGTGCCTATCTTTGTATAGAGAACCTCTCGAATCAGACCAGTTTCATGAAACCAAGACCTCAGTCACTAGTATTTATAGTCGTAGCAATTCCTAAAAATAGGACATTCACCTCGGTCTTTCTCAAGTGACATCATGTAATAATGCTAAACGCCGAGACATACATACCCAAGAGCATAAACTCCCCATAAGCAGTACAAACCATATCTGCACCCTCATCCAAAATGACAACCATCCTCGACACCCACGCTAATAATCCTTTGAATGTCTTCTCTATCCCCCTCGAAGCCTTTCTCACTAGCTCATCGTCCCCTGCTAGGAAGCAGATAGCCGTCCACATCGTCGACTTGGTTACCACCTCTTCAGACCCTGCCCACGCCCTTTGGAAACTCTGGGACGCTTTCTTCACCGCCGTCGTCAACGCCGATTCATACCAAACCCTCCTCGCCCTCCTCGACACCCTACGCGCGCAGCCGCCAACACAGCCCAACAAAGTCCGCGTAGGGTCTAATGCCCTCGGTAGCTACATCAGCGCCGAGGGAAAGCTACACTGGGAGACCTTGCCTCGTTTCAGCGCGCAGTGGCACGACGTGCATGACATTCTCGAAGCCAGACGCGACTGGGACGGCGTGCGAGATGCGGCCCCGGGAGATCACACCACCGCCACGAAACTAAGTAGCCGTGTCGCCGAGTACTATCTCCGCTTTTGTAGTTTTTCAGCCGCGCTGCTGAAAGCCACGAACGGCAGTGAAGAGAAAGGTGGGGTACATCCTATATGGGTCTTTTATGCATGCCGTGATGTACTGGAGTATGCGCGACCCAGACCCCAGGCCCACGATTATCAACCGAAGGCGTACACAATTCCGTGGGAGGAGGTCTGGGCGCTGGATGTCCGGGTTGCGGCAACCTGGGTACGAGATGGGGGCCGGGCGCTGTGGGAAGTGGGTCATGAAGAGCTTCGACGGCACTGGGCGGCATCCCTGGATAGTCAAACGGAATTGTGGCTGAGGGATGACGGTTTGACGGTGGAGCGGTGGTATTTCTGGGAAGGAAAACTGCGGCATCTGAGTATCGAGGCGGGAATACTGGACTTGGAGACGAGGGGTGTGGTTGGCGAGGCTGCTGAAGTGGTCAGCGATCTACTCCGTACTGGGGCAATAACTCAACCCCTAAGTCTTAAGAGATAATTACCCTAGGCGACAACAATGAGCAATGTCAAGGTTCGTACCATAAATCACCAAGTCCATCCTAATCTCACTTGGCGACACTATATTCCTAACGGGGTAAGTTCTAAATGCGATTGGCGTCGAATAGCCTAACCCTAGTTCCACTGATGTACATAGGTCTATATCGATGTTATATCAAAGCAATGTATTAGAAGAGTTGTATCTTCAACCCTCCCTACTCCATTGACATCTAAAACACTAGCAAAGAGTTTTGATAGCGATTCTCTTCACTACTTCCTACTTCCTACTTCCTTGCTTACTGCTATCAATCCTGGACCCTTGGGTCCTCCGCCCCCGGCCCCCAAAGATCTACAGGCTAAGCGATTTATTCTTCAGTGAATAATAAAGTGACCGTGGCCCCCCCTTTTATTTCTTACTGATTTATTTATATTTTCCTGCCATCTGTTCTCGATCCTTCAAATTCTGACTGACCCCTAGTTCTACTAGGTCGGGCGATTTATTAGTGAATAATGAAGTGAATGTGTCCTTTGTTCAAGAAAAAAAAATTTCTTGAACGCTCTCCAACTCACCAGCACCATGCGGTTTATACTGCTGGAGACATTCTCCAGCATACTATTGTTCCTCTCTTTACTCGGAATCATCACCACTCCTGGACTCTGCTCCCCTGCTCCTCGAGGCTTGGGTTAGTAGATAGATTGTTATCATAACTATGAAAATTTGGATACTAATCGCTGCGTCTTTCTAGATATACGATCGACATCTCTCGAGAATCGTGCTTCCGATGATTACAACGAGATACTTCAGGATCGAAAAAGGAGAGGCGTACACGCCTACGGTACGACTATAAACAAAATCAACCAGATGGCGGGCGATCCGGAGCGAGACTATGACGATCGTCACTACTGGGCCCGGGAAGAAAAAGGTCAATACATCAAAGTTGCTGCCTCGTCGAACGCTTTTCGGCCTCCCTTAACGCGTGCTTTTTGGGTGGAGATCCGAATTTCTAAGAGCCGCGGATCTCTTGATTTGGACGCTAGATGGGGCGATGCCAAAAAAGCAGGCATGAAGACCCAGAAACAATTCCTGAACTTTTGCGCCGGAGCCGTGATTTATGCCTGTGACAGGAAACAAGTGCCGTCCAACAGTATCAAGACTGTAAGGGTGCGATATTATGATGATTTTGAAGCATCGGTCCTCCAAAAGCTTCAAAGAGGATTGGAGAGGGATCGCACAATCAAGAGGGGTGGGCGAAAGGACGAGGAGTTTCTTGTGTTGCTCGGTGGGTCGGCTGGGACGATTATGAGCGCGATCCGCCCACCAGCGCAGAGATTCCTCAAGGGAACGCACTCAGGAAACCAGTGGATGCCTGCCGCGATGAATTCCGAGACGATTTTTTATCCTGGTGGAAATCAAGAACCGTATTGGGTCTTCGATTTTGGAGGTGCACCTCCACCAGAGGCTCAATGCGATCCGCCACCGTATTTGGATCCGCCGCCGTATTTGTCGTCAGATCCGCCGCCGTATACTGGGCCTGCATGAGTGGTTGATTTGTGGCGTGGTTTATGTGCTTGTATTTCTCTGCAAGATATCCAATGGATGATTGTTTACTACTGTAAACATGTTGTTTCTGTAGGTGGGAAATCGAGGCATCAGCAGTACTGCCTATAGTCCGATGTCAGCTGGATTTAGCCGGAATGGCCAGACATGCTGTGGCAATTTACGGTCATATATTCTATACATCAAGTGTTATTCGGCTGTTTGCTAGAATCCCTGGACTCTGCCAGGTGGACTGGATGATTGGCATCCCAAGACAAATGTTCAGCAAAGAGTAGAAATGAAAACGGTGAAAGTATTAATATTATAGAAAAGCTCTACTTGTATCATTTGTATCGATGCTCTCTTATTTTGTCTTCAATTCCATTCTGGCTTGTTCTTCTCTACTTTTCTCTAAAGCATTTCGTCCAAGGAACAATACTCGATAACCAGTATGAGATCGGATATAGCTACGTCAAGGGTCTGCAGAGCAAGAATGTTTCATCGATGGTCAAGCATTTCGCCGGAGTCAGCAGCCCCGAGCAAGGTCTGAACACTTTGCGAACAACGTAGGGTATTGTTTATTTTAACACGTGGGCAATTGGCTAACTAGTTAACGATGTAGCTGGGATGCCCCTTCAAACGTGCCATTATTGATGGCGGTGCTTGGTCCATTATGACGGCGTACCACTCGTGGGTTTTGTGATTGACCATGAACCCGCTTGTCCGGACTTCCTGACTTCTTGTTTTCACTAGATACGACGGGATTCCAGCTGTCTCCCACCACCACACCCTCACAGACATTCTGGGAGAAGAATGGGGCTACCACTACGTTGTCATGACAGATGCCGGCGGCAGCGACAGGGTGTGCAGCTACTTCAAGCTCTGAAAGTGACCCCCTCGACATGAAATCAGTCACCAAGCAGCTGTTGACCGCAGGGACGGATGTGGAAATGGGTGGTGGCTCCTTGTAAGAACTGACGTGAGATTTTCTGTCCACCGTGGGGACTAATTCTCATCTATGTATAGCAACTTCCAGAAAATCCCGGAGATGGTCAAATCAGGAAAGCTCGATATTGCAACCGCCAACACTGCGGTTTCTTGACTGCTTCGCGTCAAGTTTGAGATGGGTCTCTTTGAGAATCCGTACCCTGCCGTTAAGCTGGCTGGCAAGGGAGTTGGATCGAGAGCCTATTGTGCTGATGGAGAACCATAACGGGACCCTGCCCTTGAACAAGTCGGGAAATATTGCAGTCATAGGGCCGATGGCCCATGGATTCATGAACATGAGTGGTTTAGTTTCTTGTGTTGACAGTTGCTGGGCTGAGCACGTTCTCTAGTACGGTGGCTATGTAGTTTATAAGAGCCAGTGCCGAGGTGCCACTCTAGACGGTATCAAGGCCGCTGTCGGCAACAAGGCCCAGGTCCACTATGCCCAAGGACGCGAGCGATGGAGCAATGACCAGCTTGGCTTCGACGAGGTCATTGATGCGGCAAAGAAGCCCGACGTGGCTGTCGTGGTGGTGGGCACTTTGTTGCGAGATCAAATGGAGCTCTGGCAGGGAGTCAACGCGGCATAAGTGGCTAGCTTTTCTCCTTCCAGCAGAATCAAACCTAATCAGCAAGAAAGAATATTTACTAACGGATTCAAAAGAACTGGCGAGCACGTCGACGTCAATGTCCTCTCTCTCTCGTGGGTGCCCAAGGCCCTCTGATCAAAGCCATTGTCGACACGGGCGTACCAACTGTCGTTGTCCTCTCAAACGGTAAACCCATCACCGACACATGGCTTTCAAATACAACATCCGCTCTCGTACGGCAGTTCTACCTCTCCGAACGAGGAGGCAATGCGCTAGCCGATGTCTTGTTCGGGGACTACAACCCCTCGGGCAAGCTGTCCGTCAGCTTCCCCAGCTACGTCGGCGATCTTCCAGTCTTCTATGACTACCTAAACTCAGCGCGCTCCATCGGCGACTCGGGCCACGAAGCTAGCAACGGTACCCTTGTCTTCGGCCACCAATATGTCCTCGGCAATCCGACCCCATGGTACCCCTTCGGATATGGCAAGAGCTACTCGAATTTCAAGTATGGGGCTGTCTGGGTCGACCGCAGCACTGTTTCGGCGTCAGACCGCACAGTTACCGTCAGCGTTAATGTGACCAACACACACACACACACAAAACGCGTGACGGTACCGAAGTCGTGCAGGTATACATCTCCGATGATATTGCCTCTGTCGTGGTCCCGAACCGCCAGCTGAAGGGGTTTGAGAAAGTGGTGATTCCGGTCAAGATTGCGCATCTGGGTGTCTGGAATGCTCGCATGAAGTATGTTGTTGAGCCTGGCCGTTTTACTGTGCTAGTTGGCAGCAGTTCAGAGGATATCCGCGGGAATACAACGTTCACGGTCCGTTGATTGCGGAGAAAACAAAATTGGTCCCTGATATATTCTGTTTCTTCATGTTTATCAATATTGATTGAAGATAGACTGTCAATACGAAGCACCGAGTACGCAAATATCAAACTGGCAACTATCAGAAAATACTCAATATAAAATAGCCAGAATTTCAAGAGTCTCTTCACGGCTTGGTTAGACCAGCCCTAGGGCGATTTCCTGTATCTATCTCGGTCCACCAAGGGAAATTTGGCGGCCGCATCCTGCTCGAGCGAGGCAGTGAAGTTGGGCTTTCTCGCACCCACCCTTTCTTTCCGGCCCTTGGAAAATAAGAGCATATCAGCCATGAACCAAAGAAGAAAGGAATGAGAAATATAATTCCCACCAAACATGGATTTCCTTCAGTAACTGTTTAGGAGTAAGAATATCATTAAGGGGGGTTAAAAGAAACCCGTGAGACACCACAGCGAGTCAATAAAAGACAATAAACAAACATCTATAATAAAGCGAGACGCAAATGACCATTTAATTCTTCTTATCATAGGATGTAAGTTAAGGGAAGCTTTGGCCTATATTAGGGAACAAACGATTCTACGTTGGAACTCCATTATGATGGAACTGTGGCTGAGTTCTGAGGGATGAATTGTAAGCAACAGGGCGGGCTCAAGGAGACTAAGGGGTTCCAATGGATATTTTTTTATTTGCCGTTAATGGAAAAAGCAGGGCTATCTAAGTAACGTCCTGCCTCAGCCCGAGTGCCTACTGGCCCCCAATATAGGCTTGTATCCACTAGAAGGGGGCCCGGCCCCTTTCGTAGTCAAGACTTCAGGGTTACATACCTTTCTTTGATCTAAGATATAAAGTAGAGCGAGGCTTTGCAATGATCTGTGGGTGAACTTTCATTTTATTCTATATCAAGTTATCCATTCAACTTGTATCTTCGCTGGCCTCGCTATCTCTACCGCTACCGCGTGGATATCCTCTATTGCTCTTTGATCATGAAGCTCCTCAACCTGCTTATCGTTTGCTCTATGGCTGCCCTCGCCAATGCAGCAGTTCTAACAGAAAGATCCTGCACCGCCCGTATGTATATCAACCAACTTTATCTCATAGTGGTTGCTAATGATTTATAGATCACGAACCATGCTATTCTAGTGACGAGTGCTGCGGGAATATGTATTGCGACTCTCTCTCTAAGGACGGCGCCATTTCTGAAGAGATTTGCCTCAGCCCCTCTTAGAGGGAGATCTATATTCAGGGCTTATGTATATGTGGTACAACCCAAATAGTGCAGTGGTGAAACCGGTGGTTTTATTCGGCGTGAAACTGTTTCGTTTCTATCTACCTGATCTTTTAGGTCAAGGGTCATGGTTTTTCTCATATCCATTCTATACATAGTTGGGTCATCTTCACTTATAAGACTATGCCATATGATTCCCCTATTTTGGTCATTTCTATCGGGTTTGTATTTTTATACTAGATAATGCTCTCACTAACGACCCCCTTAGCCTGTACCTACATACTCTACTGTTGACCGGAAAGAACCCTAAAAAATGCCTGTGTTTTTAGATACATAGTACACTTAACTGCTGGAGATTCCCGAAGATTTTGGATCATGTGTGGTCTCTATGGATAGACCATGAATTCCATGGTCCAGTACGGCAAAGGGTATTAGTTTGCTTCCGTTCTTTTGGTTTATACACGCGTACGTACGTCAAGTCAATCCTAGGAATTAATATGAATGGTTTAGGTCAACTACTCGGAACATAGCTACTCTTGTACTCAGCTCGCATAGTCAAGTCATTTCTCCCGTTCTAACCAAGATCTCCAAATTCAGTTCCGAGGTGTACAAAACCTCACTGCACAACAATAGATGGATACAAAAAGCTCGATTTCTAAGATGTGGTGCATCCCCCCATAGATTCGTCATCGTCCTTCTTCAGACATCCTTCAGCGGCGTCGCTGTCCGCACATCCGATATTTCCAGAACACTGCATAGCGCCGATATCTCCACCGGTGGTGCTGTCGGCACCGGATCTGAGATAGCACCATGTTTGTGAAGACTTGTCGGTCACAGGATGTTTGGTGGGGGTTCCATCTCTGCCACCATCGGATGCGGTGCAGAGAGTCTGACACTTTTTGGCAACGCATTGAATTTCAGCGTAGCCTGCATATTGTATGTTAACTTTCGAGGCACACGAAGATAACAACCGGCTGTTGGAGACAAGAAAAACAAGCACCGCAGTCACTCACTAGTAGACGCGAGGGCAAGGATCACGGCCCCAATGGCAAAGTTGAGCTTCATAGTGGGAAAGGGATGTATATGTTCAAACAGAAGAAGGTTCTAGTGAAAGTAGAGTAGTAGGATTGGCATTGCAGAGGGCAAGAGCGATCGTTTTATAGATTTCTCCCTCGCCACACTGACCAGCCCAACATACCCCATGGGGCGTACTATGGGCCTACCCTGGGGACCCTAACAATCAAAGGAATATCTCAACGTCATAATAGGGCAATAATCTAGAGTAGTTGTTGGGTTGGTCGCCTATGGTGTTACTATATTGTACATGGCCTCACTCCAACAGAGTAACTAGGCCGGAACGATGACGATTTTGCTTTTTTGGGGGATAATGGGTGGCCAAGCCGCCAACCGCATAATGAGCATTCATATATGTATGGGCGAAAGGACCCCAAATATCTCAAAGGATGATAGAAGTTTCCGAAAAGGGCAACGAATGGGCCAAAAACAACAATCTGGAAGACAGCCCGAGTATCAAGAGGGGGGCAAAATGGACGTGGCGGAGCTCGACGATATGGATTCATCGCAAAAATACCTCACCAATAGGAAGTAGATATAGAGTGGAGAGAAAGAAAGAGCAGAAGGGCGAAAAATAGCAAGGAGCTGTAGCGGTAGTTAGTACGGCAGCAAAGAGCCGGAATCACAATGGCCCCGGGAACACTGTACAACCTTAAATAACCACTTTAGCTTACCTAGGTATAGAATCACTTCTTTTTGAAATTCACACTCCTATAAATTGTTTTATTTGATTAATATACCAAATATACAATATAAGGGCCTAGGGCCGCGCCTATCCCATATAAATTCTTACTCCTTCAGTTAAATTTGGTAAAAGGACGGTTTATAGAATGTTCAAAGAGTATGGGGCAGGAAGATCTCTTGGCTAAACTACTTCCTATATAGGAAAAAACTTAGGGCCTTGCTACTGTAGCGCCCCCAAATCCTTTCTCTGTTCGATCCCTTTCCGTCTTGCTTTCCTTACTTGATCGATAGGTTTTATACCTTGACAAGTATAATCCCGATAACGACTGAGTTTTTTTTTGGTTCTTTGTAATGTGAGTGAGTGTCGATGCCTTGGTTCGTGTGATATATAGCAAGGTGCAATGTGTTGCATTTTTATATTGCCCGTTAACTTCATATATCTTGTTTATTTAGTCCTCTACCTCGGTTCTTGCTGGCCGATTGCTGGTCAATAGTCGAAGATTGTATCCCGAGAAGCATAATCATGCAGATCTCAGTGTCATGGATGGTGAGGCGAATTAAATCATCATTCTGGACCTAGGCTGTGATGTAGAGAGTGATTATCTGCTGCGCGTCCGACGGGTATATATGACAACCTGACATATGGCATCGTGTTTCTAGTTTACGTTATAATATGGGATCAAGTGACAGCGGATCTAAAGAAGCTAGTGTAAATCCATGAGAGGACGTCATCGTGTTTTTCAGAAAACATACAGACCAGCGCTGCAAAGAAGTGAACTATATCATACTAATAGGACATGTGAATCAATCATTCATATCGTACATTCATTGCCCTATATAAAGCGCCAACGACAGTCCATCATAACTGCGTCTCCACGGAGATGGCGCACGGTGAATCGCTTGACCTCATAGCGCGTGGCTTAGCTCTTATGCCACTCTTACAAGGCTGGCACATCACTACAAATCCTAATGAGTACACTGCCTTTCAACGCCCGAGAAGCCTTGTCATCATTTGATATTGCTGCACGATCATGATGTGGATAATCATACAAAGAAAGACCAGAAAACATATGAATTGATGGTCAAGCTGCATTCAATTTCGTCTCCGTTGATTCGGATCAGGATGGCCCTCCCTCAAAGGTATGATTCAGGGTCTCAGCCTCAGGCTGTGGAGAGACTGGAGTTGGATTGCCAGGAGTTCCAGGAGGGTTGCTCTGACCGTCGCCTGAGCGCCCTTCTGCCCGTCGGGTTTTGGCGCCCTCCTTCAGTTTCTCCCAACGGTCTCGGTACCTTCCGAGGACGTTTTTCAACCTGTCATTCTCGCGACCGACGCGTTCCAGTTGCTGCTCACCACGTCGGACCACCTCCTCGAGCTCTCGGACTCGAGGATCAGACGAGGCCATCGCCGGGGCCGCAGAGAGTGTAGCTACTGGGGAGGTCGAAGTCGGGGAAGTCTGCGGCAAGTGATCAGGGGATCCAGCATGGTGGTGCATCGCTTTCAACGATTGCTGCAATGCCATGGATGACGACTGCGCATTGACTTCCCACATATGCAATCGCTTAGAAAGGGTATCGGAGAGGTGCTTCAGAGCTTGATTTTCCATCTGCAGCTCCTCCAGAGTCTTGGGGTTTTGGAGACTGGTGAGCTGGTCGGCAGTCCCTCGGCGTCCGTTGCGCGTCATGCTTTGCTGCATTTCGGGCGAAGATGGGGTTTCTCGGGCGTCCACAAAGTCATCATCGCCTTCATCGAGACTACCCCGGCGGGCTTCCTTCTCGGCTCGGGTGAGAATCCCTGCGTAGGACATGGTGCCACCCGTTGTGGGGACCACGTAAAATGATTCGGCTGGGTTGCCGGGACTAGTCCCAGACATATCCCGGATCGATCGTAGCGCTGCTCGCGAAAAAAGTCGGTTGACATCTGGCCCTGCCTGCCCACTTGAACGGTCTGGGGTTGCATGATGGCGATCCAGCTTTGTTTCGGCTGGGGACTTGCGGCTCGTAGTTCCGGCTCGTTCGGGATTCTCAGATCCCAGCGGAAGCCCCGCGAATGCCAAAGGCGCCGAGATTTTCGAAATGAGACCCTCAAATGTTGAATAGAACCGCTGAAAAGGCTCATCGACCGTCGGTTCCTTGTTCTTCCCTCGTCCGGGTTCAGTTGCGTCTGCAGGTACCACTTGCTGTGCGGTAATCTCTGTAGGACTAAGGGTGGGAGGAGACCACGGTTGTTTGGGCACGGACGGACGATGGTGCCGACTTTTGGTTGGGACATCTCGCAATCTCGACTCGCCGGTTTTAATTCGCGATGGCAGTTCGGTCATCTTTGCGCCCGCTTGGTGTGAAGAGAGGGTTGGCGAGACGGGCGATCCGCGGCGAGGATGAGACGGGATGCCGCGGGCGGATGCCAACTCGCTGGCGATGGAGGATGTTTCTCGACTGGGCAATCGAGGGTTCCCAGGTAGCCTCGGGGGGTGGCTTTGGGCCTCTTGACTGGAAGGGGTGGGCTTGGGAATCTCGGAATCGGTGGCAGATCGCTGGATCGCTCGGGTTAGGGGATCGGTTGATGCGGAGGGCTCAATCGTCGCACTCGCTGGGTGCTCATGCTGGAATCTCAGGATTTCTGCCAATTTCTTGTGATGATGTTCGAGTAATTGGAGAGTTCGCAGTGCCTGTGGTTCGCGGGGCGTGTCAGAGACGGACTTGTTCGAAGAGACCATCCAACAGCAGTGCTAGACTTACCTCGTTGTCGGAGCTGCGCTGTGCCGCAGTCGCGAATTCTCCTGCGGCCAAATCATGTTCCTCGCTGGCGGCCACAGGGTTGGACTTGCGGGTCTCCAGCACTGCATTTCGAGCATGGGTATGAGCCTTTGAAAGGTGTCAGAGAGAAGCCCATGATCTGCGCGACAGAACTCGTACCAGAGTCAGCGGAGCTGCTTCCATAGCTGTGGGGTGGTGAGTAAGAATCCAAAGGCTGCTCCAGTGTGTGAGAATGCAAAGGGAAGAAGAGTGACGCCACTGAGGAAATGCGGGACTAGCCGGGTCTCACCACCCACGTCCTTGAGGAGAGCAAGGTGCGACTTCCACGAAAGTAGACAAATCAGTTCTAGTCTCAGTCATCCAAGAAAAGCAAAGTCCCGTTCACGAAGGAAGCGACGAAAGCGTCCCATCCGCATTCTGGTGGAGCCGCGGGTCCGCCAAAGCTCGGGAGACTAAATGGCTACGTGGACGATCCAGTCTGCAATGAACCAAGATACTAAACGATACTGTATTATATATTCTGAAAATATCTGAAATAATCGTATAGAAGAAAGACGAATAAAACAACATAAAATAAAAGACACCTCAGGCTATACATTGAAATAGCACGGAAAGTACTCAGCCAAGAAGCCTCGGGACCCGCTTGTGCCTGGGCCCTGACTAAGTCCTCCCCTCTCCATCTCCAGGGGGATCTCTACCATCTCTCTCTTCTGCTACGCTTCTGTGATTTGGAAGAGACGGAAAGCCTTGAAATACCATGCAGTGGATACCTTAATGTCTTTCGATTAACTCGCCTTAATTCCGTGTTGCCTGAGCCATGGCCGACTCCTCATCATCCAGCCTGAATGGCGCCAGGTCGCGCCGCTCCTGGACCGTGTCGGCAGATTCAGAAGCCACGGAGAGTTCCAGTCGCAGCAATGGTCGACTTTCTATGGAATCCACTTCTGAAAGACCCAGAACACAGGGCGGAGAGGTTGCGGATCCCGGCAGGGCTGGCCCCAGCGGGTTCTCCAAGCTTCTCAATGCTCGGCGTCGGCGGAAGAAGAAACACCAGAAACAGGAGGAGGAGCCGGCAGTACCGGCAGTACCGGCATTGCCTCCTATGGAACACAACCCTCAGGAAACCTGGCCGACCGAATCTCGAGATGGCAACCAGGCAGCGGCCTCTTCTCATAATGGCAGCGCGGCGGCGCCTGATGGCGAGGTGATCACTTTACTCACCGATGACTCCGAGCCAGACAAGTATGCCCAAATCTTACCTTCCAACCGATTCAAGGGGATGGATACTGACTGGAGTGGTTCAGGACTCCGCCGCTCACCTCCCACAACTCACATTCGGGATTCTACACCTCTTCCTCTCCATTGATTAAGACGACTTCGGTAGATGCGACTGATACGGACGGAAGACATGCCGATACGGAATCAGCAATTAGCGGTCCTAGCGCGACGGGCTCGGAATCGAATCCAAGCGACCCCCCGAGGCCCGCGACACAACACAGCATGGGCCTGGACGTTCCTGCCGATGCGAGTGGGAAAAGACGGAGTGTTTCTCCGGGCAGACGTCTGAAGGATGCACTCAGCTCAGACAAGAAAAGCTCGAATGAAGACCCAGATCAAGCATCATTGAAATCCGGAGGGAGTAGAAATGGGCGAAGTCGGAGTTTATTTGGAAGCAGCAGACGGAACAGCTTGTCCTCGAAACGAATTCAAGCAAACCCGGAAGACCCCCCCCATGCCTGGACCCATTCGCACAGATCTCACCGAAGATAAACCTCGCTCTTTGGATGAGAGTCCCATGCCCAATACGCCTCCGCATACGGCCATCCCAGCGCCGGCTACTACTGTGACCCCTCCTACTCCAACAGAAAACCGCCCCTTCAACACTCCAATCCTGACTGATACTGTCACCGAATCTCCTGATTCCATTAAGGCCCCAAATTCGACGTCGTCAGGGGCCAACGTCAGCTCTTCAGGCAGCATCGTCTCTCATCGGCGGGTGCGCTCTGCCTCTGCAGCTCACGGCCCGAGCAAATTGTCATCTGTCACCTCGTTAACTCCCTTGGATGAAAACAACTCCCCCGGGTCGAGGAACGCCAGTTCCAACCAGCAAAATGGATTTTTCTCATCTGTGTTTTCTGTTGCTCAAAATGCGGCATCTTCGCTCAGTAACAGCCTGAACGGCCCCCAAAGAAACCGTGCGGGCTCCCAGCCGACGTCTCCTGCCATCGACAATGTTGAAAAATCCCAGACTGGGGCTGAAGGGACGGACAAGGCACCGGGCAACGACAACAAACCGGAAGATGGAAAACCATCTGCTGTGGAGACCCTTGGAGCTGGGGATCTAAACTTTAGTCACCTGGACATGGATGTGCCACCGGGTGAAGTGATTTCCACCACCGACGGCGCGGTGGTCACCAAACCCGAAACACCCTTTGACAAGCGCAAGAACGCAACGGTACACCGGCGAGATGAAGAGGCTGCCAAGCTCGAGGACCAACGCGCAGCGCGTGCAGTTTACATGGCCTACGAAAAACCATCGGCACCATCTTCGGTGGGTCCCTCGGCAGACGATGGACTGGAGCTCCAATCCACCATATCGCTTCCGAGAGATGGCACCATCACAGGCGACCACACGCCCCCAAGCGGTAGTATTCTTGACGGCGATTTGAGTAGTGGTATAAAACGCAGTAATAGCGTGCGCAGCCGACTCGCTAGGCGCCATCGGGGCTCGTCTGGCGCAACCAACTCAACAATTGGTGCTATCGGTGCCACCACCGCCAATGCCCTTGCACTCGGCGTCCCTGGGATGAATGCCAGTGCACCTCGGTTGACTGGATTTGCTGTTGCGAGCAAGAAGCGCAACAGAGACTTTCATCAGTTGTTTCGCAGTGTCCCCGAAGACGATTACCTGATCGAAGACTACAGCTGTGCTCTGCAGCGTGAAATCATTCTCGCCGGTCGCATCTACATCTCCGAGGGACATATCTGTTTCTCCAGCAACATTCTCGGATGGGTCACCACGCTTGTCATTAGCTTTGACGAGGTTGTGGCCATCGAAAAAGAGAACACAGCAATGGTGTTCCCCAATGCGATTGCCATACAGACCCTCCATGCGCGACATACCTTCCGGAGTTTGCTCAGCCGCGAATCAACGTATGATCTCATGGTCAACATTTGGAAGATTAACCATCCCTCTCTGAAGAGTTCCGTGAACGGCACCCGCGTGACCCATGGCACTGGGGACAAGACCGAGAAGGTTGGAGAAAGCGACTCCGAGAGCGATGTGTCCGATGAGGACGAGATCTACGATGAGGACGAGGAAGATGAGAATGCTGATAGCTTTTTCGAAGCCGGAGATGCTAGTGTCAACGCAAGTCAGCAATCGTTGCCAGCACGAGCGGGGCTAAGTCGCCAGACTTCGGGCCTGTCTATCAACCAGACAGCTGCTGCTACTAAACAGAACTCAAATGGCGACACCAAGAACGGCGATAAATCTGCCGCTTCCAAGGAGCCAGCGATTGACTTCCCTGGCCCGACTACACATGCAGCCACCGAGTATACGGAATCTAATGGCCAGTACGAAAAGGTCATCAAGGATGAAACGATTCCGGCACCCCTCGGCAAAGTCTACTCATTGGTATTCGGTCCAGCCTCAGGAGAATTCATGACGAAATTCCTCGTTGACAACCAGAAAGTCGGCGAGCTGCAGTTCGAGGGAACAACAAAGGGCCTGACCAACGAAAGCCGAATCAGGAAATATTCATTCATTAAGCCTCTGCCGGGCTCCATCGGGCCCAAACAGACCAAGTGTATCACTACCGAAAACTTGGATTTCTTGGATCTCGAGAAGGGGGTTCTCGTCACATTGACTACCCAGACCCCAGATGTGCCAAGTGGGAATGTCTTTGCCACCAAAACCAAATACCTTTTTACATGGGCTGCAGGGAACCAAACCCGCTTTCTCGTGACCTGCACTATTGAATGGTCGGGTAAGAGTTGGTTGAAGGGTCCCATTGAAAAGGGCGCAATTGATGGCCAAACGACCTATGGAAACGAGCTCGTCAAGTCTCTCAAGGTCGGCGTTGTTCCCCGCGGGCGTACCAATGGCGCTGCAAAGGGCAAAGGTCGGCGCAAGAAGGGCGATGCCGCAGCTCGAGATGCATCAGCAGCGTCCTTGAAGGCTGCGGTCGATGGCAACGCTGGACAAGCTGAATCCTGGGGGTTGCTTGAATCTATTCGCCCGATCCTTGAGCCTGTTGCCAGCATGTTGACCCCGCTGTGGAGTGGCAACATTGCGATCTTTGTCATTGGAATTTTGCTGTACATGGTTTTCTTCCGCTCGCCGTCGCCCCCGTCCACGCTCTCACATGACGTGGGCTGCCCTGGATATGCTCTGCCGCAACGATTGGCTGCATATGAAGAAATGTGGCGGCGCGAAGAAAGTGAGCTTTGGAATTGGCTCGAGGATCGGGTTGGCATGGATGGTATGGTTTTTCCAACCGTCCACCGATCGCCTGAGCCACACCCAAGCCGCAGATCTTCTCGGGTCAATGCAGCCGACGAGCGCGAGTTAGCTTCGCGGCTGCGTGAAGAGAAAGTTTCAGATCGAGAAATGGATCATGCCATTCGCACGACTCGCCAGCGACTCGACGTTCTCGAAGAAATAATCAACAAGCGCAAGGCCCAGTGGGAAGTCGAGGAGGAGCAAATCCGCCCTGAACTGTAAGGACTGGCCGTTGACACCTACAGTGTGCTCCATTCTCACCACCTTCCATCTACCTTCGACCTCATGACCTGCTTGGGTCTTCCTTTTCTCCACCACCATTATCACCGCATCACCTTGCGTTAGCACCAGGCTTTGATTGTTCTAAGCATTGTGCAACATATACCACACCACCACATCACACCGGGTATCTTTCATTTGTCCCTCTTCAAATTTTTCTGCGAGGGTCGTCTCGGGGCTTCAGCACTTTCTACTTCGGGGCTGAACCAATTACTATTTACCGTCCCTCCACATTCTTTCACAATTCTCTCCCACACTCCTTCATGCCAAACCTACCTTGACTCTCTCGGGACTCGGGTATGGAGATTGGCCTTTCTTTGCATGTACATGAGCGCCAACTGGTTTGTCTATACTGGACTTGAATTTCTTTTCTTTTCTTTTCCTTTTTTTTTTGCCTGTGATTGTGCCTTCAGCGTTCTTTCTTATTCTCTGCTTTCGTCGATCCTATTGTACAGCCTCGTCCGAAAACTTTAGCGTTGTTGTCCTGTTCCATTGGAAAGCCTTGAGGCGTTCTGCGTACTTGGTTGTCCGTTGATATTGTGTCGATATGTCAAGCGAATGCTGAATAGCATCTATCAATATATTCAATTCCTCAAATCGTTTCTTTCCCTCGTAGGCTAGTCTGTATGTACATGGTCAACCAAGCAATCTTTTCCTCACAGGGTATACCGGAATTCTTCATGACCCTCCAGAATAACTTCTTGCCGGTCAGCCTTGATGTTTTGCAAATGAAAGTGAGCACTCAAACCAACGACGAGGACTATAACAGCCAGCATCAGCCCAATGCTTGTCCAAATCCCCGGCAGATACCGCGGTGCATCTTGCGTGCGGAACATAATCCCACCCACGATCCCTCCCGAGCCCACAATCGTGGCACTCGAAAACGCCCGGCTCCACTGACCACGGATGTTGTTGGCCTGGTAGGTGAGCATAGACGGGAGGCTGCTATTGCCGCCTGCAGTCACCAAAATGCACCCTACGTACCGCACCGCCGCCGACGGGCCCCAGCCCATCAACGCCAGTCCACAGATAGCCACCCGCGAATTCACCACGATAAAGATGCCACGCATGCGGTATCGGTCGCCAATCCATGACTCGACGAACATAACTACTCCCGCTAGTGCGTACGGTGGCGCAACGAGGCACTGCGATGCACTGACACCGAATCCCATGCTCTCGTGTTATATGATCGGCAGGAAATACGCCAGCGAGTAGCGGTGTTGGCGAGGAAAGTCATCGCAAACGCCCACATCTTGGGGTCGAGCGATGGGCTCAGGAACTTGCTCCAGCTGAAGGCTTCCATGTCCTGATCGCCGCGGTCTTGCTGCACCCGCTGGATCATGAACAGGCATTCGGCGCGGCTGAGAGAACTCAACTGCGAATTGGATTTGTACGCATGGTCGGGGAAGTCGAGCAAAAATGCGTAGCAGAGTCCGCCGACGATGCATGTCAGAATGCCCTCGATGATGAATATCCACCGCCAGCCCTCCAGTCCACCCACGCCTTGCATCTGCGTCAGGCCGAACGCCAGGATCCCTGAGAAGGCTGAGGCTACCATGCCGATGATATAGTATCTGGCGTATCGTTTCTGCAGCTTGAAGCGCACATACCAGGTCGAGAGAAGGAGGATAATGCCAGGGAAGAAACATCCTTCAAAGAGATCCAGCAATAGACGCAGCGCTGTCATCTGCTGCCAGTTGTGCAAGAAACCGAGCCCGATCATCGTCCCACCTCAGAACAAGACTAGGCTTGACAAGAACCTTCGCGCTCCGAATTTGCGGATGATGGCTATGGCAGGCACCTGGCCCACGACGTCGGTGATGAAAAAGACCAGCACGGCTATGGACTACCGGCTGCCCTTGTTTAATTTCAGGTCCTCGTTCATGCCGGCAATCAATGCACTCGAGATATTGGTGCGGTCCATTAGACTGACGCAGGCTGTGAGGCCGCACATGGTGACGATGCGTTGGTCCACGCGCCCGACAATGCTCTTTTGTTCGTTGTCGGTGAACTGGTCGGCTGGACTGGCGCCGAGGTGGTCGAGACGGGCTATCTCCAGCTCATCTTTGTCTTGGGATGCCCTCATCTTTTCGATGGCCGGCAGTTGATTTAAGAAAGATTGTGAATGCTGTGGACTTGCAATGGTAGGTGTACTGGACAGGAGTAAAGTCAGGATATACTTATGAAACTCACCTCTTTTATGCTGGCGCTCTACGCCCCAGACCGAGGCATCTATCATATCCCCGACCTGGCTCAAGAGATATCCAGCGTGGTGCACGTCTACCGAAGAAGTTGTCGATTTCCCGAGACCAGACTATGGATGTGGACCTATTGCATTGCATGACGACACTTTGTCGGCGAGCATCGACACACTCTATTTTGACTAGCGAAGAGCGTTTCCACGGTCGTCATCATAGCCCAAGGAGCGAGACCACCTTGTATCAAATGGACGGATCAACTCTTTCAATTCTTGAATTACGGAAACATTGTCAAAGGGATCTTCATTGGATAAACCTTCGTATAAGCAAAATTATACCACGCTGCTTTAATCTTATAAGTTCGTATCGTACAGCAATGGAAAAAAATGCGAAGTCTTTGTAGAACACTGGTAATCGCAATAGCTCATAAATCTATGAATTATAATGTTAGAATAAAACCTTTTCTTCCACTTCCCCGCCCTTGGAAACGGAAATAGACCTGTTCTTCGCCGTCGAGGTTTGCCATGCCGAGACCTCAGAGGTGAAAAGATCATCAATCTGCTCCAGAGTCAAGCGAGCCGTTTCTGGAACAAACAGAAAGACTAAAATCATCATTACAATAGTCACACCCGCATAGAAATACCCGACATTGGCCCCCATATCTCCATACTCCGGGTTCAGCATATAGGGTGTCCAGAAGATGGCGCCAAAGGAGAAGATACCGAAGAATATCGTGGAGTTTGCCTGGCCATAGGTGCGAAGAGACACGCTGTGCATCTCAACAGAGGCGAGACTCGCACTGGGTGCGATGGTCCCACCGAAGACAAATGCCCACAGGCAGAGGAAGACCACAACAACCATTCGCGCACTGGCATCCATGCCCAGCGCCGTGCTCACAGATGATAAGACGAGCATGCAAATTGCCATTGCGCTGTATCCAACGAGAATTGCCCTTCGCCGTCCTCCATATTCCACGATAAACGGGCCCAGACACGCCCCTGCCAGAATGCAGAGGCCGATAATCACGTTGATCAAATATGGGTTGCTGATCCCGACACCTTGCAAAAAGAGAGCGGCATACGGCTGTGCAAATTGAATGCCGGTGATTGCAAGCCCGACCATAATCATGGCTGATATTAATGTGCGGCGAACGTTTTTTCGCCGATAGATGTCAACCCACGAGCTGGATGTCGCGCCTGCACGTTCTGTCTGGATATGCGATTTGACGTCTTCAATTTGTGCTGTGATCTCGGCCGAATACGGCTCCTGTTGATACAAGACACCGAACGAGTGCCGCGCCTCCTCTTCTCTGTTGTGGTTCATGAGCCAGCGTGGAGACTCAGGGAACATCAAGATGCCCGCTCCTAGGAGAACTCCCAGAGGGATTTGGCACAGAATAGGCGTTTTCCATTGCCAGTGGTTATCTGGCTCCAGGCGCGATGAGCCTGCACACACCGCGGAGGAGGCAACGTTGCCCAGGGCCAGGCCGACGTTGTAGAGTCCCAGGGAGAGGCCGCGCTGGTGCGCGACAATGCACTCGGACCCATAGGTGACACTGGCAGTCATGAGCTGCCCGATCCCCACTGCACTGATGCACCTGCAGATCATGTAATGCAAGAAACTGCCAACCGTTCCGATCATGCCACCTGCGCCGATGATGGCAAGAATACATCCGATCTGAATGGACCCGCGACGGCCGACGTATCTGCCGGCCAGACCTGAAACACCACCGCCGAGGGCAATGAAAAGGAAGTTGAGACTAATCAATGATTGCTGTAATGCGGTGATTGAGCATTGCTGGTCTATGCCCCCGGTGGCTGGGTTGGGGATGTCGTGGCAAGTGCCAAATGCTTTTTTGTAGGACGGCATGATCAATACTGTGCCGGAATAGCCGTTGTCGAAGTTGGTTATCCATGCTGCAAAGGACACCCATATTGATAGGCGGATCATGGACCCTGTTGCTTGGGTCTTCTCTGTGACCATGTTCTGAGTAGTCCTTGATTCCTCTTTGGACTCTGGTTGATGGTCATACATTGCAGGGTTATGCTAGCAGCATCGAATTTGACCGGAGAATCCTAAGCAATATTGGTTCACTTTCGTAGATTCCTGGATCATGCGTTGACTCGGAATATATAAAGCCAGTCAATGACGACCAGATGAAATGAGCTCCACCCTGGACCTACATACCTGAGCCCACGCCACACATACGTTGCCCGATCATCAAGAATGTTAGCCATTTCAACTGCCAATAAGACCTTCTAGTGAATCTAGGCGGATGAAACAGTCTCATTTTGTATTGTGCGAAACCTGGAAATAATCTCATTTCCCCCGGAAAGTATGAAATCGCTATCCGGATTAAAGTAGGGCTAGCGCTTCGGGCCATATCCGTTGACATGTAGACTCTTCGTGGATCGGGAAATAATGGATCGAGCTCGAATCAGCTTGACTGATTTCATTTTTCCATGCTTTACATCATGAGGTGTTGTCCACCCGTTCTCTTACAGGTGTGCGATATCGAGTCGACTGAAAACTGGTTAAACTATGCACCGGGTCTACCAATCCAACGTATCGCAAATGGCAGCAAATTACTTACTCTGGAATGGTTCTTGGGCTTTCTTATCTTCAACAATGCTTCAAGGGTTCGAAGCCCAAGTTCTACACGCTGGCTCGGCAGAGACCATAGGCTTTGTCGATGTGCTAATATTTCCGTAATGCCACACCCCATGCATTTTCCTGGAGGGTTCTCTTTTGAATCTGATGGTTTTCATGCTCCCTTAAACGAGCAAGAGAGAACTGAAAGCACGAAACCAAAAAGCCGAGGCGTATAGTTCTTGTGGCACGTGACTTGCTCACAAACAAGCGGCTCGTCTTAACGTGGAGACTCGCAGACCACACCCCACCATGGAACTCTCTACGATCCTGATCATCGTCGCAGTCTATATCGGTACGTTTCTATATGCATTGTGCTCGGCAATAACCATCCTGGCAATCCGATTCTTGACCCGACTGCACAGCCCATCAAATGAGCAACTGAAGACCCGTGTGCTAACCCATAACCAGTGTTCACCATTATCAAGTCCCGCTCCACGGACTCGACAGCCACCATGTCTCACGGAAAGGTGGTGAACGTTGACAAGTAAGAATTTTCATCACCCAACGAAAAAACCATGCGCACTCGGCGATCGGAAGCTGACCATTCCCGCCTACCCAAACAGCGAGGTCATCTTCAAAGCGCTGACCTCGTCCGGCCCCGTCGTCATCGACTTCTACGCCACCTGGTGTGGCCCCTGCAAGGCCGTCGCGCCCAAAGTGGGCGAGTTCAGTGATAAATACGAGAACGTGCGCTTCATCCAAATCGACGTCGATAAGCTGGGGTCGGTGGCTCAGCAGCTCGGGGTGACGGCCATGCCGACGTTTGTTTTCTTCAAGGATGGTCAGGAGTTCGGGCAGCGGGTGCGTGGGGCCAATCTCAAGGCTTTGGAGGAGGGTATCAAGGGGCTCTCTGCATGATGGGAATCGACAGCTCGGAGACATGCAGGGTAGGTGTTTTTATCTACTTGCCTCTAATATGACATCCAAATAACGAGTATCAACCCAGTCTGTCTGCGTAGGTTTGCTTTTACACGGGTAGATTTACTTCTGGACTAATGCATGACCAGTGAATACGGGTCGAATCCTGACAATGCAAGGGATTGGGCTGTATGGGGTGCGTGGCATGCTGGTCACTATTGACTGTCTGTTTCGTTTCAGGATGTCGGGTCTCGGCAGAGGACTTGATAGAAGTATTTAATGAATACAAGACCTACGGCCACGAGAAGGGCTACTCTCTATTTAGTCCCTAGAGGAACTAGATAACATATACTAGGCTAGAAAATATGATCAATATGACAAAAAAAAAAAGAAGAATAGATATATGATTTAGAAACAAGGGGTAACATAACGGTGCGCGATTCTATAAAGCACCGCTGTCTGCTCTATAGTGAAAATGCTGACCTCGAAGCAGTAGATATTCACAATGTCCTATCATCACAAAGAAACGGATCTTCGGGTGACCCGAGCTGCATCGAGTGTAGACTCGACCCACACCCGCTCTCTTTCTCCAGTCATCAGGATGGCTAATCCATATTAGGAGCCCGCCGACCCTTGGCGGGTGAAGAATCCCTGTTTCAACACGGTATATCACGGAAATCCCCGTGTCAAGTCACCGCATGTTCCCCTCTTCGGACTTCGTTTCCATCCGGGGTTATGCCGCGTGGGACCCATGGTTTCTATCCAGGCTGCATGCTGCATCGCTATGACGGAGTTACCGGGTTTCCGAGAGAAATCCTGACAATAATGAATCACTGTGACTCAGACTCTAACCTCAGATCCCTACAAAGTGGAGCCGAGTGGATGGTTGTAGTATTCAATCCTAACAGACTTGGTGGATATACCCATGCACCTAATGGCCCCGGGAGTGCTTTATTCTCTTACTAAATAATAAACATTATCTTATTTCCCAAGGTTCTTCTGTCTGGTTCCTTCAGCTCTTCTCAATCTGGCACTACTTCAGGGGGCTCCAGGTAGTTGCTACCCGGCACATTCGCACTCTTTCATTCTTTGTTCGTTTACAGGCGTGACACAACGTCGCATCCATCGTGTTTGAGGGAGCAGCTCAGGAACTCGGAGACTGCTGTGGTGCAAGATCCACTAGACAAACGCCCGCACCTTCTTCTACAAACTGCCCCCAAATGGCACCAACGTCCGACTCTGCTCCTCCCGTCGACAAGCTGGCAATGGCAGAACCCAGCAACAATTCTGATGTGGATACACTATACACCGACAACTGTGAGCGACAGCGCGAGGAGGTCCGCATCGCCAACCCTCAGGGCATGACCTCGTCTCAGTCGGGGGTGGATGTCGAAAAGGCCGAGCAGGACTTCTTTGAGTTGAATCGACAGTTCTCCAGTATATCGCACCAGGCGCGTCAAATATCCAAACAGGCATCGCGCGTTTCCAAACCAACCGCGACGGCAGAAGATGTCGAAAAGGCTGCGAGCTCGGCAGACTCGGAGGAGCCCTGGGATCTTGAAAGTGCGCTGCGGGGCAATCGTGCGGCCGAGGCAGACGCCGGGATCAAGGATAAGCATATTGGTTCGCTGTATCGTGTATTGGATTGTCAGCCAGATCTAACTGCCGATCCCCTCGCCAGGTGTGATTTGGGACAACCTCTCGGTCCGCGGCATGGGCGGCGTGAAAACGTTCATCAAGACTTTCCCAGATGCGATTATTGACTTCTTCAACATCCCCGAGACAATCATGCACATACTCGGCTATGGCAACAAGGGCCAAGAGTTCAATATTCTGGAGGGGTTCCGCGGGCTCACGCGGCCAGGTGAGATGGTGTTGGTGCTGGGACGCCCGGGATCGGGCTGCACGACGTTTCTCAAGGTGATTGCCAACCAACGCTTTGGATACACTGGGATTGATGGCGATGTGCTTTATGGTCCTTTTAACTCTGTGACATTCTCGAAGAGGTTTCGTGGCGAGGCTGTCTACAACCAAGAGGACGACATCCATGAGCCAACTTTGACCGTCAAACAAACCCTGGGGTTCGCGCTCGACACCAAGACCCCGAGGAAAAGACCACTTGGGGTGTCAAAATCAGAGTTCAAGGAGAAGGTGGCCAATATGCTGCTGAGGATGTTCAACATTGAACATACCGCCAACACTGTTATTGGAAACCAGTTCATTCGGGGCGTTTCTGGTGGTATGTCGGCCCCTCGCAATTCCCACTGGATCTCGCACAGATCTAATTCTAGAATCAGGTGAGCGGCGCCGAGTGAGCATTGCGGAGATGATGATTACTTCGGCAACTGTGCTGGCCTGGGACAATAGCACTCGAGGCTTGGATGCATCAACAGCCCTTGACTTTGCCAAGTCTCTTCGCATATTGACGAATATCTACAAGACGACGACCTTTGTGTCTCTGTACCAGGCATCCGAGAATATCTACAAGCAATTTGACAAGGTGCTTGTGGTGGACAGTGGCCGCCAGGTATATTTTGGTCCAGCATCCGAAGCGCGAGCTTACTTCGAGGATCTGGGATTCCGAGAAAAGCCTCGTCAGACCACCCCGGACTATCTAACTGGATGCACCGATCCCTTTGAGAGAGAATTCAAGGATGGAAGAAGTGCCGAAAACGTGCCATCATCACCCGAGGCCCTGGTGGAGGCTTTCAGCCAATCCACCTACAGCAAGAAGCTTGACGAGGAAATGCAGTCATACCGCAATCAGGTCCAACAGCAAGAGCAAATCTACGATGACTTTGAAATTGCAAACAGGGAGGCCAAGCGCAAATTCACACCCAAGTCCTCTGTCTACTCGATTCCATTCCACCTGCAAATCTGGGCCCTGATGCAACGACAGTTCTTGATCAAATGGCAAGACAGATTCTCTCAAACAGTGTCTTGGATTACCTCTACCGGAGTTGCCATTATCCTGGGCACTGTGTGGCTGAAGCTACCCATGACAAGCGCCGGTGCTTTCACTCGAGGTGGCCTCCTGTTTATCAGTTTGCTGTTCAATGGCTTCCAGGCATTTTCTGAGCTCGCTTCAACCATGCTGGGTCGTTCAATCGTCAATAAACACCGCTCTTTTACTTTCTACAGACCAAGTGCACTTTTCATTGCACATATTCTGGTGGACACCACCTTTGCAGTCGCGAAAATCCTGGTTTTCAGCATCATCGTATACTTCATGTGCGGACTTGTTCTCGACGCCGGGGCCTTTTTCACCTTTGTTCTGGTTATTCTCACGGGGTATGTTTGTATGACCGTCTTCTTCAGAACGATTGGATGTCTCTGTCCGGATTTCGACTATGCCATGAAGTTCGCGTCTGTCATCATCACTCTCTTCGTTTTGACCTCGGGCTATCTCATCCAGTGGTCCGCCTCGCAGGTGTGGCTCCGGTGGATATACTACATCAATCCCTTTGGCCTCGGTTTTGCTGCATTGATGGTTAATGAATTCAATCGCCTCACAATGACATGCACCAAGGATTCATTGATACCCAGTGGCCCCGGCTACGGCGATATTACCCATCAGGCTTGTACGTTGGCGGGAGGGGATCCTGGATCGGCAATCATTCCGGGGTCAAAATATCTTGCAGCGACGTTCAGTTATTTTTCCGGCGACCTGTGGCGAAATTTCGGGATTATGCTTGCCCTGATTGTGGGGTTCCTGGGCATGAATCTTTACTTTGGCGAGACCGTCCAGTTCGGGGCCGGTGGCAAGACTATCACTTTCTACCAAAAGGAGAACAGCGAACGCAAAGAGCTGAACGAATCTCTAATGAAGATAAAGGCGGGTCGGCAGTCAAAGACCGTCGAAGCAGGGGCGAATCTCAAGATTACTTCCAAGTCAGTGTTCACCTGGGAAGATGTTTCTTACGAAGTACCGGTGCCCTCGGGTACTCGGCAGCTGTTGAACTCGGTGTACGGATACGTTGAACCTGGAAAACTCACTGCATTAATGGGCGCATCGGGTGCCGGGAAGACAACATTGTTGGATGTTTTGGCAGCGAGGAAAAACATCGGTGTGGTCACTGGGGATATCCTGGTGGATGGCGCACAGCCGGGTACTTCATTCCAACGGGGTACCTCGTACGCAGAGCAACTGGACGTCCACGAGCCCATGCAAACTGTGCGCGAGGCCCTGCGTTTCTCGGCAGATCTGCGCCAACCTTTCGAGACGCCACAGTCAGAGAAGTATGCTTATGTGGAAGAGATCTTGACTCTACTCGAACTGGAGAACCTGGCCGACGCTATCATTGGCACCCCAGAGACGGGTCTTTCAGTTGAGGAGCGAAAGCGCGTGACCATCGGTGTCGAGCTGGCAGCGAAGCCGGAGCTTTTGCTGTTTCTGGACGAACCGACCTCTGGTCTGGACAGCCAGTCCGCGTTCAATATCGTGCGTTTCTTGCGCAAGCTTGCCGCAGCTGGACAGGCTATTTTGTGTACTATCCACCAACCGAACTCGGCTCTTTTCGAGAACTTTGATCGTCTTTTGCTTCTGCAAAAAGGAGGTGAATGTGTCTATTATGGGGACATTGGCTTGGATTCTCAGATCTTGCTGGATTACTTCCGTCGGCATGGGGCAGACTGTCCCGCGGATGCCAATCCAGCTGAATGGATGCTGGATGCCATCGGTGCCGGCCAAACGCGGCGCATTGGAGATCGCGACTGGGGCGACATTTGGCGCACCTCGTCGGAACTCGAGCAACTCCAACAGAAAATCATTGAGATCAAGGCGGACCGGGCCCAAGCAGTCCGACAGAACCAGGACGAGGCCAAAATCGAAAAGGAATATGCTTCGCCTCTCTGGCATCAGATCAAGGTCGTAGGCCGGCGGACCAATCTGTCTTTCTGGCGCTCTCGCAACTATGGATTTACTCGGCTCTTTACCCATGTGGTGATTGCATTGATCACAGGTCTGGCTTTCTTGCAGCTTGACGACTCTCGGTCCTCGTTGCAATATCGAATTTTCGTCATCTTCAACGTGACCGTTCTTCCCGCGATTATCTTGCAGCAGGTTGAACCGCGATACGATCTCTCGCGCCTCATTTTTTATCGTGAATCAGCCTCTAAGACATATGGTCAATTTGCCTTTTCCCTGTCCATGGTCATTGCCGAGCTGCCGTACAGCATTCTGTGTGCGGTGTGTTTCTTCCTTCCGCTGTACTACATTCCTGGATTTCAGTCTGCTAGCAGTCGCGCTGGCTACCAATTCTTCATTGTTCTCGTCACGGAGATCTTCGCTGTCACCCTCGGCCAAATGATCTCAGCCCTAACCCCAAACAGCTTCATTGCATCCCAGCTCAACCCGCCTATTGTCATTATTTTCTCTTTGTTTTGCGGTGTTGCCATTCCCAAGCCACAAATTCCCGGCTTCTGGCGCGCATGGCTCTATCAACTAGACCCATTTACCCGCCTGATTGGCGGTATGGTGGTCACGGAGCTACACGGGCGCGATGTGGTATGCACCGAGGCCGAGTACAATCGATTTCAGGCCCCATCCAACCAGTCCTGCGGTGAATACATGCGGCCGTTCTTTGCGCGTGGTGGTCCTGGATATCTGCGCGAGAGTGCGACGCAGGCCTGTGAGTACTGCGCGTACAAGATTGGTGACCAGTTCTACTCGACGTTTGGTATGTCCTTTGGCAACCGGTGGCGCGACCTGGGCATTTTCATTGCGTTTATTGGGTCCAATTTGATTATCTTGTTCCTGGCGGTATGTCCTATGCTGCACATCTTCTGTTTGGCTTGTGGTTCAGTTGCTAATTCGTCTGCAACAGTCTCGGTTCTTGAATTTCAACCGCCGTTAAATCAGAGTTCATACGGAAAATGGAGGATATGGATGTATTCCAGATATTCTTGATTCTGCAGAGAGTTAGGGAGTAGGCCGAGCAAAAGTATTCCACAAAATACTATTGAATAGCTGTGATCCTACATACTCCACTGTATCCACATCTCCCCTTCTCCCCCGGATTCGCAACCCCCACGCCTCCACGCTTGACTGGGAGGAACAAGCTCGCGATCGACATCCCCGTGGCCCACCTCCACCTATGCCCGTCCATCACAGACTCACACGGGTCGCATGGTCCACCGGACTTGCTCCGACTCGTACAGCAGCAAGACTATCGCCAACCAACCCACATTCCGGGGATCCAAGCATCGCGGTGCAATTCCGATCGCCCAGCTCGTCAGCCAAGCCTGAGCTTCTCCGCGTCACATACTCGGAGAGAAGCCCTACCGGGTGTTTGCTCTCTATCTCACTTCTTTCGTCTTTCCCCGCAGATTTCTTTAAGCTTTGGCTGTCGCGGGGAAGCGCCATGACAGTGCGCCAGCACCGGAATGCTTTAAATTAGTCCTGGTATCTTGTGGGTGATTTTGTTTCTCTTGGAAGAATCCACCTTATATCCACACCCACATCCACATCCGAAGAATTCTTAGTCTATCCACCCCTTGTTCTTGAATCCTCCTGAATTCAACTTCAATTGAATCAAATAAACAATATCAAACCAGAATGGCACACCCCGACGCCGCAGATCCAGGCGACGGCTCGAAACCTGCTATCGCGGACTCGCCGACTATCACGCATGAAGAGAGCAACCAAGTCCAGTCCAAATGGATGTCCGCCCAGGCTGCCGATGGCGACACCGCCATGGCGCTGTTTGATCATCCCGACGAGCTGCATGAGGATATCGATCCCGCTGAGGCGCGGCGTCTACTTTGGAAGATTGATTTTATGATCTTGCCCTATCTGGCGGTTTGCTATGCTTTCTTTTATATTGACAAGGTGGGGTTTTTTATGATATGATGTCAATTGCTGGCAAAATAATACCAACGGTTCTTTTCTCTCGCCCATGCTGATATATCTTCCATAGACGACTTTGAGCTATGCTGCTATCTTCGGTATCCGCGATGACCTCAATCTGCATGGCACCCAGTATAGCTGGCTGAGCAGCATTTTCTACTTTGGGTTTTTGATCTGGGCATTTCCGACCAATTTTCTGATGCAGCGTCTTCCGATTGGTAATTGTTTCTTCACATTGAAGCGTTGCATATCGTTCTGACATCTCCCGTTTCTAGGAAAATATCTCGGCGTGAATATCTTCATGTGGTGTGTACCTGTTGATCCATACCTGTTTATCCAATTCCAACTGACACACTTGATCGAATAAAGGGGCGTCTTCCTCATCATCCAAGCAGCCTGCAACAGCTTCGAGACCCTCGCCGTCCTCCGCGCCCTGGGTGGTGCCGCCGAAGCCTGCTCTGACCCAGCCTTCATGCTCATCACGAGCATGTGGTACACGCGTCGCGAGCAGCCTGTGCGGATCGGTCTTTGGTATACTGCCAATGGACTCGGCATTGCCCTTGGTGGTCTGCTGGGCTATGGGATAGGTAATATCAGGGGAGCTTTGCCATCCTGGAAGTACGAGTTTATCGTGATGTATGCTTGCGGCCTTTCTTGGAGATATACATGATTTCGTGGTCCACCTGCTGATCAAACTTAGTGGTTCTCTTTGTGCAGCGTGGGGCATTGTCATGTTTATCTTTCTCCCCGACTCGCCTGTCACTGCCCGCGGTCTCAGCATGAGACAGCGCCGCATTGCCGTTGACCGCTTGCGTGAGAATCAGACTGGTGTCGAGAATAAGCACTTGAAGCCGTACCAGATTCTGGAGGCGTTTATGGATTACAAGCTCTACATGTTCTTTTTATTGGGCATTGTCTGTATGTTTTATCATTTCATATTCCCCTGGTTTACAGCTGAACCTACCGGCTTTTTCAGAGTTAACATGAGACCTTTTTCATCCAGGCAATATTCCCAACGGCGGAATTTCAAACTTCGGCACGATCATCATCAAGGGCTTTGGATTCACGACCTTGGTGACCACACTGATGCAAGTATGTACTGCTTGTTTTTACTAATTTGAGAAATAACTAGGCTCTACTAACACACCTCCAGATCCCATACGGCGTTCTCATCGCCCTCTCGATTCTAGCATGCGTCTACCTCAACGACCGCTTCGAGAACCGCCGTTGCGTGTTTATTCTCATCTTCCTCATCCCCAATATTGCCGGGGCCTTTGGTCTCCGCTTCGTGCCAGCTGATCAGCGCGTCGGTAGACTGATTTGCTACTACTTGACTGGGCCCTATAATGCTGCTTTTGTGCTTGTTCTGAGTATGCAGGTTGCCAACACGGCTGGTGAGTGTTTTTTTCACTCCCTTAAGGTTTTTATTATAGGACCAACAGGTTCAAATTGCGATCGAAAAGACAGCTTCGCTAAACCTTTCTTTATACAGGCCATACCAAGAAAGTCGTCACCAACGCTGTCCTCTTTCTGGGCTATTGTACCGGCAACATCGCCGGACCCTTCTTCTATAAATCAGAGCAATCGTGGGTTCTTTCCTCCTAATATGATCTTCAATTTATAAATAAAGAGAGGGGGAGCAAGCTAACTCGCTTACAGGCCAGTCTACGAGCTCGGCATCTGGTCCATGATTGTATCGCATCTCATCGAAGTCGTCCTCATTACCGCCCTGGGTCTTCTTCTCCGCTGGGAGAACCAGAAGCGTGATCGGATTCAGTCGCAGATGGAGGGCGGTTTGGAAGGGAGAGATTTGGACTCGACGGCGTTCTTGGATTTGACGGACCGGGAGAATTTGAAGTATGTGTTTTGCTCTTTCTATCTGTTATTTTGTCTGCTGGTGTACTAACCACATTTTCTCACAAATAGCTTCCGCTATATTTATTGAACTTTCATCTGTGTACGGCCTGGGATATGAATTATCTCTCTTATGGAAGTTTATGTGTTTGTTGAGTAGCAAGCCAGTCATGAAATACAAGAAAGCATCATATTGCAGTGACATCGATCATCTAGCTTGACCCAGAATTCTCTTCTTCGACATTGTGCTGCCCGACGATAGTGAGAAAAACTTGGTCCATCGTGGTTTGGCTGACAGAATAGTACTGCACGCCGAGCCGACCCTTGTTCTCCTCAAGGCAAGAAAACAAAGTTCCAATACCACTGGAACCGGGCGCCGCTGACGCCGAATCTGGCTTTCGTCCATCGACAAGAATTTCATCGTCTGGTGAAGACGAGGTGTCATTCTGCTGTGTCGCCGGTACACTGAATCTGAGCTGGCCATGGTAGGTCTTCTGCTCGATAACAGCACCCGGGAATGTCGCATGGACCCAGTTGCGAATACTGCCCATGTTGTCATCGGAGGTATGCGGCGCCTGTGCGTGGACCAGATGGACTTGATACACATTCCCGTATTTAGCACGCAGAGAGTCCGTAGTCCCCAGTGCCAGCATTCGCTGAGCCATGATACCTGCGCGCGAGGCCAGGGCATCAGCCTCTTCCATGGAGTGAGTGGTGAGAACAATTGAGCGGCCAGGTGCCACAGACGCCAGGGTCTTCCACATAACGCGCTTGGAGGCGGCGTCCATGCCAGAAGAGGGCTCGTCGAGCAGCAACACGGCCGGGTTGCCCATTAGGGCGATCGCGAGCGACAGCTTGCGCTTGTTGCCGCCGGAGAGCTTCATGGCCATGCGTTGCTGGAAAGGAACCAGACCGACGGCCCGGATCACCTGCCGCACGTTGTGGTCGATGTCTGCGACGCCGCGGATGCGCGCGTAGAAGCGGAGGTGCTCGATCACGCTCATCTGGTCGATTGCGTCGAACTGCGGGCATACGCCGAGGTGGGCACGAGCTGTTGCTCGGTTCTTTGTTACTGAGATATCCTCAACGAAGATCTCGCCGCCCCGTTGTGAGGGTTGTATGTCGCCGCGGATTAGGCTGATTGTCGTAGTTTTGCCTGCGCCGTTTGGACCGAGTAGTGCGAATACTTCGCCTCTGCGGACCCCGAAGCTGACGTTGTCTACGGCGACGAACTTCTTGAAGGTTTTTGTGAGATGCGCAACCCGGAGCCCGTCGTTGGCGCTTGTGACTCGGGTCAGTTCATTGGCAACGCCGTCGTCCCCCTTTTCCTTTTCTTCAATATCTTCTGGTTTGGTGCTTGATTGGAAGCGCGAAAGTGGGTGACCAACGCCGTCTAATCGGAGGAGCAAACAGAACAGTATAATCGACTGGACTACCAGGTAAACGATGGGCCCCCCATAAACCGTGATTTCCCCGGGATATGACACAATTTGTCGATCCCGGCAGAGGATCGAAAAGATGTTCAAGCCAGCAAACATAGCACGAGCAAGGCTGCCGATTGGGGTGATGATAGAAATCGTGAAGTGAACGATTGAGAGATAGGAGTCGATTTTGGTGGTGGGTGCATAGGTGAGCACGGACATGTACGCGATGAAATAGAGGAGAAAGAAGACACACTGCATGCCTGCTGTGAAAGCAAAGGCTGCGAGCTGGGACTTGGATGCAAGAGAGATGAGATACGCCAAGAGTGTCGAGCAGAGGCCGTAGAGAAAAAAGACTACGAAGAGGTATTCGGCATGGTACCACGCATCTGAAGAGGCTCGGAAAATGACAGTCGCCAGCACACTGACCAGCAAAACGATGCAAAAGTCAAAGCACAAGTAGGCAATCCATAGTGGCAGTGTCCGGACACCATTGCTATAATGCAAAGCGCGCACATTTCTCAGGCGCTCGACTGTCGGGTAAAGCGCAAAGAGGGCCGGATACACAGCTGATGCCAGACCAAAATAGACCAGTAGTTGAAGAAACTTCCCTACGTCAGCCTGCCATGGGATGTCGAATGGTTGATACTGGAATGCAATGGAAATGTTGGTCAAGAAGTTGTCCATGGCGTTCTGAGTTACGGCCGATAACGGAAAATCGCCATTGTCGCCTTTCCATGCAAACGTTGGCTGAGAAGAGGAGTCCCCGAGCCAAAAACCGCCCGGGGTGACGTTTGCCCGGTGGGTATGAAGGTAGTCATTGAATTCCTGTAGGCTGTCGACCAGGTGAAACAAGCTCGAGACATCCGAAACAAGGATTGTCGTAGATCCAGATGGCCCAGACAATGAGCTGAGATAGCTGTCGAGCGCAGAGGTTGATATTCGACTGCGTGGACCAGCTACAAAATTGACACGCCCAACAGAGCTCAGCGATTGGACTTGAGGAGTGGTATAGAGACTGGGCCCGGAGCATGTGGGTTCTTTGGCATCCTTCAGGAACAACGTAACCAGGCCACTTGCGATGACGGGAATCAGGAAAGCAGCCAGATACGGAATGAAATTTCGACGGAGGATTGTCACGCGCTTGAGGAACAAAAGCCAAGCTTGGCGGCCCATGCCAATACGCTTTCCAGTCAGAAGTTGGGGCGTGTCATTGTGAATTTGGTGCTCAACGGATCCATCGGTCTTTGGTTTTTCATCACTGGGATGGTCGCTAGATGGAGGGTTGTCAGCCAACTCCTGCGCAACTTTCAGGAATACATCCTCGATTGTTGGCCCGCTGACCCGGTACTCCGTGACGCCTTCGTGTTCAAGCATGGCAACTATACGAGAGACTTGTGCGGAGTCTTGGACGGTATAGACCGTCTCGTCGAAATGTGTCTCTTTGCCGATCCCTTCAAGCGGCACATCGAGGCTTCCAGTAGAGCCAGGAGCATGGTGCACATGGATCCGATATCCTGAACCCAGACGGTGCTTGAGCTCGACCGTAGAACCTTGAGCTTCTAGTGATCCCTTGGAGAGGATTGCGATGTGATCTGCGAGCAACTCGGCTTCATCCAGGAAATGCGTTGTGAAGAGAATCGTTCTCCGTCCTCGCTCGGCTAGCAGAATATCCCATATCTTTCTTCGTGAAATGGGGTCAAGGCCAGAAGACACCTCATCAACACAGCAAACAGACGAGCCCCCGGTAAACATCATGGCCAACTGGAGCTTTCGCTTTTGGCCACCTGAGAGGGTCCTTGATTGCTCCTTAACTTTCTTGTGCAAATCGCAGGCTTCAATCAGCTTGACGAGTTCTCCCTGACTGTCAGGCTTTTGTGCAGTCTTTAGGCCATTGAAAATCTTGACGTGCTCTCTGACTGTCAAGGTGCTCCACAGAACATTCTTCTGGGGGCATAGTCCAAACCTCCCCCCACTATCACCGTAGTCAATCTTGATCTCTCCTGACGAGATCTTCGTGAGGCCAGAGATAGCATCTAGCGTTGTAGATTTGCCGGAACCATTCGCTCCAAGAAGGACCATGATTCCGCCTTTAACCATATCCAAACTGAGATTGTTGACTGCCAGGACACTCTGCCGCTTGGAACCAAAGATACCACCCAGGTGTCTGTGGACCCAACTCGGCTGGTATTCCTTGGAAAATCCATTCAAGGCGAGGGCGCGAGAATTTTCCAGGGGAGTAACTTGCCGGCTGCCCGATGCAGTCCCGTAGAGAATCCGCTCTACCAGCGCCGCAATAATGGGATAGACGATTATCTGCACAATCAGAAGCACCCACAAAGCGATTCCAGGAACCGTCCAAGGATTCTCTGGGGCAGCATGGACCAGATTGGTCGGGAGACTTTGTCTCTCCCATCGAGCCATCGAAACCGAGAAAAATATGTAGTTCATGGAAGGGAACAACAGGGAAAAAACGACAACGGCACCGTTTGTTTTGATCCCTGCAACTTGCGCGATAACTCCAAGCAGGAGATTGGCGATCACCACAGAGATACCACTCAACTGCGCCTTTTTGAAAAAGGAGGCCCCGAATATAGAAAATGAGGAGACTGCCAGGCCGGAAAGGATGTGATTTACGACAGTTATCCCCGCGGATGTCTTATTGAACACCCCATACTTGAGGATCACACCGGTGATTATCCATCCCGGCCCGTAAATCATGTCCAAGGCAAGGTGGGCTGCAATGAACCGGGCGGCTTGAACTTTCCAGTGGGAGGTGCTGGGCATCATGCAGTCGATCAATTGGCTCATGCCGATTTCTCGCTCCATGGCGATCAGCCCGGTGAGCTGGTAGGCTACGCCTACCATTCCGATGAAGATGGCAATGCTGATAATGTTGATGATGGCACTCATGTAGCGTACTCGGATTTCATCCTGGCGTTGCTTCTGGCTCATTGATGTAAATGGGTATTCTAAGACCTGTAAAGGATCAGCTCGGCGTGTAATTCAACAAGATTAATGGGGTTTCATACCTCGTCAGGAATGTCGTTGGAATCATTCGAGGTATTGGCGTGGGCGATGGCCCAGTCAATCGAGTGTTGCAGGGGAAGAAGATAGATTTCCTGGCCGTTATTACTCTCGTCAGTGTTGATGCGGTCACCCATAGACCCATCCGCTCGAATCGAATAGTTCCAACGGCCCCCTGGACCTTCATCAGGTGAAGAATAGAAGACTGCAGCTGCTATACATGAAGATGTCCCCCGGAGTGAGGATCGGCATGTATCCCTCAAATTGCCTTCCGAGCTCAAGATGGCCACATCATCTCCACGTTGCCGGGCGAGCTTAGCGACTTGGTTGATGACTTGCTGGATATTGCCATCGGTGAAGCCGTTGTTGACAAAGATCAGTTTGTCGCGGCCCCCTCCGACAGAGCCCAGCGCATCTGCCAGAGATGGCACTGGCGTTGGATCGCCAATGCCATAGACTGACGGGGGCACAAAGAAGTTGCGAGCATAAGATCTGGCCGTCCATCAACAAACTGGAAATGTCTTCTCGACCAACAAAGCAACCCCAAATCAAAAGGCACTTACAAGATGGCAATATAGACAACAGGCAGCACTAAAGCCCGAAGGGTGGTTGTCGCACTGGGGCGGACATAGGTGATCAGGAGGTTCTTGACGGTCAACGTCCAGACTTGCCGCAGAAAGAGACTCATAGTCTCTGAGCCACCCGTGAGTTTCAGGACGATAAAACCGGGTGCAGTCTGGATGTGTCAGTCATCCATATTATTTTTCTTTTCTGTTTTTTTTAAATGACCCCGGAGTCTGACACGTCCGTGTTGTGTCTGACACATCCGTGTTGTGGCTTGGCCCCAATTTGCCCGAGCACAAGGGGTGTCGAAACGAGGCCCATCGTCTCCGATCGCGTCGGTAAGTGCGTCACAGCAGCTTGGCTCCATGATTTTGCACTCGGCATGCACGCCTATTAGCTCGCTTCGGGGCGTGCTGCGACCAACACGTCCGCGGCGCGACTGTTATTTGACTGTTGGAATGCCCAGATGCTGGGGGCTGTGGACCCTCCCCACTCGGTGGGCGCAGGAATTCTCCGACCGCAGACATTGATGACGATTTGATGATGATCGTAGATGAATGTCAGAGCGAGCTAGGGACCAAGTAGGTATTCTCTGCCATAGCTGTGGGTGAAGGTGCACTGGCACCAACAATAGTGAAGTGTATCTTGCCCCGAATTTCTTCGGCCAGCCGACGAATTGTATCGATTTGAGAGAACACCCATTGAGATGCTATCTTTCCAGAATGCAATCGCATCACATCGGCCCGACTAATATGCATCTGGACATCCTCCTGGGGGATCTCGATAATCGATCTGCCAATGCTTGAGTAGATATGTCTATTGTACGGCGCAAACTGAAGTTGGGCAATATAGGCAGAGAAAAATGACATAATATCTTCATGATTCATTTCTGGACAGTAGCGGCTGAGGTATCTATTGTAGATAAGTCTTGCGGCATCTGACACGAACCCAATGAACTCAAGGACTTCGACGCCCTCTGCCATGATGAAAGAAAAAGAAGGGTAAACAAGGCACTATAGCCACATGAGACAAAGAAGGGAGTTGAAAGATAAAAGCAAGTAGGTGGGAAGTGAGAGAAGGAAGAAGAGTGGTACCAAGGTGCTATTTATAGGGCTGGTCCTAGTAGTAATTGACCATGGTCATACCAAAAATCATGACGAAATTTATTCTAATGACTAGGTAGTATATAAGCTAGCAGGAAATATTATAATAAAAAGGGAAACATTCGATCTAGGTCATCCAACTCGAATACCGATTTCGATAGCTAGTAAAAGATAATCGGAAAGAGGCTAAGAAAGAGATATTAACAAACAAAGAACAGAGGAATTGAATACATTGCTTAAAACTAGTCGTTCTGGTTCTTGTCAGACTTTTATTGCCTTAGTACAAGGCTGCTCTTCTCTTACTATTCTAGCTTATTGATAGCCTTAAGAGGCATTCTACTCAACCAGTAGATCACTTTGAAGAGACGAATCAAATATTAGTCACCAAAAGAAAACCTACATAGACATATACTGACTCAGAGACTCTCAGCACCTTCCTAAGTATAGATATCTTTATGGGCACGCTTGATCGCATCTGCGCCCTTCTCAGCCACCATGTAAACCGAGTTCTGGATTCGACAGTCAGGAATGACAGGAATCACAGAAGCATCCACGACTCGGAGATTCTTGATCCCATGGACCTTAAGATTGGGATCCACCACGCCCTGTTGAATGTTCTTCGACAGGCGTGCAGTGCCGCAAGGATGGAATGAGGTCTGCGAGCGGTCCAGGACAGTCCGTTTCATCATCTCGTCGTCGTGTAATGGCATCACCCAAGGATATTCGTCCAAAATGATGTCCTTGAACCCATCCCCATTCTTCAAGACATCATAGGCGTATCTGATACCCTCTCGAATGGCGATGACATCCAGATCGTTGTTGAAGTAGTTCAAGTTGATGTTGGGTTGCTGGAGGGGGTCTGCATTGTTCAGAGTGACCTCGCCAGGGTCAGAGACTGGGCGAACCAGATCGACCATCACAGTAATATAGCTCCCCTTGCTGGGAGTGGGATAATGCCACTGGAAGGCGCTGCCAAACAAACAGACGAAATCAAGCTCGAAATGAGGCTGGCCGTACGGACAAAAGGGGTCGGCTCCATTGTTGGAAGCCTTTGCGGCTCGGTACTCGGGCGATTTCTCCAGGTATTTGTCGATCCGAGGAAATCCAACCATCTCGAGGAATCCAGATCCCATCGGACCACCGTGACCCTTGGAATAAGCCGCCAGGGCTTGGTTATGCTTCGGGTTCCCCTTTCGCAAGACATAGTCGTCCATGCCGTAGCCATCCTTCACTCGAAGAACGAAGGGAACGCCCGGGTGATCCAAAAGATGCTGACCTACGTGGCGCGAGTCGACAATGACGGGAATGTTGTGTTTGGACAATTCTGGCGCAGGGCCAATTCCGCTGAGCATCAACAGCTTGGGGGTTTCAAAAACCCCCTGCGACACGATCACTTCACGGGTAGCGAAGAAGTTCAGTTCCTGCCCCGAGGCCGTGATCACAGTAGCACCCTTGCAAGTGCGATCGGCATCGTCAATAATCAAGCGCTTCGAATGCACCTCGGGGAGAATGGTGATGTTTGGCCTGTCGGTAACACACAGGAAACTCCCAGAGCGGCGGCCCTTGTAAATCGAATTGACACTGTGCGTCAGGCCAACCATTTTGCCATCAAAGACATTCTCGTTGATCGGCTGGCCAGTGGACTTCCAGGCCTTGGTAAGGAGATCCCGGAATGGCTGCATCTCGGGGATCAGTTCAGAGTGGGCAATCGGGATCGGACCACCTTGACCGATCTTCTTGAGATCCGCTGAGTAGGCCTTCTCATCGTCATGATAAGTGGCACTCTTTCGAAGATAGGGAACAAGCGGATCCCACGTCCACTCCTTCCCGCCATATTCTTCCCACATATCATAGGTACCCTTGGATCCGGGGACCCAGGTGAAATAGTTCAGGGAGGAACTACCACCGAGGGCTTTTCCACGGGTGTTGGGCTTCTCGACGCGCTCGTAGTCGTCGCGCTTGATCATCGTTGTCTTATAGGCCCAGTCGTACTGGCTGTTCCGGAGGTCCATTGCCTCTGCCGGGGTTCTGATCTCCTCGATGTCCTTGGAGTTGCCAACTCCAGCTTCAAGAACTAGAACCTTGACATTGGGGTTCTCAGCAAGTCGGCCAGCCACAAGGTTGCCAGCGGTGCCACCGCCAACCACAATGAAGTCAAAGCGGGCGTTGGCCTGTACATGCGGAGACATCTTCAGGAGAAGGTACGAAAGTGCTTCGAAAGTTCAGAGAGAAAAATATAATGATAATTAGATGTTCTGAGTCCATACGCCGTTGTATTTCACGGGGTTTATATATGTCAAGCGGATCACCGCTTTGGAAGACTTAGACCAGTCCACAGGAGCGATTTCCGACCAACCCTCTCTTTTCACGTCATCGACTCGGAGCTAGCGGAGTATGCATCACCATATCAGTGAGAGCATGTAAATTGGCTGAAAATAGCTCACCGTTGAATTTCTTGAAAGAAGGACTTCCTACGAATCGGGTCTGATTGGCGTACTAGTTGTTCCGTATTGGGATATTGAAGTGTACGATGCAGGAGACGAGTCTCATACGTCAGATCCCATTCATACTATTGTCTCAACCTCAATTGAGCTACTGGACTGGTAGTGCATCCACTTTCGCTACGAGAAACCTTTGCTGTATGCTCCATAATTGGAGAGGAGAAGCGAAACCGCGGTCATAATGGACTTGCAAGTAATGTGGCTTCACGCATGAGACCACTAGTTTTACTCCAGTTAGAGAAGATGAATTTACTTTTACTTCCATGCGGGAAGTCAATGTTTTTCTGGTTAAAATGGTTGGTGAACGAGGAAGTGGAATCAGCCCTATACAGTAGTAGTACGGGACTGGGCTCAGCTGCCCATTGTGGGAATTGCGGAGTAATCTGTATAGATAGGGGAAAAGCACAAGGTCTAGACAAATAAATCAAAGAAATTTGATGGTCCAATTATTATAATTTCTGAGTTCCATGCATATAGGCGTGATATAAATCGCTCAGCACCAGGTTGAATCGGCCATCACCGCATGTGGGTCCGGGAAGATATCCATGGATTAACACAGCCCAGATTGGGTAATGGTATTTGGCCAATAATATACTTCTTACTAATTATATCGGGTGGTCGATATCATGACTATCGACATTGTTTGGTTGCCATCTGCGTCAACTTGCAGGGTCAAGGCCTATGATTGTTCTTGTCTGTCGTTGATCCATACGAACTCAGCTCTCAGAACACACAATCATGATGACATGAAGGGGTCGAAATCCCACAGTGGATCATTTATAGTATCCTGCCAATTACTGTCGTTGTAATTCAAAAGGCTTTAATCAGACATGAGAGGGGATCTCTGTAGATGAAAAGTATATAAGCACCTCAGAGATATGCTAGCAAAATGATTTCGTAGACATAACTCGTCTTTGTCAAGTGTTATTAACTCAAATCATTCTTCAAACGGTCTATTTCGTCAAAATGGACAAGTACTACACCTTAGCGGAGGGTTAGTTAAAATATCCCAACTTGATTCACGATTTCATCTGTTCTCTGACCCTGGATAGGCTGCCCCTTTGCCAGCAACAACACTGCAGTTCTGATGAGAAACCGCGCTGGAGGAGGGCTGGGCTTACTTCAAGACACCCACCTCATTGAGACACTGGCCCATTTCTCCAGAGAAAGAATCCCAGAGCGGTAAGCACCTTCTGGAAAACCCCCGTTCTTTCAACATCCATTGACTTGTGTGTTTTTACCAGGGTCGTCCACGCCAAAGCTGTCGGGTATGAATAATTTAAATAACACAGTCCCATTGCCATCATCGAGGTTGACATATCCTGCAGAGCGTACGGCGAATTCGAAGCCACTCGTGATTGCAGCGATTTCACTTCCGCCAGCTTCCTCAACAGTACCGGAAAAAAGACGCCTGTGCTGCTCCGAGTGTCAACGGTAGGCCCAGAGGCCGGATCTGCTGATACCTCTCGAGATGTGCATGGGTGGGCAATGAAGTTCTATACCGATGAGGGTAATCTGGACTGGGTGTTCAACAACACAGTAAGTTGATCACTCTGACTATTGGAACTTGCTACGTAAACAACGCGTTCTAACTTAAATTAACACTCAAGCCTGTTTTCTTCATCCGTGATCCCATCAAATTTCCATCCCTGAATCGATCTCACAAGAGACATCCTCAGACCCACCTACCTGATGCGAACATGGTAAGTCTCTATCTTGATAAATCATTTATGAGCAAGTCGACTTACACCCTCCAGTTCTGGGAGTATGGTGTTCTCCTCATTTTTGAGGGTCGCAAGCAATTCTAACTTGATTTAGCTTCCATGTCGGCAACCCAGAAGGCATGCATGAGCTTCTACATCTTTTCAGTGATCGTGGCACTCCCAAGTCAATTCGCCATATGAATGCATACAGTGGGCACACTTACAAGTTTACCCAGCCCGTGGGTACCAAATTAGCCTAATACAAGGGACAGGCCTTGGCTTACTGACTACAATGTCTGTCTAGGACGGATCATTCAAATACGCCAAGATTCACATCAAAACAACGCAGGGAGTAAAGAACTTCACCAGGGAAGAAGCAACCAGAGTCGCGGGCGAAAACCCAGATTATTTGATCCAGGACATGTTTGAGGCAATTGAAAAGAGTAGCTATCCTGTGTGGAATGTCTATGTCCAATTGATGAGCCCCGAGCAGGCCGAGAGATATCGGTGGAATATCTTTGATATGACAAAGGTTTGGCCACATGAGGATTTCCCACTGCAGCAAATCGGCCGCTTGACCATGAACCGGAACGTGAGTCTATTCAATCAGCAGCAGGAAAATGGTGTGTTCGAATTCTGACCCAATAATCAACAGCCTCGGAACTACTTCACGGATATTGAGCAAGCTGCATTTTCTCCATCGACCATGGTACCTGGTCTCGCTGCCTCTGCTGATCCTGGTAAGGAACATGATTGAACAAAAGAAAGACCTGTTTCCTGAGAAATGTAGACTAATTATCACTATTAATTTTCTATAGTTCTACAAGCTCGACTTTTTGCGTACCCAGATGCTGCCCGGTATCGACTAGGCGTGAACTACCAACAGCTTCCGACCAATGCCGCAAAGGCGTCTGTCTATTGCCCCTTCCAGAGAGACGGAAAGATGAGATTTGACGGCAACTATGGCGCAGACCCCAATTATGTGGGCTCCTCGCTTCAACCGACCAGATTCTATCCCGAAGTAAAAGGGATAAATGCCGCGGTGTTGAGCCTGCACACTGAACACGAGAAATGGGCCGGGGAGATTGTGTCCTATACAAGCCACGTCACCGACGAGGACTTTGTGCAGCCTGCGGCATTGTGGGATGTCATCGGCCGTGACCCCGGTCACCAGGATCGGCTTGTTGGAAATGTTGCTGCCCACCTGAAGGGTGTGAACAGCGCTGAGCTGCGCTCAGAAGTATATGGTACGTATACTGTCTTTTTTCTATCGAAAGCCAAAGCATGGAAATGGAGTTTGAAATCTCGGCGCTGATATGGGAAAAGGTCTTTTTGCCCGGATTAACCCCGATCTTGGATCAAGGGTACAGCAGGCGACTGAGGCGGCAAAGAAGGATTCTTAAAAATGTGGTAATACTTCTCAATCGCTTCATGTGTGGTTTATCGCTCTCTCCTGCACCAGCATTGAAACATTCTTTAGACTCCTTAGGAGTGTTTCACACCGAGACCAGAATCATACATTCCCTTTTGGGTGTTTTCGCGTACATATGATGACTACAGAGTAGCAAGACTAGTAAGAGGCGGATAACAAATTAAGAAAGCAGCAAAGATTTGATGGATGACTATAGTAGAATGATTTCCCTCAGAGAATCCTTGGCTGCTAGCCTCTATAGTCCGTGGAATTACCAGTCTCCTACTTCCAGCATACAGAACAAAAAAGGTAATACTAACAACGAGCTCTTATTGGACCAATACTTGTACTACAGTTGGCAATGTGGAGCCACATACACGCCCATCGACTCGATGACGTAGATCAAAGGGGCCCGAAATCTGAGAAAAACAAAGGCCGTGAGCAGCCAGCACATCAGCACGACATGGCACACATATATAAAGTATTGGGTTATCTGGATTCTACCACCCAAACCATCTGATCCAATATTGGGAACTCTGAATCCCTAACACGGACCCACGGACACGTTCCTCAATCAATCTGATAATGCCTGGAGGTCTGTTGGCTATCTAACTAACCTCATATCTTCCAACCGTGCTGATATATTTATAGACACTCAAAAAGCCCCTGAGAATAAGATGTCCTTTATGGCGAAAATCTTTGAACATCATCAGGACCATGGCCAGGACAATACTTCCCAGGGCGGCAATAAGGATGAGGCGTTCGGCCACCAGAGCCACTTGAGAACCTTGGAAAAGGATTTGAAAAAGGATGAGGAGGGTATAAGGAAGTACTATCAAGAAGATAAGACCCTAGAGGAAGAAGGAAAGACTTATGGGGGGTTGATGTGATTTTGCTTCAGTCTAGATGCATCAACATCCTCAGTTTGCCAATAGCTCGCGGAAATCAAGAATAAATCATGGAATGTGAAGGTTATTTTTTCATGTCAGATTTATATTGCTATGTTTATCGAACTTCGAGGTTGCTTCAATGCCCACGCACAGTAGATAATAGCGAATCGGGTGTCCATCCATCGTCGATCAAAGCCATGTTTCCCCGGTCCCCCAATGAGTAGAATAAATTGAGAAGACACTTTTCAACTCCTCGGCGTGCCTCCAAGCTCAGCATGCTAAGGACCTTGACTAACTCCACAACGTAATTGACCTTGAAGTCCCCAATGCCGTATAATTGCACAAGAATCTGACAGAGAGTGGAGCGCAAGTTGCGAACGGACTGGCTCCATGCATCCTGAGATTCACTCAAAGCGCTATCCAGCATAGTCAAGGTGTTGAATGCTGGTGTTTGAGAAGTGCTTTCGTATAGAGGGGAAATCGACTCCTGCAATATGACACCGATTGAGAAGAGGCATGTCAACATTTCATCTTCCAGTTCGGAGACATATGTCTCGACAGAAGTGCTCTCGAGGCAAAGCTGCAGATTGTGTCGTAACAGTTCAACTGCAGTGTGAACAGATGGAAAGATTGACAACCCGATTCTATGGAAAGATCCCATGAAGGTCCGCATATCTTGGATAAATGATATTAACCAAAGACAGCGGACTTTTTGGATGTCGAGAGACAGAAGGATCGGATGGGCAATTGGGGATTGGGATGGAAGGCGAGATATCTCCTCGAGATTATTCGTGGACTCAAGCCATGATGGCTGTGACATCAAAGAGACACTGTAATTGATGTCAGTACTGCGAGCACAATATGGGTATAAAAGACAACCCGAATTGGGATTGACATACAGGTAGACCACAAGCTCTAAGCGCCAGTTATCACGCAGCTCTTCAACGCCACCCTTGGCTTCGATCATTCTCTGTAAGCCGTCACGGTGAATTTTCCACTCCGCAACGGTGCCCCAATATCTCTAGATACAGCATCGTCAGATATGTTGCAAAGAAAAGCAGACGCGTAGGTCCATCGGTTTTGAGATACGTACCTCGAACGTGAGAAGACGAATAATGGCGGCAAAAGCGTCATCACTCAGCTCTGTTTTTGGATCAACAAGCCAACAGCGCAGGATCCTCAATGCCTCGGCTTTAAACCTCAAGGCATCAGAGGACTTTGTGCCTCGTTGTGGACATGTTCCGGCATAGAGATGAGCTAGATGGGCAGCAGAATGTGCCATAACGCAATTGAAAGATGACGGATTCGACAGATCCAAGGGAAACCAAACATCCCTCATTGGATTGAAATCGGCAGCATCCAGATCTTCGAACATCATCGCTGCATGAGTGCTTATCCCTGGTACCCAGTAAGCCGCCATTTCATGGACACTGCTCTCTCTGGTTGTTAAACGTACAATGGTGGAGCAATTTCTGATGTTGGCTTGTAAGAGGAACAGGGCATGTTTGAAATGGGTCAGGTCTGGAAGGAGAAAAAGTGCGGCTCAGGCCAGACAAAAGCTGGGTAGCGACACTGGGATATTGCTCCCTGTTTTGATCTGAATTGCCTTGGTGCCCGTCCGGGGAACCATCTGTAAGGGCATCATGGGATTGAGAGGTATCTTCATTCAGCTCCGAACGCGAGACAAGTGTCCGGGATTTTCGTCTAGAGTGCGATTTGGCCTCTCGCCTGCGTCCATGCCGCTGTTTCCAGTGCTCACGCATCGCATGGCTCCGAGCTTGCGAGTGGCTATTTTCGGCCACGAAAACAAAATTGGGTGTCCCGCTAGAGGAACTAGAGTCGCGCTGAGACATGGTTCTTTTTTGGTTGACCTTGAGATTGACGAGAAGTTCTGTCAAGTTTCTGTGCAGGATAAGTGTGAGTGGCAATTGTGAGCCGAAGCTGAGTAGTCCTACGCCAAAGCCCACGCATACGCTGACTAAAACCTGCCCCGATTTGCCCAGGTGCCAAATCGGCAAGAGGCATTGATACCGGAGGTTTTAAGCATTTACGTGATAGATCCACCCGAGTCATGACTGGGGAAACACGAGTAAACCATGGGAAACTCCCAGTTACATATGCCCTAATGCGGTTTGGCAAAATTGCGAGTTGCGGGCTATAGAAACAATCTGGAATAGTAGTATACATTTAGAATGATGCAGGGAGATATGATCGCGCCACTATCGCTTGCCAGTAAACACCTTCCTCTGGCGCAAATGGCTGTTCACGAGATTCTCCACGCTGCCACGGCTGTGCTTGTGTTGTCTGGAAAAGGGAGAATCAGTAAAGGGCGCGAAATTGGAGAAGGTTTTCTGGGGGGGAGCCGAGCAGTTCGAGCACAAACCTCATGTAGTACAGCCGGGCTCTTCTCGTCTTCCTCTGGGATCGCTGAATGATTTCCACACTTTGCACATTGGGACTGAATGTCTTCACCGACATCTCAACGGGAACCCGAGTGAGTTCATTTCGCAGTAGAACTGAAGTGTCCACACCGCGGAGCCGAATGCTCAAAACCACGCCGTTGAAAGGGTCCCCGTTCTTGAAGGTGACCCGGACAATATCGCCCGGCTTCACACTTCGTGGGTTTCGCCGGTAGTCAAAAAGTGCCTTCCGTTCGCCATTGGGATCGAGAACGGCCATTTGCGATTGGGCGACATGGGCAACAGGATCTTTGCATACGGCGCGGCTGGACGGCGGGGGCGGGTAGACCTTCATCTTCTTGGGCGCTGTTCCCAGAAACCCGGTTAGCAAACACACAAAACTCGATCATAAGTGAAGAAAGTGCCGGGAACATACCCTGCTCAGGTTGCAGGCGGATCGGTATTTGGGATCGGAATTGCTGGGGGAGATTCTGAGGGAAAGGAATCGGCTCGGGCTTTTTGGAATACACGGTCGAGATAAATCGGCTGCTGAGATGCATTGGCGAAAACTTGGGAGTCCTCATCAGCGACCTCAGACAGCCCAGCTGCCGCATGGCTGGTAGGGCGGCCATGGTGATGTCGATGGGAGAGTTGAAGTCGGAGTTGAAGTTTTGGACGGATCCGGCAGAATTTCTGCCAAGACGCCAACGCGATTCTTTTCTCTCCGCGAACTCACCACCGCTCGTTGTTCGCCCTTTCGCGACTGCGACCGAGAGAGAATTGCTGGTGTTCACGGTCCCAGTTTGCTGCAATTTCTTCGCGCAGTCCTCGTCGCAAACAATGGCGCAAGCCGTGGGCAGGCTTTTTCGCTGGCGGGGCACCGGGTTGCTGCGGCCATCGGTGCTTCAATCGTCACAAGTTCGGAGCTATGCCTCGAAAACAAGTAAATTGTTTCTTCTGCAACTGCTCTTTCAAGAATGTGTCCATTAACAAAATATTTGGTTCTAGCAATCCCGACCTTCTCCTCGACCTCCTCTCCCGAACTCGACCAAGCCCTCGACCGATTCCGACAAGATCTCTTCATACCTCACGGCCTTCCTCGGCAACAGCGATTGAGCATGCTCAAGAAAAGGCATGCCAAGAGGTTGGAGAATGAACCAGTTACCGTGTTCCTCAATGGCGAGGAATCGTACACCTTTCGACACATGGACCACGCCGACCTGCCATCGAAACAGGATGCAGTGAATGTCCTCCAAATGATCAAATCTCCGAGCGACTTTAAAAACCTCATCCCCTTCTTGAGAGGACTCCACATGTCGAATATTTCTCTTTCGCCCAATCGCTGGGAGTATCTGATCCGCAAAGCCGCAAAGGTTGACAAGCTCTCACTCATTATCGAGTGCGCACGGCAGAGCGAACGCACTGGTCTGACTCTTAAGGACAAGGGTATTGTTCGACGCCTATTCTTTGAAATCCACCGGGTAGCACAGGAGGCGAACTTCGAGGGCGAGAAGGCCAGCCACGCTCTCGGTCTGGCGAAACATGCGGTCGATCTGATGGACGCCCCGCAGCACGCAGTCAAAGACCCCGAACAAGACCCGAAGTGCCAGCCCTTTGTAATCGGTACACTTCTGGAGCTCAGTGCCGCTCGTGCGTTGAACGAACTTGGTGGCCAAGACGAAGGAAGCCTAGTCCTGAACTATGCGCAGAAGCTGATTGCATCCTGGCCCCGGGGCCACTTCCAGAACAATGTCTCGAAACCTGTGCAAATCGATGAGAGACTGCAGGAAAATCTCGCCATCTACAATGGTATCCAGATGACTCTTCTGGTCAATGGCATTGCCCTTGAAAAACCAGTTTACAACTTCTTCAAGGGACGCGTCGGCCAGCTCAAGGATGTGTTGAAGAACCAGCTTGAAAAGTGTGGCTCAGAAGCGGAGCAGTCCGGTTATACAAGCAATCTGCTTGGCCGGTCTCTGTTGAAGATTTAAAGTTCTTCATTGCCTGGCCGTTGGCTGAGCCCACTAGGATGTATATTATTGTTTTCTTGATATAGTCGGAGCCGTGTACTTGATAAAATGCATGTATTTCCTGCCACATGTGAACCCGCGAAGTGCTAGTTGGAAGTATACACATAGTCAACGCATTCTGGCAACAGCACCGAGTTAATGTTCCAATCTGTTCTGGAATTCCGAGAATGCACGCCCGAGACCCGGACACTGGGTATTCTTTTGGCTTCATCCATGTAAAATGCTCAAGAGCACAGCTCCAGAGTGTTGTCGTTGCTAATGCGCCCCCGAGCAGGCAAGGTAGTGTTGCCACCAACAACAGCAGGACCAGACACCGTAATCTAAAAAAAAATTATATATGTCAAAATTCAAGTGATAGACATGTAGAAGACAGAAGGAAATGCATCGCGCTTACCTGGCCCTCAACTAACCCATCAGACTCCGTGTCCTCGGCGATATTGGTCAAAGTGACCTCTGTGCTACTCAGTGGGGCACCGAAGTGGCTGAGACCACCGACATTGCGGTAGTCAAAGATGTTGGTTTGGGCAATTGCACCAGCAACCCCGGGTCCTGTCAACGCATATAAAATGCGGGCCCCGGTGAAGACTCTCAGATCGGTCAATTGCTGGGTAGAGAGGCGGGCCTCAGGGCTGGCATCAATGCGATGGGAAATGCAAAGGAGACGAAGATTGTCCAGAGACAGCTCAGCAGTCGGGCCGATCCGGGCGAGTTGGCTGAAAATATTGCGGGTTGGCATGTTTCCTGCTTCCAGAGTCCGTGCCTGAAGCCAGCGTCCAAAACAAGAAATAATTCCGGTGTGCGGCTCCATAATTCGGTCGTGGTAGTCAGACATGGTGCGCGAGGAAGCAACGATAATTGTAGGCGACACACCAACTGTGGCCAGAGCAAAGTCGACCTTCTCTCCGGCGACAGAGTTCAACGCAATCGATGCATTGGCGAATAAGGCAGCCATGATCTGACAAAGCGGGTAAGATCGAGAAAGGGAGTCTATCGACAAAACAATGTCATTCGGGTTCACGCGTTGGGTACGAGGCAGTGCACTCAAGGCACCGGTAGCAGACACTAGATTCTAGGGTCATAATCAGTAATCTACCGCGTAAATATGTCAGCCACCCCAGGAAGCTCACCTCGGGCTTGAAATCGATAAACTCGCCGGACTCTGAGGAAGAAGGCCAAACGGTGTTCACAGCCGGAGTCGGGATCTTTGGATCGTAGGCAGGGACATCCAGTCCACTCAGGTCTTTGCCTTCCTCAATCAGCTCATGCCATACGGCCACCTTCAAACTGCCCTTGACGTCCTCGGGAACCTCGTTCCAATCCATGTGTCGGTTGCCATACTTAGCAACCCAAACGACGATCGACAGCTGCTTGTTACCCTTAGTGACCAAAGACAGATCAAGAGAGCCCGCCTCGGCAATGAGAGCATCTGCGTTAGCCTTTTGGAGATGCGCTGACAATGTCTCCGGGGGAAGATTGTGGGGCACAATGATCGTTTTGTATCCGTAAAAGGCACCCGCTATACCAGCGATTAGCCAAGGCATGCACACTAGAAGTGAGGTTCTTACCGAAGATTGCAGCAAGCAGCTCCACTGAATCTGTCAGGCAGACAGCCACCGTCTTGACTCCGGATTTCTGTAGATGACGACCAATGACATTGATCTCCTGGGTAACCTGATCCAGCGAGTGTTCGATGGCCTTCTTGCCCAAAACAGTGTAGATCTTGCCCTGCTTTCCAGAAGGTGATCCATCTTCATTTAATGCCCCACGCACAGCAGTCTTCCAGATATCGCGCAGATCACCTCGTCTGCCTCCGGTCCATTTGGGTGCTCCGGGATCTTTGACATTCAATCCGAGGCGAAGTGGGAAGCCATGGGGCGTTTCCAGGGCTCGGTAAGTAGCTGACTCGCCGTGTTGCCGGACGGGAGCTGGGGTAGACTGACGAGCGAGCAGGAATGGGTGCACATCGGGGTCCTTGGACGCAATCACCATATACACCGCAAAGGCACCAAGGATTGTAGCGAGGACCGTTGTGTAGAGGTTCCATTCGGCCAGCACATCAGCTACCATGGCATCAAGTCTCTCCAAGAAGGTGTCGGCCATCTTGGTGAGTTTTCTAGCAAGTGGAGTTTGAATGAGGAAGTGTCAACAATCGTGGACCGGCGATGACGTTGGAGATCATTGGTGGGGGGGCCCGGGTCAACCATAGCCCGGATAAACTCCGCGCAGTCTGCGTCGACACTCCTTCACCCCCCAGCCTCCCCGATCACCAAAACACTCGCAATGCTTTGAGTCTACTCCTTGGAGTCCCCAAGCTATGCCGGCGCCTTTGTGATCCGTTTTGTCAAATCTTTCTCCTCCCAGGTAAGTCCCGCTCGAATCCTTTACAAGGTAAGTCCAATCTGTTCGCGTCCTGTCCATGAATGGCACCGTAAATAACACGAGACTCCAGTTTTTGTCCCCTCTATCCCCCTTTTTTTCTGTCCTCAAATCCTCGATACTCGATTACTCGAGCGATTCTACCGACGCGACCAATGGCAACCCAGTCGCTTCCCTCCACCCCTAAGGCTGCATCAGCACCAGCACCCACCCCCGAGGGGTCCCAGACTCCAGGCAAGTGGCGTCATCCTCAGCTGAGCGAGGTGGTTCGACGGCAGAATGCCGCTACGTTCGGCGATGCGAACTTGAGAAAGTTGTTGTGGAATGGCACGGCCTTCATGATCATTTGGGCCTTCGGAAACACACTCAAGGCATAGTGAGTAGATGAGGCCGATGATGCTCCACGAGGGTTACTGACAGCCTTGGATCAGCTCGCGTCAAATTTTTGATGGCCCCGTTCTTCACGAGCTCTCAGCGTTGGCTCTTCAATTGTTCTTTACTTTCAACATCCTAATGGCGTTGTATCCCCTCTTCCGACCGAAGGACGACCTTTCCGATATTCCACTCACTCCTACTCAACGCGCTCTTCTTGGCTTGGATCCTACAGCGACGCCACCGCTGACACCAGGAACAACCTATGTCACCCCGCCCAGATATCGGCTGTCCACGTCGCGGAAGGCCAGCCCTGTCAGCATGCCGAGTTCCTCTCCGTTGTCTGCAAGTGCCAGCTTCTCCGAGCGACGAGTTTCTTCAGGAACACCTTTCTCGCCCGCCTCCAGTCCATTGCTCCATAAGGCAGTGTCGAACGGAGGCCGTGAGACTGGTCGAAGACAGAGCTTTGGGTCATCGTCGCCTCTCGCGCGAAGGTCTTCGTTTGGGGAGTCCAGCATGGGTCCAAGTACACCTTCTCCACTTGGAGGCAAGCGTGTGAGCTTGGGATTGAGTAACAAGTGGCTTTACGAGAGAAGCAGGAGGCTTTCTGCTAGCAACGGGGCCCTCTGAATGCTTTTCCCCCCCTCTCTTTTCTGGTTTGGTTTGGCAAATTTGCAACTGGGTGTAGATCATGGCTTCATAGCGACCCTCTTTATAATACATTACAAGGATACCTAGAATAATAGTTTTCAGAAACACTGTAGATTCTCTAGGGATGTAGATGTTGATCGGTCTGGGGGGGCCCCATCCGCGTTGGCCAAGAACCTCGCCTGCGGCAGCAACGTCAACATCCAACACGCTTGGCACGCAGCCATCTCTCGTGTCAACCTCATCCCCGGGCTTTGTCACTCTACTATATGCAGCCTCTAACGCCGTGATCGTGTCTTCTCGTCAGAAATGGGGGCCTCGGAGTCAAAGCTTGTCTTCAAGCAGGGCATCTTCCGCCTCTCCGAGGAACAGGAGATCCCCGCCGACAACGCCTACTGGGCCAGGGTATGTTCCAGGCATGAATGATTCGAGTGGTATAGGCGCAAGATGTCTAGACATTAACTCATTCTGGCAGTTCTGGGAACTTCCTGAATCATCCGAAGACGTCTTCAGTCTATTCACCTCGGCCGACATCCGGCGCACGCGCGATCATGCCTTATTGAACTTCGAAACCCTCCTCCTTTCAGTCATCTCTCGCCTTATCGTTCTGAAAAACCATCCGTCGTTTCCGGACCCGGATCTTGCGCCCGACCGTGATGCGCTCAACTGCATTCGTGTCCTCACCCGTCTCCTCCCCTTTGTCTACGAAGCTGAGCACCTGGAGGATTGGGAGCAGAAGTTCTTCTGGGCGCGCCGGAAGAAGAAGACCAGACAGGCCCAGATTTCCGGAGAAGTTCTCTTTGACGAAGCGCAGGTGGAGGACCAACACGAGCGGACTTCGCCCCGCGCGGAGGACTATGAAGATGCGAAACCTCTGGCCGAGGAGTTGATCGACACCTTGTTCGATCTGCTCTTCTTCGCCGATTTGACTATCCCCAAACTTCCGACTGCCAAGAGCAAAATATCATATTCCATTTGGCAAAGCGGCGTCGGCTGCAACACTGCAATGGGATCCAACAAAACTTTGGAGAACAACCGGTGTGAGATTCTGCGACTGCTGCTTACGATGACCGGAAAGGCCATGTACATGCCCTCCAGTGAGTTCGCGGCCCCTACGTACATCGATATGACTTGATAGACTGACTGTTCTAGATACACTGCCCGTGCAAGGCGTTCAGGCCATTACCTACATCACGACTTGTCAGGACAAGCAGGCTGTATTGAGCCTTCTCTGCTCTCTTCTTAACACGGTATGCATATTTCTGTCGATGATTAATTCACAGCTGACTCGAGATAGGCCATGAAGTATAACCCGGCGGCGTGGAGGGTGCCATATGATCATGTTGTCTGGAAAGACCCGAAACAGATCCTCGTGATCTATTGCCTACAATTACTTCTTGTTCTTCTCCTGTATCCGATTCCCGAAGACGGCCGGGGCAGTCCGCCCAAAAACTTCTATCGTCATTACTTTGGGCGATTGCATAGACCCCAGGACTTCCAGTTCCTTGTGGATGGCATGACCAGGATATTGAACCAGCCTGTATGTGGTCCCTTTGAACGCTCTGGGCATTTGTGTATTGACAGTTTCAAACAGATGCAAGCCACGAGTTCCTATCTACCTGGGAGCCAACGATCGGTGAAATGGGCGCCCGAGATGCTTGTTCTCTTCTGGGAGACCCTGCAATGCAACAAACGGTTCAAGGCATTCATCATTGATTCGAATCGCTCACATGATTTCCTCATCCTTTGTACCTTCTATGCAATGGAGTACAGACTGGATGTGTCGAAGCAAGGCGTGGTCCGAATGTGCATCTTTATACTTCAGACGATGAGCGCGGAGCCCACATTTGGCACGAGCTTGAACCTCAAGTTTGAAGCCCAGGAAACTTTGCCCCAGTCAATACGGCTCCCTCGATTCCGAGGCTCTTATGCCGACTTTTTGATCATAGTTCGTCTTTCCTAGCCCCTGACAGAGCCCAAGTCTCGAGTACTGACTTAAACAGTCGATCCATACACTTATGACCACGAGCAAAGGGAAGCTGGACACAGTCTATCCCGCGCTTTTGATTATCCTCAACAACATCGCCCCTCGCATTGAACACATCTCGCCAAGTGCCAGCTCCAAGGTCATCCAACTCTTCTCGTTAATGTCTGCGCCCAGTTTCTTGTTGGCGAATGAAACCAACCATACCCTTCTCGCATCGCTACTCGACTTCATCAATGCTGTCGTCGAGCACAAGTTCACTGGTATATTCTCTATAATGAGACCCATATCATTTGGCCAGTCATTCTAATTTTTGTCCCAGAAAATCCGTACCTCGTTTACGCTATACTCAAGTATAAACAGCGGTTTGAAGCTGTGCGAGCTTTCACTCTTGAGAGTGGTCAGCAAGAGATTGAGCGTCAGAATGAAAAAAGAAAAGCCAGCGAAACAGACACCAGCCCAACGCTCTCGCACTCCGAGGAGGATTCCCACACTCCTCCTGGGGCCAGGTCTCCTTTGACTCGGATTCCTGAAGAGAACAGCCCTTTCGCAATTGGTGACGAATCCGATGATGAAAGAGAAGGGCAGCACACTCCATCTCAATCGCCTTTCGTTCAGACCTCGCGCCGGCCCTCGGTGTCGTCCGTCGTAGACGAGAATAATCCACAGCAGCCGCGCGGAATGACTGAAAAAGCGCGAGGCAAGATGCCCGCAGGACGGCCATCATTTTCCCGACAAAATAGTATGACCAGCCAGACCAGCTTGTCTGCTTTGATCACGGCTCCCTCAGGTGGTTTCACGCCGACTGTCTCTTGGGTAAGCATATCACCAAGCCCCATGAACCCCATTCTGGATCTTTCCCGTGCTAATGATGTCTTTCTAGCTCGAATCCTGGTTGCCCGAGCTGCCACTGCACACCATCCTCACTATCATATCTGCCATCGAACCCCACATTCCCGAATCTGCCCTCCAAGCTAGTTCCAGCCCTGATGCTCGGACCCTGGTCACCAATCTCCCATCCTTTGCCGAGGAGCCCCAGGTCAAAAGTATCATCTCGGATCCCACTCCGGTGCGAGTGCAGTCATTTGAGTGGTCTGCGCTTTCCATGGGCTGGTACGAATCGCTGCTTTGGGGATTCATTTTCTCCAGCGAGATGGTCGTCGGCACCGCCGCGGGAGCGACCCCTGGTACCGTGGGCGTCTGGAATGGCACCGCAATCCGGCTGTTCAAGGTCCAGGAGGCAGCCGCGCAGGGTCCCACGCTGCTTGCCCCCAAGGGCGCGGTTGACGCTGTTGGTACCAATCTTGTGCAGCGTATCGGAAACCTCGGTCTTCGAGGCCGCAATTCAATATCCCAAGAGCCTCCGAATGGTGCTCCCCCGAGCGTGCGGGAGGTTTAGCGGGGGATGGGACATGGATCCAAATGTACATAGCGCACAACTGCACGATATGAATTCCGTCTCTTTTTTTTTCAAGGTTATTATATTTCCGGTTTCACGCGATCATATCATGTATTCCTATCAATCATAAACTCATACATTTTGAATAGTGAAGTACCATGTTGGACTTGAAAATAACGGGGGTGAAGCTGTCGCACGTGCCGGGCCCGCGTTCCGCGTTGGCTCCGTCAATCTCCCGCTCGACTGATTCAAGTTCCTCCCAATTCACTCCGCGCCTGCGTTCCCCATAAGCTATGGTCGCCTTATCATTACTTGTGGCGATGGCCGTGGCCTTTTTAGCAGGCCCGAGCCCAGTCTTTGGTGCAATTACCCCCAGCCTCCAGAGCATCCTAAAGAATACCCATGGCAGCATGGAGTATGGGTATCCAACGGATATAACTCGGGATATTTCTCCTGTGTGTCTCCTTTTTTTGTTATTGCTTAGGCGACGTTGTCAATAATGTGACCGACGAGGACAGCAATCGCAAGAACACAAAGCTAATGTGGCCATGTTTAGATTCCTGTTCATTCTCATAAGTCAGCGCGTCTCGCACAAGAGCTCGGCCATTGACCCACACTGACTATCCAACAGTGATTATTGGAGAGATGAGCCATTCTATACCGGTATGCAATCTGACTTTTTCTTCTTCAAGTGGCTCTTCTGTACTCACACCTCCCTTATCCAGGTTTGGCAAAGGGCTGTATGTCCACCGAAGCCGATGTCTGGCTATACAACGATACCCTCTATGTTCGTGTTCAGGATGTCTCTTGTCTCATTAATATCCCTTGACTAATTTGAACAGGTCGGGCACCATGAATCGGCTTTGACCGAGGACCGAACACTCGAGTCTCTCTATATTAAACCGATCCTAGATATTCTGGCGCGTCAAAATCCGGACAGTCCGTTTATAACCTTGCCTACCAAGAAGTGAGTATCATCCCGGTGAGAAACTAATGGGCAACTGCTAAAGTCTGGACTCCACAGCGGTGTTTGGGATACAGACCCCGAGCAAACGCTCTACTTTTTCATTGACGTGAAAACCTCGGGGCATGAAACTTTCGAGGCCGTCATCAAAGCTCTCGAGCCTCTTCGCGAAAAGGGATACCTGACCAGCGTGACGAATGGCAAAACCGTCACCAATGGACCAGTCACCATCATTGCCACGGGAGAAACTCCGCTTGAGATGGTTACCCAGGTTCCAGACCGGGACTACTTCTTTGACGCGCCTCTCGGGGAGCTCACGGACAAGCGATATGCTGACATCACGGCCGCAGTATCGCCTATCGCATCTACGGATTTCGAGAAAGCTGTCGGCAAAGTCAAGCCCGACACCAGCCCCGTCTTGACAGATGCACAGCTCAAATCTCTCCAGAGCCAAATTGCCGCAGCAAATGAACGCGGTATTGGTGCCAGATATTGGAACACACCGAGCTTCCCTGTCCGGAAACGGAATCTGATCTGGAGGGCTCTTCTCCAAGAGGGTGTCATGCTGCTCAATGCAGACGATTTGGATGCCGTGAATGCATTTTTCTGAGGATATATCACTTCGATCTCTTGGACCCTTATATTATGTTATTTTGGGTAATTAGAACTACGGCGTTCATGTCTCGACACTGTTCTGTCAAACCTTGTTTTTATTGATTGAAAAGCCATGTACTGGTTGCCTCTGACATAATACAGTATCTATCCCCGTATTTCATGCAGCGTACCCATCTTTTTCTTGTTTCCTCGGGTGTTTCTTTTGAGACACCCACACAAGTGGCCGCTTGAAACTCCGCTCAACTCACGCGCTTCTCAGACATGAGCGGCACTTATGGGGCGAATGCTTGCCATCGATGTGGATGATTGATCGATTCGAACATCGCTCGTCTTCCTTGTTGATATGTCGGCGGCATTTGATGAACTCGCCTCCGGTTGAGTGGCCGCAGCTGTAGCGGATTTGCGCCTGCATGCAGTAGTCGAGGTTGGCGGGATCAGGCACTGGAAGGGAAGGCGGGTCTTTGGTTTTAGCCAGGAAATGTGTCAATGTGATGGAGGCTTACCCTTGCCATCGAACGTCGTGGCCGACATCACGACTGAGAAAAGTGAGCATGCAGCGAATGGTTCTATGCTTGTCGAGATAGGGAGCCCTATTGCACTGCAAGCCGGTATCACGTATCAGGAGCACTTATTCGTAGATTGTGTCTGGCCTCCTCTCTTGACTCGTGGCTCTGTTGGGATAGACTCAAGAGAGATGGGGTGGTTGAGGTTCTGATGTGTAGTAGGGAAGGTAGTTTGTGAAAAAGTTGATTGCTTTGGTGAGAGCTGAATGGATCACTAAAGAAAGCAAGTAAGAGCTGCCTCAGTCTCCCAGGCTGCGGTCATCATGGACCAGGCAAACTCCGTCGTTCTGTGCCTGCTGAATGTGGCTTTCTGATTCCTCCAGACCTGAGGTGAGCTCTCAACTTCTACTTTAATTTTTACCAGTATCACTCAAGTCTATGAGCACTACAGGACTCAAAACAGACCATTTTCACAACTTGAAGCCTTCCTCTCACTTCCCATCTACCACTCCCTTACTCGACACCATCTTATACTTGCGTACACGTGATCTCCGCCAATCTCCCGCGCTCCGCCCCGACCACCTTCCAATCGACGCGTTCTCGTTGGGTGTGCGTGAACAATGGCCGAGGATCTGGGAGATCTCTTGGCGAAGGTGCTCCCGGCCGGGGTCGAGATCACTGTCCGCCATGTATCCTCGACCCCCACTCCATCGGCAGCCCTCTTCGCCCCGGCCCCGGGGGACGCAGCCGAACCAACGTTCTGCGAAAATCATTTCCTCTCGGTCTCGATCGAATCCCCAGACGATGGCGGCGAGATCATCGTTTTTGGGCTCGAGGTGCTAGTCTACAACACGGCCCACCTGACCACCATCTTCGTTTCCAAGGCCGACTCGACCGGCTTCCTGCATCTGCTGAAGGTACCGCAGAAGGTCTCAGTTCTAAGACTTGTCTCTAACACCTTTCTCTCATTTCTTGCTCGGACGCGCCAGCGACCTGGTGTGCGTCTGGTGATCTCACTTTTTGCGCGCGCCCAGAACCAGTATCTGTTCCCCGGCAGCATCGAGAATGCCGAGAAGCACGTCTTGGACGATCGAGGCCTGATCAAGTGGTGGTGTCGGGCTGTGGACCCGATCCTCCGCGAGCATGAGGCCGAGTCTGTGTCGACGGAGACAAAGCCGCTGGACCAGACGGTCGAGGCAACCAAGGCCTCCGCCACCGCGTATCTGGTCGTCCCGGGCTGCGAGCCCTTTGAGACCCGCAGCCTCTTTCCCATCACGGCCAAGGCCGACACACCTAGTCATCGCCGGTGGCTCTCCAGCTACCCGCTCCACCAGCTGTGTCACGATCCTTCGGCTCCACCGCGTTGCTTGATCCCGCGGCTTCCAGACGATCCCAAGACGCGTTTCCTCGTGGATCTGGATGACGAGCTGCCTGAACCTGTTGAGGGTGAGGCCCTGTCTCCCAATGCCGGTCAATGGCGGAGCGTCAGATCGTTGGATCAGTTCTGGGAGATGATGTCCTTCCGGCAAGAATGCTCGTCCGGTCGACTGGTCGGCTTTCTGTGGCTGGTCATCAATCCTCCGGGTCTGATGAATTCTACTTCCATGGCGAGTCAGGCTCGTCCTTCTACTCAGACAGTCCCGCCTTCCAAGGATGCAGACGTTTCCAAGGCCACCCCCGATGAGGAGCAATCACAGAAGACATCCAGCAAAACCGAGGAACCAGATGCATCGGAAAAGAAAGAACCAGTCACAGAGGCATCTTCCGAGTCCCGTGCGGATACCACGTCTTCGTTTGACACTCACCCTGGGGTCACATCGGTGGACCTTCCCTCCAAGGGCCAATCCAACGACGCCAATCCCTTCTCCTGGCCCCAAACCGGACGCGGGCACATGGTCCTCAGCGACGCCGATTACAATAAGATGATGAACTCGCTCATGGATCATTTCTACGACCGAAAGGACGTTGTCGCCAGCACCAAGGCCCACATCGACCAGGTCGCTTCGCTCGCCGACCAGCTCACATGGGGCAAGCGGGTGGTGGGCACCAGTACGCTGGCAGAGACCAGCGCACCTCGATCTGCGGAAACCCATCAAATTCTTGATCTCGGGCTGATCCGTAAGCGAAAGAAGTCGACGAGCGAAAACAACTCGTCTGCTACGGACGGGGACCAGCCACTGCCGAGCGCGCCGGGCGACACAGCGCAGCCGGCTGGCGTCAAGATACTCAATGCCAATTTGGTTCGGAAGAAGAAAAAGACATGAATTTGGGTTTGGGCGTTTAGTTTCAAAAATAGGGGTTCGGGGAGCAGAAGGGACATTTCGGGCTTGATTTCATTATTTGCATACATCAATCGGACATGGTCGATTGTTCCTCGGATCCTCGAGGGATGAGTGTGCACTCCAGGACATTGAACCGAGTAATATCAATAGAATCCCAGATTAAGCCCGTGCATCGCAAAAGGCATATTTACTTTAATGTGTACTTTGATGTGTGCTTGATGCTGCGTTTTTCATTCCGAGTAAGTCGCTAGGCGGAGCACGGCAAAAATGCAATCCGCGCACATCCGAGCTGTTTTCCTCGTCCGCTCCCTCGTGGCATGTCCTCCTGGTCTGAGTTTATGCCGTCGCCTCCCTTCTCCCATGCTAAGCCCTAGCTCCCCGCCTCTCCTCGACATCAGATCGCCCATCGGTGATGGCGCTCTCTCCGTGTCCGTTGCGGTGGGCTGGGTCGGGCTGATCTGGTATCTTACCGTGCTGGCCGTCTGCGCCTTGGGATATTTTCAAATGTAAGGGCCTGAGATCCTTTCCTCACAATCAATTCCTCTTTGTAAGGCTAACCGATTGCACTCCCGGCGTTAGATGGAGGTATTTCTTGCAGCAGCCACGCCGGTCCCGTTTGGCGACTTCGTCCGACGCACCTCATGTCACGGCGATTCGGCCTATCAAGGGCCTTGAGCCGCACCTCTACGACTGTTTGGCTTCCAGCTTTCGACAGGACTACCCGCGCGACAAATTGACTATCTGTCTCTGCGTGTCGACGCGCGCCGACCCGGCTTATCCTACGCTCTGCAAATTAGTCGCCGACTTCCCGGAGGCCGACGCGCGTGTTTACGTCGAAGAGGAGGATCCGCTACTGCAAGAAAATGACACCAATTCCTACATGCTGGGGCCGAATCCCAAGATTCGCAATATGAGTCGGGCATACCGCGAGGCCAAGGGAGACATCATCTGGATCATCGACTGCAACGTCTGGGTCGGGAAAGGCGTCTGCGGCCGGATGGTGGATCGATTGAGCGGGACGGGCGCATCCCCAGGCAAGAAATACAAGTTTGTCCACCATCTGCCCGTCGCCGTGGATGTGACGGGGGAGAACAATCTGCTGGCCGAACGACAGGCCTTGCTGGATACCGACCCACACGCCTCGGGCTCGGAGGCGCCAGCGGCAGCAATGGAGTCCAGCCGACCTGAGGACGGGATTGAGGCCTCGCTTGCGACGGGAGGCGGTCGTCTCGAAGAGCTGTTTCTCTCCTCGGCGCACGCGAAGATGTACACGGCGATCAACACCGTTCTTATCGCGCCGTGCATCGTGGGCAAGTCCAACATGTTCCGGCGCTCGCATCTCGACTATCTGACGGGCCCGTCGCCGACCGACCCCCGTCCGCGCCATCCGGGCATCGATTTCTTCTCCGACAACATCTGCGAAGACCACCTGATCGGGGATCTTCTGTGGAGAAAGCAGGTGCGCGAGGAGGCAGAGCGTGGCGAGCGCTGGGGAAAGCACGCCATGGTCTTCGGGGATCTGGCGGTCCAGCCTGTCGCCAATATGAGCGTGCGGGCATACATGGCGCGCCGGGTGCGGTGGTTGCGCGTGCGTAAGTTCACGGTTCTACTCGCCACGCTGGTCGAGCCCGGCACCGAGTCGTTTCTGTGCTCGATCTACGGGGCCTGGGGCGTCACGGCGGCGCTAGCTCCGGCGCTCGAGCAGCGAGGGATGAACTTCGGCGCGGTCCTCGGCACCTGGACTGCGTTCTTTGGCTTGTTCGCTCTCAGCATTCTCTCGTGGATCGTGGTCGACTGGACCCTGTATATCAAACTCCATTCCGCAAAAACCGTCGAGCTCGACGAGGATACCCCGTCCTTTGCGCGGCCCCCGTGCCGCCGTTCGTCGCACACCACCCGCCGTCCCTTCCTCCACTGGTTCGCTGCCTGGCTTGGCCGCGAGCTTCTGGCCCTACCCATTTGGGTCAAGGCCGTCTACGGCGGCGTGACCGTTGTCTGGCGGGACCGCCGCTTCAAGGTCGGCTTTGATGCCAGAGTGCGCGAAATCGAGGCTGGTCCCGCGGTCCCTTTAGAGGGCTCGTACTCCACCGAGTCCACAACCAACGGCATTCCCGTGTCGCCAAAGCGAGTTGGTGGGAAGACGAGCAAAGTGCGACGTGATTGATGTTGCATGAAAAGTCAAGTGTGTCGATGCCCATAGAGACGATATCCATGATGATGTATTGTACAATATCACATTCAATAGAAAAAAAAAGAAGTAGATTGTATTAACTGGAAATGTACCATCAACTCTATGCAATGCCCTTTGAACTTTTTTGTTGCAATGTATCCTCTTTCATGTTTTCTCCCATGCTAATCTCTTCAGACAAAGAGCATTGCCCGGATCATCAGGTCATCAGATCATCAGATTCATGCCTGCCCCTCGCCCCCCTCCGTCGCACCACTCTCCAACGCAGCAGCCTTCTCCGACCCCAAAAGCCACTCGACAACCTGTCTGCCCGCAGACATCTCGCCCGCGCCCTCCGCCACCGGCTGGTTCGAACCCTCGCCCTCGCCCTGGTCCTCGCCGAGTGTCATCTCGATTTCTTGCGTCTGGCCATTCTCATTACCGGCCCCGTTCCCGTTCTCCTCGGCAGACGCATCCCACGCCGTGCGCTCCGCCAGAAACACGGCGTCGTGGCCGGCATCGTTCTTGATGGCGATGTCGGCGCCGGCCTCGACGAGCGCCTTGACGCATTCCAGATGCGTGTTCAGCGCTGCCCAGTGCAGGGGCGTGTTGCCGGAATGGTTGCGGTGGTTGACGAATGCTGTGCGCTGGGCGGTGTCTGTGCTGGAGAGCTTTTGGAGGAGGGTGTTGAGGATTTCTGGTTTTGTTAGTGATCCATTATCAATAAGAATAAGAATAACAGCAAGAATAAAAATGAAGTCATAAGTAGAAGAATATGAGAAATTGATACCAATGTTTCCATTCGCTGCTGGAAAGTGCAGCACGCAGGACCCCGTGCCGCCCTCGCTCTCGTCTTCCATGTCAATGGCCGAAGCCACGATCTGCGCTTCGGCGCAGCTGTGCTGGGAAGCTAGGTTGGCAATGTCTGCAGTGAGTGCCTCGAGGTCTCCTGCTCGGGCATCATAAATGAGATCGTCGATTGCCTCTGTGGAGAGAGTGATGGGCACTGCCGGCTTGGGCTTTGGTGTTGTTGAGGCAGCCATAGGGGGCTCAGTTCTGATGTTTCTTTTCTTTCTTTTCTTCTGGTTGTGACACTGGATAGGCTTTTCGCCTAGCTTTTGACTGTCTGATGATGCCAACCAGGGAATCCCGTTGCTTCTGCTTCTGCTTCCTTTTTTTCTTTTTTCTTTTTCTTTTTTTTTTTTTTTTTTTTTAATCGAAGCAGGCTTGATATTGAACTGGTCGCGACGTTAGCAAATTCGCTCATTAACCATAGCATGGTTGTAAAAAAAAAAAAAAGGAATGACAGGCTCTAATAGATTGGCACGTCTTCCAATACGAGACTGATCAGCAGCATCTTCGCAAGACTTCCATGCTGGGCCATCAAAGCCTTGATAAGCGCATCCGAAGCAATGCACCGAACTCTAATGCAGGGGGAAAAGCGCGGGTTTGCGGGACGGCCACCTGAAACAAATACTCAAGCCCCAGGGAAATCATCAGTTCTTACCTCTGTGTTTGGACTTGAATTCTCAGCGCGGATGTTCTTGGTCAAAGCTGCCCGCTACCCTCGAGAGAAACTTTGATATCGTAGGTCATGTGACTTATAGTGGGGTGGTCCACGACTCCGGCGCCCTATTTTATTCCTGTGACAAGACCAGTGTTTCTAATTCAAGGACAGTCAAGTGGGTAAATTAATTTGGCTTCATAGTACAAAGTCTGTGCTGACCTCTCAAGGAATTCATATAAAAAAAACGCCTAAATCCCACAATCCGGTGGGATGGTATCTCAAAGCTCCATGATGCGAATGGCCACAATATGCGAAACAAGTACAATGGAGCAGGCGCCCGGGCACAGCAAAGCGCTGGACCGCCCCCTCTCTCTCCTTCCCCCTTAGGTATGGCCTCCGGGTCAATCCCGTAACCAAGCCCGGCGTTTCTCTTCCTTCTTTTCGCGGCGCTTCTCCTTAAACATCTTCAGCTCTTTCTTGCTGAGTTTCTTGGCGCTACGTTCTGCGCGGAGACTGCGGCCGTCGTGGGTGTTGGCCGCGGAGTCGACATCGAAAAACGCGTTCATCTGGCGATGGGCCTTGTTCTGGTCGGAATAGTTGTCGGGATTGATATCGGTAGCCTGCCATCGGCCCGTGAACCGGTTGAACGAGCCGGTGGCGGCGTATGCTGCCGACGGGTCCAGCCCGGTGGCACTTGAGTCCGGTTGGGCCTGCTCTTCGTACTGCTGCGCATAGGGGGCGTTCGGATCATAGTCGCCGTGTATGGCCGGGTTGTAGCCGCCAACAGCGGGGGCTTTGGGTTTGGGTGCGGGCGTCGGCGCGTCGGAGCCCGCCGCGTTAGGCACTCGAGGGTTGTCCCACTGCGAGACTCCGGTGAACCGGTTGTAGAAGTAGTATGCCTGGGCGTTGTTGTCCCACACAGGTTCCCAGCCATCGTCCTCGGCCGGGCCCGGGGGCGCCTCGTCGGGGAGCGGTGGTGGGACCTCATCGGGCAAAGGTGGCGCAGAGGCCTGGTCGTCTTCCTTGTCCTCGCTTGGTTGTGATCCTGTCTCCTCTCCATCATCCTCCTCTTCCTCTTCCTTTTTTTGCTGTTCGGATGTGTCTTGATCCTCGGGATTATCTTTATGCAGTGGCTTGGTCTCGCGCTTCTCGTCAGTCCTAGGTTGGGGCGATCCGGGGGCGGAGGGGCTGCCCGCACCCTCCTCTGGGGTAGGTGCTGAAGTATTTGACTGTGCTGGCATCCTGGGTATTAGCTCTGCTGCTTTTAGGCAGATGATTAATAGAGCGTAGGAGCGGGATATCGCGGAGGTCAATTTCAGCTCTCAAGCTGCGGGATTGGTGGAGCGGCATTTCGACTTCACCGCCTCATGTCGATCGTTATTTGGTGCCTGAGGCGGCTATGTATACATCAATTAGATGCTGCTTCAAATAAGAAAACAAAATAGAAGGATAAATGGCTGATTAAATTTCTTTTTATGCTTTTCTTGGAAACCACCACAGCTTTCTAGGGTACCCTAAACTTATTACTCCATAAATACTACTATAGTAGGCAAATGGCCTGAGTATACGAGGTGATATATATTCGAATGACAAGGTATGTTGTCCTCTAAAAGACATGGCAAAGCCGCAAAAGCATTGAATAGGGAAGCCTGCACTAGTTTGCAATATCAAGAAGTAATGATTCTTGAAATATCTTATATCATCGTTTTAAGCATCTGACTAGTTTGATAAGCTCGCTACGATATCATCATGAATCGGTCTACTTCCCTAAACTAATGAGATTATTTGATTGGCTTACTGCCCAAGGACCTGAAACATAAATGTAGGGGCACCTTGTGGCCCGCATGAACCACCTGAAACACGACCTCCGGGCTAATACTTTTATGAGGAATGTTTCGGAATGAAACATAGTCTGCAAGGAGGCCGGTAAGTGCAAACGTTATGCCAATGGCTCCCCAATACTTGGTATTTGCAGCACTCAATTGAGGATGCACAGAAGCAGGCCCGAAAGGTTAGGAAGTAGAGCGAATATCTGGTTAATCTGCAAATATATAAAAGTTTATTTAAGAGATAACTGATTAATTAAGCAGTTATTATTAATTTCTGGATAAATTCATTTAAATTGACAGTTCATAGACATTTGTAGGGTGAGGTGTGTCAATGACCAAGATATATATCCATAGAAATTGTAAACTAAATTTCATCTTATGAGAACTCATAGCAAATGAACAGCTACAAAATTAAACATAACCTTGCTAGGCTAGCCATGGTCATAAGATTAAATTTATTTAAATAATTAATAGCATTTAGAAAGTAGATTGGCTGGTTAATTGATCTCTTAGCATGGATTGGCAGGGGCTCTGCTCTATGGCCAGACAAATACAAACTCAGAGGCTTAAATCAGTTCGAAATATACTTCTGATGTGAGAGCCCAATGATACCATGTAACTATAATTATGTGACCAGACACTAAACTTAACCGATAACATGCTCATTTCCCACCGTGCGGCCCAAGTTAGATCCCCTACTATAGATCATCAACACCCCAGACCTGTGGTCACAACCTCAAGCAACAAAGGCTAAATTTCTGGGATAAACACAGCACCGAGCATATATGAAAATCAAAGGCGTCATCAGTTGCAGTCGACTAATTTCCCTGGATTGTTCATGACAATCGAGACAACTACAAATGACTCATAGAACAATAGTGAAATTGCGATGTACAGCGGATAGATTCAGATGGACTGCCAAAAGACCATTCCAATTGAAAGGGGGCTTTGTGAACCTGATTTAATTTCAAGAGGATACAACGTCGACATGGCCGCGATCATGGTAGGGATGCGAAGATGGGGCTAAGATTGCTTGGCTCAGAATGGGAATGGCTTGATCCAAGCCCTAACAAACACCGCAAATAAATGGTCCACAACAACAGGAACCGCAACGACGCAATCTCAATGCATTCAGGAAAAATAGACTAGTCTTCACCCAATAATAGAGGTGTCTGATTTGGAAATGACTGTGCCTGTACCTACCGTTACGGTGCTTAATTCTTGGGGGTGGTTCAAGGGAGTCACAACTATGAAGGAGAAAGCCTCGACCCTCCCTGTGCCGACGGTCTCAGGGGAAATTTCACCACCCACAGGGCGATCCCTTGCTGATGATTGCCATGCTCGATGCACTCCACAAATCTTGTGAGCTCCGAAGCAGGGTATGGCTACGTACGGAACCAGGAACCTTTTCGCAAAGTGTTTTGCAGGGCTGGTAGCATGCCTTAGTTCCCGAGCAGGTGCAGGAACGGGGATAGCCAAGACCAATATCCACCAAGGAGAACGGGTTCCTGAGCCCCCCTGTGGGGGGGGGGGGGGTTGGTGGCTGGCACAGCGTTAGTCCTGGGACCCACATCCCGAACTACGTGTAGTTGCAACTATTCATGGTCATACTGCAGAGGTTAAGCTTACGTTAGTCGCGGGTGGCAGAGCGCATGATGCCGGAAGATTGCTGTCATTGTGATAGGGAGTTCCCCAGAGTATCAGTTGATATCGTCGATCTGGGAGCCTGTTTTCAGGAATCTGTAGATACTCCACTAGAAACAGGCACAAGGAACGGATCAGCAAAGGACAAATGTGGGCACCGAACAGAGCTAGCTAGGACAATTCAGTGAGCTAGGACTTCAAGCATACCAGGGTAAGTGGTTCGGTCGCGTGAAGGTCGGCCATTGCAACTGGTAGATCCATACCAGGGGGTCCAGGAGAGAGCATTCGTTGGACGGCAGACCCTCCCCAGTGGAGCGATCTCCCCCTCCCTTTCCTTACATGTGGCATTCCTGGAGGGCATGGACGAGGATTCTGTGAAGGAAAACAAACAGGAGTTGGCCATGGTAGCAGCCGGCCCGGCACGCACACAGACCGCCACCGAAGTGTATAAAGGCGTGGTCGTTCATCGCCCTTCCATCCGTTCTTCATCCGCATCACTCTCTTTAATCTTCTCTTCTGAAGTACAGTCTTCTAAAAATCACAAAAACCCACAAATTACTCCGAGTCTTCTCGTTCAAATCCAACCCCACAGACACAATGCAGTTCACTCTGTCCGCTCTCGTCCTCGGCCTTGCCGGCTCGGTTGTTGCTCTGCCTCCTGGTGGCCCTAACGCTGGTGGTCAGGGCAACGGCAACGGTGTTGGCAACAAGGGCAACAACAACGTCAAGTTCCCCGTCCCTGACGACATGACCGTCAAGCAGGCTCAGGCCAAGTGCGGTGACCAGGCTCAGCTCTCCTGCTGCAACAAGGCCACCTACGCTGGTGACACCACCGATGTCAACTCGGGCATGCTGGGCGGCACCCTGAGCAACCTGATCGGCTCTGGCTCTGGTGCCGACGGTCTCGGTCTCTTCGACCAGTGCTCCAAGCTCGACCTCCAGATCCCCATCATTGCCATCCCCATCCAGGACCTGGTCAACCAGAAGTGCAAGCAGAACATTGCCTGCTGCCAGAACTCCCCCTCCAGCGCCGTGAGTATCAACCAGTCCATCGGTATTGTATCCTTTACTAACAACACCTCTAGAACTCGGACCTGGTCGGCGTTGGCCTGCCTTGCGTTGCCCTCGGCTCCATCATCTAAGTTCTCTACCTTGTATTCTGGCCTTGTGCTTGAAGCAATGGTGGCCCTGTCGGGTCTCTGGGCCTTGGTCTAGTTGGCCTTGACATGAACGCGCGAGTGGGTCGTTGTCGATTCTCGGGATGGAAACAGGTGGCTGGCGATTGTTTGAATAGTTAGAAACCTGTTGTTTGCGCCGTCCGTGTATCATTAACCGTGTCGTGTGGCACTCCTCGGAGAAAGAAGACTGTTTGATTTGCGTTGATGTTGACATGGTGCTTTTGCTTCTTGCTTGTTGCATTGGAACCGATTCGAGCTGCTGCCTCAACCGGACTTCTTCGCATACATATCTTTAATATTAGAGTTGCGTTGTTACTTGTCCTTGTAGAGCTTATCCATTTGGTGCCAACACTTTGGGTCCTTTCCAATTACTCGTCACGCCTATCCCCTACTAGCCGGGTACTCTTGTATACAAGTAGTGTACAAGCATTAGGCGATGTCATCACCCACATCACCAGCTCTATCTAGTATCATTCATTGATATCATCCTCTTCTTCAGTACTTTACTTAAGCGATGGGTCAAGTCTCATTGCTTCATTCTGGAAAAGCACTTTTCCTTTTCTTCTTCTCCGATCTGAATCCATACTTTCTATATACACTTTCTCTATCACCCGGTTACATTGCCCTTCCCATCAACCCAACCCCCCACACGCCCATCCCCCTACCCCAATCTTTGCGACTATGCTTATCCCCCCATTTCCGATGAGACATTTCCTCCACAGGACTCTCGTCTTCGGTAATAACATGGCCATCGAGCCATTTCGGTGAAGATGGGCTACGCAATGACTTCAGCGAAAGTGAAGACCGCGGCATCTTCACACTGCAGCGATCCCTAAGCATGGCAGTCATCGATCTCCTGTTCTTGGCCGCAGACCCTTTTTTCACTTGCGACGGCTTCTTCTCCTTCTCATTCCCATCTTGGTTTTCTTTCTCAGAACAACCCGAACCAGTCGATGACCCCTTGTTCTCCCCATCCTTCTCCTTCAACTTTTCCTCAGTTTCAATCGGACCCTGTAGTTTCTTGGTCGGTGTATCATGCGGCGAATGCACCGTATCCAGCTTCAGAATCGGATACTCGGGCCTCGAAAGTGTCTTCGCCGTCCGACTTGACACCGAATCCGGTGTCTGGATCCCGTCGAAGAGTGTCTGGATCTTCACATCGCCTCCCTGTAATCTCTTCCGTGCCGGCAACTCCGACGGCTGGACCACGTCGTGCGACGAGTGGTGCACGATCGTCGACGTGGACTCGATGCTCTCTGCTTGGGCGAACGACACGGTCTCGGAATTGCTTTTGATCAGATCCTTGGACTCGTCGCCCCGTCGTGGTTGGGTGCTTGAGAGGCGGCGCGAGAGCTTGTTGTTGCGCATGCGGCGGGCCATGGATGTGATGAAGCCCATGATGAACGGAATGGATTGGACTTTGATTTAGTCTGGTGTATTTCCTGTAATGGCTGTACTGAGGATGCTTCCAAGGTTGGGGAAATGATCTGAATCGAGAGGGGTGTTTCTTTGTTATCATGGATGATATCGGGGCAAGGGAGAGAAAGAGAGATTGTACGCCAAAGAAACCATTTAAATTTAGCCATTTAGTTCCACGCTGGGAGATGTGCAGTACTATGCGTCTCCTCCCCGGGCTTGATCGTGATGGGTCTGGTTCAGTTTCCTGCAGTGTAACTAATGGGGATCATTGATCGCCTGGGAGTATAGTATTATTCGCAAAGTACGAGTGCTTCTCAGATACTTATGAGCCATCGTCTTAATGTAACAGCTACTACTACCCTAAAACTAGCATACTGGCAGACAAAGAAAACCCCTACGACAGGGGGATTCCAAGGGTACCGGGGGGTACATCGAGTATACCGAGTATACCTGCATGATCTGCTTGTCCCTCAGAGACAGACAGAGAAAAAAAAAGAATTATAATAATCACAAATAAGTCCCCATGATCGTCGCCGATCATCAGCAGATCATGACAAGTCCAATCATTACCGCGGACATTCCCTGGATGATCGACAAAGGTGCATGCAAGGATGACTCCACAATTGCCCTCGAGTCTGGCTGCATCTCAAATACCCGAGACACACCCGGTGCACGAGCAGATACATCACTGTCTCGGCCAAAGGTTGTTCGATGCTGACGAAGTTGAGATGCTCTGATGAGGTTGGAATCAGTCTAGATTTGGTCTGGTATGCCGTTGGTACGAGGCATTTCTTTCACAGAGTGTCGATCAGAGATCATGAACCCTAAGGAATGTCTATTGAGAATGTGCCCAGCCAACATGGGATACCGCCGCCCTTGGCGAATCTTAGCACCCTTGAATCCCCCCTCCCTCGTCTGGTCTGCAGTAGAATGACGTTCTTCTCGATGCAGGGCATTCGGCTAGGGGTCGTCCATCTCGTGGTTTGCATTATGTTTGAAACTGTGCAATAGATAATACGGAACACTAGAACCAATCGAGCAATATTCCAGGTTAACAGGATCTATGTATTCATCCATACAAAGCAATCTTAAATCATATCCAAAGACTCTAATGACCCACTTTAGAGCTTGCTGGCCGGAGACTCGCTGTACAACGCCCGGGTTCGGTTCATAGCCTCCAGGGCCTCCTTCTCGATGCGAGTGAGCAACTCGTTGCAGGTAGGGATATCATGGATCAACCCGATGACCTGACCGGCCGTCCACACCTGCATGAAAGATTAGATATTCATACCCAAGAGAGAGAAAAAAAAAAAAAAAAAAAAACCAGAACCAAAGAAGAAAGATCACTTACGCCAAAGTTAACATCCCCATTCAAGAAGACCTGGCGACCGCGCTGGCCACTGACAAACGGCCCAATCTCCTTGAATTCCCCCGTCGTGCTCTCTTTCTCCACCTTCAGGGCATCCTGGGTAACCTTGTTGGCAAAGAGGCGGGTAGTGTTCTTCCAGCGGCGCAGCACCAGAGCAGTGTCAGTCTCCTGGGCATTGACGATGGCCTCCTTGACCCTCTGGTGAATCGGCGCCTCGACGGTGCTCATAAAGCGAGTCCCCATATTGATCCCCTCAGCACCAAGCGCCAGCGCCGCCGCCAACCCCTGGCCATCGGCAAACCCACCCGAGGCAATAAACGGAACCCCCAAGTCCTGACGCGCACGGCTCAAGAGGATGAAATTGGTGATATCGTTCTCACCGACATGGCCGGCGCACTCGAATCCGTCAATGGACAGGAAATCCACGCCGAGCTTGACGGCGGATTTGGCGTGCCGGATCGTGGTGCACTTGTGCAGGATAATCGTGTTGGCCTTCTTCAACTGCGAAATCACCGGGCCCGGGTTGTTGCCGGCGGTCTCGACGATCTTGATTCCCTCGTCGATGATGACTTGGGCGTAGGCGCCGTAATCCGGGGGCACCAGGGCGGGGAGGAGGGTCAGGTTGATGCCGAATGGGTTCTTGGTCAGGGTGCGACATTTGCGGATCTCTTTTCGTAGGTCTTCAGGGGTTGGCTGGGTTAGGGCGGTGATCTTGAGTGGGGTGAATGTTAGAATATCGCATTTGCGGGCTGGGGCATGTGGCAAGTCGAGCAAATCTGAAACGTACTATTCCCAGTCCGCCGGCGTTGCTGACTGCCGAGGCCAGCTCGGCATATCCCACCCACTGCATGCCTCCTTGCACCACGGGCACTATAGACGATCAGCAGCTAGTCCACGAGTGTGAGTGACGACCATTTCGTACCGCGAATGCCCAGCCTGCGCGTCAGGGCTGTGTTGAACGGCATCTTGGAAACGGCACCGATGGGTATCTAATCTGATCGCGGGAGAGCGGAGTATACGGAGACGTCTCGAGGGGTAATGTAGATGACTCGACGATAATCAGGGGCAAAGCGATAAATGCCCTGAGCAGGATTCAAGTAGAAGTAGGATGATCGCGGGAATAGGAGATTACTGAGCGTTAAAAAGCACCGAGTGACCCCCAATGGACCGCGGACCTCAGCTGTGGGGGAGCGTCGAGTTGCCGAGGTTCGGGGAGACGCACCGTTTATCGATTAGTCGCACCGTTGGCATAAGAATTATGCCGAGAGCGTCTTCAATATCGACACCTCTCTATATCTTTATTTCAACTACTTTGATGAAACAAAAGATTGACTGCTCGCATCGACATCACGTCGAAGATCAAATCAACCGGTGCATGTGAACCCGGGGACTTGGGCCAGTTGCCACGGTGCTGGAACATGGATATTCAGGAATAAGTGTATTCACGTAGCTTGACCCGAGGCAGCATATTCTCTGCTCAGCGGATATTCAGAGTATGTTCAGAGTAATAGCAATGTCGAGACATCCATGGATCCAGGCTGTGGCCATGGATAGCAGGCAACCCATCCCTACGTTGGCATCGATATTGCTGGATACGCCTCGGCCATTGCTGTACCTGGCCTTGATCGCACTTCCCAGCAAAATATCCAACTTCAATCTACATTCTGATAACAATATCATGTAACCCTGATATGAAACCCATCCGGCTCATGGACAGAGACAAATGGGCGATTAACGACGGGACTCTCCTTCTCAGAGTCTCGTAGATCCCTCTGCGATCACGACAGAAAGCCGCAACCAGTGAGAGAACGCTGAGCACGTCGACCTCATCCCGGCGAACCGGCAGGCGACGTGAGCGGAGACTCATAGAAGAAAGAAAGAGTGAGAATAGGGGGAGAGAGAAAGTTCGGGCAAAAGTGGGCAACAAGCGAGACCGTCACATGACCGTAAAAAGGATCATCCGACTGGGTAATGCGGGCGCTGCCATTGGCCCTGCCGGGCGTCAATCCCGTGACGGCACACCCGAGGTTGTCCGTTCCGATCGTTCGCGAGAGCCTCTTCTTTCTTGTCCTGAAGCGTTGAGAGAGTCTTGAACTCCATTGTCTCATCATGTTCTCACAGAAGGTTGCTCAGCAGTCGCTGCGACGGCGTAGGTGTATCTTCTCCCCCTCCAGTCGGCACTATCACTGACCTGTCCCAGTTGCCGTCCAGCAGCCGGCCGCCATGCGCTGGTCGATGATGCGCGCCTCTCCTGTCGCCGTCGCCCTGGGAAAGAATGTCCAGACGAGGTCAGTTGCTTCAAAGATTATATCAACAATGCGATAGTGTCTCGTTATTGCCTCATTGTGGCAGCCGACCCAAAAGAATCCTACGTCATCTACCAGTCCCAACGCGCGCGACTAACTCTCTCTCTCTTTTGTTCTTCAGACCCGTCACCTCGTCCCCTAACACTGAGGACCCGACCCAGATCCTGGCCAAGCAGCGCCTCAACCGCCCCGTCGCCCCTCACCTGGCCATCTACAAGCCTCAGATCGGGTGGGTCGCCAGTTCCCTGCACCGGATCACGGGCGTTGCCCTCTCGGGTAGTTTGTACCTGTGGGCCACGGCCTACCTCGTCTCGCCCGCGCTCGGCTGGCACCTGGAGTCGGCCTCGATGGTCGCCGCTTTCGGTGCCCTTCCTCTCGTGGCCAAGGTTCTGCTCAAGGCTACCATGGCCCTGCCCTTCACCTTCCACTGCATGAACGGGGTGCGCCACCTGATGTGGGATCTCGGCCGAGGCCTCACCAACCCCACCATTATCAAGAGCGGCTGGACTGTGGTGGGCCTGAGCGTTGCCAGTGCGCTCACTCTTGCTTTCATTTGATCTGTTCCGTCATACCTCTCTTGGGTCTCCTTGTGTTATTAAAGTGGTTTCTTTTTTTCTTTGTTCGGACAACATGAAACATGAATTGGGTCTCTCGGAGCAAGCTCTCAAGACCTGGATTTTTTCCCCCTTTGTATATTTCTTAGATGGGTTGGAAAACTATCTCTGTTGAATGGTTCTTTAACCTTGCATTCAAGTCTTCGGTTGTTCCTACACATTGATATGGACATCTGCAATGGTTTAAGATGAATGATCCAATTTCTCACTGAGATTGTTTTAGTACACCATTACTCCGGGGATTTCCCTTTGCCAGTCTAAATATCCCAACTGAAGAAGATAAGGGGGAAAACAAATATGAAGCATCCAGCTAGGCCCAGGCTCTTTCCATTGGTCCACCAACCACACCAATTATTCCCCCGTCATGCCTGGTTCTGTCACAGACAGAAGAGTCGTGTCGATGGAATTGAGCATTACAGTATGCTTCGTTCATGCATGTCCCTCGATACTGACAGTTTGATGAAATGAGAAATATTCCGAATGATGGTCTGTTTTATATATGTTGGCGTCTCTCCGGTGAGGACCTCTTCCTTTTTAAGATATACTTACTTATTTAGCCAATTTCCGTCAACGCCAACAAAGAGAAACCATAGCAAGTGGTTTTTTCATGCGGGACTCGGCGGCGGGTTGGGAGGAAATGGCCTCGGCGAGGGTGGATCCTGCACTGAGTGATCGCTGGCCGGGATACCCTCAATAATAGGGTTGATAGTCAGAGCTGGTGAGGTTTTGGTAGTCCGTGGAGCAGAGATTGACAGATTGAAGGGCGACATCTTTCTCTTTTCTTGCTAATTTGAGGGAGATGGTGAGGAAGAAGCAAAGAGAAGTAGATCGGAGATAAAGTTAGGGCTAGAGGCCAAGACAACAGAGGACAAGTAAAGACAGCCCAACAGCAGAATAGGGTTAACCAGAGACTGATTTGAAAGTAAAGAATAAATGAAAATCAAGATCTCTCACGCAGGCCGAACCCCCCGAATTTATTACATCTGCGATCCTGAGCACCTGGGAGCTTCCTCGGAGACAAGTTGTACACCGCCATCCTGTCCAGCATCCCAATCAGGGTTCATAGAAGCCGTTTGGAGAAGGGCAGGATTTTTATTTATTTATTTGTTTTATTCTTATTTTCCTTTTCTCTGCAGATTGTAGGATTCACTCCAAAAAGATCTGGAAATCTCGGTTGAGTCTGCAAGGGCCCGGCCCGGTAAACTTGATGTATAAAGCATACCGGAGAAATAAAACTCTGAAGAGTCCACTCCCAGCAGCTGAGTGACGGAGAAAAATGAAAATAATCACAATAATAAAACAATAGATTCTGCACACATGTGAAGATCGTTTCCCCAGAATCTCTTCCCTGATGGAGGCTGCAGATTCCAGTGGAGTGACACCAGCGGTCTGAGCCGTTAGTTGCCGGCTTCTTGCAGTGATCATCTTCATGAAGAAATGGGGGTTTAGTTAGGTCAGTTTGCCTAAAACGGATCCGCCACTCTATATTACCACGGCGGCTGCTAGCCGCGATCGTCTCTAAGCGATTGATGGTCTCGGGTTGAACAGCTGTGGGTATTTATATATAGATCTGTGTACTGTGAGATGAAACAATGTACTGTGTTCATGCTTGATTGATTGTGTTCAGGCATCGAGATTGAGTGGAGAAAAAGTTAGGGCCTAGCCTGTATATTCGAATATAAGCACCTAAATCACTCTTTATCTACCCCAGGTTCTCATCATAAGACATTTGTAAACACATTTCCACAAGAAACTGTGCATACAGAGTATGATTTCGCAAGCACGGAATAGCAGCACACGTGGATCATGTCTTGCCTCCGGTACCACAAATCTCTTGCTTCGTTCAGGATTGGGGGGTAGCGAGGGCTTCCATCGCACAACCGGCCGTTTTCCTGCAGCCAGTCAAACAACCCGGACAGAGGCATGGGATACCCTAAGCCGCCACTCTCCTCGATTGTCTGCCAACATCCGACGGCAAGATCCAGTAATTACCAAGGCCACCTATACTTCACACCTCAGCTGTGTTTCTCTGCAAAATGATGTCCAGATGAATTGTATACAGAGAAGATCACCGAATATTCTCTGGAGCTACTTCTCCCCAGGACCATCTAGAATCTTACTACTTCGAGGTTTTGTTGTTGCTCGGCAGCGGCTAGAGACCTGTATCCCGGTGGTTGGGCCGCGCTTAGGGCCTGTTGCGGCACATCTTGCAGAGCTCTTGATCCAGTCGGGTAGATGGGTCATGTTACTTGGCTGCACCCTCAGACCTCTTGCATAGCATTCGAAGAAGTACAAGAATTTCCTTTATAGGCCCAACCTCTGGCCATCATATCCATAGAAGGATGTTGCTGGTCAAACAGACGGGTAGAATGCACTTAGCGAAGCTTCGAGACTTCTTAGAGTGCCGGTAAGAGTTGGGTCTTGTGATTGCTGCTATGGAAAGATGCATCCACGCCGGGGAAAGTTGATTGCGAGGATCAGAGCTGGCTGATGGAGAATATCAACCAGACAATGGAGCTTACGACCTCCGAGCAACGCAGTCAACATAGACTGGATCCGTCAAACAGCGGTATAGCGGTATGAAGTAGCTTCCAACGTCGACGATCTGACCGCCAGACACCCAAAACCATACATGCCTCGGGTGTTTATAGAGCATCCGCGACCAATTATCACAACACAACTGGATTTCACTTGGCTGCCACCGCGAGGCGTTGCATGAGTTGCTTCAGACTTGACGCCATTTCAAGCCAAGCATTTGGAGCCGAAGAACAACAAGAGGCCACCCAGCGGTGAAGGTCCTGGGTCCTCCCACCCCGTTCAAATTGCGTGTTAATCCGCTGAATTGGCAATCGAAGACGCAAATTCCCCAGAGCAAGCAGACAGGGAAAGTTCCTCGGAATTGCCTGATGGAAATAGGGTCAATTCGGAGAAAAACATGGGCCGGCAGTATTACACCGCCCGCCGAATTTCTTTCCTTCACCTCCATCACCGGCTTTTCGGCCGCAGACCACCGTTTCCATGGCTTCGAATTTGTCCGTTCGAGCGGTCAGAACCGCTTGCATTGCATCAAAGGCCCGCCCAGCTGCGGGTCTGATGCCCTGCCGCTCTCTGAGCTCGATGCCAGACGTGCCGACCGCGGAATCAGACAAGCCCCGATGGTCCTACACTCCGCCGCGCGCAAAGGCGCCTTTTAGTCTCCGGATGAACTCCAAGCGCCCCAGTTTCCACGTCAACACGGATCCCACCCTCCTCGACCAATTCTACATCCGCATGCTGGGGAATGGCGGCGACCGAATGCTCTCGGATGAGCTCAAGTGGTTGGCGGTGACACATAAGAGTTTTGACCAAGGGCGTCGCGGGTTCAATGACCGATTGGCCTTCCTAGGTATGGAATGGCTGGTGCAATTAAGTTGAAAAATGTGCCACTGACAAGGCTTTTCGTTGTTAGGCAAGCGAATCGTGCAATTGCAGACATCGCTGGCCCTGGTGCAGCGGGAGACCCCCAGCGCCCCCGTCACCAAGGACGAGTATGGCCGCGTGCCCTTCGTCCATCCGGCTCTCAACGGGCTGAAAAACCTTTCGTCAGACACCAAGGGCTTCATCACCGATCGCTCGAAGCTTGCGGATCTCGCCCAGAAGTACCAAATGCAGAATGTGATTCGATGGAACCCCGCCAAGGTTTGCTTTGCCCTGACCTGTTCTCGTTGAGTGCTTTTTGCTAATGCTTCTCCCTGTAGCCTGATAATCTCTACCGATCCGGCCTTGAGCTCGTCCTTGCGAACGCTTTGTACGCGGTTGTTGGTGCCGTTTCGTTGGAAAAAGGGGGCAAAGTTGCCAACAAGGTGGCCCAGGACCGAATCCTCGAACCATTGGGAGTGTAAAACAGTCCTGTGAAAGGGATTGGGACTCGGACAATGGCTCCCAGAGCATTTTCAGGGCGTTCTCATGTTTGATATTGCCTTCTCTGGCAGATTGATTCTCTACAGAATTTCTGGAGGACTCTCTGCCTGTGGATGTACATGTACTATTATACGCGGACTCGGTTTTGTGATTTTCCTCCGCTTATATTGCAAAATACCATTTATCATTGAAGAAATGTCCGGTTCCTCTGACACCGCCCGAGTAACAGTGAGCAAAATACTCGGCCAGCTCTTATGGAACCCTCTTTGCGATGCCTAGTCTCCGCACCTCTGTATCGCAAGTCCAGTAATAGAAGAAACTGACAGCTGTCCGACAGAAAGTCAAACAAGCCACAGCAAATCCTAGGGACTTTGGTACTGTCTTGCACTGTCTGATGAGAGCGTTGGGAGAAGAAAAGAAGAAGAAACACGCGCGGCAGAGATTTTGAGCGGCCAAACACGCTAAGCCGCTTGGGGAGAGCATCTCCACTATGCGGGCATCGCCAACAATCGACTCTTCTCTCTCTCCCTTCCTTCCTCTCTTTCTCCTTGTTCTTGTCTCGAGTTCTATTTCACCTCGATTATTACCACTTCGACCTCGGCATTGAATCCATCGGTCATGTTGCAGTAGGGCGCAGAATGTGCCTTTGTTGTCCTTCCGCCTCCCACTCAGAGACCAGATAATCAACTTTACCGACACCGCTCACCGATCTACTACTCCCTTGACGACGCCATGGCATCGGCTCTCTTTTTCTTGGACCTGAAGGGCAAGGTGGGTGCTGGAATACCGATCTCGATCCCGAGGCAGCGCCGGTGCCACCGGAGGCGCCCCAATGCCCAGAAACATGCCACTCTGACCAGCTTATATATAGACCCTTCTGGCCCGCAACTATCGCGGGGATATCCCCATGTCCGCAGTCGAGCAATTTCCTACCCTCCTGAGCGAAGCCGAAGAAGAAAGCTCCGCAGTGCCTCCCTGTTTCTCCCACGAGGGAATCAACGTATGTCGCATGTGCCTGCTTGCCCCATCCGCTTCTCCTCTGCTCGCCCCCGCTTCACGTTGGTGCGCGCACCCCCTGACGCTCATGACTCCTGGTTTAGTACCTTTATATCCGCCACAGCAACCTTTATATCCTCGCCTTGACCAAGAGAAACACAAATGCCACCGAGATCCTGCTCTTCCTCCACAAGATCGTGGAGGTGTTCACCGAATACTTCAAGGTGCTGGAGGAGGAAAGTATTCGGGATAACTTTGTCATCATTTACGAATTGCTGGACGAGATGATGGACTTTGGATACCCGCAGACAACAGAAAGCAAGATCCTGCAAGAGTAAGCTCTGCCCGCTGGATCCCCTTGATGAAACATGATGGGGCACGTGGATGACTCGAGAACACCATGACTGATGGGAGCGCATCATCTAGGTACATTACCCAAGAATCACACAAGCTGGACGTTCAAGCACGACCACCGATTGCCGTCACAAACGCCGTCTCGTGGCGTAGTGAAGGGATACGCTACCGCAAGAATGAGGTCTTCCTGGACGTGGTCGAGTCTTTGAACCTCCTCGTATCAGCAAACGGAAACGTCCTGCGGTCCGAGATTCTGGGTGCGGTCAAGATGAAGTGCTATCTGAGTGGTATGCCCGAGCTGCGACTGGGCCTGAACGACAAGGTCATGTTCGAGACGACGGGTCGCGCCACCCGAGGCAAGGCCGTCGAGATGGAGGATGTCAAGTTCCACCAGTGTGTCCGACTGTCGCGCTTCGAAAACGACCGAACAATTAGCTTCATCCCGCCGGACGGAGAGTTCGAGCTCATGAGCTATCGGTTGAACACGCAGGTCAAGCCGTTGATCTGGGTGGAGTGTCTGGTAGAATCGCACTCGGGGTCGCGAATCGAATATATGCTCAAGGTCAGTGCCGCACATCGCCTTTCACCCGCTGTCCTCTCAAAATAGGACACAATGCTGACCTACCCAACAGGCCAAAGCCCAATTCAAACGCCGCAGCACCGCCAACAACGTCGAGATCCTTGTCCCCGTCCCCGAGGACGCGGACTCGCCCCGCTTCCGCACCAACATCGGCACTGTTCACTACGCACCCGAGAAATCGGCCATCATCTGGAAGATCAAGCAGTTTGGCGGCGGCAAGGAATTCCTCATGCGGGCGGAGCTGGGTCTGCCGTCCGTCAAGGGGGACGACGAGCACGGTGGCGGTATGACTGGCGGGTTCGGAGGCAGCATGGGCGGCACTGGGCATGTGGGCAAGGCGAAGCGGCCCATCAACGTCAAGTTTGAGATCCCCTACTTTACCACCAGTGGTATTCAAGTGCGTTACTTGAAGATCATTGAACCGAAGGTAAGCCTCATTCCCCTTTTTTATTTATTTATTTTATTTTCTATTGTTGTTTTACTTTCCCTTCCCCCCCAAAGCTGACCACTTCTGCAGCTGCAATATCCCTCTCTTCCCTGGGTGCGATACATCACACAATCGGGAGACATTGCCGTCCGCATGCCGGACGTCCAATAAGGTGTTCTTCTTGATCTTTTTCTTTACCTTTTTTTTATGTGGATGGATTGATTTGTACAGCCCTTCCTCGTTTTATCTCCTCCTTTCAACCCCCCCCCCATTGAGGCCGGCCGGTCCGATAGATAATCAAGTTCCCACCTGTTCTTACCCCTCCCTCATCTGCCTTGGATCTGCATTAGTTAGATGCTTGAAAAAGTAAAAAAATATAGAGACAGAAGGCGTTGAGGTGAGATGCTGCGACGATCTGCAATCACACTCCGTAGGCTGGTTTCGAACTCTGCCTGGGAAGTATTTATCTCGAAGATGAATTCGCATGTGCACTCAACTCTATGGAATAGGCCAGAAGATAGGATTGTATGATGAAGTATATGGATTCCATTTACTACCGAGATCCTTGAACATGCTTCCCCAAAGGCAGAAAAAACCAACAGCCGAGATGATAGGAATATGAGATTTGGAAGGCGAGAAAAAAAAAGTGAAGACAATCAAGAAAATGCCAGGGTATCTCAATTCTCAGAACGGCGAAGGAGAAGAAGGAAATAAAAGGAAAGATAGAGAGAGAGAGAGAAAGAGAAATGCATTGTTCATACCGCAACGCCGTTCAATCAGCGCCTGTGTTGAGGTTTTCAGACCAAAATAAGAAAAATGAAAGGGAAAAGGTAAAGGAATAAAAACATCCTGCCTGTACATGGCAAAGCCTCATCCGCCTCGAACGCTGAAAAGAATATGAAGATTGAGAATTCAGGTTAAGAGTTCAGTCCGTTCGTAGCATGGTCCTCAGGTGTCTCGGGGGAGGAAGTGGGAAGCCATCGCCACGGCCTCCGGCGGCCGCTTTAGAGAAGCCCTCGCGGGCGAGCATGGTATTGAGCACGGCGCAATTGTAGGCAGCTTCGCCGGGGGGCACGACGAGGAAGATATAGGTGTTGTCGGTAAAGCGGCCGAGGAAGATGTTGAACTGAGGGGTTTTGGTATGCATGACGACGAAGCCGGCTGAGGCTGGGGTGGTGAGGGTATTGCGGGCGGCGCAGTGCTTGAAGGCCTTCATGATATTGGAGAGACGCTCGTGGCGGTCGTAAATGGGGTTGAGGTCGCCGACCTCGGACGTGACCGAGGTGACGGTGAGGAAAGTCGAACGCTCGAACAAAATGACTTCTTCGGCGTCAATCTTCTTAGCGAATGCTGTCAGGAAGCGTTCGATGACTGTGAGGTTCGGGATGAGCTTGTGCACGATCCCCGCCCACGCCTTGTATAGGGACTGGTCCCAGATGCTGCTGCCGAAGGTGTCGACCCGGAAGTGCGCGGACCGGCTTCGGATCAGCGCTGAACGCTCTTCGTAGATACGTTGTCGGTGCTCGCCCTGAATGAGGTCCATCTTATGAACGAGACAAAATACATAGGCGTTCGGGCTGAACTCGCGCAGTGCTTCGATGATGGCATTGTACGTGTCTAGGTCGCGCTCCACCTCACGCGACTCAATGTCGAAGACATAGATCAGGACGGCGACGTCTGAAAAGATGTTGCCTCGTTGGGATGCGAGGTATGTTTCCATGAACGCATCTTGTCTGCGATTGAGATGCAAAGACGATTGTCAGCCGATTTCGATAACTTTCCCAAATTGACAATTAGTCCAATTGAGACTCACCCTCCACAATCCCACAGATTGAGTGTGAGATTGCCCATGAATTTGACATGGCTGTGCTCCACGTCAATGGTCGCCCCCAGCCGCCGCACATCCTTGGCCACGTAGTTGCTGAAGATAATCGAGCGCATCGAAGATTTCCCCGAGCCACTCTTGCCCATCAAGAGCACCTTTCTCTTCTTCTTCCGGGCATCCATGATGTTGGTCTTGTGGTGGAGGTTGAGCTCGGATGCCCCGCAAGAGTGGGGAGCTGCTCGGATTGTTCTCGAAGGGGGCTCAAGGCCTGCGCAACGATGTAGTTGCGCTGGTGGATGTAAATGGCTGTTATGATTGTGGGGGGCACATCGTTTGGCCTCGTCCAGGAAATTGGAGACTTGAGAGCACGAGAAGAGGGGGAACGCAGCGCTTGAGCTTGATGCGGAGATGCGGATCAACGTTGCACCGGTCGATCACCTGACTCGATATTTGTCTAAATAAAACAGGAATAGATCAATAAATATCTTAATTTCCATAGTATGAGATGGTGAGTTATTCCAATTGAAATTATAGCAGTCAGATATTTTTCATCTCCTGTGGCTGGTGTTCGAGGTCGAGTCTGCAAGCTCAAGCCAGAGCCGAGGCAACGGGATGACGACATGTCTCAGTTGTACTACTTCAAGGTTAGATACCAACCAAATTTTAGCACATTCCTAGCCATCAGCTAGAATTGTTGATTTTCTCTCATGTGGATATACAGATATAAAGCTATGCAGTAACAGGACATGGCTGATTGGGGATAATGATAGGATAGCGCAAAACCCAGTCAGAGGGCCGAAAGAGACAAGAAAAAAGCTCGAAGAATTAAAAAGAAAATCACTGAGACCAAGATATGCCAAGAGGACTAGATCGATGGAAACCAAAAATAAACAAGTTCATAAGGACAAGCGCCAGTCCAAAATGAATAATAAGATGAACCGAGAGTTCTGGCGCAATCAGGTATTGAAACAGTAATTAATGTGTTTCTGAAGTATTAGAAGACGGTGCCATCGGATCGAATCATAATCGGCGGTTCCTTGGTGTTCGGCCTCGAGAACTCTGCGATCTCGCGTCCGCCCTATGCTTCTGGTTAGAATCCACTGACTCGTTAGACATCCTCTCACACTCACCTTCCAACTACCAGCCTCTAGCATCTGGGCCAAGTTCAGTTCATCATCTGAGTCCTTCACTCCCAATTGCGAGTTGACTTCATAGAGGAGCTCGTCCAAGAAGCCGACAGTCACGGCCCGCCATTCAACAATCACATCGTCATCGGTAGAAAAGAGTGGGACCACCTCGACATTGGGCTGACCCTTGATTCGGGAATTTTCTCTGTATGCATGAACGCCGCGCTCCATGTCCTCGGGTTTGAGACTCAATAGCCCCATATCAACCAGAAGACCGCCATTGCGGTATTCAGGAAGACCTGTGAGAAGATCGCTGCCGGCGAAATGGATGTGCATCAACTTGGACATGGGGACCATGATGGAGTAGCAGAGCCATTGGGTCAGCTTATGGAATGGAATGATACTCTCCCACTTTTGTGCGGGAGGGGAGCTGGGGAGATCCGAGCACACCCAGGCGTCTCCGATCGACACGCCGTCGATTTGGGTCCGCGAAGGAGGCCAGATTGGCGAAAGTCCATCCATGAGACCAGTCCACAGAGTGGTGATCGGAACAATTGGCACAGAGGAAGCAAGAGTCGACGGATGGCCAAGAAGATAGTCTGTTCTTAGATTGTTAGCGGTTGAGCAGGGTATGAGTGGATAGTGGTAGGTAGCTCACCCAGCATATTGCCTGGTCTCGCATCCACCCCAAAGAAATCTTGGTTGTTCAGAGCTTCGGAGAGCCGCACCAACAGCCCTGCACGACCTTCGATCCCAGCCAACGGATTCTGCTCCGAATGTTGCATCCCCTTGGCCAGAGTATCCACCGTCACCTTCTTTAAGCCGGCTCCGTCGACCTGGCATGGCTCCGTAGGGTCGCTGCTGAAAAGACCAGTCTTGAACATCTCCAGACTGGCCACGGCCAGGCCTTCACTGCGCGCATAGATCTTGCCAGACTCTTTAGACCGGTACGACCATTTGGTGCCAGCACCTGCATCGAGCAGAACCGATACCACAAACAGGTCAATCAGGCGTCGGGTGCGTTCTTGGGCGTCGATGCGGCTGGGCCAAGATTGGAGGAGTTGATTGATCCGCGGCCTCCCACCAACGTCGAAATGTTGCCAGCGACCATGAGGGGGAATATTTTCATAGTCTGGCGCATAGTCTCTCTTTCAGTCCGGGGGCAGGCCCATTATTAGCGTCTCCATTCACATGCGGGCGCAGGGTCGCGCTACCTTGATGATTGACACCACATAGGACGCTGTGGCCTCGAACTTGCTCATGTCCACATCGAAGTGGTTTAGTTGGTTCTTCTTGGCCTTGTCCAGGACGAGCGTGGCGCGCTCGCGAACGGCGTGGATGCTTCGTAGATAGGCGGCGGGGTCTAACGCTGGGTCTGGTGGCCGCGTGATGGGAAGCTCGGGGATGGAGGCTGGCGGACCTGTCCCCTTGTACCCTGGCGACCTTAAGGATGCATTTGACGTGTGGGCGCTGTTGACGGATACAAAAGACTCCCGGTCGTCCTTATCGCTATGAATCGAGTTCTTGGAATCTTTGCGCTTGAAGAGGCCCATGTTATGCGAATGCCAGGGAGTGACAGCTCCCTAATGTTGAAAGAAACAAACAAAAATCAACCCCGTGGAGAGAGAGAAAGAAAGAGGAAGAGAGCGGGATGAAGCGGAGATAAGGAGGGCAAGAGGAGGGGAAGGTGATGGCTATCAGGTCGGGTTCCCCCTGTGTTTTTCGAATTTTTCTCTCGAAACATGCAGGTAATTTCCAGTAGGTATTTCTCATTGGCTCTGTGTTTATTTCTGACTATTTCCCATGTATTCTCGAGCTCAGCTCGCAGGCGGGGCGGTCGGTGACCGAGCTCTCTCGAGGTCATTTAGCTGCGAGGTGGTCCGATCAATTAATCTCAGTTAATTTTCACTCTCATAAAGACACGAAAAAGAAGAGAGAAGTTTCAGGGCAATCTACTAAATTACTTGTGCCCGGGTTATTCTGAGAGAAACAGTGCAAGGGGGGGAAGAAGAGGGGGGTGGGGAGAGCTTGGAGCTCGTACCGGGTACCACCCACCAGCCCACAATTTGTCTGCAGAGAGCGGTACTTGGTACGGGCAGCTCAATTGCTTTGCGAGGTACTACGATGGTCTCAAGCGAGAATTGACCAGTCGAAATTCCAGTTCCATATTGTGTCTGTTGTGCAAGTGTTAAAAAAAAAAGAAAAGAAATAGAATGATTAAAATAAAGAGAACTGGAAACTCTCCAGACCCGTCGCCAACGGAATGGTGCAACGTCCGGTACACGGTACGTGTATAGATCGGATATCGATCAGCCCATCCCCCCCAATTACAGTGGGCCCAGTCATGGCCTGTGGACCACACGGTCCCTGCCAAGCTGACTGGCCCATGCGCATCGCGTTAATCGAGTCTGCGAATCTCTAGTTCCCACACGGGGGTGCATCCCGAATCCTTCCTACCTGCGGATCTTGATGCTGAAATCCTTCGAGGGGGAAGCCATGGACTGGATGTAGATCCTTTCTTGGGTCCATTTGTGCCTTGAGGATTTAGAAATGGTCGTGATCCAATTAGACTCCAATGAATCCAAATCACACCAAGGTTCTGACCATACAGTTTGACGCGAACGTGCCCGGGCTGAAGCCCTAGTCAGCGCTAGTATACGCAAGTATAGAAGCCATCGGCAAGGGGGCAAGGACTCCAGTTGTGATAGATTGGCCTCTTAACATCAAATCCTGTACTAATACTAGTCATCTATTCTCACCTCCCCTGTCAAGACCCGAAATTAAATAGTGGACTGTGCGAGAGAAAAAAAAAATTCACCGAAGGATTGCGCTGTCATGCCCCGTCCCATGATCGACTTCCTTTCTGGTACATACTCCACATCTTTACATGTATACATGTACAGTATCTCCCGTAGCGTATAATACTGTACAAAGTCTCAGGATCTGGCCTCCTGACACACACCTTCTCTACTGCAACAGACCCCCCAAACCCAACAAAGGTGGGAAGCACGGGCGTAGCCACTGCATCGGGTCCACGTTTCATATTGACTCGATTAACGGCCAGGGATGGTGAACCTGTCATTTTTACGGGAGATTGGGCTGTGGAAAGACAAGGGGGCTGTTGTTAATGACGATCTAGGGGGCAGGAATCGGCAACGCCGCAACTTTATGGTCCGCTTCATTCTTTCAATTCGTTACCGCGCGGCTCACTACCGAGAGACTCCGCTATTGGTAAACAAAGCGGAGACTTGACTTTAGCGGGCTCATTTATTGATGGATTTTTGTTTCTCGCACGGGCACATTGGGTTTGTTCTGGGCAACCAAAACATTGGGTGCTGCCCAACGACTGAAATAAGTAAAAGGACGAATATCCCGTTCTTAAAGACATCATAAGAATCATCATCAAAAAGGAAAAAAAAAAAAAATAGAATGTAAAATAGAATATAAAAAGCCGATCAGAAGGCAAGAATAGATGTAAAAAGTGCAAAGTGACTGCGAGTGTGTATACTTGGGATAGAAGTTTGAGAGTTGGCTCTGGAAGAAGTCAGGCCCTCGTTGAAGTCAGTTAGCACTTAAGTAAAGGATGATCATTACCATGGTATACAAAAGTACCATCTTCTGACAGTAGGCTCGTGAAGGGTATTGATAGGGGCACCCCAAAATTTTCGCTATTGGCACCCCAAAAAAGATTACATAATTTTTTCTTATGTAATCTTTTTTTCTCCCACTTCCATCACCATAGCAACCATATACTACATATATACTCTATCTTCTGCTTCATCTCTTTTTCTACTCTACTATTACCCTACTAGTTTGATATGCAGCGAATCTATGCTAGTAGGGTTACCCTAGAGGCCCCGCTTGGTATATGCACCAATTATTGGACGAGTACTATGGGGTTACCATGCAAGCATCGAATTGCTGATTTGCTCGCAAAAAAAGAAGCAATCCCATTGGCTGATATTCATCCATTCTGGCGAATTAGGGTTGAAGATTCATCTGATATCGCCTGGCAGCCACTGCTAAATCCCCGAATTCAGCCTGCTGCTTTCCCAAAAAGGCAATCTACGCAGATATCAGATGGGAGCGAGGGGGCTAGACCAATCAAAAAAAGGAAGGCCCCCCCAAAGTGTTCGAATTGCGGCGAAATTGGGCATACATATCGAAGTTGCCCTATTGCCAAATAGGGTAATCTGTTTTTGGTGGTTAGGATAAGAGGATCATGTGATTAGAGATGTGGTTGAAAATTATCATGTGATTAGAAAATAGATCAAAAAAGATTACATAAGCGTTTTGGGGTGCCAATAGCGAAAATTTTGGGGTGCCCCTATCAATACCCGCTCGTGAAGTCTATATTACGTGATCGTCACTTCACTTCCACTCTTATACTAACGAATATTAGGAATATGCCTGGTTTTGATGTAGAGTTACAGCTCCAAATGTATTTTTGTGTCCAACTTCTCTAGTTTGGTCACTAACCCAATTCTAAACCTAATGATCGGAACCTGTGCGAAGCTACAGACATTCTGGAATGCCACATAGCCCTTTGATTCTTATGTGATTGTTAAATTTCAGAGGTTTACTCTAGTAGAATACATAACCCGAGTACGAGGCAAAAAATGAACTCGATCCACGAAATAATCAGACAGCAACCTTGGGAATGGCCCGTAGACACAGCCGTCATACCTTTATTCACTTCTGTTATTAGCTCCTGCCTCTTCCTTCTTTAATCAAATTCCTCATCTTTTCCCATGCTCTGAACTATGGAGCCCATGCCCGATGACCACGCGACAAGGCGCGCTCGCTTGAGAGACAAATACAACCAGTGGCATCACACCTCGTGCAGACGTTGAGATCCCAACCCAAGGAAGTTTATTCAAGTGATGAACTTGCCAACCTTGGAGTTTCCCTTGCAACCTTCGACCCTGACAGTCAAACCTTCCTCGACTCCAACGCTTGTCTATTTGATCCTCTATCCTCGGAGGCGCTTGGGAAGTATTCTTTGGTCAAGTCCGAACTTAACGGGGGTGCCATCGACTACTACTTCAATTTTGATGATATTTATTATCACCCTACAAATGCCAAAAACCCCTCTACTGCAAATCCGTCATTATCTTACTATCCTCTACACTCATTACGAGAAAGAGTGTGAAGGCGACATCGAGTTTTTGAACGAAGTCACTGGATGGGACGAGATCAAGTAAGTTAGAAGCCCTCACTTTATTGAGTTATTATACTACTATGGAATTCCTTTTACTTAGACACGACAACCCATTCCACCATAGCCCAAAAGGACTGTTACTTGGCTGTGGGCCTCTAAGTTGGGATAGTAAGTCTAAGCGCGAGTGGTGTCTTAAACTCCGAGTCTCGCCTATCTACAGTTTTTTGCGGAAGGCTGAGGCGCCCTTCAATCTTTTTGTTCGTTACTTTGCCTGTGAGCCTCGAGATGGCCCGGAGTATGAATTCTACAATGATGGGGAGGCTACACCCACCCACGCTCCTGAGTATGTCACTTCGTCACCCGAAATCAATAAAGTGTCCATTCCAAGGAAGATGATGCCATGTTTACTGAAGAACCGTGGATCTACATTTCTACATGTTGACGCAATAGATTCCACAGGACGAACGGACGAAGAATTCGCGTTCCATTTACGACAGAGACAGCTCTGAAAAATTAGAAAGGGATCTACAATATGTGCTTTGATGGTTCTTATTACGGATATCAAAAGGCTAGCTCATGAGCAAGTCTATTTAAGCAGAGAGTGTAGCATGCCTATGAACCCCCGAGAATTTGAGAATTCTACATCAAATAGCCCAGGATATATAGAATATATACTTATAGACCTAGCTCATTGGCATTGTGCTGTTTGTATACTTCCCAAGGCACCAATATCACGTGCACACACCACTCCACCGTCATCCCCACATGCAGGGAGGACCGCGCACTTGGAGATCAATGCGACTTCCATGCAAGAGCCCATTGACTTTTTTTCCCCCTTCATATTTGCTGCCTGGCTTACTGGTGAGATTATGGATCACTTACTGCCCCTCAACCCCACCTCCTAATCCTCAAAATAATCCATCAGACGCCACGTTTCTCCCCGTTCGGGACTCCATCTAGCCGACCATGGACGATCTGAACGGTTTGAGCTGGTCCTCCGACCCAAAGGAACCCAGTAAACCCCCCCCAATGAGTTCTGGCCTCTTGTTTCCGACCGTGCGACCGAGTGGCCCCTCTTCTGGCCGCTCTACTCCGATGTCTGCATCCTCGAACCGATCGAACTCGCCAGCGAAACCTGCTACATCTACGGGGGATAGCTTTGCAAATCTGGTCTCATTTGGTGGCCCATCTGCTACAAATAAGAACCTGTCTCTTGTGGAGCAGCAGAAGCGATTGCAAGAGGAGAAGGCCAAGAAGGAGGCTGACAACCGCAGTCGGTTCGAAGCCCAGTACGGGGGGCAAAACTCCCAATTTTGGGACAACCTTGAGCAAGGTCGCACTCAGAGCCCTGCAATTACGACAGCATCTCAATCAACACCAGCGCCTGCTGACGATGACGATATCCTGGCTGCCTTCAACGCTGCTGCGCCCGTCGATGCATCTACGCATTTCCCTGTTCCCAGCTCCCGTTCCTCGCCCCGAGTGGACACAAATGCACCTCCGGAAGCACCCAGCGGTGGAATTGCTATGCATGATCACACACAGGGCCTGGCAGCCTTTGATGATGATGACCCCTTCGGCCTCAATCAATTGAAGCCTAAGGCGGCCCCCGCACCCCCACCCGAACAGGGCGATGACGACGACTTTCTTGGTCTGTTGGGGAAACCAGTGTCTGAAGTCGCCCGTCAACAACCACAACCGCCGTCTACAGGACCCTCGCCTGAGTCATCGGATTATGAATATGATGGATCGCCAATGCCGGAGGTGGATCGGGCTGTTGCCGAACTGGTTGATATGGGGTTCCCCGCGGATAAAGCTCGCCAGGCTCTCAGAACAACCAAGTCATTGACGGACGTCCAGGCTGCCGTTGGGTGGCTTCTTACCCAGGCCCATGCTGAATCTCGACAAAAGTCTCAACCGCGCTCTGCGCCTAATGGACACCCCACTGACCGTGCCGAACGAAGCACTGAGCGAAATGAGAGACGTAACCGGGATGTACCATCCTGGACGAGAGAAGGCAGATCTCAAACTCCTCGATCGCGCGAAGATAGTCGTAGCCCGGCATATGGAGACAAGGGCCCGTCGCAGGTGGCGTCGCAATTCGGCAACAACTTTTTGAAAACAGCCAATTCACTTTGGAAGACGGGGAGCAAGAAGTTCCAGCAAGCCGTGAATGATTTTAATACCGAGCATGACCCTAACCAGCCTCGTTGGATGAGAGCTGGAACACCCGCACACGAGGAATCGCTTCCGCAGCCACGACGCTCGACTGGCCGTGACCAGGCGAGCCTGTCTCAAGCAAAAGAACCAGGATTCACTGATGAGGCGCTCCTCCTTGAGTCTGGAGGCTCTGGGCCGCCTCGGAAACCCACTCGTCCACGCGATACTCCTCCACTCGCTCCTAATGACCATGTCTCGCGCAACCAACCGTCTCCAGACCTGGCCCAGCGAATGCAGCAACCAAGCTTTTTGCAACGACCGTCTCGGCCAAGTTCGCAGGATCCCAAGTCCCGTCTTTCCCGGCTCGCTGCAGAAGAGCAGTCAGCGCAAGCGTATGTTAGTCCAGCGAGACGAAAGCGCCCTCAGGCGCCACCGCCAGCCTCTGAAACCGAGGTTGACTTGTTTGATACTTCCGCCCCTTCGACTGCTCGGCCGAAACCAACGTCACCAGCCCAAGCTGCGCCTCCCCCGACACGGTCTGCGTCAATCCCCGTCCGCCCGAAAGCCCCGCCACGTTCCATACCGCCTGTATCCCAGGAAGCTCTTCAGTCTACCCATCGTCACCGTGGCAAGGCTGCGGATTCTTACAAGCGAGGTGATTATGGGGCTGCACACCAGAGTTTCTCTACCGCCCTTGGCATGCTTCCTGAAAAGCACCCGATCACGATCATGATTCGCAGCAACCGTGCTATGACGGCCTTGAAGATTGGTGAACCCAAGTCTGCCATTGGTGATGCAGACACCATTTTGGCGGTGATCGGTTCTTCCAAGGGTGAATCGGAGATGATCGAAGTGGGGAATGGCGAATCCGCCAAACCCATGAAAGACTTCTATGGAAAGGCTTTGATGCGCAAGGCCGAGGCTTTGGAGCAGCTGGAGCGCTGGGCAGACGCGGCGCAGGCCTGGAGATTGGCGGTGGAGTCAGGTCACGGTGGAAGCACGAGCATCCAGGGTCGGAATCGGTGCGAGAAGGCTGCTGGGATTAGCAAGCCTCCATCGAAGCCGTCAGCCCCGGCAAGGAAAAAGCCGGCCCCGGTACCCAAGAAGACCTCTGCTCTTTCGGATCTGGGAGGTGGCCAATCTGACCAGGACTCTGTCGCCGTTGGTCGTTTGCGGGCAGCCAACCAAGCTGCTGACCGGGCCGACGAGGAGAAGTTTGCCCTTTCGGACAGCGTTGACGCCAGGTTGGCAGCCTGGAAGAATGGGAAGCAAGACAACCTGCGTGCGCTCTTGGGTAGCTTGGACGCGGTGCTCTGGCCCGAAGCTGGATGGAAGAAGGTTAACTTGTCGGAGCTGGTTCTACCGAATAAGGTCAAGGTCCAGTACATGAAGGGGATAGCCAAGGTGCACCCTGACAAGGTATGTTTCCCTATAGCCTTTGCCTTCCCAAAACTGTTTGCTTTGCTAACCATGAATCGATTCTAGATCCCGACTACTGCCACGACGGAGCAGCGCATGATTGCTGGCGCCGTATTTGGAACCCTGAATGAAGCATGGGACAAGTTCAGGGTTGAAAACAATCTCTGAATATCCTCGCATGCCATGCATTGGTTAATATCTTGGTCTCAGCAGCATTTGTTTTTGTTTTTCTTTTACTTTTAGAACATGGCTTATCTTAGCCGGACATACCCAAGATACAAGACGACCTCATGATCCAACCCCGGCCTATTTCTTAAACTTGTAGTCTCTTTGTGGATGGTGTAGTTTCCGATTGTTTGAAGAGGATATGATCATGATTAATAGACTGTCACACCGATGTCTTTTTGTATTATGACTTCCTTTTTGATATGTACTTGTCTGCTATGATTCACTCTTCGCTTCGGATGTCTGCTGCTCTTCTCCCTTCTCCTGCACCTTTTGCGCCTTGGCCTCTTTCTTCATCTGCCGTCTGCTCTTGGCTGGTGTCTCCTCCGCAGCAGAATTGACCCTGTTCGACGGCCATTTTTGTCTGCATCTCTGTTCATCTTCCTCGGTCCAATCCCGCGGCAAAACAGCAAACACCAGATACGATGTATGGGTCTTGAGATCAGGCTCTGACCGGTGAGTCAAGCGACCCAGGGCATATGAAGGAGTCGTCGACATCTGCGCTGATGAGTCTTTCTTGGATGCGCTTGCGTCGCCACTCTGCAAAAGGCCACTGCGGCCGAGTTTAGCCCGTTCCTCGTCGCTGCGTAGCTTTGCAACTGCCTCCTCGACAGACTTGGGGTGCAGGGTTGCCCCGCGCACACCTTCGGTATCCAGGCCAACGCGCTCCCGCTTCACATCAAGTCGGCGATGACTGACTTCCACCATGGAAATCGACAGCCAAGACAATTGGCGCATGATGCGGATCGTGCGCTCAGCCTGTTCAAGGCATGGAGAAAAGGAGCACAGGTACACGGGGGAGGACGGATCAAGAGGAGATTCAGCACCAGACGGGGGCTTGCGCACGAGGTGTTTCAGGGCGAGCCACGGTGCCGGCAAGTCCAGGAAGATGGCGTTTGCCTTGGGCGACTTCCCAGTTTGGGGGTCACCCAACAGGAAGCCATGCTCGTAGACATCGCGATGTGTCACCTCCACCAGGCCATCGAGGCCATGCTGGTTGATTTCATCTTGGACCTTGCCCACGCGCTGCTCGTGGAACTCGAAGCTGCAAACCTTGCCGAGCCGCCGCCGCTTGGTCGCTGGACCTTCCTCGGGGTATCCGTTGAAGACGGCGCGCACCGCCGCATGTGTAAATGAGCCACTGCCGGCTCCCGCCTCGATCACTGTGTTGCCCGGCCGTGCGCGCAGCCGGTGGAGAATGTAGCTGTAGTCCGGGGTGTAGACAACCTGCGTGCGATGCGGAAGCGACATCGTCCATGATTCGGGCGTCGGGTAGAGAACGTGCAGGAACCCGCTTGCGGCGGCCACTGGGGTCTTCAGCGACGGCATCTCTTCATCTCCGCCGGTTGTGGTGCCCGAGGCGTCGAGCTCCTCGGCTTTGCGCTTCGGCGGAGCGGCTCGGCGGCCGCGCGAGCCCGTGTCGACTTTTGAGGCGGCGATCTGGGAGCCCCATGGATGGTCGATAATGGTGCTGTGAGGGAAAGATCCAAATCGCGTGTTGGTGACTTTGCCTTCGTCGTAGCCTAGGTTTTCATCGTCGTAGGTGCGGAGGATCGTCGGGATGGTTTGATCGCGGCGCAGGTGGAGGAGAGCGAGCTCGTTGGCCTTGGTCGAGGAGCCAGGAGTAAGGAAAGGAGACGGCATGGTGACTGGGTAAAAGTGACCACACAGAAACCACTCAATGCGCGATCGAGTCTCTTCTGTAGATGTCGCGCCGGGGAGGATTCTCTCCGCATGGAAAAAAAGCTCAGACAATGGATTGCCTATTCAGGCAGTTAGGGCTCAGGGCTTCCCCGGGGATGAGTCGCTGTGGTCTGCGTCCCAAGAAGCCCCTCCTCGCCGCGCGTGCCTCGCTTTCTTTATGCCCCGCCCCTCCCTCCTATCCCTCTGGCCGTCCCACCCACGGTTCTTTTCTTTGGTGACTTTCAGGGCTATGTCGACTCGCCAGCAGCCGCCCTGGCGGCAACCTGCCTCGCACGCGGACGCGCAACTCCCGCCCTTGAAGGTGTGGAACTCGTTGACCAAGTCCAAGACGCCTTTTATTCCCATCGACCCTGCCGGCAAGAAGGTGACTTGGTACGCGTGCGGACCGACGGTGTACGATGATGCGCATTTGGGCCATGCCCGAAATTATGTTAGCACCGATATTATTCGGCGCATCATGCGCGACTATTTCAAGTTCGACGTCAACTTTGTGATGAACATTACCGACGTGGACGACAAGGTATGGCGTGCGCGTTATTTCTGACTCTAATTGCTGGCGATGAAAATGCAGCGAGGCTCATTAAGTACCTTAGATTATCCTCCGCGCGAGACAACAGCACGTGTTCAATGAATTTGTCGCCGCCAGTCCTGTCATTACTCTGGAGGTCTTGGATACCGCCAAAAGCGCCTTTGCAGCATACCTCAAGAAGAACCTGCCCTTGCTGGACCCGGAAATACTCCCCTCGAAGTACCAGGATGAGGTGGAGAAGAAATACGCGACTGTGTTGAATGGTGGTACCCTCCCCGGAAATGAAAAAGCGGGCGACGATGAGGCCAAGGTCAAAATGCACATTAAAACCGCTGCTTCGGCTGCGAAGGTCATGGCTGAAGTCGAAACTCGTGCGACCTCGTCCGATCCTACTGTCTTCGCCGAGTCGTTCTACTCGAATGCGCAGGACCTCTTGTTGCCGTATCTGGATAAACTGAAGGGGTCCTCGATCGATGCCGACGATCATGGAATCTTTACCAAGTTGACGAGAAAGTACGAGGAGCGGTTCACCAACGACATGCGGGATCTTAATGTCCTCGACCCGGACGAGTTGACCCGCGTGACCGAATACGGGGATGCCATTGCCGGGTTCGTCGAGCGCATTGTTCAGAATAAGTTTGGATACGTGACAGCAGATGGATCGGTATACTTCGACATTAACGCTTTCGAAGCGGCGGGCCATCCCTATGCACGACTCGAGCCGTGGAGCCGATCTGACAACAAACTTGTTGCCGAGGGAGAGGGCGCTTTGACCAACGAGACGACAGAAAAACGTGGGGCTTCGGATTTTGCGCTGTGGAAGGCATCGAAGCCAGGAGAGCCCAGCTGGGCCAGTTCTTGGGGCAAAGGTCGCCCAGGATGGCATATTGAATGCTCGGCCATGGCCTCAGCCAGGTTGGGTCAGCAGATGGATATTCACTCTGGAGGCATTGACCTTGCTTTCCCTCACCACGACAATGAGCTGGCTCAAAGTGAGGCTTACTGGGATGACAAACACGATCATCAGCACGAGCAGTGGGTCAACTACTTTTTGCACATGGGCCATCTGTCTATCCAAGGATCGAAGATGTCCAAGTCGTTGAAGAATTTTACCACCATCCGTGAATCCCTCGACCGAAAAGACTGGACCCCAAGAAGCTTGCGGATCGTGTTCCTTCTGGGTGGCTGGAAAGACGGCGTGGAAATCACCGATGAGCTTGTGAGTACAGGTAACTCATGGGAAGACAAGGTGAACAACTTCTTCCTGAAGATGAAGGACCCGGCGGCCTTCCAGGGATCTTCGTCTGGTACCGACAGCACTTTTGGCGCTGATGTGGACGCGGCCAAGGCGGCCGTCGATGGCTTCCTTTGCGATTCCTTCAACACTGTCGGCGCAATGCAAGCCATTTCAGAGCTCATCACGAAATACAACAGCGCGGACAAGTCCACTCTCAACCCGAAGGATGTCGAGGCTGCTGCACGATGGATTACTTCTATCGTCAACATCTTCGGCCTCAATGGTGCCGCCGCCGCCGATAGCACCGAGATCGGTTGGTCAGGAATCGACGTTCCTGAGGAGGCCAAGCCTTTTCTTTACCCGCTTTCCGCCATCCGTGACTCGCTCCGGCAAACAGCGCGCGCAAAGACCGGGATTTCACTCAAGGAAGTCGAAGCAGCCCTGAGCCGTGGGGAATCGCCCACGGACGTTCCAGAGTCGGCGAAGCCCTATGCCCATCTCCTCTCGACCTTCCGAGCCAAGGTCATCTCGCTTGAGTCATCTGACTCGATTGAGAAAGAGGTTCTGACACTGTGCGATCGTGTGCGGGATGTCGATCTCTTTGACATGGGTATCTATCTCGAGGACCGGGATAACCTGCCCGCTCTCGTGCGGCCCGTGACCCGGGAGATGATTCAGGCGCGAGAGGAAAAGGCGGCGCGGGCGCACCAAAAGCAGCTGGAAAAGCAAAAGCAAGAGCAGGAGGCATTGAAGCGGCTGGAGAAGGGCAAGCTGAGCCACCTGGAGATGTTCCGCACCAACGAGTACAGCGCCTGGGACGACGAAGGGATTCCCACACGCGATGCTGCAGGCGAGGAGATCACCAAAAGCCGAGTGAAGAAGCTCCGCAAGGACTGGGAGCGCCAGAAAAAGGCGCACGAGGCGTGGCAGGCCAGTCAGTCGGCCAAATAGAAACCGACAAAATGCATTCAGGATGGTGGAAAGGTAACTTCTTTATGATTTACATAGCTGGTCTGGACAGAGATACTCTCGGGGCTTGTATTTTTGCATTGTAAGGCGTTTTAGCACAAAATCACAGATATTTCTTTTTCTTTTTCTTTCCCTTTTATCCGCGTTTATCTGAACAAGTTGAAGGACCAGGTCAACCCAGAGTAAGCTTCCCAATTCCCCAATGGTCTAGGTATATACAGTTGCAATCCATGTCTGACTCTTGAATTCCAAATACATATAGGCTTGTGGACCAACAGAAGCTCGTTTTCCTCTGTGTCGCTATCCAAAAGTACTACAAGTCGGTCAATGCCTCGACACAGGTCCTACCGGCTCGTCTAACCTCCATCGAGGAGATTTTCTCGCTGGCTGGCGTGGATCATCTTACCATCGCCCCACACTTGCTGGTCCAACTAAACCAGCCTGTGTCTGGCGAGCTGGTCTCGCTGTTTGATGTGGCACCTACGGAACCTGTCCCGGAGCCGGGTGTCTCGTACTTGCATGACCGCGGGGCGTATCAGATCATCTTTGCTCGGGATCGGGGCGGAGCTAGTAAAATCAAGCTGACTGAGGTATGTTTTAACAAATCAGATAGTAGTATCACTAGTGATAATTTGGCTAATGGGTGGCTTAGGCGGTCAACATCTTCTGTGATTTCCAGGACAAGCTGGAGCAGATCATGAAGGCTTGATCTTTCGGCCTTTCGGTGGCTATAAGAACCAAGTTATCTCTGTCAGCTAGTACAATTTACGGTGGACTCACAAATTTCGCTTTGAATAATAGCTTTCCAACAGCTTAGTTAGACATAACCAGACACCTTGAACAAAAATAAGTGGACTCGAAAGATATAGATCAGTCGCACGTGACACGACGTCATCAAACGGCGGCAATTCTTCGCTTCTTTTTTTCTTCCAAAGACATTCGACCGTGCGCTGAGGGTACTAAGATCGACATTTCTCCATCCGCTTGGGCATTTCTTGTGACCAGTGTTGCTCATTCCACCTGCGCCATGTTTCCCTCGCAGGCGGCCAATTTCAACATCGAGGCCGTCAGTGGCATCTGTGGGTGAGTCTTTCGTTTACTAGATTGAACTTCATTTTTTATTCCTTCTGCATTTAATCGACCTCTACAAGTGAAGGCGAATATTAAGACATCTTTCGATATTTCTACCATTTTATAGCCCGTGAATTGGCTGGATATATAGATCGTCATCTTCACTTGCATGTTCCTGCATATGGTCTACCAAAAAAAACTCACTAATCGAATTCCAGCTCCATCTCCATCGCCTGCTGGGTTGTGGTCTTCTCACCGCAAATCATTGAGAACTTCCGGCGTGGCTCGGCAGACGGCTTATCGCTCTTGTTTCTGATCGTGTGGCTGGCCGGCGATGTGTTCAACATCCTCGGCGCTGTCCTGCAGGGCGTGCTACCTACGATGATCATTCTAGCGGTGTACTACACCCTGGCGGACATCGTACTACTGGGCCAGTGCTTTTACTACCGCGGCTTCAATATCACCGAGGAACTATCCTCTTCATCACCTGCTCCCGAATCCAGCACGCCCGCCGCGACGGGCGCATTGAATGCCACAGATGGCAGTGGATCAGATGGCGCTGCCACTCCCACAGAGCGATCTGCCCTGCTCCCCAAATCCAATGGCCACGTTGACATAACCGGCCACGGACACGGCGAACACCCTGTACACAATGCGCCCCGGCCCACGTCCGCCGGGTCATCTACGCAGGGCAGACGCCCCTCGGCCACGTCTTTCCGCGACCTCCTCCACCCTTCAGTCGACGGCACGCACTTATCCCCCCGCGACACCCTTCATCGAGCCGACCCAGGACTCGATACGCGGTACACGCTCCCCACAAGCACGCCGCCGCATCTCAACCCTGCAAGCAATCTTCTTCAACATAACCGCCATCGCGCTCGTCTGCACCGCCGGCGTGCTGGGCTGGTACGTCAGCCCAGGCTCGAAAACATCGACAACCCCAGACCCGCTGATCCTGGACCCGCTGGGCCAGGTGTTCGGCTACCTCTGCGCGGTGCTGTACTTAGGATCGCGCGTGCCCCAGCTGCTCCTGAACTTCCGCCGCAAGTCCACCGACGGCGTCTCCCTGCTCTTCTTTCTCTTTGCCTGCATCGGCAACCTGACCTATGTGCTGTCCATCCTGGCGTACGTGCCCGTCTGTCCCAGTGCGGCTGTCCTGAGTGAGCAGTCGCATCGTCTTCATGCGCGCTGTCGACCCGGTGAGGCGGCTGCTTTGTATGGCCGGTATATTCTGGTGAATCTGTCGTGGCTGGTTGGTAGTCTTGGGACGCTGTTGCTGGATATGGCGATTTTCGTGCAGTTCTTTTTGTATCGGGATGGGAAGGGGGATGAGACCGATGAGGAGGATGAAGGTCGTTGAAAGGGTTTCTGGGTAGAATTTGCATATGAATAGTCGATTGAATTACGTGGTTATGTTTATTTCTTGATGATATACTTTTAATATAGCATCAATGAATAGAGCCATTGCCAATACCATGGATGGGATTCAAGCCTACTTCTTAAGTAACCAAGAAAAGTAAGCCATTAAAGCAAATACATTTCCATATTTCCATGATACACGCATAATCTAATCCAAACATGTAAAAAGAACACCTCTCGCTGAATGCGTAGCAACTGAAAAGCATTTGGAACAACAAGTTGCACCTCAATCAGCTTGGCGGGTGCGCCTCCACCTTACCCTTGGCAACCTCAGACCAGTTGGTACTCAGTGAAGTACCCTGGCTTTCGACGTAGCTTTTCATCATAGCCCGGCGCGTATCTGGGTCCGCAGTGGCATACAGCTTCTTGAAGAACCCATCGACAGCATCGCCACCGTAGTCCGAATCCACGGAATCTGCACCATCAGACTCGTTTCCATCTCCCTCGCCAGCCTGCTGGCCCTCCGACTTGTCGGACTTGTTTTTGTCCTTTGGTTTCTTTGCAGTCAGATTCGAGGCGACCTTGTCCCAGTCCTTGGCACCGTGACGCGACGAAGTTGGGTAGGCAGGGCCCGCAGTAGACGACGGTGCGGCGGGCCGGTCGGCGAGTTTAGGGGTCGTCGAGGAGCCTTCGAGTGCGCTCCATTTCTGGCCTGCAGTCCGCTTGTGCAGGACGAGCTCGATCTTCGTGCCCATGACAGAGACTTTGGATGTGGAAGGGTCAATGGGGGCATAGAGCGGGTCGAGAGTGAATGCATAATCAGAGCCCGAGGGGAGCGGGAATTGAAGCGATGCCTTTGTTTATGCTCGTTAGTTGTGCTGGATCTATACTAGAGTGAAACCTGATCCCTACCATCTCGTCTTTCAGGTCCACTTCGACGCTGTCCTTGGGGATTCCCTTGATGTAAAGTGTCACCACCACCGAGTCCTGAGACTGATACCATTCATGTCGGATCTTCTCGGGGGCTGTGGCAGCCGCGCCGGAGCCGCTGCTTGCCGGAGGGAGCGCAGTTACAGGAGGCATTCCATGTGCAGGGATAGTCGGCGCCGCAGATTCATTAGAACCTGCCTGCGGCGACGTCTCGCCCGTCATCTCAGCGGGCTTCCCAGTTTTGATATTCTCCAGCTCAACCTTCAGTTCCTTCTCCGTCGGAATGTGGGTGTTTCCAGGGTGCTCTTCAACAGACACAGAACGTGTCTTATCATCCTCGGGTATTTCAGCCAGCTTGCGACGAAGCTTGGCCATCCAAATGGGCAGTTCAGATTCGTATCCATTCTTCTTAGTCGCCGACCCCGACCCCGCCATGGCAGCCTGCAGTCCCTGGGATTTATCCGACGGGGTCGCGGGGGAAACCTTTTCGTTAATCGCTTTGAAGATAAACTCTGCGTCTCCGTACCGCTCCATCTGGTACAGCGACACGCCGCGGCGCAGCTGCGCGGACAGGATGATCTCGCGCTTCCCGCGCGACTGGGCTAGAGACAGGGCGATTTCCGCATCGCGCAAGGCGGCGACATGATTTGGGCCACCGTCTGCGGGCTTCAGGCGTAAGTACGCTTTCGAGCGTTGGAGATAGTACGCCGGGGCGCGGGGTAGTTCGACCAGGGCCCGGGTGTAGTGTTCGATAGCGAGCGGGGCATTGGATTCAGCGAGGGCCTTGTCGCCCTGGGATGCAGCGTTCATGGTGAATCCAGGGAAAGGTGTGGTGTTTTGAGGAAGTGATTTTGTGGATTAAAATGAAAGAAAGAGGGAGATTCTTCTACTTCTGTGGCTTTCGATGCAGCTTCCCCGTGCTTACATAATGCGGAGACAAAGCTGACCGAAACAGGAAAAATATAAAGTCTTCACAGTTAATGTATTTCGATTATGTGGAAGATTAATTAGATAGCTAGAGAGCTGTGTCCTGTACCTACACAAGCTCCTCGTTGCCGAATCTCCGGCCGTACAGGCCCAGAGCCCGGATGGGCCAGTAGAATTTGTAATTAGGGTAAGAGATCATGCTGCGATGTGGTTAGTCGGATAATCGATTGAGATCCAAAGGGGCAAAGACATACCAGGACTGATTGAAGACACCTTCAATTGACTCCTGCAGCCACTCTCCATTGCGCTGCTGGCGGGTCATCAACAGCTTCATTGCCCTCTGCAGTGGTTCCTTGTGCGGGTAGCGCGCCTCCATCAATGCCAGACAGGCCCAGGCCGTCTGAACCACCTGTGATTTTTCGTGCTGGACATAGACGTGCTTCTCGCTGCTGAGGTACGACTCGCCCCAGCCTCCGTCGGCCTGTTGCTTCGAGATCAAGAAGTCGCATCCCCGGCGAGAATTGTCGCTGGCGCCGTAGGTCTCGCCAATGCTAGCCAAGCTCTCCAGCGCGAACATCGCGGCATATGTGAAGCAGATACCCCACGACCCGTACCAACTGCCATCCGCACGCTGCGCACGCTTGATGTAGGCGACAGCTTTGTTCTTGACGGCACGAATCTCGTCGGCGCGGTAGTCGGGGTAGTATTTGCTAAAAAGTGAAAGTGCAGTTACAGATGCGGTCGTGCACTCCGGATAGTCGTAGCCGATCATAATGCCGCCAAAAACTCCTGCAGGGTTGAGCCACTCGAGCTTGGGCGAGCCACGCGTGGTCTCGTACTCGGTAAACCCACCAGTTGGGTTCTGCATGAGCAGCAAACAGTCCACGCTGTCTTTCAGACGCTGCGCAGAGATGAGTTGCGGGAAGTTGTGCATCTCCTGCAGCTGGATCGTTGATCGGAGGCCCTCAGCCGTGCAGTCGCTGACGGTGTAGCCTTGTGTTTTAGTACTGAAGGGCCAGGCACCTTTGCGGTGCTGTCGGTAGCATTTCTCTTGGTCTGGCACGTTTTCCCGTAGCTGATGGTCCTCGATGAATTCAAGCGCTCGGGTCAACATCGGCCGCCACTTGGGGTCATCAGCGAATCCAGCGACAACAATCGCCTGCGTGACAAATGTTGTATCCCACACCTGCACACCGTTGGTGCCATTTGACAGCATGCCCTCATTCTTCATCCACATGTAGTCATTCAGTCGTTCTCTGTGTCGGCGGACCGAATAGCTGTCTGGACCATCGTGGATATAGCAAGCCACCATATTCATCGGGTTGTTGACGGGACCCAGTCCTGCGTAGTCGGTGTTCTCGTCTTCCATGCGAATCAACTCCCAGGTCCAGTCCTCCGCCCACTTGGCGAGACTGGGAAAGCGGAGGTAGGGGTTCCAGACCCGAACCAAGGCCTCATTCAGGAACGTCAGAAGTAAAGTCTGGGGGTAGTAATTGTCTGCCGGATGTACAGAGCTGCGGTGCTTGGACCAGTCAATCGAATCATACGGCTCCGTGTATAGCTCTTGGCGAAGCTGCACGGTCAAGTCATCTAGAGGTTTGAACCATTTCTTAGACCACAAATAGGACATTGGAAGAAACACCTGGCGAATGTGGATCCACCAGCGCCAGGGAGCAATAGGAACCCAATCGGGAACAAGCCTAGCCACTCGGTGAGTAAAAGGATCAGTTGAACATGGAAGAATAAGGCGACCAACCAGAGTTCAGGAGGAACGGGGTTAACACCCTCCCAAGGCATCACGCCCAGAACGGCGAGCCAGAACTTGGCCCACTGGGGCCCATAGATGGCGCCTCCAAACTTGTGGAGCAAACCCCGGGCTTTGACCATGCGAGGCTCATCCTCGCTGACACCGACCAGGCGTAGGGCCACATAATTCATACAGGTACCGAACACAGAGCTGTGCGCTTCAATGTGCAAGCCCCAGCCACCGTCCTCTGGGTTCTGGCGAGCAAAGAGATAGCGCTTGATCTCGGTGGCATACTCCGGAGGGATAGGGGTGTTGGTCACGTAGTAGGTGACCAAGATTCCCGGCAGCAAGAACATGGGTCCACCATACTCACATGCCCAGTTCCCTGGCTCCAGTTGGAGGTGCGAGAAGAAAGACAGTCCATTCTCGGCCGCTGCCAACGGCGTCTTGGCTTCTGGCAGTTCTGGCAGGCCCTACGAAAAACAATGTTAGGATTGAACCCATGAGTCGCCACGGTGCTTCCTTACGGTTGGTAGACCTAAGTGGTACTTGTCCGCTATCGTCTGCGGCCACTCTTTATTCTCCTCATCCGATTCGAGATACCGCCATGTCTGGCGGCCCTCCTCATTGACCAATCGCCAGCGCGAGTAGTCTGTTTTGAGATCCCCATTGGCATCCGGGGTGAGATGGCCCTCGGCAGGTGTTCGCCACGGGCCAACATGAGGAAAGAAAGACATGGTTTGGGATTCTGTGGTTTTTTTCCCAGGGCAATTGCAAAAGCAAAAGTAAAGCAAGCGGACAGACAGCTCCGGCTTGAGTCCGGGGTAGCTGAGTCAGCAGTATCAATGCTGCACCGTACAAGCAAGAACGAGCATGTGAGAGCTGAAAATAAAAGAAAGATAAAAAGATGAACAGAATGAAGTCGTGCGGGATGGGAAGAAAATGAAGGTAATGGGTGTTGGTAGTGAAGGGGGAAGAGGAGGGAGAGAAAGAGAAGGGAGAGAAAGAGAAGGGAGAGAAAGAGGAGAGAAAGAGCGGCACTCGATACCGGGGAGAACCAGTCGAAGTATGCAATCAGAGGAATAAAATTAAGAAAAAAAAAAATCTTGTCTATTCTCGAAATCTTTGATATACTTGACTCACGAGAAAAAAAAGGTCATTGTTCTTGAACTATTTGAATGTACACTTTCCCTCCCTCAAGGCAATCGGCTCATCTCTTCTTCCAACCATCTCCATTGCAGTAGATGGCTTTCCCATCCAACCCAGACGACCGAGAGTCCTCAGTGCGAGCATACATTGATCACACACTCGCATCTCTCCTCCACGAGCTCTCGCAGCCCCCTTCCGAAGCACGACCAGCCATCACCCTCCGGCGTCGAGCCAACCGAACAACCTGCATCATCAACCCCAACACCAAAGCTCTCGAGGCCCAACAGCCGGCCGAAACGTACAGAACGTATTTATGGCCGGGAAAGACGGCATACGAGTCTTGGAAATTCAGTAGGGAGCTTTCACTCCCCAGCGCAGCATGAAGCATGCTTCATTGTAATGATGACAAGCGAAGACTGATGAGTCCATTTGGCATGCAGCGGTCGTCGTGCGGATCTTATCCATTGTTGACCAGGCGATTCGAAGTCACCAGCGAATATCCAAACGGTAGGCCAAATCCCGGAGTATCTCTTTGGAAACACCCACCGATAGGAATGTTTCTAGGGACATATATTATATTGACCCAGAATATTTTCGCTGCCAGAGCATCGTGAACGGAGTGATTGACGAGCTTGCCTACACTATTGGTGTCGAGCGGGCGGCATTGAATGTGGTTCGTTCGGACCTGTCCCTCTCATCAATTAGTGACGCTGAGACCACCCTGGTAGGAAGCAGCTGGCAAGGGACTGGTAGCAGGGTGTTTTTGCCTGAAGCACGAATCACAAATCATAATGGATGCTCGATCCGCTACCAAGGTTGGTCTGATATTCCTTGGGTTTGTGTTAGGTGACGATTGGAAGGCCAACCGTCGCGGGCCAGGATACTCTGATTCCTCGCGTAGAGGATGACGACGAGATCGACATGGAGGGTGTGCGATGGGTACTGGTCATTGAGAAGGAGGTATGTTGTGCAGAACCGTCATGCTTGTGTTGGGAAGAGCCCATCAGAACGACTTTGACCAGTGAAAACTGATTCCACCATTCACAGGCAGTCTTCCACAGACTCGCGCGAAACAGCTACTATATGAAGGCCATTGCTGGTGATGGGATTCTGGTTACTGTAAGCTCGAGCATTGTGTCTGCGAAATCTGCGTCTGTTATAAAAGAATGAAGAGTGACCGGCAATACCAGGGAAAAGGATATCCGGACCTCTGCACCCGAAGCTTCGTGCGTCGGCTCTTCGACACTGCATCTAACAGCAACAGACGCCCGCCTCAGTTTTATGCTCTCACAGATGGTGATCCCCATGGCATGGGGATTATGTCGACATATAAGTACGGCTCTGCAGCACATTTGCATGACAACGCGAGACTCAGCGTTCCGGGCTTGCAGTGGCTAGGTCTTCGAGTGTCTGATGCAATAGCTAGTTCGGACTCGCCAGAAAACAGCCCCATCATGTCGCTAACAGCGCGAGACCGCAAGAAAATCACCGCCATGTTCCAAAACAGCCCCGTGTGGGCGAGCGATGGGCCAGAGCCGGAATGGCGCACGGAATTGCAGCGGATGCTCATGCTAAGCATTAAGGCAGAGATTGAAATCCTGTATGAGCAGGAAGGGGGTCTGGAGGGGTGGATTGACCGGAAGATGTTTCGGCAGGGGTGATGCGCCGTAGCAGTGCCAGAGATGCCGACATTGTAATGGAGATAGCGATAGAGCGATGGGAGCTGGTGGTGCGAGAAAAGAGCAAATATAGCCATATGGAACTGCATATTATATCCCCCAGAGCCGGAAATCCTTGAGAATCTATCAATTGATATTGCACTATAAGAATGCCACGGTATAAGCTGTACAACAAGAAGCCATCGTCATCAGAGCCATGCAAGAAAATCGAGAACCCAATCCTTGACGCCAGCAGTCAAAAATTTGAATGACATTCCACATCAGCATATGGCGAGTGCTGTCGACCCCCAAACCAGCGGCGCAATGGAATCCCATTACAATCCGAGGCCCTTTCGCACCTCATCCCGGACCTTCTTCTCATACTCGGGTCTCCGCTCGCGCCACATCTTGGCAGCCTCGACATTGGCGGGACTCTCATCGTTCGGCTCGGCCAGCATACTCATGACCGAGATCAGGATCTTCTCCACGCTCTGGATGGGCGACCAGCGCTCTGAGGCGTGTTCGTAGTGGTTCGGGTCGTCGCCGGGAGGGTGGAGAATGGATATGCAAACCGTTCCGTTAGGGTATACTATATCAAAGCAAGGAAACCAATATTAGTACAGAGGTCATTTGAGGAAGTTTGTAGAGAGATAGCCTGGGCCACGTACCATTCGGATGCCATACCCCGCCGCCGACGAATTTCATAGTGGGCGGACTCAGTGGGTAGTCCTTTGGGAACTTAAGCTCGGCGGCGAACACCCCACCTTCAAAGGGCGTGCCCTCGGGGCCCTGAATCAGGGCTTCCCAGTAGAACATGTCATCTTCTGTTACGGGGCCTGCGGTGATGCCCTCTGGCGGGTTGGTGGATAGGTTCTTGTATTCGTGGAAGAGACGTTTTTGAGCGACAGAGGTAGCCATTTTTAGTTATAAAAGAGACAGACGGGTGAGTCCTCAGAGCGCGTGGAGATGAGTGGTTTGGTGCAGGTAGAGTTGGTGGATTCTTTGAAGGTGGCGACGGAACAATTCCGTGGTTCCCGTGATAAGGACAAAAGTCGAGTGGACGATTGTCGTGGAATTGCGAGAAGTGTTAGTATGAGAATAGGGCGTGCGAATGCGAAAGAGGGTCGAGTGAAAGAGGGTCGAGTAAAAGAGGCGAATTGAAGAAAGAAAGTTGGGGAGGCCGCGGGGTTTACCTGGATCGACGCCTGGGGCCAGTCGATTCCGACTGAGTTTCTCCCAACTGCCTCTTTCTTCTATACCACCTTTACACCTTTTCTTATACCTCGCTTTTATAACTAGCTCTAGTATTTGATTTCAGTTATCGCTGTCGGTGACAGTCCGGTAGGTATATCTAATATATGGTACATGCTGGCCATCAAAACCAGTCAAAATCGTCGCCTCCTTCGTCCCCGGATTCTTCAGCACCCCAGGGATCTTGCGGCGGCTCCTGCGACCAGAAATCGTCATAGGGACCCTGATCTGCAGGTTGTTGCAGGTCTTCTGGTGGCGCACCGTGCTGATCGGGCGTGGATTGGGCATTGGGATCACCCGACACACCCCTTTGCATTGCCTCATATCCAGCCATGGTCCCAGCACCAGCGGCACCTGCAGCAATACCCTCTGTCATCCCACCGGCGGCACTGGCCCGGCCAAGAGCCCCGGTAGCAGCTTCACCAACTGTTCCAGCTTCCCCGGCAGCAGCACCACCGGCGGCGCCCCCTGCCGCTGCTTCGCCGGCCGCAGCCTCACCACCGATCCCCGGGAACCAGAGCGGCATGAAGCCCATGCCCCCAGCCCCACTATGCCGACTGAAGTAATCAAAGTCGATGCTCACCGCCGTAGCCAACATCACGGCGCGTTGGTCCAGCGTCATTCCGGGGGTCTTCCTGTCATGGTTGGGTGATGGTTCATGACCAAGTCCCGCGGAGTCCATGCGCAATGCATAAACACCAGTATCTGTAAAGAACTCACGGGCAAACCCCGCAAAGTCGCGATTGACGGATCCGATTAGGCGACTGTCTGCGGACCGCAGAGAGAAGTCCCAGGAAAGGAACGGCTCATCAACGTAAGCAAACTGGTTGAACTCGCCCTGGTCACGTTGAGATAGTTGCGCGAGTTGCATCTGTTGCGGCTTCGACAGATCAGATCCCTCGAGGGGGAATTTCTGGGTGCCCATATTTGTTGCTTGGTTGGGTGGCTGGTGGTAGGTGAACATATTATATTTTCGCCGTAATGGAGCCCACTGTTGTTGAGCTTCCCCAATGACTCGCATCTCATCAAACCCGAGGGGCGAGACTCGAGCATTTGATGTCACGCCGGCTTGAACCAGAGACCTGGGGGTCTCGCCTTGCAAGGCAGTAGAGGGCGAGTAGGCGTTAGCCGTGATGTCGAGGGGATCGTAGACTTGAATGCGGGAGTTGATCCAGGAAAAAGGGCGATGGAACTATAGAGGTTAGAGACAATGTTGATCTAGCCGCAGGCCATAAAGCAGCGTTGCGATAGCTCACCCGAAGAACCTCATTTTCTTGCCGATCAAACACATGCGTCACGAAGCCCCGGTGAGTGCGAAACCACTGGCGCGCCATCGCGTTGGCGATTCCTTTCTCCTGCTCCGCCATATATCCAATGTGATTCCCTTGAGCATCCATAATGACGTATTTGTTGGCTTGCTCGAACCCTCTGTCGGAAATTGCGCGTTAGTTGAGCTGTACCACTGGGTCGAAGTGCGACTCGACTCACATCATTACATTCATCATCTCCAGTTGTCGTTGAACTACCACCCCGGAATTAGCCAGGATCGCCGTTGCCGGATGGTTCCCTTTAAGCACGGCTTTCGGGTCTTCCGGGATATGCACGGGAGAAAGGAGGGTGTTTTGCGAAGGGTCGTAGTTGGAGTTTGCAGCATCTTGGGATTGAGACGTGACGTTCTCTGGCTGCTGTGGTGCTTCATTTTCTCTCTTTCTAGGCTGAATGGGCTCGGGTCTGTAAACGCTATTCCGAGGACCGCGGCGAGTACCTGCGCCTCGCAAACTTGAAAGAGCTCGACTGCGAACTGGAATCCACCGTAGAGGCAGTGGTCGGAGTCTTGCACCCCACATGGTTGAATATAAAGCAGCTCTCATTCAGAACCGAAAAAGCTGTGTTGATTGAAAGGTTGGGAGGAGAGCGGATTGGAGACGGCGAAGTTGGAAGGCGGACGATTCTGGTGACGGAAGGCGGGGATAAACGGAGATAACCGCGATAGCGGGCAGATCACCTTAGCTGTTTCTAGTTTGTTATAATATGGTAGATACAAGCTATTCGTTTGGCCTGGGATAAGTACATGCTTTCTTCAGTTTATACTCCTCGCGTGGTGGTTTCAGCCCATCTAAGGTCACGTCATAGAGACGCCAGAGGCAGTATAATCTAAAAATACCACGAGTATTGAGACAAGACGATAGTCCAGCTTCAAGGACATGGAAAGTGTTTGTGCATCTATTTTATACCTGGGGATTCAATAGGTATCCACAGGCCTTCGAGTAGCAGTGTGAGTAGGATCGTAACCACCTATAGTAGTAATAGAAACTCCAAGGCCCGGCTCCATCTAGCAGAAATACAAGCAGGATATGTACGCTGAAAACACGCTTGAATGAACTAGCCCTCACAGGAGACCCTTGCGAGCCAATTCAATCTTGCGCGCTGCCTCGCCGGCCTTGTATCCACCTTTCGACACACACACGGCGCTCCCTTCTCCCAGCTCGATCTTTTCTTCAACATCCGGGTGTGGGCACGGGCAGTGATGCGGGAAATGGACACATGCCAAAGTTCCCGGGCAGGTGTATTTACTGCATGAAACTGAAGGGAGAAATCTCAGTGGTTAGCGACACGGATGGAGAATTATGGGGGACAACAGGCGACGGGATTGCACCAAGACACAAACCACCTGGGATGGCTGTCGCTCACCTCCGTTCCAATTCTTTTGGTATCGGCTGCTATCACTGGCGGCATCTTGCGGGCCCGAGGCCTGTTCTTGCTGTTGGTCGCCCCGGAACATGTGCTCGAAGAAGTTGAATTGCGCCTGGGCGACGGAGACGAGCAGAAGAAGGGCCCACAGGGCCTGGCGCCAGCTGTGCATCATAGTGTCAAGAAGACCGAAAACACCAAGAGACGAACTGGATATAATGGACGAGTGATGGGGGGCGAAACTGGGTAGGCGGATTGGACTTGTTGGTACTGTGGTTGAAGCCAGCTTTCCAGCCACGTGACGCCAAGCAAAAAAGTTCCCTTTGGGCAAGCTCGACTTTCTTCTATCTTTTGATCACGGCCAAATCCCACTCTTCACCACAATGCTGCAGCCCAGGTTGCTGACGCCCCTACGGGCACTGGAAAGGGTCATTGGTCCCTCCGTCCGGTCAACGACGCAACACCTCTACCAGCCACAACAATCACTCCTGCAGCGGACGCTCTCGGCGCCATCGGCGCTCACGAAAACCACACCCTCCTTCTCCCGCCCGCTCTTCCCCTTCTCCCAAGTGCGACACGCCTCACACGCCGCCCAAGGAACAGCCAATAAGCACTCGCGCGACCCGGCCGGCAAGCGTCTCGGCGCGAAACGCACAGGCGGCGAGTACGTCGTTCCGGGATGCATCATCTTCCGGCAGCGCGGGTCGAAGTGGTTCCCGGGAGAAAACTGCGCCATGGGCCGCGACCACACGATCTACGCGACCCAGCCCGGCTATGTGCGATATTACCTCGATCCCCTGCAGCACCCGGACCGGCGATATATTGGGATTGTCTTTGAGAAGGACGGCAAGCTGCCGCATCCGCGCAATGCGCCCACCCGCCGCAAGTTGAACATGGTCGCTGTGCCGCGTGCCGAACGTGCTGCGGCTCAGTCTGACCTGGTTGCCTCTGTCGATGAGAATGGTGTCCAAGTTGCGGACGTCGATGCTGCCCATGCCGAGCAGGGGCCGCAGCTGCGGCCTGGGTATATGTACCGTGAGGCCAATTGGCAGATCGGTCGTGTGGCCGAGAAGGCTGGTGTCAAGCCCAAGGTGTATAAGGTCCGAAACCGATGGCTCGCGTGGAGGATGCGTGTGGCTCGCACTCAGCGGGTTGCCCAGATGAAGAGTTTGAAGAGCAAAAAGGCGGGCAAGAAGAACAAATAAGGGTCGTGCATGATGTCTTTCTCCCATGGATATCGGGTTTCTGTAGCGATATGATTTTTTAGTGTCTGATGTTCTCCTGTATTATAGAAAGAATCATTTATCCTCCAATCCTCCAATCCTTGTAAATCCTGCATTGTAAGCATCATGACATGGCCTGTATCGTTGTAGATGACTACTTTACTATGACTCTCTGTCCTGGAGAACACTCGTAATCTACGAGCCAAGTTGGGCAGTGCATACTTTTGCCTCCACAAGAAGCCAGGATAGAAAATGACAGGCAATGACATTGGTATCTTCGCTAAATGTCCTACTAAACAACACACATCACTCTTCAAATAAACGGCCCAAGATCAAACTCTGACAGACAAACTCATTACCAACAATCCTCGCGCCGCAGGATGAGTCGCCGCTCGGCGTAGACAGAGTCAGTACATCCGACTTCTTACGTTTCCTGCCTCCATGCACCAAGCGAATACGTTGTGTCTTCGACTTCGGCGTCAGAATTGACTTCGCCGCTGCTTGATCGGCATCGTCAACATAAACCCAGTCCCATGTGGCCGGAAGATCGGCCTCAGACTGGGATTCTAGCAGGGCCTTGGCTGTCCCCAGATCGGGAACGCGCTCGACACGGGATGCGCCTAGGGCGTAGGTCAGGAAGATGTAGGCTTTTTGCTTTTCGACTTTGCCGCGGCCCATCACCAGAAGCACTGACTGGCCATTGAGTAGTTTTGGGCGCGCGGCGACAGTGTCCGGTAAGCGGGCAGTGGAGGGCGGAATTGGAGTCAAGATCCTTGACTTGGTCGCTCCGTTGAGGTACATCGAGTCTCCGGCCGGGAGGAGGTAGAGATCCCAGTCGAGAACCCGTCTTTGGGCCACGCAGTCTTCCACCCAGCGGCCCGACAGACATGGGAGATTCAGTGCCAGCGCTTGCATGTACTTCTCGCGCCGGGAGTGCGTGTCCGCAAGAAGACAGGCAAACCCAACGTCCTCAGCAAGAGCCGTAAGACGCAGACATCCACTGGCATCCGCCTTATTTGCTGAGCCCTTGGTTGGGGTGTCGATGGGAACAATTGACGAAGCCTCGAACAATTCCGTGAAGCCTTCATGTAGGACAATGCCGCCGTTCTCCATGATCAGCTTGGTGACACGGTTCTTGGATTCTTCGTTTTCCTTGTAAGATACCGCGAAAGCCATTCCAGCGAAGATGCCACTGGCATGCTGAAGGCTGCGGGAGAGTCGCGCACTAGGGGAGGCCGGTGCGGATGACTTTTCTGACGGAGAGTGGACGGTGGTCTCTTGCTGAACAGGTGGTCGATATGTGAATGACCGGTCCTTAAGCTGATTCCACAGAACAGAATCCAAGTAGATCCGGGAAATAGGAATTTTGATCACATTTTCGGGGTTATTTAAGCCGCCATTCGGAAGGCTTTTCCGTTGTTTGGGCCCGAGTATGACCGTTGTGTGTCCGTGAATGTCGGTTTGAGGATAATAGCCTTCATCCGCGGCTTTGGCCAGGTCTTCCCTGGTGAGCTTGTTTTCAAATCCACGAACGATGCGGGTGACTTTTGGAACGCCGCGCATGTCAACTTTGACGGCGTCTCCGACCCGAAGTTCAAGCCTTTTCACTGCACCCTTGGGCACCTCGACTGGATTACTGTCCTCGAATTTAACACTGTATTTGCTCTGTGAAACTCCAAGTGGTGTTCCAAAACAAGTTGCAGGGTAGTATGCTCGTGTTTGGCCCATCCATATAGCGAGGACCTGACTGGGAGCCACTTGGGAATTGCCAGAGGAAGCTCGTGGTGTCTCAGGTGTGCTAGGAGGGTTCTCGACAACGCTTTTCTCTGACACAGTAATGTTCTCCGAATCCATGGATACTTCCGTGAGCTCGGACGATGAAGCAGGTTGAGGGTTATGAAAAACAGCAGCTGGCCGTGGGAGAGCCTGTTTTTCGGGAGTCTGAGCTGCGGCACGCCGCTCTTCGACATAGCGGGAGGAAGATAATCTCCCGCGTCTTGACTTTGGCCGAATAACCTGCTGAGGTGACGCCCCGATCTCCCAAACATCATCAGTTTGTCGAGGAGGCTTTGGTTGTCTGCGAACATTTGTTTCGGGGACATGCTCCGGCTCTAAATCCTGGCGCTCTTCTGCAATAGGCTCTGGGCGGGTAGGGGCCACAGATTTGGGGGGTTGAAGGCGAGGGGTTATGGGCAGAATAGGGTCAGAGGCACGGTAGCTTTGGCCATCATTGCCGCGGCGTTTCTTCTTTGGGCGAGTCGGCGAATTATCAATCAATGATCTGAACTCTTGGTCGTCGGCCGTGAAGATTCCAATCCCCATGTCAAAAAAGCCCGTTCCGACTTGTGGTGACAGGTCCGCCGCAATCTCAGTCAATGCTCGACGCTGCCTCCCGCTTGGGCTAGAGAGAATTTGCGAATGTAGGTTCTTCACAGGCGAAGAAAGCGCTCGTGAACCAGATGGCCGAAGCTGGCTACTCCGAGCATTTTTGGCGACAGGGTACATGGGAGGAAGATCGTCGTCTTCGTTATTCACTGCATCTCCGTTGTATTCGGCCTCCCATTCATGATTGGGGCTTGTTTCGGGGATGCTCGTCAGTCGAGCCATGTCACCAAGCGGCTTTCGGTGCTGATGGACGGGTGTTTCAGTTATACGGGATGGCATCGATGATGATTTACCTCCAAATCCCGTTCGGATGTCATTGCGAGAGGATCCCACGCTAGGTTGAGTTGAAGGGTTGCTAGAATTCGCTTGGTGGCCCTCATAGGATGAGTTGTGTGGACGGGGCACCAAGATAGAACGATTTGAGACAACAGGTGACTGTCCCTGAAAATTGACGCGTGGTCGCGATAATCCTCCATCTTCGTGCCGTGAACAAGGTGGGGATGACTGAAGACGTTGCCTGACAGGCGATACTTTATCAACGTCAGAAGCTGGATCAATTTGCATATGGCCGACAGGCTGCGAATCTTTCCTAGCAATATCGGAATTTTGGTGGCTTTCCCGTTCCGGAGGTTGTTGCGGCGACTGCTGTGGTGATTGTTGGGAGTCCTTGACCATCACCTGTGAAGACCGGCTGACATCGACGGCTGGATCATTCTCGGGAGATCCAAATGAGCGCCGACGAACGCTTCCTACTGCAGTTGGCGTCAAAGCCTCTGCACGGGGCGGCGATGGAGTGGCTCCAAATCTAAGAGCCTGGGAAAGACGGTCATGTGAACTAGCGGCGGCGATTGCTAGAGCGGGCGGGCCATTGAAATTTTCCTTGTCTTCTTCTGTTGAAGAATGGGGAGGTTCTGGCGAACGAGGAACATGCGGACCGAGTTCTTCTTCTTGCTCGGTTTCTTCCTCGCTGGCCGCTTGCAACATGACATCGTCTTCGCGTGCATGATCAGCTGGCGCCTCCGGGGAAACAGTTCCTTGTCTTGCGGACAAGTTGGACATAGACCGGGCAGGTGCTGTCAGGCCTGCAAATTGAGCAGTAGCCTCCTCGTCAATTTGTCGCTGGCGGCGTGCACGCTCCACAAAGCTGGATTCTTTGAAGAATTCCCGATCACTCTGGTCCTCCGAGTGCATATTATCGGCTGACCGAGTCAGCCTCTCGCCCCTGTCACGCTTGGTTTGGGATTCTTTCATGGAGATATAATTCAAATTGGGTTCAGATGATTCTCGCATGAAATTCGCCGGCAGGCCAACCAGTGGCGAGGAGATTGCGTTGGCCACACGGGGCTGTTCAATTGGGACATTCGGCGATGGGCGATCGGACATAAGGTCGACCTGTTGACCGTGCACCAGTGGAGAGGACGGGGCCTGGGTCGCCTTGAAAACCTGGCTTAGGCTCATGAGACCGCCGCTGGACGGAAGGTCCCCGGCGAGTGGGATCCGAAAAACGGTTGGGGTTTCTGTCGCCATACCCTTGGTCTGGGCAGATTTGACTGCGGTCGCAGGGGTTGTCGTCAGGAAGCGTTGAGATTCGGGGAACAGGTTGGGCTGGTAGGCCATGGGAGACGACTCGCTCGGATCAAAGTTGCTTTCATCGTCATCGTGATCTTGGGATAAGTTTGCTGGCGGGCGTGCGGTGTCGAATTCTGTCAGGAGATCGATATGGCCGCTGTCACCCTCGTGGAGGGTCCGAAGGGTGGCCCCGTCGGCACCGGTTTGTGAAAAGTCCCGCTGCATTGACTCTCCATTATGTTGGATGATGCTGTCATACACCGACTGCGAGACGACCTGGGTGTCACCAGGCGCCGTTTCTGCGGAGCTCATATTTTCGATTTGTGATCCAGGTACTGTATCCGGTTCGGCGGCGCTGTGGGAAGTCATCGGGTTTGCCTCATGCTGCTGGGGCATGGAGGGGGATTGGCGCTGAGGGTACGAGTTCGTAGGGACCGGTGCGGAGGTCGAGGGTAGCCCGTGGCCAGTCGACGATGCGTCACCATCAGCACGGTGGGAATAAAAACGACGAGGCGTTTGCGGCGAAGCGATGGCACCTCCTGCAGATCCAGTGAGGCACGCCGATGGTTCGTGCTCCTGGGGATGTCGAGGTCAGTCCAATGAGAGCGAACGCTGCAGGGTCATTACATACTAGCCCCAACGCGTCGCGTTGCAATGCGGCGATGTCAAGACTGTCCTGGGTTTCCATCTCGCCCTTGGAGAAATACAACTGCACACGAGCTGGAGCTCATGGCCTGGTAATTCGGGGCTCGATAAATCCCACCAGTTCAAGTCTCCCTGGTCGATGCACCGAGCACATTGAAATTGAGGTTGGAACCGGACGCGAAACGCGTTTGTCACGTGACACTAGTAATATTGCCCGTTGCAGGATAGCGCCGTGTTTCTACACTGTACAGATGGGAACACATCCATGGACTGGACATTGATACGAAAAAGATTACATTGGGGTTCATTGTGTTCATTATTTTCATGATGCAATAATGGTACATATACATATTCTCGTTCGAGAGATGAGATGTGACTTGAAAACGTGATAGGGTATGAGAAGCCCTATACAAAGATCGCCTTGACAATCAACATCACGGCTTCAATCGCGACTTCGGTTGGGCACCCAGCGACGAATGAGAAATTCACGGATACGGTAGCGACCCAGCGCAGCGCCAATGTCATCAGAGAAACCGGCTGGTGGAGGCACTTCGACATAACATAGTACCAGGCTTTTCAGCACTTGGGCCTGTACCCGGTTCACACAATGCAGCCACCACCAACTCCGGGCCTGCTTGCTCGCCGCATATTCCCTGCGCTCTTCTGTATCCTTCCAATATGGGTGCTCGTACGAGGGAATGACGGCGATAGCAAACTCGGCATGCGAAAAGACCGGACCGCGGTTGTACAGCAGGTAGTCGGTTCCAAATTTCACACCAGAGCGAACAACCCACCCCAGCGACCGGAAGTGGTGGTACACGGCATAGGAGATCATGAAGGGGTCGTCGGGCTGTAGTTCGGAGGAAGTGGCGCGAGGAGGATAGAAGGAATGGTGTCGGAGGAGTGGAAATAGAGACGAGGTGGGAATTACGGTGTTCTGCTCAGGGTCGTAGACTCGCAAGACACCCAGCGCATAGACGAGGAAGAAAGCCTCTTCGTTGGAGAGTTGAAGATGCTCTTCATTCTGAAGCGCCGGTTCATCATCTGCATCGTCTCCGGCCACAATGGCTTCGGGCGACTGAAGCGCAACGGTCGAGTCGGAGGGGAACTTGGTCTCCTGCACAACTGGTGAAAAACGGACAGTCTTGCCGTTGGTCGGCTTCAGTGACGAGTCGGCTGGAACGGCGGAATTATCGGTCTGTGCCAGATTCCGTGACTCCTGAAGCCTTGCCTCCTTTGCCTTCTTGAGGGAGAACTTCTCTGTGGTAGTGGCAGCACCGTTAGCCGTACCATTTGCGGGTGTAGTCGGGGCGCTTTGGTCATCGGACACAGCACCAGATTCCCTGGCAGCCGCCTCGGTCTTGAGCCTTTCCTCGATGGCCAATTTCTCCATTCGAGCTCGCTCGAGTTTGAGCTCGCGCCGCTCCGACCTGCGTTTCCTTGTAACCTCCTCGCTTGTGTTTCCACCCAGCAGCCCTCTCCGTTTCTTCTCCCGCTCCAGCCAGCTGGGCTGACTTCGACTCAGACTACCTTTACCAAAGAACCCCCTCTCCCACAGGGCCCGAATTGCCTTCTCATCTGTGACATGGACGGATGAGGTAGCTGAGTCGAAGTAAGCCGAGTAGACTTCTTGACGTGGCGGAGAGACCAGGAAGGTCAGGTACGAAAGGACAACACTAATGATGGAGAGGGGGTTATGAGGGATTACGGGAGGAACTGGATGGACACTAAGCGGGAGCGGGAAGCGATGAATGTGCTTGTAGTTGGGCCTGGGTGGACGAGGAGCCCGAGTTGGGCTCTTCTCTTGTACAGGCCCAGCTTGGGATGAGGGTGTACTGGGCTCTGGGGCCGTCTTAGACATGTTGGTAGCCTGATCCATCATATGGAATGATCATAGAAACAATCCACAGTTCTATCCAGAAGAGCTGATGTTAGCAGCTATTCTGATGCAAAACATGCTTAAGTGGTGGTTCCCTCGGGATATGCATGTGCTTCTCAGATACCGTTGTAGTCAAATAAAACCGCATCATTGACAAGGGCTAGAAATCAAAGTGCCCTTGCCTTAGATTGGATATAGTTTTGATCATCATAGAAGCTTGAAGCATGCAGGAAATAAGAAAAAAAAAAAAAAAAACGCTTGAGTCAACTCACCTGGAGTTATTGTTCAGGCCGTGTCTGGGAGGATATGGTTAGATGAGCCCAATTACTGAGGCAATCATCATGGTAAAGTGAGCAACAGGCCTATAAAGGCTAGAAATCTAAAGCACCCGCCCGATCATTGTTGACAAGGTGAATATGGGATGAGCTGAGCTCGCAAAGTGGAAGAAGCGAAATTTTGCAGTGGAAAGCGGCGGTTAAAAAGGGCCGTGGGTGACTCAGCAGTGGCCCGAGCTCGATTTTCGGCGTCAAAAAAAAAATTCCTCCGTCACCAAGCACAATTACTCCAAGAACCTCAATTTATTACCCACCCTAACCGCCAAGTGAGTTTGCCTTGATTGATTTGTCCGTGAATGTAAACTGATTTTTATCTGCTCCCAGGATGCATCTTATGGTATGTCGAAGACACCGTAATCACCGAATCCACTCTCCGCAATCGCAAGAGTCCCGACGAGAAACCGAAACCCTGTCGCTAACCTGGGGGATCAGTACGTGCTGGACAAGGATGGCAAGCGTGTCTACACGCTCAAGAAGGTCCTGAATGGCGAGGTCACCAAGTCGGCGCACCCTGCCCGCTTCAGCCCTGACGACAAGTACTCGAGGTGCGTGTTGAGAGTCGCGGCGATCTGGAATCTAGCGATTCGCCTTCGATTATTACGGGCGCTGACATCTTCTGTTCTTATTTTATAGGCACCGTGTGACCCTGAAGCGCCGATATGGCCTTCTGCTCACCCAGCAGCCCGGTATGTGCTTCCCCAGCAAAAACTGCGCCGTGCCAGAAACTAATATATCTGTTATTATTCAGAGACCAACGTTGCTGCGCCATAAATTCCTGGGAAGGAACATGTATTAAAGGGTGATTCGGCCCATGCCCCGGCGAATGGTGTTTTATCTTGTGCGGTCTCTTGTCTCGCTGAAATCTGCATGGTTGATTTGCTTGGTTTCATCTTTTTTTTTCTGCTCGGGGTTTGTCTCCCATGAAGCTACTAGAGAATATGATACCTGGGATAGGTGATCAAATACTATCGATCTCGGATCAACATTCATAAGCAGCTCTATATTTGGTGATATCTATGTCCAAATGTTGCATCCCAATAAGACAAGACATGATCATTCCTCATAAACAGGCCAACTGTCGTGGCAGAAAGCATTGACCAAATGACTTTTTGATCCCCCTTCGACAGAGAATCCTCCGAAACTCCGATCCATGAACACTGAAATGCAAAGCGGTCCGCGAGGCACCCTCAACGCTTTCGCGAGTTGACGTTGCGGCCGGCGCCGACCTTGGCCCGGCCTCCTTGCTTGCTGCGCTCTCCGGTCAAGATGCCAGGCAGGTAGTCTTCATCCATGAGGTCCCGCTCCCGGCGCTGTCGGCGTTGCTCTTCAGCCACGGATCGGACATATTCCTTCTGGTCTTCGGCGAGGACCAGCTCCGTGCCCCAGCCACCTTTACCTCCGCCGCCTTTCCACTTGCCGCTAGCATTGCCTGCCACAGGTTTTGGGACGCTGTAACGGTTACCCCGGTTGTTCCACTGCATGTTTTTCTTCAGATGCATGGTGAACTGGCCATTGGCAGTGGTGGTACATGAGACCCGGGTGAGGGTGTCATTGCCACAGCGCGGACAGAAATCTTTGCTCATTTCTTTCGTGGTGAAGAAACAGGCATGGCACCGCTTGATGAAGGATTTGAGGTGCTGAATTCGCTGGAGAGTGGTAGTTGACAGAAGGTTGAGGTTCATCTGGAGCAGCACGTTTTGACACTGGGCAATACCATTAGCATGTGCTGAAATTATGAATTTCATGAACGCTCGTTGCTTACCGCAAAATCAGTGGTCATCGTCGCGACCTGCATGGTCTTCGGCTCGGACGTAACACCTGTTGCACCGCCAGCTTCGTCGCGGGCCAGCCGCTTCTTGTAGTTGGTGGGCGTGATCCATTCTCCGCCGTCCGAGTCGGCACCACCATCCTCGTCCTCGTTGCCGTTGTCTTCGGGGACATCTTGTTCTGCCGTCGGGGCCTCGGTGGAGTCGTTCTCAGCAGTGGTCTCCTTCTCTGCGGTATCTGTAGAGGGGGCAGGCTGCTCCGCAATAGAATTTTCTGAAGTCTCCTTAATGCTCGCATCTTTCACGCCATCCGTGATGACTTCCACATCCGTTGACTCGGTTTTCTTTTCCGTCTGGTCCTCCTCCTTGACAGGCGGCTTGCCATTGACTCGCTTCTGGCCAGGAACACTCCTCAGCCGCCAATCGCCACCATTGCGTTCACATTCCACCTCATAGGCCAGCGCCAGCACCTCGATATCGGTTTTACTCAGCACCGACCGATCACCGGTCTTGCGGGCGAATTCGCTGATCACATTGAAACTGTTCGGCGTGGGCGACCGTTGCTTCAGGAATGGCAGGTAGAGAGTCTCGACTCGGGCGCGGGCATCGGGATCGCGGATCTCGTTGACCACGGATGGCGGGGTGAAGATTTCCTCGCACTGGGCAAGTAGAGTCGAAAGCGGCGGGGTATTCTTGAGGATCGGACCGGCGTCCAACACGATTGTGTGGACAGATTTAGGGGGTGTGGTAGCAGACTCGGCCATGGTCTGCGCAGTCTAACTGACTCTCAAACACAAGGAAAGAATTAAGAAGAAAGACAAGACGAGCAGCGCACAGCACCTTGTGAGCACGCGGAAATTTCTCAGGTGGTCTGTGCGTTATCGCCTTATCGCCTTATCGATGAACTATGTAGGGCTCGACGGTGAGCCGAATGGTCTTGCCTTACAATTGGCTATGATTTTCTATGTCTGTTTGAGAAAGAATAGGGCTGTAATATGAAATGTAGCTGAGAAATATTGAAATCCCAATCGTTTGATATCTCACACATCAAACGGACTATATGAGCGATTTAAGTCGGCTCTGTAGATATACTTCCCATTCAACGAACGCCGACGATCCTCTTTACCAACTCATTAATCCTCAAGATCCTCATGCAGTGAACAGTAAATGACACACAAATGACATAGAGTTGGGTGTTGGATGTTGAATGGTTGGTAGAGCTGGTCAATCAATGTTAGTACTAGTTGGAAATCGGCCCAGCCAGTTCCTGCTGGCTTCCAGAGCTGAGACAGTTTTTCTCAGGGGGCGACTCGAGCAACGAAGCCAATCAAAAATACCCAGAAATGCAATACCAAATATATTCTAGTTGCCACCGAGGAAAACGGCGACCAAACGGGGCCCAGCCAAAGCCATTCATACACTCGGTTCCTGTACCAGGGATAAGATATACTCTCCAACGGTCTTTTTTCGAACACACCTTTTTCAATCTTGGTTACCCACAGCCCCAGTCCCATGTCTCCAAAAGCCAAGCCTGTTTCTGGTCCAGCTAATTACTGACTTGAATTCGGCCTGCGTCTCTTGGCGCCAACCAGCAGAGCTAAGCACTGGTCCGACACCAATGCAACCAGTCAAGGTCGGATTCAAAAGCATGCAAGAGCCCTGCTCAATATCATGCAAAAAGAAAGGAGTTCCTGCAAGATCGAGGGAGCAGTCCTCGAGGCATGCAACAGGCACGAGAAGTAGCGGTCAATCCACGTGGAAGTAGGTATACCATTGCACATTGGATGTTGCACACAGGATATCATATACATCATATACGCAATGTGTGATGTAGCTGTCCCTGATATAGTTTGCAGCCGGGGGGAAAAGGTGTTTGTCTCCCGGTGCATCACTCGGTGGATGTCATCCGGTACCTGTGAGTGCTGTGCGGATCCGGGGATCAAGGAGTGACGGGATGTCGTTTTCTTTCCTTCCAAGTGGACTCGATTGTGCAGGGTGCAGTGGCATCGCAATTCCATCCAGGCATGGAGCCGTCAAAATGTGCCCCTATACACGCGAAAGAGGCAATGGGAAATGAGCAATTCGATGACGGGGTTTGTTGAAGAGTAATGGCAGGAGTAGCAGGGAATCTTTTTGATTTAATTTAATTTAATTTAATTTTTTCCCCGAAGTATGGTCAACCAGACCATGTCAATCTTGCAACTGCCAGTTTAGCTGTCGCTCCAATCGCATTGCTATTTACAACACCTCAACTCAGACCGGATTCATATCATTACTCGAATCTCGAGCGTGCACTTCCCACGCGTCTCGAGCAGATGACAGAACACGCATGAAAGTCGCGAGGTGTACTGCATAAATAAAAGAAAGGGCGAGTTATACAACCGAATTTGAGCTCTCGGGCCATGGGAATTTTAAGGTCTATGTACAGCTAGCCAATCGTGGATTTTTGTCTGTGGATGTGATAGATCGAGTTCATTTCGGCGTGGCGTCAGCTCAATCTCAGTCTGAGCGTATGAGATGAGAGAATCCGAGATCTTGTGCTTGTTGCTTGTTTCATATTCTCCGAGTGATGTCGTAGCATTTGACAAGTACATGATCGACTGCGTTGGAGGCTATCTAGCGGAGTTGACAGCAGATCATTTAACTCTCTGGCACTTGAAACACAGATCCTGGAGTCACAGCATAGGACCCTACGATTGCAGAGCGACTCATCGATCTCAAGGAATTGTCATGCTGCTCTGGGGCCCGCTTGTATCCGGGGTAAAATATCCATCACTCTTACCAGGCCCTTGCCGCGATCGAATAGGATTCAATATGGAAGATGTGAGTCCAGGATATTGACTGAGTGACAACAAAGAGCAGACACCCTCGTGCACCGCAAAAGACAATCGGATTCAATCTCCGAGTCCGTTTCAACGAGAATAATTTGAATAAAAGAGATTCGGAGCCACATCCCTTGCACGATAGGGTGATCCGTGCGATGAGCTTAACGAAGCCCCGACGTAGACCAGGCAAGACCCTTTCTTTCTCCACCATCTTGGATTTTTTTTCTCCTGGGTGACTCGTCGAGTCGGTGCTCACCGAGAACACGCGCTCTGCACTCTGAGTTCTATTATTTTCTCCATTCTTTTCAATCTCCGCGGTAGCACCAGGAAAGGAGAAGAGAACGAGGGGGCGTGCACACGAACTGAAAGCCGGGTCGATCGTCCGATGCATAGAAAATCGATCGGCTGCGCCTTCTGCTCGATCTGAAAAGCTCTCCTGTATTCCAGACAACTTGGTTCGTTCGTTGTCTACTGCTTTTTTGCCATTGAATACGCAATTGAGCCTATACCGTGGACGAGAATAAGAGATGCCATCGTGACATACATCAACTAAGCAAGAAATAGGCTCGACTCCGTCCACTTCATACTATTTATGAGGTCTTACAGATCGACGATCCTGCCAGATTTACATAATTTTGTCTGGGCTGGCTATCCTTCATAAACTGTCCGTGCTTCTTTAGTGTCACTTGGAAATATCAAAATACCATGCTCGCTGATGGAGTCCCCCATGGGTCTAAGAGCTCTAAAATTGCAGGATAGCGTCAGGGGTTAAACTAGCCACTTACATTTGCTAATTAGCTTGCTCAGTCTGAAAAGACGTAGTATTAATCATATTAGATGGACTTTTGGCGGAGATTCATGGGTCTCCGTCAGGACAATAGATGGCCTGGAAGTTCCTCTAGATCTGATCGATCGTGGCAACCAAGATTCCAATCCCTGGACAAGGGAGAAAAGGGCTTTAATATTGACTTTTGAAGTGGGATCCGTCAAAGACATTGTAAACTCTCTGTAGTATAGATTCATTCCTATTGTATGAGAGCTTACCCGAGACCAGAACAACAAGCACGAAGCAAACTCAAACGCAAATGGACCCAGGCAACATGGAAAAAGAAAACAAGTATAAAGTCAAGCCCTCTGCGTGTATCGAATTTGGTCGGGGAAGGATGCCTCCCGATTCGTCCCATGCAGCCCCCTGCGCAGCTCTTCTGCACTGTACACTCTCGCAGTTCGGACTTGTCTTGCATTGACGCAAGCAGCCCGCCAATCCGGGGAGGCGAAGAGAGCATAAAATGCAGGGAGAGCGGGTCATAACCTGAGTAATCATGTGGCTCTGGTGTTTTCTTGCTCTCTCGCTCCGGGAGACGAAATTAGTGGATTTTTGGTTCGACCGTTCCTGGTTGCCGGGAGCACTTTGGTTGGATTGTTTATGAGTCCGGAGGGGTGGGTATCCCTGGCCTTGCTCTTGGCTGCACGCTAGTTGGGGGGGGTATATACTGGGAAGAGAAGAGAAAGAGGGTTATGAGAAAAAGACTGGCGAACGTGGGATTATATTAAGGGAAATCCCTCGGTCTTCCCACCCATTAGCGTGTGTGTCGCTCGTTTGTATCCCGATCTACTTCTTATTCTTTTTTTCTTATATACATATTTTTCCTTTCTTATATACCAGATCTGACACTAGCAGTTCGGATCTCGTCCACTGTGGGGATTCCCGACGAAGATCGGCCAACTATATATCTCGTGGGTTGGCTGTCAACGAATTCAAGAAGGTCATAGATCGGAACGACCCTTTTCGGTCGTGGATCCCCACCGCCAGTGCTTCTCGACGTGCTGGTTCCAATCTCGCGGTATCGACCGAAGATGAGTCTGCTCCAGCTTCGCGATGTGCTGCTCGAGCGGGATGATAGCAGCATCTATCTCTCGTCGCGTGGCACCGAGGCTCTGGCCGTGAGCATCGTATTCACGATTTTGGCAACGGCCTTCGTGGGTGCGCGGCTGTATACCCGGGCCAGGTTGATGGGACGCATGGAATCGAACGACTGGATGATTGTCATTGCGCTGGTGAGTTGAGACAAGATGAAAGTCAACTGAGATTGGGTGCTGACAAGAACAAATAGATCAACTCATTTATTTTCATGGGCTTGGATGTCGTAGAAGCCAGCAGCGGAATGGGCATGCACCTCAAAGACCTCCCGCCGTACATCCTTGAGCGCCAGATGAAGGTGGGATTGATCATATATACACACAGAGAACAATTTGAAGCAAATGCCAATCTAACACGCTCTCAACCAGGCCTTCTGGCTCACGATCCCCTTCTACAACGCCGCTGTACTCTGCGCCAAAGCCTCGATCCTGATGCAGTACTTCCGGGTCTTCCCCACGACGCGCATGCGCGTCGTGTGCTGGGTCATGATCGGCATGTTGGGCATCTATGGGACGTGGGCGGTAGTCAGCGCATTCCTCAACTGTATTCCCGTGGCCAAGTTCTGGGACGATGCGATCGAGGGCTACTGTCTGAGCAAGCCCGAGCTGTGGTTCTCCAATGCCAGCATGCATATCGCCACCGATCTCACCATCCTCATTATTCCCATCCCAGCTCTGTTGACAGTCGACTTGCCGAAAAAGCAGAAGTGTGCTCTGATTGTGATGTTTGCGTTGGGTGGTTTGTAAGTTGTGAATCTCGAGCCATCGGGATTAGCCCTAACTTCCAACACTTGAACATGAGAGATGGATACTGACGGGGATTTTTCAGCGTCTGTGTCACCAGTATCGCTCGCTTGGTCAGTCTAAAGAAGATTTCCGATTCCATTGACCCTACCTGTATGTGGCCCCTTGCCCTCTTCCTTTCTCATTCATAATCATGCCGTTCTGGGTCTAATGTCTTTCCCCAGACGACAACGTCGGCGCCGCATCCTGGTCCGCCATCGAATGCAACACTGGCATCATTTGCGCCTGCCTGCCAACCCTCAAACCACTTCTTGCTCACGTCATGCCTGGCATGCTGTCCACCCTCAGCGGCGACCGCTACGGCAGCCGGGGTGTGTCAACGCGGCGCGCTTCAGTCACCTGGAACGGCGACGGGTCGACTCTCGGCGCACCAGGCGAAGACCCCGAATATGGACCCGGGAATCCCGACCGGGCGCTGGCTCTGATACCTAGCAAGAGTTTTAAGAGCAGAGAAAACAGCATTTCCAACGAGAAGAATCGCCTGGCCAAGGTCTCATCAGTCCCCGAGCAGAGGCACCGGGCGTCGGCGTCTTCGTCTCTGCGCAAATGATGGCAGAGCTTGATCTACCCAGATGCTAGTTATTCTCTTGCTAATTATTCGGCTTCGGCGGGATGGCATTATTTGTTCTTTTGGCCAGGACTTCCGCGTTTTTTTTTTTTTGTTTTTTTTTTTTTTTGTTTTTTTTTTTGTTTTTTTTTTTCTCGGTCTGGCGATGGCCATCCCATCAACATAATCACTCCTTGGGATTCTTGTCATATGTTTCAAGGATAGCATTCTCTTTATTTCTCATGTCGTGTACGTTTAACCAAATATTTGGATATATGATCTAGGCACAGCAATAAAAATAGGACAGCAGTGGTCGATGAAGAATCACAGATATCGGCCAAGCAAATGCCAAAGTATAGCAAATGCCAGTGTATAAAAGACAAACACAATCACCCGCCAGAAGGCATAAATCTTGCAAAACAAAAAAAATACAAGAGCAATCAAACAATGATCATAGAACATCAGCTACCAACACGAGGCCTAGAAGTTGGCAAACTCCTTGTCAACCTCCTCGAAGTGGTCAAAGAATCCCTTGAACAGTTTGACACCCAGTCCAGGGTCCAGGCTTCCGGTAGTTGCACGAATGCTATGCATGCTCAGCTGCGGGATACCACAGTCAATTGCGCGCATGCCGATGCGGGAGCTGGTCATGGGCCCGATCGTGCCACCGCTGCGCGAATCATTCCGGATCTGGAAGACCTGCAGCGTCGAGCCGCAACGGGCCGCCACACTTTGCAGGATGGCGTGGCTGACACTGTCTGTTGTCATGTGGCCATTGGAGTCGGTCGAGACCGCCACGCCCACGTTGAGACGAGGCGAGTGGTTCTCCAGGTAGACATTGAGGAAGTTCGGGTTAACGGCATGGATGACATCCGACGATACCAAGAAGCTGTTGGCCACCGTCTGAGACAGGAGGTTGGGGCCGTAGGTGTTCGGGGCAAAGGCCTCGGTGATGCGCTCAATGACACTGCTCATGAAGTTCGACCGGGCACCTTGCCGCAGCAGACTGCCAATCTCCTCGTCGTCGAACATGCCAACCATCTTGACGGTGCCGCTCGATGCGCTGTCAGGGGAAGCGATGAGCGCCTCTTGGGCAGCATAACAGCAAAGCTTGTCGTCGATACGGCCGGCGAAGATCATGTCCTTCTCCAGGCCACCAAGCTGGGCAGCCTGGCTGTCGAACAGCTCCAGCTCCCAGTTGACGATCGTGCTGTAGTCAGTCACGCCAATCTCCTTGGAGATGATCTTGATCAACTTCTCCGGTTGAGTCGAAGCGAAAGTGCCAGGCTTGATGTCCGCGGACTCGCTCTGGGTCTTCTGCTCAAATAGATCCGAGTTGTCAATTCCAACGATAGGTACCATCTGGGTCTCCGGGTTGAAAGGGCCGTTCGCGGGAGCCCCGAAATGAGGCGCAAGGGTGGGGATGCGCGCGATAGGCCAGTCCAGCTTGACCAGCTTGGTCTCGACCTTGCCGGTTTGCGGGTCACGAACCAGCACTCGACCACCAATACCGAGATCGCGATCCCACCAGGTCAGTCCCAGACCCCCAGCATACGGAGCGACCCCGAGCTGCTGGAAACCCGCCTTGTTTGGAACCTTGGACACGGGCTTCAGCTTGGACGTCAGGGCATCGACGTGGCCAGCCACAATGCCTATCCCATTGCCGCTCTTGTAGTCCTTACCGATGTTGAACGCAATCAGCGAGCTGCCATTGCGCAAGCAGTAGAACTTGCCGCCCCGCTTCAGCTCCGAGGTCCACACCGCACGTTCGGAGAGGAACTTATAGCCATGCTGCTCGAGCTGCTGGGAAAACGACTTGACGGCATGAAAAATCGTCGGGTTCGAGGTCATGAAATCGCAGTATGGCTTCGAGTAGTCTTCGGGGTGAATGGGCGCATCGGTTGCGGGTGCTGCCGCTGGGGCTGAAGGTGACGGTACAGCTCGGTTGGAGGAATCTGGCAGCCGGGCAGACCAGTTCGAGATCCAAGGCGTATCGATGCCGTTGAGATCAGCAACTTTCCTAGTCATGATGGAAGAATTCACTGGAGAGAGAGGAAGGGGTGTTGGAGAGTTGGAGAGTTCAAAGCTCGTGAGGGGAAGAGATGACGATCAGGAGGTTGGGCCCCTTGCTTATCACTCCAGCTGATCGGACAACGCCGAACACGGAATTGTAGAGTTGAGCAGAGACTCGAAGCTGGGTGGTTTCTGTTTAAATCAACTAGCTTAGCAATGGATTTCTTGAAGCTGAAATACTAACGTCGTTGCGGGATGTTTAGTGCTTTGCATCTGCAGAGATATATCTATGGATATTGAGGTCTGTCGCAATATCTTACTCGGCATCGTCTGTTTGTCTATATTGTTTTCTTGTCTGGCTCCAATCCATTGCAGATATGGGGCACAAGTGTCATGTAATCTTGCCTTCGCGAGATACAGACTTGGCCTGGTGACTCATTCATGGGTGAGCTATACTTGATAAACTCAACGAAATAGTCAACCCAGATATCTCATCCACAGAGAGTACGTGGCCAGAGAAAACTATTCACCTTCAATATTCTAGTTTATTGTCAGATGTGGTATCCAAGCATTACAGGTATCAGGCCAAGGACAGAGTATATCTGAATCCCAAGTTAGGTTTAGCAGCCTTCATACCTGGACATGGCTATCTACTCTACTCTAAGAACGTCGAAAATCACAAAACGGTCTAGCAAATCCTTGAAAAGTAAGATCCATAGCTTTTAGACCCAATCCCAAGCGACGTATTTCTCGTTTCCAGATTTCCAAAGAACTACCTCATAGTGATGTCAGCGGAGAGAATATTCGACCGTTCACGGCAAAACTGAAGATCGGAATTCTCTTGTATAAATAGCATCTCTTGCCTTCTATCTCTCAAGGACGCGATCCTGTTTAAATTGTCTATTCTCAAACCAAACCCGAGTCTCTTTAGCAATCAATACGGTTGCATTATGGCTGCTTCACAAGCTGCCAACCTTGTCGAAAAGACCGTGGGTCATGGTAACAATGCAACAATCACCACAGACGTGAGCCACTACAATAACGAATATGGCATGGAAACCGGGGACCGGATCCAGGCGACGACCTGGCAGGGGAAAAAGAATGTCAAAGTTGGCACGTCAAAAACTCTATACCTCAATCTGATACCATCACAGTAAAAAGGTCTAACTTGAATGGTTAGTGGAAATGCTCAAGCCGAGAGTAATCGACCCAGACGACGTAATAGTGAAGGTGACGGGCAGCACGATCTGTGGAAGTGATCTTCACCTATATCACGGTATGAATATCCTAGCTTGTTGATATCATGACTGAACTGATGGGATAACCCGGAGCAGGTGTAATCCCCCAGCTCCAGAAAGGCGACGTGCTGGGCCATGAATGCTGCGGTGTGGTTGAGAACGTAGGACCTGGAGCAAAGAAGGTCAAGCGTGGCGAACGGGTGGTGGTTTCTTTTCCCATTGCATGCGGAGACTGCATGAGCTGCCAGCGAGAGTTATACTCACAATGCGAGAAGACCAATGAGAACACCATCACGAATGCCATGTATGGGAACAGAACCGCTGGTACGTTCAACAGAACCAAGATGAAGCAGACCCCCATTCTGACTGCACAGCAAAGGCATATTTGGCTATTCGCATTTCACAGGCGGCTTTGCCGGTGGCCAGGCCGAGTATATCCGAGTCCCTTACGGAGACGTCAATCTGCTTCAGATTCCAGATGACGTACCGGACGAGAAGGCACTCTTTGTATCCGACGTCCTTGGAACGACATGGCATTGTGTGGTCGACACCGGTGTCAAGAAGGGAGATGTCGTTGCCATCTGGGGTGCCGGGCCGATTGGACAGATGTGCGCCGAGTTCAGTTTCTTCCACGGGGCAAGCCGAGTTATTCTCATTGATGGTGGGGATGGCGCGTGGCGGCTGAACTATGTCAAGACCAAAGTCCCGAAACTGGAAACGATCAACTTTACCAAGCTGCCCAAAGGTGAATCCGTGTCGTCTTTGCTAAAGCAAATGGTGCACGGAGGTCCCGATGTCGCCCTGGAATGTGCCGCGGGCGAGTATGCTAAAGGCTGGGCACATTACTTCGAGCAAATGCTTGCCATGGAGACAGACAGCTCGGAGATCCTAAACGAAATGATCACTGCTGTTCGCCCATTTGGCCGAGTGGGGGTGACAGGCATCTATGCTGGATACGTAAGGATAATGGACCGGGTGTTGCAAAGAAAGCGTGAGCTGACTGTCGCAGACGAATCACTTCAATATCGGGGCCGTGATGCAGACCGGGGTTCGACTTATTGGGAATGGCCAGGCCCCCGTGCAGAAGTACTGGAAGCATCTCATGGGCCTGATCCAAACGCAGAAAATCAACCCGCTGGACATGGTAACCCATCGCGTGCGTCTTGAAGAAATGGAAAGAGTATATGCCTTGTTCGACCAGCGAGACCAAGGCATGCAGAAAGTCTTCGTGCAGACTAAATACTCTGCCTCTCCATCGCCTGGGGCACCAGCTTTAACTGAGCTGTAAGTAATATACTCCATGGAGACGAAATGGGTATATCTAATTTGCTGATTGATGTACAGTGGTGGAGTTGGAGTGACTCCATACGCCACAGAAGGCTAAATGCAGGAGCAAAAGGACACTGGGAGCGGGCTACTAAAACATTCTTGTAAATGACACTTAGTCCACGGAAAATGCAAATTGACCATGTTGAATATGTTTCCATTCTGCCACTTCTACTGAGGAATCCAATACTCCAATGGGACCTGCCTCGCTGCGAGACATTTGTGCTTTGACTCTCCAGCAGGCCAATAATCGGCGCAAAACTAACTCCAAAAACAGCTGAACACTCCCCACTTGGATTGCCACCGACACACTTTTTTCCAGAGCCCAGCTTTGAGGACCCGATTGGGGACACCATCCAATAGCGACGAGTGCCCTGCACTAGCTTCCTCCGCAGGGAATGGGCCCAGCACCAGAAACCATTGAATCCTCCAAATCCATGCAGCGAGTGTGTGGCCGTTCTTCGGCTCTCGCTCGGCCTAAGGATCAGTAAGGAGTGGGTGGAAAGCACGCACTGATTGATAAAAGGCTGCCGGGTGTGGAGTGGCCAAGCCCACCCAAGTCCCCCAGGGTCGGCTGGTGATCCGTGTATTCCTTGGGATTTCCTCGTCATCGACCAGCCAAAAACACGGATTGAGCTCGCTTGGAATGCCCGAAGGGGTAGGCCAGCGCATCCGGGTGCCATCTGATAAGATCAGCGAGTGCCGCTCTCGGCCCCTAGGGTTTGGTCGGCACCCACTGCCAGCGTGCCGATCCATGCCCTCACCGCTGGCGTAGGTGGGAAAAGAGATTTCGCGCAAGCTCATTGCCTTGCGATTGGTTGGGACTGTATTCTTGCTAGGTAATCGGCGTGGATCGGAAGTAGGGGGGAGCTTTGCCCACCCATGGTCGAGGGATTGACGAGACGATAGGAATTTTTTTACAGGAATGTGCTCACCGGGCCAGCATGTGCGTAGGGCAGAGAGTGATGAAGAAAAAGGCAATGCATGGAAGTTATCTTGAAGTGAATTTGATTCGATTTTACCACTGTTCTCTGTAGAATGACTTAGGTATAGCAGCTGCATAAAGATGCAGAGATCATAAGCGCTATTGGTGAGTAAAATAATGAAATAATTGCCCTAGGAATCGTCCATCAGCCCACTTGTCGAGTTCATGAGCCGGCATCTCCACTGGGTAGTTCGGATCTGATAAAATTCTACCTTTCTGAGGCCGAGTCCGAAATCGGCTCTCAATCTAATCTGATCCTCTTTTCTCCCCCCCCCTCAGTCCTTTCTCTCCTTCCATCCCCCCTTTCCTTATATTCCCAGGGACTTGCAATTCCCTTGATTTTCTGGACGTATCTGTGCTCGTCATCCATCTCTTCAAGCTTCCCTCGCCCATATTCCCTCGGAAGGTCCATCTCTCGCTTACCCACTCGCATGAGGGCACTTCCGCACATCCGACCGAGACACGGCTCGTGCGTGCGCCCCGAAACCGCCCGACACTGGAGGTCCCCCTACAGCCTTCCAACGTTGCTGACATCAACATAGCTCTTGAAACCAGAGAAAAAAAAATCTGGAAATAAAATAATATTTCTCTGACTCGGTCATGATGGCCTCGACAGGCGTGTCGATGACGCCTGCTCCGGCCATCGCACCGCCTCCGTTGGCGATGGCACCCGCACTGGCTGCCAAGCCTTCCGCCGCACCATCACCAGGACCAGGTACCCCCGGCTCTATCACCTCGAAGGAGTGGGTGATTCCTCCTCGTCCGAAGCCTGGCCGGAAGCCAGCCACCGACACGCCTCCTACCAAGCGTAAGGCGCAGAACCGCGCAGCTCAGCGAGCATTCCGCGAGAGGCGTGCCGCCAGGGTCTGTGAGCTCGAAGACCAGATCAAGGAAATCGAAGATGGCCATGACATGCAGGTGGCAGCTCTCACGGAGCAGATCAACAATCTCTCCCAGGAAGTCGAACAGAGCCGCGAGGAGATGAGCTGGTGGCGTGACCGATGTCACGCCCTGGAGAAGGAGGTGTCGATTGAACGCAGCGCCAAGGAAGCTCTGGTCAAGGAATTCCGATCGTCTCTCTCTGGACCCAGCGGCCGCAAGTCCTCTATTCCGGACTCCGTGCCGTTGCCGCCTCGCAATCGCCCATCGACCCGCAGCTCCCGAATGGAAGATGTGGTGCCGACCAATGCCGACCGCAACAAGGAAGATGGCCAAGAGAACGTCCCTCTGGGGTGCAACAACTGCTCTTCGGTACACTGTCAGTGCATCGAGGATGCATTTGCCATGCCAATTGACACACACGAGTCCTCTCGCTCCAGACATCCGCCCCACGGAGTGGGCAGCCCTGAGCGGGAGAACGTGGAGCCCGACATCAAGCCCGACCCGGAGGAGATGGAGATTGACTTTACCGCTCGGTTTGCCGGCGCCCCGGCGCAGTCAAACTCGAACAACAACAATAACGTCTCGTCGCCGCCCGTGGATCCCTGCGGATTTTGCCAGGATGGCACTCCCTGCATCTGCGCCGAGATGGCCGCCCAAGAGGAGCAGCGCGGACGACGCAATTCGTTTGAGAACAACCGACTCGCACCAATTCAGACCCTCTCTCAATTCACGCCGCCTCCCTCTGACGGTGACGTCCGATCCGAGGTGACACTCCCCTCAATCAGCCAGGCCACCAACCCATGCGCCAACGGACCTGGCACTTGCGCCCAATGCCAGGCTGACCCCCGGAGCACCCTTTTTTGCAAGACGCTGGCAGCCTCCCGGTCAGCGAGCGGGACTCCAACGGGAGGAGGCTGCTGCGGCGGCAAGGGAGCCGACGGCGGATGCTGCATGTCACGAAATGCCCCCACCACCACGCCCAACCCGCGTAACCACGCCGCCCTGCCTCCGCAACTTGCCGCATCCAAGCCCTCTACGCCCTCTGAACTGACCCTGAGTTGCGCCGATGCCTTCACCACCCTCTCCCGCCATCCCAACTTCTCGCGCGCCACTGACGAGATCTCCTCGTGGCTGCCCAAGCTGCACACTCTGCCTAACCCTCGAGACCTCGCGCTCGCAGAGGGTCGTGGTGCTCGAGCCGCCATGGAAGTCGAAGCCGCCAGCGTGATGGGCGTGCTGCGGTACTTCGACCGACGGTTCGCCGAGAAATAACGTTCTTCGTTGTCCTTTTCTCTTCTTCCTTTTCTTTTTCTTGTTCCATGGGAACGATTTTGATACCCACAAACACCCCCGGTCGTTCCATGTATCTCTATGACCTTGTTTCTTGTTGTCTGATCTCTCTTGTCACCATGCTCCATCCCATGTTAAAAATGATATACCGGAGGCTCCTGATACCTCCCATACTCTCCCCCATCTTCACTTCTTGAAAAAGCTTTGCATTTGTTCTGAATTCACTACCCGGTCTTGCCAGACTCTGTTACAGCAGACCAGCGGACTCAGGGACCTCTCTCCTGGCCGATATGAACCTGGTCAGCGAATGGTTCTCCTTGGCTGGTTCTCTGATTTTGTGTCTCATTTTCTCTATTCATTTTCCCTCCTCCATTAGATGGATGGGGGCTATGTGTGGCGTTTCTTTTCTTTTCTTTTCTTTTTTTTTTGTTTTGCGTGAAAGTGATCATGTATTACAACGTGGAACGTGGAATTTTCCGATGCATAGAATGATATACCAGTGCTCATAAATGCTGAAGTAAAGAATCTTAGGTTGAGTAGTAAATGAACATCGGATAATGGTAGATTACTATGTGGTTGGAAAGCGCTTTATACAGGAGTTGCTGCAACGACGTGAAGTGGCCAAGCAAAACAAGACATGACGCCGTTCGCCTTTCCCCCCAGATTCATCCCCTGGGGTATAATCAAAATGTAAACTGGGGCGAGGGAGGGGAGAGTCAAGCATCGAAGAGAAGAGAAGAGAAGAGAACATGAGCGGCGTGAGAAAAACAAGGCTCATCGGCCTTGAAAGTGTTTGTTGAATGACTGAGATGGGTGGAGTATGGTGAATGTAGGGTTGGTGTTTTTGCCAATGCCAGTCTGCTTCTTCCCAACAATTTCGACTGGAAGAGGACAGAATAACCAGAAACAAAGAGGCAAAAGTCAACGGATGGTCGATGGAAGAGCACGAAGAGACACTATCCTGCTCAGCAAAAGCTGGGGTATCTGCGGAGAGGAATACAGGATACTCTGCAGAGTCTGGGAAATAGCTTCAAATTAGAAGCGCCCCCCGCTGGATCGACCATGCCCGCCTCGCATGGTGACCTCTTCCTCGCTGCCGCCGGCGACGCCGCCGAGAAGACTGGCACCCCAGATACCAGCGATACCCCACATACCCATACGCCAGCCGCGGTACAGACCCTGGATTCCTTGGCCCTGCTGGCGTTTCCGCTGAGCCTGGGGCGTGGGCTTGCCGAGGACGTGCTGGGCCTGTTCGGAGTCAGAAAGCGTCGGGCTGACTCCCTCCTCATGGACGATGTGCCACATCGTGCCGACGATGCCGCGGTAGGTGCGCGGGGTAGGCACAATGGTTTCTACGTCAGAGGCATCAACCGACGCGGCACGAATACTGCCGCCAGACGATTTCTGGCGCAGACTCAGGGAAGTGTAGGTGGCGATCTGGGCGCGGCGGAGCACAGTCTCAAGAGGGAAGCGCACGGCCAACTCGAGACCGGAGCTGAGGAAGGTGAAGAGGCTCCATGTGGAAGGGTTGAGGAGGGGATCGATCGACAGATACGATTTGAGGAAGAAGGGGGTGGACGTGACGATAAAGTTGGGCAGACTAGAGTGCAGGACGGTGATCGGGACGAGATGCGGGGGGATCGTGCAGTTGGGAGTGGGGAGTTGGCGGATGGCTCGGATTAGATTGCGCGGGCCGTGGGTGGCAGGTGTGAGCATCAAAAAGGTGCGCGCCGTGTCGATAGGGGACAACAGCATCGCTGACAGAGACGAGGAAACGAACGACAGGACCAGTGTGGCCAGAGGAGAGGCCGACGTCAGAATATCGGCTGTCATCGACGAGGTGATATCTTCCTCTGGCAGACCCACGATCGCGGACAAAAGACTGCGAATAAAGGTGTTCAAAGTCGGCAAAAGCAACGAATAGATGAACGTTGCATTGGAGGCCTTCCACGGAGACGTTGGCCCGCTGGTGCTCCAGAGCTGGGAGAGCACATCGGTCAGGGAGCTTGGGTTCCGGATGGTCAGTGCATGTCTGGACGATGAGGAAGAATCCGAGCGAATGTAGCCACTACGGTCAGTGATGCGGTGTCGTGCCTTGCGAGATCGGGGTGTCGTCGGGGTCGGGGTCGACGGGGTGGCGGATGTGAAATAACTGCTTTCATCGTCTGAGGATTCTGATTCCTGTATAGTAATCCTGTCAGTTTCTCCTCATTGTGGAACCAAAACAGCCGGTGTTTGCAGCTGAATTTTGGACCTCATACCGAATCGTAAGAGCTCGTTCTTGCTCCCGGTGTCGAGTTCCGGTCCCACTGCTCGTCTGCTGCATCGGGCACAACATACACCTGGAGGATGGTTTTGGCCACATCAAACGGCTGCGCGGTCAAGACCTTGCTATAGCGCACAAGCGCACGATTCAGCGCATCGCGAACCCAGTCAGAGACGGATGGCGACGAGTCCAAATAGTCGGCATAGTCCAGGTCCGGGATAAGGTCGCGCGCGGTGCTGCCAAACACTTGGGCTGATGACGGTGATGCCACCTCGGGCGGCGTGTTTGATGTAGGCGATAAGCCAGAATGGGGAATATAATAGGGCCGCAAGGGATTGATCCCTTCACGAGAGGCCATGGTGACGGAGGGGGGAAGGTCGGGGATAAAAAAGAGGGAGAGGGAGGAGGGCGTTGAAATGTCCGCCTTCAAGCTTTGTCAGTCTTTTTTTTGGTCGGCCATTGGACGATCATTGCTCCCTCTCCCCCCAGCGCCCACGTTCTTTTTCTTTCCTGCGGGATTTCCTCCCATTTCAGGTCATTAATAGGATATTCCCTCTTCACGAAATGATCCTCTGGCGAGAGGTTGGCCAGCAATTACGCCATGCTGTGCCCAAGACTGTCGCCGGGGACATGTGCCTGGCTCCGTCACGGAGATACCTGAGTCACTCAACAACATCATGGAAGACCGGAGTCGCCAACTCGAATCAATGGAACTCGAGTACAAGGAGGAGCCTACAGTCACCGTGGCAAGGATGGAAACGGACTCAGCGTTGCTTTTCCGCCACTGCGCAAGCCGCCCACGGTCACATTACGCCGCCAAAGCCCGGTGAAGAGTCAGTCTACTGAATGGCAAATTGTTGTTGCAATACTTTACTAACTCTCTTTTCAGGATCAATGTGACTTTTATCGACAAGGATGAAACCAAGATCAACATTCAGGTCGCGGAGGGCGATAACCTGCTGGACATTGCACAGGCCAACGACCTGGAGATGGAAGGTACGTGGACAGGTGCCAGGATTTCCGTGAAATATCTCAGCGCTAATCTAATGAATTTTACAGGAGCTTGTGGTGGCTCTTGTGCCTGTTCGACGTGCCATGTAATTGTGGAAGACCCCGACATGTTCGACAAGATGGAGGAGCCCTCGGACGACGAGAATGACATGCTGGACCTGGCTTTCGGGCTGACCGAAACATCCCGGTTAGGGTGTCAGGTTTTGATGAACAAGGAACTGGATGGCTTGGTGGTACGATTGCCGTCCATGACACGCAATCTACAGGCGAGCGACTTTGAAGACAAGAAGAAATGAAAATGCCGAGAGTTCGGCAGAGATTGGCCGGCGCGCATACATGACAAAAACCACGTACCTGGTGGCTCGACAGCGGCCGATTGTTTATAGTCCCTCGGGGACTCTTGTACTACTGTATCTGATGCATCTAGCAGACTTGCGCGAAATCGCGGAATGAAAAATCTCCTGTACTATTATAAATGTACAAGACACCTAACACGAACCATCATAGGTGACCAAAATACAGAACACATCTCCTAACGCCAGAAACATGCCATGGGTACTCGTGGGCTCCGGTGTTTAGGCCTCTTCGATATTCAACGGCTTTCCCTTCTTTCCGTTGATCAATTCAAGGAATCCCTGCTTGCTGACTTCATTCGAGGCCTTTTCCCGCTCTCCCATCCCAACTGTCCCCTTCTGCCGTTCGTCCTTGGCCGCCTCCTCACCACGGACTTGCGCCGCGCGCACCGCATTGAAGAGCTTCACCACACCGCGCTGCGCCATCTTGCGCAATCGCTTCTCCTCCTCACCCACGGGGCCAGCGACTCCTCTTTGAATTCCCATTACATCGCGGACACGGCCGCGATCCAGCTCTTCTTTTTTCTCCGCGCGCAATTTGGCCCGCGCTTGCTTGTCGAGCTTCTGGTCGGCAAAATCACTTGAGGTCTGCGCCGCGGTCTTACTGCGCGATAGGACAGGGTCCGCTCGGGCCGACGTAGGCAGTTTGGTCGATAGAATCTTGGAGATAGAAGTTGAGAATGCGGTGGGGTCGTTGCGCTTAGGAACGGATCTGCGACTGGCTTCGGTTGCCGACAGAGATGAGTCGGAAAGACCATCTTCTTCAGAACCTGCAGCCTCGTCACCATCGTTGACTTCTTCGTCTTCATCTTGGTCTTCGACTTCCTCGTCGCTAGCCTCTTCGTCGGAGTCAGATTGTTGGGGTGGTGCTGAGGCTTCATTTGTATTTTTCTTCTTGGGCGCTGGTTTGGATGCTGACAGCTTTGTCACGGCAACTCCTTCATTGTCCTCTTCGTCTGAATCTGCGAGATTGACAGCGTTGAAACCACCTTCGTTGTCGTCGAGGTCGTCTTCGGAGCTGCTGTGGTACTGAATCTGCTTGCGGGGTTTTTTGGAACGAGAGGTCTTCCCCTGGAGACCATCAAGGACCTTGCGCTTTTTCGAATGGGTCGGCGCCATTATCCAAGAAATAAAACACCCCGAATTCTCAAGTAGAAAACACAGGAAGAGAGAGTCCCGAGTCCTAGCGACCCGATCAACTTTTTTTTTTGGGCGGTGAGTCCCGCCGATCGGCCCTCCGCCTCTTGGACTTTGCTCCCCTCCACATTGAACCATCGCCATTGAATATTCTGGTGATCGCTGGCTCTTTGATTTCACACTCTTTTTCTACACAGATATTCACCCACATTCATCATGGTCCTCCAGGATCTAGGGCGGCGTATCAACGCCGCCGTCAATGACCTGACGAGGTCGAATAACCTCGATGAGAAGGTATGCTATATGTGTTCAGTGTGCCATCCGGCCGTCATGCTAAACCAACTCAGGCATTCGACGACATGATCAAAGAGATCTGCGCTGCTCTCCTTTCCGCCGATGTCAACGTTCGCCTCGTGCAGTCGCTGCGCAAATCGATCAAATCCAGCGTCAACTTCGCCTCCCTCCCGACCGCCGTGAACAAGAAGCGCCTTATTCAGAAGACCGTCTTCGACGAGCTGGTGGCGTTGGTCGACCCCCATGCAGAACCGTTTCGACCCAAGAAGGGGCGGTCGAATGTCATCATGTTCGTTGGGTTGCAGGGTGCGGGTAAAACGACGACGTGTACCAAGCTGGCTCGCCACTACCAGATGCGCGGGTTTAAGACGGCCCTGGTTTGCGCGGACACGTTCCGTGCGGGTGCATTCGACCAGCTGAAGCAGAACGCGACTAAGGCCAAAATTCCTTACTATGGTAGTCTCACGCAGACGGACCCAGCTGTGGTGGCGGCCGAGGGTGTAGCCAAGTTTAAGAAGGAGCGGTTTGATGTTATTATCGTGGATACCAGTGGACGGCACCGGCAGGAGGAGGAGCTTTTCACGGAAATGACGCAGATCCAGACGGCCGTGACACCAGACCAGACCATTCTCGTGCTCGACAGCACCATCGGTCAGGCGGCGGAGGCGCAGTCAGCAGCATTCAAGGCGACAGCGGACTTTGGTGCGATCATTATTACCAAGACAGACGGTCATGCTGCGGGTGGTGGTGCCATTTCCGCGGTCGCTGCGACGCACACCCCTATTATCTACTTGGGTACGGGTGAGCACCTGATGGATCTGGAGCGGTTCGAGCCACGTGCGTTCGTACAGAAGCTGCTCGGTATGGGCGATGTGGCTGGTCTTGTCGAACACGTCCAGGCTGTGACCAAGGATTCGGCCGCAGCAAAAGAAACCTACAAGCACATCTCCGAGGGTATCTACACGTTGCGCGATTTCCGGGAGAACATCACCTCGATCATGAAAATGGGACCGCTATCCAAACTGTCGGGTATGATTCCTGGTCTCTCGAACTTGACCCAAGGTCTGGAAGATGAGGACGGCACTATGAAGCTGCGGCGCATGGTCTATATCTTCGACAGCATGACCGCGGTCGAGCTCGATAGCGATGGCAAGACTTTTGTCGAGAAGCCAAGCCGCATGGTCCGGGTTGCCCACGGCAGCGGTACTACCGTCCGCGAGGTTGAGGAGCTCCTCTCCCAACACCGCATGATGTCCGGCATGGCTAAGCGCGTCGGCGGTCAGAAGAAGCAGATGCAGCGCGCCCAGAACATGCTCAAGGGCGGAAACAAGGAGCAGCAGCTCGCGTCCATGCAGAAGCGCATGGCGGCCATGGGCGGTGCCGGTGGCGCCGGTGGAATGCCCGGGATGCCTGGTATGGGCGACATGGCGAAGATGATGCAGATGATGGGTGGTGGACAAGGCGGCGGCGGCGGTGGGATCCCTGGTCTCGGCGGCATGGATCTTCAGAGCATGATGAGCCAGATGGGCGGGTTGATGGGTGGAATGGGTGGTGGTGGTGGTGGACGTGGAAGGGGACGGTAGGCCCAAGCTTGAGGTCTGGATATTCCCCCTTGCTCGTCCTGTTTCATTTCCTGGCGGACCACTCGTCCATCAACTTCGCATCTGGCCTGGTGTTTGGCGTTTACAATTCCCCGTACATTGCGTGCTAGTGGGTGTGCATCTCACCACATGAACAGTTCTCGATTTCGAATGCAGATTGTACAATCACTCATGCCATCTGGGATTATGCTCTGATTCCCTTTTTTTAAACATACACCGAGTCCAAATACACCTGGGCAGTAGTATAAAGTTGGTTACGTGTGTCAAGTACATCGCATCACCTTGTTAAATCAAAGCATTCCCCGGCATCCAACACCCGAGTACTGAAAAGACCTCTAGTCAAGTCTCTCCTCCCTCTGCACTCTATCCAGCACCTGGAAATATAGAGCCGTAGCCTTCTTAGCAACACAATTCCCAATCTCTTCTGCCCTCCCTATCGCAGTTTTGAGCAGGACATCCCATCCCTCGGCGACAAGCTGATCCTCAAGTACACGGCCCGGCGGAAGAAGCGACACCCTCATAGCGGTCGAAGACGCCGCATGACCAGCGGCATCCCGCTCCAAAGGCACACTGAGGCGGTACTTCCAGACGATGGCACCGTCGACATACAGAGAGTAGGTGAGGACCGAGCTGCGGAGGGGAACTGGGGCCGGAGCAGCAGGGTCAAGGTCCTCGACGTCGTCGGCGATATCAATGAGCCCGAACTTGCTATTACCGTCCGGGGCGTACTTGACAGTGACGTCCTCATCGTCGGTCTGGCGGTAGGAGCGGACGGGCAAGTAGAACATGCTCAAGGGACCAACACTGAACTCATGCAGTCCAAACCCAGAGGTATGGGGCTGCAGTTCGTTGGAGGAAAGCTGCAGACTCGGATCAGGGAAGCGGGTGGCGCCGAACTCGTGGCGGTCGCCGCTGAGCAGGATGATGCGGACGCCCAGCTCTCGCTCGGCACGCCACATGGCCTCGAAGACGGTGCGGCGCTCGTTCAGGAACCCGCCCCAGGTGTCGGTTGTACCGAATTGCCAGTTCTTCGTGAAGGGGACGCTGGATGCGATGATCTTCCAGTGCACGCCCGCCGGCTCGGGCCGCGCAACATACGCCAGCAGCGATTGCAGCTGGGCCGAGCCGAGGATCGTAGAGTTATCTTGCGCAGGCTCGGAGCGGTAGGTGCGCGTGTCAAGCATGAAGAACGAGGCTGGGCCGTTGACGAACGAGAAGTATGTCACATCGTCCGGGGGCGCGAACGGCGTTTCGGGGATGGGTGGGTTCGCTCGCACGTGGTAGTGGATGAAGGGATCGGCGGCGGCAGGATACGGTGCGGTTTGGTTGCCCTGTGACCAGTCGTTGGCAATTTCATGGTCGTCCAGGGTGTGGATCCAGGGGAGATCGATGGCCTGGTCATCGGTTGGCCCGGCGGTCCACGAGGGCGACGAGTAGATCCGTCGATATTCACTGCGGTAGTGGGAAAGTGATGAACCAAACCGCAAAGGCACGTCTATATAAACAAAGTCGCCCAGGAAAAGCATGAATGCTGGCCGGAGGAGCGCTGGCAGCTTGCCCAGGGTCGAGGTCATCTGCTCGATGCCCGGAACCCGCAATGGATGCGACAGCAGGTTGTACGGGAAGTTAGGCTTCAAGCAGCTCGAAGTCACAAAGGAAATCCGATTGGCAGCCGGCGATCCGGGGCGAGGTACGGTGACAAAAGTGCCCGTCTTGTTGTTGGACAGCGAGTAGCGGTAGTGAGTGGCCGGCTTGAGGTTTTTCAGAGTCACTACGGCCGTGAAGTCGGTGGTATTGTCCAGCTTATAAATCCTACCTTCTTCGATCCAATTTGCCGGATCCCGAGTCAACTCCTGATAGGAAACGACGACGGGCAGCTGCGCCGAGTCTGGCTCACGGAGCAGCAAGTTGGCTGTGGTTGGCGACACGTACCCAATGCGCGAGAAAGCGACGTCGCTGCTAGGGTAGAATACCAGACCTCTGATCAGAAAATCGAGAGTCAGCAGAGCCACAGCGATGTTGATCAACGCAGTGATCCACGTCCACAGCGACGATCGTGCCGAGGGCAGGCCTGTCAACAAGGTCTTCAGCACGGAATCTCTGGGGTTAGCCGGGCCCGGTTCTTGGGATCGTTCTGTAGAAAATATCTGATCAGAATTGTGTTTACTTCCAAATGCGATTACAGGGAGCCTCACTTGTCGAGCCTTTTGCATCTTTTGCGACGCGTTGCGCACCGAGCTGGCTACCTTTGAGCAAGGAGAACAGCGACGACAGATACACTGCGAGCGAGGTGAAGATGATCGGCACAAAAGCATGGCCCGGGATCTAAATACACATTAGCTTTGGGAATTCACTTGAATGGGTCTTTCAATGATTTCCTACCCATCGTAGAAAAATAAAGGCCATCAACCGAACGGTCGCCGAACTGCTGGCCGCGGCAATGCGCGGCAGGGAGGCCATTGTTCCGTTGCGTTACCAATTGCGAGATAGACGCGATATCAGCATTCAACACATGTCCAATTGCGGATTCTCAGCTCGGGAGATCCTTTGGCGCCAGGGGAGGTCAGCGTGTTTGTGGTGTTGTTGATTGGGGAGTGGATGACGTTACCCGCAGATCCTCGAGAGACCTTCCAGGCCGGAATGTATACCGCACAGATCGTTGTAGCTCTGCTTATGTCGTCCTGGGTTCATCTTGTTTATTGACAAGAGAAATCCTCAAATATCATGAAAATTGAATTGCAAGAATTCTCGAAATAATGGGACAGACAAAATGACAATCCACATACTAAGGAGCGCAGTATAAATTTGCAATCTCGGTACTTTCCAATGGGAAAATCAATTGGCTTGAGTGCCAAATCTACTTGAAATTGTAGTTTATGGACACCATATCCTTCATCGCTGTATATTCAGTGCGCTTTCTGGCCTGTCGAGGGCGTTTTGACCCTTCCAGACAATAGAAATTGATTGGCGACAATATGCCCCTGTACCTCTCTACTGAGGTATTCCATGTACATGCCAGCCCAATTCAAGACCCTCTTCCTTGGTTCATCATATCGCGCAAGAGACTATTGAGACTGTCCACCATTGGCCCCGCCGTCAGCATTTGGCGAGTCGCCGTAACCACCTCCTTCATGCCCATGCTCAGTGACATCTCCGCCGCCCACTGCCACGGGTTCGGCTGTTCTCCAGGTAAAGAATTGTAATACTCCCAGCCCATGACGCCACCAAAGTTCGGGAACTGCTCGACTAGCAGGGCGAGAACAAGCCCAATCTTTTCCCGCGACACATAACCCTGCGACCCATTGCCCGGGTTCGTTAAAAGGCCATACACAACCCGGCGCGGGGACCAGCCCTGGGATACAATGGCTGCATACATGCGCGGGTCATCCGCGGGACCCCAGCCATTGTAAAACTGGGCATTATACCAGCTGATCTTGGGGGCGCGAGCCTGTTCGAGTTCGCGATAGTCGAACCCGGACAGATTGCCCATTCCTAGTAGGGCAGCGGCGACAGGTGCTAGGGTGATAATAAATGTGTCGCCCAAATCAGCCTTGAGTCGGTCAATCAGCCGGATAATGCCTGGCAGGGACATTTCCTCCTCCACATCGAGATCCAGGCCGTCCAAGCCATGGCGCTGGATCATGGCCAGGAGAGGTCCGTAGAATAGTTCGAATTGCTCTGTAGTACCGTCAAGGCGTTGGAAGGAGCCTGGTGCCGCACCCCCGAGCATGCCCATCACCTTGACGCCTGCCCGCTGTACCAGAGGTACCTCGGCCCACAGCAGGTCGAGCCGGGGACTGGTCGGCGAGTCATCATTGAGGGTGATGTCGCCTGGGTCCCCATTCAGATGGATGGCTGCGAGGATGATATGTGTGATTCCAGTGTTGTTGTGGAGGAGCGGGAGCATTGAGACATAGTGGTCCTCGCCCACGACGATCGTTTGGTGGTAACAAATCACCCGCCGCCTCTCTAGCGGTTCTCCTGGTAAGGGAGGCATTTAAATGAAAAAAGAATAGTTTTGCAATTCCAAAGCCCAGTTCTAATGCATGTATACAGGCATGTTTATGTCAAGAGGACAGAGAGGGGTGCCGGGCAACAGCGTGGGGATGCTCCCCTGATAAGATTGGCGCCTTATAAGCGGGGCCTCAAGAAGTGGCCGAAGAGAGCTCATTCTGCATATTTATTGCTCGATCAATCTGATCAGCAAGACAGAAACAGCTCAGATTATACGGGATGTTATTTTTTTTTCTCATGTTGGAAGAGAGTGTCGCCGGTTTCGACTAAATATCTGGAGTCCTGGCTGCATAGCCGGTGTGCAACCTGCGAAGTATACACGCATAGATCATTCGACTGGATGTATCGAACTAGGGCTATTTCCGATAATAAGATATTTTATCTATTACATAGCATAGCGGCTATAAGCATAATGTATACATGGATAGCCCCTGCGCAGTAGTCGAACGGCAATTGCATCGAAGAATTGCTCCTGGTGGCGAGATCTGTTCTTCCACGGGTTATCACTCATTGCCTCTTGAGGACCGTGGATCCCGGATGCATCTCCATGGGAAATGACATCAAAGTGCAATTGTCGGATCAAATCACCGATACATTATCCACCAAAATCTGGCCAACTCTCTTCGCCCGAAGCCACAGTGGATATGTTCGCGTGAGTTCGATGCTAACCAGCGAATGATGGTCAGCTTAGAAGCATCGAAGAATGGAACAGTGCTTCATCGAAGCTCTTTCCAAAATCCTGCCACCCTTGGGAATCTCCGCAATCTCGTGGAGAGGCAAGAACGAGGGCCCTCAGAGAACTACATAAACCACAGCCCGGGGTCATGATGGCCCCTCGAAGATGTTGTCCATCTGTAACCATATCTCTGTTGCCAAAAGTCAATTGACACAACCTAGACACATATTGTGTGATTAGTTCCATACGCATAATGTCACCTCTACTTCGTCTGTTCCCGGCGTTTCGGCCCAAGCACCTGGGAGGGTGGCCTCGCCGCGGCCTTGCCATCGTGGCGCATCCCCACCACCCAAACCCAGGCAACTTCGCCAACCGGCCCAAGGAGGAGCTTTCAGAGATCGGCCATCGAGGGGGCAAGAAAGGAGGAAAAGCACGGGGAGTTGGTGGATTCCATGAAATGGACCCAGAAAAGCAGGTATGAGCTTCAGTAGATACGCCATCAGGAAGCCATGGCCTCTTCTAACACCAATGTTACCCTCGAACAGCATGCTATCGCATCCAAAGGTGGCCGTGCCACGAGAAAAGCAGCGATCGAGCGCGAAGCAGCCGCGATAGAAGCTGAACACGGGCCTGTGCCCACGGGCCGATCAGAGGAGCCCTCAGTGGTGCCACCGGGATTTGTAGAATGGAAGACCACAGCATAAGAACAGCCAATTTGGAGTTAGAAGCATTCTCGAATAAAAGTGATTCCAAGGTCATCGCATCGCCGAGACAAGATTATCAGTCAAGTCTGTTTGCTCCGTTTGTTAGTGGAGACGCTAGTCCTGAAAAGGCAGCGCGTAAACATTATTGCCTGAGGCAACCGGCGCTTTTGACCCGCAGTCTTAATCTCCCGCAATCGATTTCGTTCACTCCACGCGCTATTGTTATCTTTCTATTTAATGACCCATTTATCGAGGATGCTGTCTTCCTGAATCCTCCCAACCTTTCCCCAAGTCCTTTTCTCCTACCATCTTCATACCTTGGCGTTGTCGCGCACTGCTCGCCTTGATTCAGCGCATCGCACGCGTCGATCATGGCTAACACCGGCTACACGTCGCCTTTCCCCACCTCCCACGACACCATCGGGCAGTCAACTCTGGTGACGCCTCTTTTCATGCCATCGTCCCCTCCCCAGCACTCTCCAAGTTTGCCGGCAGAATCACCGCGCAGCGCGGGAAGTCCTGTGAGGGAGCGCACAACGACAAACACAGCAACGAACGACGACGACCACGAGCACAACCATCAAGACCACCGAGACAATGAAGTGCAGAACTTATCCCCTCCACTTTCGCCAGTCAGCCCCTCAGGCTCTGACCTGGATGCTCGTCTTGCCGATTACACCCTGGACTTCAGCCAATTTCCCAGCGGCCAATTTGCGATAGACGGTGACGATGCAGAACTGCTCCCGGACCTGAAGAATGATGCACAGGATGAACTGTCTGATGTCGGGGGCCCACACGACTTCACCGCAAACATGGAAAAGTACCTGATGGGGGGCGATGAGGACATAGCCAATGATCTTTCAGAGGACGAGGCGGAGATGCAGCCGGCATTGGCCTCGGAACATAATCCTGTGGGATCGAGACAGCCCGCAGTCGAGGAAGAGGCAGATTCAGGCGAATACAGTGAATGTGGCCCTCCTGTCGACATGTCAACTCCATCGCATATGCTGCATCGAGCCAGCGCACTTGCAAAGCAGTCTACTCATCTCGAAGACATTGAAGAGTACCCTGAAGATGTTTCACAGGATCAGCTTTCACCCTCGGCTCGCAAACAGTCGATGACCTCGGGTAGTGATGCTGGATCAGAAGAACGGAACGAGGGTCTGAGTCACCGTATTACACAGCTGAAAAATGCGACGCGGAATCGGGATGAACAGTGGCAGCATGATCATGAGAGAGAGCTCGAAGCCGACCCTACCGAGGAGCAGATCCGAGAACTACAAGAAGAGCTGCAGCGCAAAAACGAGCGTATGCAAGAACTGCTTGCTGCTAGCAAGGGGGGATCCCAGGATCCGTCTCTGGAATCACTGAAAAACGGTGATATTGCGGTGTTTTTTGATCGGCTCAGAATGCACGAGGCCAGTGGATTTATGCCGCGCATTCGCGAACTGGAGAATAAAATACAGGAGCTAGTCTCCCAGAGCTCCCTGGAGGCAGAACGTGTGGAGACAATCGCCCATCTTCGCCAGCAAATCGATCACCATCAGGAACAACTTAAGAAACGAGATGCCACCTTGGATGAGACAACTGCAAAACTGAGGGAAACCACCCAAGCAAATGAGGGCGAACTCCAAGAGAAGGACGCAGAGATCGAGAGGCTGAATAGGGAACTGGGCCGGCTCAACGATGACCACCACTCTCTCGAGGAGCGCTTTACCAAACTTGAGACCAGGAACAGACCCCTGGAGGAGAAGAATCAGACATTGGAAGTCGATCTTACTCGCGTGCAGTCCCAGGTGGAGGCTCAAGAAAATGCCCTTAAAGCTGTAGCTGCAGATTTTCCAGCTCCCAGCCACAGCACCTTTAGTGAGATTCTTGACTTGATCAAGGAAATCAATGGCCCAGACCCAAGCTTCCCGGTCAAGGACAAGCGGGCTGAAGAAGGAGATGCGAAACTGCTAGGTCAGCAAGTACTCAAGCTGCAGGACGCAATGCACGAGGCACAGGCCGCCCAAAAAGCCGCAAATGCCGAATCGAGCCAGCTCCGAGAGCAACTATCCGAATCCCAGGCTTTAGTCGAGGCCATTGAAACCGAGAATGCGCGCCTTACCACTAGGGTGGACGAACTGACAACAACGATGAACAAATCCCAACACGAGCTCACCCGTGCGAGAGAGGAACATGCGAGATCTCTGGAAACCATTGCACGTTTGCAAGAAGACAAGATTACCGAGCCCCCCAGTCCCCCATTGTCGCCGTCGATAGCTCAAGGTACCGTCCACTCCGAATCAAGCGGGCCTGCCCCCAACACGGCCGCTCTAGAAGCGTCCCACCAGGCGCAATTGCGGAGCCTCCAAACTGCCCACGCGACTGCCGTTTCCACGCTTCGCGCCTCGCACTCCGAATCAATGCGGAAAGTCTGCAACTCCCTCACACAGTCCAAGCAGCGCGAGGCCGACCTCCGTGCCGAGTTTGAAACCACCCGCGACACAGCCAACAAGCAAATATCCCAGTTGCGCCAGAGCCACAAGTCGAAGATCAAGCATCTCGAGGCCGCTCTCGCTGCGCGAGACGAGGCCAACGCCGAGGTCGACCAGCGCATCGCTGCGTCTGTGAGGAAGATCGAACTCAAGTGGGAGCGCCGCCTGAACCTGGTTTTGAACGACCGTGACCGCTTGGCTAAGGTCCTGATGACTCTATGGGGCGCTCAAGATGAGAAAAATAGTGACAACAGCAACAACAAAAACAAGAAGGAAAACCATCGCCACGATGGAGACCGCGCTCATGCCAAGGACGGTCAAGCATATCGGTACAAGTACGCCAACAAGAACAAGGCGCGGGGTCGAGAGAAGGGGTCATTAGGTGGTTGAACTACTTTCTTCCTTCGTTTTTCTTGTTGCTAGCTGGTGCATCGGTGTATTTTGTTTCGCATTCTTGTGAGGGCGGTGGATGGTCGCTGGCGTCAAAGGTCGACTACTAATTTTCCGACGCATTGTGCATTGTCAGCCCGAGTTTATAGCGTACTAATTGGCGAATTAAGTTGTTCATTCTGACTGGTTTAATCTTAATCCTTGGTCCAGATAATTAGCATGGATTTTAAATACAAGTTCTACTAAACAGAGTGCAAAATAAAAGACATGGTATTCCATTAGACGAAGTTGGTATCAAGCTGGACGTAAAAACTGCAAACCAAATAAAAACAACGCCTGCTATACTAAAATAAAAAAAAGCCGTCCTTGCATACAAATTTCAATTCAATACAATCGTATAAATAGAAAAGAAAAGAAACAGCTACCGAACACAGAAGTAAAACCAGTCTGACCAGCAGACATCAAAGATATTAACTCCCATCTAATAAAAGCCTATGCTTGTGCGATTGGTACCGCGGTACGTCGTGGGGTCAATGACGTTGGATGGAGCCTCAGAGAGGGCGGCAGAGACGCGTTGTGTCTCATCGACCGACGCCCGAGGGTCAGAGGTGGACTCGAGGATGCAACTGAGATGACCACCAACTGCACCATAGGTGCTGCTGCGCGATCGACGGGTGCTGGGGTAAATGATTTCGACATCGTTGCGGCGCGGCACGACAGAGATGGTCCGGCTGGGATCGAAGCGCCGTTGGCTGCTCCCGCGAGTGGGCTGCGGGATGTAGTGCGGGTGGTATTGGCTCTGGGTATAGCGGGGGATGTGCGAAGAGTCAAACTGGTAGGTGGCGCTGCGGACTGGGACAGGGTACTGCACGATATTTGTGGGACGCGAGCTGCTTCGTCGCATGTTCTCGTGGTGGTTCATCTGGGCAAGCCCCGACAGCTGTCTGCAGGACGAAGAGTATGTCCGAGGATTGGCCGGGGCTGGGACCGGAACATAGTTGGGGTGGTGAGGATGGTGGATGGAGCGGGGATGAGGTGCAAGGCATGCCGTCTGGGATCGACGGACCTTGGGCGACTGGTCGGGTACCACCTCAGGAGCATCGGCAGAGTTCATGGTCATGGTTCGGCCGTGCTCGTCAGGGAGAACGGTGGTGGACTGGCTTTTTTGATCAATGGGCCCGGGGCCTTCAGTTTGGGAGGATTGCTCGGTGGTTGGGGGATGAGCCTTAAGTGGATTGGTGGGTGTCACGACCTGCTTCTCGACATCCGAAGCAGTGTTCGGATCGGCGAGAGCACGAATCTGCGGATCGGCTGACAATGGCAGTGATAGAGGGAAGGACTTGGGAAGAAATCGTCGAAGGGAAGACAGGGAAGACTTCTGTCTCTTGTGGTTGCTGAAATGCTCGGGGATTGCTGGGACCTTCGGGATGGACCAGCCCGAAACGAGTCCTCGTGACTCGCAGGCAGTTTGTGAGGTCATCACAGTTGACGTGCGCGAGATTGGATGGAACTCGCTGGCTGTGCTCTGACCCCCGGGAGAGGCACGGGGGACGGTGTCCTCCGGTGACCATGTCATGCCGGACGTGATCTCTCCATGCTCAGACTCACGGCCGGTGTTGACTCGGAGGAGAGGCCGCACGCGAACTGGGGCTGGGTGTCGGATGCTGGGATGACACTTCACTTTATCGGCCAAAGGGTCGATGGACCAAGAATCTCCCCCGGATTTACCGTCATGTTGGCGACACAAGGTGAGGATCTCGCTTTTGAGGGTTTCGTCACTGTCCCAGCTATGACCAGACAGAATGCTGCCGTTTGAGATAAATTGGCGCCTGTAGATTCCGAGTAGTGAGACGTCGTATGGTCGATCGCACAACTCCCTGGCACAGTAGAGGGTGCAGACAGTGACTCTGAAACATCGTAGTCAGTTGAAAGCTCACGGCTCGTTGACCGAGTAGGAGACATACAATGATACAACGGACACAATCACTGATGACCGGTGAAAGGCACAGCTGACACCGACTCGCCAAAAACCACCATCTGATCCCACGGGCAAACAGTAAACTTGTTGGGCCGCAACAACTAGACCTGCGACACTCGTAGCCAGCCAAGCCATGAGGTCCAGCCGTAGAACGTAAGTACAGGCATTATGCAAGACAGTCTTTTGTGTCCCAAAGCCGCCGATCTTGTTGTACTGCCAGGCGACAAGGCTCTGAAGAGTAACGAGGGGCACCGAAAGGAAAGACTTGGGAAATCAGTAACAGCCACCAGATGTCATTGTAGAAGGACTCAACCTACCGCGACCAGAGATAAGACCACACTCAAGGTAATCTTATGGTCCACTTGAGCATTGCCGTAAAGATACAGGACTAGTACCCATTGCAGGATTGATTCGAGGATTAAGACGTAGAGCGCAATGAAGATCACAAGTTTCGTCCAGGTGCCTTCTTTGCGAGGCGTCGCCGAGAACCCAGTGGCCATGGTGGGGGATTTACTGAGACGGGAGTGCTGCCCAGCAGCCTCGCCAAAGTTCCCTAGAGTATGGAAGTATGAAAGTAGGGTGGAATGAAGGTCCAACGGAGAGGCAATGAGGTTATTGATTCATGAGATGCGGGCCAAAAGAAAAAGACATGAACATAAGAAAAATGACCAGACGAGATTCCGGGGACTGAAAGGGGAATTAAATTGAACGCCGCGAGCCATGAATCGCGTCGACGCGATTAAAGTGTGGAGGGGGTGGAATGCCCCGGAGGGGCCGGCATGAAAAGAATCCAAGCCATCAGAGGCCCTTCGGCAGTTTGCGAAGGTGTCCCTCCTGCCTCCTCCATTGGAATTCCACACTGGAGGAGTCGACAGTGAGGACCAGGGATGTGTTTGCAGGGTTTGGGTACTGGACCGACCCCTGCGGAGCTTTTGCGTCCTACACGTCAGTTCGTTTCAGGAGATAGGAATGGAACCCCTGGGGATTTCCAAGAATCCAGTCGATGATTATTGCCGTGCATCATGGCAGGGTTGCCCTCGACAAGGACGAGCAGACAGGCAGAGTTGCTTTCCGCCAGGGCGAATCAACAAAGCCCCTGGATGACGTGAGGTCCACTGATGAGCAGCCTGACCTTCCCATACGAACAGAATCCAAGGTTCTGGCAAAGAAGTCAGCGTTGGCGGTCAAAGATGCTGCGATGGCAATGACGCGAAAAGCAGAAAGACGCGATGAACCGACTCGACGTGGATGACCTCGTTTCCCGATTAGGAAGGCACCACACGTGACCGAGGGGTGGCCCTTTCTCTCTGGAAACATCCAGGGCGCTGAATGTCTCTACTTTTCATCTTTCCAGTTTCTACGAGGAATGCAATAAAGAGATATCGTGCAGATGAGACCAGGTTTGGATTAAAGCCAGGTATGTCACAGATGAGGGCGCGTCCCTCGCTCAATCGAATCTGACTATGGCGCGACTTCGTTGACTCGGGAGTTGGCACCGCCATCCAGGGGCTTTCCCTCGCGCGTGGATTCCACTACACCATTTGACCGACCAGCCGGTGAATCCAGGTCCTTGCGAGCCCTCCAGTGTCGGAGGATAGGCTCCAACAGCGGCACCCGGCCATAGCACTCGTTATAGCGCATCGCGACAAACCACAAGATGATCGCCAGCCAGTACAGGTTGTACGAGATAACTGACCCGTAGGTGGCGGAGTTAGTCCACCCCAAAACAGCATTGAAGATTCCCCACCCGCCGCCGCCATTGAGCAATGGATTGCAGCAGTTGACATGCCACACGCTTTGTCGGATGTCATACGACCCGGGGCCCGACCCGCTTTCGGAGCTGTCACCACCGGTGCTTTGATTCCACGTATTATTCTCAAGAAACCAAACACCCCGGGTAAAGAGACCGGCGGAGACGAGGTACAGGAAGCAGGTAGACACAACCAGGAAGATCTGAAGCGAAGCTTGATTGCCGCCGCTACAGAGATAAGAATCAGTATATGCCACTCCTATATAGCGAAAGCCATATCATCAGACTTACCGGTACAAGATATATCCCACAGCCGCCCCGGCTAGAAGGCCGGTGATTACCGGGAGGGGAAATGCTGATGCTGGGAAGCTCAAGCTCACCCCGCCAATGAAGACCACGGCTTCCAGTCCCTCACGGAGCACTGTCACAAACGGCAAGAGAAACATGGCATACTTCTCCGCCCATTTCTTCAAACGGTGCATCGCGGTGCCCTGGTGCCCCTCGTTCTTTTCGAGGGCCTGGGCCAGCTTGACACGCCATTTCTCCTGGAGTTTGGATATGCGCAGAAGTGCTGCCCCCATGACGGTAATAATCACGCTGGCAATCAAGGAGAAGACCCCCTCCCAGATATCCTCCGTGTTGGCGAAGTGATCCTTGCCATACCCGTAGAAGGCTCCAATCATTCCGCCGCCGATGCAGAGACAGATGAACAGTCCCATGCCGACTCCGCACCATACCTGTGTCGTTTGCTGTTAGCCATCTGAGCTTCGGATGGTTCCTAGGCTTGTCGCACTTGTTTGACTAGTTTCTTGTAGGCCTGACGATCACCCTCAGCACCTAGCGTCTGTTTGAGGAATGCCAGCAGCACCGAAACGATGATGCTTGTTTCAAGACATTCTCGAAAACAGATGAAAAAGACTTGAGGCTGTTAGCCCTTCAGTTCAGGTCACCCTTCTGGGGCGGAAATCATACTCGGAACTGCAAACACGTCGACCGCCATGTTGATTGCTGTGACTTTGGGGTTTCTAATATTTCCCTGCGCAGAAATTTGGCAAAACAAAAAATGAGACCGGGGGGAGTGTGGGAAATTTGATTATCTGATTGATACCGATTGATAACGACCGAGGCGCCCCAAGCGAGCAAAAATGAAAAGTCAAAAGTCGAGGGTTCAGAGCACCGACCACGGAACAGGGGACCCCCAACCTCACGCACAGCCGCTGGGTTTGACCAGTCCCGGTAAATATAGGAGATGATCGAGGATCGAGCTCGGGTCTGCAGCCAGCCATACCCCACCGGTGTAGCTGGCTATTGGTAGACGCTACGCCCAAGGTTTGAGTGGGCTGAAGCGGCAGCTTCACCTTGAAGGATGCATTTGGCCCCTGTTCACACCATTCCTCGCTGGACATCTCTCGATGTTTTTTTCTCCAAACACCCATTCATTTTCATGGACAAAGAATCATGGCGTTCCTGGCCACATTGCCAATGGGAGTAAAAAAGTGCGGGAAGAAATTAGGCTTTGCCCAAACACGCCATCTCCACAACACCCGCCGCGCATTGGCTCATCCAAAAGCATGGCCCGAGACCTAATCTCCACACTATTGCGATCGCCGGATCAGATAGGCGGAAATGAAAAAGAAAAAAAAAAGAATATGAGGGATATTATGATTCCGTGGCTTATATCACCAATGGCCGTTTTTTTCATCTCACACACCGATCAAGCTGGAGTCTACTTGCACACAAACCCCCGTCAAGCGTCCGGCTATGGTCATTTATTTTCTAGCTGTCGCGGTCCACCTTCTGGCGGCCAGTGCCGCGACAGTCACTTATAACTGGAACATCACCTGGGTCACGGCAAATCCAGATGGCCAGCAAGACCGGCCGGTGATCGGCATCAACGGTCAGTGGCCATTGCCAGTTCTCAATTTCACCAAGGGTGACCGAGTCATCGCGCACGTCCACAATGCCCTGGGAAACGAAAGCACCAGTCTACATTGGCATGGATTTTTCCAGAACGGCACCAACCACATGGACGGACCACCGGCGACTACGCAATGCGAGATATCCCCGGGGACTACTTTTACTTACGACTTTACGGTAAGCCGTGGGCGTTTGTTTCTCTATCCATACCATTCTGAGACAATTCTAGGTTGATCAAACTGGAACTTATTGGTACCATTCGCATACCCGGGGCCAGTACCCTGACGGGTTGAGGCAAATCCTGACAATCCAGGATCCCGAAGATCCTTATACTGGCCATTACGATGAGGAGCGCGTTCTCACTTTATCGGATTGGTATTATGACCAGATGCCATCTCTCTTGCAGGGGTTTATCAACGTCCTCAATCCCACTGGGGCCGAGCCGGTACCAAATGCTGCGCTAATGAACGACACGCAGAATCTTACGATTCCCGTTGAGCCCGGGAAAACATATTTGTTCCGTGTGGCAAACGTTGGTGCTTTTGCGAGCCAATACTTTTGGATTGAGGGCCATTCCATGAAGATTGTCGAAGTCGACGGTGTCTGGACTAAGCCGGCTGAGGCGGACATGATCTATGTTGCCAGTGCGCAGCGGTATAGTTTTTTGGTGACCATGAAAAATGATACCAGCAAGAATTATCCCATTGTCGGGAGCATGGACACAGTGAGTCTTGTATAGAACCAACAGAGATTATCAACGGAGCTAATCATAGGAACGAAAAGGATCTCTTCGACAAAATTCCTCCAACGCTGAACTTTAATGTCACCAGCTGGCTGGTCTATGACGACTCAGCGCAGAAACCTGATCCGAGCCAGATAGACGAGTTTCAGCCTTTCGACGATTTCACGCTAGTTCCCGTCGATGGCATCGAGCAGTATGAGGCGGCAGACCATACCATCACCCTTGACGTGAAAATGGATAACCTCGGCAACGGAGCCAACTAGTGCGCCATCCCTTCAAGTCTAAACATAAAATGCAAGGCTAACATGCTATGAAAAGTGCCTTTTTCAATGACATATCCTATGTCATGCCCAAAGTCCCGACTCTCTACTCGGTGTTGACAACTGGCTCTGCTGCCACGAATCCGGTAGTTTATGGCACCGACACCAACCCGTTTGTCCTCCAAAAGGATGAGATAGTGGATATTATCTTGAATAATGACGATACTGGCAAACACCCTTTCCACCTGCACGGACACAATTTTCAAGTGCTTGCTCGCCCGTCCGATGACTCTGGCCACTACGACCCCAATAACCACACCAGCTTTCCTGCAGTGCCCATGCGCCGCGACACCCTAATTGTCTACCCTTCGAGTAACTTTATAATTCGGTTCAAAGCAAACAACCCAGGTATGCTGCTTTGTGTTAGATCCGGTTCGAGGAACCCAATGTCTAACGTGTGGTTTAGGAGTTTGGCTCTTCCACTGCCACATCGAGTGGCACATGGATTCGGGACTAACCGCAACGATGGTCGAGGCTCCGCTTGAGCTCCAGAAGACTCTTTCCATCCCCAAGGATCACCTCGAGGCTTGCGATGCTAGTGGCACCCTCAGGGCTGGTAATGCTGCGGGGAATACTAAAAACTTCGAGGACTTGACCGGGGCCAATCGTATGGTGTCTCCATTGCCAGAGGGTTTCACAGGCCGAGGTATTGTGGCCTTGGTGTTTAGTTGTATTGCAGCGGTCTTGGGACTGGCATCTATCATCTGGTATGTTCTTTGACTTTGATGAACTGGTGGATATTGAACTGATATGTGGTTGCAGGTATGGTCTGGCTCCGATCACCCAGACACCGGCTCAAAGTTGAGGTTTGCAACTACTTAGCTGAGATATAGAATGGCTTCCTTCCCCCCTGTTTCTTGTTCAGATATACTCAAAGCAAATAGTCATTTCAGTATGTGAAGAGCATACACACGATCAAAGCAGCCGCCTCTGTAGTATCGCACTTTTTACGTATATTCGAGCTGGGTAGACAGATTGAACAGAGGGTGGTGGAGAATGACATACTCATTTTCCCTGATCACTGCAGTACTTGTCGACAAGGTCATGGGGTCTGAGACCTTGAAGTCGTTCAGCTTGACTTTCCCAGCGTAGAAAATAAGCCATCTGTATGATATGGGGCACCGTGGAATAAAGAGCTGGACTTTGGGGCCAGCGGGGATCTGATACTTGGGTTACAAGGTCGGACTTCAAAACACTCTTGCTGACTGGGCGCTTTAGGTCAACCAAGGATCTTCAAGTAGCTGTCTTGCTGTCTTGCTGAACTCGCGATCGGTCGTAGTAGAAAACATTAGCAGTAATATCGACATTTTCAGCACTCTATGCTTATTATTCCTAGGTCTATATTAATAGAATACTTATTTGAATTAATCAGAGTTTCGCACTAAAGATCCCGGTATAGCCAACTTGTCGGGTAGGTACTATAGCCAAGTTTACCCGCGACTTAATCCCTATCATTGAACAGGTCTCCGATATACACGGATAGAATTGCTTCCGGTTGTAGTAAGGGAGAGTCTCCTTGTCAATAAGGGTATCCACCGGTAGGGTAATGAAAGAGCTATTAGAGACCGCTTTAGAGGAAGCAGGCTGTCTCCTAAGAGCATGTCTCCAAGCATTGAAGCGTGGTGCATCTATAGTGCTTTTTCCTAACTGGTAGCGTGCACAAAGTTGACGAGAAATAGTAGCAAGGAGAAGACTCGTCGCTAAAAACAATAGATGTCGACCAATTATTTGTCACATCGCCAATACTAGAACGCTCCCCTTTTCCCAAGGTCCACTTTTTCTCGCTTCCTTCATGTCCATTAAAATGGCCTCACTGCTCATATTAAGGTCTAAAGCTAACTGTGTGTCACTCTTAGGCTTTTGCATAACTAGTGCCAGCCAGTGGGACAGTCTATCTCGTTTACACCTATGAGTATAAAATGGAAGAAATAAGTGAAAAAAAAAAAAAGATGAAGATACAGTATTCAAGTCTAACCGAAAGAATTAATACTAGCAAAGATAAGTGAATAAGAGAACGACTACACCTCGGCAGTTTGCCGTGTTGAGTGGTATTTGGGGTGGAGTCAAGGGCACGGATAGCCCTACATCCCCGCATCCCTTCCCCGACATCCCACTTCCGCGTGGGGGGGTGTTGAAGCCAGGGCTTTATTATTCACTTCCCCTCAACAACTCCCCGAGGTTTTTAGATACACGCACTATTTCTGTTGGACACAATGACAATCCCTGGCGTCACCCTGCCCCCATACCCCCTCCATGAGTCGGTCAAGGACCTGCTCGACCCGGAGTATGTCGCATTCTACAACCAGCATGTTATCAACAACCAGCAGGTGCACCTCCAGCCCGTGGAGGCCTCGCGCACAAGTGGTGTCTTGATCCCAGGTGCCGGGCCCATGCTGGAAGTGGGCAAGACTCAAGATCTGAGCGTCTCGAGACGCGCTACTGAGGGCCCTCCAGTTCCGATCCGCTGTTTTACACCCAAGGGCGAGGTGCCCACCGGAGGATGGCCAGTCATGCTGTATTTTCATGGCGGGGGATGGGTGCTGGGCAATATTGACACTGAGAACGTGGTGTGTTCGAACTTGTGTGTGCGCGGCAACTGTGTGGTGGTCACGGTGGATTACCGGTGAGTGGACTTGATTGTGATGTTTGAGTTGCAAAAGCACTGAGCATTGACTGACTGGTTTTTTTTATCGAATGACAGCCTTGCACCTGAAAACCGCTGGCCTGCCGCGGTGCACGATTGCTGGGAAGCGCTACTCTGGCTCCTCGCTGATGGCCCCGCCGCGCTGTCGATCAACACGTCAAAGATCGCAACAGGTGGCTCGTCCGCTGGCGGAAATCTCGCCTCGATCATGACCCACAAGGCATTGACCCTGTCGCCGCCAGTACATTTCCAGGCCCAGCTCCTCTCCGTCCCCGTGACAGATAACACGGCCACTGTCGCCAACAATGAGTCCTATCGGCGCTACGAACACACCCCGGCTCTGCCTGCTCCCAAGATGTACTGGTACCGTGATCACTACGTGCCTAATGACGCCGACCGCACCAACCCGGAGGCTAGCCCGCTGTTCTATAAGGGCGATTGGGCGCAGCTACCGCCGGCGTTGGTCATGGTTGGTGCGCTCGACGTGCTGCGTACTGAGGGTGAGCAATACGCCGAGAAACTGCAGAAGGCTGGCGTCGAGGTGGATCTCCAGGTGATGAAAGGAATGCCGCATCCATTCTTGGCTATGGACGGTGCACTGTCCGAGGGAAAGAGGTGTATTACTTTGATGTGTGATGCACTACAAAAGGCTTTCTGGAGCTAATAGGGGGCGCTGCTGTGTGAAATAGTAAGGCGTATTCATATTGTTGAGGGGCGGCGGTATTGTTCAACAATATAGAGTCAAGCATACCACCAATAGAGAGGTCTATAGATAGGACTTTGGAGACTACCTAACAGGTCCAGAGTTTTTGATTATCCTAACTGGCGAAATGAAGCTTATTCTATCCTCGAATAGTCAATTCCTTTAAGCTACAATACATCCCATGCACCATTTCAAACTCATCACATACTCCGGAATCATCTCATCCGGCCGTTCATCCAAGCCACGCAATTCAACCCGGGACCATCCATCGCAAAGTCTCTCGTGGCAATTATCAAAAGTCAAACACAGAAAGAAGGTAATTTTAAATGAGTCATTGACGCACACCACAATGCATTACTTCCTGTCAGCAAAGAGATCTCGCCATGACCATCCCATTCAGAAACAGGTGACACCGAAACCGCAATGAAACCAACAACGTAAAAGAAACAACAAGTGTATTGCAACCGGCTGATCAACTTCCGATTGTCGAAGACCTCCAGACCCGGAAGGATCGGCAGCTCTTTAACTCTCTGGTCCTTTTTTGGGGAAAGCCTGTCATGAGGCATGCTTAACAGACTTAGGTTCAAATGCAGATCCGGTATGACCATGTGCAACCAGCAGATGACATGAGTGCAGCCGAGGTGGGGTGAAAAGAGATATTAGAGTAGGACAGTGACGATTGTCGGTAGTTCGGAGTGTTTTGACTGATCTACTTCCTTCGATGCCCGCTATACTTTAGCATCATCCGGATCGACTATTCAACGTTAGTGGAACGTTACTGCAGAACATCAACCTCCCACATAATTGGCTGTCATGGGGTTCGGTCCAGGAAGATTGAGTTTTTAGGGTTGTTGGCCAATGGTTTACTGCGTCCTGCAATGCAACCTGCCGACATGCGGCCAGTCTGGAGATTTTGCGGCGGTTTTATGAATTCCAACATTGTATAATTTTATGTCCATATGCACACTCCAATGTCTTCTTGAAGTGCCGTGGTCCCGGGGGATGTATTTTATGAATAACATAAAAGCACCAGATATCATTTATCGTTCCGGAGTATGGCTTGCGAGTAATTCATTCCTTGACACTCTATGTGCAAGAACTGATCACCGTCCGTCATGTTGACTGATTATACCAATATGCCTTTATGGGCTGAATTTCTCCCTCTATGTGGAATTTTGATACTCGGCCCTATACTTCTGCTTTATGTTCTCCAATTTAAATCATCCAGCTTCCCCCTCATCAACCCCAAGAGGCCATTCGAATTCAACGCCGTCAGAGCAAAGAAAATATTTCTCAGCGATGGACACAACTTGATCAAGAGTGGTCTATCAAAGGTGTGTGAAATATTTTCCAGTCTATATATTTTCTGCCTATATATTCAGTCAAACATCGCAGTGGCTGACCCTATGTTCAGTCTAGCATCTTTCGCCTTTTCGGCGACAATGGATATAGAACTGTCTTGTCACCTAAGTACGCAGACGAGATTCGAAGCCATCCAGCCCTAAGCTTCAGTAATGCTATTCGCCAGGAGTTCCACGGCAATATCAAGGGGTTCGAACCATTTAAGCAATTCTCTGTGGGAAATGAGGTCTTTCAAGATGCGGTACGCATGAAGCTTACACAGGCACTTGGTAAGTTTTCAACTGAGAGCACTCGGAGAGCGGCTGACGTCCCCTGGCGACACAAGGAAGCGTGACAAAACCTCTGGTAGAAGAGACATCCGCTGCCCTCCAAACAAATTGGACCGATGACCCAGGTAGCCCGACGCTCCCCTCCTGACCGAGACCCAGTCTAATAATCCACAGAATGGCACGAATTTCCTATCAAGGCCAGCATCCTCAAGCTCGTGGCCCAGCTGTCCTCCAGGGTTTTTCTGGGAGACCAAATCTGCCACAACCTAGCCTGGCTCCGAGTCACCGTCGACTACACGGTCCACTCCGTGCGTGCAGCCGAGGACTTACGGCTCTGGCCCAGTATCATGCGGACCCTGGTAGCGCCGTTCCTGACTTCATGTCGCAGAATGAAATACGACTTTGACGAGGCGCGGAAAATCATCATCCCCATTCTGGAAGAGAGACGGAAACGGCAAGAGGCTGCGCTGCGCGATGGCAAACCTCCCAAGCGCAATAATGATGCCATGGACTGGATGGAGGAGATCGCCAAGGGCCGACCATATGACCCGGTTGCCATTCAGCTGACCTTTTCTGTGGCTGCGATTCATACCACCTCCGATATGATGACCCAGGCGTTGTATGATCTCTGTGGGAGAGATGAGCTGGTAAATGCGCTCAGAGAGGAGATTGTATCGGTGATCCAGGCTGAAGGGTGGAAGAAGACGGCGTTGTATAAGCTCCAGCTGATGGATAGCTTTTTGAAAGAGTCTCAGCGACTGAAACCGATTAATATTGGTGGGCCGGCACATCTTACTGGTTTATTTATTTGATGATTCTGACCAGTCTCAAGTATCCATGCGACGCCTTGCATCGGAGCCCATTCAGCTTAGCGACGGAAACAAGATCCCCAAGGGCACCTCGCTGATGGTATCGGGCGACTGGATGTGGGATCCAACATTTTACGAGAACCCGGACACATTTGATGCCTACCGGTTCTTAAAGCTGCGTCAAACCCCCGGCCGCGAAACTTCCTCTCATCTGGTCTCGCCGTCGCCCGAGCATCTGGGATTTGGTCTGGGGAAACACGCTTGTCCGGGACGATTCTTTGCTGCCAATGAAATCAAAATTGCCCTGTGTCACATCCTGCTCAAATATGACTTGAAGCTCCCAGAAAACTGTGTTCCTCAGCACCGAAAGTACGGTCTTGCGCTCCAGGCTGATCCAGAGGCAAAGATCATGGTCCGCCGTCGCCGCGAGGAAATCAATCTGGGCAACACCGACCTCTAACTTCTATAAAATTTCCCCATGACTGGGCTCTTTCCTTTGGTCATGGACTAGAGATTTTACAGGAAATGATCCCGACAGGCCATGGCCAATATATCGCAATCGGTTGTCCCCAACACCTCCTCTGCCAGCTTGTTATTGGCCTTGGCTTCTCCCATATACTGATGTGGCTCTTTTAATTTACTATGGGAATGTTTTAAGGCGCTCTTCTTCCGGGAATATGTTTGCTTACGGCACTATGCTCGAACATTATCAAATTGCAGGTTATATACAATACCCAACACTCTACGCACAAGCTAAAAGCTAAAAGCGATATACGCTTCAGTATTCTATAATTTATTTGGTCTTTCACTGTCTAGAAATATTCTAGAGTACTGACCAGAGGAATATCTCTAGGGTAGGTATGTATCCATTATGGAAGCTTGCCTGAACGTAAATATGTCAGACCTGTTTCTATCGTTCTTTATGTCTTAGATCTTAACTAATTAGAAAGCTCTAGAATATATAATTTTGGTCAGCCAAGATGTATTCCATTATTGTCATGTTTTGCTGTTTGTAAGACTGTGGTGTTCACGTTAAGCACTCACCCAATAATGCGGGTCTCCGCCTTTGGTGTTTGTGCAAGGATGTATAATTTAGGTGTTATTTGGCTAGAAAGAACATGAATTCTGCAGTTAACCTCATATTCATTCTATGATTAGTTTGTTTTGTTCACTTGCTAGCTTTTCTTACATTGGAGCTTAGCACGTTAGACAGCGGTGCTTGATGCATTGCATAGTCTAAACGGTTTCTACTCTTTCCAACGTTTTCTCTCCCCCCCCCCCCCCTTTTTTTATTTCTTTGTGTTGCCCTGTTTGCCCTCTTGAATATGGATTGTGCTTTTGTGAATTCTCATAGATATCTTTCGCTGAATCAAGACCATCATGCTACTCTTTCAACCAGTGTTAGACTTAATTTCACCAAGCTTATTCATTCCTATTTTCACGATGGAAGTCAGCAATATATTCTATATGGCAACAGCCCTAGGGGTTGTTGTTCCAGTTGCTTCTGCTTTGGATATCAATTCAAAGAACAATGTTGCTGTCTACTATGCGAGTCTCCAACCTCTAACTATTAGTGGGAATAATGCTAATCCTTCGAATCAGGGCCAAGGCGCAAACCAACCACGCCTTAGCCATTTCTGTCAGGAAACATCAATTGATATCATCAATCTGGGATTCATCAACTTCTTCCCTCTCGCTGTTAGTGAATGGCCCGGATCCAACTTCGGGAACCAATACAACCGCACCTTCTACCCGGACACCGAGCTCCTCGAGGAGTGTCCCCAGCTCTGGGAAGATATCCCCATATGCAAAGCTATGGGAAAGACAATCATGCTTTCCATTGGGGGCGTTAATTCCACAGACCAAGATGCTCTGGCAGATGAGAATGCAATTTGGTTTGCCGATTTCTTATGGTATTCGTTCGGTCCCTACAATCCCAGCGTCAAGGTATTCTTCCCTCGTCCATTCGGCAATGCCCCGGTGGACGGATTTGATTTTGATATTGAGAACAACGGCGGGTCAGGTATGCTGCCAAGTATCTTAGCATCTCGACTTTTATCTAATCTAACAAAACCCAGGATATGCCACCATGATCAACCAGTTAAGCCTGCTCTATACGCAGTATCCCGACCAGATATTCTACATCTCAGGTGCCCCACAGTACGATATTCCAGACAAGCAGCTTGGAAATGCCATTGCCAATGCCGCATTAGATTTCATCTGGGTTCAATTTTACAACACCCAAGGCTGCTCGGCGCGCGACTTTGTGCACGGCACCGGCCATTACAACTATGCCGAGTGGGTGGATGTACTCAAAAATAGCAAAAACCCCTCGGCAAGGCTTTTTGTTGGGCTTGCGGCAGCTGAAAGCGCCGCAAAAGACGGGTACTATTTGAGTCCACTTGAGGTGAAGACTCTGGTGAAAACATACATGAATTTGTATCCGGATACTTTTGGTGGAATTATGTTATGGGAGGCTACAGCGGCTGAAAACAACATGATTGACAGACTCACCTATTCCCAGCACATGAAACGTATCCTCGATGACAGTGCTGCTGCTCTCTCACATACATCAACGCTCGCTACAAGTGTGACACCTACGCCAAGTACCTCTACCTCGAAATCCCATTTGAATTCATCAGTTTCTTCCGCGACAACAGCAACATCGAGCACTTGGAATATTTCTTCGAGTCCCTTACCTACAAATGCACCGCCCTCTTCTTTGTCGGTTACTTCCACGTCTCGTGTATTTCTCCCACCCAGCTCTACAACCCCCTCCAGCCAGCAAGATTCTTCCAGCATGCCTGCTAAACCTTTATCAACTGGGACAGAACGTTCATCTGCCTCATTTCCTGGATCCAAGGCCCCGGGTAGCTCGAGTGGACCAGTGATCAGCAAATCGAGTCCCACAATGACCCCAAGCTTGTCATTCTCGCCAGTGAAGCCGACAGGGCCTGGATCTGTGGATTCGTCGAGATTACCATCTGCGTCTGTTGTCCCAACTTCATTATACAAGCCAACCGCCTCAAGCACAGGCGGCCAGAGTGGAAGCTCTTCGAAGTCATCTGCTTCATTCAATATATCATATTCCGTGCAAACCACACTTGACAGCTCAACCAGCTCAACGGATGGAACACATATTTATACAGCATCGAAAACTTTGCTTGGTCCTAAAAGAGGAGGTCCATGGTCAGTCAGACCGTCACCGACGTCCACTGTTCATATCCCCAGTACTACTTGCCGTGAACCGGCCACTTCTAATACTACTTTGGATAGTGTCTCCCATATTTTACAGGCGGTGCGTCCCGGGCTTGTTTGGCTGGTGTCTGTGGTATCTTCCTGTCTATCTTGATTTCTGTGCCTGTGCTCATGTAATATTGGAAGTGGTTGAAGAAGCTCAAGATCAAGCCCAAGCGCTCTAAGGGGAAGACGGAGGTCAATTCTGAAGAAGGCAGGGGGGAGGAAGAAGAAGAAGAAGAAGAGGACGATGAGCTCTGATGGCTCTTGATTTGAATAGACTGGGAGTTTGGTGTTCATGATGATGTTGATGTTGAGATATCCTTTGCTTACATTGCGGCTGTTTCCCCGCACCGCGGACCTCGGCTGCGGGGACTCCAACTTTCACATTCAACCACTTCATAACCCTAGACCCTAATATGTGGCCTTCTTGTTTGTGTATTTTCTACTGCAACACTGCAAAACTGCGAACAAAATGGCTGCTCCTCCCTTAAAAGGCACCCGAGTCATTGAGCTGGCAGGCCTAGCGCCAGGTGTGTGTGACGGCGATGGAGACAGGTTGAGACGAAACCACTAACGGCCCATGGCAGGCCCATTTGCCGGTCTTCTCCTCGCCGACTACGGCGCCTCCGTTCTTCGTATCGACCGCCCCTCAACCGCGAGTGCGGACCAGCTAACTCGACGCAAAAGCTCGATCACCCTCGACCTCCGTGACCCCAACTCACGGAGTGTTCTGCTACGTCTCCTCACGGCAGCCGATGTCCTGATCGACCCCTTTCGGCCCGGCGTCCTCGAACGCCTGGGTCTTTCACCGACAGAGGTCCTGCTGAAACACAACCCGCGACTTATCGTTGCGCGCATGACGGGTTTCCGACGCGACGGCAAGTACAAGGACATGGCCGGACACGACATCAACTACATCGCCGTGTCGGGGGTGCTGTCGATGCTTGGACGAGCTGGAGATAAACCCTTTGCCCCGGGTAACATCCTCGGAGACTTTGCCGCCGGCGGCGCGATGTGTTTCCTGGGAATTCTGCTGGCGCTTATTTCCCGCGCTCATACCGGCCGCGGCCAGGTCGTCGAGGCTAATATGGTCGATGGCTCCGCATATCTCGCGACCATGCCACGACTTGCACTCCAGGGCTTCGCGTGGAACCAGCCCCGCGGCGAGAACCTCTTGGATAGCGGATGCCCCTACTATGACACCTACGAGACCAAAGACCCAGGGAAATATTTTGCGGTGGGTGCCCTAGAGCCACAGTTCTATGCGGCATTGCTACGCGGACTGGAGTTCGACCCGGCCACTACCCCAGCGCGCGACGACCGCGGGAACTGGTCGGCTCTCCGTGATCTCTTCACTCGTCGCTTCAAAGAAAAGACCCGTGCTGAGTGGGCGGCCATCTTTGATGGTACTGATGCCTGCGCAACCCCGGTTCTGGAGCAGAGTGAGCTCGAGGCTGTGGGGTATGACCAGCGTCCAGCGGTCCACTTGTCTCATACACCTGCTTTCTCTTTTAAAGCGGATGAGGGCGGTTGGACTGGTGGGGGTTTGTCACCCGGCGACGGCGGTCCCGAGACTCTCCGAGCATGGATGGGGTGGGAACAAGACAAGGACTTTGCTGTCCGGGAAGATGGGGCGCTGATGTCCCCAAATGGAAAGTTCAAGCTATGAGGTGGCTGTCTGAGTATGTAGGGTTTTGTCTGTTGGTATTTGTGGATTTTGCGGTTGGATGTATATATCCATGGACGCCTTTGAGATCCGACATAGCCAATAACCTAAACATAAATCTTGCTATTGTTGTGGGTATAGAAGGCCTATAGTCTTAGTCAAGATAATTTATATGAAACAAAATAATATCTAAGTGGGTGTTATCCAAATGGCTTGCATTTCCTTAGGCCATGTGGCATATCTGACACAGCATTACTTCCATGGTTTATTATAGCGGTCATCCGATAACAAAGAAGTTCAAATTGAGATATTCCTATGTTTAATATTCGCAAGATTACTTGTTTAAATAGTAAACGGAATAAATACTAGTGTATCCTTGAAGGTTTGATATGCGGGCAGGTATATTAGTGGTTGTTTTCTTTGTAGATATAAATAAAGCCAGTTAGACACAGATCTGCATATAACCCCTGTCACATTCCCGGTCCTACATGTAAGTCACAGTTCCACACTCCTACCTGTACCTGAATTCTGGGTGATGCACTACCTAGTCCCTGTCTTGCACTCAATGCAACAGCCCTGAAACATCTTGACGTCACCACTACGAATTTGCACCCGCTCCACCGTGGATCCATGGATTCCCTATAGTACAATGGGCCCACGTGCTGTGGCGTAGTCGGCTGTGCAATTTGAAGTAGATTTATTATTCAATTGTTCTATAATAACCTTGAGACAATCGAATTCAGTTTAGTGGTATTGCCTAATTTGTGATTAGGGCTATGCTTTATAAGGAAAGGGGATGTCTATGTTTCTTGAATATTCTCAACATCCTCGCCTTCAACATGTAAGACATAAATACTTGTGCTAGTAAATCATCTCGTAGGTCAAAATTTAGGTCAATGTATATCGCCATTGGAAGGTATTGGTATTTCTCATTTAATGACCTTCTACATCTTGGGGTTGAATCACCAATGTTCAAGCTATAGATCTTGGCTCGCAGCATTTAGTCAGGGGACTTGGGATTTCAAGAGAGTCAGGCAAAATAAAAGTTTAGAAAGAAGAAAATCCCTTATCTATTATGAACCGTGTTAAGCTCACGCAAACAAGCATTGATGATGGCGTGCGCGGTAGCCCCCACCTAGATGATCCTCACTATCAAGGAGAATGCCCAGTAGACCCTACTATGCACCCCTCACCTTATCCAAATGGCAGCAGATCCCTCGAAGCCCTCGTCTTGAGGGGTCTTGGGTGCTGGCATCGTTACTGTTCGCTATGCCATGGAGTTTTCAACCAGCTCCCAGCGTCTGTGGAATATGTGCCATAACAGGAGTAGCCATGTAGTCGACTCCTGATCCAGTGCATCAAACCCTATTATCTAGTGTCTGTCGGCTGGGAGAGGCTGGAGGCCCATGGCGCGTATCATCACGCTAAGGACTTGGGTCGAGGGGCCAGGAGCACCAGGGATTCTGGGGGATATTGCCATGGTATTTGACGGGACTCATGAAGCGAAAAGAATATTTTCAGAGCTCTTATAATGAGAATTCACTCTCAGATGAATCATACAAGAAATATGCAAAAATAATGCAAAAGCAAAGCAGAGGGGGATTGTGTGGCTGAGGGCGAAATGCTCCACCGGCCACTCCGTCGTGTTCCACGGCCAATCAGCGCGCATCCACCTCACCCCAAGACTGAACGGTTCAAGTCTCTCGCTTTCTCTTTCCCCCCTGCTTATATTCTTCTTGACTTCCTCTCGCCATCTTTTTCTCCTTCATAGTCGAGTTTGCGAGATTCGTGTTGATCGCATCTCCACACTTGCCTCCCCCCTGGACCGATCAAGGTCCCCAGCCGCGTGTCAATTGAGTTTCCCTTCAGGACCCTCTTTTCTCTTCCTTCCAGTGGCTACGGTCAACTTTCCATCGATTCAACCACCCCTGGAAAACTTCAGACATACGTCGCCATCCTACGCTTCATAGTCCTTCCATCCAAAAGCCGATCCTGCGCCTGTGTACAGTAGGCGCTGAAATCGCAGATCCCTGGACCCCCCGTCAGCCGCGCGCATCGGATACCCAACCCACTCCTTTTCACGTTGAATCTGCCAGCAACAACCATCCAGCACCACATTTCCTAGAATCACCCACCTGGGTCCCATCGCGACCTGGCGAAGAGACCGAATTAGCTGTCGACGACCACGCCGAGGACTGCATGGGCTGGTGTCTAACCTCCGCCCAACATGACCGAATTTCGAGTGCCCCTCCACCAGGGCGCTCCTGCCCGAAAGCCACTGCCTGGATCGCAGTCCGGATATCCTTATCAAAATTATGACGCTTCTCGCCCTCAACTTGCCCCTCATTTAGCCGGCCCCCAAACCACACACAGTCGGACGCGCACGACTTCTTCGAGTGTGCTCCCCTACGTTTCGGGCCCTCCGCATTACGCCGGGGCTTCTGCTCCACCGCTCCCCCCTCAAGGAATGGCTCATCCGCCCACCTATGCGCCGTCGCGACGTATGTCTAGCACCACCACCTCCACCACCTCCACTGGCAACAACCACGTTCCGCAGCCCGGATCCGGGGTCCCTGATATTCGGCGAAGTGCCTCGTCTCGCTCTGCCAGCTCTCAGCTTGGATATGTCGCCTTGATGCGGCGGCAGAAAGGGACTGTATGGTGTGACCGGGCGCAGTCCGAAGATCCTCGTCTGCGAGAGCAGTCCATGCGGGACAAGAAGAGAGCGTACCTTGAGGTTCATGGCGCGGGCGCCGGGCGGGCAGGCACGGGTAGTAGCAAGATTCGACACGGTACCAAGGGCGGCCCCGCCGACTTTTCGCCCTCCAACCTGGTGGGTGCCAAGGTGCCGGTGCGATTGAGTGCCAACGAGGTGGGTGACGGGGAGGATGACGATGTCCCCAGCAATGAAGGCGGTATGGTCCACCGACGGACGGGCAGTGGCCGTAGCTCGCTTGGGAGCAATCGATACCCCAGTGGATATTCGCGCCCACCACAGGGCACCATGGGCAGCAACAGCACTCCCCCTAGTGAGAAGACCGACCTTCCGAATGTCTCGGAGAACACCCCTGCCGAGATCCAGGCCGAGGAAAAAAGCCGACTCTCGTCACTGGTCAAGGACGATGCTGCAACAACTCACAGCAGTGAGCAGGAAGATTTTGTGGGTGACATGGAGGCCCCGAGTGCCAGTGCAACGGTCACAGACAAAGCCAAGAAGGCCGATGAATTGCGCCGCCGAGGCAGTGTTGATGAACGAACTACTTCAATGACCAATGTGCGGTTGTTCGTCGCTAACCCGGATCTCAGCGACTGAATTTCTCTGATGCTCTAGCTCTCTCTACCTCGTGCAGCCCTTGTCTCTGTGCCTTCTTCCCGCCCTGCCTTTTTCCTTTTCTTTTTCTTTCCCCTTATTTCTCTTATGATTTCGACGGAAATTTGCTTTATTACGGTTACAGATCCTGCACATAATACCATGCCCGCTGCAATTTTATGCCCGGCTCTCCCCCGGCTGCTGTTGATGGTCATAAGCCATGTTATTCCTGTTATGTCTATATCGTTGTTTTGTATCCCCGGATCTTTTCCAGCGTTTTGTGTCTTCTTGCCCTTCCTGCGGCCCTTGTTATCTCGCTGTGGCGTGAATGGCTATTTGATTTTGTTGCTTTATCGTGTTCTGCCTCCGGGATCTCCCGGCGTTTTTGCCTACCTAGCGCGTTGATATCCTCGAGCTGAGATCCTTTCAGCAATTAAAATCTCCTATGCGTAAACACTTAGTATTCAAGCATTCCCACCCCACAGTCCGTCCGTGCACCTTGGTAGTTGCGCTATCGGGTTAGCTAAGCAGACACGTGCTTATCGGACGCGCGACGCCATTAACGCGTCGCCTCCTTCGATCGGACCTGGACGATCCTCACGCCCCTGTCAATCGTGGCCTGTGAATTCCAGATGATTTTATCGACCTGTATTCATCATTGCCACTCCATGATCCCCTTCCTTTGAAAATTTCCTTCCGAACTGCCTTCGGGCTGCCTAGAATCGATAGGCACGGCCGCGCATCACGCGACGAGACCCTCTCCATTCGTTTCCTACCTTTCCTTACCTTTTCCTGTCCTTTTCCTATCCGCCCAACCCAAAGATTCAAGGTGCTGTCTACATCCACAGTGCTCGATATCGCACAATTCCTGGAGCACAATTCCTGGACAGTAATATGACTCTGTCCCCTCTGCCTCATCCGCAAGCATTCCCCGCGTCCCCGTCAACAGGACCTCGCAAACGCTCTTTCCACGAAGTCGACGACGTAGCTATGGCTTCCCCGGGTGCCAAGCGTACCCTGACTGAGTTCAATGGTGAGAACCAGGAGAATCGAGACCCGTCTCTTTTGGCCAAGCCGGATGAGATCATGTCCCAATCAGATGAATCGAATGAGAAACTCCCCCCTCCTCCCACGGTGGAAATCACTGTGAAACCCTATGATGGCTCTGCCATCAACTTTGCCGATACACCCTCTGGTCAATTGGACACAGAGAAGAAATCCTCGGCCGTTGGCAATGTGCATCAGGCTGACTCTGCCGCTGCTCCTGCGGCTAAGAAGCGAAAACTGTCTCCATCTAGCAAGGAGTCAAAGCAACACGAGAAGGAAGAAAAGGAGCGCCAGAAGGCCGAGGAAAAGTTGAAGAGGGAAGAGGAGAAGGCCAGAAAGGAAGAAGAGAAACGCCTTAAGGCCGAGGAGAAGAAAAAACGCGACGCTGAACGTGAGGAGGAGAAGCGCGCCAAAGAAGAGGAGAAGCGGAAGCGTGAGACAGAACGTGAGGAGGAACGAAAGCAACGTGAAGAAAAGAAAAAGGCCAAGGAAGAAGAAAAGGCTGCCAGAGAGGAAGAGAAGCGCAAGCGAGAAGAAGAAAAGATGAAGAAGTCTAGGGTAAGTAGAATCATTCCTGCTGGTTCTATAAGCAAGGAAGCATACTGATTCGCCTAGTCGCAAATGAAATTGAACTCTTTCTTTGCGAAACCGCCAGGCTCCTCGGCACCTGCTTCGAATGGCAACCCTTTTACTTCACCGAGCAAGTCGTCAGTCATCAGTGAGACTGGCGCGGCAGATGCCCCTCACAGCGTACTATCAGACTACCGCCGAGAGTTCCCTGACTTTTTCGTCCAATCTCATACCACCTTGGCTCCTACACATCGATTCGAGCGCGACTCAGAGGCTCTTAAGCATGTCCGCCAGACCGTTGATGCGTTCCTGGCTCACCCACAAGAACCGCAACCTTTCCACCCCTCCGAAGTTTTTCATACTATCCCTTATCACCGTCGACGAGGTCTTCGAACCGCTACGGTGAAACAAATCCTCCTGCAAATGCAGGATGCCAGTGATGCCACGACCCAGCTGGGTGAGAATCACAAGTCAACGGCTGATTCCAAACCGCATGACCTTCTGCGCAGGATCCCCATGAAGTCTCTCAAGTTCAGCGAGGATGTCCGCCCGCCTTACCAGGGAACCTATACACGTGTTGTGTCTGAGGGTTCAGCCAAGAAGCTTTCTCGCAACCCTTACCATCGGGGGCTGCCGGACACCAACTACGAATATGACTCCGAGGCCGAATGGGAGGAACCTGAAGAGGGTGAGGACCTGGATTCGGAAGAAGAGGAAGAAGGGAGTGACGAGGGAGACGACGATCTTGATGGGTTCTTGGATGACGAAGACGATGCCTTCGCCGGAGGCAAGCGGCGCTTGATAGTAGGTGATCTGGAGCCGGTCTGCAGTGGAATTCAGTGGGCAGCCGACGGCGTGGATCCCGAGTTCAAGAACTACCAGATCGAGACCATCTCGGACGCGGTCAGATTCCCTATCGACCCATTCTCCACCGCATACTGGCAGAGGCCCCGAGCCACCGATCAAGGTCCGACCAAGGGGCGAGCCGTGCCGAGCCCTCTGAACATTTCTCAAACTCCCCCGTCTCTCGATGGACCGACCGTTGGCGGGGCATTGCCCCCAACTATGTCCAAGTTGAAGCGACCTTTCCCGCCCGATCAGCTGGAGGAGTTCAAGCAAGTGGTCGAAGGGAGTGACCTGAGCAAGATTGGTGTGGTTGAAATACTGAAGAAGCGGTACGTTTTGCCATGGCTCCTTTTACCCAAGCTGGAAAACCTCTGGGCTCTGCTAATCTCACCCGATGCTTTTAGATTCCCCAAGGTGTCGAAGGAGACGTTGAAGGCGACGCTTGACCAGGTCGCCGTCCGGGTTGGCAACAAAGAGGCCGACAAGAAATGGGTTTGTCGTTGATGGCTGGCAGCACACTTGCTGCATACTTGCATGGATCCAGGTGGCGTTCTCGGGGCTTGAATGATGCTTAACTATCATGTCTGTATGAGAAATTCATTGTCGGCGACTGTTCGAATAGTGTCGGGTCATGGCGTTTGAGCAATATGAGCAACATGAAGTAATCCCTCATTGTGCATACTGTATTTGCTTCGGAGTTGATCGGTCTGAATTCAATATTGAGCGGTCTTTGCGTGAGGTTGGGCGATCCACGTTTCAGGTGGGTGGAGTATATAGAGAGGGCAATTAATATCTATAGATCTCGACCTATTCCGCGTACGGGAATATCTCCCCTATTCTCCCCCGATCCCCCAACTGATGATATATTTGATATATATTATTATATGATATTCTTCTCCTTATTACACTGTAATAACCATGAATATCGCCCACCAACTCCTCCCGTCGATTGGCGCAGCCAGCAGAAGCTCCGCAGCGGCCAAGGAGGGCGACGGGCGAATCAGCGACAGATGAGCGTCGTCCACCTCACACTTGCATGCAACGATGCGCTGGCAGCATCCGAGAGGGTCTCCCTTGCGCTTCTTCTTCTTCTTCTCTCTCTTTCGCTCTCTCTGCTATCTCGTGATTGTCCCCCCATAAACACCCCCCTCGACCCACGTCTGCCATTTCGCATTTCACCCTTTCGCCTTTTTACTCTCCATCTCATCCACCCTGGACTCGATCCGTGTTTCCGACCGGGTGCTCTCCTATGAGGTCCCGATTGTCTCCCCCGCAATAGAGCCATGCGATAAGCATCCGCCCACGGCGGCCCCGGGCGATTTGCGACTGTCTACTCCGCCCGCCATGGGGGACTACGATCTGGATCGGTCGTCCTCTCTGGGGTCGGCTACTAGTATGTTTATGTTTATGTTTTTGTTTTTTGCTTTTCGCCTGCGCAAAACTCTCTCCCTGTCGATGTTTTTGATGGTTTTATGCGATCGCATTTCCTCGTCTGATCTTGCTCCTCAGCCATGCGGATCCCCGCGCTCCAGACGGATCCATGTGATCTGTCGCATCCGGCGTGCGATCCTGCCTCGGTGCCTTTACCTCCATCGCCACCGGAATCACCACCCGCGGAGCGAACCGTGGGACCAGGTGAGTTGGATGGCTCGGGCCGTTCCAGTCCCAGGTTAATGGCCACTGCATCTCCTATCTCGTCAAGCCCGACCAGAGCCTCTGCCATGTCCACGGCTCCCACGGAGGACGGTCCCCCAGTTTCTTTTGAGGATTTTGCCACTCAATATCGCCAGAACCAGCGCAAGCAGGCCCAACGAAAGCGCCTGGAGAAGCGTCTGCGTGCCACCAAAGTTTCCATCGGTGTATCGGCCCGTCTGATCCGCGTCGGGGCGACTGTGCAGCGCGGTCTCGTGGAAGCTTTGAAACATGATGACAAGGTCAATTTCGCTGCTCTCTATCACACACTCCATGATCTCCAGGAGTCCTGCGGTGCCGCCGTCCGGCGTGACGACCCACAGGACTGGGATGACGAGCGCAAACTATCCTCATCCTCGGAAGCCGAGCTGGACCGTTCCCCGGATTTCTTCCACCAGCTGAGTCCCCAGTCCCGGACGGACCTGCTGGAGATCCTACGGCTGGTCCGTTCTGATCCACAGTTCTTGGTCGATCGTTTGCGCAGCTTGTCCTCGGCCCAGTTGACCGCATTTACCTCACCCGCCACGGTTTTGGATTCGGGTGACCCTGCATTTTCTTCTTCGTCCCGGGCTCGGAACCAAGCTTTTTTAAGTCGAAACCAGGCCCAGTCTGCTTCATTTAAGGACCATGCTTATGCCTTGGAGAGAACCGATCCGCTGTCTATTCTGCTTTGTAACGTTTTCGCCGCACCTTTGGATCCCGAGACTCCGGAATCCCGCCTGCGCGTGGACGTGTGGTCCTCCGTGTGTGCTCAACTAATGTCCCACGGCAGCAGTAGATACTACCCACTCATCGGCCAAATCCTCTCCTCGTGGGCCACGGGCAGCACCTGGAAAGCCCGGCCCAAGTTTGAGCTTTACCTTATGGATATCCTGCAAACCGGTGCTTTTCTGTTGGAGCATATAGATACCCCCGCGGGTTTGGATTTTGCTTCCGATGCCTTGGATCCCTTGCGGACCGATGTTGCAGAGGAGTTCTTTGCTTCTGCCGTGGATGATCTGTTCCAGGTGCTCGACGATCCAGATGGTGGCTTTCCTCGTGCTGTCTTGCAGTTTGCTAAAGCTGTCCTGCGGAAATTGGACCAGCCAGAGGTCCGCAGCCGTTTCCTGGAGTTCTTGTTCGTTCAGTGGTTTTTCTCCAAGTTCCTCTACGGCGCCTTGACCTACCCTGAGGTATATGCCCCTTTTTCCTTTCGCTTTTGAGCTGACCGGCAAGGCTGACCATGTACTTACTGTTTTCTTTTCATGATAGACGCACGGTCTTCTACTAGACTTTCACATTCGGAAGGATGCTCGCGAGAAATTGCTCGGCCAAGTTGGGCTGCGCGCCTACTCCCAGGTCTTTGCTGTTTTGCGCTCGATGTATGTTTCGGTCCCTCGGTCTGGCTGTATCGCAAAGCGACCCAGTCCACATCGATTCTAGAATTGCTGATCATTTCCAGGCATCATTTCTCGATTCCCCGCCCGGCTATCAGGGAGCGTGTTGAAAACATGCTTTCTCAATTCCAGAGCATGACGCCTCCCGATTCATCCACTTTGGACTCTTCCCTCCCCATCCATAAACCGAGTCGGCGCAACTCTTCCTCAACTTTCCTGACATTGTCTGCTACGGACGTCCTTACCCTCCTAGACGCTCTTTTCCCACACTCTCATTCTCCTCAATTATCTCCAGCCTCGGCAGTTATCCCTACTTGGTCATCCAGCCAGGCGTCTTCCTTTAACCTCCGCTCAGAGCCGCACATTGAACCGGGTTTTCTCCGTCCCAGGCATGACACAGTCCCACGACCTGCCTCTCTCAATGGATCTTTATTCTCGATAGAAGCTCCCTCAATATCAGTCCCTGGGCAGGGACTCGGTCAAAATGCAGCTCGGATACGCTTCGAGCTGACGGACCTGGATGACCCCAACGAGCATCTGAGCTTAGAGCATCCCTCGGATGAACATTGGACAATCTTTTCTGTTGGCAAAGACGGCTATGGTCTAACCTGGAGCCTACTCCCTGACTGCAGACCGGAGATTTCCAAGTCCCTCATCGCTGAGACCGACGATGATGCTCTGTCCACGGCTCTAGGGTTGGAAGAAAACCACGAAGCTTTGCAAACAGCCATCGTGCGACTGATCAAGGAAAATCGCTTCCGTGACTCGGATGACTATGAATTCCTTCCAAATACTTCTCTGTCAACCCCTAAGTCACTGAAGCAGCGGTTCAACCAGGCCATGGCTTATTGCCATCATGATTCAGACTTTGTTGGCGCACACTACTGGTGGAATGCCTCTCGGCAGCTCCGACAGGGGATGAGTACTCATCCCTCGCGCGCTGCGGACGATTCATGGATTCTGGGCCGCATGCATGACTCTTGTGTTCGCTCATTGAGCCAGTCACGAGCTGTCATTGAGCAGTGCGAGGGTGATTTTGTGTCTCTTGACCAAAGTCTGCGTCGGCTGCAAATCCAAGTCAAGGAAATGGCGACCACCGCTGCCAAAGTCCGTGATAAGATGTGGTACATGACGGACGTCAAAAATTCCATGAAGTACGAGGAAGCCAAACACGTGGCCATGGCTCTGAAAACCATGATCTACTCTGCTCGGCTTTGCAGCCAATTTCCGGAAGAGCAGCGATCTCAAAGCAGCGCTCGATCTCTGGGGGCGTCTTTGTTCCAAAAGCCCGAACTGCAAGTCATGAATATGATCAAGGCGCCGAGCAGCCAGGGTGGACCGAACAAGCTATCCGATGAGCAGGTAGACCTGACTCGAAAGTGGCTGTCCCACAATGGAATCGAGAATTTCTGCAAAGGCGAAGAGCGAATCCACCGTTTTTGCTATGAAGTCCGCACAAGCATCAACCGACTCGTGGGTGAAACCATGGCGGAGACGCCGGTGCTGTGGGCAAGCGAACTATTCCAGAGGGAACGGGCAAGATACGAAGGTCACGGCACCCGTGGCTTTCCAGGACTCTCCATGCCTACGACCCCTCGCCCTTCAACGACCGCTAGCGAGGATCTTGTGCATTCGTCTCACATGTACGGCGCCAATCTGACTATGCCCGACCCGCTTTCTCGACTTTCTCAAGATAGTCCATCCTTGGGTCGGAAGTCTTCAATTCAGAGCCTACTCTCCGATAAATGGCGACCTCCGCGGGATCTCCCTTCCATAGATGTGTCTTCTGTCGGAGGATCCCCGGGTCGTGCTGATTCGACATCGACGGGTGATACCTGCAGCACTTTCTGGTCTGCGCCTCAACGCCATCCCATGTATGCAGGCAGTGTGTCGAGCGTTTACTCGCGACCTTCGTCAATGTTTAGCGAGACTGCTACACGCCAACCCCGTCGTACTGAACGCAAGACTCATGGCAAAACGGCATTCATGGACGGCTTGAGACAGACTCTGACTAGTCTCCTCTTGAGTGATTTGGGCTCCCCGGTCTGGAGCTGTGGCAGTGAAACAGACGCCTGGTTCACCGATGCTCTCAACCAGAGGCGAATCCGGACGCAAATGCAGAGACGCGCTGCTATCCAGAGATTCTATACCGACTATTATGAGCGGTCGAAACGTCTTGGAGAGCAGCGTGGACCTATAAGAGGTCGGCGAAGCAGGTCTCTCGATCCTCCCAGCGTGCAGGCACGCGGGTCAACGGGCACAAATGCTTCGTTCAGATCATCGCAGCCATCTTCCGATGTGGACGGCCAAGCAGCTTTCTCATACCAGGCGGTCTTCCATCGCCTGATTGAGGTGTTCTCGCGACACGGCAGCCCATTCGTCAAGTTAAATGCGTTGCGAGATCTGCGATCGCTGGTGATTGCATCGCTAAACTCGTCGCACGAGGCCGACTTCTCTGATACGGCCACGGTGATCTCAGCTGGCGAAAATGAACGAATGCGGGAAAGTCGGTCTCGACCGCGCGATCGATCTAGACAGCACAGCTTCTCAGAAACTCGTACGCCTGAGATGCCACAATTTGACGCCGGACTGCCTCCATCTTCTCCGCCGGAGTCTGTCACTTACGGCTCCAGACGATCCGACTACTCCACGCCGTCTGAAGATCAAATCGTCGGGAAATTGCGCGAGCTCATCCTCGAGGCCAATCCCAAGACCCTGTTCCGCGATCTGCAGTTCATTTCAGCCTTTGTGTCTGGGGACCAGCTGAACAAGACCGACCGCGGCACAGCCTTCCTCCAATTTGGGCTGGCCGCCCTGAGCCTCAAGGAGGAAATCTGTCACAGCATGGTCGAGATCGCCGACCGCATTGTTTCGGAAGAGCTCACGCGGCGCCACCCGCCCCCAGGATCCGAATTCTACCTGCGCCCGGCTCATGCCATTGAAGACGCCGCGGGCATGTGGATCATCACCGCAAAAGAGGGCAACGCCGTCGCCCAGCGCGAGCTGGCCATATTCTACCTGACCCATCCGGAGCTTCTTCCGCGCGTGACACTGCCTTTAACCCTCCCGCGCGATACTTTCAAGGCGGAGATGATGTACCGTCGTGGTAAGGACTCCAAATCCGACCCACAGAGCATGTGTCTGGCGCTGCACTGGATGCAGCTGTCGGCCAGTGGTGGTGACATGCTTGCGCGCAATCGACTACGTGAGCGGGAGGAGTTTGATTCCATTGCATAAGCTGGTCTTGGTTTTATTTTATTTTCCTTTCTTTTCGTTCATTTCCTTTTTCCCCCTTTCTCCCTTTTTCTTCCTTCGTTGCCTGATATATACCCTTGGGGGGCTTGCTCTGCGAATCATTTTCGCTGGCGTCAATTGAGATTTTTTTCTGTTGCATAAGTACCGGATTTTCTCTGCCATTTCCTGGCCTTCCTTTCCTCCCTACTGTTCCCGTGCTTAGTTCTTGGTGCATTCTTGCTGGATAGAATTGAGTACTTTAAGCACTTTCCCCCCGGCCTGGATGTGATAGTTATACAGAACGGTGGTCTGCTTTCTCCCCCAAGTCGCCCCCACCTTAGGGCACGGCTACCCAAGTAGTATTTATGGCCCCTTGGAGCTTGACTCGTGAGCTGCATTGCTCCTCTCTTGGTATGGGTATCACTGACTCTTCCAAGGTTACGTGTATACTTGTCTCTGTCCTGATTATGTACCGACTGCCACGATCTTGTCTAGTTATTCTGTATGTCTCTGGTCTCGGGGGTTTTGAATCTTGTATCATAGTTCTTACCAGCCCATTCTTTCCTTCTCTGGTGTATCACTTTTCCTGGGAAGGTCGCACAAGTTCAATAAAATGATGGCTTTCATCTTCTTACTCAGCCCGAGATCTCCATTCAAGACCATCCTACACACAAGGCTTCTCACAAGGCTCCTCTCTAATGCCCGATCCTGTTCTTTAAGTTTCATAACAAGGCTGTGCGTAGTAGCTACCCCTAGTAGTCGGATTCACACCAACATCTACGCACCTTTTGTCTGTATAGCTGGATGATGGTCTGACTCGATGTGGGGGGTGAGTTAGGCCACTATGATCTAACCCCTCCGCCTGAACCTTGATTCATTCATCTTCGCTCCTGGGGGCTCTATAGTAAGAGGATAATGATAATAATAATTTTCGATCCACTTCCCTTCTCTCTCGATGTGCCAAATCTTCCACATACCACGTTTGGGAACCATTGACACTATCCATAGTGTCTCCAAGCCCGATGCTTGCAAGTCCCAAAGCAAAGTATATTGTTACCTGTGGATAATGGCGTTCCCATCTCAGTTGGGTCTGCTTGCTGGCCATGTTTCTTGGATTCATTCAAGGGCACAGTCTTCTCAAACAGGACCAGAGCAAGTATGCCATGAACCAATGGGGCATTACATGGGACCCAAGCTGCCGAGATCTCAACCCGACGAACAAGAAGGAGACAAAACAAGATTTCGTCAAGCGAGCATGGGCTGGCGCGATGGAGCTGAGTAATTCGGGCTGAAAACGCTTTCAAAAGACATCTGCCAGGTTGGAGAAAGGGCCGCTGTCACCGAAGGCTCAGGAGGAAATCAACAAGGAGGACCCGGCGTATGTGAATCTCTCTTTCTCCCGGTTCTCCATACTTGTTCCCTCGAGGCTATCTCATTAATGACGACTCTTGCTGAGCAGGTATGTCCAATTCTTCGCACTTGACTGGTCCAAAGAAGGCGTGGGACGCATTCAATCTGTGTTGAAGCATTTAGCTCTCCGAGCCAATGCAGACCCAGGAACCAAGCGCCGCCCTTCAGAACTCAGAAGCACCATCGACATCAATTGCAAAGACAAGTGGATGGAAGATGACAAGGATGAATGTCACAAAACTTTGGCTTTCCTCGAGAACCAGACGGACCCGGACGATGATACGGAGTGGGCCAATTCAATCTTGAATTTCTGTCCCGACATTTGGTCGCTCCCTCGATACGATCGGCTCAAAACCGCGGCGCAAGTGAACGAAGCTTATGAACAGGGCGTGTCAGCAGCCGACTATATGCTCGTCCGGCGGAACATGTACCAGGATCCATCTTGGTATGGTACAGATGGTAGGTGCTCGCTTCGCTTCGCTTCACTCCCCCGGTTCTCCAGAACTAGATCAAAAGCACATTTCTTCTTCTTCTCCTTCTTCTTCTGCTTTTTTTCTGAATAATCTCAATAGCCACTACGGTTGCTCCTGAGTCGACTCATGTCTTCTGGATTGGTTCCACAAACGAAGAAAACGAACGAGATATCTGTTACGACGTCGATGAAATACGTGGACTGCAGAAATGTGCAGAAATGGCCTGGCGCAAAGGCCACCCGATTCCCGATAACCATCGGGTTACATGGAACGCCCCTTCCTATCAGAACTATCTGGAATATGGCCGCTTTGTGGAGCTGATGGAGAAAGATCTCTGGCCTAAGAAACTCAAGCCTGTGATGTTGCCGGTTCGTTACCGACAGCAAGGTTGTTGCGGATGAGATTTATGATGTATACCGTCTCTGAAGTGACAGGCTAATTCAATTTATGCTACTCAAAAAAAAAAAAAAAAAAAAATAAAGAATTGAGAGCATTCTGAATCCTAATACGCAGGGCATACTTCCACCATTGTGTTGATTGAGTATCATTCGATTCTCGTCTCGGTCGACGATATCAGCCTCATATTCGGTGTCATCAACCAATAAATCACACCTCACCCTCCCTCTCTAACACCTGATCCGATTCGAAGCGAAGCCCAGCATTCTTCCGCAGCACGCCATACATGGATGAGGAATCCGAAGCCCGGTGGTTGACTTCGCTATACTTGTGCGCTTCGTCGAGGTGCTTCGAGACCACCTCAGCAACTGGCAATGCTGTCCCCGCCGCCCTAGCGCAGCTGATTCCCATGTTCACATCTTTCTGTGCAAGTTGAAGGTCGGACCATGGCCGTTCCCCCCTCTTTGGGAGGTAGAATCCTCCCGTCATGCGCTTGGACATTGCCAAGGGCAGCGGGCCATACTGCTCCTTAAGCAAGGACTCCATGGACTCGCTGCCGATGCCGGTCTTTTCTGCAAAGACCTGTGCCTCGGCCACAAGCTCCATCATGCCGGCAGTCAAGAAGTTCCTAAAGATACGTCCGATCAGTGGGAATCATCTAAAGAGAATCAGAAGAAAAAGGAAGAAAAAGAAAGACAGGGAAAGATCCAAACAATACCCTGCAGTCTTCAGCATTGTCGCTTGTCCAACATCGTCTCTTAAGCGGAGCACTTTTCGGGCCATAACGCCCACCAAGAAGGGTTGGATAGTCTCTACATGCTCCTCCTCGCCCGCGACAACAAACAACAGCTCCCCCTTTTCCGCCACGGGACTGGCTCCGAACACGGGTGCAGCTACAAAGCTGACATCCTCTTCCTTGAGGGTTCGCTGTGCCCAACGAGACGTGTCCGGGTGGACAGTAGAGGTGTCGACAATGATTTTCTGGCCGAGGTTATTGGCCGTGACAGCACCCAGGATGGATGTGATAATGGCTGTGAGCGCCTCATCGTCGCTAACTGAGATAAAACAGATATCAGAGTGAGAGATCACATCTTCAACGCTGGTTTTCTGCTCGCCGCCAATCTTGCCCAGTGCCAGTCCGCGCGCCAGGGTGCGGTTGTAGAAGCGCAGAGATGGGGCGCCGCTGCGATGCAAATGCTTTTGGAGGTTCAGGGCCATGGCCTGCCCCATTGAGCCGAGTCCTATGAATGGTCAGCTGATGTCCACTTCTCAGTCGGGGTTATGATGATTGCGATGTTACCTATCCAGCCTACTCTTGAGTGGCTCTCACTCGCCTCGCCATGCGGTTGTTCCGGGCTCTGAGAGGCCATGATCAAGAGTTGGAATGATCGTGTTGAATATGCGGTGCTGGTTTGAGGATGGCAAGGTGAAAGTGAGGGAGATTTGAGGGGCAGGGCTAAATTGACTCATGTCAAATATGCTGCTAGCGTATACTTGCTAGCGCGCTGATTGGGTTGACTCGGAAATTTACCACTAGGCCACGAAAAGCTAGGGATCCTTCCCTCTGGTTCGTGTGATTTCTGGTTCATTAGATCTTACTTTCGGTCTTCCCGTTGTGTTCCTCTTTTTTGCGTGTATATTCAACCTTGTTGTGGAGAACTATACCCAAGTTCTTTGGTCGGTTTTAGTCGTTTAGCCTGACAGTCTTAACGTTATATTAAAATCCCCGTCGAAACCTCCATATTTATTTGTATATTCACTACATTTTCCAAATCACGGGCTTGGTGAGGTTGCTGTGGCTGTTGCTACCTGAAGGTCAACTGTGACGATCGGACCGACGTCATCGCGCTGCCCCACCAACGTCTCCCTCACTCGGCTGACTTGGCCGTGTGCTCTCTCCTTTCCGACTCTTCTGCGTTTCCTCTCTCTCTATTAGTCCAGTTCTCTGTCTCTTTCTCTGCCCATTTTCTCTGACCTTGCCATACTCATCCGGCGTGACCCAGCCTCTGCGTACCGACTGCAACGAACCAGTTCCGACCCTGATCAGAAATAAAGACCTCTTGATCTCCCCTCGAGACTGGAATTCTCGTGTCTCTGCGTCCATTTGAAAATTGGGCGGTACATTTTTCCTTTTAACCGATCTCATCCACGATGACGACCGCACCGCATATACCAGCCAAGGCGCACAGCACCGAGGATGTGCACCAGCGGCCAAAAGGTGAGTTGGCACCCTCGGGATGGCCTCCAGCAGGATGTGAAATTCAGGCTTTAACTCGGCGAGACTGTAGGCATCTTGAAGAACTCTTATTCTTTCCAGGCGACAGCCCCCGCCGTGCCAGCGACCACGCCACCCTCGGTGCCAACCAAAACGGAGCCTGAAGAAACCAAAGACCTAACGCTTCAAAACACTCTGCAGAATGCAGGTCGGCGTCGTTCCTCGTCCACCACACACCCTGGCTCCTCGTCTCGCAGACAGTCGCTCGTCAGCGCCCACGACGACAACTCACCCCGCCTCAAGTGGGACGAGGCCAATCTGTATCTGACGGAGCAGGAACGAACGGCCAAGATGAAGATCGACGAGCCCAAGACCCCGTACGCCCCGCACTACGACCCTGCCGAGGACGAGGAAGAGCTCCGGCTTGAAGAAGCCCAGGAGAGCCTGATCGATGCCCAGGACGTTGTGGTGGACGAGCTCGACAAGACCACCAAGGGTGGCCACCACAAGAAGGGCGTCTCAGAGGACGACATCCCTGATCTCGAGCTGGGCGAGGCTGAGGAGTCTTTGCCTGCTGGGTCTGATGCTGCGTCGGATCCTCGCATTTTCCGCGACCGCAGCTTGAGCACCGACTCGCACAGGGGCGAGAAGCATGTCCATGTTGGCACAGACGCAGCTAACGGTGATGCAGCGTCCAGTGGTGATCATCTGTTGACTACCGAGGAGGCCCAGGCAAAACACCGCCAGTTTGAGCAACAGCGGAAGAGGCACTACGAGATGAGAAACATCAAGGAGCTGCTTGCGTAAGTTGACACGTAGTCTCTGCTTATCGCACTTCTAATTTTTTTTTTAATATACTACAGCCACCCAGAGCAGTTGGATGAAATGGAAGAAGAAGAAGATGCCGAGCCTGGTCCTCCGCCTACGGTCCCTCAGATTCCTGAACGGTTCCGCAATGGTGGCCGATAGGTACCCAGCCTGAAATCTGGGATTGACGCCTGTCTGTACCATCTTGCTTTCCTGGTGTTCTTCTCCGTCTTTCCTTGAGATGCTCGAGACTGCTTCTCCTTCGCTGTTTTGGTTCGCATCATTTCCACTCCCTTTCATGTGTTCTGTGTATATTCCCCAGCGACTTGTCATTCCCAAGCTCTCCCTTCTGCCTCGTTTTGCTTCATCTGGGTTGTCTTTTGGTGGAGACCTGTGCTCCCCTCCAGATTGGGGTTTCTTTGCTGTCTTCACTTTGGAATTGCGCGAGATCAACGATATACATTATTGGGCCTTGGCCGAGGTTCCATCCTTTGTGCACATTTTGATTTCTTGTCCACCTCCCTTTCCCCGTGGGCCCAGAGGCTCTGTCCTGGTTTTTAGACTTGTCCAGTGGCAATCCAGTTGATATTTGTAAGACATTGAAGCATAAGTGACCCACATCTTCAATGATCTGCTTGCTATGCAATAAGGAATAAGGTAGACACGAATAGGCTCGGTGATCTCGGTGTCTCCCGAAGTGGAAGAAAAGCTAATAAACAGAATCCTCTCTCCTGCTTCACACACATCTGATGAAATATATAGTAGCGTGTACCTCTTGAAGCCTTTGTTCTAGAGAATCAAATAATCAGCGCAATATCTTCATTGCCTCGGATGCCCTAGAACCCTTCGACATCATATATACCTAGAATTTCCCCTTTCAGCAACGAAAGTCAGCCTGTAGAGTTGTTGACTCGAATATCATGTATCATTGTGTCGCTCCGTATTCCAGGGTTCCGATATCGGCCTGGATATCACGCCCCTCGACCATGCCCTAATTGATCTTACTTGTAGTCTTTCTAGGATTCCTATATACTATGAAACCGATATTTCTGCCACTTTCGAGTGCTATCAGACTAACATCGATTTCTCTCATCTAATAATCCCAATGCCCATGTCCCACTCGTAGATGATAATGCAAAAGATATGAGCTCGGGAGTACGGCAGCGATTGCGGTAGCGATCGCTGCAATAACCGCAGGAATGGCTATGCTAAGGATAGCAAGTGTTTCCCTAACCAATACGATGTCTATAGACATTCTGCGCCGCTACTAGCGATGGTAGGCCAAATATCATCTGCAGATTGATTTTCTCTTTTCTTTCCGAGCTGCAGGAAATGAAATCATTCCTTACAAACGTGTAGGTTAGAAAGAAAAGGAGAGACCAAAAAACAAATATCAATAACTCCAGTTCAGATCAATTCAAGGTGGTTGTTGCCGCAGTTTTGAAGGAGGAACATAGCAACTAGACCCAGAAATTAAAGATCGTTCGCTTGCTAGTGGCGGCCGATCAGAAGCATGGGCCACTTTCCCGCGCCGTCTGGCATTTCCATGGATCTGGAAGTATGGCCCGTGCCATTGAATAGATCATCTGTGGCCAGGCACCGCACCAAGACCCGGTCTCTGGGGCAGAGGAGGAGGGAGTTTCCAAGGCCGCGATAGGCCGCGATCATCTGGGTGGTTGCAATGAGTCGCGATGAGTCGCTTAGTCGTCGCTGTGAGTCGCCCTAGGCTCCGTATGACGGGTGGGGACCGATTGATAAGTGGGCCAACCCCTGCTTTCTTTCTTTCTTCAACCATCTCCTGATCTCTCCCACCTTTGCATTCGTTTCATTCGTTTCTCAATTTCTTCCCATCACAATTGTCTGTTGCATCTTCCAGCGCTATGGCTGATCAGAAGCCTGTTGAAGACCCTGCCCCCGTGTCTGCGCCGGAGAAGCGGGAGGAACCCGTGTCGGCTGCTGGAACTGACAATGCCGCCATCAAGGCCGCGTCCGCCACCGGTTCCGTCGTGAAGGAAGATGCGCTGGCCACTGAGACCGCAGCCAAGGATGCCGCCGCTCTGGAGTCCGCCCCCAAGCCGGATGAGTCCAAGTCTGATGAGCCATCCTACCTTGCCAACAACCCGGCTCTGAAGAAGTTCTTTGGAAGTCTCCCTGGCCTTGTTACCAGCACCGGTCATGCCGAAATGTGGGGTGTGCCCCTCAAGGACAGCAACGACATTCCCACTGTCAATGTGTTGATCAAGTTCCTGCGTGCCAATGAAGGCAATGTCCAGGCGGCCGAGGACCAGCTTTGCAAGGCTCTCGAGTGGCGCAAGGAAATCAACCCGCTGGCGCTCGTCGAGTCCGGTCAGTTCAGCGCTCGCAAGTTCGCCGGTCTGGGATACCTGACCACCTATGAGGACGAGGGTCGTCTGGAGGTGTTTACCTGGAACATCTATGGCGCCGTCAAGGATGTGAAGTTGACGTTCACCGACACGGACGAGTAAGCAGATCACCACCCCGCCTCTGAGCCCTAACCCCGATCATCGGAGCTGACAATTGCTTTTCACTGTGCAGATTCGTCAAGTGGCGTGCCACGCTGATGGAGTTGGCCGTCCAGGAGCTGAAGATGAAGGACACAACCGAGGTCATCCCCTACGACGGCGAGGACCCCTACCAGATGGTCCAAGTGCACGACTACCTCAACGTCAAGTTCTTCAGCGTCGATGCCGTCGTGCGCACCGCGACCCAGAAGACCATCGAGGTCTTCGCCACCGCCTACCCCGAGCTTCTTCGCGAGAAGTTCTTCGTCAACGTCCCCGCCGTCATGGGGTGGATGTATGCGGCCGTCAAGGTCTTCGTGTCCAAGAAGACCACCCGCAAGTTCCACCCCATCTCATATGGGACCAATCTGGCGCGTGAGTTCCCGGCGGCTGTGGCAGACAAGCTGCCCAAGGCGTATGGTGGAAAGGGACCTGAGCTGGACGTGGCCGGTCGGATCGTGCCCCTGGTGGAGGATGCTGGGAAAGAGGACTTGAAGTAGGAAGCTCATGTGGCTGGCGTGCTGATTCTCTCTACTGTGATACCCAAAGTGATCAAAGAAACTCTCTGCTCTACTTCTCTTTGTCTCCACGCTCTGGGAAGCTTCCCCAAACATGCGCCGGAGCATTAGCCTTAGGATACTAATTTTAGTCCATTTGAGAGTGGACCGATTTCCCGTAAACTTGAATTCTCTGGATTTCACGTCACTTCCTGTCATTCCCACGTTACTTTCCTCTTATTTTCCCATGGCCTATCTTGCTCAAGGATCTTGTGCAAGCAAAGAAGTGTCTCCCGAGGCCCGCGTGCTCCAGTGGTGTGGTGGGGTGGGCAGCTGCTACGGGGGACTACAGCACCAGCTACGCAACTCCAGCACTTTCTTATCGGCCAAGCTCTCTCTTCCTCGTCGCTTCGCCGACGTTGGATGAATTGGCCGTCAATTACCTATTCATTCTACCCCAGCTTGCTTTCGACTCAATCTGTCATCTTTTCTGAGTCGCTCCTCAGCATGCGACTCGCAATCCTCTAACTCGGCCCTTGAAAATCGCACGTTATTCATCCGACCCTACTCGATAGGCCTGGTCGTCTACTGGCATCCTCTTTGAATCGCCTGCCTTCCTTTCTACCATCACTCTCGCCATCATGTCCGTCTGGAACCCGGACAATATTCGCGATGTCGCCGAATCTGTCGGCATGGTCAACCTCAGCCACGATGTGACCGAGAATCTCGCTCGCGACGTTGAATACCGGGTGGCGCAGGTGCTGGAAGAAGCTCTCAAGTGCATGCGCCATGGAAAGCGCACGCTGCTCACCACCCAAGACATCAGCCTTGCTTTGCGGAACCTGGACGTGGAACCGCTGTATGGCTACGAGTCTGTCCGCCCGTTGAGATTCGGTGAAGCGTCCCTGGGACCCGGGCAGCCGTTGTTTTACGTTGAGGATGAGGAGGTGGATTTCGAGAAGCTCATCAACGCGCCTTTGCCCAAAGTCCCTCGAGAAGTTTCCTTTACCGGTGAGTGGATTAACATCATGGGGCTGGTATCGCGCTCTGCTAATACTCCCGCGCAGCCCACTGGTTGGCCGTCGAAGGCGTGCAACCGTCGATCCCTCAGAACCCTACCGCCGCAGACTCTCGCAACCTCGAATTGGTATCCAAGGGCCCGAACGCAAACTCCACTCTGGCCGCCATGAGCGGCACTGGCGACGTGGCTGTCAAGCCGTTGGTGAAACACGTGCTGTCGAAGGAGCTGCAATTATATTTCGAGAAAGTTTGCAGTGCATTCTTGGATGAAACCAGTGAGGATTATCGAACCTCTGGGTATTCCAGTCTGCGCGAGGACCCGGGCCTGCACCAGCTAGTGCCGTACTTTGTGCAATTCATCTCGGAGAAGGTCACCCACAGCCTCAAAAATATCTTCGTTCTCACCCAGGTCATGCACATGGCCGAAGCCTTGGTCCAAAATTCGACCCTTTACGTGGATCCTTACGTGAGTTAAGATCGTGCTCCTTTGCCTACCCGATATTGAAATCTGACCACCCCCAGGTTGCATCCCTTGTTCCCTCCATCTTGACGTGTCTGATCGGTCGACAACTTGGTGGAACTGCGGATTCGGCTGAACAATTTGCCCTGCGCGATTTGGCGGCCTCATTGCTGGGTATGATCGCGAAGAAATATTCTCATTCGTCCCACATGCTCAAGCCCCGTCTTGCGCGCTCGTGCCTGAAGAGCTTCCTGGACCCATCCAAGCCATTCGGTGCTCACTACGGGGCTGTCATCGGGTTGCAAGCCGTGGGTGGTGCCGAGGTGGTGCGTGTGCTTGTGCTTCCTAATTTGGGCGAGTACTCCAAGCTGCTCAGTGACGGTCTCGAGGATGCCGCTCGTCGTCCTGCTGCAGAGCGCGTGCTGAATGCCCTCGTGGCTGTACTTGCCTCCCTTCGTGATGGCCACCCATCTTTGACCAATGGCCACCCTGCCGTTGTGACAGATGATCTGCGTTCGCGCTTGAGCGAGAAAGTGGGTGATCTCATTGCGGCCCGAATTGCTGATACGAGTGAGGTGCAGCTGGCCCATGCTATCCTCGAGGGATAAGCCTATTTCTCCTCTTATACCTGGCTTGTGCATATGGTCAACTGGCCGAGGGTGTGGTCTCTCGTGTACTTTCGGTCGCCCAATGTGGCATGGCGTTCGGACTCGGGCGTTAGGACTGTCGGGGTTTCTTGAGCCTGGGTTGCTTTTTTTTCCCCTTTCTGTATTTTCTACTTCTATCAGCCATGCATCATTCTTCTATATCCATGGATCTGTCCATTGCCTCGAACATAGAAATGCTCACCTCAGCAACTGTCAAGTCGGAACCGTCGAAGGTTTGGAACATTCTTGGAACCATGTAGTTCTGCCATGTCTCACCGCTCATGTGCAAGATTTCGGTGGGTGCCATTCTTTTCCTTCCTCAGTCAATCTCGTCCCGAGACGATCTGCATAGTGCAGTGGTGATTGACTAAACAATTCGGGTGTGGCACCTCACAACTCTGTCTATAGCTTGTTATTTGCTGGTTGTTGACGCACAATTTGACGATCTTGTGCCCTTATGTCAATCAGATTTTGAACCATTGCGCCCCACGACACCGCGGGCCCACAGACAAAATCACTCATTACCAACCATCCTGCATCTGCCCCAGCCAACCTTGTGCAGCTGTTGTTCCCCCTCTGTTTCAAGGTCATAAAAAGGCCAGAAATTGTCCCACATTCCTCTTAGTCTTCTTTTTTTTTTTCTTCCTTCACAATCCATTGAGAGATCTCTTTTTTTGCTCTCTGCTGCCTGCCCGGAGCATTCAATTTGATCTCGGGCACCTATTGGGCTACTGGCAAGAACGTCTGACCGACATTCTTTTTGCTTGTTTCCCTCCCTGCTGATGTTCACGATTGTAGCCGTGCGCTACATTGTGCTGCTTTGAGCTCAATTCTTTTCCTGCCTTCCATGAACCCAAAGGATCTGCTGCGATTCCTGTCTAAGCCAGCAAAGTATGTGTGAAATTTTTTTCTCCTGTCAGAACTTTCCCATTTCTACCCCTCATTGCTTTCCCACTTTTGCTTATATGGGTTGTTTTTCCATTCTGGAACTATCGGCCCACAACGCTATTGTGGACACTTCAATTGCAATTGTGTGCTGCGATGTGTTGTCCCGCCATGTCACCCCCCCAGACTCCCTTGCTTACTTTTTTCTTGCCTTCAGGCCCCGATAACACGACTCGCCCCTGTCGTCACCATTCTCAATCCTCCACACTCTTGAAAAAAAAAAAAAAACTCTCGTCCGCTAGACCCGATACTTTGACCGGTATCGGTATCTTCCAGCACGAGGGTACCATACAGATAGCCACCATTCCTTCGAGCATCTTTTTCCTCTCCTTCGCCTTTCGCCCTCCCTAGCGACCCTTCAGGTCTCTCCAGTTTCTTTCCATCTGCCTGGCCTGCCAGCCAGTTTCTTCCTTGTCCAAGGGCCTTCTCTTCTCAGACGGACACCGCCCCCTTGTTCGTCTGGGTAAGTAGACAGTGCTTCTACAGCCTTTGTTTCTTTTCGTCGATCGGTCCCTAGGGCATTTCGACGTCACTGCTTCTCTTTGATTTTCCATTTCCAGCATCGCTGTACGCGCAGATACGTCAGCCCCGGCTGCATCAATCAGCAGATATGGTTCATGTCAACATTCCGAAAAACTACACTGCCTCGCCGTCCTCTTTGGCGGGCACGCCTTCTCTGACCATCAACCATGAAGCTGCTCAGGACCTTGACTCGACCAATGCCTTCGAAGGTTTGTCAATCCCTTCTAACAGAACAACTTGCACAATACTAACTGTTTGGGGCAGGTCCCGAGAAGCTTTTGGAAGTGTGGTTTGCACCCTCTTCTACCGAACTAGGCGCCGCCGGCCCCGAGGGCCTCAAGAAGGTGCCGTGCGAGATCTGGAAGGATATGCTGGATTTGGTCAACTGCCAGGTCCTGTCAATTGTCTCGTCGGAGGATGTGGATGCCTATCTCCTGTCGGAATCTAGCATGTTCGTCTGGCCGCACAAGCTGATCCTCAAGACTTGCGGAACTACAACCTTGCTGTCGGGTCTGCCACGTATCTTGGAAATTGCCACCTTGTTCGCAGGGTTCCCTCGGGCTACGGCCCCGCCCTCCCGTGGAATTGCGGTGGCTGCGGCTCCTTATCGGGTCTTCTACAGCCGCAAGAACTTCCTGTTCCCTGACCGCCAGCACGGTCCTCACCGCAGCTGGCGCGATGAGGTCCAGTCCATGGACCGACTGTTCGTCAACGGAAGCGCCTACATGATTGGCAAAATGAATGGCGAGCATTGGTATCTGTACCTCACCGAGCCTCACACGTTGCTTACGCCACCGGCCAGCCCCAAGGATGAAGTCAATTTCGCTGAGACCGAAACCAAGGTTCTCAACTTCCCAAAGGAGGTTCCGGGCGTGGACTGTGATGAGTATGACGAGACTCTTGAGGTCCTGATGACTGACCTGGAAGAGGAGAATGCGAAGCAGTTCTATCTGGAAAATGCCACCACCGTCGCCGAGAAACGCTATCTCAACTACGACAAGGATGAAGGTGTTGAGCACGTGGATGTGTTCAGTAACACGTCGGATCTTGAGGACTCGGACGGAGGACGCATCTTGCCACCAGAGCTGACCACCGAGGGTCACGCTCTCGGTACTGTGGTCTCTGAATCGTGTGGCCTCTCCGATGTGTACCCCAAGAGCAAGTTCCCGGATGCCCGCATTGACGCGTACCTTTTCACACCCTGCGGCTTCTCTGCCAACGGTGTTGTGCCTGCTCCGGACAGTAAGGCTCCGACTCATTACTTCACCGTGCACGTCACGCCGGAGCCACAGTGCTCGTACGCATCTTTCGAGACCAATGTTCCGCACTCGCAGAATGGCCAAACCACCGCCGACATTATCAAGCAGGCTGTTGAAATTTTCAAGCCCGGTCGCTTCAGCGTCACTCTGTTCGAGACTAAACCTGCGGTCGACGAGGTCGAAAATGAGGCGCATGCGCACAATCAGTCTCTCCGCCGCAGTCCCAAAATGGAGCATGTCGATGGCTACCGTCGCGTCGACCGCATCGTTCATGATTTGAATGGTTACGATCTTGTGTTCCGCTACTACGAGCGCAACGACTGGAAAGGGGGGCACCGCGGATCGGAGAGAAGTTCTAATGCGACTCAGAGTTCTCCGTCGACTTGGAGCTTCTTTCTCGTTCCCGACCTTTCCAGTTGCTCGGCTGCCGTATCTTTTTTCTTCTCTCAACCTATTATTTTTGCACATTGATATCATGTTTCTTTTTTCGGGCTTCTATGTCAATTGTTACTTCTGTTCCTGTTCCATAGTACACAGCATCGCATGCTTACGCTCTGAGCGCCTCGTTTCTTGTCTGTCAAAAATTCAGCTGAACAAGTTCAGCCATGTTCATTTCGGGATTTTATTTTTGTGAACTGTGGATTTTACACTTGTTTCTCTCCAATGGGTCCTTGATCTTTTTGGTCAAGTCAACACATTATGCGCTTTCGCGTATTTCGGGGAACGTAACCGAGAATTCCTTATTTCATGCTGTAGTTTGGCATTCATATTCATTTCATTTACTTTGGGCTTAGTGGCTGTCTGTCTAGAAGGCCATATTGATGTTTGCCGGGTGTGGTAGGCGGTCAGATCTGCCCTTATCGCGGTCTGGCAGCTCCGACTGAGCGAGTGCGCGCAGCGACTGCTTTTTCCATTCTCATACACGGGCGACATCGGGATCTATCATCTTCTGGCATCTGCCTCTATGGATTAATCTCATTTTGAACACCCTTTTGGTCTCACTGTCTAGCTTTGAGGTCGCAAAAGCCACAGTGGGTAAACCTCACCAAGATCTTCATTGCAAGTCATATCGCGACGAAACCGATCTGCTCTTCTTTCTTTCGACATCCCCCAGACCAACCTTGCATCGAGGTCTGGAGCAACCTCAAGGAACCAAGAATCTAAACCTCGAAGCTTCCGCAATCACCAACCCAAAATGTCATCACCACCGCCATACACCCCGACCAACCCTCTCAAACGGCCCTCCATCTCCTCTTCCGCCTCGCAACCACTCGGCAAGAAGCCGCGCATGCACCCTCTCCGCCAGACCTCATTCCCGACTTCTCTCGACACCGCCGACCGCAGTTTCGGGCCTACCAGCGATGCCGGAAGCGTGACGGGCAGCTTGACAGGCAGTCTGGGCGGAGCGAGCGCCGACGGAGTTTTTGCGGGAGCGGCGCGCGGGAAGAAGCGTGGACGGAAAAGCAAGGCCGAGAAGGAGCGCGAGCGGGAACGTGAGGATGCGCTCAGCTCTCGAGCAGGCGATGGCACACGGATGGGGTCGGCTGATGTCGATGGCTCGGTCAGAGGCGGTGCAGGCGGGGGCGGAGGTGCTGACGATGCGGATGACGACGAGGACGACGATGAAGGAGAGCTGCTCGGCAGGGAAGAAGGGACCACCGATACGGAGGCCGAGAAGAAGAATTTGGCGTATGTGAATGCTGATCTGCTGGATGTTACTTGGGTCGCTAATGTCTTTTTTTAGGATCCTGGTCGATGCTTTCAACCCCGTGCAGTCCGAGCGCTATGATCTGTTCAAGCGGGCTAAGCTGCGCAAGGAATCGCTGCGCCGCATTGTGAACCATGCCCTGTCGCAATCTGTGCCCGCTAGCGTGGTTACGACGGTCAACGGGTTTACGAAGGTCTTCGCTGGTGAGATGATCGAGAAGGCGCGTACCGTCCAAATTGAATGGGCCGATGCTCACGATCAAGCTGCGCGTACCGCCTTCGACGCCGAAGAGGCTGCGGCCGACTCCGCCCATGCCCGCGCTTGCGCTAATGCCCACACGCCTGCTCCGGCCGCCAACTCGACGACCTCGACACCGACGCCTGCGTCGACTCCCGGTCCAGGATCTCGACCGGGTTCACTCAGCAACGGTGTCAAGAAAGAGCCCGACACCGACCACACAGCCTCGTCCTCGATCCCACCCCACAAGGCGAACTCGACCACTGCCTCTCCTCACCTTTCTCCCGCCCCCGCGAACAACACCACTTCTTCTCCAACCTCGCAAAAAATAAACGGCTCATTTTCAGGGTCTATACCCCCGCGACCCAAGCGCCAGTTCCGTCCTCCACCCAATCCCCACCGCGGCCAGCTTCAGCCCGCGCACCTGCGTGAGGCGCTGCGACGATCGAAGCGGGATGGCGAAGGCGGTGGTGTCGGCTTCTCGGGCATGAGTATGGAGAATCTCGGGGTGAGGGGCTCTGTTACCTGGAACTCGGGGAGTGTTGGTGGGCGGAGAATATTTCGCTGATTCCAGGCTGTTTCTTGGGATAAATTGCATGGCGTCGTTTGGTTGGGTTTATTCTCGTTTTTATTCTCTTCCTTCTTATTAAGGGTTCTGTGATCATGTCGATTGAATCGGCTTTGGGTGGCTACATTTCTGGGCCTTTACTGTGGATAGTCTTCTTGGTGTACGTGTACAACATACATGGCGTTTTTTTTTTTTTTTTTACCCTACTTTGACTACTCCACAGCTCGCGATTCTGGTATACAAGGCTATTCCCCATATGCATTTTTATGAACCCATATTACTTACTCTAATAGCCCCCTCGAGAGCCACCCTCCACGGTCTGTCCACTGGCCGTCTTCAATTCACTCAGCATACCAGTCCTCAGCACGCCCACATCTGTGTTGACCGAGATCATATCGAAGCCCTGCTCAGCACGGGTACGAGCATCCACGCCATCGGTGCCTAATCGGCGGGGTCAGTGAAAACACTCGAATGGGAAAGTAATAAAAAGAGAAGAGAGGGAAAGAGAGAAAGAAAGAACATACAAAAAATAGCAGCCTTCTTCCCCGCCGCCCTCGCCGCAGCCAAAATCCGCTTAATGGCCGCCTCATGCTCGTCACCACCTCGCTGAACACCCATGGACTTGGACAGGTCGAACGGCCCGATAAAGAGCACGTCGATGCCGTCGACGGCGGCGATCTTCTCCACGTTGTCGACGCCGGCCCGCGACTCGATCTGCACGACCACGGCCACGCCCGTCTGCGCGCCTTCGTCGTAGTCGCTGCCCGGCGCGACGCCGGGGAAGGCGTGCGGGGCGAACATTGGGCCGTAGCCGCGGGTGCCGCGGGGTGGGTATTTGGTGTATTTGACGATGTTGGCGGCGTCGATCTAGATGTCCCATTGGTGAGTCAATAGTCCTGCTATGGTGTAGGATTCCTTTCTCTTCTCTTCTCCTTCTTCTTCTCTTCTCCTTACCTCTGAATGACACATGGGCGTCACGATCCCGTGAGCACCAGCATCGAGCGCCCGCTTGATCATCCACTCCTCTGCGCAGGGGACTCGGACAATGGGACTTGCGCCTTCGGAGGCAATGGCGTTGGAGAGCTATTCCCCAGTTAATGCAATGAGTATGTGATAGGAGGAAAAGTGAGGCTGGAAGACACACGTCATAGTAATCGCGATCCGTGATCAACCCATGCTCCGCATCCACCAGAACCCAGCTATACTTGGCCGGGGAGTCGGGGCTCCCGTGGAGAATGGTCTTGGCGACAGCGGTACTGGGGAGGCTGTACAGAGGAAAAACCATTGTTAATGATTGCAGGATTGCGAGATTGCTCGCGTGCGCCAAAGTATCCATGGAAGTAAGTGGTGCTGGACATACGTGAGCCAGAACCCGAATGCCGTTGAGGGACCCTGCAGACTGGCGTTGATGGGAGTGTTGAGGGGCATTTTGTGACCTTCCTGCAAATATTTGGATAATGCTGTAAATAATGAAATTGAAGAGATGCAGTGGGATGAAAAGAGGGGAATAAATATTGCTCGGGGTTCGATGCGGGAAGGGTTCGGCACTCGGGATAACTCCGCGCGTGGGGGTTTCACTACTTTGGTTATGCCTGAGGTGTGGTTATCAGGGCTTAGATGCCCGGGTATACAACGGGGTCCAAAAGTCACTATTTATATAATATTATATAATATTCTGCCAGGTGACAAATCTCTTCATTGATCACTATACTTGAGTACTATACATACTTGAGTACTATACTAATATTTAGTATACCAACCCTCTGCTTCGGTAACTGCTTTCACCCGATTTAGCATCGAATTTTATAGATTTTGCAGAACCCCCCATTCAATCTTATCCCATGCTTCTTACGCTGCATCAACTAAACGTTCTAGTGTAGTACTATTATTAGGCATATCTAGTAGCTCGGGGTGTAGCTCATAGATTTTTACTTTCAATAAAGCCCACACGTTCTCAATTAGATTGAGATCTAGCGAATAAGATGGCTATACCATAGTATTAACCCTCTTTCGCTCCAAAAGCTCACGTACCATATACGCGCGATAAACTAGCGTATTAAGATACATAAAAATAGTATCTAGTCTATGTAAAATAGGCAAAATAGTATTATATAAATTATAGATAACCTCTACATCCACGCCACCGCGAGATACATTAGGATTGCTATATAATACCTATAGACTAGTGCGTCGAATCCTACTAGAGAAAACAGCCTAAAATATCTAATTACTTTCTATATAACCTCCTATAAATATCTCGCTCGATTCGCTGCTGCTAGGGTCAATTAAAGATATAAGGCTTTCGATAACCAGCACCTCACTCAACAATATATTCATCAGACCAATAAACGCGAGTCCAATCTTTAGGGGTAAAATATTAATATGTTCTTGCCTAATAAAGTCGTTTTGCTGCAGTTATATTATCTAAAGCAGGTCGATCAAGCTACCACTATTTTCGAAGCCCTATCTTTTTCAAAAGCCGTCGAATTGATATCATTTTAACTTTATAATCGACATCAGCGAGTAGGTCTTAGTGACGTACTTAAGGGTCGGTAGTAGCTCTCTTATATATTCGATCGCGATTATCTTTATCAAGTTTGCGAGGTGCTCCGGAGTGATCTTTTGAATGATTATTAACCCTCTCATTCTCTTTTTTGATAGTATATTGGATCGTTGATAGAGGTATCGAAGGGCATGCTTTATAAATTCTCTTATACCCCTATTAAGCAGTCGAATTAAGCTCGCAAATACGAGTGCGAGTATAGGGGTCGAGTTCTTTGCGAGGCATTGGTACAGCGAGGGTGCAGCGAACTGGCAAAGCAATATATACTATATTAATATTCTACTTATCTATAGCGCGTGTATACTAGCGTGTCGACTCGTGTGAGCTAGGCAGCTATATTAATAGGCGATGTGGGGGTGTGGGGTAGGGTCCAAAGACTTTTGATCGGCCACTGTACGTACCCCGTGGGCACCTAGGCATTCACTCCCAGTAACTTATCCGTCGACTCTCGGATAAAGGCCTCAGATAAGCACCCGAGATGCCGAACACTCAAGCTTTCCAAGCTCGAGTGGAGTTATATCAGGGTCGATCGCAAGTTCTACTTCAAGATGGTTAAAAATAAAAGAGAACCCAGAGCGCAAATATCTCAAAACTCAAAAAAAAACTCAAAAAAAAAACCCAAACCACTCAAATAGCGCGCATTCCCGGTGGATATCCCAAGGCTGTGTTACAACCGAGTCATTATTGGGACTGAATATGAACAGGCAGCCGTATATACCAAGATTACCAATATACGCTTTGTGAAGTGGCGCAGGAACAGTTTTTTAGGGTTAGGCCAAGCCCCTCGGGACCCCTTATTTGTGAGGCTGCGCAGCTCGAGTCGCTGGACCCACGTGCAGCGTAAATCCCTCTCGGCCCCAAAGCGTGGTGGGATCGACGCCAATGATAGGCCGACGGCAAACTATACCATTTAAAGGGCGCCCTCGTGCCTCTCTCTCTCTGACCCTCCAAACTCATCAGGGTCTTTCACTTTACCATGGCTGCCATCGTTACTTTCACAAAGCTTCTCCAGCTGGCTGTCAGCATAGGCTCATATCATCATCCTCCGATCCCAGAGGACAAGACTACGCCCTTTCAACAGCGTCTGTCCATCCACAGCCCCACTGGTAAGCCCAAAGAGAAAGAACCCCTCCAGCTGACCGACTGGGTAAAAACAGCTTTGCTAACAACTACTTTTCCTTCCACAGAGGTTTCCGTGGGCTGGAACACATACGGGTCAATAGACCACGCCTGTGTGGAATATGGGAAGTCCGAGCACGACCTGTCTTCCAAGGCCTGTGCCTCGTCCAAGTCCACCACATACCCGACGTCGCGAACGCACTCCAACACCGTGACATTAACCGATCTTCACCCGGCAACCACCTACTATTACAAGATCGTCTCGGACAACTCGAGCGTCGATCACTTCCTTAGCCCCCGGACCCCGGGCGACGACACACCCTTCAACATCAGCGTCGTCGTCGACCTGGGCGTCTACGGCGGGGATGGGTACACGCACTCGGAGAAAGATAAGGACAAGCGCGACACGCGACCAAACGTCAACCCAGCCCTCGACCACGCGACCATCGGGCGCCTTGCCGATACAGTCGACGACTACGAGCTCGTCATCCATCCGGGCGACTTCGCCTACGCCGACGACTGGGCGCGCAAATACCACAACAAGGGCCACGGCAAGGACGCGTACCAGGGGATCCTGGAGCAGTTCTACGGCCAGCTGGCGCCGATCGCGGGCCGCAAACCCTACATGACCAGCCCGGGCAACCACGAAGCCGCATGCAAGCAAGTCAAGCACGCGCCAAAGCTCTGCCCAGAGGGCCAGAGCAACTTCACCGACTTCATGCACCGGTTCAGCGAGACGATGCCGCGGGCCTTCGACTCCGCCTCGTCCAGCAAAACCGCACAAGAACACGCGCGTAAGGCGCGCGACCTCTCACAACCCCCGTTCTGGTACTCGTTCGAGTACGGCATGGCGCACATTGTCATGATCAACACAGAAACAGACTTCACCGACGCCCCGGACGGCACGGACGGCAACGCCAAGCTAGACGGCGGCCCGTTCGGGGCGCCGCACCAGCAGCTCGATTTCCTGGCCGCCGACCTGGCCAGCGTCGACCGCCGCGTCACGCCTTGGCTGATCGTCGCCGGCCACCGACCATGGTACACCACGGGCAAGGGCAAGTCGTGCAAGCCGTGCCAGAAGGCGTTTGAGAAGCTGTTCCACACGTACGGCGTCGATCTGGCTGTCTTTGGGCACGTCCATAACTCGCAGCGCTTCTTCCCTGTCTATGATGGCAAGGCGGATCCCAAGGGCATGCATAACCCTACCGACCCCATGTATATTATTTCAGGGGGTACGGGCAATATCGAGGGTCTGGATCCTGTTCACCCTCAACCATCCTATACGGCTTGGGCCTATGCCGATGACCAGAGCTACAGTACCCTCAACTTTCTCGATAAGCATCGCTTGGAGATTACGTTTGTTCAGTCGGCGACTGGCAAGGTTTTGGATTCGAGTGTTTTGCACAAGGATCATTCCACTTCCTTTGTCAAGAATTCATGACCTCCGGAGAACTGGAGAGCAAGTTGATGAAGCCGGGCGAAAGCCTTGATTTGGTTGCATTTTGTACATAGCCAGCGCAGGGGAGCGATCTCACGATACCAATAGTAATGACACATGACCGTGCATAATTGTCTACAAATGTGCCGTGTTATTGTATAGATCACCACTGAGAGGGTAACTTCTCATGAGCAAAAGAGTAGCCAGTAGAGATTGAAGTCGAAGACAAAAATTGGACTTTGAAATTCGCTTAAAATACTACATAATGCAAATATAGCGCCATATTTTTGTAAAGGGTCTACCAAGATAGTGAGGCATGAGGTTATTCCTAACTAACGGAAGGGGTGAATCAGGTGATATTATATGATCCTAAAGAAAGTCAGAACTTATTATTTAATCCACCCTACAGTAGAATGATCACGATACCCTATATAGAGTTGATCTATAGATAAAGTATTATTAGTAAGAAATTTTATTATACATAAAATATTTTAGGCCCCGGTCGACTCAGTAAGCTAGGGGGGCCCAAAAATTTCGGCGTAATATTCTCCCGACTATTGGACCCCTCTTAGTATTTTTGGGCCCCCCCCTGGCTGTAACCCGGAGTCTTTTATATTAGGAGCCACGGAGGGGAGAGGTGACAAGATGGCGTATTGGGGCGCTAAACCGGAAACGGCAAAGGTAACCAGAAAAGGAAATTCACAGGTCCCGTTGTTACAGTTTATACACATCCAAGCACTCCAACCCACTATCGTCGTCCGCCCTTGCGCCGAGCCTTGACGGACTTCGCCTCCTGCTGCTGTCGCTGCAGCCCCGCCTTGGCCTTCTCCCTCTCAGCGCGCAGAGTATTTTGGTAAGCTTCGCGACGGGCACGGTTGCGCTCCTCGCGCGCGAGCTCCTCCTCGCCCTTGTGCTTGAGCTCGTATTCCTCGGCGTATTTGCGGTTTGCCTCACTGAGACGCGGCGCCGGGGCGAACGAGCCGTCGGCATTCTTGACGGGGCCATTGCCAGAGAAATCACGGAGCTTGTCGCGGGTTTCGGTGCCGACTTTCCGACTGTAGCCCTTGGCACTGTCGACCCAGCGATCAATGAAGCTGGCGTTTTGGGCTCCGGGGGATTGCTGGGCTTTCTGGGCTTCTTGGGCGGCTCGGACCTTCTCGGCTTCGATGCGTGCATACAGGAGGCGGAGACCTTTACTTTCCGTGCTAGGGAGATTAGGCGTGTCCGGAGTGCTGGGGCGCATTTGAATAGCCATGTTGAGCTTCTTCCGGAACCCGGGCATGTTTATCACATAGGATTGGACCAGTGCCCAGGCGCCTGTGGTCACGAAGTAGAGCTGCAGGGCACTCGGCATGAATGCCATGAAGGCGAAGGACATCATAGGAAGACCTATCCCGACCATCTTTCCCGCGCTAGTGTTCAAAAAATCCATTCCGCCGACTTCGCCTCCTCTCTATAACAACCCGGGTCAGCAACTGGACGTGGGGGAGCTGTAAAACAAAACCAACGAACCTTGAATGTAAGATACATCATGAATGAGGTTGTCAACGGCAGGATATACATCGGGTCAGCCACAGTCAGGTCAGTCAACCAGGCTACGGACTCGTTCGCTAATGCCGGCACCGGCAAGGCGGTCATGCCCCGGACGACTCGAAAGCAGCCGTAACCGAGCGGCATCTGGATCATGGGGACGAAAGACTTCCACGGGGTGATGCCGTGCTCCTTATTGATTTCGGAAATCATCGCTCGTTTCCGCTGCACCTCGATTTGGTTATTGTCGCGCGCGGCGCGCATCATGTCATCCCGCATCGGGCTGATTATCCCCCTGATGTTCTGCGTCTTGACCGTGTTGTCGGACGCGTCCAGCGTGGGTTTCAACAACGCAAACCGGATGAGAAGACCCGTGCCGACAATGCTCGCCCACCATGGTAGTCCAGTCCACAAGTGGAGGTGCTCGATGGTATATTGAATGATCGCCGACGGTCCCCAACCATAATCCAGTCCCAATTCCTTGAGGTATCCAATCTTCTCGGGAATCTGAGAGATTTCGGTGGCAGAGAGGTCTGTAAAATCCGGTAGTTGATCATTCGTGACCGTCTCGGGAGCAGAGGCGGGAGTTGTGTCGGTCGAGGTAGAGTTGAATCGAATCGAAGCAGGGCCAACAACTGACGCAGCGCGCCAGGGAGTGCTCCCCGAGAATGCCGACTTCAATTGAGACCGCTGGCCAGGAATCCGCAAATGCGGTGACCGGAAGGTTGATATCTAGAGAGCCCAGTCAATTCCTCTGGACTTTCTGCGGTGGCTTCTCCGGGTTCACGGGACACAAACCGATCGAGTGGACCAGGGCATTGCGGTCACCCGTTGCCGTGCAATGGCGGCACTGGGCCCCTTCAACCCAGCAGGTCCTATCATAGTGAGTGGAATGAGTGATGGAGTGAGTGAGAGCGGAAGAGAACCTCCTGCAGTTGTTCCGGGAGACTTTTTCTGCCGGGCGGAGAACCGGCAGTAAACACCAAGCAGAAAGGCTACAAGCTCTCGAAGATGCCAAAGGATATGAAGATTCTAATATTCGAATGCAATCCCAAATTCGCCAAACGCCTCCTACAAAAAGGGTCCAAAAAAGAGGAGTCTATGTACAAAACACTACATTTGAATATGGCAACAGAAGCCAGATATCAAGCCCCCCAAGTGCACATTCCCATGTAAATGCAGTGATGTTATAACGGGCGACTAGAGGTCTCGTTTATTCCAGGGACGCGGTGTCATTCAACCCGGCGGGAGCGGTCCGCCTGCGCTGTGAAGGAAGCTCGCGAATCTCGACTCCAGGACCAACGGGATGTGACCGGCGGTGTGTCGGGAAGATCTGCAAGCACGGAGGCCACGGTCAGCCATCAAGATCAGGGTTACATGTAGGCATCGCAAAAAACCATACCTTGGTGTTGGACCATCCGAGTCGGAAGGCGGCCTCGTGGGCGAACAGCTCGCCAAATCCCAGCATCAGGCCGTTGACAAACGGCAAAAAGAGGTTGATGGCCGCTCCACGGAGAATGCTCCAGATGGTCGGAGGCTTATAGAGGATCAAGGGAGAACTTGAGCTTGACGGGGATGAGGCTGACATCTCATGGTTCGCTGAGTAGTTCTCCGAGTCAGAGGGGACGGTCATGGTTGAGTCGTAGAGCTCGACTCGCGAGTTGGAGGGGGCATCGGTGGCCATGAGGGATGGAGATGTGGGGAAGGTCGAATGTTGGAAGGGATAGAGACTGAAGATTTAAATAAACTCCTCTCAATCCAAACCCAAATAGAAGAAAGGCAGTGGGCCAAGAGAGAAACGATGCTGGGGAGGACTGGTCACTGCGAGGTGATGCTATCGAGAGTCGGTGGACGGGGAAAAGGGTTATGTCAGCAGATCTGCAACCCTAAAAAGTGCCCAGGTGAATTTACTACAGTATCCATGGCTGATATAAGGAAAGATACATTATTCAATGGGTGTTTTAATAGAATAGAGTAGACCACTATTCTTTTTATTACAGAAATGATCAATTTCAGGTGACTATAGAGCCAAACTGTGAATGCATCCGTTCCCTCATACCCTATATTGAGCCAAGATATAGTTTGAATATCAAGTATTTAGCTTGCCTAGTAGTAGTCAGTATATACAATAAATAACATTGACTATATACATTGAGAGGAATAGACCCAACAGTTTATATTGTACTCCTATACTTCTTGTCTTCCTGTCACAGCCGTAGAGCAAGATTGCGCAGCGAGAACGCTACTCTGAAGAAATCACTAATGGTTGATATCAGCCACACAATGATATATAGTCAGAGAGAAAATATTCCCGCTATATATGCAAAGAGAGCAAAGGACAAGAGCAAGGGAACAATCATGTGGGAGCTTCCGAGGTTAGGATGAGCTTGATCACACAACTAGGTTTAAGAAAAGGCCCACGCCAATGACTTTCTATAGAACATTGGCCAAATATAGAACGCTGTGAATCTTGGATTTTATTCTGCTAAAAAGAAGCATAGATCAAAGATGACAAGCAAATGGGCAGAAGAAATCGAAGATCGGAGAAGCGGGGCGGAAGATCCCCTGGTCCGGCTGACCAATTGTGAGTGACGTATCTCCGGTGTTCTGTAACTCAGCTCTGTTGACTCTCGCTATCAACAACTTCTTCAGTGCCATCTACCTTGAGATACCCTTTTAAATTACCTCCAGAACTGCTAGTTCTGTCTATCACATATACCCGCTCAGCCAAACCCCTCTGCCGAGCTCACAACATGGATCACAACCCCGCCGAGAACGACGAGGTCGTGTCTCAGTTCTGCGCCATGACCGGCACTCGGCCTGCAGAGGTAAGAACCTTTTCCTGTCACCTGTAGATGAAGCTTTTTGCTGATCCGGCATCGTTTTGTCCAGGCCCAAGAGTATCTTGCTGCCAATGGGTGGGATATGGAAGCAGCCGTGACCGAATTCTTTGCAGAGCAGGACGAAGCCCTGCAGGACATGAACACTGGCGGAGGACGCCCTTTGGGTGCTGAAGGAGCATCAGGAACCCCTGCAGGAGGCAGATCACTGGGTGGAGGCGCCGCACCTTCGGCGTCCGCCGCGCCGGAGTCATCGTCATCCGCCCGACGCGCAGCACCCAAGAAGAAGTTTGCGACATTGGGAGATTTTGCATCGGGAGATGGTGGGGATTCCTCAGATGATGATGGCTCAGTGGACCAGGATTTCTTTGCAGGCGGTGAGAAGTCAGGCCTGGCAGTGCAAAACCCCGATGACCTCAAGAAGAAGATCCTTGAGAAGGCTCGCCGGTAAGTCTTTGGCCACCTGCGAAGAAAGAGGCCCATTAATACTCATACTTCTGTGAATAGAGCACAGCCTCCGCCATCAGATGATTCGGAGCCGCGACCATCGCACTTCACGGGGACTGCCCGCACCTTGGGGGGCGACGATGCCCCGAGCCAGGTGATCCAAGACCCTACCATACCTGCACCGTCGCGCCCACAACGTGTCCAGCGGACCCTCCACTTCTGGGCCGATGGCTTCTCCGTGGATGACGGCAATCTGTACCGATCAGATGACCCCCGTAATGCCGAGATCTTGGAGGAATTCGCCAGGGCCGTGCTCCGCTCGCGATTATGAATGTTGAACCGGGACAGGAGGTTGATGTGGAGCTCAAGCAACACGAGGAAAAATACGTGAAGCCCAAGCCCAAGTACAAGCCATTTTCTGGTGCCGGACAACGCCTCGGCAGCCCGACGCCTGGCGTGCGAACCCCGACCGAGACACCGTCATCGGCCACACCCAGCGCGGCTGCAGCAGAGCCCCCCAAGCCTACTGTGGACGAGTCTCAACCAACCGTCACCCTACAAGTTCGCCTTGGCGATGGCACGCGGTTGACTTCCCGCTTCAACACCACGGCCACCATCGGCGATGTCTACGGATTTGTTGCCGCTGCCGCTCCTGGGAATGTCGGCCGGTCGTGGGTGCTGATGACGACCTTCCCCAGCAAAGAGCTTCACGACAAGGCGGCGGTCCTCGGCGATCTTGCTGAATTCAAGCGTGGAGGTGTCGTTGTGCAGAAATGGCAGTAGACAAATCTACATGCATTTCCGGGGTCTTTTTCCTTTCTCATCGGGCTTCCAAAAGTGACGGAGGGGTTAGATTTTCACTAGGCGCATGATAGGGCCGGACACCATCTTCATATTTGCAAGGTTAGACCGGGTATCTTTCTCATGAAAGCTCTGCGTGTGCCACAATTCCCGAATCTTCTGTAGTCTGCGGCATTCATCTGGGCCTGATGGTGGCACTGGATTGATAAGCATCCGACCATCGGCACTCCCCACTTTTTTCTTGACATTCGTCGTCAATTCCTTGTCTGTCTTTAACTGTTACAACCATGCCTCTAACCGGGGTCAAGAATATCGTGCTGGTGAGTACTTCCATAGACTTGGATTGCTTGCAGGAGAAGAAAAGCAAAGCGGACAGAAAAAAACGAGTCTCCAGTTGCCCCTCACGGCTTATCGATAACGAGGAAGACCAGCTTCATCAAGGACCGCGGCATTTCTACAAGCAATGGCTAACATGAGCTTGAACTATCGCAGGTCCTTTCCGGCAAAGGCGGCGTGGGTAAATCATCTGTCACATTGCAGCTGGCGCTCGCGCTCTCCCTCCAAGGCAAATCCGTCGGGATTCTCGACATCGACCTGACCGGCCCCTCAATTCCGCGACTTGTCGGCCTCGAAGATGCAAAGATCACCCAAGCACCGGGAGGCTGGCTGCCCGTCGTCGTACATGGGGCCGAATCTACGCAACAACCCACAATTGACCCCAATTTCTCGGCACCATCACCACCACAATCAACATCACCACCGCAACAGCAGCAACAGCAGCGAGGCTCTCTGCGCTGCATGTCCCTAGGCTTCCTCCTCCGCGACCGCGGTGACGCCGTCATCTGGCGCGGGCCCAAAAAACCGCCATGATCCGCCAGTTTCTCACAGACGTCTTCTGGGGCCCCACCGACTACCTGCTCATCGACACGCCACCGGGGACCAGCGACGAGCACATCGCGCTGGCCGAGCAGCTGCTGGCGCTGTCGACGACGGATGGCGCCGATGCCGTGCAGCGCAACTTGCCCCGCACTGTGGGCGCGGTGCTGGTTACCACGCCGCAGGCTGTGGCTACCTCGGACGTGCGCAAGGAGGCTAACTTCTGTGTCAAGACGAGTATCCCCGTGCTGGGCGTGATTGAGAATATGTCGGGGTATGCGTGTCCGTGCTGTGGCGAGGTGAGCAATTTGTTCTCGAGTGGTGGTGGCCAAGTTATGGCGCAGGAGCTGGGGATCCCGTTTTTGGGGAGGGTGCCGGTTGATGTCAAGTTTGGGGAGTTGGTTGAGGGGAAATTGTTGTCTGGTGATAGTGATGATGAAGACCAGGAGGAGGAGAAGGAGAAGGAGAAGAAGGAGGAAGATGCCCGAAATCACACCCCGCAGGATACCCCGGCCGAACCTGACGAGAGGCTGCTCGTGGAGCGGTACAAGGATTGCCTGTCGTACTCGCGCTTTGAGGGCTTTGCTCAGACGGTTATCACCGGCGTGGAGGGGAGTGCTCCATCTTAACTGTTCAGAAAACTAGATTCCTTCCATTAAATAGGTGGGTGCAATGATATCCAGATATACTGCTGTGTTTTCAATTGCATCTTAACAGCGTCTTAAGGAAATCATCATATTGTTATTAAACTGGGAGTTGCATTCAACATATCATTTGAGAACCACAATAACGCCGAGTATCATGGATATAAATCCCAAAACCCAATCCGAAGTTCATTAGGCATAACATCGTCATCATTACCATTGGACTCATGGTAGAATACATAGTCCATCAAGACTCAGTCATGCTGAATCAAGTCACGTTGTTGGAAGCGGGCTCCCACGAGCTGAATGCTCCAGCATCGCGCGCAGTCGACCCTCTGCAGACTGCAATTCAGGGTAGGAATCTGGCCCTGCAAACCGGGTTGTCCATCTGAGCCATCCGAGGAGAGAGCGAAGAACGTCTGGTATATTGTGTTCACTGGATGCTTCTGGACTTGTGGGAGAAACAGGGTCGTGCAAAGAGGGTGGAAGGGGATATTCAGTCCTTGCGTTGCGATCATCGGCTTGCGCATCGAGATGTACCTCGGACACCACGGCCGGGGTTATTATGTTTTGGGGTGGGTGGTCATCATCACTAGAAGCGGCGTTCTCAGCCAGCAGGTCACGACCACTTTGCTTTGGTCTCGACGTGAAGTCTCGCGTGACCGGTAGACTATCCGAAGATATCTCTATCTCGGTTTCAAGCTGGGTGTTCAGAGCAGCAGATCGTGCAAAGCCCGGTTGTGCTTGCACCGAGGTGCCGGGTAAAGTACTCCGTTCCATCAGAGGCGCAGTCTGCCCGAGGCACTCTAGATATCGGTAGAAAGGGAATGCATGTGGACTCTGTCCCGAGTCGACGAGGTTAGTCGCATCATCAAATATTGCCACTCCCTCATCGGCATGTCGTTCGTCGTTAGAACTAGCCTCCTCGACGGGTACCAGGCCACCGGGCGGAGCACGGATCTCTCCTAGAGGCGCGATGTGGCTTCCATATTCATTGGCGAGACTCAACTTGCTGCGTCCGCAGATCTCAGCGATAGAATCGAGCGTGCCGCGGATGTCGGGCTCAATAGCTTGCAGTATACTGTCGATGCTGAAGTCCTGATCAGATGGCAGCGGCGGGCCTGGTGGACGAGGCGGAGCCGAGTTCCTTGATGCCATAAATGGGAAAAATCGGCGCGGAGACATAGTGGATGGTTTCCTAGTTGTATCCTTGGCAGCGCCGGAGTACGCCCTCACCAGTACCGGCTTCGTGCCTGCGGTCGATGCTGGGCCGGAGATAGGATTGCCAGCTTGGCCTGCTCGCGACTGTAACCTGGGTTCTTCATCGGTTTGATGCAAGGCTGTTGCACGGTACACTCGATCTGACTCGTCTATTGCAAATTCAGAGTACCGGGCACTTGCAGGATGCGACGGGCCCGCGGTGCCCATGGGCGGTGCGTAAGACGGCGACAGTCGCGGCCATCCTTGTCGAGAAAATGAAGAAGACGACAGCCGATGGCCGTCCCACCGCGCGTCCAGCGTGTCCGGCTCCATTTCTGCGCCGGATCGGAGGCTGCCAGATGCAGGCGCAGGCAAAAGGGAAACCCCGCTCAGGTGTAAGCTCTCACGAGGAAAGATGCATCCACTTCGCATGCACCGTGCATATTCTCCGAGTGAGTTGGCAATGTCTGAGCGAACAGAGCGAATCTGAGAGGCCCATGGAGGAGAAACGGAGAGAGCGCGAAAGAAAGAGAGGCGGAGACGGGGAGCCGACTCGGAGCTGCTGTCGATGCGCCCCATGCCAAGATCCACGCCACGTTTCACTCTCTCCCAGTCTGCTGCTATTCACTCCCCTCCGTGTGAGACTTGTCACACCATGAATCGCTTGCGTGTATGATCTCTACCTCGATTTGGCTATGCGTCAACTGATCCCCCGCAGTTTGGCGACTCTGACGACTCCGGCTCCGACTTCGACGATGATCCGTCCGGCCTCCCATTCCCAAAACCTCTTTCGCGGGCCTCATTCCTCGTCCCCGACTTCGATCCGGCCAATTTCCTCTCATCCTTAACAAACCGTCACCAGAGCCTCGAGGATCTACGACAGGAGCTACGTGGACTGGAGCAATTGCTGAATAAGGAGCTATTGGACCTGGTCAACGAGAACTACCAGGACTTCCTTTCACTGGGTAGCTCGCTCCGTGGCGGCGAGGAAAAGGTCGAGGGAGTGAAAGTCGGCCTGTTGTCTTTCCAGCGAGATGTTCACTTAATCCGAGACAAGGTGGAAGCCCGGCGTAAGGAGGTGGAGGCGCTCTTGAATGAGAAACGACAGCTGCGAGCATACACCGATGTCGGCAAGGATCTTTTGGACTATGCAGATCGAGTGGAAGAGTTGGAGCACCGCTTGATGATTGGAAACCAGTCGTCTCCACGCAAAGGGACCGACTCGCCCGAGGAATCCGACACCGAATCGGACTTGTTCGGCGGCGAGAGCGATGACAGTGACGACGAGGAGCTCGCAGATGGCGCAGCCGCCGTGTCCTTGAAGCGATTAGAACGCCACGCCCAGAAATTCGTGTACCTAACTTCGCTGGCCGCGCGGGTGGGCGAAGGACACCCATTCTTGGTCGCTCAGCAACCGCGCGTCGCAAAGATCAAGTCCACAGTGCTCTTGGATCTGAAGACTGCCCTAGAACAGACCAGTCAAACCGGCCCCAAACGCGACACGAGGACGATGGCGGTACTACGCCTCTACGATCTCATGGGAGAGGATGTCAGTGCCATCACCGCACTGAAGAACCTCAAGGTATAGAAAAACTGCACTTTATCTCAACAGGATAGAAGTGGAGCTGCATAGCGTCGGCGTTCAGGTCCTCCGGACTCTCTATTCAGCAGAAATGATATCATGATGCACCAAGTCCTTTCCAAAGAAAAACAATATCTGTACACGCCAGAGGATATAAAAAAGCAATCGAATATTTTACAGGCCAGTCAGGGCAGAGGTTTCGGGGGAGGTTTCAGTTCGGAATTCCCCATTAAGAGAGAATCCGGGGCCATTTGTCGAGCTCAGGACCTGAAAAAAGTGCATTAGGAGCGGTTTCGTTGAAAGGCGAGAACCGAGTACAACTTACCACTTCATAAATTTCCTTGATAACCTGGTGGTTGAGTGCAGCAGCATCCTTCTTGATCTGGTCCATAGTCGTGCGCATGTTGTCACGCAGCTGCTCCGGAGAAAATGCCAATTGCCCGATCGGAAGCCGTATGACGGCGTCGCGCTCTCGATACACGGTACCGCCACGCAGCATGTCAACTCGCGCTCCCACGTCTTCCACCACAGTACCAGTCTTGACGCTTGGCATCAAGCCCCGAGGACCCAAAATGCGTCCCAATGCAGCCTTGTTCAGTGCTGGCAGACTGTCCGGGTGAGCAAGGCAACGGTCAAATTCAATCTTTCCCTCCTTGACCGCATCGAAAACTTCTTGCTCGCCCACAAGGACCGCTCCAGCAGCAAGAGAATCTTTTGCATGTTTCGATCCTGGGGGACAGATGACGCAGATGCGGGCTTCCGTCTGGACCGCGTTAGGGAATCGGATGAGGTTGCGGATGACCGGCCCGTCCTTCTTCGACCGCAGGCGAACGTGCAATTCGTACTTCACTCTGGAGGGATCGTGGCCGACTTCGGCTGCTCGAAGGTATCTGTGGGAAGAGAGCAGTCAGTAATGAACGAGCGAGCTCATGAGCCTGCAAGGTCACACATGATAGACATACCGCATCGCATCGCAGAGAGCAAATTGTTGCATATCCTTCAAATTCCTCTGAATAAAATCCTTTTGGCCTCTTCGATCTTGCTTGACCGGCTTGTCCTTTCCCTTACCCTTTGCACGCGAGTTGGTCTTGAGACCTCGAACTTGCTGGAAGGTCGAGACAAGCGGAGCAATTGAGCTCTCACGGATTGGAATGCGACATGGAGAAAGAATGCCGCGAGCCGCCGCAGGCAATCTCGAGCCGTAAGACGACATGGTAGAATGGATGTCGATCGAGTAGAGACACCGAGAGGAACAGCAATTGTTTTCTGCCGAGCTGTCGGAGATCCGGAGAAACATGCAGCCGAACTACGAACGAGCTGCGGGCTGCCCCTCAGCAAAATTTCCCTCCTCCATCGTCTGCCCACCGGAGCATCATGACTCAATTCGAACTGACCGTGGCCACGCGTGGCAGTCATGCTGCGCTGCTGCCCGTGGTGCTCATTGCAACCTCGATCAATGAGGCCCGTCCTACCCCAGTGATCAAGATCAACCACGAGGACACTGCCCTGCTCCACGAGGGCGAGAAGGCCATCGTCCAGCTTACCACTGGCTCCAATTCGGTGTTTGGTACTTCTAAAGCCATTCAAGAGCTCTGTGCACACTTCCCGTTTCTGTCGAGCAAGGACACGAAGTTGGTGAGTTACCCCACCAAATCATTGCTTGTGACTCAATGTCTAATACCTTAGTTTTCCTATAGGAGGGCGAATGGCTTGCACAGGTGGAATCCTTCAACACCTTGGACTTCAAGGCGCTTGATCCCCAGCTTCAGCGCCTTGATACCCACCTCTTACTGCGGTCTTTCGTGGTCGGATATTCGCTCTCCACCGCAGACATCGCTCTTTGGGGTGCCCTCCGTGGCAACCGGGTCGCTGTTGCAGCGCTGAAAAGGGGCTCTCTGGTTAATCTGACCCGCTGGTATCGATTCTTGGAGGAGCTCTGTCCATGGGCCTCCTCCGCTGTGGAGTCTCTGAACGCGGCTGCCAAGGAGAAGAAGGCTACCAAGTCCAAGGAGGGTGCCAGCTATGACATTGCACTCCGAAACACGGAGAACGGTGTTGTGACTCGGTTCCCACCTGAGCCCTCGTAAGTTTGAACGGTTGTGTTCTGCAGCGATCGAAGACTGATGATTATTTCTAGCGGCTATCTCCACATCGGCCACGCCAAGGCTGCCCTCCTCAATGACTACTTTGCGCATGAGAAGTACAACGGAACGCTCCTTCTTCGGTATGACTCTTAACTAAGATGATGGACTTGTGACAATACTGACTTGTCTTGAGGTTCGATGACACCAATCCCTCGAACGAGAAGGAGGAGTTCCAGGACTCGATTGTGGAAGACCTGGCTCTCATGGGCATCAAGCCCAACAAGATGACCTACACCAGTGATTACTTCGATGAGTTGTATGACTACTGTGTGCAGATGATCAAGGATGGAAACGCCTACGCCGATGACACAGACAAGGAGACCATGGCAGCCCAGAGAATGGACGGTTTGCCCAGCAAGCGTCGCGACCTCACGCCCGAGCAGTGCTTGGCGCACCTGGAGGAGATGAAGAACGGGTCTCCCGAGGGTCTGGGGTGGTGTATTCGTGCTAAGATCTCGGTCGACGACAAGAACAAGGCTCTTCGTGATCCGGTCATCTACCGCTGTAACCCGGCGCCCCATCACCGCACAGACACAAAGTGGAAGATCTATCCCACCTACGACTTTGCCTGCCCCCTTGTTGACTCGATGGAAGGTGTCACTCATGCGCTGCGAACCATTGAGTACCGGGACCGCAACCCGCAGTACCAGTGGATGCTTGATGCACTCAAGCTGCGTACGGTGCAGATCTGGGACTTTGCTCGCATGAACTTCATCCGGACCCTGCTGTCGAAGCGCAAATTGACCAAGCTGGTCGACCAAGGCGTCGTCTGGGGCTGGGATGACCCGCGCTTTCCCACCATCCGGGGCATTCGCCGCCGTGGTATGACGATCCCCGCGCTGCGCGAGTTTATCTTGAAGCAGGGCCCGTCCAAGGCTGTCACGCTCTTTGACTGGAGTCTCATCTGGGCCACCAACCGCAAGTACATTGACCCTGTTGCGCCCCGCCACACCGCGATTGTCAACAAGGGCATTGTCAAGGCGACGTTGACTGGCGCTCCGGCCACCCCGTACACCGAGGAGAAGCCCAAGCATAACAAGAACTCGGCGGTTGGTATGAAGAAGGTCGCTTTTAGCGGTTCGTTGGTACTGGAGCAGGAGGACGCCAAGCTCTTCAAGCAGGATGAGGAGATCACCCTCATGGGCTGGGGCAACGCCATCGTACGCAAGATTGCCACCGATGCTTCGGGCACCGTGACTGGCCTCGAGCTCGAGCTCCACTTGGAGGGCGACTTCAAGAAGACCGAGAAGAAGGTGACTTGGCTGTCCAACGAGGGCCAAGACCTTGTTCCCGTGGAGCTTGTTGACTTCGACTATCTGCTGAACAAAGACTCTCTGAGTGAGGAGGATGCTCTGGAAGACGTACTGAACCCCAAGACCGAGTTCCGTGAGAACGCCGTGGCGGACTGCAACGTCGCCGAGCTCAAGGACGGCGATATTATCCAGTTCGAGCGCAAGGGCTTCTACCGCCTTGACCGGGCCTATGCTCCCGGTGCGCCGGCGATCTTCTTCAACATCCCCACGGGCAAGACGAAATGAGCCGAGCCATGTGATTATGAATGATGTGTGAAATGGAGAAAATTCGATGAAGAGAGAAAATCAAAGTGCTATAGTTGCTTATGCTATATTGGTGTAGTATGAATTGGTCTCTGGAGATGTTGGCATATTTGTAGCAGTGTTAGGCCGACCCCAAACCCTAAGATGTGCCAGTCCGTGTTCGCAAAGATAGAACTAGAATAGAACTCTGGAATGATAGAGTGTCGGGTATCACCGGGAAAGGCCAAATGCAGATTTGTCAGGGGATCATTGGTGTGCTCTTGGGGGCTAAATCTATATGACCTGCACCAGCCCCAAACACCCCCCGGATCTGACTCGATTCCCCCAAGCACATGCCCTAACGCCGGGGATCGGTTGGTTAGCTCGCGCAGCCAAGGCCGCCAAGGTCACTAAGAATATGGCGCCAAAGGATCTACCCTCCCCCCACAACTATATTAATGGCAGTCGCGTGTACAATCCATGGATGTGAGGCAGTTATCTCGTTCTCTTTTTGCTGTGAAATATTCCATTATTTCGGGGGAGGCTCTGCAGATGCCATGGCTCTGCCCCGCCTCGAGGGCCCATCTTCCTTGTTATCTGCGCGGTGGATTTACTTCTTCATCACCGCATTCTTAGTCTCGTGGATTCTCTTCTATTTGAGTTTGGCTCGCACATCTCCCTCGCTCACTGCGACATCTTCGCAAAGCTCTCTTCTGAATAGTCTATTCTCTTCCTCTCGGCATCCGCTTACTGCTGAACAATTCGAGACTCCAACCGGGCAGGTGTTTACACTGAAGGAGGAGCCGCGATTCACCAAGCCATTAGGAAAAGATGTTTTGATCCTTGATGTAGAGACTCGTCCACTTGATGGCCCGGGGAAGATCCTCGATCGCCATTTGGGGGATCTGGATAGTATGTCCTACGACACGATGGCTCGACTCGGTCATTACATCTATGGTGAAAACTTTCTCAACCATTGACTCCCCGGGGTGAATCATTAAATGACCAACTAACCTATCTTGTCTACGAATCCATCAGCTCGCATCCATGGCTACGACTACAAAATCGCCCAGCCCACCACCAACGAATAGCCCAAAACCTGGAGCAAAGTCCCCGTGATCCGCGACGAGCTGCGCAACTACAAATACGTGGTCTTCATGGACGGCGACACCGTCTTCCCATACCCACACCTCCCCATCGAGTGGATGATGAACCTCTGGGGAATCCAACACAACACGTTCATCGCCATGGCACGAGAGATCGACGCCCCACGCAGCTACGACTCGCACGGCCAGCTCGTGCTGAACACCGGGTTCATTATTGCGCAGCAATCCCCGCGCACCGAAGAGATGTTCGAGGCATGGAAGGACTGCATCCATGATATCCGGTACCCGGGCTGCTCCAACTACACGGACCGGTTCTCGCACGAGCAATATGCGTTCGGCAACTGGGTCCGGTATGACTTCAATTCCACTGATGAGGTGGTGACCATTCCCTGCTCTGATGCGATGGGGTTCCCCGGTCGGGCGGGTGAGGGCGAGGAGTGTCAGGGTGATCTGTTGGGTCACTATACGCTTGATAAGGATATGGCCATTCAAGCGGTGCAGAGGTCGCTCATGCGGTATCTGATGCAGGATGTGCATCGGGAATTTTATCGCGAGTATGTACAGCTCGGTGGATCTCGATGAGCTAGACGAGTTGTGGAATCAGAGAAAGTAATGGGTGGAGAAGCGTGGTTCCGCATAGGGATCTGCATGGATATATAGTGGCGTTGATAGGGATATGGGGATGATTTAGAGCAATATATATATATTCGATGTCAGAACCAGAGGATAATCATTATTAATTGAATACTTGAGTACAAATGATATAGTATCAATGATATAAAATAGTATAAATGGTATAAATCGTTGAATACTATGAGATCATGCGAGGGGCCGACGGGCGAATTAGTCAAAAGCCGTTAGCCCCAAAAAAAAGTTACGGGAAACATCCCCCACGTTCACCTTCCCTTTGCTTCCCTTCTACCCTCCTTAGGAGATTTTGGAACCTCATTTCTGAAGCTCCGAAGCTCCGAAGATCTACAGCTCGGACGGGGGTTCTCTTCCACTGCCTCCGTGCCTATTCCACTATGTCTGGTTCCCCGCCCGCCCCGAAACCGTCGGCGATCCCCTCCCATATGCTGAACGGCAGCTCTCCGTTACATGCGCCCTTGGGGGCTCGCGATGCCCGTGAGCGCGAGAGTCTCAATTCATCAATTCGCTCCTCTTTTGCGCCCCGCATTCCCGTGGAGTTCGACGCCCCCGTGACGGAATCTGCCGGTGATTACACCAGCGAAACCCCCGCAGTTCGCAGCCCAGTGGCCGCGCGGTACGTGTCCCATCTGTCCAGAATCCAACATGCCCCGCAATTTCTTTTCTCTTGTATTATACCCGATGACCTGACATTTTTGTCGCAGTGGCCGGCCTACTTTGAATGATCCGCCCCGCGACCCCAGGGATGAAGGCGGCCCGTTGACCCCTCCCGCGACCGTGAGCCGCCCCGCCAGTCCCTACACGTTGAACCCTCCGATCGACTTTGACGGACTCAGTTGGCCTTGTAAGACTCCCAGCATGATTCCTCTTTCCTTCATTTTCTAAACCGAAGTTGCCACCCAGGCCCCGGAACCAGACAGCGGTTAGAATCGTCACCCGAGGAGACCGAGGAACGGGTCCAGAAGCTGGCAGGCGCCGTACGGACGATTCTGGAATGTGTCGGCGAGGATCCGGAACGAGAGGGTCTTCGCGAGACCCCCGAGAGATATGCCAAGGCCATGCTTTACTTCACCAAGGGCTACGAGGAGAACGTCCGGGACTTGGTGAATGGGGCAGTCTTCCACGAGGACCACGACGAATTGGTGATTGTCAAGGATATTGACGTTTTCTCCCTCTGTGAACATCACATGGTGCCCTTTAGCGGAAAGGTAAGGGTCGCTGCATCGTACATTTGTCATCAAATCATTCTGACCATGTGGGGCAGATGCATATCGGCTACATCCCGGATCGCCGAGTACTTGGTCTATCGAAATTGGCTCGTCTGGCCGAGATGTTCTCCCGCAGACTCCAGGTTCAGGAGCGTCTGACCAAGCAGGTTGCCCTGGCGATCTCCGAGGTCCTCAAGCCTCGCGGTGTTGGTGTTGTCATGGAGTCCGCGCATCTGTGCATGGTTATGCGAGGTGTGCAGAAGGTCAGCAGTACCACGACCACCAGCTGTATGCTGGGATGCATGCGCTCGAGTGCCAAAACCCGGGAAGAGTTCTTGACCCTTTTGAACCGGAGATGATCAGTGCACCTTGATTTCGACCCCATGAGTTTTCAGTTACGAGTTTGGAGTTCCGGCGATGACCTTTCAACAGGTTTCGGGTGGCTTATCTCTTGAGCCTCTCGAGCTCTAGCATGGATTTAGTGTCTTTCTTGTTGTGCCCACATCCTTTCGCTTCTCTTGCATATACTTGGACAATATCGGCCTGGGCACCACGCCATTTCTTAGCCGTGGCAGCCCAACGCTTTGCCATCTTATTTTCTGACCTGCTATCTTCAGAGCGGTTCATGACCCAGATATTCGCTTACACCGGCCTGATCTGTCACGATCTGTGGAAGATGATATCTTCTTCTTTTTTTTTTTCATGATGCTTTAGACTAACACCCCTCCCGGGGTCCTTTGCTTGCCAGTCTCATTTGGAGCCTCTGAAGACTCGAAATATCTTGGTGTTGGCAAGGTTGTTTCAACACTTGAACTCTTTTCATACTATACTCCTTTGCCATTTGGATATTGGGGTTTTCTATCCACACTCTGTATATGTTTCCTACGCTAAAAAAAAATGCCATGTACACTGCTGTCCCATTCTTTGTTCTTGACACCCTAGAAAGTTCGATGCAGCGTGCTGAACTCCATACAGACAATCATAGGCTGGATGATTGCACACCCCATGCTCACCTTTTATGGGCAGCTTCGACAACCCAACATGACTCCCGCTCATTTTCTTTTGGTCGTCTGGCGGTCAGTATTATTTAGAAGAGCCCATCACTCCCTGTTGCACCTTTTGCCTAACCGTTTAGGGATATTGTCGCCTACCATGGTTCCCGTCTCTTCCCCGTTACTTTCTATCACAGCCTTGTTCTTCAGGACCACTCCGCAACCCCGTAATTCGCCCATTACCCCGGCTTTTATGATGCGTCGACGTCTTAAACATACCCCGCCAGCCCCGTTCTCCCATGAGCCTATTTTATGCAGTCCGGTCCACCACTCTATATCTTTGCAGTATATCATTTCTAGACATTGGAGGGTGACTTGGACACCAATATAAATGAACGATGGCCATCACCCGTTACTTTCCCGTCACTTCCCCGTCAGTTGCCCTCCCATATCCCAAGTTAGCAATGCATGAACAACCCTAGAAACATCTAAGCGAGGCCACAATAGACCTCAATAAGAAAGACTCTATTGAATAGGCAACAGCACTCACTTATTGACGCCTGATCGATTCAGTTTTCCCCTCCCCCCGACCTCCTATTTATTCTTTCCCTCCCACAACCTCTTTCTTCTTTTCATCCATCCCACAATCTTCTTTTCTTCCATCAACCTCGTCATCTCGACGGCCTCTTTTTTCTGTTCTCAGTAAGTCTCTCGGCTTTGGTTGTGTCCCCCGTTTCTTGCACTGTTTGTGTCTGTTTTTGTTCTATCGAACGCCGTGGAGACGCGTCTATACTGATTCCAAAACCGACCCGGGGTATATCCTAGGGTTGTCTCTGCAACAACAAAGCTGATGGGATAATGTTTGTCTAGATCTCTTTCAACCTAACTGTGCTTCCACTTGTGCTCCCTAGCTTTGTCCCCCAACTGTGCTGGCCACGCTACCAGTTCTGAACCAGCACCATGGCCCGGCAGGGACATGATCCACCCGAGCTTGATCGCTTCATCCAGCAAGATGAAGTATTTAGCCTGGGCACCCCGTTCAGCTTGCAGGATCAGTTCAATCTGGACAGCGACTTCAACCTCGATGAAGAGTTGTCCAATCAGAACAATCAAGTGCTCGGCGTGAACAATGACGCTGAAGATCCTGAGCAAGGTGACTTTGATTACCCGACCGATGACTGGCCTGAGTCGGCCGATGAAGGGCTCAACCCATACCTTTATGGGTATCACCCGGATGATGAAGGGTACAATCCAGAAGATGCACTGTCCAACTTCGATGAAGAGTTCAACCTGAACGATCAAGTGTTCAACCAAGACATTGAAGCATTCAACCAAGAACTTGAAGTCTCCAACCCAGACAATGAAATCTCCAACCTAGACGATGAAAAGTCTGACCTCGATGAAGCATTTGCTGAAGAGCCATTTTCCATCCGTCAATCACTCCAAGCTGTTCTGACAGCCTACAATGCTCGAGTCAGCACTGAAATCCGGGCTAACCCGCCACCCTGGAGCAGCATGTATAATTTTGAGCCCCCATGGCGTCGCCTGCGGCCACCGTCCCCTGACCGAGTGGCCGAGTTCCTGGAAAATCTTGATCTGGATGATCCGAATCTGGCCAATCTGAAATTGCCTGGTGAAAATGATGTTGTTTACCCAGACCCGGCTGAAGAAGAAGATTCCGCTGAAGATGAGGATGAAGTCACTACTGAGTTGGTGACTCCCGACCAGGGACTTCAAGCATGGCTCGTCCGACAGCAGCTCATCGCCGGTGTCCAAATTAGCGACCTTCAGCCCATGAGAGGCCCTGGTTCCCAGCAGAAGCAGGTGACTCCCCAGGGCATTCTCACGCGGCAGCGCATCCCCTCTCTGATGTCGGTTTCTCGGTATGGAGTTTTCCCCTATGCCATTCAGCCGGCCAGCTTCAACGGCTACATTGCTCCTCTTCCTCGTCGACGCATCGACGATGAACTGCAGGACGAGTATAAAGCTCACCCACAACCGATTTTGAATAGCGACTGCATTGCTCCACCTATTCCCCTCAATGTCCAACGCCTTCTCCCCACCTGCGGCTGGCTTCCTCCTCCCAACACTCCCCATCCTGAGTATCTCCGTTCGCCGCGTCCGAGCCTGGAGGAATCTCATCAGGAGCTCTGCTCGCTGCTTGATGAATTGGAGCGCTTGCATGGGGCTCCTCTATTGCGTCCTTCCCCACCGACCTATCTGGAAACCTTGCTTTCAAGGCTGCGAAGCCCTGATGATCCCGACTCGGAGGAGGAGCAGGAGATGCAAGATCCCTCTGTTCAGGTTTCGAATGAGGACCCGCAAAACTTTTACACGCAAGTCTCGAATGAGTCGCCAAAAAGTCCCTACAATCACGTTTACGATGAATCGGGGGATATGCCTCTTCAGATGACTTATGTTGAGGATGCAGACGATTCTCCAGATTTCGATTTCGAGTACGAGATAGACAGTGATGATCAGGCGTTTGGTCTCGATGGATCCTGCGATTCGTCTCCTGTGACTCCTCGGGCGAAGGAAAACCTCACGGGGAATACCCAGCACTCTTCCATTCCCAATACCCCGAAATCTACTGTGCCGGCGCCTCATAAGAGTCATGGGTCACTTTTCATTCACAGTGGAAACAAAGGTTCTAAGAATGAAGACACCATTACGACCCAGGGTCATGAAACCCTTCCCATCTCCACCGCAGACAATGGATCTCAGAATGAGGCTATCGCCGCAAAGATGGCGCTTTCCACCTGTAGGAAACAGGATGACAATCAACAGGGCACATCGGTGATCTCGGAACCTCCCAATGATCCACAAGAAGGACAAATCCATCAAATGAGTGAAAACCCGGAACGGTCGCCATGCACTCGGGTTGGGGAATCTTCTGTGACACTGACCATCCATACCTTTTCGACGCCGGCGAATCATGCTCTGCAACCATCGAAAGGAGCTCCCATCAAACAGCCTCCAGCATCGGGTCTTCATGACCTATCAGCTTCTGATCAGATTGAAGCTAGACAGCTGCTAGTGGCTCTTCCCCCTACACCCGAGGTGACCGCTGTTCAGCAGGAAGTTTCAGCACTGGATCAAGGCTCGTCTGTTGGGTCTTCTGAACCAAGATCATGCAAATACTCCACATCGAAGCCTGAGAGATCTGATGTATTGGAACGGTTTCTTGCATCATTGCCCGAACCCCAGACAGTTCTACCTGTTGAAGATCTTCCTCGTCGGGACTCTCAGCCTGTCAAAAAGGAAATTGATCCATTTCTCACCCCTCAGCCAGAGTCTTTGACCACCGAGGAGATGGAGATTGAGAGGCTACGATTTTTGAGTCTTTCTCCCTGCTATCATCTTTCTCTGAGGGCGGCCGCGCGGAAGAACTCAAAAGCAAAGTTCAGCCTGGGCAAAGCTCTGGAAAGCCAGCCGGATCTGATGTTTGAGATCATTGATATTCTTTTAATTGATGTCAATGCGACCATCGAATCTCTTGCAAATGTCAACAAAGCATATCGCGTGTTGGTCTTCAAACACATGAGCACTGCAGCCAAGCGCACTGAGAGTGCATTTTCTCCGGTTACACGAGCGTTCCCCTACATGTGGAACCAGTGCATGAGCTGGACTTTGCTCACTGGCTTTGGGACAAGCTCAGATCTCCACGGTGTGAAGTTGCACACGTTCTACGTGCCAAGACCTGTGTGGATCAAGAGAATCCACAAGCACTCAAAGACGGCCATTGGCATTTTCAAGCTGATCAGCACACCGGATTTCCCGTGGCCCCAGAGGACAGTGCAGGTGATTCTGAAGATGGGGACTCTCATGCAGTACCCGGACAATCCTATGCGGCTGTGGATGGTCCGCCACAAAGACCTGTGGCCCGACAAGGACATCCGCCTGGCGTGCGACTTCATGGGATACGTCGCGGAGATCTTCGGGGACATGCACCCCAGCTACGATGAGGGGCTTCTGCTTCGGCTTGTGCTGGCCACCCGCAGCATGGCTTCACTGAAGAAGTTCCTGTGCGGTGAAGGGCCCAAGACCCACCAGGAAGTACTGTCGCTTATGGCATACTACCAGGGTGGTGAGGGTGATGACCAGTCGGATCAGTCCGCTCATGGGATTGATTCGAAGTGGGTGGGATATCTCCGGGAGGAGAAGCGGATCAGCTGCCGCCCGTGGCCATTCGAGGACCTCCGTGTTGCGCTGGCTGCGGCGATTGGTGACGGTGAGGTGAGCCGCTCTCACCCTGGTGTTATTCGGGAGTTGGTTCCCATTGAGAATTTGATATGGGACGAGTTCACCCGCCGCGGCCTCAGTGCCGATGACTTCCTTTGCTGGGAGGAAATTGAGGCCCCCGTGGCCGGAGATGAGATGGAGTGGGAGAAGGAAATCCCAAAGTTGATTGTTGGGAACCCTCCTAGCTTCCACGCGTGAGTCCAGGTGGTTCGTTTGTTCTTTCGGTCTGTTTCTGTTTCTGTTTTTTTTTTTTTTTTTTTTTTCTTTCTGTTTTTCTGTTTCAAGTTCCCCCGGTAAGAGGCGCGCGCATGAGATTTGAAGGGGACTTGAGTTATGTTTAAGTAAAATTTGAGTGAGATCTGAGGCACAATGTACGATAAAAGATTAAAACAAAAATGAAAGATTTGATGTCGACTGATCCCCCCAATGTATAAGAGTCGTCCGCGCTAACCCTAAGACGCAGCAGCATCACGTGGTAGTCAGACACGTGAGCCAGCCCCTTCCACCTCAAACCCGACATGACATCAATGCATCTTCCGAATTCCTCACCCCGATGCCCGTCTAAACATTCGCAGATGCCATACTCGTTTGTCAATCCTCTGGGTTCTAGACATTTATTTCGGTTTTTCATTCTGGACAAGCCATATTGGCCTGAAACAGCGATTCTCGGCCAAATCCCTTTGACCGACCCGAGTCCTTAGGGCCGGCGTGGGATCCCCGCTTCATCAATATGCAATGCATCATGAAGTGTTCCTTGTTTTCTAGTATATCATGTGGCCGTTATGCCCTGGGACCTGTGGCATTTATGTTGGGTTGAGACGATGAGGGGGAGATGAACGGTCGCAGGCTCTCCACCCTTGGCCGCTCTTCTTTGATCGCATGGTTGGCTTTATCAATCTCCGATCGGGCTTCGACTCTTTGATTCCTGGTTTTTATCCCCCGGTATGCTTCCCATGTCTTCGCATGATCTTCGGGATCTGGGATGGCTGTCTTCAGCCAGCTGGGGCATCCCCACCATCAACAACCCCCCTGATACCAGTCCTTTGTTGGTGGGAAAGAAAAACAAAGCATTGATGGGGATCTGGATATCCCGAGAATCGGTTTAGACCGATGTTGCATGCAGAAGGGAGTCTTTTTTGTCGGCGTTTCGGCCCAATCTCCCGGGTGCTGGTACTTGTCTCGAGATAGCCCTCGCTCTGTGTCTCCCTGCTGTAAAACTTTGGACACATCCAGCTTCAGCGTGCAGAATCTGCCCGCCCATGAGGGACACTCCTGAAGCTACACCATGCGAGACTAATCGCCGCTAGATGGACGGAGGCTCCCGTCAAGCAAAACAGATTACCACTGCGGGATCTACCCTCGGCCGGCTTTACACTCACCACCAGGCGCTCTCGACACACTATTGCAGTCGAGGTACGGCGACGTTCAACCCCACTGTCGCCCTTCGGGGTTGGGTATACTATTCTGCCCTGATCCTACTCTTATGGCGCATGATGGTGCCTTCCCACCGTCGATTTTGCTCTTTCGAGGCCTTTTGGCTCTATGCAATATGTAGATAGACCCATTTGCCGGACAAAGCATCATGGAGCCATGATGCGCTGGACAAGGGGCATACGCAAGCGACCAAGTTCCAATGAGGCAAACCAGAGCGGGAGAAGCACCAGGCTCATCACAGCAGCCTTTCCCGGATTACGTGACGCAGCCGGCTGTCTTTTTGGAGGGGAGCAAATATCAGCGAACCCACTCCAGAGACGCCCTGGCATCGAGCAAAGGCAAGCTAACCCATCGGATGCCAACGGCTGCAACAAAAGTAGAGCCACGGCCTTTGCACCGAGGTGATCAACTACATGGCTTCACCAGTAGTGGCCACAGGTAAATTATATCAATATCGAATAGGAGATGGTACGTATGTGGCTCCCCTTGCTGACTTGTATAGTTCATGCTTTTGCAGGCCTCGGAAAAACCACTATTCCGTCCAACCCGAAAGAGTTTCGTCTGGGAGAGAACGCGGATATGACCGACCCACTTCGCTTTCTTCGTTTCGCAGTTCTTGACTCGAGTGACTTCGTCACCTTTACTTCTCTTTTCCCTTGTTTCAACCAGATGCCGCTGGCGATTTTTCATGGCTGGATCTCGTAGGAGTCCGGTGTTGAGGGATCAGTGGAGCGCTGACCACGACCGCGAACCCCGTGACAGGGACAGGCGCAGAGGTCGAGGTTCTCATCGTGATCGTGGCAGGGGCCGGCATCGTGAGCGAGGCCGCCATTCTCGGCCCAGCGACCGCCATTCCAATCGTCCCCCACGCTCGCCACCCTCACGCGCATTCCGCTTAGGCCCTGATTCATCTCACCCGGATGATTTCCCTCTGGATCGATCTCCACGCGGCTCTCCCGGTCCTTCCTCAGGGTTTCGTGGCAATCGACGAAAAGAGTACAACCGACCCCCTTCGCCATCGGGTGATTGGAACGTGCCCCCATCTGGCTCTTTGGATAGAGAGGCTCACCCGCGGAGAGACGAGTCACCATTTGCACCTCCATCGAAACGCCAAAGAACCCGAAGTCCCTCACCACGTGGCCCCCGATCCCCTTTTTCCTATTCTCGCCCCAAGCACGGTCAGCACGGAGAGAGACGCGATAGAAGTCCTTCGTTCAAGAAACGTGGCCGCGGCCGTGGTGCTCCCCGACGAAGATCCCCTCGACGGGGGCGCGACCGCCGAGGCGGCCCACGCCCTGATATTGGACGTCGAGGAAGATCCAGATCACCCGTTCGAGGTAGGGGATTTCATCCATCGCCTGACCGACGATCTCGTACCCCAAGTGGCGACGGCTACAGCGACGTTGACTCCCGATACCGGTCTTTATCCCGACACTCTGCGCGATCTGCCAACTCGAGGCTATCTGCATCACCCCACGATCAAAGACGGGACTCAGCCTTGAACTCGACTCGACCCATCCAGTCCATCGTGGACGGGTCCACCCGATCTCCGTCTCCACTTCGTCGTATTCCAAGTTTTGATTCCGACCGTTTCGATGACGATCGAAACAGATCTGGCGCCTTGCGAGATGAATTTCCATCCCACGGCGTGCGATCTTTCGACTCCCATAGCAAGCCACATCGACGATCGTCTATTCCGTATCCTGACAACAGACCATACGCCATGTCGCCTCGGAACGGGACACCAAGCCCTTACCAGGGATCGCCTCAACCGCATTCTTCCTACCATTATCATTCCAACCAAGATGAACGGGATGATCCTTCAAATTACCCCCCGTCTCACTATGGCGGGCCTCCCCAACGAGGTGGCCATTCTGGATATCGAGGCAATCATCCAAAGCAAGGCCCTGGCCGTCGGTTCTCTGGATCTGGCCCCCCTCCTTATCACAATGGGCCCTCACATCGCGGAAGGGGTCATTTTAGCAACCTCCAGTGGACTGCGTCTGGGTCTCGCGGACGCGGCGGACAACACAGTCCCTATCATGGGCACAATCATGGTTCACATACTCCATCTCATCCTCCGACCGCAAGCGACGAACAGTCACCCTGGGGAGGCGAGAGTGAGAACTATTTCAGGGCAGCAAGCAGAGATCCCCAGAGAGAAGATGATCAGGCAAACCGCGGTTTGGAGGGTGCAGATTCCCAGACCATGCCACCCCCAGGTCGCGAATCTGATACCGCTACTCCTGCAAACAAAAGCGGGAAATTCAGCTTTACTCTCAAGTCCAAGGCCACGCCTTTGCCCTCTCCGAAGCCCGTTCCTGACCTTGCCCAACGAATGCAAATCCGCCAACCGCCTCCCCGTGCACCTGAACCACCGGCACCACGCAACCGGCTGACCAATGGGCCTCTGCCCCAATTCAAGCCCGATTCTCGGTCTGATCGTCGTGATCGGGACCGCGGACGGAATCGAGATCGAGGCGACCGCCGAGATTTCCGGGGTTCCCGCGACTTCCGCGAACCGCGAGGCCGAAGAGACGATCGTCGGTTCGACCAACGTCGTGATCGGCGCAAGGATGATCGACGCCCAGACTTCCGACGTGAACTCCCCCGGGAGCCCTCGCCAGAACGGCCGATAGAGCCGCCGCCGAAGCAGAAGAAGATCCTAAGCCGTCCCAAACAGCGCCCTATACTTTCAGAGGAGTTTGCCAAGGCCGATTCCGTTTACTATCGAAAACCGGGCAACGAGTCTGTGATTGGTGCTGGTACGTATGGCAAGGTGTTCAAGGCGATCCATGTCTACACTCAGCGCAAAGTGGCGTTGAAAAAGATTCGGATGGAAGGAGAGAAAGACGGGTACCCCGTGACGGCGGTGCGAGAAATCAAGTTGCTTCAACATCTTCGGCATCATAATGTGGTGAGCCTACTGGAAGTCATGGTCGAAGACAACGAGTGTTTCATGGTTTTTGAATACCTCTCTCATGATTTAACCGGCCTCATCAACCATCCCAGTTTCTCCCTCACCCTCGCCCACAAGAAGGACCTGGCCAAGCAGATGTTTGAGGGATTGTACTACCTCCACCATCGCGGCGTCCTTCATCGGGATATCAAGGCGGCCAACATTCTCGTCAGCAACCGAGGATTATTGAAATTCGCCGATTTTGGTCTCGCCCGGTTCTTTTCCAAAAGTCGTCAGCTCGACTACACCAACCGTGTGATTACCATCTGGTACCGACCACCTGAACTCCTCTTGGGGAGACCCGATATGGCCCCGCGGTCGATGTTTGGAGTGCCGCCTGCGTCTGCATGGAGATGTTCACCAAAAAGGCCGTCTTCCCCGGCGAAGGTGGCGAACTCAGCCAACTCGACAAGCTGTACAATAGCTTGGGTACCCCCACGCGCAGCGAGTGGCCGGACCTGGTGGAAATGCCGTGGTTCCATCTGATGCGGCCGACGGAACGAAAGAAACGCGTCTTCGAAGATCAGTACCGTGATCTCCTGACGCCCGCTGCATTGGACTTGATCTCGCAGGTTTTCCATTACGATCCCGCCAAGCGACCGAGTGCCGAGGATGTCCTCCAACATCCCTACTTTGTGTCGGAGGAACCAGCTCCTCAGGCGGCCACAGAGTATGTATCACCGTTTTTCTCTTCTGCTATCAAGTTCTACTTGCTGATATCTTTTCCCCGTCTAGACTGGAGAACATCCAAGGCGACTGGCATGAGTTCGAATCCAAGGCTCTCCGTAAGGAGGCCCGCCGCGTCGAATACCAGAATCAGAGGGATCGGGAGAAGCGAAAGGCTGAGGCACCGGCGCCGGCTGGTGACCGAGACTTGAAGCGAGCCAAGCAAGAGACCAGTGGACAGGCCTTGGGGGCGTGAGAGATGGAATGACATGACATGTTTTGGATATTCTGTTTGTGTACTGCATTGGGTATGGGATGGCTTGCATGGAGAGATGGGAATTCACTGTGAGTTTATTGTGGGATAGCTTTGTCACATATGCCATTGAGTGTACAAGTAAAAATTATGTTCCAAGTTGCTGAAGCCCAGCGTAGAATGGTCGCCCTCGGGGTCAAGGCAAGGAACTAAGTGGATTTGCGTCCAGGGGAGGGGGGGGGGCTCTCTCTACTAAAACGCCAATGTCAGTCCTGTTTGTGACTTGCCATTCAACGCACTGGTGATGTGTTGCCAGACACTCAGACTTTGCCAGTTAACCACACGCCCGACCAGCCCTGGTAGAGACGAAGGCGGTTGGGACCTCGGATTACCAGAGAGCTCATAGGAATTTTCTTCATTTGCATGCTTGGATTTGGATAGGACTATTCATGACGTACCCTACCATAAAGCAATTCAGAAGAAAGGGAAATGTCTCGTCAGTCAGGTCATCAACGCATCATGGGTTGCTCGCGAAGAGCCCTCGTGATGATGGTTTTAGATGCGAGCTGATTTAATCTCGACACACTCATCGGAGACGCCGGGGCAGTAGAAAACAAAAAACACCGACGTTGATTTGAGTTGGTGGTCTTGGGTTAAGGAAAGAAGAAGAAGAAGAAGAGAAAAAAAAAAAAAAGGCGGACAAAAGGGCGCCCGTGGAAAAAAGACGGTGCGGGCCAGGCGAGCATGATTGGACGTTCGAGTCTCCAATTCACCTCGACACTCTCCCACCTTTTTGGTCTTTGTCCCCCTCGTCTCTCTTCCTCTCTTAAAATATAATCATTGCTGCATATCTCTGGTCTCTCTATTCTCTGGCTTCTCTGGATTCTCGCCGCTTCCTCTACTTGCTTGTTCGACTCACCTCCGCTTTCCCTCTCCGCCCCGATTATATCCTTTCTGCATCTCGCATCCGGTCGCTCACCTACGTCACCGAGAATATCGAACTGTCGCTCACGGCGGACTCTGCTGTCTTCCTGGGTTGTCCCGTTAATTTCCCCCGGATGACCGCTCGTGTCTCCGGCCGTTTTACCCGTCGCGATGGATAATGCCAACCTGTGGACTCGTCGGGCAAAGTCAGTAAAAGACATAGAAAAAATCCCCAGTTTTTGTTCTTTTCATCTTCATTTTTTTTTTTATTTTTTATTTTTTTACAATAAGGTTACATATTAACATATCCTTCTTGTGTGCATTCAGCTCCTCCAAATTGTCGCTGTCCATGTCCGGGACAGATGGCAAAGAAGGTGCCCGCGTCGAACTGCCCCGCTCCTCCAAACGGTTCGGCCCTGACAGCTCCCAAGGGCGCTCGAATCCCTTCAACGCAATATCCCCCATGTCCGGCGGCGTCTCCTCGCCATCGACCAATGCCTCCTCCGCATTCGGGCTAGGCTCGGGCGCATTCGCCTCGTTTGGGGCCCCGAAGACGCCGGGTGGCTCGTCCGAGGTGAAAACCCCCGGAGAGAAACGTGACGGGTCGGAGCAGGATGATGTGGCGAGAGCCAAGGCTCTGTCGAGTTCCCCGGTCTCCACTCCCGGGGAGCACCCGTTGAAGTCGACGTGGATTGTCTGGTACCGTCCTCCTACGCCCAAGTACTCCGACTACGAGAAATCAACCGCCCCGCTTGCTTCGATATTTTCCGTGGAGAGCTTCTGGGCCGTCTATTCGCATCTCAAACGGCCGTCGCTTCTTCCGACGGTGTCCGACTATCATATCTTCAAAAAGGGTATTCGTCCCGTGTGGGAAGATGAGGCCAACAAGCGCGGTGGCAAGTGGATTGTCCGGCTAAAGAAGGGCGTGGCCGATCGGTACTGGGAAGACCTGCTGCTGGCGATGGTGGGCGATCAGTTTGCCGAGGCTGGTGATGAAGTGTGCGGCGCAGTCCTGAGCGTTCGAGGCGGCGAGGACGTCTTGAGTGTGTGGACAAGAATTGACGGTGGGCGGAACATCAAGATCCGGTATGTTGCAGATTTTCCCTTCTCCATTGCTTTCTCCATCTATTTCTGTATATCTTTTTCCTTTTCAACCCTTACTGACTTCATTGCAGAGAAACCATCAAGCGCCTGCTCGCATTTCCGCCAGATACCAACATTGTCTGGAAGAGCCACGACGACAGTATCGCTCAACGCTCAGCCATCGACCAGGCTCGTCAGGAGAAGGCTGCGGCTGCGGCTGCTGGTGGCCATCTGGCAACGGACCGACGACGTGGCCATGAAGACCCGGAGAAAGGAAAGGGGGCTGCTGCCTCGTGAATGGATCCCGTCGAGGATCCAAGCCTGGCCTTGGGCCCCTGTATAGTAAATCCAAAAAAAAAAAGAAAAAAAAAAACAATCATCCACGACTTTACTCATTGGGACGCGTTTGGGTCTTGGGGGACGGTGGGGCATCGAGGCGAACTCAGCGGTTTGATTTGATTCATGTGGCCTTTGATATTTCTTGTGTTTCTCGTGTTTTTTGCTGCCGTCGAGCTCATGCGTGATGTGTTCCCTTGTATTGTGTATCTGATGCTCTGTACTCTGCTCCTCTCAATTTAGCAGCGCTCAATGGTGCCGTCTCCCTTGCTGGGAGCGACTCGCCGATTCAGCTATTTATTTACTGATGCATTGATGCATTGTACAACTGTTTTATTTGATTCGATTCACCCTAATCACTTTTTATCTAGTCTTGCCAATATCCATTCAACCGCATACTTCCCATCGGGCGCGCGTATCAATTAAAAAAAGCCTGACCGCCCTATCCGCGATGACGAAGGAACATACTTGCTGCTGGCCAGACCCAAACACCTCCAAAATCCCCTCGCGCAGAGAATGAAAATGTTCTGACGGTGCTGGTCCCTTGATGCCTTTCTTCGGGAGCCTGTCCGATATCTTCGCTAGTTTATCACCGCGTCGCCGCCCCGAAGATCGCCCGTCTGCCCAGCGTCGTCCGCCCTCTCGAACCCCTCTCGCTTCTCCTCTCCGTCGCCCTGTCTCGGATCGCAATCCATTTTCGCTGGGATCGGACTCGCAGGCCGATCATCTGAGCCCGGCGCTCTCTACACAGACCCTGGGCACCTCTGCGTCTGCTTTCTCGGAGGTGTGTATCTACCCGTGTTGGAGCCAGCGCGTTTCCGCTCGGCACTGTGGGCTCTTTTTTATAAAAAAAAATTTCTTTCTTTCTTTTTTTTGATGTGTGCCATACTGTGGTTTTACCTGGGTTTTATTCATACTATCTTCTTGATCTATTTCTCTTTTGGTTTCTCAGTTGTCTACACTCGTTGTCTGACACTGACTGGATTTTCTAGGCCTATCGTTATGCCGACTATCCTTCTCCCACTGGACCCTCAATTGTACATGGACAATTGCGATCCCCAACCTCGCAGTACGTCTTAGAACCTACCTCCCGGTAGATGTGACCCTCCAGCCCATTCCCGCCGGGCAAGTGCTGACCCTCGGGTCATTCCCCAGTCAGGACAAGTCGGCGCAGATGAAGAGCAAGGGCCAGCCGCAGGACGACGCCCAAGCTCGCCAGGATGAGGCTCGATTGTTTGGCGCAAACTACAAGTATGTCCTGATTCGGGGATGTTCCCTGTGCCACTATCTGAAGAAACGCCTGCGCTAATGCCCCAGTCATTTGTTGCTTGACAGGGAAGTCGATGCAGTGAGGATCACACCAGGAGCCACGGTCCGGGCGACGACCAGAAAGACTCATCCTCCGGGGGTACGTTGACTTTATCCTGATTAGAAGTAACTGTTGGAAATGGGGTTTTTGGTCTGATTATCGAGAACTGCAGGCCTTGTTCGCGCCGAAACCAACCGATACGATCTCGCGTAATTCTCGAGAAAGCGGACCGGTCCGCGCACGGGGAAGGCCAACTCAATATTCGTCTTATCTAGCTAAGAACCCTCGCTTGAGTGATGTCCCCGATTTCGAAGAATCCGGCCGGCCCAACAAGCGTCGGCGCCGAGGAGACCTCGGCGCAGCGACTGATCTGGAGAACGATGACCCGGTAGTGATGCGGCGACGATCGGAGTCCCAGCTGTCTTCCCCGGAATCCACCCGGCAATCCGCCAAATCAAAGAATAAAGGCCACGCCGCGAAGATTTCAGAGTTCCGGGACGTGGAAAACCATATCAAGCCCGTTAGTCCCCGCCGCCGCACCCGTCGATCTTCCAGTACTTCGCTGGATCAGCGATTCACCGAATCTGCGGCGCAGCAAAGGCGCGGCCAAGCGCCCAATGTGGATTTGCCGCCGCCCAAAGTCAATGTCAAATCAGACAGGCATTCACGCGAAAATGTACTTGACAGTGTCGAGATCACCAAAGTGAACGAGACTGCTGGTGAGGCTATTCGTTCTCAACAATCAACTGGCGCAAATGAGACTCGCCGTGTTTCTGATAGGGAGAGTCCAGATGAACTACAAGGTGAAGCAACTACCCAACCACTCCCAAAGTCCCTGCGCGCGAAGCATAAAAACATCAACCGCAAGGTCAAGGGCGAAGTACAGCAGCTTTCTCCATCTCGGAAACGTTCGCCAGCCGATATTGAACCCACCGATTTTATGGGATCGCCGCGCCAAAGCCCGAAGCGGGCCAAGCGCAACCAGAAGAAAGCAGACGGACGATTGATGTCCGTATCATCTCTCCGACTTGGCTTCTGCAAAAAGGTCGCGCTGCCAGGCAAGAACGTGTCTTTTCGTCTGGGGAAAGATAGCATCGAAGTCGAGGACATTTCCGGTATTGGCAAGACCACGACAATTCTTGCTCGGCATATCCAGCACGCAATCCAAGGACGGGATCCGAGCTGTAAAGTGCGAATCCAACTGTCTCAAACTGCCGAATGGCGGGGTGATAAGCTCGACATTGGGTTTTTGTCCGTCCGAGACAAGAACCAGCTGATGCACATGTTGCAGGAGGCGCAAATCAAGATCCAGAGCAAGGAGATGTATGTCCCCCGAAACATTCGATCTAATTTGGCGCAGGCTGGCTGACTCTGGCGCAGGGCATACATGGACAAAGTTTTTACACTCCATGAGCGGCAGTGGGAAAAGCACGATAACCAACCCAAAAAACCACTTTTAAAGGACAATGCTGCGGAGCCTGTTGCGACGCCTCGCGTAGAGGCCCCGGCCACGTCTGCTTCTGCACGAAAGAAGGTTTCTGCCGCTTTGCAGGATGACAACAACACGAGCGAGCCGAAATCGCTTCCCAGAAAGAAGGACACGCAAGAGACTTCTGCACCCGCGGGTCCTGACGACACGTCCCGACAGGTATCTGATGACCGGGTTCCCCGTGATCCGCCAGAATCAAAACCAGAACCTGCCGTTGAGATTCCCGTAAAAACATCACTATCAAAACCTGTGCCGTCTGCCCGTGAGACACGATCGGCAGCTCGTCGTTCAACTCGACTTTCCGAACTGCCAGCCGATAGCGACATCCTCAATGACGATCCCCAACCATCACCCCTTGACCATGATGCCGGTCGAGAGAGATGGCGAAAGCCCCTGGTGTATCCCTGGACTGGGAAGAAGAAAGCCGAGGTCAATCTGGAGGATCGGGACCGGCTCCGCGAGGGCGAGTTCCTCAACGACAACCTGATAGCCTTTTACATCCGCTTCCTTCAAGACCACCTTGAACGTACGAACCCAGAGGCCGCGAGGCGGGTGTACTTTTTCAACTCATACTTTTTCGAGACACTGAAGAACACCCCGAAGGGCACCCGCGGCATCAATTATGCAGGTGTCGAGAAGTGGACTCGGAGCGTCGACTTGTTCAGCTACGATTACATTGTCGTGCCTATCAACGAGAACGCTCACTGGTACGTGGCTATTATTTGCAATTTGCCCAATCTGGACCTTGGGCCTGCAACTCCTGCCGAGCGGGCTCAAGTACCGCCAAGTGACAAGGAAGCTTCGAATCCTCTCGAGAGTGAAATCCAGGAAATCCTTGAGACGCCAGAACCCGAGCCAGTGCCAGTGCACGTTCCTCAGGGGCCTGCAGAAGCGACTGCACAGAAGATCTCTGAAATTTCGCTCAGCCAACCGCCAGGATCTCCACGGGATGGTAAGACTCACCCGTCGGTTGATTCGATGGTGCTTGTAGGAGATGGACAGACGGACCAGGCCGCGCAGGAGGCGCCATTGCAGGAGGATGAGTGGCCCGAGGCAGATGAGTGCCCGAAATCTTCTCCGATGAAGTTCCCCAACTTTCCCGCTTCAAAGCGGTCCGCGACTACGCCCCAGCCGGCGCGCAACTCCGCAAAGCCGCGAATCATCACCTTCGACTCCCTTGATCAGGCCCGTGCTCCCACCGTCAGGATGCTACGCGACTACATCACCAAAGAAGCAGCAACCAAGCGGGAAGTCGAAATCGATAGTTCTGGCATTAAGGGTATGCGCGCGCGCCAAATCCCACTGCAGCCGAATTACTCCGACTGTGGATTGTACTTGCTGGCATATGTGGAGAAGTTTGTCCAGCACCCCGATCCGTTCATCACCAAGACCCTCGATAAACAGATGAACGTGGAAACGGACTGGCCTCCGCTGGGTTCGGGGCTCTTACGACACCGGCTGCGCAGTTTCCTGGATGATTTGTATGAGGAGCAGGCTGGCGACAAGACGGACGATCAGTGGATCATGGCTGATCGACAGCCTGTGTCGTTTCTGCTTGGGCCCTCTCTACCTGCCCAAGATGAATCTGTTGATGACGCCCAAGCGGCAGCGTCCCCTCAACCTGAGGACTCGACTGCAGATGTTGCTCTGGGGGAGACCGCCAAAGATGACCGAGTCGAAGTGCAGATCAAGGGCACGCCGCCCCCCAAGTGAGTTGGGGTTGATGTGCAGAAGCTCATGGGGGGGTTCCGGAGGATTCGTCTGCTGTCTTTTATTTTATTTTATTTTTCTTCTCGAGTGTGGATTTCGAGGACGAGAATGTAGTCCTCGACCTAGGTGAGCATCTGTCATTGTGCCTTTGAGCACACCATGTTAAGCACAGCGTGGGTTTTGCGGCGTTGTTGAACCATTTCTGGCATAGATACCAGCATCTGTATGCATTGCAGGGTTGTTTTGACCTTGGGATTCGCTTCGGTCTATTCTAGTACCTCGGCTTGATGTAGTGTCTGTAGGGTCCCTGAAAAGGATCCAAAGAAAGAACACACATTCAGAGCAACCCTACCACTCGCTCTCATCCGCCCCAATCCACCGCTCTAATTTCTCTCTCTTAAACGTCTCGAAATCCCACTCCGCCTCCTCGAGCTGTTCCGTGCCCGCTACCCAGACATACGCAATAGCGGCAACCTCGTCGCCCTCCTCTGCGCTCTCGGCCCCAACCACATCCAGCACATCACGCAGATGGTCCCCAGAACCAGTAGATGCCGATGCTGATGACAATACCGGTGCCGACGAGGCATCATGATCCTGCAGCAACCGCACCGAGACCAGCTCTCGAACGTACTCGTCGCCCTCGAAGAGATCTAGCCGGTACATATCGCCGTCTGTGAGACCCGAGACTAGAGTTCCGCGCACAGAGGTGCGAGCCTGAGCCTGGTCGAGACTTGCTGAAAACATGGTGGAGCTTGGATTGGAATTGGAATTGGAAGTGTGGTCTCGCGCGGCTACGATCGCTGGGTAGTCGGCTCCCCGCACGCGATGGCGCCGGTAGCCGTGCAGCACGGCGGGCTGGATGCGGATCAGGGCTTTTTGCCAGGGTTCTGGGTTGGCACTGCCGTGGATGACGCGGTGGAGCATCTGCGGTGCCATCAGGGTTCCTGGGAGGGTATTATTATTATTGATGAGTTTATTGGAGGTGCCATAGTAAGGTAGAGAGGTAGAGAGAGGTATGAGAGGCAGAGTGGGCTTACCGTAGAAGAAGAGGACGTGGTCACCCATCGTGGAAAAATATTACTAAGGTGTGATTCAATAATGAAGGAGAAAGAGAAAGAAAAATAGAACAGTCCGTTAGTCGAATCTCCAAGTCTCGAAGTATGAAATGAGTGACAGCTCTATGCGGGCGCTTATCGATAAGCAACTGGCCCAGCTGGCTTCATCACCCTTGACATCTTTCGCTCTCCTTCCCCCCCCCCCCCCCCCTTCCCACTCTCCCAGCGCCATGCATTCCTGTCTGAACCGCGCGCAGTCCGTCTTTGGCTTCTTCACCACCGTCGCTCTGGTGGTCAGCGCGCTGGCCGCCTTGTCGGTGGTGCTGTTTCCCACCGACGAAGTCAAGACGGCCGTCGAGCTGAAGAACGTGCACGTGTATGTGGATTGATTCTGTTTATTTCTGTTCACCCATGTAAATGGAACCCCCAAACTAACCCCAATCTCTTCTACAGCGTCAAGGGCCGCCCGCACTACTACTCCTCCAAGCGCGAGGAGTACGCCCAACTCCGCTTCGACCTGGACGCCGACCTATCCCCGCTCTTCAACTGGAACACCAAGCAGCTCTTCGTCTACGTCTACGCCACGTACTCGTCCTCCGATCGCGCCGACTCGGCCGTGCCCGCCTCCGAGGCCGTGGTCTGGGACGCTATCATCCCGGCCACGCCGTCGCCGTATTCGTGGGACGCGCTCCTCGAGAAAGCAACTGAGCTTCTCCCAACATCCATCGCTTCCTCGATCTTTTCGTCCTCATCATCGTCGGCCAAGCGCGCCTCCAAACGAGCCAAAAAGCCCTTAACAAAGAAGACCGGCTCCAAGAAACCCGCCGCATCCTCGAAGGAAGAGGCTGCTGCTACATCGGCGCCTGGACTGCTGCGTCTGCGCGACCAGAAGTCCAAGTACCAGATTAGTGATATCACTGGCCGGCTGGTTGAGCGCAAGAATGTTACTTTGTCTGTTGGCTGGAACGTTCAGCCCTGGGTTGGTGCCCTGTGGTGGAGTCCCCGCTCCGGGGCCGTCCCGCATACCGCGGGTTCTGTGGGGACGGGGGCGCCGTTTGATTTCCCGGCCCTTAAGGGGAGTAAGAAGGCTGCTGAGGGGAAGAAGGAGAGCGTATAGTCTTTTGGGAGAGTCGCTGAGTGGGATGTGAGGAATGGGTAGACTCAATCGAGAGTCTATCCTGTTCATTTCTATGGTTTGGATTCACATTGGAAGATGAAAATATACGTCCGCCTTACCCCTTGGATGTTTGTGTGTAGAATAAGAGTCACACTGTAGACACAACCACCCGGCTTCAGTATGAGGAATATGGACCACGGGACGCCCTCGAATCCAAAAAAAAAACATTCATGAATCTTATCTACCTCGAACCTAGGAAACACAACCCAAAAGTGGGAATCACGCTGAAGAGGGACCCCTTCTGAGTATAACCACCCTCGCGAATTTCATCACATGGTACCGTAACTGCGGCCCGCATGACCCCTATTTTGGACCCGGTCCGAGTAGACCCCAGGCGCCGGCTGCTGATAGGCACGGGTCATGGGATCGCGGTTGCGGCGGTCATAGTAGACGTATTCGAGATAGAAAGCGTGGATGTGGCCCGGGAAATAGCTAGATCAGAGAATGTCAGCACTCTGAGTGTGCGTGTGCGGGGAGGTCCCAAAATGTTCCTGTGTAGATATTGGATTACCAAAGACAAGGTATTTGTACTTACCCGAGAATCGTGAGCAGGACGTTGATCCAGAAGTCAACGCCACAGCCGGAGATGAGAAAGACGCCGAGTGGAGGAACTGGGTGAGACATATGTTAGCATATGGGCTGGCAAAGAATCTCGACTTGGGCAGGTTGGCAATTCCTGTGCTGGGGATTGGATTTCATGATCGCGGACCAGCACCAGGAAATTGCGTCACCCGCGACTGGAGAAGAGCTCATGATACATCACTTACTGAATAGGGTGATTATAATCAAGCATATCATTGAGCAGGTGCCCGCCATGGTGAAAGAAAGAGCGAGGTTGCGATGTAGGGATACAGGGGTGGTTGTTGATCGAGTGTGTCGAGGCGTTTGTTGAACTCTGTCGTGGACACGAAGCTCAGATTTTCAAACAGCAGGACGACCTCAACTATAAATAAGGATGTTGGCCTTGTCAAGACGTTTCACGATCGGCACACACAAACGTCAGATGGCAAAGGCAAGCAGGGAACTCCCCACGCCCAGTAGGGCTGAGATGCTGGTGGGTGACGTCATTTACACACAGCCACTGTGGCTCACGCCACCACAAGTGAATGCCTGAGGGGTGAAGCCTTCCTAGATAGGCAAGGTCCAGGTAGTACCACCTGCAATGTACTTCCAAGTCTTCCAAGGTTCTGCCCCGGTACAAGATACTTGAGTATTTGCGAGGCTCACATCACACCGCGTCGATGGCTGCCCGTGTTGTGACTTGCTCGTTCTTGTTACCCAGCTTGGAGATTTGCAAGAAGGCATCCACGCCATAGCCTTCCAGACTGTGCAGCTCAAGACTGCCCGCCCAGTACTCCGCATACACCCGGCTCATTGGAAGTCCCATTCCCAGTCGGAGATTCGGTGGCCGTGATGTCAGTGTATCCAGGGAGCCCTCGTGAAACATCTCGCGGTCGGACTTACGCCCCTGGGACACCTGCAGCTCTTGCATCGTGGCCGCCATCGCTGGCACCTGACCTAGGTTCTCCAGCCGAGACTGCGTGCGAGGTCCCTTGCTGAACGACCACAGGTACGGGAGGATCTCCCGTGGGATGCCCCCGCCCTGGTCCGAGATACGCATGATTACATGCTGTGGGGTTTCGCAGATGAGCACGTCGATGGGCGGCGGCGGCTGGGAAGAATTGTGGTATTTCTCAATGACAGCCTGTACGGAGTTGCGGAGAAGCTCCCCAACGATGTACTCCAGGTGGCTGAGGATGTAGGGGAAGGTAGCCTCCAAGTGACCCTGCACGGTGATGGCGGGGATCTGCGTCGAATCTGAGGTCTGTCGCATCAGATCCTGGGCCACCTTCCCGCATCGCTCGACCACTTCCTTCGCCTTGCACTTCAGAAACACTTCGCCTACAAAGTCTGCATTCATGTCAGTTCGGTCATTGGCATCGGGGAAATGCCATGGCGAGTTGAAGGTGTCCGTCAAGGCCAAGTGTTGTTCTGCAATGACTCGGCGAGATATCCTCTAGCAGAGAAAAGAGGTTAGTCTTCTTGAGCTAACAGCAGGCCGTGCAGATCAATCCTGAAACATACCGCCCGCAAAAGTGTGTTCATGAAGCGATCCATCTCGTTGTGGGGAACAAGCTCCCGACACTCCAAGACTCCCATTGCCAAATTAGGAATCACCACCATGTGTTCCTTTAGCATCTCCCGCAGCACATCGCACAGTCGGTCATTGTCGTCCAAGCTCCGGATCTCAGGAATGACTCGAAACTTCTCAAACGCCTTGTAGTACAGTTCGTACACAAGCGACAGGTGGGGATTCGCAACCACCACGTAGGGCAGCTGCTGAATATCGCGGAGCCGATGAGCAATTCTATCCATGACGCATATCATATCAGTTTCCGAGACATGTGGGCGGGGTGGCACTGGGACTCACCGCGTGGGCAGCTCGGTCCGCACATAGTTAGCGGAGCTAATGAGGCGGGGTTCGGTCAAGGTACGGCCAAAGAACGTCAACTGGCGCAAACTGATGGGCCGAATTTCACGTTCCACCCATCTGGCAGAGCAACAGATCAGCTTTGAGATCACCACGCGACTTCCGGGGACGACCTACTGATCCAACGCAGAGACGGGCCGCCATGGTGGCGGGCTTTGAGCCCCCGAGTAAAATCGAGACTTTGGCACACATGGCAGCCCCCATCGTAAAGGACGACACGACCGCATGGTGCTCCAGGCACTCTCTCTCCGGTGCGGAAGCAAGTCTGCGCTCTCTCTGGGTTTCCTAAGTGGGCTGGGCGGTGAAGCATGTGACATCCGGTGAAAACGGTCGCAAGTTTTATGCGCGTGGCGACTCAACTTGCTCTATGAATTTGTTGGATTTGTCGAATTTCTCTATAGAAATATCGCAAGGCCCGTGGGATTCTTACGAGGGCCATTGGTTGGGTTGGCACCTTGGCAATGTCAAAGTGTCAGGCACAAAGTGAGCATTTCACCCCGGCAATCCTCCAGTAAGCAGTCGAATACATATTTCCAAGAAAATCGAATAAATCCAAGCCTCAAGCACTCGAGTCCGAGTCTGAAAATATCCGATAACTAGGGCATTTGGGGGTGGGGAGCTGTAGAGGGAGCTCAATATGGGAGTATACTCTCCCTCGGTATAGGCAGCATAATGTGTGGACAAACAAAGCCCTATGAATGGGAGAATAAAAAAAATAGTAGAAGAATAGAAGAATAGAAGAATAGAAGAATCTGTGAAGCTAATATCCAGCTATTGTCTATTCGTCTATTTATCTATTCATCTACTCATACATTCGTGCATTCCCCAGGCCCTGCCGAGCCTCCAGGCTCCGCCACCGCTAGCTCCGGCTTTCATGATTCGGCGGCAGAAGAAATTCCTCCCACCTTCTTCCTCTGCTTCTCTGCTTTTCCCTCCCAAAAAAAAATATCGTCTTTTCTCTTCCATCTCGTCAGGTACCTTCCGGCTGGACGGGAGGGTGCTTCTCATGGAAAACGTGCGTTCCCCGGACCGTACCCCTCCGTGTCGTCATTCCATGGCTAACCCGAGCAGCTCGCGGAGAACGAAATGCTCGTGGACGAGTATGAGCAGTACCCTAACGAGAAGACCGATGTCGTCGTCGTATCCCGGCCTGGCTCCGACGAGCCCAACTCAAAGCCGACCGCTGATGATCGTATGTGCTGTTTCTTACCTTCCCCTCCCCACGACCATGAACAAAGCGTGAGATACTGGGTTGTGTTCAAGGGCCCGGGAAACGATCCCTGTCGGTCGGCCGAGGCCGTTCCATAATCACAGAATGATGGCTGACGGGGGACTGGTATAGATGCTGCAATGATGGCTCGGGTCCTTCCTAAGAATCCCGATCTCGAGACCGAGGACGAGACACATCACACATGGCATATCCGCGACTGGCGGAAATTGGACCGCAAGCTGCATGGGCCGGCTTTCAAGTGCGGCGGGTTCCCTTGGTAGGTTTTTTTTTGGGGGGGGGTGATTGCTTTTTTTTTTTTTTTTCGCTCGGACTTTGCCAACCGGTGTGGGTGCTGACCGTGGGAATAGGCGCATTCTCTTTTTCCCGTACGGTAACCATGCCGAGCAAGCTTCGTTTTACCTGGAGCATGCGTGGGAGGGGGACTTACCCGAGAATTGGTATGCCTGCGTGCAATTTGCACTGGTGTTGTCAAACGTCAACGATCCCTCCGTCTATGTGCATCACGGTAAGAATTTGGACGATCTCGAATTTTGGAAGCGGTAAAGTATTAATTTGATCTCAGTTGCGACTCACCGGTTCAACGCTGAAGAAGGAGACTGGGGCTTTACACGATTTTATCCCCTTCGAAGTCTGTTCAATGAAGCCTGGGAGGGCCGAGACGTTCCGCTGGTACAGGACGACGAAGCAATCATTACGGCGTACGTTCGTGTGGTGAAGGACACCACTGGTGTCCTCTGGCACAGCTTTCAAAAGTAAGCTTTTCCCTCATCTCACCTGCGATACATGAAGCTCACGATGCCCAGCTACGACTCCAAGAAGGAGACAGGCATGGTGGGGTTGAGGAATCAGGGTGCCACATGTTATTTGAACTCGCTTTTGCAATCTCTCTATTTCACCAATGCTTTCCGCAAGGTATGAAATTATCATTTTCTATCTTTAAACCTATTCCAGTGCTGATTATTCCCTCCCAGGCTGTCTACCAAATCCCAACCGATCAGGAGGCTTCGCGCGAGAACAGCGCATGGACGCTTCAGAGACTATTCTTTAATCTTCAGACCAACGAATCAGCAGTCTCGACGACTGAACTCACAGAATCCTTCGGCTGGCAGTCCAATCAAATTTTTGAGCAGCAGGATGTCCAGGAGCTTTCGCGGAAGCTCATGGAGCGTTTAGAGCACAAGATGAAGGGCACAGTGGCTGAGAAGGTCTTGCCGGATCTATTTGTTGGCAAAACAAAGACTTACATCTCTTGCATCAATGTCGACTACGAGTCGTCCCGCGTGGAAGACTTCTGGGACATTCAACTGAACGTTCGCGGCAACAAGACCTTGGATGACAGCTTCAAGGACTACATCCAAGTTGAGACGCTGGAAGGTGAAAACAAATATGATGCTGGCCCGCCCTACGGTTTGCAGGACGCCAAGAAGGGCGTGATCTTCGAAAGCTTCCCGCCGGTTCTGCATCTTCACCTCAAACGATTCGAATACGACCTCAACCTTGATGCCATGATGAAAGTCAACGACCGACACGCCTTCCCGATGGAATTCGACGCCTCTCCTTATCTGTCTGCCGATGCGGACCGCTCCGAGTCTTGGGTCTATCAACTGCATGGCGTCCTCGTTCACAGCGGTGGCTTGGAAGCCGGTCACTACTATGCATTTTTGAAGCCTACCAAGGATGGTCACTGGTACCGCTTTGATGACGACCGCGTGAACCGGGCCACGGACAAAGAAGTTCTGGAGGAGAACTACGGAGGAGAATACGAGCTTGCGAACGGGGCAGCTGGTGTTCGACAGCCATACACCCGGACTCTCTCCACGAAGCGGTCGATGAACGCTTACATGCTGGTCTACGTTCGAAAGACAAGACAAGATGATGTTCTTCTTCCCATCACCGAGAACGACGTGCCTTCTCATATCGGTAAGCTAGGGTCCTCGATGATGGCTTTTCTAGGATGTGGCTGATTCGATTACAGAACAGCGTTTGGCCGAAGACCGGGCGGAAATGCTGCGCCGGAAGAAGGAAAGAGAGGAAGCTCACTTGTATATGAATGTCGGCGTCCTCACTGATGACTCATTCAAATCCCACCACGGCTTTGATTTGACCAGCATGGAGTTGCCAGCTGAAGACCCAGCGCTGCCGAAGCAGTACCGAATTCTTCGAACGAAGAAGGTCAGCGAATTTGCCCAGGAAATTGCGGAAGAGCGGGAACTCAGGCCAGAAGCAATTCGATTCTGGGTCATGGTGAACCGTCAAAACAAGACAACTCGGCCCGACCAGGTGATCCGAGACCCAGAAATAACCGTGGAAGAAGCCTACAACAAATTTGGCACGAAAGGAAACTATTTCCGTCTGTGGATGGAGGTAGCCTCGCTTGGCGCTGATGGACAGCCTTCGGCGTGGCCCGACAGCGACTCAGTGCTTATCTTCCTGAAGAACTTTGATGCCGTGGCTCAGACGTTGACCGGGGTTGGGTCTTTGTATGTCCACAAGATCCAGAAGGTCAGCGAACTGGCACCCACCATTCTCGCGAGAATGAACTGGCCCGCGGGGGCGGAATTTATACTTTATGAGGAAATCAAGCATAACATGATCGATGTCATGAAGCCCAAGCAGACATTCCAGCAATCTGAGATCCAAGACGGTGACATTATCACTTTTCAACGGACAGTGAAGGACTCGGAGCTACCTCCCACGGCTCTCTATACGGATGCGCGGCAGTTCTACGATTATCTTCTAAACCGCATGGATGTTACATTTGCTCCCATCAAAGCCAGTGAAGGTGACGAATTTACCTTGACACTCAGCCGCAAGATGACCTATGACCAGTTTTCCAAAAAGGTTGGCGAGCACCTGCAGGTGGACCCGACTCACCTGCGGTTTGCACCCGTGATGGCCAGCACTGGCAAGCCCAAGCCGTTCCTCAAGCGGACCATTGCCCAAACTCTGGCTCAGGTCCTCAATGGCCAGTATGGCGCTTATGGCTACACCATGCACCGGTCAGATGCTCTGTACTACGAAGTTCTGGACATGAGCTTGAGCGACTATGAGAGCAAGAAATGTTTCAGGTTGACCTGGCTGCCGGATGGAATCACGAAAGAGGTAAGTCTCCTCATTCAACCACTCTGGTCATTGACTCACCCCTTTATAGGAAGTTGTGGAGGTCCTTGTCTCTCGCAGCGGAACCGTTTCGGACCTTCTGGCTGAATTCCAGAAAAAGACAGATGTTAAAGATGAGGCGATCCACGAAATGCGGCTTTTCGAGGCACACAGTGGGAAGATCTACAAGGAACTGCGGGATGACTACAATGTGGCATCCATCAACGAATACTCAACGATCTACGCCGAGCAAATCCCGGCTGAAGAATTGAACCTGGAGGGCGATGACCGAGTGATCAACGCCTTCAACTTCGACCGGGAACCCAACCGGACCCACGGGATTCCGTTCAAATTTGTCGTGAAACAGGTCCGTTGTTCTTGCCTTGCACCTCTCTCTACGTTCGATTACTGATCTTTCACAGGGCGAGGTTTTCAAGGAAACCAAGCAGCGTCTCTCCAAGCGGACGAGCATCAAGGGCAAGCAATTCGAGAAGATCAAGTTCGCCATTGTGCCTCGCGGGTCCTTCTCCAGCCCTCGGTATCTGGAAGATGGTAAGTGTTTATTTACCCTTTGGAATCTCCACACATTGTCACAACATGCGTCTGACGCTTGCCTTTTCTTAGATGATATCCTGTCAGATGTGGCGACCAACACTGAGGACTTGCTGGGACTTGACCATGCAAATAAGAGCCGGAGCTTCTGGGGGAAGAGTGAAGGGTTCTTCATTCGATAAACGTTTTTCTTCTTTTCCTTCCTTGTTTTGCGTTTTCCCATATTCTTTACTGGCGCCGGGATTTTGCGAGTCGGGAGGGCTGGTGCTGCACCCTGAAATACGAGCAGCGACCGGCTGATGTGATGATCATGATGTGTTTCTTTCTTTTCTCTGCTTTGTTGATTGGGGAGTCGCAGAAGACGATACATGACAATGAACGGCGTAAGATTTCCGATGAGCGGTAGAAACCCTCGAAGCTTTCAGCCAGCAATCCCTGATATTGGTGTAGAGGTTGTGTGTAAATGGTACTGAGTACAAGCATTCATTGTTTGATTCTCACCGTAGTGTAAGTGCCTGGTACCTGAGCAGATACATCGAGTAGTATGTTTGGTTGCAAACAGGGCAAACACCCAAACACACAGCTGGCCCCAACCGCAACCTCCTGACGCGCATCACCACTTGTACATCCGAGTCTTTCGCGGGGCAATTTATCTTTCCGTCCAATTTTCTGATCGCTATGCGCCTCTCTCTCCTTGCCGGCCTGGCATCCCTGGCCTCCAGTGTCACGGCCACCGCCCTGACCTACCAGCTCCAAGCACACGAGACGGCATGCTTCCACGCCGATGTTGAAGAGGCCAACGCCAAGGTGGCCTTTTACTTTGCGGTACGTTGCTGTTGGCTTCTGAGGAGCCTCCGGCTGTGAATTCTACTCAGCGCCGGCATCATATATTGCCATTGAATGGCTGACATGGGAGTTCTGCTACAGGTGCAATCTGGCGGGTCTTTCGATCTTGATTACTCGGTCACCGCACCCGGCGGCAAGGTAGTTATGGATGGAACGAAAGAGCGACAGGGCGATTTTGTTTTCACGGCCCAGAGCTCGGGCGAGTATACGTTCTGCTTCAACAACGAGATGTCGACCTTTGCCGAGAAGCTGGTTGACTTTGAGATTTCGGTATGTTATGATGCTCGGGTGTCAATTATAGAGCCCGAGAGCCTGTTGCTCAAATCTCTCTCTCTCTCTCTCTCTTTTGCTGACTCCCCTCGTGTGATTTCCCAGGTTGAGAACGAGCAACGCACCCAGCTGCCCTCCCGCCAGGGCGCCACCCCCGAACAGACCACCAGCCTCGAGGAGTCCATCTACAAGCTGTCCGCTCAGCTCTCCACCATCTCTCGCACCCAGAAGTACTTCCGCACTCGTGAGAACCGCAACTTCAGCACCGTCCGGAGCACCGAGCGCCGCATCTTCAACTTCAGTGTCATCGAGGGTCTGATGATGGTGTCGATGGCCGGGCTGCAGGTCTTTGTCGTGCGCTTCTTCTTCCAGGGCGCCCGGAAAGGTACATTGACTCTCCTTGTGACTTTTGGATGTCGATCACGGCATTCATTTTTGTCTTCGCTTTCTATGATTCCATGGGTTTTTACTAACATTTGGGCTTAGGCTACGTGTGATGAGTTTTGAAGACAAAAATAATACGATGCATCTTCCACTGTGTATCTAGCCCTGTTATAGGTTACTAGATTTTGTTTGCGTTGGTTCTATCTAATTTGGAACGAAACCACGAATACTCCAATTTTTCATCGAATCCTTTTTTTTGCTTTTGGACGATCACGGGCGAAGGGTTCTTGTAGCGGGTTTCATACCTTTGGCAGGATAGGTGATGACAGCCTCGCATACTATACAGTCTCACATAAGAGTCGTTAGTCACTGACCGTTGCTAGTAGGTCCACAGGGAGTTCATGGGACAGAATCAAGAGAAACGAGACTGGTCTCATCCACCGCTCAGATGCAATGCAACCCAGCTGCTGTAGCTCCACAACTGCTCGGGATGGATCCGGCCTTAGTTCGCCACAGCAAGGCATGAAATCATCTTCGATAACTTGGCGAGGCGAAGCACGGTAAGAGGGTTGGACAGACGGCGTCGAGCTAGTTTCCCAGGTCGCAAGCCGGTGTGGTCATCGCCGGGGGCGAAAAGCAGAAACACAATGAAAAAAAAGCAGAGTGATGTCGAGCGAATGTCAATCGTCGACGGGCCGGGGGTCACTAGTCGCGTACAAAACAGGTTTCTGGTGTTCTGGGCCGAGTCTGGGGTTCTCTGTCTGATGCACGAGGTTTGCTGATTGTCTTCCTTGACAGCATCATTTTCCAAGCGATATAATCAGGACTGATAATGATGCAAGGTTCAGATACAAGGATGGACACGGTGCAGTTCTTATATGACGTGGAGCAGCGACCATGAGGGCTCGTTTCGTTCGGTATGGAGCGATGTCTGGTGTCTGATCAAGACCTGTGACTTCATAGTGGCTGGGTCATTACTGACGGTGCAGTGAATCTTCTGTTGTCAGGGACATCACCCTTTTTTTCGAGACCTGGATTTCGAGACCTGGAGAGTGATATCATTTGTGACTAGCAGGCTCGAGTCAGCCCAAGTCTCACTCAAAGTCTTTCATTTCCCCTCTCTCACCTCCTATGTATAGCATTGATAGTTGCACCATTTGCAACAGCATTGGCATTCATCCTTCTCCAAAGATGTGTCATGAATTCTGGCTTCAAAGATGGATATGCAAAATTCGACTTTCCATGAACTCACTTGTAGAGCCAACGGACAACCTCGCCCGAAGCCCGGGGGCTGAAAATTGAACCATCTTATGATGTAGCCTCCACAATAGGGTGTCACGAACAATGGAGTATCGTGCATATCTAATGGCTGTCCTCTTGGCGCTATGCTACCGGAAGGGCTCCGGTGTTGATAGCCGCCCCAAACGATGTCATATTGCCTCTGATGGATATGATCAGACCCCTGGGTCATAGTAGGACTTCCCAGGGCTAGTATTGTACAAGGGATAGGTCGAGCCCAATTATCGGCCCGCTCCACAGCCATTTTTTGAACTGACGCCATCGCACAGACTCCGAGCCAGCTCTGATATCACACCAGCATCATCGTTCCCTTTCCCCCTTCCTTTCTTACCTCCCCTGGCCCTTTTACCCGAACGAGGAAGTGTCTGCTCTCAGATGCGACGGTTCATCAGACGATGGTGGCCAGTGACATAGGATTTGATCATGAGTGGTGAGGGTTGATTACCATCCAACGCCAGACATGAGGTCAGGAGTTATCTGTACAGTACTTCTCTCGTTCCGACCTTGTCCGCTGGAAGCGCTTTGCAGTAAGTAAATAGCAAGAGAAATGCATGCCCCGACGGACACATTTCGCCCTAAGGCGCCTTAGTGGAACCGGGTGAATCACTTTTTACGTTTCACGGCACTCAGTGCTAATCGCTTGACCGACAATCAACTTCCACAGACATCGGGAAACAATGGTTCTTCCGGGGTGCTGGCCTCCGAACGGGAGTCCTTGTTGCTTTTCCCTTCCCCGCTCCAGTCGCCCTTTGAGAACTCGTCGATGGCGAATGATCGACTACCCGACCCTTGGGCTGACCGATCTCCAGTACCAACCAACCAACCAGGATGGCCTCACTTTACTGTAGACATGGCTATGGATCCCTTGGTAGACTTTGGGAAAATTGGTGACTTCACGCGGGTTCCTTTTCATCAAAGATTCTAGACATTCTCTGAGTAGATGCTGTTGGTGTCCCGAGAAACAATCGAGGGCTCCGTGACGTCAGGTGCCTCCCTGCCTCAGGCATAGTTTTACAGTAATATGGCACAGAATCGCATGGCGATCTCTTCGATCTCTGCATTCGTGTTGGCTATTTGATATTTTATCAATTTGGTCATTGTTATCTCCACATCTCCGACTCTATATCTACAGACTGTTATTCGTCCACTTGATTCATCAATCATCCAGCGTCTATTCGGGTCAGTGGTCGCCCAGCTCCACTATGACTCCTGCGCTCTCCACCGAGAATTTACTCGTGTGCATTCAATCCTTCTCGGATGCCCCCAATCTGCAGAAAGATCCACTCTGGAGAGGGCAAATAAGGAATCTTCTTAAAAGGACACGGCATTCCATCACAGTCGAGGGCTGACAGAAAAAAAAATAACCAATCGATGTTTGGATCGCCCGATTCCAGAGTTATGACGACATGGGAGATCGGCAGAGCCTCACGCCTTTATTTTTGTTTCGTTTATTTCTGGGCTGATATGCCAATACGCCGAGAGTGTCGTCGACATGTCTTTGATGGAGGACAAGGTCCAAGTGTACGACTAGACCGTATACCGCATGTGTCAAACGGATGATCTCAAATGAAGAGCCGTCGATCTCACCCGTAGGCTTTTGCCTCAAGGCTCCACTTGTCGCCTAGCGTGGGATTATTCCCACTCTCTTCCCTCCCCTGGGACTCCACCCGCGGGAATGTCCCTCGTTCCGTCGAGTCTTGGGCATGCCCCGATTTCTCACGATGCACTGCACAAACCACCGGGGGAATTCTGGCCGTTCAGCGGCCATGCCCATGGTGTCCTTGCGATATGATTCGTGTACAAAACGTCAGGCGGAGATCTGCAGGGGACCGGCGCTGCCGATCGCAGAACGCCATCGGCTCTTGACTGGTACAGTCTCGCATTCCCCAGTGACCTCATCGGGGAGTCTCTCGCCCCATCCGGGTGGGCCCTCTGATGCTATCAGCACCGTTCATCCAGTCCCCATGGGTTTGGGGGTGGGTTATTTCATACCATCCGCTGGATGATGAGATACCTCCACCTTCTGATGGAGGAAGCAGTAGTGCCTGCTGGTCTATGAGGCAGGATGAAGGCCGCGACGGTTCTTTATGATGTCGCCCTGGCGCCATCCAGAAAAAAAAGGGAAATTTTTTTAAAAAAAAAAAAGAAATTTCTTTTTTCTTTTCTTACCCCCTCCTTCAGCCAGTGATGTCACTATACCCGCTGCATTGGTCGGGTGTCCACTGGTACGCTGTATACCATGGGTCCCTCTCAGGAGAATAGAAGCCCTGTGCCAGAGCCTATCAGACCCAGTGAATGATCTTCTGGCCTTTTATCGAGGTGATTTCATACAATTGTGGGCCCGGCACCGTGTTATATATACCGTGGTCAGTGGAAACCATCCCATCTAAGCTCCCCATCTCCCTGCCTAACTCTGTCTGGATTGCCCCATAGCAATATATTTCACCCCTTTCCCTTGACCTCACCCGTGGCTCCCCAACCAAGCCTTGTACAGATCTTCGGCCAGATTTTCATCCTGCCTTAATTGTCGATCACATTTGAGGGAGCCCTCGCTTTCTTAGCGCATAGGTAAGAATTCCTCTAATAGGGTCTTGTGTGGAAGGTTTATCTTTTATCTTTATCTTTATTTTTTTGGTCTTGATTACTATTTTATCTCACCAGATATCTCAATCAACCAAACTAACACCCTGCTCCTACAAACTAGACGTCATGACTGCCAACCCCCAAACACAGTCATCTCAGAATTCTCAGGCCATATTCCCAACAGAGTCGGGAGGGTACTCGTTCGTGGACAATTCCCGCGCGTCCAACCCCCAGATCTCGCTTGAGGACTACAATCGCTCCATGCTGGAACATACACAGCGGCAAATGTCCACTTTCGTTGATCTGGATGGCGGGCGCAGCAGCGGTCGAAGCAGCCAAAGTAGCGGCAACAGCGGCTCCAGCGGTTCCAGCGGTTCCAGCGGCTCTTCCGGTACCAGCGGACTTGCTAATCAGGCCGCCGGCTGTCCTCCCACCTCAGCCGGTGCTGCTGCACGCTATGGCTCTGATCAGTCGGATCACAAGCCTGCTCGCACCCAACCTGGAGCCAAGTACTCTGGCTATTAGAGTCACGACTCGGTTCAAGGTACGTGTCATTCATGCTATATGTTGGGTTTGTGCGCACCAGACTAACGTTTTGACCTGTCCTGATCAGCGGTCCTTTCTTGTGAGACGACCGCGATATGGCCTCAATTTCGAACCTCTCTTCTGGAGTTCGCAGGCGCAGCACTGACGACAGCCTGTCTCTTTTTCTATTCTTCGTCAAGTGTTCACCTGAAGGCGGAGTTTCTGCGGAGTTTTCCGACATGAAAGAAGCGCGAGAGGCCGCGCTTTGGTGCTTTCCCAGCGATCAAGCGAGTCTTTCTAGCATGAACCGATTCTCCCGTGTCTCCCGACGTCGAGTTGGGGTCTCGGTGATGTTCCTTTTTTTGATATTGTTCGCATTTTCACCCACCCATGAACCACCCCCGTGTTGTGTTCATTCTATTGCACATCCTTTTTCCCCCGGGATCTGTCGTTGACTCCCATCGGCATCCTTCCGGCTTGAACGTTGGTCCGTCAGGACCAGATCACTCATAGTTGTTCTCGGATGTCCCCAGTGGTCAACTTCTGAACCCACCACAACCACCAACCCAGAAAAAAAAAGAAGCAAGATCCCGGTCTTGAGCTTGCCCCCTTACTACCCCTCGAAATTTTCTTTTCACTCCTTGAACATATTTGTGGTCGTTCTGTTGATAAGTGCACCCCCAGAACAGTCTACAAACCATTTATTCTCACTGTGCAAAAAATGACCACTCTTCCTGGTTCTGGGTGCCTGTACAAGTTCTCCCCCTCTTTGTGTTTTGCCCTCATGTGTTATCTCTGCTGGGAAGAGATTTCCATCTGTACAACACTACCTGTATCATTATTCCCATTCAGCGAGCGAGTTGGTTTTTTTTTTTTTTTTTTTTTTTTTTTTTTTGATTTCTGTGGTTTGACTTTGATGCTGTATCTTACGACTCAAACATGAACCCTGAGCGAGGCCCCTTATTACGACCTGATACATGCTTCTTCACAGACCTTGCAGTTGTAGTGCTCACGTTTCTGATAAGAATTGGTCTTGAGCTCTGTGCTAGATGATTTTTTTTTTTTTTTGTAGATGTTGTAGAGGTGGTAGTGGTTGGGTATGATAAGTTCAAAAAGAAGTTAACACATACTCAGTCTCCATACATACTAAAGCTTGGCCTACTAGGTAATTATATAGAGCATGACTCAAGATATAGATACATTTAGCTAGTGTGGGATGTGTATTTTGGTCTCTTTTAGTCTTGTATGAAGGTCTCCATGTATCTACTTTACTTTTATTTCACTTTGATGCTTATTTTTTTTAAAAAAGTTTTACGATATTAAACTATATCACTATACTGTAGCATAGCTGCCTATTGATTAGATTTGGTTATAATCATAATTTAATCCCTAATTAACTTAGGACCTAATATCTCTATGCCCGTGGGTCGCCCCACACGCTGCTGAATGTTGGGGCTACTACTTACGCCCACGTTTCATCTATACTCAAGACCAAAGATAGCATAGCAAGTCTGAGCGATAAATCGTGTAAAGATTTATTAAAACACAAGTAGTGTCATAATATCTTCGATCCTTCAGGATCTAGCAAAACCTTTGGTCTAGAGAGCACGAATACCCTCAAATAGAAAGCAACCACTGCATTCTGGCAGCTGCACAGTTCAATTCTTTTGAGAGATATCGGTATAAGAGAAAATGCAATTATCTATGGGATGGCCTTAGATACCTATTTCAAGTAGTAAAAGTTCGATAGAGGGGGGGAAAAAAAGCCCACCACTGATCGCACACCCATCTCCCTTTAATCGCATACCTAAATCCTTGTAAGGCCCCATTTGGAAATCATGTATATACTTGTGTTTAGGGGGCCGCCGCCGCCGCGCCGCGCCCCGACTGCTGTGGGATAAGTGACCTCGCTAAATGCGGGACCCCCATGTTGACTGAGTTGGGAACTCCCTAACCACTCTACTTCCTAGCCACTCTAATTCCCAACTACTCTACTACTCTCTCACTCCCTAATCAGACTCTGAATGACCGAATCTAGATCTTCCCATACTACAGTGGCTGATCAAAAGTCTTTGAACCCTACCCCATATCCCTACACCGCATTTTCTTGACCGTTTGCCTATTAATATAGCTGTTTACCTCACGCGAGTCGACACGCTAGTATATACACGCTATATCGACGCGTTTTACCCCTGAATATCATACTAATATAAGATATACTCGCTATACCAATGCCTCGCAAAGAACTCGACCCCTATACTCGCACTCGTATTTGCGAGCTTCATTCGACTGCTCAATGGGGGTATAAGAGAATTCATAAAGCCTACCCTTCGATACCTCTATCAACGATCCAATATACTATCAAAAAAGAGAATAAGAGGGTTAATAATTATTCAAAATATCGCTCCGGAGCACCTCGTAAACTTGATAAAGATAATCGCGATCGAATATATAAGAGAGCTACTACCGACCCTTATGTACGTTACTAAGACCTACTTGCTGATATCGATTACAAATTTAAAATGATATCAATTCGACGGCTTCTGAATAAGATAGGGCTTCAAAAATAGCGGTAGCTTAATCGATCTACCTTAGATAATGCAACTACAGCGAAGCGACTTTATTAGACAAGAATATATCAATACTTTACCCCTAAAGATTAGGCTCGCGTCTATTAGTCTAATAAATATACTATCGAGCGAGGTACTGGCTATCGAAAGCCTTATTTCTTTAATCGACCCTCGTAGCAGCGAATCGAGCGAGATATTTATAGTAGACTATATAGAAAATAAATAAAATAGATATTTTAGGCTACTTTCTTTAGCGAAATTCAACGTATTAGTCTATAGGTATTATAAGGTAACTCTAATATACCTCGCGGCGGCGTTTATATAAAGGTTATCTATAATTTATATAATACTATTTTATCTATTTTGCTTCGACTAGATACTATTTTTATATATAATAATACGCTAGTTTATCGCGTATATATCGTACGTAAGCTTTTGGAGCGAAAGAGGGTTAATACTATAGTATAGCCACCTTATTCGCTAGATCTTAATCTAATTAAGAACGTATAGGTTTTATTAAAGGCAAAAATCTATAAGCTACACCCCGAGCTACTAGATATACCTAATAATAGTACTACACTAGAACGTTTGGTTGACGCAGCGTAAGAAGTATGGGATAAGATTGAATGGGGGGTTCTGCAAAATCCATAAAATTCGATGCTAAATCGGGTGAAAGCAGTTATCGAAGCAGAGGGTTGGTATACTAAATATTAGTATAGTACTAAGTATAGGGATCAATGGTGCCCGGGATCAATGAAGAGAATTTTTACCTGGCAGAATATTATATAATATTATATAAATAGTATGTGGGTCAGGGGTAGTGTTCAAAGACTTTAGATCAGCCACTGTAGTAGCTCTCTGCCCGAATCCTCCGATACTAGCCTATGCGTGCTGACCCTCCTTGTTTTTCCCATTCTTCCACTCGCATACCGAACTCGCATACCGATATACGTAACTATAACAGAAGGTAATAGGATGGTCAATTGATGCCTTATTTATAAAGTAAATACGACAAATTTTTTTTAGTATAATATTACTGTATATAGTATAGTGGGTATAAATGAATTATTCTTGCTACATATCACTATCTCTCTTAGGTCTTTTTTTCTTTTTTTTTATATAACTTCTATATTATAGAAAGTAGTACTACGCTTAGTTAAACCGTCGAGTGTTATTTACGTGATCCGCGAAAATCAGGCGGGGTCCTAGGGGGTGGCAGCCCCCTAGTGTAAGTAAAATATATAGTGAAAAATATATATATCTATATATGTAAAGCTTATGTTATAGTACATATCTAGCTATAGGAATTGTATTATACTATGGCTACGCTCTGTATATCTTTAGCCTCTACTAGGCGCTATGCGATACGCATAATCGGTAATTTTTTAACGACATAGCGTACATCGGGGTTAGAGAAGACTAGCCTTTAGTATATAGTAGTAAACTGTAGGATGTACTTAGTGGGGCGTGCTAGTATACAATTTCACTATATATAGCTAGCTTCAATTATAATTTTCACAATAATGACTCAACCTATCTTTATTCCAACCGTCTTCCTGAAGGAATTCCGCTAAACCTACTATAGCTAAAATGATTTTAAGAAATAATAACAGAAACCCTCCAAAGCAAAGTAATGAAGGAATCAGGATTATTCTGTGGAATACCAATACCCAATAGCATAGAACAACTCCGGGCACAGCTAGAAGGAAGTCCAACCGGTCAAAATAATGCTATATATAATATACCCTGATTAATTATTCCCCTTACCTAACCCGCTGCCTCCCTCTATCTTTCTTGAATGCAGAATGCGGCTTTTGTCCTCTCTACTTCTGTTCCAGGCGGCAACATGCTATGCCGTCAACCCACGGCTGTATAATTACCTAGCTCCTTCAAAGTCGACAGACACGCCACGCGAAGCACGCACGTTTCTCTTTAATGAAACGGGCAATGAGAGGCGAATTTCGAATGAACCGGAAGATGACGAAGAGAACGTGAACCACAAGCAGAGACGCGGTAAGACTCCTGGGATAGATATTCCCCAACAGAATTTATTCTGACATCGAATGTTGTTTTCCTTTTCAGACAATGATACCTTGGAAGCCCCAAAAATTCCACCCGAAGAAGCAGACAACACGAAAAATTCTCTGGAGAAAAGATACCGCTGGGAAGACATATATGCAGTTCAAAAAAACGCGCCCCCTGAGCTGATTCAAATCAGCGAGCCAGCAACATCGCTCTCCAATCTGTACCTTTTCTATATCTATGAGAAACCCGCGGGTCAAAATATCTACATCTATATTATCGACCGGGTGAGTTTTGTCCGTCATCTGAGAGGAAATCATCACTAGTGGCTTATCATAACTTCTCTCATAGGGTGTTGCCAACCCCGACGAGCTACGGAGAAGAGGAGTCCCCGGATGGGTGCACATAGCCCATGTACGATATTTGCATCCAATCAATTTCCTGATCAGAAGGAAATGATTAAGTATACTAACCCTTCCATGGTAGGAGCTTCCAATGCACCGAAGAAGGTCCGCCATCCAGACACAACATTCCAAAGACCACGGTGAGCACCCTGAAGTTGACGACGACCCTCGTTCCCATGGAACGGCGGAAGCGATCAAGGCTGCGGGCACTGAGTACGGAGCATCCAAAAATACGATTATAATACCGGTGAAAATTGGCCCAAACAGCTTCAGGGATCTTTATTACGGCATATTAGCAGCGGGACAGGATATCGATGCAAATAAGCACCGCCGCGCGAGAAGGTCTATTGTCCTTGTCTCGACTGGTAGCGATGTTCCGCTCTCAGAAGACTCAAACGAAAGCAAAAATTTTGCTGCACTTATCTCTAGACTCCAAACTCTTGGAGTTCCCTTTGTGACTGCCGCTGGGAATTCGGCCTTAAAACCAGACAGTCAGGGCCGCCCACGGGTCAACATCGACACTTCCCCAGCCGTCGTCGCAGCTAGAGGGCTCCCTATGTCGGTCGTAGGAAATGTCAACATGGAAGGAAACTTTGCAGCGGATTCCCAACGTGGATCTCTTCTCACTGGTAGCGCTGGTGGCATCTTTTCTACGGTGCTAGACAAGAATGGTCAACTGCCACGACACCTTCCGAGCGGAACCTCGGTCTGTAAGTTCTTTTTTCCCTTCTTCTTTTTCTTCTTCTACTTCCAAAGACCTACTAAATAACTAATGCTATTTACAATGATAGCTGCTCCACTTTGGGCGGGAGAAATGGCTAATACGATGTCAACGCCGAGGTTTCAAGCTGCTACACAGCAATTGTCTCTCCCCAACTTCGTGAGCTATGTGTTTCAGTATATGATACACCGCAGGACGTGCGTCCGGAATGGGAACCGAGTTTTGTGCAATGGAGTCACCGAAGAAGTTCAGCAATACTTCCGTTCCCGCGTGATATGTTAAGGGGTGATGGAGACGTGAATGATGTCTATGTGTATTGATGGATTCCCATTGTTCTCTTTGTATTTTTAGAGGGGAAAAAAGCGCTTTTAGATTTAGTTTGACAGCATTGGACTTCGTGGCAATATCCTGGGTCACTATGGCAGACGTGGTTTCTATACTTGATCGTCGCAGGGTGAGCTGTTGTAGTGGTCGGTATACAAGGTTGACTGATGTTGCCGGTCATCTAGTCAATTAAATCAGACAATAAGAATATCCCTAGGTGGCGGGGACCTTCGTGGACTTGCATTCCCGAGGAATTAGGGTAAACTCTCCCTTGCATACCCCCGAATGGCAACGTGCCTGATTTGTTGCTGTCGAAGAGTGAGTTGCCTCACAATATCTTTTTTACGAAGGATTGAATATCGAGTCGTGGTTTAAATCACTCCGCGGCAATTCATTTCATCAGTTTTGGCTGCTGGGGCTCACTATATCTCCAGTAGTGTGGATTGCACCACCGCATACCAGAATACCGCCTTTCCCCTAGAAGCCAGGGGGAATCAATCCGGTTTGTGTACATTCCTATGATTCACCGCGTAGCTTCCACTCGCAGTGCTTGTGTTGTACCTGGACTAGACGAAACCTCTCTGGAATCTCGGGGTTTCGTGATTCAAGGGAGAGAGAGGGAGTATTGTCCTCCCCTTCCTTCACTCGGACCAGTTAGGGCTTGCACGCGCTCTCCCTCGATAGGCAGTCTATCAACGCTTTCTTTTCCATTTTATTGCTTGGTACTCTCTTTCGACTCTTTCGCTTCGTATTGACTTGTTTCAACTCGACCACCCACGCAGCCAGTCCGGCTCTTGTCATTCTTTTGATGTCCACACGCTCTTTTTGACCAGCTTCTCTCTCAACACTCCAACAACAACAATCCTTTATTTTTTGCCCTTGTGGATCCACCATATAGCTAGAATCACTCGCGTTAGAGTCACTTCTCTCACTCCTTGGAAGCCCGTTGTTCTCCATCACGAACTATACACACAATCTCCACTTGAGAAGAAAAATGCGCTTCACCACTCTGACCTACCTCGCAACCCTCCTCTCCCTCACCACCGCCATCCCAGTCGTACACGACAGCAGCTCAACAACACCATCCCCCACAGCCACCACCAAGCCCTCGGGAACGGCGTCTGCATCAGCTTCGGCCTCGGCATCCTCCTCTCTCGCGCCGTACTCCTGCCCCAAGCACACGTACAAGCAATGCTGTCAGAGTCTGGAACAGACGTCTCACGAAGTGATTAAGCCGCTGGGTTCGCTGGTCCCGATTCTGAGCGGAGTGCAGGTCGGCTCGGCACTATCTTTCCAATGTATTTTACACTTCTCCGATTATTTCCAGCTCCCCTCTCTCATATCTCTCTCGATGATCAATGCTGATTATGTTCGTTGCAGGTAAACCAATGGGCGAGAATGATGCGCCCGATTCTTGTGATGCTCATGACTATACCCCCATGTGTTGCAGCAACAAGGGCTCGGTATGTATCTCTATAGTTTTCCTTGTTCTCCAGGAGCAAGAGGGGGCGGAAAAGTTTGTGCTAATATATCCTCTGCTAGGGCACTATCAACTCCTGCAAGTCGTTCGCCAAATCCAAGGAGGAGTACTACAAGAAGATGATGCATAAGCAGAGCCAAGCCGATATGATCAATGAGGTTGCCTCATGAATATGACTGCTTGGATGCAATAGGATGATATGTTCGAGGAAAGGAGAAGAGTAATGTAAGGGTGGACGAAAGTGTCTTCATTTTTATTTTCTCTATTTGATATTATTACCACTCTTTACCATGAATATTCTTGACTTTCTTGTTGGTTCTTTTTTTGAATTATTCCATGGGCTTGGGTTCTGTATTTCTTCTCTCCCTTTGCTCTATGGCCGCTGTGTCGGGGCCTGGATGGGAATAGCACCCACTCTCTTTGGCACTGCAATGAGGCTTTTCGAGTCGAGAATAAAGACATTTACGGCAAGATAATAATTGAAAATCACCTTAGTTGGCACCGGTCTTAGTCTACTCAACCCATTAGACCATCATGGGATGTTTATATTAATCATAGGAAATAAATGTGGTGTTGCGACCCTTCATATATATCCATTTAGTACATCATAGCTCAACACCTACGCCTGATAGCCAACCAGGGTTGTAATAGTACACCATATTCCGGTCATGTTGATTATCATGATATTTGATTTTGTCAAGTACATGGCTTGCTCATCGTTGACTACTGCCACCTGGTGGGGGCCCTCCCCAGCCTCCATGCTGACCCCCAGAATAAGGGGGAGGGAAGTAGAATTGCCCTGGGGGCATATGCTGGCCTGCACCCATGGACATAGAAGAAGCTTGGTACGGAGGAAAAGCAGAGTGGCTCATTTCTGGGCCGGGGGGAGGGAAGGGCATGCCCGGCATTTGTGAGGGTGGGTACGGGGGACAGGCACCGTGATAGTTTGGTGGAGGTGGGGGTGGAAAGCCAGGGTTGGACTGCATGGGAGGCTGGCCATACGGTGCACCATATGGATAAGGCTGATGAGGAGGGTAGGATACATTAGGGGGTGGGGGCTGATGATGAGTGGGCGGGAATCGTGGGGGAGATGATTCCCGTGGTGAATACGAGCTCTCATGGGTGCGTGATCGTCGCGGGGAACGACTTCTCGATCGTGATGAAGCATCATAGTGCGGACGAGCTCCATGCCGACGGGACTGGTCTCGACTTGGGGGCCGTGATTCGGATCGTCTGCTGTCCTGGCTCATGGAGCTGTCACTGTAACGTCGCCTGGGACCGTCCCGCGTTCGACTGCCGCTCCGACTCCGACCGCGAGAATCATATGGCTTCCTCTTTCTCATCTGCTGGCAGAATGCACGAGACCACCCGTAGTAGGTCTCTCCATCGAGGATATCACCGGTGATCTCATCCCGGTTGATCGTCTGACCCAGCTCATCAATGTCCGTATGGCCATCGCCCTTGATGAGATCATCCGCGCCATATATCCGATCCACATCTTTCAAAAAGTCTTTCAGAGCATGCACCAGTGACGCGTCCGCGGGGCCGCGTAGGAACTGCAGCGGCTTGATGGTATCAGGTCGGAGGGGAATGGTTGAATTGGGAATGATATGAGGGACTAAATTGGCGGCTGGGAGGTCGTAGTATGGGGTGGATGGATCTCCATGCGAAGGTGGCATGATAAAAGGCACCTCTTTTCCGGGGAGCTTCTTGGCCGCATCTGCTTGACCGACCTCGGCATCAGTGGATGACGGCGGGGCGGTCCCCAGTATGGCCGCATTTTTCACCACTTCCCGGAGTTTATCAATAAAGTCGGAACTAAAGTATCCGTGCTCGGACCAGATGTCGAGTAGATCATCTAGCCGCCGATGGTGGCGGGGGTGCTTCTGCCGATCATAGGCTGCTGCGTGTCCAAGTAGATCTACCAGGTATGGCTGCAGGGACCCGCTCGTGGTAGAGAAGGTGGCCGTGGAGTCCAGGTGGTATTTGCTGTGGTGCAGCAGATCATTGAGTAGATAGAGGATGTGGAGCTGCCGGCGTTTTGCTGACGGCCTGGGCCGAGCGCTTTCCTGGGAGGGCTCAAAGGAGCCCGCCAACACCACCAGATATTTAGCCCACCCCCCTACTCGGTTCGATGAAAAAGCAACATAGCGGAGCAACCAGAGCTTGCATGTCTGTGTGGGTCGAGGGGGTTTAGTAACAAAGATACGCGAGGCGAAGGTTGCAAGGTCAGACCTGGAGGTTCGCTGGGGAGCAGTGCGAGAGTGCGCGGTCGAGCAAGGAATGAAAGGTTGAAATTTCCTCACGGGGGACTGATGTAGGATCAGGACGCAAGAGGCAAGCACAGAAAGAGGCCTTTGCAATAGCGATCTGATGGGACGCCATTGGGAAGGTGGTTGTCTTCACTGGTCGCGGATCGCGGATCGCGGCGATCGCCAGCGCGATAGCACGTGACTCCATGGTACTTGCTGCAAGTATGTCGAAGTCTATAGTATCCAAGATGGATTCTTTTTTCTCTTATTCTTTTGCTGATTTCTATTAATTAAATCTCTGTTTACGTGGATATTATGGACTGTCAAGGTTGTCAAGTCAGAAGCAATATAAGCACCAAGTAATATGTGCCTCTGAATGATCTGCCTACTATCCATGAATTCCACCATGAAGCTGAGGGGGCACATAATACCCCACACTCACTAGAAAGCTCCAGAAAGCCCCGCGATGGCGTGAGAGACGAAAAATGAGGGCATCCCTGAGAGTTGGCTGATCTGATCCGGGTACCAGCTCCCTCGATCAGGCCATCTGCCGGCAGTAGTACCCGCAGCTGCGAGTCTCTTCACATCGATGGTCTGATTGTTGTGGATATAAAGATACCCTGCCCTCGTTCACGTCATGAATCTCAGCGCTCAGCTACCTTGAAACACCTCTATACAACTTGCCTTCTCTACTTATTTCCACTTCCAAGAGTCTTCCCGACCATACTCAACACCCAAATCCACCTTACTCTTCATCATGACTGCTGTTGCACAACTCGCCCGCCCTTCCATCCGGCGCTTCTCCGCGCATCGTCCCCGCCCCGACACTCGTGCGGCCCGTGCTGTCACCATGTCTTGCCTCGTGTCTGGCGTCGTGCTGCCCTTTGTACCCCCCGCTCTGGAGAGCTCCCGGCAAAAGAACTCGGGGTTGACTAGCAGCAAGTAAGCTCAAAGGCTCTTTCGATGCTGTCGGAAACACCGCTAATCACAACTATACAGGCCGCATCCGCCCCTCTGCTTCCATGCTCGCTAGTGGCACACCCGACCATGACTCGGATCTTGTTTTGCCTCGGTGCGGGCGCTGATGCAAGAACTCGATGGTGATGTGATGAATTTTGCCGGGGGCGTTGGGATGGGGCGTTGTGATCCTTTTGATACGCGAAAGAGCACGGTTTGTGCCAGGGTTAATCTTTGATGAGCAGAGAATGAAACATATCCAGAATTCGTTTGATCCTCGCCACCGATGGCATGCACTCGAGCTGAATTGGCAGCTCAACTATGCGCCAACCTGACCATCGATATAACTCGCAAGCTGAAATAATATACATACCCATGCCATTGGGTGGGCGCCAATAACACCACCCAAGTAGCGTAGATTGTCACCAGCACTGCTTCTACTGAGATATCCGTTTCGACGGTAGCAGAGGGCCTGTAGACCCGTCATATTCTTTTTAAACACACATGATGTACAAATTCCTCCAAGCCTTTAACTGAACCGGTTCCCACGAGGAGGCCGGAATGGTTCGGCCGCCTCATATTTCCCCTTCTCCAGCACGCGCTCGTTCTCGTTCATAGGCTCGTGCCGAGTCGGGGCCGGGTCATGCGAGGCTTCTGCACTGGGGGAGGCGACGTCGTCGTTGGCATTCTGGAACCGTGCCATATTTGCTCGCTTCAAGCTGGCATCGTCGCTTGGGGTTGAGGTAGGTGTGGACAGCGTGGCTCGTCGCCGGTCCGCAGCTTCCATGGCCTTGAGATGGGCCTTGCGCTTGTTTTCTGCATCAAATCTGGCGGCCCGGTCTGCATTGATTGATCGCTTGGCAAAATAATAGGCACCGCCGCCGGCTGGAAGAGGGTTTGTTAGCTTTCACCCGGAGGATATCGCCGGACTGGCCACTTTTCCCCATAAGCTGCGCTTAAGCACTAGCAAAATACTCACCAATGCAGAGACTGCCCCAACCAATCCTATTCACGGGGGATAGAAGTGTTTCATCAGCATTTGGGTTCCAAGTCGAGTTGGTATGCAATAGGGTGGGAAAATCGCATGCTCACCAGGTAGATCTGATCTAGATGCCGAGTACAGTTAGCAAACAACGCAATTCAAACTGCAGAGGATAAACACATACTGTATTCATGGCGAACTGTAGCCCACTTAACCTTGAAGGAAGAGGAAAATGTGCGGAGCTCCCTACGTCAGTCGCCGGCCCGATCGGAGATCGCTGCCTCAGGCGCACAGGCCTTATCAACCAGACAGTTCCCCGAGGCTTCACCCACGTCTCTTCCCTTCAACCTTTCTTCTCTCAGCATCTTTGCCACTGTTCCGACGCCGCTTATTATCTGCGGATTTCTCTCACACAACTGACGGCATCTTCTTTCGCTATCTTCGAGTCGTGTTCGATCGCTATCAGTCGGCCGCGCCGCCTGATTTCTGCGGCCCAGACCTGTCCGTGGCATGCAGAACTGAAGCAACTTTCACAGGGCGTTGATCGCCTCACTGCCCGAATATCCTTTGCTTGCTTTCAATCAGGCTATCAGCTAAATTTCTTGGCTAAAACTTCGCCATGCCTGCCAAACGCAAAGCGACTGATAGTAGGTATTCTACTCGTCTGCCGGGTAACAGACAACTGACGATATTCAGGTGGTCGGTCCAGCGGATCCTCGAAGCGGCCCACGCCAGTTCCCGACGTGACGGAAATCTCCAGCAGCGATGAATACTCGGACCAGGAAGAAGCGCCAGAGGAACACAACTTGAAAGGTAGAGTCTAGTGCTCTGCTCACATGAAGTGATCCAGATGCTAAAAAGTGAGACTAAAGAGGTCGTCAACAAGTTCTCCTTGGAGTCGTTCAGCAAAAAGGGGCAGTTGGAAAAGACGGATCCCCGGTTTGGTTACAAAGATCTCTCGTCTCTTCCACTCAAGCGCGACCACTACAATCGGCCTCTATGGATCGAACCGGTGAAAGGCACCATCACCCTGGAGAGTTTCTCGCCACTGGCGCCTCAGGCACAGGATTTCTTGACAACTATTGCGGAGCCGCTCTCTCGTCCGACCCACCTGCACGAATACCGTTTGACCGGACATAGTTTGTATGCGGCCGTGTCGGTGGGTCTCAAGCCCCAGGATATTGTTGCGTTTTTGGATCGGTTGTCAAAGACCCCACTGCCTGAAAGCATCCGGTCTTTCATCATTGAGTTCACCAAGTCCTACGGGAAAATCAAGATGGTCTTGAGGCACAACCGCTACTATGTGGAAACAACCGACCCTCAAATGCTCCAGCGACTTCTGAAAGATGAGGTGATTGGACCTCAAAGATTGGACAACACTGAAGGCATTATCGAACGGGCCGCTCCCAAGATGGGAGGTCTTGTGATTCCTGGAACGAAAGATGCTGCCGGCGTTCGAGAGACCACTCAGCAAGAAGCATCGGCTAACCGGGATGATAATCAAGACGGCGTGGTCGACTATGGCATCGACGATGTTGGTGAGGATGAGAACGAGGAAGCAATCACGTATAGTTTCGAGATCCCCAATTCTGGGGTCGAAGTGGTCAAGGCCCGGTGTCAAGCGATTGGGTGCCCTGCCCTGGAGGAGTATGACTTTCAGGGAGACACAGTCAATCCTAATTTGGACATGGATCTCAAGCCTGCGGCGCGGATCCGTTCATACCAGGAGAAGAGTCTGAGTAAAATGTTTGGTAACGGGCGAGCAAAGAGTGGCATCATCGTTCTTCCTTGCGGCGCTGGTAAGACTTTGGTGGGAATTACCGCAGCGGCAACAATCAAGAAGGGCACCATTGTACTCTGCACCAGCTCCATGTCCGTGGTTCAGTGGCGGAACGAGTTTTTGCGATGGACGACTATCGATCCCAGCGACATCGCCATTTTCACGTCGGATCACAAGGAGAAATTCAAGCGATCCACCGGGATTATTGTCTCCACCTACTCCATGGTGTCCCAGACTCGAGCCCGGTCTTACGACGCCCAGAAGATGATGGACTGGCTTCAATCACGGGAATGGGGTATGATGATTCTTGACGAGGTGCACGTCGTGCCAGCCTCGATGTTTCGAAAAGTCACGTCTGCGATCGCTGCACAGAGCAAACTGGGTCTTACGGCAACCTTGCTTCGAGAAGACGATAAGATCAAGGATTTGAACTTTCTGATCGGGCCAAAGCTTTACGAAGCGAATTGGATGGAGCTTGCGGCACAGGGCCATATTGCCAAGGTCCAGTGTGCCGAAGTATGGTGTCCGATGACCACCGAGTTCTACTCGGAATACCTGCGAGAAAGCTCGAGGAAGCAGGCACTGCTCTACATTATGAACCCGCGCAAATTCCAAGCGTGCCAGTTCCTCATCGACTTCCACGAGAGGCGCGGGGACAAGATCATTGTGTTTTCAGACAACGTGTATGCCTTGGAGCGGTATGCACTCAAACTGAACAAGGCATATATCTACGGCGGCACCCCTCAAAATGAACGCATGCGCATTTTGGAGAACTTCCAGCATAATGAGCAGGTCAACACCATCTTCTTGTCCAAGATCGGGGATACCTCACTGGATCTGCCCGAGGCCACCTGTTTGATCCAGATTTCCTCCCACTATGGATCGCGTCGTCAGGAGGCCCAGCGACTGGGCCGAATTCTGCGGGCCAAGCGCCGCAATGACGAGGGTTTCAATGCATTTTTCTACTCCTTGGTATCCAAGGACACCCACGAAATGGTCTATTCGGCCAAACGCCAGGCATTCCTGATCGATCAGGGTTACGCATTCAAGGTCATCACCCATCTTCAGGGGATCGACAATTGCGAAGGAATCTCGTACTCGACCCCGGCAGAACGCCGCGAGCTTCTGCAGGAAGTCATGCTACAGAATGAATCCTCGGCCGATGTCGAGCAGGTCACCGATGATCTATTCTCCATGCGCTCGGGCAAGCGACCCCCGGCCAAGAAGCCCACTGCCAAACGGAGTGCCGCCACGCTCAGTGGCCTGGCGGGCGGCGACGACATGGCATATATTGAATATAACAAGAGCAAGAATAAGCAGCTCAAGGACAAGGCTGGTCACCATCCTCTGTTCAAGAAGATGGAGCGGGAGCGACAAAAGCGGAAGAAGGAGCGAGAGTCGATGAAATAGAGCGGGGGGTTGGGGGTCTGGTCTCCGGCACAGTTCTGATATTTATCTCTTGCATTCATCTAGAATGAAATCTATCCGATTTTCAGCTGTGATAGGTACCTAGTACTACCTAGTACTACCTAGTATTTGAAGTTTTCGTGCTTACACCTACATATATGTTCATCTTAACGCGGTTTCAATTAATATCTCCTGATAACTAGAAACAAAAAACAAAATATAGCATGACTCGATGGATATACGCTCAAGCGGACCCCAACCCGGTCAATCCTGATGTCATCGTGCGCCAAGTGAATAATCGGCCTCCGCTCATAGGCCTGACCCAGTGGTGTATTGTAGAAGTGCTCTCTCTGAAATCCCCGCAGAATCTCATTACGACATAAAATAGGGACCCATGCGCCCCGGGATTGTATTTCCAAACCCTGGACTACTGAGGACCAGACTGGGTTTATTATCTGTACCTGCGTTAGCGAGAGGCCGGGTTTCTTGGAAGATTGTCGACTGTCTTCGACGATCGAGCTTGTCTTCCTTGACGTGTGTCACACCTACCCTTCGTCCGTCACTGCCCGCAGTCTTGCGAGGTCGATCCCAGACCTTCTCGTTAAGCATCCGTTTCCTCTCCGCGGCTTCCCGCCCCGCAATGGCTTCTGCAACCACCATCCACTTGTCCCCCGCAACAGACTCGGGCGTTTTTAGCTCGGGAGTGAGGGAGGATGCAGCTCGCACGGCGAGTGAATTGCTGCAGGAGGATATGGAGCTGCATCATGTCTTCTTCAATAACCAAGGGTTCCACAGTAGGTGTTTTCTTCTCATTTTCTTCTCATTTTCATCTTATTTGTTGGTAAAACCATACAATATAGAATGAACTGCATCAGTCCATCATCAAACCCAATCTGACGATGCCCAGATCATATCGCGCACGAGGTCCTTACCCTATACGCCTTGGGCGCCACGCCAGAGCATATCCGGGCCGGCTACAACCGAAATAAGAGCTACCAGCGGCCAGTTTTCCCCACGGACAAGAGCGTTGTTTCCGCACTGCACGAGCCGACCAAGTTCTACGAGTATTGTGGGAAGGACGAGCACTACCCCAATTTCCTGGCGTTCTTCCAGCATGAGATCGATGCCAAGGGCGTCGGTCCGGTACTGAGGGAGTATCTGTTTGCCGGGGACGAGCGAGCAGAAGATATGCTGTCGCGGCTGTGGGGTGGTGAGTGCTACAAGTCATAGATATCCTTGCCGCCCTGTATTGTCGACAGACTAAAACCCGCCCAGGTCTCATTCACCCGCTGATCCATTTGGGGTTCGCACTGGAATTCAATCAGCCCGCCATTGTCGCTCAGGCTCTTGCGCAGACGGCCGTTCACAGAAGCTGGATCGGGAGCGCATTCTTCCTGCCTGCCGAGAAGTTGGCGGGCGGGATTGGAAAGCCAGGACCCAAGCCAGTTTCCCAGCTCTTGGCTGAGATCCGCCAGGATCAAACCCTTACCCACAGTGTGCAATGGTCGGACTCGGATAAATTCAGAGATGGAGTCCTGGGTCGAGCTCCGCAGCAGATGCTGGACTATGCGGCTCAGTTCACCGTGTCTGCGGACCAGATGGAAGCCCGATTGGCGGACATGATCAACACCGTTGGTGAGTTGAGACTCAGGGAAGATGACAAGACGACAGCTCCACTGACTCCAGATGAACCGCGCAAGTCTACTATACCAGTGCTGCGCAGCGGCCGACCAAAGAGATCAGATTCGACTTTTTCTTCATCCACGCCGTCAACTCGTCCATCTTCTTCTCCAAGATCATTCAGCTTCCGTTCCTGGACCAGGAGACTAGGATCCGTATGCTGGAGTGGAAAGGCCGCATGGATCTTCTGATGTATGTGTCTCGCGGTGCGCCAGACCTGCTGTTAGACGAAATCGCCAGGTATCCTGCCAAGGATGACTGGCCGACCCTCTTCGAACGCAGCATCGCACACCCCAGTGACGATGGGCATCTGGCCAAGTTGGTGCGAGCTGTCGCGCACGGACAGAAGGTGTGCCAGGCATTTGAGGGCCAGGACCTGCAGCCCATGCCACTTTCTGGGGATCTTTGGCTCAAGATCGGGAACATGGGTGAGTGGCGACATCTTTCCATATATTTCTAGACAGCTGTGATATGCTGTCCTTCTCAATCACTGTTGGCATCACTGCTAATTACTCAACAGCTGTTGACTCCACTGTTGAGGAGGGAGAGCAACCGATGTGGATCCGCTCTGCGGGCTTCGATGAGGCATGGGCACGGTTCAAACCTCGCGCTCATGCGTGACTGGGGTGGAATTAAATTGAGAATGGGATTTAAACCCACAGACTGCAGCTTTGTTTTCATCTATCGTGCTTTCTCGCATGGCCTGTTGCATTGGTCACATTCAAATTGATCCGAGGTTGAAGTATGGTTTCGCTCTTGCAGCTACAGTGGGTCTGCTTTGTTGATGACGCCAGCGGCTTTAACATTATTGTAGTTGGGAAGAGCAGTACTCGGAAGCCCAAATGGAGAAAGCCACAATTCAACCCAGTCAACAGAAAACGAAAGAAGTATTTTCCGACGAAAAGAAAGTAGGAGAAGACAGAACGGAACGACATAGTGATGGGGATCACGTGGAGTGGGGCTCCCCAACATTCGCCTTGCTCTTTTCACTCTTTTCTTTCGACTCGACTAAACATTTACCTTTCCAAGGTTGCTACTCTTTCATCATGGCCGGCGACGATCCCGAGAAGAATACCCCCCACTCCTGGGGGAGACCCCAGCAACAGGGCTGGCCCGAGGATGAGAGCAATCCATTTGTCACCTTCCGCCGTTTCGCCGATGAGCAGGTCTCGTCCGTACTACAATCCGTCACAGGCCTACCATCGAGCGTGACCCCACCTCCCCGTGATAGCTGGGCTATATTCACCGACGATAGTGGCCATAAGAGCATTCTCTCTCAGCAGAGAAACGGCGGAGAGCCGTCGAGGGAGCGGGACTATACACAAGACCGCGACGCGGGCGACAACCCTCCCGGAGATTCAAATGATCGAGTCCCAAGCAACCGCGATAAACCCCCATCTCAATCATCTCGATCGCATTGGCCTGAGCAGGAAGAAATGTGGCGATCGCAGCCAAGAAAGAAGACTTCAGATTTCTTCGGCCTCGACTCATTCTTCGACCGGTTCTGGCTCGAAGATCACCTCCTCCCATCCTCCTCGCGCCTCTTCCACCCACACCACCCTTTCTTCCTCCCCGAAATGTTCGAGGATACCGACTCGCCCACGTGGCCCATCGCATACATCATGTTCAGCCCATATTCGCCCCTGCATCTCGAACGCCAGGCCTACTACCGAGCGCATCGTGAGGGAGGTGTGTTTTCTTCCTTGATGTCGTCTCTGCGACTTGATTCAGACCGCGATCCTTCGGAACCCCAGTGGCGCGAGGCATTTGAGGATTTGCTCCGACTGGAAAATGGAAAGCCAATGCTCGATCACGAGCCCTCGGCGGTCAGCAAGACCGAGAACGGCAAGGATTGGCTTCACGGGCTGGTAAAGCGAGGTAGTTTGGGCGATCGATGGAAGTACGTGTCCGGCGCGGATGGCCAGCCTTGGTCGGGTATTACGTTTTCGGGTCGCGCGGACCATGACCGACCTCTGCCCGAGAAAGAATCGGCCAAACGGGATGAAAAGCGTCAGTTGGGAGCAGAGCAGGAAGACGCCGACGTCGAGCTGGACTTGTACGATCGATTTCTGCAAGATATTGAAGACCGAGAACGGGAGTTTTTCCGAGGTGCTTCCGAAAGTCCTCTGTTGCGTTTTCTTCTCGACGAGCGCCGACGACAGCAAGACGAACTCGACCAATATCAGCGGAGCTTCCCACGGGTTGAGAACGAGCACGGTAATGAAAATGCCGACAGCTGGTTGGATCTCGTGTCGGGCGGAAACAGGAAAACCGTCCCGGAGGATCCTCGAGACTCGACGCCCGCAGTGGAGGCGAAGCAGACTGAGCCGACACCCCCGCGTGTCATTTCCACCATGACTCGGAAAGAACGCGTGCAGCATGGCGATGGCTCAGTCCAGACCAAGATTGTCAAAACCAAGCGCTTCGCTGATGGTCGCGAAGAGAGCGACGAGTCTGTCGAGGTGTCTCATCCACACCCTCAACATGAGGATGGCTCCTCGTCTGAAACAGAAAAGCGGTCCAAAAATGGCTGGTTCTGGAAAGACTGAGCTTTGTTTGGATGGGCATATTCATGATATCACGAAATCTTTGCTTATTTTCTCTTTTTCTTCACTGATATGCCATGTATATAGGCTTGGTTGACTAGGACTGCTCATCAGCGGTTTCTTTTGTTTTCTTCTTTCAATAGCTCCTGCCATCCTCGAGTGTCTACTTCTGACTGCCCTGATCCTGTACCATACTTTTTGAACCTTGAGAATGTCGCCAACGCTGCCTAGTGTGGTCGGTACCTATAGGTGCTCACAAGCCCTTTTTTTTTTTTTCATGAGATGTGAATCCCATGCATTAAAACAGACTGTATTCGCAACTACCAAAAGTCGACAATCGATCCCAATACCCTATAAAAGCCAGACAGCTGATTTCTTCGATATTAATCCGCCTTGACGCTCTTCTTCTGCGCCTTTCCTGCCGTCCACCCCTTGGACTCCCAGAATTTGACATTCTCCTCCATTTTCTTGTATGCCCATGTGAAAGACGGGTCTGTGATGCGAGAAAGAAGGAAGTCACTGTTAGTCCCCAAGTCCCAGATTGAAATGACATATTGAGTGACTCTCAAAAGGATTTGTTGCAACTTACACAAGAACTGGCGCATATCAAAGCGGTTGTCTTCGGGAGAATACTGCTCGGCGTGATAGCTCGGAGTGAGCACAGTGAGTTTGTGCCGGTTGATGGCATACTAAGGTGGAAATATGATAATGTTAAAAAGAGAATTCCCAGGCCCAAGTCCAAGTTCAAACAAAAAAAAAAGAGAATGAGAACATACGTTGTAGAAAAAATGGCGCGTCTTCTCGTAGATCTCACGCGGGCTGTACTCGTTGCCCCACAGATGCAAGAGCTTCTCGTACATCGACCATGGACCCAGCTTGGACACCTTGCGCAGGTAGCCGAATGTGCTCAGTTCGGCGTACGTGACTCCCATGTCAGCTTCGTCGGATTGCACATAGGTGGCGGTGATGGGCTCGAGCTCGGCGGTGGGCGTGGCATGCAGGAATTCTTCGAGCATGGGAACGTTGAAGCTGTGGCCGGCCCAGGAAATGAATTTCTTGAGGTCTACTTTGCTCACAGAGCCGATGGGATTGAGCTAAATTGAAATGAGTTTTGGAACCAGAAGAAGAAGAACAAGGAAGAAAAAAAAAAGGACTCACATCAGCGGAGCTGGCATCGTATTTGGTAAGATAACCCCGTAGACTAGATGTTACCGGTGTATTAGCAAAATAATGGAATAGCGACAAGAATCATTCGTGGGGTAGCGACTACAGGGACTAAATCATACCATTCTGAAGGATTGGTTAGGATCATCTTCAGCACGAAGGCAAAGGTATTAGGAACTTACCATCGACATTGGACGACGCAAGGACCAGCAGTCCACCACCGCCAGGCCGCTGACGAACCGTTGGCAACAGCGAGGCAAAAAGATATGAAAGAACCATTCTGAGACGTGCTTGAACGTTCTGCAAAGCGGCGTTCTCGGTGGGACTTCCTCCGTGGACTTTGAACCGGGGCTGGAAATTGGTGATGACTGTGAAAAGATTCATGATGGCCGTGATCACGGTGTCGAAATTGAAGTCGACGTGATAGGAGCCAATCTCCGAGGCCAGCATCGTTGATCGATCTCTTGTCTCTTTGCTAGAGTTTGACGTGCCCATATAGCTGGTATGGAAGATGCACCTGTAAAATAATAAGCCAATTTGTCGTGAACATGGAGTCGAGAGCCGTAAGACTCACTTGCAAATCTCCTGACTGGAGCTGGGCAGCCAGTTCGAGTCTGCAGGTTTTGCACAAAGCCGGCGAACATCTTTGATCACCTGTTCGTTCCCTTCCTTGACAGCCTTCAAGACCTCGCGACACATCGAGTGCACAATGACAGCCGTGGCGCAACTGTCAATACCCCCGCTGAGGGGCAGGAAGAACCCGGCAGCGCCGCATCTTCGGAGATAATCCCACAGCCAGCAGGCCGGCCCAAGAGCGATTTCTTCCTCTGGGGGGTGGTATCGGGGTTTGATCGGCTCAGAAGGAGCAAGGCCAGGGTCTGCCTCTTCACTTTGGCGAGAGAGCCTCGTGTCAAGGTCAAGGCGGACATAAGGAGCTTGCTTGCTCGCTTGCATGCCTCGGCTTTTGCTAGAGCGATAGGCCCGGACCTATTCAGTATTAATACGATGCCAGTTTGCAAGAGTAGTATAAGGGAAACGCACATCTTCGATGTCCACAGTTGCGGTGACAACTTCAACATCATTCAACGAGAATTGCGACCCTTGAGCCACGATGTCCCCGTTGATGACGATCATCGCACAACCATCGTAGTAGAGCCGGTCACCGTCACACCCTTGCTGGTTGGCGTAGAGATAGATTCCGCCGCTCTGTCACCCGTAAGTTTAGTGGTATAGCAACAGCAGCAGCAATATTTCCTTACCACTTTGGTAGCTTGAGCAATGAGGTTGATTCGAGTGTCCAGCTTCTTCAGCTCATGGTGGCTGCCGGAGGAATTCGAGATAATCTCCACACCTAGGCCATGTCAGAAAACGGACCTGTAACTAACCTACAAAGATCTAAAACAGCTTACCAGCCAGCCCATAAGGAATATGAGGGCTGTTCATGTCCAATGTCAGCGGTCTTCACCCCACACAGATGCGCAAGAACCTACCCGTTCGGAGTGAAAAGTTCCTCGCACGTCTCCAGCCCCAAGCAAGTGTCTCTCGTGCTGATAACTGCGTCACCAAAAGGAATCTTGTACTGGCCGGTGATCTTTCCGACAATCTGCTCCAAGTAATAGTCCTCCACCTCTTGTGGACGCTGCCATGGGGTGAAGTGGCGGTGTTCTCTATAATTACCGTCTTGATGCAGATGATGCCGGCATAAGCGCTTGATTTAATATGACGTTGGGTAAAATAAAAAAAAAAAGGACAGACCATTGGCGAGCCACATTTTGGGCCGGATCAAGACAATCTTTCGATTGTAGAAAATCACTCTGAACAAGGATCTGTTAGACGAAGTCCGGAATATCCAGGATGGGTGTACTTACCGACAGTTGTAAGCCACGTTCCGGTGGCGGACTGGCATGCCCACATCGACAACAATATCCTGGCAGTCAGGATGATCGACAATGCGGGCGAACATTTCCCAGGAGTGCAGGAAGGTATCGCCCTCTAGGAACCCATCGAGAACTCCATATCCTATAAAGAGCTTGTCAACCTCCGTCTCGAGCTGCTAGAGTCCCGTATCCATTCTCTTACCGGTGATCTCGAGCTCTGGGCCCACGCGCAAGGTAGCACCAGCGGCCTTGGCTTTGCGAATGCTTTCAATAATGCGGGCTGTGTTCCCCTCAAAGTCCAGGGCCCATTGATTGAGCGAGCTAGAGGGTCAGCCAGGAGTTTTCAGGTTTCCGGAATGTCCCTACCATGTCGCCAGGGTCACCAGATGGCCCATGATGAAGTTTCTTCCCAAGAAAAGGCGTGTTGTGTGTTGCCGGAGAAGCAATGGACTTCCGCACGAAATCAGAATGATGCCGGCCACGTGTGTGGGGAGCGGCAGTTCCCCGCTCGGTGGGTAATTTGTGACGGAAATGTTACTATCACCTCTCTCTGAGGGCGCTATCTCGGCCCAAACCCGATGTCAATCTGGTAATACAGATACACTGGATTATCCCGAGGCTGATTAATGCAGTTCAGCAGGATCCGGGTGGCTTGGTCTCCCAAGACCTGAATATCTCGATCTATCTCTTGAAAATTACTCAGATCTATCTATCTCATTCGCTGTCTTCAATTGCGCGGGTGACGTTACCCTCCAAGAATGACCCCGGCCCCTCAGATTCCTGTCCCGGCCCATACGCTCGCGGAATCTATGTTGTCGCGACACTTTGGTCGAGAGACGGTCAACTATTTTTCCAGTAGATATGCGTGGAATCCTGGTCTGATCGCAGTACTCATATCTTGCCAGGCTCGCCTATAAACCGCTTATCGTTTCTGCGGTCCGACCATCCGTTCCTCTCTGCGGCCCTGAAACACCCGGCTACCCGGTTCGTCCTGCTGAACAACCTCGCACCCCTAACCCGGTCATCATCCGAGCTGTTCTATGCCAAATACGATGATGTGCGCAAGCTCGTTTCTCAAGACCTCTTTGACAAGCCCGAGGGAGACATGATCAAGAGCTATGACTCGCGCAAGACGTACCCAAATCTGATATTCCTCGGACTGGACGAGTCCCGCAAGGACGGCGGCCTGGCATGGAAGATCTATTCGGGTACTCCATACTTCGCTGTGGATGTTACTCCCAAGGGGTCTGAGGAGCAGCAGACCGCAGCAAAGGATATAATCAGCGCCATGGAGGCCAGGGGATTGTCATTCTTCCAAACCCGGGTGATGATGACATTTTCCGCCGACGAAGGTACAAGAGACAATCGTTGAAAACAAACCCAGCCAAAAAAAAAACGATCGTCTGAGCTTATCATTCCTCTCATGACAGCGGCCATATATGCGCAATCGCGCGCCTTGATCGACTGGAACAACCGGAATACCTTCTGCGGCACCTGCGGCCACCCCACAATGGCTGTGAACGCAGGAACCAAGCGTGCATGTCCGCCCACGGATGCGGCGCGCGCCGTCGATGGGAAGTCGGAGGAGCGACCCGCCTGCAACACCCGCACCACGCTCTCGAACCTATCATTCCCCCGCACCGACCCCACCATCATCGTGGCCGTGGTTTCTGCGGACGGGAAGCGGATCCTGCTTGGTCGTTCCAAGAGGTTTCCGCCGAACTGGTACTCCACTCTCGCGGGGTTCATCGAGCCGGCCGAGTCGGTTGAAGACGCCGTCCGGAGAGAGGTGTGGGAAGAAGCGGGCGTGACGCTGTCGCGGGTCGTCATCCATTCCTCGCAGCCCTGGCCGTACCCGGCGAATCTGATGATCGGGGCCATTGCCCAGGTCAGCGATCCTGCTCACGAGACTATTTCCTTGCAGCATGACCCGGAACTTGAGGATGCGCGGTGGTTTGAGGTTGAGGAGGTGGAAGAGGCCTTGAAGATTGGAACCAGCGATTTGAGCGCGGGCGCTGGTCCGGAGTACAAGGGAGGTCTGAGATTGCCGCCTCCGACGGCAATCGCGAACCAGCTGATCAAGGCGGCTGCGAGCGCAGAGTATTTTGCTGCTGGGACGAATGCGAAGATGTGAGTCAGGTTGGTCTTTGTTTATATCCCGCATTGGTATAGAATAGACAGTAGATACTATACTTGGACACGAGCACAGAGATACCAAAGAGAATCGATTCATGTCATGTGGGTTTCTGTTTCTAATAAATCACATCAAGGGAAATGGAGAAGACATGCCTCATAGATTAGCATACACCGTGCCATCCCGCAGCTCATGAATGCTATCTTTACTGCTGGGAGATCCCACCTCGGTATAGCGCGTCCCATCTCTCAGCTCATGGATTGTCACCCGCCGATGACTTCGCCGCAAGCGCCGAGAGCCTCGCGTTCCACGCCATACTGAATCTAGACTATCAGACTCGCTGGGCGCCACGCTGCTCGGAGTGGGCTCTCTGTCCACACTTTCCCTTTCAATGGATGCTTGAAGCTGGTTATCGGCGACCATGGCCGAGCCAACGTCGTCATACCATCGTCGCAGGCCCGATGCGTAGGCGCGTTCCTCTGACTTGTATTCAACGGGCGGACCGGTAATTTCGGCATCGGGGCTTGAGCCGTCGAACACAGCCCATGCGCTGGATTCGACGTTGACAAGCATGATTGCATGGTTGAAGCTGCGGACCTTGAAATCGCGCAGCAAAATGGCATTTCCTTCGGCCAGGTTCGGGATGACAGATTTATATCGTCGAAAGATTTGCGCAGAAAGCGTCGTTCCAGCCATAGACGGATCGGTGAGCTCGATTGTGACGAAGTAGTCTTTGGGCCCGGATGTGGCCCGTGCTATCGGGGATACTTCATGGACAATTGAAATCGTGTCCACCAGGGTGTTGAAATGATCAATGAGGGTAGCAAGAGGAGCGAAATATGAGAGTTTGCTGCGCAAGCCGGGGGCATGACGATCGGGGGCTGGAGGATGGGTGATGAGCACCGTGGGGGTTTGGGGAGCGTCATTGACGATCATATCTGAGATGTCTTGGCTAACTAGCTCTTCGTCAATCTGAGCAGATTCAGAAAGAGGCACAGCGTCATTTTTATCTTCCTGCTCCTTTTGAGTGAGTCTCGGGGTATCTGGCTGAGAGACGTTTTCTTTAACAAGATCGGTGGCACCAAGAGCAGAATGTGATGCAGTTTGGAGAGATATGTTCAGACCCGCAGAGGGTTCCTGTGTATGAGACATGGAAGATGGCTCGTTTTTCCCATGATCAGTCAGAGCTTGATTACCAAGAGCCACTTCCTGAGTAGGATCTGGAGTCAAAAGTTGTTGCTCGTAGGATGTAACCGAGGCCAAACGAGCCACTCGGTCGACGGGCGGAGATCCAGAACTGTCGAGCGAGAGGCCATAGTCAACTTGATGATCGGTTTCAACTTGCTGTTCAAGTCGTTCTGCCACGCTGTCGGAACCTGGTATTTTCTGCTCGCCACTCGTTTGGAAATTGGCTTCTGCATGAATAGAATGGGTCAGACTGTGATCAACCATTCCACCCAGCCCGAAGGTAGCATCTGCTACATCGCCAGGCTTTTCAGTGTGACTTTCTGGACTCCAGCGTTCCTGGTGTTGGCCTTGGTGCAACAATGAAGCTTCCCGGTGAGCTTCTTCCTCATTCCAGGTCGATTCTTCGCCGTCGGAGTGAGCATTGGTGACTGCTTCCATCCTTGGCCCAGTTTCAGCAACGAGGTCGAACCCCCCCACTGTTTGCCGCAATTTCCTCCGACTTCGCTTCCATAGATTGGTCGTCGTCTTGATCTTCAGCGGAGACTTCGCGACCTCGGAAATCATAATGATCTCGCGCCAACTCGTCCACTGATGACTCGTCTGTATCGGTTTCGTGAACTTGATCATCATCTTCCTCCTCACTTTTGGGTCCTTCATTATCTAACTCTTCTCCAATGACTGACCAGGCCTCATCATTTCCATCCATTGCAAATTCTGCAACTGCGGAAAGGGTAGACAGACCCTCGTGATATGATCTGTTTTGGGGGCGTGGCGGCTGGGATGGGGTAGCCACCGGTTGCTCAGAAGCGAGTTCATCGTCACTATCGCTGTCCAGCACAATGACCTCATGCTGGGTAGGCGGCGGTAGTGAGTCGTGTTCTTCCTCAGACTCATAACCCAATTCCTCGGGAACCTCCGCCTCAGTTTGAAAATCATTATCATAGTCATCTGGCGAAGCAGAATCAGATGCTTCTTCGTGTTGAAGTGCTTCGTCTGCTGCTTCTGGATCACGTTCGTCCTCGCTGTAGGTTAGACTGTGTGAACGATCGCGAACCATCACCTCCGGTGATACATCGGCTTTGTCTTCCGGAATTTCAATTGCTTCGGGTTCATAGTCCCTCGGTTCTTCTTCTGCCTCCGGTATATCACCATTTTCTTCATCCAGCTCCGGGGAAGATGTTGAGTGCGGGAGATCCTGCGGTTGTACTTCTGGTTGGAAACCGTCCTGTGCACCAAACTCCTCCTCTTCCATTGATACCATGTTGCTGCCTTGTGCCTCTTCAGCTTCTTCGTCCTCGTCTTCGTTCTTTTCGTTACCTCCCCAGTCTTCTTGGTCATTTTCTTCTACTGACCGACGGATAACTCCCTCTGCTGCACTTGGAAATTGCATTTGATCATCGGCATTCCCCATGTCAATATCTGCGGTGTGCATCTCGAGATTGCCTCTGGATTCAAAGGGATGGACCTCCTCTTCAAAGCTAGTCGGCACTTCGCCATTTATCTCAGCCGGCACATGGCCTGGAAATGATGTTGACGCTGAGGGATGTGTGAAAAGCTCAAATGAATCAATCGGCGGGTTCTGGTGTGCTGTTTCAGCATGCGCAGCAGAGATATCAGCCGCTTGAAGAGGGGAAGGTGGGGTGAGACGAGGTAAGACGGTCGAGTTTGTAGTGGTATTGGGTCTGATCTCTTCGGGAATAGACGGGATATCTTGCGCCTGGGTGGCAGCAGACATTGATGAAAAGTAGCCTTGGGGGTGGTTCTGATTCGGAACAAGTGGCGAGGGGATTGGGAGTCCTGGGGAAGGAATTGGTTGAAGATGTGGTGTATCTGTAGGAAGACGAAATGTCGCTCTCAAATCATCTTGTTCGGCAAGATTGACAGGCCCAGAAGACGCAGTATTAGCCGATTGCTCCGCGCGCCTCTCGAGAATGCTTCCGGTAAGTTCGAGGGAAGGCTTCGCGAAGACTGGCGCACTCTCATAAGATGTAAGCTCCGGGCTGTGATAATTCTCCACAGCATCGGGAATCGGAATATCGTTCTCGGGTTCAACATTCGTATCCGCCTGGTTGGCCTCTTTCTCCAACTTTTCCTCTTCGTCAAGTTCATGTTCCCAATCCACTGTGCCCTCTCGTTCCCGGGGACTCTCGGGCTCATCCACGATCCGCCATTCCTCTCTTCGCAAGCTGAATCGAGGGCGCTTTCTTCCCTTCCCAGGAACAGACCCATCTTCCTCCGCGAACGGGTCGAAAGCGGAATCGAGAGCTTCGCCGAATGATTTCCGGCTCGACTTTGAGAATGCGGGAGATCCCCATGAACCTATACCGGGAGCACCGTCGATTTCGGGATCCATCGAGATCCTACCCGGGGTTGTGGGCGGTGCGAATTCAGCAACACTCGGCACAGGCACATGTGACTCGATATGCACAGTCGATACATGTTTGGACAATCGGTATATCTACTCGGGCAGAAATATCAGGTCTCTGAAATAGGGTAATTGACGGAAGTTGCAATACCTCAATAGACACGCCACTTTCGAAATGAGCATCCCACGCGACATATTTCCCTGGCGTCTGTGTCGCCGTTTCATTGGCAACCCACTTTGAGCCCCTCAAAGCAAGACACACACTGTCACCAATCCCGACATGCGATTCCGCAACCCGTTCAGCGACGTGCCAATGGAACACGACCTTGACCTGGCCGTTGGAGCGACGCAGGCGGAAATCCGGCTCGGATAGTAGAAGGCTGATTGACCGGGTCGAGGACGAGTATGGCCATACAAGCGTCACATTCGCGAGGATACACTTCTCTTCGGGCTGCTCGAGAGTCGGAGATAGCGCGGCGATCGGGGCCTTGGTCAAATGCGCCAGGACATTTGGTGCGGGAGACGGGTCGGTCGCGTCCATGGCGCCTATTTCCTCATTCCAGTTTCAACCTTTGGCGACAGTAGACATACTCGGAAGGGAAGAGGTCCGGGGCAATGGTCCTTAGTGAAAGGGAGCCAGAGGGCTGAGAGTCGCGCGAGTTCGTGCGACAAAGAAATCCCGAGCTGCGTTTGCATCATGCGCGGATTGGTAATACAACTGTAATTACAAGGGGTCTTTACTCATAGCTTTCTATATACCGTACTAAAATTACCCCACCTGATAGCTCTCAATCAAGGTGATTGCACTGTTGACAAGACACACAGTGACTCCTTCATTCTGAAACAAAAAGGAATCGGCTTGAGATAACCCAACAAATGTTTGAGAAAATAAAAATAGAAAAGGAAAAGGAAAGGCATTCGTCTGCGGTCAGCAGACGCCAATAAGCCGAGACACAGACTCCACTTGCTTTCCCTCCTACATCGATCTGACCAACCCCCTCATCACAGACGTATTTCTACGCGAAGAATGGCCGTCGCAAACCCAGTTCGCCGAGTAGCTATCATTGGAGCCGGTCCATCTGGCCTTGCAGCAGGCAAGTATGTGGCATCGTAGGGGATATATATAATCTAGAGTTGTCCATTGACTACTGAGACAGATACCTGCTTGCCGAAAAATGCTTCGACAAGATCGAAGTGTTTGAGCAAAGGAGCTCTGTTGGCGGAGTTTGGAACCATACCCCCAGCTCTTCTAACACAAAAGGGGCAACGACTGTCCCCCAGACAAACCCTCACGAGCCAGTTGAGAAGCCGATATGGATCAACCAAACGGAGGCGACATTTGTGTCTCCGTTGTATGATCACCTCGAAACCAACATCCCCAAGGAATTGATGCGTTTCTCGGAGAACCCATTCCCATCGGATGTACAGCTCTTCCCCAAGCACCAAACGGTGAAACAATACCTGGAAGAATATGCCGAGGATGTCAAGCACCTCATACAGTTCGAGAGACAGGTCGTGGATGTGAAGCTCAAGGACCCCGATTTGAGTACCTGGGATCTGACCACGAAAGATCTTCATACGGGTGCTGAAATAACACATATATACGATGCCGTGGTCGTTGCAAGTGGCCATTACACCGTTCCTTATCTCCCTCACATTCCCGGAATTGAGGCGTGGGATGCATCCTATCCTGGTGTCATTTCTCATTCAAAATTCTACGACTCCTCTGAAATTTTTCGGGGGAAGAAGGTAGTTGTGGTCGGGAACTCCGCTTCTGGGCTCGACATCGGTTCCCAGATCAACGAAGTGAGCAAGGGCAATTTGTTGGTCTCCCAACGGTCAGAGTCTTATCTGGCGGCTTCTGCACCGGAGGATAAGATCATTTGCCCAGAAATAGTCGAATTCTTGCCCGCCACAAGCCATGACCGAGGTATTCGATTCGCAGACAATCACATCGAAGAACAAGTTGATGCGATTGTTTTTTGCACCGGTTACTTCTATTCCTACCCGTTTTTGTCGTCACTCCGCCCCCCTGTTGTGACCCATGGATTACGAACCATGAACGTCTATCAGCAAATGTTCTACATAGACCATCCGACCCTCGTGTTTCCTGTTCTTACGCAAAGAGTGATCCCGTTCCCGATGGCCGAGAACCAGGCTGCTGTTTTCTCTCGTGTTTGGTCCGGACGCCTTTCTCTTCCACCCTATACCGATATGAGAGCATGGGAAGAGTCGGAACTTGCCACCAAAGGTGATGAAAAAGCTTTTCACCTGCTCCAATTTCCTCTGGATGCCGACTACTTGAATTTCCTCTACGATTGGGCTGCCAAAGCTGCACCTCGCTCTGAGCTTGCCAGCAATGGAAACGGGAAGCATGGGGTTTACTGGGGTGAACATGAAAGATGGATGCGAGCCCTTTTCCCCAGCATCAGGAGAGCGTTTGTTCAGAAAGGCGACCAGCGACACTCGGTCAAGAATATCGGGGAGCTCGGCTTCAACTTCGAAGAATGGAAACGGGAGCAGCAGCAGCGTCGATGATATTTTTGGGATAGCGCGCGCAAATATAAATTAGATACAAAGACTATAGACGCGCTAGATCATAGAAAGAATTCAAGTTGACGCTCACCCAACCCGAGGCACGTAGGGCTAACTGATAAGCGCTTATCACGTGAAGGCGGTGCGCCATCCGAATCCCCGGCGCGCATCATCGTTCCTCTCTCGCATACCTTCACATTGCGCCGGGGATAGTGGGGTGTCTCCCAGAAGCGAAGCTGGATGTATGTCAGCTTAGAGCAGCTGATTTGATCACAATATCTTGAGTATCGCACCTACACTTCCATCCAGCCCCCCATCATGCCGCTTGGCGCCTCCCAAACACCTACCGCCCACGCATGATGAGCCGAGAATACACGCGATTTTACCTTCCAACACTCGATCAACTTTTCAGAAACCATACTGACTCTCCTCCAGCTGACACTGTATTTGCAACCGACAGCAGTGACAGCATTGGTCTGGATGACGTGGAGTGGCCCATCAAGTGTATCCTCCGCGAAACCGATACGGAATATCTGATTGATTGGGAGGGTCCCTATAGTCCAACCTGAGTGAGTCGTAAGAGTTATTAAATTATACCCTGCTACATAACAATCCCTCCAAAGAGCTCGGGCTAATGAGAGCACTTCGGCCATTAATTTAGGAGCCCAAAGAGAACGCCAGTGAGCTTGCTGTACATGTTTGGAAGGAGCAAAAAACACGGCAAACGAAGAAATATCCATCGCGAAACTTGACACGGCGCCTTATCCTAGGAACCAGACTAAACTCAGAGAACCACGAGTGCGAAACATTCGACTATACCACCGAGCAGAGCGAATCTCCGAGCTCACCTTCGCCAAACCCACCGAGTCTTGGACTGAGTAGCGCCACAAGCGAAATACCGGAGACACCTTCTCCTCAGCTCAGGGGCGCTGAACCATTAGAACCCTTTGAATTCATCGAAGTCCATTCCACGAACTCGATTTCGCTCCATCTCACGCCACTGGACTCCCAAATCACAAGTATTCTTACCCTCATCCAGCCTGAAGTATCAATTATTTATGTTTCTGCAGACGCCAACCTCAACTTTTTCTTGTCACAAACAACTGGCCCAATTTGCAGCTCGATTCCCGAGACGATTTTGCAGGGACTATCGCAATACGCGGCGAGTTCTGCTTCTCAGGCTACTTGGAACCAAACTTTTTTGTTGCAGAATCCCCTTGACTCAACCTTATCTTTCCCAAATATGGCAGACCAGGGAAGGAAGCCGACTTCGCCTACGTCCGAGAACCCCATGGATCGATACGGCCACCTCTCAGGATCTACACCCAGGGAGAAGGTTCAGAATATATGGGCTGAAGTCATAGCGAAGCCAGTATCAGAAGTTTCTCAGGCGGCCAGCGCTGCTGAAACTCCGTCTTCCGTGGGAGATATTGAAGCCTCAGCTCCTATTTCGATCCCTGAAACCACTGCGCCCCTCAGTGTCAGAGCCGACACAGATTCCGTTTCCCACTCTCACACTGCAATTCATCATGCACATGCAGAGCCTTTACTACCACCATCGGACCTGGCTCATGGCGGTCACACTGGCCAATCCACGATGCAAACCATCCAGCCCAGCGCATTGACCGTTATCAACGTTGAAGAGACTGCACCAGGGTCAGTCCGTCTTGGGCCATCCGAATTTGCCGTTACTCTTCCCATGGATTCTCGAGTGAAGGATTACTATGAGCGAGTCCTAGCAGATGCCGCCACTGATATCCGAGAATTTATTGAGAGCTTCAGCTCCACTGAGCAGATGCCAGATCGCGAGGTAAGTTGCCTTTTGCGTCATGTTATTTAGCTCAGACGTACCTGACACATATTCAGCGAGATCGTCTTCAATCCAGCATGAATGAACTTGTCGCACAGTTGAACAATGTCTCGACGCATCCAGACCTGAACATCTCCGACCACCTTAAAGGAGCGAAGCCCGATCTCCAGAGGGAGTCATCTTGGGCTGAATATTCGAGTGCAAAATTTCTCCTCCTTGGCCATCTGGTGGAGATTACAAGTACCCAGGACTTTCATTTGGTTTTGGCAGTACAAGACGAGAAAAGACAGAGAGTCTTGGAGCGCTATTTGCAAGGCAAGGGTTTTTCTTACACGAGGCCACGTGAAGAGATGGGTAGCACTCTGGAAGTCTCCCTGGCGAAGGGCTCGTTGAGCTTTGGCATCCACTCCAACGATAGTGTGCGTGAGCTTTTTAAGCCACCCTCTGCTATTTTTGCCCTGGACACATCGTTCAACCCGAAAAGCCCATCTGTGCAGCATATTCGAACTACCTATGCTCGAAATGGGGGCTTGCTGCCCGTTATTTGGCTCCTCATCGCCAACACCAGCGAGCATATCGAGCGCTGTCTTCCTGATATACCCGAGCCAGATCGACTGCGCTTACTTGTTCGATACACGGCCCGCCTTCATGAAGATGTTGGGGATCTCCAGGATGATGCCCTTGGCGTCCACGAGAATGCCGAGGAAATCCTTGGTTACTTGTCTGATAGCTTTGCTAGCTGGCCGCTGCCACCTATCGAGCCTCTGCCCTTTGTCTCTATCGAAGAAAGCGATTCATCTGGTTCTTCATCCGATGAATCAATGCCAACCAACCAGAAGCGCCCACTGGTAAGTTTATCTGTCACGTTCAAATCTACTGTCAATTGACATAATTCTAGCAGGAAGAGGAAGAGGGAGAGGGAGAGGAAGGGTCTGACGATTTCACATCGAAACGGGCTCGACTTGATACCCAGGGTACGAGCCAATTGACCCAGTCAACCAAGCTGCCAAGCCAGACCTTGGGCCGGGACTTGCATTCTTTGGAGAAAAGTCTTATTGAAATGCAGAGTGCTCACGCAGATGAGAAAGAACAACTGCAAAAAGACTTGACTGAAATGAGTGGCCGATGGCGAGAACTTGATCAGGAAATCGGAATCATCCAACATCGCTACGAGACTCGGACCAATGATTTCCACAAAACCCGCCAGGAGCGCGACCTTTTGCTGGAAAACAAGGCGACCCTCGAGCAGCGTGTCGAGAAGCAGAAAGAGGATAACTCTAAGATCAAGGAGGAACGGAGGCAACTCAAGGGCGAGCTCGAGGAAGCCAGACAAGCACTCAAAGATGGAGGCGGCAGCATGGCGGAACTAGAGACGGCACGCGAAGAAATCCGGCGTCTTACCAAGGAAAATGCTGGTCTGGAACGCAAATCCGATTATGAAAGGAAACAGGCTGAATATACTCGCGAGCAATACCAAAATGCGTCGACAGCGGCCGCTCAGTTGGGAACCGAGGCCCGACAACTCAGAGCAGAAAACGAGACATTGAATCGTAAGGTCGAGGCCAACGCCGTTCGACTTCGCGAGATGAATACGCAAAACGATGCGGCTATTCACCTCGCTCGAATTGGAGAGCTGGAGTTAATTGTGACTGGGCGCGACGATCTTCTGCGCAAGAAGGAAGATGAACTTCGAGAGATCCGCAAAAACCGCCCATCGACTCGCTCGACCAGCACTCAACCCCGAAGTCCCAAATGGGCTGCCAGCAGCCGTCCGACCAGTCCTGGGGTCAGCAACAACGGCAATGGTAACGGTAGCAACGGTCTTGCGGGCAGAGGGAGTGCACTGCGGTTTAGCTCAGAGATGCCTTTCTGAAAAACCTTGACTTAACGACTCTTCCCTTGGGTGTTTCATGCCTCTATGCTTCCCCGACGTTGCATGGATCTCCTGCCCTCGATCTATGACGCATACATTCAGAGACGGCTGCTCGGCCTCCGCGCATTCCCCCTTCTGACCAGCTGAGCCTGGACATGTGTCCATTTCCTCGCACACTTATGACATTATCGCATTTCCTCGGCGTTTTCTCTTTTTCGCCTTGTCTGGCTCGCCACGATCAGCGGGGCTTCTTTTGACACCTGTGAACCATGACTTCCATCAGTTGCACCTCAGCGTTGAACATCATCTTGCCGAAGTAGTTAGTTTCTTTGCCCTAGCTTGAATGCAAGGATTTTCCTTTTGAAGCTTTATGGAGCCAATTTCCTGATTTCCCACACGCATATAGAACGAGCAACTAGTAAATGTGCAATGTCAATCTGTATTTAGTGATTAAAGGTCGTAAAAATTATACAGCGTGATAGTAAAACAAGATCGAAGCCCAAGGGCGGAAGAAAATATACAAAAATCAACCAAACCCCTAAAAGCCACTGGTGAAAATAATAAAGAAAAGAAGAAAAGAAAAGAAAACGCCGTGCATCATGTTGAAGCCATTGCATTAGCCATGAACGCCGCCAACTCCTTTGCCTTTTCACCACGAGTCATGGTGAAATGATTAGCCCCCTCCATGACAGTGATGCCGCCGACGTTATTCGGACCGACAAGAGAATCCCAGCCATTCGGGCCGAGATCGGTACGGTTGTTCAGCAGCCAGAGCATCTCACGAGGATCGGGGCTGCCATCCTCGGCGGGGCCGGGGCGAGGATCATTCGGCTTGGAGCATACCCCATCCTTGGCCCAGACCATGTAAGTCTTGGGGAGCTTGGCGGCCAGCTTGCTGTCGGAGAAGGGGAAAGGGACCGCCTTGTAGGCGTCCAGAGAGTCGATGAAGGCCAGGAAGTGCGGGAGCAGCCATTTCGGCGGCGGCGCCTTGCCCTCGCCAAACAGGCCGATCGAGTCGAAGAAGCTGTAGAGCCGCGGGGGAAGCTTCTGGAGCCCGATGGGGAACGGCGAGTCGAGAAGGAGGAGGCGGTCTACTTGCTCGCCGTGGTCGAAGATCAGCTGGCGCGCGGCGTCGTACGCGCAGATCCCGCCTGCGGACCAGCCGCCGAAGTTGTAGGGCCCTGTGGGCTGGCGTCGCCGGATCTCGGCCACGTAGGGCGCTGTCAGCTCATCCAGGCTATACTTGAGATTCTCGGGCGTCCGCATGTATGGGCAGTTCAGTCCGTATACGCAGATGTCTGGAGACACTCCGGGGATGGTGGCATAGGAAGTGGCTGAACCGGAGCCGTCAGGGAACAGGAACAGTTTCTGGGTGGCTGTTTTCGGGTTTCCTTGCAGGAGGATGGAGGTTGCCGGGGGGTGCTGGGTCCCAGTGCTTGCTGCAGGCTTGGGTGCTTCGACCGGAAGTTTCTCGGGAAGCCGAATCGGCTCCGCGGCAGTAACTTTGGGCTTCAAGCCCAGAGCAACTTCAATGTCCGCGAGAGTCTGGTTTTCAATGAAGAACTCGCCGGAGAGATCGAGATCCAGAAGCTCGCGCATCTTCCCCAGGACAGTAAGCGACATCAAAGAATCCAAACCCATTTCGCCCAGGTTGGCGTCTGCTTGGATCTCATCTGGCTCAACTCCAATTTCCTCTGCCAGAATCGAGCAGATCTGTTTCATGCTGTCGTTCTGCTCGAGGGACATTGACTTCTCGTTAGCAGGCGTCGGGAGACCACTGGAGTTAGGAGACGAGACGTCTGTGGTCGACGCAGAGGAAGATAGATCGGCTTCGCTACTTGATTCATCGCTGCTGTGCTCGGCAGGGCCCATCTGCGCCAAGAGGCGTTTGAAGTCCTTGACAGTCGGCTGGTCGACAAAGACAGAGGATTCCAGGTCAATGCCCATTTCCTCACGATACCGCCCTGTGACGGTCAGCGAAAGGAGAGAGTCCACGCCGTAATCGGCGAAGTTGAGATCGTCGGTGATTTCAGATGTGGACAGGCCAACCTCCTCGGCCAAGATCCCAAGAGCACGCACAGCAATGCTCGGTCCCGCAGACTTGGGTGCTGCTGCAGGGCTGGCACGGGGCTTCTTCGCGGGGCCTGTCTTCGACTTTTGAACATCAATAGCTGGAGGTGCGGGCTTCGAACCAGGCTTGGGGGCTGATGCTCCAGCGGGAGGAAGAACAGCATCAAGGATCTTCCGTGCCAGTGCTTGGAACTGTTTTATTCGGTTAGTCGTGTTATGGAAAATCGTTCTTGAAGGATAGAACATACCTTGACGCCACCATACACAGCAACAATATCGTCCCCTTCAAAGAGGTAGACATCTCCAGCCCAGATCGAGTTCTGCCAGGGCTGCATCCTCACGTAGGTCCGGTAAGTGACGTTGGGATCGAACTTCTTCAAGCAACGCATCGAGTCCCAGCCATGGTTGACGAAGACCTGGTTCTTTGAATCAGTCGCATCACTGGCGTTCATGATAAAGCCAGACAGGTGGCCAATGCTGTCAATCCAGAATGGATTGCGATGGAAGTTGCCAGGAGGAGCCTGGAATTTCACGAGAGCAGTGGCCTCATGCTGGTCGCTGTCCAAAATGACTTCTTGGATGGACTTGTAGTTATCGTCGTAGTCGACCAGGGAGCTGAACAGCTTGTAGACCATCCCTCGCTTCATCCGGTGGGCCTGACCAGATTCAGTGCTCTCCTGGAGATGCTCGATGCTCCTCTTAATGAGGTAGGCATTTCGCTTCCATTCGAGCTCCGCAGCACTGGTGTCGAAGAACTTGATAAGACAGTAGGCGTGGTCGATGATCTTCTTCCCTTCAGGGGTGACAGACCAGACCTGCACCTGCGCACTTTCATCGGCCCAGTTCGTCTTCGCCGAGACTCGGAACAGCTGCTTGCCACCCTTTGCAATGAGTGGCTTGGAAACCGTCACATTGCAGACGTCAAAACCGCGTCCCTTCCACTCGGGCTTGTAGTTCTCGACGAGATATTCCCCGAGTGTCTGGGCAATGTCCGCGTACAAAGACTATTTTGAAGTTAGTATCTAGCTTTTCTAAATTAACCGCGAATATTGGCAGTATACATACCGATGGACAGAGAGAGGCTCCGTTGACCTTGTGGCCTTGGATGACACGACTCAACTCGGGATTAGAGATGTCGTTCTCAATAACAACAGTCGCTGACCCTTTGTCACTGCTTGTCTCCACCACCTTCTGGGCCGCCGTGGTCAGGAACGTGGAGACAGGCGTGGCCTCAGCCGCAGGGGTTGCGGGCGCACCCTTGAGCAGACAAAAGTTGTTGGTGTAGGGAATCCAGTAGTTCTTGAGATCCCACTTGTACGCAGGAAGTGGCAGGACTTGGCGAGCAGAGCTGAAGTCCTGATGGTACTCCTTCCAGCGAAGATCGATTCCAGCCAGGTAGAGGGTCGACAGGCTGTTCGACAAAACCTTCCACGTGTCTTCCTGGCGGCGCAGAGATGCCACCGTTGTGGTCTGAGGGCCGAAAGTCGATTTCACCATTCCAGAGCAGACCGTATGAGAACCGACCTCAACCCACAAAGTCTTGTCGTTCATCAGGTTGGCATGCCTAGTAGCCTCCAGAGCCCCCAGGAAGTTGACAGTCTCCCGGCAGTGTCGTGTCAGGTAGCTGGGACCAAGGACATCACTGCTGGCATCCTTGACAACATCTCCGAGAAGAGCAGACACAAACGGAATTGAAGGCTCATGGAAAGTGACACCCTTGGCAACATCTGCCAGGCTCTCGAGGATAGGCTCAACCTGGGCAGAGTGGAAAGCAAAAGGCACCTTCAGCTTGGTGGCCTTGAACCCTTCATTGGAAAGCTTCTCGGCCAGCTCGTCAATCTTAGGGCTAGCACCGCTGATCACAGTCTCTGCGGGAGCATTGATGCAAGCCACCTCAGCAGAATCTCCATCAAGGAATTGTTTCACTTGTGCCACTGAAGACCGCACGGCCAACATGGCGTGGGTGCCCATCTGGCATTGCTGAGTGAGAAGCTGAGCCCGTCGGCCGGCAAGGTAGATTGTATCGCTGGTAGTCAAGATACCAGCAGCATTCAGCGCAGCATATTCACCGAGACTGTGGCCAAGGACAAATTTCGGCACGACGCCTAAGGAAACCCAGAATTTGGTCAATGCCATTTGCACACAGGTGGTTCCAAGCTGGGTCACAATAGGGCTGAGCTCCTCAATAGGAACACTCCCATCGACCAAAGGCACAATGGAAGGGAGGCCCTGGCTTTGACCAATGCGGTCCAGGCGCTCGATGTGTGCTCGGAACTGCGAGCAGCTCTCAAAGAGTTCCCTTCCCATGCCCGTGTACTGGGCGCCTTGGCCAGTGAAGACAAAGCCAATGCCCGGTGCAGTCGAGGGAACCGGGGTAATGTTTTCACGGCTCACACTCGAGGTCAGTGCATCCCGTATTTCCTCCAAGGTTGATCCGGAGGCAGCAACTCGGAAAGGGTGATGGATGCGTCGCGCTGTGGTCGTGTATGATATATCGGCAAGGAGACTGGAGTCATTGACATTGAACAAGTTTTTGTTCGTGTCAATGTATTGCACGAGAGCACCGACGTTGTTTCTAAGTGCGGACTGGGATCTCGCTGAGACCATCACTGGATGCACCGACCGAGGGTCATTCACATCCTGCTCTCTAAGAGGGCCATCCTCCATCAGCAGAGCCGTGTTACCACCAGCAGCAGAGAAGTTATTCAGGAACATTCTTCGCTTGCCACCATTGGGGCGGTTCCAGGGCGTGGGCTCAAGAGCAATGTGAACGTTCCGCTGCGGCAGGTCCGTGGGGAAGTTATGGTTAATCTTCGTCTTGATACCACAGTGAGGTGGGATCATGTTCTTCCGCATCATCATCAGCACCTTCACCAAGGAAGTGACACCGGAAGCCGACTCGCCATGGCCGACATTGGACTTTGCCGAGCCAAGATGCAGAGATTGGGTTGGCCCGCGACGGTGATCGGGGGCGAAGACGTCCAGCACAGATTGCATTTCCACGGCATCACCGGCCTGGGTGCCAGTTCCATGCATTTCAATATAGCTGACCTCCTTGGGGTCAATGTCAGCCTCATTGAGCAGCTTGTCGAAGATAAATGCCTGTGCTCCAACATGAGGCCGAGTGATCGAAACAGCCTCGGCGGAGTGGTTGGTGTAGGCGCCAGCAATGACACCGTAGATCGGGTCGTTGTCTGCTTGAGCATCTTCCAGTCGCTTCAAAACAACAGATCCCACACCATCCGCTCTGCAGTACCCATCGGCACCGTCATCGAAGGTGTTGCAGTTTCCAGTCCGGGAAAGGAAGTGTCCACGGTCAAGACCAGCGTGATTGTCGGGGTTTGTGAGGATGTTAACACCGCCTGCCACAGCAGAGTCACAGTCGTTCCTCCAGAGGGAATTGCATGCCACGTGAATTGCCGCAAGACTGGACGAGCAAGCCGTGTCGACGCTCACACTGGGGCCACTGAACTTGAAGTAGTAGTTGATCCGACCGGGTGTGAAAGCGCGGTTACCGCCGGGGATAAAGTAGGTATCAATATCCTGACCACTGTTGATTTCACGGTAGTCATCACTGGTCATGCCATAGAAAACCCCCACTCGGTTCTTTTGTGTCGAAGGGGTGCTATCGGGAATGAAACCAGCCATTTCAAAGGCCTCATAAGCAGTCAAAAGTGCCAGTCGCTGGGCCGGATCGGCCTGAAGTGCTTCGCGAGGAGACATGTTGAAGAATCGCGGGTCAAAAAGACCGGGCTCGTTGATCCAGCAGCCGTATTGAACCTTGCTGGTGTTTCTGGTGTTTCCTTCCATGTCGACGTGGGCCTTCACATCCCACCGCTCTGGCGGGACCTCACGATGTACATCAAGACCCTTGTACAAGAGATCCCAGAATGCCTCTGTATCGGGTGCTTCAGGAAATCTTCCCGAAACACCAATGATGGCAATCTTAGACGCATCAGCACGGCCGGTACGGTTGGCACCCTCGGGGTCCTTTTGGACATCTCCGATGGCACTCTCAACTTCAAGATGGGAGATTCCAGCTTTCTTGAGGCCCGTGAACAAACTCTGAGTCGCAGTGGTGGAGATAGGAAGCAACGTGCACATTTTTGAGGCCGAATCCAATGTCGAAAAACACGAATCAATAACTTTGCCCCAGCAAAGTGGCCGAAGCAGAATTTCCTCGAGAGAAAATTTCAACAATTCTTCAAGATTTGAAACATCGACGATCTTCCCAGTTACACTGGACAGAACCTGAATTTGAGGGACGTAACTCGCGAATTCCTCCTTCGGCCACGACTCCAGGATTCGGTTGATATCCCGTTCATCATACAAGTGCGACGCATGGTAAGGACCGTGAATTGGAACTCGCACAGGCTTGTGCTCTTTTGAAAGAGAAGCCTCAACAAAGCGACCCAGAAAAGCGGGGGGTCCACTGATAGTCAGTCCATTTGGGCTTACAGCACTGATATAGGGCTGTGAAACATGCGGCAGGGCCTTCCGAGGTATTAGTTTCGGTGTCCTGACTCGTACAGCAGAAAACAAACAACTCACATTCGTCTTAGAAAAGTTCTGGATCAGGCTCTGGGCTTCTTGCTCTCGCATCCCTGAAACCAGAACAGACCAGCTTTGCGACGGAGATTGACTGGTTTCGACGAGTTCCCGAGCCTTCACAACGCAGACTCCAAGGCGCAGAGCAATAACAACGGTTTGAACTCCCACTGAGACAAGCTCGCCAACGGTCTTTGATGAACTGACCGCGGCAGCCGCAAGTTGACCGGTGCAAAGTCCAATAATACAGCTTTCAGAGCCGGACGGATAGGCATATCCACGGTCTCCATAGTAGCTGGTGCAGAGTCAGCACCCTAGAGTAATACAAGCATTCTCGGCGGACTTACTGAATAAAACATCCCAACTGATAGATGGTTGTCAATGCGCTCTCCAGAGCTGGGTTTGATCCTGACTCCCGATATCTGGCGAGGAGGTCGACAACGCTTGTAAAACGAGGGAACAGCTGCCGCTGAGATGGCGACAGCCTGGAGATCTCTTTGCGCAATGCATAGTAGCACTTCTGGAAAAAGGCCGACAGCAGCGAGTCGTTTTTGGCTTGCAGTAGGCGGCGAAGACCCGAGTCGAAATCAGCAGTCTGATCTCCGAAGAGATACACACGACTGGGGGCCTCCATTCTCAGGCCAGGTGCCAACGAAGGGGTGCAAAACTCTACGAAGAAAAGAAATAAAAAATAAAAAGAGTTCAGAGCGAGCGCGAACCACCGGGCTACACATACTTTATACACACGTCTACGGGAAATGATACCTTTGCGGTGGGGCGAAGGCAAATCCTAAACATCATTGAGTCGAAGTATCCTGGTATGAAGGACAGGCAAATCGTGAAAACTCTTTAACTGTTTTCCTTGAAAACCTGGAATTTGTGGGACGGACCCGGTGTGAACTGTCTCAGAAGTTGTGCGTTCGCGCATCTAGTTCCCTGGCACGCGGCATGCTTGTTGGTTCCGGTAGGCACCCCAGTCGATCAGTTTCTGAGGTTTGGTCAATCTTAACCAATGGCACCGTTACGGCGATTAAGCTTGTTTTGCCTATGAACCTGCTATGTTTTCTTCAGCCAAGTGAGCTGAAGTGGAGTTCGGCGTCCACTCGGTTCCCTTGGTTCCCGATCGTACACTGAATCTTGTCTATGGGTGAACAAAAGTACCGAGAAACCGATGATAGCTTCTCGGTGCGCGAGCACCGTTTGCGGACAGAGCAACCGCTGATGAGGCTGGCAACAAATATCCATGACATGTTCGCTCCATTTGAAAGCAAATTTGACCGGAAAGGTTGCACCTGATGGCGGATATCGCTGTTTTCGGCAGGGTTGCACCCGGTACTTCCACGGTCACGTGCTGGTCATGCCCTAGCTGCCTCGATCTACTTGTAGGCTTCTGGGGTAGCCAGGCACTGACAGCTACGAATGAATGGCAGAAGAAACTTCAAAAGCTAAAATGTTGTCACTGTTTTCATTGGGAGTAATTAGAGAGAGGGGGATATTGATAAACAATTCAAATCTTCCGCTCACAGAATATTCAAGTTTGCAGGTGAAGAGGCTGGGGATTCGATTGGAATGTAACAAACCACCAATTAAGAAAAGTAAAGCGCAGATCACATTCAATACAGGATCTTTCTGTAGATCACCTCAGGTACTCATCATGAGTTCATGTATCTCATACGTCATGACTCTGTAGACATCGAACCATTTCTACTGCAGGACGAGCCTCACTGGCGTAGTCACGACAACTCTTCTGCACGGTAACATCGCCTTCAAAAATTAGAATTATAGTTTGACATTTAACTTTTTTTCATTGCCCGTCAGTATTTAGTCTTGAAGGAAATGACTTCCATGACCCATATAGAGAACAGGCTAAATGGAAATGGAAAATGGTCAGAATCAGGATATAGACTGTTGAAGGGATCTGGCCAGGAGCCCAGTCAATACATCATAGGCCAGAAGGTTCCATAAGCACCGACAAAGCATTCGATCAGTTCATGAGATCGATCGATCGTCGATCGACGTGGGTCACCGGCAACGGACCGCGGCCCGCAGTAAGAGCAGCTGCAAACAGCATGTATGCTAAGAAAACATAAGAAGGAACTTGAGCGAGAAAAAAAAAAAGTGAAGAATTGATGATATCAAAAAATAATATAGCCTAGTAGCTCGATGCATTGCATCGCTAATGCAAAAAGAAACATCCGCAGTATTAGTGCAAAATCAAAATAGACCAAGAGATCCGTCTACCAGTTCCGAATCTGGTACTTCCCACCCGCAGTTTGTCGGCGGCTATAATCCTCGTCTGGGGGTATCTCGGGCCATGCTTCTTAAGTATCAACCCCAGTAATTTCTGGAACAGGCTTGTACTCCTGGTCAGCACCCTCGTTCTCTTGAGGGGGCATGGGGGGCCACATTTCATGCCACTAGGAATTGGGGCACCGGGATGCGGATGATGCCCCTGAAAATCGTGAAAATCCTAGTATCCCTGGTTACCACCCTGACCTTGAGTACCACTTGACCATAGCCCTAACCTTGACCTTGATCGTAACCCTGATCACTACTCTGGTCCTCGCCAGTGGGTACCTGAGGCCAGACATCAATACCACCAAGCAGAGCAACAGCCATCCCATTTGACAGATGTATTTCGATATGACAATGGAACAAGAATGGGCCCGGGTTAACCACTTGATACCACACAATCATCCAGGTCGGGCCAGTGGGTCCATTGGTAACAAAAGTGACCCTCTTCTGGGGATTCTCCATCTGGAAAAGATCCGGGCGAGCAGCTCAAGCCTTTTCAGTACTAGACCAGTTAAAGAAGCCCGGACCGACACCCAAGGACATAGGCCTTATTGAAGTGCTTGTGCATAACGTGCGGCGCTTGGATTGCAGGCGTGTTGGGCATTTCGCCCAGCTGCAGAAGCAGATCCACCCATGTACCGTTCTTGGTTTGGATTGTAACCTGCTCCGCCAAGTTGTTCTTCGCGTTGAGGTCGTAGAGGATCGGGTCACATCATATAAGGCGTTGCCGGCTGTTGTCCACATTGCCCCGCGACCGTTGATAAGGATACTGTCCATGCAGCTAGAAAACAGTGAGCAAACTTGCAATATAGATGCCTCAAAACCTGACTATAAAATATTCACACGGCTTTCCTCCTGTACTTTCTGGTACTCAGCAGAAGTCAGGTGATCCCAGTTAGACAACATGACAAGCTGAGGGTTCTGTTCTGCTTTTTGCATTGCTTGGATATCTTGCGGATTGCTCGAGATCAATGGAATGGTTGAGGAACTCGAACTTTCTTTGGTTAGAAGATCTGCTCAATCACCAATTGCCGGTTCTTCCTGGAGCTTACCTCTACATCATCCCCTTGGTCTAACCGCAAATCGGGCCCGGGGAATTGATCATTTATGAAGATCATTTCACGGACGTTGCCATCCGGTGCACCTTTCTGCCAGGTGAGGCTCAGATCGAATTGAACCTGCTTGGCCCACACCAAGGGCATAAGCCCCGAGGTAACCAACGCCAAAAGTGTCTTCAATGGCGCCATTGTATTGAAACCAGACGAGACAACGATGCTCTGAATGAATGCATAGAAGACTCGACTAGTATTCAGCAATGTTAACGAGAGACAGATCGAACTCGTCAAACTTGATCCGCAGCGTCTTGGCTTCTGGGAAATCGGGGAATCGTAATAGTCCACGTTGTCATCTGCTCAAGACATGCCACAGCCCTAATCTAGCACTTCTGCCCCACGGAGGGGAGCCGGCTTAGTGTCCGCAAACATGTTTGCGTATTTGACAAAACAGGGGAAGGTCTGGATCTGCCGCCTGTGCTGTTTGATTCTTTTGCAAAGGAGGAAAGATAAGCAGGGGCCTTCCTGGAGAAGGAATGCTGAGGTGGCTGGGGAAGTGCTGATCCAAACAATTTTCCGTTTCCGAGAAGCTATCGAGAAGACGGCACGAGGGAAGTCTTCTCCGAGGAATGAAGAGCCCTCATGATCTGGTGCCTGAGCATGTGTTGAACTTCATCAAAATCCAGTAGTGATATGCAGAGGGGATCGACGTTGACCCAGTGCGGTAAGTTGTTTGTGTGTGGCTGGAAATTCCTTGTATGTGGAATGTGGCTTTACCCGAATTGGAGTTTTCAGCATGAGAGGCCAAATCATGGCTTCCCCTCGTCTTGACTATTGTGGGAGCTAAGCGGTTTGACCCTGTAAACCGAAATGTGTTGATGTACTTGGGGAAGGGAGAGATATTGACATATAGCCTCGTAGCAAGGTGTGAGATTTTGAGCTAATATGAGCCACAGACCGTAATCCGCGCTTTTCTCGGTTGACAATTGTCCTCATGCCGAAACTGTGTGCTTTCAAATGGGAAAAGGGCTTGCGCAGTGTATACTCCTTTGAACAAGTGTAAATATTTGTTCGTCAGTTGTAGAATTCACTCTTTTACCTGATAATGCAATGCAAAAAAGGTCCAGCAAGCATGTCCGAGAGAAAATGTAGAACAAGCTTTGCAAGCAATAAATTCTTATTTTGCAGGAAAATAGCGAATGAGGCGGCTTTGAGTGGGGGGAGGCGGGTTGCCAGGGCGTGCGGCTCCAACCATGGGTCAAGCTCCTCAGACGAACTATTCTCCCCACAGCTTGGGGGGTTTGTTGTACAACAACAGTTGCAGATTAATATTTTTGAAAAGGACATCTAGGAGCAATTGGGTTGACACTCGTCTTCCAAGAGTGTTACTTTTGTTATAGCGAGTCATATAGTTCCAGGATGAAGCTGGTCCAAGCACAATAAGCTTATCGATAAGCCAGCTAGTGCCGCTAGTCCCAATTGGGCCACCACGTAAACAAGAGACTCCTCGGGCCTCACCGTCTCAAACCTGCTCTTCCTTTCTCCACCTCAACTCGCTCCGCTCTCCCCCCGGTCGCATTTGTCTCGAGTTTTTATCCTTAACATTCTTCTGGTCAATTTTTCCGTCCTTGCATCGCCTCATCATGCTGGTTATTTGAGCGACTGTTGCTATCCCTGCCACCGTGCGTATCTTGCTACCCATTCGCCCTCGAGCTACACGAAACTCGATTCCACCTCAACTTAAACGGCCATTGCAATCCTCCGGATAACGCCCAACTCGGTATTTTTCTACTATCCCAGAATTATTCAGAAAAGAAACAGGAGTAAAAAAAGGCCGGCTGTCAAACTGTTTGCTCGCGCGACCACTGTTCACCCTACTCAGTTGATCGGGATGGCTCCCGCTGCGCCTCAGCTGCCATTGCGTTTCCCATGTTGGTGTCGGGCAGTTTATTCCTGGGGAGGAGAGACCACGCGGGATTTGGGCTTCGTTGAGGGGGACTTGATCGAATGCTTGAATGCGGGGGACGGGCAATGGTGGATGGGGCGCCTGCGCCGTGATAGGCGCGCCGTCGGGCTCTTCCCATCCAACTTTGTTGAGCTTCTCGGCGAGGACTTTGTCCCTGTGAGCCGGGAGTCAAGCCCCATGGTTCAAGCGGGCTCTAATCCCATCAACAACCCTACATCCGCCCCCAAAAAACAGAAGACCGTCTTTCGGAAACCTTTCCAAGCACACAAGGAAGCCCTGTCGCCCTCGTCGGAACTGGCTCGAAGCGGAAGTAACCCTGCCCCGGTGACGAGCTCGATCCCGCAGACACCTCCACGAGCTGGCAGTACTCCTCGCAGTACGAAACCCCTTCGCACTCATGCGACCGCAGTCAAAAACCAGGGCTCTTTGTCTCGGCCTTCGTCAGTGTCCTCCCGGCCGTCTTCACGAGGTGTTTCTCCCCGCGCATCGCAAGAACCAGAAAGACCACCATCCGCAATGATGCCAAAGAACAGCATCTCATACTCGCGACCCACTTCTCGAGAACCGTCCCCACTGCAAGTACAAGAGCGTGAAGAATCCCCTCCACCGCCGCCACCACCACCCCACCGAGTTGCTATCAGTCGTCCACCATCGCGCTCTCCCCAGCCGCCGATGCATCATACGGAACGGCCGATGTACTCCCCGCAACCACCAATTCACTCGTCTCAGCGCCAATTGCATTCGCCGCAGCCGCCATCGCACTCTCCTCGTCCATCACGCTCTCCCACGCCATTGATGATGAATGATCGCTACGTGACATTCTCTCGTACCCCATCGCCAGGAGGACTTTCTGCCCACTCAGGCCAATCCGATGTCCATGGGAATACACCCTCTCCATTGCGAGACGCCATGGAGGATATCATGACCTCACTGGAAGATATGGGTCTACGTCGGGAAGCTCCTTCGCCCTCTCCGCCACCGACGTTTAACAACCCCTGGTCATCAGATGCCTACTATAACATGTCTGAAAGGAACCCACCGCAAGATCGGCGTCGACCGCTGACCTCGATGGGCTTTGACGGGAACAAGGTGCAGCCCCACGCTGTGCAGCCCCATAGGAATAGTGTTTATACGCATGACCACTATATGGATGGCCCACCTCAGCTCAATAATTATGTGCAACGGATGGAGAGCCGCCTTCGCCAGCTCGAGGACCAAAATCGTCCGGCCGATGACGAGGAAGGACCACCAGAGGACGACGATGGGCCTCCCCCTCCCCCTCCCAAACACGCGACTCAGCATCTGCGGCAAAATTCGATCCCAGCGCAATATCCCCACTTGAGAGGTCGCCGGTCCGGTCAGGATCTCAGAGGAGATATACTAAATCGATCCTTCACCAACAAGTCCAGTACCACCAATTCTTCTAGCGGTATTCAAAGCACCAGCACCAATGTGACTACCAGTACGGACAAAACCAGCCAGAGTCTGATGAGCGGTGCCTCTGCTGGGGGTTTTAGCGCGACCAGTGCGGGTAGTTTTGCAAGGCGAAATGGCGCCTACGAAAGACCGAATACCGCCATGGACACCATTCGTTCTCGAGGCTTTAGTGACGCAGGCAAAATAGATCGGCCAGAAACCCCTTTGACGGGCATTTCCTATCACTCAAGTCACAACACATCCCGCCAGGGTGCCTCCTCAGCTATCCCATGGACCTCTACTGGACAGGATGCGGCTGATTCTAGTGCCGTGTTTGGTGGGCTTTCCACCCCGAAGACCAAAAAGCAGGGTTTCTTCAAGAAGATCTTTGAGTCGGCGAAAACCGGTGCTGCGAGTGCAAGAAGCAGCATTTCGGTAGGCCACGGTAGTGGATCTCAGTCTCCAACAAAAGGCAGTAGAGTCGCCAATGCAGTCTCGCCGGTTCTTACGCCTCAGTCGACCCGCGACACTGCTCGCGATATGGGACTTGGAACTAGTGCCATTGACTGGGTTCAGGTTCGCCGTGATGTTAACCGGGCATCGTCTCCCAGTCGGAATGAGAGGATTGAGCGGGCGGAGCGGTGCCAAATGATGGATCACCCAGTCATTTACGCTGTTGAGGAGCTCTATGATACTGCGGAAGGTGATGAGAGCATTGATGGGTTGCCCATCAGCGAACCCACGAATTTCAGCTCTGGAAACCTAACCCTTGTCGATAAAAGTGCGCGCTTTATCAACAGTCTTCCACCAATGACCAACCCAATGAGCCTGGCACAGGGCTATATCTGCCGGCCTTATAAGAGCGACGTGCAACGACTGCGCGCGATTTTCACATGGGTTAGTGAAAAGATCGCCTGGGAAGAACCCGTCGATGGCCTCGAAGTCGACATGAAGAGACTCTTGCAGGCCAAACGGGGCACTCCCGAGGAGATTGCACTTTTGGTCAACGAAATGTGCGCGGCTGTGGGTTTGGATGCCGAAATGATCCATGGATATCTGAAGGGACCAGGAGACACCCTCGACTTGGATAGCCTCTCTCGCCCCAATCACTGGTGGAATGCGGTCTTGGTTGACGGCGAATGGCGCATCATGGATTGCGCGTTGGCCAACCCGACGAACCCCCAGAGGAACCGGTTTGTTACCAATAATTCGTCTGTGGCGGAGAGTTGGTACTTCCTCGCCCGGCCGCTCGACATCTGTTACACGCATGTGCCTTTGCATCCGGCGCAACAGCACATCTGTCCTCCGATTTCACCTGACGTTCTGTTATCTTTGCCCACCGTGGCACCTCAATTTTTCAAATTGAATGCCCAGTTCCCCGACTATGACACCAGTCTCGTCCGCATTGAAGGGCTGGAGGTGATGCAAATCTGCCTCGTGGTCCCCGCAGATGTCGAATGCGCTGCTGAGGTCGAGGCGCCAGCTTTCGCTTGTGACGCCGATGGCGATTTCTTTGAGAGCGGTGACATTGTACGCAAGCGAGCGTTGGTTCAGCCGGACTGGTTCCGCGGCCAAAAGCGAATTACCGTCAAAGCAGTCTTGCCGGGTGACGAGGGCCAGGGTATGTTGAAGGTGTATGGCGGGAAGAAGGGCCTCATGCATTCTAGTCGAGACATCCCTCATCCTCTGGCGCTGGCGCTTCCGATATTCCACACCGGCGAAAACCCCTCTTACGACTTTGTCCTGCGCCATCCCACACCGCACGCTCAACGCCATGATCTGTACATCATGCAGCCCCAATGCTCCCGGCTGGCAGTCAACAACACCTTTGTTTTCGCTGTCCGACAGCACCCCTCGGCCCCCGTTCCTGTCGGAAAGGAGGAGCCCAGTTCCAACGGGCGTTCCTCGCCGTCCGTCTTCAATCGTCCCTCCAGTGCCCTGAGTATGGTGTCGAGCTCTGCGGGCGTATCAACCGTTTTCAGCGCCTCAAACGAATTCTCGGCATCGACCTCGGCCATCTCATCTACGAAATCTGCCTCCGGCCGAGAGAAGCCTGCCAAACTGGCCATCCAGTCCCCGTCCGGCAAGATCCTCCGTCTCACTCGCAAGGGCGACCAGATGGTCAACTCAGATCATGGGAACGACTCCGTCACCGATGCCGCCGCCGAAGGCAGTGTCTGGGAAACCGTGATCAAAATCGGCGAACGTGGGACCTGGCGCGGACTGGTGTTGGCCGACCGGGTTGCACGCTGGTGTGTCTTCTGCGAGTGGGAGTGTGTCTGATATCATATAGTTTTGGAGTTGATGCCAGCATTTGCAACAGATCTCGTGGTGTGGATTTCTTTTGCCTGCTTGTTTTCTGTTGCCTTTTACTTTTAGCTTCCATTTTTCCCCTTCATGTTTGCCTGGGGTCTGCATCTCTTGCTCTCGTTCTTGTTTCCATTCTTCCATACTGGCATTTGCATCAGGTCGGCTGGGAGCATTGCACATATCGCATTCTACCTCGGTGCTTTTTTCTCGTTTTGCAGACTCGGGTGCTGGGGTGTTCGGACTAATAGTCATTTTTTTGAGAAAAATAAAAATCCATGCTTGACGTTCAACCTTTTTCTGCTATAAACTACGGATTCGCTCATGCAAGACTTTCAATATAGGACTCGTAGTTTATCAGGTAAAGTCCTCAAGTGGATTATAGCTTGGCCATAGCCGTCCGCAACAAAGGAGCCACCTGCTTTCGACTCGCCGACACATTGGTTTGTACCCAAAGCCGCCTCCAAACCGGCGAGTTCCCGTTTAATGTCGAGTGCAGATCAGGATCTGTTCGCTCGACAGCACCATCCAGAGGCGTCCAATCCACGAGACCAAGTTGCGACGCTGCCTGCGCAACAAAGGCCTCGGCGCCTGCAATGGCCGACCCAGCTTTGCGCGTCGCGCAGACGAACAGCTCTCGACAGAACGGGGCCTCGGCAGCTGACGTGAACGCCGTCATTACAATTACTACATCCAGCTGCTTGTCCTCGGCGGCAGCAAACGAATGCACCGCATCCAGGAACGACTGCGGTCCGCCCGCTTTCTGAACGATCCACTGCATGGGCTTGACGGAAGAGCAGAACCCAAGCTTGATGCTCTCCCCAGACGACCGCGCCGTCTCGGTCCAGTCTTTGAAGTCACGGCCCAGGACCTCATCCAGGGTCAGTAGATCGAGACTGTTTTGCTTTGTGTTGAGGATCTGTTCGTAAAAGGCGGTCAGGTCCCCTGTTGAGCCCGGGGAAGGGGTGGCCGTGTCTGGGGAGCGAGATTCGATCTGACGGCGCAGAAAATCAACGGCATGGACATCCGTCTCAGTGACTTTCCCTTCGGCAGTGAGGTTCGATGTGTCGATTAGCACGGCTGAAAGCGCCAGCTTGGCGACCTGCGCGATGTCCGCCGTTGACGCCGCGTCCCGTTTCCAGAGACCTCGTCGTTCCAGTTCGTTCGTGATCAGTGACGCGCACGATCCGGGGCCCGGCTTGACAATGAGCGGCTGGTCAGCTGGCAGCGCATCGGCGCGGGGCACAAAGTGCTCGTCGACGTGGTGGTCAATACACCCCAGGGTCCGAAACGCCACGTCCGACAGGCCGCTCAGCGACCCTTGCCCCGGTTCACTGTCCGCACGGTACGGCATCGCATTCCAGTCGACCATTGTCGCATCTGCGACGAGTTTGGACGAACCCTTCCGATCCTTCAGGCCCTGTGCAAAGTCCGCGACGGTGACCAGGTGCTCGCGCAGCAGCGTCCCCGCCGAGTCGGAGGTATTCTCAAAACACTCATCACTTCTCGTGGGAGGGCAATTGGTCGACAGCCATAATGCCGTCACGAATTCGGGTCGTAGCCGGAAGAGCTCCGGGCCTGCGGGCACATTGGGGAGGTTGAGGACGGGTACATGGGGCCGTGGGGTTGTGGTCGGGAGACGGTTGTCGGCGCAGTAGGAGTAGACGATGGCGGAGACGATCGAGTCGAGATCGGCTGAGGGATTGCCCACGACGTAGATGGGAGACTCGGTTCGTACACCGGAGAGAAATTGGAGGTGCACCTGGCGGGTGTGTCGAAGGAATTGGAGCAGGCTCATGATTGTTGGAGGAGAGGAGGGCGCCTCCTCGACAGAACCACCCCACTGCTTCAACTCCCATCTATATGTACCCCGCATACTGTTCCTACCAACTCTTTCCTGCTTTCAGTCCCAGGCCATGCTCGTTGGCAAGTGAGACACTGTGTGGAAGAACAGGAATAGCATTCCCTTCTGTTTAAGCGTCTGCATATTCGGTGATTCGTGACAGAGGGTATACCTCCAGTTAAGCACCGCCTCGTCGAGTCAAAATATTCCGGGTATCAGCAGTCAAGCAGCACCAGGATATCCTTGGATGACTTCAAAATGTCTCTTCCACTCCCCGAACCCTTCGCCCAGATCCCACGATACCCACTATTATACCCTCACCCCTCGCCCATCCACCCGCTCCCGACACTGAGAGATCTCACCGATCCAACCTATAGGCGCGTCTCCGTCTTCAGCAAGCGGGAAGACCATTCATCGCCACTAGCCTGCGCAGGCAACAAATACCGGAAACTTGAATACATTATCCCCGATATTCTATCCCAGACCCCGCAACACCACCACCATGAACACCACCCGACCAGCCAGCCCATGCGGGGCCCCGCAACCACACTGATAACAGAGGGTGCAATCCAAAGCAACCACACCGTGCAGGTAGCCACGCTGGCGCGAAAGCTACGCATGGAGGCCTTGGTGCTGCTACACCGCGGGACGGGGGCGGGCTGGGCGCCAGCTCGGACCCGGCGGCCTTTGAGCGCGTGGGCAACGTGCAGATCAACCAGCTGGTCGGCGCGCTCGTAGATATCCTCGACGCCGACGACCCGGTTGCTGAGGATGCCACCCCGGTTCTGGAGCACTTAGCCTCATGCGGCCGTAACCCGTATTGGATCCCCGGCGGCGCGAGCTTGCATCCGCTCGGTGGGCTGGGGTATGCGCGAGCGGCGGTAGAGATCGAGGCGCAGGAGGCGCAGTTGCAGCTGGGCGGGTCCGGGCGCTATGATTATATCTTTGTTGCATGCGGCAGTGGCAGCACTGTTGGGGGTTTGATTGCGGGCTTTACGATGCTAGAAAAGAACCGTCAAGCAGCCGTTTCTACTCCTACTTCTTCGGGAGACCAAGACAGCACTCGTGCCGAGGGGCGATTGCCGCCGCGCAATGTTATTGGCGTGCTCACCTCGCCTACCAAGCCGCGCCAGTATCATGAGGAGCGGGTGCTCACCTTTGCGCGGCGAGCGGGAGCGATGATCGGTCTCGACGCCGAGCGGGATATCAGCATGGAGGATGTACAGCTGGATGATCGATTCGTTGGAACCGCGTACGGGGTGCTGGATCCCGGCACCAAAGAAACGCTGCAAGTTATGGCGCGGGCAGAAGGCATGATGCTAGATCCAGTGTATACGGCCAAGGCAGCCAGAGGAATGATGTACTGGGTGGTGCACGGACAGGCTTTCGAGAACTATGCCCGGAAACATAATTTGGACGAGGTGAACGTATTGTTCATCCATACTGGTGGCCAGGCGGCCCTGAGCGCGTATGCAGAAGGGGTCAAAGACACCTGAATTCAACTAGTAGTATTACATGGGCAACGGCAAGAAACACGAAAACACAGGGCCCGGCCTCATTCATCACAAACATTGCCTCAATGGTATGGAACAAACAGAAATCAGATAAAGTGAACTGCGCTTCAGAACTCCCCCGCCGGGTCCAGCCTGCTGTAGTACACCTTTTTGCGACAATCAATTGGCAAGAAACACAAACATTTGAAGGGAAAAAAAAATCACACATCATCCTAGGAATAAACCATACACGAAAAGACACTTTAGAGCTCTTCCTCTAGGGGTTCGATTTTTGGGGCTGGGGGCGCTGCTGCATCTTGGACCTCGCCGCTTGGAGCAGGATCCTCATGAACAGACCCAGCGCGACTGCTGCCGTTGCTGACATCAAGGGCCTCAAGTGCCTCGTTTGCATGAGTGTTCTCGATAGGCTCTGCCTCGGGTTCTTGTTCAACGTCCTGATTTGTCAGATCCGCAAACACGTCATCCAAGTTTTGACGAGGACTACTGCTTGCGAATTGAGGGTCCGGGCCGAAGCGCGGTGGACTGAAGAGTGACGAATCCATACCCTGGTTGGGGGTTGGAGATCGAGGAAGGAATGACGGGGATTGAGAGGCGGCTGCATGGGGGAGGAATGCGGAGGAAGAGCCTGGTGGAAGGGCTGGTGTAGAATCGCTCACAGGCAAAGAGTAGTTGGCAGAAAACGGGTACGGTGTATTGTTGGGCTCTGTCATGGGTGTGAGCGTCGGCCCAGTGGTCGGAGGAGGCGGATTGCTGTTTGAAGTAGAGGAAGCCGGGGCCGGCTGCAGGGCTACAGGCTGGGTTGCTTGGGTATCGACCGATTTCCGCTTCGCTGGATTGGCAAGCTTCGCGCGAAGATGCTCCGGGAGATCCTCAGGACGGTCGACGCCGAATTGGGCCATGATCTTCTGCTGCTTGGTAGGCCGTGGCTTCCGAGTCGACAGAGACTGTTCCAAGATGGGCGGCGGCTCTGGTGCCACGGGCGCCCATTTATGGATCTCTTGTCGGAAGAAATTCGTCTCGTATGTCAAAAGAACCTCGGCGCCTTCGATTTTGCGCAGATAGAATATCAAAGTAGGCACTTCCTCAGTGGTTGTGCACGCGGCGTTTGTGAAGCCCTGCAAGAAATCGCGGAAGGCAGTTGCCTGGTTGACGATACTGTCCAAAACCTCTTCCTCGTCGGGCTGGAAAGGCAATCCGGGAATTTCGGCTTGCCAGTCCTGAAGATCCTCGAGCTTGGGACGAGCAGCGTCACGAGGGATCTTCTGTCGCCAATCGCAGATGGGACAGGTGTACTTGTCAAACTCCTTTACCTTACCCCGGGCGATCTTTAAGCATTTCCCATGGTACCTAGATGATGTCAGTGATTATGCCTTACGGAAATTCGAAGCGTGTCGCAATTAGACTTACCACTCATGACAGACTTCACATTCAATCATCATGCCCGCTTCCGAGTGTCGGCAAAGACAAAAGACATCCCGCTTGCGTGACTTCGGACCCCATACATTGGTGCTGGGGGGCTCGAGTAACCCATCTGGGGTATTGTCACGTGAGGAAGGTTCCACAGGAGGTCGGTAACTGTCCTCCAGGTCGAAACAATACGAGTTCCTCTTTTCAACATACTCCATGTGAGATTTCAGGATATGCAAGGGCGCGTTGGCCTTGCCAAATAGTTTCTTTCCCTTTCGCATCCAGTCCTCATGGCGTTTTTGTTCCCGCTCCAGATCGATTGCCCCGACAGGACGACTGTTCAATTGCTCCAGGGACTCGGTGAGCTCTCGGACATCCTTATATTTGGGTCGATTCCTCATTTCAGGATCCTTGGTCTGTTCACAGAGTGTCTGAATACGCTTCTGTGCCTCCCGTTGCTTGTTCAAGATGGCATCCACAGCGGTAAGCGTCTCGGGTGAGACAGGAAAGCGAGAGGCTTGAGCGGAAAGCGCCTCCAGTTGTTGGTAGTGAACCGCCTCGACCGACATCAACTCCTTGGCCTTGGCTTCCCATGATTCACCATGGCGACAGAGTTCTTTGAAATGAACAAAGTGCTCGTTGCTATCCGAAAGGCCCAGCCGCTCCGCGGTGGAAACAAATTCCTTGCAGTCCTGAAGGGCGAGGTACTGATCCCGTTTGCGAGCAGCCTCCTCGTTCCATTTCAGTTGGCGCGTAATTTGTTCCAGGTGTTCCAGTTCTGGAATTTCCACGTTGAAATTTCGGCCGGACTCAATCAGTTCTTCAATCTCCTGGATCGATCGCACATGCGGGTTCATCAGGGCTCCGTTAATATCCTGGCGGAATTTCTCGATCTCGCGGGTTTTCTCTTCCAGAGCCGCCATCTGTGGACAGTCGAAGGAAAGTTTATCAGCCTCTGCCAGAAGGGCGTAGATGTTTTCAACTCTGCGGACTTCACGATCGCGATCGTCCAGCTGCGCCGCCGCCTTGGAACTGGCCTTGCGCCATGCCTTCTCGTTTTTTCTCCGGTTCTGCTGTTTCCGGGTAATGTAGTTGTTGGCTTCCTCAACCCATTTATCGCAACGCTGGACGAAGGCCGCAAGATCTTGGAGGCCAGGCAGGTGGTATGGGATTTTCTCACCTTCACTGAGCAAGTTATGAAGGGCCTTCAGCTGGGGCTTGGGCTCGTCTTCCAGGGTCTTGTCGAGCTTTTCCCCCCATGCTTCCGGGATCTTGGCTCGTTCCTGAACTTTCTGCACCAGCGCTTTCAACGCATCATCATCGACACGATACCGCAGGGTATGTCCCGATCCCAGCAACTTCTGTGGAAATGATTCACCGCAGCAGTCATAGTTCTCCACATGCCATAAGCAGACGGTCTTGGCCGACTGGTGGCAGCGGAACTGGGTGAGGTAAGTGTAAGTCTTGCAATGCTGGCACTGATAATCATCTTCGGGGAGGTCTTCCTCCTCGACTACGAATTTCAGCTGGTGATCGCCTGGCGCAGAATTAGGGGCGAGACTAGAGTTATGAGAGGAAAACTCTCGATGTCGGTTTAGGAACATTGCTCGATCGCTCAGCTCCCGGTTGCAGGTACGCTCGAGCGCTGGTGCTAACCACTTGGCAGTCGTGATTGAGGTATCGCGAGCGGCTGCCGTAAGAAGAAGCTCATCGTGGGAGAAGCATGGGTGCCGACGGAAGGCTTGCAGGCGTTCAACTCCCATTGCACCCCATGGTTCCCAGTCCGCCGGAGCAAAGTTGACAGCCTCGTTGAAATTGAAGCCATGGTTGAAGCCAGCATGATATGCTTGAGGGAACGTGAGGACAAATTGGCCAGCTCGCTGATCCACCGCGTAGACGTTCACACCGGCTTTTCTGAGCTTATCTGGAGGCATCAGAGTAACAAGTTGGAAAAGAAGATCTGGCTGCCCCTCGAAAAGTTCTGGAACTGCCTCCCGCATAGCTCTTTCAAATGCTTCTGCGTCAGCACCAGGAATGCCATACCAGGTTTTGGTGGCGCCGAAATGTTGGTAGTTGGCTGAGTAGGCGTAATGGTCCTCGTTGTGCCAGCAAAAGGTGGAGAAACACATTCCCACGTACACCCAGGGCACCGTCATCCCAGACACATCAGACTTAATGTGCCGGAATAACGAGTCGCCATAGAACGGAAGAACATTCAAGTTCCAGGGATCAGACGAGTAAGGGTCAAGCGGATTGCGCTCAATCGTGGGAAATCCACTGCCATGTGTGGTTGAATGGATGTCTGCACCATATTCCACCTCCACGGTCTCATGCAGGTCCACAACGAGTTTCCAGAACTCGGCCTCCACATCATCCTCGGTCTCACGTCGGTGCGTGTTGAGAACGGGATCGAACGGCATTTTGGAAGCAAAATACTTCTTCCTGAAATCATTGGCCTTCTCTTGGAATTGCTTCAGAGAGTAAACGCCGCCATCTTCGAACCCGAACTCCCCGGTGCCCACCAAACATTTAGGACAGTGCCAGTCGTGCTCGGTCGCTGTCGTCGTAGAAGGGTCCAGGCAAGTTTTATGATATCCAAGCTCGCAGCTGTCACACACCAGGATCGAAGAACGGTTGTCTGATTTGCCGCAAGACTCGCATTTCTGGGACTTGATCAGTATGATAGAATAAATGCACATGAACAATGATGGTCTACCTCTCCTGTGTTTTGGATCCCTTCTTTGCGCGCCTTAGGCGGCGCTGGACGAAGGAGGGACATGTGAGAACCTGCGACTGTCGGTAGAGAATCTAGAGATAGGAGTCAGACCAGACATATTTGGTCGGTTCCAGGGGGAAAAAAATCAATACCTTTCTTAAGACGCTTACTTCGTCGTCCACTGCCTCCATCATCGCCATTCTCGGTTTGGGAATTGCTATCGTGGCTGATGGCGCGCTTCACAGATGATCCCGACTGGCCATTCACGGGCGTTGAGTTGACAGGAGGATGCTCAGTAACACTCTTGGGGGTCGATACCCCATTCTCCCCCTCGTGCTTGATCGTCGGGCCATTGTTCACAGAAGCAAAGGAAGGCGAGTGATTCACTGCTGTAAACCCGCCGGCGGCAGCATTGACCGGGGTGAAACCGGACGCCGGACGGGGAGGAGGCGTTGACTCCACCGGTGGTGTTGGCTTCTCAGGTGACTTCTCCATCGGGGTTGCTGAGGCCATCGGGGCCAATGTGATCGGGGTTCCATCGCGTGTTTTGGAAGGCGTGCTGGTCTCATCTAATGCAGGCTTTTTGGCCATGGGGGATTGGCGAGGGGACGGAGTAAATGGGCCACCGTGCTCCAGCTCCAGCTGCTGCTGAACGCCGGGCTTTGCACGAGCCAGGTATTCTTCGTAGGGCTGCAGGTAGCGCTGGTAGGAGTTCTTGAGCGAGGTCGACAATGAAGACATGATCTTGCCGCTGTATCCGAGATCGCGACCGATTTCCGCCCATTTCTTGGTTTTGCAAACTTGCTCGAAGCCGCCGCGGGTCTCAACAGCCTTTTTGAGCTTGTAGAGGTCCAGAGGACGCTTGTCGACGCTCGGTAAACGGCTGTAGTTCGTCCCGTGCTGTTTGTGAAACATGGCGAGTTGATCGACATAGTTCATGTTTGCGCGGTTTCCTGGATTCAAGTTAGGGTCAGAACTGTGCTGCGGAGTGGTTCCACCGGCAGCAAGATCAGCTGAACACGGGGCCATACCTCCTTCGACTGAGTTGAGCTCCTGTCGACGGGTTTTAAAGTGAAATCGCTAGACGGAGAATGCGTGGTAAGCAAAGAATACGAGAAGAGCGAATGTCGAGATGAGGCAGACTCCAAAGCAGGTCATTCGGCGAGAAACATGCTTACCTCGGTGTCAATCGCAAAGGTTGGTTGCCAGTTTTCGGGCGGAACCACTCGACAGATCCCGTATTTCTTGCCCTCGGGGGCAATCTTTTGGATGTATGCTACCGGGTCCTTGAATTCCTCCTCGGTAGGACGGAACGTTGGGGCTTCGGGGATGCCATGAGGGCGGACGCGCTTCGATGGCTCTCGGGGAGCGCTAGGTTGTCCGCGGCGTTCGACGGTCGACAAGTCCAATGGCGCCGATCTGCGGGCACTCAAAGGTACGTTGTGGGAATGCGATGGGTGGGTGCTAGAAGATCGAGTCGGTTGCCCGGCCATCACGGCAGAGGCCGGGGCCACCATCTTCCAAGGGACTTCGGGATGAAGGGTAAGAGGAGAGCTTGGTGTGCGCGCGTCTTATCGAGTACCGAGGGGGAGGTTACAATGCGACGAGTGCATTGAGAGAGCGACGGAGTTGGGAAGGAGAGAGTGAGAGAAGGCGGCTCGTGGCGGTGCTGGAATCTGGCTCTGGAGAGCGCGCGGGAAGGATTCGGGAGGAAGAATAGAAACGGTAAATTGAGGATGGGGGAATTGAAGGGAAACGATTGATGAAAGACCAGACGGTGGGAATGGAGAGGAAAGAAGGGCCTCGGGGATTGATAGAAAGAGAGGAAAGACTGGGGGTACTCCGGAAGTACTACGAGGTCACTCTTGTGTGTCCACCAGTAGGAAAAGAACCAGCCAGTGACTCGATGGGACCTCCACTGGCGCAGCCATGGTAGCGAACAGTACAGAGTGTAATGTTACGGTCATCAAGGGTCTCCAACGGGGTGTTCCTGGCGGCGTGTCCGGTAATTTTGGTAATCATCCCGTTTCCGATCGCCGAGGCCGCAAACGGGCATCAGACGGCGCGCTCAGGGAGGCCCCCAAAAACACCAAGGGTGGGAGAATTACATTTATTGAGAGATATGCCTTTCTACAACTCTCAAAAACAGGTTGTGGTCTGAAATGTGTCGACGTATTCATTGTGACACATCAACTGCATGAATTGTATATGCATCCGTGGTTTGATAGACTCGCATTGTCGAGGAAGCACCTTTGAAACCGTGGACCTCTTCAGTTCTCTAGGGATATTTCGATGGTGTTAACTCTCAGACAAATGCTCGCCCATGGTAATCAATGGTCTTTTATCCCTTTGTGCTGTCGAGGACGCGTACATGATGCCACCCCCATCGAGTGAGATCGATGAGATCTCCCGGGGCTTACAAGCTGTACAATGACTGATTGTTGCTATAATCCAGCATCTATAGATGGATATTTTTCTATAGAAATCCCAAGTTGTTAAATGATGCCTTGAATAAGGAGATACATAGATATATCCTCTGGCAATTTCTAGCGACCATGCTCAACCAATGCTGGTATATCGCTGCTATCTCTCTATATCTTAGCTTATTATCAACTCCAATCCGCCGACTGCCGCAGTAAAAATAGCGTCATGCACGGTGGAGCCAGGCGCACGGCCCTACCTGGGGCGAAAGGAAGAAAGGCGTAATCACAACAGTTCGATAGCTAGCGAAAATGATATATAGAGCTCATGGGCCACCAGATAGATGATACAGCACATATGGTCATTTATCAAGTATCTCTCGCTAAATACGATACAAATAATGTTATCACTTCGGAGTATGTAAATTAGGCAAGAGGGCCCAATGTCCTGAGCGGCCCGATCGCATCTAAGCGCACCATACAGTTCGACACAGCGCCCAATATTTCCTGTGACACTTGGTCGAAAGAACCCCCTGCATCGACGATACACACGTCGTGTTGCCGCTCGAAGATTGTTCGGAAGAGCTCACGCACGCGGGTTTGCATCGTCTCGTTCTCATACCGCTCGGCACCGAACCCACCGCGCTTCGCAGCCTCCTGGGCCGATATACTGAGAAACAAGCAAATATCAGGACGCGGTAGTCCGATCTCCGGCTGCCACGCCCATTCGAGCGAGAGTGTGGGGTTCGCTTTGGCGGCTGAGTAGACCACCCCAGAATATGAGTAACGGTCCACGATCACGGTGATTCCGTGGGCGATATCGTCTTGAATGCTCTTTGCAAGTTCCCAGCGGTTTGCTGAGAACAGCAGGTGAATGGAATGGTCGTCCAGCTGCGACGAACCGCGTAGATAGCTATCGATCAGCTTCCCGATGGGCGTTGTTCTGTCTGCGCGACCATCAGACCAATACCCCCATTGACTCCATGTTTTATTGTTCAAGTACCTGGGAATCGAACATATTTCACAGCCTGTTTCTGGTTTGAAAGGTGGTCGCATAGCTTTTCGCACTGACTCGACTTGCCTGCGCGATCAAGTCCCTCGACGACAATAAGCGCCCCGCGTCGCGTCGGCTGGTCTGACAGGCCGGTCATGGTGGATTGAAGGTCAAAGGCGGGTATGAGATGGTGCAAGAACTGAAATCGATATTTCGTTTGAGCCCAATGCTTTCAATCAAAGGAGTATGTCTTTTGAAGACCAAGGGATGGGGAGAGTTGTTTATCGGGACGCTCTTTTCTCTTCCGCCTGATAAGACCCAACTCTCCCCGAACATGGTCCCTCCATGACCACAGCCGCCATGGACGATTCGTCCCACATGAGCTTCCACGTTCTGGACACTGTTGCTCCAGTGCTGGCGCCGCGAGTGGGCAAATTGGCGATCGCCGGCCGCCGGACGCTCTCGACGCCGCACTACATTTCCTTGACCTCGAGGGGCACAGTTCCGCATATTACTCACGATGTGATGCGGGACCACACTGGGATAAACGGCCTATATGCCGGGTTGGAAGATTGTAAGTGAAAAACGCCCTCTTCGTCGTTACCCTGGACCTATTGCTAACAGGCGGCGTGCCCTCTTGGGGATTAATTCAGTCATCGAAAAGAAGCCACCTGCGCCGTTATATAAGACCCCTGTCACAGAGCAGGAGTCACCCCTGAAAAAGTTCATCTGTGTCCCAGAAAACATGCCATTGATCCTCGGTCCCCGAAGGTTCCCTGCTATCCCATGTCCGCCGACGAACACCGAGACCTCGATCGCAGTGCTGACCTCAGTCGGGTTCCACCAGCTTTCCGCGCATCATTACGTGGAGGCCGTACAAAAGCTGCGACCGGATATTGCCATTGGACTGGCAGATATTGTCCTGGGAAAGCCGCCGGGTGTCAAACGGCGGGAGAAAATGGTGGACCGCACGCATGCCTTCACGCGCGACGCGCTGGATCGGCTGTACGAAGACCCCGAGGAAGGTCAGCCGAAGTCGAAAGCTGCGTACTTTGCGCCGGTGCTGCCGCTGGACAACACGCAGCAGTCGCTGTACCTGGATGATTTGGAGAGCGAGTTTCGCCACAATCTCTCCGGATTGGCGTTATATGAGTCTGCCTCGCTGACCTTCATCCCGGAGTCCCTGGGTAGCTTGCCTCGGTTGCTGTTGAGCAACCCATCTAGTCCCCATGAGATCTTGCGAGAGATCTCTCTGGGAGCAGACCTACTAACCGTCCCCTTGCTGGGTGCATCGTCAGATGCCGGGGTCGCGCTAGACTTCGATTTCCCGGTCCCGCCTGCGTTGCAGACAGCCAGATCAGAGCCAAAACCGCTTGGATTCGACCTGTGGTCGTCGGATAATGTTACAGATACATCCCCACTGCGCGAGGGATGTGAGTGCCACGCTTGTCAGCAGCACCATCGCGCGTACCTCCACCACCTCTTGTCCGCCAAAGAAATGACAGCTTGGGCTCTCATTCAAATCCACAACCACCATATAATGGAACTCTTCTTCGCAGGAATCGGAGAAAGCATCCAGCGTGGCTCCTTTGATGAAGATGTTCAGGTATTCAATCGCGTCTATGCTGCTTCGTTGCCAGAGCAGACTGGCCAAGGCCCGAGGTATGTGAAATTCATGCAATGTCTTAGCAGTATTTCTGTTTTTGAATCCAAATTATCAGAATCATCTATTCCTCAAAGACGCTTGTCCAGGATAGGAACACTGCCTGCTAACACCCACTAGACTACGCGGCCACCATCTACCCGCCGCGGGCCCCGGCCAACCCCGTCGAATGCCCCGTATATATGGCCGTCTTGATGAAGCTATACAGAAGTTTGCCGAGTCCCAGTCTTCCGTTGCTACGCCAGATACCGGCGCGGAGGGACTCGAAGAACATGGGTTTGCGGAGAAAGCATAATGGAAAATCCATTTACCCCCACAGGGAAGATCTTTGGGCTTTGGCTTATATCAATGAATGGGGCGATTAAAAAAATACATATATAGCATTGCTGTCAAGGGACTCACTTGATAAACAGTGTTGCCTTAGCAGTATCGGAGTCAAATATCCAGTGCATTGGGGCAGGCGTCAATTGAAGACTATTCCCAAAGACCATTGATATACCCAACACCCCAACAAGAATTACACGTTCATAAACATCATCTCAATTGCACGAGATCAAGAGTACTGTACATAATCCGATATCTCGCGAAAGTCATCAAGCTCTTTTTCTTCATATGTCCAACCGAACAACATTCATCAAATGGCCACCAGCTGAGACACCCTCTCATATCCAGGGTATATCCAGCACACCCCGACACGGGACAAGATTAATTCTGACCCGCGTCACCTGCAAGCACCCGCCACATCCACTTGACTTCATCGTCCTCCTCCCTGGAGCCGGGCTGGGTACCGGCGCCGAATTGTTGCCCAACAACGCAAACCAGCCAGGCATCGTTCTTGGTGTCATCCAGGAACCGCTCAGTCGGCGAGCCGCGCGGGTAGATGCGGCGCCACTCGTCCCAGATCCGGAAGGCCTCCTCGCCCCAGGCGCGGAAGCTCACTTCTTCAATGATGGTTGGGGTGACGATTTCCTTGCCGCGGAAGACACCCCAGGTCACGGCGTTGACACTCTCGGGGTTAGAGCCGAGCTCGTCGAGCTCGAAATCGGCGGGTTGAGCGGGGAGCGATGATTCAAAGGCACCTGTCGCGTTGGTGGCGAACCAGGTCAGCTGGTCGTGGCCGTGTTTCTCAAGCAGCGGCTTCAGAATCGTGTTGTAGTCCTTGCCAGGACAGAAGAACTCCACAAATGGCTTCTGGAAGACGAAGCCTTCGCGCTGCGGACCCCAGCCAAAGATGGAATGGTCACTGCGCACGCCGTTCACTCCCGGCTGCGAGGCCAGCGTCCACCAGCCGCGGCCATCGATCAGCTTGAGCAATTCTGGGCGGATCAACTCGGTCTCTGGATTCAAGCCCCCCGTATCCTCTTCGGCGCCGCCTTCTGACCATGGCACCATGTGCAACTCCCCCGAAACGTGGCGCCGGAACAAGGTGTTGATGTCAGAGGGCTCAACGGGGTGACCCCACAGACGACGAGCGACGGCTGAAGTGACGTGGAGCGAAGGACCATAACCGTCGATTTCACCAAATGCAGGCGAGCGTGCGTCACCCCATCGTCCGTTAGGGAAGTCATCCCATGTCGCCTCTCTGCCGAGGGAGCCAAGACCCTCGGAGATTTGAAGGGTGGTGCTGCGATTGGGAGGCAGCGCCGGCAGGCCTGCACTATCTGCGCGCGCCTCGTGCACAGAGTCTTGTGATGACTCCTGTGCTGAGAGCTTGTCCACAATCACACGGTTGTGTGGCTGAGAGTTGATGGACGAACCTCGACGTCTCGTCACCGAACGCGCCGGCACGTCGTTCGGCGTAATTGCAGCGTCGCCATCTTCAATGGCAGAGAAATCCTGCTTATCGGAATACGGTGGAATCAAACCACAGCGTTCAAGGATGAACGATACCGTCTTTTCCAAGTTCAACGTGTAAAAGTGGAATCCTCGCGGGCCCGGGCAACGAAGCTCTTTAATACCGCCCACAATATCACTAATAATTTCCACGCCCGCACGCTTGACAGCATCATCGTCATGTTTCAATTCCTCCATGCGCTTGGCAACCGGGTCCGGGATATTGACATGGCTGAGCTTCGTCACACGGGTCAGGATCTTGTAGCTGTGAATGGGCATCAAGCCTGGAATGATGGGGATTGTCTTGAACACGCCCGAATCATGGTTGCGAAGCATGTCTTCAAACTTCCGGTAGGCATCGAGGTCGTAGGTAAGCTGGGTCATAATAAAATCCGCTCCGGCAACCGTCTTCTCAATCAAGTAGGGGAGGTCCCGGGCAGGGTCCTGGACGTCCTGGAACGAGTCGGCAGGATGGCCCTCTGGGTATGCTGCCACGCCGACACAGAAGTAGTCCCCATGTTGCTTGCGGATATACCGCACCAAGTCCACGGCAAAGGTAAAGTCTTTGTTGCTGTCGTCTTCTCCTTCCATGTTGTATTCCTCGCTGCGGGGCGGGTCACCTCGCAGTGCTAGAATGTTGCGGATTCCAAGTACCTTAGCCTCCTCGAGCGCCATATCCACCAGAGCGCGGCTCATATTCGTACATGTCAGATGCAGGACCGTTGTCAACTGCAGCTGGCGCTGACAGACCTCCGCCAGCTCCAGCGAGCGAGCCGCCGTGCTTCCGCCTGCACCCCAAGTGACTGTTACGAACAGCGGACGAAGCGCCTGAGCCATCCGCTCCAGACGCGCGGACAGGTTCGCAAAACCCTAGAGCATCGCATGTGGTTAGCAGACGTACGGTTTTGCCATTGAGTCGTGTGCGCGGGGAAACCCCACCATCCGGGTCTTTGGAGGGAAGAACTCCAGCGAGAAGTAGTTGGCATCGGGCGGCAATGCCGCGATCTTCTCTGTGATCTTCTTCTCCATTGCGAGGGGCATCAAACTGGCACGGCAATGGGAGGGGTTGGGATGAGGAAGAAACGAAAGAAGAGGGTCGGGCAGAAGTGGATCTTCCATGGAATCAATGACAGTTGATCGCATCGGGAAAACATGATGTCTACGCCTGCCGATGGCCATCCCGTGCATTGAACGGGTATCTACAATTTACAATGGCCACCGCTGTGCTCTAATAGGTCTACAGCAAATCTAGCGACATTTGCGAGCTTGTTCTGACGCCGAAGAGCAAAAGCTCTGGAGGATCCGCGGGGAGTGACTCAGCATGGTCCATCCCGAGATCGGCTTCTGTTGGCCATGGAACTTCCCCCCCCGAACACACCTCAAGCATGCTGGAGAGTCTTCAACCTTGGGATTTATACATCTTCGCTCTCTTCTAAGTGAAATCTAGCTTTGTCGATCTATATGTTACCTCACCGCAGCAATGGCATCCCAGAATTCATCAGTCTTTTTGCGCTATCTGCGACTCCGTGCCCCCAAGTCGAAACTGTCGCAACGCTTCCATTCCACGTCTCCCTCACCTTCGCAGCCTCCACGCTCCTCTCAGCCAAACCCGCCAAACCCCAAGGACTCCCGTTCTCGTTTGCGCCAACTCAATGACCGCCTACCACGCTTTCTCCGCGCCTATACTACACCCCTCCTCGGGGCCCCAATCACCCATGTGACGTCGTTCCTGATCCTGCACGAAATGACCGCCATACTCCCGCTATTCGGGCTGGTCGGTGCTTTTCACTACGGGGTCTGGATGCCCGATTTTTCGTCGGTCAATGACCAGAACAATGCCTTTGATGAAGGGGCGGCGCGTTTTGGGCGATGGCTGAAAAAGAAAGGTTGGGTGGACGAGACCGACGTGAGTACCGTGGCAGAACACGAGGTTACTGGGGCAGGGAGTAGAGGTGAGATGGGCAAAGAGCGAGCCGGGGTACGGTTGGTGCTAGAGTTCGCAACGGCCTGGGCGATTACCAAGGCTTTGCTGCCACTCCGCTTAGCAGGGAGTGTTTGGGCCACCCCGTGGTTTGCGAGGACCATTCTCACGCCGACAGCCCACATGGCCAAGCGGTTGTTTCGCCAAGGCTGAGCTGCCTGGAGCATCTATCTGAATATACCAGTGTAAATTTTGTGATTTATAGATCATCTGAACTTGTATATTGTTGGAATTTTCGTAACCATCTGAGAACTTTGGTTCAACTCCTGCATTCTATATTGCGAGTAGCTGAGAGCTGGCTCTCATCAGGTCATGACACCAAAGGACGAGACATTTACTCGAAAACCCAGGGGGCCTGGCTGTGCTTCCACTTGAGGAGCTCGCTGGGGGAGAACCAGAGCGAGATCTCCTTCTTGGCGCTCTCGACACTGTCGGAGCCGTGGCAGACGTTGCGGCCGACATCGAGGGCATAGTCACCACGGATGGTGCCGGGGGCGGAGGCCAAGGGGTTGGTGGCACCCAGGATGGTGCGGCCGGTCTTGACGGCGTCCTTGCCCTCCCAGACCATGGCGCAGATGGGGCCGCTCAGCATGTCTAGAGTCATATTAGTTCAGCCATTTCGCAGGATCTGGTGAATTGTGGACAGGGTGAAACTGACAGGCAACGAGACCCTTGAAGAAGGGCTTGGTGGCCAGGTCGGCGTAGTGCTTCTCAAGGTGCTCCTGGGAAGGAGAAGTGAGCTTCATAGCGACGAGCTTGAAGCTGCGACTTGTTAGTCCAACATGTTATAACAGACACTGCATCAGTAACACTTACCCACGGTTCTCGAAGCGAGAGATGATGGGGCCAACGAGTCCACGCTGTTAATTAACACGGTCAGTGAATACGCTCCAATTGAAGAGCCAGCAATCCCTCATGGATCTGGTTTTGGCTGCAGGGTCCCCATACCTGGACACCGTCGGGCTTGATGGCAATGAAACTGCATTTGATTAGCTTGACCGCCAGGCATTGAGGGGTAATGAAGAGGGCAGCAAAGTGGGAGCCATGTAGAGAGGAATTGAGGGCTAAGAATGGGTCAATGACTTACGTCTGCTCGTCGGCCATTTTGATGGATGAAGATCGGGAGATCGGGAGATACGGAATGCAAGAGAGAAGAGACGGAGGGGAGGAAGGGGAGAATTAAATACTGTGAGCCTTTTTTTCATTGGTGGGGCAGGAGGGGTCGGATAGACTGGGCTGCCTGAGGACCAAATTCATGCCTCAGGTGTCTTACCCCGGCATCTGGCCAGCCTGGAGCTTGACGGCTATTGTTTCTCCACCTGCGAATGCAGCTTAACGCCTCATCGCATTAATCCATCAACCATCAGAGAGGTTGAGGGTCTCTGATTGTTTGCATTATCAGCTCTACCATGGCCAGGAGCCGGCCTGCGTCCCGTTGGACGCTATTGTTCTCCTTGGTGGTCCTGCTTGGGTGCATGGTCATTCCCGGATGTGAGACTTCCCTTGATTTAATGCAGTCGTGCGGTTCGCTAATATCTTTCTGGTTCTGACAGGGACGGTGAAACACGAAAACTTCAAGACATGCGCCCAGTCTGGGTTCTGTCGACGAAACCGAGACTTCGCCGACAATGCCTCCGCAAAGGGCGAGGCATGGAGCTCCCCCTATGAACTTGACCCAGCCACTGTGCACTTCAAGGACGGTCACCTCACAGGCGTACTCATCAAGACAACAGCGAACGAGAAAGTCCTGCTACCTCTCACTGTGTCCTTTCTGGAATCCGGGGCCGCTCGCGTGGTGGTCGATGAAGAGAAGCGGTTGAAGGGCGACATTGAACTGCGGCATGACAGCAAAGCCAATAAGAAGCGATATGACGAAGCCGAGAAATGGGTTATCGTGGGTGGCTTGGAAGTCAGCAAGTCCGCCACATTGAATGCTCAGGCTGAGACTGGCTTCACTCAAGTCCTGTACGGACCGGGTGACAAATTCCAGGCTGTCATCCGCCATGCCCCGTTTGGGGTCGACTTCCAAAGGGACGGCCAGACGCATGTTCAGTTGAACCACCAGGGTCTATTGAACCTCGAACACTGGCGACCCAAAGTCGATCGCCCAGAGGGAGAAGAAGCTGGCGAAGATGAAAGCACTTGGTGGGAGGAGACCTTCGGAGGAAACACTGACTCGAAACCCCGTGGCCCAGAAAGCGTTGGCCTTGATATCACTTTCCCTGGTTACGATCATGTTTTCGGGATCCCGGAGCATGCAGACTCGCTTTCCCTGAAAGAAACTCGGGGTGGGTCCGGCAACCACAAGGAGCCGTATCGGATGTACAACTCGGATGTCTTCGAATACGAACTCAACAGTCCTATGACCTTGTACGGAGCGATTCCGTTCATGCAGGCCCACCGCAAGAGCTCCACTGTCGGTGTGTTCTGGCTCAATGCAGCGGAAACTTGGGTCGATATTGTCAAGTCGACCACATCTCCCAACCCGCTGTCCCTGGGGGCCAGCTCGAAGACGAATACGCAAACCCACTGGTTTTCCGAAGCGGGCCGAATCGACCTCTTCGTCTTCCTTGGACCTTCACCCAAGGAGATCAGCAAAACGTACGGTGAACTCACGGGATACACCCAACTGCCCCAGCATTTCGCGATTGGATACCACCAATGCCGCTGGAACTATGTCACCGACGAGGATGTGAAAGAGGTGGACGCCAAGTTCGACAAATATCAGATTCCCTACGATGTGATCTGGCTCGATCTCGAGTATACAGACGACCGGAAGTACTTCACTTGGGAACCTCTCACCTTTCCCAACCCCACAGGCATGCAAGAAAAGCTGGACGAGTCCGAGCGAAAGCTCGTGGTCCTCATTGATCCGCACATCAAGAAAGAGGAGGGTTACTTCGTCCAAGAAGAGCTGAACAAGAAGAATTTCGCAGTCCGAAACAAAGACGGTGATGTCTACGAGGGATGGTGCTGGCCAGGTGCGTCAAATTGGGTCGACTGCTTTAACCCAGCTGTGATATCCTGGTGGAACAGCCTTCACAAATATGACCGTTTCAAGGGCTCGCTTTCGAACTTGTTCATTTGGAATGATATGAACGAGCCTTCCGTCTTCAACGGGCCGGAAACCACCATGCCCAAGGATAACATGCATTATGGTGATTGGGAGCACCGCGATATCCATAATGTGAACGGGATCACACTCGTGAATGCCACATACCAAGCCTTGTTGGAGCGCAAGAAGGGTGAAGTGCGTCGGCCATTCATTCTGACGCGCTCGTACTACGCCGGAGCCCAGCGGATGGCGGCTATGTGGACAGGAGACAACCAAGCTACCTGGGGGCACCTGGCAGCTTCTCTGCCCATGGTCCTGAACAATGGGATTTCAGGATTTCCTTTTGCTGGTGCTGACGTGGGCGGCTTCTTCCACAACCCAGATAAGGATCTCTTGACGCGGTGGTACCAGGCGGGTATCTGGTACCCCTTCTTCCGCGCCCACGCTCACATCGACACCCGGCGCCGCGAGCCATATCTGATCAGTGAGCCCCACCGCACCATCATTTCTCAGGCAATCCGCTTGAGATATCAGCTCTTGCCCGCGTGGTACACGGCTTTCCACGAGGCCTCGGTCAATGGCATACCAATCGTGCGCCCCCAGTACTATGTCTATCCGGATGACGAGGAAGGCTTTGCTATCGATGATCAGCTGTACCTCGGTGCTACTGGCCTTCTGGCGAAGCCTGTGGTGGCCGAGAATGCCAACACTGCCGACATCTACATTTCTGACGACGAAAAGTACTACGACTATTTCGATTTCACAGTCTACCAGGGAGCAGGCAAGCGACACACCGTCCCCGCCCCTCAAGAAAAGGTGCCTCTGTTGATCCAAGGTGGTCACATCATTCCTCGCAAAGACCGCCCTCGTCGCAGCAGCGGTCTCATGAGATGGGACCCCTACACCTTGGTGGTGACTCTGGACAAGAATGGCGAGGCAGACGGGAGCTTGTACGTGGATGATGGTGAGACCTTCAACTACGAGCGCGGTGGCTACATTCACCGTCGTTTCCACTTCCGTGAATCGGTGCTGTCCTCGGAAGACCTTGGAGCGAAGGGTCCCAAGACGGCCGAATACCTCAAGACCATGGACGGCGTGACGGTGGAGCGGGTTGTAATCGTGGATCCGCCCAAGGAATGGAGAGAGAAGAGCAGCGTGACGGTGGTCGAAGATGGGGCCAAGACAAGCTCCGCTGCTCCCCTGGAGTACTACAAGCAGCAGGGCAAGAAGGCATCTTACGCGGTGGTGAAGAAGCCGAATGTCGGGATTGGAAAGACGTGGCGGATAGAGTTCTGAATTATGGGTGCATAGTAGATTTTTGTATCTATCTGACTTGACTCGACTATATCCCGTCGTGTCTCCGAAGAGTTCATATGATCCTCAATAAATAGCAAACTGCTCTCGTACTTCCAAGAGCTTATTCCAGCTTCTGTGCCCGCACAGACACTTGGTATTCCTCGCCCTCTGCCTGGTGAGCCATCAACTTTAGCGCGCCATGAGCACTCACTCCCCACTCTATTGTATTGTAGGGGTCATCGCTCGTGCCGAGCTCATAAAAAGTCGACATGTCCTCTTCTTGATCAAAAACAATCCGAGTATTCGTCTCAGAAGAGGGCCAGGACGGCCGCGGTAGCCTTGGCAAAGGTGCTGTAAACCGCAGGGGCTTTTGATGAACGATCCTCAGAACAATCCTCAGGCATCAGGTCCGGCACCCGGTCGTGGAGGATCAGGGACACGTATGGGATAGGGTTTTGGGACGATCGTTCGCGCTCGGATGGCTTGTGTTCGGCTGCGTTCACTTTGTCTAGCAGCGAGCGCCTGGGGATAAGTTAGGAATGGGGGGGGGGGGGGCATAGTGGTCGAGGTGCTTTCGATTGGAGATTTGGGACACGAAGGAGGAGAATCATCTTTGGTGAATTGTGATTTTATGAATTGGACTTGGGATGAGGTCAACGGGAAACGGAGCGTGCCATCGCGTCGATCTATATAGATCTGTCCCGCACATACGTCGGGGCGAAAGTACAACCACCGAAGTACCACCCACGAAGATACTTGACTTCCAACGCAGCCCCTTAAATCTGTACACCTAAAGACTCGAAAAGAAAAGAAAACTACCTCATTAAATCGAGATATCTATTAAGTTTAGCAGGTATTTATATTCTCCCTACTCCCAGCTGTGCACATCCGCTGAGTAAGCGAAAGGGAACCTGGGAAAAAGCCGCTTGCGTCGCTTTCATCTTTCTCTCACTCCACCGGGCTCCCCTTCTCGATCGCCCCTGTTCCTGATTTCTGTGAGACCAGACTAGGTGTACAGAATTTCTCTTCACATCTCCTCGCAGCCTTTGCCTGGACACCTTGTCCCACAAAATCGTCGTCCTCCGGCCCGGTTTCTATCTCAAGGTTATGCTCCAAACTCCGGAAGTTTATCACCGGCACCATGAACTTGCTCTCGCTCATCATTGATTATGGCGCGCCCATTTTGTATGCACGCTATCCCGGACCCTCTTGGAAACCATCAATGCTAATGCTCGTCGGGTTCTCAGTCTCATCACCTCCCCCCTGACATCCTATGCCGACCAGATCATCAGCATCCATCGCTCGAGGACCTCTGCCGGATTCTCCCTGGACATTCCGCTGATCATGCTGGTCGCATCGATTTTGAAGTAAGCTCTCACGGTACGGCATCACGATGGAGCGGACATGGTTAACACCATTCAGGGTCTTCTACTGGTTCGGCGAATACTACTCGAAGGCATTGTTGGGACAGGCTCTGGTCATGATCCTGGTACAGATGGGTCTTCTCAAGGTCGCGCTGGATAACCGGCCTTCTCCCAGTGCGAGGAACGAGGTTGAACACACGCCCTTCAACGGCACCGGTGGCTCCGACAGTGGACCCACGAGGCCTTACGATTTCTGGCAGTGGAAGAACACCAAGCCGTACGTATTGGACGGGCTCTCCTTTTTTTGTTCACAACAAAACTGACCATGTCTTGCCCGCAGATATTGGCTGTTTCTGGCCTACTTCACCGTCTTTCTCGCTATAATCCACCTGACCCCGATCTCCGACTCAGACTTCTACATCAATCTCCTGGGTTATATCGGGCTTGCTGTGGAGGCCACCCTCCCTGTGCCGCAGATTTTGGCCAACCACCGGTCCGGCTCGTGCAAGGGCTTCCGGCTCTCTGTTCTTGGCGCCTGGGTCATTGGTGATACGATGAAAATCACCTACTTCTTCGCCAGCAAGGAGGCCATCCCTTGGGCGTTCAAACTGTGCGGTATTTTCCAGTGCGCGTGCGACTTCTACTTGGCGGTCCAGTTTTGGATGTACACCCGTGGCAGCCATCGCCCTGCGAGTCCCACCCCCAGCAGCTCGGACGAGCAAGAAGACCGATGGGGCCAGGAGGCTAAAGATATCCGGATGACTTGAGAGAGGAGGGGGCAATGTTCTCTGTAGATAACCGAGACTGGTGCAGAGGAGCGACTATAGATTTTGTGTAATTCATCATGGGAACTTGTTCATAATCATCGCGACGCACGTTGGCGGAGGATACCTCCGATTGCGTTCCGTTTTGGAGATGCCCCGCGCTTATCGGCCATCCCACTTGTGCTCTCCAACAACCCACATTCCAGTTCAATCAGTTCCTGTCAGAATGGCACCGACAATTCGGATCGGCTATGTGCCCGGTAAGATTCCGTAGGAGCTTGAGACAAAAAGAAAAAAGACCATGGGGGTCCGTTCACTGACGTGAGTTCTATCAGAGCACTACTTGACTCCCCTCCATCTCGCCCTCCGCTCCCCGGCCGTCTCCTCGCTCCCATTCGAGGTCTCCTTGACCCCGTTCCCGTCTGGCACGGGCCATATGATCACATCGCTCCGCAGCAATGAGATCGACATCGGCATCGGCTTGACCGAGGGCTGGGTGGCCGGCCTGGCCGGGAAACAGCAGTCGCAGCAAAACCCTGCCGACGGGGGATACAAGGTGGTCGGCCACTGGGTGGACAACCCTCTGCGATGGGCGATTGTGACCGGTCGCAATCGGGACGAGGTCAATGGCGTGTCGGATTTGCAGGGCCAGAGGGTTGGCGTGAGCCGATTGGGAAGGTGAGTGTGCTCTTTTGTAGCTCTGAAGCTCTCTTTCTCACTCACACACTCTCTCTATTACTATTAATGTTATCCGAGACAGCTAAAATGATGCTGACGCGATTGACCCAGCGGCTCCCATATCATGTCCTTTGTGCTTGCCCAGCAACAGGGCTGGAAACCCGACTCCCTAACAACCGTACCCCTAGGCCCCTTCGGGTCCCTGCGGAATGGAGTCACAGGCCACGACGAAGCACAGCCAGAGCAACCGGCCAACCCGACGGCCGAGTTCTTCATGTGGGAGCACTTCACCACCAAGCCATACTTCCACGCAACGTCCCAACAGCCAAGCCCGCCGCTCAAGAAAATTGGCGAGATCTTCACGCCGTGGCCGTCGTGGATGATCGTGGCCTCGACGCCGACTTTTCCGGACCCGGAGCACGACCAGCGACTCCAACACCTGTTCCAGGTCCTGGACCAGGGCATCAAGGACTTCGAGTTCGATCTGCCCCAGGTAGTGAAGCTCCTTGGAACCGGCGAGCTGGGCTGCACCTATATTGAGGAGGATGCCACCGAGTGGCTGAAAGACGTCAACTTCACCACCGGCACTCGCGGCGTGGACTGCAAGGTTATTGGGGGCGTCGTGGACGTGCTCAAGGTTGCGGGTGTGATTGACCCGGCCATGAGCAATGACGAGGCTATCCGTCGGGTCGTGGGAATTACACGGTAGGTCTGGCCTTACCTGGAACTGAGGAAAACATCAATCAAAGATTCAAAGAAGAGTTGCAGGTTCCGTGAGTTTGAGGCCACTCTGATAACTTCGATCTATAGATTCGACAAGATGCAAACCGTCATGACCCACTAGCTGCCAGTGTGTGGAATCGACTTGAGACAGCTACTCTCTCCCCCTCTTCCTCTCCCTGTGTCTTTTTATGCATACCAAAAACAGAGTTTAACGTCACTTTGAGATAACTATTTCTAAGCAACTACGTGTTTCCAGTTCCCAACCGGAAGTTGTGGGCAGCTATCTTCTTCGATCAATGAGACTATGTCAAGACTATCTGCATTGTGACTTTCCCATTCTCCCGGGGTGTTTCTCAAGAAAGGAAGTAACCCGGGAAGCCTCTTACTTGCATGCGAGTACTGGGTGGATCTCCTTGCATATCGGCCGAGGTGTGTAAGTAGCCTACATAACTGATATGCCAGCTACTTGGGCATCTGGGAATCTATATGTACTTTTTGTGATACAGCCCAGAAGGCCCTAGTTGGTCTCCTCCACCAGAGTAACTCTGCTGAGTAGGATGGCGACAAGTTTGTTCGAGCAAGCCCTGGCACACACGAGGGCTGCAGTGTGCAGTGGCCCGGGGGGGGGGGGGGGGGGGGGGGGGTTGAATACAAAAGGAATGCTCAAGCAATCGTGTCCCATCTCCGCAAGATCTGGGATCACGATCATGCACCCCAGACCAACGGAGATGTTAGTGGAAATTCTCAACGGTGCTCATAGTCCCAACCCCAAGATTAAAGGTGGACGCATCGGCTTTCTCAACGCTTCCCGGGCATCAGCACGTTCGCCATCTCCAAAATCCTCTTTGACAAACTATGAATGGGCTTGTGGATTTTTGAAAATAATGTTCGGGGTATCTGCGCATTTTCATACTTATATTCAAGTCAAAACACGCTGGGGGATTGGAGAAATGTATTTTGAGGTTAAGGGCCCAATACAGGTATATATTTGCCCAACAGTGTCCATAGCTCGAACCTTCCCAGCTGAAGAAAATAAAATAAAATAAAAACCCAAGCCCCAGCCATTCATCTAAGCAAATTGAACTGATTTTTTGAGTTGATAGAGTCCATTTTAGATAGGTAGCCGTGCTTAACCTATTTAGGGCTCACCCGTCCCAAAAAGGAATCAGCTCACGAGGACCTCAGCTTAGCCACATTGACGACAAAACGGGAGGGAAATTAAATAGCATGTCTCCTGCCTAAAAGATAGCAGCTATTCTAGATCAGGAGTAGCACAAGCAGTACTCATGATCGGCAGGTTTTCCTGGCATACCTAAGTAGTGTCAGTACCCCGACTCCCGGTATCAAACCGCCAAGGGATACAGCATGCTAGGCAATGTTAGATCCTCTTCCAACTAAATTTAGCAAAGAAATCCAGACTGACTAGAACACCAACGGCCAAGTCTTGTGTTCTCGACGATACATTCTCGGATCAGCCCTTGGGGCCCCTGACAACAGGGGGTGGAATGCACGCCAGACGGACGAAAAGAACCACACATACAATCCAATGAGTGGAACTCAAAGGCAACCAAAATTATGCTGAACAAGCTGGTCAATTCCACAGGGCCAGTGACCCAAGCTTTTGTCACTATGGCTACTGGCGTGGACAAAGTGGATCATACCATGCGCGCATGGAGCGCACGATGACGACTGACTGAGGACCAACCAGGGTCTTTGTTTTGCTCTGTAAATGCCATGCTTAAGATGAGACAAAATAACTCAGGGTCTATTTAGATTTTGGGTGCGCTCCATGGACATCCCCTTCGCGCTGCCACCTTGTTCGTGACTTTTTCGCTGTTGTGTGGGTCGGCATACCCTCATATAATTTTGCATATTAATCCATCCTTTTTTTTTTTAATACCTAATTAACCTAGTAATCTGGGTTTAATATCCCGTGCCGTTGTCACCATGCGTCGCTATCAAGGTCTTCTGCCCTGGACGGTGCTCCTGTCCACTTTGGGAGGAGCACAGGCGAAGCTCGACCTGAACTCGACATCTATTCTTTCGGTCTACTGGGGTAGGTGGTGTTGTGAAAAGAATTAACAGGAATTGACTAATACTTTCTGGACAACAGGACAGAACTCGTTGAATGGGAAGGGTGACCAACAACAGCAGCCCTTGGCGCACTACTGCGAGAGTGAGTGAACAAAACCGGGCCACAGGAAGAAGGGAGCACTAATGACTCAAACTTTTTAGATGATGACATTGATGTATGGAAAAGAAGTTAAAGACGTGGGAGCATTGTTGCTAACCCGTCTCAAACAGGTCATTCCCATGGCATTTGATATGATGATCAATGGCCCAGGAGGAGCACCAGAAATGGACTTTGCGGTGACTAGCCAAGACTGCGAACCTTTCGAAGGCACCCAATTGAAAAACTGCCCCAAGATTGGGTACGTATGCACGAAATTCCTGAAGCCAGGCCAGACTGACATCAGACAGGGAGGACATCAAGAAATGCCAGAAGAAGGGCAAGACAATCTTGCTATCGATTGGCGGCGCAACCTACACCGAAGGCGGCTTCAAGTCGGAATCCGACGCCAAAGAGGGCGCGAAGCTGATGTGGGAGACGTTTGGACCGGTGCAAGAGGGCTCCAAGGCGCACCGGCCGTTCGGCGACGTCAGCCTGGATGGATTCGACTTTGACTTCGAGACCAACGTCGAGCACATGGCGCCTTTTGCGCAGGAGCTGCGGTCGCTGCTTGACGCGGAGAAGAGCCGGAAATTCTACTTGACCGCGGCGCCGCAGTGCCCCTACCCGGACCAGTCGGACAAGGACATCCTCAACGGACCGGTGTACATCGACGCGATCTGGGTGCAGTTCTACAACAACTTCTGCGGAGTCAACAACTTCAACAAGGACAGCAAGAGCTCCAAGTACAACTTCGACGAGTGGGACAACTGGGCCAAGACGGTGTCGAAGAACAAGGATGTCAAGGTGCTGGTTGGCGTGCCGGCCGACACCACGGCTGCCAGCACCGGGTACGTGCCCGCGTCCAAGCTGCAAGACATCGTCGAGTACTCGAAGAAGTTCGACAGCTTTGGCGGGGTCATGCTGTGGGATGTAACGCAGGCGTACGCTAATGATGGGTTCATGGGAAGCGTGCGCAAGGCGCTGGGAGGGAAGAAGGATGATTTGAAGGGAGATTCCGGGCCCGCTTCCGGTTCGTCGTCGTCTAACTCGGCGTCGACCTCGGCGCCTGATCCTTCTTCGTCCGCTAACTCACCGAATACCTCGTCCTCTATCAATGGACCCGCTTCCTCACCCTCGTCTTCCTCATCCTCTGTCTCTGGGTCCTCTTCCAATGGCCCTGAGTCTACCACGTCCACCGCTACTACTACTACCGCCGCTCACCCCAAACACACCGGGCACCACGACGACAGCCCACCCAAGGGTCACGACTCGGGCGACTCGTCCAGCGACAACGACTCCGATGACGAGTCGAAGGATGACTCCAAGGACGACGATTCCAAGGACGGAGACCACCACATCCTCGGCTCGAACCTCTTCGGCTTGCTGGACGGTATTCGCCAGGCAAACGGATTGGCAAAGGGTCTCACCCACGGTCTTACGCACAACCTCCGACGTGGTGTGCGTACTCGTGTCTGAGTCGTCAAACTCAGACTTGAAGGAGTACCCTCTGGGGACTCTTGACCGACCATATAGTGTGATATAAGGACTCTCATAAGTGATTGGATCCTCATGGTTATTTCCCAGTCATAGCCTTCCAGTATCCCTTTTTGCGACTTGAATCTCCAAAGTTCTTGCCGTTTCTGATTCGTCTTCTCCTGTTCTACTACTTCTACTACTCTCTTGATACCCATAATTCCTAATCTTTCCATTCTTTCTACGTGGGTTTATATAGCTCTCAATTCAATACATTCCTTTATCTCTTTAACTCCCTTCTATTTAGTTTCAGGTTGTCACTGCAAATATCAATATGTCCCAGTCAAGCAGGAAACGAGGGCTCGGCAGTGTCACGTGGATCCATCAGTCGACATAGTTCGATATTATTCTTGTGTCAAGTGAGGAAAGCTTTCAAGTAGCGGACAAAGGGATATCTCAATACATTAGATTATCTGAAATCATATTGACCAATCGACAAAACATCAATAGACGAGGAATACCGTCTTTTTCACCAAAAACCCTTTTTCACTAGAAAACTCCATACCCAAAAAACACCGTAAATATTCAAAGTCATTAGCTTGGACGTGAATGCGAGAGCATCTGGCTCCCCATTATCTTCTCCCAGGTTCCTTCTTCCCCTGCTCCACATTAAGGCATACCTCACAGCCAGACCTCAACATACCAATTTACTCAACATCCTCTTCTTCCTTGCTGGCAGCCAAGAAGAACCGGCCCTTAGGCTTACCAGGCTCCTCATACTCAACAGTCAAGCGCGAAAGATGGCCGAGCAGGTTCTCGATCTTAATTTCGCCCTTGTCGCGTTTCGCCCGACCGAGGTCATCGAGCCATTTGATCTTGTTCAATGTAAAGTAGACCAGCGCAATCACAATCTCCACGCCAAGCGAGTAGCCCCAGATCCGCACGACAGTGACAATATCCGTCCAGCCGTTTTGAGTCTCAACGAACTGGTCTTTGGGGTTGGTGGGCATGTCCTGGTTGCTGAACCAGCCGAACAAACAGAAAATGGTGGCGAGGATGTCGACGCCCAGGATCGCCGTGACCAGGTGGATGGAGGGCCAGGTGGCGATACCACGCGTCACGAAGATCAGCCAGTTCTCTGTCAGGGCCACTTCCAGGAACAGCACTTCTTGGATGGACCCCCAGTTTTGGATGATGCCGCCCGACGGCAGGAACATTGTGCCTCGCACGACCCACGTCCCCAGCGCAAGTAGTACGCCTAGGAGTACAGAGATAAACCAGATCTTGGGGAGCTGCCATTCCACGGGCCGTAGTTCGAATGATGCGTGGTCGTAGGCCACTGCCACGGTTGCTAGATCGGCAAACAAAGCGAGGAAGACAATGAGCTCGACGCGAATGCTTTCATTGAGAATGATCATGGATGTCACCAGATAGATTTCGAGGTGCAAGCAAAGCGCAATACGATATTGAATATACGCTTTCATGCGGTGGAAAATCTGTCGTGCAACTTTGATCGAGTCGATGATAGTTGATAACCCCGGCTCGAGGAAGACAATGTCCGAGGCTGATTGCGCGGCTTCTGACGCTCCTTCCACAGCGATACCGCAGTCTGCTTTCTTGAGAGACGGCGCATCGTTCACACCATCGCCAGTCATAGCAGTGAGATGGCCTCGCTCTTGCAACATCTGGACGACTTGATATTTGTGTTCTGGGAACACTTCGGCAAATCCATCGGCTTTCTCGACTAGATCTCCGGCCATAGCCCCGCTCAGTCCACCATGAATAAGCTTGTCGGAGTTGTAAACTTTCGTACCCAATGCCAGCATCTTGCAAGTTTCTTTCGCGATAGCAATGGCATCACCCGTGAGCATTTTCACACTAATCCCAAGGTTCTGGGCTTCGCTGATTGTCTGAGCCGTATCTTCGCGGGGAGGATCAAACATAGGCAACACCCCCAGGAGAGTCCAGTCTTCGCCTTCTTTTTGAACGGCCACGCCAAGAGAGCGGAAGCCACGATGGGCAAATTCCTGCGCTTTGGACTTGTACATATCGGCAGTAGCTTTCGAACACTTGCTTAACTGGAGCACCGCCTTCGGGGCGCCTTTGGTGCAGGTATATCGAGTGCCATCGCAGTTGGCAACGGTCACGATTCGTTTTGAGACGGGGTCAAATGGTGTAAATTTCTCCGTCTTCCAGCCACGGCGTAGAATCTCTCTTGCTTTGGGATACTGTTTGAGTGACAAAACCGTAACCTTATCGATAGGGTCGAGCGAGTCGATATTGTGCGAGGATGCGAGCACAGCGACGGCAAACATCCAGTCGACATCCACGCCTTCTGCCACGTACGGGTCCCGAATACTGAGTTTGTTGGCAGTTAGAGTTCCAGTTTTATCAGAGCAGAGAATATCAACACCCTGTATGACTGTCAGCGTGAAACAAGTTAACCTTGGAGAATGGAAAAAGCGCGGGACATACAGCTAGGGATTCAATCGCAGTCAACTTCTGCACAATCGCTTTCTTCTTAGCCAAATATGCAGCACCCACAGCCATAGTGGTTGTAGTGACCACGGGAAGACCGACAGGGACACCGATGATCAGCAGAGAAAGAGTGTAGTGAAGAAGAGTCTGCTGCCCGGGAGAGGCAATGGGGATATGGCGGAAGAATCCACCAATCCATGCGGCAAGAATCCAGGCCATGACAAGAATCAAAAGGGACGTTCCAATGTTGTCCATGACAATTTCGAAGTGACCGGCACCTTTGGCGGATTGCACCATGCTCGCAGTGCGGCCGACAAAGGACGTTCGCGCCGTGGTTTGGACCACTGCATACGCTTTTCCACGCTTGCAGCCGGTGGTGTAGTAGATCACATCGCCCATATAGCGGTCTACAGCCAGAGATTCTCCGGTGATGGCAGAGTGATCGCAAGCAAGAATGGGATAGCCGCGCTTCCGGGGCCGCTTCTGGTGGTTTTCGTCTTCTCCTTTATGACCCTCTTTTTCATCCTTGCCCTTTTTCTCGTCCTTGCCCTCGCGTTCGCCTTCTTCTTCAGATTCAGATTCAGAGCCCCCGCCGAGCATGCCTTGCTCTTGGAGTTGATTGAACTCTTCCCAGCCATTGGGATCGTTGAATTCGCAGATAACCTTGGCATCGGCAGGAACCACTTGACCCTCACCCACAATGATCTATACCATTCGGTCAGTACCTGAAGAAATCCGCGAATGAATAAGACATGCCGACATACAACATCGCCAGGAACCAACTCTCGAGCTAGAATCTCTTGCTGGGAGGTATCACGCATGACCAGGGCCCGCATGGCAATATCGCCCTTGAGACTGGCAACCACGTCGGCGGCCTGCTTTTCCTGATACCAGCCAACAGCGGCGTTCAGACACAAGATACCAATGATGACACCAAAGTCAACCCAGTCGTCCAGACCGGCAGCGAGCAGCACCGCCAACTCCATGACTGCCACCGAGTTAGATATGGTTGTGCAGATGATGAAAAGCACTCACCATAAAGAATAGGGCCACGAAAATACGACAGAATCTTGGCAATGGGGTTTTCCTTCTCAGAAACCAGTTCATTCCAGCCCGACCTCCGGCGCCGTTGGGGCACTTCCTCGCTCGACAGCCCTTCGCGGATATCGGTTATGAGCCAGTCATCGGGGAAAGTCCCAGCTCCTTGCTCGATTTTCTTCACGCGGACCTGGCGTTTCTTCCACGGCGCGTACCAGAGTCGCTTCTCCTCAAATTGCCCTTGCTCCTCCTCTGCGACCGTGTCACGGAATGTCGAGACATACTTGACCAGCTTGCCGTATTCATCCAGGTTGGACCAGTCTTCTTTCAACGACGCACGAGAGATGCGAGAGCTACGACGGCCATCACTGCGCTCGGCGTCGCCTTGACTCCCCATGTTGGAGCTTGGGGACAGACAGATCAACTGGCAAGCCCTAGATTGGGCTGGATAGGTCTTCGGTAACTGCTAGTTGGAGATGATAGCGGAAGAGAGCTTGGTTCTGGATGGCAGAGGAAAGCCTCTGCAGGATCGCAGATAGACAAGAGTGTGCAGAAACAATACAAAGAGAAGAACGGTTCTTTCAGTCTCAACCACCAACACACCAAGTAGAATGAAGCGGGAGAATCCCGGCTGATTGCTTTTCTTGCTTCGAGCCTTACGTGCCGGGTGGGGGGGGGGGGGGGGGGGGGGGTGAGGAGCTCTCTACACATTTTCTCCTCAGTCAATCATGCTGACGTCGAGACTAGGAAGTTGCCGGCATAACAATCAAGCTCTCAAAGATCCGAGGAGTTGTTGACAGGTCTTGACGTATGAGACATCCATGGATGGGTGGCTAGCCTATCCGGATGATCGGATGATCCTTCTCAGCAAGAGCCCGTGTTGTCCTGACAAGCAGTGGCTTGACGAGCCAGCGAGCAGCTCCATTGACTTTGGACCGAGCTCACCGACCCACAGGACCATAGGATCGCGTGAGGGATCCAACGGCAAGTCCCTGTGGAACACGCCCAGAGACGGACCATAAACTTTGGTTCAAGTGTGGTGAGCATCCAGAAGAGGAAGAGGTGTATGCCAGGAAAGTTACAACCTGGAGAGGTCAGCCTGCGGGACGAATCGCACCTTCAACGCTGTTGCTGTCGACTGTAGAGCATCAATGGTTGAGGGGGGGTTTCTTTTGAGCTCTGGCCGCAGTCAAGTGATGGGGATTAGCTTGAAATGGATATCCAGCTGTCAGCCAGATAAATGTCCTTTGTTTGGATCGACAAGCTCCCAAAGTGTCGGGGGACCAGCGGGAACCTCGGATCGGCTCAATTGGCGCAGTCTTGGACGTCATGCATCGTGCGGATTCCGCTGGCACCCGGGCATGCTAACTTGTCGCGAGACATGATCCATGCAGAATTCCCCATACCTAAGTGCTTGCACCTGAGGTATCTGAAAGCTCTGGAGAGGGATGAGTGGATGTCCAACCGGGCAGGTGCTGGAATGCAATCAGTCCACGTGACCTCGGAGTCGCAATGTTCCATGTCATGTACCTCGTCATGTATTTTAGGTGCGACGGTACTTGCATTGCACCGTGTTGTTTTCGGATCTCGGTTCTATGTAGATCCCGCGAGATTGGAGTTAATGAATATCAAGTCTCCTCAATTCGCCAAACCCACAAGGCGCGTCGGCCCCCATTCGGAATTCGCGGATGCTCAAACGGCATTCATCCTGGAGATACGCGTCCGCGTGCTGGTCGGTGATAGTCCGCCTTATGGCAAGAATGCTTACCTGTCAGGATGAGTACCCAAGGTGCCAACAGCCTAAAGGAAAAAAAAAAAGGGAAGTATCAGACTCCACGTGCTCCAAAGATAGGTATTGACCGATTCGTTGAGATCGCTTACAGTGCGCATCCTTCGCAGGGGGCCGATTTTATACATGGCACAAGTGATTTCGGCTCATGGGGACAACCTCAACAGGTCAATCAAAGACACATTCCGAAGGTTGCTCATTTGTGTGACTTGGTCTTCCCAGGCTTGATTCTTTTCTCTTTGATCTGCTTCTTTTTTGTGTTAGGCGCGTGGGGCGATCAAGCCCGGGCCGAATACAGCAAGGCAAGAAACGGCCCACATGGCCCAGGGGTATACATTAACATAATCAATATGCATCGTAATGTCCATGGATGGATGGCCATGATCTGCGCTGTAACCCCCGTCTTTCTGGGACCTGGAACTACTTAGGGTTACTCCTGGGTCGCGCTTGTTTGGTGGATTCCCCAGATTATACATGGAATGAAGCATCGAGACTGTGAGAGGATAGTAATCCGCTGCGTAAATTGGCCCTGGATACCTTTCATTCCCCATTATTCGACCCAACCAACAAGGCTCTCACGGATGACGCCTTTTTTTTCGCCCCCAGAGGAAGTGGGCGGGAGTGGGGCGGAAATCTGACTCTGCTGGAGAATGAATCATGTCAGAGTGATAAAAATAACAAAAGACATAGGGCCAATTCGGCTTGCCAGACTCTTTCCTTTCTCACCTCTCCCTCCTCTTCATTCTCCCATCGGCCCGCGCCGGATACACACCCCCATCCGGTATACAACACCCCCAGTGATCCGACTGCATTGCGAGAAACATGGGTCCACCGAGTCACGAACCCCAGCCGATGGAGATGAAGCCCACCGAGCCATCCCCTCGATCCTCCATATCGTCGACAACGGTCAGCGCTGAGGATCTGGAGGCCAACTATAAAGAAGGGCTGGGACAGAGCCCCCCGACGTGGAGCTGGAGTACCAGACCCCCGCGCATGTCAAATATGCCTGGCTGGGGTCCTACTTGGTGGTAGCGATGCTGTTGACGGTGCACAATAAGATGGTGTTGGTATCGGTAAGAATGGCCCATCGTCCCACATCTTGCCCTGCGAGAAAAGATCGCGCGCACTCACACATAACATCGCGAGTCTTATAGTTCAACTGCCCGTGGCTTCTGACCGGCCTGCACGGCGCATTTTCCGCCGTCGGCGGATTAATCATCTTGAAGCTGGGGTATTTCAAGCTATCAAAGCTCTCGCAGAGAGACCATTGGTATTTAATCGCATACTCGGTGCTTTTTAGCGTCAATATCTTCTTCTCCAACTGGTCTCTCTCCCTCGTGAGTCTGGCCTTCTTCCAGATCATCCGCAATACCTCGCCGATTTTCACCGTCGTCCTCTATCGCATCTACTATTCGCGCTCCTACTCGAAAGCTACGTATATTGCTCTCGCCCCGATTATTCTGGGTGCTGTTATGACTGCGACGGGAGATTTGAACTACTCCTCCCTCGGATTGATCGTGTCGGCTGTTGGGGTGGTCCTGGGAGTCGTCAAGGTATATACATTCGATTTCTCATTCTTCAAACTCTTTTTCCTTTGCTTGAGAATACCAATCTAACGTCCAACTCCCGCTATACAGATCATCGCCACGAACCGACTCATGACCGGCACCCTTGAGCTCGGATCGATGGAGCTAATCTATCGAATGTCCATCTACTCCACCATCCAAACGGTGATCATCGGAGCCATTGTAGGCGAATTCTCCGAGTTCTCCACATCCCTTGCGAAGAGCGCAGACGAGGGTTCGTTCGGTATGGCCGGCGCCGCCGCGTCGTTACTCGGCAACGGCTTCGTGGCATTTTTACTCAATATCGCGTCTTTCGAAACCAACAAGGTCGCGGGTGCTCTTGCCGTCACGGTTTCGGGAAACCTGCGACAGACTCTCACCCTTGTGTTGGGCATCTTCTTTATGGGCGATTTCGTGCTCAGCATCCAGACGGTGGCTGGCATTGTGCTCGTGCTGGTGGGATGCGGTCTTTATAGCAAGGCGGAGCTGGACTCCAACAAAGGTGCTACATCCCGTTGATGGGGATTGCGAGAATGGTGTGGGCCGTCCGATATACACCGGCTGTTATGTCGGCTGAGCCACCTTAATGTGTTAGAGCAATGTTTTATGTAGAAATGGGTTACCCGAAATCTGCGTTCCACTTGTATATGGAGTCCTGTAGTTCCTCCAGCTGTGGCATACCGCTGAGATCGAGATTTGGAGGCTGGCCGCATTGGCAGTCATGCAGAGAGTGTTTATGCTCGATGGCTTTCGCTACGTTAGTCCTGTAAGTACTGGGAATCATATTTTGAATTCTCATTACACCGGACAGTAAATGAACATGATAACAAGTTTGGGAGATCAGAAAAGCGCAAGAGCGTAGACCGGTCCGTGCCCATCATCACGACTCCAGCTCCTCCGTCGGCACATCCTCTAGATCCTTGCCCACGATGGCGTCCGCCACTTTCCATACCTGCATCAGGTTGTCCTCCGCAGCCGAGCACAGAACCCAGGGGTCGCTGAGGTTCCAGCTGAAATCGGAGATGCGGTTGGTGTGTCCACCGTGCATAAACAGACTAAAACATCTATTAGTTCACCTTGAACTCATCTTGAAGCAAATGATAAGGGCGGGTTTCACTTACAGCTCGGGAGGCCCGTCTTGAGCATCCTCCGGGGTCTGTTCCTCGCCCGCTCGGCTGAGGTCCCAGAACATGATCTTCCGGTCGTAGCTGGAGCTCGCCAGTACCGACTCCTCAAACGGATGCCACGAGATCGACTGCACGGAATCGGTGTGGCCTTCCAGAGAATGGAGTTTTGTCTTGAGGTTACGCAGATCCCACAACCCAATTGTCTTGTCTGCCGACCCTGTCGCCAGAATCGTCTCGGAGGCGGGGTTGAAGGCGATCGAGTTGATAGCGTCGCGGTGCTGGCCCTCGGCCGAGGCAGCTGCGCGATTTGTCTCGGCGGCACGGGTGTCCAGAATCTGGAGCGTGATGTCGTCGGAGACGGTTCCGATTAGAGAGGAGTGGAGGGGGTGGTGCTGGACATCATTGACGATAGACGAATGGTGGGTGTAAGTGCGGGTCGGTCGGACTGCCTTGTTGCCCTTGGTGTATGTGGTGAGGTCCCTGCCATCCAGTCTGGTTAGCTTGTTCATGTGAGAGTTGGCCTGGCGAGTACATACCAGAGTCGCACTGTCTTATCCTCACTACCCGTTGCAAGATGACCGGCCTCGTGCGGGTTCCAGCTGAGCCCAAACCCTTCAGCATCATGTCCCAGGAGCTCCATCTGGGGGTTGACGTTGCCCGTGGGCAAGCTCGGGTGCTTCGAGCGATCCCAGATCATGACCCGCCCATCTGTGCACATTGTCGCGATAATGTTAGGGTTTTGTGGCTGGTAACGCGCCTTGTTGACCTCGCCCTTGTGGTCAATTTTCTGGACAATGTTGAATTTGATCTCCATCTGAGGCTTCTTGGGACCCCCACCATAGCCTCCAATTTCACCTTTCTCCTCGTCGTAATCATCGGGATTAGGGGCATTAGAGTTGGGAAGCTGCACATGGGCAATTTGGAGGTAATTTGGCGCATCATTGGTGGTATGTGTGCCGATCAAGAGGCGATGAGTTGAGTAGGGCTTGTCGGGGACTCTGCCAAGACACCGTTAGATTGAATTTCAAGCCAGCAAATATTGGACACATACTCTTGCTTATCCGGAAGCCATTGGGTGGTGAGGGTTGGCCATTCTAAAGCCGTGCTGAGGATCATATCATAGAGAAATGGTGCGTTCTTCTTCCATGTCTTGTACTCTGTTCGAGAACAATTAGTGAGCAATAGTTGCGCATATACTGTAAGAAAAACAGTCTAGACCCATACCTTCATTGATGACCTTCTCGCTGTTGTGTTCCTGCTCCCTCTCTTGCTCATCCGCCGCTGGCCATACCTGATTAGATTGAGATTTCACGCAGCAAACAGAAAATCCAGGGCTCACCAGGGTCTTCCTCATAAGGTTCCATTTTCGATGTTTATAATCAAGAAGAACAGAAGAATCGCTGTTGAAACTGGGGGTGCGAATGCTCACGGGGGAGAGAGAAGGGTGAAGCCATCTCCAAGCGAAGGGAGCTCAACGCGCGACACCGCGTTAATGGGGGCGCTAGTCCCAGAATAGTAATCGAGCCTTGGCGATGACTCGAGCATCGCCGACGGTCTGCTCTTCTTCTCTTTGCTTCTCCCACCTTTCCCTCTTCCCTTGACACTTTCCCCTCTTTTTCCCTTGGGGATCTGCTGCGTGTGGAGGACTTTTCTCTTTTCACCTCGACCTTCTCCCTTTGATCTCGGATCTTTCACCTGCGGTCGCAAGTACCATTCTGCCTCAACTTGCGCACCTCTCCATTTCCTCCACACCTCCCACCATTCCTTCCTTGTACTAATATTCGTTTTGACGAGTCACGCTTCTTTCCATCATGGGTGTTCCGAAATTCTTCCGTTGGCTGAGTGAGCGGTATCCGGCGATCTCGATGTTGATCGCAGAAAGCCGGATCCCCGAGTTTGACAGCCTATACCTGGATATGAACGGCATTATTCATAACTGTACACATAAAGACAGTGATTCCCCAACGTTTCGCATGACTGAGGAACAGATGTTCATTGCCATTTTCAACTATATCGAGCATTTGTTTGGCAAGATCAAGCCGAAGCAGTTGTTCTTTATGGCAGTGGATGGAGTCGCACCTCGCGCAAAAATGAACCAGCAGCGCGCACGCCGATTCCGGACAGCCCTCGACGCTGAGAATGCGAAGGAGAAGGCTATCCAGCAGGGACTCGAGATGCCCAAGGAAGACGCCTTTGACAGCAACTGCATTACCCCGGGTACCGAGTTCATGGCCAAGTTGACGCAACAACTGAAATACTTCATCAACAAGAAGATTTCAGAGGACACCGATTGGCAGGGCGTAGAAATCGTTCTGTCGGGCCATGAGGTTCCCGGAGAAGGAGAGCACAAGATCATGGAATACATCCGGCGCGCAAAAGCGCAACCTGACTACCACCCAAATGTCCGCCACTGTCTCTACGGCTTGGACGCCGATCTCATCATGCTGGGTCTCCTCAGCCACGACCCCCACTTCTGTCTTCTCCGAGAGGAGGTGACGTTTGGTCGCCAAGTACAGAAAAAGCCCAAAGAGCTTGAACATCAGAACTTCTACCTCTTGCACCTGAGTATGGTTCGGGAGTATCTGGAATTGGAGTTCCAAGAATTGGAACAAGAAGGGGCCCTGGACTTCCAGTTCGATATGGAACGTGTGATTGACGATTTCATTCTTATGGCCTTTTTTGTTGGCAACGATTTCTTGCCCAACTTGCCCAACCTTCACATCAACGAGGGCGCCCTTGCGCTCATGTTCAAAATTTACAAGGAGACGCTGCCGAAAATGGGTGGCTACATCAATGAACAGGGCGTGATCAACCTGCAACGCCTGGGGATGCTCGTGGATGCCCTAAGCCACGTCGAATACCGGTTCTTTGAGGCGGAATATTCGGATGCCCAGTGGATCAAGTCCAAGAAAAATGGAAACGATGGCACTCTGGAGCTGCAGCAGAGGCCGAAAGAGCTGACGCTCACTCCTGCCCAGAAGGAAATCCTCAAGATGATCAAGAAGTACGTGTTGAACCGACCTGGGAAGGCATCTGAACCGAAGCCGTTGGACTTCCCTCCGACGCTTCCTGCTCGCGATCGCAGCTTCGTGGAGCAACTTGCCGATGAGCTTCGACTGCCTTGGTCTACTACGGAGAACGAGAATGGTGATCGATTCATGAGACTCGAACTGCCTCAGACACAGAGCAACGATGATGACGACGATGATGACGAGGACGAGGAAGCATCGATGGCTGTTCAGCGTATCATCCGAAAGTATGAGAAAGCGAAGGTCCAAGAGATGACTCCCGAGGAGGCCCAGCAGGCTGCGGAGCAAAAGTATGAAACCAAATTCCAAGAGTGGAAAGATAACTACTATCGATCCAAATTTGGATGGGGCCTTGACAACCAGGAGGAGATGAGGAAGTTGACCGAGAACTACGTGCAAGGCTTGCAGTGGGTTTTGTTCTATTACTACCGCGGCATCGCGTCGTGGCCTTGGTTCTTCAACTACCACTATGCTCCCATGATATCTGGTAAGTGGACGTCCACAGATTTTGTCGCCGGTAGATTTGGCAGCTAATACTAGAACTAGATGTGATAAAAGGACTTGGCGCAGACATGAATTTCCAGTTGGGTCAGCCTTTCCGGCCTTATGATCAATTGATGGGTGTTTTGCCGGATCGCAGCAAAAAGATCGTCCCTCCCGCGTATTGGGATTTAATGACCTCACCTGAATCCCCCATTATTGATTTCTATCCCCGCGATTTCGACCTTGACATGAACGGGAAGAAGATGGAATGGGAGGCCGTTGTGAAAATCCCGTTCATTGACGAAAAGCGGTTGCTGGATGCGCTCAAAACCAAAAATCAGCTGCTGAGTCCTGACGAGAAAGCTAGAAATGACTTTGGAGTCAGCTTGAAGTTCACCTATTCCCCCGATGTGCAGTTTGTCTACCCTTCCTCGATGCCGGGAGTGTTCCCCGACCTTCCAAACTGCCATTGCGTTGAAAATGTGTTCGACCTTCCCACGATGGATGGTTTGGAGCCTTATGCAGGGTTGATGGAGGGTGTGCATTTGGGTGACGCGGCGTTGGCCGGATTTCCAAGTGTGAAGTTCCTGCCGCATGTCGGCCAGTTGGGATTCCACGGCGTCTGTGTATTCCAGCAGGAAAGCCGAAACGAAAGCCAGGTCATCACGCTCCTTGACCCGGGAAGTCGTTCAAATATTGAATTGGCCAAGACCAAACTTGGACAGCGAGTCCATGTTGGATACCCGTTCCTGCAGGAAGCACTCGTGATCCGTGTCTCGGATGAACTTTTTGACTACATCCTTCCCCCTGGGGAGCAACATGTTGTCTCCATCCCCCATACTCCTCAACAGATCGAGCAGTGGAAAAAGAAAGCAACCAAGATTGAAAGTACTTACAGCAAGCGACTGGGAATGATTGTCGGGGAGGTTGAATCCATGGTCCACATCCAGCTGCTCAAGGGCATGATCAAGACCGACGATGGTTCCACTATCAAGGAATTTGCCGATATGCCTGGGCAGGAGACCGACTATGCTCTTCAGGTGGTGGTTGATGATGTGGTCAACCCGGATGAGCGTTTTATTGAGCGGGAAGCCCTGCCCATCGAGGAGGAGTTCCCGGAGGGCTCGCGTGGTTTCTTCCTGGGCGACTTCAACTATGGAAGACCGGTACATATTACTGGCCACGACGAAGGGAAGGTGAATGGATTGATCGCGGCCGTGAAAGGCCGAGAGCCAGACTTCGCCAAGGACCGCGTCCGGGAGACCGAAAGATATTGCCCTTACATGCCATCGTATGCAATCGCGCGCAGTCTTCGTTTGAATCCCCTGGTCCTGGCCAAGATTACGTCTTCGTTCACTGTTGACGTCGAAGGCCAACGCGTGAACTTGGGTCTCAACCTGAAGTTCGAAGCGCGCAAGCAAAAGGTCCTTGGATACTCTCGTCGTGGCGATTCTGGCTGGGAGTTCAGCCAGAAAGCCATGGATCTTATTCAACAGTACATGATTAACTTCCCCGAGTTCATCGCGGGCATCCAACGCAACCCCCAGGGAGACCGCTATCGCCCAACTGACTTTTACCCGGAAGAGGTCGCTCAGTTGAAGGTGAAGGAAATTCGGGATTGGCTCAAGTCTATCGAGGCTAAGAACTTCGAGAGAGTGCCCCTTGACGCTGAGCAACTTGATTCCGATGTTGTTAAAATGATCGAGCAAGATGCCGATCGCCTCAACTTGGCTCAGCCGCAGATGCAACCGAAGAAGGTGCGCGGCGTCCCGCGGAGTGCTCTGCTTCGCCCGGCCGATGTTGAACACCGTCTTGGCAATCAAACCTTCAAACTCGGAGATCGGGTGGTCTACGCCCAAGACTCGGGCAAGGTACCAATCGCCACTCGTGGGACTGTGGTTGGTCTCACACGTACCTCGCGGACAGTCCTACTCGATGTGGTGTTCGATGTGTCGTTCATGAGTGGCACCACACTGGGTGACCGCTGCTCGCCGTTCCGCGGACAGACCGTCCTTGTGTCATCCGTTCTGAACCTCTCTCACCGCCAGCTGCTTGCAAGCTCTCGGGCCGCAACCAGCCAGCAAACCCAGCAGTGCCCGACGCCGCTGACCGTTGCCGGGTATGGTGCCCCTCTGGGACCCAACGGACAGGGTCAGCTGAAAAACGCCCCAGCCCCTCCGCCCCTGCGCGGCCCCTTCCGAGGCGCCATTGCTGGACAAAACAACGGGCCTTCTCGTGGCGGTCGGGGTGGATTGAGCAACGGCCAATCGACTACTCTGCCCTTCAGAACCCAAGCCAACGGCGGTCCTCCGCGAGGTCCTCGTGGTCGTGATGGCACCAATGGCACCCGAGGCGGCCGAGGACAACCCTACACCCGAGGTGGCTATGTGGCAGTTGAGAATGGCGATCCGGCTGAGGGCGTTGTTCAGCACAACCCGAACTTCCGAGCGCAGAACTATTCTCAAGTTCCGCCTCCGCAAGGACTTGACCAACGGCGCGGTCGTGGCCGGGGCCGTGGAAACGGAAATGGATACCGTGGCAGGGGTCGCGGACGCGGCGTACCTGTGAATGGTCAGTGATTGGAAGATGTTCAGAAAGGATTGATTGGAGACGAACATTGAATTTTCATTATTGTATGTGTACGAAACTTTTTGGGGTATGCGGTGGCACAGTCTACTAGATAGCCGGCATTGTCATGGCGATGCTCCTATTCACTGAAGAGAAACGCGCAATGGATTGATACCACCAGTCGATTTAGTTCACCGAGTTAGCATAAATTCTTCAATCTTCCCGCCCTGTTAGCTATCCCTCGAGTTCAAAACAACTAAAAATCCATTCATATTCCACCCTCTCGTTGAATTGACAAGACACCTCCACCATTAGATAGCCCCTGGTGACATTCCCCGACCTAAGCGACCTAAGCCACCCCAATAGTCCGCTCAATCGACCTCTTCCGCAACAGCACCGACGCCGACATGTCCGGGATAATGTGCTCGCCGACAACCAGATTAGCGGGTCTTTTCCCAGCCTGGTCTTCCTCTAATTTGAAGTCGTACTCCGAGATAATCCGGCTCAGGATGGCTTTGAGGGTGTTCGACGCAAAGAACCGGCCGGGGCACGCCTGGCGCCCGAATCCAAAGTGCATGCTGACGGGACTGATCGAGACGAAGCTGGATGCTGTGGGTGTGGGGGTTGCTGGGGTTTTTGTTAGGTGTGGTCTTTCGTTTTCGCTGGTGCTATCGTGGATGGTTGCGCTGGGTGAAGTGAGGGCGTTTCGGTCTGAGGCGTCTGGGCACCATCGGAATCCGTCGAATTTGTCTGGGTTGCGAATGAAGGAGGCGTCTTTGCTCATGGGCCCTGCGGCGAAGCAGATATGTGTTCCCTTGGGCAGGACAAGGCCGTCGGAGAGGGCGAGAGGCTCTTTGATCATGCGGTGGAAGGATACTGTAAATATCGAGTTAGTGGACCTTGTTCCCTCTTCTCTCTATCTCTCTATCTCTCTTTTGCTGGACGAGACAGGAATGGGCTTGTCAAAGGTTTTCTTTAAGGGCCGCTTACATTCACCCGGAGGATTGAACCGCTGCGACTCGCGCAAGAAGCTATCCAGCCGACGCTGCGCAACGAGCGACGTCTGCGTAGCATTCTCCCATCCATCACTCAAAGTGCGCCGGATCTCTTCACGCAGTGGATCTAGATACTCGGGCATGAGAATCAGATCATAAAGCGCATGGCACAAAGCCATGGAGCTGGTATGCACGACAGCCAGACTCATGAGGAGCAGCATATGATGAGCAAGCAGCTCCGGGTCCTGGTCCTGTCCCTCCTCAGCCATATCCATCATCCACTGCAGGAAATCGTCCGGCTTCACGTACGCCGGGTCAGCGGCCTGCTCGGCGGCTCGGCGTTCGCGGATCATCGGGATGAACAGGCTCTTGACGAAACGCAGCTGCTGTTTCATTTGGCGCACTGATGGCAGGAAGGGCGCGACCAATGGCCGGAAGAATGTTGGGCATGGACGAAGTAGGAATATCGTGATTCCTACGTTCACGGAGTACTGGCTTGCGGTGTTTAGCCATTCTTCGTTGCGGCGGAGTGTATCGCCGGCGACGACGCGTGATGTGGCTCGGGCGATGAGCTGAACGAACATCTCGTGCGGCTTGACTTTGATCCAATCATCTATTCATTCATGGAAATCATAGCTTAGTCTATGTTTTCTTTCTTGGGGGTGTAATTTGCGGTGACTGACCTTCGCATTCTGGGATAGCCGAGTCGAAGGCATATCGGAGCTCATCAATGACCCAGGGAACAATTCGACCTGTTCGATTTCCAATGGTAGATCAATATCAAGATTCCCCCATATTATGTGATAAAAAAACTGTCTGATAAATACCTAGCCCAGGAGTCAAGCGCTTTCGAACCGTGGCTGAGGGTAAGCCACTATTAACGAGGATATTTGTATAGTCACCCAACGCATTCTGCTGATCTATGAGCAACGAGACACCAACCCACAAATAATACTCCGACCAGAAAGGGACTGACTTCATATTGGGCATCCAGGGAGCTAATAACTGATGGAGGCAGATTGCGAAGCTCATCCAAATACTTGACCGGCAAAACAGTGAGTGCTCCATCTGCCGTGAGCATGCGGAAGGGAGTATCTTTGTACTGTAGTACTTGTTCAACGCGGCCCACTAACACACACGAGCAACTGCAAATCCAAGGCAAAATGTGAGACAAACCTTTTCATAACCTCGATAGATCAGGCAAGCAGCTTTGGGATAATAGAGGAGCCGATTGAAAATGGCCGGCGTCCAGGCGTAGTACTTGAGGGTGGGGATTCGCTTGATATTGGTATCCCCTGACCGTTGTAGCAGAAGGAACGCCACAAAAAACGCCCCTACCAGGGACAAGGCAATTGAGTCAACCATCTGGTAGTTCATTGGGGGTGGATTCGGTCCTGCAGCAGAGAAAAGGTGTGGAGCAGAGGGAGGTAGAAAGACGGGTTTCCAGGTCCCTGGGATTCGGTGGACAGATGAAGGGAAGCTCACAAGAAGATGATGGAAGGTGGCACAGGATGGCATTGGATAGGATTTGGTGGTACTCAGAGAGTAGAAATGGGTTTTCAAGAGAAGAGGCGTGGGAAAACCCCTAAGCGACCAGACAAAGAAAAGCCGCTTTGTTCACAAACGTCAAACGCAAGACCCGGCGATCCCCCATTTTATTTTCGGTCCAGATTATATACAAAACGCCAAGCGCAGATGCAACTAGACATACAAGGAGATACAAGAAATCATGGAAATCATTCAAGCCCAATCCACTCGCCCTCTCCATCATCCGCTTCCTCCATCTGGTCATCGAGCCCGTCCATTTCCCCGGAATCGGTGGCCATCAGAGCGTTCGTAGGTTTTTTCTTTGCAAGCACAGGCTGCGAGAGCAGGTAATTCAAATCATAGAGGTTCTTTTCGGTCATCCACTTCAGGTTTTCTCGGATATCATCGATGGCTCGCTGGACGGCGCGCAGCTCAGGAGCAAACGTTCCTGAGTTATCTTTAAGGTAACGGCCGTGACTTCCGAAGAGTGATTCAATCCACATCAGGTTAAATTCGAGATGGGGGGTTTCTTCTGCAGCATGGGCAACGAAGCGGAGGAGACGAGGTAAATAGACCGTGGGCACCGTGCGAACCACAAGTGGAATATCCGATGGAGGAATGGCCTCATACACGGCGCGAATGAGCTTGGACTCGTTCAACCGGAAGGACATGATAAGGGCTTTCAGGAACGTATTGTCATCGTCAACGGTGTCGGATGCGGCAGCCTTCTTCGCCGCATCAAGGGTGGCAAGGATGGTCGACGGAGTGATCGTGATATCAAGATCGAAGGGGTCAAAAATGAAATCCGTATCCAAGCTGTAAATCAATAGTCCCTCCGTGGAGGCAGCGCAGAAGGCCCGACCAGTCGGCGCAAAATCGACCGACGTGACCCGCACCTCTGGGCGGGTCGTGCGAGCGCCGGCATCGCCGCGCTTCGCACCAGGAAGGGTGCGATCAACTCGGTCCTCCAAGTCAGATGCTTCACCCGTCTCATCAATGAGCGCGCGGGGTCCGGCTTCTGTCAGGTCACGGCTGTTCAGGATCTCCTGAGTGCCATCAATGGACGTGTTCACCGAGATTGTAAATTTCTTGACCAATGACCCTGTCCCCACATCATACAAGCAAATGTACTTGCTGTTCCCGCCAGCCAAAATGCAGCTGCCATCCGCGCTGTACGTGATTCGGTTGAACGATTTGGTTCCGGCGACGTTGGCTGCGGTCCGGCGATCCGACACTTTTCGTCCGCCAGAGACATCGCGGCGGCCATCGATCCCTCCTTCTTGCACAGCGTCATGGACAGACCAGAAGGAGAGCTGTCCGTCAAGAGTAGAGGCCGCGACCTGTTTCCCGTCGGGGCGGAAGGCGACGCTCAAAACATCCGATACCAGCTGCAGAGGCTCGCTGGTTTGCGTCCTGCCAAAAATACTCCAGATTCGGACCGTGTGATCCCAGCTTCCACTGACCAGATGATTACCATCTGAAGCAAATGCAAGAGTAGAAACCGGGCCCTCGTGACCGGAAAGCTGATCGAGCAATTGACCCGTCTGCACCGACCACACATGAATGTCAAATGAGTCCGGTGAGCCAGCACAAATCACTTCACCAGTTGGATCCACTGCTAGCGAGGAAAATGACAGCCGCGACGGCGCAGTAAAGGTTCGGAAATTGCGGTAGCGGATCAAATCCCAAGCTCGGATAGAGCCATCCAAGGATGCCGTGAACAAGACATTTCCTTTCTTGGCAAATTCGCACGCAGTCACTCCGCTGGTGTGTTCCGTAAAGGTCACAATGCAGAATCCCGACTTGACATCCCACACCTTGACCTTGCCGTCATCGGCAGTCGTGACGATCTTCTGACCATCTGGCGAATAGACGAGGGCATTCATGGATTCTAAATGCCCTTGCTGCTTCAAAATGTATGACTCGGATTGCCATTCCCAGACCAGCAGCTGGCCATGCTTGGATGAGCCGAACGCCAGCCACTCTCCGGTTTGGTTGATTGTTACGACATCAATGTTGCTCTGGGAGACACTATAGAACGAGGCCAGTCAGTAAATGAAATCGGGGAAGATATTTGGGTATGCATACCTCAGAAGATGGATCATGTTGAACTCAGGCAGGTCATATAGCCCAAATAGACCGTTTGAGAACCCCACCACCAAGAAGTTGGATGGGGCGTGGAATGCGGCGCAATTAACTTTGGCGTTATTCTGCATGAAAAAGTCCTTCTTCACAATTCTCCAGCGGGCATCTGCGATATCTTCCATCGTATCTGGATCCTTCTTCGCCACATATTCCCAACGAAACAGAGCGCCATCTTGGCTTACGGTATAGATCTGCAGGCGGAATTAGGACCAAGCTGTGACAATAGCGTTCCAGCAGCGACTTACCAGTTCTTGATTTCCAGAGAAGTATGCAGCCACCACGCCCTGCCGGTGACCTGCCAGAGTGGTCGGTTCAAATCCCTCCTCGGGATCCAAGCTCCATACTCGCGCTGTCAAATCCCGAGAAGCCGTGAGTAGGAACCGCGAATCGCTGGACCATTCAATGTTGAGCACGGAGTCGAAGTGGGCAGCGAGGTCTCGGTGGAGAACAAAGGGGGCGAATTCAATCTCGCCATTGGTTTCGGTACCGGGGGTGGAGGGGGTCTGCCAAATCTGCAAGCGCCGTCCCACGCCAACTGCGAAGTGTCGCCCAGACGGGGAGAACTTGAGCGCAGTCACACGCGATTTGAAAGAAAAGTGGTGTAGCGCAATGCGCCGATGGAAATTGGTCAGGATTGCCCGGCCATTCTCGTCGACGGTCAACAGCAAATTACCCCTCGGCGATAGATCGAGACGGTCGATGTTGGTGCGGTGCGCGAAGGGCAGGGTATACGAAGTATTGCTAGAGATATGATAAGCTTTTTACCCATAGTCATGAGTTGTCAATCCCGGGCAAAACGTACTGTACAAGATCAAAAACCGAGACTCGATTGCCCACAGGCGAGAGCAAGCAAGTGCCATCGGGAGTGAAGAGCAGGTTTCCCTTGCGGTAAACAGTCCCCAGCAAATTGGAGAACTAAAAGCAGTCAGCAATAATCCAGCTAGGCATTTCAATCCACACACACCTTGAAATCAGTCTTCATTTTCACACAAATTGGCACGCTCTGCCAGCTTCATCCAGCTTCGAAAAATTAAAGCGATAAGGACCTCGGATCAGCGATGTTCCGTTCCAGTCTCAATCAGGCCTAGTGCGGCGCTAACCCAGATAGGCAAGGCGAGCTATACTCCAGAAAACGAAAGGAGATTCAGGGGGAAGCAGCGATGCGGTGCACGTCTGCCCTTCTTCCTCCTTCCCATCCCGAGTTGTCCCATTCTCTCTCGGTGTTTTCCCGTTGAAGGGGCCATTTTCTCCTCTTTCTTTTCCCTCCCTTTTTTTCCATTCCTCGTCTCCCTATCACCCCACCACCATGTCGACAACGGAGACTGCCTCGCCCATTGGCATTGCCAATGTAAGTCTGGATAACTGCAGCGGATTGATTTGGGCTCAATGGCTAATCTCTATTCTTTTTCTACAGCTCCCAAACCAGCGGTGTGTATCTCCGGAGATTCGATGGCTGAGAATAGTGGGAAACGAAGATTCTAATGGGACTGGATAGGCACAAGATTGTTGCGAAGCGGGGTGCGGCGTTCACTATTATGGTGTGTTCCATCGTGGATGTCTTATTGGAAGTGTTTCGAGGTTAACCATGCTTTCTGCAGGTTGCGGGAGAGTCGGGACTGGGAAAAACGACCTTCATCAACACCCTGTTCTCCACCACCATTAAGAACTACGCCGACCACAAGCGCCGCCACCAGAAGCAGATTGACCGCACTGTCGAGATTGAGATCACCAAGGCTGAGCTCGAGGAGAAGTTCTTCAAAGGTTCGCTGGCACTGGTTTTGTTTGTGTCTATTATTTTTTCGCATATCTCCGCTGATCACTTTTCTTCCTTCCAGTCCGTCTGACTGTCATCGATACCCCCGGCTTTGGCGACTATGTCAACAACCGTGACTCGTGGCAACCTATCATCGAGTTCCTGGATGACCAGCACGAGTCGTACATGCTCCAGGAGCAGCAGCCCCGCCGGACGGACAAGATTGACATGCGCGTTCACGCTTGCCTGTACTTCATCCGACCCACCGGACACACCCTGAAGCCCCTGGATATTGAGGTCATGAAACGTCTGAGCTCTCGTGTCAACTTGATCCCCGTCGTTGCCAAGGCTGATACCCTGAGCCATGCCGACCTGGTCCGCTACAAGGAGCGAGTGAGTTGGAATCGGTGCCAAGGAATAATTGAAGCGAGTTCGAAGCTAACGAACGACTAGATTCGCGCTGTGATCGAGGCCCAGGGCATCAAGATTTACACTCCGCCCGTCGAGGAGGACGATGAGCACGCAGCCTCCCACGCCCGCAGTCTCATGGCCGCCATGCCTTTCTCGGTCATCGGTTCGGAGAAGGACGTCAAGGCTAACGATGGACGTGTCGTCAAGGGCCGTCAGTACGCCTGGGGTGTTGCCGAGGTGGAGAACGAGGACCACTGCGATTTCAAGAAGCTCCGTTCTATCCTGGTCCGCACCCACATGCTGGACCTTATCCACACGACCGAGGAATCGCACTACGAGGCCTACCGTGCCCAGCAGATGGAGACGCGCAAGTTCGGCGAGGCCCGGCCGCGCAAGCTCGACAACCCCAAATTCAAGGAAGAAGAGGAGACTCTGCGCAAACGCTTCACCGAGCAGGTCAAGGTCGAGGAGGGCCGCTTCCGCCAGTGGGAGCAGAAGCTCATCTCCGAGCGAGACCGACTCAACAAGGACCTCGAGGCCACCCACGCTGCGTATGTTTACTGGTTCTCATCTTATATTTGGGGTGTATGTTTACTGACCTGTTAATAGGATCAAATCACTGGAACAGGAGATCGAAAACCTGCAGGGCTCCAGCACCCGCAGCCACGGACGTCGCTAGGAAATTCGGCTGTCAAAAGGGGAGTAGGCGAACCATGCATGCTCTCGTTCTTTTCTTCTCTTGAGTACCCTATGTCTTGCTTCGCGCTTAGGAGGGCGCACCTTGGCCTCGATGGGCTGGTTCGTTTTTGTTCTGTTATATCCATTTACCGCTGGTAGCTAGCGATGGTGTCTACATCCTTTGATAATAACCTCTTCCTGTGTTCCGTAGCGCGCAAAAAAATGCAGGGTTAATCCTTTCAAGTCTGGTATAGTGTACTTAGGGCGCAACGAGTATATATAGTGCTCTGGGGGCACAGTCTTCAGGGATATATGTCTTGTTACATACTGTAGTTCTTGAAACTATTCTATGTCATTCATGTTTTTTTCTTTAATTTGCAATTTCTTGTTATAATTATCAACCCGTGCTCTTCAGATCCAGCCGCGCGAAGCATGGGCGCAGGCCATGTGTAACCCTTCGAAGGTAGCTGGGTGGAGCTGGAGCTCCGAGCGCATAACCAAGGCTGTTGATCCCGCCAATTCTTGATTTTACTCTCCAATGCAACGGCCATGCCGCCAAAACTTCCAACTCAGACCCTCCACACCCTAAAAACACATAACGGTAAGCCGATTCTATATGAGTACAGCTCGCAAGGAGGTCAGAGTCCCCCCTAACAAGCCGCTTTTCTGGTCCCGCAGGGCCCGTCAATGCCGTGACTTTCTCCAGCTCCCCCGGCACATACCTGCTGACGGGGTCTTCAGACCGCGCCGTTCATCTTTCGCGCGCGGTGCCTACCAATTCCGACAGCTTGACGGTCCCGGAAACGACCTCCCCGATCCAACGGTATGAAGCGCATGGGTATTCAGTTCTGGACGTAGCCGTCACCGCCGACAATGCGCGCTTCGCCAGCGTGGGAGGCGACCGCCAGGTATTTTTGTGGGATGTCGAGCAAGGAGCCACGACCAGGAGATGGGGTGGACATAATGCCCGGGTAGAAGCTGTTCAATTCGCGGGCGAAGGTGACGCGGTAGTCGTCACCGGTATGTTATGCGTTTCAAAAAACTTCTACTGCTTGCATTTATCCTGCTCGAATGGTACTGATCTTCCTCGTTCTTCAAAACAGGCAGCGCAGACACGACCATTAATCTCTGGGACGCCCGTTCCAATGCCCACAAGCCCATCCAGACACTCACGGAGGCGAGTGACACCGTCTCGAGTCTCCACGTGCACATGTCGACATACTCGATCGCCAGCGGGAGCTACGATGGCCATGTACGTGTATACGATGTTCGCATGGGGAAAACAACCGTCGACGTGCTTGCGCATCCGGTAACGAGCGTCCGTTGTTCGGCGGATGGAAATACAGTATTGGTTTCCACGCTGGATAACCACATTCGGTTGCTGGACCGAGCAGACGGAAATCTGCTTGCTGCCTTTGGTGAGCCAGCAAAGCGGGAAGAACGGCCTTCGCTTGGCCTCGGTGGCATGACAAGACCTCGTCACACCTATCGGAACACCGAGCTACGAGTTCGTTCGGTACTTGCCAAGGGCGACGCAGTGGTTCTGAGTGGAAGTGAAGGTGCACAGAGCAATGCGGTCGGCCTCGGAGCAGCCGTTTTTGCCTGGGATGTGCTGAGTGGAGAAATGATTGCCACGGTGCCGATGGGGGAGAAGGTCAAGGCCGTGAGTTGTGTGGCGTGGAATGAGAAAGGAGGCTGCTGGGCGGGTGCATGCTCTGATGGTAAGAAGGGAAGCATTCCCCAAAGGTTACTGGTTATATTAACAACCGTTCAAGGAACTGTCCGAGTTTATGGCTGAGGATGTGCCATCGCAAGACGCTCATCTGCAAGTATTTGACTTGCTTCGAAGCCAAAAACACCCTCCCTTTATCCCATGCTTCTATACGTAGGATCACTACCGCAGCATTCCCCATGAGATTGTCTTCTACGGCCTGCTCATGCTGAAACGGGGCCGCAATGCCACGACAAGGTCGTCCAAAGACTGTCCACAGGACTATAAGTCCTTGCCTGCCTTCATGCCTCCCCAGTTATCGGTGCCAGGCCCCTCGTTCCAGGTGGAAAACGAAGGCTGCAAGTTCCTGAGGTATTATGCACCACCTGGTCTTCGGAGGATTTGCTTCCACCGAGTCTTGTTTTCCACTCAAGCTGGGAGCCCTTGCTATCGTCGAGGTGCAGCCCATAATTGTGCTGCGGGACTCTTGGTTTTATCAGCGAGTCTGTCGCATCATTGACTTAGAACTCAGTTGACGATGCGATCGTTGGAGAACTGGGATTCTACTTTATCTCCAACGAGCACAACTCGACCTTGTATGTCCACAAAGCGATTCGGGTTGCATTCTCGCCCATAGCATCCGTGTATGTAAATGAATCTTCTATATTCTTCCAATCAACTCCCTGTGCAGGTTGTATCATATAATTGCATGATTGATAAGTATACCTATCTGGCAAAACATCATACCAGGACATTGAGAGACATGCTTAAAAACAGAAGACATGATCAAATCTCAACCGTGCAAGCGAAGCTTTTCCAATACCGGAACTCGAAAGCAATAAAAAGGCACAAGCAATGTACGTGTACAAGAATAAAATAATAAAATATAGCATAAAGACTTTTTCTCCTTCCAACACCAACATGCAGCATGCATAAAAGATCATGGGAACATCAATCCAGATTTTTCATGTAAATCAAACAAAGAGACTTCATGCACTCACAGAGGGAGCCTCATAATCCAGCGGTGCATCTTCAGGACGAGGCTCCTGCATCTTCTCTGCCTCCAACGCGTCAATGGCACGACGGAGTTCATCCTCGCCGACGATGATAGTTCCAGCACGGGCAGTGCTAAGGAAGCTAATCTCGACAGCATCGGAAGAGAAGTCCAGGTCTGGCTTGAGATGATGGGTGGATTGGGGCGCGGACGTTAGATTGTGAGCAGGGGACGGCGACTTCTTGTCTGCAGAAGTGAGAGCCAAGCGAGTCCCGAAAGTGTCGAAGAGTGCGGGCACAGATCCAATGACACTGCTCTCGTGGCTACCGACGAGGCTAGTGTCGCTGGTGTGGTTGCTCTCATGCGCGGTGTGCTTAGCAGCTTCTGCAAGTCTGCCAGCTACACCGCACACGATACCCGTGGCCTCGAGGGAGAGATCGCGCAGATCGAGCATGATGGGAATGAGGTAGTCTTCCTTGGAGCCTAGGAGCAGACCCGAGCCGTCTTCGTAGTCTTGATGAGAGGAAGTATGACGGGCAAAGCGGGGGAGAAGCCGCGCCTCAAGCAGCAATGATGCTGCAGGGTCCAGATCGGCAAGAGTCAGAGAAAGAAAGCGTGGTTCATCGATTAATAGAACAGTGGTGAGGGCATCGCGTAGAATAGACATGGAGCTTTCTTCGCGATGGTACTGGTGGTGCGCAGCGCATTGGACCAGACGGAGGCTGTCATCCACGTAGGGCGAGATCTGGCGTTTGCGAAGACTCTCAAAAGTGCGTGTTTGTAGCTCACTCAATGTGGATGGTGGTGGGGTGACCGGGGGGAAGAGACTACTCAGGCGTCGTTCCGTGGTCGGGCTGAGAGGGTTGTTGACAAAAGTGTCTGTGGCGTTATCAAATTGAAACCCACGGCTCTCCAGCGCGGTCATGACGCTGTTCTTGCTATGAAGGGGCACAAGAATATAGTCCGAGAAATAGGTGGAAATGAAAAAGATGGAGCTACAAGACCAGATTAGCACGAGCCCATCCAGTTTAAGTCTTGGTGACCACGTACATTCCGGCCAGTGCGAGCGGGCTGGTCAGTTCCAAAACACGCTTTCCAGCCTCGAGGCCTTGACCGAGGACTTGCATGGCAATATAATCATTCTCGCTCACGACTAGGCGATCCCGCAGGGAGCCGTCCAGGTGACCGAGTTGATCCATCAGAGGCACGAAGTATTTGTCGACTAGGCGTCGAGGACAAATGATAGAAACTTCCACTGGGGTGATAGAGACATTCAGGAATGCCGGCTGTCTGCTCAAATTCTTCTCAGAGTGATATTCAATATCGTCGAGGATATCATCATCATTCTCTTCCCTTTCGTCCAGCGGAGTGATTTCATCAAAGATCAATCGCAGCACCGGCTTTAGGAAGTACGGGTAAAGCTCCAGAGGAATGTGCACGAGCACCAGCCGTTCCTCCTGGGATTTTAATCAGTATTCCCTGTTTGAAGGTAGGAGAATTGTTGACTTGCTCACCAGGAAGTGCACCTGAGCATCAATCAGAGTTATCGATTGATCCATTTTAAACGTCGAAACCCGTCTTCCGGGTCAAATCAATGTTCCCAGTCACAGAAGTATCGATCGAGTCAAAGGAACTCCAATGCAGAAGCTCTTCGGTTTCGTTTCTTTTTGATCTTCAGGGACCCCCACGCAGACATGGTGTAGGGCAATTACGCCATTGCAGCCGAGGATACAATGATTGGGACTGAAGTGGACGCCAGCTCACGCAAGGGACATTGCGTCAGTCACAGATTCAAGCACGAGCGTAGTAGGAATGGAAATGTCGAAAGAGCACAAGAAATAAATGAGTCAATGTCTAATGAAAGAGAGGGGCGAAGGCGAAGAAAAAAAAAAAGGCTGAGAGTCACCGAGATAAAGAAAACGCAGACAACGTGACCACCTTCACCCTCGTCCATTTTTTTCCCTCACTCTTTTTTTTCTTCTTCACACTTCCTCATTTTTCGCCCTGCCACTTATCGCCAAGGCCCGAGTCCTTACCAAATGGGTTCGTGCAAATCCTCCTTTATCTCGAGACTCCACAGCTTATCAGCCCTGATCTGCCCCGCGCTAGACGCTACCGGTTACGCACGGATGTCGTGCATTGGGTACCTGAGAGCATATGCGGGGACGAAGGAGGACGAAGGTCGACAGCCGGTGCTTTTTCCGGTGCTTTCCGGAAGTCCTATCAATGCGGGGAATCATGGCTCGTGCAATAGAACGCGCTGACTTTATCTTTCTGCATATCCTGACGACTGATCCTTTCCACGTCATGCAGCCTCTTTCAACGTGGATATGCAACTGCCTGTGTTGAGACATACATACAACAATTTGAACGACTAGAGCGGCAATGAGATATTCTCTTTCCTTTATCCAATTCCTACCTTGTGGATTCGACAGCAGATCAGGAAGAATGGCCCACGAAAGAATCAAGTCCACGGTGGAGACATTACACAGATGAGTGTCCACTCATTTCTTTCAAGGTTCATTTTCAGTGATGAACAGTGAATCGAGAAAAAGGACCTAAGTGACCAGAACTTGGGCTAAATGCCCTGGAAATATATACACCCAAGCTGGTGGGTGGCAGGGATGTAATTTTCGAGATGGCAAGACTTGAGCCACATCCACCGGTGGTCGTTCTATATCTTTGCTGTGTCACTACTATCGCTCGACTCTAGCGATGACTGAAACAAATCCAACACATTGAGTCAGCCAGTCAATTCCATGGCTTCAAAGCACTGTTTACTTTATACTTGGGTTGGTGACCTGGCATGCTACCCCTTGCGGCACTGTTCAGGAACAAACGACCGGCTTTGGTGATCCCATCTGCATTCCAGTTCAGCGAGTCCGCATGCGGAATTCTTCAATGGAAAACAAAGGCTACCCGAGGCCAAGGAGGTGCCTGCTCTCCCTATGAGGTGCTGTGTTTTCGTGGCCCTTGAATGGTTGCGGAAATGACATTGCCCGGACACGGAAATAGGGTCAATTTCCAACAGCATACCAAAGCCCCTACTGCAGATCAAACAGAGAGGCATGGTTTCTTCTTAAAAGAAGCCCGACTCTTTTCGCTCGCATTTCTCGAGCATCCCAGCACAGCGGCCGACTTGCGCTGATTTTAGTCGACAACCTCGTTCGTTTATATTTTGTGGTGTTTTTGTTTTGAATTTGACGTTCGTTAATTGGCATCTAAGACGCTCTTTTGCAAGAAATCTGTTATTCCTCGACTTCTCGCTGTCGCTCTTCATTCGTTTGATGACCAGGTTCAATGTATAAATTGAGCTTGGTTTTTCTGGCCACTTGGATCGCCCAGCTTGTGGCGGCCAAGGATGTCCACCTCGACTGGAATGTCACTTGGGTCAACGCGGCTCCAGATGGCTTCGAGCGGCCAGTGATTGGCATCAACGGCCAGTGGCCATGTCCACAGGTCGACGTGGATGTCGGTGATCGTTTGATCGTGAATGTGTACAACGGCCTTGGAAATCAGTCCACGGGCGTCCACTGGCACGGATTCCACCAGTACCACAGCGGCGTGATGGACGGGGCAACCGGTGTCACGCAGTGTCCCATTGCCCCGGGCCAGCACATGCAGTACAACTTCGAGGTAAGTTTTCTGCTTCCTGGGAGATAGATGTAGATGCTAATGAAACCCCGAAGGCCAACCAAACCGGCACTTACTGGTACCACTCGCACAACATGGGCCAGTACCCCGATGGGTTCCGCGGTGCGTTGATCGTGCATGATCCGTCGCCGCCATTTCACTTCGACGATGAGTTCACCATCACCTTGAGTGACTGGAACCATCGCCAGATGCCGGATCTCCTGAACGAGTACGAGTCGCAGGAGAATGAGAAGGCGTTCCATGGCCGCGAGCCTCTTCCCGACTCTGCATTGATCAACGACTCAACCAACACCAAGATCAAGGTCGAGCCCAACAAGACCTACTTGGTCCATGTGATCTGCGTCGGAAACTTCCCTGGCCACACCTGGGTGTTCGATGGCCATGACATGACCGTGGTTGAAGTGGACGGAGTCTACGTCGAGCCGTACCAAGCCAAAGACAAGTTCCTGCGTATCGCAACTGGACAGCGCACCAGCGTTCTGATCCACACCAAGCCTGACACCAGCAAGAACTTTGCTATTTGGGACACGATGGACGTGAACATGATGTTTGTCTACGAGCATCGCGACATTCCCGCCAACTACAATCCCAATGTCACAGCCTGGCTTGTGTACGACGAAGCGCAGCCCCTACCTGCTCCGCCGCAGTTCCCAGGATTTGAATTTGTGGATGACCTCGCCTTCGTGCCGAAGGACCACGAGCCGCTGCTGCAGCCCGTCGACCACCAGATTGTGCTGGACACATTCAGTAAGGAAATCAACGGCGTTACGCGGTACACTATCAACAACGAGACCTACCTGCCCCCGGAGGTGCCAACCATCTATACTGCCAATACCATTAGACCCGACCTGGTCTCCAACCCGAAGGTGTATGGCCATGTCAACCCTATTGTGGTCAAATACGGTCAGGTGGTAGAGATTGTCATTAACAATCATCACCCCAACCTCCACCCGTGGCACTTGCACGGCCACCATTTCCAGGTTCTTCAGAGATCAGCCGTCGATGGTGGCTACTTCAGTGGTTACTACAAGAACGTCTCGTCGACCCCCGTCCGACGCGACACCATCATGGTCCAGAACAACGGCCATGTCGTTATTCGCTTCCGTGCTGACAATCCAGATAAGTGATCCTCTTCTGTATAAATACTTCTTTGATGCTGACTTTGCTTTTACGAGTCTGGATGCTCCACTGCCACATCGAGTGGCACGTCGAGGCTGGCCTGATGGCCACACTTATCGAGGCACCCGAGACGTTCCCCAACTCCCTCGAGGCACCTCCGAAGGACCACTACGATGTCTGCGCCGCGTACCCTCAGCCTATCAACGGTAATGCTGCCGGCAAACAGGGCCTGGACCTCGGCGGTGCCAACACAGTTGTTGGGGTCGGAAATCATGGGTATGTAGAAGCTCTCCATGCAAGGAATTGCTGTGCTAATCAATTCCAGTGCTATGTACCCGCCGCCGGACCAAAAGCCCGCCCCGGGTGAGCCCGAGCCTGAGTATGTGAACATTTCCAGCCTCAACATTCCACTATCTTGATCAAGTCACTGACTTCGCCTACAGGGACCCTCAGCCCTCATCGCAGCCACCGCCACCCGAACCAACAGCTACCAAGCCCAACCCGCCGCACACTCCTCATGCTAAGCCGCCGAAGCCTCAGTCGCCCGAGCCCCAGGAACCCAAACCACAGCCTCCTGCTCCCCAAGAGCCCGCTCCTCAGCAGGCCCCGGCCCCTCACCCCGAGCCTTACGCTCCTCAGTACTACCCATTCCCGGTTTCTCCGCCTCCTCCGCCGCCTCATGAGCAGGATGTCCATGTGCACTCGGGAGACGCCAAGTAAGTGACAGCATTGGAATCTTCATATGTACAGCTCTAATTCTTCCATCTTAGCCTACCATGGCCTCGGCCTAACACCGACGAGGGGCACGCCCAGGTCAATGATCACCCCATTGGCCCCCACAACCCCGCTGATGATAAGCCTATCGTTGCTCACAGCGAGGATCCGAAGTAAGTCCTTCTCCCTCCAGATGCCAGAAGTCTGTCTAACCGGCACCAGGGGCCCATGGCCACACCCATACAAGAACAAGGGGTATGTTCTGGATGGAGACCACCACATCAAGACCCACGATTCGGGGTAAGTCTAGCACGTTATTAGCGTCGACTGGCTTTTTGCTAACCGCGATATCTAGGGCCGATGATCTCCCCCACGGCTGGAAGTACTATGAGCAGTACGAGCATGGGCAGTAGACTGCTTCAATCTTCTGGAACTTCAAAAGAGCTTGTATATAAGCTTCTTTCCTTATGTCTGATTGGCAAGGGTAATGATAATTCTAATCTCAGTTGAATTGTTCCTAGCAGCAAAATGGCAGGGGTTCTAGTCAACACAGTTTAGATACTCTTCGAGTAGCAGAATTGATCTCAACAAGTTGACATCCCTCCACAACATACACTACCCGTCCAAAAGTCTGCCGACACTCACTATTATTCCCCGTAAAACTTGATGATTTTAATCATAAATATCTTAACAAATTTATATGATATACTATTTTTTAATTATTTTTCAACATTAAATAATTGGTAGGCAATTAACTTTTGTGTATAATACTTTTTGTTTAGACTTTTTCTTAAAGGGCTGTAGGTCGTCAAAGATAGGTAAAATTGAGAAAATCTATTTTTTGTATAGGAACACTAACAAAAATTTCGAAAAATTTTGCCCGATTTCAGACTTTCTATTTTAAACTACCGTTTTATAGATTTAGATATAATATATCAAGTAATATATAGTTCCTACTAATTAAATAATTCGCTTTTCAAAAATATAATTTATATATATATATATATTTATCTATAATTTTAGAGAGATATTATAGCTTAAAGTTAGTCGGTCGGATTTTAGCGATTTTGATTAAAAGCAAGATATTTTAGATATAATAAATTTTTATAATTAAAAAAAGTAGAGATATATATAATTTTTATATTAATATTATACATATATATATATATATATATATCATAGAAATATATTATCTATTTCCGTTGAGATATTCAAGTTTAAAATTTTGTAATTTATTGGAATTTGTAGCGTCGGCAGACTTTTGGCACCCGTTGTACCATATTACATTTCCCAGTGGTACTTTGATCTCAAGATCATTTCAGATTCAGAGAAGTCACAAGAGAAGCTCAATCCAACCCCCTAAAAACATCCTCAAACCGCAGCTCATTCCACCGCACATTCGGCTTCAGCCCCGCAAACTTCCACACCCCATCCACCTTGCGATAGTAATGCTCATTCGTCGCATGCGAGTGCCCCCGCAGCTTGACCTCCGTCAGTCCATCATCCGTGTACACCTGGTGCGCCGCGCGCAGCTGGTGGTGCCCGATCACCTCGGTGTCGGAGATCTTCTCCCACCACGTCTGGCCCAGCAGATGCTGCGTCTTGATGGTTGGGTCGCCCAGGAACCCCGGGTGCGTCACCATCGCCATGTACTCGTCGGCTTTCATGTCGTCCCATCTCTTGAGACCGATTTTGGTGTAGTCGACCTGTTAAAGAGAGAAAAAGGAAAGAATGTTAAGTTTGGGCTCGCGTATGCATTGCTTTGCTGTTGGACTTACTGTCATTGTTGGCGCGATGATGCTGCGCAGACGATCCCAGTCCTAGACAAACGCTGTTAGAACTACATCATCTGCACCTAGTGGTAGGTACGTACCTTGGCATCGTAGCTGTCGGCCCAGTCGAAGACGAGCTTCGAGAGGATCAAGTAGTCTGTCAAGGTCAGTTTACGTGCCTGGGTAAATGGCATGGATGATGGAAACTGACCTTGGAAGCTAATGTCCAAGTTGGGTTCAGTGTTGTCCTTCACGGCGGGAGACATGATTGCAGGGTCTTTCTCTTGTGATGTATGCGGGAGAATATACGGCCTGAATAGTGCAGTTCTGGGAGAGTTGTCGAATATATCTACGAGATACACTAATTGAGAAACAGCTACGAGATTGCCAAGCATCATGCCACCCCCCAAGCATTCGCTTCTTGCCCAGGAACAGCGGTATGTGGCCGCAATGAGCTCGGGTGCAACCCAAAACCAGCATCAGAGGAACTAGATCGACCTTCCGCATGCGGTAATAATTGAATCTCAGATGCTTTCAGGGCCTGTTCGCAAGCGGCTACTACCTTTGAGCCTTACCATGGCGTTCTAATACTAATGACCTAATACCATGATTCCAGATGGAATGCCTACCACATCCGGAATCCATGTTCCCCTTCCCTGGGCAGCCAAGAGAGATGGAACCAAGCTATCCAGCTGATTTCAGCCAGGTACATTTGCAGTTACCTTGTTTAAAAAGATAGAATACCCAGTACTGCAATTTTTGAACCCACCTGCTCTCTCATCCTACATTACTTCTGCTCTTGACCCCAAGCTTCATCCCCACTCAACCTCAACATCAAGATGGTCATGACATACCCCAACGGCACCCAATCCGAGCTTGCCGGCAAAGTCGCACTAGTGACAGGCGGTAGCCGCGGCATTGGAGCAGGAATCGCCCTGGAGCTTGCCAAGAAGGGTGCATCTGTGGCCGTGAACTACGCCAGCAACCCACAATCCGCAGAGAAAACCGTGCAGGAGATCCAAGCAGTGGGCTCGCACGGCGCCGCATTTCAAGCGGACCTGACAAAACTCGAGGCAATCGAGAATCTGTTCCAACAGGTGGTGGGCCACTTCGGGCAGTTGGACATCGTGGTGTCGAACTCGGGCACGGAGAAGTTCGTGTCACTGGGCGACACCACGGTGGCGGACTTCAACGCGGTATTCGACCTCAACACGCGGGCGCAGTTCTTCGTCGCCAAGAACGCCTACGACTACATCCAGCCCGGCGGGCGCGTCGTGCTGATGTCGTCTATTGCCGCGGGCGTCGGCGTTCCCGGCCATGCGCTGTACGCCGGCAGCAAGAGTGCTGTAGAGGGCTTCACGCGCTGCTTTGCCGCGGACTTTGGGAAAAAGCGTTGCACTGTCAATGCCATTGCCCCCGCTGGTGTTAAGAGCGATATGTGGCTCTCCAACTCGTGGCGCTATGCCCCCGGCTGCGACCAGAACTCTACTCTCGAGGAGATCGAGGCTGCCCTGGCCAATGGCAGTCCCCTCAAACGCTGTGGTGTCCCCGCGGATATTGGTCGTGTTGTGGCATTCCTGTCCAGCCCTGCTGGAGAATGGATCAACGGTGAGTTTTGGAATGCTGATCCTTTCGTCTCCCCCTTGATACTTGGGCACTCAGCTGATGGTTTGATGCAGGTCAAATTTTGCCTCTGAATGGAGGTGCTAACATTTGAAGTAATTGCATGCATTTGGATTCGAGAAAGTGAGTTGAAGGGGGGAGTTAATGGGTGCAGAACATTGAAGGAAATCGACATGTACAGGGACTGGTTGTGGCATGGCTCTCTGTTTAGATTCGAGACTGTACTTTACACGCAATAAGAGGCATTCAAGATAAATTCAATTTCTCTCTTTAATTGATTTCTGTGGACTTTATGAGACAGATAATTCAAACTCAGCAACCAGTGGTGTTCGATGTGTTCCCGAGTTAGGGCTAAGGCTATCATAAGACAGGCAAAACTAAGCGCGATGTGAAACAGCACATACTACGATCGACACGTGCCGAGCCCCGGGATCTGAGAAAATCCGCATTCAGCAATTCTATGATCCACCCGGCCCTCTCAGAAGTCTGCCTTGATCCGAAGTGCCGATCAGGTCTTGTCTTCGGACCCCCGGACCCCCGATAGCCCGAAGCCATGAGTCTCCAGCCTCTTGAAATATTTCGAGAGGCCCGGCCACTTACTGTTTGCGAACAAATTTGCCTCGCAGGATCCTGACATGGATCGCTTAGTTGCTGCTTCCAGCAGGTCTACGCAGTGTCCATGGATGCAAAAGGTGCAGGGCTCAGGCATGTAGTTTATATAGAACCCATCTAGCTAGTAGTCATACAAGTTCATTTACTGCCGTATTCTTTTTCGATATTTGACATTTGATATTCATCATGGCACCGTGGATTCTTGGAGATCGTTTTGACACCGTCTACCCGCACAAGGGGTCGATCAAGGCTCTGTGGGAGACCAAGTGGAAGTTCTGCGTATGTCTCTACGCTCTACTCAGGACTATAGCCAGATAAGCTAATATGATCCCTACTTGATAGTGTGAGAAATCCATCTATCCGTTCCACGATGGATCATTCGAGGACTTCGAGCCCATTTTCCAGCAGTTGATTGCGGTAGGACTAGCCCTAACCTATCATCCATCTCCACCAATGCCCCCCAGACAACTAACACCGAACCAGGAAAACATCAACGACGGCTGGACAGATGCGTACACCGAGAAGTTCCTGCCGACCGTGACGGCCCTGGAGAAGGAAGCAGCCGAAGCGCTGAGCAGCGGCCACCGAGACCGAGCCTCGGACCTATACCGGCGGGCAGCAGTCGTGCTGCGGATCTCGCGCTTCCCCTACGTGAGCCCAGCGACACAGGGTACTAGCTCCATGAAACGGGCCGCGCTCGAGCGCCAGAAACAAGTGTACATGAAAGCCGCGGCGCTGTGGAAGCCCCACATCAGCGAGGAGGTGATCGCGCACACGCACAGCGCCGGCCGCGACGACAGCCACATCCCGCTGTACGTGCGCATACCGGAGGAAGCCAGCGCGCAGCACCCCGTGCCGGTCGTGCTGCTGATGACGGGGCTCGACGGCTACCGGCCCGACAACAGCCAGCGCACCCATGAGATCGTCAACCGCGGATGGGCTACCGTCATCTGCGAGATCCCCGGCACGGCCGACTCGCCTGCCGACCCGGCGGACCCGCAATCGCCCGACCGGCTCTGGTCCAGCGTACTTGACTACATGGCGAGCCGGCCTGAATTCGACATGTCGCGTGTTGCGGCCTGGGGGCTGAGCGCGGGCGGCTTCTATGCCATCCGTGCTGCGTGTACGCACCGCGATCGTCTGGTGGGATCTGTTGCCCACGGGCCTGGCTCGCACCATTTTCTGAGTGCCGAGTGGTTGAGCCATGCCAATGACCATGAATATCCGTTTATGTGAGTCTTGTCTTATGGTCCACTACCTGTGGATTTTCAGAGATCTTAAAGGCGCACAAAGGCTAACATCATCATCTTAGGCTCACGCCCGCCCTCGCCGAGAAGTACGGCTACGCTGACACGGCAGACTTCGAGAAGAACGCCCAGAAGAAGTTCTCTCTCATCGAGACGGGCGTCATGGACCAGCCGAACTGCCGGCTCCTGCTCCTCAACGTATGTTCTTGTCCTGACACCTTGAAATGAAGACAAAGACCATGCTAACACTCAGTTCCAGGGCGTGGACGATGGGGTAGTCCCAATTGAAGACTGCCTGGTCCTCTTCAACCACGGCGGACACAAGGAAGGCCGCTTCTTCGAGAACCGCATGCACATGGGATACCCGGACAGCCTGCCGGTGGCCTACAAGTGGCTGGAGGATGTGCTGTCTCCCAACAAGACGGCGCTGAAGAACTGATGGGAATGAGGGAATATGCCGTAGGGACTACGTAGTATCGATGTTAGATCTTGTATTATATAGAGAATGGCTAACTTCTCAATTGAGATAATATCTTACCGAATCCAAAGCATAGCTGCACCCCAAGGCAAGGCCGTTTTGTGGGGGGAGTATAAGATTGGACAGTTGATTTATTTGCAGTCAAGAACAAACGAAGATTCAATTGTCGGTCAGTGCAAGTGACTGAACAGGCTGCGAATCCACTGAAGACCCGGAGAGAACATGAAGGTGAATAGATTGCACCGCCAGAACGCCCGCAATGCATCCAAGATAGCCGTTCCCCCAAAACATCATATATTTGCACAAGAGAAGTCGCAGGTAGTTTAATCGTCGTCGACCCGAGCACGCTTGGACCCTCGGTCGTCCCCTTCGGCTTCCTGGATTCCGTAGCGCTTTTGACCGGAAGTCACATCGGCAATCATGCTGTCGATGCCGAACGGATCGGCGGTGTCCTTTTCGAACTGAACAGGGCCCTGGCGTTCCTGTACATGAAACATGGGTTAGCGGTAGAATATTTGACACATTAACCAGAAATCACTTACCTCCGCATCGGCGGCACCTCGGAAGCCCTCCTTGGCCCGTCCCAGGACTTCAAACCGGTTGGTCTTTTCAATCTTGTTCATCTCACCTTCGCCCGCGTCGCCATCATCATCATCCGCCTGCGCACGAGGACGGTAAATGCTGTTGATGGCATCGTGTGCGGCGAACAACGGCTTGTCATAGGGGTTGTCTTCGTTGAAACCAGCATGCATGCCGCTAGTTTGATTGAACAGGCGCGAGTCCCACATAGACTCGGAACTCTGAGTCGGTTTGGCGAGTCCCAGCGCCACCTTCTCGGAGATATCACGGTTCTGCTCACGCGCCATGGCTTGGATGCGGCGTTCCGTGCCCATGCGCGACTGGCGCATCTGCCTTTGATTTTCTTGCATTCGTTCACGGCGCTGCTCCGCGCGGTCTCGGGCGGCCTCGTCCTCGCTAGGGCTGGCGGATCTCGAAGAGTATGGAGATGCACTGCGGCTGGCGCTACGAGAGCGAGACCGTGCCCGTGATTCGTCGCGACTGGGACGGGAGCGTTCCTCGCGCGCCTTTTGCGCCAACTGTCGTAGGTGCTCCTCCTTCTGTGCTTTTTCTTTCTCGGCCAGTTTCTGTTGCATTTGAGCACGGTGCTGCACCTCATCTCGGGCATGGCGGTCGGCCGTAAAGAGTGCTTCAGCAAACTGGGCAAATTTGTCGTTGATCGACACATCTTGCAGCCCTCGGCCATCCGCGGCCAGACGCTTGTCGAGGGGCACTGTGTAACCCTTCGGGTTCTTCCAGTTTGACACCGGCGGGGGGATCCTCCAAGCCTCTTGATCTTCTGCGGTAAGCTTTCTCGGCGGCGAGTGCATGATCGGGGGCGGTGGAGACGGCGGGCCGCGGGGAATCTTCTTGTGCTTGAACTTGGGCGGTTCCATCGGATCTTGCTGCTTCTCGACGATCTTCATAATACGGTCATTTTTGCGGTTGTTATCGCCCATCTGATTTGCTGGTGTGTATCGGACAAAAGTCGGCTCTGCCCTCTGTCCACCCCTGACGTTCTTCGGCTTTTGTGCTGCCACGGCACCCTCCACCAGGTTCGCCAGCGAATTCTTCGTCTTTTCCATTTGTGCTTGTACTTCCTCCTCTGAAGGGCGGTCCAAGGAGACTTCTCCCATGTCCACCCGTTGCCGAAGAGGGATCAAGTCCTTGAAGGATGCATGGACGATGCGGTTGTCCCCGTGTCCGCGGCGCGCAATAGCATCATATTTAACCTTTCCTTCAGCGTCGACCTGGACTGCAAGCGCATTTGACTCGGTGGATGTGCCCTTGCGGCCCATATCGAGGGGGTATTGTGCGACCAAAATCTCGGGGAACGCGCCGCCGTCGCCAAAATCTTCGGGAGCTCGCGGTCGCCATCCTGCACGGTTTCCGTAGGGTGGAGGGCCAGTCCTCTGAATTCGAAAAAAGAATGCATTAGTAATTTACCGGGTATGATCTGTGAGCGACAGAGAGCTCACCCTTAAGACAACCTGCGTTTCGTCGAGCTGGTCGGCGCCCACGACGCGAGGACCACGAGGTTGCGCATGCTGTGGTAATTCTTCCTCCTCGCCGGTGTATTTCGGTTTGGGGAGAGACTTGAAAAGCCCCGATGCGATGGAGGTCATTGTGAGACTTGGGTGGCAGACAAGAACCGTCAAGTCGGAGTCGATCGATATATGAGAGAAGGCGGAGCGATGCGCTTGGCTTTTGCAGCACTGCGTAAGTGGTGCGGGTGGCATCCCGTAATATGAGTAGGCAGCAGGGACAAGCGGTAGCAAGTGGCAGAATGCACCCATGCTGGAACTATGAAGGCTTGCGCTCATTCGATCTTCCCATCCACAACCATTCACCTTTTTCGCTTCTTCTAATAAAATCCAAAACAGCGGTCGTAATACCGTTTATTTTTACTTTTTACTTGTTTTTTTTTTTTTTTTTTTTTAAAAAAAAAAATTTTTTTGGTAGAACTGAAGATCACTCAATTCTTCCCCTGCTCCATCTTTCACTATCCAACTAAGGAGTGGAGCATTTACCATGGCAAGAAATGAGAAATGTAGAAGCAGACTTATTTTGTTCATATATTTGTTGGTATTTGGCAAGTTAGAATGTGTAGAGATGGTGTAATTATGCAATACAAATACAGACATAGCCCAAGATCCATGTACAATGACTAGAATACAATCAAGGGGATATCAAATGCGTTCGCATGGGGCACGCAATGCCCTCCTTATCGCCGGCTTCGACAAAATGCTCTCGGCCCTGGAAGCGATACCAGATCCTCAGGCGTTTGGGTAGCAGCGGCGCCGGGTCGTGGAAGCCCATGATTTGGAACTAGATGTGGGATTAGTATGTGAGGTCACCGGCGGAATGGTTGTTCAAGACGGAATTGAGCTTACCTTGAGTATGTCCTGAGGAATAACCAATTGACCCCGGTCAACCCGCGCCGCCACCGCAATGGTCACATCAATGAGCCTGGAATCCGTGAACCCAGGCTTGGGTTTCTTGCTTGTCGGAGGAACATAGCCGTATTCGGCCTTGGTAACCACCAGGCCATCTTGCGCCTCTTCGCGGGCCTGCCGGCGCTGGACTTGATCGGTCATGAGCTCGATGGCCTGCTGGCTCTCCTCTCGCTTTTGAGGGATGAGCTTTTTCAGTTCGTGGTGGCGCCGAGCCGCGGCTTGTCGACGTTTCTTGCGATTGCGGGGACGAATGTACCCAAATTCAACCGCGCAATATGCCAACCACGGGAAGATAGTAGCCAGCACTGCCGCGTCGTGGTTGGCCTCACCGGCAGGACACACGGTAACAGGAAGATTGATGCTCTGGCCAAGACGGCTCCACGAGACGGTCATGATGAGACCATTCTCCGCGATGCCGACGCCAAGCCCCAGCCGCGTGTGCTCGCCGACCCGTCGCACACCCTTGACACTCCAACTCAGGGACATGTTCAGCCCAATTATGCTGGAGACCTCCAATCGCACAGCGCGTGCCTGCTCCATTTTGGGTAATGGGAAATAGCCCTCGGAGCTCCACTCGGTCTTCACAGGGTCGTCGGCTGGCGTGCCCGAGAAAAGGTTTCGTGAATATGTGAGAACAAGGCCGCCTCCAGCAGGAGACAGTTGGAGGTGAGTCTGCCAGGATTCCGCTGCCTGATCAATCCTGCGCTGTCTTTCTAACATATAACGCAGGCCCTCGTCTTCGTCTTCTTCGTCAAGTTCAATCGCATTTGCTGGAACCTTGGGGACGGAGATCAAGCCGATTTGTAGGCTGCTGGTCTCGTTAGCAGAGGTAGCCGCGGTTTGAATTCCCATCCCGAGAGAAGAGAAGCGCTCCAGAAGTGCGCCGGGCCAGCCCAAAACACCACTAGACCAAGTGCAAACGGCAATTTTCCTCTCGGCAATTTGCTTGGAAACTTGGACCTCAAAAGAAGGCAATGTCTCCCACAGGGAGCGCGTGATGATGCTACTCGCATTGACCTGGAATGGCTTGATGCCGGGAACCGGCTGGAAAGCTCGAATAATATTCGTTTTCAGGGTGGGAGTGGGAAGGAGAAGAGTTTCCACCGTGACCGACGAGTCCTTGAGAAGCGAGAAAGGGGATTTGCTCCAAAGGCCCTTGGTGCCCACCAAGCTTGCCATGTTGGGTGTCACCGTGGCTCCCACAGTGATGTTTTGGGACGCCAGCATTTTCGGCAGCAATATCTAGGCATTCATTAGCGGGAGTGTCTCATGCGATGGCTCCTTTGTTCAACCTACTGATTCCTCGCCCTCTGCGCCATCTTCATACTCCACTGTGACGGTCTGCTTTGGCTGGACTAGCTTGCCTGCGATGCTTGCATTGAGCGTCACCTCAACAGGTTCGGGGTCCTCGTCGCGTTGTTCGGTTTCCGCATCCGCATCCTCTTTCTGGACATCCTCGTCTGCCCTTTCACTCCAGAATGGAGGCGTAAATATAGGAGCCTTGAAGTTATACGCGAGAGCATATGTCGCCAGTTTAGGAGACGGTATATGAAACGTGACATCGCTATCTTCTTCATTGACGGAGATCGCCGTGGACGCATCCACTCCCAAAGTAATTGCGCTCTAGAATTTCCCAAGCAGCACCCAGTCAGCACGAGATGCAGTGAGATTGAAGGGATCGAAAAGGAGAACATAAACCGAGCAAGAAAACATACCCGGCTAGAAACCAAGCTTTCAATGGCTTTCCGCTCTCGCTCCTTCATAGTCTTTAAGAACCAGCGACGAAACTGGTCCGGCGACATAGCCTTAACACCAACCTCCTGTCGTTGCGCCTCCCCACCACGACCCATCGCCCCAAGAGGGCCCCATTCTTGCTTCACGCCCTCCGCGCCCCGGATATCATACACAGTGCGCTTATTGGGGTCGATCAGCGTGTTGTACGCCTCCTGAATCCGGTTGAAATGATGCTCGGCGGCCTCGCGGAGGTGCGGCGGTTGTTTGTCCGGATGGAAGCTCAGAGTCAAGGTGCGATAGGCGGAACGGATCTCGGTGTCGGTCGGGGGAGGCTTTTGTGAGAGGCCCAACAAGGCGTAGTAGTCGACCTCCGCATAGTCCGCGATCATGCTGTAGTCGGCGTCGAGGCCGTCATCTTCCAGGGCCGCGCCGAACTCCCGCGCCCCGGCGGGCTGGTTGAAGGGAGAGGCCATGGAAGCTCACACACTCAGTCAAAGGGTGCTAGAGGTGCAAAAGTCCCATTTTCATGGCGGTTCGTGAGTGAAATGGAGGTGCGACGGAGAGGCAAAATTGCGCTGGAGTCGGAGAAACCTTCCGTGGGCTCCGGGGAATGCCCCGCAAAGTACGAGAGATGGGAGAAATAAATCAAAATATTCTGAATAATTGAGATAATTGAGAGCAAGGGATTAAGAGAGCAATATATGCGCAAATATAGCTTATATTAAGTAAAATGGAGTGACTTTGTCTTTGGAGAGTCTCGGAAGCTTCGAGGTGAAACCAGTAAACAAACACCTGGCTACTTTCAAAACCATTTCTATCTCTTCATTTACCCTTGATCAACTCTACCATGCATCCAATCCACGATTAAATTCCATTGGAAGTATCGTCATTGCAAGAGGAAGATCCTTCTAAACATGTTGACTGCTTGAGAGTGGAGATGATCTACGAACGGCGTTCTCCCCATTGTCAGACTCCACGCAAACACTTGAGAAGCGTGCGATGAAGACTGATATACAAAGCTGCGCCATTCGATAAAACTGCCATGAAAACAGAGCCTCATTTATCCTCGCTCTCACCAACACCAACTGACCTGGGACATGCACCCTAATCGCAGACCACAGTCAAGATGGACACCCCAGAGATGCTAACAACGGGCGACAAGCCGCCCATATTCAAAATCAACCTCTCACTACCACCAGCCGAGCGCTAGAAGAGCTGGCGCACCACTACCAGAGCCAAATGCGGTCCCTCGTGGGCATGTTCGACGAGCTGATCCAACCAATCTCCTGCTACATCCCAGTCTAAGTCGTCCACTGGCTCGCCTTGCTCTTCCTGCGCGGACTCTACTCGCGCGAGGAAACAGAGGAGATATGCGGGATCAGCCGCATCACCGGCATTCACCTCTACCTCCTCGTCTGTCTGAATGTGGTGCTCGATCTCCTGATGGGCTGCACCAGCGGCGGCGTGCGCGTGAAGGATGCCGACAACACGAAGATGATGCACTTTCGCACGCTGGACTGGGGCATGGATCCTCTACGGGACCTGATCGTTCAGCTGGACTTTGTGGGCGACTCAAATCCCGACAAAGTAATCGCCAGCAGCATTACGTATGTTGGGTTTGTGGGGATGCTTACCGGCGTGCGGCAGGATCTCAGCGCATCGCTGAATTTCCGGCCGGTACATGACTCCAGCCGGAACGTGGCGTTCTATTTTAACCACGTCTTGGTATTGCTCGGACTTCGTCAGTCCGTCCCCTCGCCCGTTGCGCCAGTGTACCATCCCCCCTACATCTGCCGAATTACAGCACCATCCTGGTTCGCAAACTTTGACGCTAGATCAGATCGTCGCCAACATCCCCTCCATACCCACCACAGTCGCGTATCTCATCTTCAGCGACGGCTCCTCCGCAGTAACAATGGAGAAAGACCACCGGAGAGCGGTAGTGCGCTCCTCAAAGTCATTCATAGTTGTCACAAACCATGACCAGCAACTAACCTCAACGCCAACCGAGATTGTCGTCGAAGAAAAGTGACGACACCACACAGGCCTAAGCTTCATGGCATTGGAGCAACAAAGCATGATCGACCTGATCGAGGACAGCAACGCACGCTGGAGCTGCATGCAGGCGAAATGGGACCATAAGATACGCGAGAATGTACAAGCCCGGTTCGATGCGGAAAAGGAAATAGAATTCGCGCAAAGAGATCATCCAGTTCCGCCGCAGGGGACTCGGTCATCGCTACGGTTGCGACAGAAGCAGAGGCAGAGCCAGGAGGAGGAGCGCGATAAAACCCGTGCAGAATCCCAAGCCTCGCTGCTTGCATCGTCCAAGCACCTTCGCCTGGCTATCACAAAGAAGGAGGCTATTCGGTGGCTCAAGACATATCCTACTGCGAACGAGTTCACGCATTATGCTGCTCTTTTGGATTCGGCTGCGGGGAATATCTTTTGGGTTGAACGGTACGACCCAGCTCTTGATGAAACAGATCTTGAAAATGAGGTAGTTTCTGGGGGTGAATGATGGACAGCTCCCAGCAACCTGGGTTTACATTTATGCTCGGTTGTTTTACTTGTATTTAGATATATGCTAAGCATGGCAGGTGTATTGATGTAAAAAAAGGCCCCGGCCAAACTTGCAACCAGCAATAAAAATGTCCAATGCAAGTTTTCGAGTCTGGTAGGTGTACAGTTCATGTGTACATGCAACATGCAATATGCAACAAGCGCTCAACGGGCTCGACTAGACCGAAAAGAGGATCAAGATATAGTACAGAAGATTTGTAAGGAAATAAATCATCACGAAGCGAAATCATGCTGGAAATGATATCAATCCGAGCAGATGTTATCAGCGACATAAAACCCACATTCATAGCGTGGTAAGACAATGAGGATGGAATAGAAGGCTCGAGGGAGATTGGGGGGGTATTGTATATTAGGGCTCGGTGAAAAGAGGGTAGGTCTATCTTTCCGAGGTTGTTTTCCAGCCAAAGGGCAACCACGAACAGGATGAGGTATCTTGATTCAGACGAGCAAAAAAAAAAAAAAAAAAGAAAAGAAAAGAAAAGAAAAGAAAAGGAAAACATGTAGCCACCAAAAGACCGTCGAGTATAGCCATGGATTCACGTGGCCTTGAACTGCTCGTAGTAGACCACCCAGGTAAAGGCCAGACAGATCTGGTTGTTTATGGAAAGATATGAGGCTAGGTCGAACATGAATGCCTTCTTAGCGCGCTTGATAGAATCTGGCGGTTCTTTTGACCCAATGAAGAGAGGGCTTTTGAAGAACTTCGTGATGCTGAAGTAACGGAAGAAGTGAGGGAAGAGAAAAAGGGAGATGTGAGGTGCGAGGGAAGACATTGAGATCCGAGAAGGCGCCTGTTGTTGGAAGTGCCCTTTTTTTTTTTGGAAGAAGGGGAAGAGGCAAAAAATGCCACCCTCAACGATCATAGATCCAGACAATACTGTTTTCCGAGAGAGCAACATCATCAACACACAAAGTATTAAGCAGAGCAGCCCGCGGCATAGCCCCCGCAAACAGATCCTCGCCTAGCGCAGCAGGAGGATAAGACGGCAACGCCATGGCATGGACCTTAGTCTCGAGCGTGGGCCCATGCAGCGCAAAGCCCGGCCGATCCTCGACGCGGGCGCGGTCATTAAGAACATCAACCAACAGCCCTAAGCGGCGCTGAAGCACCGCAACCACCTGCAGCGAGCTATCCCAGAACCGGGCAAGTTTCTGGACGGCAGCGAGGGCGCCGCGGATGAACGAGATGCACTCGGGCAGCTCGGCGACCCAGCCAGCTGCGCTGAGGACATCCACTGCCGAGAGAATGACATAGCCTGAGAACGGGTTCAGGAGTGTCGTCTTTCCGGAGGGGGTGTTGTTGTCTGGGCTAGGCCGCGACGGTGTGAGCTCAGTGGAGTATTGGTCGAAGGCTAGGGCGATTCGCAGGATCTCTACGGCATGGTATCGGGCTCGGTGGATGTATTGGGCCAGGACCTCAGGCCGCAGGGTTTGGTGTCGGGCGTGGCGGTAGAGTTTCATTAGCGTAGCGTGGTAGAACAGGTGGCTCGGGATGAAGGTGTCTGCGTCGCGGGCGCGGATATTTCGTTCCAGGTTGATTGCGGAGAAAGTCATGAATTCGGGTAGTCGGGCTCGCCAGCCGTCTGTCTGTCGGATGATCGTGGTGTGGAATTCTTCAACAAGTTGGGCATATGAGTCGGAGGGAATGTGCGGGAGCCGGAAGACGTGAAGGGATACATCGCCCCAGATAGCCATAATTTCGATCAAAAAGGCCATGGTGCTCAACGCAGACCGGTCATTCTCTGGCGACACTGGGTTCTGGTTGAGGAAGCGCTGGAAATATGGCGCCATCGCATACTGCTGAGCCTCGTAGACGTCGTCGCGGTACGGCAGCCGAAGCAGAGCTGCGTCAGAGGAGATAAAAGTGGACGACGTGGATAAGAAGCTGGAGAATCGCTGGAAGACTTGTTAGCATTTTAATGGGAAGACAGAGACCAGCGTTATGCTTACGTCCAGCACAAATGCGGCCCAAAACGTTCGACGCCGACACTCAATCAATGCCTGCGGATGCAATCCATAGTCACAGACCTGGGTTTGGTCCACAATCACTCCCCCAGACTCCACGTTATACCGCAGCCCACAAACTGCGCGTCCCGCGGCACCAATTGCGTCCCAGGCACCAACCAAGGAACCTGTCGCATAGTACCAAAAGCTCATGATGAGATAGCTCTGAGCGAGCTGTAGTGACAAAGTATGCTGGCTCTGGTGAATAGCAAAACGTGCGATGCGAGAAAAACGTCTTAGTACCACCACTCTATCAGGCTGGTCTGAAAACACAGCACCCAGGGCCATCATCGCATAGAGCAACATCTTGTCCTCAGCAGACTTGGTGTGACACGACTTCAACCACAGAACAAATCCTGCATGAGGGAAAATACGGTACAGGCCGATATTCACGTGCGAAAGGTAGCATTCGGCATAATGCATAGTCGTCTCGGGATCGGTTTCGTATGGATCAAGCCTCCAAGAGCTTACGAGGGGGTCGTCCGGGTTGGTTTCCTTCAGCTCGCCTAGGATCTCCGAGTATTCGGGTAGCCGAGTAGATTCGAAATGCTCGACTGGTCTTGTGAGAGCGCCCGCGGTGCCCGGGAAGGGCTGAGGAAACCTAGACATTTGGGGTCTACACACTCGGTCAGCGTCTGCTGTGCCCTCATAGTTGCTTTCCCCTGCAGACGGCGCGAGCATCGAGCCTTCAGACATTGGTGAGTGTCCATTGGTCCCTGGGAGAGAGGTCGCACTGTCCGAGGCTCGGACGATGTTGTATAGGGATGGAGAAGCGTCCGAAGCGGCGTAGCTCCCAAGAGGCAGGCCCTCTCTTGCATCATATCTGCCGGACTGCGGCCCTCGGATAGAAGCGCGGCTCCCACGGGGGCTTGAAGAAAGAGTCAGCGGCAGATCTAGAGCGAAAACATGCACACTAAAAACAGATCACCTACGCATTCTCGAACCGGCATTCCCGCCCTGATTTCTGGCACTGGTCGCATTTGGGGAGGTTCGGGTGACACTTGATCTTCTTCTCTCGGCAAGTCAGACAGGCCTGAGCCAGCCGCTTTCTCGGTTTCCCAGCCTTGGTGATGCCCCAGTTCGCATTTACGGGGATGCCATTGATGGATTTGGGGCAGTGCGACCCATCCGCATACACGTAGCAAATCCCTTCTCCCTCAACGTACCGCTCATCCACCACATGAGGCTGCACCGCGGGGACTGCTCGATTTGCAGCGTCCGGCGATGATAAACTCCCGCTGTGGGATTTTTCGTGGAAGGGTGTACCGTGCAAGGGCACCTGATCATGCTGGGAAGACGTGGCAGAAGGGTCGCTGCGTGTCGCTGCGTGGTGCCTGATATCCCCGGGGCTCTGCATGGCCACCTGCGACAATGGCGGCAGGCTCCCCGTCTGCGATCGCGGCAGGGATTCAGAGCGACCTTTGGCTCTATCGTGCACGGCAGTGGGCGAGAGTTGGGAGGGGAGGGGAGGCTCATGGTGGCGGAAAGGGTACGTTGAATCGCGGTGCTCAGCGGCTGAACTGGGAGTCCCGAATGGCTGAGAGTAGGAAGGAGGAGAGTTTGGTCCCGTCACTGGGGTCAGTAACTGGCGAACGGATGGAAGTGGCTCGGTTCTTTGGCGTTGAGATGTTGCATCTGCCGGTGGGCCTCTACCTGCCTCGACATGCTCTGCCTGCTGGCGCTGCCGCAGAAAAGGATCTGTCCCAAACTGTAGATTGGCGGGTGCTCGTGGAGGAGGAAGTTGATAAGGAACATGGGCGGGTTCTGGGAAATTAGCTGGTCGTTCCGGTTGCTGCTCCGAGGATGGACCGTCTGCGCCGGGTAACATACGACCGAAAGGTCCAACGTAATAGCCTGACATGGCGATTGGATTGGAAGGGCGATGAGGAAGTAGATTGTTTGACCATCTGGGTCGTTCCAAGCACCCTTTTGACAGGCCTCCTGGCTCAACGGCGCTCGTGCTCTTAAATGTGAATAGGCTGCGTGCTAGATTCTGAACTGTTTCGAGAGCACCTTGTCTTTCCTGGGGTATAGGTTGTTTGTTGATACTCTCGGGTCGAAGGAAAAACCGAACCCATAGAAAGACACTATTCAAAAAGAGCTGGGTAGTTTAGCAATAGAACCCTTTCTCCCCAGTGACTTTCGAGGGTCTGGCACACTTCTACGTACCAGTTTGGCTCCTAAGTTTCAGGACAAAGCAGTGACTGATCTCCCCTCACCCCGGTACCGTTGCCACGACTCATTCACAAGTCTGAAACTGAAGACTCGAGGTTCGACAGTCTCCAGTCATGCAGTTCTCGCACAGTCGAAATAATTAGCGCATCCAAAGGAAGCGAAGTAGAATTAGACGAGCAACATCACGCTAACAGCCCTGACAGTCACGGTTTTGAGTGGATAGACTCCATACGTAGCAGGGTGGCTGCAAGATCCCAGTCATTCACAGAAGCATCGAGGGAGGGTCGGGCCGGTGGCTCGCAGGCATCAGTCACCCTAAGAAATCGCAGACGCCAGGCCGCTGTATTGGAAAGGAAGAAAATCCCGATACAATGAGAATAAGCCCGGGTCTATTAATAGAAATCAATAGAAATCACTGGGAGAGATGGCAGTAGAATCTTCGAAACTGGGTATCGAAGAGTTGGCATGCAGCGATGGGTTCGACATGTGTAAACAGGCAATCAGAGAAAGAAAGACCACGCCAGGTCAATTGAAGAAGAGAAATTCAAATCAAAAAAGGAAAGGAACAGATCTCCCGGGATGATTGACCGGAACGATCGAGGCCAAGGCCGCGGTTGATTGATCCAGGGCTGAAGGAACCTTGGTCGGAAGCGTTGTCTGTCACTGGCTTATACCCTGGAACAATCCCGTAGCTAAAAGTGTAGTGGCTCCACGGCAAATGTTCGGAGATGCTAAGAAATTAGAAAGAGAAGAAAAGAGAAAGAAAAAAAAAATAGATGATAGTTCAATTAGGATCCGGGGGTTCCCCTCTCCGTAAGCACTGGAGAGTATCAGATGTCTTGGGGATTGGAGACAACCTGGATAGAAGACCAGGGACAACAAAAAGGGAAATGAAGAAAAAAGCAGAAAGAAAAAGAAGAAAAAAAAACAATCCACGTCAATCGAAAGGAGGGGAATCCAAGCCTCGAGAAGAATACTAAAGATACTAAAGGTACTAAAGGTACTAAAAGTACTACAGTACAAATGTATTACAGCGAGTACTCGGAATACCGTGGGGGAATGGCACAGCGTTCAACAATAAACGGGATTTAATTTAGCTATTTTTACGACTCATGACACGATCGACGGGATCGATCTATACTCTTCTCGGGGAAGGGAAAAAGTGGGATTTTCTCGAAACACGCGAAAGATTCAAAAATTCAGAACAGAAAGAGAGATTTCAATTGAGACAACGCCCTCGGATGATTTGCTCTGACGCCTTTTGTTGGTTGCATCTGCTGGCATCCACTGCGCCACTATGGAACCATCCAAAATTGAAGGCATCGTCGAAGTGGAGAACCCGTTCATGATATCGGCATTTGGATTCTCCAGTTCACATTACCCGATCACCAATCCTGAGGGATGTTGGCGGACTCTTGGTGTCGGCGCGGCAGTTGAGACCGTTTGATGCCAACAGGGAGAAAGGAATCCGAAATCCTGCCACAGGAGAAGAGAAAAAGAGAAAAAGAAAAAAAAAAGGCCCCCTGGTCCCTTGAAGCACTGTTGCAGCCATCTGCATCCTTATATGCATCAGGAATCCCAGGAATTGGAGAAGGGTACACAGCATATTGCAGTCCCTTTTCTTTTACATCTACATACATGGGCCTCAAAAAGGGGATTCGCCCATCTGTTTTGTGATTACCATCGATCTGCGTATTACAGAGCAGAGCCGTCGGGACCAAGCGCCAGCACTTGAAGAAAGCACTCTCGGGAATGATGGCCGCAAAATACCCCTGGTGGATCGCAACCAGTGAGCGGGCGACTAGATGCCTAGTCGGGCAAATCCTCCTGGTTTCCAGCGATGGGGCCGCAGGGCTTATCTCGCTTTTGGATAGCCTTTGGAGCGAAGATCTCTTTTCTTGTCTTTTTTTCTTTTTCTTTTTTTTTTTTTTTTTTTTTTTTCTGGCAGGACCCTCGGTTGAAATGCCTCGGGCGGCTCCATATTTTGGCTCCGAACTACTTTACTCGATGGAGAGCCACCCCCGAGACCTCCTCGGCTGAGGTGAACGTTGATTTTGCTGATTATCCTGAGTCCTCTACGGATCCGAGTGCCAAGGCAGGCATTGCAGATTCTTTTCTTTTCTTTTCTTTTCTGTGCCTTTTTTCACCACATCATCCCTACATGTTGATCAAGAAAGCAGACCCCTTTTTTTTTTGAATTAACAAAAAAAAAAAAAAAAAAAAAAAAGAGCATGGAGTCACTTCAGGGCACATTCAGTCATATCCTTGGAACATAGAAAACACCACTGCAGGGAAACCCTGGTCTTTCGGAGCGAACCCGTGTCCAATGGCCCACTCCACCAGCCCACTTGACTTCCTGCTCCAACGGCGATGCACTCCGGAGTTGACCACGTATGATGTCTCAAGTCATGGCGATCTGATCTGCAAGCCCGTCAGGATCATCCTCTGCCCCCTAGAAAGCCTTCGTTCTCGGGTTACATATGCGTATGGACAGATGAGATGTGGCAACGCCTTGTGATTCTGTTCTTTTCTGTTCTCTTCTATTCTTTGGTATTATTTTTCTCTGGTTTTCTAGTTTTCAAACCCCAGGAACAAGCAGAACAAGCATAATGATCCTATTCGGTATTTTGCAAACTCATCTGGCATCTCCGAGACTCGCAAGCCCACCTCAGCACGGTTTAGGGCACGATCACACCATTGGCCCATCCGGCCCCTTTGACCCAGTTTTCCCCGAGCAACTACCGATGGAATATGAATCCGATCAATGCGAGTTCATTATATTATGAAGATTTAATTGCCTTGGGTTTTGTTTGGGGATAAGAGAGAGAGAGAGAAAGTAATCCTGCCAGGGCAATACAACATCATTTGTTAACTTGCAGTGTCTGACGCCATGTGGAGGAGCCCGGCAAAGACAAGAAACGACAAAGACAAAAAAAAAATCCTCAAGTGGATAGCGCTTGCACTGCCATGTCGGTTCCTGGCCGGGCCATGCGCTACTGTACTCTACTGTACTGCGACTCTGCTACTGCATGTGCCGCGGACAACACGGATGTTTTGCATTTCTTACTCCACAAAGTCCTCTTTTTTTTCCATTTTTTCTGGAGTTAGCGTTGGATTGACTCCCGATTGTGCAATGCGCCAGGCTCCATGCCCCTGAACCAATTCGTGTTAGTGAGACATTTCCTCTATACATAGCACCATCGTGCTGATCGGCGCATGTTCAGAGGTTCTCGTTCTTTCCCCCTTATTCACTTAACGGGGGTATAATTGCCGTTTTTCGTATGCCCCCCAATCTATCTTCAGATCGGTTGATCCTGCCGAGGCCACATCCCCTGTGTCCTGTGTCGTATGTACGTGGTCGCCACAAGATAGATTAAATATTGGTTCAATTACGATACTACAGTAATATACCAATAACAATAGTAATAGTAATTGATAATAAGAAGAAGAAAGAAAGTATAGAAACAATCTCTCTTATCCTTTTGCTCGATCGGAGAATTCTTCTCCTCCGATGGCGACGACAGTCCGGCGCGTCATCCCAGCATGTGGCGTAGGAGGATCTCGGCTAGCTTTGTGTTCCTGACTCTCATGTTGCATCTCCTTTTCTTTTCTTTTCTTTTCTTTTTTTAATATAAATTAAACTCACAGTGGACTCACTAGTGAATTGCCCCGTTGCAACTGCCTATCCCGAAGGAATCCCGAGTACCAATAACACCTCCATATCCATATGTAACATTGTGAGTAAAGGACATACCATCAACCCATTTATTACCCGAGCTCGCTTCAACCATCGGTGGACAAATTGACCCAACAAAGCCAAGCCTATGCTGCATCTGTGCGGATCCCCGAATGCACTGACGCACATCATCCCCTACCCCGGTCCGAGTGCGTGCAACTATCAGCCGCGGACCCTGACGGTGTTCTTGGCAGCTGCACGGCCTGGGGGGTTTTCCATGACCCGATGGCCTTGTATCTGTATCTCGGGTTACAGTTGAGCTGTATCTTGAGAAGGAGGGGGCGGCCGTTGAGTTTGGGGTCGGAATTCTTGGAAATCTCAGGTCATTTTTAAATATATATTCTTCATAATTTATACCTCTGTGATAGGATTAAGTTCTCCTATTGGCATATTGGAAGCCCTTGGCTGGGACATTAGTTATTCTTGTTAAGAAAATGCAGGGCTTCGGTACTTGTATATATCTTATGGATATCCCCGGAAGAGGGTTGTATATACAGCTTTTATCGTGAGAGCTCACACAAGGTCTTTTGAAGATGAATAATTTAGCCTAGAGCCTGATACAGCTGGACTATCTTCATTATGTAGCAAAGTGACCATGTCACCTCAAGCTGAATATTATACACTTTAATCTGTCTATTCGCTTAGCCGGTACTGTCCTGGCCAGGTAAGAAGGCTCCATACCTTCTGGGTCTCCTTAATCCCGCTCTGTTTCATCTATAGTATGTGCTACTTTTGGCTTCAGCTTTGGCTTCAGCTTCAGCATTGTCTTCCTCTCCATTGATCTCTTTTGATCCTAATTGGTTTTTGCCCTTGACTGATCGCCGTGGCGTGATTAGGATCATCGATGCGAAATTGGTGACTGCCTGTCATGCGTCGCACTAGAAATTCAAGCATCCCTTGTGTGTTTCAACTTGGTCTGGCCAATTAGCTGCCATCGGAAATTTGAGCGACCTGTGTATAAAATATCATGACGGGTTAGTGTGTAGTGGAGAACACCTGCGGAGGATAATAACAGTACTCTGATATATGAAAGGTATATCGATGGGTATATTCGCATGTAAGGGGCATAACTACTAGACAAAAGCCAGGCTCTGTAACCCAGGTAAGCTGCTGACATAGATGTTCGCTGCTCAATGGTTGTCGAGGTGGCTGTTTCGACAGTGCAACAGTGGATGGCGCCTATGGCTAAGAGAACCAGAACACCCACGGACATAAAGCGGAAGCCATATCAAGCTTGTGGATGATGAAACATGCACATACTCAACTTCGTGCCTGACAAGAACCAAACCAATCTCGGCTTCATCTACTAGCGCCTACAGTCTAGACAGGAGTATAGTTAAGTCGTAGGCAAACCGATCACATTACTACTCCAAATAGAAATCCCGGGGTATTGCAAAAAAGGCATTGATTCATTTTTGCTCAAGACTAGCATTTTATTCCCCATCACAGAGCCAAGCACGCTTAGTTCTCGTACAGAGTGTTGAAGAAAGTCTCGGAAGCCTGGCCAGGCTTGCCGGACTCGACACCCTTCTGGCCGAGCTTCTGCTTGGAGTAGGCAGCGGCGTAGGGGTTGAGGCGGAGCATGACCTGCTTGTTGCGGAGCGGGTTCTTCTTCTGGACAACGCCACGCTTGGTGCGGGCCTCGCCCTTGGGGGCGCGCACGACGGACTGGATTTCGGACGAGTTGATCAGGCGGGCCAGGTCGGCGTTGGCAACCAGGTTCGAGGGCAGGAGGAAGTCCCGCTTGAGGGCCGAGGGGCTGGTGGTGGTGCCGTAAACCTTGTCCAGGGCCTCGAAGGCAGAGGAGGTCCAGACGACGAAGCGGCCGAGGTGGCCACCGGGGGCGAGCTGGAGGAGGTTGAGGGCGAAGACGGACGAGGTCTCAACACCGGGGACATTGCGGAAGGCGCGGACGAGCTCCTTGCCGTCGGTCTCGGGGTTGTGGATGACCAGAGGACCGCGGCGCTGGCGGAAGCGGCGGTTACGGAGCTTACCCTTACCAGCGCGGATCTTGCGCGACTTCTGGACCTTGACGAGCTCGTCACCGGCACCCAGAGCCTGGAGGAGGGCGATGGCGGCCTTGGTCTTGTTGAAAGCGCCACCCTGGAAGGTCTTCGAGTCCACAACGAGGGGAACCTCGGGGACGTTGGCGACGCGGTGGCCGCGGGCGAAGAGGAGGGCGGGCGAGGAAGAAGCAGCCAGAGCCGAAGCGGTAGCGAAGCGCCTTAAGTCACTGTTAGTTCCTCACATCCCAAGCGTTCCAGATTATTTTCAACATACTTCTGGTTCAGGTTGATCTTCTGGTGCCACTTGCGCCAGACCTTGGTGGGAGCGAACATACGACCCGAGCGGCACTGGTTACCGAAGGCAGCCTGACCGGCACGGTGAGTACCACCACCAGAGACACGGGGGATACGAGCGACAGCACGGCCTGTTCAATGTCAAGCGGATGTTAGAACCCAGAGAAAAAAGAAAGTTCCATCTCCGCCAGTGTCCGTGCACTGGTTCCAATCCTCGAAAATGTATCCCACGTACCGGTACCCCAGGACTCAGCAGAGGTCTGTTCACCAGCCTTCTCGCTCACGGCGTAGGGCTGTCTCTTGTTCTTGGCCATGCCGGTGTGCACCTGCCTGTAAATCGACCGTCAGCATCCATTGATCCCTCCAATATCCCTCGAAAAAATGTTGCAACACGTAGGCGAGCCATACTGGACAATATCCGGACGGATGGGAGCAGAGAACACAGAGGGCAGGGGATACGAAGCCCCAGTGGGCTTGCCCTCAGCCGAGGCGATAGAGACGGTCGGGCGGGACGCCATTGTGGTCGGCGATATGCTGGTCGGTGTCGTGGTGAGGTTGAAGATCGAATGGCACCAAGCCCTTCACCTGTGGATTTTTTCGCTTAGTGAGAGCTGCGGGTGGGTGTGGAAACCCTAAGCCCTGGTTACTGTATTGGGAAATGGTGGAGTGATTACGTACTCATGTGGGTCGGGAAAGAGCGATCCATCTGTTTGGCTTCAACAACTCCTATTTGGGAAACTACGCTTCTTGAGGAAACTACGACTGCGACCGTCGATGAAAGTCATATGACTGTGGGCAGACCTGGTGGTGGGCAATTCTATCTCCATCCATCTCCATCTGGTCCAACAGAGACAAAGCTCCCTACTCTACACTACCGACTCTACAGTTTACACAATGACACATACTCAGAAGGCATGATTCATCAAGATTCGTGAGATGCGATCTCCTAAATGTACAGGAAAAAGGCAAAGATGGTGCTGTGGAAAGGAAAGAGGGTCCGTCCGATGGCAATTTGTCAAGGAGCGGAAACGAAAGAAAGAGTGAAAGTGAAAAGAAGAGTCCGATGATGGACGAAAAGAAAGAAAAGTCAACGTCCGACGCCAGCGGATGTTGTGTCGAGCTTTACTCTCCAATGACAGTGCGCTTGCGGAAGCGCATGGCCGAGATCATGCGGGCCTGCTTGGTGGCCGAAATAGACATCTCTGCACTCTGCCCGGGGCTGCACTGTGTGCCCGAGGCCAACTGCTGAGAGGTGGACCACTGGCCGCCTGCGCAACGCTGGAACGAGCTGCCGGCGATACAGTTCCAGGTGCCTTCGGGGCTGCATGAACCGCTCAGGGTACCCTCGCTGGATCCACTGGACGCAGGGGCTGGGGCCTGCGATGCAGAAGGAACGGCTTGAGATTCCGTCGGAGCGCTTGACTGGGCAGCGGGAGACTGGGTGGTGGCGGCGGCTGGAGCCGCAGAAGCCGAAGAAGTTGCAGAAGGGGCGCTGTCTGCGGGAGCTGACGAAGCGCTGGAGCCCGAGTCAGAGCCACTGGAGGTAGCACCGGAGCCACCGAACTTCGCGGTACCAGTGCAGGCCTCCGAACCCTGGGGGGCGAGGTTGGATGGGTTACCAGCCTGGTCGACATCATCACCGGGTTGAGGGAAACGAATATCCACGCCCTCTTTGGTGGTACAGCCGTTGACGTTGGCGACGAACATGGGTGGGAACTTGGTGTCACGCTTCTCAACTTCCTCTTCCGAGCGCTTGGACGAGCCGCCCGTCACAGTGATGGGGGCGCAGTTCATGTACATCTCGCGGTTGCCGATGCGGTTGAACCAGGTCCAGGCGAGCGTGTACTTGCCGGCCTCGATACCGCTGGGGATGGTAAAGTTGAAAGTGGTAGGGTCCGTCGCAGTCTCGCCGCCACCCATGTTGCCCTCGACATTGGCCGGGCATCCGCCCTCATACGACTTGATGACCTTCCACTCGGACTTCTTGGTGGGCTCCTTGTCGGTGGTCAGGCTGACCTGGCACGAGCCTCCGCCGTGGGTGGCACTTCCCTCGAAGGTCAGCTTCTGGGATTCGCCGATCGCCATCTTGTTCTCCTGCGTGGGGGCCTGGAATGCATTGGAGCGCAGCTTGCAGGGGAAGTCACTGCCATCCGCCGCCAGCGGCGAATTGTTGAGGCTGTCGGCGCTGTAAGGCACGGGGTGGCTCATTTTCATGTGGGCGTTGACCAGCGAAGCGCCCAAGACGGCAGCCAGCATCGACTTGGTAAACATCATGGTGAAGACGTGACTTTCTTTTTTTTTTTCTCAGGGGTTCGACAGAGAAGTTTTCAAGTTGCAGATATCCGATTCGTACCAGACGAATGGGATCAAACAGCAGAAAGGATTGGGCCTTGGTGATCACAACGCAAAAAGATAGGAGGCTTCCTGCGTTGGAATATTAGCAACAGCAGGGACGACCATGGTCATAGAAATAGTTGAGAAATGGAGAGAAAATGGGGAGGGCTGGCGACTTCTCCTAGGCAGATATAGCCACTCCAGGCCTTGAATGGCATTCTATTCACCGTGGGGAGGCGGCGAGACATCCGACGTAATTCGCCAGCCTCCGTAAAGGAACAATGAATCAATGGCGACAATAGACAAAACACAAAGGGCCACAATACCTTTGTCACAAAAGAGGTTTCTTTCACAAACAAGCCTTGCTAAGCTTTGTGTCTGTTTCTAGAACATGGCAACAGTCGCCTATTGTCTTGCTCTTTGTCTTGAAAGGAAGCTATTCAGAAGGAGTGTCGTAGTCTGCCACAGGCAAAGACCACCAAGAAAGTCAATAAAAAGAGAAAGGAACACAGGACTGGCCTGTTAGGTTGTCGAAACCGTGGAATGAAAGAAAAATCAAGAATTGCACCTGCACGAGAAAGAAGAAAGAAGGGCATCAGCGAGGCGCCTACGCCAGAGTATTTTTATACTCCAGTCGACCCTCCCGGGCCCGTCGGCTACAGGTATACATCGCACATCGCACATCGCATAGCGTTTGGGACTCGCTGTATGTCAGCAGATGGCTTCATGCCGACTCCCAATCAAACAGACACCAGCAAAGTTTGATCTCATCCCCATCCAATCCAACCAGACATCACACCGCACCTCCAGTCCCACGATCGGCCATGATTCCAAGGAGAGAAAGAGAGAGGGGGATGTTTCACATTTGACCTGGCCACTCCACTGGCTGTACAGGTCGTGCCTTGGGAAGCAAAGAGAGAGTGAAGGCGAAAACCGATATTGGCCAGTGAGATTCTCGCATCCCGTCCCTTGAAGCCATCCGATCTGCCTGGGCGGCTGATGAGGGAGCCAACCATCAAACCATCAGAGACTTGGCGCAAGGCACTCTTGTCTCCACAACCCCCCTACTTTCTCGGTCGTCTCCCACCGTCGCACCATGCTGAAGCGAGACTGGAAAACCTGTGGTTCCTGGCTCGACATTGGCTGGGGGAAGAGAGAGAGGCCCGTTCGTTGGCGCCTAAGTGTGGTGACAGCTCCACTCCGGCATTTGCGACCTGTAGAACCTCTGAATCTCAGAAAACTCGGGATGACGCATCGTGCAACCAACAGAAACACTTGACGTTTTTCTTTTCTTTTCTTCCTATCCCTTCAAGTCCGTTCGTCATCCGATGTGTGTCTTGAACTGGTCCTTGCTGATTGCTGAGTACAACCAGGGGCCCTGGATTCGCTGCTCAGAATTGCCACCTTGGACACCCTCAATTCCCAGACATCTCCTACAATGGACTGTGCACTCGGTGTTTCTCCGCATCCAAGGGGGAGCCGGGTTGATGGTGCGGCTTAGCGCCTGGCAATCTTGACGATCGGGTATCCCGCATACGGTCGGGGAGAAAAGAAGAAAAGCAAAGCACAGGGTCTCTTCAGCAAGCAATGTGATTGTTTCAGCATTGTCGATCCACGAACCCCGATACCAAATCACAGAGCCCAATGCCGATTTCTTTCTTCCCAGGTGACGTGTTAGTGGCGCGTCTTTAAGCTGTGAATACTCCACTCGAATACTTCAATATCCCAAGCGAGTAACACCACCTCTCTCCGTCAATCTGGAATATATTGACCCCGTGGATCTCAATCCCGCGCATATCCGAAATATACGAAGAAAAATATATAGATCTTGAAGTTGCATCGGCCCGCCCATGTGTCCATGGTTCTGTCCCTCCACACCCGATCCAACTTCTTCCCCTCTTGGGCCGCATCTGTTTCAGATTTATAACAGCCCCCGACCCGAATCTCTCTCTCTCTCTATTTCAAGATGAAATATTCCTTGCAATCTTGTCGGCAGAGTTGACATCGAACAGGTCACAATTTTGGGGTTTCTTTTCTTTTCTTTCCCCTTTCGGCATGAGGTATACTATACCATCCCGCCCGCGGCCCTAACATGAAACAACCCCAGAGCCGTGATCATCGTCCGAGTCCAGGATGATTGTGAATTATCGAATTATCTGCCGAATCACCGAATCACCGGGGACCTTGATACTCGCGTGATCGTGACTCGACATCGAGATAGCCCCAACAAAAGGCATTGCCGCCCGCTATACTCCATACTTCATACCCCCAAAACACTTACCCCCTCGTCTAGGTAGTATCGGGGTCACCGATTATCCCGTGTTGATTGCTCATTGCAACCAACAGGTCTCAGGTTTTGAGTGGGAATTGCCAACGACTCCACTGTGTCTAGATATGGCTCTTGGACACACCAGTGTCTATGGTGGATAAGTCCTTGCAAGCAAGCTACCAGAAACTTTAAGCTGGGACTTCGGACATATCCTATGGGACAGAAGTGTTGCAAGATCCGGCGTGACCTAAGATGCCAATCTAATTTTTGCATGGCAGCTGAACTGTGAATAGCTCCTCGATTGCATCTCGTGATTTTATTTTGCCGAAGGGTATGCTTCCTCTAAGGATCTGGATATGGGGTTTCTCACTCAAGCCAGAGTCTATCACTCAAATAATATTCAATGTTGATCCATGTTACCACGGAATAAATGGCTGCGTCTCCACCAACTCACAGCCTTGACAACTCATGGATACTACGGTACCAAATGGGGCTGTCGCCCCTTCTCGGTGTAAGCGTAGAGGCAGTCTTGAGGGCCATCTTGGCATCGAAGACGATGATCGTGGTGTCTGCATATCATCGGGTAGAGCGAGAAGATAGAGCAGCCCGTGTTGGTGTTTTCACTAAGGCCAACGGGTTTCATGCTCTCCCCTTTTAAACCCAGACACGGCGCCTGCTCTATTGGCTCGGATATCCCGAATATTCCCAATAAACCGGTATTCCTCCCAAAGAGGATGGATCCTGATATTCGCAGGAGTGAGGGCGTAACCCAAGGTGTAGGTTGTAGAAATCTACAACACCCAGGGATATTGTTCATCCCTCATTTCTTGGCCTTCTTCTTGCCCTTTTCCGGACCAGCGGCCGAAGATTGCTCCCGAACAAAGCCGCCCTTAACCAAGGCATCACGACCAACATCATTGATGAGCCGGAACCGCGCAGGCCCGAGGTGAATCCCACCGTACCAGCGCGAGACCACCACCAGTACATCCCACACATCCATCAGCTGCATCACATGCAGCAGCCGGCCCCCGGCAGCGCTCTCCCCGTCATCGTCGTAGTCCTGAATGACCGTCTCGGCAGGATCGGAGCCCGCACCAGCTCCTGGGGCGTTGGCACCCGCGGTCTTTTTCTGTCGGATCCGCCACGCGCTGATATTATGCGTTGCCACTGCAACTTTCTTATCTGTGGCGGTCAGATGATCCAGAAAGGCCTGCGCCTCTGCTAGGCTGGCGACTCGCACCGCACGCGCCAGAAACACAGACTTCTTTTCTGTCACCACGTCGGACAGAACCCAGTCTGGGGGATTGTCGAGCCCGAATGAGTCCCGCAAAGACAGCGCGGCGAAATCACTCGAGGAAGCGGTTGTGGAATCACCGGCTGTCGGGACATGACCGGAAGACTTGGTAGCTGTTGTTGCATCGGCCGGCCCAGCATCCTGTCCGTCGTCCTTGCTCCCGCCGATATTCAGCTCGGGGAATACCTCGACAGCTTCGCTAATAAGATCGAACAAGCAGACAGCCCCGGGCTGCCAGGTCCGCTGCACGATCTCCTCCAGCACATCCACCGCAATCTTCCCTTCGCCGCGCGCAGCAGTCGAAGCCGTGCCCAGCACCGTAGGCCGTGTCTCCGGATAGCGGGCGCTGAACCCGATCCGAAAGGACAGGTGCGCCTGACCAGGAATATGGAGTGTTATTGTTGTGTGCGTGTTGTCATTGGACGAGGCGGAGCTGCCCAAGTCGAGGGTATTGTTGGCGGGGGCATGGTTGGGCGCGGTGTTGCCGTTCACCGTGACGGTGTCTGGGTCGTAGATGGCATTGATGGCTTCGATTTCTTCGGCGAGCTCGCGGTTCTGCAAGGAATCGAGCTGGGACATTTCTCTGGGGATTGAAGCCCAGCTTGGCGAAGAAGCCGGACGGACGGGCAACAAAAAAGTGGCGGAGAAATTGGGATCCCCCACGTCGATGGAGGTTCAGGCACCAAGGCAATCAATGAACTACAAATTGACGGAATCGTAGGTTGTGCTGTTCTCTATTTATTGTGTAAGAGGAAGGAAACTTCTAGTAAATAAATTTACATGATTTATTTGTTATAGACAATCAATTTTGTCAAAGAGCGCACTCACCAACGAAACTAGTTGAGATCCAATGCCGCCACGGGGAGTTGGGGATCTGAATTTGACCTGGAGGTATGAAGAACATCGTTTCTGTGACAAGGAAGCAGAAAACAGCCTGAAAGACAGAAGAAGAAACTGGGCCCTGAAATGATTCAGAGGGAAAACGAGATGTAGACTTGAGTCCATTGTTGAATCTAGGTATATATCATCAGATCAAAGCCACCAAGCTATACCAACCTACTCCTGTCAGCAACCCATCCCCAAGAAATTCGTGCCTGAAAGTTCCAGAGCCTGCATCGCCATGGCAGCATCATCGTCCAAACCATCGAGATTCTTCTGCTGCCAAAAGGATCGGAATCCTTCTACCAGTCTTCGAGTGAAGGGCGCCACCTCATCGGCATCCATCGGCACAAAGGCCACCCGGATATATTTGTGTGCCTTTTGAGCAGACTCTGGAGTCGCAGCAAACAGACTACCGGGGCCCACGAGACACAACTGCGGCTTTCGGGTCAGATGGACCCAAAGCGCCTTGGACAGCTTCTCGGAACTGTACTGAGATCGCAACGGGTGCGTGTCAAAGCATGCCTCGATCCAGGTAAACATGCCTCCCATCGGCCAGACAAAATCAAACATCTGCACCCGGTCCACCACTTCCCAGCCATCAAGCGCGTCACCCGGCATGGTGGGCTGCTCCGACATCTCTTGGAAGAGGTACTTGTTCTCCTCGAGAATATTACAAATGTCCTGCATGCGCTTCTCGTAGCCTTCGCGCAAGCCTTCCAGCCAGCGTACCCAGCCGTCCATGTGCCAACCCTGCACGTCTTTCTTGTCTGACACCCGGGTCTCTTTACTTGAGCGTTGTGGGCCCAGTATCATTTCAGCGACTAAAGACTGAACAAAACCAGACGGTTGCTGCGTTGTGACCTCTGTGATCCGAACTAACCGCTCGATAATGGCAGGCTGTGCTGTGATCCAGCCGAGGCGGCTGCCCGGTGCAATGGTCTTGGAGAAGGTATCCAGTCTTACGACTCGGCCCTCAATGTCGAGAGACAGATACGATGGGACTAGCGAGTCCAAGAATACGTAGCCCGATGACTTGCCCTCTGCGTTGTAATTGCGGGTATACATACTCGGCAGGTGAGATGAACCACGATAACGGGCAGTCAATTCGTAGGCAGATGGATACTGCAGGTTCCAGTATGGGTCATCTTCGATGATGATCACGTCGTACTTCTGGCAAAGCGCGTATATTTCCTTTCTGCGTTCGACCGAGAGTGATCCCCCGGTGGGGTTCTGACCAGTTCTGCCATTCGATATTAGCCATGCTTTTCGTCAGGTCAAAACCGGCATTGGAAATCATGCTTACGGTATGGTATACATCAAATGTGGTCGCCTTCCACGTCGAAAGTCCCAGTTCTCCAACATGTCGGCCAATCCACCCTTACCGGCTGCACGCATGCCCTGCGCATCCATGGCCACGCCGACCACATTCAACCCCCGAGGCTTTGCGGTTTGAACCGCATTCATGTAGGTAAACTCCTCACAGAAAATCCCTTCTCGCTGCTGAATCCAGTCTCGGTCGGGATTCCAGATGTTGCTAAAGGCCTCGATTGTTTTGGAAAACCCGTCAGTTGATCCGCATGTCAGGACGATCTCGGGCCCCCCTTCATAGGGGACATTGGGATGGAGATGGCCCCGGGTGAACTGGCGTAGAAATGAGTATAAGGGTGGATAGCCCTCGGCGGTGCCGTACTGCAGACTGGTGGCCAAGTCAATGCGTCGCTGGGGATTGCGTGTCTGGCTTTCCTTGGGCACGACTACCCTTTCTGACTCTTTTCGGCCCTCGGTCGTGATGAATCGCTCTGGTCGAGCGACAGTGGCCTCGAGCGTGTCATAGGGAAAGTAGGATGAGTGCGGAAGGCCTGATAAGCAGTGAAGGTGTCAGAAGAGCGGGAGGTATCATTCTCTCAAGTGCCATTTGATCATACCACCGGCAAAATTGGCAATGCCAGGAATCAGGAAGTATTTGTAGAATCCCTTGACGCTACTGGGGTTGCGGTTCCTAGTCGCATAACTGAAGTAGTGAGACAAGTCCACGGGTGGAGCTGTCACGGCTGTCATGGCGATCACTGCACTGGGTCCAACGGTTTTGCAGGTTGCCCACTCGGAGCTCTCAATGTCCCAGGAAGACTGACCAGGAAATCAAAGAGAGAGAAAAAAAAAGGCAAATAATAAAAAAATCCTTGAAAGTCCTGACTGACTGTTTATTTCTAATCCGTACCTCCCGGGCCCGCCCCCACACCTTTGTGCTTGATAAGCCATCTGATGCCAGTCACTGTGGAGGGACAGACTGGAAAAACGGACGAATAATGCCGGTTTCCGCGCTATCTCCAAAGCGAGAGAGGCGAGAGAGAGAGATCCACGAATTCCTGGCGTGGGCCCAGAAGCGAGACCCGAGTCTTTGTAGAAGTCTGCCTCAGGCCTATCTAGATCTATAGGTAGTCGACAAATCCACCTTCCAACAATACTAGGATGAGATACCCAGTAGTCTAAAAATGCTTCGAATACCCAGGACGCAATACTCATTTGTCCCCCAATTCTTGACTCCAATCTGCTCCTGAAATCCCTGAGAACGTTCGTATGGTACACTTGCCACCCTTTCGTGATTGGTTTGTGGGTGCCTGGCTTGGGTGGCACCGTCTCTTGTCTCTCTCTTCTTTCTCTTCCTCTTCCTTTCTCCATTCTCACTTTTCGCGTCGCCAGACCCATTCCTCTCGTTGGATTTTTTTTTCTGTCGGTCATTGTCTGCAGGATTCTCGCCCTGCACGGATCCCTCGCTCGGTTCGGCTGATTTTGGGGTTCCTGGTGATCCTTATCCGCACATTCTGGAGCCAACCTTGGCGATCCCCACAGCCTACCCGCAACCGCTAGTGCCGATAACCCCCGGCCGCCGTCATCTCGTTCATTTCGCTCCCTCCAAAGTCACTCTTTCCCCCCTCAATAACCCTCCGCCATGATTGGAGAGGGCCGAGAAGAAGCCGCCAGGCTCTATGTACCGCCTCTGCTCGAAGATGAGGCCCGTCTCGCCGATCCCGACGCTTCCGAAGACCTGCCGCCGCCCGATGTCGAGGCAGGCAGCGCACTTCCTGTCTGGCTACAGGAGTCATCCAAGTCTTTCCGCTGGGGATGGGTGCCCCTCCCGCTGAGGAAAATCGGCCGCGCGACCGCAAATTGGGTCAAAGGCCCCGATCCGTCGCATATGCTCCTCTTGAAACCACTGTTCCCGCGACTCCAGGAACTCCCCGTCCAGTATCTGGATCGCTTTTTCCCCAAACGCAAGCACAAGATCTCCCTCCTTATGCTCCTGTATCTCTCGTGGTTTTTACCATGGTTTATTGTATTGCTGCACGCACGCTCTTCCGGATACATCGAAGGATACGGTCAGCCGCAGACTCTCTCATGCTCGTCGAATTTCTGGTACGTACCGTCCAAGTGAGATGATGTCGAGTGATATTTTCGCTAATATTTCTGCCATTATCGCAGGGAATTCGGTAATGGATGTGGTATCAACGGGAACGACTGCCGTCCATTTTCCTCGTCGACCGTCGCCTTCCGGTGCCCTGCGAATTGCGGTGATACCAAATTGCTGGAACCCCATGTAGTGGGAAATCAAACGTATAACTATCAAGGGCTAGTCATTGGCGGTCCAGAACCAGACTCGTCGGACCCGGCGTTTTATCGTGCCGACAGCTTTGTCTGCCAGGCGGCGATTCATTCTGGGGCTATCTCCAACGCCGTCGGTGGCTGCGGTGTTGCGAAGCTGGAGGGTGCAGCGCACTCTTTCCCGTCCATTAAACAGAACGGAATTCTTTCAAATGCTTTTCCATCGACCTTCCCCAAAGCATTCAGTTTCGTTCAGCTGTCCTCGTCGCAAGCTACCTGCCCGGCAGACCCGCGCTGGCCGCTTCTCGGGGTCACCGCTGCGGCCGTTGGAGCCCTTTGGCTCTTCTGTACTTCGCCTCCTGTGCTATTCTTCAGCACCTTCTTCATGGTCTTTTGTCACACGGGATTGGTTGCGGATCCGCCTTCGTACCCCTTCCTAACCGACCTTGTCTCCAGTCTTCTGTCTCGGTTGCTACCTGCATCGTTCGTCATGTACGTTCTGTACAAATTTTGCGCTGCTCCGTTGTTGCAGCCCATTACTTCGCCCATCTACCAATTCTCGAAGCTCTTCCTGTACCTGCCTCCGCTCTTCATTGGTGCCTTGAACAACTACACCTTTGCGCGGTTGATCCCCCTTCAACGCTTGACGCCCATGGATATTCAACAACAACCGGGGGCAAAACTCGCATTGGCTCTAGTAATTCCAATCGTGTTGATGATTATTCTAAGCCAGGCATGGCAGATTCGTCAAGGAGGATTGCTGCCTCGCTACCTGAAAATTTACTGTACCATGGGACTGATCATCCTGATCCTCCTCCCGCTTCCTGGTCTTCGGCTTCGGATTCACCACTATATCTTGGCAATTTTGTTGATGCCTGGAACTGCTTTCCCCACACGCCCTTCGTTGATCTACCAGGGCTTGCTACTCGGTCTCTTTATCAACGGCGTTGCCCGCTGGGGGTTTGCCTCGATTATCGAGACTCCTGCGGCCCTGGGAGAATTAGCACCGAGTGGCGGAGATCAGGGCTGGTGGGGATCGACGTATCCTAATGTCACAAGCGAGTCCGTCAAGATTGCTCTGCCCGATATCGGATCGAACTTCACTTACCGGGGCAACGGGAATATTACCTTTGCTCTATGGGAGCATGAGCGGATGGCAAATCTCGCGGTGGACGGGATTTCGGTCCTGCTCAACGATGTGGAGCGCTGGCGGGGCTATCTGGACGAAGACAAGCGAGGAGAATTCACCTGGCACCGCTACGGCCATGATGGCCTGGAGCTGCAGCAGACTCCTCGTCTCGCAAGCCGAGATGCTGACGAGCCTAGCTTCGAGACACAATCCCTCCTACTGGCCGACGGTGACTCGGACGACGAGCCCGAGGATCTCTTCTTCCGATTCGCGTTCCTAAGGGGCGCTGAGGCTGGGCGGTACGGCCCTGCGGGAGTTTGGTTGAATGATGGGGAGTGGATCTCTCCCACGCCGCCAAAGGCATAGTTGGTTTTCGTTTTTTATTTCGTCGTTTCGTTGTTTCGTCGCTTTTGCTTTCTTTTTCGGTTTGAATATAGACACTTTACAGTTTTGGGATGTGTGTGCTGGACGCGCTCTGCCCATGCAAGAGGTAGACTACGGGCGTTTCTTGACTCTCGTTGACGACCTGGAATGCCGAATGAATATACGAGCGTTATACATTCTAGCTATTTGATTCTATTCTTTTTCTTCTTTTCTTCTGTCCTTTTGTAGGAGCAGTTAACCACGTGATCCGTATTCAGCCCCGGGACCCGCGGTATCCGGGCCAAATGCGTCGGGGCCAACTAATGTACTTCCAACCACTTCTGTGTGTGTTCGGCCCATTGAAAGACACACAGTAGCTCTGTTGCCGATGGAGGCCGAGGGATCCGATCGCGACGCGCCAAGCGCTCTGGTTCGACGTGCGGTGCGTACTCCGCGTCACCCCCGGACAAGGCCAATTCTTGGATCGTCGTCCAGAATAACGAGAAGGGAAACATAGCTCCAACTAACGTGTATTTTGTGATATTTTTAGTGTAACCAGTGTCGTCTTCGCAAGGTATGATTACAACCATCCCCTCTGTCAAAACATGACTCTCTTGGATCTGACTTGCTATAGATCCGATGTGATAAGCGTTCGCCATGCGCAAACTGTCGCAGCTCAGGCATCCTCTGTCGATCTACCGGCGAGGGCCAAAAGCCGCAGGAGCCCCGTCGGCGGGTCTTAATCTCAAGCCAGTAGTATGTGAATATGTCTCTTGTCTCTTTCTTCAGTAGAGTAGGCACACGCCTGGAAAAGCAAGATCAAGAGCCTGACACGAGTCCACAGCGAGAAAAAGATTGATCTGATTGACGAGCGTTTGGGGGGTATTGAGGAGACTCTTCGCGAATTGCTGAAAGCATCGTCGCAACAGCATGCTCCGCGAGCACCGAGGTCGCGAGAGCTCTACTTGTCTCCCTCGTCCCAACCAACCTCGCAGCCCCGTTCATCACCAGGGGGACAGAATCATTTCAAACCCAAGGGTCCCGGATACAAAACCAATCCCGCGATTGAGCAACATGACTCCAGCTCGGGGTTCGAAGGTGGCTCCTCCCTTGCTGCTCATTCGACCTATGCAAGCCAGTTCCTGGAGTCTGCCGTCTCCCAGGGTGGCCACCAGGTCTTGTCCAGTCCGAAAATTAATGCTGCACTCTCGTCGCTGAAACAGATTGTTGGATTACAATCTCAGCGACGTGGAATGGACGCCCAGGGACCACAGCTCTCTAGTCCTAAGAACAGGCCTGGTCCGAGGTGTGATCTCCGGGACTTGGAGATGCCACCTCTACCCGTTGTGTTGGAGGTGTTGAGGAAGGTTAAAGGTATGTTTTAATTCATAATGCAATGTTTCGTATCCTTCTTCTAACTCGTCCAGAAAATCCCCCGGCTAGTTTTGGTGGCTACATTCCCTTCTTCCCGGTAGAGTATTTCATTGAGAAATGCCGGGAGATCTACTTCTGCACAGATGACCACTACTCGGATGCGACATTTATTGTTGTCAACCTGGGCCTCTATAACACTTTTTTCGAGTTTGGGATTTCGGAGAAGGATGCTGCCACGCGGGAAGAATGCCAACACTATAACATGCTGTGCCGAGAGAATGTGGAGGCGGCACTGGCCAATTTGAATTTACTGATGCCAGCCACGCATGATTCGATCATTGCGCTAACAATGGGAGTGAGTTAACTCCACTTCTCTCTGTCCCCTTTCTCCGTTTTCTTCCTTGCTCCCCTAAGTCAGAAGTCGCAGACTCACCAGCATAGGCTATGCACGCTATCGAGATCTCCAAACCATCGGTCGGTTGGACACTGGCATCAACCGCTGTGCACATGTGTCAAACACTTGGATACCACCGTCTGGCATCTATGGAGCACGATGGCCTGCGAGTCCAGCGACAGAAGCAACAGCTCTTCTGGGCGGTTTATGTCATCATGAATAACATATCGCTGCGCCTGGGTCGTGCTTCGGCGGTTCAAATTCACGACATCTGCCTCCCGTCACCGATTGATAGTTTCGACAACCCTGAGCCATGGGCCACGGTCTGCGCTTTATGGACGCAGCAAGCCAAGATCCAGAGCAAAACATACGAGCTGCTGTACAGCCCATCTGCATTAAAACAACCCGAAAGCGAGCGAGTGTTGCATGCTCGGCGATTAGCTGTTGAGATGCAGTCGAGCGTGATAGAGCCCCACGAGGTATGTTAGATTATGATGTTTGCGGTGGATTGAAATATAAGACTAATATCAATACCGCAGAGAATCCTCTTCTCTGATTACGAGATCCCGGAATTCGATCGCATGTACCTCCGCTCGGACAAGGTCAGCCGGCTAGCCATCTTGACCCTGATCTACCGGGCCATTCCTGGTGCCAAGGGTTCGGGCTCCTCTGCCACATTTATCCCCGAGTGCATTGACACAGCCCGTGCCGCCCTCGAGTGCCATCAGGATTGTATAAATTCTCTTCAAGAGACAGACGACTCTGTCAAATGCTCATACATGCACTGGTGAGCATCATACAGAAACAGCCCTTGAGGAGACTTTGACAACCAAATGTCTCTTTTGCATATCCACAAGTCTCACCTGATAAATTAGGGCAATATTTCTCTCCCCCTTCGTCCCCTTCATCGTCATCTTCTGCCAAGTCATCACAGCCCCCCAACGAGAAGACCTCGCCCTCCTCGAAGACTTCATCGCCTCTCTCCGCCCGCTCTGCGCGTTCTCGCAATCCATCGACCGACTCCACAATCTCTGCTCAGTCCTCGGCACCGTCGCCCGTTTATATTTCGAAGCCAGCAATCTGACCCAGACGGACGAGGACCACGATACCCTAGCATCCGTCGGCCAGGAGTTCGACGTCTATCTAAGCGCATTGGGTCTGGCACCTAATAACGCCACGGCGGATACGCCCAACTATTTTCAAACCGATGTGCCGGCCATGACTGTCGGCGCACTAGAATCCCCCCGACATCCGGCTGGGATTCCACTCCCGCCAGATCCGCAGTTGGCCAGTTGGTTTTGGGGCAATCGGTACATGATGGGATTGTTGGAGGAGGACTTTTCTCGATTTAATCCGGATGGGTGGTCATGGGGGAAGGAAGGTTCGTAAGTACATAATTGTGGTACAGCAGATATATGTTAGGGATAAGGTTCCGGGTAGGTTATTGTCTAGATGGGTTTGAATATACCAGCTACTCTGTAAAGCAGCCATAGAACGCTTATGCTAGTGACCTCGGCGATAAGGGTTTAATTGAATAGCTGTATTTTAAGCAGACTTTGGCGTATAAATTCTCAAATAATTATTGACTTTTGCTCCTTGAAACCTTGAGCATATATAAAGTAAGCCAACCTGCCATATATTTGATCAATGCTGACATGCTTAGATATAAACCATGTCTCTGGTGTCTATGGTGTCGTTGGTTTTTGTTATCCTTGTGGATTGATTTGCGCGTGAACGGTGCTCCTTCAAGAATGAAGGTTGGGTCTCATTAGGAGGATTGCGTAGTTGCACTGCGAAAAGTATTGGCTAGAGTTGTATATATAATCTAGAGGGCACTATGGGTATATATGAAGAATAAATCATGACCAGTATTTTCTCATCAGCAGAAGTACCTATGCTACAGACTGCAGTATTTTGCAATCTACTCAGAATAATTCTCTCTCTAATAATTAAAGGGTCATAATAATGAAATAATAATGTTGATGGTGATGAGAGCAGTTGGAGTGGAGCCGCCGTACGTAATGCGCTTGGGGTCAAATTGGAGACATTCTCCCCGTCGGCCAAAACACTCAATCAGAGAGACGGCATGCTTGGAGCACTCGGGTTATCGTGAAAATTTCTCGTCCAACGTCATCTCCCCGCGCTCCACCGGGCGATCTCGATTTGTGGGAGATCAGCGCAATTGGCATCAACGCAAAAATACATCGAATTGATTGGGGGATTGATTGGGCGGCAATTGACATCTCGACTGTCGCGTCTCAATTGTCCGGGCAGCTGTGTCAATCCCAGCTAGCAACTCGCAAGATAACACTTCCGAAGAGAAACAGCCAAAATCAATATGGCTACCGAGGCAGCAATCCCGGAGCTGGGCGACCAGAAGCCCGAAGATACAGTCCAAGAGTCAAGGGTTCTGATCATCATGACCGGCGGCACCATTTGTATGCAACCGTCCCCGGCTGGGTTTGTGCCCGCGCGAGGGTTCCAAGAGAAATGCATGGCGCGAGTACCGACCTTCAACGATGGGACGTCATCGACGACGATGAACGTAGTGGCCAATGCGGCAGGCGACGTCCAGGGCCACTCCAGCCTGCGCACGCCGATGACAGCATATGGGCGACAGGTGCGGTACACGGTATTCGAGTTCGAGGAACTGCTGGACAGCAGCTCGATCAACGCCAAAGGCTGGGCCGAGATCGCCGAGACGGTGTTTCGCAACTACACGCAGTTCGACGGGTTCGTCATCCTGCACGGCACCGACAGCCTCGCCTACACATGCTCCGCGCTCAGCTTCATGCTCCAGAATCTCGGCAAGCCCGTCGTGCTCACGGGCTCGCAGGCGCCGATGCTCGAGCTGCAGAACGATGCCACCGACAACCTGCTCGGGTCACTGGTCGTTGCCGGCCACTTCATGATCCCTGAGGTGTGCTTGTACTTTAATAACCGTCTGTTCCGGGGGAACCGATCTACCAAGGTCGCTGCTAGCGACTTTGCCGCGTTCGATGCTCCAAACTGTACGCCGCTGGCTGTCACTACATCCATGCGCACCAATGTCAACTGGGACATGGTGCATCGCCCTACTAGTCTGGAGCATTTCAGCATCCGGACGAACCTCGACACTACCCACGTCGCGTGCCTGCGCATCTTCCCCGGTATCAAGCCGGAGATGGTCGATGCCGTGCTGAAGCTCGATGGACTCCGGGGGTTGATTCTGGAGACCTTTGGCGCGGGCAATGCTCCGTCGGGGCAGGACAACGCTATGATCAACGTGCTGGCCAGCGCTATCCAACGAGGAATTGTCATTGTGAATGTCACGCAATGTAGGTTTTCTTGTTTTTCTTATCATTACTCTTGAATCTCAAACCACCACTGACATCTATCAGGCTTCACGGGCAGCGTCAGCCCCGTCTATGCCACCGGCATGAGTCTCTCGCGCGCAGGCGTCGTGGCCGGCCTCGACATGACGACCGAGGCGGCACTGACCAAACTCGCCTATCTCCTCGCGCTACCGGGATCGACCCCGGAGTCCGTGGCCAAGAACATGTCCATCTCACTGCGCGGCGAGCTCACCGAGTCCTCGCTGCCGGTCTTCCGGCACCCGGACGGAGCCCTCCCGGGGCGCGTGCAGACGCTCACAGCGATGGGGTATGCGATTGCACACGCCGACCTCGAGCGGGTGCAAACAATCATGAAATCCGAGCACCACTGGCTGCTCAACGACGCCGATTACTCGGGCAACACACCAATCGTAAGTAATAACAAAAGTGATCTCTCTGCACGAGTGAAATGCGTTCCAGCCAGCTAATCATGTTGATTGTGTTTTTGTGCAGCACCTGGCCGCCACCTCTCCGGCCATCTCCATCTTACACTTCCTCCTCTCCCAGGGCGGTTCTGTGCATCTGCGCAATCGCAACGGCCACACGCCACTCTTCCTCGCTGCCAACGCCGGTCTCCCCGACCAGGTTCTCCTGCTGCGCAAATCCGGCGCTCATCTCCACTCGGACGAGCGGCCAGCCGCCGAGCTGCTAGCTCGTCGCCGGCCGGGAATCTGGGGACAGGCCGGGATTGGACCGACAGAATCCCATCAGCAGGGGAATGACGAGTGGGAAAGTGGCGGGCGCAGTCGGATGATGGCCGGGTCGGCGCCGTGACGCGCGTGAGGCCAGTATTAATATCTAAAATACTTTTATTCTTATTCTTATTCTTATTGATGAGTATTCATGAGTGTTATGTATGTGTGTGTGTTTTCCAAGCTTCTCGCTTGGTTTTGCAGGATCGAAATTCAGATATAGCATAGAGATAGAAAGAATATCAGGAATGATTCATGATCAATGATCAATGATTACCTAGGTATAGTCGCATCATCGACCCTACATCCCACATGATACGCCCGAAACGCATCGAGCCATCGGAGAGGCTTTCCGGCTGAGTCCGCGGAGATGGGCGTGCCGCCAAGGACAGAGATAAGGCGCAGGATCACAAGGGCACTTTGGTGTCCACCGGTTTACTTTCATCTACGTGTAGAGCCGCCGCTTTTAGGGCCAACTGTGTGGGCTGGGCTGGGTCGCTGCGTAATTTCTAGCACGGCTCAGATTTTTCTTAAAGTGCCTAGGTATCATGTGACTCTATCAGCCGCACACCCAAAACAGATAAAGTTGTGGCCTGATATTTGATTTGATGCCTCAGGATGTTGATCTTGGTGTAGATCACTCAGCTCTCACTTCTGCGCAATCACTGTTGATTTACTACTTTCTTTACTTTCTGATAATAGATCAATTGCTACTGTTCTACTTTCCAAAACCTTGGATCCATCCAAGGATTTGACCTTTTTCATCTAGATCTGAAATCAATCTTCTAGTATGTTTATTCTTTCCCATACAGGAGCTTTGTATCTAATTACCCCTCTAGGTCCCTAACAACTCTTACGTCCGTCTCACTCTACACCCGAGATGTCTCGGCAACCACAGAATCAAGACAAGCCACCTGAAGAAAAAGAAGAAATGCACCCCTTACGAAGTGATGCTCCGATCAGAGCCACCCGACTACCTCACCAATATCCAAGAACCTATCCGTGAACTTCCACCAAATTATCTTATTTCCTATTTCTTTTACGGGACACTGACAAACTCCGCAACCTTACAACGAATCTTAGATCTACACGGCGAGCCAAAACTGCGCAAGGCTGACATTATTGGGTACGCGCTGGCAAAATGGGGCGACTATCCGGCCTTAATTGACGGGCAGCAAGGCCAGGTCGTGTCAGGGTCTGTCTATGTTGTGCAGTCGGAGAAGACCCAGAAACTGGTGGATTATGAGACCAAGGCTTATATGGTTGCGGACTGTTGGTTTTTTTTTAGGGATGCTGGGGGTTCGGCGGAGGAAATTCCCGGTAAGACTTAGATGTATGCTGGCGATGCACAGGCTTTGGTGGAGGGGCGGTTTGATCGCAAGCTTTGGGTTCGACAGATGGAGGGCAAATTGGGATGACTTGACTCGCTGTATTTTTTTTTTCTCTTTGTTTCCCCCTTGAGCTCTTGAAAAATGATGAGAAAATAGTTCGGGTGCTACAAGATCAGTCTCAAAAACGAGAAGAAGCTGAGATCGTCAAAGTCTCGTTGAGCATTGGGGCTATCAACAGGTATTTCGTCGAGAGATGATCAACGAGATAGACCTGTCGGATAGATTCCATCGTGTGTCACTGGAGTATGCATCATGGAAGGGATTTGGGACAGCTAAATATGCTTTTTGACCGGGGGAAGATATCATAGCCAAAGTAATTGCTGATTGGTCAGATCTGGGCATACTCAAGTGTACCCGGCAAAAAGCGGCGAGTAGCGAGTACCAAAATGGAAGGCAGCGAAAAATCATAGAAATCCTTTAGTCAAGTATACTCAGCCAAATATGCCCTAATCGACTATATAGAACATGGACTACCAGGTCTAGTGTGCGATGAGATTCGAATCATTTGATGCAAACTGTTGCGTGCTCAGATCTGTGGGGATATTCCACGCCGATCGGTTGTTTGCTTTTTCTCTGGATATCGGAATGGCCTCATCCACGACTTCATGCCGACATCGCTACCCTTGACACCTTCAAGGTAGGATCCCCCAGCCCCACGGTTTTTTGTTAAATGCGCCCTAGAATCTTCCAGCCACTGACCCCAATAGCAAGGGACATCCCTGGCTTATAATGTACAAACAAAAGTCCCGGGATCCCAGATCAGCTGCGCGAATTTCGAGAAAAAATGAAACCCAAAGAAAACAACATGGCTTGGCATTAGCTTAACACATTCAGCATTTCGTGCTCTCACTGCGAAAATCCTTAGCCCGAACGTGTAAGGATCCCGTCCACTGGTGGATGCCGATTTACGTAAAGGAAAACCGCTGGACCTTTTTAGTGCTTTTTCTTTTTTCTTTTTTCTTTTTTTTTTGCATCACGCAAGATTTGAAAAAAGCCTCGATGGTGTCATCTGGTCTATCTGATATTGCCTATATACTGTTATACTCCCTACCTATACTACCCATACTACCCATACTACCCATACTACCTATACTATACCTGATATACCCTTATCTTATCCTCTCCACGTTTACCCTCGGAACCAAGGAATTGAATTTTTTTTTTCTTTTTTTTTCTCTCCTGCAGATCCATGACTGTTTCTATCGCATAATCCGTCTGGACTTTTTGGTGGAGCTGGATCGGCCGTCTGATCGCGATTCTTGTTACATACAACTTTTTGGCTCCCCTCCCAAGGTACCCCACTATCGCAAAGCCCTCACCTCCATTTTCTTCTCTCGCCAAGGATTACTCCGGATTTTCTTCTTTTATCTGCTGTTCGCCTTTCTCATCCCCCACATCGAACTTCGCTCTGGTCCTTTCTTGTTCCCGGGACTCTCCTTCTATCTCTCTCCCTCTCCCTCCCTCCTCTCCTCCCTCCGTCTTCCTCCGGCCTCGGCGCAAACCCTCTCCCCATGACACAACCACAGAAGACGATTGCCGTGGTCAACGCGACGGGCCGGCAAGCAGCATCGTTGATCCGCGTCGCGTCTGCCGTGGGTTATGCCGTGCGCGCGCAGATCCACTCGCTCAAGGGTCTCATCGCCGAGGAGCTCCAGACCCTGCCGAATGTCACGCTGCTGCAGGGCCCGCTGCTCGGCAATGTCGCGCTGATGGACGCTCTGTTCCAGGGCGCCCACCTGGCCTTCATCAACACCACATCGCAGTCCGGCGACGAGGTCGCTATCGGCCGCGCCTTGGCCGACGCCGCCAAGCGCGCCGGCACCATCCACCACTACCTCTACAGCAGCATGCCCGATCACTCGGTGCATGGCCCGTGGCCGGCCGTGCCGCAGTGGGCGCCCAAGTTCACCGTCGAGAACTACATCCGTCAGCTGGGCCTGCCCGCTACCTTTGTCTATGCCGGCATCTACAACAACAACTTCACCAGCCTCCCCTACCCACTCTTTCAAATGGAGGTCCTGGCTGATGGCAGCTTTGAATGGCGCGCCCCCTTTGATCCCGAGATCCCGCTGCCCTGGCTTGACGCCGAGCACGATATCGGGCCGACGCTGCTTCAGATCTTCAAGGACGGGCCCAAGAAGTGGAATGGACATCGGTGAGTACCGCTAGCATCTCCAATGGCACACAATACCCCCCCCATAATGTTGTCGCGAGTCATCAAACTAACCACCCAATGTGTTTTCCAGCATCGCCCTCACCTTCGAAACCCTTTCCCCACTTCAAGTCTGTGCTGCTTTCTCGCGTGCCCTAGACCGCCCCTGCCGCTATGTGCGTGTGCCCAAGATTGAGGTCAAGGTCAACATCCCTCCGGGGTACCGGGAACAGCTCGAGGCACTGGAGATCCTGTTCGGCACCTACGATGCCCCATACTTCCCACAACCCGAATTCTCGCAACCAGCAGCTGGCTCCCCCAAGGGTCTGGGCCCTGCCGGGGGCAAGGGTGCTGGTGCTGGAATGATGCAAGGACCCGGAGGTGTGATCTCACTGCGCGTGACAGACGAGGCCCGCCACCTGTGGCAGGGCTGGCGTGATATGGAGGAGTATGCGCGGGAAGTGTTTCCGGTGGAAGAAGAGGCCAATGGCTTAGATTGGATGCTGTGATGCATTCTTTTCTAAGGTGTTGGTGTCTTTCACTTGCTTACGATGATTGCTTTCGACTCGGGCAGCCGTGCATGGTGATGATATCTGTGCATGTTGACTTGTCTGTGCTTTTTCTCTTCTCTTCTTTTTATCCTTTTCTATTCTTTTCTTCTTTCCTCTTCTGTGGATGTTAATCTTTGCATTGTTGGCGAATGGGCATCGGATATATGGGCTGTCATGACTTAAACCCGCGGGAGCTTTTTTAATCGGAAAAAGATGTCTTGGGGTGAGACACTAGGATGTTCTCTGGCTTGTGGTTCTTTATGGATTTTTTCTTCCTCTTCTTTTTTCTTAAAAAATCAAAACAAAAATTTGTGTTTGACTAGGAATTTGTGTTTGACTAGGTCCTGATGGCCCTGAGAAGAAGACAACGAGAAATGAGATGGAGGTGTCATGATCTGCTCAATTCATTGTTGGACTCTTCTCTCTCTTCCTCTTCCCTTTTATATCAGTCCGAGTTACTGTCTCATTTCTTAATTACCTGCAGTAGTAACCTGCAAGTCTCCCCAGACCGCTCCTTTCGCCCTGTTATTCCAGCTCCATAGATGGAAGATGTGGATCAGGAAGGAATTGAGCGGTGAGCATTAGATATATCCAGGTCACTATGTTAGAGAAACATAGCAAGAAACAGCTATACTCCGAAGCCTACGAGAATTGACGATAGCCTGCCGTTGAAATAAAGTGTATTGTTTGCCTTTCTTCGGATAGGATAGTCGAAAAAGCAACGAGTGCCCACGGGCTGTGCTGATTGGGGATTACGTGCTGGGCAGCGATCGGGGTTTGTCCACGGGTATTCTAAGAGAAATTCGGTTGGTGAGATCGTGTCAGTTTGGGTATAGTCATTTTTTGTAGCATTGATTTTTGAGTCTGAGGCCATTGATGATGAGGGGAGTAGTACACAATTATACAGTTTTTTTTTTTTTTTTTTTTTTTTTTTTTTCTTCTTATTTATACTCTGAGTTCTCTAGTAAGGTCTTTTTACTCTTCTAACTTTGCTGCAATTTTACAACTCTTAGAATACTCAATTTAATTCCTAATATATGTGTCTGGCTAGGAAAATCTCTGCAGAATCCTCAATCCCACCAAGCCCATTGCGTCACTCTCCCAGCGTCGCACTCGACACCTCAGGCCGCGACTTAATATCCACCCCCCACTTTCTAACCCGTCATCCCCTCGTTGCCCGGTGCACCAGCGGTACATTACCTCTACATAACAGGTACTCTCCACCTGCTACAATCACCACGCTATCACTAGGTAGTCAGGAAGTACTTTTTAAGTACATCGGAGCTTCCCACCCCCATCGGACTAAAGTTTCTGATCGCATCGACAGCTTTTTTTTTCTTTCTCTTTTTGATGATCGGCTGAATTTTTTGCTTTTTTCTCTTTTCCCTCTTCAGTCGTGCCGTGTCTTCCTCCATTTCATTTTCTTTTCTCTTCCTTTTCCTTTTCTTTCTCTATCTCTTCGTCTTCTCTCCCATCTCACGTCTCGTGTATACCTTTTCAAGCTTAAGCTTTCCTCTATTTGCCCCCTCTCTTTCTTCTTACACCATGTCTGCCGGTGACGACCAGTCTCTCCTCGACCGCGTCGAGATCCCTAGCATCCCCAAGGACGCGGCCAGGAAGATCGCTTACTTGGAGGAGGAGTTTATCCGTGCTGAGGTTGACCAATGTAAGTTTGTATTTTGATCATGGTTGTTAGCTGGTTCATTGAGCCATTGCCTGCAATTGAAGTCTATTAAAGCAGAATTGGATGCTCCATCTATTATGCTTATTTGAAACACCATTGGAAAGAAATGCAATGCTGACCTCCACAGTGCGCAAGTCGGTCCCCGTCCTCAAGCCGCTGTTCCAGAAGCGCAATGAGATCATCAACATCCCCGACGTGCAGAGCGACTTCTGGATCCGCGTATTCTCCAGCGCGCCCGCCGAGGTCGACGAGTACGTCCTGCCGACCGACGCGGCGGCGCTGGGCTCGGCCCTGAAGAACCTGACGGTGGAGCGGTTCGAGGTCAACGACAAGGGCGAGGGCGAGCCGCGCAGCCTGCGGTTCACCTTCGACTTCCACACCGGCGAGAACAACCCGTTCTTCGAGAACTCGCAGCTGGTTAAGGAGTTTTCCTGGCGCAAGCAGATCACCAAGACCGCCAAGGGCAAGTCCCGCACCTGGGAGGGTCTGGTCTCCGAGCCCGTGCGCATCAACTGGAAGAAGGACATGGATCTGACCAAGGGTCTCCTGGACGCTGCCTGCGACTTGGCCGACGCCGAGAAGAAGCAGGGCGGTGACCGCAAGAAGCTGCCCCAGTACGAGGCCCTCGTTAAGAAGGTTGCCGAGGCCGAGGCCGAGGCTATGAACGCCGACGAGGACGACGACGAGGGTATGGAGAGCCCTGCCGGCCTGAGCTTCTTCGCCTGGTTCGGTTACCGCGGCCGCGATGTCTCTGCGGAGCAGTCCAAGCAGGCTACCAAGGAGGACGACGAGCGGTGGGCCAAGATCGTCAAGGGCGAGAATGTCGACGAGGACGAGGACGAGGACGATGAGGATGATGATGACGACGACGAGGAGGATGACCTCGAGGACGCCGAGATCTTCGCCGACGGCGAGGAGCTTGCTGTTGCCATTGCCGAGGACCTCTGGCCCGAGGCCCTCAAGTATTACGGTATGTACCAACCCAAACCCAAGACCAAGAACTTTACATTGACAGACACCAGTGCAATCGTTCGAGATCGGTGATGACCTTTCCGAGATCGACATCGACGAGATGGATGAGGATGAGGATGAAGCGGAAGGCGAGGACGCGCAGCCGCGCAAGAAGGCGCGCACCTAAATCATTCGCTATTTCGCCGATGAACGCCATGCATGGTAGCCCGATTCATGTAATATCACAGGACGATGACGAGAATTAATAATAAGACGAGGACAAAGATCAGCGTCGCGATGCAAAAGGAGGACATTGTATCTAGGTTCCCCACAAAAGTTAGCTCAAATTGATGATTCCCCTATTTTTCGATAGTTCAGTGAGATCACAGCGTAAACAACTCACCTTCGTTCTTGCGGACGATATGTTTAATGCGCGACATCCCATTGTTCAGCTTCCCGCCTACACGGTCGGCCAGCGTATCGACCTCATCGATCATAACCGCCTGGTCCTCCAACTCCCGGCCCATATCATTTGCTTGCTGCCGCAGATTCCCAACCGTTCGAAACACGCCATCCAGCTGCTCATCCTGGTCATGCATCAGCTCTACCTGGCGCTGCTGCTCCAGCGAAGCATAGTAATCATCGCCGCCGCGACGCTCTTCCTCGTCCAGGGCAGCATCAAACTCGGTCGGATTCGGCACCTCAGTTGATGCGGCGGCAGCCTCTGAACTTGACACGGCCTGCTTCAGCTCCTGGCGCATCTTCTCGACCTCAGCCCCGACATCGTCGACGAGTTTCCGGCGCCGATGCACCTCGTCCAGCTCCAGGCCAAAGCGGTAGGGATCTTGCTCGATGGCGCGCACGCTCTCGACCAGGTCGTCTAAGTCGGCGCTCAGCTCGGTTAATGTGGTCTCGAGCTCTGAGCGGGCTTGCTTCAGCTCGGGATTTGAGGGGCTTTTGGCGAGAGACCGGATGCGGAGGTATGATGAGAAGAGGGGACGGCTGGATTGCAGTGTTGACAAGACATCTCTGTGACGGACAGGTTGAGTTAGCTGGGGGTATGACACTTGTAAATGAACTAAAAATCATGGGCCTCACGCTTGGACTTGGAGGAAAGGGTCTGCGTTCTCCATGGCTGCGGTGTGGTTCTAGCGATGTTGGGGATGGACTCATCCAACTCTCGTGTCCGGAGAGTCGATCAGATGACTCAGCGCGAAAAATCCCGTGGCGATAAGGCCCAAGAAATCCCCACACTCGATAGCAGAAAACATCTTGGATGGCTTTGTGTGTGCGCCAAGTCGGCGATTTTTAGCATCCACGCCTTCCCGCATGGCTCGCACCCGCCCTCTCCCACTCTCCGATGAGTGGGCGGACCCCTCCGCATACGTCGATGCCCTCCTCTCCTTCGCAACCTCTTCCGTGTTGTTCATGAACCTGTGCGGCGGAGTCCATATCCTCGATTTCCTGACGCGCGAGCCTGATCTGTATACGACACTTTTACCAGAAGACTGGAGATTATTTTTTGAACAACATGGTATCCACGACATTCTGCACCTGCTGCTGCGAGAGGATATCGGCCCGCTACGAGAGACCGACAACACGGACAATGGCAGGACCTGGAACGGGGGCGCATTTCCTCCCCAGAGTCTCCTGGAATACATCCACAATGTCCGCCGACTGAGTCTCCGGCGCGAGTTCAACTCCCCGCATCCCAAGAAGAACGGTGGTTTGCCGCGACACATCGCTGTGGGCATGAACCGCAAGAAATCGCATGAGGTCGAGAACTTCTCGCGCTATGTCGCGTCGTTGTCGGAAACTATCAATGAACGCCGCGGCGAGCCAGTGTCACATATTGTGGATTTCGGGTCCGGGCAGAACTATCTGGGGCGCACGCTTGCCAGCTCGCCTTATCATAAACATATTATTGCCATTGAGCGAAAGCACCAGTACATCAGCGGTGCCAAGGGCATGGATGTGCAAGCCAGATTGGCAAAAATGGAGAAGAAGACGGTTTATGTGCACAACCGGAAAAAGTCGTGCGACGAGTGCAACGAGACCCCTGATGGGTCTTCTGCGAAGAGGGATGAGACAACCAAGTCAGAAGCGGAAGTACCAGAACCCTCAACGCATGATGTGCCACAAGAGTCTGCTGGGAACGAGGAGGATGTGACCATGTTCAAAATGCTGGGTGAAATCAGTCTCGAACCTGATGAGCTGCTCGGTTCGGTTACTAAATACCCGCCGAGACCGAAGGCCGAGAAGCCGGGTATTGACACCAGAGGCAAGATAAGCTACATTGAACACGAAATCGAAGATGGGTACTTGGAACCCATTATCGAGCATGTGGTGGATCCAAAATCTGCGGTGGTGCAGAATGGAACAACCGCAGAGGATGAAGCATCCTCAGTTACGGTTCAGGCCGACGAACAGAAGAAGGGCGACGCCCGCGTGATGGTGGTGTCCTTGCATTCATGCGGCAACCTCGTCCACCACGGAGTGCGATCTCTGGTGCTCAACCCGTCAGTGGTGGCCATTGCGATGATCGGCTGCTGCTACAACCTCTTAACCGAGCGTCTCGGCCCAGCCTCATACAAACTCCCTATCCTGCGATCCCTCCATCCGCGTCTGAGAACCACTGGCACTGCATACGATCCTCACGGGTTCCCCATGTCCAAGTTCTACGAGGAATACCAACACAACGGCACTATAGGTATGAAGCTCAACATCACCGCCCGTGCAATGGCCGTACAGGCGCCATATAACTGGGGCCGCGAAGACAGCGAAGCCTTTTTCACTCGGCATTATTACCGCGCTCTCCTTCAGCGCATCCTTGTTGACCGCCAGGTCATCCCCAAACCAGAGATTCCAAAGGATCTATACGCCGAGGAGTCTGACTCGTCCGAGAGGGGCACCACTGCGTTGATTGTCGGGTCCCTGCGCAAGTCGGCATTCGAGTCTTTCTCTGCGTACGTTCGCGCCGCGACGATCAAACTCAGCCGCGACGTGGAACGCGGCGCCAAGGTTCAGGAAGAAATCGGTGGCATGTCCGAGGAGGACATCCATCGCTATGAGTTCGAGTACCGGCACACGCAGAAGAATCTCAGCGTTGTATGGAGTTTGATGGCGTTTAGCGCCACGGTTGTCGAGGCGGTTATTGTTGTTGACCGCTGGCTGTTTCTGCGTGAGCATGACGCTGTCAAGGAGTGCTGGGTTGAGCCGGTCTTTGAATACGACGCGAGTCCGCGAAACCTGGCTGTTGTCGGGGTTAAGAAGTGATGACCCAAGGATGGTGTGAAGAACGAAAGACACAAGGCCGAGACTTGCATATTTGGGCTACCCTCACCGGCGATGATGATGAGTACATGATCTTATGACGGGTTGTATAGACTTGCAAGCTTGGGCTGGGATGAGCCATGGCATGCGAATGACTTGATAGATGTACAGCTATGAATAGGCCCAAAAGCGATACCATTCAACTTTGTACTGTGCTCTATCACCTCTCGGTGTTGAATGGCTTGCGTGATACGACCGAGTCAGCTGGTGGCAGTGGCAGGTCACTGAAGCGTCGTGGATATCGCAATACAAGCCCATCTGCTTTCCTGCGTAGCATCAAGACATAATATAAAGATTTCGAAGTCTTCTTCTCTTTTTTTTTTCATTTTGAGCATATATAGCGTCATGTAATTTCGACGCTGCCCTCCGGCACTCCCTGCCGACTGCGCAACCGCCGCGCAAAGAACTGCATGACAGGCAGCATCTCATCGCGGTTCGAGGGCATGCCATCGCCCTTGCGCGCATAGCGGCTCAGCTCAACAAACTCAAAGACCTCCTCCGTCCTCCGCACCGCAGCATCCGACACGGCCACCGAGTCCCGGCCCGCAACCAGCAGGACGGGCGAGCGGTTTTTCGCGCCAGCGCGGGACCCCGACAGTGGGTAGGGAGCACCAATGGAGATCACACCAGCCAGCGCACCAGTCTGTTGTTGTTGTTGTTGCTGTTGCAATTGATCCTGTTGTTCAGAGGAACCTCTCCCCAACCCCAACTCCCTCGCCGCCACCAACCCAGCCATCCCGCCCTGTCCGAACCCTAGCACAATAATCTCGCGCAGCGCATAACCGCACTTACCCAGCAAGCAGCCGCGTATGACGTCGTCGACCAGCGTCGCCGTGCTCCGCGTCAACCCCGCGTCCATGTCCAGCCCGCCCGTCCCCGTGTCGAAGGCGACATCGTCGCCCCAGTGGAAGCCGCCCAGGTCGAAGGGGAGCGGGGCCGGCGCTTGCACGGTGACGACGGTTGTTTCGGGGAGCTGCAGCGCGCGCGCGAAGGATGTGAAGGCGGCGGCTGTGTCGCCAAGGCCGTGGAGGAGGAGGAGAATATTGGGGGCTGGGGCGGTGGAGGGCGTCGGTGGGTGCGTGATGGTTACTTTGAGGTGGGAGGGGAAGTCGGTTGGGGTGGGGGTTTTGGTGGGCATGATGATGGCTTGTGGTGACTGCCCTCAATGGTGCCCAGGTGGTTTGCCCGAGTGATTTCGAAGGAGGGATTGAGTGTGCTGCACGTGTTTTTTTTTTCCCTTCTTACTTCTCGGAGTCACCGATGGGAGCTTCACGACGCTCAGGCGTGAGGGGGAAGGGCTGTGGCTGTGGACAGTGGCTTGTTTGAAGGGCCTTGAGAACCAATGCCGCAAGAATTATGATTGTCTTGGAGTGGGGCAGAGTATTTCCTCGGTATTGCTGGTGCCTGGCAATGGAAGTTAATTGCATGGCAAATGCACTGCACTGATCTTTGGGCATTTCCGGATGCAATTATGCAGGGGAATGCATATCTTGATGGGATCTTCGTTTCGGGTATATTGTGACATTCATGTCCGAGTATAGCATCTATAGGGACTGGTCCCCGTACAGACCCTCTCATGGGGATTTTAGAGATCAATTGATCCAATACTATCAGCCAAAAGCCTCTCATTAATCCATCCTCTCCATCAATATTTATTTAGATCACATTGTGGCGGGACTCCGCCACAGGAGCCGTACGTAACGGCATCTCCGACCAAAACTGCCTCACAATACACGTCCATACCAGGAGTCATTCACATATACATCCATCAAAAAAAAAGTCCTATACTCCAGCAAAATACAGCAAATACACAATTCCCATGGACACTTCGTTGGATGTTCACCGCCACTCAGGCGAAGTGAGGTGGCTGAGGCCGAGCTCGTAGGGCGAGGACAAGCCTCGGACAAGAGAAGCTTGGCTCGGCTGCGTTGGGCCGATGCATCCATACAGAGAGGTATTTCAAGGGTACAGTGGACTATACCACTAACTCTGAAGCAGTTAGACCACCTGTATACACCCTTTTATTTGTCGGTCGAGCGGAGTAGGGCTGACCCGACCCCATCAGGGGGCCCATCAGATCAGCGCAATTGGGGGGAGCCCGGTGGGACACACTCGTAACACTGAGGACCGGATGTTGAAACCCGCCTGGACAATACACAATCGAAAGCAATACACGTCAGTGTTCCGCATTTATGGCATTGCAGAGGGGAGAGGGGAACGTATGTCGAAGGAATGCGGTGCGCACCTCATCTCGCCCGTGCATTGGGGGGAGAAAGTCTGCTAGACCAGATTCCCCCCTGATGGCCGAGCTCTGGATCATCTCAGAGCGTGTCCACATGGGTTCGGCAAAGACATATCCCTCCATCGATTGGAGACCCTTTCCTCCTTCTCATCGCCTCTTTCTCTGCGTGTTTTCTGTTGGATCATCCCGTCTGCCAGATGATTCCACGAGATCAACAATACATATGCCCTCTCCTTCTTTCCCAATGCCCCGGATACCCAACAATGGCCGAGAAATGGCGGTGCGATCTGCTGTGCCCCACCGGCTGGAGGGGCGAAAGCCATCGGATGCACACTTGGACCCGTGGTCCAACCGTATAATGAAGGAGGGGACCCTGCTCCATCTGCCTACGACTCTCCTACCAGAGAGCCGAAAGGAAGAGGCATCAGCCACTCAGTCCTCAGATTGGACGGTGGGGCGCCAGCTGAGACAGAAGCTCCTGAGGAGCATACGTAGCACACTTCTGGAGGTTTCCGTCAGCGGTGGCATAGCTATAAGATCCACTCATCGCCCCTCCCCCTCCCTCTCCTTTCTTTCCATCATTCACATACTCTCTCTTCCTCTTCTCTTTTCATCCTTTTCTCTTTCCACATACTATATTCACAATGGCCTGGGGCTGGGGTAAGTCTTTTTTGTTCTTGATATGCATCTCTGCATCATCCTCGCCTTAGTACATGCAGAGCAACAGGTCTCTGCATTTGCATGCGTCTACATCAGCCGCAAGACATCCAGAACCAGACTGACCGGAAACTAGGTGACTCTGACAACGCGCACCAGCAGGTGTACGGCGAGAAGAAGCACGAGAGCCACTTCTCTCATGAGCTGATCGCCGGCGCCGCCTCATTCGAGGGCATGAAGGCCTGGGAGGACCACCAGCGCAAGCAGGGTATGCCTTCTCCACTCTCCCCTCCCCTCCCTTTTATCCTATCTTACCGCATTCATTGCTCCACGTTCTGACTGTGTTTGACTGGAACAGGCAAGACTGTCAGCCACTCCTTCGCCAAGGAGGCCATCGCCGGCCTCGTCGGCGCTGAGGTCGACAAGCTGGCCGAGACCAAGGGTCTGGACGAGGCCGACCGCCTCCGTGCTCACGAGCACGCCAAGAAGAACTCCCACCAGATGTACGACGAGCACTACGTCCAGGGCCACGGTGCCGACCAATACGAGCCTGAGCGCTACGGCCGCCACGACCGCTTCGATGCTCCCGGCCGCTGGTAATTGCGCTTAGTCTTGAGGTTCTATCTGCTGGATTGGAGGTTTCCTCGTGGATTTGAGAATAGCCTAGACTATAGAAATCTAGCATAATTCCTCGAAGTATTTCGGCGTGGAGAGTCACTATGTAGGTTACCCTTAAAGTAAAGGAATGGCATGTCAAAAGATTCTATAGCCGCCCCAAGATGTGGTGAAACACAAGGCCTCTTCCATCACGGATACTTATCCTTTGTCTACCAATGAAGTGGGGTATAGTATATAGTAATTCGAGAAATATGATATTATAATGCCAGCCACTCGTGTCGCAACAGCTCGGCAGCCGGCTTGCGCCGCAATGCTTCAACTGTCAACATCCCCTGGAAGGAGTCAAATAAAGTAGGCACCTCCACGCGTGGCATGTCTTCGGGTTTGATAAAAGGCTTCTCGGCGCCATTGACTAATCTCTCGAGCTGGGTTGATTGCATATTCGGGATGCGATGAAGACGACCTGTAATAGATGTATTAGCACGGCCAGTCGAGATATGCAGTGGAGAGCTCTGTATCCTGACCACCTTCGTTGAAGAACTCCGCAGTCCGACTCCCTTTCCGGAGAAGCTCCGGGGGGAATTTCCCCTAAGATTTCAATGGTTCTTGCAAGACGATCATCATCGACTGTTCATGTGCCTTTCTTAGATGCTGTCCCTGAAAAGGAGACTTTGCCCTGAACAAACTCGATAATCTGCAAATGGGGGTGAGAATTGGAAAGTGTGAAAAAACAATCATTACCCGTTCTGAAATCATGGTACTTCCGAGACATCCAAGACTCCAGATATCAACTGCAGTGTCCCAAGGTGCGCCAATTGTGACTTCTTGTGCCCGCAGAGCTGGTGATTGGATGAATTCTGACAGATGGTTGTCTGTCCAAGAAGCTATTGCCGTATTAGTATCGCTTAAAAATGTGGACAATAGAGAAGCACCTACCCACGCCGAATCGACAATTCTGACACGGGGTTCCCGCATCTCTGATATGAGAGGCGTCTTCATGACTTCTCGGAGAGGGACGGAATGCCCGTTCAGATCCTGGGCCCGAGCAGGGGTTTCTGATACATCTTTGGAGATAGTGGATAGTGTTCTGCGAATCCTCCAGTTCGAGTAGGATGTTGGTCGGTTTCAAATCTATTCCGTGACAATCCTTAGCATCATAATATAGCGATATGAAAGTTCCGAACACTATCGTTCTATACCTGTATGAATGATACTACACCCTCGATGGAAGAAATCCAGTTCCAATAAGAGCTGTCGCGCAATCGTCCTTCCTGCCTTGACGGGCGGTTACCCGTCTGGGTATTTCGTGGTTTGAAAATCCAAATGATGACCGAGTACATCAAACACGAAGCACACATGTTGGCCATCGGGGCCTTCGTGCTTAAATTGGTCCAGAAGCGGCAGGACGTGGTTGCGGCCTTGTACAATCAGAACGAATTTCCGAGGAGGTGACGCTATATATAGATATCAAATCGGAAGGCCTACGCGATATCCTACGTGTAATACTACACGATATCAAAGCCACTAGCCTAATAGAGGATAAGCTATCGGCAATTCAGATAGAGTATTATCTCTAAGAAGACTGCTGATATAGGTTAGATCGGGTAAAATATCCTTTTCTCCTAGAGCTCGAAATATATACTGAAAATATAGATATCCTAGACTATGGATTCCCACGTTAGCACCTCCGTTTACTTATCAACTACCTTAAGTAAGCAGATTTAGCTGTCTCGTAGCGTCTCTCGTTAATGTTGTAGCATGGTTATATTATTTATAACCTTCTTTGGGCACTTTTCAAGCCTGGTTGCTATATTTATACTATATATATTGGCACAAAAGAGCCGCGATGGGTTATATTCGACGTAGGGGAAGAGATAACACAAAATGACGAGAAGTGGTTTAATCTTGAATACCGATTCCTTGATTATAATAGAGTTAAGTTCGGCGAGGCCGAAATCTTTCTGCGTATGCCAAAGTTCTGGGGCTTAAAGCCGATCGAGACCCTTAAGACCTTCCCTCTCTGTCACTATCTAAGATAGTAGCAAGTTCGGAAAGACTTAGTCGAGAGAGGCCAAAAGATTCGGGATTTAGCCGGCTTATATATTTAGTAAAGTTCATATTAATAGTCGAGTAATAGTGGACGCTATATTTTTCTATAAAATATAGCTAAACTACTCCCGCCCGTTACTCCGCGATATTAGGGTTAAGGATAAGGATAGAATTATAGTTATTTATATAGATACGATACTTATAGAGGACCGTGAGCGAGAAAAGGAGAAAATATAAGGGGACGGCGTGGATACCTAAAAACTAAGCAAGGCCGATTTGTTAATCGCTTGTCTAATAGTTTATTGTTTTAGCTTTAAAGAGAAAATATTCCGTATATAATATGATTAATAATATTTTAGGGACTAGCTAATATAATTCTAGTGGAGTACGTAGTTAGTGCTCTTAGAGACGTGAACTAGTTACCTAAATCGTTTGACTACCTATAAATTCCACTAGAGAATAAGATACTCTTTTTATTAACAGTAGATACCCGCTTAGGTCTAATACTGATAGTGCCTTTTAACGATATAATTAATAGAAAAGGTCAAGGACTTAATATCCTTCTAGAGTATATCGGTAAATTATTTATATACTATACTAAGGTTCTGTCCTAACCTATACTAGTGGCCTACCTAGCGTTGGAAAGACTTTCACGGTTAAAGCAACCTCGGAATATTTTAAGCTGCCTCTCTTTTCGGTACGAGCTAGTTATAGCGCTAATTGTGGCTCCTACTGATTTTTCTAGATATCCGTAGGCGAGCTCGTTGTCGACCACGGAGATTCTAACACGTTTAAGTAATAACTTGAAAATATATTCAAGATCGCTAAATATTTTAAAGCCGTGCTTCTCTTGGATAAGATAGATACGTTTATAGAGCAACGTATATCTTACCACGATACTCACAATCGCCTTATGACCGTTTTCCTCCGAAAGCTAGAATATTAGCAAGGAATCCTATTCTTAACTTCGAATCGGGGTATTCAGTTTAATAATACAATCCTTAGTCGGATCTATTTAATTATTAAGTATAAAGACTTGAGCAGGGGATTTTGTAGGGGCCTCTAGTCAACTTTTCTGAACAAGGCACGTGTAGTCCAAGGACCTGCCATGATCGAGGAGCACGACCTCCGACGATTGGAGCCTTTAGATCTCAATAGACAAGAGGTAGGGTCCGGAGTCGCTTGCCAAAGACAGCCTGATCTAGCCAGAAAATGCTTTGCAACGCCACCTGGACTAAGTTATCAAGGACTTGGGACAGGTTGGATTAGTTCCCGTCCAATTTTTGCCAGCAGTATTCTCCCGGCCCCGTTCCCAGATATCTATCACCTTTGATGAAGAGGCAACACTACACGGAAGGTGGTAACGAAGCCGACCAGACCCACTGCCGTACCCACTTCCATTATGAATCTCAGATCAACCCTAGGCAGGTTTCCCCGATTACGTATTGATGCTCTGAGCGTCTATAAATACCTGCGAAATCCACGAGGATAATGCTTAGAAACGTATCACAAATTGACGTCTACTTCGTGGCGTGACCCTAGGAATTAGACTCAGATACGATCGTTCTCACCCAAACACCAAAGTCCATTCAATATGAGTCAGATCTTCATGTGAGCACTTCTCAGCAGGGAGCCGTTCAGTGGATTGGAACTCATTCGTCTACAGTACAGGTGTTACCGGCTTTATCGGTGGAGACGTCCTGTATGGCCTTACTCAGGCACTGGCAGCATCTAGCATTGTTGCTCTTGTACGAAACAAGAGCCAGGCGGCTGTCGTTGCAGGAAAGTTTCCAACGGTGACTCCGCTCATTGGAGACTTGGACTCCAGCGCAGAGATCCAACAAGCCGCTTCCAAAGCTGATGTAGTGCTTCGTATGTATCAAACTCCAGCCCAGACAATATAATTGCCTTGAGAATCGTTGCTAACAAAGGTTATGAATAATAGATCTGGCAAGCTCCAGTCACGTGCCCAGTGCTAAGGCTATCGCTGAAGGACTGGCGAAGAGCGAGCGTGAGAACCCAAGTATATTACCCCTCCATTAGAAAAAAGTCCTTTCGATGGAGTTTTTCAACTAACAAACTGCCAGCATGGATCCAGATCTCCGGCGCCAGTTTCCTGGCCGGCGCAGAAGTAAAGGCTAAGAACTTCGGCCAGCCCGGTACAAAGATCTACAACGATTTGCACGGAATTCAAGAAATTCACGACATTCTTGCTACTTCGCCCCAGCGTGCCGTGGACCACCTCATCCGCGGTATGCCTTCTACCAACCCTCGTGTGAGGACGGCCATGGTCTACGGACCCCTCATCTACGGCAAGGGCCGAGGGCCAGTGAATCAGCGGAGTATCCAAATCCCCGACCTCGCCAAGGCAACGCTGCAACACGGACACGGCCTTCATCTAGGCCGCGGCCTTAACACCTGGAATACTATTCATATCTCAGATCTGACGGCACTCTTTGTGAGATTGGTTGTGGAATCCTCGCGAACTTCGAAGCCAGAATTATGGAATGAGAATGGTGTTTTCTTCGCCGAGTCTGGGAAGATGGTGAGTTAAGCACCTCAAAAATGATATTTGGCACCTGACTGATGGCATGATAGTCTTTCGGAGATATCGGCAGAATGATCGCTACTTTCGCCCACTCTCGAGGTTTCATTAGGACGCCTGAGGCGGTTGAGATTGATGCGGCTACCGCTGACAGACTTACTCCTCACGGGTCGGTCATTTGGGGTACGAATGCTCAGTACCAGGCTATTCGGGCACGAGAGATTCTAGGGTGGCTGCCCCAAGGGCCCTCGGTTGAGGGGGAGATCGAGCGAGTCGTCCTCTCCGAGGCGTCACGGAGTTTCTCGCGACCCGCCGAGAAGCTTGCTTAATTGTGTCTCTGACTGTATTTATCATATCGGTAATATTTCGAAAGTAAGCATAGATGCAGAATTAAATAGGCATGGTGTATATACTCAGGAAATCGTACTTGCTTGAATTTGAACTACGCGCAGGCGCCAGATTCCTCTTGTGCTAACCTGGTGGCATGCCCTCGCCATGCCCAGCGAGCAAGAGTTTTCAACCATCAAAATCAATCTTTCTGGCTGGGCGATATTACTCTCCAACCCCCTGATCTTGCTAGAGCATGAGATTTACGACCCATGGCAACTTTTATTATTTGGTACCTCATTTCCAAACGCTGTACAGTATATATACACTCCATAACCTAATAGAAATACGCCCTCCTATACTACAATAATAGGGCCCCGATCATGCCCCATCACATCAAACCAGCTGAGTGTATAATCACTAGCCTCCTCCCGTGCCTTCCAAACCCTTTGCACAACATCCACAGCTGTAGCAAAAGTATTAACAGCTGTCCTGTGGAACATGTCACGCAACCAATCCAGCAGCCGCACTTGGAATGACTTGTCAACAGCTTCACACGCAGCAATGAAACAAGGCCATAGCAGAGACGATGTGTGCTCTTCTCTTTTGTTAGAGCTGCATGCCTGCTCGATGAAGCGTAATGCCTTTTGCACGGTCTCCTGTAAAATGAGAGCATTGATATTGTGGACGCGACGATAGTAGAAGAGTATCAGACTTTGGTGCATGGCAAATGCGTTGTAGCAGAATGCCTCTGGAGTTGCACTGTCGCTTTCACTGTCCGCGGAATAGGGTGAGATAGGGAGTGGTGGTTGTTTCTTGTCCCAGGACAAGATGTGGTGCTCCAAAATCTTTGTCCGTTTATTTAGACTCGTCACGACTTCCACGTCGACAAGGGTGTCGCGCGTCAGAAGTTCCTGCTCATTGGCTAGGCGAATAGCTTGTGATAAGAGGCCCATCAAGGACTCCGGTACACCGTACATGATGGGGAAAAGACTGTTGCTCCAAGTGCCCATCACTTCGAGGTGTATATCCTGATATCCGACGGAATCAGTCTTTTTAACTCCCATTTCCAGTTCGGTCAGCGTGGCCGCGCTTGGTAGCCGGAAACTTCGAAGGGTCTGCGTTAGTTCCCCATCGAATACGAGACTAGAATTCGGGCGTGCCGGGCAAACTCTGACAAGGGCACAACCGCAGGTGCTTTCTGCGAGGATGCGCAACCAGGTATAGACATGGTGCAAAGTTCGAACTTTGGAGGATTTTTGGGCTTTTGAAAATCCCCGCCGTCTTATCAAACACTCTGCTTCGACCAAGAGCATTTGGGCGTTGTTGTAATCTTCAGACAAAATCTGTCAATGAGATGAGCATGGTAATTATGGAATGAAATAAAGTTGACAAACCTCGAGATACACCATTGAAAGTATTGCCATGAGGAGTTCCTTATATTTCACTGGTTTTCTGCTCGTAATCTCTTCTTCCAGGGCAAGCTCAAGGTGTTGCTTAGCGAGACGTTGACTCGAAACACGCAACATTTCACAATCTATTGTGTCCCGCGAGCGGTTTGCACGGTAAAAGCAGCTAGCGGAAACAAGCGAATGGAATAGAGACTGCCTGTGGTGACTGGCCTTTTGGCTCACTAGTAACTCTGCGTACGTTGACATGGCAGCAGGGAGATGGATTGTCTGCCAAGGACATTCCGGGTTACCCCTCATTGGAAAAGAAAACGAAAGAATGTTAGCCTTGAAGTGACGGAGAAGCTCGAGAGCTCGTGGCAGAACGTCTTTGGAAGACAGTTCGGGCTCTCGTGTCGGAGAGCGCACGGACAAAAGACCCATGGGTGAGTAAAGATTGAGAGTGTCTTGGAAACTGTCATCACAGGCGGAAGCCACAGTTGACGGTGGTGCGGGTTCAAACATTTGATGATGGGCGCTCGTTTGTGGAAGCGTGGACTCGTCAGCGATGGAATTCATGTCGGCAGCGAAGCTCTCGTCTACATTTTCTCGATCACCAGAGTTATTCTGTCCTGCAGCTTCGCTTCGAGGCGTGTCATCGCCAGTATTGTGATTATGGGACGTGCGATGTTGCAGGAAATCTAAAACACCAAAGGGTCCCTGAAACAAACATGGACCAGAGCCGCTCTCCTGCCAACGTTCTATGTTGTTCAGTGCAGCATTGGTAGTAATCTGCCCGAGGCTATTGACGGTAGTTTTTGTCATGGACTCTTGTTCGACAACTACATATACGTCAATGAGGGCGGCTCTAATGCAAGAAAATGGTGATTTCTAACCTTGATACAGCGGCCGACGGAAAACACGATCCTCAGATCGCTCGCCGTCGGAGCCTCGAGCTTTGCTTACGTCGGCAGGCCATTTGACTTGAGCATTGTATCCTGGGCATGCGATTCCCGTTATATGACACATCTGGCATCCTGGCCGGCCTTCGTCGCACTTGAGGTGGCGGGTGCGACAGGCGCCACAACCCGTCAAAGAGCGGTGCCGTTGCACCATTTTCTGTGAAGCCGCCGACAAAGGTCGGAGCAATTCAGATAAAGTAGCTGCAGGTGGGCTTTAGGTAAAACTGGCGTTGGGAGGCATAGCCGCAATCGGAGGCGCAAAGAGAATGGGCGGGGTCGGGAGATGCTCGCGTGCAAACCTCCCCGGACCAGCCAATTTATTGCCAACGGCCAGGCCCTGGCCCACGATATGACTTAGTCAGCGCAAGGTGGACCTGTTCAACGAACAATAAGACTTGCAAGTTATGACAAAAGGTCCGTTGGCATATCCGTAAGCATGTGGGTTAGAACATTCACTATGAAATCCCGGAATACGGGCTGGTCAAGGCAGACAGATGTATAGTCGTATTGAAAAGAGATGTAGGAATGACTGGTGGGGTTCCTAATTAGGCAATTCTGAATCTGACCTCTTCGCCAATGGGACCCGAGGGAAAAGCACCGTCTCATTGCCCAATAATGGAAGCCCATCTGGATAGTGAGTAGACGCAGCAGACCTGATGGGCCAGCTTTGGCAGCAATATGGAGGGCGCGCCAGACGTAGGGGATTCCTTGCCCGGGCGATTCTTCATTTTAGCGGAAGAGTTACGCAGCCACCAGATGGAGGCGATGATCCTCATGAGAGCCTACAAAGCCGGATAAGCGGCTCCCACTTTAGGGACTTCTGATAGTGTAATATCCACGTATAAGTTGCGGTGTTTTGGGGGCTCGTCGATAAATCATTTACTACATTAGCCTATTCTTACCTGAGAAGCTCGCCTTGAATCTACCCTAATCTACCCTAATATGAGACAAGATTCTCAGGAGTAGGGACTATCCAAGAGAACTCTCCTGAGATGCTTGACGTCTCAAGAAAGCAGACGGATCCTTCGTTTCAGTTCTTTGCGTTTGCGTGATGGTGTCATATCCCTCTCATAAATCGACTGCTTCAACGATCATGCTCTCGAAATCCTGATAACTGTAATCACGGCGAGGAGTCTTCCAAGGTCGTGAGCTACCTGGCTCGAGGGTTGGCAATTACTCGTCATCGGCTATAATAATCGTGCTGGAATGGCTTGCCATTATGATCTTAGTCGCCACGCCCAGGACAGAAAACCGATACAAGGGGGTCTGAGAAGAAGAAAAGAGAATATCAGAGCATGCAACCGACTGGGGGGAGAGATCTTTGATATACCTGAGAACCAACAGTGACGGAGTCAACCCCGGCGACTGCGCACATGATGCACATCAAAAGCATGGCGATGGAACGCCAATTGGTGCAGCAAGGCTACGTCACACCAGTTGCACTTTAGTTTGCTTTTATTTTAGATGAATAGCGTCAAAATAGCGCGTAACACACCCAGTGTTATGATATATTTGGAAGCGAACACGGTCAGGGAGCCCCTTATTAGCAAAGCATTAAAAGCAAGCCTCTGGCTTCTTAGAATTCTCGAGGTATTCCTTAGTAACACGCGACGGCTTGCTACCTACAGAATTAGATACTGTATCTAAGTTAGTAATATTTTAGGTCTAATTTATATCCTATAGCCGATTTCTAGGGCTAACGGACGTAGCGGATTTAGAGGCCTTCTGTTTGGGCCGGTCCCTTAACGGACCTCCTTCAAGGACGTCACAATACTATACGACGCCTACGGCACCCGTATCGCGCTAATTTCACTTATCACCCCCGAGTTAGAGATTGGGTAGGAAAGAAGACTACACTAGATATAACTAGAGGGGCTGTATAGTGTCCTCTAACGTCGATTCATCCTCGCTCTCTTCCTCCTCGCTCTCTTCCTTAACAACCCTACCCGATAGCTATACCTCAATATCCAGAAACGCTTGCTCTTCATCAAAATTCTCTCGGATCTGATGCCGCAAGCTCCTGTGCAGCCATATGGATATTTCCACAGATGGTGTTTCCCAGCCCTTGTCAAAGATTGGGATTGTTGTGGAACTCGCGAGCTTATTCTGCTTCCGCAAATAGCCGTCCTTTATTCTGCCTTTGATTTCTAGGAACACCGCTAGAAACCACCTTTTTAGCGCTGGGCTAGCGCGGCACTCCCGTATAGTAGTTTGTGTATAGAACTAGTAAATAGAATTATTATCGTTATTAATAATATCTATTATCTATAATAGAAGACTCTAATAAAAAGTACTTAAGCTATAGCAAAATATATAGAAAGGCTTATATTATAAAAGATATAGTTAGGGAACTAATAAATTTAGACGTACTAAAATTAACGGGCTAAGTCTAGTAGCTATATAATCCTACAAAATAAATACACAAACCCGAGGCTAAGTTATTTTAGTTAATAGAATAGCTATCTTTTTTAAAATCAAGTTCCTTAATAGAAGTATAAAGATACTAGATTCACGAGACTAAACTACTTTTCGGACCTATTTTGTTATCAGCTAAAATTATCCAAGGCTCAAAAACCCGTAAATTAGGTAAATTTAAGAAATAAGGATAGGATTAGGAAAGAGATATTATGTATAGTATAGATAGGCTATTCTATATAGACCGAGAAGCTAACTATCGGCTATAGGATAGTGATATGAGAGTCGCCGAAAAATATCAGAAGCTATAGAGAAGACGTGCGACGACCTAAATATATCGTCGAGTGCACAAATTGTCATCAGTTAAATTAGTACCTCCCTCTCCATTTGTTTACTATATGACGGCTTAAACCTCCATATCATAAATCATAAACGGGAACTAGAGCGTTTGTTTAGACCCCATTATGCTTTGACATGATGATTCCCAAGGTTAAAAACGAAACAATAGTGTTTCTCGACGAAGGAATTACTCACCAATTGCTAGAGGACTTCTTTATCTGGAGATAGCCGTAAAGCCAATTGCGCTACCTGAAAAAAATCTCTCAGGGAGACCCGACAAAGGAGGGCAGACTAGCTTTAGGGTTGTAAAAAGTGGCCATGAACTCAGAACAAAAAGCAATAGTGTATGTCTGCTTTATTGAGCCTTGAATAGAAAAGAAGTCATATATACTGCTGCAGGCGAGACCACGACTCTATAACTTCTGGTGCATCCGGGCCATCGAGTCAATGATCGTATCTCGCTTGACAGGGTCTGCATCGCGGAAGAGGTCACGCATCGCTATATGGGCCTTCATCTTCGAGGATAGCTCTGAAACTTCGCTCCCAGGACCGCGAGTGCTGTCGCCACCAGTGCTGTTGATGCCGCCTATATGTGAAGGAGACGGAAGGAGAGAGGAGATATTCTCGCTACTTCGAATGAGATTGTGAATTGAGTTTTTCAGCAGACTGGCGACGGGCACGTTGGCTGTCAGGGTCAATTGATTCAGCACTTCGGTGTAGTAGGGCACCCGCGTGCCGTTCCATGTTACAGATGTCGCCACCGTGTCGAGGGTCAGGTTACCCGTCTTGAGCAAATTGGCCTGCGAGGAAAGCACTTTGCCCAAGTTTGAGACAATTTTCCCCAGATCCAGGATTCCCGTCAGAGGGAATGTGTTGTTGCCAGGTACTAAGGTGACGTCCTTGAGTGTGGCATTTCCTATCACAAGGTCGCCGCTTTTCACATCGAGAACGATGGTGCCAACCTCGAGCGTCAGCACGGAAGGATTGGGGAGAGTCGCGTTGCCGATTAGGTTGGTGCCGTCAGGTCGTCGGGCGACGAGGCCGCTGTCAGAGATACTGAAGCCATTGAACTGGTTGAGAACTAGTAGTTGTTAGTGCCCACACTTCCAAATCGGGCTTCAGTTCCTAGCACAAATGGCTTACCTGGGGATCTGACATCTTTGTTCAAGGTGACCTTGGATTTAAGAACGCCCAGGTACGAATTGGTGGTACCCTTAACCGACAATGTGGATTCCTTCTGGAAGACCACACTATGCACATAGTTCACCCATGTGGTTAGGTTCTGAAGCGGAGTATGGGTGTTGGTCACACCGAGAGTAGTATTGCCCTTGATGGTCATGCCCGGTATAGTGGCCTCGCCCCATGCGTTGGAGGCACCACGGCCGCGCAGAAACAGATCCAACTTGACTGGCTCGATGCGCACCGGCAGAGCAATCTTCAGGTCTAAGGCCGACTGAAGAGTCAATTGAATTGAATTTGGTAGTGGCTGCATAACCGCTGCTTTGACCAGGACCAAGTCACTCTTGTCGACAACCAACTGAGAGATTGCTGGGATCGCAACTAGAAAGCTGATATGCAGTTAGCTTTGGATATCCGAGGCCATGGAACCTGAATTGGCATGCGACTCACAAGACAGGTAAGAAAATTGCCAGGAAAATAATGTTGGCAAGTAGATAAATGCACCAGAACCGCTTCCAGTGACGCGCCAACTTGTTCCTTCTCGTGCGTTCCCGCGTTTCTAGGGAGAGGCCACCGGCCGACTCGACCTGCTCGAGTGCGGCGCTCTCATCGAGACCTTTGGCCAGCAGAGGACCCCGGTTCACACCGAGCGAATATTTGGCTGCATCAGAGGTCAGGTATGCTGGTCGGTCGTCTGTAGTTTTGCCCATGGTAATGGTCTGCCCATAAAGCGCCCAGGAAAGCCGTCGATGAAAGCAGAGATAGATGAATATCTTGTAGATCGCGTATATGTAGTGAATTGGCGACGAGCTGGAGAATCAAAAATGAAGAGCTTAGAGCAATCAACAGGGAAATTATTTCATACAGTCATTTCCCCTCGACTTCACAACTCTAGGTCTAACCACTTCTATCCAGTCAGGACACAGACTAAGTTAGTTGGTGGGGAGCTCACGAAGGTGCGTTCATGCTAGCACGAGAGATGGAGAAAATCAAAAACAAGTGGGCAAAGACTAAACCTTTTCGCACGTATGTTGGGCCAAAGGTGTGACCTGAGCCGTCAGTGACACCTTTGGTCATCGGTAACGCAGAGTGGCGAAGATCAACCAACCAAAATGTTCATTTGCTACGAAATACCACTGATAGCCCCAGAGGGGAGAATCCTAGGACGGACTAAATTCATTATTGGCGCTATTCACCGAGGCCGATAGTTTCCTCCAGTTCTCTCGGTCGAGTATCGCCTGGCCGTAGCTTCATGGGCAGAAGCCACAGCCAGACTGGAGACTTGATCGGTTTATGGGGGAGTCTTTACTCCATTCTTCTTTTTACATCTTTGATCCTCTCAATTTCACTCTTCCCTGAAGGAAAAAACCTCCCGTCACTCAGAATACTGTTCCTATAGTTCGCATTTTAACCATGTCGTCAATCTCTCCTGTGTCTTCCCTAGACACGCGCGAGGCAGAGCAGAACGGCCTAAGTGAAACCGAGAAGAATTTTCCCAGCACCGAATTAGGTCGACTTCATGCGCTCGAGCAGCTAGAGATCTTACCCCAAATTCTCCAGGAGGGTATTATCTTCACCGGTTCCGGGGCAGCCCTTCTTCTTCAAGCGGCTTTGCCCAGCATTCGCGAAGCAGAGCCCCCTGGCAGCCATGAAAAGCTAGCAAGCGAGCTCCTAGACACCCTAGAAACACAAATCAGCTACATATCATGCTTGGTGTTTGGTACACGAACCGAGCGTCAGGCTCTAATCCAGCTATTACAAAATGGAAAGACACCATTGCTAGGCGGCCACGTCAACCGGTTCACCAACCACCCCGACCTACAGCTATGGATAGCAGCGACCCTATATTCCACCTCGACCGATGTCTACCAACGCGTCTATGGCCGCGTCGACTACAAGAGCGCGCAGCGCGCATATAGCGAATTCTCTCTGCTGATGAACTGCTTGGGTTTAAAACCCAACACTTGGCCTTCCTCGCGACAGGAGTTTTGGAACTATTGGGATGACCAGGTTAGCAAGTTGACGGTCTCTCATGACGCAATACACTTTGCCAAAGACCTTCGCGAAAGTACCGACATGCCGCAATGGGTGCAGACCCTAAAGCCTCTTCTACGCGCGGTGACTATCGAGCTGTTGCCTCCCCGCCTACGAGATGCCTACGAGCTTCAATCTACTGCGACGACGCGCGCACTTTATCGAACCTGGATAGGCTTTTCGGTGGCTTTATATCCGGCCATGCCCAGAAAGTGGCGCTCCTACCCGCTGAACTTCTACCAAGATCACCTCAAGGAAAAGCTGGCGGCTTAATCTAGTATTTGGCTGTTGGGTGAGATACGTGGTTTGCAATTTTCATATCCTTTTGTGGCCAACACGACTGCAATGAGACCAGTGTGGTATTAGATGGTGGGGATAGGGCTAGAGATAACACAACTTCGAGTAAGGCGCATTTTGAAAGGTGCCTCTTTCTGATGGGCCAAATCATGAATCCAAAATAAAAATTTTTAAAAAAATAAACCTAATGAGGTTTTTTCGGCTAATGGCAAAAATGCCCAGAGACCCCTGGAATTGGTCAATACCCGCGTATGAACGTTATGCAAGCAGCGGATGGGGTCAGCATGGGTTGACATAGATCGCAGATGATCTGCGTAGCACAATAAACGATGCCGACAGGCTGGATGGCCAATGGCAGGGATCGATCGCGAGTTCATTGCAGCGTATTGGAAATACAATGGCGAAGCATTCGCGGGAAATGATCCGAGATCCACATGACGATCATAGAACTTGAAAAATATATGTCGGTGAGTTTCTGCTACGAGAGACCCCGTGCGGGGATCATCCCCAAAGCGAATACTTCGTGAAGAGCTCAAAAGACACTAGATATGGCGTGAACATGGTGCTAAAATGAGCAAACCTCATCTTGTACTGGCTCGCAACGCATCTCCTATCCCCTCCACCCCCGCCTTTCGTTAGAACTAGCAAGTTTTGCCTCACGCCACTTTCAATTCCAAATCTTATTGGAGCCTGTCCCTTTTCACGCAATAAAAAAAAACCAACCTCTTGTATTCGGCCGAATGGGCCTTTGGTGGAAGCTTGGCTGTCTTTGCTTTGACTAGTGCTTTCGCAATCCAGGAGCTCTGCTAGAGAGCAGTCACATGAGCTTATTTATGGGAGCAACAAATATGGAAACATTCATTAAATCTTTCGACACCTCGCTTGTTGACGGTGAAAGGCGGAGATTAAGGTACAGGCTTTGTCCCTGCCTGGGCTATGGGGCCCCTAAGGGGCGTGACCGTGGAACCCTAACTTCAAATTCAATCTTTTAGGAAAAGTACAGCAATAGCAAAGTAACAACAACGTAAAGGAATTTTACAATCAGAAGCAACCAATTAGTATCGATGGACATTTTGAAAACATGTTATTCTATATACTCCACTTTTGAATGATATATCTAAATGCTGTAGAAGTAACATCGAAAATTTATTGCAAGTTCAATAGGCTCTCAGCCAATATTCAAAATTTTGTAATACCTGCGATAAGAGTAATGGTTACACCCACAATTTGACACTAAGGAAATTTCTAATATTGCAAAAAGATTTTGCTGATCTTAGCCGCTACTGAGAGTCGATTCGAAAGCCTCATAATTCGAGTCAGAACTGAAGAAAATACCAGAGCTTGTGCTCATCTTAATAGACGATGTGGCCGCCCGGACGATCTCTTCAGTGTCAGTCTCACCGGCAACATTGCCGGTACTAGACGTCCCAGCACTGGCAATATCGGCATTAGAGGTATTGACTTTAAGATCGACAGAGTCGGAATTCCCATAGAAATTCTTGATTGTGAGCTTGAGTCTATTGCCATTTTTGACAATCGATGATACGAGGTTGGGCAAAGAAATGTCCCCACAATTTCATTGGTGGGGCCACATCTAGTTCAGAGTTCGGGGCCCCACTTTATTTAGCTTGGCGCATGGGGTGACGCTGAGGCTGAAAATGCCACGAGCACATCATATCAAGCCTGATGGTGGCATGCAGCTTGCTTACTCGGCCGACAAGATAAGACACCTTTGAGCTTAATTTGCCATGTCGACATTTTGAGGTTCGCAGATCGAAACCAAACTAACCATTTCCGCCTAAATCCTTTCACCGCGCCAGGGAGCAATCTGCACCCTATCCCATACAGTCCACATAGTCAGGAAATGAGGGTTTTCGCTCGCCATCATAGCTTTTCCTTATGTGATATGGTGAGATTACCACTTGAAAAGAAATAAAAGAGGGGGTGGGGGAACGAGTTGCTCAGAGAAATTTAAGGGTCGCAGCATTCTCTCGCAGGCTCAGCTCCACTGGTTCGCCGTACATTGATCCACACCATTCATATTCGCCCTCTAGTGACAATGAGTTCTCCTTCCAGTCAAGAAACTGGCAATGGAGAACACAATGCCGAGAAGGTGTTTGATGTTGAGCAGCAAAGAGAGGGTGCCTTGGTAGCTGAGCTTCCAAAATCCCTTGGCGCAGGTGTAAGTCTAGTACTACTGCCTTTCACCTTACTTCCAAATCGCTGACTCAGTATCCAAGTCCGCTCTCGCTCTTGGGGCGTTCGGCACAACCCTCACAACTCTGTCCCTGAGTCTTATGGAATGGAGAGGAGTAACCACGGCAAATGTCTTCGTTGGAAACTTCTTCTTCATTGCAGCATTCGGTCTGGTTGTGACGGCCCAATGGGAGCTGTCTGTTGGTAATGGTTTTGCGTACACTGTTTTTAGTGCTTTCGGTATGTTTCGCCCAGCTTCAACTCCTCCCTGAGCTCGCTAATCATTTCTCATCAGGTCTTTTCTATGCTGGTTATGGTGCGATCTTGACACCGGCATTCGGCATTGCGCAGGCATATGGCGGCGATACCACTGTCGAGTATAACAATGCGGTTGGGTTCTTCATGATACTGTGGACTGTTTTCGTGTTCACATTCTTGGTGGCGTCCCTCCCGAGCAACATTGCTTATATTTTGGTGTTTCTGTTCGTGGATCTTGGATTTCTCACGGTCGCAGCGAGCTACTTTGCTATGGCCGATGGCCATGCCGCTTCAGCCGAAGCTCTGAAAAAGTCGGGCGGAGTGTTTTGTTTCTTGGCTGGGTTAGTGGGTTGGTATATTGTCTTCCATTTGCTGTTGAAGGACTCTCTTCTAGAGATTCCACTGGGTGATACTTCTCGGCTCTTTGGAAAGAAGAAGAAGGCAAACTAAATATCGTGCGGTAGTACATGGGAATGGGGTAGTGTGCGAGCACAGCTGGAATAGGTAATAGGTGGATTGGAACAGAGCGCCATATGCGAGTACATAATCTATTATCATTCAATTACAATATTTTGTATGAGTACCTTATCTGGAACTCGTTTGCTTTTCTAATGTTGGAGATGAATTTCCTATAGCGAGAGTAATCTTCTTACCTGACTCCGACGTAGCTCATATCTCTTACGAGATCTTTCAGCAATGTACGGTCATTCATATCAAATTCAATGCAGATTTGCAGGTGTACTATAATCATCACGCCATCGTTCATGATTTTGACAAAAGTGCGTATTTGAGAATTCCACCTGGGAAAATTGACCTATGATGCAGGTGGTCGTTGCGGAGAATTGCATGTGCTTATTTAAGCTTCTCGCCCGAGAGAGTAATAAACAGAGGCGTCTTGACTAGATGAAACATAGGGAGTAGGCAATTAGCACGCTCTTTCTGCTGTGCGTGAAGGGATAGAGGCTAGACCACCATCTGAGTTGACTTCCGTAGAGTTGTCACATAGTCAAGTGACTTATGTCAACTTTCAAACTCATAGAAACAGGTAGTAAGGAAAGCGCAATAGCGAATAACATAGTATTTCAAAAGAGACATGGTGGCAACAGCATCAACATGTATCTGGATCCATGCCTCTAGCATCTTTGGCCCGAAGAGGAAACGGGAGAAGTTTTGTAAAAGATATAACATGTTTCTAGTAAGAAAGACTTAGATTAAACTGCTCAAAGTCCAGACTGAGCAAAGGTTGCTTCAATGATCCTTTCCTCCAGTATTCGCCCCCCTAACATGCTTTCGTCCTTTTTTTCTCCGACATTCTCCCATCCACGACATTCAAAGACTTGACATTCCTCCTTCGACTTAACACATCGTATATTCAGCAGAAATAACGAAAAAAAAAGAAGATTGCCGACTGTGTTTTCAATCCAAAGTGAAATGGGCCAGCCTGGCGTTTATCTCTGTTCTCGGGTCGTGATACGACTCTCAGAGATCATGCTTGACGTGGGGATGCTGAGATGCTGAATCAAATGCCGACTGAAACTTCTCTGTCAGACCTTCAGCTTGTTCGGGAGCAAGCTCTTTCATCTTGGCAACGAATGCGCCCAGTTTTTCATGATCAAGTTGGGGGACACCCTTCTCGCCAGGTTTGGCAAATTTGGCAAAGGGACAGTTGCCTGCGAGAGAGAGACTGGCGAGTGCCAGCAAGATAACTGTGTGCAGGAGGTTCATGTTGATAAGAGTGAGAATAATTCCAGGGTTTGACCTGATGGATGGAGTATTGAAAAGATACGAGTACCCCAGATGAGAGACCTTTGCTTGGAAAAGTTTTCAGGTTCAAATATTCACTTCTTGTTCAGTAGCGCATGAACAGACAATCATATTCTATATCAAATCATTTAGGGCATCGCATTGATGTTAGCATTCCACTCAATAGAATGAGGAAATCCATGGCTCAATGGCGTGATAGAAATGTATGTAAACCATCAACACTCGGTGACCATTATTATATCGACACGAGCCATGGTGTGGATACTTGAGTTAGCATGCAGGAGAAGAACCCAGAGCAAGGAAGAAAAAAGTGTCGATCGGACAATATCTCAAAATTCTGCCGGAGGAATATGGTTGAGTAAAGGAGCGCCTCCTACTCGTCCAACTAACGTGTGTTTCTCCACATTTCCCCACGCACCGCACGGTTCATCACGCGTAGGTCCGTGCACCTTCGTGAGATTTGTGGGAGGGAGTGACGTCTTAATTAACATTGGTGGCCAAGGCGATGATTCTTGAACTCCCCGATAGGGCGTGGGGCGGTTCGAAGGAACGGGCCATCGTAGATCCCTATCATATCTATGCAGATCAGGGTATTCGTCATATGTAGCTCTGATCCCATCAGCACTGAGTACACCATAGCGTCAATCTAGGCCTTGTGTGAAAGAACAGAGATGCTATGTGAAAATGATCATACAGAGTGGAATCAATCCCTACTAGGACAGTCATATAGCTCGAAAATAGCCTCAATATATCATCGTCATTATGGCCAATACTGAGGACTACGGGGAGGTATAGAGCAAGATAAGGGATCACTACTTACCTTCACACATCTTAACAAAAGATTCATCTTACTATAGGTTTGCAGGAAGTTGCGCACCTTTTAACGCAAATGATGTGAGAAGATCCCCCAAAGTTAACTTATAGGAGCAGAATAGCTCGTAGAGCCTGAGTGGGGTCATTATCCTCAAACTTGGGCTACAAAAATGACCTGACTAGTCGTATTGGGTAAACGGTGTGTCATTGCTGCTTAAATAGTCAAAGACACATCATACTCTATCCCTCATATCCCGTCCAAAACACGGCTGTCGAAAGTGGACCGACCCACCAAGACCCAGATCAAATTCCATGGATGAGGTGGATATACACATTGTTTATCCGCCAGTGTCATCAGACCCTGAGATAATGCAATATACCTAGGCCCCGCTAGCTGCAGTACTACATGTGGATAACCAAATTCTAGGCAAAAATTTGAACCATTCTATTTTGCAGAAGCTTGAGCTTTAGGTAGTACTATGAGATGACTTCTTTTTGAGTCACGCAGTGATGTGACATGGATATGATGTATTAATATAGCAAATACCTATTTCACCGAAAAGAAAAAGGCCAATTAGTATGAGAAGCCAAGATCATAAGACACGGGATGAATCAACAGAAACTTGAGCTTTGGAAATTAGATATCTTTGCGTACAGGATTGCAGCTACTTCGCGCCATACTTCCGATAAAACACGCGAATCAACATCCGAGCCCCAGCGCTTCTTTTTGCAATTTTTTTCATACAATAGCGAATATGCTGTCTCCGTTGGGACAGATCATACTCTGTGTCTGTTTTCTGAGTGTAAAGCTCCCACTCCACTTTTTCTTCGTCGTTCAGCGTACCAAAGAGATCGCCAGTTTTGTCATCGGAAAACTCGAAGGATGTCCCGAATAAGACCGTTGTGCGGCTGATGGGATGCAGCTCGGGCGATCGCCAGTCAATGGGTCTCCAGACAGGATTGACTTTCCATGGGAGCCGACGCTCCTTCATGCACTCCTGCCACCAGTTTTGGAAGATGCTGAGTGCATTCCTCCCACTGACGGCATGGACGGGCCCTGTGGTGCCATATGCCAAATGGGCGAGCAGTCGATCTGCGACCACGTCCACGGGGACCTCGTCGCTGGTTGCTTCAACCATAGGGTTGTTTGCCCGTGTTGCAAGCACCATAGAGCGGGATGGTGTCAACATGATGGCAGCAGAGAACAGTGTGGAAGGCGTTGACAATGGCATGCTGTACCCCCTGAATGGGTAACTCTGAGCCGGGCCGATGATGGAGGGCCGCACAATAAGAAGCCGATCCCCGAGCTTCTTCTGTAGCAGGCGTTCTGTCAGGTGCTTGGCGTAGGTATAGGCGTAGGGGAACTGTTCAACAAATTCATGGAACCGAATGGATTCGTCGGATTTGACAAGTTCCTCGAATTCATCGACGGTGGTATCATTGCCGTAGGTGTATATCTGTTCATCGACGGTTACGTTGGCTGTACCGCGGCTTTGGTATAGGTTTGCGTTCGCATAAGCAGTCGAGACATAGACGAACCGCTCCAGGTTCTCGCACTTTTCGCCAAGCTCGGCAAGCTTTAGGCTGGCATAGACAATCATATTCTTGATCTGTTTCAGCGGACGGGCAAGGTTGATCGTGGAAGCCACGTGAATGATAACGTTCAGCTCCAGTTTGAGCCCGTCCAAGGCTGTGTCCACGTCCATTGTTTCGATATCGCCTTGCAAAACAATCAGGTTATGAGCGCTCAACAGAGCATCCGCTTCGGTGCCCAACCACTCTCTCCATTTCTTTTCGAGGGAACTAACAGAGTGGGATCATTTTTAGTATGGATACGACAACAGAGGGAACATTGATCAGAGTCTTACTCGCGACCGCCTCTGCATAGAATATAGATTTTCCCAGGTGCCGCGGCCTTTGTGACAAGTCTGTGGACAATCGCAGTTCCCAGGAACCCCGAGCCTCCAGTGATAAGAATATTCTTATCCCGGAACTTTTCCCACAAGGATGTCATGTTGCAATTCAGGATGCCACAAACTTAGCAAAGAAGATGTCTTTAGAGTATCACCAAGAGCTTCAGGGAACTACATGTCTTTGCCTTGATATTTTATATCATGCATGTCGGCCGATATTCGGGATTCAGCCTTAAAATCGTGATCAAGATCCCAGATCACGGAAGTATTGCATGTTAAGCTATACCACCACATAATGACAGCTCATCGTATAATCCATAGATTCATTCCTCGGCAACGCTTCGCACAACCATACCATCCCCGACTATTGCTTTTAGGTCGGATGATCTTCTTGTACAATTCACAATATCAATTGGCTCATCTTGCGCAACCGGGGTAGTCTGTCATGGCAGGCAAACGCAACAACCGAAAAGATATCAAAGATATTCATACCACCTTCTGCACTTGGTTTACCTTATCATTGGCCGACAATCACCTCATTACTCTAAGCCATTGAGTCTTGCATGCTTTCCCTTCCTAAAAATTAGTACTGCAAGAGTCTCCCTCTTGACATCGGGATACAATGAACCGTTGGGGTACAGTCTCGGCCGAGATCTCACAGGGCCTCTTGAATAACATGTTGTATAGCATGGATAGCACATGTGAATTCATCTTGGTCTGTGTAAGGTCATATCGGCCGAGTTTTCATGCATCACTTTGAAGATCGTTGGCGAGTTAGGGCTGCCGTAGGACCCAGCGAAGAAGCCATGTTCAACAGTCGGGCTTTTGCACGTTCCAAACCTAGGGCCATTTGCTACATAATATTTGGGGATTACCAATGCTTGGGAGGGCCATATAATAGATTAAGTGATAGTGGTTCAACAGTTAACATCTTGCCCTAGTCCTCGTTCCACGAGAGGGCATTGGGACATTTATACTGATAATAAGGCAGAGGATAAAGATGTTCTAGCTATAGAGTGAGAAAAGCACCAATTTTGCAGCCAGTCTTGACACGGGCTGACCAAATGGGAATTATTGGTGTCCATTCAGGCCACAAACTAAGGGAGTGGGACTGATAGACAGGTTGTCAATACAGGGGGATCTTTGTTACCATTAACAGTAGTTAAAATCCTGTTTCAATAATACAACAGAGATTTGACTCGGCTTTTGCCGGTATCAAGCATATTTCCACTTCTTATGGCTATCCTACTCTCATCATTGCGGCGAGCATCACGCAATATTGTAAGACTCGGACGAACAATAAGCCAAATATAAATATATAGTATATAGATGAGGAACGAATAGCTGTAGAGTTGAAGGAAAAGTGGTTCATTTTGATTCTGCATTCTCAAGATGCAGTTGCTTAATCTCATTATCTTTCCGCTCCTCCTTCTGAGCCCAGTCAGCACTGCGGCAACTCATCTCGAATATGATTATATCGTCGTGGGTAGCGGGGCTGGAGGAGGACCCTTAGCGAGTCGACTCGCTAGGGGAGGCCACAAGACCCTTCTTATTGAAGCTGGCAGTGACCAGTCTGACAACCTCAACACCACCGTTCCCGGTTATCAAGCGTCTGTCACCGAAGATCCTGCACTTCGATGGGATATTTTCGTGAACCATTACAAAGACCAGAAGCGCGCACAGCGGGATCCCAAGTACACCTGGGAGACCGCGCCATACCAATATCACGTTGGACCCAATCCTCCCGAGGGCGCCACCCCGCGTGGCATCTTGTATCCCCGTGCACAAGCCTTAGGAGGATGCACACCTCACAATGCGCTCATCTGGATTACTCCACACAAGAGTGACTGGGACAACATTGCCAAGTTGACTGGAGACGAGTCATGGGCCCATGAAAACATGGACCAATACCTGAAGAAGGTTTACGAGTGGCTTTACACTGAACCGACTGACCCAACGATTCTGATCAACGATCTCCCTCTCGCTCAACATTATGTCGCTGGCGCTGCTGCCTCGGGGCAGGGCCCAGATCCTCTGAACGCAGTCGACGGGCTCGTGAATCTTCTTGCGAACGATCCAAACAGCCAGGTCAACCCAGCGCGCGATTCCACCCAAGGATTCTTCCAAGTCCCTCTGACGATGAATGCGGGCAACCGTACCGATGTCACCGATTTCATCAAGAGCACTGTCTCGGAGGGCTTCCCCTTGGATGTTCGCACAAATGCCTATGTGACCAAAATCAACTTCGATCAATCCGGTTCCACCCCCAAAGCTACCGGAGTCGAGTTCCAAGATGGCGAGTATCTTCACCGAGCCAGTCCCCGGAGTCTCCACAGCAAGCCTGGCACCCCTGGCTCGGCGAAGGCGAAAAAGGAGGTGATCATATCTGCCGGTGCATACAACACGCCTCAGTTGCTGAAGCTTAGCGGAATCGGTCCCAAGAAAGAGTTGGAGAAGTTCAAGATTCCCGTTGTGAAAGACCTTCGAGGGGTTGGTACAAACCTGATGGATCGCTATGAGATCCCCGTCAACGTCCAGCACAAGAAAGACTTCCCCATCCTCAAGGGCTGCACCTTTGACGAAAAGCCCCACGACGAATGTCTCAAGAAGTGGGAACAAAACCCTTACATTCTCGGCCAGCGTGGCGCATACGCCACCAACGGCCTTGCTGCCACCTTGGCTGTGAACTCGGATTATGCCTCGGATTCGAACATTGATCTTTACATCTTTGGCGGTCCTATCAACTTCCAGGGGTATTTCCCCGGCTGGGCGGAGCAAGCTGTTGCGGACCACTCGCACTTCTCGTGGTATACCTTGAAAGCGCACACACGGAACCACGCTGGGACCGTGGAGCTCCAATCGACCGATCCATTTGACCAGCCTCGGATCAACTTCTACTACTTTGACGAGGGTACCACCAAGGATGGCGCGGACGACAAAGATGTGGGTGCAATTGTTCAAGCAATCAAGATTTCACGAAAGGCATTGTCCGAGTACTATAACTATGCTATTCTGGGCGGCTCGTCTTTTGAAGAGGAGAACCCGGGCAAGGACGTGACAGCCGACGAGGATCTGGAGCAATATGCAAAGGACGTCGCTTGGGGCCATCATGCGTCTTGTACTGCTCCTATCGGGGCTAAGGACGATCCAAACGCTGTGCTGGATTCGGAGTTCCGCGTGCGAGGCGTAGACAACCTCCGTGTGGTCGATGCTAGTGTCTTCCCCGACATCCCGGGTGTCTTCATCACAGCCCCGATTTATATCATCAGCGAGAAGGCAGCAGATGTGATTTTGAATGGCTCAAAATGAGTATGGTATAGTTGGGCATGTTGTGGGACTCGATAAGGAGAAACCTCGTTTACTTCCGAGATTCTACTTGGGCGGTTTGGTCACTTCAACATTTTGTTTATAGTTGGCAGTTGGTAGCAGATACTTTGATATTCATAATTACTTTGATATTAAATACTCCTTCCTATTAAGATACTCTTCTTCTTGAAATTAGAAAATCCCAAGTTTCATGCGCCAATGTTCTCGATGTAGCCTGTCGGCCTTGGTTGTTTTGATATGCTATCAAAACAACTTTGCGGAGGGATTTCCTAACAGACCTTGAGAATTCACAGTTCGAGATTCAGGCAGTATTGAAGAATCAGGTGAATCCATCAAGACACAGCTCGTATTGTCGCAATTTTGAGTCTGAAGGACAATACAGTAGGATGTTCTCTACCGAGAGAACCTGCATTAGCGAATTGCATCACCGCCGCTATTGATGATGAAGCGATCATTTGTAGCATCGGTTCTCGCGACGATCAATACTGCTAATTTCTCTACCGACGGAGATATGTAGATGGGTATTGACTTGAATGTAACAGTGTACAGTGCAACAATCATGGTAATGACTTCTACATAGATTTCTCCCCGCGCTAGCTGCAGTATCAGCGCTAGTGGCGGGGATCTGCCTGGCAAATTTGGGAGGTTCGCAGATGCTCAATTGGGCACGAATTCTGCTTCCACTTTTACGCCATCAGACACTTGTCAATGGGGTACAGAGATTGTACACTAGGGCGATAGTCTGCAGCCCCTAAACCCTGGCGGCATGTAGTCCCCAGCTACTTCACTCGCCGAACTATCAAATGCCTATCTCTTCCTAAATAGTTTTAAGGTAGCGCCCCACGGAGCACGTCAATTCCAATGCTATGGAACAATCCCACTGAAGTCGGTCCTAAAGGTCAGCGGTGAACCTGATCATTTCTCGTCCGATAGAGCTTCCCCCGCTAGCCGTGGGTCTCTCTATATTCCTTTCGGCTTTTGTCTACGTCTAATCACAGCCGGTTTATTGTCAGCGATATCATTTCCTTTCGATCGGCATCTAGCAGTATCACGCAATAAAGCCCTTTATTGTGTTTATTGTTTTCTATGATATCGGCATAGCGACAGTTCATCTCGATCGGCCTTCCTTATTGGATATCTGTGATTTTTTCTTTCGCCAAGAGGACATGAACAGGAGGAGATGGTTTGAAAGCTATGAGATTTAGCTGTGATGCAATATTCTATAGTCAATGCTCATACGGCAAGAAATTGGGAGGTGTCTGCTCTTGTTCATTCAGGTGCTGTATATATAAATGAGTAGTTCTCCAAGGCTCTATCAATATTCTCTTCACCCCAATACACCTTCTACTTTCTTTGTGCCTTGACCATGAAGCTCTTACCTACCCTTGCTACCTTGGTGACGGTGGGCTCGGCCTTCCCAGTCATTGATCACCTCAATGCCGATGCCCACGTCCAAGCAGCTCGGCTGGCTACGCGGACTCTGAAGATTCTCGAGGAGGAGGGATATAAACCCGTGAAACGCGCATTCCTTCCTTCCCCTTCCGATGCGTTGGGCCTCAGCCGATCGGAAACCAACTGCGGCCCCACGATCCCCTGTCCTTACTTCAATGAGAAGGAGCAGTATGTGTCCGTGGAAGGCGAATATGCCTATGCTGCCCCTGGTCCGGACGAAATCCGTGGTCCCTGTCCTGGACTCAACGCCGCGGCGAATCACGGATATCTTCCTCGCTCCGGAGTCGCCTCTCTTGAAGAAACTGTTCGTGGTCTGAACAAATGTAAGAATAGAATCTCCCCTTTCTGACGCCTTTGACATGAGCTCACTCGTCTAGTGTACAACCTGGGAGTTGACCTGGGCGCTTTCCTTGCTGCGTACGCCATTGTGATTGACGGTGACCTGGCTGGTGGAACCTGGTCCATCGGTGGTCCCCAACAGTCCGACCCCCTCACGCCTGGCTTGGGCAATGGTCAGGGCCTTTCCTACTCTCACAACAGCTACGAGGGTGACGGCTCAATTGGACGTCTCGACGCTTTCACAAACCACGGTGACGCCCACTCACTTTCCGTCGAGAAGTTCGAGAAGGTCTATGCTGTGGGTGGCAATGACACTTCCGAAGACGGACTCGACCAGCGCTTTACCATCGACAAGTTTCGTGCCCGCTACCAAGAAGTCCAAGAGCACTCCATCGCTACCAACCCATACTACTTTACCGGCGCCTTTTCTACAATTGTTGTTGTACCAGCAGCGTATAACTTCGTAATCAACTTCATGTCCAACCATTCAAAGGAAGAGCCATCCGGATACTTGGTACGTTACTCTTTGTGTGCACTGCCTGGGAAGCACCCCTCTAACAACGTCTAGGACGGCTATAACTTCAAACAATTCTTCGGTATCACCGGCAAGCCTGGATCCTTCGTCTGGAATAAAGGACAGGAGCGCGTCCCTAAGAATTGGTACAAGCGCCCGACCATCTCGCCCTACGGCCTGGCTGACGTCGCCGCTGATGTTGGTATCGGATACCTCGCATATCCCAAGACCTTGAAAGTTGGCGGAAACACTGGAAAGGTCAACTCCTTCACTGGGGTCAGTGTTGAGGACCTTACCGGTGGTGTGCTGAACGCAAAGAGCCTGTTCGAAGGTGACAACTTTGCATGCTTCGCTTTCGTTCTCGCAGAGCAGGCCATTCCCCACTTCCTTAAGGGACCGCTGGAAAGTATCAACAACGCGACTTCGTTCTTGAAGCCCTTCCTGTCGCCGATCCTCGGCAAGCTTGAGTGTCCTGAGCTTGGAAATTTTGATCAGAGTCTGTTCAACGACTTCCCAGGGTACAAGTACAAGCCAAACGGACCAGACACGAATTACTAGATGTGGTTGACTTCTGACTTTAGAAGTTCCTGTGCCTAGTAATATCACACGATGCTCGGAGCGGAAGTGGTACAGGGAATAATATGTGGAATAAATGCACGGGGTAGTCGTTATATTACGAAAGGAATCGGTAAATATCACAAGGTTGTGTGCCTCCTTGGCAATTTTATGTCTATACATCTTTCTCTTTCTCTTATTACTTTTCTTTTTATACACAAACAACAGAGTCCAAATTTGGCCTATGATTTGAAAGCGTCATTTCCTTGCCCTTATATTTACACCCTCTCAGTAGTGGAATCTATGATATTTCTCATCTGATGGTAAAGGATGTCCTCGGCCAGTGAGAGATTCAAAGTTGTCCCTCGCCGAATTTGGGTGATTCGGGCAAAAACAACCATAAAGAATTGTGTAGCATACTTCTCCAGCATGGGCTCGGGGTTAGAGCCGTCTTTGTAATTTCTGGCTAGGTGGAACATTTTACGTGAGGAATGAGAAGAGTTTTTATGCGTCTTCAAATTCAAGGTTATCTGGCATAGCTTCCAACGCTTTCCTTATGTTTCCTAGAGCAGCTTGAATATTGGCCCGCCTCCTTCCCGCTTTCTGGACTTTGCTCGAGACAGATGACGACAGCGGGGCCATAGATGCTGAGTTTGACCGAGAGGATTCATCTGTACTTGCGGGGACTTTGTATAGTGGGCGGCATAGATAGCTTGAGTCTAAGAATATATCAGCAGAGTCCAATATCATATAGCATAGAACCATTTACCTGTCTTGATTTGGACCATGAACGCATAAGTCTTCTGGCAATTGCAAGTGCCCTTTGGATGGGGACATTTGGTGAGGGGACGTCCGGCCTTGCGCACTTTTCTCATAAGTCGGTCGAAGTGTTGGCATTTTGAAGCACGGTGGCCACGAATACAAGGCTCGCTAGTGATTAATGATAGTATTAGCCAGTGCACCGTGGCATTTCTAAGCGAAATTCCTTACCAAGACCACTTGGCTCCTTCTTCGTCAAGAGGCATGGTTGTAGGTTGAGAGTTGTAGGAAGGACTTCGATCTCAACAAACGACAGGCGCATAAGACAGTCGTGACTGCAGAGTAGATATGATTTGCTTTTCATTTCTAAAGCCTGCCAACGAGGATTCATCATCACGCCATTCAGGTTCCGCCATGAGTAATGAAAAGGAGTCCAACCAGGTCTCGTATCGATAGAATAGCCTGCACGGCGCAAATTCAAAGACGATATATTTCATTCATCATTCAGATCGGCTTCGTTGCTAGCCCATGTAATGATCGACTGTAACGATCGACTTGGCAAAAGTAAATAATAGGTCATGCAGTGCATAGATAACCAGTTGATCGAAGGGGTGGACATGGATGTATCGTCGTGATGGATTCGACGATATTTCGGCCGATAGGGTGTTCTGCTCCTGAATGCCTGACTTCTTAGCTACTCACTATCAACAGATCTTATTCCACAATTTACTGTTTATGCAACTTAATGTTTATTTCAGTCTTATATATCGTACATTTGAGACGAACCGCTTTGAGGGTATTTGTAAAAACTTCCCACACTTGATATATAGACTTTGTTGCTCTAGACTGTATGTGCGGTATATTCTTTGCTTCTAACATTCTTCTCATTCATCTCTTGCAGTAGACATAAATACATTAGTTCCAATCAAAATCTATGCATTAAGCCAAGGATCAGAGAGTAGTTCCTTTTCAGTCGCTCGATCCTCTGGCTGCCATCACAGTAGTTTCGAAATGAAGCGCAGAACACCTGCCTCTCTTCCCCTTCGATACCCTCAAGCTTATTCTCGAATCCTCGCCCTTTCGAAATGAGCTCTGGAAACCTAAATTGACCTGTTTGAGAATTAACAAGACAGACTCTCTGGTGATGGCATATTATAATAGAATATTACCATCGTCATAAAAATATCGCGAGCTGTGCCTTTCTCGCTTGAGCAAGTCAGCTGGCGGAGGACCAATCAAGGAGATAATAGAAGCCAAGCTCTTCTTGACGTTTTCTAAAACAAAAAAGTCATTGACAGAAATCCGAGATAAACAGTGCAGTGAATTGACAAGTTGCGACCTATATGACAGAGTTTATCGAGGCGCTTTACCTCCCCGTCACTTCCATTAAACTTAACACCATGGCATAATGAAGTGGCCAGCGCATGTGACATGATAGTGCGTCTGTAACTCGCGTGTGACCTTACATGCTCCAGGGTTGTCGAACAATCCTTGCGTACCCACGGCCCTGTACGAAGCATTACGAGATTGAAAACGAAATAAGAAACATAGCAAGGGAAGTGGTTTGGCAGGGAAGGATTTTGTGTGATAGCTCCATCTGGAAAAAGTGATCGTAGGACAGAAGAGACTGTTGTATTAAAAACGACATTCAATGCAACGAGCTCAATAGAGAGAAACTCGTGCTAGGTGTCTTCTATCATTCGCTATCACGAACTCGGTCTCCAGGGGATCTATGGGGAGAGAATAAGGTTTTCTTGCCCATATTCAAAGGAAATTGTAGAGCAGCTTCCATATTCACAAAGGAACTGTACAACGTAGCAGTCTGCTGTGAGTGGGGTGTGTTAATGTGGGCAAATATTAACTATCAAATGGGGCTATTCAAAGAGCAAGTTTGATTTCCTGAGGGGTCCGTCGAAGCTCGAGATCAACAAGCCATGATGGTTGTATCGGGAAATCTTCCGCGCCTTCGATGGCAGCGTTAATAAAAAGTGTTTGGGAGCCCCGTTGCATCGGATTTGGAGCAATGACTTGTAGATCCAAACTCCACGGAGCCGTCCCGCTTTCTCTTTGAATTTGGAGAGGCGGTCTATTAGGATGGAGTTTCCGTTGTCGATACCAGTCGGATGAGAAGGCTTTGGGCTGATTTTAGGGCGCCAGGTGACAAGATTTGCACCCCAGGACTCATGGATATGACCGAAGCAATGCATCCGGGGCCGAGCTCGAGCTACAGCTTTGAAAAGAAATGGACAACCTGCCCGCTCGCCAGAGTGGCCATAATCCATAATGCCTTTTGGTGGACCATGTGTTACCACGAATCCACGTCACCAATAGAAAAGTCATGGGCGTTGTTTGGACGATACTGAAAACCCCAATCACCAAGGGATGGTGTGTATGGACTGGCGTAAACCTTTAATGATGCACCATTCTCGAGGTGAAGAAGTGGGTGCCTTCATCCAGGAAAGTGATGCCAGTGTCCTCGCTGAGTAGCCGTTTTGTCTCTACGTAGGAACCGTAGGTTTGTTCAACCTCTCGAGGATCCAAGGGCGGCTGAACTTCTGCCACTTTTCTTTGGAATTCTGGAATATACATAGTGAAGTCATGATTCCCTGCTATGACCAGCTTGAGTGGCGCATTCATGGCCTGGAGTAAGCGGATCGAGGCTTTGTATTCATCTATAGTGGAGTTCGTGGTGACATCTCCGCAGTGAATCGCGGCGTCTGCATATTGATACGAGACCGAGCCTGGCAGACTGTCCAGTCCGTGTGTATCGGAAACCATCAGAAATCGGGTCTTGATGTTAGCTGACATGGTGGCTTCTTCCATTTCGATGAGCTCAGTTGCTAGAAGATCTGCAGGTGAATGTTTTGTGGAAAAGCGCAGCATCATTGACGAAAGTATCGAAGATAACGCAGATGACTGAATTCAGGCGTCAAGAATGTCTGTCGCCTCAGGTGGAAACAACTCCACATTTGGTTAGCGTTGGTGATCGACTGCAGGCATGGTGCCTTAGGCCCAGGTATGAGCCTTGGATGGATCCATGGATGCCTCATAGATGCTTGAAGCCAACAGAGTGAATTTTCGATAATTTTCCTTGTTCTGAAAGAGCTGGAATTACTACCCTTTCGAATATGCTTCTTAGAGCAGATGTACCGCGTTTCATCTGCGACAGTGTGGAAAATTCTCGCCTGACTAGTAATCACCATGAGAACCCGCCGACCAAACATTCCAGCTTGGCGCATTCCAGGACAGTTGTAGATGCAGACCCTGAACCTACCCGGATAGACTCCTGAAAATGCCCAATCCATGCGATGTAACAATCACAGGGCTGCAGATTCGGCGCAGCGTGTAACAAACCCGCTGTACGATGCAGGGAAAACGAAGGACAGTAGAAGTCCACGTCAGGGGAGATTCTGGTCATGTGGCCTGGAGTCACCGGAGATTTGGCTATTGGCCAATCAGCAATTGTGCTGACCACTGGTGCCTGAGGTTTGAAAACCGTGAGCTCATCCGGGCACGTGCTCCTATAGGGCTCGCTGATTGTTGCAATGGACGTACCGGGTACACGCCGTTCCTATGTTGCGTTCTGCTCCACTGGAGTACCGACTACGCAGAATCCGGGTTCCTTGCTTGGCTTCCCCCCCGTGGGATCGTCGGAATTTTATTTGACTTTAGTTCAATTTTTTTCTTTATCTTTATTCCTATGCTTCCGATCTTCCATTCGCTTTTTGCTTCTTTCACCTTCGCCAGTTCTTTCTCATTTCTCTTCTTCGGTGGCAGGTCCACCGATGCTGGGGTGGACTGCGACCATAGCCGGACCCCTCTCACCCAGCTTATTTAACAGTCTAGCAGCCGACCATAGCTATGCCCCGGTGATTTGTTCAGGATGAAATTCGCCAAGTGTGTTCCTCCCCATAGCGCAGCAATATGCGACATTCCTGTGGCTGACTCGATACAGAGAGCTGGAACAGGAGCTCGTTCCCGAATGGCGGGCGAAGTATCTCGACTATAAGGTACAGGCGGCGCCACATCCAGGTACCAAGTCATCGCTCCGCGTTAACTTTCGATGTATCTAGAACGGCAAAAAGAAGGTTAAGGCCATCACTCGCGCCCTCCATCGGACGCATCGCGGTCCTCATACTTCGGCCATCCGACCGCCTGTCGCCCACTCCCATGTCGCGCCAGCTGGAGTCAGTCCGTCCGTCTCGGATAAACACTTGGATGCGACAGAGCCAAACAATCAAGCGACCCCAAACCGGAGTAGCGCCAACCCGCCGTCGAACCCGCGTTCCACCCCCATCCCCAAAGCTGAACGGCAGCCGCTCCGAACCCCTGGGTCACGATTCTCGGATACAGTTGGGAGCTATGGGAGCATCCTAGCGACCCCTCCTCAACATGAGCTGGGGTCGGAGGATGCGGGATCCTTCGAGCTCCCAGACCCGGCCATCGACCCGGACGAGGAGTACCAGCCGCCTGATCAAGGATCTGGTCGTCGCGGAGACATTCAGACTCCGTCGCCGGTTATGGCCCGACGCGCCACGTTTGGTGCATCGCCTGCCAATCCCGTGGCGGAGAGCCCGACATACCAGAGCCACCAGAGTGGGACAGTCGTAAGGGCCAGTTCGACTCGGCGGACATCCCAGCTTCTCCGACGTGTTTTCTCAAATACCGATGGCGAGTCGCCTGGGAAGCGATCGCAGACTGAGGCGGTCTCCGAGGTTGACAAGCGCCAGGATGAGTTCTTCGCGTTCTTGGATGCCGAGCTGGCCAAGATTGATTCCTTTTACCAGATGAAGGAACAAGAGGCGACAGAGCGATTGCAGATTCTTCGCCAGCAGTTGCACATCATGCGAGACCAGCGCATCCAAGAGGTTTTAGCTGCCAGGCGGGCAGCCAAAGGGGGTGGCAGGCAAGCGCATCACCGACAAAATGGGTTGGGAAAACTCAACGGTGCTCGATTGAAGGACACTCTTACTGGCAAGACGCGGTTTGGGAAGAACTCAGAGGCGTTGGCAGAAATGGCTACTCCCGGACTGCACGCGAGAGATCGAGAGTTTATCGTCAATCGCAGGGATTTTATGCGGCGGCAGGACCCACCGAACAACGAGGTGTCCTATCGCTCGGCTAAGCGCAAACTAAAGCACGCCCTGCAGGAGTTTTATCGTGGGGTAGAATTGCTCAAGGGATATGCCTATCTCAACCGGACGGCGTTTCGCAAGATTAACAAGAAGTACGACAAGGCGGTCAATGCGCGACCTCCGCTGCGGTACATGTCCGAAAGGGTCAATAAGGCGTCCTTTGTGCAGAGTGAAGTGACCGAGAGCCTGATGGTGGCAGTCGAAGATTTGTACGCCCGCTATTTTGAGCGTGGGAATCGCAAGATTGCAGTCTCCAAGCTGCGCCACACCATCAAGAAGTCGGGTGACTTCTCGCCCAGTACGTTTCGGTCTGGTCTTTTGTTGATGGCCGGAACCCTGTTCTCTATCCAAGCCTTAGTGTACGCGACACAGCATCTGCGCTCGGCAGAGAAAGCCAACCAGGTCCGGACTAGCTATCTACTTCAGGTCAGTGGTCCCATATCTTCGCATGGCGAACCCTCTTACTAACCAAAAGTAGATTTATGGAGGATACTTCCTGATCACCTTTCATGTCTTGCTCTTTTGCTTGGATTGTATGATTTGGACCAAGTCGAAGATCAATCATGCATTTGTTTTTGAATATGATACCAGACACACCTTGGAGTGGCGTCAGTTGCTAGAGGTACGAACCCTTCTGATTCACCTGACCTGGGATATCCATGCTCATGCTGATGTAGATTCCCTCTTTTTTCTTCTTCCTAATGGGTCTTTTCATGTGGCTCAACTTCTCCTGGATTAATGCCATGTACACCTACTGGCCGGTCGTTCTTCTTGGCTTGACGGTTGTCCTCGTTTTCTTGCCGGCTCGAGTGCTCTTCCACCGGAGTCGCAAATGGTTTGCTTTCTCGAATGTGAGTGATGAGTTTGGTGATTATGGTCACTTTGATCCAACATTGCTAATCGGCGCAGTGGCGTCTGTTGCTCGCTGGCATATACCCAGTAGAGTTCCGTGACTTTTTCCTAGGAGACATGTACTGTTCTCAGACCTATGCCATGGGGGTAAGTTTGCCAAATTCTCTTGCCACTGGATTTTACTAATCTCTTCTCAGAATATTGAGCTATTTTTCTGTCTGTACGCCTCGTACTGGGGCTACCCACCCAAGTGCAACTCCTCCCACTCGAGGCTCTTGGGCTTTTTCCAGAGTCTTCCTTCAATCTGGCGAGCCTTCCAGTGTATACGTCGGTATACCGATACGAAGAACGCGTTCCCTCATCTTTTGAACTTGGGCAAGTACATTTTCGGTGTCCTTTACTATGCTACTCTTAGCATGTACCGTATCAACCGACACACCCGCTTCCAAGCCTCGTTCATCACATTTGCCCTGCTCAACGCCGTCTATACCTCTGTCTGGGATCTCATCATGGACTGGAGTTTGGGTAACCCCTACGCGAAGCATCCGCTCCTCCGAGATGTGCTAGCATTCCGCCGAGTCTGGGTCTACTACGCAGCCATGCTCCTCGATGTGGTGGTCCGATTCAACTGGATCTTTTACGCCATTTTCACCAAGGAACTTCAGCAGTCTGCCCTACTCAGCTTCATAGTTTCCTTCTCCGAGGTGTGCCGTCGCGGGGTATGGTCGATTTTCCGGGTCGAGAACGAGCACTGCACAAACGTGCTCCTGTTTCGGGCTTCGAGGGATGTTCCTTTGCCTTACGATGTTCCTATCTCTAACACAGCAGCCCCCACACTCGATGGCGCCCAGGCACCTGAGGACATGCAACTGCAAGACCACCAGCAGCAGTATGTGGGTACCCCGTTCATGTCGCCTGGCGATGTCGAGCATGGGACCCCGTCAACGTCCGGCCAACATATTCGGAATCGGCGCGCATCTTCTGCGCGTGGAGGCATTAGTCGGGTCGGGACTATCGTCGCTTCGGCGCACGCCCAGGACTTTGAGCGGCGCCGACTCCCATCCTATCTGTCCAACGCGGATGTGGGACGTGCTATGTCACCCGGTGCAGATGATACAAGCGACGAGGACGATGAGGTGGACTTCGTTACGGATGATGAATCTGGGTCTACTGGGCATGATGCCCGTGAAGACGGGCGGACGACTCCCGAGCGATCAATAGGTCGCATTCTTGAATAAATAATACTTGGGCGGCCTTTTACAGTAGAAGTATTTCTTCTTTCAAGCTATAGATAATTCAGAATACATATACCTTGCCTAAACTCACCCTTTCTGAATGCATCCTTAATCGCTTTTAATATAGATCGAATGCACGTGATCTACAAACGTCACATGGAAGTTGCGCCCCCCAGTCATCATGGCGTATCTCGCATCTGCCTTCCTTTCTTCCTCCTCCATCGCTGAACCAAGAGTGTCCATCGCATTTCTACTTTGACGGATCTTGCTTGTCTTTCGACGACATCATGGCTGCAAACGCCAGATACACCCCCGCCGCTCAGCGGGACTCATTCGAGGATCGACCATACACCCAGCCCCCGCCGTCGTACCAGGCCACCTCGGATTTTGCAGAGCCTCGAAGCGAAGGCGACAATGTACCAGACGACTTCAAGGTATGTCTGACAATCACTGGGTCGCTAGACGGTAAAACCTGTTGATGGACGATAAGCTGACCTTGAGCGTCTGCTAGTTCGGCGGTACTGTGGCGGAGGGGACGATTGATATTCGGATGCAGTTCGTGCGCAAGGTGTATTTCATCTTGTAAGTGACCAAGAAAGTGTGATGTTGTCTTTATCCATCAAGGACAATTCTAACGACTAAATACGTCTAGGACGGTCCAAATCCTCCTCACCACGATCCTCAGCTCCATCTCCTTCTTTAGCAACAGCTACCGCACCTGGATTCAGTCCAACTTCTGGATGGTCATAATCTCGGTCTTTGGCGCACTTGGTTTCATGCTGGCCACCTACTGGAAGCGCAAGTCCTACCCGGCAAACCTACTCTTCTTGTCTGGGTTCACACTACTGGAGGCGTACTCGATCAGCGTGGTAGTCTCGTTCTACGATGCGCGGCTAGTGATACAGGCGTTGGTTCTGACGCTGGGCATCTTCGTCGCCCTGACGCTGTTCGCCTGCCAGACCAAGTATGACTTCACCCAATGGGCGCCTTACCTGTTCGGCGCGCTGTGGTTCATGATCCTATTCGGGTTCGTTTCGGTTTTCATGCCGTTCTCCGGAACTCTGGAAACCGTGTACGGTGTGCTCGGCGCCCTCATCTTCTCTGGGTATGTCCTTGTCGACACCCAGCTCGTCATGCGCCACTACCATGTCGAAGAGGAGATTGCGGCCGCCATCTCGCTGTACCTTGATGTGCTTAACTTGTTCCTGTTCATTCTTCGCATCCTCAACGGCCAGAACAACGATTAAACGCTAGCAACTTTGAGAGGGAAAGCGTTTTCCAGGTTATCCCAATGTCGGGCGACGAACTGACCTCGCATATTGGACAAGCAAGCTTGGATGCTAGGATGCTCCGCGGAGCTGGTTTCTTGAATTCAGGTGTCTCTTTTCGCTTCTTATTGCCTCGCTTGAGAATCCTGTCTATGTGTCGTCTCTTTTCTTAACTCGTCTTCGATATCTTTCAGTGGCTTAGTCTTTTTCTCACGAATTTAATATTTCTTACTCAAAACTTTACAATCCGCCTTCTTTTCTAGCTGGAAGCTCGGTTCCAGAAATGTGCAGTTGTAGGAGTATTGTTCCATGGAATTATATTTCCCATGCGAGTGACGAGGGACTGGCAAGACAGACCATGTAGCATTCAAGATCAAATTGATCTATCCAAGAATGAGAGTAGAACAAAATCTCAACACAAGGAAATAGAGAAGCAGGAATGAAGACAAGACTCCCGACGCCTCGCACGAACGATTCCAAACCAAAAGCAATTATCAAAGCGCGGCTGTGCATGCAAAGAGTGGGATATGGTGAAAGACGAGGAACATCTAGGAATCACAAAGCAAGGGCACTCTCTCATCTTGCTGTGGTATACAAGAAAAGGAAAACATAGATAGTTTAAAGCATCAGTCATCCAACGGTATATTGTGCATGGAAGACCAGAACAGGGCAGACGGGGAAAAAGATAACAAGAGAGGAAGAAACATGTTAGTGGGAGGCGACAAAAAAGGTGTTCGTGATCAAGCAGACAACCATGACCAGAATCCCGTAGCCAACCAGCGCCAGACTCAAACGGCGCAGCAGGGTGCGGCGCCAGTGGCGGGTGCGGCGGAGGAGTAAGCCGCTGTCGGTCAGGGAGCGGGTGAGAGAGCCCTCGCTGTCATCATCAGTGCTGTCGTTTTCGTCGGAGAGATCATCGGCCGGCTCGTCATCCCCCTTCATTAGGCCGCGGTGGGTGGGGGAGTCTGGCGAGGAGATCTTGTAGTAAAACAGCCCCGGGAGAATGAAGCTAATACTGGTGCTGCCCGTGCTGCCGACATAGGCCAGTACGGCCTCGAGCGAGGACACGGTCATGGCGACAATGTAGCTTAGGATCAAGATTGTCGTGGTGATCACCGAGAAGCGGATGTCTGACATGGGTTCCGGGGTGCGGTTCCCTCGTGGGCCCAGCAGTGGGTGTCTGTGCGGCGAGTCCTCATTGCCGCTAGGCTTTTGCTGTGGTCGCCATTTCAGCACTGCGTCTACCGAGGCCCGGCATGGATGACATTGCAGCGGATAGGAAAAGACGACTAGCATCACAATTGCGGCGCGCCCAATGGTCGCATACACGCCGGGTGGATACATGCCGACGATGTTGCCACCGACACTGTTCCCAAACGAGAGGTAGCCTGTAATGGCGACTAGTATATAGGTGGCCGCGGCGCCGCCGATACTGGCGAAAACAACACTGGTGGTGCGGAAGTGGCTGTTGTTGCCAATTTCATTAAGAATGGAAAACATCTTTGGAAAAAGGGTTAGTTCATTTTGACCAATGCCACACAGGAATAGGAATCCTGAGCTTACATTCTGGTGGCATGTAAATGCAAAGACGATGACGGGGAGGCTGCTCAGCGTCGCGATGGGGCCTGCCCAATGGATTACACGGACCGGGCCCCGATCAGCTGTCGTATCTCCCTGGACAAAGTGATAGACGACCAAGACCACCAGATAGGCCATCGACACCAATGCCGCAATACTAGTATACTTCAACGAGTCGAGTCGACGCAGGTAGGAGAGAGGGATCACAATCAGCCTAGAGTCGCACAGAGTCAGCATATTGAAATCATTTCCTCTCTCTCGGCGTTGGCGTGTCTTGACACACATAAAAGCTGTTACCCAGAACTGGCGATCCCCCAGGAACTCGTGGGGTGGCTCGCCGCCAACAAAACCTTGTACGACGCCCGGCATGAGATCACCGATGATAATGAGGTAACTCACGCCGACACCAAAGCATTTGATCGCAATTGCGGCGTCAAACACCACTGCAGCATTTGGGTAGGTTAACTGCGACAGCGCAAAGAACGAGGCGCTGCCCCGGTCGAGATACTGAGCACATCGGGACTGCAGGTAGAGGCCGAATCCCGCAGTCAGCCCCGACCACAGGACCACGCAGACCCCGAGGACGATTCCCATGTGGGAAATAGCGAGTGGCATCGCCAGTACTCCGGCACCGATAACTGCAAGCATCCCATACTGTCAGATCTCCAGCATCTCTAAAAGCTCCATGTCGTATCCCATGCTGTATGCCATGGCCACACTCACTGGTATTGACGAGATTGATCACGCTGCTAGCCCAGCTGGCCTGCCCAGCGACACCCCCTCCTCGTCTCCCTCGACCTGCCCGTCTATTCCGACTGATCAGCCATAAACTTGAGACAACTCTCAGTCAGACGTACCGACGCAGACCACTCTGAGGACCCCCGGGCGGGCCGACCCCAACGGTCGCCTCTTCTTCCATGGTAACTGCGAACTGGTTCTTGGAATGTGGTTATCGGTGGAATAAGATGGGCGTGCAAAACATAATAGCGACAAGTAAGTGTCAGGGAGGAAGGCAAGAAGAAATGCGCGAAGGAAGAGGGCAGCTTTGGAGGAAATGACAAGTGGAGGTCTTATCGCCCACATGATCGATAGCCGCATTGCTCATCTGGCGCGCGGATGAGCATTTGCCTTGCTCGCTACCACTACTCGATACCTACCATTCAATTACTATTCTACCTGATAATTTTACATCGATCGGTTGACCTCAAGCATGTGCATTCCTAATGACCGCACTATGACTACGCCCCCCATCCCTCCTCCGACAACAGCTCAAAGGTCTCGTCTGCCAGAGTCTTGTGATCCGATACTGTGTTTCCAGCCCGAGTCCCAGGGCCGGGATCGTTGAATATATTGACCTTGCGGACCGTCTTAGAGACTTCCAAGATGGTCCCTCCCTTTCACAGGGAACTGCGGCCCCTGACCCGTCTGGTCCCCGATCGTCTCGCTCACCTGGTCCTGCTGCACCAGCGCCAGCATCACGGTCGCTACCTCTTCGGGTGTCACCCACTCATCACTGCCATCCACCATCTTCAGCTTCTCGGGGTGTTCGGTCCACAATGGGGTCTTGATCACACCTGGGGCCACCGCTGTGACACGAATCCCCAGGTCCTTGTCGAGGTTGGCCATTGACCACACAAAGCCGTTGAGGGCATGTTTGGAGGCAGCATAGATCGGAGTACTAAAGACCGGATTCTGGCCCGCAACACTGGTGATGTGCACGATGTGTTTCGGGCTGCCACTGGTGCGGTGTCGCAGGAAATGCGCTATCGCCAGCTGCGTCGTGCGGATCGGGTGTGTGATATTGATGTCTAGTGTTGCGTAGCGGCCACCACTGCGCGAGTCCTTGCTCACAGCGGACCCTGGCGGGCGCCAGAAGTTACTCCAGTGCTGTGGCATTACCCCATGCTCGGTCAGTATAGATAGTAGTCGGTGGGGACTAGTTTTGGCTGTCACGAACCGGCTCGAAGACTCCTGCTCCCGGGCATACAATGTCGATTTCTCCAAATTCCTTTTCAGCCACTTCGAACATTCGCTCCAGCTGTTGCCAGTCCGTCACGTCGGTTTGCTGGAAAATGGCTCGTGCCGGCGCAGCTGTGTGCTTGTCAACGAGCACCTGGGCCTCGGGGCGCAGGCCCAGGTCTGCGATTAGGACGTTGCACCCATTATCCAACAGCCGCTGGGCGAAGCTGAGGTTGATACCTAACGGGCAGTCAGCATACCAATCATCTACGCCATCTGCAGAAGTATACAACAGCATCTCGTCTAGACCTACCGGAGCCTGCTCCAGTCACAATAGCAGATTTTCCTTTCACTGAGAGAGCCATGTTGTACGAGTCATACCAGTGGGATCAAGTTGATCACCAGCGGGGGTCATCTACTCTTTTTATGCCCAGCGGTGGAACTTCCGGCTGCATTGCTCGGGTTGTCCCCATTCCCCAGAGGGGGATCTAGCCGATGCAGCAGACAGGTTGGCCGAGCCCGGCACAATCCCCGAGATCTACATTGCACTATCCAGCGATTGTGTTTGGATGTGCTTATATTTATATCTCAGCTGATTGCAAGGGCCCAGAATTGCTACAATTATTTTGACTCTTCTCTGCCCCCCGACGTTTTTAGAATCTATGCGCTGGCAGATAGCTGGCAGATATGCAAAGGAGGGGACGTAATAGTGTCCCACTTGACCGAGCGGACTAACACCGAGTGGATCGCTGGAGCACGAGGGGCTCGGCTTTCCTTTTCTGCGTGGCGTTATGGGGGTGGAGAACTGATCCAGCGGGGGGAAGATCTTTGCTGGCAAGGTGGTCTGTAACTACCCTTCATAGGCAATTATCACCACGCAAAGTTATCTGAAGTTGAATCGTTACCACCCGACCTGAGTGTCGGAATAAAATCGCAATGATCACGATGATTTTATGCCAAGGAAATACCATGGTCTCAAAATTCTGACTCGGATCAGCACGACTCTATGGATCACCCACTCGACACTTCTCCAGCTTTAGGCGGGTAAATTTCCCAATTCGGTAACAGTGCCCTAATCCCTGGGCCCTTCGGTCATAACATAGACATCATGGCCATGTGCCCATAGAGCCAGGTGTAACTTTAGATTTATTTCTTGGATCGCACTTGCTTGTCATCGAGCCTCTGCCCTATTTCCAAGAATCCATGGTCTGTGCCGCTAACTACCAATATTTGCCCAAGAACATTGCCAAAAGTTAATACGTTACCACGTTTCAAAAGGCCCCATACTTTCAAGGTCGTCTTATCTAATGTGACAAGCTTCAAATCGAGGATCTTCAGAGCAGTAAATAGACCTAAATCACGTATGTTTCCCAGAAAGCTCCTCTTGTTTCCATTGCGGGTCATTGTAGATCCAGTTGAGTACCCCCCCCCCTCCCTGTTGGGTTCTCATTTTCGATGCTAAGTTCTTCAGGTCAATATCTGTCCGGAAGAAATAAGTGCATTATACGTGAAGCCTAAGTAAGGTGAGTTGGAGTTGAAATATTCAGACGAGGTCTTTCCCAGCTTCCTGCCAAATATGCCTTGCAATCAGCCCTGGGTCCCCTATAATTCGCCCAGATCCAGTATCTTATTATGCGGTAGATTGCTCAAATGTGGATAGTTAGTTTTGGCGAGTCTTGGTGGAAAATGAAGAGGTTGAAATTTGTTCGAACAGCTGTTTATTTTAGCTTCCCCGGGGATCCATTCTGTTTGACTTCAGCACGCATCCTAGAGACTGGGCTTTGTCTTTAATAAAATGAAAAATGAAAATGAAAAAAAAATGAAATCGTAAAATAGGCACACTCACTTCCTATGGCCCATCATCTCAGGTAGTCCTTCCCGGGTAGTCTTGACCATTAGGGTCTTTAGTGCTCTTTCCTTTCTCTATAAGAACAGTGCTGTGATTTTGACAGTTCCTTTTTTGGCTATTTGTACTTTGTGCCTTGATAGAACTTGGGCATTTTTTTGGAGCCGCTGGTTTATGCTGGGATGGGTTGTTGTTTTGTGGGGATCAAGATCTTGAGGCTACATGGACAGCAATGATAGGAGGCTGAATCGAGGTAAGCCGAGGTAACAAATATCTGCATAGCCCAGTGGTCTGGGAGATCATTTACACTACCACCCTAGAAATCATCTTATCGGAGTAAACTATGGGCATCTCCATGCCCAGCCGTGGGTGAAACATCCAAGTCCCTGTGGCGTCGCCCGATCCCCCAAATCCTTAGCATTCCACCAATCAAGCCAAATTGCATTTTCAGTCTAGGAGACGCCTCGCACCGAAGCGAGTTTTGTATTTGCCAGTGGATGGTCAGGTTTCTACGGTCGGTTCAACTGGCTTTGTTTACATCCAGAGATTGGTTATTTGCCGATGGCCATCCTACCAACATTGACCAAGCAGTCACCCTCCGCTCCTAGGACTGGCGCCATGGCTTACCCCATGAAAGATAGTGCTAGGGGTTGGTATCCGAAGATAGTGCCGAGGCTTTATTAGAAGATTTGACTTCGCTCTTGTCTGGAATGACAGGACTGGAAGTTATTTATTCAGGCGAGTCTTGCATTATGGAGACCAGCAACTCTTTTCCGCTGGGATCAGTGTCAACAAATGAGGCACCACCCGATCGTGCTGAGAACCATCTGCTGTCAGACTCGACTCACGCGCCCAGGCAACACGATGAACTGCCGGCGTATTCGCGTGCCTCTCCGGAGAACCAGTCCCTGGGACGAGGCCACAGTACGAGACTCCATCGCTCTGGGTGGGTCCTCGGTCTTACTCTCCTCTATGTGGCCCTGGCAGTCTATTCCTGGGCTATCATTGCCTGTCTCTCATTCCGGCCCATGATCCACAAGTCCTGGAATGCGCAGATCGTGATCGCCCATGACTATCCAGAGGGGCTACACTATGCAACCAATGAGTCGCTATACCGTTCTGCTCGAGTGATCCAGACGTTTATCAGTGTGGTCACCGTGCCCTGGATTTCCACTGTGTGCGCTAGCGCTGCTGTCATTTTCGTGCAGAACCAAAAGGACGGGATTGCCTTGAGCATGCGCCAGGTCATGACGCTGGCAGATCGCAGGTGGATGGACTTTTCGCTGTACCAGAATCTTTTCAAGGGCGGGTGGAAGCGACACGGTAGCACACTGTTGGCCTTGGCTATCTTCATCCATGTCATTGGCGCCATCATCTACCCCATCCAATCCATTCTGCTCGTTCCCAAAACAATCAAAGTCCCTGTCTCGCTCCGGCAGGTGGCGACCATTGCTGATCTGGCCAACCTGTCTCAGCGTGGATCCACAGATGCCGGCGCAGAAGTGGTCAATACTCGCAATGCCTTTCGTCTGGCAGACCCGCAAGAATTTCAGTCGGGTTTGTGGCAAAATGGTACAGGGCTGTCATTCGCAACATTGGCGAACTTCTCGGCGCTCCACGAACCTTTCTACGCTCCGCTGCCCAGTGGATTCCATACGGGAGTACTCCGTCAGTATGCGCCGCGCATAAACTCGACAGCTGCGACTAAGAAAATCAAGGCAGACGAGTTCCCGTCAAACTGCAAGTCTATTTCTGGCGCCTTCTATGCCGATTACTCTTCCGATTCCCTTGAGTCTACTTCCATGGATGACGAGAAAAGCTGGCGGGTTGTCGCTTGCATGCCGGCCAGAGTCACCCAACCCCCCTGGACCGAGACGAATAAGCGTCAAGACTTCTCTGAAGTATTGTACCTGAATCTCTCAGTGCAGGACAGAAGTAATCATAGCACGCCAATCGGCGGTAGCTTGTATGAGATCACCGTCAACACGACTGCCGGATACTTCGAGCTGCCAAACTACATGAACGACGGAATTCCTGGGCCAGTCCTACCGACACTTTCCAGTGACATTTGTGGTTCCGGTACAGACTGTCCAGACCAGAGATATGCCGTCCAAACATATCCACAAAACCTCTACCGCCGCGCGAATACCACCGGATCGGCTCTTGATGCTGCCTCCTGGAGCGCGCTGACGACCCAGAACAAAGGCCCTCTCTTGACAACGGCATTGGCTCTATTTGGGCCGGGGTCATTCATCGAGACTTTTCCTGCCGAGCACGCAGTCACAGAGTCTGACTTGATCAACAGGTCCGGGTTCGAACATGAAAGTATCCGGGATATCTGCATTGATAGCGCGCCACTGCTCAACCTCTTCTACGGCGTCAGTGAGCTTCGCGGATCTAGCACCTCATGCATATATCTCACTCTGGTAGGTGGCCAATTGACATTCGGGCCACAGCTATCCATCCGAAAGTGGCTGTCCTTATTCTACCGCAAAGATCAAGCGTTATTGACCAACGCCTTCACCGCCGCAGCCTACCTAGCCAACAAACAATGGGCCGAATCCCTCTGGCCCACGCGCGGCGTCTACCAGGATCGTGGCTCCGATATCGATATCCCGGGTATGTCACTGGGCGCTGTGATCGTAGTCTCCATCCTGATGGCATTGTACATTATCCCGCTTCTCGCATTGGCCCTGTACACGAAATCCTATCCGCGATGGACGAACCGACTCGACTCGTTTGCTATGCTGCGGCTTGGCGCCGCGCTTGGTGACGGCTTGTTTCCGTTGCTGGTGGCGCGCAATATCGAGTCCATCAAAGAGCTCGATGACATCCCCGGCGTGGTTCGCGATACAGGTAGTCCCGGCGATGGCATGATCCAGATTGGAAAGCTGGGGCTTGGCGAGGGGAGCCGTTGCACCGGCTTCGACGGTACGAGTGCTTTGAGGAAGATAATGAGCCCTTGACTCGGGGGGAGTGGGCGAGACTGCAACGCGGCGTGGATAGCCACAATTGATTCTTCAAGTGATGATTTGTGGTTAGAGGAAGTAGCGAATATTAAGGATGTTCATATAGCCCAGCGGAGTAACTTATACTTTAAACGCGAATATATAAATTTAGGTATTAACAAAATATTGATAGGCGTCTTATAACGGGACCATAGGAGTCCCGTAGAGGAATCACAAGGACCGTAGGACTCCAATAGGACTATAGGACCTGGGACCTAGGACTGACATCGCGGTAGTCCTATAGGACCTGTCGAGGTCTAACCCATGCTAATATATAGAGTAAGGCGACCGGTTCTAATGAACAGAATGTCTAGGTCCCAAAACACTTAAGCCCTAGGAGGAAGTATACTAGAAAGGTTCCTAGTCGGCTTCTTACCCTAGAAACCTGTTACAAAGGGTTTATGAAGATGGTGGGATATAGACCTCGCCACGGCCCCCGGGTCTACCCAAACGGGGTACCTATTGCCCGTTTCTTGGCGGTAGCTTTGGGTACTTGCGGATAGTTAAATAATAAAAATAGGTAGAACTCTATAATTTTAAGTATTTTATGTATAACTACTATTCAAAATTTAAGAATCTCTAGTATTAAATAAGTTAAACTAGGATTGATTATTTCATATAGCTAATAATTAAGAAACTAATTATTATTCTGTCTTCGCTTCCGATTTCTATGTGAAATTCGCTATTAAATCTCTAAAAGAGGATTTATAGCTTTATTATCGGATAATAAAACTTAATAAAAAAAGCTCTAAATAGTATATTATTCTTACGTAGCCTCTATATCCTTCTTTTTATTATTATTAATAGGATTGATTTTCTATAGTAACTAAAGATTCTTCTCTTTACTCTCTACCTCGATTTCTTTATTTATAAGATACTCCTTTAGAGCTAGATTTTTAATTTTTACCTTCCTAGGCGGAGTAAGGGGTTTATACAAGTATACCAGAGCACGAAACTTAGGAAAAGGCGGTAATCTTTAGCCTTGGATTCTGATTAATATAATCAAGTTATGTTTAGTTGCTTTTTAGGTTGAAGTCGAACTGAAAGGTAACTCGATCTCGTCTATGACATCTTTCCTGTTGTTTTTATCGCCCTCCCAGTGAAGAATGCATTGGTTTGAGACTATAACTCTTCTTATACAGCACTATCGAGTCTTCCTCCGTAATTCCATGGAACTGCATATTAACCGTGCTAATGCCTGCGATATATAATTTGTATGCCTGGACATAAAATTATTTAAAGCGTCCATGCGGAAAAGAAAAGAATAAAGTGAAGAGTGCCGATCGTAAGTCAGCCTGACAAGCTTACTCTCCGCAGGAACTACGTATATTTTTCCGTTTGAGTCCAGGCAGCCTGAGTAGAATAAATAAGAACCGGCACACCGAGCGCTGGTACAGAAAGTTGCAAACCTCCTTCCTCCTCCTTTATAACAAGACACCCCACGAAGGCCAACAGAATCTGTTGACAGATCCGTTTCGGAGTTGTCAAGGCAGTGAAATATGCCGCAAATCAACAATCAACTCAAAATGTACTCGGAGCTTGCTGACATCTTCCCTAGGGATTACTTTCATCGCCGTAGATCCAGATTATCAACGACGAGGTGTTGGATCCATGCTCATGGAAATGTTTTGTCTTGATGTTGATGAAAATGCACTAGATGTATTTGTCCTGTCCTCCCCCGCTGGTGTTCGACTATACTCGAAGTTTGGGTTCAGAGCTATCGGCGTTGTGGAAACAAAGGAGGGAAAATTTACCAGCATGTTAAGGACTCCGGGTTTTGGTCTCAGGGAACAAAAGAAATTGTCTTTATGAAGATTAAAAGAAAGCATAATTTCTGCTTGGTTGTGGGATTTCCATATTCATGCCATGACTATGAAAAGACTTAAATATAGCAAATGAGAATAGTGTATTCAGAAAAATCAATTGAGTAATGGATAACCAAAACTTTCGTCACATTCAGTGGTCCCTCAAGGTATATGAAGCTCCCAATCGCTTACAACCTCAGGAGCAACCATAATCTTCGATATGATTTCCCTCAGAGGCCTTCCAGCAGTATTCTCTGCAATGACACCTCTGAAGATTGTTAAGGCCAAAACCCCAGAAAGCTTCAATAAGCTCCGACTCCTTGACTGATCCACGCGGTATCATGATGTTTGTCTTGCCCTCGGTGATTTCCACAGATAACTCTTGGTCATACCTGTCCAGAGATCTCACGCCGAGTGTGTTCTCCAAACCATGCTGGGTGAAGAAGAGCCAAAGGCTCCTGCCAGAGCTCACGTTCTGCGTCTCTGCGAGACAGATAGGACGGGGGGAAATCAAACTCGAACGGTGTCAATTTTCCGTGGAAGAATCTGAATGTCCGAGGGATGATAAATCCTTTTAACATGAGATGCCAGAAGATTTCTAGGATGTATTTAACTTTGACCAAAAAAAAGAGCCACTAGTACATCCTCTGTCATATCGCCTAATATTCGGTGGAAAACGAGTAGATTTCCCCTGGTTTTTTTCATGCATAAACCCCACTATGGTCTGGGCCAACATTGACTCTAGCTGACGGCACTGAATAGCCCAATAATAGGGTCGGCTATGCCTCACCCTTCTACGAAGAATCAGAAGCATCCCTTCGATATGCTTGAAAAGATGCTATCCAATCGTACTGACCATGAAAACTATTAATTAAATATTTAATAATCTAATATTTTATAGAATATATTATATATTATATAGCTATTATTTAATCTATTAATAGGACCCTACCTACTACTTCTGAATATCTTTAATTACCTATATACAAAAATAGCTGTCTCGTCAGGTACTGGCTATTTTTCATTCTGACGTTGGTATACTATGGCCACCAAGAAATCATGATCATAACTCATAAGATGAGTTAGTTGATTTTGTTTTATTTCATCGTCGCAGAATCGCCACAATTCGCACCAACTGGCAACCGCGGTCCTTCCAAAACAGGCTGTCGGCCCGCTTTTCCCTTTCGGACGCTCCCGATCTATGCGGGCTGCCCCTCGATGTGCGACATATAAGAGCCATTGCAACCCCGCCTAAGAGGAATGGTGCAAACTCATTGATTGCAAGCATGGCGATGTCACGATTTCTTTCTAAGTCCGCCGCGCGTGCGGCGTCAACCTCCGCCACGGCGACGACCAAGGCCGCCGGCGATATCTCATCGGTGTTCCCCAGCTTGAGGCCCGACTACAAGCCAGAGCCTCTGCCGCCGCGGTTCCGCGATCTCAAAATGAGATTCTTTGAGAAAAATGAGGAAGCCCTCAGGAAAAGCTGGAAGAGACTGCTCCCTAGCTTGGAAGAGGAAGTTGAAAAGATCAAGTCAAAAGGTAGTGATGTAAGTAGGCTATTGAGATTATGATACGTTCAAAAGGCTAACATGCCACAGATCATTCCTTCAGTCGACTACTCCGATGTAGTGTCGGGGAAAGTGTCAGAGGCAGCGCTGAAAGAGATGCGTCACCGCGGCACCGTGGTGATCCGCAATGTCCTCCCCCGAGACCAAGCTCTGGACTACAAACAGCGAATCCGTGACTATGTGGCTGCGAACCAGGAGCGTGTCAAGGCGTTCCCATCTGACTCGCCGGCAGTCTACGAGCTCTACTGGACGCCATCGCAGACCGAAGCCCGGGCACACTCGAACGTGCTCGATGCCCAGCGCTTCCTGCAGCGCCTGTGGCACTCCTCCGACCCCCAAACAAAACTCTCAACCTCCAACCCACTTACCTATGCCGACCGGCTGCGGATCCGGAACCCGGGCGACGCCAAGTTCACCCTCGGTCCGCACATCGACGGAGGCTCACTCGAGCGCTGGGAGGACCCAGAGTACTCGCGAGTCTACACGCAGATCCTCGAGGGCAACTGGGAGCAGTATGATCCGTGGGACGCAAAGCACCGGCTGTACGCCAAAATGGACCTGTACAATGGGGCCGGTGCCTGTTCGATGCTTCGATTCTTCCAGGGCTGGCTGTCCATGTCGGACACGGCGCCTGGCGAGGGATCACTGCATGTATGTCCCATGCTCATCCACAGCACGGCCTATACCATCCTGCGGCCCTTCTTCGACGTCCTAAGCCAGCAGCCCGCTCTAGACGCCACCTTCCCCGGCTCTGTTCCCGGCGCTTGTCAAGAGTATAACCCCATCACTCACCCGCATCTCGACCTGGAGTCGACTATGGTGTCGGTGCCACGCGTTGAGCCCGGAGATTTCGTCGCGTGGCACTGCGACTCCCTGCACTCGGTCGATAAGGAGCACCGCGGGTCTAAAGATTCCAGTGTCCTCTATATCCCTGCTACTCCGCTGTGCGACATGAATGTCGACTACCTCCTCAAGCAGCGCCAGGCTGCGCTCGGCTACTCCCCACCGTGGGATTTCCCGGGCGCTGGTGGTTCTGGTGAGTTGGGTTTCCAGGGTGCTACGGACTGGTCGTCTCTCAGCCCTGAAGGCCAGCGTGCTATGGGTTTGGGTAACAAGCCCTGGGAGGTTACAGATGCCATGAGCGAGGGTGAGCAGGAGGCTGTGCGTTCGGCCAACAAGACTTGCTTCGGAGTGTAAAACACAGCTGAAGAGTCAATTCTTCGGTCCACGAATATTTTCTCGGCGTTCTTTAACTCCATATCGGGCAGGTTTTACAAAATTATTGGTTGGATGGACGGCGAATTCCAACATGTGTCATTGTATATCTTGAGCGTAGAGTCCTCATACAGTGACAAGACCAATATTTATAAATTGAATTGTTACTGACTTGGCCCATGGAATACAATTATGTATCGCTATCGCAGCAGAAACAAAATAACAAGAATCAATGCTCACAATTGACTATAAATGAACTGGCAATGGAGAGCTAGACGGAACTATGTGGCAGGCCCCAGAGCCATCACCGCCCGGGCCGACGCTAAGGCCAGTTAACAGCCCATCACTTCCCTCCACACTTTCCCACTCTTCAATGCCCGGTTTCTAAGAGTGACGGACACAATGCGGCTTCAGGCGGCGCTTTTCCTCGCATGCGTGTCACCAGTGGCGGCCATCTACAGCGACGAGATCGACCACGTTGACTTTCACCACGGCCTCGTTGGAGCACCCTCCCCCGATTCCACCTTCTTCCTCAAGCCGTCCTCCGCCTCCAATGCCTCGCTTCTGTACACCCTATCCGACAAACTAATCCTGGGTGCGGTCAACCCCCGCGATGGCACGCTGGTCTGGCGGCAGAACCTCTCGCGGTCGGCAGGCGCTCCTGCCCGCGAGGCGGGTCTCCTGCGCGGCTTGGATAGGAACAACGCTGTCGTTAGCGCGGTTGGCAATTACATTTCGTCGTGGTCCACCCATGATGGCAAACTTGTTTGGGAAGATAGCTTCGCCGATGGTGTGGTCGCGGATCTCAAGCTGTTGGGGCTGGAGGATGAGAGTTTGAGTGCTGGGACGAGAGATACGATTGCGCTGTTTCGCGGCGAGAAAGGTGGGGTTGTTCGACGACTCGATGGTGATTCAGGGAATACCATGTGGGCATTCAAAGATGACCTGTTAGTTTTTCCTCCCCTGGCTGGTCGAGATACGGCCTCATACTGATTTGTACTGCATCTTTAGTGGCGACATTCCCTTCCAAGTGTCGACGTCTGCGAATGAACTCTTCTATATCTCGCTTCAATCGGCGCTGTTGAAAGGCTACAGGATCAAGGTCAATACATTGAATCCGTCGACGGGTGAGCAGACTAGCCTGCAGGTCCTCAATTCGGAGAATGAGGTCACCAACCCCAATTCCATTCTTTTCGTCGGTACCAACACGGCCTCTCCGTTCATCATTTGGACCGACAAGTCGCACAAGTCATTGAAGTTCAATCTTCTTGGCACCGACAAGGTCAAGGATATCCCTATCTGGAACCCCTCCGGCGAGCGGATCCAGCAGCTCACAATCCATGCGCCTCAAAAGCTTGACTCTCCCTCGCATTTCCTAGTCAATTTTGTGACTGAGAAGTGGGGGTGGGCTGAGGTGTACCATGTGAACTTGAAGTCCAAAACTGTGAAAAAGGCGTTTCACCTGCCTTATGTGTCGGGTCAATCTATCGTCGCGACCAGTGAAATTGACAACAGAGCGTACTTCACTCGTTTCACAGATGAAGGTGTCTTTGTTATCTCGTCCGCCTCGGATAGAGTTCTGCGCAGCTGGCGCTTGCCGAGACCCTCACCAGATCGTGCATTTCACACAGTCTCGGAAGTCGTCAAGAAGGGAAAGGCTGTGGCTGTTCGGTCGGCGATCCTTCACCAGTCTGGGGATTGGGAATTCATTCGAAACGGCCAACCACAGTGGACTCGTCATGAAACGCTGATCGATGCTGTGGCAGCCGCCTGGGCTGAAACCGACGACCAGGAAGACTTGGCACATGAGCTGGAGGTTGAGGGCCATGAAAGCTTGCAAGGTGCCTATATCCATCGTGTCAAGCGTCATCTGCGGGATCTGCAGTATTTGCCCGACTGGTTGAGAGGACTTCCCCGGCGTGTTCTTGGTAGCATTTTGTCCGACGAGGTGACAAATTTGAACAGCTTTGGCCTTTCTAAACTGGTCATCGTTGCTACTAAGAATGGGCTTGTCCACGCCTTGGACACTGGCAACCACGGCGCAGTTTCGTGGAGCATCCAGGTGTCGAGGACACCTGATTTGGATGTCAAGGCCATTCTGACTCGCCCGGGCATCGCCGACATTCATCTTGGCGATGGAAGCTCCGCGAGCCTGAACGTGTCGACCGGACATATCATTAGGCGCTCTGTACCCATCGTTGGCGGAATTCGCGCGGTTGCAAGTTTTGAGGAGACCGGGTCCTCGCCAGCAACCAGGGGCACTGTGGGCGTCCGAGAAGATGGTTCCCCGGTCAGGCCATTTAAGGATAGCAACGGGTTCTTGGTGACTACCAGTGCGGATGGCCGGGTTCTCGGCTGGATGGTCCAAGACAACAAGTCTCCCGTGTGGGAGTTTGTGCCCCCTGCTGGTCAAAGAGTGATCAGTGCCACTGCCCGTCCCGTACACGACCCAGTTGCGTCGATCGGTAAAGTCCTTGGAGACCGGTCCGTCTTGTACAAATACCTCAACCCCAACCTGGCTCTGGTGACCGCTGTGAACGAGAAGGACCACACCGCCAGCTTTCATCTGCTGGACGGAGTTTCGGGCAAAGTGTTGCACGCCGTCACACATACAGGCGTGGACCCGTCGCAGCCGATCGCGTCCGCAATGTCGGAGAATTGGTTCGCCTACTCGTTTTGGGGCGATGTCACCAGCGAGACCTCCGCCAAGGGCTACCAGCTCGTGGTGTCCGAGCTCTTCGAATCGCCTCTGGCCAACGACCGCGGCCCTCTTGATTCTGCCGGTAACTACACCAGTCTCGCCAGCAGTGGCACCGAAAGCCTCCCGTTGCCACATGTCGTTTCCCAGGCCTTTATCATCCCCGAGCCCATCTCCCACATGGCCGTCACCCAAACCCGCCAGGGTATTACGGTCCGTCAGCTCCTCTGCACTCTGCCGGCCTCCAACTCTATTATCGGCATCCCCCGACACGTGCTCGATCCCCGCCGCCCCGTCGACCGAAGCGCCACTCCAGCCGAAACCGAAGAGGGCCTGTTCCAGTACACACCGTTCCTCTACTTCGATGGTAAATGGTACCTCTCGCACGCGCGCGACGTCGCCGGCATCAAGGACATCCTGTCCTCTCCAACTTTGCTCGAAAGTACCAGTCTGGTGTTCGCTTATGGCGGCGATATCTATGGCACCCGTGCCACGCCCAGTCAGGCGTTTGATATCCTGGGCAAGGGTTTCTCGAAGTTGCAGCTGGTGCTTACGGTGGTTGCGTTGGCGGTGGGCGTTGCCATTTTGGCTCCCATTGTAAGTTTCTTCCATTTTCCTTTCCTTTCTCTCTCCTGTGTTTTGGTCGGAATGTTGCTAATTATATCTTGTCTAGACTCGGAGGAAGCAAGTCAACACGCTGTGGAAGGCTATTTAGAAATCTCCCTTTCGTTTTCCCTGTAGTGTGTCTCAGGGTTGTAATCTATACTTGGATATCAAGTCATCTTGTTGTATTTTTGAAATTCTGTTGTGGCTGCTCGAGTGATTAGAGGCTATGTAACTCCCATTATCAAGAGTTAATCAAAATTTGAAGACGAATCTCAAGTTTTCACGATATGACTCTGATCCCAGCAATAATTCGTCTGTGCCCTATAAGGCTATAAGGGAAACGGGCTGGAGGGAGATTGGGAAGCTACAAAAGAGATAATCGAGTCCTTGAGGGGAATATGCAATACTCTGGATTGTGCTCCAGACATATGTACAAGGCTGCAAGTAGAGAGCAAGGAAAGAAATAAATATAAACAGAAAGATCGTTCAGTCATCGCCATCGACACTGGCATCAAATCTAGCATGGTATCACAAGAAACATCAAAATGTCCCACTCATATACAGAAACATTTTGTGATTAGAAAAACATCTATAGTGGATGTCAAGGAGAAGAACGAGGAAACAAAACCAACCGTACGCTGATATCCTCCCCCCCTAATGGGCTCTATATCAGATCAACGGCATTGGCGACTGATTCGCATAGTCGATGTTGGTTGGAACCGACTCAATGCGGTCATGACAGGTTCCAAAGATGCGGTCCCAAAGACGGGTCTGCTTGCCGTAGTTGTGACTCTTTTTCCAGCCCTTGCGGTGGTGCAGGTCGTGGTCCTCAATGACAAGCTCGGCGTCAAAGATGCGGAGGAACCAGCTGAGCGTGGAGGGTGGGGTAGCGTGAACGCGTAGACCGCTGTGGCCGGCCAGCTCGGCAAACATGACATACTGGTGGCAGATCCACCACTCGTAGAAACCCATCGGGAAGCCCATGAAGAGCATAGCAAAGTAGGTCATCAATGGGATACCGGCAATATCGAAGAATTCCTGTTCGGTGTCCGCATATAGCGTCAGGAGTGGGTTCGGGTGCTTCGTGAGGTGGTGTGTGCGATGGTACTTCCACAGGCCACCGACGTCGTGCATCAGTCGGTGGTACCAGTAGAACCAAAAGTCCAAGATAACCCCGTACAGCCCGATCTCTAGCGGCAGCCATGCGAAGCTCATGGACGAGGGTGCTTTGTTAACGTGGTAGCTCAAGAACACGGTGAACATGGGTCGGAAGGTCGATGTCGACATAAGGGAGCGCACAACCTTCGCCACGCCGACATCAGGCACGCCATCGCGCCCGTGCTTATCGCCATCGAGGAAGCCATGAATGTGGCCTAGTCGTCGGAGGACATGTAGTTCGTGGATAGCGATGAGCTTGAAGGCCACGCTGTAGAAAACGAAAGCGGCGAGTGCGTTTAGATTGTGGCCGGTAACTTGGACGTAGGCGTGGTGAATAAGGAGCGGGATCGCCGAGTGCACGAGCACCCAGCGGTGCATCGACCAGTCGGGGACGTAGGGCACGGCATCCTCCTTCAGGTGCACGGGGACTTCTTTGTCAAGTTCCTCCGGATGAATACCGAGTAATTCATAGAACCAGTGGAAAGGAGACCACTCGGTGCGATCGAGCCGGCGCCAGGTGGACTTCATAGAGTCCTTGGGGTTGCGCTCAAAACTCATGATGAGACTGGGCTATCGAAAGACTGGTAACAAATTCTGGGGCAGGATGAGGATCAGGGACCCATTTCCCCAGGGTGGCGTGTGGGTTTAAATCATTTGGCTCTGTCGATCGCAACTCCAGTTCGGCGTTTTGGCGCTCGGCACATGTGAATCTTTGACACGAGGCCGCTGGTGGGCTCGCTTCAGGCTCTCCGCAAAAATGAGCCTCGGACGACTCTGAACATTGTGAACTGTGAACATGACGTCGATCACATCTGATCCTGGACTCGCATCTTCCCAACAATTCTGGTAGTTTCATCGCGCTAGTGCGCGCTTGGACTCAACATGGTTGCCTGACTTGGCCAACCCTGACAAAGGTCGGGCACAGTCGGGGAGATGATGGTATCATGGTCAAATCATGTCAGTCTCGAAGACCGTTAGATGGAGAAGATGAAGTCGAAGGTGAACATGCTGTGCGACGCTACCTTGAATCATGTGATCACGCCTTCCAGATTGGGATATATAATACACTACACAGCCAAAAGTCTGCCGATAGTCTATAATTTCGATTTACCCCACTATATTAAAATTTGAATAACTCCTTAAAAAAAGGGGGCGTTTTATAATATTTAGATAGATTAGAACTAGGGTTTTAAGGCCTATCTTAAAACCCTAGTTTTAATAAAGATATTTAGAACCTTAGTTCTAATAGACCTATATAGAGAAGAAAATAAAAAATAATATATTTTATTTATTATTAAGGTCTAATTAATAATATTTAAAGATATTATTATTCTAACTCTTATATTTCTATCCTAAGACCTATATCTAGATATTATTCTTAGATAGTAATAGTTAGGGCTTATTTATTTTATTTATCTTATTTATCTTATCTAGCCCTCTCTTATTATTAATTATAGTATTCTATTTTTTAATATTATTAATTAAATTAATCTTCTCTTTTTTTATAGCTTCTATTTTATTATAAAAGAAGAATTTCTTAAAAAGCCTTACTGTTACGCACTGGTCACCTATGACTGTTAGCTGGAATGGAAGGTATACTTCTCTTAAGATACCAAGACACGTGGGTCTTTCTAGTTATACTAGAAGGCTAGGGGTCTTCTAGTATTAACGATATCCGGCCTCGTAACTATACTATTGCCTTGTCCGTTAGGCCTTATATAGGCTCGGGTCTATTAAGGTATCGAGGAACAATCAAGGGTAAAAAGCGCCTAATAGGTTAGTACCGAAGTAGCTCTTTTATTAGTAGGTAATTGTCTTAAAAGGAATCATAGTATAAATAAGACAATCTAAGTTATAAGTAATAAGTAAGTTTATAATATAAATTAAACGCGAAGGACTAAATATACGATAAATAAATATCCTTATATATCCTTCGTTATTATATCGCTGATATACTTAGGTTAGAGTATCTAATTTATTCCGAGCAGATCGCTGCTCTACTTTATTAGATTACTAATCTATTTATATCACGTGATTATAAGTAATCCTCCGACATAAGGTTATACTACGCCTTCTTATCGATTAGGTATTATCTTCCTACTATATCTACTAGCATATTGTCCCTGTTAGGTCTATAACACTTACCTCCTATTTTTTAATATTAAATCTTAAAATATAAAAAAATATTATTAACTCTTTAATTATCTATAATTTTATTCTTTTTTAATAATAATAATAGATATCCTAAATAGTATTAAAGAGCTATTTAACTCCTATATTTATTATAGAGAAAAAAAGTATATCTTATATAAAAATAGTGATTACTAGAAAATGTATTTATTACTTTCTTTAAAATATAAGAGATATAATATAAATAATATCTATTAACTAGTTAGTATAATTTAGTAAAGACTAAGTTTAAATATACTACTATTAAGATATTGGATTATTTTATTAATAATAGCCCTTAATTATATCTTATTTTTATCTAATATCTTATTAAGTTTTAAGCTTAGCCGAGCTATTAAATAAGATCTATCTGAAGACTAATTAAGAGTTAAAAGTTACTTTTAATATGAAATAAGAGCCTATTTAAAGAATTTATAATAGATATTATATTATTTCTAATTTTAATCTTTTATAAAAAAGAACTTGAATTTATTTATTAATATTAGTATTATACTAACTACGTAGATATATCTTTAAATATTATTAATTTAAGAGTAGTATTTATTAAGTTTTATCTAACTAGCTTCTAGTATATAAAGTATTTATTATTTCTAAAAAGTATATTTTTATTATAGTTACTTTATTAATTATTTAAGATACTAAAATATTATCTAAATAGGCTATTATAAATATATTAAGGTATTTTTTTAGCGAGTTAAAGATAAAGCGTTAGAATAAGATTAATATATTAGTAAATCTAAAAGATATAATTATATATTTGAAGTATCCGAATTTAGTTCGAAATACCATTTTTTATTTATAGTCTTTTTTAATCTATAGATAGTTATAGGTATTCGTAATATTATATTTTGTAAAGTAATTAACGTTTTAGATTTAGTCTTAGATCTCGCTATTTAATAGTAATAGATATTAGTCTTTAATATTTATCAAATTCAATTATTATTATTTCTTCTTCTATTATAATAGTATAAAGAGATTTTTATTTATATTTAATTATAATATAGTCTTCTAGTTTGTTATTAGTTATATCTAGTTATTATTTAATTATTATAACAATACTAATATTTATTATTTTATATTATATCTTATCTCTAGGCTAAGTATTTCTCGTGAGTCCTATCTCGTGAGAGTCTTGTAGATTATCTATCTCCTTTAGGCTAGATCACTTTCGCTACTATTATATAAGTCTAGTCTATATCTTATTTATCTACTATTATTTATATCTATCGAAAATAACTGTTCTCTTTATTTAACTAATTATTAGAGATTATATTATCGAAGCCATAAGATTCCTAATATAATATTATATTTTTTAAGGTTAGTAATATTAAAGTTTATAGTTTCGAAGTAGTTTCTAAAACTATAGGAAGTTAATCTAATTTATATATAATCTCTAGTTTTAACCTTTCTTTATCAAGGCTAATAATATAGGAGATATTTTTCTTTTTATTCTTCTAAATATATTTCTATTAGCAATATTATAGTTTTATAAAATTTCCTAAAGCCCCTAAATCGATTATTACTTATATATTTTTATATAGGCTCTCTACTAGATAGCTATAAATTATTATAGGTCTTTGAACTTTTTATTTCCTTATTAGGTATCTAAGAACTTAGGTTTCTATTATTATAGGTTTTCCTAATATAAAGATTATGATTAATTCTTGTAAAGAATATACTTGGTAGGGTATAAGGCCTATCGATCAGTTAAAGAAACAAAGGGAAGGAGTAAAGGAAAGTAGTATATCTTTATTGCTATTAAGACTAAATCTTGTCTTGCTAGCTAGATACAAGAGTATTAATTTATTATATAATATCTTTGTAACTTTATATATTATCGATAATATAAATAACTAGGTCTCTGTTATATATCGTGATTATTCCACTATAGGGTGGATCAAGTAACAAGTTTCAACTTCCTTTAGAATTATATAATATCACCTAATCCACCCCTTCTGTCAGTTAGGAATAACCTCATGCCTCACTATCTTTGTAGACCCTTTACATCTTTATATAATTAGTGCTATAATTTTACTATAATATAAGCTTTAATTTTTTTTTAGATAAAGACTAGAATAACCCTAATCATGACTAGACCTGGACAGACCCGCGGACAACCCATATAGGTCGATCTGTGGGTCAGCCCATGGGCGGGTCGTGGGTCAGACCTCTTGACCCGTGGGCGGGTCAAGATTTTTTTAACCTGTCCCGTGGGTCAATAGGTCAACCTATTTAACCTATTTAGGTAGATACTTTGTTAACTATATAACTTTTATAAATTATATTATTCTTGGCTATATTTTTAGGTATTATATTTGTTTTAGTTAAATAATTTTTTATAGTAATTAGGAGAATAATTCTTAAAAAGTAATTCTAGAGAATATTATTTTAAATATTAATCGATTTTAATTTTAAAGCTTATAATTATTAAGTACTTATAGGCGTTTACGAACCCTACTAGAAATCCGCGGGAGGCTATAATTATCTTTATAATTACTCTTTAACTTTTCTTGCTACGATTAGTAAGGTATATCGACTATAATTATTAGATCTATAGTATCCTCCTTCTTATTATCACTAATTAGTATAATCTCTTTATAAGTCTTTTAGGTCTCTTTTTCCTTCTATATAATTTCTAATTTATCTTACTCTTAAAGCTCTTAAATAAATATAAGCTGCTTCTTCTCGACTTTAAATTTAGTAATATATATAAATATTATTAGATCCTATATAGTAGATATATTTAACGCCTCTCGTCGATAATAATAAATATTATACGCGGAATTAAATAATTACTTAATATTAACGTTAATAGCTAAGATTAAGAGAAGATTATAGACGAGGCTTATAAATATAGGAAATTTATACTAATAATCCTTCTAGAACTAATAAAGTAGGATTAGGATAGTATCTAGATAGAGGGCGGATTATAATAATTAGTATAATATTTAGATAGATTAGAACCGATACCTCTATTAAAACTAGGGTTCTAAGATAGGCCTTAAAACCCTAGTTCTAATAGGGGTAAAAAGATAGAAACTTAATAGATTAGAATTAGGGTTTTAAGTAATTACTTAGAACCTTAGTTTTAATAAAGATATATATAGAAATTTACCTTTTTTAATATACTATATTATCTTAGACTAGGAGTTTAAGGTAAAAGAATTAGCTATTAAAAATATATTAAGCTCGTTAGTTTAATAGGACTATTTTATTTTAGATAGTAATTAAGAGTTTAGAATATTACTAGCTTAGTAGCTTAGAAGCCGACTTTTAAGACTTCGCTAGTATTAGGCGTTATAATCTATCTAAGAGTAGTCCTAGTCTTTAGTTTAAAAAAATTTAATCTTATATTAAAAGACTAAGAT